TTCCCGTCTTGTATTTCCTCGTACCTGTACCGTCTCAATGCGATTGGTTTAGGCTGCTTAGATATAGATCGATGAGGAGCTGACCGCTTTAGATGATTCAGGACGAACAGGACGGTGAGGTCTCACCGCGTTGGACAACGACAGCCTTCCACCGCCACCGTGTGGGCGAGGAAAACTCGTTACTCCATACTAGCGTCATTCAACCAGCAACTCAATCCATTCAGCCAACACCATCAACTATTCAGCCGATCCCACCCACATTCGAGCCGGCGGATGCAACGTTGCTTGCAAGACGGTGAGACTTCACCGCGTTAGCCACCGATTCACTTCTGCCTCGACCGAGCGGAAAACTCGAGCTTGTACACACTATTCCGTATTACCTAGTAAGATTTCGAACGTATCCAGCCGATTTCATTGTTTGTCCAGCCGACGTATGCGTTATCGGACTGAACGCTGCGATAGACAAGGCCGTGCTCCAAGACGGTGACGCCTCACTGCGTTATACCATGACTCCCTTCCACAGTCACCGCGAGGGCGGGTAGGACTTATGCCCATTGTTTTTGTTCTTCAATCAAACATTCTATTTATCAAGCCCACCCCACTGGCCGCGTAGCCGATCCTACCGACATTCGAGCCGACGGATGCAACGTTGCTTGCAAGACGGTGAGACGTCACCGCGTTAGCCACCGATTCACTTCTGCCTCGACCGAGCGGAAAACTCGAGCTTGTACGCACTATTCCGTATTACCTAGTAAAATTTCGAACGTATCCAGCCGACTGCATTGTTTGTCCAGCCGACGTATGCGTTATCGGACTGAACGCTGCGATAGACAAGGCCGTGCTCCAAGACGGTGACGCCTCACCGCGTTATACCATGACTCCCTTCCACAGTCACCGCGAGGGCGGGTAGGACTTATGCCCATCGTTTTTGTTCTTCAATCAAACATTCTATTTATCAAGCCCACCCCACTGGCCACCTAGCCGATCCAACCAACATTCGAGCTCAACGCCGCGATAGACGACGCTACCCGGCAAGACGGCGACGCCTCACCGCGTTAGATGACGACCCCCTTCGACCACCATTGCGGGGGTGAGCAAGATTGGTATACACCAGCTTGATATTTTCTTGACATCTATGCCTGCCCAGCAGATGCATCCCAGTCCATCTCCACGGTAGTCCGGGCGACGCACACAAGACGGCACCCGACGCAGCCAAGCTGAAGCCTACCAGCGGCCCATTCCTCACCGCGCTGTAATATTCATAGCGACGCCCACCAATACGCAAGATGGCGGGGCCCGTCCAAGGCGGCTGTCCTCCTTCAATAGGCCAGCCGACGCGTTAGCCTCGGCGGCCGACGCCCATTTCATCAAAACATTGGTATCCGAGTACCCCGCAAATTGTTACAGCATTCACGTATTACTACTGATCCACCATACAAAAGTTGCACCTCGGCTCATGGATCATCGTCCTATTGGCCGAGTCGTCGGCCGCCGTAGGCTACCCCGATGGTGTTCCACGAGACTGCGCGTCGGCCATAGGATGACTATGCGTGAGAAAGAGCTGCTTGGTGTGGCCAATTGTGGTGGTCACTTCTACATTGCGACCTATGGCATCAAGATCGAGCAGTCCGCAAACACTTTCATTGCATGGCAGCCTGCCCATGCACATGGTACGAGCTTGATTGGGCATGGGCCACCGAGCAAGGATTCCCCGCCATCCGCACAGCAGGGTCTCAGCTTCGTTAGCAGCATGCGCTTGGCATCCACATGGAGGAAGTACAAGGCCAATGAGCTGACACGGGAGGAGGCAGAAGCGGATTATATCCGAGGATTGGAGGATGACACAGATGCTTGATTGGCTACAACTACAATATAGTGTACCTGGTTCATTGGTACTACTGTCACGATGGTCGTCAAATTAGAACTAGTATCATTGGACTGATAACAACCATCCCCGATCTAGCTGGCAGGGATTCGATCCATGTAAAGCTAACTCTGTGACTGTCATGTGGTTTCGCTGTTTGATAACTTCATCAAGGAAGAAGTCGTAGCGGTCTTGCCGCATTTCCCGGACAATAGAAGAAAATCGGCCAAACCAAGCATTCGTCATCTCTGCAGCCGACGAATTGAACCGCCATGTCCCTCCTTCATATAGATCTGGCCATAGCGCAGGGTTGCAGTGAAGGCCACAGAAATCGTCCGACTCCTTGTGCTTGCTCTTCATATGGAATACATCCACTGGAAGAGCAACTGCATCAAAGTGATGGTCGCCTGCAGCCAGTAGATGCCTCTTAAGCTGGCAGGCACTGTCGTAGAAGATGACACGGGGTAGTGATTGCTGAGTTGGAAAAAGCCGATGCAGAAAAACCTATGCAAGTTCATAAATGGGCTCGGTTTTGGCAATAATCATGGGTCACTCACTTTTACTCCGCTTATTGCCTCTGAACCATACATTGTCATCCGGCCCAGGACTACGCCACATGTCGCAACACAGAGCTGCTCGTTGTGAGTCCATCGTCGGCCAAAACGGGCCCGAAGCTTTGGGCCTGCTTGTGTAGTGTCAATATCGCCACCAGGACTGTCATCGTCGTCTGCATCAACACCGTCGCTGGCCTCGCTGGTACCTATACCATCCAATTCGGGTGCGCCATCGGTGTTTTGTTGCCGCTGTCGCTCGAGCCGCTGCTGGAGCTGAAACAGTGCGGTGCGCCGAATTGTATTTGCTTTCTCCAGCGCCTGATGCTCCTCGATGGCGCAGGTCTTAGACCCTTGATCCACGTCGTTCTCGCAACCATGAACACTGCATTGTCGCTCCAAATGCAGGTGATCGGAACAGAAGCGAGCGCGCTGGGAAAGTAGCTGACCCTTGCAATCATGTACACCACAGCAGGGCCGCCCTATAGTGACTCCATCTGTGACCACTGCCCGAATCGTATCTGCAAGACCATTAGTTCCCAGAAGAACACTTCGGCGAGGGGTAGAATTACATAGCACACCATCAATAACCTTCCTTGTGCAGCAGCGATCACATATATGGTTCCAGTGCTCTTGCCCAGGACCCACCATCACAGCATTTCGCTCCCGCAGGGCTTGGTCGAGTCGGACTGAGTGATCGGCATCATTGCGGAGTATGAGATGGGTGCCATGCCCATCATGGTCTCGGAGAAGTGCATATAGGAAGAATGCATCGGAAACCATAAGCCCAGTGAGTTTGGGGCGAATCGGCCATGATAGAGGGAAGTGAGCTTCGGCTGCGCTGTGTTGCAGCTGATAGATCTTCGCATTGTTCAATCCCGAGACCCTGCAAAAGCAATTGGTCAGCCTCATGAATGAGCAGATACAGAATAATATTCACCATGCAACAACCATCGATGCTGTAAAGTGTTCGCATAGAGTATCCTCGATATATACATGTTTCGCGACTTCGATAGATGTTGGGAGACCAGGGTAGTACGACCGAATGGAGCGTCGCTCATGGACATAGTAGTCTGGGTAATATCGGGTATAACAAGCTAGTAGTACATCGGTGAGAGATTACTGAGATATAATTTCATATAAATCACATTGTTCATGCTTACATCGGCACTGTGCAGAGTATGAGACGACCGGGACAGGTCCAAACTCTCGAGTGAAGTTGACACATTGTGTCGCAGTAAGCCGAGTCAGCTTGCGAGTTGCACTCGAGCCGCGATGTACCCTTTCGCATTCAAGATCAAGACAAGAGCGAACAGGGGGATATAGATCGTGGAAAGCTAGCCAGAGTCATATAAGTATATTATGATGGGCATAGCACGATGACACAGCACACCTATCCCTTCAGGAATTCCATGCACGACGAAGACATCGAGAAGCTCTTTGGACCGCCAGCTGTCAGCAGTGCTGCTCACACTAGCCCAAACAGATGCTCCGATGGCACTCCAGCACCGGTCAAGGAGTGAGTCGGATGTGTTGGAACTTGAAGACATATGCAGAGCACTAGCCAAGAATCGTTTGACATCGGAGGGTAAGCTCGCAGGTGGTCCATCGGACTCGTGTGGATTGAGCCACGAGAGTCGCTCTTTGAGGCATTGCAGGAGGCGGAACAGAAGTAGCAGCGAGTCAATAGAGAAGCATTGCATGATTTCAGGGAACTGCTGGAAGCATGCAAGCAGGCTGGGAGCAGCCATGGCAGTTGCTGACTGCATCGCAGGAGAACGAGACAGAGAACCACTGACCGAACTACTGACCGAAGCCGATGTTCCACACGAGGCAATTCCTAAACAAAGGATGAAGGCGAGCGAGCCATCAACTCACCGCCACAACATCAAACCACACAGGCAAACTGTATTGCTCTACGAATCACTTACAATCACACACAGACCATAGCAACAGCGAGTGACTGGGGCTGGCTGCCCACATTGGGCGCACGCGTGCGATACCACTCACCAATATATGACACCATCGCAGATACAGTACAACATAACAATTAGACGAGGTATTACAGCAATACACCGACTAGCTATCAACGAGCAGCAGTCGTTAAGATACATACAACTGCTCCTCCTAGTCAGTTGCACACAAATGGCATATCACACGCCTGAAGCTCCACAACGGCACCCAACAGCTATCAAATTCCAGCATTAGTAGTAGTCGCCCGGTGCAGCAACATCATACTCACCCTGCTCGTTATCTGGTGCTTCATCGCCCAGGCACAGTCGCTCGGGCTTGTTGAGACTGCATGCTCAATGTCGTTCGTGACGAGCAGCTACATCTGCTACACAAGTACGGTCTCCTCGACCTCATCAGTGCATGCATCCAGGAAATCTAGGGCAAAGATCACCGAAGTCGGTGTCATTCCCGTCGTTCCCTTCTGCCCAGTCTCTGTCCAAAGGTGTTCTCGGCTTCTCTCGCACCGCCTGCTGGACACTCCCAGGCGAGTCACTGCCGATCAATCTATACAACGATCAATGATAAACACAAGCATGAAAAACAGGAACGTACCGGGAGTCCTCGCCAGTGCACGATCGCGCAACATCTGTACCCGACCAAGACCGGACAGACGAGATCGGCAAGAGACAATACTCGTCTGTGCATCAACGTGGCAGACGAGTAGGTGAGAAAGAATTCGTCACTGTCACCAAACATGTACTTACCGGGATACTGCACAAGCCTCTCCACAGGCATGCACCGGACGTCCTCAGTGTGCCTCGCCATTCAAGACAGGGCTAGTATCGCGCGAGTCGACGCACCTCGACTGTTCGCATCACATTCTGTCCGCAGAATGTTGGTTATGCGCCGGGCACATGGACAGAAGTGGCGCGCGTCGCGCAGCACGACCCGGGGCAACAACCTGAGGACACCTGAAGACGACTTGCCTATCAGTGCTCACTGCTTTCAAGACTCGAGTGCACAGACAACTCGCCTCCGCGCCGCGAACCCCGGCGAGACATGTCGCGGACGTTGCCTCCATGAGCCCGACGCTCGTAGCAAGGTATTTGCGCACGAGACCCTGAGGATGTAAGCGATGTATGAGTGAGTGATTGTGGGATGCAGCAAGGCGCAGCCACGAGAAGACTTACATCGAAGTTAAGTACAGTGACGAGTTCAGTGGTCCCGCGAGCGAGGAAGCGAAACGCCGCGATTGAGGAGGCGATGCACCGCGGGACAAGGACGAGCCAGAAAAGAATGCGAGGGAGGAGGTGCAGTGGGCCGCTGGCGGCGGCAAGGAGCGTGAAGACAGGCGCCACTACGGCCCGTGGGGCACCGACGTGGCGGGGAGAACGATGACCTCCGAGCTCACCGAAGCCAGAGCCTATATACATTCGTGGCCCGGGGCTGCAAGCGCTTCGCGCTGCTACGCCACTACGCTACGAACGCTACATCACTACGCTACGAACATGTACTCCGTGCTTCGCATGGAAATCGAATTCGCTATGCGCTACAAAGCGAATGCGATTGGATTCGCTATGCGCTACGGGCGGAAATGCGTAGCGCTACGAGGGAGATCGTCGCGGGAATTTCCGGACGCTATGCGCTACGGCGCTTCGCGCCGTAGCGCTGTGGGGTCTGAGGTTCGTACATTCTGATGAACTTGAAGCCATGCGGGACCAACGCTATGCTGTCTGCCCCGAGGACAAGAATGCACGAATACATACACTGACAGCTCTAAGCAGTGCCAAACGAATAAAACAGATCTCAGGTACCCATAGACATCGATGTGTTCTGGACGAGTCGAGTCGAAACCCCATCAACCTGCCGCCATTTCAACGGTTCTATCTTGGTTCTATCTGTCAATGCGCCATCATCATGTCAACTCCTTGTCCCTCCTCTCGCCGATATGTACCTCAGCACCGGAGTAACCAATGCCGCTCTTCCTTCCCCCCGTCGTGCACTGCACCGCACCTACGATCTTTCCACCGTGGTCCCTCTTCCTCCTTTCCTTCTCCGCGTGTATATCTACTAACTTATGTTCTGCTTATATCCGTTCTCCGCTGCATTCGTTCTCACCTTTCTTGCTGGACCTGTGTTGGGTGGGGGCAACACCACTTGCGCTGGGAGCGCACTCGACTGGTACACCGACACAGTCGGCGAGACACCATGTACGTCTTCGCTCTACTCATCCATGGTTACTGCTGACATGCAGCACAGGTATGACCTACCAGCGACTGCGCCAGATCTGCAATAGCGACTGTCAGTACCGTGTTCTCAACATGAAGGCATCGAAGCCTAACACTTGGTGCTCGTAGACGAGGTCCCATCCTTCCGTCCTAATACCCCTGGGGACAACTGCGATGATCAGCTATGTATGTTTTTCGTTCTTGAACGCACTCGAATGCACCAGGCTGACTATGCGAGCTCTTCAGCCGCCTGCTGCTGCAACTCGATCGCATGGGCATTGAGCATGCTCTGCATGAAGTGCGCATGTACATATCAAACGATCGACCTTTCCTGACAACGTGCTACCTATTCGTCTTTCAGCTGTCAGTGGGATGTAGACGGTGGTAGTGCCAACGGGATCGATGCTGGTGCGTCTCGACTCGACTGCCACGCTCACACTCGCACTCATGAGATCATTATCTTTGATGCATAGGTGTACCGGCTTACTACTGGTACCGATTCAGCGACAGCAACGGCCAGTACTGTGGGGACGGGACGAATCAAACGTGAGTCTTGCGCTGCCAGAGTGATGGTGTACTTCCCGCACGATGCTCTCAACAGCCTCCCATCGAATATCGAGCAGGCCGTTTGCAATCAGGGGATCAAGCTGGAGAACTTTTTGTACCGCCTATTCTGGAACACCGGTGCATGGTACGTACCCTCTTCGCTGTTGTCGGTCTGCTCGTCCGGAATGTCAGCTTATGCCATATCCACCTAGGTTTTAGTAAGTCCGCGATCTCTAGGAGGCAGACATGTATTCAGCGAATATGTTGCGCAGTACATATACCAGGGAGACTGGCGAACAAGACCATGCGGCAGACGGGACCAACATCTATCATTGTGCTAGCAGCACGACATCGTCAACGCCTAGCAAATCTAGCGCTCCAACCTCCTCAAGTATAGGAACTATAATCCAGCCGACAACAGCCCCTACTCAGACACAAAGTGCGCCCGTGCCCGGCTCGTCTTCCCCTGCTGCTTCCACAGCCAGCGCCGAATCAAGTTCATCGTCGGCGTCATCGGAATCGACTCGCCTTTCTTCCTCTTCATTCGTCACGACGCTCGAATCGCGCACGACCGTGGATGGAACAGCGACGTCCGTTCCATACATCACGACCGTCGTGACTACCGTCCCGTCCTCTACGGCTAACGGGACTGCTGTGGGCCTTGGGGCAGCGGGCAGCGGGAAGAAGACCAGCACTGGCGCCATCGTTGGCGGTGTAGTAGGCGGGGTGGCTGGTCTCCTCTTGCTTGGCGTCCTCGTTGGATGCCTGGCTAGGAGAAAGCGCAGTGGTGCAGGCGCGCCTGTCATCATCACGGACACGGCTGCAACGAGTCCATCGTCTGGCCCTATGAGCCCGAACATGGTCGAGAGGAATTTTGCCACTCCGTTCCTCGCGCCAGCATCAAGTGAGTTAATCTCCGTGTCTCCATGTCTATGTCCTGCTTGCTTAAGATGCCCTCCGCTCCCACAGCAAGTGATCCGTTTGCCAATCCGGCGCCTATGGGGAAATGGGCGCAGATGCAGCTCAACGCTTCCGGGTACACTGCGCCTAGCTCGACCTCGCATTCCGGCTCGAGCTCTAGCACGACATCAGTCTCTGGGCCTGGTTTCAGTTCCCGTGAAGCCCTGCATCCTGTGCGCGCACCCACGGAGAGTGCGAGCAGCTACAGCCAGGTGGACGTTGCGCCGCACGCAGGGCTGTCAGACGTGATGGGCCCTGTTGTACAGGAGGAGGATGCCGGAAGGCTGACAGGCGGTGGCCTGCGTTTACCGCCTGCGTATCAGAGCGAATGGAATGCTGAGTAGTTTTTTGTTTTGTATTTGGGACGTTGACATGCACTGTTGTGTTGGATGGCCATTGTGTGGCATAACGATTGTAGGCAGTCGTCGTGCTGGTCCTCGTCTAGGCAACGTGAGGACGTTCGACACTAGTCTCGCCGCAAGACCCTCCACGTGAGGGTTGTGTCGAACCCACGTCCGACACCTCTTTTATGTTGGTTCCGTGCTGTGCGGTTCTGGGCCGTTCATTACTTGTCTAACGTCTAACCTCCACGCGCATGCGTGACAGCGAGCGCTGCGCTACTGAGGGTGCTGTTGACGTTGACGCTGAGATCTGATCTGATATGTCGAACAGGATACGTATGGAAGATGTCAGGGGAGATTGTGAAGCCGTGGATGTTGTGAGGGCCTGGCGTTTAGCGCTGAATTTTGATGCTGCCTTCTCTTACTATCGGCAGGGGCCGCGCACATTGGGATACACCTTGGAGCACAATCTGGTGAGTGGTTACATTCGGAGACACGCTGGGTCTATGTATAATTGATGCACAACAAAGACGGTAGGCCTATACGCAAGCATCATATAATGGGCGTCTCTCGTATATGGTAGCGCTGATGCGGTTTGGCGGTGAAGTCAACCCGTTGCCATACTGTACCCGTCTGGATCATTGACGTTTCTGGTGTGCTTTTGAAATGACGTGGCGGACCCGGCACGGGTTATGGAGGACTTCTCAGACTCGAAGCCCCCACAATTCTCTCGAGGGACCACAGCGTTCTACTTCGAGCGGTGATTCTTCGAGGTGTAAATTACTGGTTTCCAAGCTGACTTTGCACGTTATCTCAGGCGCATGCTGGCAGTGCACCATGCCTGTCGGATCTCGGTCACTGGGCTCAGTATTATAACAGCTTCAAGGAGGCGCGACTGAACATGCTAACGACGTCTCTGTCAGACGGGGGGAGGACTTCCGAACGACAGCCACGAATGGAAGCATATCTTCAGAGATCAAGACGAGCCATCAAATCCAATCTGACAGCACTCCACGTTTCTCCCTCCATTGATGCGAGGATGCGAGTCACAGCATTCACGCACGTCTTTCTCCTTCCGTCCATGCTGTGATGCGCCCCGCGCTCGTCCTACTGTAGAACTTCTCTCTTGCCTCCTACATTGCTACACTACATCTGCGGCTACGACAATCCTATGCGCTGTTTCTATGCACTGTCCACGGCTTATGTTTTCACCCTTCTTGCTGTACCTGTGCTGGGCGGTGGTAATACCACTTGTGCTGGAAGCGCACTCGACTGGTACACCAACGCCGTCGGGGAGACACCATGTGCGTTCTCGCCTTCTTACTGCGATATCATTGCTGACCTGTAATACAGGCATGACCTACCAGCGACTGCGCCAGATCTGCAACAGTGACTGTTAGTGCAGTATTCCCGACATGCAGCTGACTGAGCTGACGACTGATCACGATGCACGCAGATGAGGTCCCGTCCTTCCGACCCAACACTCCCGGTGACAACTGCGATGATCAGCGAGGTACGTCGAGTCATCCAGTGGCACACGACCGCGGTGAACATACCTCTCTGACCACGCAAGCTTGCCAGCTGAGTGCTGTTGCAACTCCATCTCGTGGGCATTGAGCATGCTATGCATGAAGTATGTGTTCATCCATCCAGTTATCGACCTCCCTTAACCTTGTTCATTCATTTTGTAGTTGTCAATTGGACGTGGGCGGCAGTAGTGACAACGGGATCGATGCTGGTACGTCTCGACCGCGCCCCTACACCCACTTCGCATTCATGGGATCGTTGTATATGATACATAGGTGTAACGGCTTACTACATGTACCGATTCAGCGACAGCAACGGTCAGTACTGTGGGGACGGGACGAATCAAACGTGAGTCGTCGCGGGTCCGCCCTTGAGACGTGCATCCGATCTGATTAGCTCTTAGACTCTCGCCTGCTGTCCAGAGCGCCGTCTGCAATCAGTACATCCGCCTAGACGGATTCCTCTACGACCTATTCTGGGTGAAGGGTGACTGGTGAGTGACTTACACATTCACTCGACAGCTTGATAATTAACTCTGCCTTAACCAGGTACTAGTGAGCAACGCTTGCTAGATAGACCGTGATCATCGGTAAATGCTGATGGGACGCACGATAGCACATATACACGGAAACCGCCAGCAGGATCAAGCTGCAAACAACAGCCAGACATTCCAACACTGTCCGAATGACTCGGACCCCGTCGTCGTCCGTGCATGCTACTAGTAGTAGTACCAGCTCGGTACCCAGCGCGACCAATTCAAACTCAGGCCAGCGGTCTCTTCGGGCACGAAGAGCAACGTAGGCGCCATTGTCGGGGGCGTGTCGGGGCGTGGCAGGAATCGCCGTCATAGTGTGCTTGTTGCGGTGCTGATAATGAAGAGGAGGCGTCGCTTGAGACCGGTTCTCGAATCGCAGGCGACGATGATGAAGTAGCACCTTTCCAGCTGGGGGCCATCGTCTCACTCCATTTACTGCCCAGTCAGGCAGCAACACAGGTAGTTGTGTTTGTGCCACGATGCCGGTCCTCAAATCGGCTTTTCTAGATGTACGCGCGGGACCAAGCAGCCAGCAAGCGAGAAGTACGCCCTCCTGCAGCACCCAGCTGGCTCTCAGCCACTGATATGGACAACATTCTAGCAACGGTACATCGGCGCTTGGCACCGCGCCCCCTGGCGCGACGAGATCACGGTCGGGAGTAGATCCCCGCCGAACTCCCCCGATATGGTGGAGCAAGATGCTGGAAGGCTGGTGCTCGACGAGCTGCGCCGCCTCCTGCTTACCGTTCGGAATGGCAAGACGAATGATCAATGACGGGCTATGTGATGTGGGCCTTACGCTTCGAGCTCTAGCTACGATGGATCGTCACGTCAGTTTACCCATAACTAATACTCTATTTAGTGGAATGCGTGTATATGGTATTGCAGGACTGTTGCAGGATTCATTCTGGCGTTTTATATGAGATCGTACCCGCACAACGTGAAGGCACGCCGGTCACCGCCGTTCAACACACTGTTCGGATGCAAACGTGTACGGGCTGCTCTTGGGCTATTATAGTTCGCGGCTAAGTATCATTCAGGTGAATGTCTGGCAGCTTGCCCCGATAAGATCTGCTTGAATCTGGCACCCGGTCCAGCGCACACGAATTGCCTAATTCGACTGATTGCGCTCGGTACGATCGTGATCTTCGAGTGTCGCGGTTATGTCCGTTGCGACCCTGCGTTTGGACATCTATGGACGCTGGAGGCGACGGTCTAGCTAGCAATGTGGATCCAGTGCCAATACCAGTGGAACTCTCTTCCTATTCTTGCATTACACCAATAGCCGTTGCTCGGGATAAGCCAGTCTTCGCCATGAAGCCTGAGTCCTTCTCTTTGATTGGTGCGTTCTTGGTCAATTTGACGAAGTCTGGCAGGTCGTTCGTCTCGTCACTGTCTCATCTTGATGATGGGCGCTGACCCGGAGAAGATTGCACGGTAGGCGCCACCGTGCCCGTCAAGTTTCAACACTAAGGGGTGAGATACAGTTGAGATCGTTCTACATCGGCCGCTGGCATACTCTCATTAGCAGATACATCGCAACGCGAAGGCACGGAACAGCGACGTACTCAACCACTTACTGGCACTACGCAGACAGACGGGCATTCTTACTAGGACGCCGCCGCACAGCTTAAGGGGAGTTAGATAAGTATGTATAAAGCGAAGGTTGACCTGGGTGCCGTGGCGTCCGGATGGCGGTTTGGCGGGTGTCTTTGACAGACGTATGATGCTGGTACGAGGTTACGTTACTAGCGTGATTAGGACCTCACTTGATGCGGCGTGTACCAGTGCGAGGTGTTCTTGAACCACACTGCCGTGTACTCAGAGCCGCCCATTATGCAAACACGACCTCCCGGATGCGCCCACTTTGACTCGAGGAAACAAAATACGGTGCGGTCTCGCTCTGCAATGAGAAAATCAAAGACTTACTAATCGACGTTATTGTTAGCTGAGACATGGTGCGTTCAGCCAGGCGTAGGTTCCGCTAGTGTCCGAACGCGTCGCGAGGGCGCTCTGCGGTTCCTGTGATGTGGCTGTCAGTTCGTCGTGCGAGCATGGTGTCCCACGAAGCCTGTACTGGCATCACATATAGCATTCGGCACAATCAAGACTGTGCCTCATACGGCACGCCGAGCGATACTAGTTCGAAGCCGCTTGTCTGACCAAGTCTTCTGCCGTCCGACCATTCCGCAAGGCCCCCTCTAGGCATCGACATCTTCTCTTTCTCCTCCACGATCTGGATGCCTTCAATCTGCTCCCAGCGCGACTAGCTGCAGGTCTGCTCGTCGCCTCACTAGTTCGATATACCTTTGCAGTGGGTAATACGACGTGTGCCAGCAATGCGCTCGATTGGTATACTGACGCGTCGGGGAAACACCATGTTCGTCGCTCTCATCCCGGAAGCTGCTTGCTCGCCGCGCTGACCTCTATCCCGCGGTATAAGGCATGACATATCAGAGGCTACGGCAGATCTGTAACAGCCAATGTGCGTTTGACATAGTATTCTTCCAGTGTTGGCGATGTATCACCGGCTAATTCGGCTTTGCAGATGAAGTACCATCAATGCCCTTCGCTTTACCTGGCGATCTCTGCAATGACCAGCTCGGTATGTACTATGATGTTCAGGCCTGATTTGTGCGAACTCAAACGTCGATCTACTAGGTTTCTGCTGCTGTAACTCCATCTCATATGCACTGAGCATGCTCTGCTTCAAGTATGTACTGACTGGATCGCAAACGTCCACATGTACAATCTCAGAGAACATGGTCTGTAGCTGTCAGTGGCTTGCGAATACCACTCAAGATCCTCACGGCTGGGATGCTGGTGCGTCATACAGTGAATGCGAGCCATCTCAGCTTACTGACAAGTCGCTGCCATTACTTTTGTCAGATGATCCGACAACGTTCTACCTCTATCACTGGAGCAACCCGGGCGCGACTGGAGTATATTGCGGAGACGGGACGAATCAGACGTGAGGAACCTTTCTTTCTGCGGTCTTCTGATTGTAAGATGGTGCATGCGCTTACGTTGATCACAGGCTTCCGGCTAACATTCAAAGTGCTGTCTGCAATGAGAATATACGTCTGGATGACTTCCTTTACACTGTATTCTGGAACAGCGGGGACTGGTACGTCTTCATTCGGAAGGTTGACGAAAATGAGTCTCATGTCTGATACCCAGGTACTAGTGAGCATCCGCTTTCGACTGACGAATTTTTGCACTTAAAAGATGCACCTACCACAGCATGTACACGAAGGAATATGCCCAGCAACAACAGGCCACGAACAAGAGCCAGACGTTCACACACTGTCCTAATAACTCCGAGACATCGTCATCCGTGCAAATCACCGGAACCGCAACTCACATCAGAACGCGCGCCACGACTCGGACAACGTCTTCCAGCACGACGCAGACCGTCCCACCAGGGAAGAGTTCTGACATCGATATCGGGGCTGTCGTAGGGGGAACCGTTGGCGGTGTGGCAGCTGTAGCCGCGGTGGCGCTGAGCGCCGCATTGCTGATGATGAGGAACAGGAGGCATCGTTGCCCGAAGCCCATTCTTGACCTCTCAGACACTGACGGCGACCCGCAGTCAACAGTGTCAGCCTATCCGCTTGAGGCCCACACTGTTACCCCATTCACCATTCAATCCGATGGAGATCGCGGTAAGTTGCCCGATGCAATGATGACCGCATATGTTTAATTCTGATATATTGCCACATAAAGGAGACACACATAATGAGGGCGCTCCACCGACGAACGAGAAGTATGCATTGCTACGGCACGACGGACTTACAGCTGGCACCTCGATCACGGGTTCAGACTTGCACAAAGACACATCGTCTAGCAGTGGAACGTTGGGAACTCGCGTCGCAACCTCTGGTGTATCAGCTGCAGTCAAGTCAGGCGCTGTCAGTGGACCACTCCCGAGTTTCACTACTATGATGGAGCAGGATGCGGGAAGACTCGTGATCGATGAGACGCGGCTTCCCCCTGCCTACCGTCCGGAGTGGCAGGCTGAGCGCTTAATGGTTTGAAGGCCGATCTCTAACATTCCTCATACCGAGATCTCAACGTATCGGGGTTCCGGCGGCGGATCATCACTTCATACTCCTTCGATGACGATTCTTGTTATTTAAGTATGTGGTTATACTAAGGTAGTACATGGGATTTCATATATACCCGCACACTTGACAAAGTACTCAGACACAGACAGCGAGGGAATTACCTATGGTCTGTCCTAACATAATGACGGACCCCGGAGCCTGGCCCCCCGAGTACCTAGTACATGAGTTGCCTAATTTGGACAGGTTGCGTTCGGTACGATCGTGATCTCGGGTGTGGCGGGTAATGTCCGTGGCATCAACCTCCTTGCCAATGCCAGCGCAAATTGAGCGTAACTATCATCTTGCTTCGGAAGTTGCCTAGAGTTAGTCAATCTTTGTAGTGCTCCTCGGGCCGCACTGTATGCACCGAGACATCGTCTTGCCCAACATATCGGCAGAGGTCGCACGGAGTTCTCGAAGTCGGATCACCCTGAAGTGTGATCTTGATTGTATCGACTTGCCCGGAGGTCTTGAATAGTCGTCGGGTTCAAGAGCTGCTAGAGCCCAACGCGTACCTTCATATGCCATGACCGGTAGTTGCAGCAATTTTCCATGGCCGCACCATCTGGGGCTGGAGGTAAGCATTGTCATATTAGTATGTTCATAATATTTCTTGGATGGGATGAGACAAGACTCATTGCTTCAATGGATATGCGGTCCTGCGTTGAGCGTACATGAGCAACGTGAGTATGATAAGTATGTACGTCGCGTCAAGAGAAGCCTAGATGGCGTGATGGCGCCATCATCCGGCGTTTCGCCATAGCGCTGTGGAATGTCTCTATGCAGAATCTCCGCACTGCGCCAGCCGAAGACGACGGTCATTGTGAGTTCATCCCTCGGTCCCTGATCCTCGCTTCTGATTCGCCACTATTCAGCACCGAGCATAGTTACCTCGCGCCATTCAAGGTGGTTCTTCCGCGAGCCCTCGCTCATACTTATCAATCCCGTCTGCCTCAGTAGCCACTCTCGTGCCTGATAGGCTCCTGTATGAAAGTTCGTCCTGTGTGAATCATGACTTCCGCTCCGTCTCGCGCTCCGCTTTCGCTCACTTGAACGGACGCGACACCTCGACGAGAACGGCTTGTTCTTGACGACCATGACGACCCAGGGCGCATCTGCGAAGGTACGCTCTCGGGCAAGGAGTCCATCAACTCCGTGGAGGAGACGAAGCAGGACGTCCCTTTGTCTGATGCGCACCGAGCAAAGCTGGAGCGCAGGCTCGTCCGCAAGTTGGACGCACGTCTACTCCCCATCCTCACCGTCCTCTATCTACTTTCTTTCCTCGATCGTTCCAACATCGGGAATGCTAAACTGGATGGGTTAACGACGGACCTCAAGATGACCCAGGCTGACTATCTGAACGCCTTGACATTGGTGGAGTCGTCATCAATTGAGGCATGCATAGATATCCTAACCCTACAGCAGTACTTCCTGGGATACGTGCTATTCGAGATCCCAAGAACATGGTCCTCAAACGTCTGACGCCGCGACTATGGCTCCCGACTATAATGGTCGTCTGGGGTATAGTGTCTACACTGATGGGTCTCGTACACAACTACGCTGGCCTCTTAGCTGTGGTAAGACCCTGCTAGTCCGAGTACATATGATTGCTAACCACACAGCATCTGTAGCGTTTCTTCCTGGGTGCCACAGAGGCCGGTCTCTTTCCTGGCGTTGTGTACTACTTATCATGCTGGTACAAGCGGAAAGAACAACACTTCCGCATCTCTATTTTTTCAGCGCTGCTAGCCTCGCAGGTAAGTGCTGGATGAACTCGTCTGCAGCGACACCAGAACTTACCTTAGCTAGGGGCCTTCGGTGGTGCTCTTGCGTATGCTATCGGGAAAATGGACGGGATCGGTCGCAAGTCTGGGTGGTCCTGGATATTCATCATAGAGGTAAGACCACCCAAGCCAGGTATCCAGGCATCGCGTGGTCTTACCGAGGTCTTCGTAGGGCTTGCTAACCATAGTGATCGCACTGCTGTCCTATGTTTGGGTGCACAACTACCCGGATACTGTCTCCTTCTTGAGCCCAGAAGAGAAGACACTTCTGCATGAACGACTCCGCGCCGACAATGATGCGCTCAGCGGCGAGACGTTCCGCTGGCCATATGTCAAGAAAGCGTTCGAAGACGTTGCCGTGTGGCTCTACTGCTTGTGCTTTGTCGGGTGCTCGTTGCCTCTGTACACACTTTCGCTGTTCTTGGTGAGTAGATTTGCAATCCTCAATAGCAGTCGTGAACGAGACTTCCCCTTGCAGCCTACCATCATCGCAGACCTTGGGTACGCAGCGGCCGAAGCCCAGCTCCTCACCGTGCCGCCATACTTCGTTGCGACCGTCCTCACGTTCGCGACCGCGTGGGGCTCACACTTGCTCAACCGTCGGGCACCGTTCATAATCATCGGCGCGATTCTGCCATCATTGGCTATATCATCCTCATCGCCTCCGCGACGTCGGGCGTCCAGTACTTCGCCACATTCCTGTGTGCGGGCGGCATCTATCCAGCTACGCGATTACGCTGTCATGGCCCGCGAACAACGTTCTGGACAGCTCAAACGTGCCGTAGCGTGTGCATTGCAGATCAGTGTCGGAAACGTGGGTCGCCCTGCCCTCTTTCAGTTGAAGATAGCTCTACGCGCGTGCGTGCAGGGCCTGGGAGCGATCGTAGGCACGCAGTTGTACAGATACGCGCCGCGCTTCTACCTCGGCCACGGCTTTGCCATCGGGTACCTCGTCCTCGTCAGCGCCGCTGCCGCGCTCAACTGGTACGTACTCGCGAGGCGGAACAGGGAGAAGGAGCGGTTGCTGCAGTCCGGTGAAATCAGCGAGAAAGACGACGAAGAGAGCCGTTTGCTGCTGGGCGACGAGCATCCGCTCTGGAAGTTCCAGGTGTAGTTCGAGGTTCACCGCCGGATGTGTTCCTCGTTGTATTATGTTATGATAGACGACGAACGTTCATAAGCAATGATGAACTTCTGCTCAACCCGGGACGATTGCGTCTCACCTCACTGGCGATATGTCAATGCGTAGCATCGGATTTATGGATAACAACAGAGGTATTTAGGCAAAACGCCGACGACATATGCCAAGTAAGTGTTCCAAGTAAACGATAAAGAGATGAGGGTTCAACAAAACTGACGAACTAGACGAAGTCTAAAATAGTATACAGCCGCCTGAACAGAGTCTCAGAAGCCCATGCAACCCGCGACTCGGGAGCGTGCCTCATCCCGAGCCTGAGTACACCGTGCGGTATTCCGGAGGCAACCGCGACTCCTGTATAGTGTATCCCCCGTCGTGCTCTCGTATTCCAGCTCCTACCGCCGGCTCCTGTCAGCGCTGCGCGGCGGACTGTTGGTTCTTACGCTCCCTTCATTCTCCCGCGGCCAAGGGGCGATCATTGCACGAGCGGACGGATAGTCTGGTATTTCGGTTGTGTTATCCGGGGCTGCTCGCATCGGATACGAGGCGTGCAATAGTACGTCTGTCTCGCGGTGGGCAGCAGGGATGGTGAAGTCAGATCTTAGTCGGATACCGCTATGAGTCACGAATCAATATGATGGTGCGGCATGTCACTCACGGAATGGTCTCGCATCCAGAAGCTGAGGTGGAGATTGGCCGAGGAAAGGAGTGACACGAGCGGTAGAGTTGTCCGCTGGCTTGTTCTCTGTCACGTCCATTTTTGAACGAGGACGCTCAACCCTAGGCCGCTTCATGATGTAGATGACGATTGCGCCAAGAAGCACGAACGCCAATGCACCGCCAAGGGTGGCACCGACCACCGCTACAGTAGTGGTGTCGGCCTTCACAATTGACGTTTGTGAGGTGGGATGGATCGTGGCCTGTCCTACGGTGGTCGAAGTAGCAGTGGTTCCAGTGTTATTCGGGCAAAGGTCAAGAGATTGGTCGTTGTGCATCGCTAGGTTTGCTTGGCGAGCTCTTCGTAAGTTGAGCTGTCAATGAGGGCTGTGAGATGACAGTATGACCGCGGCCGTTGGCACCTATATCGATACTCACAAGTCCCTGGAAGGAATACGTCATGTTATAAGTTAGTTGCTCATGCACTGTGTACGTCGAACATACCATGAGCCATCAGGCCAGAATATGCTATACAAGAAGTCGCTGAGACGAATTCCCTGTTGACAAACTACTCGCTGGAGGCTGTCCGGTAATCTTTGAAATAATTAGGATGCAAAATAACCTAGCGAAATGGCCTAGGCTTACGTCTGGTTGTACCCATCCCCGCAGTACATACCGTTATTTGGAGTATTTGTACTCCATCGCCATCTATAGAAATCGCCAGCAACTGCACACCAGCCACCTGGATCATTCGGTGTTGGACGGATTGAACTGGGTCCACGTACCACCAGAGTGGCCACCGTCGGTCACCCCGTATTCGTCCCATTGGCACTGTATTGCGACAAAGGGAAGTACGAATGCGTAGAACGACGGAAGTAATGGCAACGTACTTCAAGCACAAGTTTCGCAGAGACCATGCAATTGAGTTGCAACAACAATGCCTTCTTCCCGCCGTCAATATCTCTTCCGACACACCAGATGACGCGAAGGTGAGCATACTCATGGATCATCACACTGGTCTGCTGAGCCGTCTATGGCCAGGTTGGGTGGTATCTATGACGCGATTCACATTTTGAGTATCGTGTCACGATTTCACGACGTCAAAGACGCAACGAACAGTTGCTATTGCATATTTGACGCAGTCGTTGGTATGTCATGCCTATAAACAATCAGAATGAGCGCATGCCTCTCGCCTGAGTCAACATAGACATCCGTACATGGGTCTCTCCAATAGCGCTGGTATACCAGTCAAGGGTCTCGCTACCATCAAGCAAGCGGGCGCGGATGAACCAGCTATTGGCGCGGATAGAAGGATAGAATGAGGATGGCTGTGAACTGTATCCACCGAGACATGTACGCAGGGATAGGTTTGGGGAACATGGGGCCTTGGCAAAAGGGGAGGCAGAAGCGTATTTCTAGCTCACCCTGCGGCAGATCATGGACAGCCATCGACTTCGGTGTTTTCGGCGTTTCTCGAAACTGCATTCAGGTTCATGATGATCATGGTGATTACTGGCATAACCACATTGCACCAGACGTGTGACAGCTGAACCTTACTGAGGCTGGCGATGCAAATCAGCATCAGATATATGGACGGAACAAAGATGACTTCGAGCTGCACCTATCGAATCATGCTACAACTTGGGTGTAATTATGGAGGGCGCACCAGTTATGCCCAGAGAGGGGAGAGCCTCAGCTGAATACACAGGCCGCAGTGTATCTGTACGCCTTGCAGAAGAGGTTGATAAGCTCGGAGTACAGCCTTCAAGGGAAACCTGTGCTCTTCGTGAATGGAAATCGAGTACTGGCCATGGTATGGCGGGCGTCGGTGAAACGTACATAGCGCTGATTGAATGAGGCGATCAGCGAACCGTTTTTGGCGGCATCCACGAGTCAGTTGGCCTCCTTGTACATGTGCAGTACATCACACTACAGAACGGGCAATTTCGATGATTATTCGCTTCCGAGATTTCATATCGTGCCGCGGTGATAGAAAAGATTGCAACTGTCAGAATGCAGCGACCAGTAGGACACCGAGTCGTGCTGACTGTATACCTGGCCTGGCTTGGGCCTGGCGCCATTCTTTCAATGGATTACGGCGCATCTGTGTAATAGGTCACTAACTGCAGCTGTGCACACTGAGGTAAATGCCATTCCCACCTGAGTCCGCACTGAAGCCGTCTGATGCTGCACCAGTATGTCTAGACACTCACATGTCTTCCTAGGGCCCCGGTACTCAGTGCTTATAAGTACACTGGCGCATACGATCTCACCTGCGTCAATAACCACTGCAAACCGAACGGCCTTTCCTCCTACTCTTCGTTTGACTCCGACTCCATCCGGATCAGTAGGAATCCTCAATTCGTGGTAAGGAATTTGACCGCACGACATATGATGAGACTTCGAGGCATGGCACGGGCTGCCAATGGCGTTCGATACCATGCCAAAGTCTGATCGACTCCAAGTCCAATGGCACGGTACCATCAGACAAGGAGACCCTGACGACTGCCCGCTCGGAAGGTTTGAAGGAACGTCTTGCAGTGTCCACGTATGCCTGGGAGATTAATCCGACACCCATGACTCAAGCTAGCCTATATACCATTGAATACGAGGCTAAGCGCTGATCAAGGTACGGACCCGTATGGCAGGGCAACGTCCTATCCTCCAGAGCTGCCACGGCAGTGTATTCGAAGATGCCGATCCCCCATTGTGTTGCCAGAGAGCTCGAGCTGAGTTCGGGTTGCAGTGTACTGATAGGTGACTGTACTCGCGTGAAATCTTCTATAGAGTGATTCCGCTTTACTGTAAATTTAAATTCAAAGCGGCGCGGGGTGTGACGTGTGACGGCCCCGCGACACTCAGGCGGCGCGGCGCGAGCGTCGGTGACCTGTGACACAAGCCTCTTGGGCGGCGGGATTTTGGTCTACCGGCGCCGCAGGCGGCGAAAATTCGTGACGTCGGAGGTTTGTCACATCCGGCGGGCTCGACTGTGACCAGTGACAACGCAGCGTCGCCGGCGTGGCGACAGGGCCTGTGACGCGTGACCGCCGCTTTGTATTTAAATTTATAGTATGTATGAACGCGGGCGCATCCGCTTTCGGAAATCCTACGACGGATTGCCAATTGGGTGTTAGGCGCTGGCGCTACACGCTCAGCCACACGGGCGACTCGCTTTCGCTTTCATGGAAATATTCCTGTGCGGCCGCAGGGAGATCCTTCTATTAATAGGGTACAATGAGATTGGTGGCGCGGGCCCGCGATGAATAAGCACGCCCGATCTAGTGTGAACACACACGTCCGTTCTGTCCCGTCACGCGTCACACGGTCGCCTTCAATACCGACTAGCCCATTGTAAGTTCTCAAATCCCAATGAATTCAAGCCAGAGCTATCGAACGTGATACTTCACTTGAACGGTGCGGCCTTCGCTGGTTCTTTCAGAAGTTGGGCTTGGACATCTGATCCGTGTGGGTTGTGCCAGGTTGCAGTTGAACTACTTACCCAACTTGAAGGAGACGCCGGCGGGTCACCAGCGAAGCATGTGAAGGCTCGCAAATGCGCTTCATTCCGAGTACATAGTACGGTATTCTGGAGGCAAACGCGAGAGCAACATCTCTGCGTCGTGTTCGCGTAACTCTGTCACCGGTTGGACGAACACAGAGTTGCGTCGTATACGGCGAGGACGATTGACTTTGCCCTTCCGTTTGGGGTTCGGTGGGTGCACTCCTGTGGGTGTAGGGCTATCATCTCCCTCGGAGGTATCGGTTGGCGGTGATGTATACGAGCCATCTGGGACCAAATATGTCTCACTGTGTGTGCTGGGTGTTGACGTGCGCTCTTGGAAAACCATCAGTCTGTGACGAAGGTTGAATCAATGAAACATGCCACTCACGAGAGATCTGCTCATTTGAAGGCGGGCGGGGAGATTGACTGACGAAAGGGGTAACAATGTTGGTAGAGAAATTTGTCCAGCTCGCTGCGGCTCCGAGTCGGTCACGACTTTGTGCCCGGTCGTCTGCCACCCCCACGGCTGAACGGGACTGCCGAAGACGACGCCGCTTGACATAGTGGACGACTATGATTGCGCCAAGAAGTACAAGCCCCAATGCGCCTCCAAGGGAGCCACCGACCACTGCAACGGTGTCGCTCTTTCCCCCGACTGCGCTCGTAGGAGGCAATATGCTTGGAGTGTTCGTTCCTGACAAAGTAACAGTAATGGGAGTGCTTGAAGTAGAAGTGCAGGAGTCGAGTGACTGGTTGTTATGCAATGCCGGGTCCTGCTTTGCGAGGAATTCAAAGTTCGTGCTGTAATGGGATTGATGAGATATCGACAAGACGGTCGCAAGAATACTCACAAGTTCCTGGACAATGAAGTCAGTGTAGCAATATGCACCTGTTAGACGCAGAATGAACGTACCATGATCCATCAGGCCAGAATATGCTGTATAAGAAGTCACCAAGGTAGATGCCCCTGTCGCAAACTGCTTGCTGGAGGCTTTCCGGCAATCTTGAGAGAATGCAACGATGAGTAAATACCCCCGATGTTAACAAGCCAAACCTTACGTCTGATTATACCCATCCCCGCAGTACATGCCATTGTTCGGAGTACCCGAACTCCATCGGTAGTTGTAATATGCACCCGCAACTTTGCAACGATCGGATCTTTTTAGTAGTGACGCATCTAAGAAAGACACGTACCGGCAGAGTGCCCAGGGTCGTTTACACCAAATTCATCCCATTCGCAGCTTGTTGCAGACAGAGCCAAGCGCCAGTGTCAATACGAGAAGAGAAAGGATTGTCGTTGTCGGGAACGTACTTGATGCACAACATTCGCACAGACCATGTGATGGAGTTGCAGCAACAAGTACCTAAGTTAACAGTCATCAGACTTCTGAAAGACGCTGCCAGTGGCAAGAGCATGATGGGCGTACTCAGTGGATCGTCACATTGATCTGTAGTGGCGTCGATATTCCAAGTCGGAGTCGTATCTGCGCGGCAGTTCAGGTCTCAGTATCGTGCAATTGAGTTACAGCATACAATCGCTGTTGCATATCTGCCGCAGTCGCTGGTACGTCGCGCCTACAAAAAGGTGAAATGAGCCACTAACATTCTTATTAAACAGAAAACTCGTACACGGGGTTTCTCCGATAGCATCGATGTACCACTGAAGGGTATCGCTACCAGCATAACAAGTGGGCGCGGTTGAACCAGTTATTGGCGCTGAATAGAAGGATAGGACGAGGACGGCTGCAAGCTGAGTCCATCGAGGCATGTGCGCAGGGCTATTCGGCCGCATAGGGTTCTTGGTGAAGGGGGAGACTGGAGCGTATTGATATACTCTCACGGTAGGACTTGGGTAGCCGAAGGTGGCGGCGATGGAAGGAGAAGGCTGTTTTCCCTATATCATGTTGTTCATAGTCATACAGTTGGGTCATCACAGGTCGTTCTTTCTTGACGTACATTTGAACAGATGATCATGTTGATCATCACCACATTGCATTCCGTGAGCGACTCGGGCAGTCGAACCTACACTGACGGATGCTTTGTAGACACCCTGGCAGCGCAACCTACATCAGCGCTGGAGGTGGCCTAAGTGCACTCCCGGATGCCAAACAGCATGTACGTACTCAAAATTCAACTTCTCGCACCAGGCATTGCACTTCAACTAGCGAAGTATCTTTGAGCGGCATGGTGTTCTTGTATTGTCGCGATTGTGAAGTACCTCTACTGCGAGGAGCCCAGTGGCCTCCTTGGCAGTGCCTGTGAACGGAGGGTAGAGTAAGCTCATTTGATGATGAGTTGAAGCCAGGGTCAGCAAGCCGTCATTCGCGGAATTCGGATATCATCAAGGCGCCCGTGAACAGGCTATTGCGCACAAGAGACCGATGCTCCTGTGAAGCCAGCCCCGCGCGCTCACAATTATCATCCTGTCGAATGACGTGGCACACCGGTGTAACCATTAGAACATAGCCAGCAATAGCGGGCTCGTTCTGTAACATACCCTAGTGAACTTCAAGGGTTAAAGACCGTCTTGCGTAGGGTCTAAGTTGAGTTCAGCACTCACCAGTAATGATGATCGTTTGCCATCAATCAACCCGTCCGTCGGTGTACCTTCATCATGTGATGTGCATAGCGATTCAGACCACTGATCATGTTAAGTGGTCCTGTGCACGTACAGGCGGACTGATTGTTCAGCAACTCACCTCAGCTGGGAAGCACGTAAAATACTTCCCTCAAAGTTCCCATCGCATGTCCATGCTCATCGGGTCGTTCTACTCCCACGTCGCATTCCCCTCATTCACGATGATAGAGACTTGTCAGTGCCCATAATATTGACGTTCGATCCGAGTTGTCATCGCGCCCTCCAGTCATATCGAATCATTCCTCACATCGTCGATGTACAGGATTGTACTGATAGTAAGAAGTGCGACTCGTGGACGACACGATAGATGGGAGATTGCAGCGATACACCTATGGTTCAAACGCTATTATTGCGAAAGCGATGAGCCAAAGATCTTCTCCGCACTTTTCGAGTGAGGTCAGTGACGTGATACCAAAAGCATGTCGCACTACTCACGCAAACATCCACAATGCCTGAGGGTCCATGTATGTCTCGCGTGTGTACGGGAAACGCACTGCACACAGTCAGTACCTTTAGACACCGAGTCACGTCGACGGTCTGCTCACATTGTGGATAGTCCTGGTATCGGTACTCTGGACAGTACGTTAGGACTTGTCTGTTTACATGCACTCAAGGTGTCTGACTTACCAATAGGCGTCTCCTCGTCCTTCCAACTGTAGGCTGGGATATGAATGATGTATCAGTATGTTGTGTACCGCATGAATGGCAAGCATGTAACTTACCGGTTCGCCAATTGTGGCTTCATCCGCGAAGGCGGTATCGCATCAACAGTCAGTAATTATATGACCCTATCAGATGGGCGGCGTACCGGATGTCTGCATTGACAAGACTACACGACCATCAGCTCTGTATCACTTGGAAACTCACGGCCAACTCACAGATCAGGCGGTGCGAGGGGATCCTGTAGGTACGCAGACCCATGGCAAGTCAGTACTCAACAACCCCAAGATCATAGTTCTGCCATACATCCTTCACACCCGAGGTCTTGAGCTCCGAGTCGAGGTCGTACCACTCCAGCACCTGCTCGCCGGCCATGCCCTTGAACTGCATCGTCCCGTTCGGTTTCCCGCCAAAGACCGCGATTGTCGTGTTATGCTGCTCGTACATCAGGGTGCTGAACTGGGCGCACGTCGATGCGCAGTTGCCATTGCTGACTGCAAATAATTTAAACCCTGTCAGACGCAGGACTTATGGCGAGCACTACATACCGATAGCGACGTTTGCGAGGGCGAAAGGTGGTTGTTCGGGGATGTCCACGGGGTAAGGAGCACACACGTCCTGAACAAAATGAGGCGCTGACTGAACGACTGAGCAACCTACTCACCCAGAAGCGTTGGGACTCCGTGTATTCGACGCCATTGATTGTCCTTGTAGTATTAGGTGTGATATAATTGAAGCTATCAGAGAACGTGGTGCCGTTTGTCGGATACGCCCCTGGGTCACCGTTTCGATTTCGGTTTACTCGCCCGGAGAATGGAGGGAGGCTCACTCACAGAAATCGGGTGCATAGAACGAGTAGCTGTTATTGATACCCTGAGCGATATCTGCGGCGACGATCTTGTCTGCTAGTGCGTTTGCGCGCACTGTGTTCACGTAGCCGCTTCAAGTGCATGTACCATCAGTTATGGAGAGCCACGCCGGCGACGTGCACTCACGGATAGCCGAAACTCGAGCCAGCAAGGTATGTGTGGACGAACTCGCCCAGGCACACGAGGCCACCTGAATGAATCAGATTACAAGTCATACTTGCGCGTCGAGATCACGTCGCTTACCTCCATTGTTCGTCAGGTCGATGAGGAGATGCGTAACATTGGCCTTCTGAAAAACGGAGATCGTGTCTGCGACCTGCACAATGAAGGCCGTCTGATTCTCAGGTTCAAACGAACCGACAAACATCTGACAAGCAGAGCCGTCGTCTCGGTCAGTTCACGATCGCGCCATGTCGACGGTTGGACGTACCACGCCGGTCTTGTTGTCCGGGAGGATATAACTCCACAGGACATCCGAGCTCGACGTTGCTGTCAAGTTTGGGACGAGCCGCGGAGGCAGTTCCGCGCCCCGGGACCGAGCAGGATGGAGAACTGCACGGGCGGCCGTAGCCCCTGCCGCCGCACCATCGTCGGTCAGACGGTCGATACCGTTCGTCTCATCGTTGGCAGCGCAGTTTGTATCCCAACTGCCGGTACCTCGGATTAATCTCAGATTGATTGTGAATTTATGCGACGTACTAGGATGGGGAATCGGTGAATGGTTGGCCGAGGTACATCGCAAGATATGGGACAACGACTGTCTCGGACTGCGTCGCATTCACCAGCATAACCTCCATCGTCAGATTGTCCAGTTCCGGGAATAAGGGTCCGGCAAGGTCTCCGAAGCGTTGTGCGTAGCTGCCGTTCTTGATCTGATAACTGCTCCAGACACTGTTGACCCGCACTCCGTGGTCGATGTAGTTTCCGGTCACTGTGTCGGCGACTTGATCTACGTAGCTGTATGCCGTCACGCCTTCTATGGCCAAGACTCGGGCTCCCGCAAGGCGTTGCCAGTCGAACCCAATGGACCGGTAATAGTCGCTGTAGTCAACACCGAGCGCTGAGACGAAGTCGACAAGGTCAGGCACGACGTATACATCTTGTGCGCCATCGACTTCCAGAGAGACCACTGGTGCGGGAAGCAGATTCTGGAAGATATCGAAATAGCAGTAGGGATAGTAAACCGTGTGCCCGTCATGGAGACTGTTGACCAAGTCGAATAGATCCTTGTTGAATGCGTAGTCGGACTACCACGCCAGAATGGTCAGGTCAACGACAGCGTAGCGGAATAGTTGTACTCACTGCATACGTAGTGCCGTTGATCCTTGCGAGCTCGTCTCGGATGTTCACGGCTGGCTGACCAAACTCCGGGACAGGTACCAGATAGTAGTCCTCGAACGTGTAGAAGTCGAAGACCTTTGATACAACCTGCATGACGTTCTGACGCAGCGTCTCGTTGAGCGGATAGCTAGATAGACATGCTCGCGCTTCTGCAGGAGGAACAAAAGGTTGGCCTGCGATCTTCGCACATGGATCGTCCGTGTTCGAGGTCTCAGTTGAGAGGGAGAACGAGAATGAACAAGTAATGAAGGTCAGGAACGCGCAGGCAGCGGTTGCAAAGCGCTTCATGGAGAAAACGCGCAAACGCCGTTGAGAGTTCGTCAAAGAAAGGTCGAAAATCAGTGGAGGTCATGATCGCACTAGTGTTGCATTAAATACGCACGACGCGAAGTGTCGGCGGTCATGAAACACGGCTCAAATTATGCCACTAGCGTCGGGGATCGTGTTGTGATTGGCGTCTTGAAACCGGCGTGGTAAGGAGATGTCGGGATCTGCGCGCTGACCGGACACGGAGTAAGTCTTAGTACTTAGTACATTCGCTCGGCGTCACAACCCTCAAGCAGCGCTTTCCTGCGAGCGACAGCATGCAGTGATGACAGACGCACTCCCATGACATTACACCAAGTACACTCCAAGCTGGATGGATGTATATTCTTTCTTTGCGTGTCTCGCGCTCGACGACTGCACATAACGTCTTTGCATGTCAGCATGAAACAATGGCGCAAGCAAGAGCGAACGGTGCAGTAATGACTTTGATGGCGCGGCGTAGAAGGGCGTAGAAGATGGCACAGGACGTCAAGCTCTAGGTCCGCGTGGGACCGAGGAGGAGGTGCTGTCGGCGCTTGGAGGGCGTGCAGCGTTGAGTTTAGCACTCGGATCTTCCCGAAGATAGGATCGGGACTTCTGTCGCACCCCAACGGTCTCGTGCGGCGCCACAATTCTCGACAGACGCGAATCCACTATTAGCCTCCTCCATATCTCGCATCTACTTACTTGAGTACTGTGAGTTGGTCACAGCAAGTACGATCACGTCGATAAGATGATAATTCACTGCGTGTTCCAGTCAATTTGCTGTATGCACAACCTAAATTATAATACAGCCTCACTCTTCGACCTCCTCGCCGGTCCAGAACATTCAAAACCTGCCTCAACTTGAAGAATTACGAGCACCGCGACATAGACGAAGTGCGTACAGCAATCCTTTCAAGCAATACTTGGTGATGTACTGATAACCGCTGCGATTCAGACATTCAATGACCCTTGAATGACCATTGTCTTGGATGGCGAGACCGTTGAACACTACACCCAGAAGTCGAATTTAGGTGACTACACCTACAATGTCGCCATATACAGCAGCACGGACCTGGCAAAGAAGAACAGTCTCTGGAGATGATGGCCATGCGGGAACCAGCTAAGTCCGTAAAATGTTCGACTCGGCGTGAGTACAGAGATTTCCTATCATTGCTGCTGCGTTGACGAGCATCATTTTGGCAGCTACGACGATGACCCCGAAGTCTCGATGTGTTCCAGCATCTCAACCTCGTATACTAGTCAAATTTCGTCGAGTACCATTGGTTCATCGTCTGTCGCGACATCGATAAAGGCATCATCTACTTCCACGACTACTCGTAGCAGTGCTACACCCACCGGATTGAACACATCGTCGACCCACGCCAGGACAACCATGCCAACCAGTTCCTTCGTTTCCACCAGTGAAGCAGTTACGATTACGCAGAGTAGCAACAGCTCAGGTCGGCCTTCACACACTTCCATGCACCTCTGGCTAATAGTACCCAGGTTCTCACTCACGGAACGGGGCTGCTCTCAAAATCGGCCTAGCCTGTGGGCTGGGGGCTGCCACTATTATCGGCTTCCTTGCGACTACCTTCGCTTGCCTGCGTTGACGGCGCCGCAATGTCGCTCTGCCTGACATCGGCAGTAACATGCCCTCATGGTCGAGGAACACCATCATAGATCTCTTCGTGGACCCACCACCGACCTACCAGAGCATACGAACCAATGCCCCTGTGCCCGACATGGCGACGATGAGGCCTGTCTCTGCTAGAACTACGATGTGTGGTACCGCATTCGGCTTCCCCGTCGCAGTATCGGTGTCCGCGCCTGCCACAGTCGGTACCGGCGAGCTCGTACTACAGCCGAACACGTTCAAGGAACAAGAGCGCCCCATCAGGCATACAGACAAGTTGAGGGAGTTGGTGGCGGATTTGCGTATATAAGCGGAGACGCCTCGACACGGGGCAGCCTGAGCTTTGGTACCGGTGCCTTTTCAGGCGAATGTGCCGATTGACCACTAGGCGCGGAAAGTTTCTGGAAAATGGTTCGACAAGAGAGGTGGGGACGAGAACATGGTTCGTGGTGCCTCGATGTATGTTCCGCAGCCATCGACTCTCCATCGGTCTATTCCACTAGGTCACTCGTCTGTCATTACGCGGAGCATCCGCAAAGCAAAGCATTTGCTGTGCAAATCAGCTGACAAACTGCAAGAAGTAGTACAAGGTGCGCAGAAGAGCGCGAGCGAACGGCCATGGTTATTTATGACGAACTAACAGTTTATAGCGCGTGGATCGCCTCTGCCAGGGTGGTCCTATTCACGACACGACGTTTCAGGCCATACGGTGACATGGAGATCATTGGAGACAGAGCCGCATGCATTCCAGCATACCCAACTGTTGCTTGCAACGTCTGGGTACCACCGTCTTCTGTCACAGCCATGCTGAGTCGTTGCGTCGTTGAGAGCTTGATTTATGCGCTGGTCTCGATGAACTCTCCCCTTGCATGCTGCGGTCTTAGGTGATGTGTTACTGACGACGAGACAGATCTTGGATGAATTATGTTTCTCGATGCCTATACTTGCAGCTAACACAAGGTCCATCCCGATCAGGTACATTCTATACTTCGCGCAGTCTTATTTGAATTGCGGGCAACACATTATCAGAATAGCATGATCTACAGTTTCGACGGACCTCCCTGACAGCTTCTCAGAATGTACTCAACTGTGGTACGCAGCCGTCGTCAAGCAGTGCGTATGGATATCTGTACAACGGCGAGCATTTCACTGATGTTCCGATCCAGGATTCACTCTACAGACATCCGTTATCGCTACTTGTCGGCATAGCCCTTCCAGCAACAGGCGCAATTCCCATCTCAGGTACCCGAACTTATTTGCTGGCTGATTATGCGTTGATTCAGAGCTATGCATGACCACAGAACAACTCCAGATGCCTTTGACATCGCTGTTGATACGAACTGCCAACGCACAGGTCGTATAACATTATTGAGTTATTGGAAAATGGCGGTAGGTACTTCTGGCTAGCTCGAAGCTGGAGTGACCTTCCAGATACCTCTATCTCAGGCTTCCTACGGAATATGCTTGTTTCCGTATCCACGTTCGTTTCACACATAGTCTTACTTCTACTCACGGCGTCGAAGCCCACTTTTGCCGCCATGACCAACAGAACCATCGACGATACTCGTGGTGATTCTGCTACCGGTCGGCTCCCAATCTACTCGAGTTCGGAATGGAACTACGGGCAAAACTGCAGCGCATGCGCACTTCGACCATCTCCTGAAGATGCGTTCATGCAAACGTGGCACGATACTACGACTTCGGACGCCTACGACAATGGTGTTGCTCACACTGTGCAACTCCTGTTCAACGGTACGCAGCCCGCTGCCCCGACGGTCAGAACGTCTCAGGCATGAATGTTAGGGACAGCAATCTGGGTCTACTGTATTTTACCGCCTCGTCCGTTCGAAGCACCGACATTGGTTAACATGACCATTGCCTTGGATGGCGAGAACGTTGGGCACTACACCCAGCAGTCGTATTTAGATGACTACATCTACAATGTCACTGTATACAGCAGCACAAATCTCGCATACAAAGAACATTCCCTGGAGATGACGGCAATGCAGGAACCTGATAAGTCTGTAATTCTGTTCGACTGGGCTGAGTACACGTGAGTATGGAGATGTCCTGTTTTTGCTGCTGCGTTGACAGGCATCATTTGGGCAGCTACGACGATGACCCCGAAATCTCGACGTCTTTCAGCATCTCAACCGCATATACTAGTCAATCCTCGTCGAGTTCCACTGGTCCATCGTCTGTCGTGACATCGATAAAGGCATCATCTACTTCCACGACCACTAGCAGCAGTGCTACATCCACCATGAACACATCGTCGACCCACGCCAGGACAACCGTACCAACCAGTTCCTTCGTTTCCACCAGTTCCTTCGTTTCCACCAGTTCCTTCATTTCCACCAGTTCCTTCATTTCCACCAGTTCCTTCATTTCCACCAGTGAAGCAGTTACGAGTACACAGAGTAGCAACGGCACAGGTCGGCCTTCACACACTTGCATACACCTCTGGCTAATAGAACATAGTTTCTCGTTCACAGAGCGAGACTTCCCTAACAATCGGCCTAGCTTGCGGTCTAGGGGCTGCTGCCGTGATCGGCTTCCTCGTGGCTACCTTCGCTTGCCTGCGTCGACGGCGCCGCAGTGTCGCTCTGCCTGACATCGGCAGCAACAGGCCCCCATGGCCCAGGAAAAGTCCTGCATTCATTATAGATCCCTTCGTGGACCCAGCGCCGAACGACAAGAGTATGCCAGCCAATCTTCCCGTGCCCGGCATCATGCCGGCGACGATGAGACCCATCTCTGCTGGCACCACGATGCGTGGTACCGCGCTCGGCTTCCCCGTCGCAGTATCGGTGTCCGCGCCTGCCACCGTCGGTACCGGCGAGCTTGTACAGCAGGACACGTTCGAGGATGCAAGAGAGCAAGAGCGCTTCGTCAGGCACACAGACAAGTTGAGGGAGCTGGTGGCGGATTTGCGCAGATTTGCGATGTCTCGGCACGGAGTAGCCTGAGCTTTGGTGCTAGTTCAGGCGAATTCCCCGGTTGACCACAGAGCGCGCAATGTTTCTGTGGACGAAAGAGGTGGAGACGAGAACATGGTTCGTGGTGTCTCGATGTGTGTTCCGTAGTCACCGATCAGTCCATTCCACTGCCACTCGTTTAACATTGCGCGGAGCGTCAGCAATGCAAAGCATGCTTAGCTGTGCGAATCAACTAGCAAACTGCAAGAAGCACATAAGTATGTTGAAGAGCGCGAACATTTGGCTATGATTACGTAGGACGAACCAGTGCATAGCGCGCCTCTGGGCGGTCCTATTCGCAACACGACGTTTCGGACTAAACGGTGGTTCTGAGATCGTTGGAAACAGGGCCGCATGCATTCTAGCACACCCATCTATTGCTTGTAGCGTCTGGGTGCGATCGCCTTCTGTCATAGCCATGCTTCGCTTGGTCCTCGTGAGCTTGATCTATGCGCTACTCCTCTGCAGAGACTTCTCGTCTGCGGCGTCTCCGATTGTCCCTCCAGCATCGCTCGCGTCGATGTATGCGCTGACAGCAAGCACTACACTGCCCGCGCCTACGTCCACGTTGTCTCCATCTGACGCGGCATCGTACTTGGTGTCCTCCTGGGGCCTCAGTAACGGGAAGATGCAAAATGGCGCATCCAACCTTGCATTCGTCAGTGATCCGTTCCCAAACAGCTCTTCTTCCTCTTCGTCGGACTCTACCAGTGGCAACGCGTCCTCGCCCGTCCTGCAAGTGACCTACCCAGCAGGAAGCTATTCGCACGACACCGGCGGTGCGCAATTCTACGCGCTCTGGAACGCTTCTTCAAACAGTTCGGACACGGGCGAGAATTGGGAATCGATGCTACTTACGTACGAGGTCGCCTTCGACATGGACTTCGACTGGGTCAAAGGCGGAAAGCTTCCTGGACTGCGAGGCGGCCCGGATGAGTATGGCTGTTCCGGCGGTGAGGCGGCGAATGGGAGCAACTGCTTCAGCTCGAGGATGATGTGGAGGACAGACGGAGACGGAGAAGGTGCGTTTTAACACTTGCTCAGAGAAGCCTATGAGATACGAGCTCGACGGTTAGTGTATACATATGTGGTGGAGTCGAAGAAGTTCTGCGACTCGTCAAACGTGATGTGCAACGACGACGGGTACGGGACGAGCATCGATCGCGGGGTCTTCAGTTTCGAGGCGGGAGGGTTAGTTCCATCTGCGATCTCTGTGTTTCCCCACAACTCAATTTACGTCGTAGATGGAACCGAGTGACGATGCTCGTGCGTCTGAACAATCCTGTCAATAAGGCGAACGGCCAGGTCTTGCTATAGTGAGTCATGCTTTCAAATGCAGGCATCGACGGGCACACCCACAATATGAGCAGCTACAACAACGTTCAGGCCATAACGCTGTCAAACCTGCAATTTCGCAGCAGCTCAAATATCGATATCGGCGGACTATTCTTCTCGTGCGCACCTTTATCACTGGCCGTAGCCATTCAATGGCCTTTGTGATACTGACACCATGCATGCCGCTCCGCTACTTCGACAGGACGTTCTTTGGAGGGAGCGACTCTTCATGGGCTACGCCGAATACAACTAACACTTACTTCCGAGACTTCCAGATGTGGGCCAGCTCTGCTGCCTCGAATGGAACGGCGTCCTCAGCACTGAGGCTGCAGCCATTCAGATATAGTGTTACATCGGCCGGCCTGGGTATTTTCTTGGTTGTAATGATGTATGCAATGCTTTAGAGTTGCAACCACAGCGAAGGGCGATGTGTAACCAGACTGTGCCAGGGGAGAGAGTCGCGAGACACTAGACAGGTTGGTGCGTCTGCAGGCCATCGTTGCAATCGCCGAACGACTGGTTGTAAAAGGACAATGTTCAACGCATTCACAAGCCTCTTCCGTCATGGCAGCGGTGACCAGCATTCAGCTCAGAGATTGAGAGAATGGCGAGGAGTACATTACAGTAGTCCGAAGGAGTCGTAATTGTCAGACCAGTGTCAGACCGTGGCACAAAGGCGACCAGAGGCCACTCAGAATATTTATGTAGCGCCCATTGACACTTACGTAAGGCCGTAATTGAGACAGCTTGAGCCACCCGCGACAGGTTCTCTGGTCGCTTCCTCAACTCTCCAAATGGCGAGCGACCCTTCGATCGTGCGGATACGCGAGTACAAGAAAGACCAAGTCGACTTTGTCTTGGAAAATGTCGACCTCGCGTACGCCTTGTCCGTCGTTCCATGGTGCTACATCGACTCCTAACATCGCGTGCAGATTTGCGAACTCCTTCCGGAGAGTCGTAATGGCGGACATACCCACCGTTGGTCAGTGACATCATGTGCTATTTGCTCTCCGAAGCTTATGTTGGTTGCAGCGATCGACATGGTGGAAGTCGAGACGAACACGACCGTACTCCCGGACGAGTTCATCGCGCACCGGTTGGGGATGATCCCACTGCTCTCGCACAACTGTGACGACGGTATGCGATACACCCGAGTATGTCCTTGCTTTGTGTAGTTGTTCAACTCTAAATGCTTTGTAAATCGTAGGACTGCACATGTCTATCGTGGTGTCAATTCTGCGCGGTCGAGTTGAAACTGAACGTTGCCTGTAACGAGATGGTGACCATGGACATCACAAGTGCCCACTTGGACGTTACCGGCCCAAGACCAACGGATCAGAACTGGAACGAGGACGATGGCGGGGAGGAGGTCAGCAAACGCTTAGATACTTTCGGGCACCCAGTCGGCAAAGGTGCGTCTTTATTTACTGTCACCACTACACGTCTCACTCAACGTCCTTGCAGACGACCCGGACGCTCCCCCCGTTCTCATCTGCAAAATCCGCAAGGGGCAGGAACTCCGCCTCCGCTGCATCGCGAAGAAGGGCATCGCAAAAGAGCACGCAAAGTGGTCGCCCTGCTCCGCCGTCGCCTTCGAGTACGACCCGCACAACAAGCTCCGGCACACGTCCTACTGGTACGAGAGCGACGCGCGCGCGGAGTGGCCGCTGAGCGAGAATTCGAAGGAGGAGGAGCCCCCGCGGGAAGACGAGCCGTTCGACTACCAGGCGAAGCCGAACAAGTTCTACATGAACATCGAGACGGACGGCAGTCTGGGGCCGCAGGAGGTCGTTATGCGGGTGAGTAAACCAGCGAGATCGGGTAGTGTGACTGTCGCTGAATGGGGATGTCTGCACCAGGGCCTGCATCACCTCAGAGCAAAACTGGGCGGTCTAATCCTGGGTCTGAACACCGCCAACGGCACCGGGGAGCCTCAGCCATCTGAGGAATCTGCTCAAGCAGGTGGGACTCAAGACGGTGCTGCTGCAGACGGCGCGGGCGGATGGGGGACTGGTCGCGGCCGTGGTGGAGGCGGTCGCGGCGGTGATGGCGGAGGTTGGGGTGCATCGACAAGCCCCGGAAGCCGCGCTGGTGGTGGAGGCGGAGCTGGGGGATGGGGCTCTTCTCCGAGGGGTGGGGGTGGAGGCTGGAGCCCTGCTGGTGCGGGCGGTGGTGGTGGCAGCGCTGGTGGGGGATGGGGAGTGAGCGGCGGAGGGAGCGCGGGTAGTCCCGCCGGATGGGGAGGGAGTGCAGCAGGGAGCGGGGGCAGTCCCACTGGATGGGGAGGGAGTGCGGCAGGGAGCGGGGGAGGAGGCGGGGCTAGTCCTGGATGGGGAACTGGTGGTGGTGGTGGTGGTGGTGGTGGTGGTGGTGGTAGTTGGGGCACCGGCGCAAGTCCACAAGGGCAGACAAATGGATGGAACACGTAGGTACGCGGTGTATTCGTGGTCCTGTATCTTACTGCGCTGTATTGCTATCGATGTTTGTTCCGTGCTCTCATGTGTTTTTTCGGATCGTGCAGTGAAATCTGAGTGGGCATAAGCAGACATAAATGAAACATTTTCGTGCTACAGGTTATTCTACAATGCAAACATCAATAGTCACTGGCAAGAATACAAGAAGCAAGAGGCAATAATAAAATAAGACACGAGTACCAGAGGCGAGCGGCGCACGGTCGACAACGGCATGACCAGTCGGGGGTAGCGGAATTAGAGTACAGTCAGAAGTCCAGAATGGGCATCACTATCTTGGTGTCATTGCGTCGACTCCCCCCTTTTCGACTTCGTCTTCGTGGGGTCCATGACCGGTCGCTGACAGACCGGACACCGCCCTGAGACGTCCGTCAGCCACGGGTCGACACAGGTTTGCTATGGAGAGCGAGCAATCAGTAAAGGTTCAGCTGCGCGATCCAACACGAATACGTACGTGGAAGACATGCCCGCATGCGAGCAATCGCAGTGGCACAGCGCCCTCGCCCGCATCGTCCAGCCTCAGCTGCTGCCGGTCCTCCTCCGTAACCTCGTCCACCTGCACCTCATGCACCGACTCGTCCGGCGCGCCCACCTCGCCATCCGCCACCTCCCCCTCCCTCTCCCCAGCCTCCAAGTCCACCTTCCCACTCGCAGCGTCGTCCTTATCATCCGTGTCCTCGCTCGCCTCCCTCACTTTCTCCTCGCTCTCCTCCTCCGCACCGTCGACCCGCTTCGGCGGCTCGAAGTCGAGCAGGCAGATCGCGCACACGGCGCGGTTGCCCTCGAGCCGCACGAACGGATAGTCCCCAGACTCCCAGCGGTCCTCCCACGTCATCTTCTCCGGATCCATCTCCCGCTTCAGCCCGCCCTTGCCGTCGCCCGCCCCGCCCGCGCCCGCGTCCCCGCCCTTCTCGCCCCGCCCTTCTGCGCCTTCCCGCGGCGCCTGCGGAAGAACGCGAAGCGCCGTTTCGGCTGGCGCGTCGACGGCTTGCGCGTGGGCGGGTAGCTGTACGTAGGTGTGGGCCCGGTGGACTTGGTGTGGAAGGTGGTGGTGGGCTCGGCGGGCTCGTCGGGAGGGGGAGGGATGTAGAGCACGAGCGGGATCTGGTCCACGACGTGCCTCGGGAGCTTCCCGATCTCGGGCTTGATCTGGTGCGGATTTTGCAGCGGGTGGCGGCCGAGGCAGAGCAGGATGACGTTCCAGAGGAGCTGTGGGCGTGGTTAGTACGTGGATGCCGGGACTGATCGTGGGCTTACATAGAGCACGGGGCCGAAGACGAAGACGAGCAGGCCGAGGAGGAAGATCTCGAGCACCATGAGGTAGAGGATGCACAGGATCCCGAACGTGAGCCACCAGAGGTGCGGCGAGGAGTGCCGGCAGTCGTTGACGGAGGTGTACTCCAGGGTGTGTGCGGTGAGGAACCAGGCGAGCGACATGATCGTACAAAGAAGGGACAGCCTGCGTGGCCAGATGAGCCCAATGTCAGAACTTACAACTAGCTGTCAGGGCTGGCCGAGGAGACATACCGAGAATAGAGAGGGGATGCCCTCTCGGGCGCATGATTTCCCCGGTCTATGTAGTCGTCGTTTGCCCACATTGGAGGTGCCCGCGGATCACGCTCACGAGGGAAGCGGTGGGGGGCTATCGCGGGAGGCCTCGGGCTTTCGACCTCTTCGTTCCTTTCCCTGCGTTCGCGGCTGGTGGACGTACGAGTGAGCCGAGCACTAAGCGAACGGTATAGCACTTACACTAGACGTGTAGCTCTGTCGCGTCGGTAGCCCCATATCGACAAGAGCAGTCCAAGGGCTACTCGGATCAGCCAGATCGAGTCCCATACACCCAACGGCCGGGAACATGCATCCCATTCACTGAGACCTGGTTGTGTCGGGCTCTCGTGATGAGCGGAATACGCAAGGAGCGTTATGATAATGATATACTAAGCCATATACATGAGCTGCTTCGTAGCTGAAACGATTGGAGATAATATGCACCTGCGCGATGGCAAACCCGACGTTCCACACGAACGCTATGAACTCTCTCCGTGCTTTTGCGTCCGCTCCAGAGAGGCCGAACATCATAAGAAGCTTGTCGAGCAGAGTGGGTACATCTTCTGGTCGTTGCTGCGGCGGCCGATTTCGTGGCAAGCGCGGGTCAGCACGCGGGGTCTCGTTGATCTGAGCGAGAGCAGCTTCGAGAGAGTCGAACGAAGTGTGCGGGGCGCGACGTCCTGGGTGTACGTGCAGCGGCTCTGGCCGTTGAACCACACCTTCCGAGCGGTGTAGACTGCCATGACGGCTCGGGCGTGTGGAGGGCGCAGGATTGGGGAGGTCGCCGGTTGATTGAGCCCGCCGCAGGAGGTGCTCGTCGTACGCTGAGGCTGCGGCAGCCATCATGGACATGACAGCCCACGCAGATACGCTGGCCTACTCCAGGGATGCCTCGAAGGCTATGAGACCGCGTGCTTGCCCACTGCAGTTATTGGAGACGCAAGGTTCAATCGATGACTTCGAGCGTGGTAAGACACCACAGTTGAGGTATTCGGGTGATTCACCGCTGGTGTACCTGGGTTCGGTGGGATGTCTGTTGTGCGGTTTGAGTAGCACAGCGGCCCACCGGGTGACGTGAGCTGGGACTGCGGTGAGCTTCAGACAATCGTCGACGTACCCAGGTTCAGGTCACGTTCAACGCCGGCACCGCCTCACACGGTATAGGGTTCCGATGGGCCACACAGTTGACGCCAATTCCGGGAGGCCGCCTTGGGACAAAGGCTACGAGCAGGGGAGAGACGGAGGCCAGAGGAGGCTCGCGGACGGAGAGCGAGCCCGAAGAGGCGGGGTCGCGCAGTCGAGTGCGCTGCCGAACAAGCTGCCGAACGAGACCCGGCGCGATTTGATTTCCCTAGTCAAATTCGCCTCTCGCGTACTCGCTCGTGTATTGCGGGATCCACCGCGGCCTCTCGTCTGCTCTCCAGCGATCCGGAATGCATCCATCCAGAATGGCATAAATCAGGTTCCAGAGATGCTGTTTTAGTGCCATGCACTGCACATCAGATTGACCCTCAAGTTGGCAGGCGACAACAAAGGAGACAACACTCGGTGGCCAATACATACAGCCGCTACAGTACATGTATATGCACATATTAAACAGTACTTGATCAGTGCGAGAATCGGTGCGAGGTTGACCAATCGGTGGTAGTACGTATACAAAACTGGGCGCGAGGATGCTAGACTCGGGGACACCCATGATTGGGGGTCAAATCAGCGGATGCATGTCGAGTCGCACAGGAGATGATCATGGCATCGGTAGCCGAGACAGGGACCACGGGCGACGTGATTGAGTGCTGTAGAACATGGCGATCACAGTGATTCACACTGGAGAGGCGGTGAATAGCAAGCGGTTACCGGATTAGGATGAACAGCAGTTGCCTAATCGGGGGGCAGTTCCACAACAGAAGACGGCATTGCTCTACGCAGCCCAGTTATCCCCATTCCGACCTCTTTCTCACATCCCCGCACTCCTCACAAAAGCCTTGCGCGCTGGGCGGGTTTCACGGCCACAAAACCAGAGGTATGCACCGCTACGCACCACGTACGCTGTTTGACAGAGAACGCGAAGGGAGACGCTCGCTCTCCCTCGCGGACTTGGTACCCGAATTATCACGTCTTCCTTTTATTTGATTCGGATGCGGTACGGGACCATCAGTCCTGCCAGAGGTAAGCAGCAGGTCAGCTCTCTTCCTGTGATGCGCCCTTCTTCTTTCTCATGGCCACCTTAGACCGCTACGCGACTGCAGCATACCACCACAGGCCCCCGCAGATCCACGCCCGCCTGCCCTCGGGCTCCGTGTCGTCCCACCCACGCGTCTTCGATGCTTCTGTCGTCCCATACGCGCCCGAACAAGCCCAACAACAAACACGCCATCTCGAACCACCCGAGGTGCTACCGGACACAGAGCGGTATTACCATGACGACGAGGACGTAGACGCAGACGCAGACACTGAAGAGGACTATGATTTCGACGACTCTGGGGACATCGACATGGCTGTGGACGCAGGCCGGACGCAGCGCGCCCGTACGATGACCTATGACCCCGCCCTCGAGAGCGCGCTCAGCCGCCCTCTCACCTTCCACGAGCGCGAGCTGCTCGAGCATCTCAACCGCCTCAAGTTCTTCCTCGCCACCGCCCCTGCGCGGTGGACGCACTCTCCTTCATCTTCTCCCGGCGGCTCGAACACCCTTCCGACGACCCGATGTCGCACCCGGCACTGAACCGTTTCCTCCTGCCGAACATGGAGTACGTGAGCTGCGTACTTTGGGACGGGCTATACCACATCACGGGCACAGACATTGTGCGTGCCCTTGTCTTCCGCTTCGAGGCGTTCGGCCGGCCCGTGCGCAACATGAAGAAGTTTGAGGAGGGCATATTTAGTGATCTGAGGAATTTGAAGCCGGGCGTGGATGCGTGTCTCGAGGAGCCAAAGGTACGCGCGCACGCGTGCATGCTGTACAGGACACTGACACCCGGAGTAGTCGCCGTTCCTCGAACTCCTGTTCAAATACCAGTGCATCCGCACGCAGAAAAAGCAAAAGGTGTTCTACTGGTACGACCCTCCCTCCGATACCCTACCGTCCGCGCCTCTCACTCCTCGCAGGTTCTCCGTGCCGCACGACCGTCTCTTCCTTGACGCCCTCGAGCGCGACCTTAAACGCGAACGACAAGGACTGGAGCCGACCACCGTCGTCACTGGGGAGCCAGCCCGGTCGTTCCGATACACGTACGACCCGAAGCGCTCGCTGTACGAGCAGTTCAGCGACGCGGAGGGCCGCTTCGCCGGCGAGGGCGAGCTCGAGGCAGCCGTCCGCGCGCATGAGATCGAGCTAGAGGGGGAGCGGGCGTCCCCCATGTCTGTCTCCACCTCTTCGAGCCCTGGCCCTGGCGGCACAAGCGCCTCGCGGAGAGGCGGGCGTAGAAGGTGGAAGCTCTGATTACGATGATACTGGTTTCTCTGTTTCCATCTGTTCGTACAACATAGAGTTTACAGGGGAAGTGGTAGGTACACACAAAGAAGTGCGCATGCAAAAGGACTGTCCGTAGAAGAATGAGGAAATAGACCTTGGCCAGCGCTGCGCGTGACGCCTTTGTCGTATTCTACAATAGAGGAGTCATCTCCGCCCTATCAGCGCGGCCCGTCGCCAGCTCGTCATGGTTACAACGTTACAATAATCGTGTGATGACGCCCAGACCCTGGTAAACGCGTCAGCAGGGTGCAGTCGCCGAGGGGCAGACGTACCTTCGTCTTCCCTTCCCTGAACAAGAGCTTCATCCCTTCCTTGATGAATTCTGGGTGGGAGATGAACTCGAAGGTTACCGTGGCACGGTCGCCTGTTCGGAGGATGCCTTGAGGGTGGTCCATGCTGACCATGCGCACAGTTTGCCGTACAGCCTGTGCGCCGCCGGCGGAACAAAGATAGGCCTCAGAGACGATCCACGGGGAAGCAACGATTCACGACGGATACGCACCCCACAATGAAGCATCGCCTTCATAAGTTACGGCATGAGCAATCACCGGTGATGGAGCGAGGCCACAGCGGCGCTCACCTGGTAGTTCGTCTGCAACGTCGTGTTATGGCTGGCGGCGATATGAGCGTCCAGCCCGCAGCGGTCCACGACATCGGGAGTGCTCACTATAGGATGAGGACCTGCCCCTCGAATCGCCGCACGGCTGCAGAGCGGAGATGAACCCAGCCATCTTTCATCACGGAGCGGCGGAGACGCACCTCTGGGAGGCGTATCGCTCTTGTGCACGAGCACCATGCCTTTTCGTACGGCGGACTTCCGAACGCGTTTGAGGGCGAGCGACACGCATTGGCCAGCCTCTGCGCTAGTTACCGGGGCTCTGGAAGACGGGAGGAGAATTTCACATTGACTGTATCGCGGCCGAAGGAACGGTGCTTACCGTTTGCGCTGTATTGACTTCACGACAGTGCTCTGGTAGTTGCCGTTGGCGTCCGGGCCAATTAACACTGAGTCGCCGGTCTTAATGGTGCCGCTATTCAAGATACCATCGACAACGGTACCGACGTACGGCACCGACCTGAATGTATGCCCCTGTTAAGATTCATGTTGCGGCGAACATGGATGTATGCATACCAGATCTCTGTCACAGAATACTTTTGGCGTGTGAATGGTCATCAGCATGATAAGGATAGGTCTGACACTGCACCTCCAATGGTTGGTCAGCGGCGAACTTCTCGGTGTCGCTCTCGCTAGCAGGTAATAGGTTTAAAAACGTTCGCAGCTAGACAGTAGTGTCATTAGGTTCATTTTCAGGCACTGCCGATATACAAATGACACCTACGTGATCAAGCCCGGCCCCTGTGACGTTAGACAGTTGGAAAACGGGACACAATCTGCGAGTCTCGTTAGCTCCCCGGACAGTACAGTGCTAGTCATCATATACGCACCGCTCAGTGGCGAATACTTGAGACAGCTCGACTGCAGTCTCAGTTGACTCCACGAAGACTGTTGTTTTCCTGCACAGTACTCGGTCATGTACGGCTAGCATGAGTCCGCGGTGTGCATACCGGCAGCCAGGGCTCTGCATGATCTTCGTAACTTGCTCGATGGTTTTCGCCAGGACATTTGGGGGTGTCATGTCAATCTGTCTCCCGCAAAACGTCATGAACTGTCTTGCATAATAATATGCCTCCCTCCATACCTTCGTGATGCAGACAACGACGGGGACACTCAAAGCAAGCGCTATCGCGAGGTGCTCCTTCGACATGCCGATGAGCCCTGCGTTGCCTCCGACAATGAGAATCACGCAGGACGGTGCGCCGGAAGTGAGCCCGTAGAGCGTCGTCTTCAAATATCGCTCATGGCCCGCAAGATCTTTGACAGACCGTCAGTAAACACATACGTCATCGGAGCATTGTCATTACCGATGAAGGACACGATCTTGGCTGCCTTTGCAGAGATCTCCTCCCAACCCATCTTCTCTCGTCGAATTACGTCTGAATCGATTGAATGAGCGGTTGACGGCAGTATTGCCGCGCCTGAAAGTCCGAAGCCCAGAATCTTACATCGTATTTAGCTGAGTAGTGCGAGCCGACACAGATCTATCTCACCTCCATCCCTACGCTCGACGTCCGTCCGCTCTCGATTTCGTGTTTATGTCGAAACAAGCTGACGCGTGCACGCCCTCTTCCATCATCGAGTGCCCCTAAAACCCTTTCAGTAAGTAGCAAGACCAAGCCACTGATGAATGCACCTCGGGTCAAAACACCCAGTGTGGTCGACTTTCCACTGTCGACATTACCGACGACAGCACATCGTACCTCCGGCGTCACAGAGACGTCCTCCGGAGGTAATCGTAAGAGCAGTGTTGCTCGCGGACGATCTGTTCTTGTGTCGAACAGCACCGTAGTCTAAACATGCCATGTGTTCGTGCGAAGAATGGATAAGCTCAGGTGGTGAACACATACCACACCTCCAATGTCTGTTAAAATCTCCTTCACCTCACGCTGCAGTGTATCAAGCTCCTCTGCAGTCAGGGCCGAGCCACGCCATCCGTCCGAATCCTCGAGCGACCCAGATTGTTTCGAGAATAGTTTGGAGTGAGGCGGGTGGACACCTAACCGTAGTATATACTCTCCCTTGCGCCTAGTCAATGATGAGGCGACAATTTCTCGCGCCTTGTCATGGTCTGCTGGAGAGGCAGACAGCAATAATGACTGAGACGCGGGGTCGATCCATGATGCATAAGGTTTTGCGCTATGCAATCGATGAAGCACGGCGTACCTGTATCCGCTCATCTACATCAGACAACCCCGCGAGCTCCTTGATCTGCAGGTCACCTCCGTCCCCTTTCACGGGAGCTGGAGGCTCAGCAGCGGTACCGTGACGGACCGGGGTCTTCTTTACCTCCTTCTCTTTTGCTCGTTCTGCGGTAGCTTGATCTCTCTGTCGGGCGACCTCCCGGTGTCGTATCTGGTCTATCTCGCTCTGGAAATTGCGCAGACTGGTCTTCGTAGTCATGTTTGGCGCAGCGCGGCAACTTGTCTGCTCCGAAGCGGGAGGCTGCCAGTAATGTGTCTAGGTTACGCGACGGTCGCCTTAACTAGGGCCATCGGAGTGAGTCAGAGAATTGAGAGTGTCTCGACTCTCACTGACTCGACATTCCAGTGCTTCAGGACACTTGTACAATGATGTTCCGGCCGTTCCGTAACGACTCGATGATTCTCTGATTTCTTGTAGTATGTGGACTTCGGTTAAGATGCTGAGTGGGTGAGCCATTGCTTTGTACGTACTGTCCTGTGAGACACCGCGTCAGATCGGACCCAGGCTGAGGACAGAGCTTGTATGCGTCTGAGGATCCGTTAATTGGCTGCTCAGAGTCAATCACTGGCAGAGCGCCGCCACACAGCTGGTACCGGCGGCACTTGCCGAAGGTCAGTAGACACATTGTCGAAGGTACATACATACTGTAGTGTCACTGGCACACAGTTTGCACACAGTCGTGCCTCACCTAATACGACACAGAAACATGTCCATGGCAGTAAATACTGTGTATACAGATTCGCGTTGCAATTCATGCGGTGAAGTCTGGCAGAGTGTAAGTTCTGTGAGAGGCGCCAGAGAGGCTGATTTTGTGGCCTTCAAAATGACCACGTGATCCCACATCACACCGCCGAGGATGTTGATCAAGTTGCCACACTCTCGACTCCCTCGTCGTTTGAATCTTCTGCGCGCGACCGCCTCGGTGTTCGCCATTCGCATCTGTCTACCGTTTCAGCCCCAGACGAGGTTATTCATGACAGCTCAGCATGACATCTCAGCCTGCATTTCGTTCGATCTACGGCACGACCCCAGGACTTCTCGATCCGACACAACCAGCACGTCTTCATCGCATCTCGGGATCAACACTTTCGTTCGCATCTTTCCACCCTCTCACTGCATACCCTAGAGAGCAGAACCTAGAAAACCTGTCTCTTGACGACGAACCAATACGCCCGAAGCGCATCGTGATAGAGACAACTCCTGGACCAGAGGGCACGAGTTCCTGGCGCTTCGTCCCTCGTGCACGTTTGGGACATGGAGTGGACAGTGAGGGGAGTTGGCCTAGGCTGGTCAATATCTGCGGGTAAGTGCATCATCGCAAACGTTGTGGATACCGACGGCCGACGGCACGCCACCATGTAGGGAGATCATATATTGCTCGCAAGATCAGTGGGATATACACAAACTCGACACTACGGGGTACGAGTGCTTCGTCCCAGCACCACCAAATATACCTACCATTTCTCGCAAGAAAGGAAAAGAGAAGGCGGCAGACAATGAACCGGAGCGACACACCATGGATGATACACGTCCCACTCACAAATCGAAACGCCGCCTCTCGACGCCCTCCGATGACGAAACCCCACGACACTCTCGTAAGAGGTTCCGGGCAGCTGCCGCAGGCTCTGGCGATATGAGCGAACTTGGAAGCGATCCTGCGCATCCCATACCTGTTGATGACGAGGAAGTTGAGGTGGAAGACCTGCTGGGCGAAACCTCAAGAGGGGGCTCCATGCCGCCTGGCAACCATAAATCGTCAAGCAGAGCTGGCACGAAGCGAGGAACCAGGAATACGACAGATTCTCGACGCCAGTGGCGACGTGAGAATGCCGCTTCCCAGACCAAACCCCCAAGTATTGTCTCCGACGACGTACAGGAAATCGACATGGTGGACCTGACTGCAGATGATCACAAGAACGGCCAGTCGGAATATGTACCGTACTCAAATACCGCAAAACGGAAGAGTAAGCCACAATGCAATGCCACAGATGTCGGGTGCTTAGCGCGCTTTGTAGTCTCCCCTGAACCTCGAGAGTCAAGCCCCAACAGACCTGGAGACTCCGCCGCCTATTCTTCAGATGATGCAGCGAATCCACCGAGAAAACGGCGTCGCACAGTGCCGCCTGAGGCGTATAGGCAGGCGTTTGACACCAAACGTACCGAGCGGGAGCGGCGCAGGATGGAGAGCTTCAGGGCTCGATTTGACAGCAAGAAGACGTCGTGGCACGACAAGTTCTTCCGCGATCTCATGGCAGAAATTCCAGAAGAATTCGGAAGCGGAGGAAACACGCATGGTAGGCATGTTTCTCTTCATCGAGTAACCCCGCTCAGCTGTACGCTAGGGCCAGAAGATCCGCCTGACCAGGCCCAACAAGCCCCGGGGGATGCTACGCCGGGCGAGGAAGCGCTCCGTCAAGCTGCGATCGAAGAATCTCGGCGGAAGCTCGCTGAGCTCGAGAAGGACAAGCCCCTGTGGGAAGACGCTGCCCGTAGGCGCATGGAAGCGGAACGCGCGGAAGAAGAGAGGAGACGAGTACAGAGAGAGGCTCAGCGACAGCCGCAGAGGAGGAAGAGCGCCGGCGCCGGCAAGAGACCAACGAGCTGAGGCAGAACAACGAGCGAGGGCTGCCAGGCGAGGGCTGAGTATGAACAGGAGCAGCGCCGTCGACAGCAACAGCAGCAGCGGTGGTCTTTTGGGCCTTGGACGACAGCGCGCGCTCTGGAACGCTACAAAGTGCTCAGCGAGGCATTTGATAACGCGAAGTTCACAGAGGACAACCCGGCTACGTTCGATACCATCCCATGGCCTGTCCTGCAGTCGCCGGCGATGCTCTCGATTGAGGACATTGACTGGAATGCTGTCGAGGCGTTCTTCAGGTCTGTTCGGTCTTACATGCGACCGCAAGATTACAAGGCCTTCGTGCAAGAGAGTCACAGGCGCTTCCATCCGGACCGCTGGAGGGCAAGAGGAGTACTGCGAAATGTATCCGAAGAGGAGACTCGTAGCTGCCTGGAGGTGGCATCAAACACTGTAGCACAAGCTCTGACACCGTTGTGGCGCGAGGTCGTCAAGGGTGGATGAAGATGAACGTTCTGTATCGATATCGTGCGTCACCTCTTCCATCACTGTAGAATATAGTTGTCGCTTGGAAACCCCAGTTTGTGTAGCGCAGCATCCGTCCGGTCCCGATCCCCCAAGCAAGCGGACGTCGGTAAGGAGTCAACACGGCTTGCCTCTGGCCTGGCGTGTCACCCTGTTTCAGTTTTCGCCGTTCCGCAGGGCTGGACGACAAGTGTACTGCTTGTTGTCGGCAGACCCTGCTCCAGTGCTGTCTGCGCCGTAGCAGAGCTACCCTTGGCGGTAGCTTTCATCATACCATGGGTACGTACTCTGTACAGTTGCTGGTGGTGCGTATGCAGTAGATCTACCGCATGCCTAAAACCTTGTTCCAGTCACTAGCAGCAGGGCAGAGGCGGTACCACTACAGAGCGACTTCGGCATCGACAACCGATTTGCAGAACCCTCGCCTGAGGGAGGACGTTGTCAATGCGGGGCGTGAAGAACACTGCGCCATCAACGCATGCACATACCCCAGCTCCCCGGAGTGCGACAATGCATGCTGATCGCTCGACACCACAAGGCTGCTGAACGGTAGTACCAGCCGACGCACGGTCGGGCTAGAGGCACTGGCACTTGCAATTCCACTTCGGGGACGCCCTTCGCGACTCGCAGGTTGCGCACAACTGAGACCACACCTCACAGCCGACCTACAGCTTCGTGTCGATCAGTCATCATGCGTACCGCGCCCTCTTCCGGTGCCGGCTCAAGCCTTTGGAAGGTGAAGGACTGGCTGGCATCGGCGACTCACCGCAGACGCGCCATCCAGAGCGAGCTCTCCGAGGCTGTGCTTCCCGCACCGATTCCCTCTCCTTAGAGGTTACCGGAAAAGATTCACGGGAGCGCGGTCGCCTGCTTGTGCCCCTGACGTGAAATGCGGACTACGCCAGTGGGCGGTGGATGTTAGGTACAACCGCGGACGTCTTGCGCGCTGTGTGCGCGCTGCCTGTCCATCATACCTTGCCTGTCGCTGTCTCCGCGTCCCCAAACGTGTCAGTGAGCGTTGGAGCGGGGCTCAGCGTGGGGAATACGAGGGCTGTTGACTGCAAGATATCCCCGTAAGGACAGATCGGGGGAACACTAACTGCAGATACATCTCGGTCGCGCGTGATAGTTTTGGTCCTTGGCCTCATTGCATGAAGGCGGAGGACGCGTTGCAGACGAGGACGAGTAGGACCGGATCTAGGGATCCGCGCGTCCATCCACGTCGGGCTCTGTGGCCACCGCGCCAATCTGTGACGCGTCCATCACGTGCTGCGAAAGGCATCGCAAGGCGCGCGCAGCCGGACCGCGTCTTGCACTTGCCATCCGTCTACTGCGGCGATGCCGGAGTCCTCTTCGTCTTATGAACCAGTCCCTTCTACACCTCTAGAAAGTCCAGTCGCCAGGGCACCGTCTCATCTCCGAACGATCCGGAGGACCCTATTGTTCGCAGCCACTGCTGTGGTCGTTCTTTTGGCTGTGTTGAAAGCGAACGAGTGGACGAACCGTTTGGGAGAGTTACAAGCGCCGCCAGGGACAGACACCGACGCAGAAGTCGGATTGCCCGCAGAGGACACGGAGAACACAACCGTACCAGACATGCCTGAGCACGGAAAGTACAGCGTGGGATAGTGTGTACAAGACTTCCTGCCATGAATTAGCCCGACTAACCACCGTACCTCCGCCAGCTTTGTGAATTGGTGGGTAAACTCCGTGAGTCCGTGACAAGTGACTGAGAGTAGTGCAGGGGAATCTATGGGAGAAAGTATCCGCCCACTCTGATCCCTGCTCAGGATTTAACGTGAGTTTGTGCCGAGCATGCTGAACTGCGTCTCATGCGCAATCAGCCACATACTCTACGCCTTTGCAAACATCAAAGCCGACACAGGCGAAGTCTTCCTGTCCGACACATGGGCAGACCAAGAGATCCATTACCCGGGTGATTCCTGGAACGACGTCGGAACCAATCTCTACGGCAATTTCAAAGCTCTGTACAAGTTGAAGAAGCAGCACCGACACCTCAAGGTCATCCTTTCCATCGGCGGTTGGACGTACTCGCCAACGTTCCATCCCGTCGTCGTCTCCCCGCCTCTCCGATCAAAGTTCGTAGCGTCAGCTATACGACTCCTTGAGGACAATGCCCTGGACGGTCTGGATGTCGACTATGAGTATCCTCAGAACGATGCGCAGGCCCGAGGCTATGTGGAGCTTCTCAGGGAGCTTAGGGCTGGGCTAGACGCTCATGCCGCACGTAAAGGTGCCAATAACAGATTCCTCCTGACGGTAAGTTTAGCGTATCCGTAGTCAAGCGTGTCTTCGAGCCTACTGACTACCTATGAAGATCGCAGCGCCTTGTGGGCCCGATAACTACCAGAAGCTACACGTTCGCGAAATGGATCAAGTCCTTGATTTCTGGAATATGATGGCTTACGACTTTTGTGAGCATGTTTCACGGATCTAAGACAACCTATCACCGATATGGCCGGTAATCTGCGCAGCTGGGTCGTGGGACCAGATAGCCAACCACCAGGCGAACCTCTTCGGAGGACCCATCAGTGCTTCGCAGGCCGTGCAGTGGTATGTCAACCAAGGCGTGCCCCGCAGCAAAATCATCGTCGGCATTCCCCTCTATGGGCGAAGCTTCATGAACACGGAAGGCCCTGGTAAGCCCTTCCAAGGCATAGGTCAGGGCAGCTGGGAACAAGGGGTCTACGACTATCGCGCACTTCCCCCGCCCGGCTCGTATCTCCTTCGTGACCAAGAGCTCGCCGCTAGCTGGTCGTACAATTACCAGACCAAAGAGATGATCAGCTTTGACTCCGAAGAGGTCGGAAGGCTGAAGGGCGAGTGGATCGCCCGGGAAGGCCTGGGCGGGAGCATGTTCTGGGAGCTGAGCGGTGACAAGGGGACGCCGCGAGACGGCATGGAAGGTGGTCCTGGGAAGGACCCGCAGCCTGGCCGGAGTCTGGTCGCTGTCGTGAAGGAGGCGATGGGGGCGTTAGACCAGAGCCCGAACTGGCTGGCGTACGAGGGAAGCAAGTACGACAATATCCGCAATGGCACCGCATGATGCGTGCACAGTCCGACCGTTGCTGTCATGTAGGATTAGAGGGCCCTTGGACCATATCGTACCACGTTAACTACTTAATTTGTATGTTCGCCTCCAACGAAACGGAGATGGTGGTGGAAGCTGACGACGACGTTGAATGCGGTTACCTCACGCTGCGATGGCCGGGTTATTGGGCCCCTTCCCTTCTACGATACCTGCCAAATGCAGAGCATACGCTTCGGTAAAAGCCGAGATTGCGATCTGCGGTAACTTGCTGGCGACTCGGGAGCGAACTCAGCGCAGCTCATTCAGTGATATTCACGTCGACTCTCCTAAGGGCATGATGCCGTCATACTACCGACCCTATCTGCTTATTCTATGATTTCACCAAAGAGAACTCCGGCTCCCACAACTCGCGCCCACAGACCCTGCCTTAGACCTAGGCGCGACCGTTCAGTGGGCCCTGTCCGACTACATATTGGGCCAACAACACGTACATGACACGGTCTCCGACCCTTGATACACGAAGCACAGACTCTGGGGCTCGACCTCCCTGGAAGTAGGAGAGCCTGAGGCACAGAACACTATCGCAAAGCCAATCCTGCATGCTCCTGCCATTGTCGGTAAGAGGCCGTTGGCGCCTGCGGCGTCTGCACAAACGAGGTTGTGGTTCCCTGTCGTTAAATACGCCGCAATCATCGACGCCTCACTGCGCGACTCGGATGCTGTCTGCCAGCTTTTTGAGGGCCGCGATCCAGCGACTCAATGGGTGCAAGTTGTGGCGGCCACGCTCTCTGCAATGGGGACGTTCAAATCGTGCAGTCAATGAATGAGGGCGCTCGGAGTACGAGCATTGGAAATGGCTCAATGACCTAATTCGCGCCGCAAGAAGGGATTGCTTTCCGAGATCTCATATGAATTACGCCCTGAGAAATGAACGGGTTTGACTTTAGACTTGGGTTCGATCATGAATACAACAGTATCGCGGAGAGCACACGGAACCGCCGGTCGATTGTACGTCGCCTTCGACTGCAGAACCACCGTATATCCGCAGTCCGCGAGGCATGCCCCACATGCCTGCATACTGCCGTCCCTGGGTTGTCAGGAGAAACCTCTGCTACTTCGGGATCCTTGGCACAACGTGTCTTGGGTGTGCAGGGCGTACGAGTTGCACACCGGCTTCGTGACGCCCGTCCTGAGAGCGTTGTGCCACATTGGCAAGACACGGTGAGTGTCAACGCCGGTGATCGCAGGTACATGTGTTTGCTGCGTTTGCTGGCGGTCAACCTCTTTGATCATCAAGTTCCGCCACCGCACCGTGTCCGCTTGTTTGCAACCAGCGACTGCGACTCCCGCAGATCCTTCTTTCATACACGATCTTCGAACCTATTGGTGGCTTCCGTGATCGTCCGACGGCATATTTCTCTCAGCAGCGAGTCTGTTTCGCAAGAGGATAGGCATATACGACAGTGTGCAGATCATCCGTCGGTCAGCTGTTGCTCCGTGTAGTCTATTTTGGTGCGCCTTGCTGACTCGAATGCTATGCCCCAGGTGTTACGTTACTTAGCGTGTAGACCGCTCGTTCATCAACTTGTGCGATCTGCAAACTGAGTACGAGTGGTCCCAGCCACCAGGTATCGACGTGCCTGGGGCCATGATCGGTGTGGTTTACATGCGTTGATCGCTGACGAAGGTTCTGATGCTCGATCTAACAACAAAGGCATAATGTATTCCCGCTGGTGTTGGCAAGAAGTTACAAGATACACATAGATACTCAGATCGTATATAGGTATCGACCGGATACGGGGTGAGCGTTCCAGGAGTGAGGATTAGTTGTACAACGGGTTAGTGAGGGTATGCTGATGAACTCGTGGCGGAGTCGTGGCGAATGAAGTCCAAGATAGTACAGCTGTGATCGAGCGATTACATAGAGATTGCTCTTCCTTTGCCAATGTCCCGATCCTCTCGCACCGTTGAGCGGCCACGCTCGGTCTCCTCATGCCCATATGTGTCAGGCTCCGGGTCAAAGGCCTTGTCGGCTCTTACATAACTGATCACCCGGGGACTCTTGTGCGTGAACCCAGCGAAAGCCAGAGCTTTCCGGACCTCGAGAATCTCTTGACCGTGTACCCTGTCCCGGAGTAACGGGTCACGCGTGGCATCCGCAGCTGCACCATTCGCCGGCGCGAGAGGCTGTACAGCAGCTAGTGAGCTTTATGTCATAAAACATATGCTGTAGACTGCCTCACCTCGGGCGGGATGTCGTCGTCGAAGTGACGTGTATCTTCCGGATGACGGAGCTCAGGGCGATATGGAGCAGGATACCGATGCATGTTGTCCCAATCAATGCCACGGAACCATGGGTGGGCCTGACGGGTAGCGATACAGTAGTCAGCATTTTGTAAAGCAGCATTCTGGGCGTAGTCATATACCTTGATTAGGTGTGCGCCGTCGACACTGCCCGCAGCGCCAGCGATCGAGATGAAACCACTCCTCCTCGCTTGCACTATCATCGAGTTCGGCCTACTAACTGATGACGAGGCCTGTGATCCGAGACGGTCCTCTGGCTCGCACAGGAGCTGCTCCATCAGGCTAACGCCTTCATGGGACACGCGAGGCCGCGAGGGGAAGCGAAGAGATTGTTTCCAATTCAAAATCTTCTGCCGTGTGACGTGTCGCTGAGGGGCGTAAAATTCTGTCAGCCAGTCTGTGGGGGGGAAGGAGAACAAAGCCGCGCATCAATTGCAGCCACGTCAGACTGACCGAGTTGCTGACGAACGGGGGGAACCTGAACAGGACAAATTGTTGGTTAAAGTTGATACGGATGCCGAGGAAGGGCTCACCCATAGAGACACTCGAACATTATCACCCCCAGGCTCCACCAATCGCACGAATAGGTATATCCATGACCCCTAATCACCTCCGGCGACACTGACAACGGAGAACGCTCGACGTCAGAGCTGCCTGTGGCGCAATTGAGAGGAAATGCGTACTGTACGAATTTGTGCCGCACCTATCACGATACGTTCCTTAGTCTGACTCGATGTGCATTTGATATGAGTCGAAACTTACACGGAATATGCCAGCTGCGGGTGCAGTGTGTTTAGAATTCAGACTACCCCGGAAACTGCGGCACTGCATCGTGGACGCGCACCTTCCTCCTGTTTCGCTCCCTCCAGGTAAAAATGCCACCCTGGCCATCACCGCCGCCCATGAGCCGCTCGACTTCCTTGCGGTCAAGGCGCTTCGTTCGCGTGCCGTCAGAGGGACCGAAGTTGTCCTCGAGGTCTATTCCATGCTTGTGTAGCAAGTGGAGACGCTGCTGTTCGTAGTCTGTGGGAGGAGCGGATTAGGGAACTGCTGAGGCGTAGCGCACGAGAGGTGTGCTACTGACACGAGGTATCATGCGCCCAGTGGAGATCCGTGCTGGTGTGATGCAAGAATATCAGCAGGGTGAGGTGCAGCACGCGGCTGACAACTAGCAAAATAGGAGCGTAGCCACTCACGCAAGGCCGAAGTCGCTGAGTTTAATATGCCCTTGAGGGTCGAAGAGAAAATTCTAGTGAAGATAGAGGTCGGTCGGCGATGCCGAAATGAAGGGGGGAACAGCTCCGTCAGTGTGCCTTCGCGACAATGTTTTCTGGGCGCTTACGTCGGGCTTTATGTCTCGGTGAATAAAGCCATGCTTGTGACAGGACTCGATGGCCAGAACCATCTGTGGCGAACAACAGATGAGGCCATGCGATATGCCGTAAATCAAGCGATTAGTGTGGTCGACTGGTGAGGAAATGCCGGCGGGACAATGCAATGGAATAGAAGCGTACCTCGGCCACGTAGAACCGGGTGAAGTCTTCCTCGAATACGTCTCTTTCGATCAGCAGATTTAGAAGGTCTCCTCCGCCCATGTACTCGAGAACCTATCGATATGAAATCGGAATGAAATCAGCAGTCACACATCTGTCATATCCCACTCATCATTAACTGCGCCAATGACTCACCAGATAGAGGTGGTCGCGATCTTGGAAGCTGTAGTGCAGTCTGACGATCCAGTCTGCGCCTCCAGGAGAGTTTACCAGGGAAGCGGACTTTAGGAGGTCTCGTTCCGCGCGAACGTGGCCTTCCTGGCCCTTACGCAGCATGTCGGTCTTCCGTAGCTGAGGGGCGAACGGTTAGTAATGCCTGGGCATTAATGTGCGGAGAAAGAGATGATGGCCGTGATCACCTGCTTCATTGCGAATAGCTGCCCCGTCGAACGTTCCCGGACTAAGGAAACCACTCCGAAGGCGCCTGGGGGATCAAAATGTCCAGTCTCTAGCCATCTATGGAGAGATGATGAATGGGATTACCGTGTCCTATTGTCTTCAGCTTGACAAAGGCACTGACATCTACTTTCCGGCGCCGGTCCCGTAAATAATCGGTCTCGTTTTGGCGCCAGCGGCTCCTTAGATATTCCTTTTGGGCCTCGTTCATTTGCATATTCATCATGTCTTTCTCCATAGCTATCCTGCGCTGCTCGCGAGATGGTGGGTGGCGTAGCAAAGGGAAGTACAGGTTCTCGAAGTAGATCTTGGCAGAGACCGCTTTCTCCAGGGTTGCGAGGGATGGGACGATGGGTTTTCGGACCGGCGCCTGAGGTACGTCCGGAAGTTCCTTGTCTGGGTCTGACGCGTGGTCATCTTCCTGCTCGTGCTCAGGATGTGCGGGAAGACCGGCGGTCCATCGGATGGTGGAATTTCCGCCTTGTCCGACCGTCTGGTAGGGTGATATGGACGATGGGAGGCCCGAGGGCACAACAGGGGACAAGGAAACATTCTCACGAGCCGCAGTGGTGAGTGTGGAGGACGTTGTAGTGCTAATGCCGTTCACGACGCGAAGCGGAGGCGGATCACCTGCACCTTGTCTTATCATACTGCTTTGCGAGGGCTTCAATCCGTTGACGACTTCGTTGACCGCGCGAGCCTGGTTAAGCTGTCGAAGGCGATCTTTAATTGGATCCGCCCACAGCGGGTCTAGATAAACAGGGTTGGATAAGCTAATGTTGCAACCGACGTGCAAAACACCAAGCCTAACCTCCAAGCTTGCCTTGCCCTTCGGGACCCCACCTCGTCAAGAGTGCTTCAGCTTGCTCCGCGTCCGAAGCATGTACTAAGTGGCTACATTTGCAGACATTGAGACGCAGGCAGAGGGGAGAGATGACCGGTACATACACAAAGCCAACGGGCTTGGATACCATGTCCTTGCTGATCTTTCGCCCTCTCAAATTCCTGGTCGGGCTCGTGGGGCTCATGGGCACGGGCGAGCTTGATCCCTCCACCGGTTTGCGAGTGGGTTCAGCTTCCTTCGACGCTATCTCTTCGTACCTAGGACCCGCGATTGGCTCTTGCTCGTCCGCCATAACATACGCGACGGTGTGGTAGGGATCATGGAGAGAAGGTCGTAGAACCCCTTGTGAAGCAATGTTCCACCACGCAGCATGCTGGGTTGCTCATCTGGGTACGGCACGCTTTGCGGCAAGAAATGAGGATAGGGGTATGGCGCACTGTATGGATTTCCATACGAATAGATGTCCATCGCTCCGGGACTTGGAGAAGCCTCGCGGTGCGTGGTGTAGTACGCGTTTCCGGGCGGCCCTGGGGGAACTGGCAGGGCACGGCGCGGCGGGGTGGCCATTGCGCTCGCTGGTGCGTTCGCTGAGCAGGGCTCGCGGTCGAAGCGGATTAGGCTCGGAGTGTATGATCGACTTCTCGAGCATCATCGCTCTATCGCCCGGATGTAGCAACACGGGGACACGATCACGTGGCACAGGTACAACACCTCGCAACCACGTACCCGGGTCACGCATGCCTTTCGCGGCATCCGCGTTGTACTGGCGAGTTTCACTGTTGTTGTCTGTGCTTGCCCTCATACAGCTTTCGGGACACCTTGACGTTCGGCGCTGTCCCAGGCCGCGTGGTGGAGATCCTCAACTCAGATCGCCGCGCGTCAGACAACCGGTCCTTTAGGAGCTACGATAAATATTCGTGAGTTTAGCTTCCCACTGGCAGGCAGCAGGCAGCAGGCCCGGGGTGAATGATTTGAGAACGCTAATCAATGCACAGTCACTTATCAGAAGCTCTTGTGCCGTGACGTGAACTCAAACGGCAGTTTCCCCTCACCAGAACCGAGGATAATAGTCCGATCAGATCCAGTCGTCCATCGTACACGCAGATTCTGGTCTTTTCCACTCGAAGCCAGACATGTACAACCTATTGCATGGCCGCCATTATCGGTCCTGTTTGCGCGCTCATTCGCATGCAGACGTGACAATGTGATCCGAATCACGATACTCCGGGAGTCCCGCGACGAGTATTAATTTCGGGTGAACCTCCGGCCGCGAAGAGACTCGTCCTCCGTCTCCGAGAGATCGTACAGATGGATGGACCCGGAGGAAGCAATCCATGTGTCTCGGCGGCGGGAGCATCTGTGGAAATCACACGTTGAACACGTCCAGATGGCATGTGGGCACGAGGCGATATCGTGCCAGTGGACCCTTCGGGGGCCTCAGTGCTGTCGCGTTCCTCTGGCAAACACCAGCATCGCCATCAAAACGCGCACGCAAACACGACCTAGCTTTCTCTACCTAACTGTGATGTTTGCATCCGACTGCCGCCCTGGAACCGAGCTTCACCAAGCCCTGTCCAGCCCCTCCGCATTTTCGTCCCCAATTGTCAACTGAACAGACACCGCCTCTCGAGACGGTCGGCAGGCGGCTTCTAAGGTACTCTAAATATCCAGATATACCCTGGAACAGCAAGCTGCCTGTCTTTGCCCGTTGCCCTAGACTTCACACCCGACGCGTGTCTGTTGCAACTCGCATCCTCGTATCCGCGCGTTGACGTGCTCCAGTCGTTAGACATACCGATCTCTACCTCACATCATTCTCGTTGACCCTCACTGCCGGCATCCACCTGCTGTTCCAGCACGGCCATGCGTAGGTCGCCCCATGCCCCGGCCTCCTCCGAGTACTTAATCGCGGAGAACACAACACGGATTTCCGACGATTATATTCAAGTCTCGCTGAAAGTGGCGATGTCGAACCCGGGAGACGACCACTTCTCCTTCGGCTGCTTCTCGAGAACGCCGCGGCCTAGCACACCTAGCGGAGGGGCCAATGCTCAGCGTCGAGGACGCTTCCCTGGTGGGCGAAGTGTACTACCTCCTCTTCATCTACCGTTTCGAGCCTCACGTTCTCCAGGTCCGTTCTTTTCCAACAACAATCATGTATGAACGAATGCTCAACTTATGGTTTGCATTAGTTCCTGACCCTTCATTTCAATTTGCACAGCAAGATCAGACTCGCAATGATTATGGCGTACCAGCCTATGGCCAGCAGGGCTGGTCAATCAACCCACGTGAGTTTCATAGACGTCCGCTTCTACCGTGCAAACGTAATTGACCGATCTTCTATAGAAGCAGGATATCAACAGCAAACACAGTACCCACCTAATGACCCTAGATACTCCGCCCAGTTCGCTCCTTACCCTGGTCGTCCATCATCGTCCATGCTCCCAGAACAACATGACTCGCGTACACTCCCTCCGCTGAATATGCAACCTGGGCAGCCTCATCCTGGTGCGTCTAGCACCTTTATGCCAGGGACTAGTATCCGATCACCTACCGCCGGCTATCCCTCAGGGTATGCGTCTTACCCCGAAGGGCATCAGCCTCCGAGTCACGGTTCGTTCTATGCACCCCAGCCCCCCGATCCGCGCAATCTCCCCCCTCCAATCCCATCGACAATGGGCTATGACCCTGCGGCTGGCATGTTGCCTCGACGCTCATCGATGTCCGTCGACCGTACCGCATCGACACGGCTCTCCGTTCACGGTACATCACCGTATCCGCGAATCCCCCGATGGGAGGTCCCGTCTCATATACTCCTGAGCCCCCGGCCCAGGAGCCAGCTATCAAGAAGAAGCGCAAACGGGCCGATGCAGAACAGCTCAAGGTCCTCAACGAGACGTAAACCGTACGGCATTCCCGTCGACAGAGGAGAGGGCCGAGCTGGCCAAGAGGTTGAACATGTCTGCCCGGAGTGTGCAGATATGGTGAGTGGCAGCTTCTCTTTACGCAAAGGCCTACTCATTGAGACGCCGCCCATGTCACAGGTTCCAGAACAAACGCCAGGCAATGCGGCAGAGCTCCCGTCAAGCCGCCGCAGCCGGAGCACCAACGACGAGCGAGCCTTACCCTACGTCGTCGCACGCCCCTAGCGTCTCGTCCCCCGGATCATATGGGGCGCATCCTTCTGTACAGCCATACGGAGGGGCGCGTCCTGGAGAGCTACCGCACCCGACGGTTGCTCGTTGATCCCTTCCCCCACGCCATCCATGCATCATCGAGACGACCAGAAGGATCCGCGCCGTTTCCCAGGTCGCGGGCCTATGTGATCTCGAACGCAAGACGTCAATCCGCTGTTAAAATTTCAGCCATCTGTCTGCCCACTCATTCCTAACGTCGCTCATTCGCCCACTTACTCAATGGTTCACGTAACACTATTTAGGGGACAGTCAAGGACGCTGCAGCCGTCTTTATCGATTAGTTATATACATTATCATTTCATCTATATACGTACGCATTGCTCTCCTCGCCGCACTAGCTCTCCCTCCCACTCCGATGATCGTATTATGCCAATGGACATCCAGCATCGCTCTCGCTCTCGCTCGCATTGACACTCCTACTTATGTATTCTTATGGGTTATGTTATTAGGTTGTATATAGTAGATCTACCTTCCGCTCCAACTACTAGCATATTCTTAGTCCTTTATTCAGTATTGCTCGCGACGTCCTCCTGTCAAACCATCCGATAGCCCTGGATGCGCATTGGCTGCATAACACAATGACTCGCACTCGGGGCGGCTGGCGGTCCGACGACCTCACCAGCATCACTTCTTCATACCTAGGACGTATGTCAGATGTGTCGTCCAGCTTGATCTGGTCTAGTGCGTGACAAACCATGTACGTGATTACACTGTCAAGCTGCACGATCGACGGGGTCTAAGATAGTACGGTGTGAAAGATAAGTACCGCACACCACAACTCCGAGCAGCAAGGAGGCATGGCAATCTCTTAGCTATGCCTCCTGAGCCTCTTCACGGCGGCAGGGCCTAGAAGCCGCGAGCCACAATAAGACAAGGTTAGAACCGGCGATTGACGAAGCTGAGAACACTGGGTAGTAGGCATGCCACACCCGCCACTATCTATAGCACGTTCAATTCCATGATGAGTCGCTCCTCCGCTCTCGTCACCGGAGCACTGGTGTTCACAAATGAGTACCAACCGTCGCATGTAGTAGGAAGCCGCAGAAGCGCACCAGAAAGCAAACGATCAGGCAGTGGTGCCGCGGCGGCTGAGCTCTCCACTATACTGCATGCATGTTCTTGAGGGATACGACTGTACTCCAAGAGCGAGTCAGTGTGGTGCGTGTAGGGCAGTCGTATGCTCGTCGATTCAATCGCAGTCACCCCCTGTCTTGGATCTGTCTCGGGAGTCTGGGCACGCGAACAATTAATGATGGAGCATCCTCGCCGCCGCAACAAGTAAATGCAGCTCGCGTGCGAAAAACGTCGATGCGTGAGCATCAGGCGGCGTGCATCCAGACACTCTTGCGTGGTGACTTTCCCACTCCTCAGAGGAGATGGGAAAGAAAAACGACCTGTGGAAGTCTCGCGAAGGGGAGAACATGGAGCCCAACTCTACTGCTAGGCATCATGTTGCCTGAAGTAGCGTTTGTCCGAGACAAAGTGTCTCACATTAAACGAAAGTATATCTGATCCTACGCATCACACGCAGTGGTCAGGCACCCATGCGTACGGAGGGAAGTCGAAGAAGGGGGATGTACAGCACTTAGCTTATTGGGTGCCATATTCATCCCGTCCTACAAGGCAAAGGTCCACTGGTCTCGACCGAGAATGGCCTCCGAACCCGAGATGACGATGCTGGAGCCTCAGACCAACCCGCACGGAAGCGCGGGAAGAATGGAAGTGATCGATACGGACGCAGGAGGTGATGAGCACTGGTTGCACTGCGGCCTTGCGACTCAGTTATCACCTCATCTGGGCAAAGCGAGAGCGAGGAACAGACCGTACGTCTTCATATAGCAATTCTTGAAAGATGCACGCGCGCAGTTGGTATAGAAGCATCACGGTGGTCGTGTATGAGGTCGAGAGAAGCACAAACTTTAAGTATTCGGTCGGAAGTATTGGATCGAGCACAGGAACGTTGGCGTGCCGCTGATGAAGAGATAGTGTCGACGGTCCTTCTTTAGTGCAAGTGGGCGGTGTCATCTGCGGCTGCTCGAGAAAGGAAACCCGCGACCTGCAATGTAGTCAGTGAGCTTACCCCACGAATATACTGCTTGCCTCCATTGTGCGCTCAGAGTGAAGGGTTCTGGGCCTTCTGGCGGTGGTCCGGGGCCAATGTCTCCTTGAAGTGCGGTCGTGACATGTACAAATATAAATGAATGACCCCTGCCAGTACGGTTCTTCAGGTAGCATCTTACCGGCACTCTAAAAATATTCAGCCATCTGAGAAACACATCTACAGTATTCTGTGCTCATACCATTGAGACACTGAAACTCTGTACATCATGTTGACATTCTTCTGCACAGGCCGGACCGCCGCCATGATCGAAGGCCCTCGAGTCTGTTCACCAGAACATCCAAGAGCTTGAGCAATACCCGCGCGGCGCCGCTGTGCGCTATCCTTCACGCCTAGTAAATCACAAGTTGAGATTGGTCGCTGCGCCGAACACGAACTTCAGATTCTCAGAAGGTCAACGTTTCAACGCCGAACGGATTCCGAGTAAGCGCCCGAGGCCGTTCAACGATCGGGCCATCACATGACTTGCTCAGTTGCTGTGCCGCGCGATGTCCTGATACGGCAAGTGCCAAATTTTCTTGACCCGGGGCACGGAGTCGTCTCACAGCTTCTGCATCTGAGCGTGCACATCGCACCTCCTCCGCACCCTGCTTGTGGCCTTCATATCGTCGAGGAGCTACGCGCGGAGCAGCCAACAGGCTCTACACTTGCTCTTACGATATCCTGGGATCCCAGCAACCACACCACATCTCATTGGATTCTACATAGACATCTGGGTTTTTTTTTGCTGCGTACTAATCGGATATCCTCGCTGTTAAGATGTCGCCCGTTGCAATGCCTGTAGCCATGGATTCTCAGTTTTCTCCCCTCATAGACGCTTTACGCAATGCACCCACGGCTCCAGGCAAGTCTCGCCAGAATCTGCGACTGTCCGCCGCTCACTCATCAATGTCTTGTAGATGCAAAGGCTGCCGCCGATCGCCTTGCTCGCGAAGTCTCAAAAACCGGACTTGAGTCTCTCAGGTGCGTAAATTTACACCTAACTTATCACCAAGTCTGAAGTGCATTCAGCGATGCACAAATCATCACCGCCCTTCATGCCTTCGCGGGCAACAAGAAGTCGGGTTACGAACGTGAATCCGCCGTGGTGGCCTTCCAATCTTTGGTGACTGTACTCGGTGCTCCAGTTGCACCTTTACTTCTGCCCTCTCTCCCGGTCATCTACGAGCTGTACATGGACAAAGGCGATGTGGTCCGCTCGGCGGCTAGCGCTGCCGTCAAAGCGATCCTGAAGCTTTGCCCTCCCGAGACCACTAGAGTTCTGTTTCGTACCCTCGAAGGCATCCTCGAGACAGGAAAGTGGAGAACAAAAGTCGGCGTGCTCGACTCTATCAGGACCTTCTCAAGTTCTGCGCGCGACGCCGTAGCAAACGAGCTTGGGACCACGATCCCGAAGGTAGAAGCTGCTATGCATGACACAAAGCAAGAGGTGTGTAGAAAGACTCAGTGGTTATTTGTGTTTACCAAAACTTTGTCGTAGGTTTCCACTGCGGCAGTTAAATGTGCGACCGCGCTATGCGGAACCCTGGCAAATCCTGATTTGAGCCCACACATCCCATTGCTCGTCAAGTGTATGGCCAATCCGGACTCGGTACCTGCGTGTATCAAGTCTCTCTCGTCCACCACATTCGTGGCTGAAGTCACCGCGCCGGCGCTCGCGGTGCTCGTTCCGCTCCTCATCCGTGCTTTGAACGATAGGTCGATGGAGGTTCAGCGTCGAAGCGTCGTTGTCATCGATAACTTGGTAAAGCTGGTGCGCGACCCCACCGTTGCCGCCATTTATCTCAGCCCTCTTGTGGACGGTGTCGAGAAGATCGCTAAGGGTGCCGCCTTCCCAGAGGTACGCAATAATAGCAGAGCTCCCGCGAATACCTATTATGACACCGATTTCTTAGGTCCGGGCGTTCGCTGAGACCGCTTCGAACACCTTGCTGAAGTCCGGCGCGTCCAAGGATGGACCGCCTCCCGCGAGACGTGATATTGAGGGCGAAACGTCGTCAGCTTCGTCAGCTCTACTCACCCTTCTCCCAGCGGAGCTTGCAGATGTGTCTCCCAACCGCCCCAACGGCCCACATACACCGCGCCACCCGCTTCTCGCCCAGGTGCTGGATTTCGAGGCGTCCCTTGTTGCAGATTTGGTACACGACAGGCGATTCTCGGACAAGGACGTTTGGCATCGTTGCGTCGGATCGTACCTTACCCCATGGTTGTCTGGCGATGCGGACGCCGCGACCACCTTCGCGGAGACGGTTCGGTCCCACTTCCTCGCAATCGACCAGGCAAAACATGCGACGAGTGTCGACGACAGTGGAGAGGAGGGCGAGTTGCTCTGCGATACACAGTTCTCGCTTGCGTACGGTGCTCTCCTCTTGCTGTCACACACGCGCCTGCGACTGTTCCGTGGCCGTCGTTACGGCATTTTGGGAACAAATGGATCCGGGAAGTCGACCCTCATGCGGCAATTGCGAGATGGCAAAGTAGAGAACTTTCCGCCTCAAGATCAGCTGCGTTGTGTCATGGTTGAACACTCGCTGCAAGGCGAAGACACCTCCATGTCTGTGATCGACTTCGTTGCCTCCGGTAGGTAGCTGTACGCCTACACTATGAACTGAGGTTCTGATGAATTTTCCCGCAGACAAGGCGCTCTCTGGGATCCCGCGCACCAAAATTAGGGACCAGCTATTGGAGGTCGGCTTTGACGATAGTCGTCAGGCCGAGCTTGTCGGAGGTCTATCCGGCGGATGGAAAATGAAGTTGGAGCTCGCAAGGGCTATGCTATACAATGCGGACCTGCTTCTGCTTGATGAGGTCAGCATCCATGCTCATCGGTCATGTTGACCGTTTATTGATGATGTCCTCATCGCAGCCCACCAACCATGTAAGTAATATGATTTCATCGTATGTCAACCTGCCTGACTGCTATTCAGCTCGACCGCGCCTCTGTCCAATGGCTGGAGCAATATCTGATTGCACAGAAGCACATCACTTGCCTCATCATTAGTCACGACTCTGGGTACGTGCTATTACTTCACCCCGTACCGCAGGCATTCAGACATCTTGCCAGATTCCTCGACACAGTTACGACCGATATAGTGCATTACGAGAGCAAGAAGGTACTCATTAACGTGAACGAGCTGATCAGACATGCTGATCGGAGTCTTCAGCTTGTATACTACAAGGGCAACCTGTCAACATTCGTAGAAGCACACCCTGAAGCCAAATCGTATTATACCCTCGCTGCAACATCTGTCAAGTTCTCGTTCCCTCCGCCCGGGTCCTTGATGGGCGTCCGCAGTAACACTCGGGCTATCCTCAAGATGTCTAATTGCACGTTCACGTATTCGGGGAGGTCTACACCCAGCCTCTTCAATGTCAGCTGTGCGCTCTCTCTGTCAAGGTGAAGCGGACTTTCTTGATCATGTGCACTAATCGTTGACATCCGTGATCATCAGTCGTGTTGGGATCGTGGGTCCAAACGGTGCTGGAAAGTCTACACTCATCAAGCTCTTGACCGTACGTCGTACTGAATTTCACTCGATTATGGAGTTGAAACGGTTTCACAGGGTGAGACTGAGCCGCAGGAGGGCACCGTGTACAAGCATCCGTCATTGCGTATCGGTTACGTCTCTCAGCATGCGACGCATCACATTGGTGTGTCAATCCACTACTGCATAGGCTGAGTCAAGTTACTGAGGCTCTGTTCAGAGCGTCATTTGGAGAAGACCCCGGTACAGTACATACAATGGCGCTTCCAAGACGGTCATGACAGTGGGTGATATGATTCATCATTGACTGGGGCTAACATATTTTCACCAGGGGAGATTTTGGAAAAAGTCACCCGTGTGCTCACGCCTGAGGAGCTGGCACTGCTTGAAACTGACTTCGTTGGGAAGAACGGCCAGAGACGCAAGCTCGAGGTACAATCTCGATAACAACTCAATTTGTATAAAAACTCATCACATATGGGCGCGGACAGTTGATCATGGGTCGTCAAAAGCTGAAGAAATCGTTCCAATATGAGATCAAGTGGCGTGGTATGTGTAGTTAGTATGTCTTTATGCGGTGGATCCTGAAGGCAAGTTATCAGGTTTCGACCACCGGTTCAATACGTGGATTCCAAGAGACGAGCTCATCGAGAAGGGATTCACTAAAGTTGTGCAACAGTTCGACGACTTAGAGTCATCCAGGGAGGGCGCTGGCCAGCGTGACACTTCCGCTCACCTTGTCCGGAAACACCTCGAGGACATTGGTCTGGACGGCGACATCGCACAGTACAACGAAATTTCTGGCTTGTCCGGAGGTAAGCACAGTTCTAATTGCGCGTATTGCCTGTCTGACATTTGCATCAAGGCCAGAAGATCAAACTCGTCATCGCTGCGTGCCTTTGGAACAACCCTCAGGTATCGCGTGAATATCCTTTGTTTGGTGGGCGTTTATTCTAACATCCGGGGATAGATCTGTATCCTTGATGAACCGAGCAACTTCCTGGACAGAGAAGCGTTGGGTGGATTAGCCGTAGCCATTCGTGAATGGGCCGGGGCTGTCGTACGTCTGCCCGCTTGATCGGATCCTCCACCTACTGACGCGCCTGCCTGAAGGTGATTATCTCACACAACCACGAGTTCGTGACCGCTCTCTGTACGTCACATTCGGGAGTACTGTGCCTGTGAATCTTCATTCATCACCTTTTACCTAGGTCCTGAGATTTGGAATGTGGACGCCGGCCGTTTGACTCAGAAGGGCAAGGCTGCCGTGGTGGAGGATGCCTTCGCCGTGAAGTCGCCGAAAGGAAGTGGTGCCAACACCCCTGCGCGCTCCCGTTTGCAGACCCCGGCGGGTTCTACCGCGGCAACTCCTGCAGGGAGCGGGACCGAAGACAAGAGCGGAGTTGCCACTCCTGCCAAGAAGAAGAAAAAGTTGACTCGCAACCAAATGAAGGCTCAGGAGGAACGACGAAGGCTTCGAAAGTTGCACTGGCTTACCCACGGCGGTCCTAAGCCCGAAGACACGGACAGTGACGCATGATAGAATACATCACCGTACCATCCATACTCGCTGCACCTTAGATATTGTAGCATAGACGTCTTCGTAATATATCGCGTATTTAATGCGTAAGACCTCGTTTCCATGCGCGCCCCGTCAAACGAGTCATAACCATCGCTGCCAAAGCAGTCCGTTCGCAAGCGGACACTTCAACTGTTGTTACAGTACGTGTAAACATGATACATCTACATAGGCTGTCGTGAATAAATATGTAACGCCAGCGAACCCGACCAATAGATACTATGCTATAACAATGGGATGCTGATGTGTTTACATTGCATGGTGCTGTATATAAATATGCGGCGTGCAGCGAGCGTGTGCGTAAGACGTTCGATGAGTAAGGATGACAATACATATGTTGTGAAATATGCAATAGATAGAATCGCACCAAGTGGCGACTGCAATAGACCGACTGCATCAGCGCTTGCGCTGGCTGCTCTCTTTGTCATTGCTGGACGCGGAAAGTTCCCTTCGTCCAGCTCTTCGTCCGCTACGTCGGCTTGAGAGTCGCTCCCCCGTTCGTGGACACGAGCGTGTCTGCGCATGTTGCTCTGGACGCTGAAGCTGCGGCCACAGCCCGGATGTGGGCAAGTGAAGGCTGTGATGTGATCATCATGTCAGTCGGTGTCTGTCGCGAGAGCATTGAGCGGACTGCTTACGTCGCTCTCCGGTGTGCGTGTTGATGTGGATCTGGAATGGTCAGCGGCGGCTGGGACAGAACAGGTCGGGAAAGCACACCTTGAGGCTGCTCGGGCGGGTGAACCCTTTGTGACAGTAACTGCACTCATACCGCGCGGCGGTGGACCGTTCAGGCGGGACTGCTTCAGCTGGGTTCCTGGAAGAGCCTGCCACAGGCATGGGGTGGCCCGGGTACTGCGACTGCGGGGCAGCGTAAGGATACACGCCAGTGGGCATCTCGCCCCTGTTCATTCCCTGCTGCGTGTATGACGAATGCTGCCCGTGACCGTGATGAGCGTACTGCTGTCCGGTAGGCGGGGATGTGCCGTAAGCATACGGGCGCTGCGAAGGGACAGACGGGGTCCTGGCATGGGAACCCGTCCCTGCTGGGCCAGGGGCCGCGTTGTAGGCCGAATGTGAATGCGAAGATGTACGTCCGCGGGATCCTGGAGCAGGCGAGCCTGTCCTTTGTCGACCGTCGTCGTCGGTTAGGGCCAGCCGTTGGAACGGAATGTGGGGCGAAGCAGAACTTCCAGTTCGCCCCTGCTGAGGAGGAACTGCCTCTGACAGCTCTCCTGCATAGGGGTCAAAGAATGGGACTTCATGCACGGTACAATAGCACTCACTTCCGAAAATGTCTCGAATAGGGGGAAGCGTAGGACGCTCGGGCTGGTCCCGTCGAGGGTCTGACGAAGGTGGAGGTTGATTAGAAGGCATAGATAGTACAAAGGGGGGGATGGCAGGGTGCACCGAATCCAGGGCGGAAGAGCATGGTATATGTATGCCGCTGGGATAACTCACACTTACACGTCTTGACGTACTGCGATGGAGGGCGAATCACCGGATGGCAGTCCGTGGCGCGCATTTGTTGCGTCCGTTGGACTGCAGCATACTCACAGCAGCGCCGACGCGGTCGCCACGCTGGGTCAAGCCGTCGACAACGACGTTGATGACCGTCCTGAGTGCACTGATATGATCAACCCGAACACGGATGAGCCCCGTTGTTCGCCTTCATGGATACTGTACCATTGCGGGGTGGCGAGGAAAACCCGTGCTGCCCTTCGACGTAGGGCAACGTGTCAAACCGTCCAGTTCCGCGAACTGAGAGCTGTCAACAGAATGATTGCACGGACGGTGATACAGTGCAGAAAGCGCTTACGGGCTCCTGTGTATCTCAGATCGCGGATGTTGTGTCCGGCCACATCCCCTTGCTGAAAGGTGTTGAACGCACCCATGCCATTCTGGCTGTGCGATGCGCAATAGTCTCGATGTCAAGTGAGATCAGCCGTTTCCCACCCTCCGCCCGACAGTGTATCTCTGCATCTGGCCATCACCATCAACAGCGCAGTTGTTAAATGCATAGCTGTTAGTCGCAAGACCGCTAACACAAGCACTGCACTCACTCCAGCCATTGATGCTGCCGGAGACGCCAACGAACGACATGCAATAGCAGGTGCAGAGTCTCGACAGTTAAGATGACAAGACCTGACATCCGTACAACTTCTCTCTTGCGTAGCAGCACCCTGGGCCTGTCAAACAATGCATGATCGCAGCGTGGCTACACCGACCTGATCGTGGAAGCGTGCCAGAAGCAGTCCGGTAGCGGAACAACGGCACAACGACCCCGCCGATCAGCCGCGAACCCGTCCTTGAGGTACCCCGTCTGATCATTATTGAAGTGCATCGCAATGCCGAGAGAAATCGAGGAAGAGGCGAATCCTTGATGAAATCATAGGATCTCCTCGTGCCTTTCCCCGAGCAGAGAGCTTATGGGTATAATGAACCACACGATAAGACTGCCTCCATGATATTGGGTCGGTCACGGCCGAAGATCGCATAGCGCAAGGCATACTACGACGTATGTGAGCCCAAGTAGCATTCGGAGCAGCTTGCGACGCCATAATGGGTTTCACGCTGTTCATGCAGCGCCTTGTGATTGCACCTCCTCCGGTGTCTTTGTTTTCAGGGAAAGCGCGTGTAGGCCCTGAGAGAGTTCCTCGGAGAGCGTAGAATATATCAACCTGTGACGCTGCATTGTTGTCTAACGTACCGAGACGATACTTCAGATCGGGCCATTGAATGCATGGGGTATAGAGACGGACCTTGCCCCGAAACTGTTCTGAAACGACTTGGATGGAGAAATCTGAGAAGAGAAGGTTGGTGGCGATGTCAGCGGTGGCCACGAAACACGGAACGCGCGATAAAGCCGGCGGCGGGAAGCTCAGAGTGATGATACCTACGAGTCTCTCCAGAACCTCCGCCCTGCGCCCTCATTGCGGCATGGTGACGGTGCTGCCAGGAATCGTTTGTGACCGTGAGCTCCGAGGGCTGTAAAGCGGAGGAGAGCTACGATCACGGAGGAAAGTATGAGTACCTCGGATGCACGAACAAAATGTATCACTGACGCACCTTTGTTTTGATAGACCTCGCCACAGGCCCTTCCTCACCAGCCACCTGTGCATCAGACGTAGAGGTCGACATACTGCTCCTGAGTAGCTGCGGTAACCGGTTGCGAACGACAGCGGTCCTGCGAGCTGAGATTGCTAGCATCGACACGTCGCGAGCGGTGTGTGAGTGCCTGTAGCACGACGCCTGATGTTGGAGGGCGGTACGGGGAAAGGGGGAAGGGAGGGCCTGTGATGTGATCGGCTCGAAGTCAGGAGCAGGTCGGTGGCTGTCCCACCGGCAGTATCCGAACCGCTGTCCATACCTGGGTCGAACCCCTTCTGGCTGACGGCATCTGTGGCTTTCTCAGCTCACCTCCACTCTCATCGACCTCTCCGCCATGTCAAGCGAACAGATCATACAGACGCCCTATTACTCTGCCCACCTATACAGAGGCCAAGTGGTGGGGATCATTCTGGAGGAGGGTACAACCGACGGCGATCCCCACAGAAAAATAAAAGATACGCTGCCCGAACATGACGACCACGGAAACTATCACCAATATGTGGTTGCGGACGAGGAGACCCGGAATCATTGGAGGAAGAGGTTGGGTGTGATTCTTGCACGGATGGTGGTGAGGGAAGATCTCAAGAGGCAAGGAGACCATTGTGAGTAGCCCTGCTTCACCTTGACCGTGTCATTTAGTCTCACACTATGCAGGGAGGGGCAATTTGCAGTCCACTTTCCTCTCCGAGCTGCCGATCAACTATGAGCTCTACGTACACAAGAGCCAGAAATCGTATGATCCGCGCAGGGACGTATATCTCTTCGGTAAGCCGAGTCCTCTATCTCCTCAGGTTTTGCTCATCAACTTCAGGCTCGCGATATGTGACCGTCTTCCGCTCTCCCGCCGAGTTCGCATACCACCTGGTCTGGCTCGTGTCTGGCAGTCCGCTCAAGCCAGACGGGAAGCCGGACTGCGACTGCGTGTACTGCGATCCTTCGCGAACACAGTCAGAGATCTCATACGAGCTGAAGCTCCGGCATAAAGACCCACATGCCCCTGTGTCCAAGGATGCGAAATCCAAGGTCAAGGTTGGGAAAGTTCGTAGTCGCCGCGAGCGGTCCCCGTCGCTGGCGTCCATCCCTTACAAAGACTACACCAAGTTGAATCTTCAGCCGCAGCCGTAGATCTTCACTGTTCTACCCCATTGACTTGCCCGTCGCGCCCACTGTCTAGGATGACTATGTAGTACATCACTCATGCCGAACCTCCTCACGCACATCGCAATCATTGTCACTCTTCCGGTATTGTTTTCGCGCTTTCGTTGGCACAGTCCCTGTATGTACCATATAACCAGTGTACATACCAACTCCTCTTCCTGTATACCATCGACTCTCACCGGTCCCTCTGGATCCTACTCAGTGTGTGAGCTTGATAAGCTGTCACAATCGCGTCGCGTCACGCGTTGTGTCGTGTGACTGGACGCGTCGTAACACTATTGAAGGGACCGTGACTTTGACTGCCACAGCCTTGTCATTCACCGAGACCGACTTCGACCACCAGCGCAACTCTAACAATCACTAGTATCACTGCGTCACTCGTCACAAGCCACATTGAATCTCGTTGACTGCGAAATACTCAATCGGAGGATTCGTACCAACGCACGCAGTGTGCTGCAGGAATTCTGACCGTGACGTCTTCAAAACCATTTCACAATGTCAACACAATCAGGACCTCTACAAGGGATGGCACCTGAAAGGGATATGTCAATTCATCAAAGAGGCCTAGTGGATACCTGCTTCGAGGAAGGCCAGTATGAGGCAGCCGCCGTTGTGCTAGACCAGCTTCGCTCGCCAAAGTAAAGCCTCATCCGTGAGTGCAGAGTCCGAAAGAAAATTGTGGATTTCTTACTTTGACACGCAGCCCTCACATTCGACACCTTGTCTACATTGCCCTATACTCTCCCTCAGAGACGGAAGTCTTTGACGCGGACAAGATAGGTAGCGAGCCAGCTTCGCCTAGCAAGCTACTCTCGCGTCAGCAGAAGACCACATTGCTCCCCACCGGGCAGCGAGGGACGCAGCGCTGAAGCTCCTCTTCGCCTTCCTGCAAACCAACACACCCGGTGCGCTCTTCGCGGCGTTGCCAAAGTATGCAGGCACGGACAACGGCGCCGTGAACGGAATCCAGGAGGACACGGACTCCTTCATAGCGAGGCAGTCGGTTCGCGTGCGGAACGCCAAGGACTGCTGGGCTACTTTGAGAGAAGGCTTTGTGCAGCCTAACGCGGAAGTGCCCCCACAGTTGAAGCGCAAGGGCTCGAGTCGCGCACGAGCAGTCGAGGAGCAACCTCAGATGGACAATGGAGAAGTCGAGGGCCAAGCCACTCGGGCTCCCGTGGGTGAACATGCGTGGCCAGTACTGGAGTGGGTGCTATGTGTGCTGGAGAAAGATGAGAAGCTGGTTGAAAAGAGTGGTCAGCGTACGGCTCATATGTTCGGCTATCACACCTTGTGTCACTGACTCCGTTGTCCTCAGCTTTACATTCTCCGCTGCTGGTGTCTCAGATACCACAGCCGCGGTCCGCCACAAGTGCTCGGTGGGACATCGAGGCCCCCCTGGACGTTATCTTCTACTGTCTGAAGGAGACTGACCTTCGGCGCAGGTCATTGGGCATCCGCCTCCTTGCCTTGGTCCGCCCTTTCTCTGCTAACACAGACACAACCGCTTACTCCAGACATCTCCTTGGTTCATCATAACAGTTGGTCAACCTCTCAGCAACCACAGTGGTTGACCTCCCTCTATTCTTGAACGCGATTGGAAGCCGGCTATTCTCGCTGAACACGGATGAACTGGTCTCGGTCCTCGCCGCGTTACCGTCTTCCCCAGCGACGCTTCAAATGAGAGTGCTGCTCTGCCGGAACTACCTGACCGACTTTGGAGCTGGTCCGGGTCAGAGCAGCACACGACCAAAGCCCCAAGCACGCGGCCAGCCGCGCCCCGCCCCCACACGTCGCAAACAACCCGAGTCATCGCCGAATGACAACCTGTCTTCGAATGTCCCCGCAGCCGATACGACAAGCATCAGCCGCAAGTTTCCTACGATCTTGCCGTCGGAGATCGTCACCCTCATCGAAAGCCCGTGCTCGACGGACATCAACAGCAGCGCCCAGACCCTCCGAATCAAACTAGAACTAGCCCTGTCTTATACGCTGTTTCGGAGGCAGAATGGGCCCGATGCTACGATAGAGGCAGAGTGGCTGGGCGTCCTACGCGATGGTCGCCTCAATGCTGCTTTTGAGACGGCATCTAGGCTGGTCCGGAAGACGAGAAGCAAGACCAGCGCGGCGATGGACGATCGGGCGATCGAGGGCATGAAGCAGCTGCTCGCCGCAGTCACTGTATGCTGAGAAGCTTGGGCGCGTTGAAGCCACTCCTGGGATCATTGAGTGGTAAGCTTACTCGCGATTCCATCGCGGGAAGGGTGGACCGGGTGGAATGATGAACGATGCAATTTTCAGATGCGCGGCGACAGGTCCGAGTCAATACGTATTCCCAGTCAGTGCGGGACCTTGGGGTCGCCTCAATCTATCAAAGCTAACATTGAACCCCGTGGAATTGGAGGCTTTCTCCCTCGGCAACGGTCTCACGCTGTCATGGATGTGTTCTGCCACGGCGTCAAGCATCGGGGGCGTCGGTGCCTCTGACATTCGTGTGTCTCCTCGAGAACGGTAAAGACAAATTGGAGGCTGGCCATGATGGTGGTGGATGCTCCGATCCTCGGTTTGCGCCTAACGATTATCGCGTTGATCTATGGACTTGGGCCATTTTCACACTCATCGGAACAGGTGTGCTGGAAGTGTCCTGGGTGGCATCGTATCCTCAGGGTCAGTCTTTGTCTATCCCGGGCTCGGAGCAGTCGTGAGAAGTCGTATAATGTTATCGCTGCAGTGTACGACATGCGGCGAATACCTATATATACTGGTCGTAGATATTGTCGGATGGTTGAGGCGTGCTACAACGCGACGGCAATCCTATGATATTGCGGGACTTGTCAGACTTGTACAACAAATGCAACGACAGCAGTACTTCGCTTGCTCAGCATCGTGAACCGGTTTCCTGTACGTGTGGAACAATAGATCGTGTTGGGTTGCGTAACGGATGTGGAATCACATTCATGTCGATTGCACCACCAAAGGCGTGTCGACTTCGGCCACATTGCCCGAGGGACCTGCGCCCTGGTACATCCCCAAGGGTATGTACCCAATGTAATGGAGGTCCCCAAAGCCACCAACGTAATAAATCGCCTAAACATGGCATGAGCACCAGATATGACGCCATACCGCTCGTCCAAGTCGCTCACCTGCGGATCGAATCGTGCCCAGTAGGCCTGGCACGTTGCGACGTGGGTTCAGTATAACGCGAGGCTCCTAGATTTGACAGTGCACGCACCACATGAGGTCTCCGGGGCCTGGAACCCAGCGATGGGCATCCGGGTGCTTCGCAATGTAGCAGGCTTTCATCTCCTTTCGTCAGGGATAGCACCGGCATCGGTGAAGACAGTCACATTTCCTATTAGCGAAACACGAGGACGGCTCGCATCCGGTTGCGCGTCCGCGACCGAGATTGAAACCGAACGAGTGTTCGAGTGCAGGATGTTCTGGCTTGAGCGAGAGATCGGCATGAAGAGTAGGACCAGGGAGCCGTTCGCATGGCAACTGAGTGGCTAGTGCTCAATATCGCTCGCGGATGCTTTACCGACCAATCGCATACCTAGCGTAGTACTCTTGCAAGGAGAACGGCTGGCCTGCGGTAGACGGGCCCAATGAGTGCCCGTAGAACAGTCCTGAAGAAGCTCACTCAATTAGGAGTTGCGGTTCTCACCTGCCAAAGTTGCGTGGTCATCGGGGAACACGGTACCCATGTACCCGATGCTGGACGGCGATAGATCGACCAGGGACCTGGCCAGTATGGCTGACACAATCGTCAGCATGTGTCATATGCACAAACATCGTGGCTATCTCAACCTGCTTCATGTACAGTCTCGATACCAAACACGGCCTGCGCTACACAGAGCGCTGCCGCAACGAGGACTTTGAATGAACGAAGGATGCCCATCTGGAGATATGAGAGTTCCAGATGCCGATATAGCTTGGTAGGGATTCCCAATTATACGGTATAATGGAAGACCGGAGCGTGGCCTGAGGTCCAAGGTGGCGCACAGGGGTCCGCGATTGTCTGGTGATCGTAGTATGTGAGATAAGACAGCCTTCGAGTTCGAAGCTCAGTTACACGGTACCTGAGTTCAACTCGCCCAAACAATAGTCCCCGAGTCTGGGCACCGAATAGAGCCAGATTCGCTATGCTTGCCAGCTTGTATATCTGCAGCGCGGACCAATCGGACTCGCCCGATGGAAGAGTTCAGCGGAACCCCGCAAGTGAACGCAAATGGAAACACCCAACGGACGCAAGAGACTACGGACGCAAATGGAAGGAGATCGCCAACGCGGATAAACTTCTTGCTTACGTAGGTAGTTGTTCAATGTACAGTACTGGCAACTGTGCTGTCCACGAAAGACGTGCAGGACAACTTTGCAGTGAGACTGAGTCCGGAGAGGGTTCCTCGCAAGGGCTATGACGCCCAAGAGGTGGCTGTTTCCCTTGTGGCGTCCCGTTGTGGCGGTGGCAGTGAGACCAACATTGTTTGTACTCAACCAAAGACTGCCATTTGGAGGACTAGCTCATTGACTTCATCAACTCTGCGCCAGCTTCCTGCTTTGATCCGCCTAGCGTAGCGGCCGCAGCAATTGAAAGATTGTCGATTGAGATTCGCCTTCCACCGCAGACGAGTCAGACATTGGTTCCGACGGCCGCAGTACATGAGGCCGTACTGCTCAGCAGTTCTGTTGTCCAACATGAGTTGCATACCAGTCACTAGTGACTAATGCGTACGAGCTTGCTTCTGACGTGAGCCTACATACCCAAGAGACATGTCCGACCGGTACGTACAGAGTAGCGTACATGACCACCGGCGAATTTGAAAGCCCTCGAACCCGAGCTACCTGACCAAGACAAGAGAGCCCACAAGAAGACACAGAACTCCAGACCAATGTCCGCGAGGATTATGGAACACGCCGTTGCTTATCACACACCTTCACTCGAGTCTTCGCCGAGACTCTCCGCTCCACTGCTCCCTTCGTAGACGTCTATGAGATCGCCATCGTCAGCACCTGTGTTGTTTTTGCCCCTCGACTCTTGATTACGGTACATCTGTGCGAGAAATTCTGGCGTGCTGGCGTTTTCTACAGCTTTGTCCTCTCGAACGCGGATGAAACGGGGGAAGCGGAGACTCAGTCCCCTGTTGGAGTTAACGAGACCGAGGGCCGCCACGGAGACGGGGCTAATAGTAATACTGGCCCCAGACGTCAGCACCGTATTCCGCAGTGATCATATGTGGATTCCACATACTCAGCACCGCGTATTTCCCAGACCTCCTGCGGTTTGAAATAGACTTCTGGTTTTAGTCCTAGGCGTCTTCGAGTCAGCTTCGAGCGGACTTCTGCGGGTACGAGATGATACAACCTCCCGTCTCGCACGCCGGTTCCCATAGGGACTGTGGTGAGCATGTCTCCGAATGCTCCGGATAGCGCTCCTTCAGACTCTATTTACAGAGCCTACTTGTCATACCATAAGCACACAACATACGCGGGGCCGTGCCTACCTTATAGAAAGCATCCGTGAATCCTATTTGGGTGGTTTGCGAGTCTGAACGGGACAGATGGTTACCATGACTCACCCGACATGCATTTGCACACCGCTACTAGCTTCCCAGCGTCGGCGTCCCATACTGCGAGCAGGATTGGACTCCACCACTGGGCCTTCCTGCCATTGCCATGCCACGCCCCGATGGGCACAAGATCGAGGCTATCCCCAAGGCCGGTCACGTAATCCTTCTTGAGTTTCAACCATGCGGATGTCCGTTTGTCTTATTGCGTGCATCAGCCTGGGCGCTGTTATGCATCACTGATCGACCATATACGCACCAGGCTCATATGTAGCAGGCAGAGGCTTTCGCCGGGGCCTTTCCTTCTGGTTCACCTCTTCTAGCACCTCTCCGCTGTCTAGGAGCTGCCCCCGAAAGCCAATCAATTACCCTCATATCGGCGCTAGCGTGAATGGAGATACCTTGATCATGAGCCCCTCACACGAGCTTGCCACGGCAGCCTGCCAGAACTCCTCGACAGTATCACGTCCATCCTCGCTTTCGCAGCTCTGGACGTGATTGAACCTTGCCGCATCTTTGCGCTCGGGGATATATGGCGGGAACCTTGACCGCAATAGCGCTCGACGTTCCCGAAATGGTTTCTGGAGCAGTATCTGTTCCTTGTCAGCCGAGCGGCACGATGATACGCAAGCGACCTGAACAAACCTCGGCGTCGAGATACATGATGTCGAAAGCATAGACACAAACTGCGACTTTCACGTCCTCGATCCTGACGTCTTTGCGCGCCCGATTTGACAGTTCTTGGAAGGACTTCAAGTGTCCATCCGTAGGGTCTATGGCCACAATTTCTGAATCGAGGATGAATGAATTTGTGTCGGCCGAGGTCTCAAACATATGTTCCACGAGGGAGATGATGTCCGGGTACTGCTTGTTCGATGATCAGCTAATTTATCATACAATCAGACACAGGCAACGGTGCATGCCTTGTCGGTCATGTCTTCCAGATGTCGGGAGAAGATCTTCACAGATATCCGTCCGCATTCCCTCCATGCGTGTATCTGGGCGCGCTGCCCGTCATATTTGAACTCTGCGGTGAATGGTAAGAAGCCCAGCCTGTCGTAGATCTCGTCAAGTGAGCGCGTAGGGGACCCTAGAGTCGGAAGCAGGGGTATGCCTTTACAAGTCGTGTAAGATTCGATCAGGACAAGCTTTAGACACAGTACTCACCGACCGACAGCGGAACACGAGAGGCGAGGTCTTCCAAGCCTGTGTCCAATAGTGCTTTCACGATGTCATCGTAATTCGGATGCTGGACGTAAACTCTCTTGAGCAGCCCCTCAGCATTATATATACAGCATTAATGCTGTCTCTCGCAGGGTCTACCGTCTTCTTCTTGGTGTTGGCAGCGGAGGGTCGAGTTGCGCCAACTGTCCAGCAGTCACATAGTATGGTGAATCGGGGTCTGCTGAAACAACGCCAGGCGGCGGTGTCAATGCCATTGCGCGGGCTAGCGCTGTCAAAGCGACGTCCGCACGGCGCCGACACGCAGGTTTTGACATAGCGTTCGCACAAGAAAGCGCGTCTCCTCGCCTTTCGCCGCGACCAGGAGTTTCTCGACGATACTCTGCTTTTGTTTAGCAGCGCCCTGCCCTTTGGCGCGAGCGATCTTGAGAAGGGACTCATAAACTCCGGCGACTAAGAGTGGAGGATGAGGTATGAGGGTTCGGACGTTTGACTTAGCCTCGAATGCGACATCTCCTGAGCCAATAGAGTCTATGTCAGAATGGTGGTATCTGCATATGTTAAGAGCTTACCCGGATCACCCGTGGAATTGTATAGCCGTTTTAGTGCGGAGGCTGACAGACCTGATACATGTTGGATCGCCTTAGATATGGTTGAACCACCGAGTCCGAGCTCAAGCGGAGAATACGGGGGTGAGAGTGAATTCGAAAGGAGGTAGAGCGCGGGGAGAATGGAGTGTGGGTGATGTTTCGTGATGGTCCGCAGACAGTTGGTCAGGGTATTCAATATTGCAATGCGGGACCGAGTCCCCGATAGAGTAGCAAGCGTATGAGCAAGAAAAGAGTATGGCACTGGTCGGCCAGGCAGCCAGATGTTGTCAGGGACCACATAAGATATAGGGTCCACATCTAGACGTCCGTAGACTGGGTCCGCTGATGAGTCCAATTGAGAACCGCCGAAGACGGGAGTCCCGCACAATGCAGCGCTTGATTCGGCTTCGCCCTGATGACCCGCTTCTTGGGGATGGATTTTGTCCGCTGTGCTAGAAGGTCCGAACGATCCAGGCGCAGTAGCTAGGGTCTCCTGGTCGCTCAGGCTATCCACGTCTATGATTTCTACAGGCGCTCCTGGGGATCGCTGGTTCAGGTTACGCTTCGCGCTTTCCTCGAGCTCCCTCAGCTTGTCGAGGTCAAGACCATCTTCTTCCGCGAGGCTCCAGGCAAGGGTGGCGTCGGAGTCATGAACGATAGGACTAGTATGACGAGCTCCAGACGTATGACGCGGCTGTTCATCAGCCTTCGACAGTTGAGATGTCTGCGGAGTGGACTTGGCCTTTCCTTTCGAGGAGCTGTTGGGCGGCGCACGGGACGGTCCAGGAGATGAAGATGATGGCCCACCAAAGTATCGGTCAAGATTGTGTTGCTGTCCGGTGACTTGCCTTTCTTCTTGGGTGGACTGGCAGTCGGCGAAGCTAACGCACGTTTGGACATAGTGTTCCAGTTGCACTTGGCCGTTCTCAGCCTGAGTATCATAGACTAGCAGTGGCCGAATGGAGGTAGGCCATTGGAGAGTTGATGACAATATGATAAGAAATATAAGGGCAAGTCAGAGGATGGCAAGAATCTGCCACGGTTGTTGAGGAAAGACGTCAAAGCGAGCGCTGCAGATCGAAGAAGTGGACGACAAGAACACTCGTGCTTCTCGGCGCTCACACCGTATTTGGCAACTGCTGTGCATGAACCACGCCTCCGCTCTCCTCCTCGAAGATCACGCTAGCGCAGTCAGAGCATGGACTTTGATGAAACATCCACGCTATTCGACTTCAACTGCGGCAGAACACCGGGCGAGCCAACATGCAAATGCCAGTCTCGCTGGACTAGGCTGGCATACCTCCATTTCCTGACAGCGTTCCTGGCCTTAGACTCCTCTGGTATACCCCTTTCAGCATTTGGCTCTCGACACGGCGGTCCTCCGTGTTCGGCCAAATCTTCCAATGTCTCCGCAAACATGACCCGAGCCACGGCACGTAGACGGCCATCAGCGTCTACGAAATCATGACTGTCGCTATGATCATCGCACAACCACTGTCCTCGGCGAGCAACCGTGCGCGGTGTCTTGCATAACAGGCGTATGCAATCGGACTACTTACATTCCCAAGCATTCGCGGCGTCACGCCCTATTATAATGACAGTGCGTTCCGCGGAGCACGTATCATCCGCAGACTGCTCATGTGAACCGTTTCAACAGCGCTTTAAATTGTCCATTGATGGCACAGTCCCCGGTGCGAGATCTGCCTCCGTCAGTGACACTAATGGGCTGGTCTCTGCAGGAAGGGACCGTGCACCTACGTAGAAGGACCACGACCGAGCAGAACATAATTGCTTCCGGGGGATGGTGAGTGGGACTGCCAAGCCGAACGCCACGGCGCCGTTCGGACGTATGTGGCAGACGACACAACGGACATCACGCCTTCGTGCCGCAGGTTTAGCGCTTTGTTTAAGGTAACCACCATGGACAGGGGTTAACGTTACATTCCGTAAGTGATGGACTGACAGCCCCCTTATAGCTCGGACTGCGCTAGCAAATTGGACTAACGCTGCGCTGAAACTGCAATCATACTCCCTTATCAAAATTCTGCGGTCGCAGTGTGTCGTATTGCAATTTTGTGTACGGGAATGTTGCGGGAATGCTCAGACCCTGGCGACTGTGATATTTGAATATCCTGCCAGTGCCCGGGCTCCCTGATGACCTCGGGTTGGCTGGCACTTTGAGACGGGCGCGCGACGGCATCGCAGAAGATGGCAGTTCACATCTGCGATCCTCAGGAAGCCCCGAAGCAGACTGTCAGACGATAGGATGGATCTTATCTGCCTAGCATGGGACTCCGTCTTTCAGGAGACTACAATTCCGCGTCAACCCACTCGATGACGTCGGCTCGTAGCGACAGGAGCGCGTACCTGCCATAAATCACAGACCTAGCCAACGAATGAGTACGTACAGTACGGCCTTGACACTCTGAATACAAGTTGCAAGTCCAGTATAGGAGCGTTTTGAGCGGACTGACCGGATCAATATGTTTGCGCGTTCCTGGCTAGCGCACTCGGCCGCTCGAAGCTGGCTCGAAGTGGACAATGTGATCGGCCCTGCCCCCTACCGTTATAGCTAGATTGAGGGAAGAGTTCGATACCCGCTCTGTCTTCCTCACCGGCGACCCCCACCGTAATAGAAGGGATGCGGTAAACTAACTTGTTATGGTTGCCCGCCGTAATTCACAATACACAGCCTCAGTTCCAATGTTTGACGTATCATATGTTTGTTCTACTATACTTTATTTGTACGCATTGAGAACCCTGGACCCGCCAGCGTCCGACATACCGGTCCAAAGCCTTTGTGGCAGTGAGATCGTGCCTGACTTGCGCGCGCCCTGTATTTGAGCAGGGAATCGAGCGGCTCCGGGACATACAAAATGTGAGTCGCATTTTGCCCTTCGTCTCGACATCCCCTCCCGCCGCACATCATGTCGGACCGGCGCACCCATCAATATGCCGCTCCCGCTAACGCGGCTTATAACGCCTCTCACCTGGCTGGCGGCCAATATCAACTCGCGTACGCTGACCAGTACTCATCTCCCTCCTATTCCGCAACCTACTCGTCCGTTAGACCCCACAGCGTTGTAGGAGCCTCATACGACCAGTCCGCCGCGCAGGCCCACCCCGTGGCCAGCCACTCCAACTACTTGCCCGATCCGCAGTTGAACTACACGTACTCCACGAGACCCGAGAGGCCAATATCCATGCATCAACCGACCTCGTATCACGGGGAGAGTGGACACGGGATGCCGGCGCACTCACCTAGTCGTCCCCGCTCGGCACATCCTTACGGAATCTCATCGTCGCCTCCGCATTCGCCATCTGTTCCGACGCATGCGCCGGGGATGTACCCGAGCCAGACCGCCTACGCACAGCAGGTCAACATGTCCCAGTACCCCGCGTCACCGCAGAGACCATTTCCTGCGATATGTGTGCGTTGTCCTTCAATAGGCAGCACGACCTGAAGAGGCACCGGGATACGCACACCGGCGAAAAGCCCTTTGTCTGTAACGGCGGATGTGGGAAGACATTCACGCGGAAGGACGCGTTAAAGCGTCACCAGGTACGCCAGAAGAAGTCCTGTCCATCGCATTTGCTAACGACTGCGCAGCTTGTCAAAAGGTGTGGCATCGACGAAGACGCCGTCTGAGCATGAGACCATTGTAACCTGTTATCATATCTGTGAGTACCTGATGCTTGACGACGATGCACGCGACTCACACCGTGATAGATTTACATCATCTGCCACTCACTGCGTCGATACATTACGAGAGCCGGCTCATCTCAACTGTACTAACCTCGGTCTGGATTCAACCCATGAAAGCAACTTCTAATCCGTACATACGACCACTAGCGTAGCACTCGGTCGCACTCGGTCGCCCACCGCACGTCTGCAATTACACGGTATCTTAGAATCTGGGCGGATTGCTGTCTTGTATATACTGTATCACTTACCTGTACCTCCTGTATCTAGCATCTCCGCAATTTCACACAGTTACGCTCGGGGCCTCGATCTCCCTCTCCAGCACCCAGGCGTCGTGAGGCACAATTTTCTTGTAGTAGCCCTCGAATATGCTCTTTCCTTGAAGCCATGACGTTCGTAGAACTTTTTGGCCTCGTGATTGGAGACCTGAACATGCAGGTGTATGTCTGCGATCCTAGGCTTCGTTTGGGCCGCGGCAGCTTTGAGGACATGTTGCAGTGCGTATGACCCAAGGCCTCGGGAGCGATATGGCTTGATGATAAACGTCAGTCGGTGTCGACGTTGACAGACGAAAGCCACTCACTGCCAGTACGCCCATCGTCATCAAGTACAGTCTCGTCTTGCCTTCTACCGTCTCCATCCTACAGCAGATCGTACCTACGGGAATGTCATTGTAGTAGACTGCCGAGGTGGTTAGCAACACTTCTCGAGCAAGTCGGGACGACGCACTGAGTTTGCAGAACTCCTCTGCTTCCGGTAGCAGGACATCCTGATAAAACTTATCGCTGTACTTGATCGGAAACAGTACAGAGTTGAGCTTCCGCACTGTCCCTGGGACAGAGTCAGCATGCAGGGCAGAAGGGAATGGCTGGATATACCCAGATTATTGGGAGTCAAGGACGCAAGCGACACCCGGGATAGAGACCGTTGATTAGGCGGAGACATAGAAACCGTGGGAATGGCTCGCCTTCCTTGCTTGCTGCCTTCTTGCCTCTTGCAGGCCCTTCGCTCGCCGCGTGCGCACTCGAGGTCGTAATCTTCCCTAACTCTATCGTTTCTTCGCATTCGAGAAGTGAAAGAACGTTCCATATTGGCTCGTGCCACGCAAGTAGATCTTCGCGATCTCAACTCTATTCGGACGTGACCCGGATGTGGTAGCCTGAACTACTATGGTCGGAAGTCATGTCTCCCAAAGCCTAGTCGGAATGGGTCTCATGCGACTGTATGATGTGCTGCAATACGCATCTCACAACCTTATTGCGGCCACTCGGAACCGTCAAAGGTCATGTATCCGACAATTCGCTGAGCGTAAATGGCTGGAGTGAACAGGCAACTTGATGTTGCCCCGGTGAGTCGTCCTTTTGCGTCAAGATTGCCTAGCCCTCATACACGACCAATTGTCTCACAGCAGCATGGCAGATCTTCGGGGTGGAAAGTGGCCTGCCGTACCGAGCGTCGTCGTTTCAGCGGGGGATGCGATGCTTGGGCGGCCTAGGGCAGTCCGAGTTTAGAACGCTCGCTTTACCTACACTTAGTAAAGTGCCACCACGTCAGCTTTGTTTATGCTGAACAACGCTTAGTAGCCAGTGACCGCTGAATGACACCTTCATCGTGGCCGAATCCGAGTCGGAGCCACGTCGGGCCCAGGTGTCCAAGTGGTCTACGTGCGACACGATCCGCTGTCAGCCATCAACATCCTTCCGTCCTGACTGCTCCGTCCCCGACCATCATTCAGAGCGTTGTTACCTCGAGCTGGTGACTGCTCAGCGTTTCAATTTTCACGGGCGCGATCATTGCCCCCGTCAGTCGGCGCGCAATCCGGGATGCCATACTCTTGCAACCATGAAGGTACGTAGTCAATCATGTGAGCCGAGCTGCTATGTCACGGATGCAGGGGCCTTGGTGACTGGGGCCGCTGTAATACCAGTTGCTAAGCCGCTCTCCGTCGGCCAACTCCAGCCGCAAAATGGCTGCGTTGCACTCGGCCCCGCGCCTGCCTAGAGGCAGAGCTCGACGCAATCTTCACCGTGAAAGCCCCGGGCTTGATGTATCAAGTTCTCTCGCGTCTTCGTTTCATACCTCCTGCATCGTCTTGCATTTAGGCTGTGAAGGACACATGCCTCTGCTACGGGTCATATGTCGCGATGCTGACTGCTGTTTAGCCTGCATTCCGGACAGGAGCAATATCCGCTCGCTGCCGTAAGGGTCGATGGACGACCGTCCGCAGCTCCCGATTTTGATAGTGTGGATGCGCGGTACCTTTGAAATCTTCTCTCCCTGTATCAACCACTTGTGCTAGACCGACCGGAGAAAACGACGTTTGCTGGCGCGTTCTCCGCGGTCATCCATAACGTCCGTTGTGGATGCCATCTATTACTTCCTCCCGGGCTGTAGATGCCAACACAAGCGTACAGAACCCTAGTCCATTCAGTTGGTTTGGTCATACCTCATCATTCATCTCTGCTCTGGATCCGGGGGTCGGTTCCATTCCGTACGCTCACGCTCTGTCACCGATCTACTCACGATTGCCCAGCGATCGCTGTGCCCCCACATACAGCCTTGATCGCCTTCGTGAGTCCGCCGAACCATTCGGGCAGTGCACGGCTAACTTCTGGTTCTGTAGTTCGGACTCTTTCAAGTAGACTACCAAGGCCAAGGGTCCACTTCCCCACCAGCTGCCTTCACGACAAGTCTCCACTTCAAGAGCCGCGTCGGCCTTAGCACGCGTCCCCTGCATGCCTGAAGCTGTCGACGCAGCGTTTATATGACATGATGGCGCCTGGCTCAACTTTCAATCTCAGCGTCCTCCAGCGAGTGGGACCGCGATATAGGTAACGTTTGATGCTGCACAAATCGCGGACCACGGCAAAGCAGGTTAGTACTAGTAGCAGTCATACGAGGAACCAACTGACGCTAGGCGATGCCCTATAGTATCCACTGCTGACGCGGACGCCTGTCATGGTCCTGTCTGGCTTTTACGTGAAGCCCCAGCGAGGAGCTCAGGAGGTCCCTTACTCTGTGGTCCGGATTGATCAAATGCTCGCTCGGATTTGGCTGGAAAGATACTCGGGATATGGGCAACGTCGTGGCCGGAGCAGGTACGTTCCTGACTCCATGCATCTACGATTGTTGACGATGGGGGCATTCTACAGCTATTCCAAGACATTCGTGGATCTCTCGGACATGCTGCACCAGCAGCTGAAGTCACGGTCACTCATACAAAGGTAGGAGGTTGCAATGAAGTGCGTTGTCATGGGCTAGTCTCCTGTACCACCGTACAATCGACCGGTCTCCGGCATCTCCATGTATCCTTCTAGGAACATAGATCCTGCATCCGACGGCTGCAGTTCCACCGTGTGCCGGTAATTGCGCAGAACGCTCGTCATCCCCTCATCAAATGGTGGTTAACAAACTGTCACTACGCGAAATCAGGCACCATCCAATGTCGATAAGGTGTCGCATTCCAGCCGCAAGGTACTAGTACAAGGTACAAGAGGGATATCGGGATATCGTACAAGCACATACAACAAGATAATAGAGAGTCCTTGGGATACAGCTCTAATGTCCGTCACGAATCGAATCAAATGGCAGTCATCATACATCTGCACCCATGCCCGAGTGAAAGAAAGTTAATTCGACGCTCAACCGCACGGCGACCACGACTCACCTGTCTGGAGTAGCCAGGGCAATTCATCGCCGGCTACGGCCTTTCCGTCGGTGCGACTTGGGCTTCTTGGAGGGTGGTCGGAGTACGTCAAGATAGACGTCGTGGTAGCTCCGGAACGTGCATGACACGGGGCGATGATCGTCATATTCCGCCAGCTGCGCCCACACGCAGTGCCAGTGCCCCTTCTCCTCGAACTTCAGCGCAATGCCAGAGTGCGCCTGGTTCCACCTGCTCCCCCTTCCCCCGCATCGAACGCCTTATCCGACAGCGTGACTTTCGCTGCGTTGACAACGGTGAGGTGGACCTCCAGGAGGTCGCCCGGGAAGGCCAGGTACGGCTCGAAGTTGGAGTCTGACTCGAGTGTTTTCGGTATGCCGCGATGTTGCGGGTCGTAGCCGTCGACGCGGATTTGGTATGATGTGTTATCGGTGCAGTAGAGTGTGACGCAAGGGTGAACGGGCGATCGACGGATGCCCTTAAGGACTTTCCCAATGAGATCGCGGGGATCTACGCCAACTGGTTTCTGTAGATGAGACTTCTCGTCGGCGGATGGCCACATTTTGCGAGAAGGCCTCAGAGGTGGGGAGCGCGATGATGTAGACGCTGAGTCGCTGGATGAGCTGGCAGGCATGTTTCACAATTTGAGAGCGAGCGACGATGCAGGGGAGTGAGGGGGCAGCCCGCCGCGGACATTGACCGATGATGAGCAGAAGAGGGCGACCTCGACGACGGACCGAGCATTATAAGCAAGAAGCTTGGCCCGCTCGACTTCAACGTGTATGGCCAGCGCGCCCACAGCGCCAAACAGTGCCAAAACAACAGCCCAGCCTATTGTCGTCGCTTATGTAATCGCTTAGGACAATGAACTGACCATATTGGGGTCTTCGCTTCATTGCTGGAGAGACCCAGTGACCGTCCAGACCCCCGCCATCACACAGATTGAATCGATAGCAGCTCCAGAGACGGACGCTAAGCCAGCCCGGGATTACTAGGGTCTCACCCTCATTGCATTTTCATGCTAACGAGCGCAATTAGCCTCTATTTGGGGAACGAACCGAGCATAGATGATTCTACTGAGACCAAATTGAGACGGAGGTATCTCTTGGGCATTCCATCTAGACCACGGTCTTGATGAAACTGAGTACGCTAGTCAGCTAGGCCTCGGACAAAGGACCATGGCAAGACCATGGCCGTCCAAATCTTGGACGTCGATGTGAGAGGGAGGCTTCCGGCAGTGCGTCCGAGTCCATGCCGACGTCTGCTCCATGCGGCCCATCGCGAACAGCCGTGGCGGGGAGCCCGATCTAGTCGATCCATCGCACAGCCAACAGACGATTGACGGAGAAGCAGGAGAGTCTGAGGAGACAATCGGATCTCCGTATTCTAAGGCACCAGATCGCGGATCCGCCACGACGATGTTCTCCGTCCAGCAATAGAGCTGTAGAATCGCAGGCAGTGAGACCCTCCCTTCAACAACCAGACAGTCCCTGCAGCAATTTGCGGATCGAGACACGGCTGAGATTTTCGTCAGTCTTCGTGTTATCTCGCACGGAGATCTGAGGATCGCGTACTGGGATCGATACCGTGACCGAGGAGCCTATTAAGGGGTGTACTTGCATTCTTGGAAGGCATCAGAAGCATCCAAGAACAAGTGGGAAAACGTGGCACGGAGGCATTAGTAGCCACATTTGCTCGGAAAAGGGGGACGTTACCTGGTGAGAGGTCGAGAGCAGCGTCGAGCTATTCGCTTGCTTCGCCGTTAGACGGCCCGAGGACTACAAGACGCATTCCTCTATCCAGAAGGGTCTCAGCCTCAAGGGGAAACATGACGGACAGTCCGATGGATGCAGACTTCCCTTGCGCATTTCCATGAGTCCTGCAAGCTCGGTGCCGTGCATCAGCCATGAAAGATGGTGACCGCGGTCAGCGAGCCGTAATCTGCCGTGTGAGGTTCACGCGACCTCTCCGACAGGCTGTTCGGTCCATTTAGAGCCGGTCTACTAGGCCCGCAGCAGCCAAAATAGTGTGCTTACCTGCTGTTATACCCATGTGCAAATCCAACCTCGAATTGACGGTCCGAGGGGCAGAGGGGAGGGCTCCCAGATGTCTGCATATGTCTGACCGGTCCAAGGATGGAACGGGCTGTGCAATGGAACTGTACACGCCCATACGACATAACGTCTTGTCAGTGCGGTGTTGGTGAGCCGATAACTCGCGAAACCTCTCACCGGAATCTAGTGCACCGCCCGAAGGTGCTGCGGTGACAAATTTTCCTGAGCTGAGCAAGCAGTGCGGCTACGCCTACCTCTACCCCGAACCTTGGTCATCGAACTATGTAGTGGGCGACGTGAGCACTGGTATGCATGATGCGCACGGTCAATCACCGCAAGGGCCAGCGAATTGTAGCCAACGATGGCTGACTCACCGGAGGGTATCACGAAAAATACCTGCTACAGCATCGGTAATCCAAGACGTCAACCGAGTCCCGCAGTTCCTGACGGCGAAATCCGCGTTTTGCCCATAGGGGCACCACGGCGTGCGACTCACTGATAGGAACATGTGCGACAGGGAAAGACTGCTCACGTATAGGGAGTGGATTGAGCTTATTCCTGGGCGAGGTTTGGCTTGTGGTCTTGCTGAATGCCAGGCGGTGCGTCGACAAGTGCTCTCGACGCGAATGCATCGAGCATCGGAAATCCTTATGGCATGGGCCCAATAGCGGGCGGCCGGATTGAACAGAGCGTTCGAGGTGCTCAATCAAGATGTTAGAATCCTCCGCAAGAGCACATCGCACTACGACATCGAGATGATGTACTCACGACCTGGCTCGGTGATGTCGAGAAGTTTGAGGAGCCTGAGTTCGTCCCAATGCTCGCGCACTTTCTTCGCGATAAGGCTCGCGCCCCGACGGTCGTTTATGCGGACGCTGCGGATGTTAAGCGGGAACTGAAAACTTGGAGAAGGTGTCCGCTCCATCTCCATCCTGACTGGGATGTACCACACGTCGCCGCCCTGATGATAATGACTCTGAAGATCTGAGGAAGAGCGATTCTTGCGCCGTCCTATGAGGCGACGCAAGGTAACGACGGAAAGTGAAACACGTCGACATCGAGACTCACGATGATCATGATGAGCACGTTCGTGTGTTGCGTGAAAGGCCGCGCGGGGCTCCTGGACATCTTTTCACTTCACTAAGTACTCTCCATGTAAAGCGGTCACCAAGCTGCTCAGGACACACGCGGACGTCGTCCCTGTCGACTTCCATGTCGTCCGCGACGTCGGCGGGTACACCCTGAAGGAAGATAACCACGGTACTTTTCTTGATGGTACACCCGACGCGCACGGTCGCGGGATGAATAACTGACAAGAATTCGGTGAGCTCGAGTATAAACAACAGAAACAAGGAGGGAGGAGACGACAGTATGTACAACAGCGACAAACATATTAGGAGACGAGCATCCGTGTCTAGAAAAACTCCTGCCCCTCTCTCCTCCCTTTCGCGAACGACCAAGAGGACAGGGAGCAAAAAACAGAACAAACAAACTAGTAATACACATCGCCGTCAACCACAGAACGGAAAGCCTACGGAAATAGAGGGTAAGTGAACTGGTCCGGTTTCCATCGGGGCAAGGTAGGGGCCACCCGCGTCGAGGATCCCCACGGGGTACGCCGCCGTCGTCTGAGATCCTGGAGTATTGAACATGCTGGACTTCGGGTACGTCGCGCCAAACGGTTCGACATCCGACCTGTCGCGCCATGCGTCGGTACAGCCTGCGGAGAACCCGGCGTTCGACGACGTCTCGGGGAAGTCTGCGAGCGGTACCATCTGCACGGTTCGATCATCGGAACCGTCGGAAGACGTCGACGAGGTCGACATCGGCGAGTAAGTGAGCGGAGGCGTGGACCACTGGGGGGACGGGACACCGCACTCAGACGCGCCGGCCTGCCTGTTGAAGGAGGTTGTGAACCGCGGGTCGAAGCTGTCGTAGCGTACAGGTTCCTCTGCGAAGGCGGCCGAGAACACTGGTCCGCCGGTATAACTGCGCGGAACCGGAGGTTCGGCGACAACCGATGGAACCGTCGCGCAGCGCCGCAAGGCGCGAACGCGCGTGGTCTCTGCTTGAGAAGACCCGCAGACGCCGCGCTCGACGCTCGGGGTGAGATCCGTACCGTCCCGGAAGCTATGCGGAGTCGTAGGCGGGGTCAGGTAGGGACCGGGATTTGAGACATATGTCGTAGCAGAATTGAGGACATCGCCGTCGCTCCTGCTACGCAGCAGGGAGCGTTTGCCGCCGCTCGTTCCGACGTTCAGGTCCTTACCGACCCAGAGACGCCATTCGAGTGCGTTGCCAACGGCGCGTTCGCACCGACCAATCTCACGTGGTGGTAAGCCTGCGAGCTTTGCCCACGCGCGATTAGAGTACGAACGGTCTTGCATGAATTTGGAGGCGAGTATGAGGCAGGCCAGAAACGTGCGACGTGGACAAAGCAGCGGGGAGGGTTGAGGAGGCAGAGGGGGTAGGGCCACTCCATCTACAGCGGGGGCACCATAATCCTGGGTCGCAGTTGGGTCGGTGTGATCCGACATACGCACCGTTTCAGCGACTTGGGCCATAACCTGAGATACCTGAGATGCGTCGTCCAAGCGAATTGAGGTTTCCGCCGAGGTCTCGACGATGATGCGATCCAGGTCGGATGCTTCATCCGTGTGAAACTGGCCTGACTGACGCTGCTCTTCGTCTTTCCGTAGGACCTCGGGAATCCGGGTCCGCACGGCTTCGAGATAGCATAGGGCAGTTTGAAGCACGCCGACGGACGTACGCGAACGACGGAGAACCTCATGCACAAAGCCTTTGATGGGGGCCGCTTTGTCGCCACTCGCAGCATCGCAAGAATTGGTGTCGAGAGAGGGGAAGGCGGTCGTTTGCGTCGAAGGGGACACAGGTGACAGCAGTTGAGAATTGTGAAGGGGATTTTGCGAGTGCTCGTGACCGACATCGTGGTCCCGAGGCGTCAGGGGGGGCTCGTCGAGTGAGGATGAGAGTGATGGATGAGAGAAAGCGGATGGGATTATCTCGGAGCGCCAGGTATCGCACAGTGAGCGAATAGCTTGATCTGTAAGGGTCTTATGAGTGAATCTGTGTCGCGTCGGTGCTGAGGTCCCCGAAGTTTGGGAAGTGTACAATGGGTCGTGCCGCCCGAGCTGGGCTGTGCGGTGAATCCTCGTCGGAGCCCTCGCAGTCGTGACAAATCATAACTACGCGTCCGCCCAAGACCCAAACTTCGAGCAGTAACGAGAGATATAGATGTGACTGCGCCACTCACCAACGAGACCAGTGACATATCGCGATTTCTGCGCGTCGCGCAACGTCCCGACCCGAGGAGCATAATTTGATTGGTGGACTTTAGGAGGTTCTGGATCGCATACGGCATGGATTTGGACAGCAGGAGGTGACGAGCATACAGATGAAGCGGGAGTCGGAAGATAGGGCAAAGGAGATGAGGTACGCGAGGGAGTATTGAGACTAGTTGATAACGCGGCAGACGAGTAGGGTTGCCAGCGGGCCCTAGCGCGCGTTGCGCCAGGGCCGCGATGGGGGAGGCGATGTGCGACAGCATGCATTCCGAGGCGAAAAACGATGGCAGAGTGGTGAGTTTGCGAGGCGGTGGAAACTAGAGTAGCATGTAAATTCAGGGATCAGAGCCCAAGGACATGGACCGGCGAAGTTGACTGGGGGATAATGATAGCGTTAACGAGAGTGGAAGAGGCGGAGTCTGCGAACGAGCTTGATTTCGGGGCACGGCGGAGCGAAACGAGGGACGGGTGGGGGTATCTGAAGCGGGATACGAGCTGACGGAACATTTCGACTTTGCTGGGTTTGTCGGATTGTCCGAAGTCACAGACTTTGGACGATCCGGATTGATCTCAAGTTCGTTGCTTCAGGAGCAAGAACCCGAGAGAGCGGCTTGTTGGGAGTTGCAGCGAGGTTCGACGGGGACGAAAAACGAGGCAGCGAGGGTTATGAGGGCAGCAGGAGTCAGGGCAGAGTCAGTCTGAGTGCGGCGAGGATATCACGCCCGCCCAACAGCCACCGAACAAACACGGCCAAACACGGAGGAGGAGTCACTGCGGGTGCGCTCTGAGTCTGTCTTCCTCGACTCACACCCCACCGAACGCCCGCACAACGCTGGCCCTGTGGTTCTCCGATCCGTCGTGATCACTGCCGTCCATCTTCCGTTCTCTTGGGAACCCACATTCCCTACCATCTCTCTTTGTACGCCTGACTGGGAACATTCCTGTGCAATAATCGAGTCCAAATATGTACGATTGCTCTGATCCATCAGCTTGGCTGTGTCCCCTATCTGCGCAAACCATACCAGCTCAGTCACTCCCAGACCTCCGCAATTGGCGTCGTTGACTTGGCCTCTGCGCTCAAGCCGTCCACTTTAACGCCAGAAACACGGCCTCGACTCGTCATTATTCGGGCAAATTTGCCATCGTAGAGTCACAACACCTACTACGAGTATACCCGTGCCATCGACATCTTGCATCTTGCTGGGTATCATGACTTGCCGTCCGGTGCATCGCCAGTCACGCCATCCTCGGGGCTCTCGTGTTCGTGGTACTTAGATCAGTCTGTTGAGCGCCAGCCAATCATAGTTCCGTGGTTATGTACGCGTCACTTTTCGGTATGGCTCCCGGGACTATAGGTAAGTATGTGACTGCAGCGCTTCAGAGGCATCTCCCCGTGAGTGGTCACTCACCGTAGTAGGATGGCTGTGTACGCTCTGAATTCTACTAGCTGAGAAACCACCGCGAGGCATGTGGTCTAAACACTTGACGTCGACTGATACATGTAGAGAAGCTTCCGCACCAGTTCTATACCGTCATTCTGGACACACCTCGGCATAATTGACATGAGTGCAGGACGGTTTCCGGTAGTGAGCGCTCTCTGTCACTGCCAGTGGTTCCCGTGCGGCTGACTCCGTCGACCAGCGTCCACAGTAGCGCTGCATGACCCAGTCATCTCTATCAAGCAGATGCGTCGGTATACGTCTCTATCTCCTACTTGATGTTTCCGTGATCATCCAGCGACTCTAGCTCAGTATGACATAGGCCATATGTGCATGCATTGCAATCAGAGACACTGTGTCCTCTGTCAAACTCGCGACTGGTCAAGTGACATATGGACTGGATGCGTCATATCGAGGAGAGCTTTCATCGCACCAGCGATGTCTGTTCAAAGTCGTCGTGGGCCTTTCGGTCAGTTCTCGGTATACAGCTGGTCTTCGTTGCAGACCAAACAAGCCGGCAAGCATCTTTTATGTATACAACGTCTTTCATGGACAGTCTGAGCGACAGATTGCTCCACGCCCTGTCACCAGGGACCTGCGAACGTTCGACGACATCCAAACAAGACCGGACGGGTGGTGATATAAGCATTCCTTATGTCAATGAACGTATCTCCATGATTGGGAGGCACATCGCGTCACGTCTCTTGTGTATGCGTAGCGTTGGCGACAGAGAAGCACAAACTTAGCTGCGCGATTCGCGGACAAGAGACGAGTTCTCCTTGCTACCGTTCTCTGGGAAAATGGACTAACCATGAGCAGACGGTGAAACGACTCATCCATCCAGATAGGTGACCGGTCTCCCCGTCGGCGTCGCACCTTCCTGTTAAATCGTCTGCATACTTACTAATCTACGCCGAGACTTGATTCCGGTGGAAGACCTGAGAATACACAGGCTTCTCTGGTCGTCTCACCTATGTTCCGGGCAGCTTCTTCGCCTTGGCTTACAGATTCTTGCTCTACACACCAGTTCGTGGGGCGATATCGAAGCCCGGTCGCGCACACTTTGAATAGATGAGTCCCCGACTCCTCACCACGCCGGGCATCAGCTAAGAGGTCTTCGCTCCTCCTTCCAACCTCCTTCATCCTTTTGAAGTTAGAATTTGAATACACCGACTTCCTTTAAATCATAGGAGCAATGTGAACGGGAAATCGAGAGCTGTGACCCTGGAGCTAAGGCCTCTGAGAGGCATCGGCCCATCAGATATCCCCCACCCCTGAGTGTTAGATTACCCTGGTGATGAGGCAGCATCGCCATGTAACATGTTGGCAGCAACGTCACAGCACCGTCATCTTCACAGAAGGGCGGACGAGACACGTCTCGGTGGGTCAGCCTGGAAGAGGGTCGTGAACCTTCCCAGCTGTGCACGGACGGTGATCAGAAGTTGACACGTAAGTATAGGTAGTTTAGTACGATACATGATAGCAATGAACACAACAGCAAATCAATAACGATCACAACAAGGTTCTAGAGGATGAGGTGCTTCAGGTCGTTGTCTTCCATCACGCTTCTCCAGTCCGCCCTGGGCAACTTGTCATCAAGTCGTTTCCAAACCTGATCGCGTCTCAGAGTGTGCACAGCCATTTGTAACGGGGGCCGACTGACCTGCAATACAATGTACTCCGCGGTTTCTATCTCATAACAACCTGAAGGAAAAGTGAGCGGCGAAACAGTGGCGACGAGTTAGCCGGCGTACATTGTGTCCTACAATGATGTTAATGTAATGAGCGGTTATGTTCGGACTGTACGGTGGGAATACCCAAACACGAACCTGAAAGATTCAAACACTGCCAACACACGCGTTCGGTCGGAGCCAAACATCTGCGACCCTGCAATGATGACGGGCCAATTGAGGCTACAGAGATCGTTCAATGAGCGATGAACGAGAGCGTACACGACGAAGCGACTCACTCGACGCTCATATTACTCTGTCCGCAGGTGAGACACAGAGAAAGTATGATATCTGCGTGCTGTTGCACTACATCGTCTTCTGGTGGCACATCGAGGATTTCACGGAGCAGAATGATCTAAGGATGCCGGCGGTTGAGCCCAAACGCCAAGAGCAAATTGGAAGCCTGCCCTCACCTGTGCGGCGTTCTGATAAATGCGGTCTCCTGCGCCGACTCTCGGCGTCGCGATGCCCCGTGAAGGGCTCCAGTCACCCAGAGACCGATACAACGCCCGAGCCTCGGTGATCATGTCAGTACTGTTCTTGGGTTTGTCGTCAGGCGAGTGCACGTTGTGAGCACGGGCGATGAAGGCGACGATCTATGACTGTTCAATGGACTCGCGACAAACGCGAGATGTGACTCAAAACGTACGCGTGCCAGCTCGGGGACGAACTCCCGAGACAAACCAAAACCTTCTTCCACGTGTGATTGTGTGTCCGCGGAGCTCGTTTGTTCCAGCCTGCGATCGTCCGTCTGCATTATGTACGCGGCCTCCGAAACATTGTTCACGTACCACCAACTGCTTACGCTCGGGGCCAAAAGGGTCGGCACTTCCGCCTTGACCAGACAACCTAGAAGAGCATCGCAGATGAGCCCGAGTGATTGTACGTATCGCACACAATGGTTACCAAAGAGTTCGTATAATGCCACAATCTCAAGGAGAAGCCTCGACAATGGTGCGTGAGAACTTCTCGCCAGCAGTACAGCTGGACCGCCTCTTGAGTGGACGAGCTTCTTCGCTTTGTCGAGTGGTTCTGTCCAGTCACGCCCGCTCGAGAAGATCTGGCCACTTGATTGAGTGACCGTCGGTCGCATTCGATTGGAACGTGTCACTCACGTCTACAAGGCAGATGGCTGCGGCTGCACCCAAAGCCGCGTCGTCCGTGGCACTCTCCGTCGTACGGCAGGCGATCGAGAGGAGTTGGTTCGACTTGGCTCGGTATGTGAGGGCGAGTTGCATTGCTTCGTCAGCTCCACCGTGGGCGAGACCCCGCGAATAAAGGAAGGATTGATGCACAGCGGCCGTACCCAAGAGAGCCATACGCAACGCCTCAACAGCAGTGTCAACTCCGCGGTTACGGCCTAGAATGAGGTCCAGATTTGCTTTGGCGACCGGGTTCTTATTCGACGGGACGGCCATAATGAAGCTCATCGCGTTCTGCATGTAATGATGGATCTTTGGTAAAGAAAACAAATCGATTCATTGATATCTAAAGTCGTGAACATTAGGCAAAGAATGCCCCACCAAGTTTCTCTCCTGGGGTGATGTGAACTGGAGGGCGTCCTCGTAAGGAGAAGATGTGGCCGAAAAAGGTGGCAGGCTTACGTAGGGTCCAAGAGGATCCACTTCAGAGAGAAGAGGGGACCATTGCGCAGCGTTGTGCGGAGGGGCAGACCGCATGTGATGCAAGTGGCTCTGTTGGGAGCCAACACGAGGGAGGACGAGAGATGCCGATGAATGCGCGTATTGCTGTGAATGATTAGGATAGTTGTTGTGATATTGCGAGGCAGAGTACGACGTTGAAACTTCCGGAATTGCAGGCAAGAGCTGGGTATGCGAGGCAGTGTTAACTGGGTATATGTGCGTTGATCCAGAGGGCATGGCCCCACTACGGAGCGGTCAGCGCAACACGACACGACACAGCACACCGACACATACCTCTGGCGTCTCATAGCGTTCATGTCGTTCATTGTCGGCAACTGGATCGAAGGCTCACTTTCGTTGGCGTTAGTGGTGACCATCATTCACCATTCAGCCACACAGACGTACCTGTGTCGACGTGAAACAAGTACGGGGAGGCCGACATCGGCGGGCTCTCGTTTTAGCGGCGGGGTCACGCCACGAGTGGATGGAGTTGACGACTCGGACACCCCCGAAGAGCCGGCCGTCGAAGGCCGTGTCTCGAGGCCGTTGTCGACAGTGGACTCGCGTTTAGGCGCAGGCTTCTTGCGCGCCGGGACCCCCTCGGGCCACGTACACTATGAGATGGGCAGAAATCGTCAAGCAGGGTGGCAGTAAAGAGTGAGAAGACGTACCTCGCGTTGCCCATGCGTGCAGCGCAGGCAATTGGGTTTCGACTCGTCGCACTGGCAGAAGTTAGGCGGGGCACTCGCGCATAAGGAGATCGCACGCACCTTGATCTTCTTCGCTCGACACGTCAAGCAACCTGTCTTGCTGCGGGTATACTTGGGACGTTTCCTCTGAGCTGTAGTGTCTTGTCTCGTGGGCGGGGCCACCACATGCATATGTCCAGGACCGTGCGGCTGCGCAAAGTATGAAGGGGGTATATACTGGCTTGGGGACGGGCCACTGCGGTGAATTAGTGGGCAAGGAAACGCGGTAGGTGAGGAAGACGTACAAGGAGATGCTGTCTGCCATGATAGTAAACGGTTGGGAGAGGCTTTCGATGGGAAGCCCCCCCGACGTTTGATCCATCCCTTTAAAGAGGCAGGGATGCGTTCATGGGAGGAAGCAGCGCGGTGGTCGTGCGCACGAGATGATTGTTGTAGCGGATCAGGCTATCGGAGAAGGCCAGATTCGCGATCTGAGGGTTGGGGCAAAAAAGCAGACAATCCAATTTTCTGGAACATTGCGACGAACAATGAGTGGATGCCAATTCTTTTAATTCTTGAAACAGTGTCCTCCGCACGAAGGCCGGCGCACTCGGGCCTTTCCGCCCGACGCCGTCCGGTGTATGGCGCGTAGGCCTGCGTGTCGCCCTGCCTGTCATTATGCCATTCCCTGCAGCTGAGGACTTGGAGGCAGGGAACGTAATCTATTAAGAAATGCGAGCGCTGCGAGTGCTCCGTCGAGCGAGAAGATCATCAGGCAGTCATAAGGCCGTATCAGGCATCGGTTCCCAGACTAAAGTCGTCAGGGCTGCCAGGATTTTGATGTAACCGATCGCCGAACTGTTCCGGCCGAGCCACTGAGGCCGTGGTTACCAGAAGTGGCCGCTGATACGCCTCTCTGCGCCTCCCCCGGAAAATATTTCTTGGAATATCCTCCATCGCGCCCGGCTGCGGCCTGCTCGACGTTGGCGGTACCGGTCGCGCCCCCGCCGTCGCCAGTGCATCGCCTTGTCTCACCGCGAGCTGCCCGCTGCCCGCTGCGAGTGGCGGCCCCGCCCCCGGGTTCTCTCCGGACTCGCCGCGCCGTACAGACTTGGTCCACAGCTGCCTCACCAAAACTAGGGCAGAAGCACAGCGCACGCTATCGCACCGGCACCTCGCAGCCACCCAAGTTAGCTCACGAGGGAACCACAGCCAGGCATGCATGTCGCAATGAGTTCGGTAAATCCATCCTCCGCCCCTGGAGCCGTTCACCTGCAGATCGTTCACTGGATCAGGCTGACCCTGTACGGACTTCGATAACTTGCAACGAGGACTATCTTTCTTCGGCCGGAATTTGACCTACCTCGCTCCATCTCTTGCAGGCAGTATAACGTACACTATCCGCCACATGGGTGTGATATTCCGTGACTTCTCTGAGTTCGGTCAGAATATCGAGGAGCGCCTCATGTCCACCGGCCTATTGCAGATAGACTAGTGTACAATCGCCGTTCTCCATTCTCGCAGGGCCACACGGTGAATCTAACTGACAACAGTAACTTGAAGTACTAGTAGCAACATTCAAGTTCCCAACGCATGCATTCCTGCAACCTTACAAGTGATCATTCCGGGCTGATCTCACCAGTAGTTACTGATGCCAGGATCGGCCCAGAACACGCTCAGGACGTAGCAATGTTCTTACGTGCGTGTCAACGTCGCAGCCTCGTTGTCCACTTTCCAGCTGTCTACGCTCCAAAGGTCAAGGCAACACCACCCATATCAAAGTTAGCCAGTCTCAATTACTTGGAGGGCACAACAAATTTGATTATCACGTCCGATATTGCGCACGGTACTGCCTTCCTCTTCCCAAATACCGAAGTCGACGTCAAGCAGTCACTATGCGTGCGATGATGGACCCTTAGGCTGGTAACTTCCGAAGTCGTACAGGGCGTCGACATCGGTCACAGTAGTTATGTTCGATGCCGTAAATCCTCTGGAGGAGGATCGAAGACATACGCTCCAATAGGTGTGAAGTGGTACGTTTGGGGAAGGACCTCGGCAAGAGGACGCCGCCTATACTGATCCATACAGATCCTTACATAGCATGGTCGTATAGCACAGCGGACCGTCATGTGGTGTACCTCAACATCACTGAGGCCGAACTGTTGCTCATCAGCAGCGCCCGGGATCCATGATAATTGACCGTGCCTACGGCATCCCAGGGTCCGCCTGGAAATCCGTACTCAATACGTCCAATGAAGCCAAAATTCTGGCAACGAGGGACTGGACGTATGCTCGCCCACGGCATCACGTACGATGGGAACACCAAAATACGCTGACGGCACTTGGACGGCACCTTCCCGGATCCATCCGGGCATATGCGGTGCATTAAACGTTACACTTTACGCTGACCTCAAGTCTATCGTAAGAACATCGCGCTTCGCGGGAATGTCCGGTCCTTACTGAATGGGCCATCAGACCTTACACCCGCCTTACACCGCCGGTGGTCGCAGATCACCGAGTCTATGGGTGGTATAGGGAGGACAAGGTACACGCCTCCCGCTGCTCTCGCACTTCGCTGGCGCACACAATAGTAATCGTCTTCCATAGACGCCTAGGCATGGCTTGAGAAGGCTGGGAGAAGTCATCCAGTCCCATCAAGTGCACTCAAGGCCCAGCCTTGTGTTGGACACGATCATACACAGGTAATCCCATGTCCATGCACGATGATCCGAAGTAATGGCTAGATCAAATGAGCGGCGTAAGGTCTTACCAGATGGTGTCCATATCAATTTGCGGCATCAGTGACCACCTAGCACAGCGTGAGATGAGCTTTCGGGTCGGGAAGATGAGAGACTCAGAACATCCTCGACTCATCAGCGTCGAGTGCATACTCGGTACTTAGGTCCGGAAGTGGCAGCAATGTGCCAGTGAGAAGCAACGATCTCTCGGGTGCATCCTGGCGCGCACGAATGCTGGGTATCATTGAAGGGATCTCCCGAGCCAAAGTTGCGTGGCAGACCTGGATGAGTCAAAGAGGGACCTGGCAGGGAGGAGAATAACAAACACACAGCGCACGGTGAAGCCTGACATCAATCAATGTAATTCGAATCTCTATCTTTGCACGCAGGGTACTTGCGTCCTGGAAGAAGCGGACTTTTCCGAGTGCGAGTTCGCATGACAGCAGTGGCGTTATAGCGGGAACGGTGCGATTCTGGTGAGGACAACCTACTCGCATCCGAATGAGACCGGAGCAGAGTGCGGAAAGTTGCCTAAAAGAGAGAACGCCGTAGTGGAGTAGCAACCCACTGTTTTGTTGTAGCGTGGCCACCCCAGTCTTGAATGAATGCGAACCGGTGGTCAACCTCACGTTAACGCGCCAGGAATGTCTAGGCGTTGCTCACCCGGCATCCGCATTCCATGAGTATTGTATTTTCTCCAGTGATATTGATGCCTCTGCCCTATTTGATGAGACGCAAAACGTTTTGTTGAATTGATCCACCACGACAAAGGCAACCCGAGACGAGCACCCCGTAGTATCTGAGAGGACCGGGGTTTATTCGAGCTCCGCGACAATCGTTGTCGTCAGCAATCTGACCGTATGCATCCGTATTCCCTGGCAAGCCGACGCGCCTCGGTGCATAAGCAGTGAGCGGGACTCGCGGGAGAAGGAATTCATTCAAGTGCGTACAAAGACCAAATGACTGTCGGAGTAGGACTGTCAGAGTAGTACATTGGAGCGCCTGCAGCATGGATCACGTACCACTCAAGCAAATGGCCGGGTCTCGTTCCATCCAACGACAAGACTGATTGAGCGTGCGTACTACAAAGTCACTCAAGGCAAGGCTGTCGTAGACTGACAACCTACCAGCCAATAGTGCTCGGTCCCGGTTGTGCAGATTGATTGCACTTCAGGACCATTTGATGCTGATGCACGGTAATCTATGAGTTTGCCAGGGATTTGCAAGGATCGTAGGTTGCCGTATGCATTGCCTCGTAGCGTAGAAGACCAGCGTGATTTGATCTGATGCATATCGAGCTCGATGTCAGCTAGGCGCATGAGCTACACACGCAGCCGCACGACCAATGTCATACCTGATATGTCTCACTCTGTCTGCATATGCTGGCGATCACATAGTACAGTCAGAGATACGGCCAGAAAAGCCCGATCGGTGTGCCAACAGGCAGAATGAATGAGTTTTCGGCGACAGCTTGAGCCTCGAAAGGTTGAGAATGCAGCAGAACAAGACCCGGTGAGTGACAAATGCTAACCACAACCATGTGCCATTGTGGGGATTGTTAGCACCGCGGGAAGAAAGGCCACAGCCAGCATGCTGCGGGAAACGCCTCGTCCGAGGTCCACTGTAGGTAATATAGAGGCACAGTCACGAGGGGGCCAATGGTACATATAGATCCCAACACGTACTGAACAATCATATTCTGCGGCCCAAAGCTTCAGGCATTCGTTGAGTACTCAGTTCAGTTCAGAGAAGACTTCCTAAGACTTACCACGATCATCCTGTGAAGCGTGCGATGTTCGCCGGCATGGACATACTACAGACGCCTGTATAGTTTCGGTCATAGTCATGGAGGGCGTCTTAGCTCTCTGTCGGACCATAGAGGGACCCCGCCGATTCAGAGGCGCCTGACGAGGAAGATTGCAACAGACACCGTTACTATAGCATGACATGTGGGGACGTGTCGTAACCTCTGTCCGGTGAGCGGCGGACAGAGGATCAGCGAAGTGGCGAATCGAAACAGTTTTCACTTACCAATGGCACTAATCATTCCCTCGTCGGGGTTACCTGATTGCAAGCGCTGAGCGTCCAAGTCCCCGGATAGTACATAGACATGATGCACTGTCGTCACTTTCCCAATCCAGGTGTACGATGAGAGAAGGCCGGCGTGGAATGCCGTCTACCACGCGCCTGCCACGCTAGCACGCAACAGGAGCGGCCTTGGTGTGGCAGAGCATCGATCCGTGTCAGCTTGACGTGACCGCGGTCAGCAGTGCGAAGGCAACTCTTGAGGCAGTGAGGAGACCACGAATCGCATCTGTGAAGGGCCAGCTCGGCAGCCGTGATCTGCACGCGTACCCCTGTCAATCGGAGGAGCCATGGCTGCCTTGAGCGTAGCCGTGGCAGGCGGAGGATCCTCAGAAGCCGGCCTGATATGATACACATGCGCCCACCTGGTACCACTTGCAGCCGACCGCGTGACCAGGTTCCCTACACGCGAGGGGAGCGTACTACGTGCTCGAGAGCAACAGACCGGACGCAGGACGTGAGTTTGCTCCCCGCTCTCTGCTGGAGGTTCCCAGCGGCATTGCCCAGCGTCCAACGAGCTGCGCATGAAGTGAGATAAGAGCTCTGCAGAAGCCATGTTTAATCAGAGGGTTAGCCATCACTCTTCTGACAGCGCTGTTCCGCTCCGGGACGTCGCGCCTTTTGACGGAGAAATGATAAGTCGCCGCAATGGTGGACTTGAACAGCATCAGGAAACCCGCCCGAGCCAGAAGTCGACAGCGTTTCGAATGCGAAACATATCAGCATGCAGAGCACAGCAGCTATACTACATCAGGTCTTGTATCTTCTGCGTACAAGAGCACGATGGCGATCACTCCTGCACCTACGCCTTGACGAAGAGATCGGTAAACTTGTCGGCAGGCAATTGAAGAATGACGTCGAGTCGTTGACAGCCTCCAGGATCCTAGTACGAAGTGAGCTTCGACAATAGGGTACTTCGTGGAAGCTACTCACTCAGACTGGCGGGCCTGGTTGAAGTGCGGTGCAATATGGTTCTTGAACTTTTGAAGCAGCAACGGAGTTCCTTCAGCCCGTCGACGCTTGTGTCCGACAGGATACTCGACCTCAACCTCATCGAGTACCGTGCCATCATTGAGCTCGACGAGAAGGGCGTTCGAGATCGACCGTTTCGCTGGGTCGTGATAATCGACACTGTATGACTTCTCCTCCACGCAGGTAATCTTCGCGCGAAGAGCGTCGATACGAGGATCCGCCGCCGCGGCGTCTGTGTAGGACTCGGAGGTGAGCTCACCATAGATCAAGGGGTACGCCACCATGTAATTGATATCGTGGCTGTCACGTCACGTCAATGGCTAGTCCGCATTAATCAGGCAGACGATTGAGACACGCACTCCCGGTCAGCGAAGTTGTCAAGGGGGCCGCGCTTGTTGATGATGCGCATCGCGGCCTCCTGCGTGCGAATGCGAATGCTCTTGATGTCGTCGCTCGTCTTGCCCAGTGTCTTCAGCTTGCTGTGCAGGATGTGCGCAGCCTCGACAGCGGTCTGAGCGTGGAACTCCGCAGGATACGAAATCTTGAACAGTACGTTCTCCATGATGTAGCTCGAGTAAGGCAACTGGAATCGAATGGCTTGCCCTGGACCGATAACATGAGCGATCAATCGCAATACAAGTGCTGGAGGTCAATTTACCTTGAAGAGGACGTCATAGAAGCCCCAGGTCTTAGCCGTCAAGACCGAAGGTAGGCCCTTCTCACCCTTCTTCACGAGTAAGGCGAGATTAACAGCTCGGGAACAGGCATCTCCCGCCGCCCAGGACTTGCGCGAACCAGTGTTCGGCGCATGCCTGTACGTGCGTAAAGACTGACCATCTACCCATGCCTGAGAAATGGCATCGATAGTCTGGGCGCGGTTGAGACCGCTATTGAACCGTTAGTACGGTCACATTTACCCAATAATACATAGCTGATACGTACAGGAGCTTCGAAACAACAGCGGTGCTTGCTACTTTGACGAGAACAACGTGGTCGAGACCAACACGGTTGAATGAGTTCAGGAGAGCAAGACCGCCCTGGATCTCGTGTGCCTTAATCATCCCCTCCAGGATGTCGCGGACGGTCAACGGTTCGCCCTTACGGGCAAGGTGATCAGCGACCGCCAGGATGGCTCCTAGGTTATCGGACGGGTGCCCCCATTCCGCGGCCAAGAAGCAATCATTGAAGTCCAGCCAACGTATCTGGGTTCCGATGTTGAACGCTCCACGGATTGGGTCTAGCTGGTAGTTGGTACCAGGTACCCGCGTTCCTGCATGCCCAACGATATTCAGCAGGGTCCCATGATTGATGACGATGTAGTTCAATAGACATACCGTTTGGAACCACGGTGCCTTCGACGACTGGTCCGAGGAGTCGCGCACAAGCGTCGAATCGGAGCGCTTCCAACCCACATCCAATCGTATCGATCAAGCAGAGTCTGGCAGTTTCCCAGACCAAATCCGACTCAATCTTATAGTTGTGGACGTAATCCGCGATATCTTGAAGCACCTGGTCGGGTTCTGGCCGCACGGCAGATTCAGCATGGCCTGACATGTTGCGCGCTATTACGGGGTAGATGCACGACTTGTGCGAGCTACGCAGCGAAGACCGATGGCAAACTGGGGTTCGGAGGAGGGAAGACGTGGAGAAAGCGGCAGCCTGAGCCCGAGACGGTGAAAGTCTGGTACCGAAAGTCCTAGGCAGTGAGGTGCGAGTCGTCGACAACATCGTTCAATGGGAGCTCACGCGCGGCGATGCCAGGAATCCCGCGGACAAAGGCGTATATACGCTCTAGGCTGTGCGGGTCGGTGAGAGTCAGTAGCCGGACGACGTGGGACGAAGTGAGCGTAGAGACTGGCCGACCGGTCGAAAGCTCTCGACGGACTCGTACGAGAACGGTCAAGTGCCCCGCTCCCCGCTTGCCGTTCCCCGCGAAAGCACGTGGAATGCGGGGAAACAATGGGCGCCTATGCTGCTCGACCGGCGAACTTGCCGGATCTAGCGCCCAGGGCGAGCGCGTCCGGTGTCGCTCGACCGACGCCATCTTCCTCGCGTCGGCAAAGTGCTCCTCCTGCAGCTCATACTACGTCGGTACTCGAAGAAATCCCTCAGCTCAACTTTGTTTGCCACGTCGCGCGAGGCCGTCTGAGCTGGAGGTGGCATCGCTTTTTTGCAAGCTACATCATCAACTTCGACTACACACTAGTATTCGCACAATGACCAACAATCTAGGAGTCGGACAGGCCCACGAGTCTCATTTTGGTCCAGCATCCGAGGTTGTTGGTATCGCTGAGTTTCTCAACGCCGCAACCACCTTTCTTGTCACCGAAGACTCTCGGGATGAATCCCCCGACGCGCAAGTACCGCGAGATCACAACCTTGAAAAAGCTTGGGTGTCTGTTCCATCCACACAGCAAGCCGCCGTGGCTGCCGAATGCAGGTGAGCGCCCATTTCATCGACATGAGTTTCGAGCTCGAGATGTGTAATGGTCGGGACTACTCAACGTGTATTGCGGTGCCTGTCGCGCTGTAGGTACCGGGCTTATGGGTGATGATGTGATCGCAACCGTGCCCTGACATGTGCAGTTACAAGTGCAATCCGTCGTCGCAGCCCGCCCCTAAGAACATTACACACATGCCCGACTGCTCTTACACGGGCAGTGATCGCAAGGTTGACTTCGTTCTCGACCTTCATGTGAGACCGTAATGTGTATGGCCTTCACGAGGCATTCGTACCCCCTATCGTTCTGCTCATACAGTGATCCGCTGCCATATCAGGAGTAATGTGAGATTCAGGAATGGTTGCTGATGTGAACTCAGGACAGTTTGGACGACTTGAAAGATCCCATCCATGGCGTGCTTACCAGCCCGAAGCTCATGGCTCATGTATCGAGAGTCATCAAGCCATGGTACAATCCATTTATGAGTCGGCGGAGTCATCCAGCCGCAGAAAGAGAAGAAAGGTGGCCGTTCCAGAGCCCGGAGATGAACAAGCGGACGTGACTACTCTGCGATTGAGCCTGGACAGTAGCAAGCTGAAATGTTGGCCGTGAGTGTCTTCATACAATGCTAGACTTCGCCCCACCAATCGATCGACAGCCTCACATCGCACGCCGCGTCGTTCATCCGTCCACCGAAGCATTCCGATCGCAACACGCTGGAACGTGCTGTACGTGTTTCTTTTACACGTAAAATGCGGCGATATTGACACGCTGCCCGGCAGAAATCATTTGGCACGGCCACTGATAGTAGCAAGGTCCATGAGGCATTGATATTTGTCACGATATACAATAAGCTTTCTTGGGGCCATCGCCAGCTTCTCCGTCTGTCGCAGCATGTCATGCTGTCGTCACAAACTCTTGGTGATCTATTCAATGTGATTCCATGCCAATCCGACCACATTCACGCGGAAGCCGGAAATGAGCCTACCCATGACAGCGGAGAGCAGTCGACTCCGAATAGCGCGGATACCGCACGGGAGGGCGATTCGGGCGCTGTAATGTGGATTGACAATACCTTGTATGGCGACGGACGGGAGCCAGCAGACTACGCAAAGTTCGTCATGCCCTTGCACGTCCCATTCATTTGCTGATTTGCAATTTGGTTCCCGTGTACAGGAAAGTGTTAAAGTTGCTCAACACGTTGCCGAGCGATAGGAAGGAGCGCCCCGACCTTGTGAAGGGCCCGCCCATGCGCGACGCCACCTTCGCTTCTCTTTCTCTCCGTCTGCACCAGCCCTATTGGCTCCTGCACGCGGGGAACTGCGAGCACCACTTCGTGATTGAACACGTACGGTGAGCCCGTCTCCTTGTGACCTCAAGATCCGGCTGGCGCAGAAGCTCATCTCCCGGGCGCAGGTTGCACCATCCCGCGGACCCGCCGACGTCTGCGTACCCACTCACCACCCATCTAACGCCGCCCTTGCTCGACCTGTGTCGCGCGTGCAATAAGGTCCCCGCTATCTATGCCATACTTGGGGATATGCGATTGGGCGAAAGTCCTTTCGTTATCTGTGCCCCTTGCTGGTCATGGATGGGAGAGCCAACAGGTGCGGATGTAGAAGGTGTCACTGTCATTCCACTGCCGAAATACGAGCGTGGCTGGGTCACTACGTAGATAGCCCTTAAGTTAGCTTCATCGGTAAAACCATAACTCGAGTTGCTCGTCTTCTGTACAATAGAACACTCTGGTTATTACCTATCAATGTTAGAGGATGTATCTGTGTTCGCATCCTCATCCACCGACGCAGTATAGGCGCGCCTTCCGAGTCCCGAAGTTTAGCGTCGGGGCTTCGATCGTCATTCACGTGATCGTTCAGCGCCGAAAGATTCGGTGGCAACAGTCGGGAGCAGCGAGTGTCCGACAACTTGAACTGAAACGGTGCTGCGTCCAACGTCGTTGCCCTCGACGCAGACATACGGCTGATTTAGATTGCTACGTTGCACTTGCGTTACTGGAACTGAAGTCAGTCAGACAAGCGTGAAGAGCCTAGAGCAAGAATGGACAGAGCATCACATCTCAGCATCGTCGTCGACCTGTCTCCCACTCACTGGTACCTTTCGTCAACACGAACGCAACAGAACTCTCGGCCTTTGTCGCTCAAATCATTTTTGTCACAACTACTTGTCTTCATGAACTCGCACATAGCCTGCAAGGATGAAAATACACTCGCCGTCTTCGGCGCCTTACCCGGGCGTAGGTGCGTCAGTGACATATATCATCTACGGAATGTGCGACTCAATGATACTCGTTTTCTTCATGGTGCAACTAGTCTCATGCTATACTCGTCGACCAACGAGGCCTCAGGCAACACATTCGATATCGCGGATGCCGATACGTATCGGCCGTTCAAAGTTCTCGACGCGGCGGTCATGCAGACAATAGCGCAGCAGGTAGAGACGCTCGGCGCGTCAGACCTTGAGAGTACGCTCTCAAGTTTGGCCTGACTTTCACGACTGTCTAACCGCTATTTCCAGAGCCTATCGAGGTAGTCGGGGCGCTTACCAAGTCGTTGTGCTGTAAGGCTCCGAATAACTGCTTGAGGTATCCTTCGTGACGTAGCCTTGCAGACATAAACCGTACCACGACGACATCACCCACACAAACAAGCGAGAAAACCACATCCCTCGACCCCCGCATTCTCATACTCTCTGTTTCACCCGACCAGTCTTCATCTTATATACCGATCATGAATTCAATCTTCTCTGCTCAGAAGCTGGTGAGGCTGAATAACATATAAATGATGACGTTGCGAACTCACTGTCAACAGAAAGTGACAATAGACGTTTGCAAGATCTATGGTTCTGAGAGCGTATTTCTGCAGCAGGCAGCACATTTGACTGGAGGCTCGTATCTTCACCTCGAAAGAGCAGACGCTCTACTGCAATATCTGACTGTGAGCAGTCTCTGTTCTACCGGCCTTAGTGCCACGGTCTCATTCGTGCCTTCCCGCGGCGTGGGCTCTAGATGTCCTTCCTTGCGCCTCCTGGTATTCGTCAGTTGCTGTCGGTGCCCACTCAAGATAAGATCGACTTTAGAGCCGCATGTTTCTGCCACAAACGAATCGTAGACATTGGGTTCGTCTGCTCTGTGTGTTTATCCAGTGAGTCAACGTTCAAAGTCCGTCCAAGCACCACTCATCGGCTTCTTGCCCTTAGTATTCTGCCAGCCTGTACCTGTGTGTTCCACATGCCGGCAAGTACCTCCCTCTTCGCCGCTCGCTGTCATTGTCGCATTCGAATGTATGACGAGTGTCGTTCTCGGCGGTCATTCGCACGGGGCATGAGCAGTATGGTCACTCAATGATGGCGGAAGGTCGTTGTGCCCGCTGGGGCTTGACGCGCGGTCGCCCATCGAGCGAATTGCACGTCTACCTTCGACCTGTCCGTTGCGGGGCCAATGCTAACCAGCCATTGCAATATTCAGCACGAAATTCCCCATCAAGACCCTCCAGCGCCTCAACGCGGCACGGCCAACCGCCATGACCCCTGTACAGACTGGGTCGCCGTCCCATTCATCGGCGGCATCCTTGCCGTCGTCCAACACAACAAAGGTTTCAAATGTCAATGGAGGCCAGTCTGCTGCGCACAATGGATCACGGTAGGATGACGCACATGACTGGATGCTATTGTCTTTGCTGGTGCGTACCACTTCAATTTCCGTATCTAAGCTGACATCTCAGTGATAGATTCTCTTTTCGGGCCAGTGCCGTTGACTCGGTTTGGTACAACACTTTGCCATTCCGTTCTGATGACTCCAGAGGAAGCTGCGCCGGCATCGAACCGACAAATTTGCGGTCAGGGCTTGCATCTGGCGCAGGCACACGGTCCTGTCAGGATTTCGGATTTACGGACCCGCACTGCGGGCCTGAGGTGCAGGACTTCCATATTGCGTACTCGTGTTGTTACCTCCAGGCGGTGTATCTTCGCAACCAGCCCCATTATGCGGCGACGGTGGGAGAACACATGTTGACATTCTCATGAGGATTGCAATTGATGATTTTTAGTGGTGTGTCGGACTTCCTGAAGGATCACGGAGAACTCGAAGGGCGGGTGCACTGCCTTCGAATCCCTTTCTGATTATCTGGGCACGCGACGACCTGCAGGCATGCTACGCCTCCGCTGACCACCTGTCTGCGACGAATATCGTTGCATTATCACGGAAAATCTGCAGGTGCACAACCTTCATTCCCTTGTCAAGGGAAGTGCGGCTAGATAGATCGGTGTCTCCGTCCTCTGCTGCCGCGGACGTCGGAGAATGAGCGCCTAGACAAGATTGATATGTGAGGGATAACGGCGCTGTGCGAAAACGGCTAAAGCGTACTTTAGGTTTTGGATCCATTGAAGATGCATAGGCAATCGCCATGCTCTCCGTGGTGAATGCACACCACAATCGGGCTCCATTTGAGAAGTCAGACCAGCCAAACAGGGTATGGCAATAGGGGAAAATCGAACAGCAGTCATACTTACGTACAGACAAGGCTTCACTGACTCGCTCCCTGATCAAGAGTAGTACGCCAGCCTGCGGTAGGCCATCCTCCTGACCGTGGCGGGCCGCTTCTCGTTATGTCGCTGATCATCCATAATGGACCGAGGAGAAGGAGACATATATGGACTCACCACGGAGTCCGTCCAGCAGCATGCGCTGGATTGTTTCATGCGTATCAATATCGGGCAGTTCTAGAGCCTCTACTATGGATCGGGCTAATGCAGCCCTGATTATGTGCTCACCAGCACCTGCAGCACCGCACGTCAGCACATCGGGTCCTCTGTTATGAAATGAGGGACGGTGTTGTGCTGACCAGACACGCTGCAAGCTGCTCCGCCGACATCCCCATGGCTTGGGGTCGCGGACCAGCAACCAGCACCATACATCGCTGCCTACAGAGTCGCGAACACCTCATTTCAGTATTGCAATATCAGGCTACTTAATAGGTTACCCACCTCACCGATACGGCCGGGGTGCTTGAGTAGAAGGCCGCCGCTGAAAGCATCACCATATCAGCCGAGCTTGCATGAAGCCACGGCGAGGCAGAATGCTCGGTTGAGTACCTGGATACGCCAGCCGCAAAGCTTCCCACTCCATCACAAGCGACAGCCCCAACAGTGTCTTGTACATGATGTAGGCTTGTGTCACCAGTCCCCGCAGGCGATGAAGCACCATCTTGCCGTTCCGGAGGACCCAAAGTAGCTGGATATCCACCGGTAGACCCTGCGGAAGAGGCGGAGTCGAGTACAGCCTTCCATCGCTCCCATTCTTCCCTGGCTCGTGGTGCCACTAGATTGTCCGGAGGAACGGTAGCTATTCCTTGTGGTCGCGCGAACTGGAGCGCACCATCGGCTACGAGCATTCTGTTGGGCACACGATGTTCAGTTGTCTGTACTGCGCGCAGTGTGGTGGGCACGAACAGGGGTGCGATGCGTCCGAGCGGATCTGACCTGCGAGAGTACTCGAGGATGGATCGCGCGAGCTTCACGGGGTGTCTTATGCCTTATGGGACATTATTCAGTGAAATGTGCACGAATGATGCTATGGTTGAGCATACCAGATACTGCGCCGACGCCGCCGAAAGCACCTGTTGCACCGCACATAATCGAGGCGTCACATTCGACGGTGCCGGTCAGAGTGAGATTTGACCCAAAGCCTGTCGTAGATTCAGAATCATCCTTATGTTGTATTTGGACTCATTGTTCGCGTACCAGCATTGAGACATTCGTCATCCTCAAGGAGCTCACTGCTTCTTGTACGGCGTCAACAGATGATCGTCTGTCTTGCAGGAGCAGGAGTGATTTTCTGCACGCTCTAACTTATTGTAAAAGGACTATAGTGTTAACGTGCAGCCGTCTTTGTGACTGTAAGACCCACATCTTCATGGCTCTCTTTACTTGTGCCTCAGAATCCGGAGAATGCACTCCGGCACCTCCGTGGACCGCTACAACGTAGAATGGAGGCGTACAGGTCATCTATACTCTAGCCTGTATGATATCTGAGTCAACAAAAGATGAACGAGCACCATTCGCACTCACTAGAGATACGCTTGCGTGCCTGGCAAACCTGTTACTTACGACGGAAGCAAATTCAACGCGGTTAACGCCACGGACGCGTATGCCTGGTCGCCACCACGCACAAACATTGTCAGACAAACAGACGCGGTTGCCGCCACAAGCGCGTCGCTTCCGATCTGCCACTGTCTTCCTACCTCACTACCTCGCGGTGCTAGTTGGACCGGCCACTCATCGAATAGCAAACGCAGTGTCAGAGTAACCTGGAAACAACAAGAGACGATGAGCCGCCATGTGGCCGTCCTCCCGGACGGTGCGTTTGACTGTCATACTAGATTCCTGTTGATGCATTCTTCTGATCAAGAGTTACGATAGATATCCTGCAGACCATAGCGACGAAATTTAACGGAGAAGAAAGCGCTGAAGGAAGTGCTACGACGAAAGTGCTCCGATTCCTCCGACTACCACATCCCCGTACTGGTACGTACTACGTAGTCAGGTCTAGGCCATATATTCCAGAACCCTCGTTGATTTACCGAGCTATGCAGGATTACCTGCATTATTTTTTCCTCCCGAGCTGCCAGACAGATCGAAGTCAACGATACTCGAGGTGCAGGCTGTGACACCTCCAAACCCGCGGTCATGGTTCATGCCAGAGGGTGAGGTCATGAAGGGTGCGTTTGGTCGTCAATATATTCGTGCATCGACTGCTTAACATCTACTAGATGGGCAACTACTGATTCTTACGCCTGTTGACCCGGTATTTCTCCTTATACCTTTGTTACGATGCTCATGTCCGGTACGGCGGTCTTCCCTGGTCCCATAGTGCACCTGTCTAACCCCCATTTCCTGTTCAGACTGATAATGCGCCGAGTAACTTTCGCTCTGCGGAGGATCTCTTTGAGGTAGCCACGTCAGCATACCTCCAGACGTCGGGAAGTACACCGTCGCAAGGGGAACCAACACCTTACTCCTCGGACGATCTGCTACGCCTTCTATCGTACAGATGTATAGACAGTGCCATGAGGCGGATCTGCGAGGTCAAAGGTGAGCACACGGAGATGGCACCTGTCAAATCTCTGACCCTGTTCAACAGAGATCACTGCGGACATCGTCGTGTATCGTTACTCGCAAGAGAAGACGACGAACTATCTGAAGACCAAAGTAGATAGGCTGGCCAAACCGGCGATATGCGAGACATCGTCGACCATCGTTCGTCAGCTGGCAAAGGATGGTCTAATGGACGACGGCAAGGAAGAACTGTTAAGTTGTGAGTACACATTACTCGAGTATGCGGATCAAGTAAGCTTGATGAATACTTCGCAGCTGCACGAATCAAGGCAGCTTGCGAACTGCTTTCGCAATACCTTTCAAATGATCTATACACAATCCTCCTAACACAATACGAGTGTGTGCCCAATGCTCAAATACTGTGATCTACCGAAACTCATGTGGCATTCGGTAGCTTCGCTGCGCTCGATGCGCATCTCCAAACCATCCAGGCGGAACAGATGGCTAGCATTGAGGACACACCGATCCCCAAGGCGAAGAGAGGAAAGGCACAAAGCCAGACTGGAGAGGCGGCTGAGAAGAAGCGGAAAGCTCCAGCGAAAGCCTCGACCGGCGTGGAGAAGCTGAAGAAGGTAAATGTCAACGGGATGTCGAAGATATCCAGCTTCTTTCAGAAGCCTGCAAAGTAGCTTGTCGGTCTGTCTCTGTTTTCTTTCTGGAACTTGTAATATATGTATTGTCTTGGGTTGTGTATAGACTGGTGAGTGACTGACTGCCTTCCCGACAGGACTGAGGTCGGCGCCACCAGATGTACCGCTGTACACGCCCACGTGCGTCTGACAGCTTTGACGGGTGACGGACGCGTCCACGTCCCTTTGGTCCTTCACAGACAATTCAAGCTCCGCTGGTTCGTCCTTCTCCTCAACCTTCATGTCCCCGCCCCTCGCCCTCTAGCAAAGTCACAAACCGCAAGATGCTGTCCAACGCGAGTGTAGCCCCGAAGCGCTACGTCGACCGGGAGGTGCAGACGGATCCGGAGCTGCGTCAAGCTCTCACCCCGCCCGCCTCGCCAGAGTCGCAACAACGCTGCAGCACGCTCTCACCCGTGCGAAGACAGAAGAGCTGACCGAGTCAGAGGCGTTCTCCGAAACACATTCGCGAGAGTCCACTCACTTTGGCAGTGCATATAGTCATCCATTTGACCGCTCCAATACCCCAAGCCCAGAGCCTACTCTCGCGTCGACCACCCGACTATACAAGGCGACTATGACACTGGGTAGGACAAAGGATATCGTGAACACTACTACATCCCGAATCGTCTCGTTGCCCGAAACGGTTCGATGTACTCTGCCAAGACTGTCCTCAAGAAATCAACGTCTCGCGTTGTTTCTATGCCGCTGTCGTCCACCGAGGCGCAGAATATCTTGTCTGGCACCTTCGACGACTCGTACGATGAGGCTTCGCTTTGTATCGCCAGCGCTGAGGGTCCATCTCGCGTACGTGTTCAGTCCCAGGTGTCCGAAATGCCACACACGCCTTCCCCGCCCTCCTCTCCGGAGTCCGTGGTCATCATCGGGAATAAGAACCACTTGGCCGAAAACTTTCTGCGTGGTCACCGCGCGGAGGACAGTGTGCAGCGGAAAACTACACCTGACCCCGAGGGTCAGTAGTCTCGCCCGTCGACACGATCACTCACCACAATCGAGCTTGACAGGATGGATATCATGGGCATCGTCTCCGCCTAGACCCATTCCTGCCCTTCATGGCCCTTTGTCGTTGCCATATGCTCGATGCCCCTCGTGAGTGACTTCATAGTGCACTGACTCATTATGGCTCAAGACAAACTGTCCTGTCTGGTAGCGGCGCTGAGGGAACCATCCTCGAGGAACCTGACAACATCCCTCGCATGATTTGGGGCCTCGAGGGGAGGATCTACAGCCCCCTCGCTCGAGACCGAGTAGTGCTCAACATCCGCCCTCGGCGAAGTCCCCTCAGCGAGGAATGAACCGAGTAAGCAAGACAAACGTGCCTCCGCGCTTGCAAAAAGCTGCATCCGACACGTCTTCCAACCTGGCCTCGCAATTTACGGGGCTCAGTCTGCAGGATTCGAACGGACCAAACGGCCCAACCACTAGACATCAAACTATTCCACAGCAGGACGAACTAGTCGGATACCCCCTACGTGGACAGGAACCGATTGATTTGGCCGAACTGCTTAGGGAAGAATTAGAACTCGACCGTCTTGCCGTTGCTGGAAATAATGCGCTCGAAAACGTGGCTAAGCGTGATGCTCTTCCACGTAGCGTAGTCGACTGGCCAGGCAGTGCAATGCTCGGCTCTACCAAGAACAACAACCGGTTCTCTGGATCTGGACCGACGGACCGGATACTGCAGGCGCGTTCCCGATCTCAGAACGCTGGTGCTGGTTCACTCGATGGCTATGATGTCGCGTCGCAGTACTCACCAGCACTAATGAATCATATTGGATACCCGCTGCAAGACAGTCATCGCTTGACGCCTCGTCGACAGACTGCTCTAGAGATTGCTCAGCAGTATCGTCAACAGCAGCTACAACAACGTCAACTGCAGAGTGCGCTACCTACTCCGCCGAACTCTTCGTCGCCCATCTGGTCATCTAGCTTCTCCCCTTATCCGTCGTCTGTGTTTTCTCCAGAGTTGCTCTCTAGCGCGTCTGGTCTCCCGAAGCTTTCCCCTACTATCGTGCATTCTCGCTCTGGTCCTACGCTATCAGACGTCTCTCAGCATCTCCGGCAAGAGTACATTCCTGTTACTGTTGACTTCATGCCTCGACGCAGTGACTTCGATATCTCATCTCTGGCACCTATGGCCCACGCGGAGGACCTGCAAGAGTTGTACGCAACCAGCCCGTCTCTCTTTACTCTGTCAGATTCGGTGGAGGCGTACGTGCGAGACCAGGCTCGTCGGACCCCCAACGAAGCGGCTCTGCAAGCCCTCATATCGCGTTCACCTGCCGTCCCTCGGCCTCCGCCCAACACTCCGTTAACGGCGGCTGCATCTCGTGGGCACAGCAAGCGTACCTCGGCTCCTATGACGTCTCCTCCGTCTCCTCCGTCTCCTCAACAAATGCGGGTGCACACGTTCTCTACGCAACAAACTCGCTCGATCCCTCTTGCTCGCCTCATGCAGCGGCGGCTCTCTGCGGTGCCCGAGGAGGACGCACTGTCACAGCTGGACGAGGGTCTGCCTATGCCTACGCCTGACGTGTACCCTCGTTCACGGTCCCATTCCTTAAATCCTGGGCCCCCAGATGTGCAGACGTCTCAGCTGAACTACTTGTTGTCGCCTGCGTTCTCTGGTCAACATACGCGGGTGTCCGATCCCCGTCGTGGCGCGCTCTTGCCTGGGACATCGTCTAGCAACGACAGCGCCTTGCTGAATATCGGGACTGGACAGGTCGCAGTGCAAGTCAAACTTCCGGGAGCCCATACTCGTGGTTATGCTGGAAACACTCGCACTGATAATAGGAATCATCAAGCTCCCGAGCGGCGAGAGTTTGGGAGAGAAGAATCCGTAAGGAACTCCGAGAGTGCCAGAGGCGGAAGTCAGAGGCGGGGTGGCGGTAGAGGGCGAGGGAAAGGTGGACGCAATGGGGCGAACCGTGTCATCAACGGCCCTGAGCGAGTGGACGGCGGTTTAATGGTCAAGTCGTGAGGTAAGGATTAGCATATTTCACTGTTTCGCTCGGTCCTGATATTCGTTGCCGCAGGTCGTTTTCAGTTGAGCTAGCTATCCGTGTTTCGTTTCAGTTTCTCCGTTACTCGAGTTCGCTGTCGACTTCAAGCTGTCCTACAACCGCATATCGTATTTATATCAGTACGTGGGCCCTCGTACAAAGGTACAGGCGACTGCACCTGGTAGACTTGTACCTTACTTTCAACACGTAATTATCGCACAACCTTCTAGAACGCGGATTCATGTTGCAACGGGAGTTACAGAGTCCATTAACCTCCGACGATTGCTGTACAGGGGGCCGAGCGACAACAATCTAAGATCCGTATACGACTGACAGGAATTACACAGGACACTGTACATATACACTCTGCTGGCCATCGTCCGTGGTGTCACTTCGCCCCACTGCTGAGAACCTCTCTGCGTACGGCAGACCCGGCGGACTGTACTTGCAGGGCAGGATGAAGTCGCCACAGGCAGCATCCGCGTCCAGACCCGGTCCGACACCCCACCGGAAAGCAATGTGTAGGAGTATGTATGCATGTATGTACTTACAGCGGCGAAGAGACGAAAGCGCGGCCAAGGCGTGAAGGCGTGCGTCAGTACTTTTGGCAAGCGAAACGCGGGGAACCAAAATCGAACGGAATAGATTAGGTGGGCCAGCGACGGGGAGTCGGGACGAGCGGACGGGGTAGACGCGCGCACGAGGATGAAGGCGGAGGCGGAGGCGGAGCAGGCGAACGGGCTAGTATTGCTGGGATGGAGATGGAGCGTAGACACGAGATGGTGAGATGAGACGAGATGAGTTTGCGTGCGAGATGGAGGTGTATTGTGGGTGCAGATCTGAGAGGCAGAAGGGGACAAAGGAAAAAGGAAAAAAAGTGTCCGGGAAGCATGCATGCGGGGAGGTCAGTGCACCCCCGACCCGATGGATATGCTCGCCATCGCCGCGTCGAGCGACGTCGCGTCGCTGCGGCTCGAGCCTGGCCGCGACGATCTGTCAAATCAGTGCGGTCCATCAGCGCCCGTGTGTGAGAGGAGAAGCCGCAGAAATGCCTCGCGCGGAGTGAAGGGAGAGGAGATGGGGAGGGAACGTGGCTTACGTCTCGCCTGATGACCTGCTTTTGGGCCAGCCCCAGACCTTGCGTATCCAGACAGCCATGTCGACTTCGTGCTGCATGACGTTCTTGATCCACGGGTGCTCGAGGAGACTCGCGGGCGTCGGGCGGAGCGCGGCGTCTCGCGTCAGCCTGCGATCAGGGAGGGGACGTGAGACGGGATGGGGTGACGACGGACAGACAGATGGGCGATAAGGAGACGTACGCTAGCTTGATGAACTCCTTCATCTCGGCGCTGTAGGTGAACGGGCCCTCGTCCTCCAGCTCTGGCGGCTGCGGCGTGGGATGGGAACGGCGTTAGAACCTCGGGAGGCGAGAGACGGGAGAAGGAGAAGGGGTGGGGAGGAGCAGCGTACCTCGTACTGGGTGATGTACATCATGAGCTCAATCGCGGCAAGATCGCTGGGGAAGGGGAAGCGGTTCTGGACCAGCTCGAGGAGGGAGATGCCCGTCGACCAGACGTCCGATCGGATGGTGTATTCGTGCCCGGACAGTCGTTCCGGCTGGAGCGCAGATCAGCACAGGGCACGCCAACGGGCGATCAGCCTGGGAGGGGGACGCACCGCCATGTAGAGACTGGTGCCGGTGAAGGTGCCTGCCATGGAATTGACGAGCTCGCCGGAGACACCAAAGTCGCAGAGCTTGACGATGCCCTCGCGGGTGAGGAGGATGTTGGGGGGCTTGATGTCGCGGTGGATTGTCTTCTGCTTGTGGAGGTAGGCAAGGCCCTGGAGGATCTGCAGGGGGTGGGCGTCGGAATCAGTATCAGGAGAGCGACGTAACCATGACAGGGAGATGAAGCTCACGCCCTCGGCGAGCCGCCCTGCGACGTTCTCGGTGACGCGCTTGTCGGTCTCCTTGAGACGCTTGCCGACGGACTCGAGGCTGCCGCCCTCGCAGAACTCCATGAGGACCTTGACCTCGCTGGAGGAGGGCGAGATGTATGCGCCGAAGAAGTGGATGATGTTGTGGTGAGATGTGCTCGATGTGATCTTGATCTCGCGCATGAGCTGCTTCATGGGGGCCTCGAGCGTGGTGATCGTCTTGCGGGCGATGATCTGGCCTGTCCGCTTCACCCTGACCTTGTACACCGCGCCGCCGGCGCCCTCGCCGAGGCGGGCGAGCTCCTCGAGGTCGTCGTCGGACCACTCGTCGAACTCGCGCACAGTCTGGCGGATGTTGTCCAAGGAGACCGCATTTGGAGGCGGACGCGAGCGGGGCGAGACGGTCTGGTCAGGCCTGACGGTGAGGTCGCCGGGGCTGACGGTGCTGCCGTTCACATGGGGAGTGACGGAGTTTGCGCCCCCAGTGTACTCGCCGGTGAAGGCGCCGCCCTCGACCTTGTCGAAGTCGATGGTGGGGAGCTTGAGCTTGGGACGCGGGGAGGGACGCGGGCGGATGTTGAGAGGCGCGACCTCGGGGAGGGCGAAGGCGGGGGACGGGGAGGCGGAGCGCTGGATGCCGCGGGGGCCAAGGGGGCGGGCGGGGGACGGGTGGAGGGACTGCATGGCGGCGACGACGCAGGCGTGGCCACGGCGGCGCAGGAGAGCACTGGGCAGGAGCAGGCAGACAGTGGCAGAGGCAGAGGCAGGCGGAGGCGTCTCAGAGACTCTTTCACGCAAAGCACAATGTTCCCGCCCACGGCGTCTCTCCCACGTGCACCCCATCTGTCTCACATCGCCGCCCATTGACGTCCCAATCACCCACCCCTCGCCCGTCCGTCATCCACGCCTGCTACACAGTTCGTCCGTGCGCACCGTCTGCGGGTTAAGCAGGAGGCTAGGATGCAATGTACACGCGCTGTATCTAGTCATCTTAGGAAGAACTCCAACACCGGCAGTGTAGCCAAGTGGTTACGGCGTCACGTTTAGGCTTTCATGCATTCCGTGATGGGTTTCCCGCGCGAGTTCGAATCTCGTCACTGTCATCTAAGCTGCGTTCTGCTAGTTTTTTGGAGTGATATCCTCCTCCCTGCGACCTATATTGTCGCCGTGTTTTGATTCTCAAACAGCTGAGGACGGCGACCGCACGAAGCTTGTCGTCCAGTCACGGACCGATCAAATTCAATAAACTAACGAACCTGGGGACGGACGCCGACCGCTGATTCCTGAAGTGGCTGCAGAACAGGCGCTTATTCATTCAAGGCCCTCTCCCAACTCTCACCACCACCTCGTACATCCCTTCACCTTCTTTCGCCATGGCCTCGGCTTCTGGTACGATTGTTCATTTGTTTCAACCTGTCTCATATAGTTCATAGCTACTGGCAAGCTCTCCCGGAGGAGTTCCGCAGACAGAAGGATCTCGACGCAGCTCGCAAGGCCGGTACAGCACCGGCTGCGCTGGATGAGGAGGGCAAGGCGATCAACCCACACATTCCTCGTGCGTATACACTGTACCATCGTCTTGTTCTCGTCTCTTCTCACCGTGCGACGTATAGAATACATCGCCCAAGCACCATGGTACCTCGACACCGGTGCGCCGTCCCTCAGCCATCAGCGGATGCCGGATTACGACCGCTCCTCCGACAAGCTCGACAACTGGTATGACCGCGGTGCGAAAGCCGGCCCCGCCGCGAAGAAGTACCGCAAGGTGCCTGCGAGAACTGCGGCGCCATCACGCACAAGAAGCAGGACTGCCTCGAGCGGCCACGACGCCGTGGCGCAAAGTTTACGAACAGGGACATCGCGCCGGACGAGGTCATCCAGGACGTTGCGACGGGCTACGACGCGAAGCGCGACCGGTGGAACGGCTACGACCCCGGGGAGCACAAGAGGATCTACGACGAGTACGCGGCGGTGGAGGCGGCGCGGCAGAAGCTGCGCGAGGAGGAGATTGATAAGCAGACGACGACGGACCTGGCGGCGGTGCGGAAGGTCGCGAAGGCGGGGAAGGAGAAGGGTGAGGAGCGGACGACGACTTTGGGAGCAGTGACGAGGAGGACGAGGATGCGGACAAGTATGCGGAGGCTGCGGATGCGGTGGGTCAGAAATGGACACGAAGACCCGTATTACCGTCCGGAATCTGCGAATTCGGGAGATACTGCCAAGTATCTCATCAACCTCGACCCCTCAAGCGCGTACTACGACCCGAAGACCCGTTCCATGCGTGACAATCCCATGAAGAACGTCACACCAGAAGAGGTGCGGCTTGATTATGTATGTCCGACCATGCTAACTGACATAGGCTCGATTTGCTGGTGACAACTTCCTCCGCCACTCCGGTGAAGCCCCGAGTGCAACAGCTGCAGCTCTTCGCATGGAATGCAGCTGCTCGGGGCAACGACGTACACATGAACGCCAACCCGACACAAGGTCAACTCCTGCATCAAAAGTTCGAGCACAAGAAAGAGAAGCTGAAGGACATCAACAAGTCGAGCATCCTCACGAAGTATGGTGGAGAGGAGTACCTCGAGAAGGCGCCGAAAGAGCTGTTGCAGGGCCAGACGGAGGAGTACGTCGAGTTCTCGAGGACGGCCAGGTGCTCAAGGGGAAGGAGCGTGCGGCGGCGAAGTCGAAGTACCCGGAGGATGGTGCGTGTCCTCTCCCGTTCCGTGCGCTGCGTCTGCTTGACGTTGTCGGCAGTGTACATCAACAACCACACGGCGGTCTGGGGCTCGTGGTACAACGCCCCATCTGGAGATTGGGGTTACGCCTGCTGCCACTCCACCGTCCACATTTCCTACTGCACTGGTATCGCGGGTATTGAGGCGGCACAAGCATCGAGTGCGAAACAACTTCTCGCTTCGTCATTAGTAGCCGATGCGTCTCCTCCGCCCGAGAGCGCACCACAAACAACGGGGACGGCCGAGGATCGAAAGAAGAAGGCAGAGGAGCTCTTCTCGAAGAAGCGTCTCGGCGAGGGCGAGCTCGCGCTTGACCAGGACCGTCTGGTTAAGGCCATCCAGGAGGAGAAGAAACGGAAGACAAGGGGTGGGGAGGAGGAGGATCGGTTTGCGAAGCGGCAGAAGGGTGGACAGGGCGGGAGCCATGAGCTGTCGCAGGAGGAGCTTGGTGAGTTGTCTGTGCTTTGGTTTCGGTGGGTGATCCGCGTTCTAACTGGTTTGCAGAGGCGTACAGGATGAACCGTCGGATGATGGAGGATCCTATGGCCAATTACGTCGACACGGAGGCGTAGTTGTCTGGCATGCACCCTTTGTATTTCTACTGTCACTGCTATGTACTTAGCCATTATTGTATCGTTGTATCTGCTCTACCTAATTCTCAAAATGGATCTGCGCTGCGTTCTTGAGATTCGAGGGGGTGTCACGGTGTATTCACGTCGAACACGTGAGCGCGAGTACCCTGCCTCATGTTCGGATATGGGCGCTCAGATGGGGTGCAGACTCGGTGCAGCCTCTTCTTCATCTCGACTCTTGCGCGGGCGGCAGCGAGCCAGTCGCCAGCTCCCACCATCTCCCAAATCTCCAGCGATATCTAATGCCCTTATGACTAGTCAAGGATTTACATGGAAATTACGACTAGTTCAGCACTCCTTATTGCGCTCGGCGCACGCATACTGTTGAACTCCATATTCGTCGGTCTTGACGCGACACCCTCCACCCCTGACTGCTTGCTGAATGGCCTCTTCCAAGGAGTCCTCCTCTACACGTCCCTCACGCAGCTGCTCATCTTGGTCGTGCCCGTGGGCTTCGGGATCGCGGCGAAGCTCCTGCTGGACTACTCCCGCAGCTTTGACGCCACGCAGTGCGTGTGCACGCTTCTTGGTGTGGCACTCGGGGTCGTCTTCACGGACGTGCTCTCCAAGACCCTCGAGGACTCCAAGACGACCGAGACGACGAAGACGACAACGCGGACACGCACCACCCCCGCCGTGCCGCGCGAGACGCACGAACCAAGCAGACGCCTGCGGCTCGTGTCGTTTGACCGGCAGGAACGCACACGGCATCGGCGCGAGGAAGGCCACAGACACCACCGCGACTCGGACGACCACGAGCGCGACCGGGACAGAGAACGCGAGCGGAACCCCCGCCGCCTCGAAGTACGCCCCATCACGCCTACGCTCACCTACGCTAGTACCGCACCCTCCATCTCCCTCGACTCCGTGCCGTCGTCCATTGACCCGGACGGCCGCATGACCCCGCAGGAACGCGCGGTGGCGGTCCTCCGTGCACGCGCGAGCCTCGCAGACTCGGAGCGGCGCCGGTTCAAGGAGGAGCGCAAGTGGGCGCTGAGCCAGGGGAACTTTGCGCGTGCGAGCCAGCTGGCGTGGCAGGTGAAGAGGTTCTCGGCGCTCATGGAGAGTTTCCACCGCGAGGCGGACGTGAAGGTCGTTGAAGGTGCGTGGCTAGTCTCGTCTTTGGCTTGGTGCAGTGTCAAAGTGGAAATGGGTGCTAAACAAATTGCAATCTGTAGCTGCACGCGCGGCGGCCGAGCAACAACAGCCAGCCTCAGGTACGGAGCGCCCTCGTCGCACCTCGCAGAGCAAAGCCAGCAAACGAAGCCAGCAGGCCGCGTCCTCTTCGGTGCCGTTCCCCGGACAGGCCTCGACGTCTGCAGCGCCCGATCGACAGCCGCTCGTGAGCGTCACCGTTGCATCAGCACCTCGACATAGGAAGAGAAGTTCCGGGACCATCCGGCCAGCTATTCATGTGCAAGGTCGAGAGTGCGTCCATGGAGTTTCATTACAGAGTCTGTCTAACGCGGGGCTTCTCATATCTCAGGATCAATGTGACGCGATGATTAACTGCGACCGGCTAGCTTGAAGCTGTCTGTTCAATCACGCGTCTTGCTTCCGAAAGCAATACTGGCGTGGTCGTAGACTGTCGGGATGCGATCGCGCACACTGGCGATACCAAATGCAGTCGCCGTCGTTGGTCGGTGAGGGACATGTCGGCTGCTTTTGATGATATTGGAGGACCATCAAGCTGGTTTGTGACTGTACTGATACTGTAGAGCTCCTTGGACGTGCGACCACCCGGAAATGTATTTGTAGTTCATGCTCACTCTGGGAGTTCATAGGCCTGACATCCTGCTCATCCACTCTCGTGCGCGTCGCAGCCCGGGATTCTATTCTGGTTGTGTGATCCGTTCTTCAGCGAACGGTATGCGCGTGACTGTCTGACGCAGACCCGTTGAATACATAGCAGTCGGACGTGCGCGGAATGAGCGCGATCTCCCGACTCTTACCGAACAGCCTTTGGAGTATCCGACGGTCGTGCATATCTACAGTAATAGCAGCCAATCAAACACTGTAGTACTGACTGTCTGAGTGCACGCATCACGCTGCGACTGACTCACTTCTACAGGCTATTATTGCACAGTACGGTGGAGCTAGAGTGGCATTGTGCTTGCCCTCTCCCGTGCAGCCCCGAGAAGCATCCCCGCATCTTCAAAGCTTCTTGTGGAGTCACGGTTCCCTTCTTATCTACGAAGACTACGGGGACCTGATCGGAAAGAAGAACGCTCTCGAGATTGATGTGAACACTTAATCATTGTATATACAGTTCGACATAGAAATCCAGAAGTACGCGCACACTGTACTGATTTGCTACAAAACTATGAAGGTCGTTGGGAACGGCATAGCAGGACAGAGACACGGAATATTATGGAAAACAGGCAAGTTTCAACTAACCGATCGGGCGTTCCGTATGAACTCCAAGTTTGGTCATGCACGTCATCAAATTCGGAGTACCCGCAGAAATTCGGAATTCGGGCAGGCACGACCTGGGCACGACATCAACTTGAAAGTTACGACCGCAAGGACATGGCCAGCATCACACGAACGTCCTCCCTACCTCCGACACCTTGTCCATGCGTACCCGCGGCCGGAGGAAGCAGCACATGAGACTCCACCAATGTATTATTTTCCGCGTCTACTCAGTGCCTATACGAACGGTCGATTGCGTGATACCCTCACCATCGCTTCCCCGGCGTGTCGCATAAATCTGTCCTGCCGCCGAAGAAATGGGTTTACCGCACCTAACAACCCCTCCTTGGACACCGTTTCAGAGCTCTGAAAGGCCTCTCGCTCCCTCTCTTGCATTCAGCGATGGCCAACATACCCCACGGCGGCATTCTTAAGGTGGGTCGCAGCGCGGAGCATTCATCAGTTCTGGTGATTGATAGTCAAGATAGGATCTTGTCGCACGCGACGAGCACATACGCCAAAGCTTGAAGGAGGAAGCTGCGAAACTCCCGGACATTACGCTCACGGAGCGTCAATTATGCGACCTGGAGCTCATCATGAATGGCGGGTTCAGCCCGCTGGAGGGGTTCATGAACCAGGCAGACTACAAGAAGTGAGTGCTGTACCTTATACACAACTTCGTATGACCTTGAACTAACATACGTACGTTCAGCGTTGTCGAGAACTTGCGTCTTGTCGACGGCACACTGTTCCCCATGCCCATCACCCTCGATATTTCCCGGGAGAACATTGTCCGCCTTTCTATCGCATCTGGTTCCCGCATCACCCTTCTCGACCCCCGCGATGACCAGGCTCTTGCCATCATCACCGGTGAGTTCAACTGCGCCCGTATCATGCACCACAAGCTGACAGGAGTCGCAGTCGAGGATGTTTACCTCCCAGACCAGGTGAAGGAGGCGATTAACGTCTTTGGAGCAGACGACCCAGCGCACCCATCTGTGTCATACCTCCGTCGTAAAGTGAACGAATACTACGTTGGAGGCAAGGTCCAGGCAATCCAGCCACCGACACACTTCGATTACGTTGCTCTGCGATGTGAGTGAACTAGCGCCGATTGCACGGATCGCTGCATCTCTGACGTCGTCGAACTAGACACTCCGTCCGAACTGCGCGCTCACTTCAAAAAGTTGGCATGGCGCAAGGTGGTCGCCTTCCAGACGCGTAATCCTATGCACAGAGCTCACCGTGAGCTCACCGTCCGTGCTGCCCGTCTGCGCCAGGCGAACGTCCTCATCCACCCGGTCGTCGGTCTCACCAAGCCCGGCGACGTCGATCATTACACTCGTGTCCGTGTCTACGAGGCTATCATCGCGAAGTACCCGAAGGGCATGGGCCACCTTGCCCTGCTCCCTCTGGCAATGCGCATGGCCGGCCCTCGCGAGGCCGTCTGGCACGCGATCATCCGCAAGAACTTCGGCGCGACGCACTTCATCGTCGGGCGTGACCACGCAGGGCCCGGGAAGAACTCGCAGGGCAAGGACTTCTACGGCCCGTATGACGCGCAGGACCTCGTCATGAAGTATCATGACGAACTGCAGATAGAGATGGTGCCATTCCAGCAGATGAAGTATCTGCCATCGACGGACGAGTACGTCCCTGTCGATGAGGTTCCCAAGGGTGAGGAGACTCTTGACATCTCCGGCACTGAACTCCGGAAACGTCTGAAGACTGGTGGCCCCATCCCTGATTGGTTCAGCTACGAGTGCGTTTGTCTCTGCGAACGGTCAGCAGCACTGGTATCTGACGGGTGTACAGGGCTGTCGTCAAGACTCTACGAGAGAGCTACCCGCCTCGACTGAAGCAGGGCTTCGTGGTCTTCCTCACGGGTCTGCACAAGTCTGGCAAAGATACCATCGCCAAGGCCCTCCAGGTCGTGCTGAACGAGCAGGGCGGCCGGAGCGTGTCTGTCTTGTCAGGGGACAACATCCGCTCCGACCTCGATACACGTGCGTACCTAGCCCCTCAGACCGTGGGCGTCGCTGATCCTGACCCATCAATAGCGTTCAGCTACACACCTGAAGAGCGCAACAAGAACCTCGAGCGAGTCGCCTTCGTCGCCGCTGAGCTCGCACGCGCGGGTGCGGCTGTCATCGCGGCGCCTATCGCCCCGAGCCAAGCCTCGCGGGATGCCGTCAAGGACACCGTGATACACAGCGCGGGTGCGGGCGGGAACTTCTTCACCATCCATGTCGCAACGCCGCTCGAGTTCTGCGAGGCGCACGACCGGAGAGGCGTGTACTCTCGGGCACGTAAGGGCGAATTGAAGCACGTCCCCGGCGTGGACGAGGAGTACGAGACTCCCGAGCGGCCGGATCTGACTGTTGACTTGACTCAGCAGAGTGTGCCGGAGATCGTGCACAGTACGTCGTCGTTTGTGTCTGGCAGAGATTCAGTATGCTCACCCTGTGCTCAGGTATCGTCTTGCTGCTTGAGACTGAGTCGCTTCTATAGTTGGGTTGGACCTGTCAGGATACAGGTCCCATCATCCTTCACATTGGTTTGTTGTGTGCTTTGATTACGAGCCCACGCTTGATTGTTATTTTGTCGCCATGTCCTGGACGAGTAGAGGACTCGTGCTTCTCAAATTGTATTGCATACTTACACTGTACTGCGTAGAAAGAGAACAAACTATCTCAGAAGCGTACGCTCTGCAGCTGCTGGCTGCTCGGTGCTGTACTCAGAGCCTCAAACTGAGTTGTCCGGGCCTACTTACCGTTCGCGGACATGGGCGTTATTTCGTGGCTGAGCAGTTTGGGCGGCCAAGCTGTCGAAGCAAGGATTGGCGCCTTGGCAACTACCACGCCCGGCCATGCTCATCGCCATGGCCCGTCCCGACACTGCCTTTCCCTTCTGTCAAGCCCTCCTTCACATTTATTATACCCCTTCGACTGTGAACGCCGGCGCTCACATTGTGTTCGCTGTTCCCAAGCTGTTCCTGCCTGACGTTCGCCGTGCTCATGAGGCTCGCCCCGTCGCTCCTTCTCTATGTCTCCCTCCTCCTGGATTGCCTGCCCGCTGCGGATGCGGTGAGAATGCCGATCGCTGGGCGCCGCGTACCCCGGATACAGGATGAGCTCGAGCGAATGGACCCGGGCCTCGGCCGGAGGGCGAGCATGAGCGGGGACTTACAGGATCAGGGTGATGTTAGGTATTACACGAATGTCTCTCTGGGAGGACAACAGTTCTCAGTCCTTGTTGACACGGGGAGGTGAGTGTTTGCTTCTCATGTCGTACGCTGGTCCACTGTTTGGCGCTATGTGGTTGTGAGCAAGTTGTGAGCGAACGGCGGTCCCTGTTTCCATTTGCATGATGGCCATGGTTGTCGGTGGCGCCGATTAGGCTGGGTCGACTCCACAACCTGGACTCGGAGGTCCTTGGTCACGACTCACAACCATGCTGTGTTGGTTTCACGCTCAGTCCTGGCTCGGTCCTTCGAATACGCCGACTTGCAGCAGAGCACAGGACTTGGTGTTGTCGTACATCTGCTATAGACTCTCAAGCCAGCCGCGCGTTGGACGCGCAGATACCGATGCTTCCATCTTCCATAGCGTCCGAGTCGCTTTGTACCAACGGGTCTGACATGCCTTACATTAGTTCTGACCTGTGGGTGGCTGGAAACGTACCGGGTGCAAAGGGCACCGGAAAGACGCTCTGTAACTTACGCCATCGGATCTGCCAGCGGTACGTCCCCTTCACTGTCGATGGCTGCGCGATGGCTCATCCCAGTTTGCAGGTCTATCATGACAGCAAATATGCAGTTCGATGGAACAGTGTTCAGAACCAGGCTTTCAGTGCGTTCCTTATTCAGGCATTGGTCGCCTCCGAATCTCACTGGCTGCAGTCAGCGTCGGCGTCGATAGTGACCACCCGGTGAACTCTGGCGTGATAGGTCTCGGACCCAACAGCGCGTCGAACATCTACGAGCAGTTCAACAACGACGCAGGCGACACGCCTCTCAACCGGATATTCGAGCAGAACACGAGCACGCCCAACTTCCTCTCCGTACTGCTGGCCGTTCGGACGACACCGACACCCGTACCCGGGCGACATCACCGTCGGGGAAGTGGTGACCGGCTACGAGAACATCACATCGCAGCCCAAGCTGCCGATTCTGGAGGACGAGGACTCTGGTGCGCGGCACTGGCAGACGCTGCTGGACAAGGACGGTATCATTGGGCCGGATGGTGAGGTCATATCGGTGCAGAGCGTGGTGCAAGGGTTGCAGCAGCTGGTGGTCGTATTCGATACGGGGTTCTCACTGCCTCAAGTGCCTACGTGCGTAATCATCTCATGTGTCCTGCCGACTGACTCACTTTTCCTATAGTGCTGTCTCGAACGCCATATATTCGCGAGTACCAGGCGCGAACTACACGAACGTCCCGGCCGCATCGGGCAAGGTGTGGACCCTGCCTTGCGACGTCGAACTGAACGTGACGTTCAAGTTCGGGGGTATCTCCTATCCTGTCAGCCCGCTTGACACGAACCTCGGCGCGCTGAACGTCAAGGGCAGTGATGGCAACGAGGTGTGCGTGGGCGCGTTCCAGCCTATCACTACCGCAATGTCCTCCACGTTCGACATGATCCTTGGAATGGCCTTCTGTACGTGTCTTGTTCCACCTCACTCCCAGACTTGACGTGTCGACATGCTATAGTGCGGAACGCCTATCTGCTGGTGGACCTTGGTGATTATGTTCACGGTTCGGCGGCATCGACGACGGACCCATACATGCAGCTGCTTTCTATCACCGACCCTGCGGAAGCGCACAAGAACTTCGTCGACGCGCGCCTCGGTGGTGTCGACAACACGTCGGCATTCCACCTGCTGCCTGCCATGAACACCACCAACTGGGCGACCTCTTCGAGCGAGTCCACGTCGCAGAAAATCAAACCCTACCTGCCGTACATCATCGCTGGCAGTGCGGCCGTCGCCATCCTGCTGATCGTTGCTGCAGGCGCATGTTTCGGCAGCCGCAAGCGCACACGATACCAGCGTTTGCACGAGCCTGCACCCGTTGGCTTGCCCGTGTACGACCAACCCTTCCCCCGCTATCAGCGACCACACCGTCGCTACTGAACGTTGAACTCGCAGGACGTATACAGGACACTATTTGCTTTCGAATCTAACCGCATTTACTTACATTGTTTGGGCCCCCACGGACACTAGTTGAGCACGTACATAACTTATTGTAGCATAGTACACGGATGACACCACAGTGCTTTCACTGAGTCGCGCGGTCGCCTCCGTCGGTCCGCCGTGCACGACGCCGCGCCGGGTTATCTGAGCCATCTGCCACGCACCAACGTGTCTGTCAGCCATCAGTCAGGCGCACCCAGGGCTGGTTCCCGAAGCACGCTGCGCTGGCAGCTGCCGGGTTCTGGCTGTGAGACGCGCCGATAGGGACGATGAGCCGGCCGCGAGAAGAGTCGTCACCGTCACTTGGCAATGCAGTCGCTCACGGCGCGGCGCCCCGGCCACATGCATAGTCGTGCGTTTGCGCGATGGTGCAAAGAGCCTGCGGTGTCGACGGGGATGTCTGCTCGTCGTCGGACACGGCGAGCAGGGGTGAAGCGTGGGAAAGTGCCCGACTGGGCGGACGCGTGACGGATGTCACAGGGCAGGTGTGACAGGCTGGAGGTCGAGCCTCAGGTGGTCGTCACTGGTGGCGGCGGTGACGACCGCTCGAGAACATGCTGCCGGGGGCACGACGCCGGGTGGCCCGCGGCGGCGCTTCGGCGACGCGGACTCTCACGGGCTGCGCGTGCACGGGAGAACGAGGCAGTGGGTGGTGATGGTCGCCGCGCCGGCGCGCATGTGGGTCGACGCCGGTGCGGCTAGTGCGGTGGGCACGGCGAGCAGCTGAGGGCTGGCGGGCTGGGGCCGCGGAGGGGTGGTGGGTGCAGCGGGCTGCAGAAGAGGGGCCGGTGTGCGAGGGGGAGATAAGATGCGTGGCGAGCGGCGGAGTTGGGCACGCTGCCCAGTGACGAGCCCTGCGATGGCCACCTCCGGCGCACGCGTGCGAACCCTGTCCGAGCTGGGCTGGCCGCTCTGGCGCTCGTGAAAGACCTTGTCAACGCCATCGCCGGGCCTCTTCCCACCCCCCACCCCGCCCCCCTCGTCCTCCCCGCTGCCCACCCTGAATTCCCTCGCACAGAACTACGAATCATCCATGTCGCCGCCCGGTGACGACGACCCCCCATGCAGTCGACCTCCCGCTCCCCCTTCGGCGGCAGCTCGGACAGCGACGACTCCATGCAGCTTGACTCCGATGTCGACGTCGACATCAAGAAGGACCCCGACGCCGATGCCGAGGGTGAAGAGGTCGATGAGGAGGAGACCCAGCCCATCGCCAAGACCAATGGCCACAATTCATCATATATGAAGAACCGAGCGGTGAGTGATAGAGTGGCGATCTGTAGGGCTGTATTGATAGACCATGGGTGTATGCGCGTTGGATATATGCGCGTCAGATCAAGGACGAGGAGTCGGTATGTCTCGGCCTTGGTGTCATCCTTCCATATTTGTCCTCACAGACATGATAGGGTTACGAAGATGACGAACCTGAACCTGAGGACGAGGAGGAGGACGCGTCGTACGCGGACGAGGAGTATGGTGCGTCCAAGAAGAAGGCTCCGAAGAAGAAAGCTCCGTCGAGGCCGAAGCCAAAGGGTGAGTTGCGTGCATGGTCTTCACATCCATCATTGTGACACTCCACCAGTGCCAACTCGGCATTCTGGGTCTGACTCTGATTCCGACTATGGCTCAAAGTCGAAGAAGAAAAAGAAGGCTAAGACATCCGAGATTCGCGTGTCTAGCAGAGGTGGCAGAGTCCCCAACTATGTGGACGACGTCCAGGACTTCGAGCAGTTTGACGAGGACGTTCCCGAAGGGACGTACGTCGAGGCTGTCAATGAGCCACACGATGAAATTGAGGCCGTTTTGGGACATTGTCGAGACGAGGGCCATGAAGATGATCCTGAGGATGATTGGACGCGCAACATCGTGAGCACCATATGCATTTCTCTTCCGCGTCGCACGTCTGATCAGCCCGCCTCGCTGTACAGCGCTTCCACATAAAGTGGAAGAACTTCTCACATTTGCATAACACCGATGAAGTCTACGAGTTCCTGAAGAGATACAAGGGCATCAAGCGAGTAGACAACTATATGAAAGCATGTAAGTTGTATCAGGAGCGCCTTACGTCGCCCGAGACTTCTCGCGAGGACAAGGAAGGGCTCTTGCTCGCCAAGGAGCGCGAGAAGGAGGAGTTGGAGACATACAAGATCGTTGACCGGATCGTCGCCCAGCGGGAGACGAGCACTGGCGGGGTCGAGTACTTCTGCAAGTGGACGAATCTTAACTACGACCACTGCACCTGGGAGCCGCTCGAGGAGATTCGGCCGATCGCAAAGGACCAACTCGAGGCGTTTAGGAAGCGCGAGGCGGAAGCGAAGTTCCCGTACAAGAGCGTCAGCTATCCGCGACATGCAAGGCCAACCTTCCAGAAGATCAAAGAGGACCCCGAGTATTTGACAGTGACAGGCGGTGAACTCAAGGACTTCCAGCTCACCGGCTTGAACTGGCTCGCTTACCTCTGGAGTAAGGGCGAGAACGGCATCTTGGCTGACGAGATGGGTCTGGGCAAGGTGCGTATCATCCTCATCATTTCCGATCGAACTCTATACCTAGTCTTCGCCCGCAGACGGTACAGACAGTGGCGTTCTTGTCATACCTGTTCCACGAACTGCGGCAATATGGCCCGTTCCTGGTCATCGTTCCGCTGTCGACGATCACGGCTTGGGAGCAGCAGTTTGCGACCTGGGCACCCGACCTGAACGTCATCAAGTACACTGGTACTGCCCTGGCTCGGGATGTCATCAGGAAGTATGAGTTCGGCTCCTCGAACAAGAAGCTCAAGATGAACGTGCTTCTGACGACCTACGAAATCACGTTGCGTGATTCGAAGAGCTCGGCGATATCAAATGGCAGTCCCTTGCTGTCGATGAGGTATGTGACGTACCGTTTCGAGGTAGGGGGTAGGGGACGCACGCTGATCGCTCAAGCAAGGCACACCGACTGAAGAACTCCGAAAGCAGCTTTACGAGGCATGAGGGCGTTCTCGGCGCGTCTAAGCTGCTCATCACGGGCACTCCGCTGCAAAACAACGTGAAAGGTGCGAGGTTTGCCTGACGTTAGAGGGCGGGCGCTGACGCCTGCGTCCGCAGAGCTGCTGTCGCTGATGCATTTCCTCATGCCGGAGAAGTGTAAGTGCTCATAGCTCAGGGTCTTGGGCGATGCGCTGATATGCGGTGCAGTCCAACTTACGAACGAGTTCGACCTGCGGATGCCGACCATGAAGAGAAGATCAAGGAACTGCACAACAGCTGGAGTCGCTGATGCTTCGGCGGCTGAAGCGTGATGTCCTCACGTCAATGCCTTCGAAGAGCGAGCGCATCCTCCGTGTCGAGATGAGCGGTCTCCAGACGCACTTCTACAAGAACATCTTGACGAAGGTTGGTTCATTCTTGTCTGTTACGTTTAGTGGCGTTGTGTGACGGTGTGCGCGCAGAACTTCCAAGGTCTGGTCAAGAGTGCTAATGGCAATAGCAACATCAGCTTGCTCAATATCGGTGAGTGCTACCATATAGAACCTCACCACGTGTATCTAACGCACTCGTCAGTGATGGAGTTGAAGAAGGCGGCTAACCACCCGTACCTATTGACGGCGCCGAGACAAGACTGACAATGACGAAGAGACATGAAGGCTTGGTCATGAGCAGCGGAAAGATGGTACTGTTGGACAACTTGGCTCGTCTGCGGCAAGACGGGCACCGTGTCCTCATCTTCAGCCAGATGGTCCGAATGCTGGATATCCTCAGTGACTATATGGTATGCGAAAATATCCGCACCAACGACTCGACGGCATGATCTCCTCCGAGCTCCGCAAGAAGGCCATTGCGCACTTCAACGCGCCGGGCTCGAATGACTTCGCGTTCCTGCTCTCGACACGCGCAGGAGGTCTGGGTATCAATCTCGAGACCGCCGACACGGTGATCATTTTCGACGTGGGTAACTTCTTACTCTCCGCGCCGGAGCATGCGGCTAATGCCCCGTCCAGAGCGACTGGAACCCGCAGAACGACCTGCAGGCCATGGCGCGGGCACACCGCATCGGCCAGAAGTCGCACGTCAGCGTGTACCGGTTCGTGAGCAAGGACACTATGGAGGAGGACATGTTGGAGCGTGCCAAGAAGAAGATGGTGCTGGAGTATGCCAGTAAGTTTGCTCTTCACACAACGCGGCAGCGGGCTGGTCATGACGCCACCTTGTCGCGCAGTCATCAATCAGATGGACACGTCGCAAGCGCACCTTAGCTCGAAGGCGACGGCGGCCAAGGAGCCTTCGAAGCCCAACGACTTGAGCAAGGACGAGCTCCATGCTGTGCTCAAGTACGGCGCGCAGAAGATGTAAGCATGCTTTTGTTTGGATCGCCTACTTGTTTGACCGGCATCCCGCCCTCAAGCTTCGACAAGGATGACACTGACCAGTCGAAGAAACTCGACGAGATGGACCTAGACGACATCCTGAACCGTGCCGAAGCTCACGAGACTGTTACAGCGACGCGAAGGCGCATCCCTCGGTGGCGAGGGCTTCTTGGCACAGTTCGCCAACGTCAGCGACGTCAAGAACGACATGAACTGGGAAGACATCATTCCCTTGGACGCCCGGCAGGAGTTCGAACGTGATGAGGACCAGCGGAGAGCAGAGGAGCTCGCTGCCGAGGAGACGAAGGATCGGAAACGATCACATGCCCAAGTCTCGTATGAGGGCATGGATGTCGACCACACGTCTTCCAACCCCCTCCTAAGAAGCCGAAACATCCTGTTCCTCAGCGCAAGTCTGCGAGCCAGAAGGCTCTCGAGCTCAAGGAGCGCGACGTTCGTGTGCTCATCCGAAGTCTGCAACGGTGGGGTGACATCCGGCAGCGGTACGACGTCATTGTAGGTCGCAATATCGTTGCAATAGGTCTCCCTTCTAATGCACCTCTGTCCAGGTCACCGAGGCTAAGCTCCAGGACAAGAACCCGGTATGATCATGGACACTTCCGACGAGATCGTCGAACTCTGTGCTCGGGCTGTCGACGAGAGCAACGCCGAGAAGCGGACGCGCATGGCCGCAGGCGAGACTTTGACGAACGCACAGAAGAGCAAGGCGGTGCTAGTATCGTACAAGAATGTCGGCAATATCAACGCGGAGACGGTCCTCTCAAGGCACCGCGAGTTGCGCATCCTGTACGACTATCTCAAGGACGTCCCAGATGTGTACCTGTGGCAGATACCAGTGGACAACATCCGTCCGACGCTCAACTGGTCGGGTCGGTGGGGACCTCAGGAGGACTCCATGCTCCTAGTCGGTGCATACCAATATGGTTTCGGCAACTGGGAGGCCATGGCTAAGGATCCTAGACTGGGCCTCGACGGCAAGTTCTTCCTGGAGGAGGGAAAGAAGGGTGAGGACTCTTCCACCAAGCCTATTCCCAATGCCATCCACCTTGTACGACGAGGAGACTACCTGCTCAGCCAGCTGCGCGAGCACGACGAGAAGATCAAGGCGATCACTACGACGCTGCATCGCAAAGGCGCGTCACTCGGCATGTCCGCGTCGCCGCCGCCACCCATTGCTTCGACGTCGTACTCGAATGGTCTGAAGCGGAGGGCAGAGAGCGAAGCTGTTGCCTCTGTCGATGAGGGAAGCACGAAGAGACGGAAGCGGCGTCCAACACCGACCTTCACGGATTCTTCCTCCTCTGACGAATGGTGAGCTGTCTTCGACCTGTCGCATCAGGACCCACGCTGATTGGCCGTGTGCAGCCCGTCCATGGACGAGCAAGCGACGAAGGAAGAGTTGCGACCCGTAAAGAAGCAACTGGTGCGTCTAGTGGCCTTCGTTTCGCTGCCGTGCTGACTGCTCCATGTAGAAAAACTTGAAGCTCTCAGGCGGCGATATGCCACGGGACGAGAAGGTTACCATTCTCAAGGAGTCATTAGCTGCTATCGGCAAGCGAATAGAGTCGGTTCTCGCCCAAAAGCAATCAGCTGGTGAAGACCGCGATAGATGGCGTAGACATCTGTGGACGTGAGTGTCAGGTTCTCGCCGATTCTGACATCCGGCTCAAACTGTGTATAGCTTCGTGACACTTTTCTGGCCCAAGAAGGTGAAAGCGGCGAAGCTAGAGGAGATCCATGCCAAGATGGTCATGAAGGAGGGCGCACCGCGCGCGTCGTCAAGCGATGGGCCCAGTGCAACCAAGAAGCCGCGGTTGAGCTCAGGGTCTACCACTGTTTCTCGGAATGGTGGATCCTCCATCCCATCAACCTCAACAACGACATCGCTTGCGAACAGCAAGTATCGATGACGAGGTGCTGGACGTTCTGGCCCCATACTCCTCTGCCGCTGCTTCCAGGACCACTGATCCTCGTACTTTTAGCTTACACGCCCCTCACATTACATTCTCTCTATTATGCTCCACTGTACTGTATTATTATAGCCCGTGCTCTCAGTTTTTCTCGTTGATGCTGCTGTTCACCTGGTGTCCCTGTGTCGTTGGTATAGCCCATAGCTACGTCCCGTCAATCTGTACAACACGCATACCTCACTCGAAACATTGAATCTGCTTTTCGAAACATATTACTCATTGTGCCCCAGCAAACATAACATACTATAGTCCCTGAGTGAATCGGGTTTGCATCATCGACGTCTACAACACTGAGACATCTAAGACATACTGGTACTGAGGCTCACGTGAAAAGAGACCGTCAACAATCGTACAAGCTGCGGGTGCCACGTACATTCGTCTGCTCTTACACTACTGTTAGTCGAGGCGGTTCGCACTGTACAGAGGCAAGCCTTCCTCCAGCTCGTCGTCGATATTGCTCAAGCCCAGCACTTCTTGGTAGAACGCCAGCTCCTGCTCGATCGCCAACTCGATAGTCTTGGTCTTCCGCCAGCCGTGCAACTCGCCCTCGAACAGTCTATACTCCACTCGACCCCCTTGCGTCTTGACGGCTTCGACCATCGCCTGCGCCTGCGAGGCAGGCACGATGGGATCCGCGCTGCCTTGCATGATCTGTTCACCAGAGCAGTCAGACATAAAGCGGAAGGTGAAATACTCAAAACGACGTACGAGCAATGGCGGAAAGCCGAGCTTGCCAACGTTCCCGAGGTTATGCAGCGGGCTCCGCTCCTTATACACCTGCGGGATCTCCTCTGGCGAGCCACCCACGAGCCTCTGCACGTGGTGCAGCTGGAACTTGTGCATGCCCTTCACGAGCCCACGCATGTCCGCCGCGCCGTACATCGCCGTCGCGGCCGCGAACGTCTTGCGCTCCTTCGGGTGGCAGCACGCGGAGAGCGCGAGGTACCCGCCGGCGGAGCGGCCGCGGATGATGCTGCGCCGGCGGTCAATGAGCGGGTGCGGTGCGGCGGAGAGCGACTTCATGGCGTGGATGCAGTCTTGGACGTCGATCACGCCCCATTGGCCGTTGAGACGCTCGCTGGGTGGCACTCAGCAATTGCATGTTGCACGGGAACGTGCGGACTCACATGTATTCGCGGCCGAAGCCGCAGCTGCCGCTGTAGTTCACGTCTATCCTATATGGGTATGAGCGTCGTCTCTACAGCGCGAGACACGACAGAACGGCACGCACCATGCAAAGCCGCGGCTGGTGAAGAATTGGACTTCCCACTTGAATCCTTGCGACACATGCGTCGTAGGCCCACCATGTGCGTTCACGATGCACGGAGGCTTCTCGCCCTGGATGCCCTGGTAGTTTGAGTTCGTCGGAGGGTAATACAGCACGTGCAGCGGGCCATCGTTCGCCGGGTTCTTCAGCGTGAACGACTTCGCCTCCGAGATCATGGAAGGCGAGAGCGGCAGCGCGAACCCACCCGTCAGCTCCTTGAACGTCGGTGTCAAGTCCTCGTCCAGCGTGCACAGGACGATGGCCTCGGGCTTGTCCACGCTTTCCGCCTTGAACACGACGACGTTGTCCCGCACGCGCTTGAGTACCAGTATGTTCACGTACGGGCACTCGAGCTCCTCCGCCTCGCCGTCAGCCAGGCTGAGGACGTACAGATAGCTCCGGCCGTCACGCACGGCGGCGTAGAGCACCTTGCCCGCGTCGAGGTCGAGCGGCGCGCTGAACTCCCAGCCGAGATACCATCGTGGCAAGCTGAAGTCGACGTCGACGGGCTCCTCGAGCACGGGTGCGGCTGTGCGCGCGGAGACGGTGTACTTCCACGGGTTCTGGTACCCGGACTCGTCGCAGGTGTAGATGAGCACGTCGTTGGATGCCCAGAGCGGGTACGTCGCGCTCACGGCGCCTGCGACCCCGCCGACGAGCGTGGTGTCGCTGAGCGTGAGGGCGCTGTCGGAGGCAAGGACCGACGCGACGTAGATCTGGCCGCCCTCCCAGGACATGTCCGGGTTGGACCATTGTTCCCAGGCGATGTGGGTGCCATCCGGCGAGAAGGATGGACCGGAGTAGAAGTCCGCGCCTGAGACGAGAGTGGTGACGGTCTGCGTGCGGCTGTTGATGAGGACTACAGAGTTGACGACTTGGGTCGGTGCTGACTTTGTGTGGTCCTCTAGGATGGCGACTATGAGGTGCGGGTGTGTAGGGTGGATCGCGAGCTTCGCGAATCTATGGGCGTCGTTGACTGCAGCAGTTCGTTGAAGTTAAAGTGCGATACAGAGAAACAGACACGTACCAGGTGTGATCGGCTGGGGATCTTCTGACCTGCCCACAGCGTATACCCGGTTGTCCGGTACATTCGAGAAGTATACGATACCATCATAGGCCGACGCGGGTGCGCCTCCATACTAGTTGGTGGTATGAGCATGGCCAGAAACTAGGCTAAGCATTGCGCCTACCTCATGCACGCGGCTCCTCGCGTCCCAATGCTTGCGCATTACTTCGCGCCCTGTCTCCGTGAACACGATCGCATTGCGTCCTCCTTCGGATGGTCTCCCCTCTGTGTGGTACACCGTCCCTGTAATTGGGTCAACAAAGACGTCGTCGGCTGGATCTGACTGGGAGTATGGTAAATCCAAGAACTAAACAGATCGGCTACTCAGACGCACAGGTTTATGACAGACGTCCTGTGCCTCGATGGGCGACGGCCATGTACCATATCGCGCTGTTTCAGCCATCTGAATCACTGTAGCCTTGGAACTGTGCGGTTATGAGGGTGTACGCTTCGCCGAACATAGATCAGACGGGCGTACATACCAGAGTTGAGACAAGCCGCTGGATTAGTGCCTTGGATGTAAGACCAGTGGCAAGAGCAGATCTCGGTCAATCGCTTGTCGGTTCAATGCACTATGAAAGAGATCCAGTCGAGATGGAAGATGCGCTCAAGGGGTGGGTGCAGTGAAGGATGTCAATAGAGACTTGGTCGTGGTGCCCATACATCGCCTTACTAGAGGCGCTGTAATAGCATCGGGATCTACTGATCGGAAACAGCCCGTGCCAGTGTCGCTCATACTAGTGAAGCTTGGATTTCTGGGAGATTTGGCAACACGGAGCAGGCAGCGAGGACGGATATGGGCATGCAGAAGAATTGACCATCCTCGCCGCTGCAGGTCGTTGAGGACCCCAGTTGGGCACGGCGCTCTAGATCGGCGAGATCGTATGCAGATAGGATCGGGAACTTATACTGCTCGTTGGTTTTTAATTCTACCATGCTGGCACCTCTACACGCACCCGGACTGTCCACGACATCCTTGCTCGATACTTTAACAGCCTATCGTATATTGAATCCGAAGAACTCAGAAAGTCGTGTTCAGGGAAGTTGGTCAATGCCATGGACGTCTCCCAGCCGGGCTGCCAGTGGTTTCAGGAGCGTCTTTATGGCCGTGTCTCAACTTCGTGCGCCGAGCGCTGCAAAACATACCCTCTGACACAACGGTTCCTTACACGAAGGCATCTGCTCTCGCAGTCCTTCTGTCTCTCCTCTGAGAAAAATATGTGTAACTCACGATTCCAGGCCACTTCAAGACGATGGTTCGTATGGTATTGGAGTCTCTGACAGCGACACTTGGTCTGGGTACCCTCTATTCACGGTACGGTGTCCTGCTGTACTACAACAGCGACCCCGCTTCGTCGAGTGAGACCGTCTGGCACACGGTGAGCGGTACTGCAATAGAAGGCTATGCTCTTCTAACCTATGCTCTTCTAAGTAATGCATAGTTGGTATCGTCTGAAGATATACATTGGGCATGGGCATGCTTCGATGGGATCCGATGGGCGATGCTGAAATTTCCTCTTGACTACTTGTCCGACTCGAAGGATACCAGAACAGCATCCATCGCGCTCCAGATACTCCTGGCCTGGCCGCAGAAGCCCAGAAAGTGCAAGGGGCTGCCGGCTATCCTCCTGGGTTTAGGAGGACTTGGAGTGCCAGGAACATCGAGTGTCAACCGGTGGGGCAATTATGTCACGGACATCGTCGATCCCGACTATAACGTCCTGGGCTTCGACCAGCGTGGAACCGGGCCAGCACGCCGTCGGCGCAGCGCTTCGCAAGTACTACTCGGGTTACGAGCAGACAAAGACTGATCAGCCTCGCCGACGGTTCCGTAGCGGAAGCCTGAGAACGGGATCAGCTTGTCGCGCAACAGTATATGAATAACTACATCATGAGGAGGAGCCGAAACGCATCTGGCGACAATGCTGGGATGGGGGGAAGGTTCACGAGCAGCGCTCGCGTTGCAACAGGTATGCCCAAGGTGAATTATATCACAGGGGACTCGCGAGTGTCTAAGTTTCGCGGGATGCGATAGCTCACACGGAAACATACAGAGCTACGGCGCCATGCTGGGTCAATCCTTCCTCTCCATATGCCCCAAGAAGGTCGGCCGAGTCGTTGATGGCGCATAGCGATGCGCAGGAATACGTCGACACTCGACGATGGGGCAGCAATCTCTTCGATATTGATGCCGTTGAGGCGTCATTCTACCATTTCTACCATGAGGGTGGTCCCGAGAAATGCCGCCTCTCCTTACGAGTATTCGCCCGCCCTCATCCGGGACCGTGTGTACGCGATATGCTCAGGTAATCACCGATCCTGGTCTACCATGCACAAAGGCCGGCACTGCTCACCGAAGCAGCATTGGACATCTTCACCTTCAACCTGCTCTACCTCCCCATCTACTTTGGCGGGAATCCTGGTGGCTGCGGACATCCGGGACCAGAAATCACTGGCGAACTACGCTGCATCCTTCTTCCCGAGCGTGTCATGCGACTGCTACCCAGTACCTGGCCAACTCGGGTCCAACTCGGCTTTCTCTGTCATCGCATGCAGCGATGATGATTCTCTCTCGTATGACCCCGAGGACTAAATACAGACGACACCTCGGTAACATGTCGTCCGACTCGCCGCGGTTCGCTCCCGTGGGGATCATACAACCTCCGGTGGTGCACCGAGTGAAAATCCGCCCGAGGTGGCGTTGCACTGTCCCCTTCGTCGCGAACACATCGAGCCCCCTCCTCATCGTGTCGCAGAGGCACGACACTATATGCCCTCAGGCCCAGACGTGTGACGTGCCAGCCCGCTTCCCCCGTTCCGCTTTACTCGTCCAGGACTCGTAAGGTCACTGCATGCCGTCCGCGCCTTCCATATGCACTGCGAAGCATATCAGGGCATACTACCAGAACGGCACGCTGCCCGAGGACGGGGCGGTATGCGGGGTGGATGAACTGCCGTTTGTTGGCGAGACGATCACTACTAACTTGTCAGCAGACGATAGACAACTGTTGGATACGCTGAAAGCCTTTGCAAGAATCCTACCATGAGTTCCTGAAGTTCTCTGTCACGATGTATGCCTCTTCGTATTTATCTGCAGTTAGTAGCGCAATACAGACATTTTGTTTCACATATCTGGCTGATGCCAGAGTGTTCAAATCTATATGTATCATGCCGCGACTTCATAGTACTGACGATCAGAGACGACTCACCAAAAGCCCATCGACCTCCCAACCAACATCATCGGACAGAACACGGCGTGTTTCAACTGCATGTGATTAACTGTATATGGAGATTGCAATAGACGAACAATGATGCGAGCCACGAACTTTAGAGAGCGTGAGTAGGTTACGATGTAGTAGACACAATGACGCAGCCGCAAATTACGCCGGAGGGAATGAGCAGCGAACGAACGAATAGGCCGACCGCCATGTACATAGCGCACAAACGGAGAAGGCCTTGGATGAAGCAAGAAGACGGGCGTGTCCCTTCCCATCTGTCCGAAGCTAAAACTACACTATGTTACACGACGAGGGACACATCCAGCAGACGATCGACCCAGCGAAAACGACACACGCGCACGCGACCAGCACGCCCGTTACGGGGCGGCGAATGGGCCGCGCACGCGCCTGGCTATGTACCAAGCAACAGCGCGGCAGGGCTCAGTGTTGAGATGACCTCGATGCCACCCTGCTTGCCGAAGGATTTTGGACCCGGCGGTAGGGATGGCCTTGGAGGCACGCCTACCCACCCCGTTAGTCTGGATGATTGCATGGTGTCGAACATCAAGGTTCGGCCCAACTCTACGTCGGCATTCGTCCGGCCCAACTCTGAGTCGGCATTCGTCGTCGCCGTACCCGTCGTGGGCACGTTTCCGTCCATAAAGCTGAGGTCAACCTGCGCAAGCTGCTCTACGCTGTTGACGTTGCTGCTAAATACGTCCGCGGCTGCAAACGTTGTCGTGACATCGAAAACGCCGGAGTATGCGCTGTCAACGGCAACGAGAGCCGGGCCTACGCTACTTTCTGCGCGAAGGCGGAGGATGCCAGGGGCAGACTCGGGAGCGTGATCGACGAACACCGTGAGAGGTGCATTGAAGGTCTCGAAATGCGTCATGAAGTTGGGCATCCTAGACGGGTCGGCATCCTGAGGGAGGAATAGACAGACGCTAGCATTTAGAGGACTGCGCAGAATTAGTTTAGGCAATGATGAAAATCAAAGAAGCACTCACGCATTCCCAGTGCTCACGTCTAAGAAGGTTGGGTCTCCCTGTCCAAGGTTGACAAGAGAAATGTTTACGTCGATAGGGCTGAGTGAACATTAGTTTTGGCCGACAAACACAAGCCAATACACATACGCAGAGACGGTTTCCAGAACCAAAGACTGTGTGACATTGAAATTGCCCTGAATCCCTGCCAATGCCGTCTTCACCTCTAGTGACGTAGCGTCCATTGACTGCACGAGCCATGAGCGTCTCCGAGGTATGGGGTGAACAAGGCACTCACCACCACCGAAACCTGCGACTGAGGACCGCCCAATGTCACTCTGTCGAATTTTACCCAGTACGACAGACTTTCGAAGTACTGGGTGAAATGGGGTAGCATCGTGACGAACTCGGAGATGTACAACGGTGATCCTTGGGGGAACAAGAAGGTTACGCTGAACGCGAGCGAGTCGTTTGACGAAAGGTTTGACGGCACGTAGAGATACAGTCCACTGCTGTTCGAGACATTCATGAGACATACGCTCGTCTGATCCTTCAGACTCTGGCTCGAGTACTGCATGGTGACGGAGACGACGCCGTCCTTTGCGTGGGGATCGGCGTTGACACCGACAGACAGCGTTCCGGAGATGTCTTGCAGGACAGATGGCTCGCTTTGATACGACACGTTTGACTGCACGAACACAAGGCCGTCGAGGGGCACACTGTACTGTAGGCTACGACAAGAAATGAATGATAGCGCCAATATCACGTTGGAATCGAAGACATACGTCGATGACGAGTCGGAATGCTCTGCCCACGCGTTGCAGCCCACTGCGAGAGACTTTGGGAGTGTCTGGACGCCGTCTGATATCAGAGTCAGGCTGCTGCTGCTTCCTTTGGTCGGGAATGGACTGTGCTCCGAGGCGCGATGTCGAAGCTTCTGTGGCCACATGAGAACCAGGGCTGGAGGTGTAGGGTAGGCCACGTACCACCACAATGATTGGTACACCGATAGCGACGGTGATCACGAAATACACTACCAGAGCGTACAGAAGTGCCCTGCGAAAACGGCGATGGGCATTCTTTGGCCACCACGTCCGCGATGTCTTGTCGCTCTGCGGCTGCTCTTGCTCTTGATCTTGCCCTTGCGTCTGCGCCTCGAGTTCCTCTGGAGGACATTGTACACCCTGGGCTTGGGACTGGGAGATTTCGTAGGAGGGGAGAGAAGGGGTCGGGGTTGCAGGGCGGTGGACAGAACGGGCGTCGGCGAGGAGCTTGTCGGGATTAAACGGATCTTCGCTGTCGTCGAGGATGATCATCGTCACCGGCGCGCGGTGGAGGGCATCGAGCGAGCGAGCGGGACGGATGGAGGATGGCGGGAGGGAAAGGGCGTTGGTCGTCGGACTCGGACTCGTTGCCCTCCCACGCCCATCCCGCCATCTCCGTCACGCCTCCCTTTCCTGGCGCCCCTGTCACAGGCACCGTGTCACAATGATTGTCCGCATCTCCCGTCCCGTCTCGGCAACTGCTGTAGTTCATACCCGCTTTATTTCCAGCTGCCCTTCCTCTTGCCTTCCTCCCATGCGTCCTCGCTGTGGAGGCCAGCAATGCACAGTACTGCCCATAACGCATGCTGACCGTGCACATGACCACGCTCGCACTGACCCGGGCAGTGCCTGGTGATTTGCATATTCCGACACAGCCCGCCATAAGAAGGATCGTCCTTGGGCGCCCGTCCCCGAAATAGACATAAATGTAGTCCATTACACAGGCGCTATCATATTATAGTATGTTCCCTATTCATAGTACAGGCGTGCACGGCGACAGAAGCTGCCCCGCGTGCTACAGATGTAGTCACCCCGCAATGTGCTCAGCAACCGTTCTCACAGGTCGCTCCTCGGGCCCTGTTCCTTCCCCGACATCTTAAACAGCGACACGACGCGGTCGAGCACGTCCCAAGCCCCTCCACGAGTCCGCGCACACACCCGACCGTCCCGTCTCTGCACGCCTGCAGCCACACCAGAGATCGGCTAGGAGTGTGTCCGGCGCCGTGTCCTTCCCGGCGACGGGCGAGTGGAGCGACTGTGAGAACACCGCCCAGACGAAGGGGATACGTCAGTACCGCACGAACCACGGGAGAAGAGCCGATCAACGAGACGTACCCTGGGAGGCTGAGCGGCGGCGGACGCCGCCACCTCGATCATGCGCTCTTCGTCCTGCGCGTCGGCCGCTGCCCATAGCTTGCGGAAGTCGTTCACCGCCGCGAGGCTCTCTGAGAAGCGGTGCAGGGTGTTGATGAGGGCCACCACTTCTGAGCGCTGGAGGAGGTTCGGGTTCGCCGACGGACTGCGTATAGGGTGCCGTTAATTGTGCTAGTGATTGGACGGAGTAACGTCACGCACTCTAACGCCTTCTCGTCCAGCTCGAAGAGGACCTTCAATGCGGTAGCAACACCGGTCGTTTGCACCTTGCCCCAGAGGCGGCACTTGTCGCACCCGACGCAGTCCATGATCCGCGTCACGTTGCGGAAGTGCTCCTTGAACTCTCCTTCAACGTCTGCACACCGCACCAGTCAGATCAGCTCGCACATCAAGAAGGCGGGTACACGCACATTCGCGTTCTCCCCCCGGAAGAGTACCGTCTCGTCGAACTTGCCGACCGCAGTCGCGACGTCGATCACCCGTTCGAGCCTCTCGTGCGTCTCGAGATGCACGCCCTTCTCGTGGTCATCGGTGCCACAGTAATCGTACGCAGACAGGTATGGCCCGAGACGCGCTACTGCGCGCAGGAGCAGTACGACGTCAAAGTACAGATATTGGAGCCGTTCGGGGTACGCCGCTACGCGATTGATGAAGCACTGGAGATCCGGACCCTACGAACGTTGATGTGAGTGCTCGGCAGCTACAGTACTGCATATCGTCAGAGGACGTACCCATTGGCCGGTAGTCTGGTCCATCATATCATGGCAGATGTGCGTCGAGATACTGGTGTGAAGACCTGAGATGATCTTGTAGTAGACACGCTGTTCGAGACACTCCCCATCCGCTCGCACGATGTCTGGCACCGGTTCATTCAACACAGCATGCTGCGACAGACCGAAGCAGTTCTCGGAGTAGATTGCGGACCAAACGCGATGTGCAGAAGGCCCAATGTAGCCCGTGAAACGCTCGGGATTCAGCGTGAGGTCAACGTAATCACCATCTAGAATGATATCAGACGCAGTCAAACGGTGTTCATACGCTCAATAAGAATGAGTGATACATACCCAAGGGATCATCGAGGAAGCAGTAGTCGGAGTCGCGGTAGTAACAGCCAGGAAGTCGGATTACCTGTTGGCAGGTCAAACCGGTGAGCGTGAAGTCCGGCCAAGTCAAGGAGACCACGACGAACCTCGCCTTTCGAAGGCTTCTCGAGTTTACTAAGAGCGGCTGCTCGCCATTTCTCCGGTATCTCACTCTGCACTGGGTTAGCAAATGAAAATATGTGAATTGCATGTGGACGACGGCTAATGTGCATGCACCAGAAGATGCTTGGGTGCACATAAGCCGCATCCACACCGGACTTGCTCACCTCGTCTACTGTAGTAATACCACATTCTCTATTGGCACAGAAACCATTCTCCTCCCAATATGGACAGTCGCGGTAAAGGTCGACCTAGCAGCAACCATATCAGAGGTCGAAACATGGAGACTGACAAGTAAGTCCACATCGTTGGGCCCCCCATAAAAAGTGCGTATAGGAGCGGAGGTCGTCGGACGCTGGCAGTCAGTGATCCGGACACTGTGCCGCTCAACCTGGGCCGCCATAGCCAAGGTTGCAGCTGGCTCAGCCTGGCCGTCGAAGTCCACTGCGTCCGGCGTGATCCCATATCAGACTCGCTGCACTCCGCCTATGTGTGTTTGAAAGGGGGGGGGGGGGGGGGGCCGACAATATGGACCTAGCTGGAATGTGACATACGCGGAAATACTTGAAGAACGGCGTTTCTACCAGTGCGTGCAACTGATTGAAGAGCTCGTCGTTGACGCTCTCAATCGTCTCGTAGTCACACAGTGTAGTCTCTATAGGACCTGTAAGCTTCAATCGTATCAACAGACGTCTCACGGCGCAGGAGGAACAAGGCATACATGGCGCTCGCAAACTGCCTCTGTTACCGGCTCGTGCTCCAGGACATTCTGCACCTGTTGCTTCCGCACCGGAGATTCCGAAAGAAACGAAGACGGTGTGTATGCATACGCAAGAGATTCAAATATGAGACTAAATGAGAGGGCGAGTAGATGTCGAGGTAACATTGCGTGCGGCGGAAGGGACGGTGGCTGAAACTTGGAGAAATGCGAGGATGACGGAGTTATAGCCGACTTGAGACGCCCGTTGTAATAAGCGGACACGTATGCAGTGCCCGAGGACTGCCCGAGGCTCGTCCAGACACGTCGCATTCTGCCTGCGCTACGGTCCCGACACCCTCCAGTCTTAGTGGCGGTGGACTCCAGAGCGTCCAGGTACTCTCCAGGCTACTCTACTCCCGCTGTATGTCTACATCTGCTGCAAATATTTGTTGAAACAGCCAGCCAAGTTCCGAATACACATCCACATAGGCGCCAGTGTCCCAAATACAGCTCGTCGATACCAAGTCGATACACTGCCGCGACTGCGCTTGCACTACGCCGTGAGGATGTTGTTTGGTTTCCATGAACTATGTTACTGCCATCCAAAGCTTAGACTGTGTGATCTCTCAAGATGATGTCACACTCGGGTGTGGGCAGTTGCTGGTGTGAGGAGCCGACAACGCCGTGCGTCACGCGTCACGTCGCAGATTGTCCTGAGGTCGTTACGATTATATTCTTGCCACAGTAGCATCAATCAGGCCATAGGCAGCGATGCAGAGAGATGTGCAATATATCCGAGAGCTAGCTTGTACGTGTACTTCTTTGGTTGACCTTCCGCTACCCAACAACATTAACCCACGGAGACTTAAGGCATGAGCGCAAAGCAATAACATAGCGAGGTGTGAATTTTATGCGTCGCGACGGCCCCGAGAGCGATTATTAGTGCTGCCGATCTTCAGAATCGCCTCCTTGGCAGTCTCGATGGCAGTCTCGGAGCCTGAAAGTGCAGCGTCAGCATCGTTCTACTTAACACAGTCACCTGCGACTTACCGATGATAACAATGGTGTTGTCTTCGCGGCTCACGGTGATGTCTGCACCGCTCTCGATGCGGAGGCGTGCAACGTTTGCACCCTTCGACCCGACAATCCTCGGGAAGGACGAACGGTCGGGGAGCGTGAGGAACCCGACGTGCGACATTTTCTCGGCGTGTTCAATAGCCTCTTGGGTCAGCTTCAACGCGCGATCCAAGCTAGCCTGGTCTCGCGCCTTGAACACCCACTCGGAGTCACCCTCCTCGGTGTCCTGGTAGTTGAGAACAACCTGCCACTGGACGGCGGGGGACGCGCTCTCAGCGTCGGGGTCGTCGATACGAGCCTCGGTCGCATCCGCTTGGGGTGCGGGGTGCGGAGGTACAGCTGGGTTGTGAGGAAGGGCCGACTGCTCGACCTGGACACCAGACGACCTCAGGTTGCGGAAGAAGTTGCCCTGCTGCGTCACCGCATGATGATACTTCAGCGGGACCGTGACCGTGGCGGTGACAGCCTCCGGCGCAGGAGGCTTGACTTGCCCCTTCAGTTCCTCGACTGCCTTCTGGCACGCAGCACGAGGACCGGTAATCTTGACCAAGTTCGCATGGTCTACAGCGGCCAACTCAGCCTCGTTCTCCATCTCCCCGACCTGGTTGTAGGACCGCGAGCCAGGGAACTGAACTTGGACGTTCAGGCGGTTCTGCAGCTCGTTCAGATGCTGACCGCCCCTGCCGATGAGGGCGCGGTGCTGGGGAGCAGGGACCTCTACACCGAGAGTGACTCGGTCACGGAGCGTAGCAGCGATCTTCTCCAGCTCAACCTTGAGCTTGGCGACGACCTTCGGCTCGCCACGGAGGCGGACTTCATCTCCTGGCTCACCCTGTCTCGGGAAGCGGACGAGACCGGCCTGGGCCTTCGAATCCGCAGGACCACCACAGCGGAGGATGAGCTCCTTCAAGCCCTGCCCACCGGCACCGATGATCGAGCGGTGGAACCTGCTCTCGACGTTGACAACGTCCGTCGTCTCCTCGCCGACTTGGTCGGAGATCGTCAAAATGGCAGTCTTCGCGTCGGCGATGGCCTGCTTGGTCCCGCGGATCGTGATGTTGGCAACCTTGTCGTCGCCAGCCTTGTCAACGTCAATCTGAGCCCCGGTCGTGTCCTTGATCTCGTTGATGCTGGCACCGGCTCTACCGAGCACACGAGCGACAGACCGAGCTGGGATAGTGAACGTGACGACATTGTTGCTCTCCTTCTCGAACTCGACAGCCTAATGCAATGTCAGTCTATCGTAGCCAGAAAGTGTGAACAAACCACTGACGTCAAGCAACTCCGCCTTGGCGCCTGCGACGCCCTTCCTGCCACCCTTCACGAGAACCTCGTCCGGCTTCAGCTGCTCCCTGGTCCTGGCTTCGCCGCTCTCCTCGCGAGGGAAGATGATCCTGACACCGTACTTCTCCTCCAGACGAATGACATACTTGCCACTTTGACCGATCAGTCCAGAATGGTACTGGTGGGAGATCTTGAGAACCTCCGAGGTCTCGTCCGCAAGGCGCTCGACTTGGGTGAGAATCCTCTTCTTCGCCTCCTCGACATTCTCCTTACGCCCAGTGATCTTGACATGGGACGTCTGCTGAACAGCCTTCTTCTTTTTGCCAACGACCTGTTCCTTGTCGTCCGAATCGTCCGTGAAGTCAATCTTGACGCCGAGGGTGTCCCGCAGCTTGTTTACGCCAGCGCCTTGGGCGCCGACGATCCGACCCACGTACTCGCGGCCAATACCGAATTCCGTCGAGTAGCTGCTGACCAATGCGTCATTCTTGGCGTCCTCGACGATCTTGAGAATCTCCTTGACCGCACGATCGACGTCGGAGCTCGCACCGCGGACCAAGATCACGTCCCCGGTGGAGGCGTCGCCAGCCTCTGCGCCGACCTTGATGGACAGCGTCTTGTCCTCGCCGATGATGGCATTCAGTGTGGTTCCGTTCTTACCAACCACAGCGTCGTGCCATTTCTTCTCGACCGTGACCGTTTGCGTCTTGACGTCCGCAGCATCCTTTGCCATCTTCAGCAGTTCCTTCTCGACGTCCTCCAGGTTCTTGACTTTCTCAACAGGAGAGGGGGAGGCGGACGGAGACGTAGGATCGTAAACCAATAAGACCAGCGACTCCTCCACAGACTCCGGGGGAAGAAGACCAAGACATTGTGGGCATCGTGGAATGCCCGGATCCTGGAGCTCAAATGAATAGGAAGACGCTTTTACGCACAACAGAAACTCTTACTTCTTAGCGTTCTTCGGCGAGTTGATGATTCGGTGGACGAGCCAGTCGATCTGCACTTCCTTGGTAGCACTGAACAGCTTGCCAATCAAGGCAGAGAACGTGCTGACAGCGGTGTCGACTGCAGATTTCTCGCCGACCATGTCCACGTTGAGAACCGTTGCTTTATTCAGAGCGGACAGCGGGGGCGTGTATACCGAGCAGCCAGGGTTCTGCGAGCTGAGCGTCTGCGCATATTCGACACGCGTGATGTAGGTTAGCAGCTGGCGAGTCACCGGGTGGGGACCAGGCAGAGGAAACTCGTGGATGTACGCCGAGTTCGCCTTCTGCATGACGGCCTGAACACCATTACCCAACTCGAGGGGCCTGCCCCAGATGATAAGTTCCTCACTCGGCTCTTCCGCTTTCGGTACGATGACCACGCATTTCGACGTGGCCAAGATCTCCTCGGCGCCCTTGCCGGTGAGAAGCCTATGCTGACGCTTAGGCATGGGCAACTTGATCTGCGTCACCTCCGTCTTGAAGTAGTCCATTGCACTGCGAATAGTGTCTACCACACGCCCGACAGCATCGCGTTCACCGGAGACGGTGATCTCGCGAGTACCCGGGTTGAGCGAGAGGTGCATTTCTTCGCCCTTAGCAGCTTCCTCGAATGTGTCACGTCGTGGGATCAGGAAGGGAAGAATATGGGCCGGGATATCGCGCACGCGCTGCGTAGTACGAGAACGCTTCGTGGCAATGATTTCCTTGAACAACGCCTCAGCTTCTTGAGCGAGGGGCTGTGGTCCAGTGATCGTGATCGGAACCGTGAGCTCTTCCTCTTCCTCCTCATCGCCTGGAGGAGCAGGGGAAGTAACACCAGAGGCCGGGTGCGCGCTGCCGTTGCCGTTAGATACAGGGAGAACATCGCGACGCGGGATATCAACTCGGACACCCGTCTGGTCGCGGATCTTCTTGAGCGTAGCGCCTTTGGGTCCAATGATAGTCGGGATGGTAGAAGCCGGAGCGGTCAAAATCAAGGACACCTAGAGGATACGCATGAGGTGCATGTTCAGATGAATGTCGCGATACTACGCACCACAGGACTGAGGTGCGCGAGGAGAGCACGCTTAGCCTTATCCAGCTCCTTCTGCGATTCAGACTTTAGGAAGAACGTAGTCTGACGAGACCGGGAGTTGGTGGACGCCTCCAGCTTGACCTTGTACTGCGACATGACCTGCTTCATCACCTCTCCTGAAGAAGTCGGCTTGCCATCCTTGCTCACGGCAGCAATCTCAGCCGACGAGAGACTGAAGGAGTCAGAAAACAGAGGCTGCTTCTGAACGACGGCAGGTCTGATGCGGGGACCAGCAGTACTCCAGGCCGAGACAGGAGCCCTATTCCCATTCGGAACACTGGAAGGAGCCAGCGAAGGGAACGCCTCCTGGGAGTCGGTGTCGAGAGTAGTACCGTTAGACTGTACGCCGGGAGGAGAACCAGGAGAAATAGGAGTAGAATCCTGGGCTTCGAAGCCGTGTTTCTTCTGCAATGACAGACATTCAGTGCTCCGCACGTTTGATGTCGGTCAGCGCAACTGTCTTACCTGGAGGTCTGCAGCCGAAAGTGACATGCCGAGGGAGTTAAACGGGTGTCCGAAGAGCACAGAGCCTGTGACGGGTAAAACCTAGCAACACAGCGGATGCGTGTTGCAGCGAATGCTAAGGATGGTGGGGGTTTCTGTGTTGAGGAATGTCTACGTGGTACGCTGCTGGCTCGTCAATGCGAATGTGGGAACGACCTTCCAAAGGAGGTAAACCGAGTATCATCCCATCCCCGCGTCAAATTCGATGCACTGGCAGGGCTCCTCCCCTATTTAAATCAGGACAGGAACTGGCATGTACAACTCTAAGGACTTATGTAATGGTCGGATCTGCACTCACCCGAATGAAAATCATTTTAGTTGCAGACTAATTGAGGCAACGTGTGTATACAAGTCGCCGTCCCGTACAAACCAATGAAGTCAATAGATTGAGGCTAGGGCACCCAGAATGCAGAATCAGGATGTATACATTGACCGACTGTATATTACGGACCCATCAGACGTCAACAGGAACACCGTCGATATCCTCTTCCATAGGTTCCCCGTCAATGGGATCCCCATCCATGGGCTCACCGTCGATGTCATCCATGGGTACGCCGTCAATGTCATCAATCGGAACACCGTCAACGTCGTCCATAGGTTCCCCATCGATGTCAGCAACCGGCGGCGAAACACCCACGCCTTGAGCAGGTTTATCCTCATCATCGCTTCCCAGATCCATCTGTTCGCCCTCATCCGAGTCTGCTGCAGCAGTCTCGACTTCTACAGCGAGCTCGTGTGCGGGCTTGAAGGAGATTGCCTTGAACTTGGATACCGTTGGTGTGTTCTGCCTTACTTGGGTCGTCTCCACCTCCTCTTCCGGCGTAGTATTCTGTGCGATCGAGCCCTCCAACCGTGCACGCAGTCCGGAGGTGAAGTCTGGAGAGAAGACAATCCAGTCCTCCCAGATGTCGAGAACCGCTGTAATTTGCTTTTTGAACGTTTCTGCAGTGATACGCCCAGGGAAGGAGTGATAGATGGTCGATAGATGATCGAAGACAAGGCCAAGACGCGACTGAAACTCTTGTCGAAACTTCCAAGCCATGGGCAGCGGCGCAGCGGAATTGTGCAGGATGTCGCAAATGAGATGCAGGCGCGCAACTTTGCGCGGCACTGGAGTCCCATCGACAATTAAGGATGCAATGATGATGTCGGAGACCTGCAGTTATTGTCAGCATTTCGCGAATCCGTCGACTAAACTACTGACCTCTGCCGCTGCCTCAGCATGCTCAAGGCTGAACGCCATGCACCGCGCAATTTCCCCGCGTTTTCCGCTGAGCGCACGCAGCATCGCTTCAAATCTTTTTCGAGCACGCTTGCCCAGCTCATTCTTCCTACCATGCTCCCTTTCCGACTCTTCGGCAGAGTCTGTGGAATATACGGAGTTGTATCCCTGGTCGACAGCCCGCTTCATCAGTGATTGCGATTGGTCAAGAGAAGCAGATCGTACCTCGTCATCGAATTCTGGCTCTATTGCATCATTGCGATCCAATAATGAGCGGAAATATTTGTGCCTCCAGTGCTACATGACGGTCAGCAATTCAATATCAGCCGCACCAGAATCTACACCGAACTTACGTCGCGTTTCAGGAAGGCATACCTAGGATTTGCTTTCTCCCTCTCTTTGAGGTTCTCCTCGTATTCCGCATCATGACCCTTGACTTCGGTAGCAACCAACCGGATGAACTGATCCGAGATCTCTTCGTCCAGACCAAGATGCACTGCACGTGGACTCTGGGAGCGTCGAGGCGATCGACTGGCGAATCGTCTGCGACTAGTGGAACGGTGCCGGTAGCCAGGAGGTGAAGGAGAGTAATCACGACCTCGCGAGTGACTTCGTGATCGCCTGGAAGGCCGATGTTTACCGGAGCCTTCATACTCTCGAGACCGGGATCGAGAGCGCGAGGGAGAGTAAGAGTGATGCCGACTCAATCGCTCGCGTGAGCGACTCCGCGACCTTGATCTAGACCTTGATGGCGACCGTGAAGACGCCTTCTTCGTGACTACTGTAGAGAACTATGTGAGGCCGATTTTTGGTAGGCAGTCAGCGGACGCACTATAAAGAGGCTTCGCAGCGATCGGTACGGCTTTACTCCAGCCGACGCGGAGAACCGAACCTCCCCAGTCGAATCCGTCTAATTCTCTCAGCGCAGCCTCTGCATCTTTGCGCTTCATGAATGACACGAAGCCACTCAGACCTGCGTTCTTCGTCCGTCGGGAAGCTGTCATTTCCGCACCAGGCCCATGAGTAGCGTCTCCTCTGGGCCACATGACTTTCACCTAGTAGGATATGTAGACGAAGTCATGAAGAACGGCCGTGAAGACTTACCGAGCCGACGGGTCCACAGCGAGCAAAGAAGGTCCCGAGACTCTGTTCCGTTACATGCGGAGGCAGGTTGGCGACAAAGACATTCGTGGACTGTGTCTCCTGTTATCACGGCTGTCACGACTGAAAATTGAGAACATACCGCAGGGTCTCCTCTATCTTTGCTGCCACTTTGCCCCTCGTAGGCTGTTCAGGGCAAATTGGGGTTACTGATTTGACACAGTATAGGCTTACGTACCAGCAATCGAGGTGACGGATCTTCCTTGAGTCGCTACTTACAGTGTGAGCAGATATTACGCATATACACTCGAGGTAGCTCACCATGTCGGGAGAGCCTGGTTTCACGATCAGCCTGCTCTCTACACCATGCAGTCATCAGCCACATTCCTACTGGAGGCGCTTGTCAGCGTACCTTTTGATTTCTGCCAGGAAAGAGTCCATTGCGCGTCTTCCTTTGGGTTTTGGTGCAGCTGGCGGAGGAGACGGCGGTTGCTGCGGCAAGTTCGTCTGACACATTACAGTAGCATCACAGGGAAGAACGCACCATGGTATCCAACTCGAAAGCTCGCATGCCTTGACCACCAGCTGCCTTGCCTCGGGTCGCTGGAGCATATGCCGAGCTTTCTCCCGCCTTCACAAATGCCGAAACGCCTTTCTTCCGGTCGACGGCCTCTCCCTGGAACGCATCCAAGAACTCCGCGTATGCTCTAGCAGCATTCTCCTCTTCTTCCCTGCGTTTAGCTTCGGCTGCCTCCTTTTCCTTCTCCCGCTTAGACTTCCTGACAACGCCCTGCGTGAACACAGAGCGTTTCTGGTCGTCTACCTCCTTTTGCTATCATGAAGAGCAGTCGGTGAGTGTGTCAGAAAGTTGAAGAGTCTCCGTCCGCACTGGAAACGAAGATTCGTCGTCATCGTCATCGAAGAACGCAGCGAGTTTCGACTTCGTTTTGTCCATATGCCAAAGCAGGTCCTGACGAGGTGGCGAATGTCCGTGCGCGCTACGCGAGTAGAAGTGAGTGCTCTGAAGCGAGAAGTGTATTAGGCGCCCTACACTCAACGAAGTTGACGCTCCCATCAGCTTACCAAACTTGGGAATTATACTGAACGCCCCCTTTAGGCGCCGACATAAGTAGGCGATCCGGCCATTTGCAGTAGTCATACAAAGGTACGCGAACAGTAAGCACTCTCAGGGTAGTTTTCTAACAGTCATCGCAGCACATCGTGCGGTCACCGTACATATATTGTGCGTTGCACTAGGATAACATCGAGCGAATGTGGTATACAATGACAGCGATATCAAGAGCAGAGCAATCGAACACATGTCCGTGTGTAATGCGCAAACCCTACAGCATTGACCCCTGATCTACAGTTGTGGATACAATTGGACCTTTTTCATGATCACGATAGGTTGCTCTAAGAGGGCTCTGAACGGGAAAATCGTATCACATCAGCAAGCTCGACAAGCCCCCGGACGTGTACGCCATGGGTTTCATTGGCGGATGTGGTTTGGCGTCAAATTGCGTGTACATTTGCGAGCCGTGTTCATCAATCCGAATCTGCATTGAGAGTCAGTACATGCACTCACCTTGCAGATATATTACTTACGAATGCGCCCTTGTTCCCTGCTTGGTCTACGTAGTTCGGCGCTGAGAAGACAGTGGTGCAAAGTCCATCATGCTCAATGGCATATCCATCTTGGCATATCCATCAGATTTTCCTAGCATCATATACGGCATGAACATACCTTGCCGAACTTCGTGACTGCGGATTACGCCTGTCACGCCGTTCAACTGGCACCACCGCTTGGTGACGTCTGGTCCAAACGCAATGCCGACGCCCTAGGAAGATTTTCAGAAGGTCTGCTAAGTCGTATGGTGATCAATCCTACCCGTTTGCTGGGCCCTCGTCCTGGCATCTCTTGAGGGTCTGTCCACAGCAACTCACCTACAATAAGGTGATTCAGCGTCACGTTCGCGGGGGTATGGAAGACGACATTTGCGTACACATGAGTCCTTCTTGCCCAGGCTGTCGCCCTATGCGGTCGATTTTACGGATCTCGTCGAGGGTAACGCCGTCCTTGCTGAACAGGCCACCATGCACGACGAAGTAACGCTTCCGGCCTTCAGGTGACAGGATAGCTTTGGCCGCCGGACCTGCCGGGGGCTTCGATGCGCAGATCAAGGTTGAGAGAGGCACTGTAGCGGCCATAATCAGAGACATCCCAATGATGTTGACCTCGGAGCACTTACTAACGGTGAAGACGTGTGCGAAGAGCTGAGTGCAGATATCAACCAACATGTACAACGTGCGTCGACACATCGGTGCCGCACCTTGTATGTCTGATCCCCGTGCTTGTGTTTTGCTTCGCCTTCGAAGCCATACGTTCGATTCATGTCTTTCGTCTCATGGTTACCCCGGTTGATGTACATCCGATTGGGATAGAGCCCTGCCCATATATCAGCTCGGAAACAAATCTAAATCTCTTCCGCAACTTACACTTGAAAGCGAACGCGGTGAGGATGACCTCTATCGACCATGAGCCCCGATCAACGAGGTCCCCGTTCATAAGCAAACAATGCTTGTCGGTTGGATAACCCGTGAGAGATAAGAGGTGCAGAACGTCATAGAATTGACCTGCAGAAGTAGATGAGATCGATACGAGCAAGATTGAGAGGCGTATACATACCGTGAACATCGCCGATCACATCACAGGTCATACCCTCCTCAACGTCCAGCGTCACTAAGCTTTCTTCCTGGACGAACGCTTGATGCGCTCCCAAGACTATTTCCCATACATATCTTAACGTGCATTCCCTTATTACAGAGTACATTATTGATCAGAAGAATCGCACCGCACCTTCTTGGCAAAGTCTTGCCCTCCTTGAACCACTCAATCATAGCATTGATGAATTCGAGGTTGATGTTGTACTTGCCCCCCTCGGTTGTAGGCAGTTGCGGACCCTTATAGCTGCGGTCGAGATCACATCCGCCTGCCACTCATGCTGTCATAAGCTAGCCGGAGCGCGGAAGCTATGTACTCACCTTCAGAGATGATCGCTAAACATCGCTCTACCGGACTCGCCTCCTCCTCCATCTCAATGGCTTTCTCAAATTCCGATTTTCGCATGATCTTCGCCGTGCTGTCCATTTGTTGACGAACGAGTGCATTGTTCGGTTCGAGCGCAAGCACCTTCTTGAAGTCCGCAATGGCCTGCTTAAATTTCATTGTCTGCAAGTAGCATGTCGCTCGCCTGTGCACGGCAGTGTAATTCATGTGCCAGATCAAAAAAAACGTTGTGTCTGCTCACCGATAGTAGGCTTTCGAATAGTTTGGATCCAATTCAATCGCATGTGCTGTAGGCCGTGCATCTTGCAGCGTAGTTCCAAGTAACGGTACACAGACTTACCAGCATCACTAAGCCCGTATCCATGCTCCTCCAATTTGATGCGCGTGTACGCGCGGTTGCACCAAAAAGTAGCATCAAATGGGTTCAACTCAATGGCTTTTGAGTAGAGCTCCGCTGCTTTATTGAAGTCATGGCCTACAATTCATGATCTCACGCTGAGTGCCTGGTCGTCTGACTGAGTGAGTGGAACGATGGGGGTAGGAGACGTACCGGTGAAAGCCCTATTGGCCTCTGCCTTAAACCTCACAGCTCCCTGTCTATCTTGCTCTGAGACATCCTCCAAACTCAGCTTGGAGAATGTGGGTGACGGGGGAAGCGAGGTCACGGCAGTCGAATCTGTTGGCGACGAAGGGATTGATGTTGAGTCGCTCATTTTCAGCTATCCGCTGCGAGTACAGTCAGCTCCTGATATCCCGATTCGAATGATGGCAAGAGGAGCAGTGAAGACGCGTAGCAACGCGTCGGCTTCGTATGCGAGTGAGAGTCGGATTGTGAGACGCAGCCACCGCGAATCCTGTGGGAAGTCCAAAATGTGATTACGTAAGCACAGCGAGTAGCGAATCAGGCCGTCGTCTGTTTCGTTCGTACGGACCGCTGTCATGCACTGGCATATGCATATCAATTCCCGACAACTGAGGACATATAGAAGAGTGACTAATCCGGCAACATAATACAGCTCTATGTCGACTTCCTGGCTTGCTCAAACAATACTCGATAAGTCAAACCCACTCGCTCCATCCGTCTTGACCGCCACCCCCTTCTCCGTCACGATAGCAGTGATTAATTCCGCGGGAGTGACATCAAAACTAGGGTTGTAAACCCCTTCAAGGTTCTCCGGGGTGACCATAACAGTTGCTTGCTGCTTCACGCCCTGAGCGTTCAATGCGAATGGATACACGGCTCCCCGAACAAGTCGTGCCTCAATGGCAGGCCTTTGCTCGATGGGAATCCTGGAAAAATACAGTTAGCTAGGTATCACGAAGATAATCAAGGGACCTACGCGTTGCCATCGGCTATGTCAAGATCGACGGTGCTGATTGGGGCCACGACAATGAATGGTATGTTGTGTCGCGATGCAAGGACCGCAGCGTTGTACGTGCCGACCTGTTACCTGCATGTTAGACTAGTTTGGCGAACGTGTAGCATATGCATACCTTGTTAGCCGTGTCGCCGTTCCGTGCTATGCGGTCGGCTCCTACAACTGTGCACATGAATCGTCTTGTCAGCGCCCCATGGATGCAGGGAATGACCGAACACACCGACAGCATGGACGTCATTATGCTGGAATAGCGACCCCACCATGCTATCGCAGAGCATAGTCGAAGGTATGTTCAACGTCAAGAGTTCCAGTGCTGTGAGTCTGCGCGAGATATGAGCTCGCCAATTCTGAGACTACTGTTGCCTACTGACCTAGACCCCTGGTGGTAGGGTGTGGATTGCGTGAAGAAAGCTCGGCTTAACTTTCCTGTCTCGTGGAGGTATGTAATCAATCCCAATGCTGTGCCATAACCCTACACAAGTCCGTAAATGCAGATACAGCAGCGCATGCACGCTACGCACAGATGTTGCCAGCGACCCAGTGTTGCATACTGTCATGACATTGAGATTCTCTGTGGGCTTGCCCTTCGCCTTCACCTGCTCGATCAACCAGTCCCCTCCCCACTTCGACATTCTCTTGTTTCGAGAGACGTCTTCAGCATCGATCTCACGACCCTCTACTATCAAATCCTGGGCGGTCGCGCGTGCGTCCTTGCCCTCCTCAAGGGAAGTTCGGAGTCTGTGCTTCAGCCGCCGCGTAGCCGCCCCGAGGTTGACTGCGGTCGGACGCGCGGTGTACAAGTAGTCGAGCTTCGGAATTACGTATTCATTTAGTAGACCCGGTGAAGCAAGCCAGTCTGGTGTAGGCTCGGTCTGCAGTGCTCGGGAGAGATGGGATGCTATAGTCAGGGCGGCGAGTGAAGCGATCGCCGGGGCACCTCGAATCTATGTCGCGACGAAATTGGCTGATTAATGCGAGTCTCCCAGATCGATACGACTTCATACCTTCATGGACTTGATTACATCGTGAGCTTGCTCGATGGAGTCGATCTCGATGAACTCAGTGGTATGCGGCAGCAAGAGCTGGTTGACAATCTCGATCTTGTCTCCCGAAGTCTTGATAGATGTCAGGGCCATACTGACCGAGCAAGCACAGATGTTGAGAATATCGGTATGAAGAGTCAACTGGACTTCAAAGCAAGAGAGTGAAGCGAGCTGCACAGCCGCGATTGAACACCGAAGACAATTTGCGGCATCAGCTATTGCGGAGGATGAGGCAATCTCAAATCGGTGATCTGGATCGATCGAGAGATGCACGTGCTACCGACCGCCTGGGATTTTGTCCTCCGTTAAATCCGGAGACTGACGCCCACTGTTGTCGCGGCGAGCCTAAACGACCCCACACGCCACGCACTCTCCCTGACATGCTTGAGCCAAACATACATCGCAATTTACTGATTTGAAAACACATTTTACGCATCTGATTTGGGAAGCTGCACGCTGGAGAACCCAGCCGAGCCATCCAACTCGACAATTTCACAGTCCAGCTTATCCCCGTTCCCTACTTGCGTCTCGACACACGTGAAGTCCATTGTCTAGCAACATTAAATTAGTATTCTGCAAGCAATTATGACCATGAGGCGAGCTCACCCGATCGATGACGGCCATAGGATGGTCTTGGGGAGTGACATCAGTATTACGACCCACACCGTTGTAATGAAAAAAGAACTCACGCCAGATCCCCGTGTTGTAGACGATTCCTTGCCCAGCAGTTGCAATGAATGCGCGCATGCTCTGGAGGTCGGGCTTGTCATCTGCACCATTCTTTGCCACGATCACCAGGTACGTCTCTCCTGGGCTGTCTAGACCCTCTCCGCCACCCATAGGAATGAACGCCTGGTTCGTACAGGGGTGCCTCTCGAGCAGCTTGACCTCCCACTGACCACCCGGAGCAACTTCGATTGGCTTGCATCGGTAGATGGAGAGGCCTGACGTAGCTCCGGTATCCGCGGGATATGACGACTCGAGCAACGCGAGCTTATGGAATTTCACGGCGGTTCCCTGGTTCGCACCCGTGATGCGTGTGGCACGCGGAGACGGCACGGCATTCAAATCGGAGTAAGCCTGGACAACCTGTCCAAAAGGTGCGAAGGCTTCCGGAGTGAGTGGAAGTGCGGGCAGGATAGGTCCGGCTGCGCTGGCTGCGGTTTGGGGCTTTGTGCCGTCGAATCGTCGTAGAAGCCGACTCGCCTTGTTGAATGTTTGCGCCCGCAGTTTCGCTTGCGGCGCCTGGCGGCACCGGTGCTGTGATATCACCGCCCGTCCTCCGACCAACTATGCGGATTCTCTTGATGCCACCATCGGGGTAAATGGTTACTTTGACATGCGTGAACGCTTTGCCATCCACATTGTGCAGCTGGAAGAAGTGTTGCCGGTGAGGCCCGAGCTTCGTGCGAGGAAGGATGAGTGTCCAGTCTTCTTCAGGAACGCTAACGGGATTCAACTCTTCGCTCGACAAAGCTCGCAACTCGCATGACTCTGGAAATTCCCTTTGAAGTGAGCGGTATCTATCTCGGCATGAGATAGATATCCGGAGTCGCCACTGCATAGGCGGTGGCAATGTCACCGGTCAATCAGTGGCGGCAAGACGGTCAATCGGGACGTACAGCTTGATGATGACCCAGTCCTTGTGCCCCTTGTGCCTGCTTCGCTTCGTCTCCCATCCATCGCCCATATCTTTACCTAACAACTCGTCGTAAGCATCATTGACCATTTCAAGATGACAAACGGCCGTTGCATTCACCGGCCTCGTACCTCTCCCGGGAAGGATCAAGTTGGATCCCACACCAAAGTGCTGATCCGAAGTGTAAACCACCCTTCCACCGGAGAATACGTGAGCAAGGTCCAATTGGACTGACAAATCGGCTGGGAATACTGGGGAGACTAGTCCGTAGACGCGGAATCGCGCCTGTTGGTCCTTGGTGAGCGGAGCATTTTTGTGCAAGGGGGAAAGTACCGACAATTCCGCCGTCTGGATACATGTTAAGCTTGACATAGTTCAACCCTTCCGTAGGATTGATCTTGAACAGATGTTTTGAGCTTGGTCCCAAAGGCGACCTGGGCAGAATCTCAGACCACTACGAGTATATCGTTAAAAGTGCAACGGTTCGATGAAAGTGTTCGATTTACGACCCACGTTGGCACCGTCAGACTGGGGAGCAGGCTGATCGTCAGGCTGGTAGAGTGCGTCAACACTGACTTCAGGGGCCTCGTTGCCTATATCATCCGTAGCCTGAGTCTGTTTCTACAGCAAGATCGTGATAGGGCCCACCGTTGAAGTGTGTAGTGTCGATATCGAAACCTAATATCGTGCCAGTGGTGCCCAGCTTGATTATACACCTAAACGTACGTATAATGAGATGACGACGAGACGAGCCACCGAAACGAGGGCGTGGCCTACCAGTCGTGTGTTGGATTATGTCGCCGTGTCTCCCATCCGCTGTAGAGTGCTCCTTTGGGCCCAAATTGTCCCTTCAAGCTTGGCGCGGGCTGTGCTTCGTCAATAACAAAGGAAGGGTTAAAAATGTAATCAAATACCTCTACGAGCAACAGATGGAAAGCCTCCGCAAAGAACTCATCGGAAAAAGACTCTACTTTCCCTCCCAGGGCGACACTGGACAGTTCTACTTCCCATTTCAGTCTGAGTGGTTTCCATGTCAAGACGTCGTGTGAGCGTCTACGCACCGATGGCTGTCCCAAAGACGGAAGCGAACAGGTCAAGCGGGACGCGCTCAATTTCCATTATTGACTTGACACTGATCCTCTGTTCGGAGTCGTCTAAGTATCTGTTCTCCGATCAGCAACCTTGTCAGAGTTAGGCGTGCCAGTGAGCGGTGAAAGTCCCGAGCAAATGAATAACGATGGCGGTATGCACTCAGGAGACTTCTGAAGCGCGACAAACAAGATCGGATCGGAAGCAGTGGCCAGGCTCACGGGCCCGAGTCATCGGCAGAGCTGTTCTGATTGGCTGCGTGAAGAACCTCAAAATGTCGCGAGCTGGCGATATGGCCTCGGACATCGTCCGCTGTGCTACGAATGTACGCCCATCGAGTGTTGGAGTCGGACACCACCACAGACACACTTCTTTGACATCAGCGTGCGCACACGGAGCGTGTATTTCCTCCTCCAAGCCTTCGATGTTTACGGTTACGTCAGCATGCTAAATGGGTGCAAGGCGCTTCCATTATTAGAAGCTCCGTGGCCGCCACAATCACATGCGCCCGCTCAGACCATGTACCATGGCACCAGTGTGCATTACAATGCGCATGCGGTGCACGGACGAACGCCTCGCTCTTGTCTTCGAACCACCACGACCAGATGATAGACCACCTCTTGGGTAGGCCGAGTCCATCGTGGAAGAGAGTTCAGGTAGGTGCAGTGCACCTCACGTTGTCTCAGCCACATTGCAGCCACAGCTGACCAAATCTGGACCGCCCAGGTCTTTCTTGTCATTATCTTCTGGGTATGGAGAGTTCTTCAAGGTAACCCGGGCGGACCACGCCTGTTGTGGCTCAGACGTGCCAACAGAGCACTTGGTACATTGCTATGTTCGTCGCAAACGAAGACGACCGTTGACGAGTACCTTGAACAGAACGTTTCACCCCATGGCAATTGGTCGTGAGCACCCTGACCGGGGTCTACGCTGTGCGGAATCTTGACAAGATTCTTGGATTCCAAGGCACGCCACATGTGCACCACAGCCTCCTCTGTTACTGATATGCATGAATCTCTGTCTATAGCTCCAGAACCTCTCGCAGATCTGGTAGGTATCATGTTTCGGGGTCGTCCAACTACCGTGCTCACCGTTGTCTAGTATTCGCGATCGTATTATCGCGCCACATGGATATCCACAGCACTCGATGCTGGCTTCGCAACGGCGATGTCAATACGTCCCAAATTTCTGAAGGACCTGTGTTCTGCTGTATTTGCCATGTATTACCTAGTTTATGCTAATGAAGCCGATGAGAAGGTACGCCAGTCTAACATGCAGTTCAAGCAACTGAAACGAAGCAACATTTCCTAGCTGCGCAAATATCGTGCGGTGCCTACCGTTGAGATGCTTCGGACGACTGGGAGAAGACCACCAATCCCTACGTCGGTGTCAGGTGGCTTCACATTTGAACCACGCATGCTAATCCAGTTCACAGCTGCGTTTCTTCACGTATTTCCCGAAGATGACCATCCGACGGAAAATCGTCCTGCCTAGGCCGCATGACTCCACGTGCACCAGGCCGATCACTGCGTGGTTGTTCTTCGCCCCGCCAGTGCATCAACTGGCGCGTGCGACCGACCTTATCCTCGACTACCCCGGAGGTGGTTTCATTTCGATGACACCCGAGCACCACGAGGAGCGCCTCCGCATGTGGGCGTTCGGACAGGAAAGCCGGTTTTGTCGATCGACTATGGCAAGGCACCAGAGTGTAAGACACCGTTCACTGCGGGGCAAATGTCAGCTCACAGCGTTGACAGATCCATATCCATTTGCCATTGATGAGTGCTTTGATGTCTACCGAATGCTGATCGAATCCGGTGGCAAAGTCATCGGAATGGCTGGCCACAAACTGAACATTATAATCTCTGGAGACTCCGCGTGAGTGTCTTCTCGTAGTATGCCGTAGCGGGCTGGCTCACATACGGGCTCCGACTAATAAGGGGCGCCCACGTTGCTGCCAATGTAATGGTCAAGATCCTGGAGTCGCAGCTGGCATTGCCGCTCCCAAAGGCGCTCGTGTTCGCCTACCCCGCACTGGACTTCAATTTCACGTCCTGGATGGCTCCTGACAACCTGCGTGTGCTGCAGTCCGAGCAGTCATCTGGCCACATCCCCGATCTCGCCGCGCAAAAAGACCATCTCAGACACATCAGCCCTCTGTCAATGGTCGGCGACAGAAAGGGCATTCGCCGACGCCGCAGCTGGCGAGAGGCGCTGCGAAAGCTCGCGTCGCCGACGGACGAGCGGTCCAGTCTGACGCTTCGGCATTCCACGACATCTTCTACATCGTTGAAGGGCCGGGGGCATGCCGAAGAGCGCGGTATTGATGCTGAGGCCGGCGAGATGGCGGATGTTGAGGACAGCGCGGATGTGAGCAGCACCAGGGAGGAAGACATGCCCCTGCAGGCCAGAGTGCGCTTTCACCCGCGAGTCGAAGAACGAGTCCTGGAGCAACAGCAGCGCGAGGCGGATGCCACGATTCCCGAACAAGGAGAACCGTCAGAACACGTCCAGTTGGGAACGAGGCTCACCATGACAAGCCGTACTGGCTATTTCTCCGATCGGATCATTTCCCCCAGCATGGTGCGTTCACTACTTGTCTCAGTTGCGCCCGCCGCTGAGGGACTGATATGCTGACCATTCCTTTTTTACAAATAAAGATGCGCGCAATGGCCATTCTGTACATCGGGCCTCACCGCAATCCCGACTTCGCGACCGACTATCATTTGTCCCCCATCAAAGCGCCCAGTCACCTGCTGACGCAATTCCCGCCCATCCTCATGGCGTGCGGGGAGAAAGACCCGTTCGTCGACGACACGCTCATCTTCGCAGGGCGGGTGCGGGAAGCCAAGCGTGCACGCAGAAGGGATCTAGATGCCGCGCTATCAGGGAAGGGCGCCAAGTCTATCGAGTCGTTCATCCTCTCGAAGGACCATCTGAGCCAGGAGGAGGCGCTGCGGGCGCTGCGGCGTGAGCGAGACATGCTCGCCGCGCAGGGAGACGAAGACTGGGTCACCATGCAGATCTATTCGGAGTGGAGCCACGGGTTTCTCCAGATGCCCATGCTCTTGCCGGAGGCGCGCACTGTCATTGACAGCATGGCTGACTGGATGGACGAGGCGTTCACGAATGCTGGCAGCAGGTCGGGCGCCGCGGCCAGACGCAATAATGGAGCCACTGCGTCGAGGGTGGGCGTCAAACGCCCCTCGCCGTCGAGACGTCCGGTGCTCCCACCGATAGGAGACGGACTGAGTTCACTTACATCGGAGACGGAGGCTGACACAACAGAGACGGAGACAGACGACGCCTTGACGATTTGCCTAAGAAGAGGACATCGCCACCCGCATCTTTTGTCGAGACTGATTCGGAGAAGAACAAGACCTCACCGCGGAAGAATCTGGAACAGGCCGCGTCGGGGAAGGACAGGGACACCCGAGTGCAGACCTCGTCATACAGTCGCACCGACGACGCAGACGCCGTTACCGCAGAGGGCGCCCTTGCCGCCACGCCGCGGTTTGACCTCTTACACGACCTTCTGGGACAGACGGTCCCTGTCGGTCAAGCAAAGGCACGCCGGGACTCTTCACCGTCCAGCAAGGCATCAACACCGGGCAAGGCCGGTCAGATAATTCAGAGTCAGAGCTGATGAGGAGGCGTCGACTGCTCGATTCGCACCTGATTTCTACGGACACCCTGAAGTAGACTTTGCTACTGTAACACAGCTGTATTGTTACTGTATGTTTGTTCTTGCAATTGGATTATGTGCGGTTTGACGAGTGTGGTCCCGATTCCGCATCGGCTGACCACACTCTAATACCTCAGCCACCCGCTGTATTCTGGCTCGCCCTCGACACTGCCGGTTACGGTGCAATCCTGATGGGAACAGCGAGCCGACACACTCCACCCAAGTGTGCATTGTTGACGTGAGCGGTCGCGCCCGAGACTGAAGTCATCACTGCCGAATTAATTGGCAGAGTAGGCGAGGTGTCGCGAACCGGGTGACCGTAACAGACGGTCTTGTTCGACCTGAATAATATCCGAGCTCAGCTGGCCCTGAAGACCTGGTCTTTCGACCAGAACAAAATACACACGTACGTCACGCGCAGCCTCTGTGTGCAAGTGATTGCATGTTCGCCGCAACCACCTGCAGTCTTGTTTGCGTTGTTCTGGCACAGTGGGCACCGCAGTGCGACGGGGAATAGTCACGACACCGCTAGAATCTGTTGTGGTTGTACCGAACCGCCGTGGTGGGTACCGCCACAGATCACTCACGTCACCGACTGTGAGCGCGGCCAGCGCTGTCCAACGGCGCTGTGTGAACGCTATTTCGCGTGCGGTCTGTGGGTGGGTGAACGCAGGCTTCGTCAATTGAATGCTCGTATCAGATTGCATTCGCCGGATAGCGACTGGCTGTCCTGTCAGATATGCAAGGGGGCGCTCGCGGGGGCCGAGGTACTCTCGGGCGGCTCAGAACTGGAACACCCGCTGATAGGCTTCTCCCTGGGTCCGAGCGGGAGCGTTTCAGCGCTGCGCGCGGAAGCCCTCGGTCGCCCTGGTACACCGCGGTCGCGAGCCAGGAGGGTATTTGGTTGTGGGTGGTGGATCTGCGGTGGTACGCTAGGCCGCAGCTAGCGTAGCTGGCGAGGAGAGCTGTGCAGGCTGTCAAGTCAAAAGGAACGCCAGGGTCCTGTTCCCAGAGACGTTGCTTACGTCAGCGAGTGGAATTGACCGGCGGAGGCATCAGGCCCGATTTGGGAATCTGAGATTGGCGCGGAGGGGAGGACTTGTGTTCGGAGAGACAAGACAGCTCGGAGACACCGTTCTGGCGCGAGCATGTCCGCCCGCGCCGGTGCGGGGGGTCGCGTCGCAGTGGCAGTACGGCCGCATCACAGCTTCCCAATCAGAGACGGTGCGTCCGACTCGCCCTGGGTTGCTATACACGGGTAAGCACCCACATATATATGAACCCCGTCTTCTCGACCTTCCTGCCACTCGCATCTCCACGCCGCACGGCTGATTCCTCCGCAGAACTCGCAGACCACACGCCTGCCTCGCTGGCATCCAACTGTCAATAGCATCCCTTCTGTCCCTTCTGACCAACTGCCTCCGCCACGAACGCCAGTCCTCTAAGCATCCGAATATCAGAACGGTTATCTGCAGACGCCCACTGCTGTCAGTCACGTCTGGCGATGGAAGTGGACGCCTCGAGAGGCCCTTCCGTGCATGCCACTTATCCCCAGTGTGCTTTCACCCCTTATCACCCGTCTTCCACTCTCCACTACCCTCCGCCTTCGTACGCACAGCCAGGAACCTTCATGCCGAGTAGCGATTTCGACGATCGTCCACACCCCGCGCCACACGGCGCGAACTACTACTCAGTAGCGCCCGCTGCCCGCACCCACGAGCTGAAGAGCCGCCACACACTGCCCCCGTACGAGCCCGCCGCCGGGTCGCGCTTTCCTCTGAGGGCGGGGACATGGCCCATCTTGCAACCTACGATGTCTGCGACGCGGCCGACACCACCAGTACTCCCCTCATTGCCTTCGATTATCCCAAGTTCGGCCATGGGCCGAGACGCCCGGACCAGCTCTCCTGAGCAGCTGCGATCGCCGAGTTCCTCGCCATACCAAAGCCATGCAGTGCCACGACCTACTCTCGCACCGTTGTCCTCTCTCCCTCGAGGGCACGGGTCGTCGGGATCACAATCCGTTGCTGCGGGTCTGCCTCGTCTACCTCCCATTCTGCAGGTAGAGAAGCAGCAGGTCACTACGAGTGCCACTCAAGCTGCGAGTGCCAGTAGACGCCGCAACGAGGCGCACTTCGTGTGTCCAGTACCAGGATGTGGCAGCACGTTCACTCGCAGATTTAATTTGAGAGGTGCGGCCTAACGCTCAGCTGTCCAATATCACGGCGCTCATATGTCCCGCAGGACACCTGCGCTCACATACCGCGGAACGTCCTTTCCTGTGTGAGTGGCCCGGGTGTAACAAGGGTTTCGCCCGGCAACATGATTGCAAGTGAGTTTCATCCACTTTGTAGTGTTACTCATTTCGCTGATCATGCTTGCGTTTTAGACGGCATCAAGCTCTACACACTGCGAAGGCACAGGCGAATGTCTGTCACGGTTGTGGCAAGACCTTCAGTCGTCTGGACGCTTTGAATGTAAGTATACGTCCGATCCCCTCCCGGAGACACCTGAGACTGACCGTCCCTGACAGAGGCACCGTATGTCTACTCATAACTGTCATGGAAGTCTACTGATCCACAGTCCATCATAGTGCGCTCAGACGGGGCAGTCGAGTGCCGAGAGACCACTGAATCGGCTGCGATGGCCGCACGGCTGAGCCCTGCGGACGACGATTGGGACGCTCGAAGCACCTCCACCGCTCGCAGCGAGCGATGACCATTCATGCCTGATGTGCCGTATATCGCACGCACGGCAGCGCCTGGGCCTATTTAGTCTCTGTGTTGCCTCCTCTCGCCATGTTTTGTGTATATTGTACGTATGCTGTGCCGCTCTCCTGCTAGCTCTCGCAATGTATACCCCAGTCGACGTCTTCCCGGCGTCCTCGTGCACGCCTTATCGGTTTATCGCAGCGCGCGTCCGTCGAACCCGGGGGCCTCAAGTTTCCGGCGCGGCGCAGTGAGAGCAGGTGAGAGCGAGCGACGTTCGATCGGGAAGGCGAACCACGATCTGAATGCATGCGGCACGAGTATGTGGGAATACATCCCTATCTTGGGCCCTGGCGGCAATCAGGTCAGCCCTAACGAAGAGCACAGCATTCATACTCTGTCTTTGCGTGCTGTGCTCCCGGTCGGGCGGTCCGCGAAGCGCGGAAGCTCGTCCTGGTGATCCCCCAGAGGCCGGTTTCGGGCGTTGTGGGGCACCGATGCAGACATCTCTTGAAGCCACAAGCCTCGGGAGGATGACATTCGTCAACGAGCTATTAGTACATGCGCGTGTCTATGCCACCTCGGTTTCATGCCAATTTCGTTTTTCCGATGATGTCGTCCCGCCGACTGAGGGTTAAGTTCAGGAAGACCGTTGAATATGCCAAGAGGCTGACACGAGACTCGTCAGTAGTACTTAGGACAAGAGACTATGCGAGACACGTCTATCGTCTCCCGCATGAATACTTTGCCCTATGTATACTGATCTAGTCACAGTCTTGAATATTGAATGCTCGGGAAGTGGAGCTCACTAGCTACATAAGGTCTGAGTGGTACACGATTGAGCCTGAGGCATCACCCTTGTCGCACCACTGGGCAGTACGCCCTAATGAGTCCTAGAGTTCCGTACGCACCATTGATCCACAAACATCGCAAGTTTGACCTGTGCGGTTCGTGATCATTCGGAGTAGCCTGAACACCTGGTCATTATGGTCTTCGCCCACAATATTGCGGTCTGCTATAGTGTCAGTCTACGCTGACAGGAATACAAGGTTGTCACGTAGCATTGAACAGCATGACCTCCACTCACAGTGATTGCGGTCTTGAGACGTGTCCGAGCGGAGATGTTTCGCGCCGAGCCTTGCGCAAGGCCACCGCATCCCGCCCGAGTCCACTGCAAGGTCCTCGCCTATCAGCGCCTCAGCCCCGAGGACAGAGTGCAGTGATTCCCACCATTGCTGTTCCGTGTCGTACCCCGCGGGTCCGCCGGAATGCTGCGACATACAGCGAGTGTCTCATTGCAGTTGTCATCACAGTGCTTCGCCTCTGCGGTCAATCATATATGCGTGCGGCTAGAATACGAATGACGGGTGAGCTACCATCACCCATGTCCTTGCTTCCCGAGGAGTTTCGAAGGACCTCTTACTAAGATGACATTGCTAACCCGAAGTGGTGAATACGAGACATCGATTCAGTTCGTGTCAGCTTATTGTCGTTGTGCAATGTGCAAAGGGATGCAGTTGTTATGATATGGAGTGGCCACATCCTTACTGCTAATCGCTGAAACCAACGTCGACGTGTCGCCACAGACGGAGGCTACTACCAAACCAGGCAGGTGTTGTAGAACGCAGTGGCTGGCCGGGGTTTGCGGCGATCGGGGTGCACTGCGAACATCTGCGGGACCGACTCACGCGGCAGCCAGGGCAGCCCCTCGGCATCGTGTCACGCATCCAATCAGGACCAATCTAAGCGAATTTGATGCCTCCCCGAACGATATCAGAATGCGGGACCGACAAACCACAATGGATGCCGCCCGAGAGCTGTGTCGGGATCGAACCGCTTCTGTGATCTGCGGCTCGGTAGCTCTCGTCACATTGAGGCAGTGCAGTGCTTTCTCGGCCATAAAAGTGTCGGCATCTGCCAGTGAATCGACAACGCTACCTCACATCGGGATGACGCGAGACCGATGCAGGTTCAGATACCAGACGTGGAACATCCTTCCCATTGTATCACACAATCCCGCGCGCGAAAGTACAGTACACTAGGCCCTGTCAATTCCCACTAAGCCAGTTGGAAGTTCAAGCGGAACGCTATCATGAGGACCGGCCGCAATTAGCATCGGACCATGGTGCTACACGAGGACAGTGACAAACCTTCCAGGTCCTGACGGTCACACAAGTTGGCCAAGTCCAGCCGTTGCATTGGAGACAGCAGGTCTTCAGACTCTCCCACAGAGTCAGAGTAGTGACGCCCCGCTTATCGCCACCGCCAGCCGCCTCATCCACGCTATCGCTGTCTTGCAATGACAAGGCATCCAGGATGTGCTGGGACGCCTCATCGTACCGCTAAGTGATGACGGCTGTCAGGGAGGACACTGAATTGATGACTCAATGGAAACCCACCCGAAGGTTGATGCAAGAGATGCCCAGGTTGAACCTGACGCAGCTGTCAGCGGGCAAATCGGCAAAGGTGCGAAAAGCATACCTCGCACGAATGTACGCGGGATTCAACTCCAACGCGCGGTAGTAGTATTGTAAGGCATCCTCAGGATGCCCGCTGTTCGCCAGAGTCGCTCCCACGCGATTGTACAGTAGCCAGTCCTGCGATGAATCAGTGAATAGCTATTTCTTGTATCGCAGGACGCACATCGGGCCGTATCGCTAGCGCGGTGTTGAAGCAATCCCGCGCCTTGGCGTATTCCTGAAGTAACGTTAGCGGCGTATAACGTTTCGGTAAAGTTATTTATCCGATACGTGCCTCGTTAGTATTCAACAGGACCGCCAGGGCAATTTGTATGTCTGCATCGATCTCCCCACTCTGGTCGCCCCGCGCCATGGCAATCAAGCACTGGATCAAGGTGGCGAATTTCTCGGTTTGCAACATCTCATCGTCTATCGGGTTCAATGCGCGGAACTGCTCGACTGTGGCCCTGTAGCGCTCGTTGCGTTCAACCCACTCGTAAATGGCGGCGTACGTCCCCTGACGGTTGCTCTCATTCGTATGCGACACGGCGAGGGCGAGCCAGGAAGGCAAGTGCGAAGGGTCAAGTTCAAGCGCACGACGTAATGCTTGTACGGCTTTCTGCTCGCGTTCGTTCTCTTGCTGTTTCACGCCAAGCTCGTACCATCGCAACGCATTGGTGGGATCCCGCTGTACGGCAGCCTCTAGCTCGAGAACGCTCTAGTGTAAAATTAGACTGCTACATCGGCATCACGGAGGCAGTATCCACCGACGTACCTCGAGAATGGAGTTCCTGGCGTTTGAGTGCATCGCATGATGTCGCGTTCTCGACGCTTCGCCGAGGACATACGGGTTATGCGGTTGTAACTGGTAATGCGCAAGCGGCCGGATGCCGGTGACCGTCGCTTCGAAGGATTCCCAATCCCTCTGAGTCTGCCCCAGTCCGCATCCTGCGGGCGCTGGTGCGAGACCCACCAGTCATAGGAGACGTCGGGCGGATGCACGGCGTCGTGTTCTTGCTGCAATTTGATATACTCCTCGTTTTCCTGCCGGAGGTAGGCATCGATGGGGCTTTCCTGGAAATCCCCAAGTGGCTGAGCGGAAGTGTAGGAAGGTTGGGCGACTGGCGAGCCCAGTCCGGTTCCTCATGTCCCATAGGGCGTAAAGTCTTGCGGCACAGTCATGCCCGGAGACATTGAATGGAACGAGGTAGGGTCGACTGCCCGGCCCTTTCCCTTCACGCTCATGGAGCTCAGAGATGCGTCGGGCGATGCTCCTCTCGCGATACCATCTTGTCGCCGTCAACGACAACCTCGCCATCCCGCAGTTGTCGCATGAGACCCAGGAACTCACTGTTCTTGAACTTCGGGTTCGCAGCATCCCTGACAGTGTCCACCAGCTCGCCGGCAATGCGTGCAAGCTCGTCTCCGTCATGCGGCCGACTGGGCGCGGATGTCTCTTGCTGTGGCTGCTCCGCGGGGATCAAGGCAGCTTCCTGGGATCGAAATTCGCGCTCCCAATGAGAAGCTAATGAGTGGTCAGTCACGGTACCCTGTCATACATGAATCAAGTTCCACAGACCGTCGATCTGATTCACCGGTTCTTGGGCATTCATGGGTCCTGCGAAAGGTGGAGCAGCCATGGGCATCATACCCGCATGCCGTAACCCATTGCGCTGAATGAGCGTAAATCTGTGAGTGGTTAGGAGCTGCATGGTCGTAGCCAGGTGACGGCCTACGCACTGGAAGTCATGCCGTTAGGAGAAAACTGCTGTGGCTGGCCATGAAAGATCTCCTGCTGTGACTGAGCTTGCCCTGAGCTGAGGATTGGGTCACTGGTAGCTGAGACACCGGTGACTGCTTGCCAGGCTGCTGCAGAAAGTCCACAGCCCATGACGCATTAGACACCGACGAAAGAGGCAGCTGCCTCTGGGTGTCAGAACGGGTACTTGAGAATGGGCCAGGGCAATGCCGCATTAGCGCAGCGAAATCGAATGCAGGAGCAGGAGATGCGAGGCTAGATGAGGTTTGGTTGCAGAGAAGAACCGCGCTGCATCCTGGCTTGAGCCTGCGTGGCTGAGTATTGCGAACGGAAGACCTACAGTACATAAGTAATGCTCACAGCCGATGCATAATCATGCTCACCTCTTCGACGAGCCAGCCGACCTGCACCGAAATGGTCCTGTAATCACGTATATTGGCGGAGTACTCTCTTCTCCAAGCATGAAACTACCTGCTGAATGCCACGATCACGATCGAATGTCTTAGACAGACTTTGCAATGGGTTGACGGGACCGCAGTCCGCACCGTTCACGAGGAGTGGTAAGGACATGGTCGTGGTCGAAGACAACAAGCAGCCTCGACGGAGGCAGTGCGGGCGGGAGCTGAGGTCGTTATATATACCGGTGTGGAGGTCGAGCTCTCGTGGTTGCTCAATTCAAAAGTAGCAGGTCGTCTGCACGTGTCATGTGAAATCCGTCTCCCTCGGGCTTCTCCCGGCAGACTGCCTTGGGTGGCAAACAGCTTACCTCGAACGTCGTGTAGCAAACGCAGCCGGGCAGTAGTCAAATAATAACATCTAGAGGAATACATTATACGAGACGATTAACATTGTCGGTCCTTAGCCCAAGTAGAGACTCGCACATAAAAAGGTTGCTTGGGAAGAGAAGCTCGAGCGTGGCAATACTTACACGACGTAAGATCGTCGACGCCACAAACGGACTCATACAGACGAGACACGCTTGAGTATTTGTACAAGGCAAGAAACAACACGGCACCCAAGTCGATGTTGGAGAAGACAGGAGGTAGCAAGGTAGCCGCTATGACTTTTCTCCAATCGTCAAATGCCCGAGGGGACATGAGTGTGGCGCACGATGGACCTCGCGTGCAGACCAGCCATCCGTTCCTCGATGTAAGGCCACAACACGTCCACCATATCCTGCCCTCGCAGCACTTCGATAGTGACTCGCCGGAGCCCGTCGAACCGACGTTCGCACAAGATGTCACTGACCGCAGCCCAGTCAAGCGTATCGAGGTCAGCTGTTGAGGCACCCCCTGCACGAAGCCGGAAGTATATATGCTCCAGCGCAGGGGAACCCAATCCCGTGAGAAGGCGTGGAACCCATGCGAGCGACGGCCTCGGTCTCCCCTCGTCACCGTGCAGCTTCAGACACCAGAACCCTAGGGTGCGAAGGCCACTGTTGTACGACAGCGTCAAAGGGTCGCTGAGAGAAGCTGCGCAGTGTTCAGCGACAGTGAGGAAATCTGTAGCGTGCGACTTACCGTCTTCGTTCATCTGCTCGACCCCGAGGTAAAGATGCCGGAGACGAGGTCCAAGGTCTTGCAGGAGTGCACTCAGCGTGGCCGCATCCTCTCGACATACGACAACGATCTCCAAGGTATTCAAGTGGGCGTGCATCGACTGCTTAAACAACCACTTGTCAAGCTGATCGAGCTGACTTCTCCGAGTGTGCATCCCGAAGGGAAGCGCAGCGTTTCGATCAAGGGGCGAAATGTCGTTGGTACAGGGCCGTCGATAGCCTTGTTGGCTGCGAGCTTCATGACGAATGTATCTCTGGCGAACAGGTCGCTGACAGCGAGCTTCTTCAGACGCGGGAACGAGCAGATGAATTCTGCAACGAAGGCCATAGTGGGGACGACGCAGATGTGCATGCGAATAGACTCCACTGTGTTGAGGTCACATACTTGACGGAGCAGCGGGACAGACAGGACTGTTTGATCCACCATCTTGAGGTCAAGTTTCGTAACAGCCGGGAACATAGGCACAATTTCGTCCTCGTCATTTGGGGCTTGGCGAATGCGCGAAGCCACACGGATCCTGGACGTTCAGCTTGAGAAGAAGCGGTACCGGTTGTGTGAGTCGAAGGCAGCGCACGGCGCAGCCGAGGTGTGGCGACTTCTTGACCAAGATCTCGTACTCGGGCCACCGCGCAGGTGTAACACAGATACTGCGGAAGAGGTGGAACTGCGCCCGAATGCGCATCGAGCTGTGAGCGAGGCTGCAGGCGGTGAGAGCGGCTGCATCCCCTCGGAGATGGTCAATGACGTGATCGACCAGCTCCGGGGGCAAGTCAGGTAATGGAAGCAAGTCGTTGTTGGTAGTAGACCGTTGAGGACTCATGGCAGAAGGAAGGACGTTCTGAAGGGCAGACGGGACGAGGGATCGTGCTTTATAGTGGCTGAATGATTGTGGCCGCTCGCAAGACTATCGAAGACTCGTGTGCCAGCCCTTTGTTCTAACAGTGCACATTGTGGCCATGTGCGGGGAACACGGATAATCGCTCGCTCATATTCAATACGAAATCGACTCACTTGCACCGCGACAGACTTGTGTCTGTGTCACTCTGCATAGCGTGTTAAACTCACGAGGATTATATCCGTGGACACCACTGGCTGCGACCCTTCTCTCGTACATTACGATGCACGACGCGTCCACAGCTAGCGATACAAGTCTGTCATAGACGGAGACTAGATGTGTTCGTCAACTTCGACATACAGGTGCCATGCAGCGAACACACCGTTATTTCTGCAGATAGCACCCAGGTCTCATCGCAGTCCCAGGCGTTCGTCCTTCGTCATCGCCTCTCTCTTCCTCTTAGCATCTTCCGCTGCGACAAACGGCTGGGAGGCTGACGCGCCAGCCTCGAAAGCGGCGTATTGTTTGTCTGATATCTCGGCCCACTTCTGAGCGAGTTCGTCTTTGCGTTTGGCAGCGACCATGTCCCGGACCTGCTGCACGTCCGCATCGGTCATCCCGATGAGCGTAGGGTCCCTGCGTATCATTGTGTGGTCTCTCAGCAACGCCCCAGAGCACTTAATGGAGAGAGGATGAGGCTCAGTGAATATGGGACCTGAGGACAATGACGGGATGGGACAAAAGCGGACGCTGCGCGGTCTGCGCCGCAGGCGCGCACGCGGTGGCACACGACGCCGCGGCCAAACTTCCACGACTCACATACGGACTCCCACCAACCCGCCGCTCCCCTCTCCTGTACACTACAAAAGTCGCTACTACTAAGTACTGCTGCTACTACCCTTTCACCCACCTCGCGTATCAGTCCCTTCGAATCCGAAACGATGGAGGTATTCCTTCGTGTCACTGACACCGTCAAGTCGTTCCGGGTGCGTTTTGCTGTAGCGTGTCACGCTGCGTGCGGTTGCTCCTTCTCATGCCGGCATGCTGATTCGATGGCTTTGATTCGTTCAGGAGACTCGCCTTAGCGCACTCCGTCCGTTGGGGGAGTTCTTCGACCACCACCGCATCTCAAAACCTGCAGACTTGAACACAGCCACCTCGGTACGTCGACCTTCTCAGTTGGTATTCGGTATCTGAACCTCAACAACTGTGCATTCTTTAGCGCATATCCTACAACACACGATACTTTTCTGGTATGTATTGTCGAGTTGAACTGCTTTCCTTGGCGGTGCCGGTACCCCTTGCGTAGTAGGACTTGCGAAGTACTAACCGCAACACAGGCAACTATGGTGTAATTGTTGGCGTGCTCGCAGTGTACGCGCTGCTCACAAACTGGCTCTTGCTTATCTCCTTGGGCTTCCTCCTCGGAGGCTTCGCAGCCATCAACAAGTTCGGTACGTGCATCCCTACTGCCTTGAACTCCTGACACTTAATCGACCATCCATAACTCCCAACCCTCGCCCAACCCTCGCGCTCGGACGTATCAGCACCTGAGCCGATGCAAGTGGGTGAACAAGTCATCACGCAGAAGTCCCTCTACACAGGGCTGTTCGTCATCGGCGTCCCCCTCCTCTGGTGGTCCTCGCCCCTCGGCACCTTCTTCTGGCTCGTCGGCGCGTCTTCCTTCCTCATCCTCGGCCACGCCTCCCTCATGGAGCCCGGCATCGAGAGCGAGTACGCGACCGTCTCGGAGGCGGTGTAGTGGGCTCATGACGGTGCAGTGGCTGTGCGAGCAAGGTACAGCTCCGCGTTCGTGATGGCAGATCTATTTATTTCGGTATAGCTAGCCCGGACAGAACCGCTGCGTCTCTTCTGCTGGTTGGATAGTTCGTGTAGATGGTTCGGTCTTCTCTGCGTGCCCACGCGCCACAAATAGCTGTTGTACATGCAGATACACTTCTCGATTTGATCTCAACAGAATACCCGGGACTACAGCGACGCGATGCGCGTATAAATAGGGCGTTGCGGCTGATACAACGAATAAGGTGAGGATGAAGGAAACTGACGGAAAGCAGACGTGAAGCGAGAGCGAGATAGCGTTACAGATAAAATGCGGAATGCAGAGTGTCCTGAGTGAAATTTGAACGATCATAATAATGGCAGCCATTGTCCTGCACAGCTGATCAGCACATTATCTATGTGTGGAGGAGATCAGGAACGTACCGATGACAAGGCTGGGGAGGTCCATGATGTCCCTCTTGATAGAGAAACAGAATGTGCAAGGGACAGGCGCGCCAGAGGACTTCAGTAATACGCAATGTGAATATACGCTCTGTGTCGTGTTTTCAAACGCGTGGTTGGCAAAGTTTTCCCAATACTCCACCACGGACTGGTTCTCGAATAGCTGCGCACATACAGCGTCAGCTATATCGTCAACGCTCAGAATAGGCATGGTGCGGCGAACCTCGTAGATATACTTCCGCCGACCCACAAGCTCCTCCTTCTCCCATCCCGTGAGCATGCAGAACTCGGGGCCCACCAGGCATATCTCGCCCGTCCGCCGCCACGCCACTGTCGGCGTGCCACTGAACGACACGAGCTTATCGAGTTCCTGCAGAGAACCCGTCAGGATCGTCCCACACCGAACGGAGATGGGACACGCACGATGAGCGAGCGCTGGAAGCACTTCTCGACGAAGACCTCGTCTTCCTCCGACAACGGCATCTGCAGTGCGATGAGGGACGGCCGGAAGATCGCGAGCGCGCGCACGATCCGGAGGATGTCGTTCTTCTCGAACCTAGCCCGGAGCGGCAGAGTCAGCATACAGCGCCCGCGACCATTAAACGGAGCATGGAGAACAGACACCAAGCATACCTTGTGGGCAGATGCTTCATCAGGAAATGGTACCCCTCCGTGTAGTCGTACGGCTTCGTGACGGCCTGGTACACGCCCGCACCGCCCTGCGCGCCCGAGGCCAGCGCCGAGCCCGCGCCAAAGCCTGCCTGACTTGCCCAAGCCGCGCCGCGCTCAGGGCGCATGGCCCCTGGTATCGACGCGCCGACGGCTTGTGTTCGTTGCGCGTAGGGCGCAAACCGCTGGGTAGGTGATGAAGGGGAAGCTCGCGCGGCCGGGGGAGCTGCATAGTCGGGATAGCCAACGGGTCCTTGTTGCCCTGGGACGTTCAATGATGGCGGTCTTCCTTGCCCTGGCGTGAACCCGGTTCCCGAGGGATACCCGCCATATTCGGAGGAAAGCGCGGGGGGCACAGCCGCGGTCGATGGTGGCTGCATACCAAGTTGCGCCTGCTCGGCGTAGTTTGATGGGCCGGCGCCGGGGTTCGGAGGGTACCCTGCGGCTTGCTGCGAAGGTGCCGCGTAGGCCTCTGCTGGCCATCGTGCTGCAACAAGATTTGCTACACCGGGAGGGGTAGAGTAGGGGGCAGAAGGGGCGGCTTGGTTGATTGTGGGACTTCCAGCAGGTGGTTGAGAATTAGAGTCAGGGGAGTTGCCCAGGATGGCAGAGAGAATACTGTATTCGAGATTTGCGCCTTCTGAACCGGTACCAAATGAGGCCTGATTCGTGTATTGTGCATACATGGGATCTGGAGGCGCGTATTGCGGTTCTGGTGGTGCTGCTCGACCGAGCGGTCTGTTATCTGCACTGGACAGTGGAGAGTAAGAGAAATGCATTACGTTGTGATACCGGTGCAGGTTCGGGGCCTTTAGATGAACTCTCGCCAGACTTTGCGCGTTTGATAGCATCTGACGAAGATCATGAGAACGAGGGAGAGAGTGTGGCAGGCGTGTGGCTCACCGAGCTCCTCTTCGTCCAGAAGGTATTTAGCCTTCTTGCGATGGCCTTCCGTGCACTGGTCAGCCATTCCACGCTTGACGCATCGTTGACATGGGCGTGCTGCGTGACAAGTATGCTTGTTGAGTAATCGTGCAAACGCTTGGAGTGGAAACAGGGCAATCAGACGATCGAGCTAAAATGCACTCAAGAGTGGGGATTCCGGAAGTGTGGTCAGTGCAATTGATTATACATAGGCTCGTGACGTTTAGAACATGGCACGGGGCTACCGCATCATCGATTCGGTCAGGCTAGCCTCTAGGGAAGCTTTGTGAAGAAGGAACAGGCGAACGGTACCAAGCGATGATGCTAGCAAGCGTTGGAACTCGCAAGAAAGCCCCTGCGAAGCCATGCGAGCCTGAGAACAGTGTCGCCGATGGGACCTCTGCGGCGAAACAACGACTGCATGGTCAACCTACATGATGTTCTTACAGCCGTAACATTGATAGCATCGGCACTGCATAAGAGACAAAGAAGTGATAGTTGCCGTCAGAATGATAGACCACTGGGGTGTGCCAGGTTCGTTCTTAAGGTAAGCAAGTCGTACCACTGCGAGGGTGCGTACCGCGGGAACCAGTAGAAACACCACACAGCCCCGCGGGTAGGCCTTCGCAACTCCGGGGAATGATGCGACACTCAAGTAAGAAAGAGTATGGAACGTACCGTCGTCGCAGGTTAGATGCGCCTTCTGGCAACTCGCGCATGCACGACTGGCCTTTTTCTTCTTAGGGCCGTCGCGCGTGCGTGTTGGTTGTGACGAGGAATCTGCACTGTCGCTGGTGCCGTCCTGCGTTCGTTTCCGCTTGACGGTGCTCTTTTTCTTAGGGTCTGCGTTCGTAGGGTCGATGTCGGAGACCGTGGAGGAGGCGGTATGGTACGGGGCAAGAGAGGGTCGCTGGGCTATCGCTGTGGGGACATTGCGGACGTCGTCGAGGGAGGACTGAGAGGAGAGCATGGGGGCGACATAGAAAAGGGCGTGGAGGCGGTCGTGTCTGCGGAGGCGGATGTGAAGGCGAACTCAACGCGAATCACTGCACTTGTCAAGTGAGCGCCAGGAAGCGCGCGACCTTTTCCAGCGTCAGTTTTTCGGCCCGAACGGGTCAGAAGCCTCAGCAGTCACAGTCACACCCACCGTCACGTTCTCCGGCTACCCACCGGCCGCGCCACCAGCGCGAGAACTCGCGATCGGACTCTTCTCGGACTACTGGTCACTACATCCTCACCTGCACCGGCGCCCAGTCCCGGATCCCTCTGGTCGCATGCAAACAGAATAGGCTTTGTGCGTATCACCACGTCTAGCATAACAAGATTGCGTCCAAGAAACCTCGGAAGGCTGTAGGAGTTACGAGGTTAGTCCACGGACATTGAAGGACTCGGCCTGGGGATCCAGCTGATCAATATTCACCGGTCAATGGTCACGACATGATCTGCTTATGCTAAATAGCAAATAATGGGCACAGACTCTGGCTGCTACTACTTCACTCGAGCGTAGTGACTCATTGGAATCCCGTCCTCCACATCTTCACTGGCACAGTTGAACAGCCCCGTTCTGACTGTGCTTTCTTTTTCTACGTATACGCGACGTAGATCAGTTCGTCGTCGGCTCGGAGGTGCAGGCGCGTCGGTGGTACTACTACCGGCACATTTGTCAGAGTCGCAACACCCGTTACCCGGAAGTTGTGACAGGACGCTCACCGACGTGTCCGTCCAGTGTCCTTTCGCGCACTTACGTGACTTAGTGGATTGCTCTACACGCACATGCACACGCGCACAGCACCCTATCATGCCCGCCGGATCCTTACCACCTGTGGCCGCTCGCATTTTCGCCCTTCTCAAGCGGTCAATCGGCGCACAGGGTGCCAGGAATGAGCTTCGATGGATGCAAGAAGCTCTCAAGAAGTCCCATGCGACGCTCTCGGGCTCTGCGGACATCGAGAGTATGCTTCACCGGCGAGTCAGAGGCGAGCCCCTGCAGTACATCTTAGGTCAGTGTCACCGTTACGTTGTACTCCGTTCGCCATTGATCTGCGCTGTTCTGTTCAGGGACCCAGCCATTCGGACCGCTCAATCTCCTCACGCGCCCTCCAGTGCTGATCCCCCGACCGGAAACGGAGGACTGGACCATCAGACTGTCGGAGCGTCTCCTCTCGTGGCGCAGACAACCGGCATCCCTGCTAGACCTCTGCACGGGCTCGGGCTGCATCCCCATTCTGCTCTGCCATCTGCTGCCGGGCGGCTCCCTCCATGCGACGGGCGTGGATCTCTCCGACGCCGCGATCCAACTGGCGCGGGACAATGCGGCCTTGTGCGGCATTGCCGTCCCTCCTGTACTGCCTGAGCAATATGGCAAGGTGAAGCGCAACACGTTCTTGCCTCTGCTAGGTAACATACGCGCCCCCGGGTTCGTAGCAGCGTGCGGTCTGCGCCCGCCCTACGATGTGGTTACGTCAAACCCACCCTACATCACCAAGGAGGACTATGACAATCTGTCACCGTCTGTGAAGGACTGGGAGGACCCGCGTGCGCTGATCGGCGACCCCGCCGCCGGCGGTGAGATGGAGATGCGCGAAGACGCTCGAGGGTTGACGTTCTATCACACGATCGCAGATTTGCTCGCGAGCTCTACTCCGACGTTGTTGAAGAGTGACGGTCTCGTGGCGCTCGAGGTCGGGGAAGGACAAGCAAGCGCGGTCGCGGAGATCATGGAAAGAAAAGCGCATATGAAGAATATCGAGATCTGGAAGGATCCTTGGGACAAGGAGCGCGTAGTGGTAGGCCAGAAGTAGTATAGCATGAATCACATGTGAGTAACAGACGTTCGCTGAATCCTCCACTGTCCGAGTCCTTATGTCCGTGGTAACAGCTGCAGCTCATACTCGTTCCAGCTCCGTTTTGTCCTTTTCGTCGGTCACCGTCGGCGTTCCTTCCTGCAATTCTACGTCTGGTGTCCCTTCCCTCTGCTGGATGCCACCCCACTGCAAGACCTTACCGAGATAGAGCGCAAGCCACGTAAGCGCTAGAAGGACGGGCACTTCCACGAGTGGCCCTATCGTCGCCGCGAGAGCCTGGTCGGATCCGACGCCATACACGGCTATGGTCACCGCGATGGCAAGCTCCTACGAGAGCACCTATTTAGCATCGTCTTCCCGGAGCTAAACAAGAGAACATACGAAGTTGTTGCTCCCTGCCGTGAAGCTCTGCACGACCGCCATCTCATAGCTCCAGGTCCCCGCTTCCGCGCGTCCTTTCGCCGCCGCGCGCCGGCCGAGGTACCATACGAGCGCGAAGGCGCCCGCCCACATGACGCTGAAGTACAGGACGAGCGGGACGATGACGCGGAAGGTGGGCCCGATGTTGTGCAGGATGTGGTGGCCCTGATAGGCGAAGAGCACGATGATGGTGTAGAGCAGGCCGAGGGGCGCGAGCGGGGAGATGAGAGGGAGGAACCGCGTTGTGAGGAACTCGCGGGAGATGAAGAAGAGGAAGAACAGTCTGGTGAGGAGGCCTGCGCCCAGGGGGATGCCGAGGTACTGTATGGTGAAGCAGTTCTTGTTCAATACCACTTCTGCGCGATAAAGATACAACTTACAATGAGTACTGATATCGCGACCTCGCCGTAGGAGACATGGATGTCCGCGCCGGCCCCGCCCATGACGTTGACGAACCACACGGCATACGGCGAGTACAGCGCAATCTGCAGCACGCTGTTGAGCACAACCAGCACCGCGCAGTAGTTGCTGTCGCCGCCCGCGAGCTGGTTCCACACCATGACCATCGCGATGCAGCGCGCGAGGCCAACCATTATGACGCCCGTGCGGTAGGTAGGCAGGTCAGGCAGCGTCGCCCAAGCGAATGCGAGCATGACGAGAGGGGCGATGATCCAATTGAGGAAGAGCGAGAGGAGGATGTGCACGAACATGCTACGCGTGAAGAGTATGCGTGGGAGGGCTTCGTATTGGACCTTGGTGAGGATGGGCCACATCATGACGATGAGGCCGATGGCAATGGCTGAAATATGGTGAGTTGGCGCGTAGCTTGCGGAACGGGGAACGTACGTGCGGAGACACTTGCAAATCGCGCAGTGTCGAAGGCGGGTTGGACCCCTGGGGCAAACTCCCCGATGACGACGCCTACGATCATTGCAACGAGGATGGCAGGCGTCAGGAGTCTGTCTGTGAGGCTGAGCTTCTTGACGAGGGCTTTGCCTGGGGTTGGTTCGCGTGCAAATGAGATCCATTCTGTCACGTACCTGTCGGTGCGTCTTGTCCAAGTTGCGCAGACGCATCAGCCGACTCCGCAGGTATTGCGTTCTGCGCTGAGGTATCCATGTTGTCTTGTTCGGTTGACGCGATTCGTCAAATCGACAGAGATGGACGGAGGACGCGAAGGTGAGCTGGACAATCCGCACTTTGCTCGTTCAGCTTGAGCGCCGACTTTGAATATGGGACTTCTCCGTCAAATTCAGATCGATCAGCCCGATCCTGACTAGCGCAGTACCAACGGGAAAATCGTTCAATATGGACCCGTCCCTCCTGTCGACTCTCGAGTGGCTCTCAGCAAGTTGGTTCTTGGCGACGTTTACATGGTTAGCGCAATTATAAACTGAATAGACATCTCAGCCTGAGGTCACATTTATTGTAGTAGGACTCATCGAGAATTGAGCAGCTCGTCTCAGAGTGTTCCGGCGTTATGCGTTTTGCGACTCATAGTTAATGCGAATAACTTACTAATACCACAATGCAAGTGGTTCGTTTACTTGCCTCTCTTCTGCCTTTGCACCGACCTCGTTTTAACGCAGTCGTGAGTAGTCCGGCGGTCTCTGCGTCCACTGCTCGACTATACCGACCAGAATCACATGCAGGCGTCACGAACGTCCTATAATGGAAGAAACGCCGGTCAGCTGAGCGTCGCGAATTGATGCTCAATAAACACGGCGTCCACGATGGCACACCTCAACTTGCGCTCGTCCCACCTCCTAGGAGATAGCATTCTCGAGGCCAGTCGATCTCTGTGCCAATGTCTAAACCAGATTCGTCCTATTCTGCGGCCAGAGTAACCAGCTCTGCCGACGGGGACTTCGCGAGTCGCAGTGCAGCTCGGCTTGAGCAGATTCAGTCGCAGCTCCAGGCGAAGCCGAGGGGAAACAGGCTGAAGGGCAAAGTGTGCATCATCACTGGCGTAGGGTCTATTGCTGGTATCGGGTACGTTAGCATCGCTCTGCCATGGGTGGTGTATTGACACCTGTGCAGACGGGCCGCCGCACTGCAATTCGCCCGTGAAGGTACGCGAAACGTTGCTGCGATATCCCAATAACATGCATTGAACAATGTCACAGGCGCAGCGCATCTCTACTTGATCGACTTCGACCCCACTAACCTGCCGGATCTCAAGTCCACAATTGAGCAGAAGTACCCTGATGTCAAAGTATGTCCTCGATGTCAGTTCGCTCTGCGTTTTGGCGTTTACCCTTCGCACAGGCGACCACTCTAGCTGCTGACGCGGCCGATGAAGCGGCGATATCTGGTGTCTGTAAGCAGGCATTGCAGGAAGAAGGGCGTCTGGACGTGTTCTTCGCAAATGTGAGTGTTCAGTACTATGTCAGGAACCAGCACCATTGACTCTATTGGTAGGCTGGTATCGCAACTCAGGAACCTTTGCAGAACACGACAGCGGAGTCGTTCATGAACACGCTAAGGATCAACACGTTGTCGTGAGTCAGAGACGTACGCAGCTTTAACAGGCTCATACGATAGCGCGTGCAGGTGCTTCCTTGCCGTCAAGCATGGCTCAGAGGCAATGCTGAAGACCAATCCTTCACGCGGCAAAGACCTCAGTAGCGGCAGTATCATCATGACTGCGTCTGGTAGGTTTGGTACGTCACACAAGCAACACTTGATCTCACCCTCGTCTCCGTTTAGTTGCTGGCTTGCGTTCCGGGGCGGGAACTGTCGATTGTGAGCTCTTGGTCATATCATTCAACGCCGTTGAGTCTGACCGCAGCCCACAGACAGCGCGAGCAAAGCTGCGTAAGTATCAAACCACTGTGTGCAACAGGAATACTCAAAGCCGCGTGACAGGGTGAACAATATGGCCCAGACGTCTGTATACCATTACAGAAGACGGATATTCGCGTGAATGCGGTGTGCCCTGGTCTCATAGAGACCGGCATGACCACCGGCATCTTTAACTTTGCGCGCTCAAAGGGAGCAGGCGCAAAGATCGGACAGCTAAACCCCATGGGTCGCTACGGTATTGCGGATGGTATGTCTAGCATTACACTTAGCGTCAGATAATACTTATGAGGACCGTACAGAAATCGCGAACGTAGTCACCTTCCTTGCATCGGGTACGTAACTCGCTGCCGTGGAGTCGGACGACAAATTTCTGACGCCCATAACAGATGAAGCGAGTTACGTGAACGGTCAGAACATCGCCATCGACGGCGGCTTGTCGAGCTCTATCCCCGTCGTTCCAGGGAGATGGGCGTAATGTTTGTATTACTGCCTGTAATAGTATGACTATCATGTGCGTCGGCATACTGTTCGCCCCAATAGTATTACGGCGGTAGCGTGGCCTGCTCGTCTATACAGAGTGACAGGTTGTCGTCACGGGACGCTGCCTGTGTAGGCTGTGTGACGGCCATTCCCAGAGCATAATCCTACATGATATGTCTGTTCACATGCGCGAAACGGAATGGGTCACTGCCGTAAAGCTGTTCTGTCGAGAAGATTACTGTGGCAGGAGCACTTGAGCCAGTAGTAGGTCCTCGTACGATGGAAGCATATCACGGTCAACGACGTCGCTCTCGTGCCAGCAGGCTACTGGCTAGGCCTATCAAGCCGACTTGAGACTATTCGGGTCTGAGTATGGAATGAAGGACGCACATGATGAGTCAACCTTCCAACGGCTCTCTGCACTGACGCGATCTTCCAATGACTCTGTCCACCGCCGCGACCTTCCAACCACTGCCAGCCTCCGACACCATGGCGCTCTCCATGTCACCCCTACGGGTGCACGCCTCAGAAGAAAGGAATGTCGACCTGGCATACTTGCATGGGCTGTACTTGGTGGTTTCACGTCACAAGGACCTACTGGTCGCATAAGGACGAAGATGCGCAGAAAAATTGAGCTCTGGAGACATACCGACGGTGACGAATATATTGTCCTCGACTCATTCGGCCACCGCCGTCCTGGCATACTAGTTCATCATGCAGTCTAGCACCTCACATAAAAGCAAAGGATAACGGGGCTGAAGTGCGAATAGTAGTATGTCGCGACGCGAGAGTTGCCGGAGACGATCACGCCGCCGGCTGTTTGGGCGCACCAGATTTACGTGACCTTCTAAGGAGTTTCAGGGTGCGCAAGACTTGGCAAGGAAGGCCTTTTCATTTCCGTCTTCCACGTAGCTCTCGCCTTGCCTGTAAAAAGGATCACGAGGCTGGCATCTGCTGCGATTATATTCCACGGTCAACAAGCATCACAGCTCGGGAGCCCAGTACGGGCACCTTTTCTGACATATCTCCCGAGCGGACATCGCCGTCCCCGCCTGAGATAGCCTCCGGCACAGCTGTATTGACTGAACAGGATTGGCCGTCCTTCCTTGCGTTCACACAGCGCGCCGAGCTTATATGCTACGATCCTGACGCCATATCAGCAAGGCGCGGGAAGACGATAATCGTTTTAAGCAGACTCACCAGCGAGATGACGCTTGCGTGTCTATGTTGCTGATCTCGCCAGTGAACGTGTCAGTAAACGGAACCATTAGCACCCTTTGCAAGTACCACCGCCGCAGTCAGGCATACCAAGATCAAGCAAAGGAAGGTAGCAGAGTATAGCGTCACGCTCTGGTGAGTATACCTTCGCACTGTTGTGCGCGAAAGGCCGCTCGAGCTAACACCACCGTTTTAGACTGTCCTGCGTGTTGCGAGGTGCTGCATTCACATTGACGCAAGCAAATCCACTCACTTTGTGGCGAGTCTTCAATGAAACTTTAACTCCATTTCGAACTGACTTGAAGTCAACGACAGTTCACGAGCGAACAGCGCGAATCGCGCGCTGGTCTGATCTCTTCCATTCTCATGGTACGTGCCCTAGTGCTTCCTTGCACCCAAGGAAGCACCAGAGCACGGCCCATGAGAAGGAAACCATCAGACCGGTGAACGGTGGTCGTCTCCTCCCTGGAACCGTAGGTGCAGATGATATGGTATTAGCCAGACGAAACATCGCACATACACAGGATCCTGAAGGACAAGAATACCATCGGTCAGTAAAGACCATGCGGTGGGTTGCATGTTTCCGAACCTCAGTCGAGACTCGAGCACTTGACTTCATGTGTCGTTGCACTGTGAAGCCGAGACGTGGGGAGACAGTTGAATATACGACGCACCCGGTGAGTAGAATCTACCCTAGTAGCCGAGAACGGTCGGCACAAGGCGCATTGTTCGGAGGGGCGCTGTGCGAATGTCTGAGATGGGGAGTGGAGGTGGTGAGTGCTCGGTCACCGCTGCCTCCTCGCCCCTTTTTATACATCGCAATACTGATGCTCCTGGTGGTTGTATGTTTCACCCCGGATGCCTCGAGAACAGGAGTAGCACCGCCGAGGGGTTGATCGTGCGTCCCCCCGTCGAGGCATGTCGTGATTGATGTTGTTCAACTCACATTGGATTTGTTGACTTATTCGTCACCCTCCGAGCAGAGGCCCGGGAGTCCGTCATGTTCACGTTGATCGTCGACGCGCTAGTACTTCTCCGGCAACTTTCTACCGGGCACACAGGTGATCCGGCTGCAAAAGCTGAGATGAATTTGGACTCCGCGCGGTGTTGGCACCGCTCATACTCAGCAGCACGTCTCTCGGTGGCCTGCTCGCGCATATGCATGTCGTGGCTCCTCGCGTTTTAACACTGTAATCGATCTGTTCCCTTCGCGCAGAATCATGGGTCTCCAAGCACTTCGGAGGTAGACCACAAACGGGCCTTTGCGGCAGCTGAGCAAGGGTACGTTCGGGCACTGTAGATGCGTGGTGATTTACTGTGGTGGCCCCGCGAGACGGCGCAGCAGTATGTCGTATATGTGAGTACGGAAGCATTCATATCGCTCTCGTGTTTTGCACTGACACAAGGTTCTCCGTGCACGACTCTGGGAGGGATGTAGTCAGCGTGGCCAGACTGACTATCGCGGCGCCTACGTGAATTACCCTCAACTTCAAGAGGACCCGCGGCATTCTCCACTTCGCGGTGTATCCTCAACTGACTCGACTCAGAGTCGTGCATCTGGACCCTTGTTGCATGTCAAGACCGGCAGCTTCGTTCGACGATCGACTGTCATACTGACAGCCATCGGACGAAATTCACGCGAGGACAGCAAGTTATTGAGAAACGCCTTGACGCAGACGCCGAGGATGCCCTCTGCTCCAGTCACAATTACGTGTCTCGAACAGACACCGCGCGTGCTACGTCCGTTTCGCTACAGCATTGCTTTCATCTACGAGTCTCGTTTTGTCCGCAGTGGTGCTCCCAGGCTGGTCTTCGTTGCTCATCGAGGGTTGTACCATCCGACAATTGCTGCGCATCGGAATCCCATGCCGTGCAGTCAGACCACTGCCTTTCATATACCATTTTCAAATACCGTCATGTCAGGTGTGTGGTGTACCGGTGAGTAGCACAATTGGATTTCTACTGAAACGGCGCTCATCCACACGACCTCCGCCACAACGACTCGGATGTACTGAGTCCAGCCTGAGACATTGGTCGATGGCTCACTTCACAACGACGGCAGACAATGGACGGACGATCACGTGTATGACGTGCAGCCAGGCGGGACTCGGGCGCAGGATCGGGAGGTGTTCGAGTATGGACGGCGGCTGACGTCTATGCAGGCGGGATCGACATGCCAGCCTCGGAGGGCACTCACGAATGGCCAGGGTCTGTACTTCCTCTCTCTCTTCTACCACAACCATGTCTACTCCTGCTCCGAAACGCGTTTGCATCGTCGGCGCTGGGGCTTCAGGGATGTCGGCTGCGTACGCGCTGAGCAGGCATCCCGAAAGGTACCAGGTGACGGTGTTCGATAAACAGGACGTTGCTGGCGGTATGGCGACGTCAATCGACATTGACGCTGACAAGTACGGGGCCGCGTACATCAACGACGGCGTCCAAGGTTGTAGCCCTGTGTTCGCGAATACCTTGCGGATCTTCAGAATGCTCGGCTTCGAAGCGACTGAAGTGGGGATGCAGTAAGTTCATTCACCGTAGTATTTGGAGTTGTGATTCAAATTCCTCTCCAGAATCAGCTTTGGCAAAGACAAAGACTTTTGGACGAACGTCTACCCGACATCGCTCGTCGCTCAATTCCAGGGCGATATCAAGAAGTTCGGGACTGCGCTATCCATAATCAAGAAGTTCGAACCTGTCTTTGCGATGATCCCCGTCCACACGATGTTGAAAATGTTCGGCTTCTCCAAAGACTTTGGAGACAAGATGGTGTACCCTTGGTCGCGCTCTTCTTCGGGACGGGCAACCAAACGCCGTATATTTCATCTGCGATCCTCGTAAGCTGCCATACAGTCACTTCGCACGGTATTAATATGGTCAAGGAACGGGTGTTCAAAGATCCTAGCATGCGCCTCTTCGAATACTCAGAGAAGAGTCTGTTGGCAGTATCCCGACTATGCTGGCGTTCCCCAAGGTGACCGGTAATTCTGGCGAGGGCTTATTCGTTTCTCACCACTCAATCAGCTGCACGATGTCTACCAAGCTTGGAAGGTGAAGCGGCTTCACGCGGCAACGTCACGTTCAGACTTGGTCATGAAGTCGTTGAGGTGATGTCACGTCACGAGAAAGGCGGTGCCGCTGCTTCAGGCCCTGTTCACATCAAATTGAAGACGTCCATCGACGGTCAAGAGAGCTTCGAGGAAGAGTTCTTTGACGAGCTCATCTTGGCTATCGACGCAGACTCTTGCCTGAAGCTGCTAGGTAAACAGTCGACATGGATGGAGCGCAAGGTCCTCGGCAACGTCAAGTATCTGTACGACGTAACCATCACTCATAATGATTGGATTATATGCGGAAGGTATGCATTCAAAAGTTATCGTAGTTCGTCTCCATTGAACCATTCGGAAGTATTACGAGACGCAATACGACTCTTCCCATAACGCGCCACTGGAGGCGAGCAGCTCTGCGCAGGAACGTCAGGAGACAGAAGAATCCTTCAAGTTCGCGAGAGACAACTTCCGACCGCTGTATTACACCATGCAGTACCCTCAAGACAAGGCGAAGATCGAAATGAGCTTCGATCTGACGCATTATCAGCCGCAGTTTCGGGGCGAGAAACCTGCCGGCCCCATTGACCCCGAGGATAGGTCAAACCATCGAAACGAGTGCGAACGCGCGGAGGTCACTCGGGAAGCGCAGGATTCCAGCAAGGGTGAGGCTGGCGCAGAAGCACGCACGGGCAAGGACGCAGACGAGCGCCCGGAGCCTCCGCTGGAACAGCACGTTTTCCAGACCATCTTCCTGGATCGCGACGGGTCGCAGGATTTGTGGACGTGGAAGGACATCAACCCTGAGAAAAAGATCTACGAGAAGTGGTGGAAGCAGCAGAGTCATCGCTGGCAGCATTACGCGGGCACTGTTCCCTGGATGATGTGGATCAACGGCAAGAACCACACACAGTGAGCGTTCTCTATATTATTCCTATGTGCTGTGTCCATGATGTAACCTACCGCAGCTTCGCCGGAGCTTGGTCTGGTATGTCTGCGATCCCATCGTGCACCAACCTGGCGGAACTGACACATCATATCTCTCAGTCCTTAACATGCACGAACTGGCTGTCACGTCCGGCTTCGCAGCTGCGTATCGCCTGGGGGCTGAGTATCCGTTCCACGGCGACGAAGACTGCGAGCGCCTTTTCAGGATGTACTTGGCCGCAGCCACGGTGTACGCATGGTAAGTGGTCGAAGCTGTCGTGATTATAGATACTGATGGGCGCCTCAGAGGAAGGAGGATAGGAAAGGATTGTTTGCGTAAACAACGGCGGTATCGCTGTCAGTCTCGTCGTGTATGCATTGAGGATGCAGTCATCGTGTCTCGCTTCCATGTCAAAAGTTAGCGTGCTGCATTCAATTCCAACTGAGCGAGCATCTCACTACACATGAAATCAACCGGCTGGGCGACGATCAACCAGCTTCAAGTGCCGTGAACCTTTGCCGGCGGTCCTTTAGGTAGCGATGATCGGAATAGACTCGCTACAGTTCCACTGAATCGAATCGAAGGACTGAGCATTGATCTGCGCCACTAAGAACGACTTCGAAACGAGGCTACAAGTCGGGTGTTTTGGAAGCATGAGGCGAAGGAAGAAGTCCGTTCATCTCGGTTATCCCATCCTACTTATACACAGTCGACCCTGTCCCTGATCAACGCCGCTCCTCCTCGCGAGTTGGGCACGGGGCACTATGACAGTCCTTCCCGGGCACGTCGGAATCGCCTAATTCAAAAACTCTTTGATCTTCGCAGTTATAAATTGGACGTCAGTTGGGTTGGCGCTGCCTCCCGCTGCGACGTGATCCCGAACGTTGAGCAATCGAGTACCGCTCGTGTATAGACTGCGAACTCACCAACATGACCCCATACACTGTCAATCACAGTGAGCCTCGCATCCTGAAGCAGAGAGACCTCGACTTCGCTGTCCTCGGGCTGACAGCGCAGTGCTTAGTTAACTCTGTAACATATCTGCAGACAATGGAGGCTACCCACGCAGAAATACAGGTCTGTTTTGCAGGGCATGATCAACGCCTTCGCCTTGATAGAACGCAGACAGGTCTCGAAATCCCCGCCATCACGGACAACGGAGACGTCTCCGTTCTGCCAGGTGAGGAGCAGCGCAATCATGTCGTTCGCGTCCCAATACATGATGTAGCGCCCCTCCCAAGCTTCACGAAGCCAGGCTTCCATTGTGGGATAGCTGTGGGAAAGCCGGGCTAAGTATCAGCATCCTCGCAGCCTAGCCAGGTCGCTCACAGGCCGTTGTATCTGTATAAGTGCTGTCGGAACCACTAGAGACTCAGATATGAGCGATATTGAGGGCTGAAAGTAAGGTAGAGGCCATACCGCCTGTCCATAGCCCAAGCGCTGTACGCCCGACCGAAGGCTCTGATAGCGTGCTGAGGAGTACTCTTGTAGTGGCCGTCATCGAAGTCCTTCGCCGCCTTCATCGCATTCTTCGGGCCCTCGAGGAAGCTGTGATGATGCCATGAGTTGCAATCGTCCTTGACGTCTAGCTCCTCAACGTTCACCATTTGTTGTGCGGGCTCGTTTCGCAGATGAGCAGATGACGACTACCCTTTCAACGAAGTCGGGGTACACGACGGCCAGTGATAAGCCTACATATTTTATGAGCGCATTGTCCACTGTGAGATACTGCCGCACAAACCTGTTGACCACCCATGGAAAATCCGATGGCACAGTACACCTTGTTCACGCCGAGGCTCTGTAACACCGCATACTGCGCACGACTTCCAAGACCCGTCAGCTTATACAACTTTGGCCGAATCGCAGCGTACATACATGTTATCTTCATATGACACCAAGGGGAAGTAGGGTCCGTTGTACGGCGGTTGCTTCAATCGGTGACTCTACATTACTTCGCGACTCTTGCCATTGAACCGTTCGAAATACTCACTGTGTTAGACGGTGATGACGACTTCATACTTCTCGTCAATCTGTGTGGAATAGAGGTGGATAGATATTCATACCTCTCCATTGCAGAACAGGGCGAACGTCACTATGAAGTACTTCCTAGGATCGAGAGCCTAGAGATAGTTCTCGTTCTCGGTTCGAACAACGGCGGGAGAGCACCAACCTTATCTTCACCGACAAGGTAAAGCTGGCCTGCTCTGCGTCAATCCTCTCAATCCGTATGAGCGTACATGTAACGCACTATCAAGTCTCAGCTGTGCGCCGTAGCATGTTGGGAAGACGATGCAAGGATTCGCGGGGTTGCCAAACGTCTGATACGCAGTGACGGCATCCGGAAGTACCCCTCCGGCGACTTTGAATCGTCCATGGTGGAAGTACTTGATCTCGAATGAAGGAATAGTCGACATGGCTCATATAGTGGGGCTCTTCGATAGTGGGCTAAGCCTGCGTCGCAGAATGCGTTCGAGGGCAATATATGCGAGGGCAGATATGCTGAGAGGCGATTTATCTATAAGTCTCGTGGTATCTCACGCTGCTATACGAGCAGACGGGCCTGAGAGAAAGTTCGTAACGGACGACCGTCGGGATATACGACGTCAACTGCGAGAGATGTAGCCGACTTCTCACAGCAATAGGATCGCTAGGGTGGCACTTACCTGCTTATCATGAACGCACCAGTTCGCTTCACACCACAGATACTAATACCACCAAGAGACTATCAAGAGACAGCCTGTTTGCTTATGCCATTGCGCGTAGCGACGCACCAATCCCCAGGCGCGGATGGCAACTAAGCAAGACATACAATATTTTGTCCTGAGCTGTGAATTGGCTCAAGGGTGAGATGTGCAGATGATGGGATGTCAAGACCGGAAGCTCAGTTGATCTTCACCAACTTGACCTCTGTAGGAGGCATAGCATGAGGAACTGCTACGCAGAGAAAGGTCTCCCAGCACGTACCGAAGATGAGAGTGGAGTTTGCAGGGATACCTGCCATCTTCTTGGATCCGTAGCCCATGTTCGGAGGGACAATGACTTTGCGCTCCCCACCAACTTGCAAACCGGCGATACCGATGTCCCAGCCTAGGAAGACAAACGTCAATGAGTGCAACAACCTTTTCAATGTGCGGGATGAACCTTTGATGACCTCGCCCTTGCCTAGGCGGAAGCGGAACTACGCCCCTCAATTAGGCCTCCTCACTACTGCACTGCGTTCAAGCTACCACTCACCGGCGCGCCCTTCTTGTTCGAGTCGAATTCCTTGCCGTTCTGAAGTTTGCCTATGTACCGCATGGAAAGTGTGTCTCCATTCTTCGCTTTAGGACCCTCGCCGGCTTTGGAATCAACGATCTTGACGCCGCCACTCAACTCTTGCTCCTTGCTAACATGCTCCTTCTCTTTCTTCTCTTTCTTCTCCTTCTTCTCTTTCTTCTCTTTTTTCTCCGTCTTCTCCGGCGCAGGCGTACCATTTGCCTTCGCCTGTGTCGTCTCATCAGCGGTCGTAACAGCCTTGCCCCCCTCGGCCTTCAGCTTCTTCAGCTTCTTCATTTGGGACTTCGAGAGCTTCTCCTCGCCGCCGTCGGTCTCCATCGCGTCCGACTCGCGGGGGCGTTTCTTACTCTCGACTTGGCCGCCAGTTCGTCGTGGACCTCCTCGAAGCGATCGTCGTCGTCGCTGGGGATGTCCAGCTCCTCAGGGTTGATCTCAACGTCCGAGCTGATCTCTCGGAGGTCATAGCCTTCCATATCTGAGTCGTCCTCATCCTCCGAATCACCGAAAGGCATACCACCTGGTGGCCCTTGATCTGTTTTCGGCGTGAGTGTCAGTAGCCACTCGCGCAATAGCATCAGCTTACCGATGTAGTTGCCAGTGAGGTAGATGGTACTGCCACATGTCAGTCTTCAGGCATGCTGCACGTGAAGAATATGCGTACTTACTTTTTGCCTACAACTTCGAAGAGAACCTCCACATCTTCCTCCAAGATCAAGTCCACAGTGGCCTGCTCAATCTACGGAACATGCTCAAAATCAGATATATACAGTAGCATGAGAGTACATTCCATACCTTTCCAGGCGTGAGTGAAGCAGCACCGTGTCCACTAGCTGCACACTCTTCTCCTCGTCTTCGCTCTCCTCGTCCTCATCGTCACTCGGTGCACTCAGACTACGTAGTGAACTTTCAGCGTTGACCGAGCTTTCTCGTCCTCCAACTCGGACCCGAGTGCGACGTTTGTTATCCGGAGGTCGCTCTGCGGGACGAAGGACGAGATCCCATCCTCTCCGGGCTTACCTGCAGACTCCTATTGTAGAGATATTCCTGTGAGTTCAAATGCGCGCACGACGCGTAAACAATGTGTTTTCACGCACCAATAGCAACAGCGGTGGGCATTTTGAATATGAAGAGTAGGATGCGTAGACCTGGAAAGAAAAGTTTCGGTAAGCGCCCAAAGACGCGTCGAGCAGCTTGCGGCACGGGACCAATCTCCGCTCGAATCGCGTCCTGCCAACCCGCCTTATACCGAGCCATCATGGTGCGTGCGCAACTCGTTATGCCCACGGCCGTGTCCTGACCGACGTCTGCGTGATGCACACAGTCTAATACTCTCAGGCCATATCTCGCAGCGGTGCGATCGACTCTGACCGCTGCGTTGACACTAGAGGACTTCGCATCGCAGGTACTGTCTGTTTCGCCTAGACTAGCATCGATCTGACCTCCGGTGTAGGTCGTTGAGCGACACAACAAACCTGAGGTCGAAGTTGGGTGAGAGGCGAGCGTCGCTCCGAGTCTATCGTCCCTCTGACGTTGATGTTCGCGCAGGCAATCGAAGGAAGTGCTCCTCAACCCCCTCACGATCTCTCGCAATGAGAACGAGCGCGTGCTCATCGAGTCTGCCATCAACTCTATCCGACTGAGCATCAAGATCAAGCAGGCAGACGAGATCGAGCGTGTATTGTGCCACAATTCACTCGGTTCATGATGCAGAGAGCGGAGAGCTTCGTCGTGCTGCGGAGAAAGCCAGTCAAGGTGCGCACCGATCTCGTTAATGACGATGCTTCATATTCAATGACATGCGTCGTCGCCATTGCATTGGCGAATGCGTGCTGTAGGGTTATGACATCTCGTTCCTGATCACCAACAACCACACCGACATCATGCTCAAGCACAAGATAGTCGACTTCATCATCCAGTACGCGTTCCTCGGTAGTCTACTGTGCGATGACTTATGTGCACGTTCTGTTAGGTTCATGGAAGAAGTGGACAAGGAGATCAGTGAGATGAAGCTCAGCTTGAATGCTCGTGCTCGTGTCGTCGCGGAATCATACTTGACCGCGGTGTGTCCCATTTCCTATTGGCTCAAAGATGGAGATACTGACAGCTATTCGTAGTTCAATTCATGAGAACACTACTGCGGCATGGTAATGAAATTCGGTGCAACGCTATTGCGCCCCCGGTAGCAAATATCTTCGGCGTGCTAGGCCCGTTACACGGTTCGTGGCGGCATACAATGTATAACTTACAAGAATGCGGAATATTGTATTACACGGCAACCTGGATGGTAGACGGGGGGGGGGGGGGGGGGTTGGCGTCTTGGTGGCACTGCGCTCTGACTTCAACACACTTAGCTGTGCCTACGTCAAACCTAGGTCCACATATCGCAGCTTTGTGGTTGGAGCGTTTCCATAAGCGAACACCGGTCAGTTCATTGATATACGTGCCTGAACAACATCCTCATTCATACTTGCAGGCTTGACAGTGCCTAATAGAGGCAGATTCAATGCTTCTTGGATGATGGCATGTCTTTCTCCTTGCGTCTTGACAGTTCCTCGGAACAACACGTCTATGTACCATCTCGCGCTTCGACAAAAATTCGCCGCCCGTATGAGTTTTCGGCTCCGAGTCATCAACAAGTGCTGGAGTGCTGGCCCTTGGTCATCGATGTGCCGACGCTTCGCTGTCAAATCGGCAGTTCAAATGTCAGTAAAACAGGCACAAAGTAGGCATGGCATAGATGCATCATGCACGGCCCGCACGCTTTGCATTTTCGATGTGGTGGCGCTTGATGTCTGTGTAGCTGATCATTCCCTTAGGTCTCGAGTAGGTCCTGTGAAGGAAGGCAGAGAAAGTGCCCAGTACAATCGACCGCGTAGTGGGACTGCAAGTTGAACGTCATAGGCTCGATACTCTTTGCCCCCCCCCCCCCCCCCACCTCACCACCACTGCATACACATGCATAGACAACCTGCATGTTTTGTACGTCTACCCACAGGCAGACCCGACTTACCACGCCCAGAAACCTTGTTACCCACTCAGCTGCTTCAGGAACCCTCAATCCCATGGATGGTACGACAACCTCAAGACAGGTGGATCAACGTGTCTCGCCTTGCCTGTTAGAAACAGTTCGCTATCTGTATAACTTACCAGTGCCCAAACTCAATCGACTGCTGAGCACGTCGGTGACATGTACCTTCGATGCTCTGGGAAGCATAAATGGAAAGCGCACCGTCCTACACCACTCGCTTGGTATCATCGCTGCGATCATGTCTGAGTCCTCCGAGTCGGCCTCTCTCACAGCGGAGCTCATCCTCGAAATACAAAGCTCGTAAGCTTTCAGTTTGGTCATTTGGCGAGACAGTGTGCTGAAGACGTCGGCGTAGGCTTGTGCTCTATCGTTGTCTGCTCGCCGCTTTCAGTAAGTTCTTCATTGTGCTGCTCTCCTTTGTCGAATGAGCCCGTCTGATTATCCGCGCTGTGCTCGCTTTCTTTCCCAGCGATATACGTCTTTGACCGTGTCCTCACCTTTGACTCAGAGGTCGAGTATATCTGGCGCCGTAAGAAGTCTGGCGTCACGCTCCTCTACGCATCCATGCACCTCTGTACGCTTATCATGTTAGTGGCGAATATCGCCGGTTGGCTTTCCACGGCATGTGAAGTACGTTTACTCCGATGATCCTCTAAATCTCTGCACCGCTCACAGTGATCGTTTACAATTTGGTGTCACTTTCCAGAGGTCTCGCTGGATTTATCCGTCCACAACGGGCAAATCCACTAATCGTTGGCTGCAGTGACTATATTCTCGCTAGGACAGACAGTGCAGCTCTGTGTGCGCTGTATCTACTATGGGGAGGTGAAGTAGTCTATCTTCGCTCACTATGTTTACGAGACTCAATGGCAGCGCAGCTATCTCCGCCTTGCGAACCTACGCAGTTAACAATCGTGGGTGGGCTATACCGACTTTCATATTCCTTGTTTCCTTGGTTCCTGTTGCTACGAACGTCGTGAGCACCATAGTTGTCTTAGCATTCTGCGTCTCACCGGCTGAGTTTGCAGGCTTATTGCTGGGGACTAGTCTTGGAGGTCTATCCCCCGCCCATAGGCTGTGCCGTTTACAATCGGATCCCCCAGAATACCGAAACGAGGTTTGTCCTCATTGCATGAGATGTGATACCTCGATTGAGCCCGCCCCTTACCAGGTGTAAGGATTCACGCCTTACTCGCTAGTTGCATGTTGATCACGGCATAAATGCAGTGGAGATTGCCACTCGGACGTGCGTCATCGCAGTGGACTTGCTCGTGCTGCTTGTCACCTGGAAGGAGACATACGGTATACAAAGGAGTGCTAATGCTATGAATGTCAAAACATCCATCGTGACACTGCTTCTCCGAGATGGTAAGCCGAGCTTTTTAGGCACCTGTGTAAAATCATCAGTCTCACGGCAGTGACTAGGTACTGTATACTTTGGGTGAGGTTGCACGACGACGACCCTTGGTGCATCTTTTGATGTTCCGGCGCCAGGGTTCTTCTGGTAATCAACATCATCTGTCTGATCCTATGGGTCACGAACGTCCTACAGGCGGCGAGCACCTTCTCCACTGCGTGCGTACATGACCTTCAATGCATTGATCGCTCATCGCATGACACAGCCACACTCATGGGTTTCTACCTGGCAGGCTCAACACCATACTTCTGTCTCGCTTCTTCCTTAACCTTCGCGAAACAAGCGGTTTGCGTAGCGACGGCACCACCGACACCAAGTCCGAGCCATCCGAGGCGCGCTTCGCTTCGCTTGTCTTCAACTCTCTCGGGGGTTCTCTCGCGCTGGGGCTGGATGAGCAGCTTGACTTCGCAGGGCACACGCAGGACGGCACTGAAGAGTTGGAAGACTTCAACATTACGAATGAGGGCGAGTCGAGTATTGGTGGTCATACTGTGAGTTACAGCATCGTGGAAGAGGAGCGGAGTGGCATCTCTCCTGGATTCGGTGGATTGGGCAATTAGCGGCGATGGTCGCATTCACGAAATGAGGTCGTTTGGGACCGGGGTATACTTTTTGGAGCTTGGCAATCGACATGGGCTGCGAGGGTTGCGACCTGCTTGTGCCGCAAAGTTTCGCAGATTGTACAATTCGCGAGTCGGACGAGAAAAATTGGTGAATGTCATAGACTTGGTGCCGGGGAACTTTTGGCTTGGGACATTTCTTTCAAATCTGTAGAAAAGCATGTGGACTCTTGGATCTGAATAAGAGTGACTGCGGAGCTGAGGAGGCCTAGGGCCGTGGCACCGTCTGACTTTATTTATGTATGATCGGCCCAGTGGAGGATCTCGGACGCGATCGTGTGATCGGTCGTACTATAACATCACGCCGCTCTGGACCCTCCGAGTCTGAGCCGCCCTCCTCGTACCACTTCCTTCAAGTCCCCTCATCCCCTCCAAAACAAAAGCTGCAGCTTCATCGCAGCAAACAAAAACTTGGAACAACATCTCCACCTCGCACAGCCCGAAGTACAGTCAGTCATGGAGATCTCGTACGTAACCACGCTCGCTCCATCCCTCGCGTTGGCTTCAACGTCTGCAGATCCGTGCTCGCGGGAGGATACCACCACCCCCTCGCGCGGTCCTGGCAGGCCAAGCGGCCGCTCACAAAGTCTATGTTCATGTACCCCATCTTCATCACCGACGACCCCGACGCGCACGTCGAGATCGCCTCGCTGCCCGGCCAGTGTCGCTGGGGCGTGAACAAGCTCAAGGGCTTCCTCGGCCCGCTCGTCGAGAAGGGCCTGCAGAGCGTCATCCTGTTCGGCGTCCCCCTCAAGTGCAACAAGGTGCGTCTGCCCCGCCCGCCTCTGCGCCTCGACCGCCTTCACCGACCGCACGCAGGACGACCGCGGCACGCCCGCCGACGACCCCGAGGGCCCCGTCATCTCCGCGATCCGCCTCCTGCGCACGCTCTTCCCGGGCCTCTACATCGCCGCGGACGTCTGCCTCTGCGAGTACACGTCGCACGGGCACTGCGGGCTCTTCCGCGCGGACAGCTCGGGTACGCTCCGCCCGGAGGAGTCCGCGGCGCGCATCGCGGAGGTCGCGCTCGCGTACGCGCGCGCGGGCGCGCACTGCGTCGCGCCGAGCGACATGATGGACGGCCGCATCCGCGCGATCAAGCGTGCGCTCATCGACGGCGGCTACGCGAACCGGTGCACGCTCATGAGCTACTCCGCGAAGTTCGCGAGCGCGCTGTATGGCCCGTTCCGGTGAGTGTATGCGTTGGTGGGTGGGCGACGATGGGTGCTGAGACGGTTGTAGGGACGCTGCAGGCAGCGCGCCTGCGTTCGGGGACCGCAAGTGCTACCAGCTCCCGCCGCAAGCCAAAGGCCTCGCTCGTCGTGCTATCGTATGTCCCTCTTCCCTCCCGGGTTTACTCCCATTTACTCAGCCTCACACCTAAAGCAACGCGACGTCGCTGAGGGTGCAGACATCGTCATGGTCAAACCCGCCATGCCCTACCTGGACATCATCCAGGACGCCGCGCAGCTCGCGCCCGACCACCCGCTTGCGTGCTACCAGGTGAGCGGGGAGTACGCGATGATCGTCGCGGGCGCGAGGGCGGGCGTGTACGACCTAAAAACGATGGCTTTCGAGAGTTGCGAGAGCCTCACCCGCGCGGGGTGCACGCTCATCTTGAGCTACTTCACGCCGCAGTTCCTGGACTGGCTTGAGGCTTGAGGGGGTGCAAATATATGCTAGGGAAGAATGTTGGGTGTGGTAGTGTAATGCAAAAATTGTGATGCTTGCTGTGTTGTAGTGCTGTAAAAGTAGACATGCGAATGCTGAAGACCCTCGCCCCAGTGATCGCATCCAATGGAATCCTCATGAAGTGCCCCAACTGAGAGTGGAACTCAGCGCGACTGGGAAGCGGTCTGGACATTCATTCCGTGAACACATCATCATACGCGCACTACTGATACACTTCCAAGATGTCCTATCGTCCTACAGCATGCATGTCGCACAATGGACCTGTCCATGCGACGGAGGTCTTCAGTCTCGTCTCGATTTGGCTGCATTTGTTCGGCCAGCAAGGTTGCGACGCGCCGACGATACAGCGGGGTCGGCTTTGAAGCGCAACATAGGCATCTGTGTCACTGCAAATCCAGCGACGCCCAGTACTGCAGAGGAATAGGTCAGCGTGCGGCGGAGACGGTACAGCTTGGGACGCACAGTAGCCTGTCAACTTCTCGAACGGAGTGTGGAAGTACACGCTCGTCGTGTACGACGCGAACATGGCCAAGAGGATGATGAGACCGTTGAAGGCAACGGCGTACTTGTGGTTCGGCGGCCACCGCCTGTCTACGCTGGGCGATGACGACGCGAACGACGAGCGGAGCTGGTCCACGAGGAACAGGATCGACATCGTGAGGAGGAATATGTGGCCCGACACGTCGTGGCCCCTCCGGAGCCTCGGCCGGACGTGGAAGTCATTGTCAGGGAGGACGACCATCGCGGAGAAGAGGCTCGCATGGGTCCCGGCGCTGATGGTCGACTTGGTGTAGCAGAACTCGGTCGGGACGCCGACGACCTCGCCGCTCGGGAGGTTCACGACGCACTCGCCGCCCGTGCTCACGATGAGCCGCTCGAGCACGGCGGGGCCGAAGAACCAGCTCGTGAAGCCGAGCCAGACGGCCGTGGCCGCGGCGTATTGCGCGAGCCTTCGCAGCTTGCGTGTCGTGGGCGGGGAGGTGAAGAAGAGCAAGACGAAGGCGAGGGTCGTCCAGCCCCATATGCGCTTGATGAAGTAGACGTTGAGAACGTTCTTCTTGTTCGCGAAGTAGTGCGTCGCGTGGAGCGGATGGGGGAGGGCGGTGAGGAGGGGGTTGGAGGTGTCGAGGTAGGAGTTGTTGACGATGGAGGAGAGCGTGCCGAAGCCGACGATGGCAGTGATGGTGAGGAGGGCAGCTATTCGGGGGTCGGGCATGGTGACAGCAGTGAAGAAGGGTCGTACACGAGGGTCGGCGCGTGTTGGTGGACGGTGCAGCGTCAGTACAGTACGTCATCACCACGCGCGCCTCATTAGACGCCCATTGAACACGCACTAAGACACGTCCGTCTACATATGGAAAGCGTGTAGATGTACTCACTATGGCTCGGTCGACCCAGCTATACTTACCACAGGCGCCCACAATGTATCACGAGAATAGCACTGAATACAGCATATTTCCAAGGAATGGTTCAGCGGGACCACTCAAAATGGGTGGTCCATGACAAGATTGGACGCATGAGTTATCGAAGGTGATGTGTTAAGGAACTGGCTTAGTGGCTAATTCTCAGGAATGGGCTGCTCGCAACGACGCGACGCGACCACGTGGACGTGACGCGCCGCACGCCCGCCCTGCTCTTCTCATTCATACATCCCACATCCACAACATACAGTCCAGACCGTAAAAACACTGTAAGAACGAAGTTCCAGGGCGAATTACGACGCACCTCATCTGCAGTTCTTCACTGACGCGCGGACTCGCAACTGCCTAGCTACGTCTGCGAGTTCCTACGTAGGCCCACAGTGCCTCACTTTCGGGACATACAAGTCGCGTGGTACTGCAAACCACTGGATGACCTGCAAGGCGTACAAGATGCTCCTTATGGACGACTGCTCGCGAACTTCTTCTGCTTGAACTTCGGTGGGCCGCAACAATGCATGAGGCAGTTAAGCAGATAGGAATAAGCGACGGTGTCAGGAAAGGGCTGGGGCAGCTCAATTGTCGTTTGGCAAGTTACATGTTGGGTACGTGAGACAAGATGTACGCGCTGCGTATGTGTTAGGTTCAACCACTCACCATGCTGAGTGTTGTCAAGGGCCGCAGGCATCGAGCGCAACTAGATACGGTTCATTGTGTGGTGTTACCACCGGATCAATGTGTTTCCTGATAACATTTTATATGAGTACAAGACGAACCACAGAACACCTTGCGAAAGCGCAAGGATGGGCAGTATCGCGAAGATTAATCCTGATGCCAGATCCACGGATGACGACATAGGACCGTCCAGCAATGCCTAACTAAATCACGTATAAATAGTCTGAGCAGCACAGAAGGCAGCGCATGCGGAGCAATGTCCAGTTGAGTCGAGTCTATGTGTGGAGGATCACTCTATGGCCGTTCCATGCCGATCCTTCTCAAACGTTCTTGCGATGCTCCTACACCCAGCCGTCAGATACGCAGAGAAATGGACGAACAGGCAACGTACGGGAGCGTGAGTCGTCTCGTGGTCGACGTGCACGAACGCGCGCTCGACGTTCGGGAGGATCTCGATCTTATCCTGGAGCTGTTGGCTGATGTCGTGTGCCTTCCACAGTGGCGTGTTCGCGTCCATAACAATGTCCACTTCGACGAACCAGTTCTGCAGTCACCCGTTAGTGGGGGGCGAAACCGAAACCGCGTGCGTGGAAACGTACAGGACCGCTCTGTATCGTGAGGGACAGTCAGCATGCAAGACACAGGGCAAAGGGCGAACAACGTACGTGGTAAGCTCTGACGGTGTCCACCTTCTCGATCTCGTCGCTGAACGTCATCGCGTTGTAGATGAGCAGCTGCATGAAGTCGTGCGGCGCGGATTTGCCCGCGAGCAGCTCGAACTGCGTGTAAATCGTGTAGCCCCACGCGCCAATGACGCCGACGGAAAGCTGACAAACTCAGCGTAAGCGGCACAGCACAGTGCGAAGCGCGTGCACTCACGATGATGGCGCCCATAGGATCGAGCCCTGTAGCAAGATAAGTGGAGGGAGAGAGGAGAGGGGGGTCGGAACTTACACCAAGCCCATCTGCTGCCACCAGCGGACATGAGCAGACCTGCATGTGCCGTTAGTCAACGAAGAACTATGCGTTGCCGAGGTTGCGCACCGAAGCCGTTGATGAAGATGTCATTTCGGTGATCCTCCCAGAGCACGTGGACCTGGCTCGACTGTGCACGGAAAGAAGAGCAGTAGAGGAACAACAAGAACTTCACGCCTACAAGAGATGTTCAGTATGCAAAATCGTATGGTGTCAAGAGACCGACCAAGCGCTGCGCCGACCGCGACCAAGGACGGGATGTGGAACGAGTCCGAGCCGCCAGAGTGCTCAATGAGCTCTTGCACCGATTCGACGAGCACAACGAGGTTGACGGAGCTCATGCTTACAGAGCAACGTGTCAACCGTGCCCCAATGAAAGGCATGCAAACCTACAGGCATCCTGAAAACGTCGTACTGAGCATGATGCGCGACAATGACTAGAAGTAGACAGTACCGTATACGATATTGCCGATTGTCTCGAGTCGCGATCCACCGACTGGCCACTTGTTGGTGTCCATGGACTCCGCCTTTTTGTGCAGCCAGTACAAAACAACGTTGCTGCCGAAGTCGAAGACCGCATCGACCGACGTAGCGATCAGGGAGAGTGAACCGGAGGTGATAGCGGCGTAGACTAGATAACAATGGTAAGCATCCTGATCGTTGAACAGCGAGGATGAGGCATACGCTGCAGAGCGCAGAGAACGGCATTCCCAATCAGACTGGCCCAGATTGCAATTTGAATCTAGCACGCAGAGTTGGGCACAATGATTGCGAGATGAGTGGCCGTAGAACTTACGGGTAGGCGGGAGGTCTCCTCTTCTGCTCGTGCCTCCTCAGTGTGCTCTTCCATTGGTTTCAGCAACGCATTGATCAGCTGCACGATCGACTGTCAGTTACAAGAGCAAGGGCGAAGAGACGATACCCACGTCATTTTGCTTGCGTTGATACTTGACGAGCCGTTTGCCCGACTTCCTACTCCGCAGTTTGTCCAGTTCCTCCTCGGTCATGTACGCTCCGCGGAAAGCATAAGGATCTGCGCGCTCAGAACTGACTGAGGTTGCCCTTTGTTCTTCGTCCCTCTGCTTCGGGTGCTTCACAGTTGTTCCCTTGAGCGATAGGGTGAGTGCATCGCCTCGTGTACAGGAGGCAGCGAGACTTACATAGTCGGTCGAGCTGGCACCCACCAGCATCGTCCCCGAAACGGGTGTCTGTGGATAGAATGCGTCTTTTGTCTGTGTGATGACCATGGCTGCGAGGGAGGACGGGAGGAAGGGGTCTTGTCGAGAGCCACGAGCCGAAGTAAGTACGCCGCCAGCGGGCGCTAATAAGAAGGATGGCGATTTCCGCACCCGATCTCCGCGGGCGTCTGTTGCGGTTCTGCTTCGAGCGACACCGACGCGACGCACTCGCAACTCGTTCGCAACGCTCACTGGCAGTCCTCTTCGTCTACAACCTGCTGCTTGGGTGTCCTTATAAGGCTCAATCCTCGATGCATACCATCGTACAGCGCTCGCATGTGGCAAGAGCATTGGCAGACACTTGCCCGAGGGTGCTCAGTACCGGCTCAGTGCCTGCCAGGAAGTACGGGGCTCAGGTTGCGTGGCGACATGATGCTTCAGCTGACGCAGGATTCGGCTAAGTTGCTACCTCCGGGAGTCGTTCCGTAAGTAGCGTCTGTTCGTTGGTTCGATTGCTGCTCGGACTTGCGCTCACGACAATCAATGCCCAGAGTGTGGCTATAAGCAATACACACGCGAGACCAAGGTGAGATTACTTTAAGTCTGCACCCTCGGATGACCCTACAGCCGCTGGTATCGTTCGGGATACTTTCATGTCTAGCATGTTTCTGTCAAGACGTTGTTCCCTCGATGATCATGTAGCGGCCAGGACTTTCTTGGGCTGATCCGGGGTAATAATCCGATACCCTGTTATGGTAGGGCGCGGGTGGCGTGTGGTTGGAGGCTAGCGCGGCGACACCTCCGTCGTCGCGCCGTACAGCAACGTACCAAAACAGGGTGTTGGTTCTGTAGCCCGCATCATCTCGGAGCACTACACATCCCCCGCTGCTCTGGCTTGGGAGCGTCCGAGGCAGCTACGACAACAGCTTCCTCCAGATGCCGACATTCACTTTCAACCATATGTCTTCACGTCTAGGCTCGCCGTATCATACAGTACTGGCATGCCTCCCGCGCGTTCCAGGGTCTTCGATCCAACTCTGATCCATTTGTCCAGCCTCAAGTGCATACTTAGGGTCAACTTAGGGTAAGCACGAATCATTCAATCTTGGGCTCTGCCATTGGAGCGTAGATCGTGATGCGCTGGGCGGAGACCGCCGTCTGCTGCGGATTGCAACGGCCGGCGGTAATCGTGCAGCGAAGGCCTCCATGCGTTCATACGCCTCTCCAATCTCCTTGGCGATGGGCTCCTTTCCAGCCAGAAGCAGAAGGTGATGCCAATTGGCATACCGTGCGCCACTCGCCTCAGCCCCGCAACCGTTGCTGCAGCTGCGCGCTCCGCAGCATAATCACTTCCGGTGGGCCGCCAAGTACTAAGTTGCAGTCGTCACAATGCTGTCGTCTTCCCCAATCAATGCTCATCTCGGCTGCATGTAAGTGCATACGGGCTCAAGAGATGTCTACGTGCGTGACCTAAAAGCAGGAGTGATGGACTCATGCAGCATAGCGACCCCGGGACGAAACACGGATTGCGATTCGTTGTATTGCTTGCGGCCGCGATATCAGGCCGAGCACCTCAGGCTCCGGTCAGCACACGGGACCGAGACCGGCCCTCTTTGGGGTCCATTATGATTGTGTTGTGTGCTTGTTCAGTTCTTGGACGCTTTCCACGCCGTGTCGGCATGTGCCCCACCAATGCCAATACCCGCCGCAGATTGTTCTGCAGATACGGTCGGTCGAAGTACTTTATAAACGCGCCCTGGCGATCGTTGGGCGGTATTCCCATCATCTTGTGCGCAGGCTGAGCCTCACTTCCGGCTTTCTCTGTCTTCCTCCCCTGGCAGGGCCATCTTCCTCAGTGACCGGTTCGCCTGTGCTTTCGATCGCCTCTTCTTCAGGATGCGTAACTCCGCTTCTGCTTCGTCTGTCGCTTCGACAGCGGCAATGGCAGCTTCTAGTGTTGCCACCACCGTCTCCACTGCAGCAGCATCCGCATCAACCGTTGCCACAGGTGCCGCTGCTGGAGCGAAAGCAGCCGGAGGTGCTGCCGCCCCTCCCAAGCTCAACTCGACCGCGTTCTTCTTCGAGTACGATGTCATCCTCCTCTTCGTTGTCGGCCTCTTCGTGCTCTTGGCGCTCCCGCGCATGATCGCGCGCTTCATGCGCTCCTCCGAGTGGTTCGCCGGCTGCTTCTTTCACTCCGTCAAGATCCCGCGCCCCTCCAAGTTCACGACCTACCCCGGCGGCTCGGGACTTTCATTCTCGGAGAAGATGGTCTCGAGCCGGGCCGACGTCGAGTCGGTGTACTCGCGCTCCGAAGATATGCACACCGTGAACATGGCTGTCGGCTCGGGCGCACCGAAGAACCCCCCGGCGTACATACCCTCTTGGGCGTCGTTGTTCCCGACGGGCGCGAAGGTCCTGTCGACGAAGATCAGGCCCGGATACTCTCTGGGTGTGGTGGTGCTGATGATGGGCTACCTTGCGGTGTACATGTACAGTGCGCTGTTCGACGTGAACCTGTTCACGAGCCCTGCGCGCCTCGGAGACATAGCGGTCAGTCAGATGCCGACGCTCTACGTTCTTGCGACGAAGAACAATGTCTTGGGCACGCTCATCGGCAAGGGATACGAAAAGGTACTTGGCCGTGACATGAGGTGTCTTCGTTACTGAACATATCGTCTCAGCTCAACTCTCTTCACCGTTTCGTCGGGCGCCTGGTCGTCGGAGCCGTCAACCTTCACGCCCTTGCATACTGTGAGTGATATGCGCGACTCGGAGTACAGGGCCCTCCTGAAACCTACTGTCGTAGTCGCCAAATGGTCGCAGACGGGAAGCATCTCGGAACACCTAGAGCCGAACATCATCTGCGGCGTCGTCGCGCTCGGGTGCATGGACGTGCTCTGGCTCTTCTCGCTCAGCGCTGTGCGCCAGACGTACTACAACCTCTTCTATGTGTCCCACGTCGTCGCCGGTATCGCCGTCCTTGTCTTCGTGAGTGTCCGGCTGTCCATGGGACTCAGCGTATATCTGACCGCTGCCGCCAGACTGCCTACCACATGCCGTTTGCCGTCACATACATGGAGATCGCCGGCGCGCTCTATGGCTTCGACCGTCTCGTGCGGCTCATCCAGACGCGCATCACCACCGCGCATCTCCACGCCATGCCCGAGCTCGGGGCGACCTGCATCCAGGTGCCCTCCGTCAACGCCGGGTGGCGTGCGGGTCAGCACGTCCGTCTGCGTGTGCTCTCTACCGGCATGGGCCCGCTCGGGTGGACTGAGAGCCATCCGTTCACCATCGCGAGTGTGAGCAAGGTGAGTTGACATTCCGCCGCCATATATGACGTCGTGCTAAGGTGCTCGGGTCTGTAGCATCCCAGCGAGGAAGGCCTCGTCTTGATGGTCAAGAAGGCCGGCGACTGGACGACCAGTCTATACGGTATCGCTCAAGAACCTGATGCGGGCGAAGGGAGCTCTGGTAGCCGCAGGGTCAAGGTCATGCTCACGGGTCCTTTCGGTACGTGATACGTCGGTGAGTGATGTAGTCGAAACTGACTAGATGTCCGTTACCTAGGCGGACCTGGCCACGCCGTCGTGACTAGTTACTCTGGCGCGATGCTCGTCTCCGGCGGCAGTGGCATCACGTACGCACTCGCCACCGCCCAGGAGATCCTGCAGAAGAGCGCGGAGGGCGCCAGCCGCAGTCGGGTCGTCGAGCTCGTCTGGAGCGTCACCGATCCCGGTGCGTACTGCCGCGACCGTTCCATCCACATGAACTAACGGAGAACGTCCAGCTGGCTTGAAACCACTCCTTCCTCTCTTCGCCCAGCTCCTCGTCGATGCGCAGACCACCTACACCTCCCTGCGCATCTCCGTCTTCTACACGAGGGCCATCACCTCGCCTGACGTCCTCAAGACCTTCGAGCGCCTCCCGCTCGGACTCACCCTCACCCCCGGCCGTCCGCGCCTGCAGAAGCTGCTCGAGGGCGTCGCAGACCGCACCGCCGGCTCCGGCGGGGTGGACGGCATGACGGGCGTCGTCGTAGGCGTGTGTGGCCCGCCCGCGCTGGGCGACGAGGTCGGACGTGTCGTCCGCCGCCTCGACCCCAAGCGGCGCAAGGCAGTCGGAGGGGTCGAGTTGCATTCAGAGTACGTGTTCGCTCTCCTGCGTCGAAGCTTCGCTGACGGGTGCCCCTGACAGAATTTTCGGCTGGTGAACGCTAAGCCTTGTCCGGGTCGATTTCAATTCGTTTGATAGAGAAACTGCTGTTTGGGATGAATCTGCGCACTCGCCCTCGTCCTCAAGTGACGGGGTACCACTTCCACGCCTGCGAGCCAGGCGACTTACGCTCACTCGCATGTCGGTCATTACATTTCTTGTATATCAGGTTTTTCTGTACCAAATAGCCTCTGTTGCGACAGTAGATTGTATCTACTAGCTTTCACTATATCGCAGCTCGAACGTGTGCCGTGAGACCTATATTTGTGCCGCTGAGCGTGAGTGTGTACACACGAAGATCTGCGTGCATGTCGTATGCAACATCATCCAACAAGCAAATGAACGCACGAGCACTGCTCGTACCCGTCGTATGTGTATAAACGGCTCCCGCTGACGTACGGCGCCGCGGGTGTAGATTCGTGTGGACGTTCGCCTCCTTCTCACAGAACGAACCAATAGCAGATAACCGCGCTCGAAGGCTCTCAGGCCAGCTCGCGCGTCGAAGCTCGAGATCTTGAAGCCCTGGCCTTCCGCGCGCACAACACGCCGCCCGAGATCATCGCCATCCGTCGTCCTTTCCACGTGTTACCCAGAACCGCAGGCCGGCACCGAGCGAAAGGCAACCTAAATTATGTACTTCTCGCCGAGTCTGCGAGCGCTGCGTTCAATGCAGTTAGTCCAGCTCGCATTTATAGTGACGTGCACGATTAGCCTATGATCATTACCCATGTCCGGCATGCACGACGGAATAGCGGGCTCGCCTCGGTTCTATCGCTCGATGTGGCCGCGGACTGCACCCGTGGACCTGCATTAGCTGCGCTATTACCTAGCTTCGGATGTCGTACAGGACATCCGCTTGAGTAAGCGAGATGAAAAGTAGCGCTGCTTCTGGTGTTCACTCAATGCACCTTGACAGTCATTTGAGTCAAAAGAGCAGCACGATCGGACACGCTGCTGCTGCTAGCCACCGGGATGGCGCTGGCGAGACACATCGATGAGGCGGTCAATTAGTAGAAGTAGGAAATGAATAGTCAGGCTGTAGAGTTCGGTATAGGCTGTCAACAGTAGGCGATCACAAGACGCCCCGAATGGACAGAAACAGAGGACCGGCGCGCAGGTTGGCGGTGTCCCGTGCCGTCATCTGTCCGGATGCCTTCTGCGCAATGTCGCGGTCGCATTGAGTTCCAAACCACCACCCATCGGCAGCCGGAAGAGGGCACCCGCCTCGGGCGATAGCTCTTGCGAGACGGATGGAGGTGATGGTGCTGATGAGGCGTGTCGGCGAGGCTTGAAGATGAGGACCATGATAAGGCCGAAGATGATCAGCAGGAGGAGGAATATGCACGCTCTCCTGCCAGTGTTCTTCTGGTACCTGAGGCGAGGCGAAGCAGAAAGGCAATATGGTTAGCGGCTCTTCATCACGAGCATGCCGTAAGCCGTTTATGTACGATCGACGTACCTTGTCGCCGTGTCCAGCTCCTTGACCGCATCCTCCATCTGCACGGCCGTCTGCTCGACGTTGTATTCAATGCTGTCGAGGAGTGTCCCCTGATCTATGACCATCGCCGACAAGTCCTTGAAAAGCTCCGCAAGTGATGCAATGGACTGCGCAATCTGGGTGAGCTCATGGTCACGTCGCCGCAGATCAACGTCCGCGGTCATCATGTCTTGCGCCAGAGCAGCGCGATTGCGCGACTAGAAGACAAAGCAGGAGGATCAGCAGGCTGCGTGAGTACGACCGAAGAGGGCCGCCAGGCGGGGACGCACGGCAGCGGCGGCTTCAACGTCTTCATCCACAGCAGACAGGCCTTCGGTGCCCCGGGAAGAGATGGTACCCGAAGCAATGAGTAGATCCTGGTTCTTTATCGCATGGCCTTGCAATTCTGCGATGAGGGCGGGTTGAGTAATCTGACGCCAAGTGCACAAGGACAGGCCGTTGACGTGTTAGAAGACACTCACTCTCCATATACACCCTCTGCTTCTTCCGGAATGTCGCACTAAGTTCCTGCACTTTTGCCGCGAGGCCGCGCTGTACGTTCTTTGCAGCGAGGTCTTCGTGATGTGAGCGGCCCGATTGGGCAGGCGGGAAGGTGTGATTCGGCGTTGGGCCTATTCGCTGAATGAGGGCATGACATTGGCGGAACTCCTGCCCAAACGGAGAGCGCGAAGCACGCGTTAGTGACTGGGTATTGATTGGGCCAGCTGACGGAGACACATTACTCTGGTGATGACATTGGTGGCCGCCTCGATTTCTCTCTCTTCAGCTGACCGGTCCGAGAAACCGGGGAGAACATGTTTCGCGTGGAGCTTGTCGAGCGCGGTGACTAGCAGCAACACGGCATTACAGAGATTGTTCGAGGAAGAGAACAACGGAACGGCAAACATACTTTTAGCCTGTGTGCCGGCGAGTATCTCCTCCACCTGGTCCGCGGCGTCGACCCTGTCCCCGGAGATCATCAGCACGAGAGAAAGCGGGCAGAGGAAGATATGATCGGATTTCGCGGGCGAACGGGCACTATTCACCATCTCGGCGGCAAGGGTGCGTCTAGGGCGACGTGTCCGGGCTCGTGGTCGATGAGACGTTCCTGCTCGTCGCCGACGGTGAGGGCGTCGTCGTAGTTTGTGGTGACGCGGGAGCGGCGGCGGAAGCGGGAGGAGCTGGCGCGGGAGTCGCGGTAGGAGATGAAGAGGAGGGTGCGCGAGCGGGTTGTTGGCGGCGACGAGGAGCCTGAAGACATTGCGCACGCAGCGTCGCGCTGCTGTGACCGTGGCGGTCGTCATGCCGTTGTTTGTTTGGCTCCGCCGGCACGCCTCTGCCTCGGGACGGAAACCCAAAATGTCGGGCGCGCCCCGGCGCTCCGTCCGCCGGCACGGCTCGGCAGCAGCTTAAGCCACGCGAGCTGGGCGCTGCGCCGGTCCGAGCGGCGAAGCTGTGCCGAAGCGCGCGCGCGAACCCCGGTGGCGGCGCCGGTTGTGGCACTCTCCTCGTCGTTCCCGCATGCTCGTCCACCGCAGCGGACCAGCGATGGCCACGATGCACACACCCGGTCGCTAGGCGAGCTGTGCCGCTGTCTGGCTGCATTGTCCGCCTCGGAAGGTGAGCAAAAGGCCACGGACGAGGGATGCGTTGTGGAGTAACAAAGCAGTACATATGAGCCGCCAGCTGAGTCCGATCCGTGCTGTCACCGCGCCCCTGTGACGGGCGAGTTGAGGCGCGGGTTGCGCGCGGGTGAACATAACCTTCTGTTTGCCTTTCATCTCCCCGCGCACTGGTCGCCCGCTCGTCTTCTTGGCCACAGAAAGGACCTGGCTGGTAACTTATCGCCCACCGATCTTCCTTGCGACCGCCCTGCAACGTTGTCTGCAAGCACCCATAGATTGTTATCGATCTGCAACCGGATCAGCAGCGCGACACCTAGCCGTCTTGTGACTCTCCGTCCTTGCCTCTACTCTCCTACTCGTCCTTCCCTGGTGCTCTTTGTCCTTTTCCTATAAAGCCTGCTCGGCCTTAATGATCAATCGCCCACCCTCCCTTGGTCCGCGGTCCCGCTATTAATCGTCCTCGTCCGTAATCGTCCCCCGCACTACCACCCGCTACCTCCGCCTTCACCGCCAGCACCCCTTCGACGCCTTCTCCGGACCCCGGAGCATCGTTGATTGGCCGCCTGATCCAGGTCGCCGCCGTTCAGGATGTGCAATCTCCACACGTACGTTCCCCGGCCATACCTCATTTGAACTTCTCCGTTGACCCTGTCACACAGCGAGGGATACAAGTACGGGTGCGGGGTATGTCCGCGCGCCAATGCTGCCCCTGTAGCTGTATACTGATTGCGTCATGCCACACTTCCCAGCACTACATCATTGTGAGTCTACTATCCTCCGACGACGTCGGGCACTGCTAACGGCCACACAGGAGAACAAGAAAGCCAAAGTCGACTGTGGTAGCCCCTGGTGCGTCCACTCAAGAAAGCACCGCACTCCGTGCCACAACTGCGCGTGCGAGAAAGTACGTGTTACCTCCGGCGCGTTTCAACCCCCCGTGCTGATTGAGACGGCTCTGGCAGTACTACGGGCCTGATGCATCAGAAACCGTCCTCGGTCTGCGGCCTGGCTTCTGTCCCGAGTGCAAGCCGTGGTACAAGAACCAGAATGGCGGCCGGTAGCATCCACCCTCGCCACCGCCACCCGCCCACGCCTCATCCGTATATTTATACTCTATTACCTCTCATTATTGGCACCTTACAACTCGCATAAGTCCTTTTGTCGATGCTGTATCGTTGCTCCTCGCTGTCGGCATTCTCACATATAATCACGCAAGCCATCCTGTAACAACACCATTATGGTCCTCGTCATCTTCTCTACCAATAATCATTGAATGATTACTATACCCTTTGTGCAATGTCCGCAGTGTATGAGTACGAGGTAATCTACCATTTTACGGCGAGTCCGACGACTTCGCTTCAACAGCTCGGTATTGTGTTCGGAACAGCTTCCGCCTCCGCTCCTCAGCCTCATCGTCCATAGTAGTGTGCCAACTCGATGTCGGAGATTGCATCACCACAGGCTTGCAGAGGTCGACCAGGATCTGCAGAGCGAACATGTCTGTATAAGCCGACGGCCGCAGACTTACGCCCTTGGGTTCGCCCGGCTCAGCATTCGGAGGCGTCGGCGGCGGCGTGGGCAGTCCGCCCCAGTACGCCTCTCGACCTTCTTCGTCCACTCCTTGCTCCCCCAGTTAGCCTTCGGCCCTGATACGGTCGTGTCACCGTCCTCGTCGGCCTTCACGCCGTTCTGTGCCCAATCCCTGGAATACCCCTCCGCATCCTCTCCGGCACGGGTGGCCGCAGCTGGCCGCCCCCGTTCACGCAGCCTCCGGGACAAGCCATGACCTCAACGTAATCGTAGCCCTTGTCCGGCTCCGCCGCGGCCCCGTCCGCCCCCGTCTTCCTCGCCCGTCCGCGTGCGCGCACCGCGGCCATCCGCCCCGCCGCGCCTCGCCCGACCTGGACGCCCGCCTCGCGGCCGACCTTCCTGACGACGTTCTGGAGGTTCCGGAAGCCGTAGCACTTCGCGCCCTTGAAGAGCACCGCGCCCGACGCGCGCTCCGTGACCGTGTGCTCCTCGTAGTCCGCGCCGCGCACGGTGCGCACCGCGGTCTCGCACGCGGACGCGTCGCCCGCCGTCGAGATCACCGATTGCAGATAAGATCCGGAGCTCGTGCCTGGGTGCGCGATCAGCTCTGGCAACTCAATCTCGAAGCCATCTCCGGGACCGAGCGGGGGCGCGGGGGACATTGACGATGGTGGTGGGGTTGATGGCGAAGGCGCGAGCGTGGACGCGTGCGTTCGCGCGTGCTCGCCGCCGACGGCCATCGATAGGTCCCAGTTCTTCTCGCGCATCAGCAGCTCGAGCTCGCCTGTCGTGATGACGCAGTCGACGTCCCGTGTCGCGTACTGCTCGTTGTAGAAGTCCTGCCGGGACGCCTCTAGCTTCTTGTCGTAGCACGGCATGACCGTGACGTGGTATATCTGATCAGACCTATCCCGCATTCAGGAGATGGTACTACGCAAAGAAGAGGCGCGCACTCACTTCTTGCCCCACTTCCCGCCCATCCACTCCTTCACCAGCGTACCCATGACTTGCTGGGGGCTCTTCGTCGTGCTGATGAATGGCAGCATCTCTGCGTGCGTCTTCTCGGCGTAACATATCCACCCCGGACAGGCACTGGCGAGCATCGGCAGCTTGCCCTGCCCGCGCTTGCGTTCCTGGAACTCTCTTGCATGCTCCATGAGCGCAATATGGCGCGCGAAGGTGGTGTCAAACACATGCTCGAAGCCCAACGCCTCCGTGCAAAACGCCCGGACTCGGTGGAGTACGTGTGACAAATCGACGGGCTGCGAACTGCTCGAAGACACGGAGGCAGCGAGCGAAGCAAGACTTTGTGGAGAGATGGACAAGACAGGGGTTTTGTGGGAGGGAGAGGAGCGGTCCGGGTTGTCGCTGAGGAAGTTGAGGACTTCGGTATGGGATTGCATTGTAATCAGGACGGATTCGGCCGAGGTAATGCAACCACTGGACCTACGGGTCAACTTCCATGTCTCGAGGAGTGGGAGACGCGGCGCACCTACATGCAAGACAGTCGTTCAGGCTGATCTGCGCTGTCTCAAGTCTCTTCCCCGCCTGTTGTGGCCCATCGGACGTAACCTCGTAATAGGATCCGCTTGAGTCGACCTGGATCTGCGTCTGAAGCGAGAGCCTAGTCTGAGCACCCAGTTCTCTTCCAACGACAGCAACGAACGACTCACTGAAGCTGCGCCTGGGTCTTTCTCCGCCGGCTTGTTCGTCTGTTCAACTGGCTTTATACAAGCCTGGGACGGCGTGATGAAGTCATTCAGATCCGTGAGCGTCTAGAGCGTACAGGTCGTGAGCAGTATCTACAAGCATATGAACACATCCACGTACCAATGCGCCCGAGAAAGCCATCTCGCCTGGCTGGGATGAAGGCGTTCTGCAAGATCGACGCAAGTCTTAGCCTCGACGCTCAGTCAGATCGAGTCGGTGCGGAATTAGGCGCTGACTAATAGCGCCACTCCGATTTGCTTGCGGCTGAATTCGAGGCCGAATTAGTCACATCGTCGTTCCGACTGCCACCCTCATCCGCCTCAGCATGAACGTAACACACTCAGGCTCAATCGAAGACGGGCTAGATTTTCATACTCTCTAGGACGTCTCGATTTCAACATCGTCTACTAGTGACATAAGATTGTGTCGGGCATCTGATCATCTATTAGTGTGTAGACACGATGACATTGCTTCTACCACTTCAACTTGAACTTGGGCATCATGATCGCCACAGGAGTCAGTACATGCACTTGGAAATTCAGAGAGAGGTGTATAGAGCGCATGCAAGCTGTTGTCATTCTCCTGACGTATATGCATATGTCAACTGCATGCCTGAGGACACCTCCATTAACAAGTATACACTACTGCTACTACAACTAAGGCCAACTACACATCACTAATATCGAGTACGAACGGTATACAGCTTGCTATGTGTATACATTATCGCTATGCTATACAAACAGTATGGACACAGGCAGTATAAAATACAAAACAACAGAAGATGGTAGGTTTCTCAAGCTTCCGTGATACACACGCACGCGTCCGCCACTGCCCATGTTCGACTCAGGTGTACCGCAACCACGGAGCTCACTCACCCCGCGCCTGCACGACGCTCCCCCTCAACCACCTCGTGCTCTTCTCCTTCTCAGGCCCCTTCCCCCTTCAGCGCCCTTAATTCACCCTTGCCCATGCCGTCCGTCTTCCCCTGCTCAGGCCCCTTACTAAGGCCCGCCCGAGCCCTGCTCCACAACCTGCTCATCCGCGAGTGAGGCTGCTCCGGCGTGATATGCATGAAACTCGAGTGTCCTTTCCCGCCGCCGTTCGGCGGTGTACGCGGGCTCGACGACCCGCTTATGCGGGAAGAAGATGGGAGGCCGCTGGGGGAGTGCCGATCGGGTTGTGCACACGGCGCCACGACGCTGAAGACGAGAGCCCGACGTGGCCATCTGCAGAGCCTGAGGCGCCGTGCGGAGGGGCTTGCAGGCCGACAGGCGCGCGCGCTCCGCCTCGCGGGGCGTACTCGCACTGTGCGTCGCACAGCGCGCGAGGCTAAGTGAACCGGGCAAGGGTGCCTGCCTGTCGTCGGTGGGACGGGTGGTGAAGGCGGCAGGGGAGGAAGAGGCGGTAGGGGAGGCGCGATGGATCGGTGCTGCCGCAGGATGGGCTGCGCGGGCTCGTAGCGGACAGGACGACGGATGAACGGTGTGCTGCGCGCTTTCCGCAGAGGTGATTCCGGACGCTCTGGCTCTAGTGAAGGATGGTTTGGATACCCGGAGCGATACTCAGCCGAGGGAGTGCGAGCGTGCCCCGAGGCGGACCCAGAAGCAGAGGAGGCGGAGGTGGTCACATTGGAGTACGCGGATGCGGATGACGCCGCGGTGCTGGAGGACGTTCGCAGGTTGTTCGGGCTGGTTGACTGGGGCTTCGGACCCCCACCCATGAGTGGACTTGCGAAGGATTGCCACCCGATGTTAACGGGTTAGACAACGAGCTTGACCGCCGCCTATGACCCTTCCCGTGACTGTGGTGAACCCGCCGCGTCTTCTCGAAGTCGAACTCTGGCAAGAGCTCAATCGACGGCGGAGCGAGAGGCGAGGACGCGGAGGGCGTGCGAGGACTGGAAGCCGTCATGGAAGAGGCGATGCTAGGGCTGGAGCCAGGGAAATTGACGCGCTCATCATTCGCCGGGCTCAGGCACCGAAGCAGTCGCTCCAGGCGGGCTTCTGCATCGCTGTCGACCTCTGGAAAGCTGAGATCTGCCACATCAGTGATTGGGGAATGCACATCTGACAGTGGCGAAGTGGCATATGTCGTGTCGGAATTAGTGGCGGCGGAGAGACGTCCTCGGGAATGGGTCCCTTTAACAGCACTTCTTGACGAGGTCGCGCCCACTCCCCTCGCTGTCCTCCATGTCCTCCATGTCCTCCTCGTCATCGTCAAAGAAGTAGGCGTACCTGGGCGCGTCTGGTGTAGGCCCAAAGCCTTCCAACTTTGCCATACTCACTCCAGCCGCGCCATACTTTCCTCGGGATCGAATGTCGTCATCCGATTGTCCCCAAGGCCTCCATTCGCATAGACGTGTGGACTCCGCGCGGTCCTGAGGAAGGGCGGGGTAGGAGGCAGCGGTAGGTCGGGTGGCGCGTCACGATCGAGGGCGGACAACGAGAGCGGGAACTCGGGCGCGGTCTTCGGAGGTGAAGGAAAGGCAGCGGCAAGCTCATGCATGGAGGAACCACAGAGCCCGGGAGTGTTCCCAGGTGAAGAACTCGTCGCCTCCCAGGAGAAGTCCTCGTCGTCCAGGAAGTCATCATAATCATCCCCGAGCATCTCCGCCGCTCGGGCGACGATGCCTCGACCTCACGTCTCTGCTCCGGCGACTTGTCCTTGCCATCCGGGGACATATCTTCCGGTTGGGCAGCGTACGACGCAAGACCTCCGAGAACTGCGCGTGCGAATGAAAGTGGACCGCGCGCCGCCGCTGTGCGCGCTCCTCGCGTGACATGTCCGCCTGAGGCGACGGTGCCGACGCGAGCTTTCCAGGTCAACGAGCCCGAGCCCAGTCGGTACGCTGGGTCGCGCTCTGAGGTGGCTCCGGCGCTCCGATGAGCGGGTGGGTGATCCGATGGGCAGACGAGCGGGACTGCCGCCTGACGAGGGCGACGACGATGTGATGGTGCGCGAGCGGACGGGTGTGGAGAAGCGAACACCCTCGTAAGACAGAGAACCGCAAGAGTAGAGACTGTGGGCCCGGTTCCCCTGCTGAGGCGGCGTCGCGGGTGGACGAGTGGTCAGCGGGCGCAAGGCTTCCGACGGCCGCGAGGCGAGAGGACTGCCCAGATGCGCAAATCATTAGGGGCTAGACGACTCGCTGGAGGGTACCCATGGGGGACGCAGAGTGGCGTGCCTCGTGCAATAGGGGCATGGGGAGAGAAGATGTAGGATGGGCAGAAGGAGGGCACCAGGACCCGAGTCGAACATGCCCAAGGATCCGGGTGTGTCACTCTGCCCCACTGAGTCGATCGAAGGCCAGATCGGGCATGATAGCAGCGCTACCGCCGTCACACTGTATTGCGTGCATAAGCGGACGTCCGTCCCTTCAAGACGCGCCCGACGGGTGCACGTCAGGCGCGTCGGCTGCTGCGGCCGTCGGTGATGAACCTGTAACATGGCTATATTGCACTTTCGAACAGACTCACCTACGAACAGGAGTAAAAAGGCGAGACGGGCTAGCTGGCGGCATGTCAGACCGGCCGATCGCCCAGTGGCACGGTTCAACAGATCGCCACCATGTTCTGTCCCTTGCACGTCTGGCATAAGCAGAGCTGGCCGGCCGACCAATCACCCTACCGTACCGTCCAACATCGATGCGGTCGCTGTCAGCGGAACCGCATTGAGAAAATGGTTGGACATGGCAAGATCATGGCCGTTCAAGTTGATCCCGACCCGGGACGTTCCTCAGCCACAAGTGGCGCGTAAGTGCTTCTCGCCTAATATGGAAGTCTCCTCAAAGGCACAGGTCAGGCGCTCAAGCTTGGCTCAAGCGCTCTTGCAGGTTGCCTGTACCTGGAAGAGCCCGAGTGTCTGGATATGGCCCTCCTCGATGATAGTTTCTCTGCCGGCAAGAACCCTGGATCTGGAAGAGGCATTCATCCTCTGAATTAATTTTCTTCGGCTGCGTCACTCTACTTTAATTGTCGAGGCTGGACCGTTTGAATTCGAACGAGATTGTCGTTGACTCATACCGTTCGATGACATGCTGGCATGGGCACGTCTGGTAAGGCTCATAGTCAGTATGCCAAGTCTCGCATGTCATTCATGCAAGCTGACCCATAGCTAAGCTGCGTGCTGGTGAGTATACGCGTCAACTTCGAGTTGTCGATGTCGTCTCATTCTTTTCAGGGCTGGAAAGGCAGCAGCAGCAATGTGTTTAAGCACAGCGATGTTCAGGGTTCTAACAATTCGCACGACCAGGCTACAGCTGCACATCGAAGTGCTTACACTGAGACTACTAGTACAGCAGCAAACTAGTCAAGTCCACGATTGTCAGGAACTGATAGCAGCGGTCTTCAGACGCTTGACATGCAAGAGTTGTCATGGGACCCACCCACTGCAGGATCATTCACCACCGACTGCCGGGGAGCGAGCTTATGGTCAACCTTGCACATCGACGACTTCAACGTCTTTGGTGGTGTACTCGTCGGCTTCGACATCCACTAAACGTCATGTAAGTGCCTATTATCGTCACTGACATGCACCCATACTGACCTGATCGAGGGCACCCGTCATAACTACCCGGTTCCCAACAGTTTCGGGTGGTGGGAACAGATGCCGCGTCGGTGACGAAGGCCAGAAGCAGAGGAGCAAGGAACATGAGGTACTTGGTGTACATGGTACGAGGCCTGCGTTCGAGACTTGGTTGGGCAGTCCCACCAGCGATGCAGCCGATTTATGCACTGACTTTCGCCCGAGTTCTCCGGGAGAGTCTTCACAGCGACAGTCAGTTCAAGTTCACGCGACGTATGCTCAAACTCGTCGGAGAGATGCAGTTCGGGTTGCACTCGGCGAAGTGCAATACGATACAGCCTGAGTATGTATCACCGCGGGTGCGCACTGAAGGTCTGAAGAATTGAGAGGCTCTGCTGAGGGTTTGGACTAGGCTGCCATGAGGTTGCCTCGGAATCCGTTCGGTCTTGGCTCGGTGCTGGGGTGATTGTACGCGAGTATGGATATTTGAATGCTCTGCATCGTTATACAGCTGAGGTGCCAGTGATTGATGCACAGACTGAGACAAGGATCTCAATGACGGACCAGCAGGATGGCACCGGGACCCACAAATTTCCTTGGCCGTATGCTCAAAGCTGCAGACCTTCACGCTGCGCTGCGTCATCGACTCGCAGTGCCGGCCCGGAAATCCTCATCTGTTTAAGGTCTGCGAACTGCTCGCGCAGCTCGTTACCTCTTCATTGAAGACTATTACACTGTTCTTTCACGTGTCGACCTCACGCGACGAACCTCGCCGCTCTGTACAGTGGGTATAGCTGCGCGCTCTGGATTGGAGGAGTATAGAGGCGCGACTCTCCGAGCCGAAGTTCGCAGGGGTGTCGAAGTTCATTGCCAACGGTAAAGGCAGCGAGTTGCCGTGGCAAGCATTCCTCGATAACAAGTTTCCCGAACTGAATGGCCGCGAGCTTTTGATAGACTGGGACCTTCAGTAGGTTTGATCACTACAATGTGTCGCGGCGCCTACTCCTACGGTACTAAGTAAAAAAACTTACATTGCAATGGTACATCCTACTCCCAAGATGAACATTGCGCATTGCGTAGAGATGCGCGGATTCGAGGTTTGGGCCATTTGTCTTCCTCTCAGCTTGCGAAGACGGCACAATATAAAAGGTTGACTGCGATGACGAGATCGTGACATCAATGTGATGCATACGATACCGTTTGTATGGCCCGGCGTGCATGTAGTTCAGGCCGTACGCTGCGGATGTAGTCCTCGAGGACCGCCGGCTCGCCTTCGCCCTCCAGAACCAGTTTACACGATGCAGGTAGCTTGGCCTGCATGAACATATCGCTGATGCCAGCCCAGTTCAGTGTCTGCAGCTCGTCGAAACGCACTCTGCGAGCGATGCTGTCGATATTTGCGTCTTTCATGAACACCGACAGCTTCACCGTCCTCAGGTGAGGTGAAGTGAGTGTGGAACGAAGTCTTGTGACACCGCGGATATCGTCGTTGTCGAGCGACTGCGTGCCCCGGAGCAGAATTTAGAACGCGCAAGTGCGCAGGCGGGTGTAAGGCGCGAAGGAGAATGGCTCCCGCCCGAGGATCCCTAACGTACATGAACCTGTCGTGAGTGTCGCGGCTCGCCCGTGATCAGAGGAAGCCGACATACTCGATTACCCGCCAGGACTGCCGATGTCTAGCTCTAGCGTCTCGAGAATATCTGGACCAAGCATCTTGAGGAAGGGTTCAGAGAGATCCGTCGTCGCCGTCGTCGAATGGAGCTGTCGGACGAGCATCTCCCTGACTGGGACCAGTTCGGCCACCCGTGGATCTTCTTCGTCAAACCATGGCTCCCCCAGTCTCAGGGTCCGCAGTCTGCCCGATACACGAGATCGCAGCTCGTCATCAACATAGGTAGACACCACGGTCGCATAGTAGCGCCAGATCAGGGCGAAGGATTGCGTGAGTGCGTCGAGGGACGGAAACGACCCGATCAAGGTTACGAATAAGTGGAACGACCGGAAACAACACCTGTGGACCGAGAGCCGCTTGACGCTCCTTAGATTTGCAACGAGCATATTGTGCGCGGAGTCCTCGAGGATCATCGCGACGAGTCTGAGGTCCACCACTGCCGGCAGTAGCGCCAGGAATGTGAAGGACGCTCCCTGCCAAACAGCCGCGTCCTCACCGAGCCACCATCCGAGCTGCCCCTGTAGTTCGAGCGTATGCACCATACCGCGCATTTCAGGCGATGCGAGGAGCACCTCATGGAATTGGCGTATAGATTCGTGGCTCGTTGGTAGCCTGGTGTGGTGGAAGCGATGGAAGCGGATCGTGGGCAGCCACGCGCGGCAGGTCAGCGCGCACGCACTGAGGGCATACACATTGTCGTGTAAGTGGTCGACGATGATGTCTGTGAGCTCTGGGGGTAGTATCATACCAGCAGGGAGGGAGTTATCGTGATAGTGCCAGTTTGGGTCAGAACACGGCCGCCTTACGTATGAAGACTCTTGCCTTTCTCGGCCATTCTATTCAACGCCGAGATCCGCAGTGGGCGTCTAGCAATTCTCTCTGATGCCCCTACCGGTCATTGTCAAGCACGAGACTCTTGCGCGCAGCTATGGCATCCAGGTGACGACTGAGAACGTATATGAGGACAACTCACAGTGATTGTCTGCGTCTTCTACAGCCGCGAGAGCTTCCGCTTCAAGTGTAATTCATCGTGTCAGCCTGGGGCGGCGTTCCTGATTACCCTCAGCAACCGGTGCGTATGTGCGAGCTTCCCGAGAATAGATCGCAATTAAATAAGTGTGTTGATGATGTTGATGCCGTCACAACTCATGACTGCCAGACTGGTTGCGAGCGCGACATGCTGTGCAGCTGTCACTCGCCTCCGGATTGACAGCAGATCTGGATCCGCCGCAGCGCATAGCCGCCACGATGCCGCTGCGCCCTCGAAACCTCATTGGGTCCTCATGCGTCTGGTGAGCGTGCCTCCAGTGCCGCTTGACAGCTGAGGATAGCCGACGTGACTGTCAAGAACGCATCCGTAGCCCTGTTGCAGCAATATCTGTACGCCGGAGCCGACAAGGCTATGCTGCCGCAGTGTTCATGTACAAAAGCATGTCTCCAGCACGGACGCAACATTCACCGAGGCCTCCTTTTCTCTTTCTCTTTCTCTTTCTCTTTCTCTTTCTCTTTCTCTCGGTCCGATGTCTTTTCAACCCACGAAGTTTCCTTCTCCCATTGGCGGCGTGCCCAACCCGCACGACCTCGCCCCTTCAGTGGTCTTCGCCGTACTTTATGCCTTGACGATCCCGCTCGCCGTCTACCGGCTCGCGTCCAAGAACTCCCGCAACCTCTTCATCATCGCCAGCGTGATCTTCGCCGCCGAGCGGTACGTCCCCACGCACCCCGCGCCCGCGGCGAGCCACTGACCCTGCGCCCGCAGCGTCGTCGACTTCTCCTTCCGCGCGGCGGAGGCGGAGACGCCCAGCATGCGCACGACGAAGTTCTGGGTCGGCTGGCTCCAGAGCGCGTACGCGATGGGCTTCATCGGCCTCGCGGGCGACGTCGGCAACATCGCGCGCGCGTTCCTGCTCAAGTCCACGCGCGCCGCGGAGCCCCCGCTCAACCTGCTCGTCTCGTCCGACGAGGAGCGCGCGGCGTTCCCCAAGCCGGACGATCGCGCCGCGACGTTCGCCCAGTATGACGGGGCGGGCGTGCGGGAGGTCTTCATGGACGAGCCGGAGCGCAGGGCGTGGATCGAGCGCTACGGCGTGGTCTCGCTGGTCATGCGGCTTACGGCCTTGACGTTGGGCGGCGTGTACAGCGGGTTGTACTTTGACGGGATAACGGACCACGCCAAGGCGGTGACGGCGCAGCGGATGAGGTGCGTCTCTCTGGGGTTCGCCGTGGGGACGTGCGACGCGACGCTGACTGCGCGCGCTGGGCTGTAGATACGCGTCGGACATCATCGTGGTGGTGTACCTGCAGCTCGTCAAGGCCGTGCTCATCTGGGCGCTGTTCACGCGACCCAAACGCGTCGCCCGCTGGCCCGCGCTCTTCTTGATGGCTTTATGTCTTCTTCTTGTGAGTCCTACCCTGCTCTGACAGAATTAAGCTGACGGGCTCCGCGCGACTCAGTCAATACCCGCGCTCTACCGCCTCGCCGCGATGGCGAACTACACCGACTCCCTGCTCTCGATGGCACCCGGCTCGCTCAACAGCCCCGCGGCGAAGACGGTGTTCTACACGCTGCACGTCGCGCCCGAGTTCGTCGTCGGCACGCTGCTGCTCTCGGTGAACGTGAAGAAGATGTTCGGCTTCGCTACGTGGCGCGGGCGAGCGTCGGGTCGGGAAGGCCGTTGGCCACCCCGTGGCTTTCTAACTTATTAGTATTGTACATGTGCTCTTATTGTCTCTTGCTCTTTTTAAGTGTTTTGTTTGCAACCAGGACATTCGCATTTCGCCACTGCAAAAACGTTGCCACGAAACTGGGCGAGTTGAGGAGAGCCCTCCGAGTCTGGCAGGGGTTACCCACTCACTACTATCAGCAGATCCACCACGATGCGTGCGAGTTTGTTCACAGAACATCCCACCTACCCGCTGGGACCGCTGTATTAGGTTGCGCAGCACATAATGGTTTCACAATTATGCTTGTAAGGGAGAGACGCGCCGCAGCTGATGCTGTACATCATTACATGAGTTGTGCACTAGAGATCCTGCGTACTAAGCTCACCCACATATTCTGTAGCCAGTTTCAGAGTCGCACACTTGAACACATAAACACACGCGACTATGGAGTACACGAGACGCCGATAGCTTTACAGATTGATTAGACGATCGTACGGTACGGCGTGGATGGTAGGGACTACATAGAGTGAATGCGAAGTAGGATACAGCAACATCTTGCAGGCACAAGATGTAGGAAGAGGGGTGCAAGGTTGGAGGATCAAGAGTGGTCATCAACACGATATACAAGGTCGGGGACCAGCACGGCGTGCTCTGGGTAACCTACCGGCGCTTTCACGATACAGACGGGGGTTGGGGATACGGGGAATGGAAGTGTCCTTGCCGCGCAACAAGCATCGAAGAATAAACATGACAGCACTTGAATCCTCTACAGCACACACGCACAGACTTCCACGTAGCAGGCTGACGCGCGCTTAATATGCTGCGCGGCGGGAACGATAACGGCCGAAGACGCCGCAGAGGCTGGCGAAGAACGCGAGGAAGAGGGCGACGAGCGCGCCGAGGACGAGCCAATTGGCGTTCTGGTAGGTGGCGACGCCGCCGCGGTCGCGGACGTGGTCGCGCGCGATGCCGAAGAGGGCCATCTCGATGACCCAGGCGACGAGGGTGATGAGGAAGGCGAGTGCGGAGACGAGCGTCATGAAGACGGTGCCGACGCGGTGGTAGCCTGCGCCGCAGAGGCCGAAGAGGAACGCGATGCCTGACAGACCGGCGGCTATGCGGAGTAAGGGAGGCGGTCAGCCGAGGGTGGGTCGCGGTGAGGACAGGACGTACCGATTGGGATGAGGATGAGAGCAATGGTGAGGTTGTGGAAGAGGCCGTCGTTCAGCGTGCCGTCAGCGACGGCCGACGGGAAGTACCATCCGACATGCGCGCTTGACCCGGTGTAACCGAACACACCAAACTGTGTTGTCGCTCCGTCAATCGTCGTGGACAAAAAGCGGATAGCGTCCCATTTTGGTGCTGAGACGGAGGCCTGGGTGGTGGTCAGTACTGGCAACTGCAGAGACGAAAGCGGTGCATACGAAGACGAGCAGCACCATCGCTGCGAAGGTGAGGACAAGGCCTGGGATCGCGGCGTCGGCAGCCATGGCTAATCGTTAGAGGGTCGTGAAGAAGGGTCGTGAAGGTCTGAAAAGTAGGTCAGTACAGCGCGAGGCGCGTGTAGAAGGAACTGACTTGGTTGTCGTGGATGAGGTTGGCGCGAAGGAAGGGGGATGAGCGGAGGACGCGGCTGGCAGAGTTTTATGGAGCGCAGCGATCATGACGTCCATGGAGGAGTTGCCAGAAAGGGAAAGGATTACGTCAACCGGATTGCTGGTCATGGTCTCCACAGCCGCCTCGCCACCTGCTTGGCACGCGCTCCTCGCATGCTCCCAGGGCGGTGTGCCTGTCCCAGCCGTGGCCGTGGCCATCTGCCGCCACCGCAGCGCACCCTCTCGTCCTCGTGCGACGTATCGTACAGCCCATGCTGTGCCCCTACGCAGGTGCGCAAGGCGCCGCACCTCTTCCACCGTCTCCGCAGTCCCGTGCACCGCATCCGGGGCCCTCGTTCTCGACCCGCGTCCATAGCGAGTCTCTTCAAGACCTCGCCCCGAATGCAGGTGATACGGTGGCACCGGAGCTTGCATATCCAGCAGCCTCCTTCTCACCAGTATCAGCATTCTGATTCATTTCTGATTTTCTGAACAAGAACGGGTGGCCAGACGAATGCCCCGAGACAGAGGGTCGTACAGATGTGGACCCTGCGCCGACAGAACCCATCTTCCGTGGCTCTCTGATCCGCCGGAACAGCCCGTCCCCCGTTTCCGGCAGGTGTCGTGGTTTGCGCCGATCCTCCCTCCTCCCCACATCCTCACCGGCTGGGCATGGTGGGCTATGCATACCCACGAACGCGGCCTCTGCGTGGCTCACGCGAGGCTACACAGCGGCGGTGGCAAAAGGGCCTTCGCCTCTGCTCTGAACGCCATCGCACTGTTTTCCCCACCCGCGGTCTGAGCGCCCGCCGTTGTCCTTCATCCCTACAAGGAAGGTCATCTGAACTCCCCGGCACGTTTCCAAAGGCCTGGATCCTCCTTATTCGGCCTTTTCCTTGTTATCTTCTTGAACGGTGCGTGCAATTTTTTGATTGAGACCATACTATGCCGGTCTCAGTCGCTCGTTCATCGATATGCTTCACTCGACCTCAGAGCATAGATTTGGTTAGTACCCAGGCCTTGATCTCTCCCCCGGTTTACCCGGTTCAAATGTTATTTCGGCCACTTAAACAGAACAAAGACTTTTCTGCGCCACAGGTACTTACACGCTTTGATAGGCTGGGCTGTCCGTCCACATAAGGCACTTAGCCACACGCTTGGGCCTAACAACATTTATGTTTTAAACCTCAACATCCTCCGAAAGCGTCTTGACGACCACACTCGCTCTTCCACTTACCTTTGCACTCTGCATTCTTCGCTTCTTCCACCCACCATCCAACACCCACACACCACCCTTACACGTAACAACTGTCCGAGACAGCAATGCAACGCGTTAGAAAGATTTCGAACTCACTAATCAAGTACGTGTGTCGCCTCCCATTGTGGCTCACCCAAACTCATCGGTTTTCAGGCCCATCGTGGGCGACCGCGACCATCGCGAGCGCGAACGGCAGAAGGAGGCCGAACGCGAACGCGAACGCCAGCTCGTCGCCGACTGGAAGTCACTCAACCAGCGGCAGGGCGCCAACCTCCAACGTTCAACTTCGAACCCGACGCGACCAGGCGCCACACTCACCCGGTCCACCTCCAACCCTCTCTCGTCGAAGGCGACCCACTCGGCCGCATCGCGAGGCCCGCCGCCACGGCCCGTCATCGTCCACCCCGAGCCTGTCACCGAGCAGTCTCGACAACGGCTCCCGACGCAGGGGGAGATGGCGCAGCTGCAGGAGGCGCGCCGCCGCGCGGGATATGGGCCGGTGCCCGACCCGCATAGCATCAGGGGCGTGCGCGCGGGGCCACAAGCGCGGTTGCGCCGCAGCGCGAGCGAGTCGCGGCTCGCGCAGAGCTACGTGCCCTGGCTCGACCGCAAGCCCGTGCCGTTCATGGACGAGGACGAGCTGGCGCGCCAGCGCGCGGACGCGAGGGAGCGCGAGGCGCGCTACACGGAGCGCCTGCAGGCGGAGGAGAACTGGCGCGATCGGAGGAGGCCCATGGGCAACGAGGCGGGGATGTACCCGGATGTCGACGAGAGGGCGCGGGAGAAGGCGACGCTGATGGGGAAGCTGTCGGGGCTGGGCAAGAGGCAGGAGGAGAGGGGGTCGGTGAAGACGAAGGGGGGTGCGATGATCTCGCCGCCCCTCTGGCAGGAGCCCACCAATGCGAACATCCGCGAGGACTCCTACAGCAAGCCCCGTGCCGTGCCACACCCTCCCGACCAGCCACGCCCTTCCCAACACTCCCGCCGGCCCGCTGAGACTCCGAAGCCGATCACCCGTGGCCTGCGCCGCTCGTCGTCGGAGGTGGCCCTCGACGCCTTCCTGCAGGAGCAGCAGCGTCTCGCGGCCGAGGACCGTCGTCGTGAGCGGGCCGACATATGGAATGGCGGCCACCAGCGCACCGCCTCCCACGACGTGAACAAGCCGACGGTGCCCCTCAAGGTCCACAAGAAGGCGTCGAGCGCGGACATCTCCATGTCGTCTCCCGCCGTCCTGTCCATGCCCCGCCGGTCTCACGAGTCCGATCGCACCGCCGACCGCAAGCGCGACCCCTCCACGCACAGCTCTCGTCGCCGCCACAATCCCGGGCCACCCGTGGCGAGTTCGATCCTGTACCGCGAGGAATATATCACCCCGCCCAAGAGCCACCGCCGGGACAAGACCAAGGAGTCAAAGGAGAAGACCATCCCCGCCGCTCCCCAGGACACCGGTGTCCAGCCCAAGGCCCCCGTTTACCCCCAGGTGGACATCTATCTGCCGCCTGCGACGTCGACGCCCTCGAGTCGCCACAGACAGCTGAGTGGCGGCAGTTCGAAGGGCTCCCTCAGCTCCATGGGATCGCCCTACCGCCAGCCCCAGCCAACGCCGCTCTCGCCTCCGCACGTGCAGCGCCAGCTCAGCAATGAGAGCTCCGCGGGCTCTTCCAAGTCGCGCACCCGCGCGGGCTCTACCGCGACGAGGCCGCCTCCTTACCAACCCGTCCCTATGCCCGTTGTGACTCCGCGCCGCCAGAACACGGCGCCACAGCCTACGTCCACTAGCCACGCCCTCGGATCGTCCCCGCCGTCCAGGGAGCCTGCGCGGAAGCCGTCGAGCTCGTCTGTGGCTCAACGGAGGGACAAGTCGCTCGACCGCATCGTCATCTTCCCGACGGACCCGTACGGCAAGCCACTCGAGAAAGAGCTCCCGGACACCCCGTCGCTCTACACCCCGACCAACTTCGGCCCGCCCTCCCCCACGACCAAGCCGTACATGCCCCCCGTCCCCAGCCTCCCCTCCTCGCTGCGCGTCGGGACGAACGCATCGTTTGACACGCCGTTGTCGTCGCTGCGCCTGTCGCCGGGGATCCAGCTTCGGCAGCTGCCCGGCGTGCAGCACTCGGTGGAGGTGTCGAAGCCGCGGGCGTCCGTCGTCGCCGCGAGTGGCTTCATGGCGGAGATCGTGTCTCAGCCGGAGCCACTGCCCTCTCGCTCCAAGAAACACGAGCACCGCGACCGCGATCGCGACCGATCCGAGCGGGGTCGTCGTGAGCGGCGGGAGGAGAGGAGGGCGGCGGACCCTGCCCAGCATGTCAAGGGGCCCATCTACGGTCCGTCGGCCAGCACTGTCGATCCGGTCAGAGTGGTCGATCCGGCCAGAGTGTACGTCCCGCCCACCTACCGTAGCGCGACCCAGTCGCCGTCTCAGAGGGCGATCTACGCATCGCCCACTGCGATCGATCGTACGCGGGCGGAGCCGTCCACGGTGTATGGCAGTAGCAGGTCGCCCCAGGCAAGCACGTCGACGGGCCATTTGAAGAGCAAGCGGTCGGATTACGGCGGGCTCTACAGCGGATACTCGCGTCCCTAAATGGCAGCGTCCCAGACGCAGACGCCCTTCCCGAGCTCCAGCACACTTGATCGAACGCTCCAGAACCGTGTAACAATACGACTTTTCTCCATTGTTCCCTCCTCCCTCCCCCAATCTCGGCATCTGTACCTTCTCGCTCGCCCAATCGCACGCGAGCTTCCACTCTCCTTGACCACGTTTTTGTCTTGATGTATCGCGTCGTACTGCAGCCGCTATCACTCGCTATGCCCTGTTTGCTCTCCGTTATTTACCACATATCATGTGTCGCTCGTATGCGTTAGCCCTCCACTCCTTGCATTGTACAGTCTGTATCGTTATCCGTTATATCCGTCCGGCCGCGGTCGGACTCGCCGCTCATTCATCATCATTCGCCCTTTCTGTCCTGCATTGTATCAGTAGCCATAGACTGTATCCTCGTGTAGATTGCTCTGCTCATGTTCAGGATAGACAGTCTGGTCCCATGTATGTACTTATAGTCATTATAGTTGGGAGAATACCCGGATCGTCCCACAGACCCCCGGTGTCCGCAGAGCATGTCATAGCGACGCGCATAAGTGAAGATACATCGTAACAACTGCGTCGTTTGATCGTAGATAGAGTACACGCACCCACCGCTCCTGAGCCACCCAAGCCTCACCAAATTCGCTTCACCATCGTAAACCGCGTGATCTCCTCCAGTGGCAGCCGCTTCCTCTTGCCCCCGTTCTTCCCCGCATCCTGCCCCGGCCTGCGTTCCCCGATATCAGGCACGGCCGTAGCATCGTCGCGGGTGTCGTCCAAGATAGTCTTGAGCTCCTTGTTGTACGTCTGCTCCTCCTTGCCCTCGCCGATCGGGTCGCGCCCGAAGTCGTTCACGACGTCCGCCGCCTCGCGCGCCTCCATGCCTGCCCGCCGCCGGGTGGCGTAGCTGAGGAGATGCACGCCCATTATAATCTTGATGACGACGAAGCTGTGGACATACGCGTAGCTGTTCAGTTTCGGACCGTGGCGAAGGATAGATGGAGGCACGCACCAGAACCAAAGCAGAGCGGCCAGGGCAGTCCATTTAGCAGCATTGATCCACTCGTCATTCGAGATGTCTTCGTACGAGCGGTTCCAGATCCAAGGGACGTCGCTGTCCGCGTGCATAGAGATCAGGAGGTTGATTGACTGTGTGCCGATGAGGACGGCGAGGACGGCGAGCGGCACCGACGCGAAACCTAGACGACGCGCGACTAGAGGTGATTGGTCGACGTATGTATGCTGGTTCGTTCGTCAGTAAAGATCTACATGACAATGTAAGGCCTGTACCTTGCGCGCTCCCCTCCTGCCTACAGCGCTCCCGCTGGCCAAATCTCGGCACAGCACGTCCGTGTAGCGCTCGTACACGGAGGGACGGATGTGGTTGAACTTGGTGATGAACGCGTGCTTGAGCCAATCTACGATCATCTCCGAGGCCATCACCGTCAGCACAGGCTACATAAGGGAGAGATCAGCAACAATCCACCTCACAAGATCTATGCACGCACATACGAGATCGTCCACAGAGCGTTGTTCCCCCGGAACCAGCCGAAGCTCTTCGGCAGCGCAAAGCCCTCGCTGAAGTTGAAGGACGACCCGCTGAGCTCAATGAGATTCCGGAATGCCACGATGAGCAGCATCAGCGCAAGCGTGAAGCGTTCGACGATGTCTGGCAGGCACAGGTGAGTGGCGTCCAACACAGCAAGCGGATTGCACTCACCCGCACAGGTAATCTGGAAGAGGTTGTCTTTCTCAAACTTCTTGAATACGCTTCCCTTAATCTCGACGAACTGGTTGGAGACTAGGAGGGTAAGAAGTGCGTGGTCGAAGGAGTTCACTGCGACATTCAACGAAATCATCTGGTAGATCATGACCAGGGTGTGCGCGACTGCATGCCGGAGTCAGCTGGGCCAGGTAGAAGTGAGGGTGCAATATAGGCAAACCATTGTAGATCAGCGCGAGTGCAAAGAAGACCACAGGCCTGAATATGTACGACGTCGGTTTCTTGTGGTGTGAAATGACTTCTAGCGTTGAGCGCGAGAATAGACAGTCCAGGATGTCTTGCCCTATTGAAGCACACAGCCGGTCCGCAATCTGCACAGTGCAGGGGCATGAGCAACCAGTCTACTCGATGTGACAAGCGAGCCTCGAGGAATGGCGTACTTCGAGTGCATTGAAGATGACATACAGTTTGATGGTGTCCTGTCCGCGGATGGAATGATAGATCTTGCTAGCATCGGTGAGAGGCGCAAGAACAATGATGGAGACGACAAGTAGGAGCGTGCGCAGGATATCTGCTTTCTGGGACGGAGGCAGCGGCTTCTCTGACCGAGTGACTGTGTTGAGTATGAGCCGCCACAGAGCTAGAGCGAACCGGATCGGTAGGATGGTGAAGGTGTATAGGAAGGAATCAAAGCAGACGACAAATCCAAAGAAGAATACCTACAGGGGATCAGATTCATACGTGACCATGGATATGTGTAAAATGCAGCGCGTACCTTCTCTAGAGCAAGTGGCATGTTCAGGAAGTTGCTTACCCGTTCCCACTTCAGCTCCTGGTGTGAGTCGAAGTCTGTAGCGAGCAGCTCCTCGCGCAGGTAATCCCATATTGAGAATGGAGGGTCGTGGTAGAGCTCCGCGGAAGGAAAGGATGACATAGACGAAGAGAAGGGTGGAGGGGATGCCTGTAGCGGCGGAGACGAGGTTATGGGCGTAGGAGGTAATGAAGCATACGCTAGAGGCGTTCTTCCTCTGTCAACATCGGAGCCATGTTCGCGAAGTGGATGGTCATTGTCTGATGCATGGTACGAGTGTAGGTCTTCGACGCCAGAGTCGTCGCTGGTCCGCTCAGGTGAGAAAGGGAAGCCGCGACTGGACGTTGACGACCGCCTTCGACGCGGACGAATCGCAGAAGACGTTGCCGAGTGAGAGTTCAGCTTCGCCGTGTATCTTGCACCTGTAGCCGCGGAAGCAGACAAGTACTTGCGAATGCGTTTCCTTCTGGGAGACTGCGAAGCCGGCGCCAGTGGCATTGTTGAGTGCTGGGTCACCAAAACGCACCCTCGCAAACAAAGCAGAGCCCAGAAAAGCGATAGAAAGACCTCCTTCCGCGCAAATGATAGCCAGAGACTGGGATAGACAAGATCGCTTGAGGCGTGGTGGCTGGTTGAAAGCACCGAGTGAGCGCGCTCCCGCGACGGTAACGGTGGCTGCGAGGCGTAAACGATCCGAGGCTATCTCTATCTCAGATGCTATGCTTGATCCCGATCGTCGACACCCGTTCGATGAAAGTCCTGTGCAAGATGTGGCCTACTTATCCGCTGCATAGCACAACACGGCGGTCTGTGCGTGTTGGGTAGGCCCCGGGAGGTTGTATGCCTGAACTTAGAGTCTTAGACGCACAAGATACAAGTCGGCCTGCCGAGTGCCAGGCTAGTGAGCTATAATACTAGTTGCCCATCATAATAATATGTCCTGCTGGCAGTCATCCCTGACTACAGATGAGAGGCCTCGTTCTATGACAGCTCCATGACAGCCTATAAAGTACACACTTCGAAGAATACGCGCATGTGTTACAGCAGAGAATCACAAACATATCAGTTTTAAAACAGAAGAAGGACAAGAGACAGCCTGAGGAAGGCAGAGACCCCATGAGGTGGTACAATGACTGATAATACGAAGTCGACCCCAGCCTCTCCCGAATCCCGACGCAACGTGAGATCACCCCCGCCATCCAGTGAACCCGTACACTTTCTTTACGTTCACCGAGAGCAGCAACGTTCCGGCGATAAACTCGGGCGCGATGTGCAGCGTGTAGAACACCGCCTTTGCTGCGGGGCCATTGAGCGAGCCCGGTGCCATCGATAGCAGGGAGTCGGTGTAGTTCGACATCGCCGCGAGGCGGTAGAACGCGGGTATCGACTGAAGTGCACGGACATGGTCAGTTCACTTCTATCAGAGCATGCCAGGACTCACAAGGATAAGACATATAGCCACCAACAAGAGCGCGGGCCAGCGGGCGACGCGCTTCGGGCGCGTGAGCAACGCCCAGATGAGCAGGGCCTTGACGAGCTGTAGGCACACCACCATGATGATGTCCGACGCGTATCTGCATCCCCAGTTGCGCAGTCAGCATCGCATTTCGCGCCACGAACCCAGGAGAGACGTACCTCATCTGCTGCGCCATCACGGCCTGGCTGTGGTTCGTCGTCCCGTTGAAGTATATCCCGGCGTACACGCCCCCCAGGGCCAAGGCAGTTAACCGCATGACCAGCAAGACCACACCATAGCGCTCGATCCACGCTCTGCGCTTCGGCTCGTCCACGAAGACCTCCCCAGGCTCGTTCACGCCCATGCCGTATTGGGCGAACGACGCAGCGCTATCGTTCGGCTTGGGAAACGCTGCACGCTCCTCGTCGGGCGGGGCGAGCAGGTTGCGCGGCTGCTCCGCGGCGGGGTCGCTCCCGCGCGTGGATTTGACCAGGAAGACGCGCGCGATGTTGCTGACGTCGCCTGCGATGCCGATGAAGCCCATCGCGTACGCGCTCTGGAGCCAGCCGACCCAGAACTTCGCCGTGCGCATGCTAGGCGTCTCCGCCTCTGCCGCGCGGAAGGAGAAGTCGACGACGCTGCGGGTGGGATTGACGTCTGCCAGTGAGCGCGCGGCGAGTGCGAGTGGTTACTGATACGTACCGCTCGACGGCGAATATCGCACTGGCGATGATAAATATATTACGGGAGCTCTTGGACGTGAGCCGGTAGACCGCGAGCGGGATCGTTATCGCGTATGCGACAGCGAAGATTACCGAGGGAGCGAGGTCGTGTGGGTTGGGCACACCACCAATAGGAGAAGGGAACTTGGTTGGCTGGGCAGACATCGGATCACAAGAGGTAGAGGAGAGAGAGGAGGGCGATTTTGATGCTACGTCCGTATTGTGGCCAAACCCTTGTATATGAGCGCGGTGGTAGCATCGCCCTGTGAGATGAGCAGCGCCGCAGACCGAAGGCTGTCATTGGTATGGCTTTTGACAGCTGTGGCTATAGCCAGCTTGAAACAAGCGGAGCGCGGGGCATACTGACAAGCCGCATGAGAACCACTGGCAGGTGGAGGGGGCTGACAGCACTGCGGATGCCACGCTGCGGATCTAATCTGCCGTCAATCTTGGATCCTGGCTTAAGTCATGCCGCAACGTACAGTGCTCGCGCGCGGTTGTAATCAATCCTTACCTGGTCACATCATTTATGAAATTGAGCGCAATCTGAGAGGCCAGCACGTATTGACAAGAACTCTGAGCATGTCAAGACCTTGGGAGAGATAACTCGCCTGAAGCAGATATCCTCAGGGCTCTGAAGCGCGCGAAAGGTAACGTTATTATACGTGCGGTTTTCCACCTGAATAAACCAGACCGGAAAAGCTACACGAGACCTCGGATTTGACTGAGGAGGACAGCAGAAGAAATGACAGACGCCCACTGCCAACCCCGGCGTTGAATAGAATGGCTTAAAAAGGCAACAGACCCCATCCCCGAGCCCCGAGGCAGCCCGAGGCAGCCCCGAGGCAGTCCCGAGGCAGCGGGCGATGTCCGTGGAAGAACAGTCTATAGTAGATGGACCATCCCCAACTCCGACCTGAGGAGGAGGTCGACCCTGCTGCGATCTGCTGCGATGGACGCTGGTCAATTATCCGATCCGGAGCCATGTAGCCCGTGGTCGAGCAGTCTACATTGTTGGTCTGTTTCCAGGACACTCAAAGGACACTAGAGCACCAGCAGCTCGAGTCAGAAACCAGGGCTTGCGCAGTTATGATGACTTGAAGGTGGCTGTGAGCGCTCCCATAGATCTGAGTCTCACCAACCTATGAAATGGCCGTCGTCAGCTTGACGACTCTCTATCTGCTTGTTGTCCTCTATGGCCCGGCCCACTGCACAGATCAGAGACCTTTCCTATGACAGCTCCATGGCAGCCTACTACACGCTTCGACGAGTACGCTCATGTGTTCCAGTGGGGAATCACGAACAAAGGACAAGAGACAGCAGGAAGACAGTGCTAAATAAGAGAGTCGCCATGAGGTGCTAAAATGACTGATATACGAAGTCGAACGCAGCCTTTCCCCGAATCCCGACGCAACGCGAGATCACTTACGAGATCACTCACGCCATCCAGTGAAGCCGTACACCTTCTTCACGTTCACCGAGAGTAGTAACGTTCCGGCGATAAACTCGGGCGCGATGTGCAGCGTGTAGAACACCTTTGCTGTGCCGCCATTGAGCGAGCCCGGCGCCGTCGAGAGCAGGGAGTCGGTGTAGTTCGCCATCGCGGCGAGGCGGTAGAGCGCGGGTATTGACTGAGTCGCGCGAAGCCCGTCAGCTGGATTCTGTCAGAGCAGGGTAGGACTCACAAGAAGAAGACATAAAGACATCAAGAAGAGCGCGGGCCAGCGGGCGACGCGTTTCGGGCGCGTGAGCAACGCCCAGATGAGCACGGCCTCGACGAGCATCAGGTACACCACCATGTAGTCTCATACCAAGACCCTCCACACGGCGCTACGTGAGGGGCTTGTGTCGAACCTACACCACCATGATGATGTCCGACGCGTATCTACATCCCCAGTTGTGCAGTCAGCGTCATATCGACACAGCAACCCCCGAAGGCACGCACCTCGTCCGCTGCGCCGTCACGGCCTTACTGTGGCTCGTCGTCCCGCCGAAGTACACCCCGGCGTACACGCCCCCCAGCGCCAAGGCGGTATTTTGCATGAGCAACGAGACCATGCCATAGCGCTCAATCCACACCCTGCGCATTGGCTCGTCCACGAAGACCTCCTCGCTCACGTCCATCCCGTCGCGTCGGGCGTCCATAACCATCGTCTCGAACGCTGCGGCGCTGTTCTTTGATTTGGGCAAGGCCGGCCGCTCCGCGCCGGACGGGGAGAGCAGGTTGAGTGAGGGCTCCGCGGAACGAGAAGCGGGACCACCCCGCGCGTGGACTTGATCAGGAAGACGCGCGCGATGTTGCCGACGTCGTCCGCAAGGCCGATGAAGCCCATCGCGTACGCGCTCTGGAGCCAACTCACCCAGAAGCTCGTTGTGCGCATGCTGGGCGTCTCCGCCTCCTTTGCGCGGAAGGAGAAGTCGATGACGCTGCGGGTGGGACGACGTGTGAGCGCGCCGCACAGCGAACGTGAGTGCGAGCGGTACGCACCGCTCGATGGCAAACACCGCGGTGCTGATGATAAACACGTTGCGGGAGCTCTTCGAGACGAGTCGGTAGACTGCGAGCGGGATCGTTATCGCGTATGCGACAGCGAAGACGACCGAGGGAACGAGGTCGTGTGGGTTGGGCACGCCGCCAATGGGAGAAGGGAACTTGGGAGGCTAGGTAGCCATCGGACGAGACAGAGGCAAAGAAGAGAGAAGAAGGCAACTTGGATGCTACGTCCGCGTTGTGGCCAAGCCCCGCCGCAAGCTGAAGCTTGAAGGCTGTCATGGACAGCGATGGCTGTAGCCAGCTGGCAAAAGCGGAGCGCGGGCATGCTAACAAGCCGTATGATAAAATGTAGTATGCAAGATAAGCTGGGATGTGCACGTCTGGAGCTGTCTGGAGGGAGCGATGTCCGTGGGAGAACAGTTTATAGATGGAGGAGGCGATCCACACCTCTGACCGGAGGACTCTGTCGGCCCTGCTGCGACTCTGGATCGGACGCTGCTCAATTATCGGAACCATGTATGTAGTCCGTGGACAACAGTCTACATTGTTGGTCTATTTCCGGGATAGTACTAGTATGTACATGGTTGCGGGCAAAAAATGGTACCGTAGTACGGCGCCAAGTTCCGAAAGTACCTTCATTGAAGTAATCATCAACGTTTCAACACTCGAGTACTTGAGTCTTCGAGTGCTCGTACAATGTCTGGCATACAATTTCGACAATAATATGGGTCGTACCTCGTGTGATGCAGTCTGATGAGCTAGGTCATGCACTACTACGGCTCGGATACTACCTCCCTCGGAACCGCAGTTCGTGCAAGTCGCTCCAATAGCTCATCTACAGCTCATTGTCAGTTTCCAATCTCAAGGCATCACATAAATAGCACTGCTTACCATTGAAGGCCGAGGTTTCTGTGAACGAGCTCGACTCCATGTAGACGCGGATATGCTCGCCTAGGTCCCTTGAAATGGGCACCATTTTTCGAGATGCATTTGGGCCGAGAGTCTTTGTCAACTTGGGGTTTGGGTCGATTGTCTCTCCATCATGAGTTGAACTGTCCTCGCTATCCGCTTCCGATGTTGTGGCCCAACCATCCTCGGATGAACCGTGGTCAGAGCCGTCGGACTCTTCTTCAGACCCTTCATCATCGACATCCCCGTCAGAGCTCCCGGAGTGTACACCTCCCCTGCATCTTCGTCACGGTCCACATTCGCCGAGGGCGGTTCATCATTCGGGACGATCCGCCACCATAATGCATGTCCGCAAAAGCGATAGCGTGACAACTCGTCGTTGAGTACCTGAACACCCTCTCCGACGGAGATGACGTGCAAAGACGTCAACGTGCCCGCAATGAGTACCGCTAGGCTGCATATCACAGACGACCAACGCGGATAGACAGCGACGCGTGATTCGTCCATGTCGTGCATGTAAATGCCGCTCACGCGCTTGCGGCAGAGGCGCAGAGCAACCAGGGGGAGTCGAGATAATGCTGACAGCGCCATGCTCTACAGTGCAATATGCTTCAGCGCTGTGTCGGGGAAACGTGGTGCGGGCTGACTCACTGTCCAATACATGCTGACTTCCACCATACTGTCCGACGATATCGTAAGATCAAGATAGCGAATGCGGGGTGCACTATGGATGAAGTCCTGCCAGAAAGTCATGTCCAGCATGGCAGGGAGGTCTTGTAGGGAAAGGACGACGGGTGAAGTACGCTGTAGGATCGGCAGTATCTGCGGCGCGGATGACTTGGACTCAGAGCCGAGCATAAGCCATCGTATCTTGCATGCAATCTTCCACTGCGTGAAATCCTCGGAGGTTCCGTAGGCACGGTCGAGATACCCCCAACATGCGGTTTCCGCACTCGGAAACCCCTCTGTTCCAGCTGCGCCACTCCTGGAACCGGCGGTGCGACTCCTAGTCCTGAACATCAGAGCTTCGATAGTGTCTTTTTTCTCCCACTCCTCCATGCTTTGTCTAGAGTCAAAGTGGATCGACTTGACAGTTGGAAAGGCGTGGACAAGGGTAGCCACAGAGACGTAGGTATACTCTATCTTCAAGTCCCTGAGCTCTGGCCACTGCAGCGGGGCATGGCAAACACCACCGTCAACAGGAGGGGGTTGTTGGTCCGCGATGCGGAGGTGGTACAAATGGAGAGAACGGACGCTTTGCATAACGGGAGCAGAGAGTAGCGAGGTCGCGTCGCAGCGGTCTTCATCTGAGCCGGAGTAGGTGTCATGTAAGCTGAGCCGGCGAGGCGTACAGGACAGGCGTCCCACGACTTCGAACGAGTCGGATGTCAGATCTCGCAGATCTAGATCCAGCAACTGGTTCAGTCGGCATATGACAGACGCTATGCGTGGCTCCGCCTCGAACAGAGCACCCGCTGCCTCGAGCCGCAACATCTTCATGTGGGGTGCGAGTTCGAGGACATCCGCGAGAAGAGTGGCAGCAGAGAAGTCTTGTGTCTCTTCGTACCGTCCTCGAGAGCCAAAGGCGGCCCTGGACACAGTGAGTGCCCGTACGAAGTGCAGGCGGTTGGTCACATCCGCTAGGAGGTAGCTGGATATCCTCTCCAACTGCGCGGCTGTCTTGATGTTGATCGCCGACAGTGCGTGGTGTTTGGCGAGGGGATGGATTCTGCGAGACGTCAGAGAGAGACTCAAGCTGTCGCATCGATCGAGGAACGATACGACTGAGGACAAAGAATATTCATCAAGGTCCAGCAAGCGCATTTTGATTCCGCGAGTTTGCAGAGTCGATTGAGAACCGATGGAGGTCAGCGCGACGGACTCTGCAGACCCGAGACAATTGTCCACCGTTCAAAGTACTGGATGTAGACAAGATGTAGACGATGGAGTCTGAGGCGCCGGAAGGGTGTGGCTAAGGCGTGGGTAGTCAAGATCCCGGACCGATACCGCAAGATCTAAGATACTTCCATTGGTCCAGTATCGGAACCATGTAGTTCGTGGACGAACAGTCTACTTACATGGATTGTTGCCAGTCTGTTTCCAGGATAAGTACTCAAAGAATACCAGAGCATCAGCGGTACTCCACTCAAGGAGTACGCCTAGGGAACCGGGGTTTGCGCGGTTATGCATGATGACTTGATGGTGGCTGTGAACGCTCTCAGATCTGGGAGTCCCATTCAACCCACCGTAGCCGTCGTCAGCTTGACGGCTCTCTAGCTGCTTTTTGTCCTCTATGGATCTGCCTCCGGAGCTCACAGACATCATCGTCGACCACTTACACGACGATGTGTACGCCCTCAGTGCGTGCGCGCTGACCTGCCGCGCGTGGCTGCCCACGGTCCGCTTCCACCGCTTCCACCACACCAAGCTCCCAACGAGCCGCGAGTCTACCCGCCAATTCCATGAAGTGCTCCTCGCGTCGCCGGAAGTGCGCGATATGGTGCATACGCTCGAGCTGCAAGGCCGCCTCGGATGGTGGCTCGACGACGCGGCTGCTTGGCAGGGTGCATCCTACGCGTTCCTGACGCTGCTGCCGGCGGTGGTGGACCTCAGACTCATCGTGGTCACCCTCGAGGACTCCGCGCACGAATGCTCGTCGCGAGCCTCAGGAGCGTCAAGCGGCTGTCCGTCTACAGGTGTCGTTTCCGGACGTTCCAGCTGTTCGTTGCCTTGATTGGGTCGTTCCCGTCCCTCGACACGCTCACGCAATCCTTCGCCCTGACCTGGCGCTATGAGATCCCCTGTCGGCCTCTGTCGCTGAAGAGCTGCGGTCTCGCCTACCGGCGGGCTGCGCACCCTGAGATTGGGGGAGCCATGGTTTGAGGAAGAAGATCCACGGGCGGCCGAGCTGGTCACTGCCAAGGACATGCTCCTACGGGAGCTGCATTCGAAGAGGACGGTGCATCTGGCTCAGCGCTTCCTCGAGATGCTCGGTCCGGACACTCTCGAGACGCTAGACCTGGACATCAGCAGTGCCGGCGGGCTACTGAGTACGTCTCCCTTTTCTGACTATGAGCGACGCTCACCTCACTATGCTAGAGATCCTTGAGCGGGAGTCGTTCTCGTTCGCGTCGTGCATCCGTCTGCGCACGTGCACCTTTCGGATTCTGCTCCGGGGCACGCAGTCGCTCGACAACGACGATGTCCGCGGTCTCACGAGTCTCCTTCCACACTCACCTCACCTCACCTGAAGACGGTGAAGCTGTCGCTCTTCATGAAGCGCGCCAAGGATGTCAACATCGCTCGCAGAGTCAGCTTCAACGAGCTGCAGGCACTCAATTGGGCTGGTGTCAGCGACATGTTCACGCAGGCCAAGCTACTGGATCGCTGTAAGCTGGTTGTGGAAGGAGAAGGCGAGCCGGCCGTCCTTGAGGATTACATCCGCAGTGTACGGCCTGAACTGCATGCACGTCGGGTTATACAAACGGTACAGTATACGGCCCATTGAGGCCATTATATCCGCGTCGCACTCAGCGTCCCATGTTGTACGACTTATACCGGTACCGACTTCGCAAGCTGGCCCTGGAAGACAAGCCTTCGAATTCAAGTCCGTGGATCTCCGCGATGCTATAAATCTACTAGTAGGATGTACCATTACGATGTTGTACGGTGTCACAGTATTGGATTTAGCAAGACTCCCGCAACGCGTTGTTGAAGACCGGCCGTGAAGCCGCCAATCCGACGAGGCTACGTCCATGCGGCTTGGGAGAGTTGGTTTGGAGGAACGCTCACCGAGGTGATCTGAAAAATAAGCTAACGTCAGACATAACTTCAGCTGCTCGATCCGGGGCGTGCAGCGGTACGCATTTTACTTACGCTGCTTGGATGCAGTGCAAAGCGAGCAAGCTTCCTACGTGTCAGGCGGGTGCTCCAGCGGCATCGCTCGTATTGGGCAGTATCTTCCTGGAGCATCGGGATAATATTATTGAAGTACGGGACAGACAATGAAGGACGGACAGAACCTCATGGCTACAGCTACAGTGCAATACAAGACACGGAACAAGACGGTACACTCGACAGCAACGTCGAAAGCAAATCGCACACGACAGAACACGACAATAATGATAGCATCACTGCGCTTGGGCCTCCTACAAAATCCATCATAAGAATGAGTGAGCGTCGGCGAGGAAAGACACGAACCTGATCGACGAATTCCATGGCCTCTTCGCGAGTGATGTTACGGATTGAGCTGACTTTTTGATTATTGAACAGCACTCCGTAAAACTTGTCGGCTGTTACAAGCATCTCAGGCCTGAAAGTCGTCGTGATGAACTGTGCCGTAGTCGACAGATCATGGATCATAGCTGCAGGATGTGTGAGCCTCCTGAACCAGTGTATCCAGTTTGTAGCACACGTACCAGCGACGGCAGTTCGATATTGGGCATCCAGATTGGCATCGATCTGTAGAAGGCGTTAGCATGTTTTCAGGCAGATTTTGACATGATCGAACCTCATCAAACAGGTAGAACGGAGCAGGGTCGCACTTCTGAATGGCAAACACTGTATCATTTTTGTCAGCATCTGCCATATATACGGGACAGGAGAGGTCATACCCGTTGCCAGTGCTACGAGCGACTTCTGGCCACCCGACAGCTGCTGTATCCTCAAGCCCTCGTCCACTTTAGAATTAAACGAAACCTGTCGAGGTGCGTCAGCAGCCATGCACGGATGCATACATAATGCTTACTCTGATAGATACACCAGTGTAGTTGTCGATCGAGCTTTGCTGCGTCTCGTCGGCTTCCTCCACTTCCTCGTCATCCTATGTATTGCGTTATAAAATTGCCTTCACAGAGATCAACGTCAATCACATACCTGATCTATCCTACGCTGGATGATAAGCCTGCCCTTGCCAGCAGGCACCAGCTTCTCGAACACCTCCTCGAAGTTGCTCGCCACTTGCTTGAACGTGCGCTCGATGGCCTCATCCTTGCGCTGGTCGAGCGCAGTCACCAGCTCTTCGATCGATCCAGCCGACTTGTCCAGGTCCTCACGCCGGTTTAGCAGCTGGTCACGCTGCTTCGTGAAGTTGTTGTACTGCTCGAACGCCTTCTTGTTGACGTGGGCGAACTTCTTCAAGCCCTCGTTCACATTATGTAGTTTCTTCACGAGCTGCAGAGAACTTGTCAGACCTCGCCGTCGCAAAGGTAACGTGGGGAGGCTTACCCTATCGAGCTTCTCGCCGGTGTACTTCTCGAAGGCTTCCTCGGGCAGAACACCAAGATCTCGGATGTTGCGGCCACACTCATCCTTGCGATTAAGCAACATCTGCTTCTTCGCGAGGTACCGTTCGGTATTCTTCTGCTGCTTCGATATGCCCCGATTATCTTCGGATTGCTGGTTCTGCAAGGCTTCCAGAGCAGACCGCTTCTCTTGCAGTTCCGTTGTTAGCTTTTCGATCTCCTTCTCCGCGTCTGTTCATCGTCAGCGCAAAGACGCGAAGGAGGGTATAGCAGAGCTACCATTGGATCTCTTCGTTGCGCCTCGATGTCGCGATTAAGCTCGCGGAGTTCTCTCGTCCGGGCTTCCAAGGCTTCCTCGGAGGAAGCATCGCCGGCCTCGACCTCACCCAAGGCATCAATCTTGCGCTGTAGTTCATCCCGCCGACGACGCAAGCCTTCGTTAAGCTCTATCTCGATACCGTTCTTGCGGCTTCCAAGCTACAGAATAAACGATGAGTATTCATCAGGCAGTCGGCCGAGTCTGAGTCGCACCTCGTTCTTCTTCTTTCCGAGCTCCAGCATCTGCTTCTGGCGCTGCTCGATCTCCTTACCCAAGTCCTCGATCAGCCGTTCTTCATCACTGGTCATACCGCGCGCGAGAGGGCTTGCGAGCTCAGTGCGCAGACTCTCTGTCCTTGCGTCCAGACTGCTGAGCTCGGTCTCGAGATCGACGATGTCGCCCTCCAGCTTGGCGACCCGCTCCGTGAGACGCTCCTTCTCCCTGCTCAGCGCAGTCATCTCATCCGCAACTGTGTCGCGCATGTGCCGCGCCTGCATCTGCTGGTTGCTGAGCACCTGGATCTTGCCCGTGGCCCTCGTTATCTCCTGCTCGGTCGTGACGATCGCCCGCTTGACCTCTTGCAGTCGCTTGTCGTCCGTGGAGTGCTTCGCCTTCCAGCTGGTGACGGCCTTGATCGCTTCGATGCGCGAGCGACGAACGTCGTGGTAGCCACCCGTGAGTGCACCCTTGCGATCGACCTTGTCACCGTCGAGCGTGATGGTGTTGATCCCATGGCTCTTCACGTATGCCGCGGCGATGGTGAGGTCTCGGCAGACGCATGTCTTGCCGAAGACTTGTTGGAAGGCCTTGAGATGAGCGTCGTTGAAGCGGAGCTTCTCGATGAGGGGTATCGCGTCTTGAGCGTCAGGGTATGCGGGGACGTTTGGCCTCAGACGGTTCAGCGGCATGAAGGTCAATCTGCCGGTCTTCTCTCTGTTCATGATGTCGAGTAGTCTCTTTGCGGTCTCATCGGTATCCGTAACGACATGGAATAAGCTGGGCAGACATTGAGCAAGACACAATGCGACTGAGTGGGTGTCTCTTACCTGTTGCCGGCGGTGAGCTCAACTGCAATATTGTATTTATCGTCAGGGATCTCGAAAAGCCTGTACAGAGGACCGTAGACACCATCCATGTTGTGCCTTTCGATGATCCTGTCGACGGCACGTAGACCGCTACCGGTGTCCTGGATCAACATTAGTTGTGTTTGGAGATGTGCTATGCTCAGACCGACCTTGTCCATCATACTTGCCAGGGTCCTCTCTGTAGTCCTGAGCTCATCAGCGGCATGCGTCACCAAACTATCCAACTTGGTTTCCTCTCTCCACAGGTTCTTCCGCCTCTCGGTCAGGTCCGCATGCTGTTCCCTGAGACCTGCAAGCTGCTCTGCGATGTCCCTGGACTTCTGCCTCTCTGTCTCAACCCTATCGCTGTCGGTTTCGTTCCTCGTCTCAATCTCCTGGAGAGTGTTCCGTGTATCCTGCAGGGTCGTCCGCAAACTCTCCAAGGCCCCAGCCTGCGACGTGCGGTAAGCCCCAATCGACGCGATCTCTCCCCTCAAGAACTCGTCGCGCTCCGCCCTGGTTCTGAAGCGATTTAAGCGTCCGCGCTTGGCGAAGAGCGCGTCGAGCCGCGCACGCGCTTCATCCAGCCTGCGTTTCTCATCCGTCTCGAGTGTGCGCTGTGCTTCCCATTCGGGGAGAACAGTGGAGAGCGATCGTTCTTGTTGGACGATCTCGGCTTTGACGTTGTCGAGCTCTGCCTGGAGCTCTTCGCGCTTGCCTCCGGCGCGCTGAGCCGCGAGGCGGAGGTCACCGATGGTGCATTCCAGCTCAGTGCGCGCGCGCACGAGGTCGGTGAGCTCGGATTGTGCGCCAGTACGGGTCAGCGTAAGTGTCGTCAAGGTCGTCCTGATCTGCGATATACGCTGTTCCAAGCTCTAGCCATGTAGTATGTGAGCCCCATGGTTAAGATATGCGCGAATGTATGCGTACCTGTGCTCTTTTCTCGCGATCGTTGAATTGTTCTCTTCGCACGTTAGCACTGTGCACTTCACCCTTGCGTTCTTCGTCAATTTCTTCTAGCGCCTCCGAGACTTCTTCCAGTTCACGCTGGTACAGCGCATATTCGAGACACCGCCGCTCTTTGTCTTTCTCCTGGTACTCCTTGAGCTCTTCCTTCTCTTCCTCCAGTTCAGTGAGTCGCGAGTCGATGTACTCAAGCAGTTCGTTGATCTTGGTTCGCTTCGCGTCGGTCTCCGCCATAATCCGAAGCGACTCTGCTCGTCGCTGTTCGTATACCTTCGTGCCTGCAACCTCTTTGAGAAGGGCCAAACGCTCATGATCTTTTGCGTTCGTAAGTGCTGTTATCTATTGCCAAACAGGAAACAGGGGTCAAACTCTGTCTCTCACGTAGTAGAGCACGGCGTACTCACCCGTCCTTGAGGCACGATGTAGTACGGATTACTCTTGCTGAAACCGGCACTTTCGAGCAGGTTCATCACGTCTGCTTTACTCGCACTTTTCTTGTCCAGGCTGTACTCGTCCTTCTTCAAACCAATGGTTCGTCGAAGGATCACCTCGTCGCGGCCGGTAGGGAAGCGGTTGTCAGAGTTGTCGAAAACGATCTCGACTGTGACACAACGGGACACGTTGTCAATGAGTGACGTACCAAGTTAGCGTAGAAGATAGAAGAAACCATCAGCACGCACCGTACGCCGACAAGGTCGTAGCCACGGACACGCCCTCGTGTAGAAGAGACTGCCGCTCCTCCCGCGACATCGATGTGTATGCATCGGAGAGCACAAAGCGGATGGCTATAGTGCAAACGATTGTCAGAAGTCACATCGCACACAGAAAAGGCTACGCACCGGCGAAGAAGTTACTCTTTCCTGACCCATTTCTGCCCACGACCACATTGTGTCTAGGAGAAAAGGGCTCGATCTGTGTCTGATCGCGGTCTGAAAGCATTGTGAGCATGGATCATGCGGTCCAAGACGTGCAAAACTGACATGATTTGAAGCCCTGGATTGTCAGTGTCTTGATATACATGGTTGAGGCACTCGCCGGGTGCCAACCACTAGGCCGTGGCTCGAATAGGAGGAAACGACAGTATACGCGGAAAAGCTTCTATAGGGTGCGTTTCTGCGACGACGTCACCGCCGCTGCAACAGTTCAGACGTGTTCTGACAGAGGTGAGCGTGCGCACTGCGCTGTGGCTGAGGGTGAGCGTCGAGCGACCGCAGACGCGAACGCGCGAGGACGCGCGACGCGTGACATGTCGCGCTTGTCACACGCGCTGGGTCCTGGCCGCAAACTTCGAGCTCAAGCTTAATCTATTTAAGCCAGGTCTGAGCCTGCGTTCGCTGTTCCTTCGCAGTCTTCCACTCGTCTCGTCGCAACTCAGCGCAGCAATACTATGCAGGTCAACCGTTCTTGGAGGCATTTCGCTCCGCTCACCCGGACGTGCCGACGCTCGTACTCGGAGTCGTCACCAGGCCTGCCACCGCTTCCTCCGCCCGAGAAATGGCGTAGGATATTTGACCAGGGAAATGCACTCAAGGACAGGGCTTGCATCAAACGTCCAGACACCGCCCAATTGGTTGCGAACTCCTTTCTAGGCGACGCGAGTCCGGTAGGTGGTGACGGCAAGGTTGTCATCGAGGCGTTTCCCGGTGCGTATTCGAATACGCAATCTTGCGCGCGAAGCTCAGTTTGCGACATATCTCAGGACCCGGTGCATTGTCACGAGCGTTACTACAATTGCCTCGTTCCAAGATCCGCAAGCTTATCATATTGGAAGACCATACGGAGTATCTGCCACATCTCAAGGTGTGTCTGTTCTTACTCGTTATTCTGCAAGTTTCCACTGATGATCGTAAGGCATTAGAGGAGGCGGATTCGCGGGTACACGTGATTCCATACTCTGGCTATATGTGGGACACGTACACCTACCTAGAGGATACGGGTTTGTTGTCGGACGTACCAACTGTACCTTGGGAGGGTGGTCGTGAGTTCGCTATCTCGGAACAAATCGTCACGGCAGAATGCTGACGGGAAATATGCTGCTCTAGTCCATCCTAACCTTCATTTTATCAGCCATCTCCAACGAAGCATCAAGGGCGAGCAGCTGATTGCCCAGCTCTTCCGCTGCATACCAGACCGAACATGGTTGTACAAGTTCGGCAGAGTACCCATGAGCTTCGTTATGAGCGACTGGGTATGGACGGTACGTATTCAGCTGTTAGGTTGCTTTGGGCGTGGACTAACATCGCTTGTCAGCGTATCAATTCCCCGCCTGGCAAGAGTACGCGATGCAAGCTCTCTGTGATCGCTGACGCTTCAGCCGATTGCCTCAGCGCAATGGACTGGGGGCTTCTTCAGCCATATAACGATCATTTTCACCCCATGACATCGGGGCATACAAGCCTTAAAAAGCCCATAACAAGGCAATTGGGCTACCCGTTCACGGCCGTGAACGTGATACCACATGCGGACCAGGTTGGTATGAGACGGCTGTCTCTTTGGTCTCTGTTCTGCCTGGTCGCGGCTAACTGCGAATAGGTTATTCGCAGAGGCCTTTTGGAGAAGTGGGACTACTGCTTGCGTAGGCTCTTCGTTTTGAAGTCGACCCCACTACAGCGCTCTATCAGGTTCGTCACGGTTGGCGTTGACGACATGCCGCTCATCGCTGAGTGTTGGTGCCTAGTTCTCTTGCCCCTGGTGCAGCTACTCTCCTCAAAACGCTTACTGATCCTTCCCTACCACGGGAACAGCGAGTGGATATCAGTAAACCACCGCGCGGATTGACAGTCGCAGACTGGGCATTGCTCGTCCGCGCATTCGAATTATGGCCGTTCGCTCCAGAGGTAAGCAACTGCCGCCGTATGCTTCCGCTGATACTTACCGCGTCGTTTGTCACGTAGGACCTCATGGTTAACGATGGCATGACGACCAAGATAGATACAGACATAAAATTGTCTTAAAGTGATTGTGTCGTTCATTAATGTCTTGCTTGGTACTTCGATGCTGGGGACACACATTATGGAGTAATACAATATATTAGAAACCACTAGTATGATCATACACCAAGCTCTGTCTCATCGGTCCCGGTCATTACCCAGCAGCCACATCCACGACACTGCTTTCATGCACCGGAGACGGTGGCCATTCATCGGCTCCGGACTCCCGGCATCCTGTAAAGCGACGAGAGCCAAACGTTAGCAATCCGCCTTTCTTCAAAACTAGCAGCGACAGTCGACTTACCTCCACATTCGCGTTCGCAGCCGCTTTGGTCTCCACCTCCAGCTGTACTTCCATGTCCTCCTCTCCATCTACTGGCTGTGTATCTTCGTCTACCTCAACCGGCTCTAAGTTGCCCATGGTCACGTCCGTTGTCTGTGTTTCGTCATCGTCAACTGCTTCGGTCTGTTGTGAGTCAGCCTGGCTCTCGGTGGCCTTCTTCTTCCGCCCGGACGATTTCTTCTCTTGCTTATCTGTCGGCGGATTGGGGGGCAAGCCGAAGAGCGTCGTCTGACGTCCTGCCGACTTCTTATCCTTCTCTTTCAAGCTGGTCTTGCCCTTTCCTGGCGGTGGCCCTGCGGTTTAGAACGCGGCTGTCAGTCCAAGCTGCTTGCACTGATGAAGTGAGTCCACCAACGTTTGGCCTTGTCAGTCTCAGCGGCGTCCACTTTCGAGAAGAAGCTCTCGCTTTTCTGCAGGGGCTTGTTGACGTCGGCGTTTCGTGTGAATGGATTGCGGTTGTTATCTGCGCCGGTTTTCCGTGCGAAGGGATTTGCACCTGAAAACAGTCAGTACATTGCTCGAGCGTTGGTCTCTTATACGGCTTACGTGTTGTCGATGCACCTGCTTTCACTAGTGGCACTGGTTCATCAACTGCACGACGCTTGGAGACGTTGTCTACTCCAGGGGAGTGATACTCGCGGACAGGTTGCGTCTCTTCTACCCGTTTCCTCTTGCCGTCCGGGGACGAGAACGAGTAATCATCGACGGTGTCGTCGAAAGACGCGCCGAAAGTAGTCGTGTCTTCCGAGAATTGACTGCTCATGCCTGGCTGCGGTTGTTGACGAGCGGCATTCTATTGGCGTCCACAATCGGCGTCGCTCGTTCCAATCCCGGGCGTGCTTCATAGGAGGCGGTCTGAAGTCTTGGAACGCCTTTGGACGCTGGGCCTCTGCATGGATCTTCCGCGGCGCAGGCACAACTGCTAGATCCCTTGCGCGCTGTCGACGTTTTTCGCGGGCGTCCACGAGGCGGTCCGACTCCTCCCTGTCGTCCTTGAGTGCTTCTATCTTCTCCTGCAGGCCGATGAGGTGGTAAAACCCGGCAACTTTGATGGCCATGTCGAAGGACTTGGTGTGATGCAAGAGCTTGGTGAGTCAAGAGCCCTCGCAGTCGTCATTCTTGCACGCTTCTGAATGAGCTGGATGAGTTCTTATCGAGTGCGAGCTCGCGCGGGAGATGTCGTCCGTGGTGAGCTCGTCGCCAAGACCGTCGCGGAGATGTCAAGTAACATTCTTCGCGAGCAAGGCTGCGTGATACTCAGCGTGACAAGCCAGACGTACGGGGACAAGGCATACTCACTGTTCTTCAGAGGTGCTTCCTTGGGGTCTTGACGGTGAAAGGGAAGCTTCAGCGCCAGTTCTTGCATAGAGGTCGAGGGAACGTAGGGTGTTCTTGCCTTCCCTACGTCCGGCATCAGGCCACAACCCATGACATGGATGACCTGAGCTTCGAGCTTACCTTCAGAATCAAACACATGAATGTCTCGCCGGCAAGACCGACAGGCCAGTATGACTCCTGTTTGCCTTCTCGTCGGTCTAGGAGGTTGGTGTCAAGTGCTCGGGTCCAGGTTGCGGCGAAGGGCAACCGGAATCTTGGCATGATATTGAGAATACCAGCGGAATCGTATGTGGCTGGGGCCTAGTGCAGAATTCAGTGTTCGATTGATAGGCACTAGTTATTCCACAAACTCACGCCTTCTTCAGTGACCCCGATCCACTTCAGTGTGTGGCGCTTCGGCACAGGCAATGCGTCCTTCTGCAGCACGCAAAAGTCATCGAATTGTATCAGTCTGCCCATCAGGTTCTGCGAGCCTGAGAGCCAATTGAGTCAATTATGCGATGCACGATACATTTGCTCTTACCATCCATCGTCGTTGCGCCGTCGCGCGTCACTACGAATACCCATTCTGGTGAAGCGACCATCGTCACGAAGTCGCCCTGCAAGCTCAGAACACACCGCTCGATGCCCGTTCCGGTCAGGAAGATAAGCTCGCCCGTACTCGTAGCAATGACCACATTGCCGTTGCCTTGCATGTCTGCGTCCGACTTCTCGCGGAGTGACTTCGTCGGCGGGGGACCGCCCGCCGCAACGCCAAGAACGCGAGTACCCTTTGGGAGATCGTACGTCCATTCACCCTGTGCGGCCCAGGTGCCGTAGGGTTTGTAGATGACGTGCGCCGGGTGCTCGTTCTCAGGCTGGCAGGCATAGGCTGCCCCGCGCTCGCCTGTTGTTTGTCAGAATCTGTAGCGAGCAATTGGATTGTAACGTACCGAGTGAAGCCAAATCATACTTGAAATGGTCCGTGAAGTGGTAGCTCTTCCGCGCGGTCTTGTCGTAGAACTCAACATTGACGATGTGATGAGTGTCCTGGTCGGTGATCTCGATGACCCCGATCATGTTATACGCTGCATCAACCTCTCAGTCTTGCATTTCGCATACTAAGATACCACGCCTACCTAGGTATCGTTTCTTGTTTTCCATTGGTGTTGACCCAGGCTGGAAGGCCGGTTGTGCCTTGGTGACACTGACTGCACGAAGGACGCCATTCAGTCAACGTCGATCATTCACACAGCGCACTTACCCATCTCTTTGACCCCATCCTTTGCACTCCACTTCTTGTCGTCGTCGTCCATGCCGCCGCCCAAGTCATCCAAAATCCAGTCATCGTTGTCCAGATCTACGCCGACATCGTCGTCCACGTCTACATCCCCGCCCGCATCCTTGCCCGCGAACTCCTTGTCTGCCTCAATGTCGAATAGTGTCGGGGTCCTCGCACGCTTCTTCTGCACGCCGGTGGCGCTCGAGGCGGCAGAGGGCTTGAGGGGGTCGGGAGCGGAGGCGGGGATAGGCTCCGGCCAACGGGTGAAGGTACCTTCGAGGTCGGTCCACGCAATGAGATTTTGCGAAGGGGAGAAGGCTATTTCAGTGACAGGCGAGGGTATGCCCTCATAGCTAGCAAGCGTCAGATGCATTAGCCTTGCTGAAGGACGTGCCCTACACTCACCGATACAATAGCCGTCGCGTCTGCGTGGACCAGACGAACACGCCGGACTTGGATGCGGAAACGAGATAGACCCCATTCTTGGACAGGGCAAGCGCCGTGATGGCTCCTGACGAGGCGTCGTCGGAGAATGTGGAAGACTTGGACCAGTCATTGCGAGAGACGGTGACAATTTCTGGGATGACAGGACTCAGTCGGTGCGGCGGAGAGTCAGATGTACCAGTTTGCCTACCATGCGTTCGCGTCGCAACGTAAAAGTGTTGGCCAGAAGGGTGCCACGCAACAGAGCAGTCATATGCGAATTCGTCAGACCTTGCGGTACATCAGCCCATACACCTGGCAAGAGGCAAACTAGTATTACGCACTCGGAGTTTGCCACCGCGGGGAGCATGCCCTCGATAGTTTTGACCTCCTTGCCTTCGCCTTCAGAGATGTCCCAAATGATGATTTTGCCATCGGCGCCACTTGTCGACTGCGGACTGTAAGTTACACATCCCGAGGAGGCTCAACGACGACGTACCAGTAGCGAGCCCGACGGATGCCATGTCGCCCTACGCACGGCTTTCGTGTGACCCTTTAACAACACTACCTTGGTGGTATCATCCAGGTCGATGACTTTGACAATCGTTTCACTGTGCACAAGTCTAAGAAACACGAGTAGTCGCTAAGGTATTGGTGGGTCACTCACTCAGACGTTACTGCTATCCGGCTGCCCTGCGGGTCCACTGCCAAGCTCCGTATCGCGACTCCGGCAGCGCTGGTGACAAGGCCGTCCATCTCCCACTTGGCATGTTCATATTTCCTCACTTCCGAGTCGTGACTACCAGAGAACCAACAATGGTGCTGTACATCCCAGTGGTCAGTTGCGACAAGAGCGAGGACACGAGCGAGCCACGAACCCCAGCAGCGAGGCAAGTGATCGCCTCATTAGCCTCCACAGCAGCATCTGGTTCCTGGTCTGTTCCAAGGTCTGTCCTCCATATCCGCACAATCGAGTCGGTTCCTCCAGTATAGACGCGTCTGATAACAGTTGAGCTATGCATACGCATGGAGATGAGTCTGAGCTTGCTCACGCGCCATCCCGAGAGAATGCGAGACACGTAGATCCAGGTTGGTGGGCGGAATTCACAATAGGAGGTGCCATCGTCGATGCGCTATATGAATCAAGTGTGAGGAGACCTACGCGTCCCAGCTTCGGTGAGGAGGTTAGGTTGAGAGCGTGAGCGAGTCGTTGCGCCTGCCCACGCAGAACGCGTTTCGTAACGCGTTCCGTAACGCGTTATGTCGCAACTTTCTTGCAGGGGTTATAATGCAATACAATCCACATTTTCCTGGACACGTTTTAATGTGTGGTAATCAACGCGAAACTCATTGAAATACGCATTGTAATGTCATTGGAATGCCATTCGGATCAGCCGGCGGTGATTAGATAGCATTGCATGGCAGCTTTTGGATGCATTTTGCATTGAAATGCTATTGGAATTTACGTGGAAAGATAGCATTGCCATTTCAATTTCCGCGCATTAGAAACCCGGAAAGAAAGTTGTGACATTTGTGACAGATAAGCGCTTGTTCTGTAGCGCCCACGTCGGACGCTAACAGTGCACATGTGACCCGTTCGGGGTCCCTGGTTCAGGTTCTTCTCCTCCTTGCGAAGCTTCGAGCTTCAAGGATCGCCTGCAGATGGCCAAGATGTTCCTCTCTCACCTCATTAGCCTCGACGATACCTGATCATGCGTTTGACATGGGCACAAGCATCACGCACGCATACCAGAGACGCGTTCGTTAGGCACGGAGAATCACCGGACCGCGAAGGACGCGATGATGGGCTCAAGCCAGGTAGAGCGGTCCGGTCCTCGAGTGCTCCTGACTCTCGGACTCGCAGAACATAAGTAGCGGGCTCGCAGCCAGTACGATGCCGGATCCTCACAGAGCCAGCTATGTCTTACTTCGCACACACCACCCCTTTCGCCTCCAACCCGCTCGAGACTAAGGATGACCTCGCTAAATACCTCATTGGTCTCCTTGATCCGCTCGCAACTCACACCTCGCCTGGGGGTGCTCGCATACATCTCGGCTTCACCGGTACGCACTACGATGAGGCCGCTGCTCAGCTCGAGGGCTTCTCGCGACCCATCTGGGGTCTGGCGTCGTTCTTGGCCGGAGGCGGGTCGTACGTGGGCGCCGAAAGATGGGTGAGAGGCTTTGCTAACGGGACGAATCCTGACCACGAAGAGTTCTGGGGGAACATGAGAGACAAGGATCAGCGGATGGTTGAGTGTTCTGCTATTGGCTTTTCGCTCGCTGTAGCCAAGGAACACCTGTGGGACCCGTTGCCTGCTGAGGGAAAGAAGAATCTCGAAGCGTGGCTTGCCGGAATGAACGACAAGGAGATGCCGAACACCAATTGGCTTTGGTTCAGGGTGTGTTCATGTGTCATTCCTCCTTGAGACAGAAGAGCCTCACAAGGGAGACATGCACAGGTCTTCGCTAATCTCGGACTGTCGAAAGTAGGTTCGCCCAAGTTCGACGGAAAGCGGATGAAGGCGGACATGGACCACCTCGACACCTTTTACATTGGGGACGGATGGTCTCGCGACGGTCCGGAGGGAGTAGTCCAGCTCGACTACTACTCGTCATCGTTCGCCATTCAATACGCCCAGTTGGTGTACTCCAAACTCGCCCAGACAGAAGACCCCGAGCGCTGCGAAGAGTTTCGCAACAGGGCGCGCAAATTTGCGCTGGACTTCGTATACTACTTCGATCCTGAAGGTGCGTGCCAGGGCACGGATGCATAGCCTCCAGCTGACGAGTGTAAATGGACACAGGACGCGGTGTAACCTTCGGACGAAGTCTGACTTACCGCTTCGCGATGTCTTCGTTCTGGAGCGCCTTAGCATTCGCGGATGTTGAACTGCCTGCGCCGCTCACATGGGGTGTCGTGAAAGGTCTACAGTTGCGCAACATCCGGTACTGGGCCAGACAGCCCGGTGCCTACAATTCAGACGGCACACTCACCATTGGCTATTGTTACCCGAACCTTAACATGACTGAGGTGAGTGCGATCATTGGCTTCAAGAGGTCGAATTCACATCTGAATGACAAACTACTTCGATAGAACTACAACTCACCAGGAAGTCCGTACTGGTGCTGCAAGTCCTTCATTGCGCTTTCTCTTCCGACATCCCACCCATTCTGGGCCTCCCCAGAGGAACCGTACCCCGCATCACTTCTCAACACGACCAAGTCGCTCTATAAGCCGCTGCACCTCGCCACACACCTTGGCGGGCACACCTTCATTCTCTCCTCCGGCCAGCAATGCTCCTACCCCGTGAAGCAGTCCGCGGCCAAGTACGGCAAGTTCGCGTACTCTGCCGCGTTCGGCTACAGCGTCCCCTCAGGCAGCCTCACCCTCGAGGAGCATGCCGCGGACAGCGCGCTCGCGCTCAGCGACGACGCAGGCGAGGTGTGGAAAGTGCGACGCGCGACGAAGGAGGCGCGCTTTGAGCGGGCCGCGGCAGGCGGGCACGAGTGGCTCCGCTCGATGTGGTACCCCTGGCCGGATGTCGCTGTCGAGACGTGGCTCATTCCGCCGGCGGGGGATGCCCCGCTCTGGCACCTTCGTGTCCACCGCATTCGCACGAAGCGCGCGCTGCTCTCCGCAGAGGGCGGTTTCGCGATCTACGGCCAGGACTCGAACGATCGGGCGCTGGGTTCCGCAACGGGCGAGGCGTTTGGGACGCTGGAGAGCGGTGGCGAGGCGAGGGCCGCGTCGAAGGCGGGCGCGTCGGGCGTGGCGGAGCTGAGCACAGCGGGGAGGTTGGGCAAGGCACTGAGGACGGATCCGAATACCAATTTGATGGTACCGAGAGCGGTGCTCCCAACGCTTATGGGTGAACACGCGCCGGGGGAGAATGATGTTTGGCTTGTGACGGGTGTGTTTGGTATCCCGAGCGTGGGTGACCAGGAAGGGGCGCGGGCGGGCTGGGAGGCGGAGTGGCACAAGAGACCGACCGTTCCGGAGGAAATCGCAACGTTGATTGGGAAATAATCCAACAGAGTGAAACGCATACAATGTACATACTTTCTCGTAACCATGCAGACTCACGCGAACGCGATGACTCCACGTTGGTGCAGGTCCGGGTATTCGCGTTCGATATATGCCTCCAGAAAACTTGTAGGTCCTTTGCCTTCTATGACAAATTTTTGGAGCGAAGAGAAGTCTTCCCGAGCAACCGTCTCGCATATGCTTTCCCAGCCCAGCGCGGTGAGATCTGCGTAGCTTGCTCGGGACAGCTTCCGGACGGCGTTTTCTGAAGCCAAGGCGCTCAGGTCCTGCATGTCGTCGATATGGAGTGACAGTGTGACTTGGTGCAAGCGAGGGGAGCGTAGCTGGGCGAGCAGCTTTGGGATCCAGAGGAGGTCTCGGTTCTGCCGGACACACATTGTTGCGACGTACAGTCGGAGCGCGAACGATCGCAGGCAAGGCAAACCCGACAACGAGAATCCGTCCTTGCCGAGAACGCCTGGTGGACTGAGTTGAGCGGATAAATCAAGAGGGAAACGAGGAAACATACTGTCCAACGAAGCTTCGCTCTTCACGACGAACTCGAAGTGCTGCAGATGCGACCCGAAGATGTCCAACAGCACCTCTGTTGGCCACACTTCCCACATAACATTACATGATAGGGTCAAAATTGTTCGGGGGTTCGGGATGTCCTTGAGCCAGTTGAGCAACGCAAGTGCGGGGATGCGATCCCACACGAGCTCCGCGAGCTCTATCGTATGCAACCCAGGAGGCAGAGACGGGAGTGGCGGTTCAACCGCATAAGTGAGCCCTATTAGGAGTGAAATCGACACATACTCCAGGTTCTGGAAGGAGGAAAGCAGCGCAGCGAAGTCATGTAGTGTTTCGAACCAGCAATCACGAAGGGTTAATTCCCGGAGGGCGGGCAAGGTGCGAAGGAAGGCCCTGTGGACGCCACCTGCCATTCTCATGTTATCCAGGGTGAGCTCGGTGACAGCGGTCAGGGCCCCCAAGAATTCCAGAGACACATTGTTCCACGCCCTGACAACGTAGAGTAGATTGTGCAGCTTGATGGAACGGACCGCGCGCGCGAGCTCTGGTGACGCTTCGAGCAGCCATGCGAACTTCATGCAGGTGTGAATTTGAAGCATGATGTGCCCGAAGCGATGATAGCGAGATGCCGGAAGCCATTGACGACACGTCAGAGCGCATGCCGCGAGGGAGCGAGAGTCGGTGTGCAAATAGTCAATGATGTGATCTGTGAGCTCTGGGGGAAGGTAGGGAACCATCGCCGATTCTACCAACGCAGCGGGGTATTGTTGGTATCTGAGAGAAATGAATTTATGAGCGCACAGACCTATAAGACGCGTGTGGTCGATGAGGTCGGAAGGTGTACGGATTCCAATATCGAGGGAAACGTCGAGGAGGGTGCAAGGACTCGGAGGGTATGTAGTACTCTTATCTCAGATCCCGCAGTATCGGGTCGGGATCTTGACCACCCACACCTTCGGGCGCCTCGTCCCATCCAAACAAGTAGTGACGGTGCTGGCGCTGGCAGACTTGTTCCGAACTGGCAGCAACGACGTGTTCAGCACTGAGGCGCACCCCTTTTCTACAGTCAGTATCTACTTTGAACGTTGGACGATTGTCTCAATACCCTCGGCTGACTTTGGCACGACTCTCACAGGCCCATCGCGGAACCACGATGCGCTTGGGTGACCTTGATGATTATTCCTTGTCCTCAGTCGTATCGCTCCTCAGTCAATGCGACAGTTTGAATCTCTCCCTGACATCTCGCAGGATTCATCCCCTCGCCAGACGCCACGCTCTGTCGACGATCGACATCAAGACGGCCGCGCAGTTGGAGAGGATATCCAGCTACCTCCTGGCGGATGTGCCCAACCGCCTGCACTTCGTACGGGCACTCACCGTGTTCAGGGTCGCCTTCGACCCTCGCGGGCGGCACAGCGAGGCGGAAGGTTCTCTTCTCGCGGATGTCCTCGAACGAGCACCGCATTTGAAGACGCTGCGGCTCGAGGCAGCGGGTGCTCTATTCGAGGCGGAGCCGCGCGTAGCATCTGCAACATGTCGCTTGGACCAGCTAGTCCACGTTGATCTGCGAGGTCTGTCCTCCGCCTCATTGGAAGTCGTGGATCGTCTTTCCTGTGCGCCCCGCCAGCTTAGCCTACATGGTGCCTACCCCAGATCACATAAAGACTGCTGCGACGCGACTTCACTGCTTTCTGCTCCCGTTATGCGAAGCGTCCGTTCTCTCCACCTACGCCACTTCCGTATCGCGGACCAACAAGTCGATTCTGTTGAAGACGGCCTTTACCACACCCCGCCGCAATGGCCAGAGCTCAGGGACCTGAAGATAGAGCATAGCTATGTCTCTGCTGCTACTCTTGTCTACGCATTCCCTACTGTCAAGGCGATACACTTTAAATCCCGGAAAAGCATGGAAGTATGGGAGAAAAAAGATGCTATCAAGGCTTTTAAGGCCAATGTTAAGATTGTCATGGCTGGCACTAAGCTCAGGGATCCCCTCCCCAGGTTGGAGGCCCTCGCCAGCATCAGGCGTGGGGAGTGGACTGTGACCACGGAAACCGCATGTTGGGGGTATCTCGACTGGGCTTACGGAACTTCCGAGGATTTCACGAACTGGGAGATAACATTCAAAGTACGATGGCTTATGCTCCACTCCGAGTCCGACTGGTCATCTGTGTCGCAAATACTGCCAATCCTACAGCGTACTTTGCCTGTCGTCCTTTCCCTACAAGGCCTCCCTGCCCTGTTGGAGCGGCCCATGATGTTCTGGCCGGAATTTGTCCGTATTGCACCCCGCATTCGCTATCTCGATCTTACACTGTCGTGTACCGATACGTTGGACTCGGATTTCAACATGTACTGGACAGTGAGTCAGCCCGCACCATGTTGTCCTCGCATTCAGCTGAAGCATACTTATACTATAGGACAGGGTGTTCTCGGCATTATCAGAACTACCCTTGTTTGCTCTGCGCCTCTGCCGCAGCGGCAAACTTTACGCGCATGACATGGACGAATCACGCCTCACTGTCTATCCGCGTTGGTCGTCTGCGATATGCGACCTAGCCGCGCACATCGCGGGCATGGTGACGTCTTTGCACATCATCTCCGTCGGAGAGGGTGTTCAGGTATACAACCGCGAGTTGTCACGCTATCGCTTTTGCGGGCATGCATTATGGTGGCGGATCGTTCCGAATGATGAACCGCCCTCGGCGAATGTGGACCGTGAGGAAGATGCAGGGGAGAGTGTGCACTCCGGGAGCTCTGACGGGGATGTCGATGATGAGGGATCTGCAGAAGAGGGCTCAACACACGGAGAGACAATCGACCCAAACCCGAAGCTGGCAAGGACTCTCGGCCCAAGTGCATCTCGAAAAATGGTGCCCATTTCACGAGACCTGGGTGAACATATTCGTATCTACATGGAGTCGAGCGAGTTCACAGAAACGTCGGCCTTCGACGGTAAGCAGTGCTTTCTATGTGAAACCTGAAACTGGGTGGGGAAATTGACAAGGGATCGTAGATGAACTATTTGAGCGACTTGCACGAACTGCGGTTCCGAGGGAGGTAGTATCCGAGCCGTAATGAGCGACCTAAGTAGCATCAGACTGCGTCACACGAAGTACGTACAATACTCGACAGGAATATCGTGGCAGTTGTATGCCAGACACTTAACGGATATTTGAACACTCAAGTGTGAAGGATATGACACCCGAAGACGCTGCACTAGGTCTACGGTACTATGTACCTACGTATATCTGTTAAATTTTGCACACATGCTACTGTGCAGGACAAGTGGTCCATTAAACCTGCCTCGGTCTGGTTTGTTCGAGCCGCGAGCGCTACAGTACATGGAGGTCATTGTGCCCAACGGCACCGTGGAATGGCGTGCATCATTTCCAGGCGAAAGCCAGCTAGCACTGGAGGTGGCCGTATGCCACTACCCACTTTCCTGCCCAGGACTCAGGGATTCGCAGACTCGGAAGGTGGCCGTACGGGTGGTGTGTGCCAGACATGTGTCTACCCTGCTGTTCGCGCCTCGGTCCCGGTGGCATGTGTCTGTGTCTGCAACGTGTTCCTCATGCCGCTTCCTCTCACATCCAGCTCGCACTCAGTCCGTGTTCATTCACAAGGTGCATCGCTATGTCCGCCCTGTCTGGGCTACCCAGCGCCCTTTTCATCGTACAAGCTGACCGTGGTTTCAGCAGCTACATAGGACGTCTTCACCCAGTGGTATTCAGCACGGATGCGATGTAATGGATGCGACGCACTGCCGCCGTGTCATATCCGTTCCTCCAGAGCTTCAGAGGTCCCAATAAAGATTAGACTTTCCATGGGAAACACCAGGTGCGTCCGTCAGATAAGATCTTCCGCTCGCTATTGTCGAACGCGTGCCCGTCGCGTTGTGTGCGCGGGTGCTCCGTCCCTCCTCGTCCTCCCCGCGGCCTTGACCTCCCCTCCGACTCGCGTGCGAGCTCTCGTCTCCCCACTCTACGCCCCCTGCCCTTCTTTCTTTCCTACACACCGTCATTGTCCCCTTCTCTTTACGTCATCACTATGTCTTACAACGCCGCACAGACTACGACAGCTGCAGCAGGCTCTGCGGCAGCGACCTTCTCTGTAGATGCCTACGACGCCACCAGCGGTGGCACAGACTTGCTTACCGGCGACCTCTACTTCCTTGCGGATGTCTTGCTCTTGTGCGTCGCCGCCCTCTTCTTCCTCCTCGCTCTCCCCCGAGCGATCACCCGCCTCACCCGCCTCTCCGCCTGGACCGAAGGCCTCTTCCTCCGCGCAGGCTCAGGGAGAAGGCGCGTTCAACATCCTGGGTCTCTGTCACCGAAGGAAGGTGAAGTGTACGACTACTCCGAACGCAGTTTCGCTGCGCGGCGGTTCACCTCACAGCGGCGCGTCAACCCGACCTCTGGCAGTCCTACAACCGTCACGGACGACGGGGACTCCGACGCCGCCCGCTCGCATCGGCGGCCTCCCGCGCATATGCCTGCGTGGTCCTCCATCTTCCCTGGAATGAGTGCACGCTTGGGCGCCACCCTCCGCCCGGGCCACTCTGTCGGCAGTGCGCTGCTCCTCCTCGGATATGCTGTGCTTATGCTGTTTGTTGGGCTTGAGGGCGGCAATCCGTTCGTGGAGTACGTTCCTGCGGGTTGGGTGGCGGCAAGTCAGTTGCCCGTGGTGTTCATCTTGGGAACGAAGAACAACTTGTTGGGAGTACTGTTAGGCAAGGGCTACGAGAAGGTGCGTTTCTGTTGCTTAGACCGGAGCTCGGGACGGCTCACAGGCATGTAGCTCAACTATCTACACCGCTTTGTCGGACGCTTCGTATTCCTCGCTGCCAACGTGCATTCACTTGGATATTGTGCGTCACAGCATACGATCGTGTGCAACCTGCATATTGACACCAGTCTCTACAGTGTACCAATGGAGCATTCAAGGCACTCTGGCGCAGAACCTTACACCAAACATCATTTGGGGCTTTGTGGCACTAGTGTGCGCGGACATCTTGTTTTTCCTGTCTCTCCACGAGCTCCGTGAAGTGCTATATCCACTCTTCTATTTCTCGCACGTCCTCGCCGCCATAATCATCCTTCCAGCCGTACGTCCCTCTCTCAACGCCGTCTCACCCTAGCTCACCGCTCACACCTTCTCAGACTGCCTTGCACGAGCGCAGCACAACACCCTACGTCATCACTGCCCTCGTGCTCTACCTCTTCGACCGCCTCCTCCGCATCGCCCAAACGCGCCTCACGCACGCACACCCCCGCGCGCTCCCCGTGCTCGGCACCGTCCGCCTCACGCTCCCGACGCTCAGCACGGGCTGGCGCGCGGGCCAGCACGTGCGTGTGAAGGTGCTCTCGACGGGCATGGGCTGGTGGGGCTGGGCAGAGAGCCATCCGTTCACGGTCGCGTCGTGCGCGGAGGACGGTGGGCGAGGGAGTGAAGGTGAGGGGCTGGTGCTACTGTGTAAGAGCGCGGGGAAGTGGGGCGAGAGGCTGATGGAGCTGGCGAGGAGGGCGGAGTATTGTGAAGCGGGGGGAGGGAGTCCGCGCGTGCGGGTGCTTGTTGATGGGCCGTTCGGTGCGTGCTCATTCGTGTGTTCCTCTGACATGTGGTGCTGACCGGAAACTGACTTGCGTTAGGCGGACCCGGGCATGCTGTCATTGCCAGCTACTCCGCGGCACTGCTCGTCGCGGGTGGAAGCGGGATCTCGTATCCCCTCGCCATCGCGGAAGAACTGCTTCGTGACGCGTCGTACGGCGCAAGTCGCGTGCGGCTCATCAACCTCGTCTGGAGCGTGCAAGACACTGGTGCGTACCCCAGCTCATCGTTATCCCACAAAACGCTCACCCTACATGCATTCCAGCCTCGCTCGACCCTATACTTCCCCAATTCACCCGCCTCCTCCGCACCGCCCGCCACACAGGCACACACCTGCGCATCTCGCTCTTCCACACCCGTGCCACGACTTCGACAGAGCCCAAGCTCTCCCCCTCCGCGCGGTTCCTCCCACAGGGCCTCACAGTGCGCGCGGGGCGCCCTCCGCTCGCGAGCCTCCTGTCGAGCGTGGTCAACCGCACGCTGGAGGTGCACAAAGCGTCGGTCGCGTGGACGCCGCAGGCGGGCTCCGGGGAGGCGCAGGAGCGCAGGAGCCCGAGCGGCGTGTTCGTGGGCGTGTGTGGGCCGCGTGCGCTCGGCGAGGACGTGGAGAGGCTGGTGAGGACGTTTGGGGCGCGCGAGGAGCGTGCGGGGAGTGTGGGCGGGGTGGAGTGTCAGGTGGAGGTGTTTGGGTGGTGAGGGCTGTGATGAACTGTTACGATGCGTTTGGATGCTTAGGCTCGTGTCGAGATATTGGGTTGGATTGTGTGATACACGGTTTGGATTGTACAGTACTGTGATGTATCTGGTAACATGTATTATGATTATTTGTATTGACCATGGTGCGCTTCACGTCGGTGAATATTATTCTCAGGTCTTTATACGTCCTCATACCCGAGTACTGTATGCGTGTCTGCAAATTTGAATACTGACATGACTCTTACCCTAGGGTGTGCTTGTGTGGGGTGTCCCTTCATTCATCAATGGTTAGCGTTGAAACGCTGATCAACAACAGGTAGCGCAAGCTAGTGGATTGTTTAGCCAGGCAACGAACATTGAACGCTGTATACGGATTTTATACTTGTCTGGCAGGGTAGTCAGTGGATGCACAGACGCTCGAGCCATTTTCGTGGATTAAAATACGTCGACATCAGAAGCATTGACCAGCAACTACTTACACCATCGTAGCACCAATATGCGTCACCAATATAGAATATATAGAATAGTCCGTTAAACAGTTCGTCAAATCAGGCATCGTGCCAGTCCAAAACGTGATCTTCAAATCTACTAGCGTCCATACTCGATGAACGCGTCCGAGTCGGCGATCCGGATTATCTCGACTTCGGATCCGTGAACGCCATGTCCGCCAGCCCGCCATGGATCCCGAACATCTTCTTCACGTTGACGACGAGCAGCATCAGGAGCGCAATCGTCTCCGGGGTGATCTGCAGGCAGTAGAAGAGCACCTTCGCCGCCGTGCCGTTGTGCGAGCCCGGGCCCATGGCGAGGAGGGAGTCGGTGTAGTTTGCCATCACGACGAGGCGGTAGATTGGGGTGATCGACTGCAGGCACGGGGTATGTCAGACGTCGGTTATACGGGGAGAAAAGGAGACTTACGAGGATGCAGCAGAGAGCGCTGAGATAAAGCGCGGGGATGAGTGCTACCCGAGTGGGGCGCGTCACAAGGCCCCAAAGCACCAGGAGGTTGCTGCCTTGAAGTAGGAACAACGCGATGCCCGCCGAGAGGTATCTATGGCAACAACGAGCTCGGATTAGTCTCAGTCCAAAACAGCCTCTCCCACAAAACGAACGTACCGAGAGTGCTGGACCAGCATAGCGTCGTAATGGCTCATTTCGCCCGCGTAATAATAACCGCTCGAGACCGCTCCCATGGCCATGGCCGTAAGACGCAGCACCAGCTGAGCGAGGCAGAACATCCTGATCCAGTGTCTGCGCCGCGGCTCGTCCGGCAGGACTTCCGTCTGGGACACCTCGAGCGCACACTGACTCATGCTCAGGGAGGACCCGTGTCCGTACAGCTTGGGCTGGAGCAGCTCCGCGCGCTCTGCGTCGGAGGCCGTCTGCGCATCGGCCGGGGGCAGGCCCTTGGCGGCGAGAGGCAGGGCGTCGTTGCCGCGGGTGCTGTTCACGAGGAAGACCATGATGAGCGTTCCAACATCTTGGGTCATCCCGACGATGCCGATGGCGTAGCCGCCTTGGAGGAAGTTGACGTAGGTCTTGGGCGTGCGGAGGTCCGAGTTGTATGCCTCGGACGTGCGAACGGAGAAGTCTACAATTCTGTGCGAGGCGAGGTTGTGTGAGCTGACGACGACCGGGCAGAGCGAGGGAGAGGACTTACCGTTCGCACGTGAAGATGATGGTGCCGAGGATGACGAGAGTGCGCGAGCTCTTGGAGATGAAGCGGTAGGCCACGAGAGCAAGGATGAAGCCGTATAAAATATCAAAGAATAAAGCAGGAGCAATGTCAATGTGAAGTGGGACCCCTCCCATTGGGGCGGGAAATAAATTAACGGTGGGAGAAGACATGAGAATGTGGAGAAGAAAGGGGGAGAGTAATTAAAGGAAGAGAGTGTTGCCTCAGCAGGACACGACTGTCAGCTTATATAGCATTTGCATGAGCTGCGGCTCTGGTTGGGGCCTCGCAGTAACCGATAGGCTGTGAATTGCAAGAAGCGGAGACGGGACACTGAAGACATGCAACTGTCGACATCCTCGACGGACCAATCCCAAGTGGCACACTACGCGCGCGAAGTGAAACAGAAACAAGGCGGCCCATGGAAGCATAGTGTACCTGGCACAGGCATCCGCCTCTTGTGCTTTGTTGGGTCCAACTCAGCCAACCAGGGCCTGCGAGACTCACGTAGTATGCAGCATTGTCTGCAAAGTTGTCGTTGTGGACTGGCACTGACACAACTTCGAGGCCCACTTGGAGCCCGAAGGCAGTCCGCTGACGTGCACACAATTCAGCTAGCCAACCAGCCATGGTGCAGGGTGCCGTGATCAGTAGTTGGAGCCAATGGGATGGCCGGCAGCGAACTTCTCCCCCGCCTCTAGACTATGGTCGTTTCGACTGCCCGACCGATGTCCGAAGGGACGTAATCTTTGCTGTGCAGCGCGTAAGGGCTTGTTCGTTTGGTGAGTGCTACGCGCACCAACCATCATCCAACAAGGGGTACCTGCGAAAGCACCCAATGAGAAGTCAGTGTTACACCTCTTAACGGGAAAAAAATGCGACACACCATTTCAATGATGGGAGTCTTGGTCGAGTCCGACTTCTTTTCGTCCATGCTTAGGCGGTACTGCCGCCCAGTCCGTGCAGCCCGACGGCATCCGTTTGGGGGCCGCGAGCAAGACGCTCATCTGGGACAAAGAAGTTGAGACAGACTAATCATGTTAGCTCATTGGCTCGAGCACATCAGAGCCATGGAACCCCGTCGCGGTCAGCAGGTCTATGGACGTGGCAGCGGTGTTGAGCACAGACGGTGGATAGCAAAGGTCGGTTACCATCAACTTGAACACGGTCCTCGGATGAGCATCGCGGATTGGGATATTGCACCGAAGGCACTCAAAACAACCCTCGGAGTTCTGAGACGTGGCATAAAGTTACTTGAAGCACCTCGTGCTGGTTGTGTACAGACAGAGAGTGCGACCGAGATCAATGCATTTGAAGGATTCCGAGTCGGAATCGGAAAGACGGCGGCCAGTGACCAGGGTGCCCGTACAGTTCACCGCCCCAGGAGAAACAAGGCATTCCAAAAGTGGAATATGCACAGCAAAAGAACAGCCCGACTGTGGCTTGTCGATGTTCGGGTTGAGTGCAACAGAGAGGTTGAAACGAAGCACGTCGGTTCCCAGTTTGGAAGACGATCGCGATCGAGCGGTCCGCTCCAGGCGTCTGCGCTCGACCACAGTGAGCTGCTCAGCACTCATCGCGCACGGCACAGACGCGTCCACAACGAGTGCAGAACTTCTGATTCTCTCGTTCAGCACGGAAATCATTTCCTGCGGAAGCTTCACATCATAATCTAGAGGAGTCGGCAGTCAAGATGTCGGGCCACGCTGTGGACTATTCCCTGTATCTTGTTACCGGGCGAGAGCTACTCCCGGTAGGAAAGGTGCTTGCTTGAGCCTTTTGTTAGATTTCTAGGCCATAACTGAAAGGGCACCCTCGCAGGATTACTATGAATCTCTCGAAGAAGTAAATGCACATCCTCTGTTCTGCGATTCCGTTTGTGAGATTATGCACAGTCGCTGCAAGGAGGGGTGACCCTCGTACAGATCAGAGAGAAGACAGCGGAGACAGGCGAGGTGTGTGCTCCGTCTCTGCGCTCTTCTACTCGGACGTGATACAACCGTACCCCTACCAGTTCCTTGAGATCGCCCGACGGTCCAAGGAGATATGCCACAAGTACGGAGTCCCCATCCTCATCAACGACCGCATCGACATCGCGCTCGCCATGGGCGCCGATGGCGTGCACATCGGCCAGACCGATATGCCCATCGCCGTCGCGCGCTCCCTCCTCCCGCCCCAGGCGATCATCGGCGTGACGTGCAACACGCCCGAGCACGTACGGCAAGCGGTCAAGGACGGCGCGAACTACGTCGGTGTGGGCCCCGCGTGGACGACCCAGACCAAGAAGAACCTGAGCGCAATCGTCGGCGTGAGAGGCCTGGGCGAGATGCTCAGGGAGCTGGACGGCACGCTGGTCAAGTCTGTTGCTATAGGTGAGTGTTCATCCGCCCATACCGTGTCTGGGCTTGGTAGTGAGCCGGTCTTCCACTTCAGGTGGAGTCAAGTCTACGAATGCCCTGCACTGTCTGCATGGCTCCGTCTCCGTGACGGGCAGTGCTCTGGATGGGCTCGCTGTAGTGAGCGACATCGTCGCATCGCCAGAACCAAAAGTTGCCGCAGAGAAGCTGGCGTCCATCGTCCGCGCGTTCAAGGGCTACTCTCCGTCTTCCTTCTCTTTGCCTAGCCCACGCTACACACCCGAGTTCGTCAAAACACAGGCTGCGGCGCTCGTGTCTGCCGTGAGGAAGCACAGTCCGCTAGTTCACCAAGTAAACTCTTTAACTTCTCGCACCGAGCACTCTGCTGACCACTCGGAATACTAGATCACGAACACAGTGGTGACGAACCAGTCCGCGAACGCGACCCTCGCCCTCGGCGCCTCCCCGATCATGGCGAGCTCCGCCAAGGAGATGGAGGACCTGAGCAAGGTCACCGGCGCGCTCCTCGTGAACTTCGGCACCATCCAGGACCTCGACGGCATGCTCGCCGCAGGCAGGTTCGCGAACATCAACCGCAAGCCGGTCGTCTTCGACCCCGTCGGCGTGGGCGCGTCGCGCTATCGACAGACATCTGCCGACAGTGAGTGCGCTCCCCAGCGGGCGTAGGTTGTGTTAACGGACTGTCGCCCACAGCGTTGTTGAACACTTGGCAGACGACTGTCATCAAGGGCAATGCGGGAGAGCTAGCTGCGATCGCAAAGTCGACCGAGGTGCGACTGCCGCCTTGAGAGGATACCTGCTGTCTAGCCACTCATGCCATGCCGTAGGTCCAGTCGAGGGGCGTCGACAGCATCGGCAAAGGCTTCCAAGACCCCATCACCTTCGTTTCGCAGCTCGCCCGGAAGGAACGTACGTCCCCTCCCTCCAAGCCGCCCTGACCTCGCCCGACGCGCACACCCCACAGGCTGCATCATCGTCCTCACGGGCGTGCAGGACTACGTCTCCGACGGGAACGTCGTCGTCCGCTGCTCGAACGGGCACAAGCTGCTCGGCGACATCACCGGCTCGGGGTGCATGGTCGGCACCGCCGTCGCGACGTTCTGCGCCGCGGCGAGCTTGGAGGCTGCTGAGACCGGGGACGCGCTTCTTCGCCATGACGGGCTGCTGGTGAAGGGAGACATGCTCGTGGGTGCGGTCGCAGGGTGAGTCGTCGTTCTCCTGGAGCTTGTTTGGAGCATGCTCAAGTACGCGTGGGGCGGCTAGCGTGCTGGCGCTGACTGTGGCTTCTGAGTTCGCTGCGGTGAGGCAGGATGTACACGGGAGCGGCACATTCCTGCCTGCGCTCATCGACGAGCTTGGGGCGCTGACGCCGGAGAAAGTCGCAGAGGCCGCGAACGTTGAGGTGTTCCACCCATGATGTGGGCAAGCACCAGCGATGAAGCAGGGATGTGAATAATGTAGTCAAAACTTCTTGTGTATCCGTAGATCGTACACCACCGAATCCTGGCCTGTATCCGTCGTACCTAGACGTACAAGTATATCATACACTCCTCTGTACACGTATTCAAGTACCTCGTACAGTGAACCACGCTCTGATTGTCTCGCCCTAAGCACCGACCAGGACGACATCTGGGTTGGGCTTGTCGAGGATATGCGGGAACGGCGTCTCCGAAGTAGGTTGCAACCAGTTCTTCTCGTCATACTGCGCGTACGGAGGAGACTCGATCATGTGGAACGTGTACGCGTAGCGTGTGTTCGGGCTCAGGTTTTTCTCAGACTTGTGCAGCACGCTACCGTGGATCAGCACCATATCGCCTGCACCCGAAGACATTCGTTAATTCAATCGCTTACGGCCACCATATGGTGCAATAGGGGGGAGCGCACCTGGTATGCACGCCTCGAGGACGTACCTCCCTTCCGGCTTCGGGGGAGCCTGCTCCGGAGGGACGAGGGTCTCGAAGCCGGTGCCGCCGCCGGGCTTGCGCACGAAGCGCTTCGTTATCGGCGCAGTGAGGTGCGAGCCAGGCAGGAAGGACAGGGCGCCGTTCTCGGGTGTACACTTCTCCAGGGCGATCCAGAAGCCGAGCGCGGAGGGCGGGTCGGTGTACTGTTTACCGGACGTCAGTGGCTGTCAGTCGAGGACCCTCGCGGCAGATCGACTAACCAAGAATGTGCTACACGGGGATGAGGTGTGTTAACGGATCTGGGATAGGCTGGATGTGGACGTACGAGTCGTTGTGCTCCCCGACTAGGGTTGGAGTTAGGGGCGGATTGCTATGCTGCAACGACGTGTTGACGCACCTTCGCCGCCGATGCGAGGCTGCTTGCAGATCACCATTGATTGCAAGGCTACCCTCACTTCAATGGTCGAGGTCGTCGGTCGAGAGCGACTGCACTCACCCACGGGGTCATGGTGGAACTGGAGGTCACGGACAACGGCCTTCATCGCATCGTTCTCCAAAGTTACTTTGCGGAACACAAGCTCGAGCTCATGCAGCCCTTCCGACATGGTCAACGACCTGCCACGGGCTCACAACGACGACTCACCATGCCCGATCTTGTTCACCGCCTTCTCCTTGGGCCTGTTCAGCTTTCCATCCGTGACAGCATCCTCTTCGAGAAAGTAGCGGATCTTGTCCCCAGAAGTGAGGAAGTAGTCATCGCCGACGTGGTTGTCCTCCCCGGTGGTGAACTTGGTCTACTGAGTATATCAGTGTCTGCGCGTCCGTGCAGCATGGACATGGGCGGCGGCACGTACAAGCGGGTGGTCCTCAAGACTGAAGCCCTCGATGAGTTCCTTGGATCGTGTCAACAGTGCCTCTGTCTCCTCTGGGTTGAGGAAGGCTGGCAGACGCAGATACCTGAGAGGCGTTAAGTCGGCCAGAATGATCACAGGTTGCGAACTCGTTTACCCATCCTTGCGGAACTTCGCAAGTGTTGGGGTTCAGTACTCGCTGAAGCAGGTGAACACATCAGAACTGACCTGGTCGACCTGGTCCTGAGTGAGGTACTCGAGTTTACGGACACTGGCAGGCATCGAGGTCGCGGTCAGTGGCAAGCGCGATCGTGCGTATAGTCTGAGCGGGCCGACGCTGCCGGTGCTACTCGGCGCCCGTCACAACCTTACACACGGTCCTTACACGGTCCAGCCAGACAGTGCAAGTAAAACAAAATGAGCGAATAATGAATCCCTCAAGCAACGAACATTACAAAATAATAAGAATACACGCAAGCACAGGCCAAAATCCTGCACCTCTATTCGTCCGGCCCTACGTCAATGTTCTCCCCTCGCCCCAGCTGTTCGATCAAATGGTCAATCTTTGCCTTGTGTATCCGGTGGTGCTCTTGCCAGCCCTTCCATGGATGGTGCGGAAACTAGTCGGATCGCGTCAGACACAACAGAAACAATCCGTTGACAAGAGTTCGCCTCACCAAGCGGCCAAAGTCCTGGAACACCTTGTCCGACGTGCCCTCGGGCTTGTGGTAGAAGTGCTTGGCGAGCAGCACATCGTCCTGCAGGCTGTACCGCATCTTCTTCTCCGGAGGCGCGGGCAAGGGCGCGTCCCCGTCTGCGTAGTGCAGCTCGTGCTTATGCCTGCGATAGAACTTCATCCACGAAGCGCGGGAGTGGTGCGGCGCCTAGCAGAAGCGAAGCAAAATTGGCTATAAGCTACGAGCCCGACGATGTGGAACGAACTGTCCTTGTTCCAGGCATGGACATACCTTTGTCGCGACGTCCTTCCAGAACGTCACCATGTCGACCTTCCCGCTCTGCGTCCGGTTCCGGTACTCGTAGAAGCGCACGAGGAACGTCACGTCTTCGTCCGTGAAGGCGACGCCCTTCCCTGTCGTGCTTCTGAACAGCGCTCGAGGCGGAGTCGGTGATCTCGTGCGGGTGACATCCGCGGCGGCTACCCGATGGGCGGCTGCGATAGTACCGGGCGCAGCCCCAGGAATCGGTATGTGCTGCTGCTGCACGTCTATCATCTCTTGTGGCGGCGGCGGGTCCATTGCTTGCTGCTGTTGCTGCTGCTGCTGTTGCTGCTGCTGCTGCTGCTGCTGCTGCTGCTGTTGTTGTTGTTGTTGTTGCAATTGCGGTTGCTGCTGCTGCGACTCATCCTGCCCCAAATCCTCGTCCACCTCAGGGACGTCCATGGCGTACCCACCTAACCGGATTTGGTGTTTATTGCAATATCGGCGCCATGAGTAAAACCTAGGCGGCCATGAGATATGTAGGAAGCTCAGAAGACGGGAGGACGTACGTATGATGAGGAGCCTGGGTGTCAACAACATTTGATGAGGCGCGCAACTAGTGAGGGAGAAAGAAGACTGACCTTTACGGCTATCCGTTCACAAATTTCTCGCAAACTAGACACAGAAGGTGAGTTACAGCGGCCATCGCTACTCAGGAAATGCCCAGTACCTCAGAACCAATCCCTGCTCCTGACAGTAGTCGATGTACTTCTTGAGATACATGACGTCGTCTGACGTGAAGAGATTGCCGCCGTATGTACTCTTGATCACTCGTGTTGGAGGAGTCGGTGACCGTGCAGGAGGGTTCCGGCGGTTCGTGACTAGGGTCGAGGCTGGCGGGGCGGGTTGAGGCTGCGGCTCCATTAGCAATTGTGCTACACCGAGTGAAAACGTCCATGCTACCTGTGTCCTGATTCGCTTTCGGCCTCTGGATTTGTCGCCCGAGGTTGACGCCTCAGCATCAGCATCTACCTCAGCCTCGGCCTCGGCTGCCACGACCACTGCAGCAGCAGCGGTGGACGACTCCGCAGTGGAAGGGCCTGCCTCCTCCATATACGCGTCTTGTTCCGGATATGGAGCCGGCTCATACTACAAAAATGGACAATCTCGTCAAGGTGTGGCAGCACGATGGAACACAGATCTTACGGGTTGTGGATAGTACTCCGCGGGGGTAACCCACGGACGCTGATCTTCCCTGTACCTATAATCATACTCGGGACCAGGCGGAGGGACCATAGCATTTGGGTGAGATGGAGGCGGCGGAGGTGGTTGGTGGTAAGCACCGGCCCAGGCTGCCTGTCCATCCCTGTATGGGTCGTGCGGCATCATGTGCGGCGGCGGAGGGTGTGTAGGCGGAGGCTGCATATGTGTCTGCGAGGGAGCAATGCCGTTCGCAGCCTGCCACGACTGGGGAGGGGCGGCGGTTGGAGGATGCATGGATGGTGGACCATAGACTGCATAATTGAAGGCGTGCTGAGCATGATGCACGAGCGGATCGGTCGCTGCGGCTGAGATGGGAGGAGGGATTGGTGGGGGGTGCTGGGGCTGTGGCTCGAGGACTTGCGGAGGATGGGTCGGAGGCGGTGCTTGCTGCATCTGGTGCGCCATGTCCTCCGGACTGGGCAGTATGGGTGCGGGTGGTGGAGGAGCGGGCAGTTGGACATGCTGGATAACAACAGGGATCACCCTTGACGGTGGCACCTTCAGAATGACTGTCGTAGTATACATAGACATGCGTATACTCACTGTTCTTTCCCCGTCACCTTACATCCGGCCCAGTTGGTATGGTACGTCTGCAGCTGGCCGGTGTTGACGCACTCGATCACCCATTGAGCGTTCAGGACTATCTTCCCTTTCTTGCCGATATATTGGCGAAACAGACTTTGACCAGACTCCCTGTGTGGATCCACTGCGTGGAAGGTGGAAGCCATCAATATTGGGCGAACACTATATGAGAGAACGAGGTAATGCATATGCGGTGCAACATGCAGGTCTGCAAGTTGCGCACATACAAGTAACAGACACTTACCTAGGATGTACGGAACACCGCTATAGCCAGGAGACACTATTCCGCCATGAGTCTGCAAGACAAATGGTATGAGCAGCGTGTTCCATGCGTAAATGGGGTTGTCTCGCGACAAGTGTCTCAGGCCGGAGCGTCGACAGGACAGACACGTCCTCGAACGTGCCACCGGTTGAGCTAGACGTGTATTCCTTCCATGCGCGGGGCTCGACACAGAGTATGTACAACTTGTTGACATACCGTGATTAGTTCGACAATGGTGTCTCTGCCCTCTACATCCTTCTCGACATAGATTTGAAGGGCAGTGCCCATCATAGGGTCAATAAATATGTCTTGCGACGGGTCATGGTTGGGGTCGAGCTGCGCGACGGGCAGCTGCTGAGAGTGATCGCGTTGCGCACGACGGTTCGCGGTACGGACTGGTGCCATGGGTCTCGCCCGGAGGAGCACAGATGGTGGTTGGAGTCTTCAGGGGGCCTCCTCGCCTCCCTCTCGCCGCCGGTGGCCGTTCTGGCATTTTGGCGCCCGCCTCCTCCTCGCAGCCACCGTGCTCGTCCTGCCACAGCTGCCAGAGCCCCCGCCTCGCACCCTCCCTGGCTCTTCTCCGGCTCTGCTAGGGCTCTCAACTGCTGTTCTTCGTCTTTGCACCGCTCGCACTTCAATGCGTTCCTCGGCGTGGCAATGCCTGGTCCGACACGCGGTCTGGGACCTTCGACACTCCGAAGTTTCGTCGTCCCTCGCTTCTGACCACGTTCAGTAATTCGTGGTTCATCGCTGTCTATGACCGGCCTTCCCTGAGGAGCCTCATCAGATAGCTGCAAAACCATTCACCTACCTGCATTCGCCCCACTGAGCTGCATCTATTGATGTTACAATCTGGTGGATGCGCGCGACGTTCGATAGACGTAGGGCGGGGATGATCAATGTTCATTCAGGACGTCGAATGGTGAGTCGCTCTACTACTTTGCAAGCTGTTGCGAAGCGCAGAAGCCACGCCGTGCAAGTTACGGCAGCATGTTTATGCAGGTACTTCTCGCAAGAAGCACACTCCAAAGTTCACAGTTCTGCCAATGCGAGTTCGTGTCCTTGTTTGTGTGCGTCATATAGTGCTTCTCCGGTATGTGGGATGTCCGACCTGCTTCGTCGTACATGGTGAAGTTTAGGCGGTCCCGGGCGTGTGCACTTTGAAGGTTCGTGCGACATCCATATGGAATGAGTACGCCATGCTGCACCCAGATGTGGCGGATACGCCGATGCTATGCACGTCAGCAGTCTGAAATGTGTTCGAATCTTCGTGCAGATCATGTATGCACTTCCACATGCGAGCGTAGCGGAGTTGACTGGCTACAAATGTTCACAGGGACGTACGGCGGCGAAGCCTTGAGGACGATGGCGATTGCTCGTCTAAGATGCGATCGTCGACTTGACAGTTCGTCTCTATGGCTGCTTGTCTCCGTCCTGGTTCCCCGCCCCGAATAGTACTTGTCGCAAGACAGCCTGGTATCCTTCCTACAGCTTTCACTACATCACGCACTGTCACTTCGCCGCTGCCCAGCGCCACAAGTGAAGGCGGATCTCCTCGCAACCCAGCATAATGCTCGAAAACGCATCTCACGGCCCAGGTAGCAAGCTTCTCTCTTCCTGAGATTATATCTCGGTGTTTAGCTCTCGATAGAATGACCCATCTCACTCCCCAGTGTTTGGACAGATGGCAATTGACAGATATCGGTGAGTTCAGAAGTTCAGCAACTTTGTGATACGTCCTTCTCATCGCGAAGGCTCTCAGAAACGGAGCTATATACGGAATGTCACTTTTGGGTCGGTTTGACGCGTTCTGCCATAGCCGACATTCCCCGGTTAGTCACCAGCTGAATAAGTTCAAGTTGGGCTGTCAGTCTGGGTTCGTTGCGGTGTTTTTGCGCCGTAATACGGCGTTACGGCCGCAGTGCCTAAAACCCCTTCAAGCATTTGTGGTTTGTCTGATATGACCACCATCTACGGTGTTTCGCCCCTGACATAGCTCAGTTGGCAGCTTGAACATGTGCGCGGCCTCGCGCTCTAGACCGGATGACTTGCACAAATGAGATGAGAGTAGATGCTCGCGAAACATGCAGAACCGCTCTGCTTTCCCCCTGGTGAAACTGAGTTAGTCTGGGTGCACATGATATGCGCCTAGACATCCTCTGCATACTTCGACCTCCTTCCATTTGTCGGGCGTCGACTACTCGCCGCCGTTCCGCGTAGGTTTTTGTTTCCTCTGTGGCTCCGGTCGCAGACAATTGTCCCATTTTGCCTCCGCTCGCTCATTGTTTGGCGCGCTTATTATGTCCGCAGTCTTGTCGCGTTGGTTCCGCCCGCATGACTTATTGTGGCCAATACTCAGTTACGGAGCCTCCGTGCATCCCAAGTACATCTAGCTCTGGCGGTACCCTCGATTAAGACAACAAGCACATGCACACCAGGCACGGTTCCTGAGGCGCAAGACGATTTCCTGGCGCCTAGAGCAGTCAAATCGGTCTGCACCTCGAGGAAATGCGATGACTCTACGCTTCAAATTCAGTTGGACGGCGTGCATGGCCGTTCGGTCCTCTTGATGTTGCTTTGTAAGTACTGCAGGCTGAGTTGTCTCCAATTTCGCTGTGCGTTGATTGTCTCCCATCCTCCTAGGTGCTCCAGACTGTCTTCAGCCACATTTGCCTATTCATTTGCGGACATGACGAAGAGGTAAGTATATGGCCTCCCGCCTCAGCGGTTGTGATCAGCAACAGTGCGGGAAGGTTCTGGAGGTATCTCGGCTAGGATGAATGTCAGAATGAATTGTTCGTGCTCGATGATCGTATCTTCCCGGAGGTGCACATGGAGAGCCGCCTGATGTCCTGTCAGTGCGCTACATTGATCGTACGCAGTATCCCAACAGTACCCCCTGCCGCCTATCACAATTGTGATGGCCAGCTTATGGCATAGGTTCACAGTGGGCGGATCATGCTTACGGTCGTGTCAACTGTGGCAGCTCTGAGATGAGGGTGCTATCCCGCTGTATACTTGTCAGAGGGCGAATAGCCTCGAGGCCACTCGAAGAAATGGAGCTGTGTGATAAGACGCTACGATGGTTCATACATTTAGGCCTCAGGCAGTTGAGAGCGAAGGTGGCTGATCAAACTATATCGCAAACGTCTCTAACACGTCATGGTATATTGCGGTGTTCTATGCATGGAAGTGGGCATCCATACCACTCTGTGGCAATTCCTGTCTAACTACGATCCATACTGTGCTCGCATAGAAATGCATGACTCTCCCAGACTTTCGTACACATACTGCCCAACAAATGAGCGGCCGCGCGGGCACGCGAGCGTAAGGGGGATTGAGTAGTTCTTTCTAGAGCGGTCGGCGCCATCAATGCTCCTGCTGGCTTGACCGCCGGGAGCTGCTCGAGCTCCAGTGATCGTGATCGAGTCGAGTGGGGTGATTGCTTCTGCCCATGGCCAAGCAGTACTCACAGAGTGGGTCTGACGGCCAGTACAGGTACGGGGGTCGACATGCATAGGGGCCCACTGCTGGCGGACGGAGCTGAGCACTGGCAGGATGTGGCAAGCTGGATTTGGGAGCAAAGACGGCGCAAGCATGAGAGGCCGATCTGGATGGGAGATTGGCGGGTGGGAAGCGAGAGAACAGAAAGGTGGAAAAGGAAATCAAGAGGTTCTGGCCTGCTTACGTAATTGTAACCCGGATTTGCAAGATGGAAGGCAAACAGGGCCAAACAGCAGGGCGGAGTTGGATGTGTGTACCAACCGAGCAGCCCCCGGCTTCCATCTCCCAAGCACACCCGTTACCTTACGACTACTCTTCCTCCACCCTGCCGTCCTGCTCGCCCTTGCAAGCAGCACCGCTCCGCCGACATGTCGTCCGCCGCAGCGCGCAAAAAGTCCGTCATTTCCGCCTCCACGCCCACCATCGACCTGCCCGTCGCCAACAACACCCTCCTCAACAAGGCGGCGTCGCAATCAACCTCCCTCTATCAGCAATGCTCAGCCCTACGCACTCGCTTGATGCATGTTCGGGACTTTGCTGAATGGTTTTCTATTTCCTCCCCACCCGACTCTTCGCGGCGCTCTACGGATCCTGTAACACAGCTTTGGGACTGCTTCGTTCTCGGGTACCCGCTCTGCTATCTCTTCAACCTTCTGCCCGACTCTTTCAAGCGCATTGACCTCGACGTCAACCCCTCATCTTTCGATGGCACGGAGAAGGCGAAGAAACGCGCGATTATCTCCTTCGCCATGAGGATTACCGAGATCGAGGGCTGTGAGGGTTTCACAGTCTCAGAGTTCCTGGATCGGAACTCTACCGACGGTTTGGTCAAGGTACGTCGGTTCCAGTCCCACGTTTCTTGTCTCACGTATGGTGCCAGGTCGTGAATAACGTCATCCAACTCGTGCGGGTACTGCCCGAGGACGTGTTTTTTGAGCCTCGCCCACTTCTCCCGCTCTCGCATCCGCACAGCAGTCGACAGACTCGCTCACAAGTGACGGCGTAGCACCGTCGGCGGAGACCAGTGAGGGCGGGGCTCGTTTCAATAACATTGTCCGGGAACTTGTGGAGACCGAGAGGAAATATGTGCAGGATTTGGAAGTCATGCAGGTGCGCCACTGCTTGTCTTTACTCTGTCCAGGTTGCTTATCGAAATCGTAGAAATATTCCCAAGCGGCGACTCAGATGAACGCGCTCGATCGTGAAACAATTCATCTCCTTTTTCCTGGCCTCAAAGACCTGCTGAATTTCCAGAGGAAATTCCTGATCAAACTCGAGAGCATGGCTGAACAGTCTTGGGGAGACCAGAGCTGGGGATTCCCGTTCACGGAGAATGTGCGTTTTGCAGCATGACTTGGGAATGCTGTATAGAGCATTCCCATTGTCCGATCATTATCCCGTGATTGCTAATTGTGGATGGAACAATAGGAAGAAGCCCTTGCTGCGTCATATCGAACGTACTGCGCGAATTACACGACAGCGTCGGACATTCTACTACAAGAAATGCCAAACCTGAGCGTAAGTAACCCGTTGCGCGTGACACCGCCCACACGCGAGGCGTTGCATTCTGACCAAACATGGAAACAGGCGCTTGATAGTGTACTCGCGAAATCGGACCTACCGGCTTTCCTAATCAAGCCAGTACAGAGAATTTGCAAGTATCCCTTACTGTTGGAGGTTAGTCATAGACCCGCTGTCGGAGAGGGGTATGCTCACCGTGTTTTGCCTAGTCCTTGCAAAAAGCGGTCAAGGGCACAGAGTACCCGTACCACGAAGAACTCGCGGAGGGCGTCGCAGCCGCCAAGCGTGTCACCGATAGGATCAATGAGGCCCAACGTCAGGCAGAGAACGAGGCGACCGTCGAGGCGCTCAAACTCCGTGTCGACGACTGGAAGGGGCATGAACTGCCCAACTTCGGCCAGCTGCTTCTCGATGACATCTTCACGGTCACCAAGTCCGCTGTGGATCGCGAGTACCATGTCTTTTTGTTCGAGAAAATCATTCTCTGCTGCAAGGAGTACCTGGCCGCGCCTCAAAATGGCCGAAAGGTCGGCAAGAGCAACTCGATCCTGAAGAAGCCTCCCATTTCGCCTATCTCGCCCTTTCCTGGAGGCGGATCCTCGAAGAAGCGGACTACGCCGCTCTTGCTCAAAGGCCGTATCTTCCTCAACAACGTAACAAAAGTGGAACCCGAGATCTCCGCAGGTTCGTCGATGTTGCTTCACGATGGCAGCTATCATAACATTCAGGGCTTTAGGTCAATACTCTTTGGCGGTGTTCTGGCGTGGTGACGACGATCTCGAATACTTCACTCTGCGTTGCCGCAACGAAGAACAGCTCCGGATGTGGGAGAACCAGCTCAATCGATTGATCCAGGAAGTTGCTAGCCGACGTGCCTCAGGACGTTCCCACCAGAGACTGGCCCATCTCACGCAGACTGTACCTACGAACGGATCTTCCCAACGGCCTTCGTACGAACAAGAACGGGGATACTCCATGTTTTCTCAGTCGACCGCTTACAGCGCGACCTCTCCGTATAGTTCAGGACCAGTGCCTCCACGTATGGGCAGGCATCCGTATGCTGCCGCCGGCGAAGATTCTGCGATGGCAGCCGGCCCTGCCAATGGATCCTATTTCAGTGGGTATGGTGGTCCTCAGGGATACCCGCCACCTGACGGGTTTGATCTCGATCTCGACGACGAGTTCGAGGAGTACCCTCCGACGTCACGGCCTCCGTCAGGACGCGGGACGCCGGTGGGTGCGCGCCGACCGGAGCTCAATGGTTTCCCCTCTGCAGGCAGTGTTCGGAGCAGCACCCATACACCGGTGTCTGCATCTGCTGCCTACAACTCGCCATACAGTACAGGGAGGCCGTCAATATCACGCAACACGGGCAGTTTCGCGCAGGAGAACGTTCCAGAATCGAGCCTCCCCAGAGCCAGTCTGCGCAACCAGTATAGCGCGACGAAGCTCAAGTCGGCGTACGACAAGGCGGAGACGCGCTCGAACCCTAGTCCGCGTGTCAGCGGAACGGGCCCAGTGCCTATGCGGTCGCGCAGTGCTAGTCAGCCGTCAGCCTACATGCCGCCACAGAACATGCCGCCGCCTCCGCTACCAACGTCTGTACCTTGGGGGCACAGGCCAGGCCAGAACAAGCGTGGCAGTGGCTCGAGCCAGTCCACTGGCGACAGTTCGGACTACTCGCCACACAGCAGCGGTTCCCCCATCACTCCCTTCGGGTCTAGCGATTCGTCTTTGACAGGTGTGTCCAGTACGCGCACGTCACACTCGCAGCACAGTGACCAGGTTGTCACGTCCGCTGCTTCAGTATTGTCCGCGCAGGTGAAGGTGAAGGTACACTTCCACGAAGACATCTTCGTCATCCAAGTACCACGTTCGACGGAGTTCGACGAGCTCGTGGAACGGGTGGGGAAGAAAATCAGACTATGCGGTCCACGAAGGGACGACGGACCGTTGCGCGTGAAGTACAAGGACGAGGACGGCGACTTGGTGTCCCTGGGATCCACGGAGGACGTGCAAATGGCTTTCGAATCTTTCAAGCCTGGGAACCAAGTAACGCTCTATGTTCAATGAGACACCCCTCTATGACGCCAATCCTCCTCTCCCCGTCGATACCTTATCCTACATCACCTTACCGCCGCTTATCTTACGCTTCGCCTACGCGCACTGCATCTCCCCGACTGACCCTCGCTCCGCCCATTATCCTTATACTCGGGAACTCTCCACATTGCCCACACTCCTTGGCTATACCGTGTATTACGACCATCATGATTCTCGTACCTGGCGTCTTCTGGTTAATGTTCGTGGTACTTTATAAGCATCGTTGCATACACAACATATTCCCCCCACCATCCATATCCCTGCTTCGGGTGTCGTTTGAGGCCACCGCTCGCACTCCACTCGTTCGCATTTCTCCCATTACCCTCCTTCCGTCCGCTCCTCTCGCCTCTCCTCTCTTCGTATCCTTCTAGCAAGCTCTCCTAGTGGGTCCCGGCACAATCGCTGTCGGATACCCGGCGGTCGTTCGTTCGTAGCATGTATCGCGTGTAGGTTTTGCTCGGCTGGTTCCTCTCGCCGACTGTCGTGTATCATTTAGTAGATTGTTGCTCAGTGGACCGCTTCATGGAATGTTATACTTATTCTCTCACTTCGGAACATACTGGCGTGCCCGTAAAACCTGTTCGACGCGCTCGAGGTCCGGTCAGAGGCTGAGCTCACGCGTTGTAGCAGGCATGTCTGCTCTATCGGAAATAGACAAATGACAGCCGGACGACTGAGCTTACGTTGCCGCTGCGACGCGTATGTCCATGAGGCACGACTGCCCATGGGCAGCGACTGTATCTACTTCTGATGACGACATCGTTTGTTAGGCAGTAGCCAGCTCATCTGAGCTATGTATCATACAGCGGAGTTGCTGTGCTCGAGCTTGAGCTTCCCTCTCTATGACGCTTGCAGATAATCAGAGTTGAACAACACCTTGGACAGTTGCCAGTTCTGCGGCGGACATCGGTGAGATTGAATTGCCATCTGTCAGTTCACATTCAAGCAGACTGCGCAGGCACCCAGGCCGTACGGCCGATATACGCGTTCAATGCCGTGCTGCGCCCGCTCATTGTAATTGAGGCAGCGAGAGAGGTGCGTTCGAACACGGCGTTCGATCGAGCGTCGGATCTGATCATGCATCGCGCCACAGACGCGTCAAGGGTATGGGCGTTTGGCACGTGAGACGACCTGACCGGGCGTGCTGGGCCGGGGCGACCGAGTGCCGCTCCTCTGACGTTCAGAACCGTCTCGCAGACTGCCCCCACCCACCACGCAGCCCACTCGTGCACCACCACCACCACCCCCGCCTCTCGCTAGCACAGCCACACACCCATATCTAGTCTCACAGCACACGCACATACATCGCCCGCACACCCGCCTCGACGCACCTCACCTCGCATCCGGTGCTTTATGCGTGCCCCCAGTATCAGCACAACTCTATCATGACATCTGCGACGACATCTTCCGGCACGTCCTCCGCTGCGAGGCCGTGCGTGCGCCAGTGGTGGCGAAGCCGAAGGAGCCCTGGCTGAGCCCGCAGCTGTCATCGTACTTCATCGCAGGCGGCATAGCGGGCGCGGCCTCGCGGACCGTAGTGAGCCCCTGGAGCGACTCAAGATCATTCAGTGCGCCGTACATTCCGTTCGTGACGTGATAAGTTGACGTTCCGTGGTTGTAGGCAGGTGCAGTCACCCACCGCTGAAGGGCAGTACAAGGGCGTCTGGGCGAGCTTGGTTCGAATGTGGAGAGAGGAGGGCATCAGAGGGTACATGAGGGGAAATGGAATCAACTGCTTGAGAATTGTACCCTATAGGTGTGTCCATGCGATGCATTTGGAAACAAGCCATGATTGACAGTCGAACGATTGCAGTGCAGTTCAATTCACCACATACGAACAGTTGAAGAAGGTATGTCTAAGACCGACCGCGCTGATGTTATCGGCCGGCCCCTCCCACCTGACACGACGCTGATGATTGCCTCGAGATTTAGTGGTTCACAAATTATGGAGAGAAAGAGCTGGACACCCCGACACGGTTGGCCGCTGGTGCGCTCGCTGGTATCACCTCCGTCTGTGAGTGTCTCCGTATACGGCCAGTGACGCCGCCTGAGGCGGGAACATCTGACCCCATACGCCAGGTTCCACATACCCTCTTGACCTCGTGCGATCGCGCTTGTCCATCGCGACCGCCTCGATACCTATCCAGACAGCAGCCGCAACAGTTGCACCCACGAAGCGGGCACTAGCATCCTCATACCACACTGCCTCCGCCGCATCCCTTCCCCCGGCAAAAGCGCCGAACTCCAAGGATCTGACAGTGTGGGGAATGATGTCGAGGATTGTGCGCGAGGAAGGCGGCGTACGCGCTCTGTATCGGGGGATCGTTGCCACAGCCGTCGGTGTGGCGCCCTACGTGGGTGCGTGCATAATTGTTCGTTCATTCCTCCAGAGAGGCTGACAGCCCCGCTTGCTGTGGCTTGGATCCGATCGTGTGTGGTGGCAGGAATCAACTTTGCCTCGTACGAAGCGCTGAGGGGGGTCATCACGCCGCCAGGGAAGAGCAGCGTTCCACGGAAATTGCTCTGCGGAGCGCTCGCTGGTAAGTGTAGCAGGCAAATTGCGAAACTCCCGACTCATCGCGCGATACATGCAGGCTCAATATCCCAGACCATCACGTATCCGTTCGATGTCTTGCGCCGCAAGATGCAAGTGACAGGGATGGGCGGGAAGAAGTACAACGGGGCGTTGGATGCTCTCCGGACCACGCTACAAGCGGAGGGTCCGAAGGGCTTGTACAGAGGGCTGTGGCCAAATCTACGTGCGTTGTGCTTTCACCGGTGTGTACATCGGGGCTGCCATGCTGACTTCATCGTTTTGATGTTTGATGCTTGCCTACTCCTACGACGCGCCCGGAACTTGTCAACGGTGCTACGCCACTGTGGACGTTCTGTATCAATATGTTGCACGTCGCGACTTGCAGTGAAGGTGGCGCCGAGCATCGCGACGTCGTTCTTCACGTATGAGCTCGTGAAGGACTTCCTGCTGGAAACGTCGTGATCGTGGCGGTCCGCGCATGACGGGCGGTCGCGCTCGCTTCTCGCGGTCTGGGCCGGAAATAAGGGGATGTGTACATTGAGGGCAGACGAGCCCCGGCCGCTGGGTGGCTCGTGCATCAGAAGAGGAGAGGAGATTCGCGGATTCGTTGGTCGTGCTTCGCGCGGGATGGAGCAGAGTACGATCAGGCAGGTGAGCATCCCCGCATGGGTCGGACTCGATTTGTAGAGCACTAGCTATGGATAGACTAGCACACGCATACTATAGTTGATGTAGAATACCACGATACGCATCGGACGGGATGGGAGGCGGCTTGGAATGCACGGAGCATATTCGATCTTGCGGATACTAAAGGGGTGTGCCTCGAGGAACGGCGGATTGGCAAATGGGCATGACCCATCCGTTCGTGTGCCTGCGGACTGCGCTGGAGCCGGTGCCGCCTTCGGGGTGGGAGGACGGCTGGCCATTTTTGTGGTGAGAGACGAACACGGCGTGAGCAGCGGCAGCGCGTGCCCTGCGACTCTGCATGGGAACGCGGCGGGAGCGTCGGCGGCGGCGGAGGCAAATGGGGGCCTGAGCCCGGAGACAGGCCGGCACCCCGCACGCACGCCGGGCAGGTCGGCGATTGATGGGGCCAAGCGCCGGCCGAGTCGGCACTGGCGGTGGCGCGTGGGTATGCAGCCGGCTGGGAGCTGTTCTCGTCGCTGTCCACGTCGACCAACATTGCGCTCCCCCCTCTCCCTCCACGAGCTCGCAGGCCTCGCAGTCGGGCAGAGGCTTTGGTACGTCGCCTCCGCTGAGCCCCCAGTCCCGGCTGTGCCGCTGACCATACCGCCAGGATCGCCTCACACCGTCCGCGTTGTACTCGCTCCAACACTACGTCCATCTCCTTGTAGTCCCGCGTGAAGGTCCGAGGCTTTGTCCGCCTCGCGCTCCTTGCCCCATCCTCCTCTCTCTCTTCCGTAGCCTTCAGCAGGGGCCCTTTCAGTCTACTTTATTGCTTTCTCTCTTCGCACATCAGCTCTTCACCTCGCCTGCCCCTCTGAGCCAGTCATGCACTATCCTCACCTCTCACGCTCGAGGGATCCTCACCCCCATGCGTCCTCCAGCAGCTCGCTATCCTCTGCTGCTCCGTCCGACATCCTGCCGGCGGCACCGCCTTCGAACTCGAGCCAGTCCGATATCGCGACTGATCTTTCGAGCTCCTCCATCGTCTGCACTTCGGCGCCCTCCTCGTTCCCTGCGAAGGGCCACCGCTTCTTCGCCAAGGCTGTCACCCAGCGTTCGACCTCCATGGGTCAGGTCCTCTCGCCAGCCTCGGTAGTGAGTCCCCGCGGCCAGCTTCGCCCAGCAGTGGAGGTGGCCGTTTCAAGCGTGCTTTCGGCCGGAGGAAGAAATCCGAAGATCTCACGTCCCTATTCTCCAATGCTACTGGCAAGGGCAAAGAGCGGGACTCTAGCGATCATGTCCCGCCCGGTGCGTCTACGACTGACCTTTCGCATACCACTTCCTACTCTCGCGCGATCGACCCCGCGGCTGCGGGAAACAACAAGGTCCCCAACGCGTTATCGAACAAGCTGAGCGTCTTCGGCAAGCAAAAGACCACTGGTGGCCAGTTACCCAAGGCTCCGACGTTCAGCGGCGCGCCGCCACCCCCGCCGAAGGAGATCTGTTCGCCACCGCCTCTCACGACTCCTCAAACATCACTGCGACAGCCGAGACATGACGCGAATGCCCCCCTACCGGCCTTGCCGAAGGAGACCCAACGATCCCCGGTATTCACTTCGACATCGCCAGCGCAGGAGAACCGCGAGCGACTGAAGGAAGACTGGAGGAAAAGCGATGCTACCATGACTTCGCATATCACGATCCGTCCCGGTGCATTGGGCGGTAACCGGTCTCCGCGACCGGTTTCTTTGGCTGAATCCAGCCATTCGGGCCACACCATCGTTCCGGTGAACAAGCGTCTCAGTGCGCTCATCACGGACTCCGAATTCAACGTCGTCGAGGAGGGTCCGGGCGATCACTCGGAGGACGACAGTGCCTCGCTTGCCGATGATGAAGGACTGATGAGGCGCACGTCGACGAGGGGCACCCCGAAGCCGCGACCATCAAGGTCGCCATCGGGTTCGATCAAGACGCGAAACCGACGGTCAATGTCCTTAAACGTAGGACCTGGCCATCGGTCTAGCGTAGTAGAGCCCGTGCCGTGCTCCCCGGACGTCCACCCTCCAGCCTTGGACTCCACGCTCAAAGCGCCAGCACTAGCGTCCCCAGCCCATCCCTTGCGACGACGACTTCGCGCGATAACCCCACCCTCACCCGAGCTGCCGCCAGCGGCTACATCGCACCGCTCAACACCGCAGGCGCGCAGCAGAGTACAGGAAGCAACATCCGGAGCCGGCTCGTCCCCTGGATGTCGATATCGGCTGGCAATACGCCGGCGCATACACCGACGCAGGCCAATCCCAGCAGGGGCCTTCCACCACCGGTGAAGCAGCCCAGCAACCTGCGCACAACCGCGGTGAGTATGACGGGTGGCTTCGTACCTGCTGCAGGCATCGCTATGGGCCTGGGGAAGCGGGCGGTGGAACGCGTTGGGCGCGCGTGGGGTGGTTTCGGAACGTCGAGCGGTCCCTCGAGCGGAGCATCCATGATCTCGCAGTCGTCCTCGGTGTCGTCCATCACGTCGTCGGACCAGGGTCATCCAATAGGCCGAACGATGTCGAAGGAATCCAGTGCCGCGCTCGGAGGCATCGTCAAGAAGAAGCGGCGCTTCGGCCCTGCACCGAGCGTGTCGTCCGTGACCTCGTCGTCTGCTGCCTCGGAGGCGGACGCCTTCGTCGCCATGAGTCCCGGCCTTGGGCGCAGAGTGCGAGGGCCGAAGAGGACACCGTCAGGAGCAAGCATCATCGGCGGCCTCGTCTTCAAGCGTGACCTTCAGGGGTGCGTTGCCGAGACGGCGATTGACGGGCTGGACAAGACGGCGGCTCAGGAGGGTATCGAGATGAAGCCGCTGGAGGAGCGGATGCTGCCTGCGCTCGTCGTACGGTGCGCCCAGCACTTATTGAAGTACGGTGTGCGCGAGGAAGGCCTGTTCCGGTGAGTGCCATGCGCCCTGATGGTGATGCCGTGGTCGTTTACCTTTTTGTTAGGATAAGCGGGCGATCGTCCCACGTAGCGAAGCTGCGCGCGGAGTTTGACACAGGTAATGTTACGTCCCTGCGTTATTGTCATGGGTGGGCACTTACGCTGTGATGGCCGGCGTTGGCAGGCGCCGATTGGGACATGTCGGGCTGCGATCCTTGGGATCTTGATCCGCATGCGGTCGCGTCGATCTTCAAGACGTACCTACGCGAACGTGAGTAGATAATGCCTTGTGTGTATTGTCATGATCGCTCATGGATCTGGGTAGTGCCGGAGTCCATCCTGACCATGAGTCTGATTCCGTACTTCGAGTCTGCGCTTGCTGCCGAAGATCAAGCGAGTCGGGCGAGTACCGACTCCTCCACCGACGCCTCGGTCAACGCTTCCTCGTCCCACCAGCGTAGCGGCTCTTCGATGGGCCTTCACAAAGCGCCTTCCTCTCCACGCTTGCTGTCCCGAGGTTTGCGGGGAAGCGGTCGGTCTCGGAGTCGCTGTTGAAGGCCCTCGCTTGGCTCATTGCCCGTATGCCGAGGGAGAACAGGGATCTGCTGTATACCGTAATCGAGCTGATCAGGGAGACTGCCGCCCACAGCGTCGAGACGAAGATGCCATTGGCCAACTTGCTACTGCTGTTCTCACCTACGCTGAACATGAACCCGGGCATGCTTCGTGTGCTTTGCGAGCATGAGGACATCTGGCAGGGTATCCCTCAGGTGCTGCCGCAGAGCCAGAAGGTAGAACCTGAGGCTGCAAGTGCTGTCGACCCTGTTCAGGAGGAGGAGGACGATGACGAAGTGATTGACATTCGTGCCACATTTGTTACGGCACGAGAATCTACTGGTAGTGTGGATGATGCCCCCGATTCATCTGCGCAGAAGTCCTCGACCTCTCCTGACGACGCCGACGAGTCGACGAGCGACGACGGAGAAGAGAAGAGTCTGCACACGCCTGAAGAATCGCCCGAAGCGTCTGCTGTAGATATCGAGGAGTCGCTTGGCAGCGGGTTGACCGCGAAGGCAGAATATCGGACAGCGCAGGTTACGACCGACCTCGTGCTTCTCCCACCCATAAACCCCGTGTCACCCGTGTCATTTGCAGACGACAGTGCCTCGTTTATGTCCGCACTGGAGCCGCAGTCGAATTCTTCGACTCGCTCGGCGAGCCCGCATTTGGCGCGAGACGTCCCACCGCTGTCGTCCTCGGAATCGTTGACTTCCCAGTCAGAAGCCTCGGAGGAACCGATGTCGCCGCGTGGACGTCCGTCCATGGATGCAGACGAGGACGAGGCTGCGCGGGAGGTCGAGAACGTCAAGGCAGCAATGTCGAGTTCGCGGGACTCGTTCTTCCTGGCCCCTTCGCCTTCCGATATTGTGGATTTGTCGCTCCCTGCGGTTCCCCGTAGGCCGGCTATCAATACTAACCTATCTAACTCCCCTGCTGCTACGCCTTTTGCTGCGGCGCCTGTCCCGTTCCCTTCCACGAGTGGAAGCACGCCTGGCACGCCTGTCTCGAGGCGCAAATCCTTCGCGCTACTGTCCTTCCCCGGTCTGCGGTCCGCTTCGGCAAGCCCTGTAGTCACGACAAACTCACCTTCGTCCTCAAGCACGCCTCCATCGACCTGGCACCGTCCCAAGCGTCCGTCGCTGCACTTGCTCCTGCAGAAAGTGACTGGTGCGCGGAGTTCGTCGACACCTGTTGCTAACTCACAGCCTGCAATGGCGAGCGTGCCCTCCTTGTCTGTGTATGCGCAGAGCAAGCCGGCGTCGGCCTCAGTGCCGTCTCTGGTTACGCCATCGCCGTCAGTCGAGGCTGGACATAGTCGAACGCTGTCGAATGTCGCGCCGAAGTTGGAAACGACCATCTCGTCTTCGCCGATCAAGCTGAGCTTCGTTCGTACTGCAGCGACGACGAACGAGCAGGAGTCGACTGATACCTCACCTAGCTCAGCGAGTAGCTCGAAGGTGCCCGTGTTGAACGTGGTGTCCGATGAGGATTCTCCGTCTAGCTCCTCGGATGGTTCAATCGGCTATGTGCGTCCGCGCACCGGCTCATGTGCGACCTCCCTGTATGTCACCCCGACGGGGACAACGCCCAGGACTCCGATCGCGGATCTGTACTCTCAGCACAGCCGGTCAAAGTCAGCGATGTCGTTCTTCAACACCGAAGTGGAAGTGTCCTCGTGGCGGGCGAAGAGGGACGAAGATGACTCGCTGCTGCCGATGAGTAGGACGCCGTCGAGCGCACCGCAAGGGCCCTCGCCCACGCCTTCCATCAATCTGCCTGTTGAGGAGACGCAGGAGGATTGGGCAGAGAGTATCTTGATGGCTACAAATGGTCCCGCCGAGCAGGGGTGAACACTTGAAGGCATTTGTTAAATAGTGAGTTCTCCGTCCCTATCCATTTCCTCGACGACTCATCTCCTTTACAGACACCCTTTCATACCCGACGTTGACGTCGCATGATGTTCATGCTGTCCATTGCTTAGTCTGGACTTTTTATTGCTATCGTTAGATTCGCTCGCTTGGTTCCGTCCGTCTCATCTAGCCTTGCATACGACATGTCAACACGGCATCCTCATCTCATCTCCTGTCTGCTCTGGATACCCCCCGACATAAACGATATCTCGGTTCTCATTGCATATACATAATACTACCGTGCTGCCCGCTGGACGCTTGTCACTCACGTAAACTCTGTGCTCCACTCGAAATGTCAGAAGTACATTTCGGCTGGCAGGATACGTGCGAGACTGAGACACCTCTGTATCAGTGGGTCTCCTTTCCCCAGTCTTGCAACACCTCCATGCACTCTATACTTTCATCCCCGTAGAATAGCCGCATAAGCATCAGCGTCAGATCAATATCAATCTCCCTGGTTCGACAGCATTGTCGTTTGAGATGCTGAAACGGACAAAACCCTCCGTTCCTTTGATGTCTCACTGAACATGGATTTTATCAATGTCAAGTTCGCGCCACGCAGACTGGAAGTGACGTACAACTAAGACACCCCCTCGTATGGAACCACTGTTCGTGCAAGCTGTTTGAACAGTTCATCTGCGATCCATTGAATCAACGAGCTTCCCACTTCACAGTAGCATATACCGCTTGCCATCGAAGGCCGACGTCTCTGTGAACTTGCTCGATTCCATGTACGCGCGGATATGTTCGCCCAGGTTCCGCGAGATGGGTACCATTCTGCGAGACGCGTTAGGACCGAGAGTCTTCGCCAACATCGCGTCGGGGTCAAATCCCTCGTTCTTGCTACCCTCGTCTGAGGGCCCATCCTTCCTACCATCATCGAAGACTCCGCCGGAAGTCCCAGTGTGCACATCTGCCCCCGTGTCTTTTCTGCAGTCTGCATTTACTGAGGACGGTTCGTCGTTCGGCATGATGCGCCACCATAGCAGTGCGGGCCCGCGGAATTGGAAGCGTGATAACTCTGCATCGAACTCTCGCAGTCCTTCGCCGACGGAGATGACGTTCAAGGAGGGTATGTAACTCGCGATGTCCGCTGCTAGGTCCCGCATTTTAGACGCAAGTGTGGATGCTCAGGCGGTGGCGCGCTGGTTGTTTGACCTGTCATGCCCATGATGTGAATGGTGGCATGGCGTACGTGGCAGAGGCGCAGAGCGACCAAAGGTAGTTGTGATAGTGCTGAGAGTCGCATGCCCTGTAGTATGATACGTATGAACTTCGTGTGTATTATTATGTTGGCTGACTCACTGTCCATGGTATCTTGTCCTCCTCCTTGCCACCGGATGCCAGCGTAAGATCGAGGTAGCGAATGTGGGGTGCGCTACGGACTAAATCCCCCCAGAACGTCGCGTCCAGCATGCCAGGGGAGCCATGCAGGGAAAAGGCGACAGGCCAAGTACGCTGTAGGATTGACAGTGTCTGCTGCACGAACGTCACGGTGCGGCTGATCATGGATCCGGACCCGGAGTCCAGTATAAGCCACCGTACTTTGCACGCTATCCTCCAACGCTCGAAATCCGGATTGCTTCCGTCGACGCGGTCGAGATACGGCCAACATGCCGTTTCGGTAGTCAGAGACCATGGGGGCAAATCAGCCGGGTTCCTTTGTTCCCAGTCCTTTATGTCTTTTCTAGTCTGGAAGTGTATCGTCCTGGCCAATGGAAATGTGTGGACGAGAGTGGCTACAGAGACGAAGGTATGCTCAATCTGTAGATCCCTGACCTCTGGCCATTGCGTTGGCGTGTGGCAAGGGTTATCGTCACCTGAGTGGTCCCTTGGATTCCCGATACGGAGCCGGACTAAACGGAGAGAGCGGACTCTTCGCATGATCGATGCAGACAGCAAGGATGTCCAGTCGCCACGGTCTTTGCTTAAGGTGGCAACGTAACCGTGTAGGCTGAGCCGGCGGGGCGCACAGGAAAGACGGTCCACGACTTCGAATGAAGGGGAGGTCAGACCTCGTAGATCGACGTGCACCAGTTGGTCCAAGCGACATATCGCAGATGCCACGCGCGGCTCCGCCTCGAATAGAGCACCCGTTGCGTCGAGCCGCAGCATCTTCAGGGGAGATGCTCGTTCGAGGACATCCGCGAGGATATGAGCAGCGGAGAAATCTCCAGCCTCGTAGTACCGTATGCCGAAAGCGACCTTGGACACGGTGAGAGCCCGCACGAAGTGCAGGCGGTTTGTCACATCAGCGAGGAGGTAACTGCAGATCCTCTCCAGCTGAGCGGCCGTCCTGATGTCTATCTCTGACAGTGCATGGCGTTTTGCGAGGGAATGAATCCTGCAAGAGGTCAGAGAGAGAGTCAAACTGTCGCGTTGATCAAGGAACGATAGGATTGAGGACAGAGAATGGTCATCAAGGTCGGGGAAGCGCATTTTGGTTCCGCAATGCTTGTGAATTTCGAGTGAGGTGAGCGCGAGGGTGCTGGGACGACGAACTTTGCAGACTTGAGAGAGTCGTCCAACGTCGAAAGTACTGATTGCGAAACGCCCGACCGGACAAGTACCCGTGTGTGGCAGTGGTCTGATCCCGGCCCGACATAGCAACGTAATAAGATTATGATATTAGTACAGTGCGTTTCCCATACTTGCAGTGCCTCCACGCACTCTACTGTTTTAGTATAACAACCTCTCACATAAACGTCGGCGTCGGATCAATCTCAACCTCCCATCTTTGACAATATTTGTCCTTGGAAATGCTGTGACGGATAACCCTCAGTTCCATCGCTGTCTCACATCAAACATGAGATCTTACATATCAATGCACATTTTGCGCCGTGCAGACTAGGAAGGGACGTGCAACTAAGACACCACCTCGCCCGGGTCTACCGCTCGTGCAAGCTGTACAAACAGCTCATCTACGGTTATTCAGTCTGTGAGCTTTTGTCGTCACACAAGAAAGACCGCTTACCATCGAAGGCCGACGTTGCGGTGAACTTGCTCGATTCCATATACGCACGGATGCGTTCCCCCATGTTCTGCGAGATGGGTGTCATTCTGCGAGACGCATTTGGGCCGAGATCCCTCGCCAACTCGGGGTTGATGTCGACTTGCCGGTCGGATTCTTCGTCGTTTATATCTCTGCTAGAACTGCCGAAGGACACATTCTTCCCTACGTCTTCTTTTTTGCGGCCCACATTTACCGAGGACGGTTCATCATTCGGTATGACGCGCCACCATAGTGCGGGTCCGCGAAATTGGTAGCGTAACAAATCGGCATCGAACATTCGCATCCCCTCGCCGACAGAGACGATTTCAAGGAGGGTATGCTCCCCGCAATATTCGCTGCCAGATCACGCATCGTAAACGACCAACGTGAATGGACAGTGGCGGGTCCTTTGTCTGTCATGTCATACGGTCCATAATTGTCGTGACGGTCGCCGTCCCAGGGTATGAGGGAGAGGCGAAGAGCAACAAGGGGTAGTTGGGACAGTGCTGAGAATTGTATGCCCTAGTAGTATGATCATGGGCCAAGTTGTGTGCAATGAATGCGATCCTGACTTACTCACCGTGCAATGTGCCAGCGTAAGATCGAGGTAGCGGATGCGGGGCGCGCTACGAACAAACTCCCGCCAAAACGCTACACCCAATATATCAGGGGATGCGTACAGGGAAAGGGCGACGGGCCAAGTACGCTGTAGGATCGACAGTGTTTGCCGCACGAACTTGTGGGTGTGCACGGACTCAGAGTCCAGTATAAGCCACCGTACTCGGCATGTTATCCTCCAACGCGTCAAATCCATCTCGGTTCCGTAAACTTGGTCGAGGTACGTCCAGCACGCGGTTTCCATGGTAGACCAAAGATCCGGGTATCTTTCCGCCAGATCCTTTATGTCTGCTCTATACTCGAAGTGTACCGCTTTGACAGCTGGGAGAGCATGGACAAGCGTGGCCACAGAGACATAGCTATGCTCGATGTGCAGATCCATAACCTCTGGCCATTGCATTGGCGCATAGAAAAGGTCATTGTCAACATGGTGGTCTTTTTGGTTCGCGATGCAGAGCCGGACCAAGCGGAGAGAACGGACCCTTCGCATGACCAATGCAGAAAGTAAGGGCGTCCCGTCGCAGAAGTGTTGGCCCGAGGAGCCGTGTAGACTGAGCCGGCGGGGCGTACAGGAAAGACGACCCACGACGGCAAATGAGGCGGAGGTCAGACCTCGCAGATCGACGTCCACTAGCTGGTCCAAGCGACATGTTGCAGATGCCACACGTGGCTCGACCTCGAACACCCGCGAGGCTGTATCGATTCGCAGCATTTTCAGGAGAGACGCTCTTTCAAGGACATCCGCGAGGAGATGAGCAGCGGAGAAATCTTCATCCTCACTGTACGGTATGCCGAAAGCGCCGCTGAACACGGCGAGGGTCCGCACGAAGTGTAGGCGATTTGTCACATCCGCGAGGAGGTAGCTGCAGATCCTCTCCAGCTGGGCAGCCGTCCTAATGTCTATTTCCGACAGTGCATGGCGCTTTGCGAGGGGATGGATCCTGCACGATGTCAGAGAGAGAGTCAAACTGTCGCGTCGATCGAGGAACGATATGATTGAGGACAGAGAATGGTCATCGAGGTCGGGCAGGCGTATCATGTTTCGCTCAGAATGAGCTCGACTGAGGCACTGGCAGCGCAAGAACGTCGGTGCGCCAGCGATGAACTGAGCAAACCTGAGAGCACCTGCAGGGACAGTGACAGTTAGAGACAACTTGGCCCAGTGCTTCCGCGCCGCGGCGGCCCTTCCGCCGCCACGGCGCCACCGACGCGTCGGTTACATAATCCAGCCGCGGCAGTCAGCGTTTCAGCCACCAACGCGTCGTTCAGGCCATGCATAGTCTGAGTCGTACTAAGTTACTCCAGTACTTGTCACTACCGAGTTCGATTTCTATGGTCAACTTCCGTCTGTTCTTATTGTAGTATGCGTAAAATCATCCTCAACAACATTGAGCCGGTGCTCAGCTTGTCTACGAAGGCCAGCGAACGTGTGAGGTGATTACAGCCAGAAGGGCCGACAATGAGTCAGGTACAACAGACGATGTGTATTGGGTAAGACAGAGGATGCAATGGCTACATGCTGAGGGTTTCTACGTGGCGAGTCTACACATACTCTGTACAGACATTCGTTGGGTTATATGAGGGAGAATGTACATCCACCACAATGTCCATGGAGGGGATCCGATATGGTTCTACAAGGCCTCGGGAGAAATGTCACCGAGGGTGTTGAGGTCTGCAGCGCTGAACGCGCTGCGGAGCGAGTGGGTTTCGTCACCGTATTCCGACTGCGATTCGATGTGTTCCTGAAAAAGGGATCCGCTCAGTTCAGAAGATTATGCACGAGCGACCGAACCAAGACTTACATCGAAGTAATGGTTAGCAAGGCTACGAGGAGCTGTGAAAATGGGTCAGGTTACATTCTGGTGAAAAGAACCAGTGGACCCACTCTTCGGAGTCCTCGGAAGTCGGCAAGTTGCACCACTCTGGAGGATATGGTATGCCACGAGTCCAGACCTGAAGTATGACATCGTCAGCGGTGCCGAGCGTGTGCAGCACACAAGTGACGAACCAGCCAGTCTGATGCGATGCGCCCAAGCCTCGGCCGTCGTCAGCATGGAAGAACTGTCAAGCCAGTGAGCGGGTCTTCATGGGGCCATCAATATGCATGACGAACCTCATGGAACCAGACGTAGTCTCTGAAGTGCGGGTCACGATCGAGCTTGGGGTTGCCGCCGTTCGTCGCTCGCCTGCCCTCTGCATCACGGCCAAAGATATGGATCACTCGATGCTGGATCTCCTCCGCGACCTCGACGAGGTTCATGTAGTCCCCGCTGCCAGTCGGGCACTCCACTTGGAGCTCGTCACCGTAATACTGATAGAACCGCTGCAAGCTCTCGATCAGGAGGAAGTTCACAGCGAGCCCTAAGGAGGGGTGAGTGAGGCAGTTGCCAGCGTGTGCAGGATACACGTACAGATCGGGCCTCGCCAGTTCGAATTACCACCAAACATGCCAGACTTCGAGTCTCCGGGCCAGTAGTTGACTTCGTATCGCTGGCCGTGGACATCCATGCCCCACGGCTGGTCCTTATGTCTCTTAGACAGACTGCGCAATGATATGAGCCCCAGGAAATGCGAACAACGAGAGCGATGGACGTACGACCGGATACCGTGTTCGCTGAAAAACTCGTTCTCGTCCAACATCTTCTGGAGAATCTTGACAAGACGGTCCTTGTTAGCGAGCGCGAGCAACCTCCGCTCACCGCGACCGCCGGCTGTGGAACACCGTGAGCACGTTGTCTTGCTTGAATCTGCAATAGATACGCACCTTTCATGTTTGCGACGTTACGCTCCGACAGCTCAGGCCTATTCTCGATGAACCACTCCAAACGCTTTTTGAATCCAGGGACGCGGTTGAGCGTTGCAGGTTCGATGACGCACGTCGCATACAGTGGAATCAGGCCCACAAGGCTGCGGACAGGAAGCTGCATCGTGTGGCCACCGTCGAATTCGATAGCGTCGTAGTACAGGCCGTCTTCCTCACTCCATAGGCTCATTTCTTGCTCGCCCTGGCGGTACGTCATGGCATCGGCGATGAAGATGAAGTGCTAGAGGTGCACGCATTAGAAGGCATCACTTGCTGATGATTTACACTCAATAGCACTGACCTCGAAGAATTTCGAGGCAATGTCTTCATACACTGGGTTATGCTTCGCCAGCTCGAGGGCGATGTTGAGCCTGTATCATTGATCAGCACGAGCCATAATGAGTATGAGTAGATGCATACATGTTCAGACAGTAGAAAGCCATCCACGCCGTACCATCTGCTTGACGGAGGACACCACCTGTCGGCAGAGGCTCGGACCGGTTGAAGACACCAATGTTGTCTAAACCGAGGAAGCCTCCCTCGAAGACGTTGTTTCCACCTTGATCCTTGCGGTTGACCCACCATGTGAAGTTCAGCAGCAGCTTCTGGAACACGCGCTCGAGAAATGCGAGGTCCTCTCGACCATACAGCTTCCGCTCGATCTTGAAGATACGGAACGTCGCCCTGAACAACGTGATGAACGATCGTCGACCAATCAAACAGACAGAGACGTACCATGCATGCACCGGAGGGTTCACGTCGCTGAAGTTCCACTCATACGCGGGAATCTGGCCGTCGGGCTTCATATACCACTCACGCGTGAGCAGATCCAGTTGTTTCTTGGCGAAATCCGGATCGACAACGGCGAGGGGGATACAATGAAACGCAGTGTCCCACGCTGCGAAGAAGGGATACTCCCACCTGTATCCAGCAGGGGTGAGTATATGCGCACCGCGCAATACTTGAACACCTACTTGTCGGGCATAGAGAGGATGTCGGCTATATACATGTGCTTCCATTCCTATATCACAATCGTCAGCATTTCGTGCCGCTGTCAAAATCACTGCACGCACCTTGTTCCTCACATTCTTCCTCTCTGGTGGTGGCGGAGGCTGGGCAGGATCGCCGTTCAGCCATTCATTCTGGACGAACTGATAGTACTGCTTTGTCCACAACATGCCACCGAGTGCTTGGCGCATGATCTGCTGCAAGTCATCTGTCATCGGGCCCATGACAAGGGCGGAGTAGAACTCGTTCGCTTCCTCTCGGCGTTCTTCGATCGCATCGTCGAACATGCCCTCATCCTCAATCGTGGGGTCTTGTTCCGGTTTCCGGCGTGTCAACTTCATACGGACGACCGCACATCCGCCGTGCCCAGGTACGTTGTCGAAGACGTAATGCGCGGCAGACTTGGTGCCGCGCTTTTCCGGGTTCACGAACGAGGGCGTCATGGGGAAGGGGGTACGCGGGCCCTGCTCTTCCTCGGAGCTCGGCGTTCCGCTCTCATGGTGCACGGTGTTCGAGTGTATCTTCGTTGAGAAGAAGCCGGGCTGACCGTCAGCTGGTGGGGACGGACGGTGCGAAGGGATGATATGGTCATGGAAAGCGTCCTTCACATACGGGGTCTCGTTCTGGCCTCCGTAGAGCCTGTGGAAGTTGGTGTTGTTCTCGGTGAAAAGGAGCTCGGGCTCGATGGCATCCATATCCTCTCCATCAGCTGCACCGTTCTCACCGACAGGTGATCCGCTCGCAGAAACGGGAGGTGGTGACGGGAGGCAGTACAAATGATACTTGCCAAAGGTGGGATGAACAGCAGTGATGACCGTGTTGCCCGAGGCACTCATGGCGGGCATCTTGGGTTTCTCCGCCGGCCATGACCAGAAGTTGGTGAACCAAAATTGCGGAACGATGTGCAGTGTAGCGGGGTCGGGACCGCGATTGTAAGAAGTGATACGGACGTAGACGCTATCGGGGTCCTGTTCATCTTTGGCATACTGTGATGTAGATATAGTGAGTTTTCAGACGCATATAGTCTCGGGCGGACCGACAACATACTTCTAGGAAGACATCCCAATAGCGATCCTCGTCGAAAGCATCGGTGTCTAGGATCTCGAACTCAGATACATCACGATCGCGATGTTGGTTCTCCTGCACAAGCTCCTCGTACGGGTAGGCCTTCTGAGGGTATTTGTACAGGAATTTCATGTACGAATGGGTCGGAGTCGAGTCGAGGTAGTAGTACAGTTCCTTGACATCTTCGCCATGGTTTCCCTGATGACCGGTGACACCGAAGAGGCGCTCCTTTAGGATGCGGTCCTGCCCATTCCATAGTGACAAGGAGAAGTTAAGGCGCTGATGGTTATCCGAGATGCCTGCGATACCATCCTCGCCCCACCTGTAGGCGCGCGACCGGGCGTGCTCGTGAGGAAAGTGACTCCAGGCGTCGCCGTTTGCAGAATAGTCCTCGCGGACGGTCGCCTGTAAGATAGTTTGGTAAGACAAAAAGCGTAGCCAACCTAATCGCGGGTCGAACGCACCCATTGCCTGTCGCTCAGATACGGACCCCACCTCTTCCAGTGTAGCTCGCGCTTGCGATCCTGCTCGAGTCGGTACCTCTCCGCGCCCTTGTATTCATCGCGCAGCTGGTCAACGAGCCTAGTCCGGAAGGTTTGGGTGCCCCCGTTCTGTTGCTCCTGCTTCGGCGACGAAGCTGTCTCCGCCTTTGCCAATTTGGGCGGGGCCGGAGCAGCGGTCTGCGACGGGGAGGGCCTGGGTATGTTGATCGTGAGGGCGGGGTCGGACGTCGAGCGAGGCGGCTGTTGCCCGCTGCCGTTCTCGCCTCTGAATATTTTCCCCTGGATTTTCTTGGTCTGTGACATGGCGGGGGAGGGGACGATGAACGACGGAGCGAAACGAACGCGTCGAGGACGGTAGGCGCCCGTCTAGAGCTCTTCTCGCGTCTTGACGCCTGACGTCACGCCACGCGGGTGTCAGCACGTGACCGTCTCAGCGGCCGAGAGAACGCCGGAACGACGCCCCCACGCTCCACACGCGGGGTCTGGCTGCCAGACAGACAGAAGTTTGAACTGGGCCCGCGGGGTATGCTAACTGCACTGGGATAGACGGAGGGAAAAGAAATTGCATTGCAGAGAGGCAGAGACTGCAGCAGAGATATGTACAGATGACGGAGAGACTGAGCAGAGCAGCGGATCAAGACAAGCACAAGAGCAGAGCAGTCGCCTCGTGGTCAGCACAGACAGGTAGGCAGATACAACAGGTGCCAGATTCATTTTGTGTACAACAGCTGGTATCTTCATGTTCATGCAGGAGTTGCGGGAGCAGGGGAGCCACCGCGCGCGTCGTGGAAACCTGCAAACACGTCTTGTCAATGAAGAGATGCCCTCCACGCCGGTTCAACTTACCACGGCCTCGTCCGCGTCCGCGCCCACGGAATTCGCCGTCAGAACCTCCTCGCCATTCTCCGTGCGGCTTGCCACGGAAACCTTGAGGTGAATTTACCTGAGCCAACGTATACCTCTCGTGATAAATGGCACTTACCACCACGGTCACCGCCACGGTCACCACCACGGTCGCCGCCACGGTATCCTCCGCGGAAACCACCACGTTCGCCACCACGGCCTCCTCGGAAGCCACCACGGTCACCTCGGAAGCCACCGCGGTCACCTCTGAAGCCACGGCCACCACGGCTACGGCCCCTTGGGGGCATGGGCCTGAAGCCATCGTCATCTGGATGAGGAACATGTCCGTTCGTCTGCACACCATTTGGCATTGGTGATGGCGGTGCGCTACGCTCTGCAGGAGCTTCAGAGGCGGGTGTCATATCTCTGGAGGTACCGAACTGCGCATGCAGGCTACCGATGGACGGGAGGCCCTGCTCGTCTTCGTCCGCCCAGTTAATCACTCCATTCGTGGTAGGGATTTCAGGAACCTGGCGCGTCGTGAGTCCATGTCCATGTACACGCGGTCTTCAACTGGTATCATACCTCTGTTGTTGTGGTGACGGTAATCGACTCCTCCACAACAGCGTGACCGTTAACCTCTGCCTCGACCACAGCCTCGACGACCTCCACTTGCGCAGGTTGTTCGACAACTTCCTCCTGCACGGGCTCAGGTTCAACGGCCTGTTCCAGCTCGTCTTCTTGCATGAAGTGGAAGCCACCAGTAGGCGCTGCACCAATGACAGAGGATAGTCCGCTAACGGGAACCTCCACAGGCTCCGGAACCTCCGGTTCAACTTCCTGAGGCTCTTCGACTGGTAGCTCCTCGTGTGCAGGAGGGTTCAAGAAGAGTTGGGTGATCTCGACCAGGCGTGAGTCTATGCCAGGCATATGTCACGATGCACGAGAAAGAGAGGCCTAGGGCTACGCACAAGGAACTCCGTGCACTTCGCCTTCTGCGGTCACGAAGTTGCTGATGATCTCCAAGCGGCCCTCACTCTCGTCGCTGAAGAGCCTGTCTGTGACATGGTAGATTGCCATGCCCTCAGACTGTTCGATGCCAAGATTGGTAACGGCTGGGTGTCCTTGAGACAGGAGGTCTCTCAGGCGCAGGAAGTGGATGAGGTCGGCAGTCTTTCGCTGGTACGTGTCCTTAAAAGTAGACAACATGTTATGTCAGACCCCGCAACCTTGTAAAGAGGTATAGCCATCACCTCAGCAGCCGCAACCACCTCAGCCAGACGTTCCCTCTCAGCTCTGGCAGCCTCAGCCTGTTTGACTGCCAACTCTTGAGCAACCTCCGCCTCGTGCGTCTGTGTCGTTTGTGAGGAGGTTATGTGACACTCAATGCGAACGAAGACTTACAATGATGACCTTCTTCACGTCCTCCAACTCTTTCCGCGTCGCCTCCAGACTTGGCAGGGTCGTCAATAATCGCCTCTGATCGTCGTTGAGCTTGTCCGGTGGCAAAGACGAGTACTGTTCGATTCGTGCCTGTCATAAATTTGCAAGACGTCAATGCTCACCCTTAAATGGACTGGACGTTGCATGACAATAAAATGGAGGGACCAAAGCAAGGTGACGCGTCGGAAGCACGACATAGGATCAAGTAGCGAGCGATGTAGACACTCGCACTCACCATCTTCTTTTGTATCTGCTTCAATCGCTTATTGAGCATGTCGACGATGGGTGTCACTTTCAGTGCCGGATCCTCCACCGGTGTCTGAGCCTGCGGTGCCTCAGGCTGCGCGACCAGCTCGGGCGCGACCGAGCCCTCCTTCACATCCGCCTCCGTCGGGGCCTTCTCAGTAAGCGCGGCGGAGGTGGAGTCGGGTAAGGTAACATCGTCGTGCTCAGGAGTTTTCTTCGTGGACTTCGTTTTCTTCCTCTTCTGCGACTTGGAAAGCGGTGCCGACGGGGAGCACCAGGCACGATGCGGACGGTCGGGGTGGTGGGGGTGTCGGACATGGTTAGTAGGGTGTTTTTGGCTGCGTAGATTCTCGTATGAACAGGGGGCACAGATGGGACGCGTACAAGACTACAGAGGCTGGGAGAGCGGTGGTAAAGGATGCGATGTATGCAAAAATCGAAGGGGTCACTCGACCTCGTCACTGACCCGAATGACTTTCCCACGCCTTCAGTGTACTCGGTTACAGATCGGTTCAATAGCCTGCAGGCGCTCTCGCTAAATAACTTGAAGTTGTCACGGTCTCTTGGTTATCTCCGCACCTCGTTGCACCGAGCGACACCGTTACCCTTGCACAGATCCACTAGTCCGTTCAACAAAATTCTCGGTTATGTTCGCCCATGTTTTTTTTGGGAAAGTAGATGTGGGGGCAACGCACTTACCAGCTACAGCCACTAAGTCCCGATGTACGGATGGGAGCGGACAACGACATCGGTATGTCTGAGTTGCCTTTTTCGTATTTGCAAGTTGATTCCTCTGTCGAAATCTGACTATTCCAGAAGAAGTTGAAGAGACATTATTCGAATCTCCGGTGACAAGGGCAACGTCCCGGGTTGGTGTAGAATGCCGCGTTGTCGGCAGTCTGGATCATAACCTCCGGTGCTCATAAATGCCAGCCCCCTTGAGCATAACATAAGACAAGCTGGACCTCTCGCACCTTATCCCAACGCCCTCTGGCGTAAAGCTCCTCAATGGCTCTGGAAAATGACTTCAGCTCGAACCGGCACGCCTCCGCTCTTCAGGAATTCGAGGTCCCCGTCCGGCATCCCGAGCTGTGTTTTGATGACGCAAATCTCGCAGTCGTCACAGGTCGTCAATACTTCCTTGTACACCAGGGCCTACTCTGCTATCACTCCACTGTTTTGAGAGGCCAGGTGGAAGCGCTCCAACTGGGACACGCTCTTGCGCTGGAAGGCCGGCCAGTACTAGCCTTGCAGGATACGCCAGAGGATATGATGTACTTTTTGAAAGCTCTATACGGGTGCGTATCTGCTTTTGAATTCCTCTCGCACTGCATAATCTGCTGACAGACTATTTTCAAGGTGTGCTTTCGGCCTGGAGAGCAAGGAGTTCACTGTCATATCGGCGTTGCTTCGTATGTCGACGAAGTATGGCGTGGACGACCTGCGCAAAGAGGTCATGCGTATCCTGTTGCTATCCTGGCCGACCACTCTTGCCTTATGGGAGCTCCGTGAGAAGAAGGTCACAAATATCCACGGCATCTACGCTCCGCGAACCGGATTGCCACATCCGCTGTAAGTCACGGAGATTCCCATCGTGTATGCACACTTGACCCTGTACAGCTCGATCATCAACTTGGCCCGCGAAGTCAACGCCCCAGAATTGCTACCATCCGCTTTCTACGACCTTTCCCGGTATTTGCCGAGTCAACTTGTGCTCAACCATATGAACGGAGTCGACGGAACCGGTGCTCAAATCTCGTACGAGGATCTGCTCAAAGTGCTCCGGGGGAAAGAACAAGCAACTCGTTTCTTTTCGACTTTCATCGTCGACGAACTGGAAGGTCGAGATCCCAGCGACGCCTGCATTCGGAAGCGCAACATCGTCACACAGCGCGCATGTCAAGTGGCATTCGAAGCCGTCAATTTCGAACTGATCCGCGACGTCAATGGCATGGTGTGCAATCGTAACTCCGACCCTCTGTTCGCCACCGCAGAAAGCCTTGCTATGCAGACGAGGGAAGACGTTCCCGGAGAGGAGAACAGGGCGGTATACAGGGCGTGCGAAGTCTGCCGTCTGGAGTATAGCTCTGTCGTCGACGCGGTACGAGAGGACTTCTGGCGGCGGATCCCGGAATGGTTCGAACTGGAGGTGGGAAACTGGGGCTAAGCTAGCTTTCTGTGCTTCTCTCTGCGATCTTGCTTGGCTTGTGCCCGTTTGCTTGTTGTCCACTTGCTTGTTCTATGACGATGCGTCTCGTGACATTTGCAGTTGTGGGTCCGAATGTAACTTCGTCTCGAACGCGCTTCGTCACGGTGTGACAGGTCGCGTCAATCTCGATGCCCGATCGTGCCTGTCGGCTCTATCCTTCGCCCCGACTTTCTCGGAGTCCCTGTCGCCCACAACACACTCTGAAATGCACGACGAACACCTTTTCGACGATGTTTTCGCATTCTCTGGAGATGAGGATACCGCTCAAGACGGTGGTTTCAATGATTTGGCCGCCGAGGACATGCATATATGCGAAGATTCACCTCTCATCATGCTGATGGACGAACTTGAAGAGGACGAAAGCCAGTTCACTTCCGCAAACGGAGGCGGAGATGAAAACGTCGAAGCTAGCGCTGATGACGATGGAGGCACTAGCTCACAATCACAAACACTACACGACGAAAACAGCGAGCACGGTGTGGTACATGATTTCGAAGAGCAGAAATCGAACCAGACGTGCACCTGCCAGTGGACGTCTCCGAAGAACGGTGGGCCCACTAGTAGTATTCACCGTCATCTAGGTCTCATAGCTCGCCGACAGCATTGCAATCATGGGGCAACTTGAGGCTCTAGTCTTATCAGTTATGGAGCAGCTCGTGGAGGCGCTCGAAGAAGGTGACCGGGTGAAGACAAAGACGAAGACGAAGAGGATCATCGTAGAGCTCGCCGATCGAAAGCGGACGTCTTCGGATGGGTGATCTCTTCCTTCGGACTGCATGAGATGAAACTCATGGTGTACTGGCAGATCTCCAGGAACTCGTACACTGATGTTTCCTCGCAAGGGGAAAGGAGCGAGCATACAGCCATTTAGTATGCCTACATAACTCGGTGACAACTTCATTGCATGCTGTTGCTGAGATTCCCTTGCAGCACAACTCTTTCGAGTGGTCAGCCTCGTACACGAAGCCTTGTCAACTGACATGCCATTGACGAAACGGTGCGCAATTCCGTGTGGGATGACGCATACAGTCAGCATTTGAAGCGAAATCAGGGATATGTATTACAAGGATGTCGGGCTCTTCAATCCCAGGCCGTAGTTGACAAAGTGGGTCGAAGCCAGAGCTCTCGTGCGTGCGTGAAACTGACATTGAACCCCTTGGCCTTCGTGCATAGCTGGTCGATGACCTCGCCGCGACCCTTGGTGTCGGCCGAGCTGACCTGAACGTCGTATGTGATCAATCGTGCAGGACCTCCGAGCATATGCATTCGTTAATAACAGTCCAGCGTGCCTCGGCCAAAGGACTTGTATGTGGGTCAAAACTAGTCATCCACCTCGACGGAGGGGATGCCATACAAGCGAACGACTCCGAGGTTGTCCTTTCGTTCCAAACCGGGTATTCCAACTGACACCACAGGTTAGGGCACACTGATACCAACCGGCGAAGACATCGCACAATTTGAGGTAGATGACTCGCTATCATGGGTCCTCATCGTCGAGAAGGAGGTGCACTTCACGCACAAGTGACATTGCCAGTTGGATCTGACGGTGCGGCATTTCAGGCGGTCTTCCAAACCCTGTGTCGGTCAAGTTCGCCAACCACCCTTCCTTGCCAGGACCTGGGCTCATCATCACGGTGCTCGTCCTTCCCCTTGCCCTTCCTCGCACCTGACGTCTATAGGGCAAGGGTACCCGGACGTGGCGACCCGGCAGCTCGTCAAGACGCTGTCCGACAACCTCCCGTCCTAGTGAGCCCTTACCGCGTGCCCCCAGCTCATTCGTATGACCGCCCACCATATGTAGCATACCCATACTGGCGCTTGTCGACGGCGACGCCTACGGGCTGGACATCCTCTCCGTGTACCGCTTCGGCAGCGCGCAGATGCAGCATGAGCGGGAGAGCCTCGCTGCCGCGCGGGTGCGCTGGCTGGGGATCTGGACGAGCGAGCTGGCGGGGTGAGCGAACGTTCGCCCACAACCGTGCTGCACCGAGAAGCTGACGGGTGCTGCGCGACTGGCCAGGCTGGACATCCCCAAGGACGCGCTTATACCGATTACGAAGCATGACGAGAAGAAGGTGTGTCTGCGCTACCTCATGGATGCCTTGCGTTGCCTGCCGGCCCCCCCTGGGTGCGGGATAAACCCGTTTGTCCCGTTGTGCGAGCGGCCCGCTCATTGGACTGGACGTACAGGCACTGAGTATGCTGCGACGTAGTGGCCTCCCGAAGAAGTGGCGGTGCGTCTAATTGGCATTTGCGATTGCGTCAGATGGGCTGACTGGCCCGTGAGTAGGAAGGAGCTCCAGTACATGCTGCATAACCGGCGCAAGGCGGAGATTGAGATCCTTTCAAGTGTACAAAGGAAGGCAACTATGCCTGGCTTCGTGGACAAGACTCTAACCACCCACCGGTGACGCGGACGTCCTTGACTCGATGGACTACGCGGACCTGGCGACGGTGTCCATGCATACTCACCCCTTGAGCCGCCATGCCTGTCACCTACCTAGCAGACAAGATCACCGCCATCGTGGACAGCTACGCCACAAAGTACGCTTGACATGTCGACGACGTCCGCCACACACGTCTGATGGTTCCACTGGTCGACGGCCTCAACCACACGGTCAAGGCCGCATTCTGACATTTTGGGGCACCCGGGACGGGCGAGTATGCTACAGAGTCTAATGCAGTAAATAGTCCGTGTCGTTGCAATGAATGGCCGCATTAGAACATATGTTACGAGTCCGATACTTCAGAACAATATATGACGGTGTGCTACGATATATGCACGCATGTCAGAGTCAATCCGCGCCCGCGCGTCAGCAGGACAAACGACAGTTAGATGTCAGTACTAGTATGCCGTATCGATGCAATGCGATGCGATGTCAAGTCCGAGAGTGTCCGTGCCGCACCAATGTGCTAAATGCGAAACGGGATATGCAATAGTGTCCAAGTGTTGTGTCATCGAGACGAGGTCATGACGCCAAGGCGCATGCTCACCGCAATGCCGCCTAGCTTAGCCATCGAGGCTGACGGGGGCTGTCCGGGCGCTCAAGGCCGGACAGCACTGGCGACGGTGTGGGCCTGGCTGCCCGAGTCGCGTTGGCGGTTGATCAGCAGCTCGTGCACAGGGCCTGTGATGGGTGTGGAGACGTCGCTGTACGTGGACAGGGTCGTGCTGGCGGTGGTGGTACGCGAGATGGGCGTGGGCCCCCGCTCGAGCGCGCCGACGACGTCGGCAGCCCAGAGGATTCGGACAACGCCACGGAGCCGGACGCGGCGTCCGGAGGTCTCGGAGTCGTCGGAGGGCTGTGCGGCGCGCGGGAGCGGCGTTGGGAGGAGCGATTCGTGCGTCGTGGACTGCTCGTCGTCGTCGTCATCGTGGTCGCCTCCGTGGCCATGCTCACTGTGCGGATTAGGTAGGCTGGCCATTGAAACCTCGGCTACGTGCGTCAAAGGCTGTAGGATCGTAGGCTGTGCCACTGCTACTGGCGGTTGCACGGTTGTTGAAGGCTGCACGACTGATGAAGGTCGATACGACTTGAAGTCAAACCCGAAGTCTTCTTGCCGCGGTGTAAAGTCGTAGAGCGTGGACGAGCGGACGCTGGGAGGGCTGGAGAAGGAGTGGGATTGCGGGCGGAGAGACGGAGGCAGGAGCGCGACGTGGCTCTCCTCATAGTTATCTTGTTGAGGAGACTGCACCAGCGACGACGTGCTGTGGTTCCGGTCAGCCCGATCGTCCGACGCTGGACCCCGTTTATACTCCTGCCCTTCGTGCAAGTGCGCGGCCTTGAGCTTGTTGCGCGCAATCTGCAGCTGGCGCAGGACAGACAAGAGAACGATGACGAGAAGGAAGATGACCACTGCACGCGGTGCGTCAGATGTCGATGGTGTGCCCAGAGCACACGAAAGACTCACCGCTCTCTACTATTATGGCAGCCATGGCCCCGGTACTGAGTCCGGAGCATGTGGCTGCGCTGACGGCGGCTGGCGTAGACGCGAGGAGTGCGAGGGCAAGGAGCTGCATGGTTAATAGATAGTCGTGAAGGGCGGATTGGAGGTGGGAAAGGGTATAAGACAGGCGGGAAGTGGGCAGCAAGCGCACCGCAGCCGCCTTTTGACTGGAACGCGGCGCAGTGAGAAGGGCTAAGTATATATAGGCGCGCTCTGTCCTGCACGAGATCCTCAAACGCTGCCTCTCGCGACCGCCGAATCCGGTCTGACGTGGCCGCCGGCGCCCGTGCCGTCTCCCCAGCGCAGAAAGTCGGATCCACGGGGAGAAACGTTCCCGGAACGGGGAACGGGGAACGCGGAACATCACGCACCGTGACGACGTGTGACACCTTCGTTTATAGTGCTGCCACTCTCCTGCGGTTGCATTATAGTAATCTATAGTAATTGACCGTTCGGATCTTTATACGTAGTGGTTCGTAGTAATCACAATGTCTTGTGGGCCATTGTTTGGTTGTTAGGTCACAACGCACTACGCAGTGGATGTGGTTAGCCAATTAAGGGTATTTCCTGATATGGAGAATATGCCCAATCAGGCAATGCTCGCTGGGCCACATTGGATCACGTGCTGAGTGCTGTCCCCGCCAGTGAGTATGAACCTGTATGAACGTCAAGTTATTAATAGCTTGTGATTCATCTATGGCAGTGAAAATACACCTACTGGTATTCAGTAGTCTATACTCTGCTGATGCTAGCACGATTGGGTTTTTGCAGCTTTATGTGTGACAGAGTCGGGACTCGGTGTATTAGTAAGCATTCTAGTAAGTATCTAAGTCCGTACTATTGACTTCCGGGTTTGGCAATTCGTGCTTATGACATAGGCCACTACATACGCTTTGCCCTCTGTCACTATGTGACCAGCGTTCCTAGGGGCGTTCCGCAGAGGCGTTCCCGGAACGCGTTCCGGGAACGTATCTCCCAGTCGATCGGACGTTCTCCCCAGCGGTGGGCAGCGATGGCCCTGCAGAGAACCAACAGAGACCCATGGGAGCGCGGAACAGCGCGAGGGCGGCAGGTGCGACCGTCGCCGTCTCGTCTCAGCCTCTCAGCCTCTCAGCCGCGGTGCGAGGCTGTGGTCGCAGTGGTGGCGTGGCATCCCGCGGCCGCCCACGCGTCGGTCACGTGCAGACGCGTCGCGTCGCGTGTCACGGATTATTAGGCGCGTCGCGTCTCGTTGATTAGGCGGACTCTGAAAGCGCGTCAACTCCGCACCCGCTTAAAGCTTCCCCTTTCCGCTCTGCCTCTTTTCCTCCAGTCCCTCGACCATCCTCGGCCACGACATACCTCCCGTCCCTCTTCAGCCTCGGCCTCCTACCCCTGGGACATCACTCAAGTCGCTCAACACCCTGTTAGTCATGCCGGCTACTCTCCGTTCCACGCGCAACAGCGTTTTGGGGAAGCGTACCCACCACCAAAGTTCCGTCGACTCCTCCTCAGCCGGGTCCGCTTGCGATGGAGGCGTCGCTCTTCCAACGCCTGATCCTAGTCCAGATCCAAAGCGGCCGCGCACCTCGACGTCGTTCCTCGACGACGACGGTAATAAGGAGAACATTCCCCCGATTGTCTTCACCGTCCTGAATCGATCCCCATCCGCGCGACGCGTGCGTCGATCAAGTACAGAGGGCTCGATCTCTCCGCGTCGTAGTATGTGCTGGTTTTCTTCACAGACGATGACACGTGTCTGACACCCTTTCAGCGCCACGACGAGCGGCGTCGTCCGCCGACTTAACCGCGTCACCGCGCACACCTTCCTCATCCTTCAATGGTCTTTCCTTGGCTACTCCTCCCCCGTCGCCTCCCTCGGCGCTGCTTCCCCTTCATGTGCGCGTTCGTGCCCTACTGCGTGCTACGTCCAACGGCCTCACAGGCATGTCAGGACGTACGTCCGAGCGCGCCGTGATCGAGAGTTTCTTCGCTGCCTTCGTCTCCGGCGACCAGGGTGATCGTACCTCGCTCTATATTTCGGGCTCTCCGGGCACGGGCAAGACCGCTCTCGTGAATGATGTGCTCCGTGCATGTCGCTCCGAGCTAGAGTCTCAAGGCACGAAGGCCATTGTGATTAACTGCATGGCGATCAAGGGTGTCGACGCGATCTGGGATAGTGTTGCGGATGTTATCGACGAAGGGCAATCAAACAGTCGGCGTCGACGAAAGGCGAAAGAATCCTCAGCCCAGCGCGTGCGGCGTCTGCTTACGACTAAGAAAACGAGATGGTGCGTCACGAACGGGTTGTGGCTCTCAATCATAGCTGATTATCCCGGTCTCATAGCATCGTCGTTCTCGACGAGTTGGATCACGCTATATCCGACGACCAATGCCTTGTATCGTTGTTCACATTCGCTCAAACCCTCAGCGAACATCTGCGTATGATCGGCATCGCCAACACGCATACGTTGACATCGTCCGCCACGACCGCGTCGTTGGACTCGGTGAAGTCTGTGAACACGGTTCACTTTGCTCCATATGCTTCACAGCAGTTGATGGAGATCTTGACTTCCCGACTGTCACCACTCTATGATGACGCGGATTGTGGGGATCGAGTCAGGCGTTTCCTACCTGCGCCCGCGTTGATGTTATTGACGAAGAAGATAGCATCGCAAACGGGTGATGTCCGTGCTATCTTTGAAGTCCTTCGCGGTGCGATTGATCTCGCCCTCGCCGATGTCGTCTCCGACGACCCCCTTTCTGCCCCAATGGCCGTCGTCACGCCCACGCATGTCCTCGCTGCACTCAAAGCCCAATCATCACCGAATGCACCCGCGGCAACGTCTGGGTCTGGCTCGTCCGCGGGCGCGAGCGAACTTATCACCAAGATTCGTGGGCTTGGGCTCCAGCAACGCCTGGCACTTCTGGCGCTCCTGCTCGTCCGCAAGCGTGTCGAAGCCGGGCTGGCACTCTCCGGCTCGCCTGCAGCTGGGTCTCCATCTAAGCCCCCTCGCTCGCCAGTGAAACGGACTCAATCCGCATCAGCTGCAGTCCCTGCCGCAAGTGGCTCCGTCGACGTCGCGCAGTTGCATGCGTTCTATTCGGCCATCCTTGCTCGGGGTGATTCGGCGGTCTTCACGCCCGTGTCGCGGAGCGAGTTCACCGACTTGTTGGGCCTGCTCGAGACTGTTGGGCTCGTAATGCTCTCGACTGGACGTGGCGGCATGCCGGGCACACCCTCCAAGACAGGCCGGAAAGGTTTCGGCCGATCGTCGTCTTTTACGGTTGGGGCCAGCAAGGGGAGCTGCCCAGAGGTGTGCTTCGTCGCGGACGTGCGTCTTGACGAGGTGTCTCGTGGTCTCGGGATCGCGGGCGCTGGTGCGGAGGCTGAGCCTCCCGCGGATGCGCGCGAGGAGGAAGTTCGCGCCATCTGGGAGCGTGAGCGTGCGAGGATCGCCCGCGAGGCAAAAGCGTCGGCTCGCGCGTCGACCTCAGCGGACGTGTTCGAGGGTGCCATGGAGGTGTAACAGTGCTCCATCTCACCTGCTCAAAACTTATCCCTCTTACAGTCGATTTGTCGTGCACACGCTACCTATACGTCTGCTGGTCCGTTCCTCTCATCATTACCCATCATCGACAATGTTTCAGTACGTATGCATGCATCATCTCACAGTATCCCACATATTCCCCTAGTCATTTCCTTTCACGTGTCATATCATGTCGGTGCTCAATGCTCGGGACTCTGACACTGGTCCAAAAGTGCTTGTACAAGTAGGATAATTTCTCACGTCATCATCGTCACCACACTAGTTGTACTGTTTCCACTCGTCATGTATCGTTCGGAGAATAATGAATACCATTTTGTGCGAAGTTCGTCCTGCTACAACCCAATTGCAACAATAGATCCAGGTGAACTAATCAATTGGGAGAGCTATCGTCATTTGCGTATCCACCACTCCGCGACGTCGAGGCGGGTGACGAGGTCGTGTAGGCTTCCTGTCACTCCGTCTAGACGGGAAAGATTCGCAAGCTGCGCTGCAACATCCTCCACGGCCTCGCGAGAGGTCCCAGAGCCTCTCTCTACGAGAGCTCTCAAAACCTTGATCTAAGTGCGCCCGGCTCAGCACATCGACAACCCTACAAGTGGCAGTGAAGACGTACCAGAGTCAGCGTTCTCTTTCTGAACTTCTCCCAGAGGTCCTCGAGGAGCGGCGCCGCCTGGTATTCCTCCAAGCGCCCTTGGTATCGGTCCCCGGCAAGGACGGCCAGTTCCAAGACAAGCTCAAGGCATCCTCGCAACACGTCGCCCACCGCTTTCTGGCCCGAACGCAGGAGACACGCGCTGAGGATGTCGTCGAGGACGGAGGAGTGGTAATCCGCAAGCACAAAGACGTCGGAGAAGCCACCGGGTGGTCTGTTCTGCTCGGGGACGTTGAGCTTGGCGAGGAAGGCGTCGAACCTGAGGCCGATGGCGCGGTCGTAGATGTACGAGGACAGCGTTGTCACGAACGCGGTGGCGACGAAGCGGGCGTGGAGGAGGAGTTTGTTGGTTTGAAATAAGGTCGGGAAGAGCGGCGAGGTGGACCGCCTGGTTATTCGATACGTCGCAGACATGGCGCATGTGGCTGTTGCGAGACAGTCGTGTATCAGGGAGGGTTATATCCTCAATCGGTCGGCGGCTTACCTCGCATGAGCCGTAGGTTGAACGCGAATATCCGGTGGTACTTAGAGAGCGCGTCGGGTGTTATCACGACGTGCAGAGGTCTTGGTGGTTTGTAATCCATGTACAGGAAGTCAAGAGCCCTAGAGCAATGTTAGAACGGGGACAGCAGAGGTTGGCAGGGAGCCTACTCGATAGCTGTACGATAGTCGTGAGCCGGTGCAGGAAATATGATGTAACGTGGTGCTCACAAAGAGGGTCCAGCCATTTCTCCTTTCCAGTACCAGTTGGAAGGTCGCGGATGGCAAATCCCAAGCGATATTCGGCTTCATGTATGATGCTTTCTTGCCTCGGAGGGAGTCCTGTTTGCTCGAACGAAAGTCCGAACGAGCTCTGCAAAGAGTCGTTGATCACGGTGCGCAGGTGGAAGCTCAGCTCCGGTACACTCGGTGGCCAGACACTCGCTGCCGTCAAAGCAGGCGACAGCCCCACTGCCCAGTGGCCGTCCGCGAGTGGTGTGCTGGCTTCTGCTTTTCGATGGCTTGCGGCAGATGCCCGCGTGGTAGAGTTTGGTGGGTCGTCAGAATCGGAAAAGAGCGCGGCAGACAGCCTTGACTTGAAGGCATGGGATGTGAGCAAGAGGTAGGAGCGGAGAACGGACAGATGAAGGGGGAGACTGAGGTCGGTCGGCGAGAGAATCAATGTGACCAGAGCACCTGACAGCGCCTCCATATGATGGGCGAGAGGAGAGAGGACGAGAGCCGTGAGGTGCGACAGAGTCGGTGTCAAGGATGGCAAGGTGGACGGGAAAGCGTTCATGAACGCCTGTAAGTCACCCACTTCTGTGCTATCCGTCTGAGACGCGGGGGGAGCGAAGAGACCGAGGTTTTGACCAGGGGTTAGGTCAAAGAGGGCAAAGTCCTTCAACTCTTCCCTGTATTCACGATCTGGAAGGGGAGGGTCGGCCTCAGAGTCTCGGTCTGGATGTTGTGCAGGCAAGTCAACTGGCCCGAGCGATCCTTTACGCCCAGTCCAAGCGGTTGCGACGTCTGCATCTGTCCAAAACCAATGGACATCGGGGCAATCTTCGCGATACCCGTGCAGCAATGGATGGTCTGGCTGCGCTTCACGCAGAAACTTGAGTGACCTCTTCGCACGGGGGAAGGCACTGGCTAGTGCCTCCTGTATAAAGACTGGACAAGGTTCGTCGGCCGGCGGATCGTCGTAAAACGTTTCATCCCGTTCATCGTCAGGCTCCTCGTCGAGGTGGTCAGTGCCATAGAGACCGCTGTCGTGCATCGCCGGATCGGTGTTGTGTGTGGGCGACATATTGTACCCGACCGACTGGCTAAGTTGCTGGAAATAATCCTGAGAGGTGACAGTCAGAATATAGGCGAGGATGGCTTGCAGCGCATGCGGCGAGTGGTTCTCTAGGCTTTCATCCAGCTGACGATATATCCTGGACAGAAGGTCCACCACCGTGGTGGGCAATGGAGAATACACAGACGGCAGTTCATGCATGTCCTACGCAATGTGTCAACGAGCAAGTAGAGTCGGGCTGCGATGGTACTTACTCTGTTGCATAGAGCTGCCAGTGCGAGTAGTATCTCTTCTGTCGCAGCGTATCGCATCCACACAGCGACCAAATCAAGTGTGTCTTCCGAGTTGGTATCCCATCGCATCGGCTTCGCTAGTCGTTTCCGTAGAGAATCAAGCACTGAAGAAAGCGCATGGATGAATGAGTGAGTGACTTGAGCAGCACGCCCACGCCTTGATCATGAGAATGGTAAGTGTACGCAGAAACCTGATTCTTGAGCACACACATGGTATTGTGAGACTGGGTCAAGTTCTCAAGGCGCCGCATTAAGGTCCCGATATTCACGAATCGCTGCAGTACACTGCAAAGTTCGTGAGCCGCGAGACTCGACAACAGGGACGACCACCTCACCTCTCGCTGATGACCTCATCCGTGCCAATTAAGACGATTTTACCCCTCGTCCCTCGCGGCACGGCACGTAGGGTGAACTGTTCGGAACGAGGATCCCAAATATGTGTCGAAGAGGACATTCCTGTCAGCGTCAGATGAAGGGATTGTATTAGTTCGCTGCCGGAAACGTATACTAGTGGCTTTGCGGAATCGTGTAATTGGGGCCTGACACTAGAGGGTGTCAATCAGTCGCTATACATAAGGATGCGAATCAGGATGCATACTAATGGCGTACAGATGCAAAGACCCGAGTGTCCTGCTGCGACAGAAATGCAGAGGGTATTGTGCGAGAGTTGAACGAACTCCGCAGCGTTTCCCAAGACATCAAGCAATGCTATAGAACAGGTCAGCGGAATTTTCAAGCAACAAGAATTCTCTGTATACCATACTGTTGCTCTTCTCGGTTGCTGCCTGCTGCCAGATATCGTTCTGAACTTTCCGGCGAGCTTCTGCGACGGCCCACATGTCTTCTGCGAGCGCTTCGACTTCCACTGGTAGAGGGTATGTCACATTGAGCGAGTCGCGGGTCCGTTGCATCAGTTGTATGGTGTCCATGATTGGGTTTTGCGGCTTGTCCGTAAGCCGCGGTACGAAGAATCCTGGATGGATTTCAGGCAATGTATCCAATTGCGATGTTTCCAGACCCTGCAGGTCCGGAAGGATTGACTCTGCCATCAATATTGACTTCCACAGGCTTAACCTGTGCAGCTTTGTGAGAAACCGGTTTCCAGGCCATGACTTAAAGACCTACGCGGTTGTGGCGGAGAGGATCTGGTCACGGTGGTGGCGCAGGACAAGATCGTGGCGCGTACGGTCACGGCCCGGTGTCACGGAACGCGTCCTGATCACGAGCGGTCTGTTGATCAAGGCGCCTGCGTCCGTTGGGCGTTCCGCCAGCCTCGTTGCCTGCATTCGTCCTCCCTCCATCGCCCCCGTCGCATACACGCCGCCCAACGGCCATTTCTTGCATACTTCGTCGCGGGGACCGTCTGGCTCTGCAACGTCGACGCGCACCCTCTCGATGGCCACCCTCGCCCGCAACCCGCTATCCATGCGACCGCACTCCCAGCACCACGCAGTCGCCCTCTCGCCATATCAGGGCACCACAATGTCGAGGAAAGCATCCACAAGCGGCAAGAGAGCAAGATCCCCAGAACCAACCAAGGACGGCGAGTCATCGCAAAGCATAAAGCGGTTGAAGGCCGTGGCCGCGCCTCAACCTCCCCCACCGATCACCCGCGAGGATCCCCGCGAAGAAGCGAGGAGAGAAAAGGAACGCAAACGCGCTGAGCGCGAAGAAGAGTTTAGGATCAAGTACACGCGTGCGTTTCCGCACTGGACGTTTCATTTCGACTTGGATACCGTGAGCCCCGAGGTGGCGGCTCTCAAGGATAACCTCGAGCGGCGAGTGAGGCACATGGGTGCGGTAAGTCGTCACTTCCATTCTGAGGCTAGCACAGGATTGAGCAGCTGTTTCGCGTCTCTTTCTTGCCTCCGAACATATAGGCAGTCGAGGACTTCTTCTCCAAAGACATCTCTCACCTCATCACCTTCGATGCGGAGGGCTCCGAGAAAGAGAACACTACCCAAGCGTCGGCATCCGCGACACCCAGTTTGCTCCTTAGTCCGATCAAACTTAAGGGACGGTAAGTACCAAGGTCAATCTGTAGGACACCATGCCCATGAGATCCAGTGATAGAGCGACGGGCGACGCGCCCATGACTGCCTCCGAGCGGATTGCGAAGAAGGCCCTCTCCTTTGGCATCAAAGTATGGTCGCCCGCCAAGCTTGAGAGCGTCCTCGACAGATGTCACGCGCCAGCAGCGTACAGCACCCGCGCTCCCAACGCGCGCGGTCAAGCCACGACCAGCCGTCCTCTCACTCGCTTGCTGGAAGAGGAACGCACATACGGGACGACGAGCGAACGCGATCCCACTCAACGACGCCATGGCTTCACATACTTCTCGAAAGGCACGTACTTCGTACTCGTCGAGGACATGCACCAAGAACTCGCGACGATCGCCGCGGCCGAGTATCCCATTAAAAGAGGTCGGGATGGGCAGGAACGACCATCCTGGCCGGTGCTGTATTGCCATCCCCTCGCGCGCGGGCCTTTCATGCCGTACGACGAGAGGGAGGAACGGAGACGGGAACGCGCCGACAGGATGGACCGAGAGCGGGAGCAAGAGCGCGCACGGCGAAAGGCTCGGCTGAGGGAGGAGGAGCGCAGGCGGCAGGCGCAGGCCCTCGCGAAGCAGCACGACCTCCGGCGGTCCGTGTCCATGCACAACCTCCACCGGCGCGCGAGCTTCCCCGACGCTGCGTTCGCGATGGACGGCTTCGTCGACCTCGACGCGGAGTTCGGCGACGGGGACACGCAGTCGGCGAACGCGTCGGGGTACCTGGCGAGCGGCGCGTACATGGCGGCCTCGGGGAACAGCGTCGGCGTCACGTCGACGACGGGGACGACGTCCGCCGCGGGGAACACGCTCCGGAACCTGCAGCTCCCGCCGGGGCTGAGGGGGAGGCTGCAGCAGCAGGTCGTCACGTCCAGGAGGGTGGTCAGCGGCGCGGAGAGCAAGGAGAAGATGGGCCCGCCGCCGAACATCCCGGAGAAGCCGAACATGCTCCGCAAGAGCCGCAGCACCAACACGCTGAGGCTGCCGAAGCGCGAGGAAGGCGTCAAGCCGGGCTACTGCGAGAGCTGCCGCGTCAAGTTTGACGATTTCAAGACGGTGGGTGCACTTTCCTCTTCTCCGTGTGCTTTGCGGGTGCTGAACGCGGGTGGCGGGGCTGTTGCAGCACATCAGCGGGCGCCGGCATCGCAAGTTCGCCGCGGACGAATCGAACTTCCAGGCGTTGGACAGGCTCCTCTCACGCGTCCGCCGCCGCCCGAAAGCGGAGGTCGAGGCGGAGAAGCACGAGTGGGCGCTCCGGTTCAGCGGGGGCCACGCCGACTTCGACGACACGGACGAGGACGCGACGATGCTGCCGAACGCCGCGGCGGCGAGCGACGACGACGTGAGGTGGGACGACTGGGTCGAGGACGGCGAGGAGCTGTAGGTGACACGCATCGTCGCCATTCGATCCCGTTTCGAACGACATTATGCGAGCGCGGTTATTAGCCTCGATGATTAGGATGACATCACGGACCTCATCACGTACGCAGATTCTCTGAATGATTCCCTTGCATAGTATGATACACCATACAGTGACTGTACGTTGGTTCCATTGTACAACAGCCTGCATACCGCATTTTATCTATCTCTGTCCTCCCGTTGAATTCTCGATGTCCACCCTTACAAACCGCGTTGTCTGTCCGAAGTTACTGGAAAGGTGTGTTACAGGAAAAGTGATATTGGAACCTGTTCGGATACATCAAGACCAGTTGTGAATGTGAAACCGCTGGGATGGAATACAATGGTGGTGGGGTATAATTTCGAAACAGGTCGCTACAGCCGTCAATGCACAATTTAATATTCTCCCAAAGCCCCGCGCCCCTCGTGATCACTCCGCCTTCTCGGTCACCGAGACGGTCAGCAAGGTGACGATCCCGTCCACAGCGATACCTACGCGTCCGACCGCGTCAGCACGTCGGGTCGCTTGCAGCGGGGAACAATCGCAGCCGCGGACGTACCGTGGTTGACGCCTGCGCTCCCTGCGGGCATCAGGCCCGTGACGTTCTGCGCGACGGTGTAGTACGAGATGCCGTCGAAGGATTTCAGGCCTATCGCATGGGCGACGAGCTGGTCACTGTACCGGAGGACACGGACGTTAGTCGGGTTCAATGTTGCGGAGGTGGGCGTACCGTCCGATGTTGTACCCGTCGGGGACGATGTCGTGTCCTGTCTCGACATCCTCTTCCTTCGATACTCTGCAAAGAAAATGTTTATCCGTGTGTTCTGTACGGTGAGGACTACAACTCACGCGAGGAACAGCGCGCCGCTATCCGCCCCAGGACCGTTCTGTATATAAACCCTGCATGCGCATCAAGTCAGTATCGTCGTCTTTCCAGGTGACCCCCGGTGTCTAGGCGAAGTATCGATACCTGAAGTGATTCCCGCCGATGAGACTCTCGAGGCAAGTGCCGATCTCCGAGCTGCCGTAGTCCTGTCGGAGCTCGATGGTCTGGTTCACCCAGCCGTTGCCGTCGCCGAGGTTGGCGGAGAAGGGGGAGCCGAGGTGGATGTCGAGGCACTCCTCGGAGCTGCAGACGAAGGGACACGGTCAGTTATCAGTGATCGTGCGCGAACGCTTGGATCGTCACGCACAAGCCAATTGCGCGGGCGTAGTTGACGATGCCGTCGAGGCCGCTGTCCACAACTTTCGGGGAGCTGAAGCCGGAGATGATGACCTAGTGACCGTTAGATGGTCGCCCTCCGTGCGGCAGGCTCGGTCTCACGTTCAGAGGCTCTCCGAGGCCGTTGCCGGTGTTGTCGAACATGGTGCCTCCGCTGTCGAGAGGGCTGTAGAACGCTGCTGGCGGACGTGTGAACGGGCTCTGCGTGATATCTGAGTTTACGAGGAGGTCAGCGGGGTGGGCAGGCGATGCGAGGGCGGCGACGGTGAAGAGGGCGAGCTGCAGGACGGCGAACATCGTTGCTTCAGCGAAGAAGCTGTGTCGGACGAGGCAAGCGAAGAGGACGCGAGTGGGCTGACACCGTGCGGCGCATGTCTAGTTGCTTATAAGGGCGTCGGACGTAGTCATTGATCGAAGAAGCACACGAAGTCGAAGCTAAACTAGAGAGAGGCCGTCGCCATTTCCGGGCAGCCAGGTGGATGAGCCTGAGGTGCTCATGATCGCCCGGGGCGGCCGCGCTATACACATGTTCGGATGGAACATGGGCGAGGTGAGGTAACGGCGGTAAGAGCGCTGCAGCATCCTTCCGCAGTAGGATCGCTCGGGGCGCGAGCCAATGAACGTGCGACTCTCCACTGGCACGTGTCTCGCAACACCAGCACGCCCAGAGCGCCCGTCCTTGCCAGTGTTCGTCTCTGTGCATCATCTCTGTCCTGTAGGCAAGTCTCATAGAGTTCATTTCATTCGCCTCATAGTCTGCTACTGAAGACCCCAGCGATACAAGAACACGAGCATCTCGCGCTCGCCGCGCTCACTGAATCGTCACCGTCAGCAACGTCACAATGCCGTCGATCGATATGTCTGCAGGCCAGCGCCACGAAGGCCGCATCAGCCCCAGCAAGTGCTTGTGTTCAGCAGAAGCTCACCGTGGTTGATCCCGGCACTCCCTGCTGCCAGCAGGCCCGTGATATTCTCGGCCGTCGTGCTGTATGTCACCCCTCCATAGCTCGTCGTCCCAAGCGCCCCCGAGACGAGGTCGTCCCTGTACGTGCGCTCGTTAGCAGGAGGCCGAGGGCGCGCCGTGCGCCGCTCCACGTACCGTCCGATGTCATAGCCATCTGGCTCGATGTCGTGCCCCTCCGACGCGTCTTCCTCATACGAGACGCTGCGTGACCCAGCGTCCCATCAGGTGAGCTATCATCCATGAGAATCAACCACGACTTACGCAAGGAACAGCGCCCCGCTATCGGCGTTTGTCCCGTTCTGCACAAAGATCCTGCGCAGAGTGAGCCATCCAGCATGCACTCGGTACCGCCTCGACAGGCGCACGCCTCACCGGAAGTGGTTCCCGCCGATCGCACTCTCGAGACACGTCCCGACCGACGCGTCGCCGTAGTCCTCGCGTATCTCGACCGTCTGGTTCACCCACCCGTTGCCGTCGCCCAGGTTCGCGCTCTGCGGGGCGCCGATGTGGATGCCGAGGCACTCCGTCGAGCTCGATACCAGCCCGGTGAGCGATCGTCTGCAAAGAACCGATGGCCACGACTCACAAGCCGATGGCGCGCGCGTAGTTGATCGAACCGTCGTACGTGAGGACGTCTGCCGAGCTCAGACCAGAGATGATGACCTGGTGGCCACCGCATGCGCGCGTAAGCTCCTCCCACCGTTGACGCTACAAACGAGGAGCGCATACGTTCAGAGGTTCGCCGTACCCGTCGCCGGCATTCGTCAACATCGAGCCGCCATTATCCGCAGGGTTGTAATACGCCGCGGCGCGCTTCGTGAGCGGGCCCGCCGACGCGCGCAGGGCGACTGCGAGGAGTGCGAGGCCGAAGCCGAGGGAGCGTACAGCGTACATGGCGCGGGTACCGGGGGCGAGAGGCCTGAGACGTCAGTGCTGGCTGGCGGGGACACTCTGCACTGGCCGCGCTATTTATGCGCGCGTGAGGACGCACGGGGGAGAGAACGTCTGCGGGGGAGGTCCTGTATCCCCGGACACGGCAGGTTCCCAGCCCAGCGGGACGCGTCGTCATATGGAATAGGCTGATTGGGAGTTTGCCAGAAGCTGCAGCGGCACATGGCCGGGGCGAGTGGGGAAGACGCGGGCCTGCTTCACTGCGCCGGGGCGTTGCGCGCCGCATGGCGAGCGAGGATTGCGATGAACGTTCGACAGACTTTCTCGGGGATTGAGCTGGCGGAAGGGGGCCCGATAGGGCCGTCGCTCGTCTGGTGCCGCTGTGGCGATCGAACGTTCGTTTGCAGCGTCGTGCGCGTGCGCTGGACCGGGTGTCCCTGTCAGTGCAGGAAGGGTCTGCAGTCACGTAACAGTGTGCAGCCGGGCGAATAGGCGCGATGTTCAGTACCGCAGCACGTACCGTCCTGTGAGCGATCCTGACGGGGCCGTCTATGTAGACAACTGTGCACATGTAGAGGGTGATAGATGTCACGCATGCGTAAGGCCGTTCTTCGGTGTCCCACGCTTGATCTCAGCAGTGCTGTAGAGTGTCCGTATATAGAGAGCCTTGTGCATCTCTCGGTGATACTGGTTGTCCAACAATTGGTTGCTTGCAACGATGTCAAATAGCAGCTCTTGAGTGTCGAGCAAACCATGTAGTAAGTAGCGTTCGTAGACGCAGTGGCTGATGCTGACCGATCGAGTACGCAGGACAGTAGCTGAATTTGAATACCGTGACGAATTCGGCACTTCTGTCAGGTGGACTGTTGGACTTCGAAGTTCGCGCGATCTTCCTGGCATACCTACACCGGCCGGCATGACCCACGCCCGTCAAGCCAGGCCCAGGCCTCGGCGTACAGGTATCCCACAGCTGCATCCAGTGTGTCTGGAATCCGTACCGCTCGTGGTGGATATGAAGTTTATTCTGGTATCGTAAATCCGTGCTGGACATGAGTTCGTGACACATCGAAAACATCCGTCTCTTCGTCCTGCTGTATGTGTGCGCCCATGGGCGCTCATTGGATCGTGACTGTCAGGACACTGACGATGCCGTCTATAGCGATGTCTGGGTTCCGGCGGCACCTCTCGTCAATCACACGTATTTCAAGACCATTGCTGTGGCGGACACTCACCGTGGTTGATGCCGTTCGTGCCTGCTTGCAGCAAGCCCGCGACATTCTCGGCCGTGGTGCTGTATGTGACGCCGCCGTAGCTGGTCGTGCCGAGTGCCCCTGATACGAGCGTGTCGCTAGTAAATGTGTTTCAATGTCAGTACTCGCAGTAGGCCTTGCAAGGGATCAGTCGCACCGTCCGACGTCGTATCCGTCCGGGCTGATAGTGTGGTGTTCCGTCGAGGGCTCCTCCTGCGACGCGCTGTGGATGCAGAGAGGTGCGCATGGTCAGTCCTCAGACATCACGGACGAGCGATCAAAACACTGACGCTAAGAAGAGCGCCCCGCTGTTCGCATCGCCCCCGTCCTGTTTGAAGACCCTATCAAACCGATTCGGCCTCAATAAGCAGCCCCCTCGCACCGGCAGGTGGTGCTGACCTGAAGTGGTTCCCGCCGATCGCGCTCTCCATGCACGTCCCGACGTCCGGGTGGCCGTAGTCCTCGCGTAGCTCTGCCGTTTGGTTCACCCAGCCGTTGCCGTCGCCGAGGTCTGCGCTCTGCGGGCCGCCGAGGTGGATGCCGAGACACTCCGTTGAACTGTGTGGGTGAGGACATACGGGCGGTCAGCGATGGGTCCAGCACGGAGTGAGGTGACTTACAAGCCGATCGCACGGGCGTAGTTGACAATGCCGTCGTATGAGAGAACGTCTGGGGAACTGTGGCCCGAGATGATGACCTGGGTGCGCACAGCGCGATTGAGCGTGAGGGTTCAACGATGGCCGCGGGCAGAAGACGCACGTTCAGAGGTTCCCCGAGGGTGCCAGCGTTAGTGAGCATGGAGCCACCGTTGTCGGCCGGGTTGAAATACGCCGAGGCGCGTTTCGCGATGGGCCCGGCGGATGCGCGGAGGGCGAGGAGGGCGAAGCCAAGGTAGCGGAGGCTGAACATGGCGGAGGTGCTAGACAACGGTGGGGGGAGACCGTCGACCAGGAGCAAGGGTGGTGAAGCCGATGCTGCTGGGGAGTGCCGACGAGCATCCACGGCCTTTTATGCGTCCATCCTGCGACGCTCGCTTGAGGAAGTGCGCTGCTCCCGTCATCCCGAGAGCGACACATATGGTGCTAGCTCGTCGGTGCCGGCGGTCGTCATATGGGTCGAGCGAGTGTGATGAGGGAGAGAACAGGCGTGATCGCGTGGCTGCTGGTGTGTTGCTGAAAAGACACCGTCTTCCCTTCCCATCGACGCTTGGTAGCCATGTGCACGGTCGGTAGAAGATGAACGCTGACACCCTTTTGGAGGCATCGCGGGACGCTGGCGTCGCCGGTCAGCTTCGGGAAATCGATGATAAAGCGAGGAGACATACGATTGCTTGATGCTTGGCTATCGTGAGATGATACAAGGGCACACCACTAGGTCGGTACTCGGTGCTGGATACATGCACGGACACATTCCTAGAGGTATGTCAGAATTAGGTGAAACCAAAAGCTCATCTGATGCCCGTTGCGATAGTGTTCGTAGCAGTCACCGAAAGTTATGTATGGGTGCCGCAGCAGTTCTGACTTGCGGTGCCAACGACGTGAACGCGAATCTGACCACTCGCCGGGAGCTGATCTGTGCCAAGAAGGTTGATACACCTACGTCACGGGGACCTTTCCCCATCCGGAGAGCACGAGGAATGGTTGCGTCGCCTCCTTCTGGGTCCCGCACGAATGATCGCTGCGCATGGTGAGCGGGCGGGGTGCTTCGGGGTGCATACGATTGCTGTTTATCGCGGGCCGCCGGGCTTGCAGTTGAGATGATCGACGCGTTTGTGGTGGGTGTCATGTGCAACCACACCGGAGATTTTTACCGTGTGGTGTACCCAGGGTGTACCACTATCTATCCCACCGTGAAACAAATGGGTGTACGACACCCGTTGAACACGATGGGAGCTTGGAACGAGACTCATCACACACAATTGAAGAAGGCTGAAGGCGGTGGAATGCAAGAGACCAACTGCCCGACGGAGTGGTTGATAACGCGGCGGTACTGGCACCGGTCAGTAAGACGTGATTTATCGGCGATTCGGCGCAACACTCAGTGCCGGTGCTCGACGGCCATACTGCACGCATCATACCCGAGCTGTGGCACGCCAAACACCGTAGATAGTTCAGAGGACGAAGGACTGGCGATGTGGAGGAGGACAGGAAGCCGGGGAGGCAGAGGACATTGATTGTTATGCGGCGAATCTGATGCCGTTCTTGGTGCAGATGTGTGTGTCCGCATATGGCAACTAAGAATCGTCGGCCATCTCCGGCGCGGGTCTTCTGAGTGGTTGCGTGGTTCAACTCTCTCGTCTCTTGTTCGCCGCACCGGGCTGCATTCTGCACAATGCAGCGCCCCAGACACACACAGGTGGTCTGAGAGACGCACGGAGATGTTTTGAGAGATATGAACAGTTGTCTGCGCGTGAGCAGCGCAGCGCAGACGGGGCGGGGCCTGCTGGAGGAAAGATCATTTGGCCCCGCAGCGCTTCGGGGTATCAATTAGGTAACAGGTGTCACGCTTCTTAGTAGGTTCGTTTCACTCCTCGCCAAATTTGGTTTCTTGAATAGCGACCCTCTCCGCCACCGCCCTCGTCCGCGCCGCCCTCGCTGGCCGTCCGCGACATTTCTCGCTCGTCGCTGCCCAGCTGCGAGCCGCCACACGCACTCTGCGTGCACGCCAGGACGCTCGCAGCGCACACATTCAACCGACGTGCGCTAGTGCTTATCTCACACGGGCTGGCTGTCGTCTGTGGCCACATCAAACCGTCCGCAACTGCTGCGGCGCGCGCCCCTGTTGGACGATTCTCCGCACACTGCTCAATTTTTACTCCTACAGCACCACCACATTTCTACCATGGCTGACTCCCCAGATGGCACCGAATCGGCAGCAGCCGAGTCGGGCGATGACGGACAGCTCACCATCCGCATTCCTAACCCAAAAGTCTACATGGCTCGTCAATCGCAGTGGAAAGGCCGCAGAGGAAAGCCGCGCTGTGATCATTGCCGTTTGAACAACCTCAAGGTATGTCAAATCGTATTATATAAGCGTAACATTCAGTACGGATGCTCATACGATGCCTATGGCCAGTGCGACCGCGTTTTGCCCACATGTAATCACTGCGCATGGGCAAATGGCCGAGAATGCAAGTACACGCCGTTACCGACTCCTGCGCATAGGGGCATCCCGAGATGCGACAGGTGTCGATCCCAGAACCTCAAGGTGTGTTTTCGGACGCAACGGGCTTTATAACAACGCAAGCATGCTCACATACGCCTTCTTCGCAGTGCGATCGCAGTTTGCCCATATGCAACCACTGTCAGGAGGATAACGAGGAGGACTGCAACTACACGCCGAAGAAGCGGCACAAGGTTCCCACAGAGAACCAGACCGCGACACCGAAGGGCGACAGAAACGAGACGCCCTATACTTCGAAGACGGCTTCCTTTCTCGTCTCCGAGGTGCCTTCGGACCACGAGGGCGAGGCGGAGAGCTCCACCTCCAATGGAAACGGTGCCACTCCGACCAACAAGCACACCTTCGAGGCCGAAATGCGCACTGAGCCACAGATTAAGCAATACAAGCCACCTGGCTCACCTATGCCGGGTGATGATATTCCTATGGACGTCGACTCGGAGATGTTCCAGCAGGTGGGCCCTGATGGAGCGGTAACCTGGGTGCGCAAGCTTGCGCTGCCTCCGCTTTCGGCGAAGGGCGCGTCCTCTGCGAGCGCGAGTGGCTCAGGGTACCACCGTCCATTTGTGCTCGACCAGGGCATGATCGTCACAACACCACACGTTGACCCGTGGACGCATCCGTCCTTCGCTCCTCTTCCGACCGTCGTCCTACAAACACTCGCGGCAATTACAGCAATGGACATGCCGACGCGACATGCGTTCGACGAGGCGCTCATACGGTTCGTAGGCGGACTGGCACCAGAATTACGGGAGACGGCGACGTTCATCACAGACGTCTACTCAGAGGTCGCGCATGCCGTATCCGAAGGTTTGGTATCGGAGTTGTCGCCCCGATTGCAGCTCTGGGCGAGCTGCCACCATGCAAGAGCGGGTTCACGCAAGCAGCACCTGCTCATCCTCCCCAGGGACGCGTACTACAACATGGACCGTGTAGACGAGGAGAGCCTCCGCGCTAGCTATGTCGCCCTGACGGATGGCGAGCCCGTGCCACTCAAGCCAGAGGACTCGGCGGCGGGCAGCTTGGCCGCGCTGGACCCTTTGGCAGTGTTCGACCGCATACCGGTCCAATCGCAGATATACGACGTCTTGGTGTACACACACAGGAACCACAGCTCCGCTCCGAGCATGCTGTCGGAGGCCAGGCGGATAGGCGTCGTAAGTGCACCTCCATTAAGTGGAGTTTCAAGTTCCATTGTTGAGCTTGCTTTGTTGTAGGCGACGATCACCTGGCCGATGGTGGAGATCTTCATCCGGCTATGCCCTCTCTGCAAAATGCGCGGCAAGAACAGCACGCGCGTCGCCTCCGAAGACGACCCCGCCCCACCTGTCTCACGCGCCCACTCACACGCCTCCAAGCGATAGCTCACCCCCACTCTCGCGGCCTCGCGGCCGGCCATTGTATCTTTATTTAGGGCATCTACTTCCTTGTACGATACATATACAAGCTAGCTCACCGTGATGTACATGCGTCGTATTGGTCGGGATGGGTCCGTTGTAACATTTATTCCGCTCTCTCGTTGTGTACTCGTCGGTGCTCCTCTCCTGTTTTGGTGATCTCGAGCTCAGTGTTGTTGCTGTACTGTACCGGCGCGCCTTGCTTGTATTGCGGCTGCGGTTGCCAGGTCGAATGGACACACGTTGTCCTTGCGTTGTCCCCTGCTGTTGTCGGCGCTTGCGCTTGGCCTGGGAGGAAGCGGCCACAGCGGAACCAGCGCGGCCATAACCACAGCGACTGCCTAATAGGGACACGGGCTTTGGGGATCATATCAAGATTCCCCGGCGTGTCAACGTTTCAACGGAAGGGCGTCATCGGGGAACCGCTCAGGGTGGAGTCCGACGCACACAGTTCTGGCGCTACAGGGTGTTCTGAGATACAACTGGGGCAGACAAATATGAGTTACACACGGTCGTGTAGATAGGTGTACATATATGTAGATGGTACTTTTCAAGGACGCGTACTAGATGGATAACAAGATTCAGAGAGATCCGAGTCGTATCTGCTCCTCATTGGCGCAGCTCAAAGGTCGCAAACGCAAGGTCGTATCCGCCAAACTCGTAGTTGATCTTGTCCGTGCGCTTGTACAACCCGCTGAATGGTGCGGACCCCTCCGGGCTCGCCGGGTCCAGGGTGGTGGTGGTGCCCTTCGCGCCCCGCGCGCACGGCTGGGTGAGCGCAGCCTTGAACGCGCGCTGCGCAGCCTCGACGGCGCTCTCGCCGTCCTCCTCCTCCGCGTTGTTGTTGTCCTCGCTCGAGACGAAGAGCGTGAGTGTGAGCCGGCCCGGCTGGAAGATGCTCACGACGCGGCGGATGAGCGTGCGCAGGTCGGGGATGCGCTTCTTCCCTTCCTGCGCGGCGGCCTCGCCGTCGGCCCCGGTGGACAGGGCGAGGGGCGCGGAGGGCAGGGGGACGTTGCACTCGAAGGACGCGTAGGACCAGCCTGACTCGGGCGTGACGTGGATGGTGTAGTAGCCCTCGCCTGACTTGGCGGGGTCCGTTCCTGCGTCCTCGCACCATTTGAGAAGGGCGTTGCAGGAGTAGCCGCAGGGCGTGAAGGAGTAGGCGTCGAGGGTCGTCACGTGCGGCGGGAAGAGCTGGGAGATGCCGAGGGAGGAGGAGAGGGACATGGCCTGGGCAGAGGGGGAGGCGTCGAGCTCGGAGGACGCGGGGGTGCTGGTCATGAAGGGCGCGCAGGCGGTCGGGGAGAGGTGTGTCATGAGGATCTCGATGGTGTAGTCTTGGGAGATCTCGTCGTCGTCGTCGGCAGGTGTCTGCTCTGGAGTGGGGCCGTCCGCGTCGACGCCATTGGCCTGCTCTTCGGATGCATCGCCGTTGAGAGGATGCTGGAGGGGTGTGTTCGGTCTGGTGCTTCCGTTGACGCTGTCGTCCCCGGGAGTGGTCATGTACAGTAGCCAGTGGTCGCCGTTCACCTTTCCGATCGTGTAGGCGGCACCATTCGGGAAGATGTTGTCGAGGTAGTCGATTTCGGCGCGCCAGTCCCTGTGAGGGCCCATCTGTCGCTCCGGGAACATGAATGCCTTGCGGGAGTAGAACAAGCGATAGACAGAGGGCAAGGATGCGTGATCGCGCGCAATCTCTAGTATGCGCGGGACCCCCAGGAGGTTGAGGGTCGTCCCGCATGTTTTGAGGATGAGGCGATGAGGGGAGACGAAGAAAGACGATTCACTAGATCGGAGGGGAGCGATGAGTACGTTGCCAGAGTAGTGCAAGAGTGAATGGCAAGGAGAAAGACCACAGCTCGCAGATCGCGCATGTGAAGCACCTAAGCTAGTTTTAGGCAGTGGATGGCGCATCCAATGTTCCGGGACGGGATGCCTGAACAATACCCCTAGACATATTGCGAATATTGGAGAATAATGCCGAACGAGAGATCGAGGCAGTCATATTCGAGATGGTGTTCCATCGCAGGCTCTTTCAGGTGCGCGCACGCCGGCCCTCGGACGATTGACGTGATCGGCCAGATGGCGAGAGCTCACCTGAGGAGATAGGCATCCATCTCCATGCCCTCCACGACGGAGAGGATCTTGCACTGGACGATGTCGAGCATGTCCGCCCAGACCTGGCGGGGGACCCTCCTGAGGCCGAACTTGCCATCGACGGGGGATGCAGCGTCGGGGACGTCGGCGGGGGTGGGCTTGAACCAGATCTCGAGGAGCTTCTCAGGACCCTCGAAGGGGCCGGTGGGTGCGACCTCAGGGCATGCTGCCATTCAGACGAGCGGGGTGCTATCGCGGGATGGAGAGGCGGCTCGTGCGGGCGACGGCAGAGGGATGCATGAAAGGGCGGTGGTGGACAAGCTCGCAGGCGCCCGCTCTCGTCTCAAAATCTGCAGCTCGATCGATGCCCGATCGCCTGCCGCCCGCCGCCGTCATGACGCGCACCTGTTGTTCGCGTGATTATTTATTAGTCGCAGCGCCGTCCTCGCTGTCCTCGCTGTCGTCCTCGCTGTCTGCGCCGTCGTCCTCGCTGCCCTCGCCACCGCGCTCATGGTGCGCAACCTCATCCTCCGCTTCCCCCTCTTCCGCGCACTCGCCCCCCGCCTCGCCAGACCTATTCTGCCCCTCACACGCCTCGCACCAAGCCCGCTAGCCCTCACCGGTGCGCCCGCCACCTCCTCCCGTCTCTTTCACCACATCCCTGCACGCCTCACCGACTCCCCGCCTCGCTCCCCACCACCAAATGACCCCGAGAGTCCCGGCCTCCCCCCAGATGCGACGCTCTCCCAGCGACTAAAACACCTCATCAAGGCCTACGGGTGGTACGCCCTCGGCATGTACATCGTCGTCGGCGCCCTCGACTTCGCAGTCGCCTTCGCCGGCATCAACATCATTGGCGCGGAACACGTCTCCAGAGTCACCTCCGCCGTCAAGGACTACGTCGCTGGGCTCATCAACTCGAGACCGCCAGAACCCGGCAGGGAGGAGATGGAGAGCATGTCGTCCCATGCGCACGGGGGCGGCCAGGAGGGCCTCTATGCCATGCTTGTCCTCGCCTACACGGTGCACAAAACGCTCTTCCTCCCGGTGCGCGTTGGCCTTACCGCCACGTTGACACCCAAACTTGTCCATTGGCTGCGGACTAGAGGCTGGGCAGGCGGCGAGGGTACGAAGCGCGCCGCGCGCGAGATGCGAGAAAGAATGAGGAGAGACAAAGATTAGATTCGATCGAACTGCTTGCGGTGTGCGTGCATGATATCTTGTCCTTGTTATTGACTTACCCGCTGGTGCGTGTTGCTGCTGCTTGTCGTCGCCCAAGGGTCTTGCTGACCGCCTGTGTTCTCAGTATAATGCTCACCTCTACTTAACCTGCGCAATAGACTATGTTCCCTCGCATGAAGTGAGCATCAGGGCACGGCGAGGGCCCCTCTGCCCTTGGGACCCCAGAACGAACTTGTCAATGTGTTCGGATCCATACCTTCATGTATCATTTCACGTAATCCGCCTTGTGCGTTCATCTTTGGCGCGTGATATAACCGGACGCCTGTCGTAACGCATACCCTCGGAAGCAGTGCTCCTGCCATGTCACGACGGGCATTGGTACGTGATTCTCCAACCATGATGGCTTCTGTCACTCCAAATACCTACACCGTCTTGCTGTGTTGCTGTGAGTATGGCAACATTACACTGGCTGTACGACGACCGGTCACCTCGGTGTCGGAGTCCAAGTTGACTGGCTTTCTACAGTAATGCGGACAGCTCGTACGGCTGGTCACTCTTCCTGACCGGCCGGGAACGCGCGTGTACAATGGCGGTGGCTGTGTTGTAGTCCCACTGCCGTACCACCTCCATGCCGTGGTATTTTTGCAACCTCGAACTGATGCCAACTTGTCAAGCAGAGACCTTCTCGCCGCAACCTCGACTTCTGGATTCGTCTGGAAGAGGCTTGCAGAGGTCTATTCTGCATCGCAGTGTGTGTTATGGTTTAATATTCACGTTCAGGTCCGACGTGTCGCTGCACTGCAAATATGGTACCTTGTGGTTCGGTCTCGCAGCCCTCGGAATGCGAGGAAACCAAGATGAAACGAAGACTTCACTGGATGTTAGCCTGAGGCACCCGCCACTGCGACCGCGTCAGTCGCCGATCAGAAAGGGCGATTCCTGTTCCCTCAGCGCGCCGAGGATCCACACGGGTGATGGGTGGCAACGATTGGCTTTCGGAGAGTTCACCAGCGGGGTCTAACCGCTGCAGGAAGGTCTATTTGTCTTCTCTGACGGTGGATACTCGTGGATCTGTCACTGTGCGGTCTTCGCTGCCGCATGTACGTACAGCAACTCGGATGTTATGACGCGGTCTTTCACGGGTTCAGTGGGCGGCGGTGCAGACGCGCGAGCTTCCACGGCGCGCTTGTGGCGCGCTCTGGTTCAGATGGGCGCGTCCGCAGTCGGCGGAGCGCCGCGCGTACGGAGAAGTGCGGGTGAGTTCTGCTTGTACAATCCATGACTGGGTCGAGTACGTATTCTGACCACCAGCCCTTGACCAGCCCACGGCAGTGCAGTCCTGCACGACTCGTAGAAGGGTTGATTTCCTCGGATGGGCAAGATTGACATCCTGTAGCGAAGGGGCACGTATCATGTCCAAATACCACAAGCCACTTCCTCGGGCGCTGACCCGCTGATTGCTTGAACTTTGAATGGACTCGAGCCTGTCTCAACGTGACAGTTGGACAACGTCTTCGTGATTGTCAATCAAACCGCAGAGCTTCGCGCATCGCTTCTGTTTTCTCCGCTCAATTGGCCCATTGGTCAAGCCCGCACATGCATTCAGGTGAGGGCACGTTGCGAGACGCCGTCGTTGCGGATAAAAGGCGGCGCGAGCAGCAAGGATTCCCCAGCTCTCTCTCCTTTTCAGAGCTCACTGAAAGCAGGCACTGGTTGGTGAGTGGTGGACGCGTTCGACCTCTGCGATGCTACTGCTAACGTCTACACTGCAGCTTTGCTTGATTTTTACGACCCTTCGATCTCGCTCCTTTCACGATCACCACCGTACATCACCGTACATCACTGCAGATAAACGAACATGCGTTTCGGAGCGGCTTTCTCACTGCTCTTCGCTGCCGTCTCGGTAGCTCCGTTCGCGCTCGCTGTCCCCTTCGGCGTTGAGGGGTGAGTACCTTACGCTCATTCTGCCTCATTTGCCCCTGACTAAATTACCAACCTGCAGCGCTGACGCGCTCGAGGTACGCGGCGTTGACTTCGACTCGGCCGACCTGTTCGCCCGCGCCGCCGAGTACGACGACGAGCTCCTTGCCCGCGAGGACGAGGAACTCTTCGCCCGCTCCTTCGAGGACGATGAGACGGTTCTCCTCGCCCGCGCCGTGCTCGAGGCGCTCCAAGCTCGCGACGACCCGCCTCCGTACTCCAAGCACGACCCCAACAACGGCAAGAAGCCGAAGTACACCGCCAAGGACCCGGCCCCGCTGCCGAAGTACCGTCAGAAGGACCCGTATAAGCCCGACCGCCAGCCGAAGCCGAAGCCAGGCCCCTCGCGTCCGCGAGACCTCGCTGAGGTGGAGGACATGTGGGCGCGCGACGATCCGCCTGCATACTCGAAGCACGACCCCATCAACGGCAAGAAGCCAAAGTACACCGCCAAGGACCCAGCCCCGCTGCCGAAGTACCGTCAGAAGGACCCGTACAAGCCCAACCGCCAGCCGAAGCCGAAGCCTGGTCCTTCGCGTCCGCGCGACCTCGCCGAGGTGGAGGACATGTGGGCTCGCGACGATCCTCCTCCGTACTCCAAGCACGACCCGATCAACGGCAAGACGCCTAAGTATTCGGCGAAGGACCCCAACCCTCCCCCGAAGTACCGCCAGAAGGACCCCCACAAGCCGAACCGTCAGCCCAAGCCCAAGCCTGGTCCCTCCAGGCCGCGTGAGCTGTCGGACTTCTGGTGGTGAACGAAGGCGTAGATTGGTGTTGTTGGATTGGATGGGCTTACGGGGCGTCGCTGTATCGTGATCGTAGCCATAATCAGAAACGAGATTTGAAGTGTTGGAAACTACCCTGTGTGAGGGCTTCGTTCGTCGTGCGTCATGAGTGGTGTGCAGCCAGGACTTGCCATAGAAATTGAACAAAAGTCAACGTCAAAAGCTGTACGGACAATCACTAGGTACGAATCAAGTAGCCTGCCGGTGACATCCCGCCGGATGAGTGATCGCAATGTTTCCGGTCTGCCTTGACGGGCGTGCTTCTTGCCGTGTAGCCCTCCTATGTGACTGAGAAGGCAATATTTTGTCAGTAATGTAGTTCGACTTCGACCAACACGCGGGTCTGTGGTCAGCGAGGCCGAGGCTCACCTGTATGCAGGTGTTCATTTTATGGGCCACAGACGTGAAGACGTTGAGTACAAGGCGAATAGAATATGGTATGATAAATGATACAATATGCTTGGATCGACTCGGCATTGGAATGCAGCCGACACGGGCTGTGCGAAGTCACATAACGATTGGTACATTTGTGCTCCCCGAATCAAGCGATCGTAGGTCCTGTTCTCGATTGACACAACTATGCTACTAATATCGGTGCATGGTTCTGCTCAACAACTTTGAGTCTCGCACATCATGTGTCGCACCCACCGTGACGTTGACTCAGTTGTGCCTAGCCTGAATGCATTTGTACACAGACGTACCATTCAAGAATATGGAGTCCAACATCCGCGAAGATTGATCGTGATGAGGGAGCGCCCCATCAGAACTGAGTAGTATGGCCACACAAATGACAGTACGGGAACAATGACCAGCGTTCCAGGATGCTTTCAGTAGAAGTACGAAAAATGCGACCAGCGCGAGCGTGCGGTTGTTATACACATCATACGCCCAGCCAGAATTCATCATGTACACTCTTCGTTTCCTTGCTTTCCTTTTCGCGCCGCTCCAGGAATTCGGATGAACGCAGCCTCTGCTCGCTCTTGACCTGCTTCACGAGCGCCCGTGTCTCCCGTATGTTTTCGCGGACGCGCTGTACCTCGCACGAGATGTCGTTGTCCATGCGGTCAAGCAGGTCAAGCAGGTTGACGACGGGACTGTGAGATGGTGTGGAGGTCTTCGGGATCGCTGGCAGCGGTTTCGACCGTGCTGAGGATACCCGCGAGGTTGGTGTCGTTTCGACGGCGGACGACGACGCCAGCGGTTGACGAGGACTGGATCGTGACGAGATTTTGTACTCTAGGCGCGGCAACTTGTATGAGGACCTGGGCGGAACCATGACCGCGCCTGCGAGTAGTGGAGAGAAGGAGAGCTCTAAGGGTAGCCGCGGCGCGTAAGATATGCGGATACTGGGCACCATCGCGTTGAGAGCTAGTAATTTGTAGAGGCAGGTGGATGAAGACGACGATGGGGATGGAGCGCAACGCAGAGACACCTAAGTAGTCCGCTAATTAGAGAGGCTGACTGGCCAGCCGCATTGCGATCTGGACCGCCCACTGGTGAGTGGGATACTGCTTGTTTTCTATCTGTTTCCGCGCCGCAGACCAGTGTTATCGTTATACATGAAATATGAGCACTGCTGCACCGCGAGAGGAGAGCTCGAGGAAGGGAACATGAGAGAGAGGAGCTCGGAACCTGAGTAGATACTAATGCTGAACTTACTACGAACGAAGACAGTTGCCTAATTCGGATGTTCATTTCGCGCCACGTGGTGATGAGGCCCGCGTCCCGAACGTCGGGTGGGCCGTCGAACAAGTTACAGCCTGTTACAGCACTCATCGCACTCAGACCCCACCGCACCAGCAGCATGTCTCTCGCCAGAGCGGCTGGCGCCGTCCTCAGGCCCAGGCAGATAGCCAGCCCCCTCCTCCGAACCCGCTCTGCGTCCTCGCACGCTCATGACGAGCATCACGACGATGGCCACGGCGAGGCGCACGATGCGACTACCTATCCGAAGGAGGGCGAGTACCCATCTTGGTGGTAATGTATGTGCATTTCTCATGGCCCCCCTTGTAGACTTCTCGGGTCCCTTCTGGAGGCGATTTGTCCTCTTCAGCCTCGGCGTCGTAGGCTTCTACAAGTTTGCGCCTTCCCAAGACGAGGACAACGTGCTCACGCGTGCGATGGCGTCGTTTTCGACCCCGAGCGAGGTGTGGCAGAAGCTGAGCTTCAAGCACTTGGTGCAGTCGGTGGAGGTGTCAGAAGAGAGCCTGCTCATTGCGGGCGCACAGCGTGCGCCCGTGCATCGCTATCGCTACACACAGTGCGTCGTGACATCCCTTGTCCCGCCTTCTTCCGTTGACGTGCCCCGCTTTTCCAGACGCTTTGAGCAGATCTCGCCGCATTTGCACCCGGTCGGGCTCGCTGTGGATGTTAGCGAAGTTGAGGTCAAGAACGTGTAAAGCCATCTCATATAATGTCATTCGTGCTCGTGCAGTCCCAGGACGCCCGCGTTCTGTACGAGTGCTGTGGGTTTCTGGACCCTGGGTGCGTTCCATTCGTCACTCCGGAGTTGATCTCGCGGGAAGACCTACAAACGCTATCGAGCGGCCCTTAGCGGCGGAGGAAGGATCTCCGAGATGATATTGCATGCAACAGTCGGCGAGACAAATGTAATAACAGTCCAGAACGGTGCGTAGCGGCTCATAGCTTCGCGCCGATGCGCTTCCGCTTGAACTGCTCAACCTCGTCCTTCGTCGCGAGCACAAAGCCGAACGTCCACACCCATACCTGGCCGCCCGTGACCTCACCCTCCTTGAAGCCCATCTCCTTCCACTTCTTCGGATCACGTTCTGCGTACACAGGGCAGATGAGAGACATCTTGGTCGCGAAAACAGGGTCCGTGCCGAGGAAGGGCGAGTGGGAGGGATACAGGGCGGTGGTGAGACTGCCCGGAAGCGCGACGTCATCAGTAAATGCATGCGGCACGGTGCTTTGGTCAGCACTCACTCGTCGTACCCAGGCGCGGTCAGCATGAAGTGGATGTGCGAAGCGCGGTGAGGATGGCGGCCTATGGTAGGCAGCGGCGTTCCGAGATTCATGATGAACGTTTGAACAGAGACCGGATGTCAATTATAACTCACCGAGCGCACGCAGGAGGTCGCCGCCTGGCCCATCACTTGGCTGGTCGCACACATTGTCAGCAAGGAAGAGCAGACGGGGCGAGGGCGCTGCGGAGCGTACGCACAATGGGATACGCGGTGGGCAAGATGCCACGGTAGGAGACTGTGCCGTCGTCTTTGGCGAGGATTTTACCGCGGTCGTTGACTTCTTTGCTATCAGGGTATTGAACATCATAGATACCGTCTCCGTCGGCTTGCCACTGCGAAAGGCACAGTGTGGTCAGTCCGACGGATTTTACATCCACTGCGGAAGGGAACTCACCACGTCCACCTTGGCACCCCTGATGGGCTGGCCTCGGGTGTTCTTGATAGTCGCGGAGAAGTACATGGGCTCGCCCGTCGTGCCGGCTTTAGCGAGCGAGCACCCTGAAGGGAACTCCGGAGCACCAGGGTAGTAGAATGGCCCAGGCTCGCAGCTCTCAGTGCAAGTCTAGCGTCAACATCAATGGTCAGCGTATTAATTCCGCCTGACTATGGCAGCGAGCACGTACCGGCGGTTTGGGGTGGTTCAGTTCATCGATGAGCGCGCTGAAGCCGAGGATATCGCTGAGGAGGATGAACTCGTTCTTGTAGTCCGTGCTCTCCTTGCCGACGCGTGTGAGGAACTCGACAACCTTCGTCCACTCGTCATGGGTGAGCAATGTCTCTCGGGCGAAGGTATGGAGGTGGTTGATGAGCGTGCTGATGAGCTGTAGTGAGCGGGGGTCCTTGACCAGGCTCCGGTGCAGTTCGTTGACGCTAGGGGTCAGCGATCAGGGTCTGATGCAACAACGACGGAGAGGCAAGACAGACTGGTGGGTAATGGTGTAGTCGGAGCCCTCGCGGAAGTCCTTCTCGAGAGGCAGGTCCCGCGGAATTTCACGCTCGAGTTGCGCACGGATGGCGACGCCCACCCGGAGGGGGTCCTTCATTTGCTTCTCGGAGGCCATGACGGGTAACTGAGGAGGCAGACGGGGATGAGCGGTGTAGTCATGACGGAGGTACTGTGGTTAAATATGCGGCCTGGTGGCGCGGGGCTTCTTGCAATTGTTGGCCGACGCGGGGAGAGCGAGGTTCCAAGTACCCGGATGGGCGAAAGTTTCACTCGTTGCTCGTAAGAAGGGCAATATGTTAATGGTAGCTTATAGATGAGGGACGCCTAAAGGATGAACAAGAAAGGTGCTTCTGAGAGTAGGAAGCGATCTGAGGTCATGCGACGGTCTAGAGGGGCAGGAAAAGGACCGGCTGTCATTGGGCAGCGAGGCAAGTGACGCACAGTTTCACACTATCCGAAGGCTTCCCCGAATGTGTACAGCGAGACAGCGGACGAGGAGAAGCTTGCACGCAGTGGCGACTGGCTGATGCGCTGACGGAGGGAAATGAACACGAGGGGGCAGATGAATAGAGGCTTACAGAGGCAGACGGTACGGCCGCCGCACTGGCCGTCCTATGACACCCCTTGCGAACATGTGTCCGTGGTGGCTGCCGCGCGACGCGTCCGGTCACGTGGGGCGCGTTGCTGGTTGAGGCTTACGTCAGCAGACGAACACGCGGGGGAGGGCCGTGGTTGGGTCAGTGTCTGGCGTCGAGCTGAGCGTCGTCGTGAGCAGCAGCCTTCTGTCCTCGTCTGTCCCGCTCGTCCGCTCGCTTCCTGCCCCTCCGTCTCTCCTTCAGCCCCGACCAGGCCAAGGTATACCCCTTCTTCACCCCTCCGTGTATGCCTCAACGCCGCAGATGAGACGCAAACTCCCCACTACCCTCGTCTCCACCGCCCTCTGTATATTCTGTGCCCATGTCGCGTCCGCTTCGCTCCCCCAGGTCGATTTCGACCGCATGGGCGCGGTAGCCCTCACTGGCGCGTTCGCAGGGCTCGGTATCTCTGACAGCTCGTCCGTCGCTACCTCATTTGACTCTTCCACCGCGACGCTACTTTCTCGCGCACCCGACGGCGCCCTCACGCCTCTTGGTTCTACGAACGAGGGTGGCAGCATACTAGCCGGCTGTGCCCTCAACGATGTCTTCTACTTTGGCGGCAACTTTTCCTCCATCAACGGTACATCCGCAAGCTACATCGCCTCGTACACCGCGTCCTCAGACTCCCTCGCATCCCTCGGCTCCAATGGACCCAATGGCCCGGTGCACGCCCTGTACTGTGACGCGAGCAACAACGACGTGTGGGTCGGTGGCAAGTTCACGTCGCCCGCGAGCTCTGTCGCGCTGTGGAACACGAAGTCATCGCAGTGGTCGTCTCCGCCCTTCGGCGGGTTGTTAGGCGCCTCCGCCGAGGTTCTCGCCATCAATACCAACTCATCTGCATCCAGCCTTCTTTTCGCGGGCTCGTTCACGGTATCGTATGGCAATTCCACCATCAACAGCACTAACAACCCCAACGTACCGTTCTCTCCCGGCGCATCCCCGTTCTCGTCCTCCCTCGTGCCGATCGGGCTGCAAAATGCTCAGATCGTTGCACAGCCCGCATCGACGCAGTCTGGGTTCAACGACATAGAGAACATCCTCTGCCCGGCTGGAGCTGACGGTGCTGGCAATACTTGGTTGGCAGCGGATGGACAGACAGCCGTCATCACGGCTCGGGCGTTCTCCTCGCTGTCCGCCAGAGGTATCCGCCTGGGTAATACCTTCGTTGATGGGCGAGGTACCACTGCTTTCACGTACGTGCCCATTCAAGCAACGCGTGCGACTGACTGACTCTCGCTTCGACAACTAGCCTTACCACGATTCCGGACAACACGGTCCAGACGCTATCCTACCTTGATCCAACCACCGGCCAGAATCAGACATGCAACGACGCCTGTCCTTTGTTGTCCAACTCGTCTATCCTCTACCAGGACTTCTTGTTCACCAGCAGCCTCGACATCACGGGCTTCCAGCTGCAGTTGACTGAGTGGCAGGGGGCGGGAGCCGGGCTGCATCTCATGCAGCTGCTATCGTCTGGCGCGTACGCGTCCGCCATCGCGTCGAATAACACACAATCGTGTTATGCGCCTGGCTCGTCCAACGTGACTTTCACAGGCTCGTGGACCGAGAAGCAGGCGACGACCAGTATCCCCGGTACCGTCCAGACCGTACTGGTGTCTGACGTTGCTGTGGGGACGTCCGCCTCATCCGGCCCTAGCGTGACCTGGATGCCATACGTCTCTGCGTCGGGCACCTATGATGTGTACATGATTGTCCCGGGCTGCACCGACTTCCAAGATTGTCCCTTGCGCACGAGCGTCGCAGTCACTGTCTTCCCTGGCTCCGGTTACCAACCCTGGGTATCCACGATCGCGCAGACGAACACCGATGATCAGTCCACCCTCATCTACAGTGGTCCCGTTGTACCGTCGTCGCCCGACTTCGAGATGACCATCGAGATGACCCTGGCGGACAGTCCTACCGGTTCTGGCGAGAATGGCCAGTACGAATTGGTCGCAGGCAGTGTCGAGTTGGTACTCACGAGCGCCAACATTACCGCGAACACCACTGGGAGCGGAAGCGGAACCTCTTCCGCCTCAGCGAACTCGTTCGGATTCTTCGAGTGGCCGCTGTCGTCCTCAGCCGCGTCGTCTACTGTCAGCGCGCAGGTAGCTGTGCCTACTTCCTCGGAGACGTCTCTTGACCGGATCGGCGTGGACTTGCTCAGTGCGCTTGGAGGCGCTACGAGCCTCACGTCCAAGGCGCCCGTGGTTTCGGCCGTCGTGCAGCACTCGTCTGGCGCTGTCTTCATTGGAGGCACATTCACACTCACGTCGGGATCCGCATCGGGCGCATCGAACATCGTCGCTTACAAAAATGGCGCGCTTGCGGCGCTGTCGCAAAATGGTCTGAATGGACCGGTGACAAGCCTCGCCGTGGATGGGGACACACTCTTCGTCGGTGGCTCGTTCACCGATACGTCCTCTGCGTCGAATGGTGCACTCGCTGGCGTGGCGTCGTACAGCATCGGAAGCAACTCGTGGTCTTCGTATCGTCTGGCCTGAATGGTGCCGTCGCGAGCATTGACTACGTCGGCAGCCTACTCCTTGTCGCGGGCAACTTCAGTGCGCTGAAAACGACCAGTGCGAATGCCGCGGTGGACCAGGTCTCTGGGTTCGCTGCTTGGGAGACCGCCAACAGCACTTGGGTCAACACCGGAGGCTACTTGATCGGCAGTATGACTTTCGTAGGCAATGACACTTCTTCGTCTGGCGGTGAGTTCGTCGCTGGCAACGTGCAGGCATCCCTTCAGATCGGCGCCACGGGCCTGGTGATGGTTCAGAACGGTGGGAATGGCGAGCCGGAGCTGTCTCCTCTTGGTGTGCAGTTGGCTGGCAACTCCACGTCCGCAAGCACGACTGCCAGCCTGTCCAGACGCCGATATGCCCCGTCCACCGTTCAACATGGCTGCCGAGGGTCGACGTCTTCAAGCGCATGTTCGACAAGAGGGCAACCGCGGCTATACTTGCGCCGCTGCCTGCTGCACCTGCCTCCCCTGCCCCTGCCGTGTTCGCCGGTGCGTTCTGGACGAACAGCAGCAACTCTAACCAGGAGGTCATAGTCATCGGCGGTAACTTCTCGTACACATCTGGTGGCTCGACCTACGAGAACGTTGCCGTCTACGACAACAGCACCGACACGATCACACCGCTGCAGGGCAACCAGATCAACGGGACCGTGCGCTCGTTGCTAGTCCAGGGTGACAAACTCTTCCTCGGCGGTGAGTTCACTCTGGAAGGCTCGAACGCGAATGGGTTTGCTATCTACGACCTTGCGGAGCAGACCTGGGATATGTCTGGGGTGCCTGCGCTCTCGTCGAGCTCTGGCTCCAACGTGCTCGTGCGCTCAATCACTACATCGCCGTCGCAGTCGGACGTCATTATTGTTGCGGGGAGCTTCTCGCAGGCTGGGTCGACGGCGTGCAGAGCGATCTGCTCATACGCCTATGACAAGGAGCAGTGGAACGCGCTTGGGAACGGCATTCAAGGTGAAGTTGCGTCTGTCGCTTATACTGAGGTACGTCTTTCAACGGTTCGACCGCCGGTGCTGTAGGTTGATCGGATTGAGTCTGCAGAGCAACCAGGACGTCATTGTCGCTGCGGGTTCAATCGCACTTGCAGACAATACCGCGGCGAATGTGGCCTATACACCATCTCGAACTCGACGTGGTCGGCTCTTGGGGATGCCAGCAACCTTCCAGGGCCGGTGACAGCGGTAGCTGTGAACGATGGCAATTCAAGCAGCATCTTTGCTGCTGGACGAGCTTCTGATAATTCATCCGCATTCTTGTACTCTTGGGATGGACAGAGCTGGTCGAGCGTCGGTGAGTATCCTGATGAACTGTGTCGACTAGGTATCTTACGTTCGTCTTCACAGGTGCAACGCTGGATGCCGCAACTGACGTCACGCAGCTGCTGATGGTTCCGCTCCAAAACACCCACACTCGAATGCGGTGATCCAATCCGACCGTGTCCTGATGATGTCCGGTGCTCTCACTGACTCGTCGTTCGGGAACGCATCGGCGGCTCTGTTCGACGGGCAGTCTTTATTCCCTATATCATCACCGCGTCGGCCTCTGGGTCCGCAGGGTTGTTGTACGGGCTCATCCACTCATATTCAACATTCAGTTTCGCGCAGAAGCGTAAGTTGTTTATGCCTGAGTGTCTTTCCGTAACACTCATGACTGATACGTGTCGTTTCTTAGATACCTTGCTGTTGGAATTGTGATCCTCATCTCCATCGCAATTGCGGCTGGTATTGTCTTCCTCCTCGCATTGATCGGTATTCTCTGGACGCTGTTCTCTCGCCGAGACGACAAGATCAAGCTTGACGGTGGCGCGGCTGACGATGACGATGACTCATCGCACCGTCCGTCCTCGCTACTAGAGCACATCAATGCTGCCACACGTGCGACGGTCCTCGGCGAGACCGCGTTCGGCCCACATGCAGAGAAGGAGGCGACCGCGGGTGCAGCAGCAACAGAAAGCGACCCATTCCAGCCGGATGCGGACAATTACATGCGTGCAGAAACGCCGTCGGATGCCATCGCTGCTGGCACAATGGCCGGTGAAGACATGCTTCGTCCCGCTCACGCTCGATACTCGTTCGATGGTGGAGGTGAAGGCGAACTACCCTTGTCAGCTGGACAGGAAATTGAAATTCTTGACGATGGGGATGCTGCGTATGTATTATGCCACGTTCTACTTCGTGTTATGCGCTTACACATTTCTACACAGATGGTGGTATGCACGAGATGTGCGGTCGGGACATGAAGGGGTCGTACCTGCGGCATATGTTTACTGAGTCATGATATTATCTCTTGATTTGTATCTGGATTTTTGCTGTCGTCACGCACTGAAACGATGTTGTGGATACCCGTGGTGGCGGACGATGGACGTCTCACAGACTTTCTCGTTCGGTCCACGCTCTCGTACCCTTCGGTTGTCGTATCTCTATAGCCCCCTACACTACTTACTAGACTACTCAGGTTTGAATACAGCGGACCGCGTCATGTCTGCATGTCTCAATTCATGCTCACTGCAATATAGCATAAGCATTTGTGTGATTGAACAGGCCATCGGGTGTGTGAAGCTTACCTGGAGCAGAGGATCCCTGAAATGCTTCTGGGAATTGTGGATGAATCCAACTTTGGTCTTGAAGTCCTCCCTCCGTCGCTGATCCCTGAATTCCCGAACATGTCGGCCAGCCTCTCGAGCCTCTCCCCTGTTCCTCGCCTTGACGACCTCCGTGCCCGTACCGAAAGCACCGTAACCACCCTTCCTCGGCACAAGAGCCGAGTGCTTGTCATCAAGCAGGCGGCGAACAAGGGCAGCACCGGAATTGGGATCTTCGGGTTTGCCTCCGCGCGGGAACCTTGTAAAAGATTGTGCATAGTAGCGACGCATGCTACGATGCCCGATGCGCGCGCCTGAAGGCAGGACCAGCTCATATTCGGTGTCGCCGTAGGCAAGCTGGTTTCGGGGACACCCTCCGAGTCGGAGTCGGACTCGCTTGCTGACTCGTCGACGACTTCATCCGCCTCTGCACCGTCGTCCTCCAATCCTCCCATTCCTCGTCCTCGACTTCAGAGCCGGATGCGTCCTCGTTGCTAGTGGTGCGCTTCGCCTTTTTGCGTCGTTCTTTCTGGGCCTCAGGATACGACGCCGAGAAGTCGTAGAAGTCGGAAATCTCGAGGCGATCGTCCTCAGTGTCGTAGGCGATCTTGCAGTGTCCTTGTCCAGCATGTGCTTCCGGACGGCATCCAGCGTGCGGAATTCACGACCCTTGCCGTTGCAGTGTATGCAGACGTTGCCGACGGCGATCTTCTCGCCGAGATAGGAGATGAGGCCCGAGATGTCACGAGGTACTCTGCGTCGGGGATGAAGAAGGAATGCGCGACGGACATATGCGTCAGGTTGCCTTCAAGGGAGGAAGCGGACTCTGTGCAGAAAGGCACTGAGTAGAGGATATACGCGAGCGAGCGGCCGCATCTTTTCGTCGATGTTTGGTTGACTGCTCCTCGAGGCTTCCGCATCTACTGTCAATGCACGGATTGGGAGGTTCGGGAGATGCATATCGACGTCTTTGCTGGTGCTCGCTGGTGTTGAAGTTCAGGACTTCCTGAGAGTTTACGTCGGCAGAGGGTACTGTATCCTCCTGGGCTCGGCTGTTTCTTCGGCTTCGAAATGGACTTGAGCTCATTCTCCTTGTGTTTCCGAGAGCTCAGTGAGAGCGGTACGCATTCTCAGTAGTGTATGCTTTCCTGAACTGGATGAGCAATTGACAAAGTATGGTAATGCATAGATGCTGACCCGCAAGTTCGCAAGTCATGCCTTTGGAAGATGTGTGACGGCGGTCTCTGTCCGTCTCTCTATGACCTTCTGGTTGAAGGTGGCCCGCTGACAGGAGGGAGACCTGCGACACGTCTCTTCATATTATACCGGTGGTGATCAGACTTGTAATGCTCCCCTATATAGGATAAGGTTCAGTCGGGGAAAGTAAACAGTGAGGAAATACATACTCTGGTCTTCGGCAGAATAAAACGCGATGCTGCACGAAAGACAGGTAAAAAGCGAGCCATTGTGCTGCTGTTCTGCTGCCTCCATGTCGCTGTGATCTATGAGGGCCGTGGTGTCGTGGATGGAGGAAAGTTGGGTGAGGACAAGTGAGGCAGGGAAGGACTCAGTGGACGGAAGCGAGATCACGATCAGTCAGCGAGATCTGGCGAGAGATCCATCTTATCTTATCTCTGAGGGTGACTCGAACGGAAATGCGAGCGAGGATGGCTCTCGTGCCCGATGCAGGGCCTCAGGCTCGCGTTCAACTTTCGTTACTGCTCCCTGTCGCGTCCATACTCAGCATGGCTTCCGGAACATATCTCAACTGGCCGGCTGCCAAAGTGCGCCAGGAGTTCTTCAACTACTTCCAGTCCAAGGACCACACATTCGTACCCTCCTCATCCACCATTCCTTATGACGACCCTACGCTGCTCTTCGCGAATGCGGGCATGAATCAGGTGTGGGGAGCGATCCTCATGCAACGGCAGTTACTAATCAATCCGATAGTACAAATCCATCTTCCTTGGCACTGTGGATCCCCAGTCCGAGCTTGCGAGATTGAAGCGTGCCTTCAACAGTCAGAAGTGTATTCGCGCAGGGGGAAAGCACAATGGTGCGCCGCACACAGAATAACAGTGTGTGATCACTCACCCTTGTGCAGATCTGGACGACGTTGGCAAGGACTCGTATCACCATACGTTCTTCGAGATGCTGGGCAACTGGTCCTTCGGGGATTACTTCAAGGTATGTACGAACCATGACGCAAAAACGTATGCACTCAAGAGAGCATCCACAGAAAGAAGCAATTGCATATTCTTGGGAGCTCTTGACGGGATCTACAAGTTGCCCAAGGACCAGCTGTATGTCACGTACTTCGAAGGTGACCCCAAGAATGGTCTGGCACCCGACACTGAGGCGCGTCAGTATTGGCTCGATGAAGGCGTGGCAGAGGATCACATTCTCCCGGGGAATGCAAAGGATAACTTCTGGGGTAGGTGACTTCTGATTCGGGACCTTCTGTCTGCTAAAGTAGGCTAGAAATGGGCGCCACTGGTCCGTGTGGGCCGTGTAGGTATGTCGGAATATTCTTTGATCTCGCCAATGAGGTACTCACAACTCGTAGTGAGATTCATTTTGATCGCATTGGGGGCCGTAACGCTGCGCATTTGGTCAACCAAGACGACCCAGATGTGCTCGAGATCTGGAACAACGTCTTCATTCAATTCAATCGCGAGGAGGATGCCTCGCTAAGGTCGCTCCCTTCCAAGCACGTCGACACCGGTATGGGCTTCGAACGGCTCGTCTCCGTCATTCAAAACAAGCGCTCCAACTACGACACTGATGTTTTCTCGCCGATCTTTGCGAAGATCCAGGAGTTGACGGGCGTGCGCCCATATCAGGGCAAATTTGGTGATGAGGATGAGGAGGGCATTGACACGGCGTACCGGGTTGTCGCGGACCACGTCAGGACGCTTACATTTGCACTCAGCGACGGTGGCGTTCCCAATAACATCGGCCGCGGCTACGTCCTTAGGAGAATCCTCCGAAGAGGCTGTCGGTACGCCCGCAAGAAGCTTGGCGTGCAGATTGGTTCCTTCTTCTCGTCGTTGATGCCCGCTGTTGTTGAGCAACTCGGTGACACCTTCCCGGAGATCACGCGCAGAACGGAGGAGATCAAGAGATTCTGGATGAGGAAGAGGAGTCGTTCTCGCGTACTCTGGATCGGGGAGAGAAGATGTTTGATGTCTATGCGGCAAGGCGAAGCAGACTGGTCTGAAGCAACTCTCGGGCCGGGATGTATGGCGGTTGTATGACACGTATGGCTTCCCCGTCGACCTCACGCGCCTGATGGCGGAGGAGCTTGGTCTGGACATCAACAACGAGGAGTTTGAGGCGGCACAAGCGCACTCGAAGGAGGCGAGCAAAGCCAATCAGAAGAAAGGCGACAAGGACACCGTGAAACTTGACGTTCACGACATCGCCAACCTGGAGAAGACACTCAGCATCCCCAAGACCGACGACACTGCAAAGTATCGTAAGTACATCCTGTATGATTGCTGTACGGTACTGACATATGCTTCCTTGCCTCAGAGCTCGGCAATATCACTGCTCGCGTCCTGTCAATATACTCAAACAAGACCATCGTCGACTCGACCGCATCAATACCTGAAGACACCAACTTCGGCATCCTCCTCGACAGGACCAGCTTCTACGCGGAATCCGGTGGACAGGAGTATGACACTGGTAGCATCGTCATCGACGGCGTGGCAGAGTTTGAAGTGTCGAACGTGCAGGTCTTCAGTGGCTATGTCTTGCACATCGGCCACATGAAGTATGGGACACTCAAGCTTGGCGACGAAGTCGTCTCTAGCTATGATGAGGTATGTGGCATGACACAATCCGCTCATTGCAGTCTGTTAAAGGCGCTGCTAGCTCCGACGTTGGCCCCTGCGAAATAACCACACCGCAACGCACATCCTCAACTACTGCCTTCGTGAGGTTCTGGTGATCACGTCGACCAAAAGGGTTCCTTGGTCGCACCCACCAAGCTCCGCTTCGACTTCTCGCACAAGGCACAGATCGCGCCAACGGAACTGTCCAAGATCGAGTCCATGGGCAAGGACTGGATCACCCGGAACGTCAAGGTGTTCAGCAAAGAGGTTGCCTTGAAGACAGCGCAAGAGATCTCCGGCCTGCGCGCTGTCTTCGGCGAGTCGTACCCCGACCCCGTACGGGTGGTGCGCTGGAGTTCTCCGTGAGGAGATGACGAGCGACCTGCACAGCCCGAAGTGGCGGTCTACGAGCGTCGAGCTGTGCGGCGGAACGTGAGCAGCCAAACGAGCTTCATGGTATCGTCTAACTTTGTGATGATTGTACAGTCATGTCGCGAGGACGGGCGAGATCAAGACTTCGTGTGACAGAAGAGTCGGGTATTGCCAAGGGCATCCGGCGTATCACTGCAGTCACCGGGCACGAGGCTGCAGAAGCTCGAAGGGTCGCAGACGCCATGACCGCGAGGTTGAACCACTGGAAAGCATGTCCGGCTCAGAAAGGACGCTGGTTTGAAGAGCTTCACTTTGGTACGTAGACGAGCACTAGTCCCGTTGATCTACGGTTTTGACAGTCCTTGTAGGAGCTTGGCCAGGCTGACATCTCCGTTCTCCGGAAAGCTGAGCTCCGGGATCGTCTGGCAACGGTGCGCAAGGCGTTCGACAAGGAGACAAAGGAGAAGGAGGCCAAGGCTAACAAGGCCGTACGTCGTCCGATAATCTACTAGCTAACACCCACTCATTACTGTCTCATCGCAGGCTAAGGATGCCGTCCAGGAGTACTTCCAGAACAACAAGGACTCGGAGGCTTACATCGCGATCGTTGACAACGCGAAGGTCTTGTCCAACATTGTTCACGAAGGCAGGAAGCTTGGCAAGACGATCTATGTGATGAGTCCCGATCCGTCGAGTGGGAAGGTTGCGCACGTCAACTTCGTGTCTGAGGCGGCCAAAGCGAAGGGCCTCGATGCTCACCAGTGGGCTGCTACCGTGACGGAGCTTATTGGGGGCAAGGTAGGTTGTGTAGGTCACCTTCGTTGGACGAGACTGATTTGTGTTTGGCAGGCCGGAGGAAAGGCGGATAGCGCGCAAGGTTCCGGTGTCAACGTTGATAAGACTGAGGATGCGCTCGAGGCTGCTCGGAACTATTTCGTAAAACAGACGGGATTGACGGTATAATACGTAGAGAAGGGTATGGAACAATGCCATGTACACTATAGAGACAATTGCTGCAATCAATTTGAAGGCACTGAACAGGATACACTAGTGATACAGCTTGAAGAGTAAAGCGTATTCAAGCTCCTTGAATCACTATGTTTGAGCAGTGACTTCATAACCAACAAGACAAATGCCCTCACCATACTCCATGGGCCAAACCATGCCGATCACTCTACCTCATTTGATCACCATCTTCGGAGCTATCGTGGTCATCATCCCCCAGTCCATTCGTTTGGAGAGAATCCGTGACCACTACGGCCGGTTTCTGTGCTTTGCCAGCGACGACACGTCTCCATTTGGGGCGCTCCAATTCAGTAATGGGCAACCTCCGGAAGGTCTTTCGTCCTACGAGCCGAAAGAGCGGTGTGAACGCGGCCTCGCTGCCCCTCAGCACGCCACTCTTGAAGTCGCCGCCGTCTGCGGTATGTATCCACTCGGCCTCCTCCGAGGCATGAACAGAACGCTGATGCGCTTCGCCTTCTAAGCTTATCTTTACGGCGCGTTCCTGCTTAGGAGCGAGGAGACGGGCGTAGGAGCCACAGGAGTAAAGCTCGCTAACCAAGAGGTGTTTTTTCTTGAAAGCAGTAGAGTAGACGAGGTCTTTGAGGTTTCCAGCAGGGGAAAGATGGGTGTATCGCGCATTGAGCATGACGAGGATCGCGCCGTGGCTACGCTTGACGGTGAATGTTTTCTTCATCGTCACCTTGTGAAGCCAGGCTGCACCTCTGTGAGGTGATGCTCAGATGTCATGGGCAGACGTCAATGAGGGTCGCTGACGACGTACATCTCGTTGGTTGTGCTCTCTCGTACTTCATCGACGTCAGAGGAGACAATGCACCGGATGTTATCTTCTGGGCCGGGGAGCTCGACAATGCCAAACTCTTGTGCCCATAATCCGTCGAAGATGTTGCCCTCGCGCGCGAAGGAACCGTCGCCTTGAAGGTGACCATAGTCCCCGACCTGTAAGACAGGAAGGCAGTGATTCAGTCCGCGATATATGGGGTGAATCAGTGGGTAGCCGCTCACCCGCACCAATCGCGCAGGATCCCAGCTCGCGTAATAGTTACTGTTCTGGTGGATAAGGGAAACATAGGTCAGCTCAGGGTTCGGTGTCCGAAACATGCCGTTTAGCTTCGTGCAGAAGGTCAGCGTGAGGTGTTCGGCGCGGATGGTGTCCTGGTTCAGACAGACCAGTGGCGAGTATCGTACGGGCGGCGCAAGTGCGGTCTGACTGTGAACTTTGACTTTGACTTCGACATGTCTCTTACGCGTGTATCGAGACACACAGCGGCAATCTCCCCAAAATGACATGATTTCTCGGAGCCTGGTAGCGGTACTCACACTTGAATGACCATTGAGACTGCGAGTATTACGAATTGGATAGCTTGAGTAGAGATGAGAGCAGCCACATGCGTGGCGACTCAGAGTAAGCACCCATGGGCCCAGATGACGAGAGGGTTGCATAGTACGTAGTCCGTGGATGGAAAATCCACGACGGACTTGCTAGAGCACAAACATCATTTCACTGAGTCGAGTCGAGGGCGATATGAGTGCAAGAGCATCAGTGGCGGCGGTCAAGTACACACTGTACATGAAGAGTTCGAAGCAATGGAGTGCACAACAAGCGCTCGTGGGTGAGCGCCTGTGTACTGCCATATCGGGCCGAAGCACGGGACCTTACGCCTCGCCTTCCTGCGATCGTCCTCACCGTTGGGCACAACCTCGGCGTCCTCAAGCACACCTGGTGAGTATGCCACGCTGCTGTACACTGCCGAAACGCTGTCCTGGGCCTTCTGGAGCGGATTGACACCTTTGAAGGGGTGCTGCATGCCTCAGGAGGCTGGATGGCGTCCCGTCTGTTTGGATGCAGGGCGGCAGATTGCTGACTGTGTCATCTCGTTCAGTACGGCCGTCTACTCTCGCCGACAACCACCATGTCTCTCGTCGTCCCGGAAGCCCACACGCAATTCCAGGTGCGACTATCAGAGAGGATATAGCGAGATATAGCACCTGACAGCTTGTTTCAGCACATCTTGCGTCTCCTGAACACCAATGTCGACGGTAAACGCAAGATCATGTATGCCCTGACGGAGATCAAGGGTGTTGGTCGTCGTTACTCCAACATTGCATGCAAAAAGGCCGATGTTGACCTCAACAAGCGGTGCGTAGTATCATGACTACCATTTCCTCAATCTGCATGGCTCATGTCCTCGTAGGGCTGGTGAGCTCAACTCGGACGAGCTCGAGCGTCTTGTTACCATCCTCCAAAACCCACTCAGTTCAAGATTCCCACATGGTTCCTGAACAGGCAGCGGGACATCGTCGATGGCAAGAACTCGCAGATTCTCTCGAACGCCGTGGATTCGAAGATGCGTGACGACCTCGAGAGGCTGAAGAAGATCCGGGCGCACCGTGGTCTCCGGCATTTCTGGGGTCTCCGTGTGCGTGGCCAGCACACCAAGACTACGGGTGCGTATGCGATGTCGGGAGGTGTCGCTTTTGCTCATTCGCTGTGACAGGCCGTCGCGGCAAGACCGTCGGTGTGTCGAAGAAGCGTGGTTAAACGCTTTTCTGGAGGAGGGTCGTACGTACATGGCCTTTTTGCTGGCATCCACGACATTATGTCATTCATACGTCTACATGTATCATGCGATATATGGAGCATTCCGCACGACATGGCTGATGGTTCGTCTGGGTCTAATTCTTCTTGTTGGTCCTCGTACTTACGGTGAGTACGGTGGGTTGATGAAAATGTGAGCGCTTGAGTCACGTGACCGTGCTGGAAAGTTCGTGCGGTCTCGTGCAGTGCTCGAAAGGACGCGATGGGTCGGTGGCGCGCGTCCAGACCGTTAAGTACTACCCCATCGTCGCCCTCGCCGTCATCCTCACCCCGTCCGCCTTGCTTTCCGAATTTTACTGCACAACACAAGTCGACGATGACAACCTGGGCATACCACCCAACTCCCACCCCTGGTTCCGCGAGCCCTCCCTGAAGCGCAAAACACTGGAGGACGACGACATCTCTGTCGTCGAGTTTCCCCAGACGCGGCCCGTGGCGCAGCGTCCAAAACGTCGCAGGTGCGACAATATCGAGCATGGGCTCGCACAGATGACGCTGAACCGTTCCTCGGTCTCACCGCCACCGCCTCCATCGAGGTTCAACCCGATTGTCGAGCTGCCGCCTGCGGCTCAAGTACCTCAAAATTCGTACTATGAGTCTATGGCGCATGCTCCATCAGTTCAGGAGACGATGCCACCTCTGTTGATGAGCGTGCCGTCGCCCGTGGTCCTCCCTGGTTCCGTCGAGGAGCCCGCGTCCCCTGAACAGACGAGGGATGTGCCGGACGTGCGAATGAAGATACCCTCTTGGTACGAGGTGGAGAAGGACCGTGAGTTGCTCCTCGTTGCACGCCATATAAGCTGCACTCACCCACCCAGCAGGCATCGTCATCACAGATTTGGAGGACTCTGATACGGAAGACCAGGAGGAGAGGAAGGGTTCTCGCGCGGACGCAGAGTACACCGTGTCTACTGCGCTCCTCGACCGTTTACCCATACATGCGCCGTCCTTGCCCCCGCCTAGCTCAGACTCGGATCCCAGTAAGGCACTCGTGCTGTTCAGACCGCTCGTCGTCGCGAGTGCCGCCGAGCGAGAGACAGATGCATCACCAGGGGATGGAAGGCAGGACGATATGGAGTCGGATGCACCGACGATGGATTTGGACACACCAATGGATGTAGACGATGCCATGGACATTGAACCACTATAGCAATTCATAATACAAGCTTATCGAACGAGCACGATTGAACGAAAGAACGACAGAGTCATAGACAACGAGAGCGAATCAACGCTGAGGGTGTATTTCCTACGAGGACGGTATTAGAAGACGGCAAGGCTCTAACAGACGGTCGGCGAACGAGTCTAAACATAGATGCAGAAATAGCAACCGAGATGGCCACAAAAGCAGATCGACAGGGGATACATGAAAGCGGAGGGTGTTGTACAGCATGAAAGACGAATTCATCTTCTTGACGACTCGGGACCCGTACCGTAGCGCATAAGATCTCCAGCGCGCGACTGCAGGTCCCCCTTGAGCGACCCGGATATGCCCATCACATTGCGATCGTCAGGATACAACCGCTCCACGTTGTTCACATACGATGGTGGTGGCGCGCATGCGCGTGCGGGTGAGGGACATGGTGCATCTGCATGTATGGCGCGCGGAGGTTGATCGAAGACGACGAGGCGGGTCCCGGCTGCGAGATGGGCTGTGCGGACGTGTTTGAAAGGTGGCTCCCCATACTGGACGAGGCGGTCGGGCCCATGTGCCGAGAGTGGTCGTGCTGCCCGTGCTCCTGATGGGAGTGTCCGTGCGTCGCGTGCTCGCGACCCCGCAATGCGTCCGACATGCTGGGGTGCGGCGACAGTGGCGTAGGAGTAGTGGGGTGGGAGAGGGAGTGTTGGTATCCGACGCTCAGGAGGCTGATGGGCCCAGCATTATGCCCGAGCGATAATTGGTTGTCGAACGGCGTGCGCATTGCTTGGTGATTCTGGTGAGGCTGCGGTTGCGGTTGCGGTTGCGGTTGCGATTGCGATTGCGGCTGGCCCTGGAAGTGAGACGATGGTTGCATGTGCACGGGCGACTGCATTTGAGGCTGAGGCTTGCTCTTTTGCGCGTGGGACGATGATTGCGGCTGTTGCTGGAGTTGCGGCTGCGTGGGCACCTGTATCTGAGGCCGGGCAGGCTGCGGTCGGGGCTGAAGAGGAGGCTGGGCCGGACGCTGGTCAGATCTGACCTCTGGGAGCTGCACCTGGGGCGGAGCAGCGAAGGCGGGCTTAACCTCGAGAGGACTGTCGATAGACATGTCCGCATCCTTGTCGGTGTCCTTATCCGTGTCTTTCTCGATGAGTTCTGCGTCGTCGTCGTCGCCGTTCTGGGACGTGGACGCGGAGGGGCCTGCCTCAACGGCCTGGCTGGCCTTTTGTGCGGCTATCTCCTCTGCGGTGAGGAATCGTCCGCCAGGACCGCGGGGGCGGCGCATGGCATGCTTGTGGCGCGATTCGTGTAAGTAGGGCTGGACGACGGAGCGTACATAAGTTGGACTGGATCGACAGGAGATACGGTTGGAGCATACCTTTCTCTGCCTGGATAGCCTGTGAAGCTCTTCGATACGGGCGCGGGCTACCCGCCTTTTGAGGATGCGATAGTACTGCTTTGCGTTGACGTACAGGGGCTCTTCATCTAGCGGTGGGTCATCCTGGATCTGGTCGACAGGAGGCTCCTGCTCGCGTTGGTCGCGGGTGTGGGTGTCCGGCTGCGACTGGGTGTGCTGTTGCTGCTGCTGATGGTGAAGAAAGAGGCCATGGGGAGACGGTGGGATGGGGGTCGACGCGGGGGACTGGTGGGGGGATGGCTGGCGGGACTGATGGGGCGGGGGCTGCTGCTGTTGCTGGTGTTGTTGCTGGGGGTAAAAGTTGTATAGATGGGGCTGATGGTGGGCTGTGAGGGCGGGGGTCAGTGGGCCGGCAGGACGAGGAGAGAGGGGACGAACGGTACTGATGGTATGTATTTGGGTTGAAGAGGTGATCGACGGGATCCATTGCAGCTGGCGACTGGTCGACGGACGAGGGCCGCTGATTGGGCAACCACGGCGAGGCGCGTCCCCCCTCCCATTGGCCGCCCGTCCACGTGCCTCGCCACATCCGCCACAACCGCTGTGGCTCTCCTCTCTCGTCCACCGCCGCCATGGACGCAAAGCTGTGAGTCCCCCGTTCTCGTCCCCTCCACCGCGCTCACCGTCCACAGCAAAGCACTCAAGGTCGTCGACCTCAAGGACATCCTCACTCGCGCAGCCGTCTCCATCCCCAGCAAGTCCAACAAGAACGACCTCATCGCGCGCATTCTCGCGTCTCCCGCCGCCCTCGACGTGTACAACGCGCAGCACTCGCCGAAAGCACCCGACGCGGTGCCCGGCCAGCCTGAAAAACAACAGACGCAGCCCGAACGCGACGAGGTAGTGTGTCTTTCCGTCTTCCTGTCGCGGCGTGCTAAGGTATATTCTGTAGCTACCTTCCGAGCCAGCCCCACAGTAAGTCCTCACTCTGCTCTACTCACTGGCGACTCTCACAGCCGTTTTCTGTAGACTTGCTCCGCCTCTGCCGCCCAAAATACGCATCCCCCTTCTCCTGCACGTCCACAGGTGGCAACGTCGCCGCCATCAAAGCCCGCATCATCCGTTGCACACGCCGTGAGTGTTCTCCCATCATGTAACGTCCGATTGAGCTGAAGATTATTGTAGTCGCCTTCCACAGCGGTAGCATTGGCTTCTAATGCCACTAGCACGCCCAAATCCGCGGAAGACGAAGAGTTCGAAAGGAGGAAGGCGCGAGCAGCGCGATTCGGTCTTCCGTTAGTCGAGCCAACGAAGCCGTCCGCTGAACAGATCAAGCCGGCCAAGAGCGCAAAACTTGCTGCCCCATTGCTCGACGTGAGTAATTGTGTTACACTGGGTGATAAAATGATTGACGCTCTCGTAGGACCCGAACAAGCTCGCCGCTCGTGCAGCACGGTTCGGCACCGGGCAGCCTGCTGCAGCGCAGACTACTACCGTCCAGACGAACGGCCGGAAGCGCAATGCGCCTCCGGTGGAAGCTGCCGATGAGGAGGAGTTGGAGAAGCGGAGGAAACGTGCAGAGCGCTTTGGGACATCAGTAGTTGTGAGCATTGCGGCATCTGTTCCCCATCATATACTGACTGACTGCTCATCGAGGGCACAAAGGCTTAGTATTACATATTTGTAAATGCCACCCTCAGTTCCGGCTTTTCAGATGGCATGCTTAGTGTTGTACAGTGTTGCAAGCTTGAATTTGACAGGCATTGATTCACCCTTCAGATGAATGGTACATCAAATGAGGGAAGTGAGGTTGACATTGATAACACAAACAGTTTAAAGTGCTGATTCAAAAACTCCCTTGTGGTGATCTAGTTCCTTCATTTGCATATAATAGCTGCTATCTGTGCTATGCTATTGCTATAATGCTATTCAGCACAGTCATGCATTTCGAATACATATACTGCATTCAGCTTTATGTTCATCATGTGGTGAGAGGGTGCTTGGTACAGTCATGCACTGGTCACTGTAACACAACTGGTCACTGTAACACCCTTGTACACCTCACCCTGCCACTTTACCTACCCACTATTACTTTTTGCTGATGCTTGATAGAATGTACAGTCTATCTGGCTACTTCTGAAATTTTTCAAGCTGAGAAATGGTGAGTTTGGAGCAAGGTGAGTTCATTGCATTTGGGTGCCTATGTGCATGACAGCTTGACCACTCAGTGTAACACATGTTCTCAGGCCATGGAGAGTCAAACACTCAGCTTCTGGGAATTACATTTGGCAGATATATGGAAGGGATGTGTAGCAATGTTTTAAGCACAGAGACTATGGAGTTGCATTGCTAGTAGTCATAAGATTGCTTGATTACAGTTTGAGTGTTACAGTGACTGGTGCATGACTGTAATCACATCTGTACTGATTCTCAAGTGAGGGTATCTACTAGGAGTACCACAACACTCAGAACTTATAATGAATCTGGGGCTTGTGCACTCTTGGCATCCTCCTCCATCTCAGTGTGATGATATGATATATAGGCACCATATTTTTGCTTGTTTTATCCCATTTTTGCTCATTCTATATGGACTTGTACAGTAGACCATATTTGCTAGGACCTAGGTCACGGAACATTTGAAGTTAAGAGTGCTCCACTCTGAAGTAAGTGGAGCCAAAGTCTGCACTACACGCACACCCGAAACATGGGGGATCTGCAGTAAATGGAGTAAACCTCTTAGCAAAGTCCTAGCAAATATGGTCTAAAGTGTTGTATGGTAGATTTTGCTTGGAATGGCTTTCTAGCTAGTTATGTGACAACACTGGTCACATGCTAGATTCATCTTGTGACTTGTATCATGTGCCTGCAACTGTGCCTGACTCATCCTGACCCACTCTGACTCACACATACACAGGACCTCAAATCTGGTAGCTGATGTAGTAGACCTGCTGTTATGGATCTGTTTCTTACTCGGTTGATTTCCGAGTTAATACCAATATTACTGAGATACTAATGAGCAATAGTACTGGTTTGTATCAATGGTAACACAGAGCAAATAACTCGAAAATGTCGGAAGGGGGTTTCAGAGTAAGGAGAGCCTCTAGTTCAACTAGAACTCAAGGAAAGAGAGAGCAGTAGTTGTGACTACAGATCACAATAACAACAATCAAATAGGGACTTTGCACCACTGCAGTGCTGATGTACAAGTACACAGTACCAGCCCCTCATTGGAGAGAGAACCTCTGATCTTGGTAAAGATTGCCCTCCAATAGAATGTTCTATTGGATTCTTTACTGCACTTTTTTCCAAGTAAAAGCAGAATAAGAGTATACAGAGGAGTAGTATACCAGTTGCTACTTCCGAAAGAAGGCTTTCTGGAATTGAAGTGTCACACAAGGAGTACAATAGAAGTCTATCAAGTCTACTCTGATCCTTATAACAACTTCAGTGGCAGTTACCGGACCTTTACCAACAGACTTCAGTCAATGCCAATAAAGGTATGTTACTCAATGACACCCAGTGTGAAGTGATGAGCAGACAAAGGTAACAGGCAATGTACAGTGCAAAGCTATGTACAGCTTAGGTATTGTGCCACCGAGACTGTCTAGGAGTCAAGGGCAGATTGATCAGTGATCAATTGAAGAGTACATTGAGTACAGAAGTGTGGATGGTAGATGTAGATGATGAGAGATGTTCCGACTTGCTCTCGGGGATGCTCCTTTTATGCATTTCCCGAGTGCACAGCCTCCTAGCTACGAGAAATACTTAGGAAAATACCAGAATATAGTAGAAGGCTTTGTACACTGCTTTCCGAGACCATTCAAGGCAAACAATAAGCTCACAGCCTCAAAAAGCAAGGAAGTCATGAGGCTAAGCTGTGTATTCCCGAAGCATGCCCGAGATTGCCACTGATCACCAAGGATGTGCTCTGTGATCCACAGGCATTCCTGAAGGCTGAAACATTAGCACAGCCTCACAAAAACTCGGAAATAGTGTACTGCATGACACCAGCCTTTCCTTGAAAGCTACTCTTAGATTGCCTACAAGTTGGAATAGTGTGTCAACATATTCCGAGCTTATAGTAACCAAGCAGTAACTTTGAAGGCATCTGGTCACAAACAAGCCTAAGGAAATTAGTACCAGAAACTCGGTAATAGTCCAATCAATAGATACATAACTAGGTGCTACAAAACACAAAAACATCAGCAAAGAAGAAAGGCAATGATAATTCCATGTGCAAGTCTTACTTTGCCATCTGTGCTCTACACAGACAATCTCCTATGAATATAGCAGTGAATACAAGATGCATGTACATGGTGCGCTACTTACTCAATTGGAATGTTGCTCATGATTGGGCACCATGTCCTGACAACCACACAGCCTACCAGGATATGTGTAATGTTTGCACCATCAGATGGCAGCTAAATAGTGCAAAATGTGAAAGAATGCAACTCTTCACTAAATGGCCCTCTCCCCAGCAAGTATGTACTGGATACCTCAATAATGTATTGCCTGATAACTCAGATATTCAACATTATGCTCTCATTATAAGCAAATCACTACAAAATATTGCAGAGTGACCACAGGTAACACCCAATATGGCACTGTATCTTCAAAGTTGACTGGCAGCTTTGTATTATATTTAACTGAGTGGACATGGGTCCCATATGACCTTGCAGTACTTGATTCTGGTTGTGCTGAGGTCTTCTAATTTATTGGGAATTTATGCGACTTTTCTGGGCCCCAAACAGTAAGTTTTGTCCTCAGAATGAATATTCTGCACATTCTTGACCGCTTTTTCGAAGTCACATGATCATGCAACTGGCTAGACCCAGTGGCCATTGTGCCCTTTCTGGTGCAGCAGAGACATGTATACATACTCAGTGATTTGTAACTGGTGTTATCCAGGAAAATACACATTTCAGGCAACTTGTGGGAGGGCTTTTGCACAAGAAGCATCACAAAAGCTCACATTGCCCTAAATGGTGAGTCACCTTCCAAATCCAGTAATTTTCACTAAGATGAATGTCTGGTGCTCCATAAATAGCAGATAAATCAGAAGATATTCATAGAGTACTATGGGATGTTGATGAGGCCTGTGATGTTTACAACATGTTACCATATATGGAAGGCAAGCTATAATACCATGTACAAGCATCAAACTAGCTGTCCTTGCCCATTCTGAGCTCTGTTGTGGCACCATAAAGCATTTTCATGATGTCTGACACACATGGCTATACTGTATGGGTCATATTCTCCATATCTAGGGTCAAATTGAGCAATTCAAATTCTGCAAAGTCACTGGTGTTTTCTTTTGTATTTGCATTTTCTGGCCTAACTAGCCACTATGGGGGCCCCACAAAATTACTGTAGACTCTATGGTAGACTCTATGAAACAAGGGCTACAAGTTGACTATATGATTGCCATATCTATTTGTGGGTGCTTACTGCTGCAATTAGGAATTGATTATATTGGAGCCCAGTGCTGCTGGTGAGGTCACATGCCATGTTCATCACTTTCCATATTGGAATCCAAGCTAGACATTACAGGAGCCCATAGTCCATGGGCAATTGTCAGCTACAGCATTTGTGTGGGTGTGTTGGTGTAAGAGCCCGTTCAGCAACCACAAGCGATCGATTCTCGCGGGTGTTTCTCCCACCAGATGAACAGAATCACTCAGAATCGGTTTCACCAGCTTTTCCCCCCCTTGCCAGGCTGCCAGGCGTGCCGACAAGGCTCGGAAACACCCATTGACAACACATGACTTTTGATGATCACTGCGTTCAGCCCAGTCAAGGCCCGTGAGTCCGGCCAATTTCCCGCCCATTCCCCGACACATTGCGCTCATCGAGCATGACAATGAGCGGGACATCCTCGTGACCTCGCCTAGTCTGGGCTCTGCATACACCTTACATAGATCCTCCTTGAATTTTCTTAGGGAAGTCAATGTGCTATCAGTTTTCTAATTTACATGCCCTACAATAAAATAAGGGTCTGTGCTCATTGTGAGCGACAGCGAGCAAGACCCTGTCAGTGAAGTGATGGCAACGGCACGACAAGCTCGCAACAAGCAACACATGACTACAGGCGACTACACGCTGAATAAGCAAGGGGAAATGTCCAAGTGGGGAATCAATCTGCGCTCGGATGTACCCAGATGCCGAAGAAACACTTTCAAGAATCAATCACTCGTGGTTGCTGAACGGGCTCTAAGTGACATCATCTGGGAGTCTGAAATTTGAAACTCAGCTAATGATGGCATAGTAAGTGTTACTTATCTCTGCTTATCTGGCACTCAAACAGTCACATGCACTGTGGGAAAAACCTGCCACATTGGGCTCCATGCTAAGTGTTACATTCTCTCCAGTCATAAGAATGACTTGCTGGGGAGTGGGCCATGCATGGCAATACAATCCCAGTTGTATTCAAGTTGTCTGTCTTCTAGCTCATGAAATCATTGCTTGAATCTCACTTATCAAATGCATTGATATATACTAGTCTGTCAGGCTAACTTCCATGCTTTACCAAGCAGTTGTCAAACCGTGACAATAACAATAACCTCACATGAGTCACACAGGCCAAGTGGAAATCATCAGGCAGTATTATAGTAGTCACAGAGGTACTTGCTCACCATCCTCATTGCAATGACACAAGACACAAGAGCATTGAATCCTGAATATTGAGTATCCTAGAGAATCCATAATGTGCATATTTCTTGATCATAAATCTTTATTGATCATAGATAGCTATGCCAATATCTCCACACAGTCATTAACCAATGATATGTGTGGTTGCAGACTTGTTCTTGCCCAACTGTAGCTGAGCTGCCCTGTTTCACCATGTTTGGGACATTATGTACTGTCTCAAAACTCTGAACAATAATACTCCTTTACTATTGGGAGACTTTTGTATCATGGAATTTGTATAGGAACTGTTAATCAAGTCAATAATGACAATGATCAGAATCAATTGTATCATTTGAACTGAGTAGGTCATATACTTCCCTACAAATTGATACTACATTGGCTTAGACCTCCCAATGTCAGAGTCTGTTTAGGCCAACTATGCTGAGTTTGTTACACTCATGATGCCTTTTCATGAACTGTAGCTCATGCTGTGGAAAAGCAGGAAGTCACATGTGTCATGTATAGCTGCAACCTTCTAGATGCAGTATTCAGGAGTGCTCATCTGCATTCCTCTCCTCATCCCATAGCCTGACATCATTCCATAGCATGTTACTGTCAATACAGATATAGGTAACAACATTCTGGCTAAATGCATTAGGTGGGAACCTGATGTTGTTGCCTCATAATTTATACTGAGGAGTTCACATTACTAACAAATGAGGGCATCCACAGATTATCAAAGCTATGTTACTGTCAAAGTTTCCTGATTCATGACCTGAGTGATATGTCACAGTCATGATTATGGATATCCAATGGAGAGCAAGAACCTGTAAATAAGAATTTTATCATCAACTTTTTCTTGCACAGCAGCAGGCAGTTTGCAAGAGTCTTGCACCCTTTCATATGAATGAACTGTGGTCCCATACAAGAGTATGGTACTTATGTTGCAAAGTGCTGCCAGAGCTTTGGGTGAGCACAATTACCACATATATAGTACCTCACTGATTTTCTGGGGTTTTTGGGGCTTTTCTGAGCCTACACAAGGAGGTTATGTGGCCTCAGAATGAATATCCTGCACATGTTCATGCTTTGTTCCATGCATAAGGAACTATGAAGGCTAGGGAAATTATGGGAGGGTCTGTGAAGCAGGAGCTATCACACAACTTGAATCAGGATTACTACATATGGTAGGTGCCCTCCCAATTGGGAATCTCACATTGGGCAATGCTTTGTGGGCCCAGTAAATACTGTAGAAATGATGGTATATTCAGAGTACATGATTGCATCAGTTCAAGCAATTGGCATATGGTGAATCATTAACCAGCATACATGCATTATATATGTACTGTGTCCCATTCTTGTAGTGCTATTGTGAGGCATCAAGAGTTGCTGATGCTCCTGCTCATGAACACATGGGTTATATCAGTGTTTATGTGACACAAATTGCATCTTTCCATAGCTATAGGCATTTGTGACTTTCTCCATCATTGTGTTTGTCTGCTCTGTGCTTGTATCAAAGGACAATCAGAACAGTATACATTCCTATACTCATTGGTTCAGGGTGCTACATAAGGCAGTTGCTGGGGAAAATAGTAGAGCCACTGTGTTGTGATTGTGAATATATATCAGACATATTGGGAGCACACACATGGCTGTGTCTAGTCATGTTGTTAAATGTGCATAACTTGCCAAACCACATATGTACTGCATATTTCAATATCACACTGTCTCAATCCTCAAACATCAAAAATTGTGCTCTCATTTAACGCAAATCACACCAAGATATCATAGCTCAGTACCCAATGTGTTACTGTATCTTGGAAGCTGACTGGCCTTGTGGCACCTGTAATCAGGATGATGTTGACTTTATATGACCTGAAAATACTTCAGGATGGCTGCACTGAGGTCTTCAAATTTATCGGGAATTTATACAATTCTTCTGGGCCCAAAACAGTAGGTTTTGTCCTCAGAATGAATATCCTACACATTTTTGACTGCATTGTTTTTTGCAGTCACATGATCAATGACGTGCGGTCGCAGCACTGCAGCGATAAAACACCGCTGCGAGTGTTGTGACCAGGGCCTGCCTTGGATGGCATCTGGATGCATCCACCCATCCATGGGAAAACCATCCATGGATAAACCATCCATGCCCACGCTCGTCTGGTGTGACAACGCGTAAGGCTGTGCTCGTAAGATATGCTGTCACTGTAACGCACTCAATATCACGCCCGCAGATGCACTGTATCCAATCTCTATTATGTGAGAGAAGTCTACAGACTGAGCATCGTAAGGCAAGTGATTAAAGAGTAAGTTGCCCAAAACGAGTAAGTGCGCTGGCGCGCAATACGAGTAGAATGAGCAAACATAAGCAAACATACATGATTAGATATGCTGTATTGGGCAAGTCTTGATAACCCCCATTTAGGCCCGTTACACTCTCCCCCACTGGACTCGTCTCACGAGTTCAACTGGAAGACAATGAAGAGATCATGCCATGTGAACTTCTTGTGGCAGACTACTCACCTCAGGTCCAGGTAAGATCTACTGCAGTCCGGGTTTCGGAATACAATAGTCCATGTGGTGGTCCACCGAGTTTCCGTGGACAATCCACATCCTGCAGTGACCCGAGGGAAGCAACCCATGTATTGAACATCCCATTGGATGTACACAACATGATCTCCCGGGATTGAGTGTGTTCAACCTCTATGGTTGAACATACTGCAACATGCATGAAAGAAACATAGAAAAAGACGGAACATACAATCATATAGCGCCAGCGTACTACTTAACTGCACCTGAACGTACAACTCAAACCTATTCAGGGTACAGGTAAGCCTCGAAAAAGCGGACTACTACTCAGACCCGGAGTAGTAGTCCCCACTGTCCTCGTCGTAATCATCATAGTCGTCCGACATGGAATATGCAGAACCACCTGATGCATTTGACGAGACAGGTGAGGCAGGCTCATATGAGTCTGACTCGTAGTAGTCGTCGGAGACTACTACAGAGCTAGCCTCAATGTCACCCGAACCATGGTCACTGTGTTCGGAAGAGTACTCGGAGTGATGGCTTGGAGAGTACTCAACATGGACATCTCGGTGACCCGACGAGATGTCAGAGATGTAGTCGTTGTCATCCCACCAGCTCGCGCGAGTTGGTTGAGGCTGATGATGGACCACTATCCGAGTCCTGGCCACCTCGTCACCCCAGAGTCGAGCATAAGCCCCACCACATGCTGGCATGCTCATGTATGAATCCCTCTCGTTAGTGTAAAGGGGTCATACATAGATCCCACTAGTTACAGTGCAGTGACTACTGCACCTTCATATATGAAGGTGCGACCGGCGCTCCGCTCGCTACCCGAAAGGGCAGCTTCCCTTTAGGGACAGCCCGGGTCAGTGTCACTGCGGGTTGGCGGCGGCGGCTACCCTCAATAGGTCTTGTCGCGCGCTCTTCCGCTTTGGGTGCCATTACGGGCATCGGGCAATTGCAATCACGATTTGCGATCTACTTGATCTACACCTTCTGGGCTAGGTACAATACCCAGCGTGTATGTTGCTCTCTGCGACATATATTGTACATACATTCCTTACTTACCACTGCAATTTGTAATCTGATTGGTACGAAGGATGAAGCCATGAAATGACCTGGTATGTTCGAGGCCCCGACAAATGCTCTGATGAATGCTGCAATCGTATGGATGCTGCGATTTGTCCTCCCACCCGTCACCCGCAGCCTCCTGTGTGTCGCCCACTGATAGCGCGAAGGTGCCTATAGCAGAGCTTGCTACGCGGTGGTGACCCTTGTTGGCAGCCGGCCAATGGCTCATTTACGCCGGTTAGTACGTGCTTTCCACTTGTCGATGCGCCTTCATTCGTACCTGTTGACGTGCCATTTCTGCTGGCCGACACACTGCCGTTCGTACCTGCTGCCGCGGACTCATTCGTCTCTGCTGAGTCCTGACACACTCAGGCTGTGTGTGTTGGTCGACGCACCGCTGTTTACACCTCCTGACATGTCCCCATTCGGACCCACGCCGTTTGTGCCGGTCGACGCGCTGCCGTTCGTACCCGCTGATGTGCCGCTTGCATTGGTCGACGCACCGCCGTTCGCGGTACTGTACTCGCCGACGCGCCCCCATGCATACCCGCTGACGCACTGTTTGTACTGATCAGCACGCCATTCGGCACACCCGTCGACGCGCCGTCCGACATACTCGTCAACGTGCCATCCAGGACGTACTCGTGATTCGGCGGGTGGCCAGGAAAGGATGCGCCGACCGAGTGCCAGACGAGGTTCAGTCCGGGGTGGGTACTACTAGCAGGTTAGTGAGTGCATAGATGACAGGCCAGGCGCACTTACTGGTTGAGTTCACTTCTGAACGTGTCTCGGGATCTCCACCGTGGTCTTCCGTGCGGAGACGGTCATGAAAGCAGGATCGTGGAGGTATGGTAGCACACAAGTAAGGTGAGCCTTGTGGGCGCCCCCGTAAACTGAACATTTGTCTCTATTTGTTGCCTCACCAAATTGGGCAAGCCCGATGTGCTCGGCCTGTTCCTGGCCAATCACAACGCGTTTAACGGTCCTACTTACGCCTGCAACATATCTGCGACTTGCATTCTGGCCGTTTCGTACTAGGTATGCATGTCCCGTATGCTGCAATAGGTATCAGATACGTGATGAGTGGCATATATTCAATGTATACAACCCAGTACAGCACACAAGCTATTCTCGTGTACAGTAAGGACTCTGTCTACCTACACTAGTGTACTGGTTCTCTCGGTCTCGAGTCATAACAGGTATTGCGGCGCGATATACTAGTATACTGGACTCGTTGAAACACGGTCATCGTAACTAGAATGCATGTCCTTACTACCTTTGGAAGGTCTCTTTACCAATGTGCCGTTACAATTCCGAGTCATTGAATGTTGAACGCGAACGCGATGGTTGTCAGATCAAGTGATTGATTTGAATACCAGGCTGCTCTATTCTAATCCAGCACGGACCCTATCTAGCAAGACTCCGACTCCAACTAAGACTCGCTGGCTGTCTCTGCGTGCAGGGGCAGCAGGGCAGTCACCATCCGCACTCGCGGTCGGTGTGTTTCGAGCATGCCCCTACCCTGCCCACCGCCGCGGTCCTTCCGTTCGTCGGCCATGCTTGCGTGCTGGGCATTTGCCCTGCACACTCGCGGTCGCCGTGCATATGGCGCTGGTCCGTGCTCTGTGCCCAACTGCCTGCCCTCTCGCCCTCTCACCCGTTTGCTCGTCCACCCGCCACTCATCCACCCGCCGCTCGCCCACCCGCCGCTCGCCCACCCGCCGCTCGTCCACCCGACGCTCGTCCACTACCCGCTCGTCCACCCGACGCTCGTCAACCACCCGCTCGTCCACCGCCCGCTCGTCCGCCCCGCCACTCGTCCGTCTGCCCTCCTGCATCTGCATGTGTCAGCTGCGCTTGCGTGCTGGGCATTTGCTCAGCGTGCTCGCGGCGGGTATGTGCTGTCGCCTGCCCACTTACCCGTCTGCCCACTGTCCTACCCATCCGTGTGCTCACCCGTCCGCTTGTCTGCCCGTGTGCCTCCCCGTGTGCCTCCCCGTGTGCCTGCCCGCCCATCCGCCCATTCGCCCATTCGTCTGCCCATCCGCGCGCACGTGCACCCACCGCCCTCGCGCCCGCGCTCGCAATTCGCCCGTCCGCTGTGTTTGCATGCGGGGCATTAGCCCTGCGCGCTCGCGGTCGACGCGCGTGTTGTGCTACGCGCCGCCGCGTCCTGTGGCCACGTCAGTTCGCTCGCTCGTGTGCGTCTGCACTCACCTTGAGGCCAGTGTCGGCTTCTTTGGTCCTGCGTGCTCACTTTGTTGTGCGCGCTGTACTCTAACGACGTCGGTGACCGACGTCACGGTGGGATGGTGCCAGTGGGGGTCGTAAACGGCAGGCGGAACCGCTCGCCGCTCGCCCGGCTCGTTGCGGGCTCCCGGGCTTGGCCGAAACTGACGCCACACAGCGGGCAGTGGCGCAAGAGATCGTACCTGATCTCAGATGCGCTAACCCCGATGAGCGTCCATATCGGGCAGCTCGCATCGCGCGCCCGCCCAAGCCCCGCCGCGGGCGAAGGGACCGGGCTACTCCGGTGTGCCTGCTATAATGGGCAACGACCGACGGCGCCTCGCTCATACATGAGCACGTGGCAGCTCATGTATGAGAGCAGGCCATGGTGAGTACTGGGTTTATGTATGAAGCCTTTGCACTAACTACAGCTATTTCATACAAAGATATGCCTATATGGCCTGTAAGCCCATGTCTGGATGGTTCCGAGTGGCACTAACTCAGCCCACATCGGTGCATAGGCGATGGAAGCAGGTCGCACTTCCACAGTCCTGTGGAAGTTGTCCCATGCTCGCCTCGCCGCACGGGCATACGACTCCGTCTGAGGCGACATGCATTCAAGCGCATAGCCGCAGCTGAGGGCTCGGACCTTGAAGAAGGCCCATAAGTTCCAGTCGTGGACACCCATCGCATCCGTGGCTCACGCCAGGTCAATGTCGAGTCGGTCAGCCAAGAAACTGAAGCACTCAATGCGCCTAGCTTCGTCGGCCGGCCACCTGGAACTGTCGACACACAACATCTCCGAGCCCAGTACATCGTGATTTGATGTACTGGTACTCGTTCCAGACAAGTGGTCACAAATTTTCGTGCCACTCCCTTCCCCCCTTTCAACCGTCTCCCACCGAATGGTACGGGAACTAGCCTGGCCCTTGTCGACCGGGGGTAATGCTGTACTTGCAGCATGGGTTGTTTCGAGTCACGCGGAGTCTTCCCGAAGAACGCGGGGACGGTGTGTGCATTCCTCGGCGAAGTCATCTGGTTCCCGGTGATTTCCTGGTGAAGACGTATCAATGGTTTGTACACTGAACACGTCGTCCGGTGCACTGGCCATCGACACCGGCTTCGGCCGTTCTGGCTTGTGTACCGAGGTGCTTGGTCCTCGTGAATCTCGCCGTTCACGTAGGTCTACCAAACTCGGTGTGCTTGTACTTTCCCGATGACCAGCCTGGACGGCCTCCGCGGATGCTTCACGCACGCGCGAAGTCGTACCCTTGTACGTGCGGGGTGCCCTGGCCTCAGAGTTGTGAGCAGTTGAGGATACAACAGTGGGTGAACGTCGCCGTTCACTCCCTGTCGCAGTTGTCGAGCTTGGCCATGTGGAAGTCCTCGTTGGATCGGGGACTTCTGCCGTTGTATCTCGCACGCGCGAGGTCGGCTCATTGTGCGTGCGGCGAGTATTTGACGCAGGATGGCTCGATGTAATTGTAGATACGTCGAGGCTGGACTTGAATGTCGACACCGGTGTGGCAGTTGACAACGAGGGGGCTAGTACTTCCGGCAATTCGGAAGTACTGGGCCTTTGTGCCTTCTTGCGTACCCGTTCGGTAGCCTTGGTTATTGATAGTTCGTGCGCACGCGAGGTCAACTCCTCGTATGTGCAACGGACGCTAGTTGATGTACCCCGAGTCGGCGCGTCAGAGCCGGGCTTGTGGGCTGTCAACACAGGCTTAGCTGTCGAGGACGAAGAGGTCAGTACTTCCGACGATTCGGGAGTACTGTGCCTCTTTGGTTCCTCGAGTGCCTGCATGGCCGACTTGGTTGTTGACATGCTTGAGTTGCGCACACACGAGGTCAACTCCTCGTGTGTATGGCGGGCGACGGCTTGATCAAGGATGCGTCTCGCGGGGGTTTGTACCGCTCGTACGAATGTGAGTCCGTCGACTTCCAATCTGTTTGCGCCTCATGTCCTCCAGGCGACGCGTCGGTCGAATGTAGTGTTTGAAAGTCCAGTCCAGTCCAGTCTTTTGACCCCTCAGATGAAAGACTGGGACTGGGACTGGTCCTAGATTGACCCCAAAATGGTAGGACTGGGACTGGACTGACTGTGACCAGTCCTTTGCAGTCCAGTTGCCTCCAAAGACTGGTTGCAACTGGTTGCAACTGCACATGCAGTCCCAACTGGTCCCAACTGGTCCTGACTGGTCTTTTGCCAGTTGCAACTGGGGTTTTCAAGCAATTGTGTCTGACAAAGTGACTTAAGCTACTGTGATATGGTATATGACCGCAGGCAATGGTGTGTATCCCATGGGAGCATCACAGTTCAGTCCATAATGACTGATACAGGCAAGGCATACGATGTCAGTAAGGGTGAGACAGGTATACCTACCATATTAGGCATAGGTGGAGGTGCATAGACAGATGATACATGTTGCCTAAATAGGCCACATCATCCATATGTCCACCATCTGGTGCCTATCCTATGTATTAGTGCTATTTATGACCCCAAAAACATCCCATTTGGCCATGTACACCAGCATATTAGCGGGGTGGCCAAAGACCAGTTGCAACTGGTTGAAACCAGTCTTTTGACCAGTCCCTCCAATTTCCCCAACCCTGGAAGACTGCAACTGAACTGGATAGGACCAGTCCTACTTTGACCAGTCCAGTCCAGTCTTTCTAAGGCCAGTCCCAGTTCAGTCCCAGTCTTTTTCCAGTCCATGGACTGGACTTTCAAACACTAGTCGAATGAGTCGCCAGGTCCGTTGGCGGAGCTGTCGAACGAGATGAGACCAGTACATCCGTTGAGTTGGATGTACTGAACATCGTTGAGCTTTTGCTCTCGCGCTGGTCGACCAAAACTGGCTTGCGTGTGGTTGGAGCAGCAGCGGTAGTCAATGTTGACGTCGACAGGCCACTCGACGTGCTTCTGAGCGCATCAACAGCAATCTCATCGCGAACGTTGGTCTCGCCACGTACCGTGAGCGAGGGGCTCGCAGTGCTCGACGATCGAGTCTCGCTGGAGGGGGAAGCGTGAGGGTTCGCACTGCACGCGTTGCTGAAGCCATCAGTCTCGCTGAGTACATCGAGTGACGAGCTCTGCGTACTCGACAGACCTGTCGTCGCGATAGGAATGGGTGTGTCGGTCGTGCTAGACTGCACACCGACCATGCCGCTTGATGTGTTGATGGTGGCATCATCACGAGGGATGGTCTCGTTGTGTACATCGAGCGGGGGGCTCGGCGTACTCGACGAGCACACTTTGGTGGTATTGGCGGACACCTTGGTCGTGATAGGGTGCACGCCAGTGCCCACGACAAGCAATGAGCTCGTCGTGTTGCGCGTTGGCGGGTGATGTTGGAAAGGTGGCAGCGATGGAGCAGGTAATATAGCTTGGCTTTCCGAGTCTTGAGTCCGAGTCTCGAAAACTGTACCAGTGCCCATACCGGTCCCTTCCCCCTCTTCCATTTTCAATCTTTGGTGAAAATGTTGTATGACAACCTCTTCGGTTGTCATACTACCCTGTGTGATCATCACCGGAGTCGGCGAGAAGCCATCGGGGTTGCTGGACAGCGCGGCGATCACTCCAGTATGTGCATTGCGCGCTGTGTAGCTCGGGAGTGGGATACCCCCGGGCGCGATGATGTTCGAGGGGTGGGGTGATCCGTTGCTTCGGGGGTAGAGGTGACATGGGTGGATCGGAATATACTATGAAAGTGGAGGGGGGACGCGCCGGGGAGTGATCTCACAACGATGCCTCAGGCTCGCTGACCTCGTCCTCGGTTCTCCAAGCCTCGCAGATCCCTCTGTTTCCGACTCGTTCTCTCGCTCCGCAGTCACTACGCTTGCTGAACTCGTTCCGCGGTTACCTCGTTCTCGTTCCGTGGTTGCCCTCCTTGTTCCGCAGGTTCCTGTGCTCGTTCCGCGAGCTCCTACGCTCGTTCCGCGAGCTCCTATCTCGTTCCGCGAGTTCCTATGCTCGTTCCGCGAGCTCCTAAGCAGGTCCTGCTGATCCTTATACTCGTTCCGCGGGGCCCTATGCTCGTTCCGCGAGGTCCTATGCTCGTTCCGCAAATCCCTGTACTTGTTCCGCGAGTCCTTGTCCCCGATTACGTGGCGCTGCGTTCGTCCGAAAGATTCTTCATCCCGAGTCGGTCAACACTGACTGACCCAGGGAGCCTCTCCCCGCTCCAGCGAGTGTATGGGGAATGCGCGAGCTATGCTCGCAGATCTCTAGATTCAAGGTGGGGAGAGCTGAGATATGTACAAGTCTTCGTGGCACTGTATGCCACGAAAGCTGACTAAGACTAGGTACTTGCCATATATGGTAGGAAAGCCCAAATCGTACCAAGTCCATGAAGTACAGTAGAAGTAAGGAATCGGAGGGAATGATGAATACTGTCCATGAGCTCGGAGGGAATGGCATTGTCCAGAGAGCCAAAAAATGGGTGAGATACGTACTGTCCAAGCCTATGCGGGAGGCACTCCCCACATCTCCCCCATACTCGCATTGTGACCGTCCCCGGTCACCTACTCCCCACAACAACACTTCCTAACCAAGGGCAATCCACTGCGACATAAAGGTTGCAAGCCCACTAGCTTCGCCGTCTTCTATATCGTGTCCCCAAACTCCGCTTACACCGTGCGTGCAACCGTCGTCCTCGTCAAGCCAGCCGCAGTCTTGATTGGTCTTGACCATTGCCCTCTCTGTGTCTGCGCACGGCAGGTACTCCACGATCCGATGCCCGTTCTCATCCAAGTGCCAGCAGCTGACTAGTTTTTCATCGCAGACCTCTTCTGGGACCCTGAGCTCAGCGCACTCGACGAGTAGGCACTCTCCGGCGAGTCCGAGTCTATGATCGTCCGCGACGGTCGCGTTGCCCGAGGCCATCGTGTCGTCCCTCGCCTGCTTGTGCGCCTGGTACTGTCGATTGTTCCGGTCGATGTTGTCTGCGGTGTGTCCTCTCGTCGCAACCAAACTGCGCATGAACCCACCGCGCAACTGCTGATCTGCCTCTGTAACCGCCCTCTTCGACTCGTCGCGCGGAAGAAATTCGATGATCCACTGCCCGTGGTCGTCGAGGTGACAACAGCTTACTAGCCCGTCATCGTGCACTTCGTCCGGGATGTTCAGCTCGGCCGACTCAACGAGTAGGCACTCTTGCAGTCCACGTTCTCCCGCTTCGACCACCCTGTCCGGCTGACCACGAGGCTCCCCATACTCGGATCCGCACTCTGTGGTCGCTCACGTTCCGCCGGACCATGCGCATTCGGGTTTCCTGGGCGGCCTGCTTGCCCAGTCTCGCACTGCGTCGAGTCCTCGCTCCTTGGGTTATCCGAGACATCTACCCCGAGTCGTACGCACTCGTGTACCAGGTACTGCGCTAGCCATTTGCTCCGCTCGGTATCCTCGTCAACGGTGCGTGTGTCATCCTCTGGGATCCATTTGTCTGCCTGCTCAACTTCGCGCAGGGCCGCCTCGGCTTCGGCTCGCGGAATGTATCCCCATAGCCGCCGCCCGTCCTTTGCAATGTGCCAGCATGCGACGAGGTCGTCCTCGGATGTTTGCTCCAGTGTATCGGTGTCGAACTCGCCGAAGTCTCCCAGCAGCCAGGCATCTTCCGGCGTGTCTTGACTCGCAGACTCGGGCTCGTAGCTGTTCATCCTAACGCTTGGAACCTCCACATCGCCTTCTGTTTGCAATCCCTGTGGCGGTTCAACCGGTGAGACAATCGTCCCGCTGACTTCCCTACAGCCTGTGCTGTCGTGCGCGTAGCTCGACTGAGAGGTCAACACCTCCCGCTGTTCGTCGTGCATCGAAATCGCCTGTTCGCCACATCCTCGCTCCGCGTCCCACTGTTCCTCGTGCATGCCTGCCGGCCGTTCACCGTGTCCCTGCGTCGTGTCTCGCTGATCAGGTCCGTTGTCGTGATTCCTGCTCCACTGCGTCGCAGGCTGACGGATGTCCTCGTCACAGTCCACCATACTCGAATCGAAGCACCTGTCCTCCTTCGTCTCACTACCCTGCTTGTATCCGAGCCCACCCGTCGTGCGTCCTTGCCACGGTACGTTGCCCGACTCTGTGAAGCGTCCATTTTCCTGACTGCTCGTCCATTCACTCTCAGAGCGCGTGGTGTGCTTTTGCGCGCTCGACGCCCTCCACGTCTCGTCACGGCCGGTATGTTCATCAGCCCGCTCCCCCATACTCGGCTTGATACTCGGGCGCTGGTTCGCCTCGCTCTCTGTGTGCACGAGCCCACCCGTATGGTATCGTTGCCCCGGTATGTCTGCTGAGTCCGCGAAGCAACCATTCTGCTGGCTGATCTCGACAAATCCCATCTGTAGCACCTCTTCGCACTTGCCATCCTGCTCGTATTTGCTGGTAACCTCGTGTCCGTGGCGTTCGTCATCCCTTCGCTTCCATGACAGATCCCCCGCCAGACTTCGCTGCCACAATATGTCCAGTACGTCCTTGAAGGTGTTGGTGGACCAACTGGTCTCGATGATCCCAACTTGCCAAACCGCTTCGCCACCACCCTCCTCCGTGTACGTGCCCGTTTCCCCACGTCTGGTGCACCCGTATCCCCTCCGCATGCCTGATGACGTTCCGGCTGAAGCTTCAAGCCCTTGCCACTTCGTACCACACCGGATCTTGCCCGCACCTCCATCCTTCATCTCCCTCGTACTCGGCCTCGAGCTCTGGCCCTGACTCGTCTCCCCACCCGCGTGTACGTACCTCTCTCCCGCCCCTCGTCGCAATGGCATGTCCTTCACGTCCGCCCAGAGTTCGGTCGGCTCGCTCATCTCGAGCAGGTTCACCTGCAAGACAGCCTCGCTATTGCTGTCCTGCGCGCGCGTGCTCGCTCCCTTACACTCAGTATGGCCATTCCCTCCCGACGTGCCAATCCGTGTTGACATTGCAGCTCGACTCCACGGTCTCGTAGCCTCCCGAACGCCGCCATGTCCAGCGCATTCATCAGCTGACTCGGGCTCCCCACTACTCAGCTGGTTCGCGTCGCCGTGAGCTCGTACGTGCCCCTCCCCCATCTCTCGTCGTGATGGTTGGTCCGTCATGTCTCCCGGGAGTCCATTTGGCTGGCTGACTTCGACAAATCCTGCATGAGGACCCGGCTCTTGCCCGTCCGACTCCGCGGTAGCCTGCGCAACATCCCTCGCCACCGTTACGTGTCGACGCCTTGGTATGTCTGGTGAGCCCACCAGTCCTCCGTCTAGGTTGCTAATCCCGTACGAGTTCACCTGTAGAACCGTCGCGCTATCCCCATCCTGCGTGCACTCGCCCTCTCTCTCGCACTCACTGGCAACACGTCCGCTCTCTCCCGATGTCCGTGCTGACGCCTCAGTTGAACCCTGCGATTCTGCCGCTCTGAAGCTCGCGGCCTGGTCCGTCTCGCGGCGTGCATGTACGTCCGCGAGGTCCGCCTTGAGCCTGTGTGACTGACTGATCTCGACCCGGTTCACTGGCGAGACCCCCTCACATTCGCTATCCTCCGCGTGGCTCTCGCCTGTTCTCCCAAGCTCGGCACGTCCGTCTTCCCATGACATGCCTGCCAATGCCCTTACTCCACCCCATGATCTCGCAACCTCGCAACGTTCGGCATGTTCATCAACCACCTTGGCCTCCCCTGACTTCGCCTTCAAACTCACAGCCTGGTCCGTACCCCTGCGACCGCGCGCCGGCCTGTCCGCCACAGACCCTTCCCGAGCTACATCGGGTACGTCTACGAGAGCGCTGGTCGGCTTACTGACCTCGACCATGCCAGTGTTCACCTGCAACGGCTTGACTTCGTGGTCGCTGTCCTGCATCCACTCGCCCATTCCCTTGTGCTCGGTCTGCACGTACTCGTCGCAAGTCGCCTTCGTATCCTCGGACCCTGTTTCCCCGGTCCGTCCTCGTTCTGGACTTGCTCCTGGGCTCCGGTCTTGACATACGCAACCTTCCCGCTCGAACTCGGCTTGCTCGCTTCCCGGTCCCGGACCTCGTACCTCCCTACGTCCACCCCTAGCCTCGGATGAAACCCCCTCGCCAGACACCTCTTGCGGCCTGCACTCGCCCAGCCCGCAGCCGTTCGCCGTCTCTGGCACGTCCAATCGCAGTCGTCTGTCGTCAGACTCGCTCGGCTCGTTCCCTGGACTACCATCTCTCGCCGTCGGGTCCTCTCTCGTGTGGTTGTTCGGCTGGCTCCCTACGCACGTGTCCGTCACAATCCGACACCTGCCCCTCCCCTTCTTGCTCGCTTGCGTCTCGACTAGTGGCTCATTCCCGGACCTTCCCTCGTCGCTTCGCAAGAGCTTTCCGGGTCGCACTTGAGGTCTCGTGGAATATCCCGCCTTGCTACACTCCGGTGTGATACTGTGCGTCCGTGGGCTTTCCTCCACCTTGGCGCAGGTCTCTACTGCTGCACTGGCTCTACGACCCATCTTCCGCGCACGTGTCGCTCGCTCGGTCCATTGTACCTCGATTGTCCTGACTCGCTCTTCTGCATCGTCCAATGAGCCGTGTGCCTTCACCCTCAGTAAATTCCGACCCTCCCCGGCCTCCGTCCTGCCATGATTCATCCCCGAGCGCTTGTACCACTTGCCCCAGCACTTAGTCGTCTCCGTTCGCTCCTTGTTGCCTCGAAACTGCACCGGCTCCCGCGTGCAACATCCACCTTGCCCAATCGCTGGACTACCACCCGTCGCTTCTTGTAGCGTGTGTCGCCAGACGGTGTTGTACGCGAGCGAGCTCGATAGATCGGGGGTCCGGATTGACCTCAGGCAACGCGAGATGGCATGTACCCCCTCCGCGGCTCGAGAGACTAGCACCCCGGGCGTGAACAGCACCGGCCCTGGTCCATGCAGTTGAACAATCGTCACCCTGGATGCTCTCTCGCCCAACTCCGCCTCCTCCGACTGGCTACCATCGACGTCCCGGACCTCGGCACGCTTGCTGTCGGCAGTCTTGTCCTTCGCCCCCTGCAGCTCGTACATGCACATCGAACCATTCACCGTAAGGAATCTGCTCGCGAGTCCGTTCTCCTCCCTTGCTCTGGCCAGCTGCCCGTGTGTGTGCGCCTCGTCTGGGTCCTGTGGCTGGACGTCCCGCCTACCGGCTCGTCTGGAAACTCGTCTCATGGCCACCACGAGCCCTCCAACCTTCTCGTGCTCCCTCCGTCCCGCGCTGCTGTCGTTGTCCGCACGCTCTCGATACCGAGGTTCGCCTGCCGTTCCTTCCGCGACGTGGTCTCCGCTACCTGCTAGTTGTTTCGCGCATCGCCAGGCGATCTCGAGTGTTGACCTGCATCCGGACGTCTGCATCTCCTCCATACGTTCCTCCCATAGCTCCCGTTGCCCGTCTGAATCCGCAACTTGTCGCCTCGATGCATCCAGAGGACCGTCTTGTTCTTGCTGTTTCCTCCGGCGCACCTCCATCTCTGAGCTCGCCCGTGCCGTATCCGCAACGGCTTGGCTCTCCATGTTCTCGCTCCCGTACTCGTGTCCCGCCTGGAGAGACAGAACATGCTGGCTCGCTGTGACTTCCGAGCAGGCGTGCCTTGACTCTCCCGTGGGCGTGATGGTTCGGCTCGTCCGTCTGTCGTAGGTAGCCTCGTAATAGATGCTCTTTCCTCCGGCCCTCCGCGTAACTCGAGCTTGAATTCCTGTATGCGTGTCCTCGATATGTCCCATCGTGTCCAAAGCAGGCCCTAACTCCGCATCATATTGACCCTCCTCCGCTTCAGATGCTTGTGGACGGCAGCTGCCTTCCTCCTCCTCCTTAGATCGCTCCGGAATGGACGTTCTTCCTACTGAAGCTTCGCCTACGTGTACCGTCTCCTTCCGTGCCAATGCGATAGCCCAGGTCTGCGAGAACAACGGTCCCGCAAGTGAGCGACTGGTCGTGGGGGCTTTATCGGTGATTCCAGCCTCCGTTGAGACTCGTCCGAACGTTGGCGCTCCCTCCGCGTTCTGCTTCCTTCCCTCCGAGGGACCATCCCGCCCGGCAATGCTCCGTCTCGCCGTCTTCTTTAACTCGTCTTGTTTCCTCCGTAACGCGCCGTGCTCGAACCCCGTCCATTCCGTGTCCGTCGCTAGACTCTCAACGCTGTCCTTCCTGCTTCCGCCTGTCGCTCGTTCCGACACCATGCACTGGCTTAGCATGACTTGAGAGCGGGGTGAGCTCGAGTCCGGGTAGTACTCTGACTGTGAGTTGCGGAACCAGCTCGCCTGCCTCATCAATTCTTGCCTTGGAACAGGTCCGTGAGTGAGTGTTCCCTCCGGTAATGAGTTTGCGATCGCCGGGTCCGCCTGCTGGCGCGGAGGTGCATGCACGTCGATGCCCAGACCTGCTGCGTCGCATTCGTTCAGTCTTGACTGTTCCGGCGACTCACTTGCCCATTGACCAGTCCGTCTCACCCCTCTTTCACCCTCGAACCGTTCCCACTCGCCCGTACGTTCCGACGCGGAGACACTGGCATCCTGCGCGCCGCTGAATTGCCTGCATCGGATGTATGCTCCAGGTAGGCTCGACTGGGCGTGACACTGCCGCTCGTATGTCCCCTGCGTGGTTCCCTCAGTTCTTGCTGCCTGGCCGGTATGAGCCACCGCAGGGCATCTCGCACTTCGCCACGTAGAGCTGCACGCAAACGAGCTGCTAGTATTGCAGAGACGTGGGAGCGGCGAGAACGCACGTGCCAAATCTTCCACCTGGGCGACCAGCGAGGCGCCAGTAGACTGTGCAGACCGTGGTTCAGGCGCTTGAGCGATCGTCCCTCGCCACCGTCCTCTCTCCGCCGACTCTGCCTGCGGCTGCTCGTGATTCTCGCTCGAGCTCTCGTTGTACTCCATCTCGCTCATCGCGACAATTCTCCCTTGCTGAACCCTCGCCAAGTCAACACGCTCCGTGCCGCCGTCGTGTCCATCACCGCCCCGCTGTGTGTCCAAAAGGGGGGCGTCGTCCACTCCGAATTCAAATGCGCTCGTCGCATGCTCCTGCGCACACAGGGCAGGTCTCGCGGAGGGAGGTAAAGGTCCGGGGTACGCGTAGTCGGTCGAGGAGATCCCATAGGTGAGCGTGGTCTCCGCTGCTCGAATCACAATCCGTCTGAACGCCTGCGCTTCCTCCGCCTGTCAATCCCGCGGCTTGCGCGTATCTAGCTCCTTTGCCGTCGCGCCGTCGTTCCCTGAGGTATCTCGTGGAACTGATATGACGCCTTCGACGCTGCACGCGCTACTGGCTGCGCTTGAAGCCTCACCACCCGCCATCCTCTCCTTGTCACGGCCTAGCTCGCCGTCGAAACCCCGGCCTTGCGCAATTAGTGTTTGAAAGTCCAGTCCATGGACTGGAAAAAGACTGGGACTGAACTGGGACTGGCCTTAGAAAGACTGGACTGGACTGGTCAAAGTAGGACTGGTCCTACCCAGTCCAGTTGCAGTCTTCCAGGGTTGGGCAAATTGGAGGGACTGGTCAAAAGACTGGTTGCAACCAGTTGCGACTGGTCTTTGGCCACCCCCCTAATATGCTGGTGTACATGGCCAAATGGGATGTTTTTGGGGTCATAAATAGCACTAATACATAGGATAGGCACCAGATGGTGGACATATGGATGATGTGGCCTATTTAGGCAACATGTATCATCTGTCTATGCACCTCCACCTATGCCTAATATGGTAGGTATACCTGTCTCACCCTTACTGACATCGTATGCCTTGCCTGTATCAGTCATTATGGACTGAACTGTGATGCTCCCATGGGATACACACCATTGCCTGCGGTCATATACCATATCACAGTAGCTTAAGTCACTTTGTCAGACACAATTGCTTGAAAAAACCAGTTGCAACTGGCAAAAGACCAGTCAGGACCAGTTGGGACCAGTTGGGACTGCATGTGCAGTTGCAACCAGTTGCAACCAGTCTTTGGAGGCAACTGGACTGCAAAGGACTGGTCGCAGTCAGTCCAGTCCCAGTCCTACCATTTTGGGGTCAATCTAGGACCAGTCCCAGTCCCAGTCTTTCCTCCAAGGGGTCAAAAGACTGGACTGGACTGGACTTTCAAACACTATGCGCAATACCCGTCGCTGCTAGATTCTTGCATGCAACTCCCGCCCGCCGTGAGTCTCTCGCTCGTGGCCCTGACTCGTCTTGCTCGGCGCTCGACGCCCCGCCTGTGCCGTATCCAGGTATCTCCGTTCTTCCGTTCTTCCCTCGTTCGATGATGCTTGCACTGGAGTACTCATAGGTCCGCACTTGATCAACGCCGTGTGGCACATCCGGTCCTCCTCGATCTCCTCGTATTGACGCCAGTACCTCGCCGAGCGAAGATGTTTGTCGCCTACCGACCACTGCAAGGCACGCGTCGCTCGCCGTATCGCTTCCACCCGTGAGTCCGACCTCCGCAGTCATACCTTGCACCTGCTCTGATGCTCGTGTTTCCATTCCAGTCCGCTCCTCGGGTCGCTGGTCCTCGTCCCCGACCACAAAGACTCGTTTCGGCACCGCCAGCAACTTTCCGACCTCCTCTCTCTCGGCACCGTGGCGATGCACCTGGTACTCGCGGTAGTCTGTCGTGTACGTCCTCGTCACAGCCTTGACCTTGGCCCATGACGTCCGCTGCCCTGACCCCCGCGCGTGCCTGTCTTGCGTACAGAGATCCTCGTATTCGACGCTAGTGACGGTCGTTGGCCCCGCTCCCCGAGTCCCATGCTCGCTTGCTTGGTTACTCGCCGGACTCCAGGCTCTGCCGGTTGAACGTTCGCTCCGGCTCTCGTATCCTGACCTCTCAAGTGTCCTCAGGTTGACGTTCACCTGACAGGCCCCGACCCTTGAAGTCGCTCGCCTATCTTCCGTCACGACACGCTCGTATACGCTGAACTGGTGCAGTGATGTTCGCCTAGCTGGTTGCTCGTGTCGCCCTCTGCTCGCCACTGCAACTCCTTCCGACCTGTCGTACTGGTGCGCCGTCGCTTGCTCCGAGTTCGCGCGACCAACAGTCGTGTCCGAAGGTACTGCGTCGCTGAACTGCGTCGCCTTGATCCTAGCGAGTCTATCTCCCGCGGGCTCGTCGACTCGCTCAAACGCCCTTGCTGTGAGTCGAAATACTTCGAGGAAGAGGTCGTCGAGTGAACGTAGACTGCTGTCCGATGTGCCTGTAGGTACCTGTGTCATAGAGCTTGCATTACCCATGTACATTTCCCAGCTACTTCCTCTACCCATCGTGTGTCGCCTTCCCGAGACGACAGTTACACCTCCGTGCGTGCCTCCAGATTGCTCGCGAGTCCTGAAATCGTCGGTGCTCGCGTTCATCCCAGGTCTCGTCGTCACGGTGAGGCTCTCGTGCGGGGTAGTTCCTTCGTGTTTCCTTGCCGTAAGACTTGCTACTCCATTCCAAAACTTGCGAAGCGTGAGTGGGCAGCCTCGGTGAACATGCGAGCGTACGGTGACGTGGGCATCCGAGTCGGCTGTCCTGCCAGTACCACGAGAGGTGTCCTCGACTAAGTCGCTGCCCGTACGCACAGGAACTCACTGCTGTATGCGTGTCATTGGCTCCCGTCTCTGTCCGTCCGTGGCGGTGCTTGTGCGTATAGCTGGTCGAGTTTCGTGAATGCTGCGGCTCCGCATAGGCTCCGTGGACTAGTGCAGAGCACGGGTCGTGGGAACCCGCACGGGTAGCGGGTACGGGTATGCCCGGGTACGGGTCCGGGTCACGTTTTTGTGACCCGGACCAAACCCGTACCCGTGACCGTACCCGTCACTCGCGCAAACGCCCGACGCCACCTGCCGTGCTGCTGCCACCGACTCAAACAATCGCGACGCGCCAGAGGCAGTCTGCGCATCCCGCCGCGTGAACACGCGCGTCCGACGTCCTCTCACGCCCGGCCTCTCATTCCTGGCCCCTCTCCGCTGTCCGCTCTCGCCCGTCTCGCCCGTCTCACCCTGCACGCCGGACGCGTGTCGGCCACATGCGCAACCGCCGCACGGGCTGCGTTTGGACAACAACCACGCGGCGCTCGCGCCATCCCACTGCTCGAGCACAACGAGCCGGAACGCGCGACTTTGCAGCCGACGAATGGACGGCAGGCACACAAGCGAAGGACAGGCAAGGTGAGTGCCAAGCGGAGCGAGCAGACTGCCGAGGGTGGGAAAGCGAGCTGGCGAGTGGGTGGGGGGCGAGTGGGCGAGCGAGCAAGCGGGCGGGCTAGCGGGCGGGCGAGCGAGCGGGCGAGCAAGCGGGTGTGCGAGCTGGCAGGGAACCGGGCGGGAAACCAGGCAGGAAACCAGGCGGGAAACCGGGCGGGCGAGCGGGCGGGAAACCAGGCAAGCGGGAATCGCGAGCGGATGAGCAGGTGAGTAGTGGCACTTTCCCTCGTCTCCGTCCCTGACCTCCCACACTGGCTGCCACCCGACACCCGCCCGTTCCTCCACAGATCGACACGCCCGGCGACCGCGAGCGTAACAACGCGGAAGACGCACCGCAGTCCATGCATTTGCGCATGCTGGACACTAGCCCGAAGACGAGGCGCGTTAGCACGCGCGGTCAGGCGGAGGGTGCGACGTACGTACCGGGACCACGACAAGGGCGGGACGGCTCGTACCATAACGTGTTGCGCGTACATCGCGCTATCGTCGGGCTGCTGCGCCCGACACTCAGCTACGTTCCGCCTCCCGATGTACCCGACTCTCGGTTTTTCACAGGCGTCCGTCAACATTGACACGTAAACACCTCGTCGGCCAGCTCGCTCGCCAGCTAGTGTTTGAAAGTCCAGTCCAGTCCAGTCTTTTGACCCCTTGGAGGAAAGACTGGGACTGGGACTGGTCCTAGATTGACCCCAAAATGGTAGGACTGGGACTGGACTGACTGCGACCAGTCCTTTGCAGTCCAGTTGCCTCCAAAGACTGGTTGCAACTGGTTGCAACTGAACATGCAGTCCCAACTGGTCCCAACTGGTCCTGACTGGTCTTTTGCCAGTTGCAACTGGGTTTTTCAAGCAATTGTGTCTGACAAAGTGACTTAAGCTACTGTGATATGGTATATGACCGCAGGCAATGGTGTGTATCCCATGGGAGCATCACAGTTCAGTCCATAATGACTGATACAGGCAAGGCATACGATGTCAGTAAGGGTGAGACAGGTATACCTACCATATTAGGCATAGGTGGAGGTGCATAGACAGATGATACATGTTGCCTAAATAGGCCACATCATCCATATGTCCACCATCTGGTGCCTATCCTATGTATTAGTGCTATTTATGACCCCAAAAACATCCCATTTGGCCATGTACACCAGCATATTAGGGGGGTGGCCAAAGACCAGTCGCAACTGGTTGCAACCAGTCTTTTGACCAGTCCCTCCAATTTGCCCAACCCTGGAAGACTGCAACTGGACTGGGTAGGACCAGTCCTACTTTGACCAGTCCAGTCCAGTCTTTCTAAGGCCAGTCCCAGTTCAGTCCCAGTCTTTTTCCAGTCCATGGACTGGACTTTCAAACACTATCGCCAGCGCTCAATGTCGGCTTGCTTGTTGCCTCGCTCACCCGGCGCCCGCCATCTCGCTCGTCCGCACTCACACTTGCCCGTGTGCCCACCATCCCACTCGCCGACTGACTCGCCCTCTTGCTGTCTCGCGCAATGTCCCGCAGTAACAACCACAAGACGAACGCACAGATGACTGTTACGCCCACACACCTCCACGGCCTCTCACTTATGGCTCCTCTCGCACGCGCCCTCTCGCCTGCGCTCTCGTCTACTCGGTCAGCCTCCCCGCCGCGTGGTATCCGTGCAGTACGACGGTTCGTCACTGCAGTCCTCGTTGAACGAGGTTCAGACGATGCGCGGGGACCGGTGGACTCGCCGCCTTGCAGCCCTCACACTGGCCAAGTGGCTCGCCATACGAACGAGCTACATGGCCCAGTAGGTATTCCATTTCCAGAGACAGCCGCACTCGCGTATTCGTGATGTGCCACCTCATCCATCACACGTACGATTGCGCCGGACATTCGCCGTGCCTCGCAGTGGGAATACCGCGCAGAACACGGCCACCGCTTGCGCAACAATGACTGAATTGCCATGTCGCGACGGTCGCATCTCGTCATGTCCGATGTCACGGACGCTCGCCTGGACGACCAGTCCCCTCGCAGATACCGGGGCACTGACACTGCAGAACGAGAGTCAGCCCAGCGGGCTCAATGACTCAGTCTCAATCTGCAAAGCCCAGCATCGCGGCTGGGCTGTCCGTCGTCGCTGCCGTACGCCAATCTCGAGCGACCCTGGGCGGGCGACGGTAGCAACACGGTCGCCCATGCGATCGTGCACCCAATCATCCACGTGTCCACACACCCACCACCCTGCGGACCCGCCTACTTGCCCGCAGACCCGTGGACCCGCCCTGGACCCGCATGGACCCGGGCAAAACCCGTACCCGCTGTCGCGGGTCCGTACCCGGGCGGGTAGGGGTACGGGTACACCTCGGGACACCCGCGGGTGTACCCGTGCTCTGCCCTACCGTGGACTGGGCAATGGTGCTGCTTGCGACGGATATGTGCGTTGCGAGACAGTCGTCGCCTGCATGTCCCGTCATTCGCTCGAAGCTCACCGCCGCGTGTCCCGTGGCTCGTTCGCTCGTCTGGGTTGCAGATGCTGATGCCGTGAAGAAGCCGTTGAGTGCGTACATGCTGTCGTCTCTGAGACAACTACTCTCCCACTCCGTAATAGACTTGAACCGTACCGTTGCGCCAGTTGATCTCGCGACTACGTCCGCTTCGCATGCAAGTGTGGATTCCGCATGCACTGTAACAGTGGACTGGTAATGGAGGTTGAAGTAAATGTTGGCTCGCCTGTACACAGTCCCTGTAGTGACCCTGGCCGTGTCTGGATCGCGCGCGAGCCCGAGTCGTTCCGCATGTGATGTACTCGTAGTAGATGCCAGTGGGGAATGAATGGATTGGATTGTGTATGCTCGCCTGTGCTGTGGGTGCAATGACGCGAAGCCGTAGGCGGAGCGGAAGAAGCACGAATAAGGTACCACCCCTCGCGGTGGGCTCCAGTTGTGTAGCTCGGGAGTGGGATACCCCCGGGCGCGATGATGTTCGAGGGGTGGGGTGATCCGTTGCTTCGGGGGTAGAGGTGACATGGGTGGATCGGAATATACTATGAAAGTGAAGGGGGGACGTGCCGGGGAGTGATCTCACAACGATGCCTCAGGCTCGCTGACCTCGTCCTCGGTTCTCCAAGCCTCGCAGATCCCTCTGTTTCCGACTCGTTCTCTCGCTCCGCAGTCACTACGCTTGCTGAACTCGTTCCGCGGTTACCTCGTTCTCGTTCCGTGGTTGCCCTCCTTGTTCCGCAGGTTCCTGTGCTCGTTCCGCGAGCTCCTAAGCTAGCCCTGCTGATCCTCGTACTCGTTCCGCGAGCTCCTACGCTCGTTCCGCGAGCTCCTATCTCGTTCCGCGAGTTCCTATGCTCGTTCCGCGAGCTCCTAAGCAGGTCCTGCTGATCCTTATACTCGTTCCGCGGGGCCCTATGCTCGTTCCGCGAGGTCCTATGCTCGTTCCGCAAATCCCTGTACTTGTTCCGCGAGTCCTTGTCCCCGATTACGTGGCGCTGCGTTTGTCCGAAAGATTCTTCATCCCGAGTCGGTCAACACTGACTGACCCAGGGAGCCTCTCCCCGCTCCAGCGAGTGTATGGGGAATGCGCGAGCTATGCTCGCAGATCTCTAGATTCAAGGTGGGGAGAGCTGAGATATGTACAAGTCTTCGTGGCACTGTATGCCACGAAAGCTGACTAAGACTAGGTACTTGCCATATATGGTAGGAAAGCCCAAATCGTACCAAGTCCATGAAGTACAGTAGAAGTAAGGAACCGGAGGGAATGATGAATACTGTCCATGAGCTCGGAGGGAATGGCATTGTCCAGAGAGCCAAAAAATGGGTGAGATACGTACTGTCCAAGCCTATGCGGGAGGCACTCCCCACAGCGCGTTACAATACTTATCGGCAGATAGCACATCGAGCCCCGAGCTCGACATACTTCCTACACGATGGATGGGTGTTGCATAAGGAGTAGGAGACATGCCAGTCATGCTCGTTTGCACGCCGGACACGTCGTGCGTCGTGACGCGGCTGGGCTTGTTAGCCAGCTTGTCACGCGTAGTCCGTGGCCCCGAGGATTCGCCACTGGCAGGCGCAACGATCTCGATGCTCGATGTACCATCTATCAGCCTGGGCTGCAGACGCAAGGGTGTCGATACGGGTGGCGAAGGGGGTATCCTAGTAGAGTCATGAAGCTCTCCGGATACGCCATCATGCGAGGCGGAGATGGCGGTAGCGCACACGTCAAGTGATGGACTCGGCGTATCCGCTGCGCGCAATGGGATAGTGATAGATTGAGACATAGGAGACGTACGGATTGTGCTCGCTTGCACACCAAACACATCGTGCGTCGTGATGCCACTGACCTCGCTAGTCAGTCCGTTGTGTCGTATGTTCAGCACCTCGCAAGGTTCGCTGACAGTGGGTACAACAATATCACTGATCGTTGTACCAACTGCAGGTGCCCGGGGTGAACACGTATGCATCGAGACGGAAGTTTGAGGGATGGCTGCGAGCAAGCTAGGGCTTGCTTCGCGTGCGCTCATAGATATGGCAGTGGTGGATACGTCGAGTGTTGGGCTCGACGTATCCGCAGTGTGCGATGGTAGCGGACTAGAATGAGGCGGCCTGGTAGAGCTCGGGGTCCTCCCCAGATGCACCGTCGTGTGAAGTACAGACAGCAGGTGCATTTGCCATGCTGAAACACACGCCCAGTGCACTGTAATTGACGTCAGAAAAGTGCACGACAGATTTCACATTTGTTGTGCTGCTTTCAGACGAAGACACTGGTACCCTTGCGCGTACGCCAGGCGTGTGGGTAACTTCGTCGGCAGTGCACACATCGAGCGAGAGTTTTGGTGTGTTCACTGCGCACCGTTCCGTCGAGGAAGGACAGAACACCTTGGGCATGCTGTGCAGCACACCAGCCGGGTCACCGTGCATAGGAGAGGGTGCAACATCTGAGTCGCCCTGGAACACAGATGTTCCATCTTTGTGGCAAACAGCGCGCACGACGAGCTCCACGTTTGTCGGTACGCGTGTCGGCGCGGGTACTGGAAGTGGAGGTGGAGATGTGGGTACGTCCCTCAAGGACGTGCCTTCACTCCTCGAACCTCTGTGCTGATCAGTAGCGTGCACGTCAAGCGAATGACTCGGTGTACTCACTATGCGATGAGCAATCGTACATGATTGGGACACGTTGGACATGCAGCTCAGTGCATCCGCCGTGTCGCCTTGCGAAATGGAGGGTACGACCAGGAGGTCGTCCCATAGCCCAAGCGTGCCATTTTCACGGTTAGTCACGCATACAATGACCTTGTTGTTTGTCGATATGCGTGCTGGCGAAGGCACTAGCGAGAGGATGGGCACGTCGGACACGCCGCTCTGCGCATCCGCTGTGTTGCCATACAGGGTAGTGGGTACAACATGCGAGTTGTCCCGAAATGCGGAGGTCCTGTCTTCGTGACCAGCAGGGCGCACGATGAGCTTCTCGTTCGTCGATATGCCTGCTGGTGCGGGCACTGGAATGGGCGGCGGCGAGCGGGGTACGTCCAATAAGGGCATACCTTTGGTCTCCGAGCCTTTCTGCTCGCTCTCTCTACTTGCGCCGCACCCTTCCTCCTCCTCCTCTTTTGCATTCTCCTGCTCCTTCAGATTCTCCTCGCAGCCTCCTCGCTCCTCATTCCTTCCGTTCTGGGCGGTCCTATCGCTCGGCGCTGGACTTGCACACGCGTGGTGCAAGTCCTGGGTTGCGCGGCTTGATTGCATGTTGCCAGAGCCGCGGGTTGTCGATACGGGGTCGCCAGAATCAAGACGCAAAGGGTCCAAGTCGAGGACTGGGCTGCCAGAGGAAGGATGGGAGCCCAGGAGCGAAGGGGAGGGCGGTCTTGTACCGCTCGAAGGGTCTTCACGCACCGCTGGCTGAACTGGCGGTAGTTCAGCTAGCCAGTCGCGGATTCGTGCCTGCCTGCCCGTTAGGACAGGACGCACATCTTGATGCGCGTTTGGGCGGTTGAGACAGATGCCCGGAGGGAGGTCGTCGGCGAGGTGGTGGCGGTCGAGAGTAGAGCTCTGGGTGCTAGCTCTCTGAGCGCTCACAGCCGACGTGGGCTCGTGACGCTCAACACTCCTGGTGTTGAGTGCATCGCCGGCCGTGTCGTTGCTCACGTCGAGCGCGTTGCTCGACTGATGAAATATATTTTTGATGTCGCAGCTCATTTCTGAGCGCGCGACGCGTGAACTTGCGAGTTCTGTCCCGTTCTCGCTGGGCACAACATCGTATTGTGTGCCTATCCCTTCTCGGGCGCACGTACGGGTCGGCTCGACCTCTCACTGGCTGAACTCGGGTTCAGGCTCGGCGACGGGGGCGCCATCGAGCGTAGCGCATGCACCACTCTTGACAGTGGTGCCGAGCTTTGTCGGTGGGGCTGGAGCAGACGGAGGCGGAGTCTCCTGGCGGCTCTGAGCTGGCTCGACCTTGTGCTCGAGCTCCTCAGCGCACGGTGCCCGTTCAACCTCGTGGTCGGACGGGGCCTGCTCCATGGGTGCTCCGGCTGAGTTCTCGTGGTCGGAGGACTCAGTCCGGGCGGTCTTTGTGCGGGAAGACTGACTACGGCTGCTGGCCTCAGACAACGTGGCGTCGACCATTGCCAGCAGTTCGGCCTCGAGTTGCTTGGACTCATTGAGGGCCTTGTTGATCCGCTCTTGACTTGCGGCGCGCTTCGCTCGGACTTCCGTGCGCAATGCCTTCAGCTTGCTGCGGGTTCCACTTTGGGGCCCACGGCTGCTGCGCGTGGGCTCGGAAGTGTTGGGTGTCGACTCAGACATCTTCTTGAGGATTTGCTGAGTTGACTAGAGGGTTTCAGATAGCATAGAGTTCGATATTTCGAGAGTTGTTGTTGTTGCCTAGTAGCAGTAGATTCCTCAAACAGAATAGAAGCCTGTTAAGCAGAGGAGTGCAAAAAAGTGTAACACACTCAATATCACGCCCGCAGATGCACTGTATCCAATCTCTATTATGTGAGAGAAGTCTACAGACTGAGCATCGTAAGGCAAGTGATTAAAGAGTAAGTTGCCCAAAACGAGTAAGTGCGCTGGCGCGCAATATGAGTAGAACGAGCAAACATATGCAAACATACATGATTAGATATGCTGTATTGGGCAAGTCTTGATAACCCCCATTTAGGCCCGTGACAGTCACGCCCAGCATTGGCCTTCACTAAGTCGTTGTTGCCGTGACTCAGTGGTTCTTCGAGCATAGAAAATTTTGGTGCAGAGTCAGATTAACTCATGGAATGATGAATTAGACAGTGGCAGACTCTGTAGAGCTACTTCGGAGCAGGGACTCGAGTGCAGACTCTCGTATTCTACACTATCCTACACCTGTGAATGACATACTACAGTTCATGACAGTGACTCCTCCGACGGAGACCGTCGCAGAGGGCGCAGAGGGTGCGAGGGTTGAGCAATGATGTCTTCAGCGATGTTGTAGTCGAACCATGGAGCATCGGCCCGTGTGCTGTGTAGGTTGCGAGTCTCCCGGGTCGGAAAGAGACCGGAAGGAATCGATGGTGTCGGTAGAAATGACGGGCGGGGGCTGTTGGCAAGCGGAAGGGAGGGCGGTGCGACGATTCGGGTCTGGAGGGGATGTACGAGCTCAGATACTCGTAGGGGCACTGTAACACAGTCGGAGGAGGGTGGTGGAGTCGTCCCACAACGCAGAGGCTCGGAATGAACACGTAGAAACTCGTTGAAGCCGGATGAAACACAGAGAGCCAGAAGGAAACACGGTGCTCGTTGAAGGTGAACGCGGTGATCTATTCGCAACACAGTAAACACAGTAAACGCAGAACGCAGTGAGAAACGCAGGGAATCGCAGTTGAGCTCGCTCTCTACTCCTAGGTGGTAGGTAGGTAGGATCTCCCCCCGTCCGGTCCCCGGCTCCCTCCCTTATGTTCCCTCCGGCTCTATCTCCCACGCCTCCGCCTCGCTGGCTCCTCTCCCCGTACTCTCCTGTTCCTTCCGGGTCCTCTCGGGCCCTCCTCCCGTCCCCCTTCGTCCCACCAGTTCCCATCCTCCCCTCCCTCCGTGCCATGTCATCCTCCATGCCCCTCAATCTGCTCGCCACCGTCCACATCTGCCGGTACTTCCTCCTACTGGAAGTGCTTCGACATGAACGGGCCGCTGAGCCACACCTCGATATGTCCTCGCCTGGCACCTGGCTCGTGTGGGGTCACGGCGTCCGCTGGCTTCTGGTACGCATGCCCCCGCTTGTCCCTTCCACCGCTTGACTCTCGTCCTAGCGCATGCTCTTCGACTCGTTCTCCCTGGCTATGGCCCATGGCGACGTGTCCCTTCCGTCACCCCGCAGTGTTCCCTCCGTGGCCTCTTTGCTTGCGTATGCTGACGCCGTATTCGAGGGCATTCCCTCCGACATCGACACCGGCACCGCCCTGTATCCTGCCATCGTGTGGTCCCCTCACAGGGTCCATGCCGATCCGTCCGTCGGACAGCCTCGCCCGCAGTCTCCCCCTCAGTTTGTAGACCCACCCCTCCGCCTATCTTCCCTCCGGCTTGCTTCCGATAACCACGACTCCCTTCATGCTCGCATGGGCACGTTGATGAGCGAACAGCGGTCCTCTGCCGGTCGTATCCGTAGCGACGTCGGGTTTGTAGTCCGCGAGATCTACGACTTGGGCTGTTCCGTCCGCCTGATCACCGAACCGGATGGTGCTTTCGGGGGTGCTGCCGGAGGGAACGTAGATCCGGAGGAGAGTTCGGTCGGAGGCCCAGAGGGTATCGACGTCACCGTTCCGGAGATGTTTGACGGAGGGAACACTGTTTCGTAGCGTACCCTTGGCTTGTAGTTGTTCGTGACTCTCTGAATGAACGGCCGGTCCTTGTGCCGTTCCTTTCCTTGTGCTATATGTTGCCTTACGGGGCTGGGCTACGTCCCTGCCCCACAGCGCCGAGGCTCATCTTTGCACGGAACATCTACGATGACATAGCACGTTGATTCCAAGCAACCTGGTTGCGGCCCTCGGAAAATGCGCGCTCTGCGTCCACCGTGGTAGCTAGTGGAGAGAGGTTGGCCTCAGTACATGGGCTCGCAAGTTGAATACTGAAACTCACTGGGCGCGGAAGTATATGCAAGGCCCATCTTCACCAGGCACGGTGTCACTGTAAGCACCTTGTTCCAATACTCCAGCACGGACGTCTCGCGGGGGAGTACGATGGGCGATGTATTCAAATAAACCATGATATCATCGATGTTGACGGGGGTGGTGCTGGTATGTTGTTGTGCTGCCGGAAACGATTTGCGCCCTGTGAAAATCGACATTCTAAGAGTGACCACGGATAGTCTTGAGCAAGCACTTACGATGTTATCTGCCGCACTGACTCGGATATGCGGAACTGCATTTAGAGCCATTGTGTTGGATGTTTGTCCTGGCCGAACTTGCGCACTAGCAAAAAGCGGTGGTTTGAACCTTCAATAGAAGCTCTCGATAGCTCGCTTGCGAACCATCTCGATAGCCTCAATCATGGGCCAACGATGTTGCACAAACCAGTGAAGTTTGCAGTCGGGGCACATGACTACATATAAGCGGAGCCGGAATCAGTGTTCAATTGAGAACAAAGGTGAGGATAACACACCTATAGCAGTAGTGTATGCATCGCATTCCTCGAAAAAACACGAGAAATATTTGCGTGACACAAGATACCCTGCGTGTGCGGCGACACGACAAACATTCGGGAGTGTCATGTGATGTACCATGCTGAGCAGGTCGCTTTGGAGCTGTTCAAAGGCGGGGAAGACATCGACAATGAGTGGGATGTTGTTCTGTTGGAATCGCTGAACTAGTTCATGAATACACTGTGCAATGCCGAGTCAGGAAGGCACAGTGGAGCGAGTGCACCGAGTGTACTTACCGCCAGCATATCTCGTAAATCTGTCGAGAGTGACCACTCTTGTGGTGTCAGCTTCATCGCATTTAGCTTGAGATCCCGCATCTTATGAAGTGACTTGATTGCGGGCTGGAGCGCATGCGACAACATGAGAAGCCGGTAGTCTGAGTCCCAGCGCGTCGCATTCCGTGGGTGAATGTGTTGGTAATGGCCAAATATCGGCTGTGGCGGGTGTTGTGCGACGATCTTCTCAAATGTGTCACGGACAGGTCCGCTGTCCTGTGTCTTGCTTGCGAGCGCTGCGTGCTAGTTTGTATTGGGTGGTAAATATGGCATTATATACATCGAACATCGCACTAGACGTACCTTTGGAAGTATTTTGAGTGCCACTGCAGCCTCACTCGGGGAGATAACAACACCAATTGCAGCCATATCTGCAATGGCCTGCTCACAGATGCTCTTGGCAGCTTGTTAATCATGTGCTGCGCGACCACCGTCGGCGATCAATTGGGTGTGCGCCTCAGATGTATCCATCTCGACTTCACCTGTCAAGATTTCACGCAGCTCCTGTTCATCTGCATCAAGTGAGTCCGCTGCAGAACTCGGGTTACCAGAGTCAGAGCTTGTCCCTGTTGTTCCAGCAACGCGAGGCTTGCGCTTGTATTGCTTATTGAAGAAGGATTCCATCATCTAATGAGCGAGGTTGTAATAGCATCAATAATAGGTGAAACGGGCAATAAGAATCATGCACATTGGCAACGATCTGAACAGCATGCAATAAGCATCGCAGGCGCTCAATTAAACCACGGAATGACGTGATATGTGTTGCAAGGTGAAAAGCTGTTGTATCGCAATTGCTAGTGTTGTCCTGATTGAGCAGATGTAGCTGCGAAGATGGTCAGACTTGCAAGACTGATAAAAAGCTGAACTATAGCACACATATGGATCAAGCTGGTATAACCGCAATGTCTTCGCAACACACATCGCAAGGTACTCGCCCATATGACGTTCTGTAAGCCTAGAAGGAAAGTGTCAGGCATTTAACAACCGGACAACACCGTGAGACAGATAACACACTTGACGAGCTCAAGAAGAGTGCGGTATAGCTTCCCATTGTCCTCCCAAACCAACACAATGCCGATGTTTGAAGTGTGGATCGGCGCCGTCCAGCCATCGAGTACAACGTGCATTAGCCGGTTTCGTTTCTGTAAATACAGTGAGCATGTACTGGGTTATGGTAGTGGTAACAAACCTGGAAATAAGATGTCAATTGAGCTGCCATGCCCTCGTAGAGTCGCTCAACATCTCGCTGGACAGTATGAGGTGATGGCAAGCGGATGTCTGGATTCCCAGAGACCAGCTGCATCTCTGTCAGGTACTCAGGGTCTGCAACAGAGTTGAATGTCCGCTTTTGCGCTGCACATCGGACAGCAATGACTGCTCAATGTCGGGCTTCACTATGCCTCTCGACGACTTGGGCCTGCTGAGGTGTCTTGTGTTGTCCATTTTGTCGCCTGTCGCATGCACGCGCAGCATTCAGGAGGTTTGACGTGCCCTGCAAATGCTTGAGGTGGTCACGCCGATGAACCGTTGTCTGCTGTGGGTCGTTGTGCCGGCATCGATACAGGATCGTAATGACCGCCGAGTCACCGCTCGTGCGGTATCTGCAGACTTGTCTATGATAATGTGACCATGCAGGCGACTTCTGTGCAGTCGACAAGGCATCTAGTAGATATCGTGATCAATTAATACAAAATACGCAGTTCTCATGAAGCTCATACCTAAGATATCCTGATCTGGAAGACTGAACGCTTCACTGTCAGACATCTGGGCGACCTTCAGGAGCCATGCTTCCCAGGAGCCATGGTCAACGCTAGTGCGAGGCCGCTTCAGCGGTGGCTCAACAGTTGCTGGGCTGGTATTGGATGATGAACCCGGGGCATGCAAAGGTGTAGTCGTAGCAGGATTGATGAAAATGGGAGCATGGTCATGGATAGGTACAGTAGTAGTGGACTTGGAGTTGACAGGAATGGGATTAAAGGATTGTGTTGATTGTGGTACACTAGAAGAGGTGGAAGCGAGAGTTTGTATCTGAGAAGGATGCACTGGTATAATTATGGTATGAGGTAGTGTATGGGTTATAGGACATGTAATGTACCGCGAAACAACCGTCGGCAAGAGCTTGCTCCGATTCAAAGAGTCTGCACGCAGATCAAGAACCGTAGTCTATGGTCAGGCGAGGAGGCTAGGTGATGCCATGGACAATGACAGTTCGTTCCGAGTTGAGGAGACGGGATGAGTGTCAATGATGCGTGTAGCAGTTACTGCCAGTGTCGGCACTCAGCTATGCGGCGGTGACGAGCAGCGGTGTGCCTCTCTGTTACGAGTGTGTTACCACTCTGTGACTGGTTGTGACCCAAGAACATCGTGAGACTTTCACATGCAGGTGATGGATGTTTTACGGTGGGAAGAGCATCCATTCTCACAGCAAATATCTGTGGATACATGCATCCAAGGCAGGCCTTGGCTGCGACCCCACGTCATGGATCATGTGAGTGGCGAGACACAGTGGCCATTGTGCCTTTTTTGGTGCAACAGAGATATGTATACATAGTCAGTGATCTGTAACTGATGTTATCCAGGAAAATACACATTCCAGGCAAGTTATGGGAGGGCTTTTGCACAAGAAGTAACACAAAAGCTCACATTGCCCTAAATGGTGAGTAACCTTCCCAATCCAGTAATTCTCCATAAAGTGAATGTCTGGCAGTTCATAAATTGCAGATAAATCAGAAGGTATTCATAGAGTACTATGGGATGTTGATGAGGCCTGTGATGTTTAAAACATGTTACCATATATGGAAGGCAAGCTATAATACCATGTACAAGCATCAAACTAGCTGTCCTTGCCCATTCTGAGCTCTGTTGTGGCACCATAAAGCATTTTCATGATGTCTGACACACATGGCTATACTGTATGGGTCATGTGCCCCATATCTAGGGTGAAAAAGAGCAGTTTGAATTCTGCAAAGTCACCTGTATTTTTTTGTATTTCGCATTTTCTGGCCTAACTGGCCACTACTGGGGCCCAATAAAATTACTTGCTGGGGAGAGGGCCATAGCTGGCAGTACGATCCCTTTGGTAGGATACATGTCAATTTATGAACAACTTCATGCTGCCCGCATCAGAAGTCATGCTTGGCAAGACTGCTAGTATATTGTCTATGCATAGAGTACTGACATATCTTCCACATTTTGCACTTCAGAGTAGCCTGCTAATTTATTAGGTTGTTGTAATATGAGGATCATAGCTTGCAATCATGAGCAACAGACATTATGGATCCAGTTCTTACTTGGGGTTTGTATTGATAGTAACATAGAGCAAATAGCTTGGGAATGTTGCAAAGAAGTAAGGAGAGCCTCTAGATCAACTAGAACTCAAGGAAGGGGAATCTGGGGGGTTGACTACAGTAACCACTACTCAGTTGGCACTTGCTGTCAGTGCTGTTGTACAAGTATTAGCCCTTGATCAGAGAAATTCTGATACCAAGGGATGTCTTTCAGTAGATTGTTAACAGTACTTCCCCAAGTACAAACCAATCAACAGTGGAGGATGGAACCAATATATAGAGGAGAAGTATACCAGTAAGGAATTCTGAAAAAGGCCTGTCAAGAATTGATGTGTTATACAAGGAATACAACCAAAGACTGTGCAGTTTGCTCTCACCATAAGTGAACAGTTACCAGACACTGACCAGTAGTACAAAGCCATACTAAAGTATGTTACTGGATTGGAGCTCAGCTCCTGAGTCAATAGTAATGGGCTCATGTAGTACAATGTGAAGCAATGTATCACCATAGTAAGTGCCATCAAGACTGATAGAGTCATGGGCAGGATTGATCACTGATGAATTGAAGGTACACTGGCATAAGAATACAGAAGCAAGTGGTAGATGAGATAAATGTTTGGACTTGCTCATAGGGATGCTCCTTTTGTGCATTTATGCACAGCCTTTTAGCTACATAAAATACTTCATAGAATCCTACAAAATAGTAGAAGACTCAGTACACCACTTTGCAAGGCCATTCAAGATGCACAATAAGCTCACAGGCTCATTGTAAGGCAAGGGTAGATGTGCCAATAATTCTCACTGATCATCAAGGATGTGCTCTGTGATTCATGACACACCACTTGCATGTTGTCCTGAAACACTAGCACAGCCTTATGAACACTCAGAAATAGTGTACAGCTTGACAAGTCACTCATAGATTGCCTGCCAGCTGGGATAATATATCAATAGATAACATAGTCTGAGCTAATAGAACCCCAGTACTATCTTTCAAAGCATCTGGTCACAAGGGGTCTAAGGAGAGCACTAGAAACTTGGGTAATAGTCCAGTCAGAACATACACCAATAGGTGCCACAAAGAATAACAATGTGGGAAAAAGAGATCACTTAAATCTGGTCAGAAGGCATTGTGAACCCCAAATGAAGTCCATTAAAAGGGTCTAGAATAAAGATAACAAAGCCCAGGAGTGATAACAATTCCTGCTGACTACCCTATTCAAAGACCATATCTATGGAATTTCTTGTAGAAAAAGGGTTTTCAATGCCTTGTCCCTAACAACAGACTGCATACTAAGACTTGCACATGGGCCTTTCCTGGGTATTCTAGTAATGCCTACTATCAATGGTCATGCTCTCTGATCATAAGTCCAAGTATTTCTATATCTTCAGACATACTCCCAAGATAATCACCAGTGTGATTTTCTGGCTGACTGTTCATTATTTTGTGTGCACATACAATGTATGGTACTATATTTGGATTACACACTATATTTTTCATGTTGACATTCCTTGGGCATGGCAGATACCACCCAGGATCTCGCGCTGCGGATTCCCATAAACATTGGTAAATCCGAGCGTAGGGGCATTGTTGTGCAGATGGGCCTGGTTAACAACAGGGAAGTGTCAGAACAACAGATCGGTGGCCTCGTATTTGCTCTCACCTCTACATCAATATGAATCTGCGTGTATGTCGTACGGTTGGCTTGGAAGATGAAGTCACGAGTAACAATTCTAATGACAGACTGAGCCGGGCAAGAAATGCATGTAAGCCAAGTCTGTAGACATCGCAAACAAGATGACAGCATACCTTCTGGTCTTCACTGACACCCCAGTTAGCACCGAGCATAGCTTGGACCTCCTGCATGACAGCTCTGTATTCCTGGTAACTGACGAGCTGTGACGCGAGGAGGTTCATGCTATGCAATGTCGTAGCTTGTAAGTAGAGTCGCATTTGCATATCCGCGAGATCGAGATGCAGTCCTAGCTATGATAGCAAGGTACATTGTGAGCGAGGATGAGAGTATGAAAAAGAAAGTTACGTACATGAGCCATCTCAAGCAGATCAGAGTACTGGCTTGATTTCAGTTCGTATTTGTTTCCCAGAGCTTCGCACCAGCGTTCGAGGATCTCCTTGTTGTTACTGGTATTCATAGCCGAATCTGTGTGTGGTTCGTGAGGGGACATGTCACTTGTGTCTCGGTCAAATTGTGGTTTCACTTACCATTGGTCAGATGCAGTGATACCGGTGCCATCGGACCATGCGTAGTAGACTGTGAATGGCTGGTGGGCGCTGACACCATTGCTGCAGAGCTTGAGTGGGGATTAGGTAAACTGGATGGATCTTCCTCGCTAAGCCTGGCAGCAGCTGCAAGAGCATTGAGACTATGGGCTTGAGATGTCTTGTAGCGGAAGCGAGGGCCAGTGGCTGGCGCGGACGTCGTAGGGCCAGTCTGAACCTGAGGAGTTGCAGAACACCCAGCAGTAGTCGAGACAAGATGACGTTGGTAGTTGTGCATGTTAAGGGTGATGGTCGGCGACTCAGAGCCTCAGGAGGGATCCCAGATGTGTGGTTACACCGTTACATGGCGTGAGTAAGGTGGGAGTTGCGCGACACAAGGGTCACACCTTGCAAGACGAGTACTTCCAGGACAGCACCTTTTATACTCAGGCAGAGTGGTGTGCGCGTGATCGACATGGTCCAAGTTGTTGAATGGCATTCAACAAGACACGTCCAGAGGTCACGCGGTGTCTGCTGGGACGCATTGTGATGCGCCGCGATGCGTGCGCGGTGGTGGCTATCAAGGGTGGGCCGTGGAAAAGTGCCGCTGTCTTTGCTGCTGACAGACATCAATGCCTGAAACGGTAAACCCCCAACTCGTAGAATGATTATACTGTATTATTTGAGAGAGGACTCGAGATGTTTAATGACGACCCTCTCCCTCGTCCTCGGGTTCCACGAATATTTGTACCTCCCCGCCGACCCCGCGAGCCTGATGGACCAGAGCCCGTGCTTTCCTTCACTTTTTGCGCATCCACCTCTGCCCGTGCACTTGCCAAGATGGCCTCGTCACGACTGAGCGATACTGGGACAATGCGAAGACACTGAACATGAACAGCACTTCTCATTTGACAAGTATTCAGCATCAAATCAAGAGGTTCATTATGTTGCACCCTAGCAGCAGTCATCGAAGAAACTTCGCGTTCTTGGAACACAGGCCTTACACCTTGATCATCGCAGTGGTTCTTGGCGCAGTTATGCTGGACATTCACGACACACAAGATTTCCTATCCACAAATACCAAGGTGAGTCACCAGGGGAACTTTGTTAAAGATGATCTGCTACGACTCGGACTCACCGATGGTTCAACGAGCCGGAGAAGACCTGTACACACTAGATTTGGCATTCCATATTTGGGTGTTGGCCCCGAGACAACAGCAGCCTCGGCGAGAATCATAGTTGCTTGCATAGACAGTACACTTCCCGGCACGAGCCGTCAAAGGATCTCCCGGATGTTGCCAACGAGTGGTTCAGAATTGTGACCTGGCCCTCTGAAGAGGACCCAGCTTCCAGGACTGTAGCCCGCACCATCACACGTCACGGCCGACTTGCAAGTCATCCATTCCATATCACCAGATGGTTGACGAGGCGGCGGGAAACTGTGACCAGCAAGTATGTTCGCCCAGGTCAAAGGTAATTGAGCATTGTGCACGCAGGAACCTGAAGGTGCAGAGAAATCAAATCTTATCCAATGTTAGTCTGCAAAGCATGATGACGCACCGGGTACCGGCGTGTTTGTGTGGGTTGCCAATAACCCATAGTAATCTGTGATGACGTTTTTGACATGTTGCCGAGGGGAGGTAAGAGCGAGAGGATATCTGCCTGCACTAAACCAGTCGTGCTGGTCGTTGCTGAATGGCCTCGGGCGAGGGACTGGCTGGCCTTTATTCGGTGATTTCGGGATGAAGGCACCACCGTAACCAAGTGGCGGATGCGGTTGGCCCGCGCAAACACTGATGCTATGTCGCGAGATGGTGCATGTCAATTGCTATGGACACTTTTGGACCGTACGACTGCATTGAACGACTCGAATCCTTCAGTGGTGAACAAAATTGCTGGGCCGAAGCGTCGAATATGTGTTGGCAGATGTTGAAGGATGTGGAACTTAGGTTTGTTGAACCACCGGGGTGTCCAACGCGCCGTACACAGCAGGAAGTGATTGATAGCGTTCTCCAGGCTCGTCTATGTCGATGTGAGGATTAGTCTCATAATGACACTGGAGCACACTCCAAAACTGCAGTACGACTTACAATATGCGACTCCAGATCTTCTATGACAGGCTGCCAGATTAGCGGTACGAGTCCACAAAGTGCCAGCCATGCCTCGTAGCACTCATGCGGAACCAGATCGTACAGAACAAACGGTGCGACCTGACTGATTGCGCGGAAATCACGGCCAGTCAGAGAGCCTGCATACATCACAAGTGTCTCGCCAGATAATGGAGTGATCCCAAGCCCAGAGACATCCGCAGACGAGAGGCAGACCTTCAAAAGCTCCTTCTTAGTCTTTGACAGTCGGGAGATGACATCACGCCAAAAGTATTTGATGAACCCAAGGAGTACGACGTGCAATATCTCGACTGGTGTGTCTTGATTTGGATCAAGATCTACATATGCTCATCAGAATAAGCATCAATGACCACACAAGAATGTGAACTGAGAGCCGCACCTTCAATTCGCCAGACTGGACTCATTGTATTGCCCGGAAGCTCTTGCGCGATCATCGCATCCACGGCACGTTGCTTTTCCTCAGTCGGGCCACGAAGCTTACTTGCAAAGGTCTTGATTTGTTCAATGAAAGTGTCCTGAAATGTATCCTTCAACCCGGTACTTGTCTTCATCTGTTTGGCCCTAGAGTAGCCGCTGACTACACTCGCCTCTCGGAAGATATGCTCGAGGTGATGCATGGTTTCGTCCTTGCGACACAACGAGTGTTCCTGGTTCCATAAGATCAGACTCGGATGATAGTCGAGAAGGCAGGTCTCACACTCATGTCCAAGAACCGTTTTGCATGATCGACCAGTTGTTGCATGGTCTCCTTACGCCCTTTTCGGGGGTGTGTTGAATCTGTATCGGCCTGGGAACTGTTATCGGACTGCGTCGAGAAGGAATGAATGGAACTGAGGTCCGAGTCCGAAGCATCACCCGTATCCTTCTGTCGGTCTGCCGCATCACGGCCCTTGACCCAGCAATTCCAACAGAAGAACTTCCCGGCCAAGCCAACATGGCATGCGAGCTCGCTCTGCATCGGGTTGTCACCCAGGATTGCTAAGACTGCAGGTACGACGAGGACCATCTCCTGCAATTCGATGTCCCAAGCCCAGATACCCTCTGCCTGCCCATGTCTATGAGAAACGTCAGCATGGCTTCGAGAACAAACGGAAAAGACTCACTCGAGCTGTGACACAATCCCATCAAGCATCTCCAAGGGTGGGGCAAGGTTCAATGTCACCAAAAAATGGACATTTCCTTCCTGCTGTCCGATCTCCTGAGGCAGACCTGCCGGCGTGAAGAGCCACGAATTATGCTTGTTCCACTTCTTCGACATGTTGCCCGAGGTGTCATCACAGTACATCAGGAAATCATGCAATCTGTCTGACGGCACCGTCAGGGGCTTCAGAAGTGTTCAGATTGCTTCAGATTGCTTCAGATTGGCTCATACAGTCAGCCCTCATGACCTCGAGTTTTTTTGAAATTTCTTCGTCAGACAGAATCATCAGACATCCTCAGAGCAGTCAGATACTCTGTCAGACTCTCAGAGACACCAGAATTCATATGTTTACCACCAAAGGTTATTACTGTACTCTGTATGACGGAATGATCTGATGTCACAATCAATCATTATTCGTGCTAGCGCAGTATATACACTACAGTACAATTGCACTACTGTCCGATGGGCCCGTGCGCGTCATGACAGCAGCCCTCCGCGAGCTCACCCTTACACCGGCACTCGTCCACCTTCTTGGGTTTGTTGTGCGTGTCCTGAGTCATTGTGCTTGCATGCAGCGGGCTTCCATTTGTCGTCCTGATGTGCAGTGGTTTGGCCCGAGATGTCCTGCAGAGGTCGACACGGAGTAGTCTCAGTCACAATGCGCAGCGAGAAGGCATCAGATCGTCTTGGATTCGGACTTGTGCAGTGAGATCGTTGCCACGTGAGCTCGGCCATGCGCATTGGTGATTACTGGTGAGCCTGAGGCGCGAGAGCAGCAGCAGAGAATAGCCATCCTCGAGGACGGTGTAGCGTGGATTCCGCTGCGTGTAGCACAGCATGTGGCTTCGGACTTGTACAGGCTCACCGTGACGCGGGACATCCGCGGCTCTCGTCCAGGAGATATGACGCGCGAGAGTGTCGGGTGCGGAACACGTCGTGTCCATTGAGGGACGACAAGTGAGAGGGACGACGGTGGGCGAGCTAGGGAGCGGGTGAGAGCGGGTAATCGAGTCCGCGACTGAGAAAGCTGGCAGACAATCCAGTAAGGGGATACCGCGGCCTGCCCATCCTCGAGGGGCCTATGCACGTCGGGCTGGGGCATGTCGGGCTGTTGCTCGGCGGGCCCTTGTACGCCGCGCCGGGTGCCTGGCAGGCGATCCTACTCATTGTACCGCGCTTGGGCACGTCGTATTGGTGTGCTGCGGACTGGTTCTTGTCATACCCGTGCGCATCAGCGCGTGACACGTTGTAGCGAGAGGGGTCCGGGACGACAGGGCAGAGAATGCATATGGATCAAGCAGGACGGTCGCACGGCGTGGGAGAGGCGAGACGACTCGGACGTATGGGCTTGGTCTGGGCGCTGGGGCTGTCAGCGCTGAGGTAGTAGATGGCGAAATTGTGCGCAGTGAAGTCGGGGTGGACGTCGCGGAATCCGCAGGCCTGCGTCGTGCACCCGGCTGCCCGGCCACGTCAGTCAGATGGACGAGGAGGAGTGCGGGGCACTCACGCGCGTCGGCCTTGTGCTCGTTGGGCAAACGTGCGCCGAGGCTGTCTCCGTCGTGATCCACTCGTCCTGAGTGGGCATTCCCAGGGCTAAGGTGAAAAAGGGCGTACTCACCTTACTTGCTCGCCCTGCTGGCCACAACCCCTTTCCTCCCTGCTTGTTGCATAGTCCTTCGCGAGACTCAGCGACGCTCTTGGCGCGACACTGGCTCAGTGCAGTCTCGTACAGCGTGATCCTAGGCTGTGCAGTGACCCGAAGCACACGCCATCCCTTGTGGACAGACCCGCCTGTGTATACTGGAGCGGCGGTGGGCAAGCGAGGACGTTGAAGGTTGTTGAACTTGAAGGAGGAAGGGACTCGAGACGAAGTCCGGGGAGCGCGCGTGACGTGTCGTGGCTAAGGTGCTTAGCACTTCTCGCAATTTGACTCCTCCACGTCACCGTCGACTCAACTTCAACACCGCGCGGTCATGTCAAAACACACGCAAAATGCGACGGAGAGGCGAGGGCGACACGGATCTGGGGAGGCGGGCCGCGGAAGGGATGGTAGAACGGATAGTACAGGTGAGTGCGTTGCTCGCCCACTTGCGTATGCGTGCATTCTCACCTGCTTGCTCGTTCAAGTTTGCCCGCCTGCTCGTCAGCCCGTCCACTTACTAGTCGACCTGTCTGTCTACTCGCCCGTACGCTCGCCCACCCGCTTTTCCGTATGCTCGTCTGCCTACTAACCTCGCTAGTCTGTTCACCTGCCCTGCCCTTTCGCTAGCCTGTTCGCCCGACCTCGCCTTCTTGCTGATACGCCCTCTCGTACGTTCTTGCTTGCTCCACTTACCCTCTCCGCTCTCGTCCGCCCAGTCGTGCCTTCTCACTAGCTCTCTCGCCCACCCGCTCTCGCCTACCAGCTCTTGTCCGTCGTCGTCCTCGATGTCCCACCCAAACGCACACTTACCATCCTACTAGCTCGTTTGTCTGCTTAGTTAACCCGCCCGCTTCCTCGCCCGTTCGCCCGTCCGCCCGCTCGACTGACAAACTCATGCATGCACGAGCATGACTCGGACAGTGGCACACACGTCGTACTCCCCATCGATCCAGATACTTTTAACCACATTGAGGGTAGAGAATGGCTGTGGTACGTCGCTTGCTCGACCTGCAAACTTACCACTTACCTGCGAACAGGCTTTGACAGCCCTAGACACACTCTCGGTCCATGCATGCTGCCGACGAGTGCAGTGTTCTGTCCAGGGTCACCAAACACATGCCGCAGTCTCTGACCGGCTACTTACCGAGGAGACTGACCGATGTCCAGTCTGGTCAGCGAGCTCGAGAGGGCGCGCATAGTCATTCCCGACCGCTGTTGACACCGCCACCGTCGGCCCGTGCAAGTGGGATAGCAGACAAGGCAAACAGGATGACAGAGGAAGTGACAGACGGTGCCAGAGAGTGAGTAGATAAGGTGGGCAAGATGGCAGACGGGGCAGACGAGACGGCAGACGGGTAGAGAGAGGGTACACGGGGCGGGTGAGTTGGTAGATGACACGGGCGAGTCGGTAGGTGATACGGGCGAGTCGGTAGATCACACGGGCGAGGCGGAAGACAACGTGGGCGAGACAGCAGATAGTGCAAGATAGAATAGATGATGCCGTCGATGCGACTCATGAGCCTGTGTCGATGGCGACCATCCGCTTTAGTGTAGTTAATCCACTGTGTTCTCCACGTACAATGAAACAGTCAGAGCTCTCGAGTCATCGATGTATAATATTGTGGCTACTGCAACTTTCAGAATGGAATAGAAGGTGTCTTTATCTGACAAGTCTGACAAGTCTGAGATATTCTGATGACACTGAGCTATCTGATGCTCTGAGTGGCTCTGAGGGGTCTCTGTCAGCCTATCAGATGCTCAGAAATTGCACAGTTTGCTGATGTAGAGCCACATCATGAACGAGACGACACGATGCTTCTTCGCCCGCCCTCGCCATGGATTGCCCAGCATAGGGTCCGTGTGCTTCCATGGGTGCACTCCGCAGTCTTCTCTGTGTAGTGTTCGCACTGTCCCTGGACTCTTGTCAGTCAGGCACACCTAGGATGACCTCGTGGTCACTTGTGAGAGATGCTCACCAATTAGAATCTGCAGGTCGGGAAGGCGACTAGCCGCAAATGTGGCTATCATCGTCGGGAACGCAAGAGAAAGTTCCGCCGCAGTGAACCAGATGGTTTTGTATTCATGAACGATGTAGCTGCGCTGACCAGACTCCGTTACGACGGGACACAACATCCACACCTCTCCATGGAAAACTTGGGTTCCGCTGATCCCACCCTTCGTAAACCACCTAATCGGCATGATTACACGGCCATCTGCCAGTTTGGCGGGCTCGTATGTATAAAAATCTTGTGCACCGATCCGGATCATGGGGCTGGCAATTCGAGGACTCAACTCGCGCAACCATTGGCGGCCATGCCAAGCCTGTGAGGCATGCGTCCCCGCATCTTCGGGATAGAACCGCAGATGCTTACGAATCAGCGGATTGGCCAGTTCCTAAAGATTTGTTAGGTCACAGTTGACACAGACGATCGCTGCGACCAATGACCCACCTGACTTATGATCGCGGCCAGATCATTTGCATAGTAGATGTGCCCGAGAGGGCCCTTGTAGCAAATCGACTCTACCCCACAGTGTTCCTGTAACAGTTCGTCGACTTTCTTTAGTGTCGACAGAGAGGGCTTGTTGTCGATTCCGAGCAAACTGAGACACCAGAGGATGGTCTCCATTTGATTGTCCGAGAATAACGATCGAGGAAGGTGACACATGATGTCGAAAATGCAGGTCTGGTCATATTACCCTCTGTGAGTCCATTTCCCTCGCATCTCATATGCTACTATCCAGACGCACCTCACGATCTGGCCAGGGATACCAATCCGGGTTTCCTCCGATAGTGACTCCTCGCGGCCGAGATGTTCCGGAAGCGAGTTCATCTATACACGGTGATGATCAGCTATACATTGAACATCTTGCGCGGTCGTCAATGCTGGACGACGCGGATGGTGACACGCACCGATATCCATCGGATCTTCTAAGTTGTCAACTACTCTCACGTCCGTGTCCGTGTCTCGCTCGGTTTCAAGGATTTCTTGCTGTGTCTGTGGTTCCTCTGCGAGCCAGTCGGCTAATGTCGCAGTCAGACCGCCAATTGCTGTCTGGGCCGAAGACGGAGTAAGTTCGCCTCCTATCTCAGCTGCAACGGCGTCCCAATCGAGGGTTGTGGTGGGTTTGGCCTGAAGAACACTTGGCCCGTGACTGTCAACATCCATGGCATTATCGACGGCAGTGTTGAGGCCCTGCAGGAGTTCAAACAATTGTCCTCTGACAACGCGTCGAGGATTTGTAGTGCTGATCGGGGCTGCTGATGCTGTGCCACTGGCACTGGTGAGCTGACAATAATCCACGTTCTGTATATGCTTCGCTGTCTTTTTGTGGTGTTGCACACCAGACAGGTCACGTTCACGACCATTGCGGCATGCTTGACATGTCCACCGCCTCGGTCTGGATGGTACAGGGGCCCACCCTGTCGAAATCTGCTTAGTGAGCACTCAGGTCAAAGGAACTCACGATGTACAATGTGAGTCCACTCCATCATCTTGCATACACTCTTGTACCACCGAGTGAGATGGACCAGCAGACATCGATGATCGTACCGAGGGCAGGAGACGGACGAGGGACAGCACCTGAGGGTGCCGTGCGTAGTGCATTGCATGGGTATGAGTAACCCATGTGGGTCATGGGTATGGGTATGCATGGGTATGGGTATGGGTAGCCAAAATCTGACCCATGTACCCATGAAACCCATGGACTTCTGCAGTGCTTATCCACTGGCAGTAATCAATGTTAATTCCTAGCCAGGTATTCAGTGTTGTGTCACTCTCATAGTATGCTAGCATTTAGGGTGTCACCATTCTGAAGCTTGCTTGAGAGTATTTTGCAATAGTGGCAGTATGGTAAAGTCACCAGTCATTTCCCTCAAGACTCATTGACCATGCATGACATGGCTTTTGCCAATATTGATATGCTATAATCAAATACACAGATTGCTGAGGCCATCAAATAAGCAAATGAAATATCTAATGTGCATTGCAGTGTATGTGCTGTTGTGGCTCAAATGAAGAATTAGGAGAAAGCTCAACTAACCTTTTCAATGCACAATGATTACTGCAGTGCCATGTGTTTGTCAGTAGGTGTAGCTGGAATGCTCTACCGAACAATGTGACCATACTATATCCTACTTACTTTAAAGCTGTCCTTGTTAGACAGCTGGTAATACTGTGTAATGCTTAGTTGGTCACCTGTGACAAGGGATTCTGATGGAAAAGAAATCAGCATGATTGCTATGTCACAAACACTTTGAGATGGGCCTATATGCTTGTCGCACCAGCAGTACATACCTATGAGGTAGTGTTCATGCCTTGTTGGTCAATTCAATAAATTCAAGGTGCTCATGGAATGGTATTGACAGCGGCCACATGACCACTCAGATGACAAACCTTCTCAACATAGGGCCTATATGCACCACTTAACAATTGGCAAGCTAAGCTCAATGAAACTGCCTTTTGGCATAGTCATTGACAGGCCTTGCCCCTTATTGATGCTATATTGGTAAAACAGTAATGAAATGTGGGGATCCTGTGATGATATTGCTTAATAATCCTGATATGACTCTCTTCTCACAGGCTGTTATATGTGAAAGACACTGCTGGTATTGATGGAGCACTGCTACATCTTTCCTGTGATTCAGTTGTGTAGTTGTTGAGTCTGAGGTATATTTATCTGCTGACTGTTGACCTGTGATACTGCTATATGTAAACAGCACATGTTATAAGGCTCTGCCCATTGCCTCACTGTTCATATTTGGTAATATATGTAAGATCTATGGATGTATACAACCTTGCTAGTTTCATTCCTCAGTTCTTGTGGGTCTGTGTAGCTATTTATACTGTTATGACACACTTGTGTAACCACCAGAGTTATGAGTTGTAATATATACCTTGCTTCCATGATCTTTGTGCCTTGTTTACATTGTTTTCCCTTTTTGTCAGTTGTTCATCTTTGCCTATCCTGTATTACCTGCCCTTCAGTTCTTACTTCAGGCAACACACTTGCCCATTCTATTGCAGTTTAACAAGTGAGCATGACATGCAACAACACTACAAGTCTACAACTTGGAAAAAGGTACACCCCTGTGTATTGCTATGTTTGACTTTGATACACCAAACCTTGCTTTGACCCCTCCCATACCCACTCATCTTTCTATTGTTCTTGCATGTATGTGGGACAAAAACTGGAAACTCCCACTGTTGTGATTGACCAGTGACCACACAGTCAGTGAACTGGTCTGAGGGGTGCTCATCCTTGGTCTTGCACATAGCATCAATTTATGATGAGAATTCACCAACTGTACAGTGCCTGATTAATATTCTGGCCTCTGCACAATAAGTGTCATCATATCTTGCAAGCCATTGAGCATGAACTGCACATAGGACTACCCATAACATTACCCATACCCATGGGTACTCATAATACCCATGCAAAACCCATACCCATGGCATGGGTATGCAACCCATGTGGGTATGGGTATGGGTATGCTCTGAGACACCCATGGGTACACCCACGCTATGCACTAGCCGTGCGCATTCAGAGGATGCCCCTGATCCAGTCGGGGACTCAGGCCAATGCTGACTCGGCCCAATGCCGATCCAGGGGTATTGGCATCGGGCCGACTACTATCTCAGGTCGGCGGCGGGTGGATGGCACATTGGGCGGGTGCGGAAGTTGCATTGGGTTGGCGCCGGTACGACTATTCAGGCTCACGCCAATACACGTGACTTAGGTTCATCTCAAATTAGTTTCTGGCTGTGTAGCCTGGGATCCTGTCTGGAGCTGCCAGTCCCTGAGAATTCCAGGTGATAATGGTGCTTACAAGATGGACCAAGACTCATTGAAAGAGTAGCTTATATCAGGCTATGCATGGGAAACTCTGCATTATGATATGTTTTCTGCCATATGGCCTCAACAGTCAACCCAATACAAATCCATAGTACTATCTAATCTTTCTCTGATTTTCCTGCTATTTATCCAGTTCTGCAGAGGCCATGCATGGCCAACTTCCCAAATGGGCAGGGGACTAACCATATATGGCAGTTTTGTATGTTTGATATCCTCCACCTCACATAGCCCATACATGTGGAACTGTCTTGTACAAGCATCATACACACACCAACATTTGCTTATATCCCCAGTATCACTTGCCAAGGTCAGTACTCTGTGAAAAACAACAAGAACACCTAATCTGGGCACCCTTGTCAGTACTCAAGGGGCATTCCATGGAGAAGCAATATTTTGGGATCTTTCCGCATTTAATGGGGTTCTAGTAAGAGCTCAGTTAGTGTGGCTTGAAGCCATCAAAAAACTCGGCATGAAGAGCTGAGATTGAAAGATTACTTTAAAAGGGAATCTTTGTCACCATTTCAGCCAATGGGAGTGCTCCAAAATCCCCTTTGAGTGACTGGAGTCGTCGACAGGCCGGAATTCCGGTCTGTCGACGACTCCGCTTCGGCAACGGGCGCTTAAGTGAGCGCTTAGTAAGCGATGTAAGTGCACACTGTTACTGCAGCACAATTCACTTGTTTTGGGGTCAAGAAAATGCGGATTAATCAGATGATATTCCAGGATATATGTGGAGCATCCCTGAGCATATTCACAAGAGGAAAAGATTCCCTATAGGGTCATTCAGTGCTGAGACATCAAAACATGCATGTTATTACCATTTTTCCCCACCAATAGCTGTGCTGTGCAACTTCCAGACACATCCATGCATTGTAAACTATGCACATATCCTTACAGGTCATAGGCAGGCAATGTGTTTCAGAGACAACAAGCCATTCATATCTGCACAGTCACTTGTGATTCTCTAAATGTTGTCCTTTGTTCTTCATTCCTCCAATGTATGATTAACCCTTGAAATGATGGGCTATCAAATGAGTTTATCATCTCTATAACCTCTATAAGAGTTGATTAGATTTCAGTCAGTGTATCCCAGTCAAATGCCACATTCATGCATGTGTTTCTCTGTTTCCTGAATTTCAAACAACTGGGCAAGTCATACTAGTGATATATTGTGGGGGCCTCCATACAAGATGAATTGCCTTCATATACAAGGCAATACAGATGAGTCTGATTACACATAATATTCCCTGATTTTATCTGCATTTTGTGAGCCCAGACTGAGCAGGTTAAGCAAAATTACCATTTTAGGAAGGTCAGCTACCCTATTTAGCAGGTTTGGGATGTCAGAGAATCTGTGGGCAGCATATAGGCTTCAAAAGAGAGACTATTGAGGTGAAAAGGGATGCACTCATGTGCACAGAGGCATTTGCATGTTTTTTGTTTTGTGAATTGTGCCATGACCAGTGAAGGTAATGGGCAAGTCACAGCAGCTATAGACTCTATGACATCATACCTATCACAGAGATTATTTTGGGCATTTTCCGCATTTTAGTGAGGCCACAGTACAGCAGGTACAGTGCCACTAAGGAGCCTGTGGCTGAGATTCAAACTCAGCCCAAAACCTCGGCAGCCTGCCTGATTAGGGCAGAAAAGGGCTTGTTGCACCAATCAGAGCAGCTCGGCATCTGGGCGCTTGATGGGCGCTTAGTAAGCGATGTAAGTGCGGACTGTTACTGTGCTTAAGAGAGCTTGTTTAGACTCAGAAAAAAGCGGAAAATTGAGACAATATTCAAAATGATCCAGGCAATGTGAATAAAGCTGTATATGGCATGGGTTTGACATCAGATAAGATAGCAATCTCAATAACCTGGTAAGATGGTTGCTGTGGCCCCAGTGATATATAAGCCTGCTACTTCACTCTTGGAACTGCTCATGTACTGGACAACCCTATTAGATGGTAGTGTAAGTACACATTCAGGTATGTATCCCTAGATTGTGTCTGTGAGCAAGACAAAGCCAGCAGTGGATGCATAATTACCATATGGAGTATGTGACCTTCCCAAAGAGGAATCATACACAAACAGGGGGGCATGTAGGGCTCAGAAAAATGCAGAAAATCTATGGAATATACAGACACATCAAGGACAACTGTATGATTGCCTTGAGCTGCAATGGTTACCATTACATTGTATGCAAGGGCCATAATATGGCAAAAGATGCTCAGATTACCCATTATAGTCCTTGTTACCTGTATTATTGAAGCTACTGAGTAGTCCACAGTGTCTGAACTACACATATACATTGCAGTATACATATAGACCATATTTGAGTCATAAACAAGCAGATTGAATCTGCAGAGGCACATGTGCATTTTTTTGCTTTGCATTTCCTGGGTTAGCCAGCCACTGTATACACTCAATAGAATTTCTGTATACTCTCTGAATGAAGGGCTATCAGATGAGCATACTATGTATACTATGATTTGTTACTGGCTGAGGCTATATAGGCCCTACATTGTGTGAGTGCTTGCAGCAATGGGCCACCAAGCTGCCAGTCACATGATATGTTTACCAGTTTCCTTATTGGGGGAACTGCTAAGGTGTTTCATGGGCCTCATATCCATAACTGAGCGCTTAGCCACTGCATTTGTTTGTATCTGTTGGTGCAAGTCGCGTCGTCTGGGAGCCTGAAAATTCAGGTTCAGATAAGCAACCTATACTAATGGTTACTTATCATTGCTTATCGGGGTGGCTGCATGTCACGTGCACTGTGGGAACAAACTGCCATTCCGGAGGAATCGCTAAGGCGTTTCATGGTGGTCCATCATAAGAACGATACCTTCGTACCTCAGGGATCGTAACTGTAGACTCTATGAAATAAGGGCTACAACTATTTGTGAGTGCTTACTGTTGCAAAAAGCAATTATATTGGAGCCCAGTGCTGCTGGTGAGGTCACATGCCATGTTCACCACTTTCCATATTGGGCTCCAAGCTAGATGTTACAGGAGCCCCAAGTCCATGGGGAATTGTCAGCCACAGCATTTGTTTGGGTGTGTTGGTGCAAGTCACGTCGTCTGGGAGTCTGAAATTTGAAACTCAGCTAATGATAGCATAGTAAGTGTTACTTATCCTTGGTTACCTGGCGCTCAAACAGTCACATGCACTGTGGGAAAAACTTGCCACATTGGGCTCCATGCTAAGTGTTACATTCTCTCCAGTCATAAGAATGATTCCTTTGTACCTCAGGGATCGTAATTCATGACCTGACGGATCTGTCACAGGAAGCTTTGAATATTCAATGGAGAGCAAGAACCTGTAAATAAGAAATTTATCATCAACATCACTGTTTTTTCTTGCATAGCAGCAGGCAGTCTGCATACTATATTGGGCTGAGATCTCGGCCACCTTAGCACTCGACAAGCCCTCCTTACTGTGTATGGGCCATGATGCCCTAGATCCTTGTTCAGAGGTATGCTAGAACACCTCAGGAATACGAGAAAAATGATAGAAAAAAATTAAAATCATTGAGTGGAGCTCAGTACACAAGTTTCTCATCGAGAGTAGGGTGAGCCACACAGACTAGGAAGTTGGCCACACCCTTGGGAATAGCTCACAACATTGCAGAGGCCCATATGGACTATAATCCTAAGAAATATACTCAAATATATGATCCTGATTGTTTCTAGGCCACAATGTGCCAGAATTCGAGTGAGGTACCCAGTCATGGGCGAAGGGTCCGGGATCCCAAGCCACTGCTTAACAAAAATGGGTATCATCGCACAAGATAAATTTTCCTGCACCCGGATCTCGATGTATTGGCTTGAAAGTTTGTACAGGTAGTACTATATCGCGTCACGATATCGGCCACCTTAGCATTCGACAAGCCCTCCTCACTCTGTATGGGCCATAATGACCTGGATTCTTCTGTGGAGGTATGTTAAAAGACCTCAGAAATATGAGAAAAATATGAGAAAAAATATATATGATCATTGAGTTGAGCTCAGTAGCAAAAGTTCTGGTCGAGAGTAGGGTGAGCCACACTGCTTACCAGAAATAGGTATCATCGCAAAGGGTGATTTTTCCTGCACACAGATCTCAGTGTATTGGCTTCAAATTTTATGCAGGCATTACAAGGATGCATTGAGACATGCTACAATTTATTTCATAGCTATAGAAGGGGTGGTTGTTGAATGAGGCTTGAGTGACCGACTACCTAGGCTGTCCGAGATCGTGACCCGATATAGTAAAGGGATGTATAGACCCATGATACAATTTATTTAATGGCCGCAGAGTAGGTGGTGGTTGAATGAGACTCGAGTGACCGACTACCTAGGGTGGCCGAGATCCTGACCTGATAGTATATCTTGCACCCCTTCAAATGAGTTAGCTGTAGTCCCATATCAAAGTATGGTAAGTGATTCATTCATACTTCACTGAGTTTCTGGGGTGTTTGAACTTTTTCTGAGCATATACAAGGACATTATGTGGCCTAGAATGAATATCCTGCACATGTTCATGATTTGTTCCATGCATAGCATAAGGAACTATGAATGCTGGGGAAATTTTGAGAGGGTCTGTGAAGTATCACATAATCATTATTACTACTTATGCTTATGGCAGGTGCCCTCCCATTTGGCAATCACACACTGCACAATGCTTTGTGGGCCTAGTAAATACTATAGAAATGATGACTGTAGTGACTGTAGAAATGATGGAGTAGAGTGCATGGCTGCATCAGTTCAAGCAACTGGCATATGGAGAATCATAAAACAGCATACACACATTATATGTACTGTGTCCCATTCTTGAAATGCTATTGTGAGATGTTAAGAGTTGCTGCTCATGAATCCCAGTGCTATATGGGTTATATCAGTGTTTATGTGACCCAATTTGCATCTTTCCATAGCCATAGGCATTTGCAATTTTCTCTATCATTGTGTTTATCTGCTGTCTGTCTGTATCAAGAACACTTAGAACAGTATACATTCCTATACTCACAGGTTACACCGGGGGTGTCCGGGGTCTATGCTGCACCTGCCACCCACAACACCGTACCTGCAGCAGGTAGTACCCGCACCCGACACCACAAGACCGACGGTGTTCATGGTAGACCACGGTGTACAATACCATGGGTCCATCTGCTCGGTATACTTCTGATTTTGTAGGCACTTCACTTCATTTCTAGCATATGTAGTCATCATTGTTAATACATTTGTACACAAACTCGAATCAATCTACATCCATGTCGTGGCTCTTGCTGTTGGCCTTCTCAGCAGAGAGCACAGGCTGTCTAGGGCGGTGCACGGAAACCACTTCTACAAGATCCTGTATGTACAGTATGTTGGCCTGACCCCAAGCTCCAAGGCACAAGTTCGCACGGAATGTCGCACCTGTCATATGGTTGCGTGTGAAGTGAAGTAGATGGCAACCTTGCGAGAAGACATGTTCAACGGCGGTTGAGGTAGCTGAGTGAGATAAACATCAATGACAAGGTCCACAGATAAAACACAACACAACAGACTTACCCGGTGCAGACAAGTAATTCAGTGCAAGGCGGTGAAGGACCAGATATGACCCAATTGTCCCACCACCATTTGCCAATGTTGTGGACGGTGACACACTCGCATGGAAGTGCAAGATACTCATCCAGTTCATTCCGCTCGGTTGTATCTGTCGCCAGCAAGACATCTGCAAAGCTGCCGAAGTCCAACTCAGGTTTGCTGGAAACCTGTTCAACGGGTCAGTAAACAATAGCATGCTTTGTCAGTGAGTATACATACGTCTTGACCTGCCGATGGCATCTTTGCTGATAGGCTGCTCATGAGCTTATCCGCGAGCAGCTTGTGCTCCAAGTGAGTTATCTGCTCAGCCATGTTAATCCACTCTCACTCCCACTTGTGCTGCTTGAAATACTCCAGCTTGAGCCCAGGATGCAGAACTAGAAGACAAAGACATGAGCATAAAAACAGAACAAAGAAGAGAGATATATTACCCATCGCGATGCGATAAACCAACAAACAATCAGTCCGTGAGTAATACTTGTTGAGAATCTTCTTGCCAAGGTGCGTTGCAGCCTGGATCGCCAGTCGATGTTGACATGTGGTGAGGGACGGGTTGAGTATGTCATCTATCTTGTTCATGTTCAGGATGACGTTCGCAATGGTGAATGCCGTGTCTTGCAAGTAGAACAGTGTAGCTTGTTCAAATTGCTGTTACGATCCCTGAGGTATGAAGGTATCGTTCTTATGATGGACAGGCCTGAAACACTTCCAGTGGCGCCCGATGTGGCAGTTGTTTCCCACAGGTACAGTCATTTGTCCCCAGCTTACCATGTATAGTTAACATTTGTTATGGTCAGTTAGCGGAGTTCAAAATTTTCAGACTCCCAGACGACGCAACTTGCACCAACACCACCAAACAAATGCTGTGGCCCAGTGCTTTGTCCTGGGGTGAGGGCCCAAGAAATGCTTCGAGTGGCGCCCAATATGGCAACTGGTGAGCATGTCATGTGACTGGCAGCCAGGCAGCTCACTGCTAGCGCTCACACTTATAGGCTGCCCCATAGCCCTAGTTAGTAACAATTGTGAATGGACTTGGTATACTGATCTAATAGCCCTTCATTCAGAGAGTATACACTATCATTATTGAGTAGCTAGAGTGGCTGGCTGGTCCAGAAAATGCGAAATAAAAAATCCACATGTGCCTCTGCAGATGTCAAAGTGCCTATTTGTGCCTCAGATGTGTTCCATATGTCTGTAATGACATACATATGTGATTCAGACACTGTACAACTCAGTGGGTGCTGCACTACAGCCAAAATCAGCCACAATGAGCCATTTGACCCTGTTTTCAGATGTTGTAGTCCATGTACATGGTGTAGTGATGTCTATCATAATCCCAAGCACTCACATTCTCCTATTGGGTGCTTCTGTATATTTGACAGATTTTCCGCATTTTTGTGACCTCCATGGGCACCACATCTTGTCCTACTTCCTCTTTGGGCAGGACACCTACTCTATATGGTAGTTGTGGCATGTAGCTGGCATATAGACACATAGACACAATCTGGGGATATAGAATGGCCATCTATACATATGTATTCATGCTACTATGATGTCAGGCTTTGTATGCTGCAGAGACACTGTCTGAAATGTGATCATAGGCTTATATGAGCTCCCTGAATGTGAATCTCACCGTGTTATTGAGTATACTGCCCTAGTTGATGCAACAATTGTATCATGGAAGGCTATAAGGATTTGACATCATTCATTCTGAATATCTTCTGAATATTCCGCTTTTTTCAAGTCTATACAAGCCCTCTTGAACACAGTAACAGTCTGCACTTACACTGCTTACTAAGCGCTCATCAAGCGCCCATTGCCGAAGCGGACTTGTATACAACTGCAGCCCTGCATTTGTCTGCAACTCAGCTCACCCAAAAGGGATTTTGGAGCAATGTCATTGGTTGAACCAATGGCAAACCTTGCTTTCTAAGGGAATCATTCAATCTCAGCTCCCCATGCCAAGTTTTTTGATGGCTTGCCCAATGTGGTCAGTGCACTGTCTAGACTCTTACTAGGGCACATTAGATGTGAAGAAATCTCGGAATATTGACTCTCATGCAGTGCTCCTTGCACACAGGTATGGAGGTCCAAATTAGGTATCCCAGTGCTTGTTCACAGTGTACTGACCATGGCAAGTGATGCAGTGGCATATGTACAAATTATGCAGGGGTCTATGGCTACCAGATATAAAAATCACCATATATGGGAGATCCCTTGCCTGTTTGGGAAGCTGATGATAGATCACTTGCTGGGGAGAGGGCCATAGCTGGCAGTACGATCCCTTTTGTTGGATACATGTCAGTTTGTGAACAAATCATTTTCACCACATCAGAAGTTAAGCTCAGCAAGACTGCTAGTATATTGCCTGCATAGAGTACTGACATATCTTCCGCATTTTGCACCATCCAGCTGCCATCTCATAGCATAAACATTTAGAGTAGCCTGCTAATTTATGATGTTGTTCTGATGTGAGGATCATAGTTTGCAATTATGAGCAACATGCCAATTGAGTAAGTATTTGCATTTCCATATGAGACTCTCCATTGAAAATACAGACATTATGGATCTGTTTCTTACTTGGTGAATAGCCAAGTTTCAACCAATATTATCAGAATACTAATGAACAGTATCACTGGCTTGTGTTGATATCAACAAAGAGAAAATAGCTTGGAAATGTTGCAAAGAAGTATGCCTGTAGATCAACTAGAACTCAAGGAAGGGGAATCTGGGAGGTTGACTACAGTAACAACTACTCAGCTGGGACTTGCTGTTGTGCAAGTATTAGCCCTTGATCAGAAAGAACTTCTGATACAGGCAGATGTCTTTCAATAGATTGTTGACAGTACTTCCCCAAGTACAAACCAATCAACAATAGACAGATAAGTATACCAGTAAGGGATTCTGAAAAAAGGCCCTTCCAGAATTGTCATGTTATACAAGGAATCCAACCAAAGACTGTCCAGTTTGCTCTCACCATTTGTACACTGAAGTGAACAGTTACCAGGCACTGACCAGTAGTACAAAGCCATACTAAGGTATGTTACTGGATTGGAGCTCAGCCCACAGTTCCAAGCCAATAGTAATGGGCTCATGTATGATGTGAATCACTGTACCACCATGGTGAGTGCCATCAAGACTGATAGAGTCATGGGCAGGATTGATCACTGAGGTCTGGGACGATTGAAGGTACAGAGGAGTACAGAAGCAAGTGGTAGATGAGATGAATATTTGGACTTCTCACAGGGATGCTCCTTTTGAGCATTTCCCAAGTGCACTCCCCCTTAGCTACATAAATACTTCATAGAATCGAAATAGTAGAAGACTCAGTCCACCACTTTCCCAGGCCATTCAAGATGCACAATAAGGCTCAAAAAGTAGCGAAAAAGCAAGGCAAGGGTATGTGTGTTAATGATTGCCACTGATCATCAAGCATGTGCTCTGTGAAACATGAGGGACCACATGGATGTTAACCTGAAACACTAGTGTAGCCCTATGAAAACTCAGAAATAGTGTACAGCTTGATGAGCCACTCATAGATTGCCTACCAGCTGGAATATTATCATCAATATTCTGAGCTAATAGTCACCCAGTAACAGCTTTCAGATCATCTGGTCACAAGGGGCCTAAGGAAAGTACTAGGAGCCTGGTAATAGTCCAGTCAGTACATACACAATGAAGTGCTACAAAGCATGACAATGTGAGGAACAAAAGATCACCTGAATGTGGTGAGAAGGCATTGTGAATACTACAGTGAAGTCCATGAAAAGGAAATCAAATAAACATAACAAAGTGCGGGAATGATAACAACTGCTGCTTATCCTATTCAAAGATCACATGTGTGGAATTCCTTGTGAAAATGCCTTGTCCCTAACAACAGCCTGCATACTAAGACTTGCACATGGGGTCATTGTAGCCTCTCCTGGGTATTCTAGTAATGCCTGTTATCAATGGTCATGCACTCTGGTCATAAGTCAAGGGATTTCTATATCTCCAGACACTCCCAAGGTAATTAATTACCAGTGTCATTTTCTGGCTGACTGTGTGTGCACATACAATGGTACTATATTTGGATTAGACACCATATGTTGATATTGACATTCCTCTGGCATGGCAGATACCATCCAGGATCAACTGCCAAATTGGGTGCTAGTAGGCACACTGCCACATATTCATGCTTCCCAATGCTGTTCAAACATCACACATGTTCACACCTGGGTATAAAGTGTTATTTTTCCACTTTCCATATAACATGAAAGGACCCAGCATGAGTAGCTGACATTTTATAATCACATGTAAAAGGAAATAATTGCAGAAAATGAGAGTACTCCCAAAATCATATTATTGACTAGAGATCTATAAAAGGACAGCCTTATATTGGCTCAGAAGTCCATGGTAGTATGGCCTCTTCACTGTTGCTTAGTAAGCAATGCAAGTCTGCATTATTTCCAGAGCAACCATGGCTTCTTCTGAGCCCAATCAGAAAGAAAGCTGCCTTTTCTATCTCCACATACCAAGGGCCATTGCATAAGAATAGGATGATGGTAGTGCATACAGAGGTTAGATATCTTCCAGGCAAAAATTATCTGAGGGACTTACAACCAAGCATAGCACCATCATACTATATAAATGGCACTGCTTCATATTGACAAGATTAGTCAAAGACATGCTTATACTGGACTGCTACAATAGAGCTGCTGACATCAGGCTATGTGCATCTGCATTAGCACATGTGGGATGTACTGTTGCATTGGCCTACAACAGTCAGCACAATGTGAAGTCATGGGATTGTCTGATTTTATCTTATTTCCTACTATTTATCTAGCATTGCAGAGACCATCAAAGACTTTGATACACTATGTGTGGTAATGTGGTGGCCCCACTTTATGACATTGCTAGTTTATGAAGTTTCTCACAACAGTAGTAACTGCATAACACAACTTGTACAATGTCTTTGTATCACTTTTTAGGATCAGTACAGTGTGAAAAAGATCTGTGGACCCACAATTCTGATGGCTATGCTATTGACATGTGACACAGAGTGAGTATCATGAACATGCTCAGCATGAACTGTGCCACAGCCTTTGTGCCACAGGTGTCCACCATTTTCTGAATATGCTATAGCCAATCACTACTTACAGCAAACAGTACAAGGTGAGCCTGAGTGGAATCATTCGAAGTATTGTCTTGTTTTATCCGCATTTTCTGAGCCCAGACACAGCAGGTAACTCAGACTTTCCATTTTGGGAATGTAAGCTATCACATATAGCAGGTTTGGTCACACAATTCATAGGCAGTTGGTAAGCATCACAGGAAAAACAAACAATGTGAAAGAACCAGTGTTCACAGAGCCATATGCTGGTGCTATATTTGTATGAATCTATGGGAAAGCATACTATGTAAAGCCTCTCTGGCATCATATACATGACTAGGAATTTTCCCAATTGTTTTTGATTTTTTGGGAGACCATAGCACAGCAAATACATTGTCACTAATGAGCTTGTGGCTTGCATTCAAACTCAGCCCAATAGCCTGCCTTTGCAGGGCCTATTGAAGAGTTGAACTAGACAGAATAGCCTAGGATCCTGTCTGGAGCTGCCAGTCCCGGGAATTCCAGGTGATAATGGTGCTTACAAGATGGACCAAGACTCACTGACAGAGTGGCTTACATCAGGCTATGCATGGGTCATTCTGCATTATTATATGTTTTCTGCCATATTGGAGCCTCAACAGTCAACTCAATATGAATTCATAGTACTATCTGATTTTTCTCTGATTTTCCTGCTATTTATCCAGTCCTGCAGAGGCCATGCACGGCCAACTTCCCAAATGGGCAGGGGACTGACCATATATGGCCGTTTTGTATGTTTGATATCCCCCACTTCACAGAGCCTCTCATACATGTGGAACTGTCTAGTAGAAGCATCATACACACACCAAGATCTGCTTATATGCCTCAGTATCATCACTTATGATGGTCAGTACTCTCAAAGACACCTAATCTGGACACTGCTATCAGTACCCAAGGGGCATCCCATGGAGAAGCAATATTTTGGGATTTTTCCACATTCAATGGGGCTCTAGTAAGAGCTCAGGTAGTGTGGCTTCAAGCCATCAAAAAACTCGGCATGAAGAGCTGAGATTGAAAGATTACTTTAAAAGTAACATTTGTCAGCAGTCCAGCCAATGGGAGTGCTCCAAAATCCTTTTGAGTGACCGGAGTCATCGACAGGCCGGAATTCCGGCCTGTCGACGACTCCGCTTCGGCAACGGGCGCTTAACGGGCGCTTAGTAAGCGATGTAAGTTCAGCCTGTTACTGCAGCAAATCTGACTTGTTTTGGGCTCAGAAAAGTCCAGGAAAATCGGATAATATTCCAGGAGATCTGTGGAGCATTTATGAGCATATTCACAAGTAGAGAGGATTGTCCTGTATAGTTATTCAGTGCTGGGACATCAACACATACTTGCTATGACAATATTTCTCCATTTGTAGCACTGCTGTGCATGTTTCAGAGACATCAATGTGTTGGACACTATACACTTGGCCATAGAGGACATCTGTCATGTGTTTCAGATGCAACAGAACAAATGCATATTCACAGAGTCACTTCTGTTTTTTATCTTAGCATTTTGCTACTCATTCAACCACTTCTCTCAAGAAACTATGATAGACACTATGAATGAAGGGCTATGAGGTGAGCTTATGATATCTATAACAGTTGGTTGGAGCTCAGTCAGTGTATCCCAGTCACATGCTACCCAATCATGTCTACAGAGGTAGGGGTGTTTCTCTGCATTTTGAATTTTATACATGGGCAAGCCATACTGGTCATAGCCTCTGGGGGTCCTATAGTGGATCAATTTCTTACATACAGCAGGTACTACAAGTGGGTCCAGTTGCACAGAATTTTCCCTGGTTTTATCTGCATTTTCTGAGCCCAGACTGAGCAGCTGCATTGGTATTACCATTTGGGGAAGGTTAGCTACCCTTTATGGCAGGTTTCAGATGTCATAAAGACATACAGAATCTATGGGCAGTCTACAGGCTTCAAAAGAGTCACTTTGAGGGTGAAAAGGGATGCACTCATGTGCACAGAGGCATTTGTGTGTTTTTTATTGTGTGAATTGTGCCATAACCACTGAAGGTAATGGGCAAGTCACAGCAGCTATAGACTCTATGACATCATACCTATCACATAGATTATTTTGGGAATTTTCCGCATTTTAGTGGGGCCACAGTACAGCAGGTACAGTGCCACTAAGGAGCCTGTGGCTGAGATTCAAACTCAGCCCAAAATCTCGGCAGCCTGCCTGATTAGGGCAGAAAAGGGGCTGTTGCACCAATCAGAGCAGCTCGGCATCTCTCTCATGCCGTTCGGAGGTGCAACCGTGCCAAATTTCCGCACGGATGCACCTCCGAACGGCATCTGGGCGCTTAGCGCGCGCTTAGTAAGCGATGCAAGTGCGGACTATTACTCTGCTTATATGGGCTTATTTAGACCCAGGAAAAAGCGCAAAAATCAGAGAATATTGGAGATGGACCAGGGAATGTGATTGAATCTGTCTATGAGATATGCTTGACATCAATAAAGGCAGCATTTCCAATAACTGTGTAACATCACTGATGTTACCTCAGTGAGCTTATTCATACAAGCCTGCTACTTGACTGTAGGAACTACTCATGTAGTTGAGGACACCCCATAGGATGGTAGTGTAAGTATAGATGCATATATGTATTCTGTGCTTGCGTCTGTGTGCAAGACAAAGCCAGTGGCTGCATAATTGCCATATGAAGTATATTGCCTTCCCAAAGAGGAATCATACACAAACTGGTGAATCTGGGGCTCAGAAAAATCCAGAAAATCTATGAAATATACAGACACATCAAAGACAAGTGCATGGTTACTTTTAGTCCCAATTTTGGTCATTACATGGTGTCCATGGGCCACAATATGGCAATGGATGGTAAAATGACCCATTGTTGACCTTGTTAGCTCTGTTATAGAAATCACTGAGCAGTACACAGTGCCTAAACCACCCATATATATCACAGTGTGCATACAGAACATATTTCAGCCATAAACAAGTACTTTGAATCTGCAGAGGCACATGTGCATTTTGATATTTTGCATTTCCTGGCCTAGCCAGCCACTGTATGCACTCAGTAAAATCCCTGTATACTCTCTGCATGAAGGACTATCAGATGAGTATACTATGTATACTATGCCTTGTTACTGGCTGAGACTATATAGGCACTACAGTGTGTGAGCGCTTGCAGCATTGAGCCACCAAGCTGCCAGTCACATGATATGTTCACCAGTTTCCTTATTGGGGGAGTTGCTAAGGCGTTTCATGGGCCCCATATCCATAACTGAGCGCTTAGCCACTGCATTTGTTTGTATCTGTTGGTCCAAGTTGCGTTGTCTGGGAGTCTGAAATTTCAGACTCAGATAAGCAACCTATACTAACAGTTACTTATCTCTGCTTATCGGGGTGGCTGCATGTCACGTGCACTGTGGGAACAAACTGCCATTCTGGAGGAATCGCTAAGGCGTTTCATGGTGGTCCATCATAAGAACGATACCTTCGTACCTCAGGGATCGTAACCTTTACAGTATTGCATAAATGGCGGGAAAACGAGCAAAACATTAGATAACACTATTGTCCCATTGTGGGTTGATAGGACTTATGTGTGATGCTGAGTACTTGTGGATGAGATGGAAAGGGATAGCAGAAACACAGAGTCTGGTGCAATAGGCTCAGCCACATGCCATGTGAGGTTCACTCGTCCACAGGTCAAAATTTTGACCTGTGGACGAGTCATCTTGCAGTGTAGTCTCCCAGGCTCCACTGAAATATGCTGTTTAAGGGAATTAGCCTCTGACTGGCCTTACTATTTGGCCAAAGGCTCTCAAGTCCATGTATCTGCTGTACTGTAGCCTTCAGAAATACAACAAATCCCCAACATATTCTCTCTGATAGGTATGATGTCATAGAGTCTGTAGCTGCTGTGACTTGCCCATCAACTTCAGTGGTTACTGTATCGGTCCGGGATCTCGGCCAGTACTAGGTAGTGGGTCAGAGACGTTACAGATACCCCCTATGCCCCCAATCGCTCCAAATTTGTTATATGCGTGAACATATGCATCTCATCTACACTCACACCAATTTTTAGACTCACCCATGGATTTCTGGGAGAAGGATGTGGGAATTTGTGAGATGATACCCCAATTTGGGACTTTTCACGTGCATGCTGCCTCTCCTCCGCTGCACCCTCTCATCCCTCGCCCATCCCCGCACATCAGCAATTGTTATTTCTCATGCCATACATCTGTCTCTTGTCTGGGATATCTTTCTACTGTTCTGCCACCTCCAGCACTGTTTAGATCGGCTTTCCGCACCGGACACGCGCTGCCCAACACCTTGAGGCAAATCCATTCTGGGAGCCCGGATTCTGAAGGAGTGTCACTCGGAAAGGTGCGTCCCAGAAATTAAAAGGAGTTTCTTTGACGTAGGGGAACTGTCTCATTTTTAGGTATTTTCTGTGCCCGTCAATGCACCCAGCCAACGCTCACCCCTTCTTCGATCACCACGGCCAATTCAAGCATCTATACCAAATGGTATAGTGCCAATCACCGCAGGTTATGTACATAAGGTGCGTACATCATTACAGAACCCAACAAACCTGTTTTTGTTGGATCTACTTCGCTGATCATGGAACACAGTAACATCGCTTCCCTGTACCCCAGCCTCAAGCCGACATTACGATGTCCGTGTGTCTCTGCAAGCTTGCAGTCAAGTCACCACTTGTCGGATGAACAAATGGGTGCACCGAGGGCTACAGTGACGCCTCAGCTATAAAGGTGAGTCTTTCCCTTGGAGCTCACACTGACAGTCTTTGAACAGTATTACCTCGAATCTGCCACCATGTCCGCATGCATCTCCTTCGACAATGACTACAGTGACATGCCACCACTGGAGGATATTTCCTCTGACGAAGATAGTGACGCTGTCGTCATCAGCGAGAACATTGACAACGGCACTCCCGAGGAAGGCGCTAAGCACGCGAAGGGATTCAGTGAGTGACTACTGAAGCAGATATGTAGTTTTAGTGGTGTCAAGAACTGCTGAATGGACGTATTAACATGAATATACCACGTGCAGAGCTGCTCAACCGCGTTTTGTGAGCCATAAACCACTCTTTGTCACTCATATCGCAGTTCATGCTAATTGGGAAAAATCCCAAACCATTTGGCGCCGAAAGTGTTTTTCCTGATGGTGGTCGAAGTCAATAATGCACACTATGCGCTAACCTCACTGTCCGCACGCTGCGACACAGAGCATCATGTCACGAGCCGCCACCTTGTGCGACCAGTTGGGGAGCGCCACACAATCATCCCCACACCCACCAACGAGTACATTGCACTGATCAAGGAATATCCGTCCCTGTTCGACAACGTCTACAACATGGACGAGGCGGGTGTGATGCTCAACAGGAAGAACCACTCCGAGCAGCTCATCGACCACAATGAGCAGGTCGTCGACCATGACACTCGAGGTAACGTACTCATTACAATCATTGTACAGTGTCTAATGGACTGGCCCTCCATCACGCATCATCAAGGTGAAGACAGTGTCGCTGAACAGGGGAAGGATGATCAACCCGCTCAGGGTGAGGTAAGTCTGATCAGCTTATCAGCTCATATCCTCTGACGTCGTGTTTCCTGTAGTGTCCCATGCTTGGAAAATGGGTGGACTAGTCTTGGGGGGAGTTAGTTGGAGGATGACTCCCAGCCTGAGCCTGCGACTTTGTAGCTCAACATCTCAGGCCACCGGTTTGCTCATTCTTGACCGTTATACCTCGCATTGCAAATACAATCTCTTCAAGTACACTTTGAGCATCTGTCTCTCACTGTATGAGTGCTGCCTTTGCACCACTCATGCTGTAATCTTATCATTAAGCTGCATCGTCTACTTAACTGGCTGCGTGAGAAGTTGGTTGACACATTCACAGTGATCTTCGCAAAACCTGCTTGTGCCGGGGTGCCCTTCCATCTCGGTATGATCCCGGATTACACGCCTGGGCTAAACATGACCACACAAAAACCCACCAGTTTGCAATTGAACCAACTATCTCTCCTTCCCTGTCTATCACCACCACACCGTGAACATGAGCCTCTTTCCCCCGTCCGCTCCTGCCAACTCCTCTGGCCAGCCTGCTGGTTTTATCATTGCCGGGCTGCCGCTTCTTCCCTCTTCCTCCGCCTCTCGTGCTGTTCTCTTCGAGCAAGTGCAGGATCTGCACATGATTGCGCAGGCCTGCATGGACCAGGTCAAGCGCGATTTTTCCTCCTGCAACTCAAGGACTGCGAAAATGAGGCCCTGCGGCAGAAGCTCAGAAAGCAGCAGAAGCGCGAGGAGAAGGAGATGGAGCAGAAGCGACAGGTCATTGCTGCTCACTCCAAGTCTGGGACTCAGCGGGAATGCACCACTCTCAAAGGTCGCGAGGAGGTAGAGTGCTTCCATGGACCATGACATACAGGGCCTTCGGCGCCGCAGGGACGTTTGCCATCTGGACGATCAATGGGACTGCGGCGCTGATGAGGTGCTGCAGCTTGGGGCCCTTGATTCACGTGGGGTCTCAGGCTTGCTGGGGATCACCACCACAAGGTCGGAAACTGGGGTCGGGGATGGTGAAGAGGAAGAGGTATGCGAGGATGTCTTTGCCAGACAGGAAGACAGTGTAGCTAGTCCTTGTGGGACGTACTTAGTGCAGTACATGAATGAGGCTCAAGTGGTGCGTTACTGCGCTGTCTCACCCAGGCAGGCAAACAGTAAGAATTGGTGTTCAAGTTGCGCCATCACGGTCGCGGACACCGTACAGCGGCAGAAGACTCGAGGAGTACAAGGTCAGGCATTCAATGCATATCATGATAACATTCTCACCACGATATAAGTACAACCGTTCGGAACGTGCTCGCACCAATCTACAAGCCCGGAGCAACAGGCACACCACGATTTGCGCAGAAGGAGTTTCCTGATGTGATTAGAATTCGAGGGCTGAGGAGGAGTCAGCATATGCCCTCTTGCTAAATAAATTGCTGTTACACACCAGCGTTGTTGTTCATGTGTCCGACCTTGAAGATCTGTTTTGTAGATGGGGAACCAGACACGCCTTGTTGCTGCCCGGATGCCCTCAGCTTCCGTGCATAGGATCACGCCTCTTCCATCACAGCTCTGAGGACAGCACAATCTGTGACTATGATGTTTTTACCCGTGGACTTGTCGACATCGGGTTCCTTCGTATATAACTGCGGCAGCAGGCTCGCCCGGCTCAGCTGGTGGCGGTCCTAGGGCCAGTAAGTACACTGAGTTGTCACAATGATCGAACACTGCGACTTACTGTCGGGGGAAGAGCCTTCCAGTGCTGATAGCACAGCAGGAAGCGCGAGAGGAACCAAGGCAGCAGGGTGGTGTAGTCCGTCCGAGCTGACACTGTCCTTTTGCATTTTTGTAAGTGTCTGTACCGAGCACCTGCACGGTTGCAAGCTGACTCAGAATGGCCTCGTTTTCCCTCACAAGCGACCACCAGTCGCTCAGATTCTCCAAGTAATGCAGTGTCACGTGCATATTGTTCCCAGCACTGCGTGTGGTGAGTGCCTCAAGGAAAACAGTGTTCAACTTTTGAAGCCTGAGATCAAGATGCAGATCCCCACTCGCTGCAAGCACTGTCTCGACCTCCATGGTGATTGCCCTTGGGTTGTGCCGGGCTAGCGGGTGTGCCGTGGGATCAACTGTGAGGACGGGTGCAGCGTTGAGGGGTGCGGCGTCGACAGCAGGCGCGGGGTTGACGAGCAGAGGGGGGCCAAGCGGGCTGTGGGAGACAGCATAGGTGATGTCATTGAAGCCATTGGGGACGGCTGTAACAGCATTCATGGCGTCGACAGCAGCAGGTTGCGGCCCAGTCACTCGCATGATCCACGACTGGTCTGCCATGGTGTGGGTTAGTGGGCAGCCAGGCAGCACTTTTAACCCTGCAATACTTGTTTGTAAGACTCCAGAAGGGCATCAACTGTTCAGTGCTGAATGCAGTACTGATGACCCTTACCAGTGGTGCACCCACGGCCTGCCATACAGGCTCTCAGAAGAAGCCTGGGTTGGACGCAGGCACGGCTCCTCATATCCTTATACCCCCATCCCCGTCTTGCCTTGCCCTTGCCTCGTAACCCCCTTCTTGCCCTTGTTCTCAGCCTGATGCTCCGCCCTCATCTTCGTTACCATGTTCATGACCGTGCCAGAGGGTGTCCCCGTGTGCTGGTGGCCCGCGGACCTCGGCGCGGTGACGATGCACAATGTTGTGGTCACCCTTGCGCTCGGCAACAGCCTTAATCCCATGATCGGCACAGCATTGTACACAACACGCTCGGTGTTGGTATCACTCAGTTGTCGTCGCTCACAGTTGTTGGCAGCTCGTATAAGACTGGGAAGCAGAGGGGCAGGACGACTGCACGCAACTTGCACGAACTGGAGGAAGCCGCCGCCGCCGCTACCCTCAAGGAGGCGGTTGATGCCCGTCTTCGTGCAATGGACGTTATGTCGCACAGTATGCCTTGCTCCCGCTCCCGCCGCAAGGTAGCCGCCTCAGTCATGAGCGACACAGTGGCCGGCGAACAGGCCTCAACGGTCGGTCACGCTGCTGACGCAGATGATGGTGCTTCGACCTCTCTCACCGCCGTCGCCGCGAATGACACTGGGACCATCGTGTAGCCTTCTATGGCTGATGCAGCTGCTCCTGCAATCATCAGTGCAGGTGAGTCTAGTATTGACATCTTCATTTCCATTTCATCTGTGTCTGACGTATATCCTACAGATGTCAACGCACTTCCTCACTCTCTTCCCGGTGTTAGCGCGCCTGTCGCTGCAGCAGTCTCTGCTCAATCTGATGTTATCATGTTTCTGGGGTGTTGTCGACCCAATCGCCTTCTCACCCATCTTCGCTTGCTTTGGCCGCACCCAGCGAGGACGTCATGCCGGAGCATCTTTGCAAGCCTGTGGAATTCGTGTCAAGGTCGAGGGGGGTGAGACTGCTCAGGTGGAGCATGTTGCATGCCCCAAGAACCCCCCGCCGTGTTGCAATCCTCCTCGCAAGGCGGTCCATTAGGTGTAGCCGAGTTACACATACAATATCTACGTCTATCATCTTCACGCTTGCTCGGTCTTCTTGCTACCTTGATATACCTTACCGCTGCCCTCGTACCAGCACGTTGTACCGTTCTTGATGTGGCTGCGCCTCAGGACGATGTATCGTACCTTGTTTTGAACATGCCGCTGACCCCATCTGTCTATATGTCAAGTACTGCTGTGGTATGCAATATATGATTATGATCTGTACGATGTGCCGTGAAATGAATGCAGCTGGCATGCTGCCTGGCTATGAGTGAACATGTGAAGATTGGGACTGATAACGTGTGTACTTCCCCTTTGCTGCTCTCTCGCACGTCTGTCAGTGTCTAATCTGGCCATCCTCCCCTCTGACGATTGTCTGACCTACCCAGCTACAACTAGGCGACCTCCGGTGCTACTCAGGATGGCCTTCCGTAATGGACACACCTGGCTCAGCACATCACGGCGGATACATACAGGGAGTGCTGATCTGACTCGGAAGGGGGTGTGCATTGCAAAGGTATGTACAGAAGCTTCGTAGAACTGTGTTGTGTTTAGGTACTGCTGAATATGTGCAGTGCTGAAGTCAATGTTGATCGCCTCAACCATTTCAGGCCAGAGGACAGCACACATCGTCGCAATTCCAGTATGGAGGTACGTACATCCAACCCATATTGTCATCGAACTCAGAAGCAATAGCTCTACTCGATCTGCTTCACTCATTGTGGCACGTACAATAACATCACTGCCAGGCTGTACCCCACGAGCCAACATTACGATGTATGTGCATCTCCGCAAGCTCGCAATCAAGTCGTCACTTGTCTGATGGACAAATTGGTGCACTGAGGCCTGAGGACTACAGCGATACCTCAGCTATAAAGGCAAGTCTTCCCCTTGGTATTCACACTGACAGCTCTTGAACAGTACCTCAAAGTCACTGCCATGTCCAGCCGCATCTTCTACAAAGACAAAGACATTCTGAGCGACATTTCTGACATGGACGACAAAGATAGCGAGTCTATCGATGAAGACAATGGGGTCAATAGCGAGTGGGAGGACATGATCAACAATGGCTCCAAACCCAAGGAAACCGAGAAAGACAACAAGGTATACGGTGAGTGGCCAAAGTTGAAAGCGCACTCCATGTGCTAATTCGACTGTCTGTGCATGACAATGAAGATGACTCGGACGCAGAGTCCACCAATGCGGACCACACTTCCACCAGCATGATTGAGCCGGAGATAGTTTCCCCTGTGGGACTTGATGTCATGCCCAGTAAGTCGCTCACCCGCTGCTTGCGGTCTTCACGCTAACTATTTTGCTGCTCTAGCTGAGATACTGCCTCCCGACCATCCTTTCGAGACCTTGGAGGAGCGCACTCTGATGGCCGTTGCCGTCCTCAAGCAGAGCAGCATCTGCCACAATGGTCTTCCCATCAAATCGATGTGCAAGGTTGCAGACCTGTATGGTATCTCGCGCTCAACACTCCAAGGTAGGTACAATGGATGACAATCGCGTGAGCTATCGCACGCCAGTCAGCGGAAACTCTCCTCGGGAGAGGAGAATGTGCTCGTTGCATGGATCAAGGAGATGGCCCGTCGCAGTGTCCCCCTCACCCAGCAACATGTCATCAACCACGCCAACGACATTCTTAGCCCCAATGCCCCCGTCGGGCCTTCTTGGTACAAGCACTTCCGGAAGCGCCACCCCGATCTGACCACACATTGGGCAACACAGCTGGAACAGTGCTGCGCGCAGGCCCTCAACCGCACAAATGTCGAGGGGTTTTACACGATGCTCAAGGAGCTTATTGACAAGTATCAGATTCCACCCGAAAACACCTACAACATGGACGAAAAGGGTGTCCAATTAGGTATTGGGAACCGCGTCAAGGTTCTCATTGACCGCGATCAGAAGGCCATCAGCAACATTGAACCAGGCAGTCGTGAACTCATCACCATCATCGAGTGCATCGGGGCTTATGGAACAGCACTCCCACCTTGCGTCATATTCAGAGCTAAGAAGGTCGCTCCAAGCTGGGGCAAGGTCAACCCAGTCGGGGCAAGGTAAGCTCAAAGTTTTATTCAGTCGATCCTTGTTAACTTTCCAATACAGTGTTGCATGCTCAGAGAACGGATGGACCGATCAAGATCTCGGAAGACACTGGCTCGTGAACAACTTCGAGCCTGCATCCTCGAAGCTCAACGTCTCAGGCCGCTGGTGTTTGCTCATCCTTGACGGGCACAACTCACATTGTACGTACACATTTTGCAAATTTGCTGCGGCGCACAACATCAAAATTATCTGCCTCCCCCCTCACACGACGCACGCACTGCAACCGTGCGATGTGGGTGTATTTTGACCACTCGCGAGTGCTTGGAAGAAGGAGGTGACACTCGCTCACCGTGAACACACTGTAATAACCAAAGCCAATTTTTTGTTTCATTATGCCACTGCACGCGAGCAGGCGTTTCACATGTCCACCATAGTTTCCGCCTTTCGGAAGACGGGACTTGTCCCCCTGGATCCTAGAGCTATCCCCGAGGATGCTTTTGCGCCTGTGCTAAATACGACCACACAAGGCGCACCGGTTGTGGCAAACCGCCCTAACTGCTTGGTTATCCCCATCCCCCACAGCTATGCTGCAAACATGGCCCTCCCCTTCACGTCTGCTCCCGACAATCCCTCTGGCCAGCGTGCCGGGTTCGTCCTTGCTGGACTGCCATCACCTCTCCCTCCCTCTGCTCCTCGCAATGACCTCGTTCATCTCGCCAACAATCTCCGCGCAATCGCGGAGGCTTGCATGGACCAAGCTCAGTGCCATTACGCCCTCCTCCAGCTCAAGGACCGCAAAAACAAGATCCTGCGCGAGAAGCTGTACCGGAAGCGTCACGGCACACAGAAGGACAAGCATCATACCGGGAGAGCGGGGTCGCATGGAGGCACCGCTAGACATATGACTAGCGGCGAGATCCTCCATCAGCTTGCCAAGGACAAGTTTCGCAAGAAGCTAAAGGATCTCTTCAAGCAGGCTGTACCGATCTTCAAGGAACACCGTCAGAAGATCACTGACTACTACCATCAGGAAAAACATGTTTGTCTTCTTCTGACATATTCTGCAGCTTTAAGACGTTAAGATTGCTTAAGCCAATGAAGCTCAAAATACACAAGTCTGTTTTATAAACAGGCGAAAAAAGTACTCATAAACCGATATATGGAGCATGATGTAATAAAAAGCATTGTACAGAGGTATCCACGCTTGTGCAACAAATGCGTGCTTAGTTGCACTTAAGCAACATGAAGTGTCAATGATGTGTCAGTATGCTTTGGCACTACAGTAGGTAGCTTGCTTATTTATTGCAGCTTCAGCTTACTTCGTTGCACTGAAGCTTGCATGGTATTTGTAGGCGTTCAAACTGCGTTCAGTACATATACAGCATAACAAACAGTACTGGTACATGCAACGATCACGAACAGACGATCAGCTACAGTGACTGGCGCTTGATGTAGCCACAGCTATATACGTATGAGTGAGGGACAGGAGTGATGGAGACGTCGATGGCATGGGATGGGGAATGGCTAGAGCTAAAAAAGCGAATGGCAAGAGCGAAAAGGAGAGCAAGGAGTGAGGGCGAGGGCGAAGGAGGCGTTAGCAGTGACTCGTAGTACTCAGGCATCTCCACCGTTCGAGGGACTGGCAGCGACAGCAGGTTCTGCACAATGTCAATGCCGAGAGATTTTTATAGATGCTAAGTTGCACTCACCTTCCCCAGGCTCCTGCAGCTCGTCTATCTCAGCTCCATCGCCATCGCCGTCGCCATCGCCATCGCCTTCGCCATCAGCGGCGCCCGCTGCTCCGTCGTCGCTGGCATTGTTGGTCGTTGACGTCGGCTTCCTCGACGTGCTGGGCGGCTGTTTCGCACTCTTGGATGGGCTAGGAGGGGTACGTATGGCCTTCGAAGAGCTGGATGGCTTGCCTGCGGTCTTTCGCGGCATTGATTTGCTCGCCTTCTTCGCTGTGCTCGACTTGCTGCTTCGAGGCTTGGACGCGCGCAACTGGAGCAGGGGGATGAACCCACCCGACTGCTCATCGTCATCCACAGACACCTCGAACGCATTGGGGCCAGCGTTGAGCCGAGTGCTGTATGCAATCAGTAATCAGAAAGTGTGCCAATATCTGTAAAATACCTGATGTGCTCCCAAATTACCTCTTGTGTCTCCTCAAGGTACTCCGAAGCTTTGGCTTCCAGAGTCTCTAGGATGGCCATAATGCCATCCCACCTACAATCATTAATATTCACTTTCTGTTAGTTGAAACCAATTAAACTCACTTTGCGGCGAAGTGCTTGTTGGAGAATGCGATGGGCTGATGCGACGTCACCTCCATCAACGCTGCTTCTATCTAGGTAATACATTTACGAGAGTAGTGAGTAAATACATTCAGTGTAAAGAAACCAATGCTTACTGCGTTGCAACAGACGGCGATGAGATTTAGCGGGACCTGGCTGAAATCCTCCAGCGCTGCATTGATACTAGCGTCTGCGCGTCTGGCCAAGCCATAGTACTGGTAGATGAGTTTGGGGATGCATTCGTTGCGGAACGGCTCCATCTGCTCGACCTTGGTGCGCTAGGACCGACGTGAGACCAACGTGAGTTCTAAGTGGTGTTCTATATTCCGTACACCTGTGCTAAGCACATACCTCTCGATCGAGATTCTTCTTCTTGCGGTCGAAGTGTAATTCGATGCCTCCGAAAACAAAGTTTGCGATGTTACGAGTGCGAGTGCCGTCGCTTACCGCCGTGGGATGCGTCTCCAGAAGCCAGACAGCGGCCTCCGATCGTTGGGCTACGGTGAGGCTGCCGAGCCTGAAGACCTGCTCGATCACTTGCTTGGCCTTCTTTTTGAGCTCGTTCCTCGTTTGCGAGGAGCACGTCCAGACCTGTAATGAAATGAAGTGTCCTACCTTCTCAAGGAATTAAGTCAACAATACTCACCACCGTGTATACCTTCCCCTGCATCTCTTCCCTCTCTTCGTTAGCCTCCCTCTGCTCCTGAACCTCCTTCTCTTCTGTAGCTGTTATCTCTCGGACCTGCAGCGACTGAAACACCTTCTTCAAGGTAGCGTTTGTTTTGCGATTCTTGCCGCGTCCCAAATATGCCTCGCGGAGGCACACTTCAATCACTTTGTCGCGGCGATGGAGCCGCTTGGACGTGACGGAATTCTCTTTCGTCCAGGCGGATTTGAGGGCGACATACAGCCGCAGACTGTTCTGCGCTGTCGACACCAGAGACTTGACGTCGGGGGGCAAGTCCGCGACCTTGACACGACTGCTGCTCTCGCGTTCACCGCCAGTCGCTTTGGCGGGAGCACACTTGCGTCGGGTCTTGGTATCAGACAGTACCTGTACATTGTGAATGGCATGTTGATGATGTTTAGTCAATTGTATGGCGGCACTCACTATTACATCACCCTCATCCGAGTTCTCGACTTCCGCATCCGCATCTTCATCCTCCGCATCTTCAGACCCACTGTGTGCACCCCCACCCTCAGCCCCATCGTCTTCCTCATCCTCGGAGTCACTGTCCTCTCCCTTGGCCTCTTCGACGGCCTCTTCCTCGACCTCTTCCTCGACCTCTTCCTCGACCTCTTCCTCGACCGCTTCCTCGGTTTCTTCCTCGACCTCTTCCTCGACTGGCGTGTCATCCTTGCGACTTGCTTTAGCCTTGCCCTTGTCCTGTCGGTTCTCAACAGAAGTGAGCGATATCGGATTCTGCGATGATTAGACTTACTTTGGCACTCGCCGGCGTAGCTTTCAGTTTGCCAGCTCCCTGTCTAGAGTTGCCGCTGGCGCCGGCAGACACGCCAGTGGTAGACTTGAGCTGTGTCGTCTTCTTCTTCAGCTCCCCTCCCTTGCTACCACTCACAACATTCTGCTTAATTTGACGTCTTCCTCCACCTATATAAATTTGGAAGCCTAGTCGTAATTGGTATATGTGCGATAGCACTTACTCAACATTTGTGCGAGGTCCTGCTCAGCGGGCTCCAATGCGGTCCCAGTCTTGGCAAATTTGCCGTACACTGGCTTCGGTTTGGCTTCGTACAATCACGACGACTGATTCAGCAGTGTCTATGAGGGATAATGAACCAACCACGTACGCCGAGACGCCTTACGCTGCTCAGCAGCAACATCCTCCATCTCAACGTCCTCTGGGTTGTCTTCAGCTGTCTTATCCTGCGCGTCCATGTCCTGCTCGTCATCTTGAACGGCTTGCTGCTTCTTCTTCTTCTTCTTGGGTTTTGGTTCTTCGTCCGCCGAGGACTCCTCTTCCGCCATCAACTTAGAAGCTCTCTTGCGTATGTCTACCACGCAGCATCAACCATCCCAGATAAATATTGTCGCGCAACTGCCAGCACTCACTCGCTGTTAGTTTCTCCTTCTCCTTCTCCTTCTCCTTCTCCTTCTCCTTCTCCTGCGCCTTCTTCTTAGCGGCTCCTTCGTTCGGCTTAACCTTCGCAGGCTTGGTGCTTTTCTTCGAGCCGCCTGCGGCTGCAGAAGCCTTCGTTGACCTGGTTGATCGCGTGCCGCAGCCTTGTTCGGTTGCGATCGACCGAGTGACGCGCTTGGTCATGACTGGACTCGAAAAAGGCGAAGAGAGTGAGAGTATAGATTGTGGTAAGAGGAAAGAAAATACGCACCTCTGATAGCCTGTGCTGAGACGGTGTGAAGTTCAACGATCGATGCACGTGTTGAGCTCGGAATTTATTCCGCATTTCTGCGAATTATTCTGAGCTCCATTGCCCTGTCCAAGTCGTGGAATGCGTCCTGGTGTGTTCTCCTTTATTCTACATGGACGCCATCACTATACCGTGCATACTGTACTTTTTCCGACGTCATTCCCTTCAGTCTACCATTTTCCATAATGTTTGCATCTTCAGGGATTTGAACCCCTGCACTCATCCGGTTTTTTTCACTGCTTTGTTGATTTCGACTTTGTGGCTGTTTCTGCTGTACAGTTATGGTCGCCTTACGTAACGCACACCGTAGACAGTCCGCCTCGTCGAGCTCTAAGTCCCTAAGACTTTACAGAGCTCGACTTAGGTGTGTATCTTCGCTTTCTTGAAAGACTTTACAGAGCTCGACTTGCCTTTGGAATTGCTCTGAGGCGCACTGCAGCCAACAGCACGGAGAAGTTCACAGAGGCCAAGCGCTATTCGCTGGTAAAGCGCTCATATTATTTTACAGAACATCCTGAGCGTAGTGAAGCAGTAGTAAGGCCCAGTGAAAATCGTACCTGCTGACTCGTATGCACCTGGGAGCAGATTCCGGCATAATGTTAGATGCGACTGTATTGCACTAGCTGCCAGAGTAATAATACATTTGTCGAGTGTCCATCCGCATGTCGCTCACGCCCTGCGCACCGCGCCCGCCGCCCGCATATCGCGTCCGCCTGTCGCTCGCCTGTCGCTCGCACCCTGCGCACCGGCGTGCGTTCCTCGGGCTTTGAGACATCCGGCTCCTGCTGAGTCAGTTCACAATCAAGCTCGTACTGGCCCACCCACCTTGTTCGCCTTGCGATGCGGCGACAACGCTGTCTTGCGAAGAGAGGCTGAGGGCGTGCGAAGAGCTTTGATGACTTTACGATGCGATTAGACAGAGATCGCACATATCCTGAGTCGATCAATGCTTACGCTGTGAGCGTCCTGAAAGCACAGCCACTGAGGATCTTCAATGAGATCTTTGAAAACCCTCTGGAAGAGGTACTGTTCGGGTTTGTTGTCGGTATTGAACCCGTTGCTGTGGTCTATGTGACAGCTGTCGATGTTGTCTGTGTGGCCGGTGTCTCTGTTCGAGGAGTTCGACGGATCTTCCGAGTCCGAATATTCTGTGTATAAATCAGCAGGGCTGAAAGGAAGACAAGACAAATCCTTACCGTGTGTTTGACCCCTGTTCTGACAGATTCTATATCGTCTACAGAGACGACAATACCCTCTAGACTGTCCTCGCGACCTAGGGTTGCTAGATGCTCAGTGTAGTTCAAATCTAAGGACTTGGCGCCGTCAGTGAGGTCTGCAGTGTTGTATACAGAGGAGATGTATGGCTGCAAGTTGATAGCCCCAGCTGGGCGACGGAGGGAAGACATGTTGTGTGCCAGGGGGACACAAGGCAAGAGAACCCTTCTTGAAGGATGCTTAGGTACGGATCCAGACTGCCTACCCTTGTGTGCCTTATACCTGGCAGCCGTTGTCATAGGCTGCTGTGCATGCCGTGGGAAGGGTGCATGGAGCAGCCCACTTCCCACACTTCCCACACCACCCTGCCAGGGTAGTAGGCCTATACTTGCATAGCGAGTTGTGTAGATTGCAAGGCCAAAGCCAAAGAGTCGTAGAGGTAGGACTCGCCTTTTCAAATCTATACGTCATCAGTGATGAACAATCGACAATCAATAATTGCGCATGGGTCGACTCACCTAAAACACAGATGCCAGAGACCAACACAGAGTCCGAGGCAAAGATGATGGGAAATGGTGAGACAGCACAGAGGAGCAGCGATGAACTACGGAAGGTGAGAATTTAGAAGGACACACGTCCTGACAGACTGTGGGAACACACGTTCTCCTACCAATTTCCATGGCGAAGAGAATTATGTAATGCAAGGGCAATTGAGTAACGATCTTCCAGGGCAGATCGGCGTAGTAGAGGGCCTGAGACACTCCCACATCTTGAGTTGTCTTTTCTCCCTTGCCCTTCAGTTCCGATATACGGTGAGTCTGTCCGTCCTATGGAAGTTTATCTATTAATGCAAGATAATGGACATAGATCATGGGAAAGAAACACTGCTCACTGGAAGATATTTTGTCAACGACTTGCTCAGCCTGCAATGAAGGCTTTGACACAATGCAAGGCCTCGCAGTGCATCAAAGTATGAGCAAGAAATGCGCGTGGTACAAAAGAGGAAAATTCAAGGAAGTGTTTGAGTTCGAGTATTCCGACGACAAAGATCCTTTGGTTGCAGATAGAATAGAAGGGTAAGTGTTGAGAATGTATGATCATGACGTTGAAATATCAACTTCTGCAGGTCAGCACAAAGTTATGACAAAAACGACAAGGGTGAAGGCAGAAGCAATCATATTCAGCACAACCAACATCGTTGTAGCACCCCTGTCAACCCCATGTTATCTTCGGATGAAGACCCAGAGGACGAGTCGGACCTGGGGTCCATGTATGACTTTATTGAGGTAGCTGTACCAAGACCGGAAAACTCCTCAAGTCCTGCTAGCTTGTCTTTGTCTCGCTCCAGAGAGAACACCCTCACCCTGGACGACAGCAAAGATACAAGAGTGGAAGATGTCGACTTTGTTGGCTGCAGTGCGCCTCAGAGTGATTCCAAAGTGTTGGCTGCAGTGCGCCTCAGAGCGAATTCCAAAGGCCTAAGTCGAGCTCTGTAAAGTCTTTTATATTCAGGAATCAAAGATACACACCTAAGTCGAGCTCTGTAAAGTCTTAGGGACTTAGAGCTCGACGAGGCGGACTGTCTACGGTGTGCGTTACGTAAGGCGACCATAACTGTACAGCAGAAACAGCCACAAAGTCGAAATCAACGAAGCAGTGAAAAAACGGATGAGTGCAGGGGTTCAAATCCCTGAAGATGCAAACATTATGGAAAATGGTAGACTGAAGGGAATGACGTCGGAAAAAGTACAGTATGCACGGTATAGTGATGGCGTCCATGTAGAATAAAGGAGAACACACCAGGACACATTCCACGACTTGGACAGGGCAATGGAGCTCAGAATAATTCGCAGAAATGCGGAATAAATTCCGAGCTCAACACAGTCCAGTCTTTCTAAGGCCAGTCCCAGTTCAGTCCCAGTCTTTACCCAGTCCATGGACTGGACTTTCTAACACTACCGAAAGGGCTGAGTGGAAAGAACAGTGGTTGACCATTAAGGATCAACTGGATGAGAGGCACTTCGACCGCAAGAAGAAGAATCTCGATCGAGAGGTATGTGCTTAGCACAGGTGTACGGAATATAGAACACCACTTAGAACTCACGTTGGTCTCACGTCGGTCCTAGCGCACCAAGGTCGAGCAGATGGAGCCGTTCCGCAACGAATGCATCCCCAAACTCATCTACCAGTACTATGGCTTGGCCAGACGCGCAGACGCTAGTATCAATGCAGCGCTGGAGGATTTCAGCCAGGTCCCGCTAAATCTCATCGCCGTCTGTTGCAACGCAGTAAGCATTGGTTTCTTTACACTGAATGTATTTACTCACTACTCTCGTAAATGTATTACCTAGATAGAAGCAGCGTTGATGGAGGTGACGTCGCATCAGCCCATCGCATTCTCCAACAAGCACTTCGCCGCAAAGTGAGTTTAATTGGTTTCAACTAACAGAAAGTGAATATTAATGATTGTAGGTGGGATGGCATTATGGCCATCCTAGAGACTCTGGAAGCCAAAGCTTCGGAGTACCTTGAGGAGACACAAGAGGTAATTTGGGAGCACATCAGGTATTTTACAGATATTGGCACACTTTCTGATTACTGATTGCATACAGCACTCGGCTCAACGCTGGCCCCAATGCGTTCGAGGTGTCTGTACATCTGTGAGTGCAAGTATGTTGACGTCATTCTCAGAGCCTCTTGCCTGGCGGGGCTGCTGTTGCGCCCGTCATCATTGCAACGGACAAAATGCAACTCACGCAATTCTCGGGCAGAAAATCAGTGTATCCGGTCTACATGACGCTCGGCAATTTTCGGGCTCTGAGACACAAGCCCTCCAAACATGCGTGTATCCTTATTGGATACCTCTCAGTGGACAAAATTGATTCCGATGGGATCACCAAGCGCAAGCAACACACCCTAGCACAGCAGCTGTTCCACACGTCGGTACACATTATTCTCGAACCACTTGTCGAGGCTGGGAAGAGCGGTATCAATGTTACCGGAGGGGATGGTGCGGTGCGCAGGGTACACCCGATTCTAGCCGCTTATGTCGCCAATTATCCAGAACAATGCTTGGTGACATGTTCCAAGTACGGTACATGTCCCAAGTGCCAACTCCCAGAGGACCAGCTCAAGTCGCCCTATGGAACCCGTCATTTCAAGAATGGAATCTCTGTTCTTTCTCAGGTCTCCGGTACTGAGCGCAAGTACATGGCACGAATATTACTTGGCTGCTAGGTCGGTAAGATCCCCAAGAACGCGATACTAGTGTTCCGAGCTATCCTCAACTTCATCTATCTAGCGCAATATTTGACGCACGACAAAACAACCCTGGGTCACATGGAGGAGGTGCTCTGGGTGTTCCACAAGAACAAGCAAGTTCTCGTCAATTGCGGTGTACGCGAACACCTAAACATTCTGAAATTCCATTCTCTACTACATTACGTCAACTCAATTCGCCTACTAGGAACAACCAACAACTACAATACCGAGGCGTTCGAACGTCTGCATATTGACTATGCAAAGAACAGCTGGAGGTCCTCAAATCATCGAAATGCGCGACTGCAAATGGTCAAGTAGCTCGCGAGGCAGAAGAAGATGGTTATTTTCAGCCCGGCTATGCGAAGACGACTGCAGAGGGACGATGATGAAGATGACATCGACGAGATGGCCACGGACGCAGCTGTTGGACACAAGGTTAGCATCAAACTACCAAAACACCCCACAGTTCCCATGCAATCCCTTGCACGTATTGAAGACAGACACAATGCACCGGGCTTCACAAATGCGCTGGCTCAGTATATCTACACACTCAAGAATAATTGATGTCTCACACCAACCCAACTCCTTACCGCCATCTCACACATGCCATTCGATCGAGTCAACGTATACCATGGATTCAAGTTTGCGCTGGAGCCCTTGACCAATAGCAAGGACGAAACCGACACAGTGAAGGTGCGCACTTCGATCGGCAAACAACCATGTTGGTTTGATACCGTTGTGGTATTGCAGGAGCAGGATGCAGAAGCTACAGGGTTGCAAGGTAAGTACAGTCTCTCACTGGCAAGGTGTTTTATGCTGATTTGCGCATTCTCATTCTGCCCACTGACAGGCACGAGAATCGGGCGTGTCCGAGTGATTTTCAGGCTCCCTGAGAAGATCAAAGACCCTCGCACTTGTGTTCCCCTGATGGCACCAAATTCATGGGCTGAACAAGGCCCATTGGCCTACATAGAGTGGTACGCTAAGGTTCCGTCTTCCGCTGACGCAATCCATATGATGTACTCTATTAACAAATCTCCCCTTCACTCTGCCGGTAACCCAGTTGCAGACATTGTTCCATTAAGTACTATACGCCAATCCTGTCAATTGATTCCTAGATACCCTGGATCTGTAGGTGACGCACCAGAGATCTTGCCACAGGAATGGAATACGGATACTATACTAGATGTAGCTTCGAAATTTCTACTGAATAATTGGGCCAGTTTGTATGCATACCAGACTCTGTGGTAATTAGTAGTAACAGTACTTACGAGTCTTTTGTCTCCTCTCCAGGAGACAAATGTAATCTTTGGAACAAACATCCAGTTTTATTAGCTTCAATGTACGTCTCAAACTTCGACTGAAGCTGTGGGTCCCCACTCAAAAATCTTCAGTGCACCATCCTCGATCTCAAATGGCCTTGAGCAGCTTCCGCCAGTTCTAAAGCAGCTTTTAGCCGCTTTTGCTCTCTATATTACTTCAATAAGTACCGAAAGTCCTGACGAGTACATCTGGTTCTTTGAAAGGATACATAAGTAACCTACGTTTTTCCAGATGTGTGGCCTCCAAAAAATGAAAAAAAGCTGATTGGGTATATTCTCAGTCACATATATGATGTGTCGTCTGTACATAGTATGCCTTCCCATACTTTCATATAACTATGGCACCATTTGACAAAGCACAATAAAAAGCACATGCCTCACACTCATTCTTTTACATTGTTTGTGTTTCCTGTGATGCTTACCAATTACCTATGAATTGTGTGAATACTGTCTAGTAGCTGACCTGGAAAGTTTGAATTACTTGTTGACTGTGCTCAGGCTGGACAAATGGCGGAGAATGAGATGACACCAACTCTATTCCCTCATGTGATAATTGCTTGGAGCATATCTAACCTCTACCATCATATTATAGGCTGATGTATTACCAGGTCCTATTGTTCAAGTTATGCAATGAGCCTTGGGTGATATAATTGGCAGCTCTTGGCTTGCTCATATGGGCAGGGAATGATTGTACCATGTATTGACGATGTCTATTTTATTGACGATGTCTATTTGTACAATGTCTACTGTCACTCAGACTTCCTTTGCTTACTAGGCAACCAGCAACAGACCATGCTTATAGTGGATTTCTAGGCAAATATCTGACTGTCCTTCTCTAGATCTCTAGTCAATAATAAGTGGCTTTGGATCACTCTCATTGGCAGTAACATTTCCCTTCACATGTTATCATAAAATGTCAGCTACTCATGCTGGATTCTTTGATGGTATATGGAAAGTCACACAATAACACCATAGACCCAGGAGTGAACACATGTGCCATTTTAACAGTGTTGTATATATCATGGGAGGGTTCAAGAAGCAGGTATTATTACACATGGTGCATTGTGGTAATATCTGGTGGAGTACCTGCCATTCCAAATAAACAGTAGAGAATCTGTATATATTGATAGGGTTTGAACAACAGCAATATGGTGGTGAATTGTGCATGCATACAAAAGAAGTAAGTGTCAGCCAGCAGATGAAACCAAAAGTTATCTAACAAAGGTTGAAAACCTTTGTGTCCATGGGACTTATGACTGGATACCATGACCATTGAGTAGGCATGACTGGAATACTGAGCAAAGGCAATAATGATTCCATGTGCAAGTCTCAGTGTAAGTATGTGCTCTTCACAGACAGTTTCCTATGAATATAGCAATAACACACGGTGGCTTACTTACTCAATTGTAATATTGCTCATGATGAAGCACTGAAATCAACAATGTAGATAACCAGGATGCATAGAGTATTTGGGCTGTCAGACAGCAACTAGACAGTGAAAATGGGAAATAATGAATTCTTCACGCCTCAATGTGTCTAAACCAATGGGATCGTACTGCCAGCCATGGCCCTCTCCAGCAAGTGGAGTATACGAGATGATTGCAGAACACTTACACATTGAAGCCAAATTGTTTACCTTAAGTATCACATTCAGCTCCTCGACAATCAGCCATTCTTCTTTGTCTAGTTCGTACTTCCGCAGCTTCAGGGACTTGTCAGCGGTGATCGCGTCAATGGTGCTGCGGTATTCAAGAGCAAACTTCGACATCTTGTACGTTGAGTTCCAGCGTGTCTTAACATCGCGGGGTATCTGGCAAACGGGGAGCTTGTTGGCTTGGCAGGTACATCACCAGGCTGGCAGCACGATCATGGTGGACTGTATCACAGCATATGCTAGCTGTCGAACCTGAAGGATATATTAGCAGATGAATGATGTGTGACAAATCTGGCACAGTGGCACGTACCTTCAACAATTACGATCCCTGAGGTACGAAGGTATCGTTCTTATGATGGACCACCATGAAACGCCTTAGCGATTCCTCCAGAATGGCAGTTTGTTCCCACAGTGCACGTGACATGCAGCCACCCCGATAAGCAGAGATAAGTAACTGTTAGTATAGGTTGCTTATCTGAGTCTGAAATTTCAGACTCCCAGACAACGCAACTTGGACCAACAGATACAAACAAATGCAGTGGCTAAGCGCTCAGTTATGGATATGGGGCCCATGAAACGCCTTAGCAACTCCCCCAATAAGGAAACTGGTGAACATATCATGTGACTGGCAGCTTGGTGGCTCAATGCTGCAAGCGCTCACACACTGTAGTGCCTATATAGTCTCAGCCAGTAACAAGGCATAGTATACATAGTATACTCATCTGATAGTCCTTCATGCAGAGAGTATACAGGGATTTTACTGAGTGCATACAGTGGCTGGCTAGGCCAGGAAATGCAAAATATCAAAATGCACATGTGCCTCTGCAGATTCAAAGTACTTGTTTATGGCTGAAATATGTTCTGTATGCACACTGTGATATATATGGGTGGTTTAGGCACTGTGTACTGCTCAGTGATTTCTATAACAGAGCTAACAAGGTCAACAATGGGTCATTTTACCATCCATTGCCATATTGTGGCCCATGGACACCATGTAATGACCAAAATTGGGACTAAAAGTAACCATGCACTTGTCTTTGATGTGTCTGTATATTTCATAGATTTTCTGGATTTTTCTGAGCCCCAGATTCACCAGTTTGTGTATGATTCCTCTTTGGGAAGGCAATATACTTCATATGGCAATTATGCAGCCACTGGCTTTGTCTTGCACACAGACGCAAGCACAGAATACATATATGCATCTATACTTACACTACCATCCTATGGGGTGTCCTCAACTACATGAGTAGTTCCTACAGTCAAGTAGCAGGCTTGTATGAATAAGCTCACTGAGGTAACATCAGTGATGTTACACAGTTATTGGAAATGCTGCCTTTATTGATGTCAAGCATATCTCATAGACAGATTCAATCACATTCCCTGGTCCATCTCCAATATTCTCTGATTTTGCGCTTTTTCCTGGGTCTAAATAAGCCCATATAAGCAGAGTAATAGTCCGCACTTGCATCGCTTACTAAGCGCGCGCTAAGCGCCCAGATGCCGTTCGGAGGTGCATCCGTGCGGAAATTTGGCACGGTTGCACCTCCGAACGGCATGAGAGAGATGCCGAGCTGCTCTGATTGGTGCAACAGCCCCTTTTCTGCCCTAATCAGGCAGGCTGCCGAGATTTTGGGCTGAGTTTGAATCTCAGCCACAGGCTCCTTAGTGGCACTGTACCTGCTGTACTGTGGCCCCACTAAAATGCGGAAAATTCCCAAAATAATCTATGTGATAGGTATGATGTCATAGAGTCTATAGCTGCTGTGACTTGCCCATTACCTTCAGTGGTTATGGCACAATTCACACAATAAAAAAACACACAAATGCCTCTGTGCACATGAGTGCATCCCTTTTCACCCTCAAAGTGACTCTTTTGAAGCCTGTAGACTGCCCATAGATTCTGTATGTCTTTATGACATCTGAAACCTGCCATAAAGGGTAGCTAACCTTCCCCAAATGGTAATACCAATGCAGCTGCTCAGTCTGGGCTCAGAAAATGCAGATAAAACCAGGGAAATTCTGTGCAACTGGACCCACTTGTAGTACCTGCTGTATGTAAGAAATTGATCCACTATAGGACCCCAGAGGCTATGACCAGTATGGCTTGCCCATGTATAAAATTCAAAATGCAGAGAAACACCCCTACCTCTGTAGACATGATTGGGTAGCATGTGACTGGGATACACTGACTGAGCTCCAACCAACTGTTATAGATATCATAAGCTCACCTCATAGCCCTTCATTCATAGTGTCTATCATAGTTTCTTGAGAGAAGTGGTTGAATGAGTAGCAAAATGCTAAGATAAAAAACAGAAGTGACTCTGTGAATATGCATTTGTTCTGTTGCATCTGAAACACATGACAGATGTCCTCTATGGCCAAGTGTATAGTGTCCAACACATTGATGTCTCTGAAACATGCACAGCAGTGCTACAAATGGAGAAATATTGTCATAGCAAGTATGTGTTGATGTCCCAGCACTGAATAACTATACAGGACAATCCTCTCTACTTGTGAATATGCTCATAAATGCTCCACAGATCTCCTGGAATATTATCCGATTTTCCTGGACTTTTCTGAGCCCAAAACAAGTCAGATTTGCTGCAGTAACAGGCTGAACTTACATCGCTTACTAAGCGCCCGTTTAAGCGCCCGTTGCCGAAGCGGAGTCGTCGACAGGCCGGAATTCCGGCCTGTCGATGACTCCGGTCACTCAAAAGGGATTTTGGAGCACTCCCATTGGCTGGACTGCTGACAAATGTTACCTTTTAAAGTAATCTTTCAATCTCAGCTCTTCATGCCGAGTTTTTGATGGCTTGAAGCCACACTACCTGAGCTCTTACTAGAGCCCCATTGAATGTGGAAAAATCCCAAAATATTGCTTCTCCATGGGATGCCCCTTGGGTACTGATAGCAGTGTCCAGATTAGGTGTCTTTGAGAGTACTGACCATCATAAGTGATGATACTGAGGCATATAAGCAGATCTTGGTGTGTGTATGATGCTTCTACTAGACAGTTCCACATGTATGAGAGGCTCTGTGAAGTGGGGGATATCAAACATACAAAACGGCCATATATGGTCAGTCCCCTGCCCATTTGGGAAGTTGGCCGTGCATGGCCTCTGCAGGACTGGATAAATAGCAGGAAAATCAGAGAAAAATCAGATAGTACTATGAATTCATATTGAGTTGACTGTTGAGGCTCCAATATGGCAGAAAACATATAATAATGCAGAATGACCCATGCATAGCCTGATGTAAGCCACTCTGTCAGTGAGTCTTGGTCCATCTTGTAAGCACCATTATCACCTGGAATTCCGGGGACTGGCAGCTCCAGACAGGATCCTAGGCTATTCTGTCTAGTTCAACTCTTCAATAGGCCCTGCAAAGGCAGGCTATTGGGCTGAGTTTGAATGCAAGCCACAAGCTCATTAGTGACAATGTATTTGCTGTGCTATGGTCTCCCAAAAAATCAAAAACAATTGGGAAAATTCCTAGTCATGTATATGATGCCAGAGAGGCTTTACATAGTATGCTTTCCCATAGATTCATACAAATATAGCACCAGCATATGGCTCTGTGAACACTGGTTCTTTCACATTGTTTGTTTTTCCTGTGATGCTTACCAACTGCCTATGAATTGTGTGACCAAACCTGCTATATGTGATAGCTTACATTCCCAAAATGGAAAGTCTGAGTTACCTGCTGTGTCTGGGCTCAGAAAATGCGGATAAAACAAGACAATACTTCGAATGATTCCACTCAGGCTCACCTTGTACTGTTTGCTGTAAGTAGTGATTGGCTATAGCATATTCAGAAAATGGTGGACACCTGTGGCACAAAGGCTGTGGCACAGTTCATGCTGAGCATGTTCATGATACTCACTCTGTGTCACATGTCAATAGCATAGCCATCAGAATTGTGGGTCCACAGATCTTTTTCACACTGTACTGATCCTAAAAAGTGATACAAAGACATTGTACAAGTTGTGTTATGCAGTTACTACTGTTGTGAGAAACTTCATAAACTAGCAATGTCATAAAGTGGGGCCACCACATTACCACACATAGTGTATCAAAGTCTTTGATGGTCTCTGCAATGCTAGATAAATAGTAGGAAATAAGATAAAATCAGACAATCCCATGACTTCACATTGTGCTGACTGTTGTAGGCCAATGCAACAGTACATCCCACATGTGCTAATGCAGATGCACATAGCCTGATGTCAGCAGCTCTATTGTAGCAGTCCAGTATAAGCATGTCTTTGACTAATCTTGTCAATATGAAGCAGTGCCATTTATATAGTATGATGGTGCTATGCTTGGTTGTAAGTCCCTCAGATAATTTTGCCTGGAAGATATCTAACCTCTGTATGCACTACCATCATCCTATTCTTATGCAATGGCCCTTGGTATGTGGAGATAGAAAAGGCAGCTTTCTTTCTGATTGGGCTCAGAAGAAGCCATGGTTGCTCTGGAAATAATGCAGACTTGCATTGCTTACTAAGCAACAGTGAAGAGGCCATACTACCATGGACTTCTGAGCCAATATAAGGCTGTCCTTTTATAGATCTCTAGTCAATAATATGATTTTGGGAGTACTCTCATTTTCTGCAATTATTTCCTTTTACATGTGATTATAAAATGTCAGCTACTCATGCTGGGTCCTTTCATGTTATATGGAAAGTGGAAAAATAACACTTTATACCCAGGTGTGAACATGTGTGATGTTTGAACAGCATTGGGAAGCATGAATATGTGGCAGTGTGCCTACTAGCACCCAATTTGGCAGTTGATCCTGGATGGTATCTGCCATGCCAGAGGAATGTCAATATCAACATATGGTGTCTAATCCAAATATAGTACCATTGTATGTGCACACACAGTCAGCCAGAAAATGACACTGGTAATTAATTACCTTGGGAGTGTCTGGAGATATAGAAATCCCTTGACTTATGACCAGAGTGCATGACCATTGATAACAGGCATTACTAGAATACCCAGGAGAGGCTACAATGACCCCATGTGCAAGTCTTAGTATGCAGGCTGTTGTTAGAACTTAGGGACAAGGCATTTTCACAAGGAATTCCACACATGTGATCTTTGAATAGGATAAGCAGCAGTTGTTATCATTCCCGCACTTTGTTATGTTTATTGATTTCCTTTTCATGGACTTCACTGTAGTATTCACAATGCCTTCTCACCACATTCAGGTGATCTTTTGTTCCTCACATTGTCATGCTTTGTAGCACTTCATTGTGTATGTACTGACTGGACTATTACCAGGCTCCTAGTACTTTCCTTAGGCCCCTTGTGACCAGATGATCTGAAAGCTGTTACTGGGTGACTATTAGCTCAGAATATTGATGATAATATTCCAGCTGGTAGGCAATCTATGAGTGGCTCATCAAGCTGTACACTATTTCTGAGTTTTCATAGGGCTACACTAGTGTTCAGGTTAACATCCATGTGGTCCCTCATGTTTCACAGAGCACATGCTTGATGATCAGTGGCAATCATTAACACACATACCCTTGCCTTGCTTTTTCGCTACTTTTTGAGCCTTATTGTGCATCTTGAATGGCCTGGGAAAGTGGTGGACTGAGTCTTCTACTATTTCGATTCTATGAAGTATTTATGTAGCTAAGGGGAGTGCACTTGGGAAATGCTCAAAAGGAGCATCCCTGTGAGAAGTCCAAATATTCATCTCATCTACCACTTGCTTCTGTACTCCTCTGTACCTTCAATCGTCCCAGACCTCAGTGATCAATCCTGCCCATGACTCTATCAGTCTTGATGGCACTCACCATGGTGGTACAGTGATTCACATCATACATGAGCCCATTACTATTGGCTTGGAACTGTGGGCTGAGCTCCAATCCAGTAACATACCTTAGTATGGCTTTGTACTACTGGTCAGTGCCTGGTAACTGTTCACTTCAGTGTACAAATGGTGAGAGCAAACTGGACAGTCTTTGGTTGGATTCCTTGTATAACATGACAATTCTGGAAGGGCCTTTTTTCAGAATCCCTTACTGGTATACTTATCTGTCTATTGTTGATTGGTTTGTACTTGGGGAAGTACTGTCAACAATCTATTGAAAGACATCTGCCTGTATCAGAAGTTCTTTCTGATCAAGGGCTAATACTTGCACAACAGCAAGTCCCAGCTGAGTAGTTGTTACTGTAGTCAACCTCCCAGATTCCCCTTCCTTGAGTTCTAGTTGATCTACAGGCATACTTCTTTGCAACATTTCCAAGCTATTTTCTCTTTGTTGATATCAACACAAGCCAGTGATACTGTTCATTAGTATTCTGATAATATTGGTTGAAACTTGGCTATTCACCAAGTAAGAAACAGATCCATAATGTCTGTATTTTCAATGGAGAGTCTCATATGGAAATGCAAATACTTACTCAATTGGCATGTTGCTCATAATTGCAAACTATGATCCTCACATCAGAACAACATCATAAATTAGCAGGCTACTCTAAATGTTTATGCTATGAGATGGCAGCTGGATGGTGCAAAATGCGGAAGATATGTCAGTACTCTATGCAGGCAATATACTAGCAGTCTTGCTGAGCTTAACTTCTGATGTGGTGAAAATGATTTGTTCACAAACTGACATGTATCCAACAAAAGGGATCGTACTGCCAGCTATGGCCCTCTCCCCAGCAAGTGTGGTTCGGACTTCAGCTGTCTGTTCGAGGATCTCTTCCTTGGCCGCATCTGAGATGAGACAATTCATTGCATTAGTAACCTGATTATGAGCCAAATCTGTGGCAGGTCTATGGGTATGTACACACCGTGGAACACCGCATCACCGCAATGTGGGTATGCAGTAGTTGCAGTATGGCCGGATTCATACACCGCACCTGCACCTGGGGATACCTCGGGTATGTTACCGCGGGTGCACCTGATACCCATGGCCTTCCTTAAGCACACACATGGTGATATCATTAAAAGTGCATACTCTAGCTCACCAAGCCACATATGCACTGGATATCTCAATATCACACTGTCTGAAACCTGAAACACCAAATGTTGTGCTCTAATTTCAGGCAAATCACTCCAAGATATCATAGAGTCAATACAGGTAACACCCAACATGGTAATGTTACTACTGTATCTTGAAAGCTGACTGGCAGCCTTGTGGGACCTGTAGTTTATTTAATATTGACCTTCCATTTCACAGTACTTTAAGATAGCTGCACCATGGTCCTCCAATTTATTGGGAATTTATGCAACTTTTTTGGGCCCAAAACAGTAGGTTTTGTCCTCAGAATGAGTATTCTGCACATTTTTGACCGCTTTTTTGCAGTCATATGATCAATGATGTGGGGTCGCAGCACTACAGCAATAAAGCACTGCTGCAAGTGCTGTGACCCCGCATCATGGATCATGTGACTAGCTGGACACAGTGGCCATCATGCCTTTTTTGGTGCAACAGAGATATGTATACATACCCAGCGATATGTAGCTAATTTTAACCAGGGAAATACACATTCCAGGCAAGTTATGGGAGGGCTTTTGCACAAGAAGTATCACAAAAGCTCACATTGCCCTAAATGGTGAGTAACCTTCCCAATCCAGTAATTCTCCATAAAGTGAATGTCTGGCAGTTCATAAATTGCAGATAAATCAGAAGGTATTCATAGAGTACTATGGGATGTTGATGAGGCCTGTGATGTTTACAACATGTTACCATATATGGAAGGTAAGCAATAATATCATGTACAAGCATAAAATCAGCCAACCTTGCCCATTCTCAGCTCTGTCATGGCACCATAAAGCATTTTCATGATGTCTGACACACATGGCTATACTGTATGGGTCATGTGCTCCATATCTAGGGTGAAAAAGAGCACTTTGAGTTCTGCAAAGTCACTTGTGTTTTGTTGGTATTTTGCATTTTCTGGCCTAACTTGCCACTATTGGGGCCCAACAAAATTACTGTAGACTCTATGAAACAAGGGCTACAAGTTGACTATTTAACTGCCATATCTATATGTGGGTGCTTACTGTTGCAAAAAGTGATTGAATACATTGGAGTCCAGTGCCACTGGTCAGGTCACATGCCATGTTCACCACTTTCCATATTGGTCTCCAAGCTAGATGTTACAGGAGCCCCAAGTCCATGGGGAATGTCAGCCACAGCGTTTGTTTGGGTGTGTTGGTGCAAATTGCATCGTCTGGGAGTCTGAAATTTGAAACTCAGCTAAAGTGACCATAGTAAGTGTTACTTATCTTAGGTTATCTGGCACTCAAATAGTCACATGCACTGTGGGAAAAACCTGCCACATTGGGCTCCATGCTAAGTGTTACATTCTCTCCAGTCATGAGAATGATTTCTTCATACCTCAGGGATCATAACAAGCTGACACTGGATACAAACACACCATGAGGCACTTTGACATCTGCAGAGGCACATGTGGATTTTTTTATTTTGCATTTTCTGGACCAGCCAGCCACTCTAGCTACTCAATAATGATAGTGTATACTCTCTGAATGAAGGGCTATTAGATCAGTATACTAAGTGCACTACAAGTTGTTCCTAACTAGGGCTATGGGACAGCCTATAAGTGTGAGCGCTAGCAGCAGCATGCTCCCTGGCTGACAATCATGTGATATGCTCACCAGTTGCCATATTGGGCGCCACTGGAAGTGTTTCTTGGGCCCTCACCCCAGGACAAAGCACTGAGCCACAGCATTTGTTTGGTGGTGTTGGTGCAAGTTGTGTCGTCTGGGAGTCTGAAATTTTTGAACTCCGCTAACTGACCATAACTAATGTTAACTATACATCGTAAGCTGGGGGCAAATGACTGTACCTGTGGGAAACAACTGCCGCATCGGGCACCATCCATCATAAGAATGATACCTTCGTACCTCAGGGAACGTAATCAGAAGTCCAATGACTAGGTACTGTAAGTGTGGAGATTTCTAAAGAAGTGAGGGAGGGAAACCGAGGTATTAGCTGACAACTCTGGTGTATACTACTCAAAGGGATTATCTCGCTGGAGGGTGTCCTGTTAGATCGAAGCAGCATTTTGTTAACATTGTACATGAGATGTACAGGATCAGCATGAGGGGCGAGTTTGGCATACCACTCCACGTACGCAAGAGGCCCCTGTTCTGCCCATTTGGACAGCACAGGGACCTCCTGAAACGTGTGCCTATCGCAAATGGTCTTGGGTAGGTGGAAGACCACACGTAGCCTTCCAATTTGTGTCCCTGTTTTGAGAGCTCATTTTCAGCATGACACAGACATAGACTTTGAAGGAGACTAATCTTGTAACCCAGTCGCCTCCCCTTCTTCCCCTCAAAGTACAACGACGGTGTCAAAACGGTCAAAACGGGCACACTGGTCACCGCGCACAGGTTTGGCCTTCACTGTGTCGTCCTCCAGCTGGTCATCCTCTAAAGATCCAGTGTTGAGCTTGAAACTGTGGAATACATCCACATGCGCAAATCGGAGGTAAGTTGCAGCCTTCTCTGCTTCACAATTGGTGAGTGTACATCCCAGTTTCAGAGTGTAGACGTGTTGCGATAGAGCTTGCGTGAAACCCGGTGCAGCGTGTGCTTCTTGATTGGAGGGTAGGGACTGCTGGCAAACAGACGGTTGCACAGCCAACTTGATTCCTCTTTTGCCACGACTACCAGTATGTCCACCTGCAGTAGTACTTGCTTCGTCCAAGGGGCCGCCGTCGTCTTCATGTAACTGATTGTAAGCAGCAATTTCTTCTTTGGCAAGTCACTCCTGAAGGACCTTGTACGCGGATATCTTCTCGCAACACTCGAGCCACCAAACCATCTGCAGACAAGTGTCGCGGTGGTTAGAGGCTTGCCAGGCCTTCTTGGGGCAGTCTATATGGAGATGTTCAAACATTTCAGTATTGTAATTATCTGTAGTACCGAGAGATCAAATGGAATCAACGTAGTGTTGGAGCGAATGAGATTTAGGTATGTTGAGGTGCTCATGAATGCTGAGTCCCTTCAAGACATGCTTGTTCTTGTGGTAGGTTTTCAGAGTGTCCTCAAGGTACGAAAGGGTGGTATCATCATGCGTGGGGTATTGGGCAATGTAGATGAAGTCAAGAAGCATGCGGAAAGTAAGGAGGGCGGCCTTTGGAATGCGCCCAACGAGACAGCCGAGCAGGATGCAAGCAATGTCCTTGCACTTGGAACCGGAGACCTGAGAAAGGATGGATATGCTGTTTTTAAAATGAGGGGTACCGTAGGCAGGGGGTAGGCATCGTATATGATGCTCCTTCTCACCAACGAGTTCTGTGCTCCACTCCACCAGATGTTTGAATACTCCCTGGTAGTGATGCAGGAATGAATATCTGTGAACGGAAGGTCTTGCCAGAACGGTTTGACGCAATAGCCTGAGACGTTGAATTCCTTGCATGCCTTCACAAAGGGAGCAGAGTCCCTGGAGCACTTTGAGTGTGCCTTGCACAGAACATCCAGTGTCCAGATCTGTGTGCGAGGCGTACCGGGAGAGGAATCGTCCAGCGTGTTCTCCGGGAACTGGCAGTGTGGACACCCGTACTTGCTGGGGAGAGGGCCATAGCTGGCAGTACGATCCCTTTGGTAGGAGATATGTCAATTTATGAACAACTTCATGCTGCCCGCATCAGAAGTCATGCTTGGCAAGACTGCTAGTATATTGTCTATGCATAGAGTACTGACATATCTTCCACATTTTGCACTTCAGAGTAGCCTGCTAATTTATTATGTTGTTGTAATATGAGGATCATAGCTTGCAATCATGAGCAACAGACATTATGGATCCAGTTCTTACTTGGGGTTTGTATTGATAGTAACATAGAGCAAATAGCTTGGGAATGTTGCAAAGAAGTAAGGAGAGCCTCTAGATCAACTAGAACTCAAGGAAGGGGAATCTGGGGGGTTGACTACAGTAACCACTACTCAGTTGGGACTTGCTGTCAGTGCTGTTGTACAAGTATTAGCCCTTGATCAGAGAAATTCTGATACCAAGGGATGTCTTTCAGTAGATTGTTAACAGTACTTCCCCAAGTACAAACCAATCAACAGTGGAGGATGGAACCAATATATAGAGGAGAAGTATACCAGTAAGGAATTCTGAAAAAGGCCTGTCAAGAATTGATGTGTTATACAAGGAATACAACCAAAGACTGTGCAGTTTGCTCTCACCATAAGTGAACAGTTACCAGACACTGACCAGTAGTACAAAGCCATACTAAAGTATGTTACTGGATTGGAGCTCAGCTCCTGAGTCAATAGTAATGGGCTCATGTAGTACAATGTGAAGCAATGTATCACCATAGTAAGTGCCATCAAGACTGATAGAGTCATGGGCAGGATTGATCACTGATGAATTGAAGGTACACTGGCATAAGAGTACAGAAGCAAGTGGTAGATGAGATAAATGTTTGGACTTGCTCATAGGGATGCTCCTTTTGTGCATTTATGCACAGCCTTTTAGCTACATAAAATACTTCATAGAATCCTACAAAATAGTAGAAGACTCAGTACACCACTTTGCAAGGCCATTCAAGATGCACAATAAGCTCACAGGCTCATTGTAAGGCAAGGGTAGATGTGCCAATAATTCTCACTGATCATCAAGGATGTGCTCTGTGATTCATGACACACCACTTGCATGTTGTCCTGAAACACTAGCACAGCCTTATGAACACTCAGAAATAGTGTACAGCTTGACAAGTCACTCATAGATTGCCTGCCAGCTGGGATAATATATCAATAGATAACATAGTCTGAGCTAATAGAACCCCAGTACTATCTTTCAAAGCATCTGGTCACAAGGGGTCTAAGGAGAGCACTAGAAACTTGGGTAATAGTCCAGTCAGAACATACACCAATAGGTGCCACAAAGAATAACAATGTGGGAAAAAGAGATCACTTAAATCTGGTCAGAAGGCATTGTGAACCCCAAATGAAGTCCATTAAAAGGGTCTAGAATAAAGATAACAAAGCCCAGGAGTGATAACAATTCCTGCTGACTACCCTATTCAAAGACCATATCTATGGAATTTCTTGTAGAAAAAGGGTTTTCAATGCCTTGTCCCTAACAACAGACTGCATACTAAGACTTGCACATGGGCCTTTCCTGGGTAATCTAGTAATGCCTACTATCAATGGCCATGCTCTCTGATCATAAGTCCAAGGATTTCTATATCTTCAGACATACTCCCAAGATAATCACCAGTGTCATTTTCTGGCTGACTGTTCATTATTTTGTGTGCACATACAATGTATGGTATTATATTTGGATTAGACACTATATTTCTCATGTTGACATTCCTTGGGCATGGCAGATACCACCCAGGATCAACTGCCAAATGGTGTACTGGTAGGCACAGTGCCACAAATTTCCAATGCTGTTCAAATATCACACATGTTCACACCTGGGTCTAAAGTGTTATATTTCCACTTTCCATATAACATGAAGAGACCCAACATGAGTAGCTGATATTTTATCATCACATGTAAAAGGAAACAGTTGCAGCAAATGAGAGTACTCCCAAAGTCATATTATTGACTAGAGATACATAAAAGGACAGCCATATATTGGCTCAGAAGTCCATTGTAATATGGCCTCTTCACTGTTGCTTAGTAAGCAATGCAAGTCTGCATTATTTCCATGGCAACCATGACTTCTTCTGAGCCCAATCAGGAAGAAATCACAGCATACACTGCACAAACAGACACCACTGTCAATACATTTTTGCCCATATGAACAAGCCAAGAGCTGCCTATTCTATCTTCACCTACCAAGGGGCCATTGCATGAGAATAGGATGATGGTAGTGCATACAGACATTAGATATGCTCCAGGCAAAAATTATATGAGCAATTAACAACCAAGCATAGCACCATCATACTGTATAATTGGCACTGCTTCATGTTGATACAATCAGTCAAAGACATGCTTATACTGGACTGGGACAATAGAGCTGCAGACATCAGGCTGTGAACTCTGCATTAGCACATCTGAGATGTACTGTCATGCATTGGCCTACAACAGTCAGCACAATATGATGTCATGGGATCATCTGAGTTTATCTCAGTTCCTACCATTTATCTAGCATTGCAGAGACCATCAAAGCATTTGATCACCTATGTGTGGTGTCCCTACTTTATGACATTGCTAGCCTATAGACTTTCTAGCAACAGTAGTAGATGCACAACACAACTTGTACAATGTCTTTCTATCACTTTCTAGGATCAGTACAGTGTCATAAAGCTCTGTGAACCCATAATATTGATAGCTATGCCATTCACATGTGAGACAAAGCCAATATTATGAACATACTCAGCATTAACTGTGGCCTTTGTGCCACAGGTGTTCACCATTTTCTGCATATGCCATTGCCTGCCAAAGGGTGTAGACATGAGCCAATCAGTACTTATAGCAAGCAGTACAAGGTGAGTGGAATCATACAGAATATTCCCTTGTTTTATCCGCATTTTCTGAGCCCAGACACAGCAGATAACTCGGACTTTCCCTTTTGGGAAGGTCAGCTACCACATATGGCATGTTTCAGGTCTCATATAGCCACACAATCCATAGGCAGTTGGCAAGCATCACAGGAAACACAAACAGAGTGAAAGAACCAGTGTGTACAGAGGAATATGTATTTTATTTTGCTTTGTGAATGGTGGGTGCCATATTTATATGAATCCATGGGAAGGCATACTATGTACATCCTCTCTGACATCATATACATGACTGGGAATATTCCCAACTGTTTTTTTGGGAGACCATAGCACAGCAAATACAGTGTCACTAATGAGCTTGTGGCTTGCTCTAAAACTCAGCCCAATAGCCTGCCTTTGCAGGGCCTATTGAAGAGTTGAACTGAACAGAATAGCCTAGGATCCTGTCTGGAGCTGCCAGTCCCTGAGAATTCCAGGTGATAATGGTGCTTACAAGATGGACCAAGACTCATTGAAAGAGTGGCTTGTATCAGGCTATGCATGGGAAACTCTGCATTATTATATGTTTTCTGCCATATGGCCTCAACAGTCAACCCAATACAAATCCATAGTACTATCTAATTTTTCTCTGATTTTCCTGCTATTTATCCAGTCCTGCAGAGGCCATGCATGGCCAACTTCCCAAATGGGCAGGGGACTAACCATATATGGCAGTTTTGTATGTTTGATATCCTCCACCTCACATAGCCCATACATGTGGAACTGTCTTGTACAAGCATCATACACACACCAACATTTGCTTATATCCCCAGTATCACCTAATCTGGGCACCCTTGTCAGTACTCAAGGGGCATTCCATGGAGAAGCAATATTTTGGGTTTTTTCTGCATTTAATGGGGTTCTAGTAAGAGCTCAGTTAGTGTGGCTTGAAGCCATCAAAAAACTCGGCATGAAGAGCTGAGACTGAAAGATTACTTTAAAAGGGAACATTTGTCAGCATTTCAGCCAATGGGAGTGCTCCAAAATCCCCTTTGAGTGACCGGAGTCGTCGACAGGCCGGAATTCCGGCCTGTCGACGACTCCGCTTCGGCAACGGGCGCTTAATCGGGCGCTTAGTAAGCGATGTAAGTGCACACTGTTACTGCAGCACAATTCACTTGTTTTGGGGTCAAGAAAATGCGGATTAATCAGATGATATTCCAGGATATATGTGGAGCATCCCTGAGCATATTCACAAGAGGAAAAGATTCCCTATAGGGTCATTCAGTGCTGAGACATCAAAACATGCATGTTATTACCATTTTTCCCCACCAATAGCTGTGCTGTGCAACTTCCAGACACATCCATGCATTGTAAACTATGCACATATCTATACAGGTCATAGGCAATGTGTTTCAGAGACAACAAGCCATTCATATCTGCACAGTCACTTGTGATTCTCTAAATGTTGTCCTTTGTTCTTCATTCCTCCAATGTATGATTAACCCTTGAAATGATGGGCTATCGAATGAGTTTATCATCTCTATAACCTCTATAAGAGTTGATTAGATTTCAGTCAGTGTATCCCAGTCAAATGCCACACATTCATGCATGTGTTTCTCTGTTTCCTGAATTCCAAACAACTGGGCAAGTCATACTAGTGATATATTGTGGGGGCCTCCATACAAGATGAATTGCCTTCATATACAAGGCAATACAGATGAGTCTGATTACACATAATATTCCCTGATTTTATCTGCATTTTGTGAGCCCAGACTGAGCAGGTTAAGCAAAATTACCAATTTAGGAAGGTCAGCTACCCTATTTAGCAGGTTTGAGATGTCAGAGAATCTGTGGGCAGCATATAGGCTTCAAAAGAGAGACTTTTGAGGTGAAAAGGGATGCACTCATGTGCACAGAGGCATTTGCATGTTTTTTTGTTTTGTGAATTGTGCCATGACCAGTGAAGGTAATGGGCAAGTCACAGCAGCTATAGACTCTATGACATCATACCTATCACAGAGATTATTTTGGGAATTCTCCGCATTTTAGTGAGGCCACAGTAGGACACCGGACAAGGCACTTATATGTCCGATCCGAAAACCGCGGATTTTGGGCCCTCATGTCCGCACGATTTCGCCCCTGTCATGTCCGCATCAGGATAGGACCTACCTTTTAGGGGTGCTTTATGGCCGCATGACGGATCGGACCTCAAGAAAACGCAGAAAATCGCCAAAAAATCGCCAAAAAATCGCTACGTGCTGTACAACGTACTACAGACCGAGAAATCCTGCGCAGAAGCTACGACGCACTCTCGTCGCTGTCAGAGCTCTCTTCGAATCCATCACCAACCATCTGCAACACTTCAGTCGGGTTAGCTGCACTTGCCGCCGCAGAAGCCGGTGCAACTGGTTTCCGCCGCGGGTTCAGAAGCTGGCAAAGTGTCTTGACTGCCCTACAAACGTCACTCTTCCGGTTGGTGAGAGTCCTCAGGAGTTGGGACACGCGTGCGCCAAGTGCAACAAACTCCATCGGTGAAGCATCACCGAACTGGAGTGCCTGTACTGTTATGTCTCCCGAGAATGAACTGAGGGACATGATCAAATGGGTCCGTGGAATGCGCAAGAAAGTCGTCGCCTGGATTTGAGGCTGTGTGATAGAGGTGTAAAGGGAGCCTTGAAGAACCGTGTAGACTTGCACCATCACGTAGGACACTGCCCCAATGCTATGGGCAGATGCTGTCCAGTCGTGCTTGGCACCGCGCCCATCGCTCTTGGCATATAGAGTCATCACTGCGAGTGACATGGACAGTAGTCAGCTGGTTGCCAGTGATGGACTCATAGGAAATACGTACCTCGGCCAATCAATATCTCCTGTGCTGCGTCCGCACGAGGGTGTCGTGCCATGACAAAATCTCCGCTTGCAAGCGGACAAAGTAAGTTGATATTTGCAGTAGCTATTGTCTCGTGTATATCCTGCAGTGGCAGAAATGCCTGTTGACGCAGTAGTCCGAATTTCTGGTTTGTAATTTAAGCATTGTTCGCAGATACAGTGTGCGTGTCAATGATAACATACCGTCGCCGAGACGTCTCGTAAAGTCTGCTTGTTTATCGCGCGAGTATCTGAGGCATGACTCGGCATCACAAACTGCCCAGTGTGTCGAACGTGGCGATCAGCACCGGCAGTTGTACTTGGCAGTGAGTTCTCGATGCTTGGACCCAGTGTCTTGAGTCGTCGCAGAAGTTCGTCACGTAAATTTGGTGGTCTGGCACCGTTGGGCTCTTCAATGCTATCTGGAGTCGAGGTATGATTACTTGTATAACAACGTATGGCCTTGGCTGTAAAAGCTGTCTGGTGACGAGTGCGCTGGGCAACGAGATCTGCGTTACGAATACGGCATGGCTCAGGGGTCATGGACACAAGCTGCAGTGTGTCTGTGGCACAACTCGGAGGATTGCATACTGTTTCGCCAGGGACGCTAACACCACTCTTGGCTGCGGGTGTCGATTGAGAGGTTACCTGTGAGGCAATACTGTCCTTGATAGCCAAAATCTTGGTCTCTTGAGCATCCGGTAGATTTGATCTGATGCCAAAGCGTACGAGCTCGTTAGCAATCAGCATATTGCATGTACAGAGTACATACATAGCCAAGCTTCGATCAGTACTCTCAGTGACCAAGGCAGCCACACACTTGTCGAACTCGCTTTCATCGGCCTGAGACTGGAATGAGGTATGGTCGTACAGAGCAAGTAGTTGTGCGAGTGTCTGCGGCTCTCTGGGTCCACTTGCAGATTGCGCACGAGAGGCTGACTTGGTTTTTGGACCTGGTACCGGGGCTTGATAGTCACGTAGCATGCGCGCAGCATCTATTCCAAGGACAGCAAGTAGTTGAGATGCCTCCTCATATGCCGCATTTGAAGCACCTCTCAGCTCGCTATCCGTAGGCCACATCAGGAGGTTCTTGAGGTCAAGGTCGTCTGCACTGTAGTACGTGTGCGCATAGCCTCCTGCCGTCCGGTTAGCCTGCTCTTCAGGTGAGATGTTTGCGAAGTCGCCAAGGATCAGGATTCGTAGCTTCGGCTCCAAGTGGATCATGTCGATGTAGGTGAAGTCTTTCTTTAGTGTGCGCAGGACACCAAAGGTATGTTCAACAGGCGAGGTGGAGTGAAGCCACGGGAGGAGGGGATAGGATGGGTACCAGAGGCGATAGATCAAGATCAAGGAGAGTAGGCTGTTGCACAGCGTGAGGAATATGTCATAGGATTCGTGCGAGATGAACTGAATGTGGGGCGAGTATTCGGGATGATGATCAATGAAACTACGCCACACCATTAAGAAGAAGCGCATGCGCAAGACCATCTTCGCGCGTTCAAGATGGGTTACATTCCGATTCAGCCACGCATCAATACCTTCACCAAGGACGAACATATACGTAGATAGCGCGACCCTCTCAGGGAACAGTTGCAGATGCTGCGAGAGAGCTTCGGCTGAGAAGAAACGGGCAGCAGCTCGGTCATCTTGCTTGTCGACCTTCTCGACATTGCGACGGAAGAGTGGAGTGTGAGGTTGTATCGCAAAGTCACGGACTTGTGCGAAGTATAAAGGATGATTTCCAGCGGCAAGAATGTGTGATCCCGTGAGACATTGATTACGAGTGGTCTTGCGCGCATGCTCAGGGTCTTGCGAAGTGGTGGCGGGGTGGTTATCAGCAAAGAGATGAAGTTGAAGCTCGACTCGACAAGCAGGAATGCCAGTGGAATGCTCAATGACGTAGGGAATATATCGCTCTGCTGTATTCAAGATGTTCCGCTGTAGTGACCGCTCAACGTCAGACCCGTCAGACGCAAAAGAAACGGGGTAGATCTTCGCATTGTTGAGGAGCTGAACGACTTCGAGGTGCATCTTGGTGAGTGATTCGGCATCATCCCGAGAGCCACGGGTGATCGCAGCAATGATGATAGGAGGTACCTTGTGCAAAGGGATTGTCAAGACATAGAGGCGAAGCTAGCAATCACACGGCAATGGACAAATGTGTCAGTATTATCACACCAAGGATATCTGTGAGACTCGGACATACCTTATCTGCTCTGTCTAGCTTCGCTCGCTCAAAGACCTCGTCTAGGTCGTCGGACTCGGAGACCTCGATAATACCGCTGGCAGCACCCAGAATGAGGCAGGTGCTATCCTTTGATTCTTGCCAGATCGAGAGTGCCGCCTCCATCAATGTATCGTCCCAGGCGAGGGCAACTGGACCATGATAATCCAGCTGTTGAAGCACAGATGCGGCAGTGTCTATGTTGCTTGCCACAAATCCAGGAAGAAACCCAGAGAGTTTCGTTCTCCACCGACTATCGAAGCAAATGAGAGCTGCACAGGACGGAGTACTAGTAGTATTGGACTCACCGTATGCTCCGGAATGCAGGTCCTCCGAAGTGGTGTTGAAACACCTTGTACCCACATGGAGAGATCATTGCAAGATGGTTGACAAAGTCCGTGAAGATGCGTGGATATACCATGCCACGTAGTGATTTGCCTCTTTGTATACGGGTCACTTTCGTGACTATGGCCTCTACACATCCAAGGAGTACGTCATAGTCACGATAGTGCCCGGCTACGACACCCTGACTGAATCTGAGCCATGGCAAGCGACCATCATCCTACAGACTTCACATCAATAAGGCTCTTCTGAACGCAGAACACACCAACTCACCGTCTCGACTAGTTGACGAAGGCCCTTATATTTGAGGTACAGCTCCCCTAGGTCTTGGCAGCGATAAATGATCGGGACAAACTTCATTTTGTCTTCGTCCGGCAAAGGTCGATTCAGCTGAACTTGGTATGTATGGACACCGTACAGTCCTAAACACGCGAGGCAGGGAGGTGGTTCCTTGTCATCTCCTAAGACGGCCACAAAAACGTGGCAATCGGTAGCAAAGACTGCCCCGACATCCCTCCGGTTCACCCAGCGATAGAGTGTTTGTTCATGGCGGAGCACCATCTGCCGTCGCCTGTCCGATAGCGAGGCCCAGCGTGCTTTCTTCTTTTTGAGTCTGAAGAGATCCTGTGCGATCTTCATGCGGGAAGGTGCGCCGCCCCCAGGTGTGCTCGTTCGACGAAGATAACGCGCCACCTTCTTGTTGGACTCACGCGTCAGGCCTGGACACGGGAGCTTTTGGATAGGCTTGGGTTTCGCGGGACGTGCATTGCTGGCGAACATCTTCTGCAGTGAGATGTTTGATCGCCCAGACGCAGCATTGCGTGAACACTTTTTCGTAGCACGATGAGTCTTCCAGTTCTTAATATCGTAAGGTACACGCATAGTCAACCACTCCGCACATGCCGAGCACCGTACTGCTAGAATGTCGTTTGCCTTGAACTCGGCATGGGTGTCGTCCACACGGACCTTGTCTCGAAACGACTGTAGCTTGCTGTTATTGATTTTGAAAGTGCCATCGTGAACACGATTGCGCAGGGCTTTCTGCTTCAACCACGATGATGATGTCTTCGTGCCACGCTTCGACTCTGCCCTGCCTTGACGCGAAGCCTGAAGGGAAGAGTCGGCAGAGTCTGACGCGCTCTCCGAAGACGGCATCCACTGAGATGATGTGCCTCCTGTGGTGCGTCTCACCTGCTTTATCTGGCGCTGATCGGCTTTGGATCGAGCATCCTGGGAGTCCGAATCACCCTCTGACGAGTCAGCGACAGCCTGGGCGAGTGCAGCAGCAGCCCTAGCCTTCGTCGCAGAAGTGGGTGTACATGGAGGCTTTGGTGTAGAGGTCGATGAGGTCTTATCGTGTTTGCGCTTGCCGAGTCAGGTCCCAGACGACGTGGAAGGGAAGGTAGTAGAGTTGACTGATGAAGGTATGATAGCAGGGTCCAAGTCACAGACGTCACCATCTGTGTCCGTCGCAGCATTTGCATCTGACGGATCCTGAAAATGACCAAGCATCGGTGAGATACAAGCAGACACAGAACAGGTTCATGTACATACCTCGCTGGCATCTTGCAGCGCTTCGGAAAGCCGAAGATACCACTCCATTTGATGCTGGGCTGATGTCGATTGTGTCCATGGTTCGTAGTCAAGAAGCTTTGCGGCGATAAGACTAAGACAAACGATCCCACATGAGTTGCAGTCTGCCTGTCTCGGGGCATGCCAAGAGGGCGAAGGCGACACGACAAGTGATTTTGCGACAAGGTCGGAGCGCAGATGACCCAGCCACCACTCAAGAAGTTTGATCGTTTCGTTCGGCGGTTTGGCGGCAGCATTCTTCGAGTCGCAGTACGTATAGGTATACGTAGGGAGTGATATGACAAGAACCGTCCAGTGGGAGTTGTGTATGAACAGTGTGAACACGAGCTCATCAACATCGTCGGCCTGAATAGCAATGTCAACAGGTGTTTGTCTCCGTGGCGCGTATGTGCCACGACTATGCACGCGCTGCAATGATGCGATGAATAGGCAGTGTACGACGCGAGTACGGCTGTTGTCTGAGAGTCGTCGGGAGATGAGATCCAGCCCAGCATTAACCATGTCATCGTTGACCCACTGATCGGAAAGCAGGGATGCCAGGTCTTCGGTGGTCAGTAGCACCGAGCTACTGAAGCTGGGGACAGTCGAATCCCAAGCCACACTCGTCCATGTCTCCCTGCACTCTTCAGCGAGCATCATGCAACTTCGATTGCCGTCGGCTACACGGTTGAGCCATGCAGACGCTCGGAACCACTTCTTGTGTTTCCGCTCTGACGTCTCGAGTTCGCCCAGGAGGGCTTCGACCCAAAGTGGGTATCGCCCAGAAACGTCGGAAGGGAGGTATATTGAACAAGCCCCACTAAGCCAGGCATCGTTGAAGGTCTGGCGTAGGCTGCTGACCTGCTCGACAGCACCCATGATATGCTGTAGGGCCTCCTCATTGCGCATAAAGTCATCGTCTTGGACCAAGACAGAGGGTAAGTCTTGGCTGAAACACACCCCGACCGAGGCGGAAGTGGTAGGTGGCCGCAGCGGAGGTTGGAAGCAAAGCAGCGCATCGACGGTGAGGGACATTTTCAGAATGAATGTGGATCGCAGGCTCTGCGGGATCGTACGTGCATGATCTCTGGCGTGGCAAACGTGAACCAGAATCTCGTTGCTCCATGTTTTGCCGATACCGAGCCATTCTTCCGCGTGAAACGACGTGGCGAGGCTGGTGAGAGCTGAAGAAGAGGCAGCCGTTTCCTGGCTGCTGGCACGATCCCCATGGGTAGGCGTGTACGACAAGATATCTGACTCGCCGTCCTCATTGGGCACTGGTAAGACATTCGTATTAAATTATTGTGGGTGGTACAAATATCGGCAGCATACCGTGGTCTGAGCATTCGCTTGGTTTTCGTATGAATGGAGGCCGACCATCAACAATAGATGGTAGCCTCATGGTAATATCCTCGTCATTCGCGTCGCTTTGCATCAAGCGAGAGATTTTCAGACAATGTTGCAGGATAGAAGACGGACGTACATGCACTGCGTCCTCTGGCAACTTCGTCCTTAGTTCGCCCCCGCCCTTTGTCGTGCATCGCTCCCGCCCGCATGGTCATCGCTACTCACCAGGATTCACCGACACCATCATCAGTCATGAAGCGAACTAGTTGAAACCCGAAGTATGACTTGCCTTTCTCCGCAGCTGCTTGGCCCTGTATGGTAGTTCTTCGTCTACACTGATTCACCTTCTTTGATATTGACGGATTCACCAAGTTCCGTGTCGTCTATAGAGGAACTGGTGTACCGAAGTTAGCTGCATTTACGGCGTGAACTTCACCTAGGATGCTTTCCCTACCGAAACCTGACAGCGACCACAAGGTTGCCTATGTCCGCATGCCGATAGGACATGCGGACACGACAGCCTGTATGGCCGCATATGGATCGGACCTCGCGCGCATCTGGCAGGGTTCATGGCCGCACCAGGATTGGACATAGGCGCCCTATTTGGGCGGGTTATGGCCGCACCAGGATCGGACATATAGGCGCATTGTCCGGGGTCCTGCCACAGTACAGCAGGTACAGTGCCACTAAGGAGCCTGTGGCTGAGATTCAAACTCAGCTCAAAACCTCGGCAGCCTGCCTGATTAGGGCAGAAAAGGGCTTGTTGCACCAATCAGAGCAGCTCGGCATCTGGGCGCTTGATGGGCGCTTAGTAAGCGATGTAAGTGCGGACTGTTACTGTGCTTAAGAGAGCTTGTTTAGACTCAGAAAAAAGCGGAAAATTGAGACAATATTCAAAATGATCCAGGCAATGTGAATGAAGCTGTATATTGCATGGGTTTGACATCAGATCAGATAGCATTCTCAATAACCTGGTAAGATGGTTGCTGTGGCCCCAGTGAGCTTATATAAGCCTGCTACTTCACTCTTGGAACTGCTCATGTACTGGACAACCCTATAAGATCATAGTGTAAGTACACATTCAGGTATGTATCCCTAGATTGTGTCTGTGAGCAAGACAAAGCCAGCAGTGGATGCATAATTACCATATGGAGTATGTGACCTTCCCAAAGAGGAATCATACACAAGCAGGGGCATGTAGGGCTCAGAAAAATGCAGAAAATCTATGAAATATACAGACACATCAAAGACAAGTGTATGATTGCCTTGAGCTGGGATGGTTACCATTACATTGTATGCAAGGGCCATAATATGGCAAAAGATGCTCAGATTACCCATTATAGACCTTGTTACCTGTATTATTGAAGCTACTGAGTAGTCCACAGTGTCTGAACTACACATATACATTGCAGTGTACATATAGACCATATTTGAGTCATAAACAAGCAGATTGAATCTGCAGAGGCACATGTGCATTTCTTGCTTTGCATTTCCTGGGTTAGCCAGCCACTGTATACACTCAATAGAATTTCTGTATACTCTCTGAATGAAGGGCTATCAGATGAGCATACTATGTATACTATGATTTGTTACTGGCTGAGGCTATATAGGCCCTACATTGTGTGAGCGCTTGGAGCAATGGCCCACCAAGCTGCCAGTCACATGATATGTTTACCAGTTTCCTTATTGGGGGAACTGCTAAGGCGTTTCAATGGGCCTCATATCCATAACTGAGCGCTTAGCCACTGCATTTGTTTGTATCTGTTGGTGCAAGTCGCGTCGTCTGGGAGTCTGAAATTTCAGACTCAGATAAGCAACCCATACTAACAGTTACTTATCTCTGCTTATCGGGGTGGCTGCAAGTCACGTGCACTGTGGGAACAAACTGCCATTCCTCTGGAATCACTAAGGTGTTTCATGGTGGTCCATCATAAGAACGATACCTTCGTACCTCAGGGATCGTAACTTGGTGCAGTGTTCGGGGTAGTCTGCTATGTACAATGCCAGGATAGGGCACACGTGGCGCACCTTGCCGTCACCTCTGGTGATCTCGATACCCTCCTTGCCAGCCTTGACAAGGGGCTCAAGGATCATCTGCACTGAGTCGTGGAAGAGTTGCTGAACCATAGCATGCTGCTTGCGCTGGGATACCCCAGTGCCCTTGACCTTGATGACTGAGAGGTAGCCAAGTAGTATGCACACATGCTCTGACGGTTTACAACAGAGCTCCTTGGGGATGTTGCCAAGCGTGAGGTAGATGGGGTAGGCTGATTTATTCCCAGAAAACTGGGTGAGTTGTGTCTTGTCCGTGGATATAATGACAGGGGCTAGAGCCACACCACCAGGTAAGAGGCTCTGCATATTCTTCAGCTGGTGAGATTCCAACACAGTTAACGGACATACCTGAACAGTGTTCCACCAGCGGCCTGTCCACATTTCAGTATAGATGCAGTTGGTGTGCGTAGAGTTCAAGAAGATGTGCTTGGGTCGGTACACTATTCGCTTGGCGTGAGCGGGGTTGCCTAGCATGGCCTTGATGGCCAGAATGACGTCTCTGAACTGCACTAGGTGCTGCTCAGACAGATGGTCCTTGAACCTGAGCCACCTTTCCTGCCAAGGCGCAAGCTCTGGAATAGAGTTGATTTTTTGCAAAAGGGCTCTATTGTTGTGATAGGACACCCCAAGTTTATTGCACACCTGTAGCAGAGGCATCAGAAAACGCACAATACTGAGAGCGGCAGCAACTTACGCCTGTAATCTCTAGGAAGCAGTCAATTGCTCCCTGACCGATACCCTCTTTGATGAACCACTTAGCAATTTCCCAGTCAGACTCAGACTCAAACGGGGCCCAGATGGACAAGCCTGAGTCGGCATCACCTACTATTGCTTTCAGATCCCTATGCGCTCACATCCAGGGAAACAGAAGACTCACCATTGTTCCTACGTTTGTCAGCCCTCTCAAAATATCTCCTCCAGGACTCTCTCACCGTGTCTTCCTCCCTTAGAACTTCGGCAACGCTCTCATCAATGTCTTCCACCCTCTCATCTTTGTCATCATCCAGCTCCGAGTCAATAACCGTGCATTTGACAGTGTCTCCGGTAGGTGCTTGAGCTCGCCTGCTCGGACCTGTGACAGGTACGAAATTGTACCTCTCCTTGTACTCTTTGTCATCGCTGTCCTCTGACAGGATATCCTCGCGGTCTAACCATATAATATTAGTCTGGTTGTTTCTACTAGTGTTCTCACCATAGCTCGTCTTGTCCACTCACCAATTTCAAGGGCCGTGGTTGCATCACTTCTGAAGAACACAACATTATTTTAGGTACAACAAAAGGGCTAGTCTATGTACCTGTCTTCTTGCCAGTTTTCTTCCCCCTCCAGCATTTCTGACTGGGTCTCAGACTCTGAGTCCGAGTCTTGAAGAACTTCCTTCAACTTTCCTCTCTTGTACCAAGCACAAGCTTGGCTCGTCGATTGGTGCTTCATGAGGCTTTGAACCGTCTCAAACAGTCTATTGCACGCCTCACAGGTAGGGTCGAACAGGTCTTGCAAGGTTCGTTTTTGTTTTCTTGGCATGGCTTGAGAGTCTTTGATGTTTTGAGGTGGATGCAGGCGGTTAAGTGCCGTAATGTACCTAGAACTTCCACACTGTTGTAGTCCGTGCGCATTGGGAGAGGCCGCCTCTGAACCCACCTTCATCCTCTACAAATCAACCAAGTTGTCAAGGAATAACAGTATACATTGCTGTGAGTCAACTAACAACTGACAATCTAGTGTTAAAATGTCCATGTTAAAACATCTACAGGACTCTAGAGAGGGAAGACTTGAGTCCCTAGGCCCTCTCCTCTAAAGTGTGTTGATAATGTGTTCCCATGATTTACAAGTGAGTGGTTTAATACTATACGCACAGCCTGTACGTTACTCACCTGGTAAGCTTTAGTATTAATTGCGCCTCTACAGCTGCCTAGCTGTGCATGCCCTGCGCGCAGCGCCTGCCTGCACCAGCTTCCATATACGGAGTGTGCCCTGCTGAGGCACACCCATATTGGGAATTGCTGATCAGCACTGCCCAGAACACCTCTCAGTGGAGGTCTTAGGGCTCGAGTAGCCCTGAGGGGGCAGTGGGAAGATGTGCTGTAGGTAAGTTGACTCACCTCCAGTCAGCTGCTCGAGTACCAGCCAATACTTACTCTTAGGTAGGAGGTGTGATAAAGTGTGCCCCTCGTGCTGCCGCTTTTTTGACATGTGTATGCCCCTTCATTTGTCTGGAAGCTCTCCGGGGGCTTCCGGATGACCTTCGACTTCTAGTTCTGCCATGCTTTGTACTTACTCCGAGGTCCACCTGGTAAGTTCACGTTTATAATTCAAAGCCTCGCTCTCTCTCATATCTATGTTCCTTACAGCATAGCTTCCCTTATGTCGCCAGCACCCTACTTCAATGATTCCTTCCACAGCCTGTCTATCCGCAGCGCAGCTGATATCCGTAAGCTCACCTGCTCCTTTTCCTCTTCACCCTCCCGTTAGCTAATTATTGCTCAGTTGCTCCATCTGACGTATCCGAGTCGGCCCCAACCGGCCCAGTGAGGAAGGGGGATCCTACGTGGAAGCCCTGTGATGCTGGCCTTTAGCCAGAACCATATTTGCACCTGTCCTCAATAGTAAGGACTCCCCTGTCATTTACGACACCACTTGGGTGAGTTCCTTATAATGCTTTGATCCTTGAGTACTCACCGGACCATCCAGACCGTCAAGCTATCACTCCCCAACTGGTACGCACTCAGGTGTTTTGTCCTCTCCCATCCAGAGATTGCACGACACTTCTGGTAAGTCATGAGTAAACCCCTCTCAGATATACTAAGCTAACATTCTGTAGGTTTCGTTACAACATGGTCACCGGGGAGCTGAGAAGTGGTTCTCCCGGTTCCCTTCACCAACACTGCGCATCCGGAATGATCATAGTAACAGTGGAAGACGTCATCAAGCCCTTCAATGTGTTATTCCAGCTGAACAACACCACCATTGTCCTGGTGGAGGGGCAAATCCACGTCTCAGGGGAGTCCGTCACCGTACCGGATTGCAGGACAGCAAGAAAGATCAATGTAGCCAATGTTCTGGTCAACCCTAGGGCTAATGTGGACCTATCGGTATCCGAGTTGTGCCATTGGCAATCTTTCGACAACGCAGTAGACAAGGTATGTTCTTATTATTCAATTTATCATGATTAGTTTTGCTGACCCTTTTGCAGACCCTGGAGCACATGGTCCTAGAGAACGCCCAGCAAGATGCCCAGGCACCCTGGCCCAAGAAGGCTGCCTACAGGCTACGCCGCAGAGGCCCGAACTCCTTCACCAGCATCTTCCCCCCTCCCCATCCTCACACCTTCTCCCGCCAAGACCGACCAGTCCTCATCGCCCGCCCAATCGCCCACCCAGGCAGACCCGCCTCAACTTAGCAATCAAGTTTTCATGATTGTCACCATCGAGGAGACACAACCTCAGAATATCCCGAAGCACCGCTACAGGCCGAACAAGTGTTGGGAGCTACCGCACAAGGACAGTTGCATCACGGGAGGCTGGGGTTATGGCGATGATATATATGTGGGTGAGATCAGGGTGTACTTGCTGGCCTTCCACCCCAAGGAGGATTACGAGAGACTGGCCTACCTGAAACACAGGTCTCTTGAAGACATCGTGGAGGAGGGGTACGGCATGGTACATCCCTTGGGACCCTGCTTCTTATCTGACACACTAATACTCCAGCAGCTCATACGGTTGAAGTCAGAAAACCTCAGCAAGGAGGAGAAGGAGCAAGCCCAGAGGTCTCTGCAACATTACTGCAAGACCATGACCCATATCCGAAGAGCAATATTCAAGCAAACACTGGTGGTATCGTTGATGACTGGCAAACACGCCTTGGAGGACCTCAAAGCCATGGCGCGAGATGAGGAAAATGACCAGGTTGATTGGTACTACCCAGTAATCCTGGATCCAGTGCCAGTATTGCGCCTGCTCCTGATTTGCAAGCACGGAGCCGAGCAACTTGCAGAGGAGCACCGCAACAAGGTCTTATGTTTGCCTTCCCAAGAAGAGGGAAGGTTCACCTTAGCCTCCAGCAGCCAGATTGTGGAAGTGTTCAGCATGTTGAAGCATCAATTCGACGACCACAAATATGCTGAGGCCGAAAAGCAATACAGGAAAGCTCGCCTTACAGTTTCGATCCCAGTCCCTGTGGTGTCCCCTCCCCGCGACCTCGTCAGCCCGAGTGAAACGGACATGTTTGCCCAGCCGCCCACACCTCGCAACAGCAGCGAGGACGAGCGCAAGGATCATAAGCAAGACCCTGACTTCCCAGTGCTGCGTCGCCCCAGCAGCCCCAAGCCTACGAGGAAATCATAGGGAACACTTGACAAGGCGGCGGGGAGTCGTTGTCTTTTTACGCATAGTATTGTCTACAGTCTGCCTTCTCTCATGTACCGCCGCTTCTTGTGTACTGCCGCTTCTTGTGTACCGCTGCTGCTGCTTCTCATGTACGCTTGTCTCTCGTGTACGTTACGCAGTAGAGTACCTACTGTTGGCTGCAGTGCGCCTCAGAGCGATTCCAAAGGCCTAAGTTGAGCTCTGTAAAGTCTTTTATTCAAGAAAGCGAAGATACACACCTAAGTTGAGCTCTGTAAAGTCTTAGGGACTTAGAGCTCGACAAGGCGGACTGTCTACGGTGTGCGTTATGTCAGGCAACCATAACTGTACAGTAGAAACAGCCACAAAGTCGAAATCAACGAAGGAGTGAAAAATCAGATGAGTGCAGGGGTTCAAATCCCTGAAGATGCAAACATTATGGAAAATGGTAGACTGAAGGGAATGATGTCGGAAAAAGTACAGTACACACGGTATAGTGATGGCGTCCATGCAGAATAAAGGAGAACACACCAGGACACATTCCACGACTTGGACAGGGCAATGGAGCTCAGAATAATTCGCAGAAATGCGGAATAAATTACCAGCTCAACACCTACGTAGGTCTTTCCGCCTAGGTCATTTCATGTATGTCATTTCTTTTTGGCGCTAAGTGCCCCTAGCAAGGTGTCGTGCCATCTCTAACCCGCAACCTACCGTCACTGCCTAAGATGCTACTCACGAACAAAGAGCAGTGAGCCCTAGCTGCACTTCTGTCTGCAATGGATGGCCTGGACCCGGTCCTTCAAGGTCTCTCGCAATGCCTGGAAAGTTGTACAGGGGTCACCACCTCGGACTTGGTCTTGGAGAGTCCCCCAAGTCTTTCCAGAGACTTGGCCTTGGATGTGGGCTGTTTTACAACGATGGCTGGCGGGCTCGACCTTGAGCCGTTCACAAGGGGTCAAGGTAAGTATTCTATTCTCTACAGATCCTAACCTAAAGGTGTTGTACAGGACATATAGAAAGTGACAAAGAAGAGGAGGACTTACTGGAATCTCAAGTCGGCCCTATGCGCACAACACGGTCTTTGCAGTGCGTATGGGCACAGGTTGCCTGGAACACCCCTTATCCAGACCCAGGTCCCCAGACCGACACCCTCACAAGCCCGTCGGCTGCCCTCGAGGAGGGATTCAATTTGTGCCTGGAGGCACTACGTCTAGCAGCTGGAGATCGAAGGCAAAATGGGAGCCCTGCTACAATGTAGTTGCTGCAAGGGAGGCCGTGCACTCATTCACTGTGCAAGACACCACCAGCCTGTCTGAGTCAATGGCGACTCGACACTGACAGAGCCAGACAACATCAGTGTGCCAGGATCAGAGGTAGTGCCGGCCCGGGTGACTGCCAGCCTCAGATGGTGCTGCCAGATATTGCCCAGGACATTGTCAAGATGTTGTACAACACCCAACATCCACACAACCTGGTCTTCCCAGCTCCGCGGGGTGATCACACCCGGAATGTTGCTTGGACAGAAACAGCTCACCGCTAAGCAACCCGCGCATCCGAACCCAATGATCTTGAGGAGTTAGGCTCGCAGGTTTGTATTGCGCGGTCTCCCTTTTAGGCAGACGGCTTGCTGAATCTGTGAGACACTATAGCTCGCAGCACAATACTCCGAAGGCTGTAAGGCAGATGCTGCCAGCTACGTGCATGTGCTGTTAGAGTGCGTTGCGTGAGTTCTGAGCAAAATCTTCATACATTTAGCTACTCAGTGCTAACTAGTGTCATCCACAGAGACGTGCTCGAACTAGTCGTCTGTGTGCACCTCCATGCCCGACGCCATCAAGAGCACTCTTACAGAGAAACTGACAGCAAGTTTTCTGGAGGACCCTTTGAAGATGGTGGACACCAGGGCCTCTAGTCATGAGACCGACAAGATGGTGTGTTTCGAAGTGATACACTTCTTGTGGTATAATAGAAGTAGTACAAAAGTGCATATCCTTCTGCAGCACTAGAAACAGCCCTTTCATGTCTTACTAGGGCGACAACGCACCGTTGGATGTACCACCTCGACAGCTCAGCCAGCAAGGCTGCTCGAGGACAAATTATGCTCAGATGATGCCATACGTATTGGCAGACATGGAGGACCACAGACAGATCTACCAAGCCATGACCGTCACCCTTGCTGATATGTTTTCCTGGGTCGAGGACAAGGTATATGTGCATCTCCCTGAGTATCAAGGGCTATAACTGACACATGCATAGCTTCATAGCATACTTCCAGGGGAATACGACCACCTGGAGGCTACAGCTAGCCTTCTACCTGACCTTCACCACTCTCTAGTCCACCCGTTCGTTGGCTTGGTCATAAACATGAATGTCTGCACGTACGCTCATCGGGACAGCAAGGACGATACTGTTTGCCTGGTCATCATCATCGGGGAATTTGAAGACGGTGATCTCTGCCTAGTAGAACCTGGTATAGTTCTTCCTCTGCGGCACGGACATTTTGCCATTTTTCTGTTGTGTTGTGTTACTCATTTCAACTTACACTACAAGGGCAGAAGGGCTTCGATTGTTTTGCATACTGACAGAGAGTTAGGCTCATGGACACAGGGGAATCGTAATGGGTGGGGATCCAACGTGCACTTTAGGTAGGTAGGTACTATAATACATCAATATAGCAACCGTCAGTGCTCATCTACTGTCTGCCGTCCACCGTCTGCCATCTGACCCAACGTCTATCGTCTACCATCTTCCATATGCTGCCGCGCGACATGCTTGACCATCTGCTCCTTCCAGCTGTCCTTCCCGGTCAGGCGGCTGCATGAGCGCCTGGTGTGCAGTTGGCACTAGCACACGAGAGCTCAACCGCCACACTCTCGAGTCCCTCTCTGCCTGCCACTGACCTCATCCTCCACCACCCTCGCTAACGTGCCGCCGCCTCCCGCATCGTCTCTCACGCACACCCTACGGATGCAGTCACCAAAAACAAGCTGCGCCGGGTACCAGCAAGGCACGCAAGCCACAGCAAGCGCAAAGGCCCGCGGCAACAAATAACCGGCTCATTCAGGCAGACGTGCAGCGCGAACAAGTGCGCCACGTGCCGAAGGGGCTGTCAGGAGACGTATGGTGAGTGAGAGGGGGTTAACAACAGTCAGGGAACCCTGCTAGCAGGTGAGTAACCCACCTCCGCCCCGTGTACCACCCTTGTACCACCCTTGTACTGCCCTCCGCCACCCCTGTGTGCCATCTGCTGCGCCAAACACAGCCCCAGGTCACCCTAGGACTGCGTCAACACCCCGCGCGTATGCGGGGTGCCTTGTGCACGAAGGTCGGCCCTCTAGTGCCGAGCCCACCACCCCTACCTTGCACCAACCTCCTACACATGTCCCGCTGCTCTCCGCCACTCTCGTGTCCATCTGCCGCGTCAATTGCAGCCCCAGCACCCATCAGCACTCCGTCAGCACCCGCGTGTCGGTGCACGGTGGCTCGTTGGTGAAACAGTGTGCTGTCCAGTGCCAAGCCTACCACCCGGTCCTCAGGTAGGTATGTAATGTTACATCACATACATTCTGTAGTGTCTACTGTACTTCCCATCACCCAGTACAAGTCTAATCAACAATGTTCTACCTAACTGTTGTTGTGCTGTCCGCCGGCCCGAGTGACTTAAGATAGGCCCAAGTCATTTTCGACTACATCACGTGCACCCTTTTTCAGCACCAGTAATCACTTTCGCTGAGAACGAGCGAAGTATTTGTCCTGCAAAAATACAGGGCTAAGGAGTGCAAAAAATAGCACAGTCAACTTTATAAAACACCATACAGAGAATTTGACTGTGCCGGATTTTGGGCTACTTCGCTAGTCTCGTGTCACGGACTCAATCTATGCAGGGATCGCATTAAATGAATATAATAAATGATTTAAATATTCGTTATTCTGCAGTATGGTTGCAATGTCCGGCTTCGGCAGCTCGAACACCGACACAGATCGTATGCTATGCCTCTGCATAGTAAGAGAGGTCGTATTGCAGCACAGAACCTCGGTGCTTATGCTCAGAAATGGCCCCATCTTTCCCTGGATGTAGAGGAAGAAGATGTAATGCATTATGATCCTCGACTCGGGTATTGCCAAGCCCTACTCACCTGTTTGGCCACAGCAACAACCAGCCTAATTTCTGTGATGTCAATTGGAGTCAGTGCTCGAGAGCCACTGCAGACAGTGTGGACCCTATCGAACAGTGCTGGGGTTCCTCAAAGCCTGACTGTCAGAAGTGCCCACCGTCGACTCTCGAGGCAGTCCAGCAAAACATGGTCTCTGCACTTGATGCAGTTCCCCGGTCTCAACCTGCCAGTTCTTAATTTGTGCAAATTGGTTCATGGACACTTATCGCCGCAGGTTGTCGAGAAAGCAAGCAGCATGGGTGACCAAGAAGTATCACAGACACCGTGTGCTGCCAAACAGCATTCTAGACGAACTCGAGAAGGCGGGCCCAGGTGTTGAGCGCGAGTCAAGAGGGGCAGCGAGTCAAGATGTATCTTATTGTCTACATAGGAATGTATCTACTCGACAGACAGGCTATTGGAAGCTACAGTTACTACACACAGCACCTAAGCCCCTGAACACCCGCTGACATCAAACATCGCTCCGTCTTCACGTGCACGTACAGTAGCCCGCGCCTACGTAGGATAAGTGGCTTAACTTGTTTAGGGTTGGGGTTGGCACGCTGTGCACGTGCTGTTTCGCAGACGCCAATAGTAGTCGAGAATGAGTTGGGCCTATCTTACTATTATTGGGAAGTGTCCGGCATGTGCCGCTCGACTGTTTCACCTCCCTCTTGCTCGCCTTTCACGACTGTGGTGACCACGAATGCCATGGCAAGGACAGCACTCCGGACACCCAGGACACCCAGCCCAGCCTCTGCACAACTGTGCTGCCTCCCTCACACTCACGTGGCCAAAACATTGGTAAGTTTACCTTCAGCTCCCTCCCTCCATCTGTCAACTTCCCTCCTGACTACTTAAGATCACTTTTCTTCGCGGGAGTGGGATGTCTGCAATGGTGCGCATATAGTCAAATGCACATGTACTGGCACTGACACTGTCTCACTAACCTACCATTTCACTTGCCTGCTGTTCTGCTTGCCCGCTGTTCCGCTTGCCCACTATTCAGCTGTCCACAGTCCACAGTCCACAGTCCACCGCCGTCCGTCTCGCTTGCTCGCCCGTCATGTCTCTCATGCGCTATCTCGCTCACGTGTCAGGTCTCTCGCCTGCTGTCTCACTCACCTGCCCATTCTGTTTTCTGCTGTCCTGCTCACCCACAGTCCTGCTCCTCCGCCGTCTCACTGTCCGCCATCCTTGCGTGTCACGTGTCACGTCTGCTGTCTCGCTCGCGCGTCGGGTCTCTCACCTGCCGTCTCACTTAACTGTATACCCAAAACATCAACATCCACATGTATAGATGTTTGGCAAGCAATGTCTCACACCATGTCTCAGCAGATTTGATGGTCTGAGTTACGGGTGACAGTACAGGCGCACCACTGGTCCTGCCACTGGGATTGCCTGGATCAGACCACCGAACGAGGCCTTCCACGGGCAAGGAGAAGACAGATGAGCTGAGTACGGTGGGGCAGAGAGTTGGTACCTAGGGTGTGAACATGTCGGGTCCTACCGTGGCAGTGACTGGCTGAATGTGTGCATGGAGATGCGAACGGTACCTGTAAACATTCGTTACACTGGGTACTGTACACCAAATAAGACTCTACTTGCTGGGGAGAGGGCCATAGCTGGCAGTACAATCCCTTTTGGGATACATGTCAGTTTGTGAAAAAACAAATTTTGACCACATCAGAAGTTAAGCTTGGCAAGACTGCTAGTATATTGTCTGCATAGAGTACTGACATATCTTCTGCATTTTGCACCATCCAGTTGCCATGTCATGGTATAAACATTCAGAGTAGCCTGCTAATTTATGAGGTTGTTTGAATGTGAGAATCATAGTTTGCAATCATGAGGAATGTCCCAATTGAGTAAGTAATTGCATATTCATATGAGGCTCTCCATTGAGAACATGAATCTGTTCCTTACTTGGTGAATTGCCAAGTCAATTACCATGATTACCAGAATACTAATGAACAGTATTACTGATTTGTGTTGATATTAAGATACAGGAAATAGCTTGGAAATGTTACAAAGAATTAATAAGCCTCTAGATAAACTGAGGAAGGGGAATCTGGGAGGTTGACTACAGTAACAACAACTCAGCTGGGACTTGCTGTCAGTGCTGTTGTACAAGTACTAGCCCTTGATCAGAGAGAACTTCTGATACAGAAGGATGTCTTTCAATAGATTGTTAACAGTACTTCACTAAGTACAAACTAATCAACAGTGGAGAATGAAACCATTATACATAGGAGAAGTGTACCAGTAAGGAATTCTGTAAAAGGCCCTTCCAGAATTGATGTGTTGACTGTGCAGTTTGCTCTCAGCATTTGTACACCTAAGTGAACACTTACCAGACACTGACCGGTAGTACAAGGCCATACTAAGGTATGTTACTGGATTGGAGCTCAGCCCACAGTTCTAAGCCAATAGTGATGGGCTAATGTATGATGTTAAGCAATGCACCACCATGGTGTGTGCCATCAAGACTAGTGGTAGATGAGATAAATGTTTGAACTTGCTCTTAGTGTTCCTTTTGTGAATTCCCCAAGTGCACTCCCTCCCTCTTAGCTACGTAAAATACTTCATAGAATCCTAGAAAATAGTAGAAGACTTGGTACACCATGGCACTCTCCAAGGCAATTCAAGATGCACAATAAGGCTCAAAAAGTAGGGAAAAAGCAAGGCAGGGGTATATGTGTTAATGATTGCCACTGATCATCAAGTGTGTGCTCTGTGAAACTGAGGCACCACATGGATGTTATCCTGAAACACTGGTGTAGCCCTATGAAAACTCAGAATTAGTGTACAGCTTGATGAGCCACTCATAGATTGCCTTCTAGCTGGAATATTATCATCAATATTCTGAATTAATAGTCACCCAGTAACAGCTTTCAAATCATCTGGTCACAAGGGGCCTAAGGAAAGTACTAGAAGCCTGGTCATAGTCCAGTCAGTACATACACAATCAAGTGCTACAAAGCATAACAATGTGAGAAAAAAGATTGCCTGAATGTGGTGAGAAGGCATTGTGAATACTACAGTGAAGTCCATTCAAGGAGATGAAATAAAGATAACAAAGTGCAGGAATGATAACAACTGCTGCTCATCCTATTCAAAGACCACACATGCGAAATTTCTTGGAAAAAAAGCCTTTCAATGCCTTGTCCCTAACAACAGCCTGCATGCTAAGACTTGCACATGGGGTCATTGTTGAGTATTCTAGTAGCTCTCTGGTCATAAGTCTGAAGATTTCTAAATCTTCAGACACACTCCCAAGATAATTAATCACCAGTGTCATTTTCTGGCTGACTGTTTGTTATTATGTGTGCACATACAATGGTACTATATTTGGATGAGACACCATATTTTTCATGTTGACATTCCACTGGCATGGCAGATACCATCCAGGATCAACTGCCAAATGGATGCTAGTAGGTAGGCACACTGCCACATATTTCCAATGCTGTTCAAATATCACACATGTTCACACCCTGGTGCAAAGTGTTATTTTTCCACTTTCCATACAAAATGAAAGGGCCCAGCATGAGTAAATAACATTCTATAATCACATGTAAAAAGAGACAGTTGCAGCAAATGAGAGCACTCCCCAAGTCATATTATTGACTGGAGATCTATAAAAGGACAGCTTATATTGGCTCATAAGTCCATTGTAGTTCTTCACTGTTGCTTAGTAAGCAATGCAAGTCTACATTATTTCCAGGCTCCCTCTGAGCCCCATCAGGAAGAAATCACAGCATACACTGCAATAGTATGAGTGCTAGTAGACATTGCACAAACAGACACCATTGTCAATACATTCTATATGAACAAGTCAAGAACTGCCTACTCTATCTCCACATACCAAGGGCCATTGCATGAGAATAGGATGATGGTAGTGCATACAGACATTAGATACGCTCCAGGAAAACATCATGAGGAATTAACAACTAAGCATAGCACCATCATACTGTATAATTGGCACTGCTTCATAGACATGCTTATACTGGACTGGTACAATAGAGCTGCTGACATCAGGCTATATACATGATCTCTGCATTAGCAAATCTGAGATGTACTGTCTGTCATGCATGAGCCTACAACAGTCAGCACAATATGAAGTCATGGGATTGTCTGATTTTATCTTATTTCCTATTATTTATCTAGCATTGCAGAGACCATCAAAAACTTTGATATACTATGTGTGGCAATGTGGTGGCCCCACTTCATGACATTGCTAGCCTATAGATTTTCTAGCAACAGTAGTAAATGCACAACACAACTTGTACAATGTCTTTCTATCACTTTCTAGGAGCAGTACAGTGTGAAAAAGCTCTGTGAACCCATAATATTTTCGCATGTGACACAGAGTCAATATTATGAATATACTCAGCATTAACTGTGGCCTTTGTGTCACAGGTATTCACCATTTTCTGCATATGCCATTGCCTGCCCAAGGGTTTACACAGAAGCCAATCAATACTTACAGCAAGCAGTACAAGGTGAGTGGAATCATACAGAATATTCTCTTGTTTCATCCGCATTTTCTGAGCCCAGACACAGCAGGTAACTCAGACTTTCCATTTTTGGAAGGTCAGTTACCAGATATGGCATGTTTCAGGTCTCATATAGCCACACAATTCACAGGAAGTTGGTAAGCATCACAGGAAGCATAAACAATGTGATAGAACCAGTGTGTACAGAGGCATATGTATTTGCTTTTGCTTTGTGAATGGTGCCATATTTATATGAATCTATGGGAAGGCATAATATGTACTGCCTCTCTGACATCATATATATGACTGGGAATATTACCAATTGTTTTCGAATTTTTGGGAGACCATAGCACAGCAAATACAGTGTCACTAATGCGCTTGTGGCTTGCATTCAAACTCAGCCCAACAGCTTGGCAGTCTGCCTTTTGGGGCCCATTGAACAGTTGAACTAAACAGAACAGCCTAGGATCCTCTCTGGAGTTGCCAGTCCCTGAGAATTCCAGGTGATAGTGGTGCTTACAAGATGGACCAAGATCACTGAAAGAGTGGCTTGTATCAGGATATGCATGGGTCACTCTGCATTATCATATTTTTCTGCCATATGGGAGCCTCAACAGTCAACTTAATATGAATCCATAGTACCATCTGATTTTGTTCTGATTTTTCTGCTAGTTATCCAGTCCTGCAGAGGCCATGCATGGCCAACTTCCCAAATGGGCAGGATACTAACCATATATGGCAGTTTTGTATGTTTAATATCCCCCACTCTCATACATGTAAGAACTGTCTAGTACAAGCATCATATACACACCAAGATTTGCCTATATCCCCCAGTATCACTTGCCAAGGTCAGTAATCTGTGAAAAACAACAAGAACACCTATTCTGGGCACCCCTGTCAGTACGACTCCGCTTCGGCAGCGGGCGCTTAATTTGGCGCTTAGCAAGCGATGTAAGTGCACACTGTTACTGCAGCAAAACTGGCTTGTTTTGGGCTCGGAAAAGTGCAGGAAAATCGGAACATATTCTTACACGACCATCGGTAAGTCAAAGACCACCGCTTCTGCCAAGAAGGCAGCAAGCAGCCAGAAGGCCAGCAGTTCACGCAAGCAGCTGAGGGATACTGACAATGATGATGATGATGATGGCAACAACAACAACAACGAGACGATGACGACAGCAATGGTGCCTACAACGAAGACGATCTCAGTGTCCACAGCTCAGACGAGGATGTTGGCGGTGACCAGCTAATCGATGAAGACGACTCGGAGATGGTAAGTCTTCCATCTGACTAGACATCCACAGAATGTTTGAGCCTGGCCAGGTTGTCACACAGGGGAAGGACAAGAAGTCCGCGAGGGCCAAGAACACCAGCGTGTCAAGTTAGCGGACCTCCCTCCCAAGATCCGTGCCCTTGCCATTGTTGCTCAAAACTTGCTCCACCTCACCCTCGCGCTCGAGTCGGCCTGGACCAGCGACTCCAACATCTACAGCCCACGCCTGCTCGCAAACATCAACCTTACAGCCTAGGCTCTCAAAGACGCATGCAAGGGCAAGAATAAGGATGCGCGGGAGGAGAAGGAACTTAGGTAGGCATATGTGAAGGTGCAGGTGGGGGAGGGTGACAAGGGAAATCATCTGCAGATGTCAGTGAATACCGTGGTGAGTCTCTCAATGTATTCAGTCTTCAGTTACGTAGTGAGGTTGGTCAGGTGTGGGCGGTGGCTGCGCAGTTGCACAACGAGGTGAAGAAGAAGGCTAAGACTGTGGTTGAACACGCGTATGGCTTGAACATACACTCAAAGCAGTGGTGTGTAGCTCTCGCAACATGGCTCCTCAAGACCCATCCAATGCGGGTGAATGGTGTAAAGCATGACATCCCGAACTTCGTGTTTGGGGACATGGAGCTTTTGTGGAATAAGGACAGGCTCGACACTAAGGTGCGTCCGATGCTCCATGTTTGTATTCTCAACAACACTGAGACCCACCAGAAATGCCGTGTGAGCCCTGAGCAGCTGTTCCGCCACCCAGTGATCTCCAAAATTATAGTGCAGCAATGGTTCGTGGGGAACGGTGGTGCCAGTCAAGCAGTCCATCGCTTCCGTGAGGTGCCCGACAACCTCATCTGCCTCGTGTGCAACTCGGTGAGTGGACACAGTATTTCTCTTCAGTATATTGCTAACCAGTTGCTGGAATCAGATCGAGCTTGGGCTCAAGGAAGCCATTAGCTCAACTCAGATTATGTTCACAAACAGGCAGTTTGCTCCAAAGTATGTAGTCGCCGTCTCTCAACTTAACTCACTGACGACTGTGAGCCTAGGTGGGATAGTCTCATGACTATACTGGAGGCCATGCAAGAGAACACGCCTGACTACTACCACGACCTCAAGACGTACATTTGGGGCCGTATCAGGTGAGTCAGTTGCGTTCAGAAAAGAGCCACTGATCAAGAATGATCTGCAGTCAGCGTGTCGACAGCATCACCAGCAATCAGTCGGACGACGAGCCAGACGAGAACTTCATGGACTGGACAACTTTGCAACAGGCCGCGAAGCCGGCATCACCATCCAGACCTGCCAGTGGGCCATCAACATTGCGTCCAACCACAGCAAAACTGTCCTCGGTGAAACTGTCCTCTTCAAGAGCCGCTGCGAAGTCAGCGCGGACCACTGAGCAAGAGAAGGACAGCGAGGTTGACGAGCTGCAAGCCTGAGGTATGATATTAGAAGACATGGTAGTATATTGATGTTCATTAACCTTCTCCTGCAGATGAACGGGATCCGGTCGGCGAAGGTCATACATAGGCAGGGTGATGGTAAGGAAGGAGGAGACAGTGAGGGGGGCTCGTCCACTTAGTGAGTGCCATAGTGTTCTACAGTTCGTGCGTATGAGTTCCAAGGTGAGTACTGTACGTAGTATCTGGGTTATGCACCACTGAAGACTGTTCCTAGGCATATATCCTACCAATCCATCAACACTCCCTTGGACTACTAGAGTACATATCTCAGTCGACATCAACGTTTCTTCTGCTTCTGCCATCTGTCTCGCCTCACGCGGTGTGTATTTTGGAGTGTAGTAGTGATATCCTGTATAGTAGTCCATCTGTACTGTTGTATTAGTATCAGCCCAAAGCCACTATGATTTGCACAACCTAAGACACAAAAGAACTGTCTGTCATAAAAGTCAATCAAGTGAATCATTGTGCAAAAAGACATGAAAGTGCTACATGCCATTGAGGCATTATGTGTCTTGAATGTGTGGACAAATATCCAAAGACAGTCAAGAATCTATTGTAATAAAGCATAGGATGTGCTCAATGTATCTGGCCACCATGCAAGGCTACAAAGACTTTTTGAGACTTTGAACGTAAATAAAGAAGGGAGGTTGTCTTTGTGCCTTGGTTTACCTTTTCATCCTTGAAAGTCCTGAAAGCAAATCCGATTTTTCCTGATGCACTTAGTCGCGCTGTGACATGCATCCACTGCAGGTAAGTAACCTACATATGTTGCCTATGAACTAGTCCCACCTCCGTGCGGCTATGACATTTGGGATGCTATAGTTACAAAATGAGGAATAGGTGGTACTCGTAAATACAGCAGGCTGCTGTCAATGTGTCTTGTGCATAGCCTACTTAGATCACTGTCAACAGATGACTTGCCAAATAAGGACATGTGATGAGGTGCTGTGGCCACATCCCCATACAGTCCACTTGTGGTGAGCCTGTTCAACTTGAAGATATAGACCCATTGAATGGCGAGAATGCATGCTATTTCCTATGCAAGAAGGGCCTTGCATGGCATCTTTTTGGCCAAATTGCAATTGCGGGCACCGAGTGAATCACAATGCATTGCCTGAGAAATTACATAGGCAGCATGTGGTGGATGTGTTGAGTGTGAATCACTCCCAACTCTGTGGTCGCATTAGCTCTAATCGTAGGGTGTATATCCAGCTGGAGCATAGTGCACAGTGGTCTGGTGTTATGATTGCCAATATGTATATACCAACTGTGTTCCGTACCGCCATTGAGCCCGATGAGGCAAGCCACACCGCAACTTGCATGACATTGCGCGTTGCACGCAACGGCTCTCCCCGTGGATTGGACCTTTTGACCAGAAATGGCACATTGGTCATGTGACTGCAAAAATGCGGTCAAAATGCACAGAATATTCATTCTGAGGACAAAAGCTACTGATTTGGGCCCAGAAAAATCGCATAAATCCCCAGTAAATTGGAGGACCCCGGTGCAGCTATTCTAGAGTACTGTGACATCATATGAAGCCAATATTTCCCTGTGTACAGGTGCATCAAGGCTGCCAGTCAGCTTTCAAGATACAGTACCACATTGGGTGGTACCTGTAGCCACTCTATAATATCTTGGAGTGATTTGCTCAGAATGAGAGCATAATGTTGGATGTTTGAGGATTCAGACAGCATGAAATTGTATCCAGTACATATGTTGCTTCCTGAGTTAGAGCTTGATCTCTGTAGGATTCAATATGCCCCCACTGGATGCACACTGGGAAGCAAAACTATCCTTCACATATTAGCTCTGGAAAATCAGTGCTGACACGTGGTGTCTCGCCCCCAACTTGCAGCTATTAGACTGGGGTGTCAAACACCAGGGTTTCACATCTGCATGGATGCTCTGAGCTTTGCTGGGTTCCCCTCAGGCCTTTGTGTATCAGGCAATACTACCTTTGGCAGACCCCGGAACAGCTCCCACCATTCTTCTGTTCTTTGGTGATAGAGGGGGGCTGTAGCCAGTACTTCAAAGCTTTGCTTGAAGGTGTGCTGTCCCCTTCCTCTCATCCCATATGTGTTCTGAGATACTGATGGCAAAAGCCAAACTCTATACTGTGGAGATCCAGACCTTGGAGCCTGAGCTCACCAAGGTTTCTCTGTCATCAAAGCTTCCTCTGGTTTGTTCTACTGTTGCTGATGGCCTCATCAGCAACTGTGCTGACAATGTCAGTGTGTTCTTCACAAGTGAGGGGTATGAGGCTGGCAGCCAACTTGAGGCCCTGTATTTCTGCACACTTGCAGGAGGTGGAGGGCCTCCAATCACCACAAAGGGGCCTGCATTTGCAGGCTCCATAAAGGCATGTCCCTTATCTTATGCCCTCCTTGCCAGTGTCCTTCTGACAAATGGGCAGGACATGCTGGAGGCAGCTGAGCCTCCCATTCCACTTCAGTGGAAGCTTGTTTTTGGTGGCAAATCCATGGGGTTGGTCAAAACGGCTGGCCCAGACAATGCAGCACATCTGGTTACTGCTCTCCTGGGGGCCCATTTCAATCAGCTCGAGCGGGACAAGACACTCCAGTTGGACTTTGTGGCCAAAGATAACCACAACAGCTCTGCCTTTCAGGCCAAGGCCCTTGTGGGGCCCTTTGGAGGAAGATTGGCCCACATCCCCTCCTAGTGCTCGTGGAATGGGTGGCTGCCCATGTTGTTCTCCCAGAACATGGGAGATTGTCAAGATGGGAGGTGTCAGTCTCCATCTCTGTGAGCTTCCCTTGCCCTCCACCTCGGACCAATTCCTCATTGTTGTTTGTCTTGTTATGATCCCTGAGGTACGAAGGAATTGTTCTTATGACTGGAGGAAATGTAACACTTAGCATGGAGCCCAATGTGGCAGGTTTTTCCCACAGTGCACATGACTGTTGAGAGCACAATTTTTTATGTTTGAGGATTGAGACAGTGTGATATTGAAATATGCAGTACATACAGTGTACTACCACTCCTTTACCCAGACAATCAATATATTCAACCGCTATCGCCCCCATCCACGGTGGTCACGAAAATACCATCACAAAATGTCTTTGGTAGTACTCAGAGTACACTCACCGAGATTTGAGACCACAGAGTGTGTCACTGTAGTACAGTACTGCAATCAGGGGAAGGTAACAATGTGTAATGTGAATCGGACCTTTACCCAGCGTGACGATGGTGTGACTTATACCATATGTAGTATCGCTTCTGGCGTCTAGCCGTCACTCTCCAACGACTCCTCGCCATCGATCTCCTTGTCTACGTCTTCCTCCACTTCCCCTGCTTGTTCCCTCGCCTCGTCAACAGCAGCACTACCATCAACTTGCTGTTCAGCAATATCTGCAAGGCTCTTTGGCTTCCGCAGCTTTTTGTTGAACAAGGAGTGATGTGGCGTAGCTGAAGGCAAGACTACAAAGAAGCAAACAAGGGACTGTTAGAATGGAGGACTTACAACAGATCTCAAAGCTACTGAGAGGGAAGACTCAGAGAGGCGTAGAACGAGAGGAGAGATCGTTACATTACAGGGGCATCCAGCCCAGTATATATACACATGAGAGAGCCATCACATGATCGTACAGTAAGCGTAATAGCATGACATCGTAATGGTGCAATGAGCAATGATGCGATGATTGCACCATGGATAGAATGTACTGGAAAGGACTGGACAGGACCGGAAGGGAATCTGGACAGTCCTAGAACATGATATCATAGTGATGTCATGGTGATGTCATCAAGGAACGTGCTGGAACATCCTGGAAAGTACTGGAAGGTAGTGGAATGTTCCGTACAAGTCTAGAACAGATCATGTGCTACAGGTCTGGATCAAGTCCGTAAGAAATGTATGTAATATGTAGCAACGAAGAACATAAGTCCATAACGGGTAAAGGATAAGTCCTATCCCGTAGTGTAACACCCAAAATAGTCGAAGTTCAACACTTTTTGGGTGCTTTTGGAAGATGCTTCTTTGCCACCCCCTCAGCTTGTAACCTCTCACATTCCTTCTCCCAAGCATCCCTCGTGTGTGCATGCTCCTCGCACAACTGCTTCCATCTCTCCTGCAAGATTGTGGTCTCTGTCTTCTTCGTCTTGTGCATGTTAGCGCGCTGTACCTTTGCTGCCGCCTCCTCCATCCGGCCCTCCTTGATTGCATCGACTTTCACTATGAACTCGCGATTGGTGAGATGGCGACCCTTCCTATCTTCGAACAAGACAGCACGGTCTGTCTTTCCCTTGTTTTCTTTTGTATGGAGCGCCTGATTGAGCTTCTGTGCATAGAGATCTTGGATAACAAGCTGGGCTTGTGCAGCTTCCAAAGCTGTCTCGCACACAAGGCGGAGGCTTTCAGTGAGGCATTTGATCCTGTCTTGCATCTCTGCTTTGGATGGATCTGCTAATGGGGTTGATAGCAGGCTCCAGTTGGGCTCTGGCAGCCTTGGCACCTTGCCAAAAATGGGTGGTGTGATCGTCTGCGAGGAGGTAAGAGGTGTCCTTGATATGAGGAATGATCCTGATGACAACTTTGCCAGATTTTCACTCATCAGGCGGGCACGCTTGGATGGAGTGTCGACAAAAGTGGCAGATGAGCTCTGTGGATGGGACCTTGGAGTCGGGAGATGATCCATGTGAAGTCAGCACCAGTTGACGGTGTATGGGGGTGTGTGACAATTTGGGAAGAATGGATGAACCAGGCGTCGGCGAGCCTTGTGGTGAGATGGATGAATGGGGTGCATGATGTGGAGTGTCTGTGCGTGCAGCATGTGCAGCCAGCGACTCTCTGCGCCAAGATTGCATCACTGTACGGACAGGACTCATCTGGGCAAGCGGGAAGGCACCCTGTGTCGATGTTGCATACTCGGCTTCATCTGATCAGGCGAGATGACCTCGGGATTAAACGGGTGAATACCCATCTTCTCGAATGCCGAACGGACAGTCTCCGGCGTGAAGGCCTGTACAAATGCCTTCCCGAATGTCTCAGTGAAGTCGCCCTTCTTGACACCGTGTTTGTGGTGTTCCTCAAACCGCCTGATCTCCTCCTTCCAGATCTCCTTCATCCGTGCAAAACACATGACATCAAGGCCTTGTAATGCATGGGTGCAGTGTGGAGGGTAGGCGAGGATAATGATGTTGTTTTGGATGGCATAATTGAGTATTTTGCTCATGTAGTGGGAACTATGACCATCGACAATGAGTACTCATGGCCGTCTGGCTGCTTTGTCCTTTGTCTGTGCATCGAAGTCTTTGACAAACCATGACATAGCAATCTCGCCATCTGTCCAGCCATTCTCGGAGTGACAGAAACTAGAAAACAGTGAATATAGTTCATGTACCATCAAAATTAGGTATACACACGATGCACCACTGACATTGTTCTGTTGCCAAGAAGACTGGAACTTCTTGGCTTTGAAGATGATCGTCGGCTTCAATGTAGTACCATCAGCACAGATAGTGATGAGCGCGGTGACATTCTCCCAATCACTGTTCCCTTGATTATGTTGGACTTTTGTCCCTCGCCGACCGATGACCTTCCGCCTCCCCTGATCGGAGGGTGGGAAGCCACTCTTGTCCATGCCATAGATGTCCTCGGCTCATATGCCCAGGCCAACAAGCCACTTCTCCACGAGCTCAAACCAACTTTTGACATTCTCGGGATTGAGTGCCCGTGCCCTCTCTGTGGCTAATGGCCTGCTCCAGTGCGTCTGAAGCTCGTGTTCATGCCAAGTCAGAAATCAGCCCACCCATCCTTTGCCAACCTCCTCGAAACCCTCGAGTCCATGCTTTGCATGCAAGATAGCATTTACATGTTTATGAATGTTGGGGCAATCCAATGGAAACCCGTGGTCGGCTGACTCGAGTAAGAAACCCATGAGGACTGCTTCCTCTGCAGGAGTCAGTTTTTGTTTAGCCTCATTGAATGCACTCATTGTTTGTTGTCCCTTGTAATGACTGATCAATGTCTTGTGGCTCTTCAGGCCATGCTTCTCTGCCACCGCGCGTGCACTGAGTCGTTTTTCCCCATCCGGCTTGCCCTGCTCTCGGGTATATTCCTCAAGGGCATCGGAAAGTATCCAATTCTTGATGCGGTGTTTCCTCTGTGTTTTGATGCGGTCTGATAGTGCCTTTCCCATGGCTGAGTGTTTGTGTGAGCAGGGTGGTGATGCAACGGGCACAGAAGCGGGTGTATGGCTTCGCAAAGCCGTGAGATTGAGAAGTGTCAACATGTTCAAGCACGTGTTCAACAACATCACGTGATCATGTTCACGTGCGGCCAGCGATACATGTCACTCTCGAGTCACTCTCAGCTTGTCCATGCTCTGTAGGCTCCAGTGTTTGCTATTGTTGTTGTGATACCTATGAAAGTAGTTACATGATTGGATCTACTATACATAAAAAAAATGTCTGGCACAGACTGCATGCACAGCTCTCCCAATAGCCTGAGATCATCTTTGGTACACTACATATTGGGTATTTTCAAGGGTATATGCTTTCACCATGCATGTTCTACGCAATGTTTTGTCTCAAGAGAGTTCAGACATGAGCAATAGTATTGCATTATACTCGAGACAAATTTTCAGGCCGATATGTGAAGAGTACGTAGTGTCATTGTCATCTGGGTAAAGGAACCCCCGTGGGTAAAGGAGTGGTAGTACACTGTATCTGGTTTGGCAAGTTATGCACATTTAACAACATGACTAGACACAGCCATGTGTGTGCTCCCAATATGTCTGATATATATTCACAATCACAACACACTTTTGTATCATGGAATTTGTATAGGAACTGTTAATCAAGTCAATAATGACAATGATCAGAATTAACTGTATCATTTGAACTGAGTAGGTCATATACTTCCCTACAAATTGATACTACATTGGCTTAGACCTCCCAATGTCAGAGTCTGTTTAGGCCAACTATGCTGAGTTTGTTACACTCATGATGCCTTTTCATGAAATGTAGCTCATGCTGTGGAAAAGCAGGAAGTCACATGTGTCATGTATAGCTGCAAACTTCTAGATGCAGTATACAGGAGTGCTCATCTGCATTCCTCTCCTCATCCCATAGCCTGACATCATTCCATAGCATGTTACTGTCAATACAGATATAGGTAACAACATTCTGGCTAAATGCATTAGGTGGGAACCTGATGTTGTTGCTCCATAATTTATACTGAGGAGTTCACATTACTAACAAATGAGGGCATCCACAGATTATCAAAGCTATGTTACTGTCAAAGTTTCCTGATTCATGACCTGAGTGATATGTCACAGTCATGATTATGGATATTCAATGGAGAGCAAGAACCTGTAAATAAGAATTTTATCATCAACTTTTTCTTGCACAGCAGCAGGCAGTTTGCAAGAGTCTTGCACCCTTTCATATGAATGAACTGTGGTCCCATACAAGAGTATGGTACTTATGTTGCAAAGTGCTGCCAGAGCTTTGGGTGAGCACAATTACCACATATATAGTACCTCACTGATTTTCTGGGGTGTTTGGGGCTTTTCTGAGCCTACACAAGGAGGTTATGTGGCCTCAGAATGAATATCCTGCACATGTTCATGCTTTGTTCCATGCATAAGGAACTATGAAGGCTAGGGAAATCATGGGAGGGTCTGTGAAGCAGGAGCTATCACACCACTTGAATCAGGATTACTACATATGGTAGGTGCCCTCCCAATTGGGAATACCACATTGGGCAATGCTTTGTGGGCCCAGTAAATACTGTAGAAATGATGGTATATTCAGAGTACATGATTGCATCACTTCAAGCAACTGGCATATGGTGAATCATAACCAGCATACATGCATTATATATGTACTGTGTCCCATTCTTGTAGTGCTATTGTGAGGCATCAAGAGTTGCTGATGCTCCTGCTCATGAACACATGGGTTATATCAGTGTTTATGTGACACAAATTGCATCTTTCCATAGCTATAGGCATTTGTGACTTTCTCCATCATTGTGTTTGTCTGCTCTGTGCTTGTATCAAAGGACAATCAGAACAGTATACATTCCTATACTCATTGGTTCAGGGTGCTACATAAGGCAGTTGCTGGGGAAAATAGTAGAGCCACTCTCCCAATAGTAAAGGAGTATTATTGTTCAGAGTTTTGAGACAGTACATAATGTCCCAAACATGGTGAAACAGGGCAGCTCAGCTACAGTTGTGCAAGAACAAGTCTGCAACCACACATATCATTGGTTAATGACTGTGTGGAGATATTGGCATAGCTATCTATGATCAATAAAGATTTATGATCAAAAAATATGCACATTATGAATTCTCTAGGATACTCAATATTCAGGATTCAATGCTCTTGTGTCTTGTGTCATTGCAATGAGGATGGTGAGCAAGTACCTCTGTGACTACTATAATACTGCCTGATGATTTCCACTTGGCCTGTGTGACTCATGTGAGGTTATTGTTATTGTCACGGTTTGACAACTGCTTGGTAAAGCATGGTTAGCCTGACAGACTAGTATATATCAATGCATTTGATAAGTGAGATTCAAGCAATGATTTCATGAGCTAGAAGACAGACAACTTGAATACAACTGGGATCGTATTGCCATGCATGGCCCACTCCCCAGCAAGTTAGAGAATTTTGGAAGTAACATAGCTTTGATAACCTGTGGATGCCCTCATTTGTTAGCAATGTGGACTCCTTAGGGTAAATTGTGAGGCACCTTTTGAACAGTAGGTGCCCACCTAATGCATTTAGCAGATTGCTACATATACCTGGATTGACAGTAACATGGAGTGATGTCAGGATAAGGGATGAGGAGAGGAATGCAGTTGATCATTCCAGTATACTGCATTGAGAATGTGTGACTTACTGTTTTCTCATAGCATGAGCCACAATTCATGAAGAGGGGGTATCATGAGTGTACCAAAATCAGCATGGTTGACATGAACAGACTCTAACAGTGACAGGTCTAGGCCAATGTAGTATCAATTTGTAGGGAAGTATGACTTACTCAGCCCAAATGATACAATTGTTTGTGATCATTGTCATTATTGAGTTACTAACAGTCCCTAGACAGATTCCATGATACAACAATCTCCCACTAGTAAAGTAGTACTTTTGTTCAGTGTTTTGAGACAGTGCATAATGTCCCAGACATGGTGACAGGGCAGCTCAGGTACAGTTGGCCAAGAACAAGCAGGGCTTAGTCTAGGTAAGGAAGTCAGGGCTTAGGTATGCATCACTCTCTCTTTGCACGCCCACGTCTGAACTCCAATGAAGCACCCTAGAGCTTTGATTTCATCCTTGGTCATTTTTTCACTCACCCATCCCTCCCTCTCCACTTTTCTCACCACTTGCTTCCCAGCTCTCAGGCAAGTGCATTCCCCTTTCAGTTCATTGGCTCAACATGCCTCCTCCCACAACCTGTGAAGGATCACACTATGAAGTGGCTGCAGTTGTCTTGCCTACCCTCACAGCTCATCCGTACCCACAGGTCCCAGTGGTTTGTTTTGGGTCTGGCAGGCTGCACCCTGCACTTGTTACTACTTACACTCATCTCTCTCACCCCTGATACTCTCGAAGATCACGCGGTGGTCTACCCCACTCTCCCATTGCAATGTTTCCCATTACTTAGCTCATGTCTCACGTCTCGTATAGTACTATTCAAGTCCTCTCTAATAATACTACTCTAATCAACAGAACACCAAACAGAAATACCTAGACTGGAAGTGTTTCTTGGACCCAGCATTTGTTTGGTGGTGTTGGTGCAAGTCATGTCATCTGGGAGTCTGAAAATTTTGAACTCTGATAACTGACCATAACAAATGTTAACTATACATGGTAAGCTGGGGGCAAATGACTGTACCTGTGGGAAGAAACTGCCACATCAGGCACCACTGGAAGTGTTTCAGGCCTGTCCATCATAAGAATGATACCTTTGTACCTCAGGGATTGTAAAATACATACACATGCAAAGTGGTTATATGTGAAAGTGGTTATACTTGGAGCCTTGTACAGTACTAGTAGTATCAAATTGTATTATTTGCTTAGCTGAACTTGTAGACCTTTAGTGTAATTCAACTACATAAACTATGGTACAGTAAGGATAAAGTGCACTTCTTGAGGTGAAATGTAGTCTCTCACACCAGCTTCAGGTGCCTTAATATACTCATGTTCAAGACATCCAAAATCAGAAATAGAGCACATGGCCTCTTCTATAGATGGCTTAGGCTATCTAGGTATTTGCTGATGAAGAGACAATGCCCATCTCTGAACAACCATGGAAGCATCTTGCTGTCGCAAAAGCATCTTTGTGACATCATCACCCAATCAGGTGAGCTGTAGTTCCTTTATGGCACAACAATCTGTAGGCAGCAGGCAAATACTGCCAAATCAGCTGCTTCTATAGTAGTGTATCCTATTGCTACAGTTGTGTAAAGTGATCTGATTTCATGAACATTTAATTCCTTGATGATCACAGTAGGGATGACTGACATTGATAGCCAAGTTACATGCAGGTAAAGAGTAAGGGGTATAGTGAGTGTGAATTGGAGCCATTACAAAAATCAGGCCAGAGGCTATTGATAACACCAGCTACAATATTCAAAACAGTTTGAGCGAGATTATCAACTAATGATAGTGGATACAAACAAGGATGGCTTGCCATGTTCAGAAGACATCCAATGAGTGTGGGCAATTTGCAGCAGTGTGGCCCCTTCCTTCACAGTCCTCGCAGTATAACTCCTCCAGGACAGCAGTACTGGATCGTACTGAATCAGCAGAAGGCATACCATCCTTGAGAAGATCGCAAGAGAAAATATCGTGTCCTGGGCGCTCGCAGATCTCACAGACATCTTGGGAGTTTTCGATGACGCTAGTATTCGGTAAGTTGCCATCGCTGGTGATAGCAGCGTTTGGCGTAGTTGGTTCAGTCGAAGTTTTAGACGCTTTCCTTTGCGATCGCGCTACTTTGTCGCGGAGCCGCTCCAGTTCTCGTTCGAGTTCATCCTGTGCAGATGAACTTCAGATACGATTTCGCCAAATAAGCACAATCGTACCTCGCGATAGATCTTGGATTCCACGAGGGTCTCTAGCTCTCCTATCTCCTTGTTGAGCTGCAGGGGCCTGTTAGCGTTGTCCGCGCCGCTATGTGGGCGACATACATCATGTATTGTCCGAGCGCTCTTCATATCAGCCTCCGCTTGCTTCTTACGCAGCTGTTCCATCTCGGCCTATGCAAGAAGAGCTGTAGCACCAATTACGAATGTCAAGCAGGACACATACTTCGTATTTCCACTGTAGTGTTGCGCTTTCTGTGGAGCCAGATGAAACCGAAGCGTCAGTCCCAGACGCCAGAGCCTGTTCTTCTCGCATGATACTCTGCTCCACACTCTCCTCGAGCACCTTGAGATCCTGAGCTCAGATGCATTTAATGAAGTATACTGACACATAGTGAACTGCCCCCACCTGACGAAGCTGTTCTGTTTCCGTCAATAAGAGTTTATTCTCTGACTCTAGGACCTTGTTTCGCTGAGCAGCCGCAGAGTTTTCCTTCTGAAGCTCTTGAACGATATGCCTAATGCGAAAATCTGAGTTGTTTCAATTGTCGCGGGTGACAGCAAACGCACTTCAGGCCAGTGATCTCCTCCCGAGCGTTGGTGAGGTCGTGCTTCGATGGTGTGACTTTGCCGGAGTCGCCGCCATTCACAGCGGTATCGCGACTGACCTTCTTGCGCACACTTTCCAGCTCGGTGGTACGCTCTTCCACCAACACCTCGAGATCTGCAAGGGCCTGACGCAGGGCGACTAGCTCCGCTTCCCGCTTGTCGCATTCTGATTGCAACTGTAAGATAGCAAACATCAGTTATCTGGACACATATGATGGAAGGGGGCGTACGAGATCAATGGTGGATTTGAGAGCGCGGTTCTGCTCATACAACTCTCCCGTGTCCCCATCAGGCTGCTGGTGTTGGCTTTGCAGGTCCGTGAGTTTTTGCCTGAGCGAGGCAATTTCCTCGTTGAGACGGGCGCGTTCTTGACTGGATCGCTGTGCAATCTCAGCCACCTTGTCCGAAGAGTTACTGGCTGTGAGACCTTCCAAATCCTACGCAAGATAGTTCAGTATTCAGGTCGCATGAGATACGAAGGATGGCCTACCGCTATCTCATTTCTGAGGCCTTCAATCTCGGCACGGGCATTCTCGAGGGCCACTGTGTTCTCTCGCAACGCCTCCTCCATCTCTTCCACCCGTTGCCGGGCGGCTCCTTCTGACTTGGCAACCTGATCCACCTGTTTCTTGCTTTCGGCCAGCTCCTTACGCATGTTCTCCTCCCTTTCCTTGTACCGTTTCACTCTCTCGCGCACTGCTGCCTCTTCTCGATCGAATGTCGTGTGTGCCTCCTCGAGTTGGTCCTCGAGCATACCTATCCGCTTCAGGAGATGCTGCACCTGCTCGCGGAGGCTTTCGTTGTCGATCTCCACAGCGGAGGCAGCCTGACGCTGCGCCGCAAGTGGTGATAGAGGCTGAGTCTGTGTCCGAAGCTGTTCCTCAAGATTGGCGACCAGGTCTTCGAGCTCGTAACGTCGGGTGTCTGCGGCACTCAGACGCTCTTCATACAAGGCGATGGTTTCCTGAACGGACTGTAAGATATTGTCACAGAGCCTGCGCGAGGACGAACCTGTCCAGCCTTGCGCAGCTCATCAACCTGATGACCAAGTTCTCGGCGTTCGTCCTCGAGATCACCGTACGCTTTCTGCACCCGAGTCTCCAGCAGCGAGATCTCTGCGTCTTTGGCACCCAAGACGGCATCGTTCTCGCTCTGAAGGCCCTCCTTCGTCTGGAGAGCCTCCTTCAGGTTTGCGACTAATGCATCCCGATCGTCGAGCTTCGTCTGGATGTCCCGTACTCGCGCTTCGGCGTCGTTCTTCGCTTTGTCGATATTCAGAGACATCTGCTGTGCGGCGCGCTCCAGAGCTTCAATCGTCGAGTCTCGCTCGCTGACGGTGCGCTCCGTGGTCCTAACGAGCGATTCCAACTCGGCGATTCTACTCGCTGTATGTTTTTGATCGACCAGGAGGACCTCGAGACGCTTGGAATTGTCCTGGGCAGAGTCAGCATTTGCGCGCAGTTGTTGATTCTCATAATCCAGGGCGTCCAGCCGGGCCTGCATCGAATCGAGACGGAGTTGGAAGTCACCAGCAGAGCTCGAGCGCGCAGATGTCGACGAAGTGGGCCGTGACGGAGAAACCATGCGGTTGCCCATGATGTCCGCCATCCGGTCCTCTATGCTCCGCTGGTTCTTCTGCAGATCCGTCACTAAACTCGGGTCGCCTTCGTTCTGAGCGTCACTGAGAGACACTGAACGCACAGAAGACGACGGAGATGCTGGAGGTGGCATAGCGATGGCACTGGGTATACGGGCACGGGGTGTGTTCATGGATGGTCGAGACTTCGAGGGCGTCGTAGACGTCGATGGGATACCCATCCCAATTCCAGAAGCGCGACCACTTCCAGGTGCTTTCGGGGTATTGAAAGGAGATGACGAGGCATGCGTGGGAGATGAGAGATGTGTAGATGTAAACCCTCCTATCCTCGTTGGGCTGTTGGTACCAAACGATTTCCCAGAGGGGCTTCCGGGGACTGGGGGCCGCGTCTCCAGTTGCTTCGCAGTCATGCCGACATATTTCGAAGCACGAGAGCCTGGAGTGACCATCCCTGTAGATGGCTTTGCACCGGGTCGCACAGGCGTTGTCGTATCCATATGGCTCTGGGACATAGACGCTCGACCTTTGGGAAGAGGAAGGCCCGGTGTTCTGCGGCCTGTTGATGCGGACGGTGTTACACGTCCATTGCTCATAGACGGAGTAACGCGTCCGCTACCGAGGGAGATTGAGGGAGTCTTGCGACCGTTGGTTGTGGTGGTGGACGCGGATGGTGTCATCCTACCGGACTGCGCAACAGACGGAGTGACGCGCCCACTGCGCGAGGATGCTACCGACGATGGCCTTGATACTGTTCCATAGCCTACGGTAGGAGAGGACAGCTTGGTCGTCGCAACAAAGACTCCGCAAGAAGGAGGACAGACGAAGTATTGTTTCCTGTTCGCCGAGACAAGTGAATGTCAGCCAGAGAAGTTGCGATAGGGCAGCACACCCGCACAAATGCAGGGTATCCGTGTCGAGAATTAACACCGTGAACTAGTAGACACGAAGTAAAGTGGTTCAAGCGAAACAGGCACTGGGGGGACAGGGAAACCGGAGGGTACATTATAAGATGTCTGACGAAAGTGCTCACCCGCTCACGACGCCATTGTTCTTGCCCTTACCAGCGAAGCCTCCGCTGAGCTCAACTCCAGCCCAGTGACCAGGTTTACCATCAATTTCTCCCAGATATCTTAGCGTGCCCTCGAACCCAAGGGACTCGATGCGGACATTGTCGCCTACCTCGAACGCTCTGCCCGCGCGGCTGGAGCTGCGTGCAAATACATCGGATTGGCGGCTGGCGGGTCGCGCGACAGAGTTCCTGGAGCCCGACGCCGGGGTACGAGGGGGCACGGGGCTTACAGCCGAGGAGGAAGAAGCTGCGGAGGAGGATCTGCCGTTTACGGACTGACGACCGCTGAGCGAGGATTGAGACGCGGAAGAGACGGACAGAGACGCGTTGGAAACATCGCTCGCGCGACTAGAGCGGTGCTGAGCAGGATCGTTGGCCTTGATCGCGTCGGCGAAGGCCCTGGAGACGTAGTCGTCGTCTTGTGTGTGCGGTTGCTGCTGGGTCGTGGATGCAGAACGGGACCTGCCTGGGGTTGGAATGGCGCTCTTTCCTGGCGTCGGGATCCCGGAGAAACGGCCCCTGCCTGGGGTGGGTATAGACATGGTGGAGAGGGAAGGAGAGACGGCAGTCGGATGCGTACGAGCCGCAGAACAGAACAGACAAGTGCTGCTCCTCCCAGACGCTCCCACTGCCAGAAGCTCGTCCAGTCTAACGACTTCCGTCACTCTGCGATCGCCCGCCGGAGTGGCCGGGGTCGCGCGATGGGCCCCCGGTCGTTCATCGCACGGCTCGCGTCCAAGCCTGCTCGCTGCTCAGCTCCTCCAGCTCGCCGTCGCCTACAGCGTCCACCCATCGCGCGGCGCATCCTCCTCAGCCGTCCTCGCGGACCGTCATATCCCACCGGCAGCCATGCCTCGCATACCTTTCCAGCTCTCCCGCCTGTTGGCGCGCCCCCCAACACTGTCATCCCTTCCCTCACAGCCAGCATCCTTTCGCCCCATTCTCACCACGGTGCTACCACGCACAGTACCGACCTTGCTCAACAGCAACCGCATCCTCGGTCGTTTGCAGCTCGTCCCGAGCCTATCCGCTCCCTCTCCCGTTCTTCATGCCTTGCAGCAAGTCCGCTACGGATCGCGAGGAACGGAGTATCAGCCCTCGCAGCGGAAGAGAAAGCGCAAGCACGGTTTTCTTGCCCGGAAGAGGAGCCTAAATGGTCGGAAGGTCTTGGCTCGGCGTAAGGCAAAGGGGCGCTTGTATCTCTCGCATTGAGGTCAGAGAAGCGGCGGTTGGTCGCCTCGCGAGGTTCACATAGGTGCGATACATTCATTGCGTCGTATCTGAGATTTGCTCAAGGATTGAAATCTTGACATCGATAGACGGTCTTGGACTCATACATGCAAAACAACGGATAGCAGAGTGTACACGGGTCCATACATAACACCACTTTGACGAGTACACTCAGTACAGTTGCCGCCTGGTCAATTCAGATGCTAGTATGCACTGGTATCATCAGCACAACCGAAACAAGATGGCATTCTTCATTCCGTAATATCGGACAGTCTGCTAGTTCTAAGGGCCCGCAGCGGAGGAAGCACAGGCGCATTTCCCTTTTGCTCAGCATAGGTTTGCGCAGGAGAAAGCGGATCCCCAGGGGTGAACAGGAATCCACGCTCTATGTCAGCGAAGAGCGCAGATATGGGTGTCTGCGCGACGGCGGTGACACGCTGAACGGCGCTGGGTGGACCGTCGGGCGTCGCTGGATCGTTGGTAACATCGATCTTGGGCGCGGTTGGAGGGCACGCAGTCTGCTGTGGGCTCGGAGGTAGGGTACGTCTGTAGGTGGGAGCGCCGGTGCTGCATCGTGATGCGGGCTGGGAGGCAAAGGAATCTCTGTTGGTTGCGTCGCGCTCTGGGACACTTCGTCGCCACCCTCGCGTTTGTTCTCCTTGCTTTCTGCAGCTACAGCTGTCGCGTCGCGGGAGCCTGATGGCGCATGTCCTCCGCGTTTAGGTGGTAGGGTCTTGTCGCTGCGTCCCTTCTGAGCCGTCGTACTTCCATGGGACACGCCCGCGCGCTGTGTGGTTTCAGCCTTCGGGATCGGTTTCGCCCTCTCGTTAGCCTTCGGAACAGCAGGCTTTACCTGCCTGGTCTTTGGCACAACGGCGACCTTAGCTGGAACGCCACCGCGAGGCTCCGCACTGCGAGACCGCTTAGCGGGTCCAAGCGGTGCCTGCGGTTTGCGTTCAGCGTTGTCACCTCCACGTTTAACTTCTGGTACAGCGGCAGGTTGTGGCTCTGGTTCTGGCGGCAGCACACGCGGTACCCGCCTCGCACCACCGACGACGCGATGGGGTCTCTCCGCCACTTCCTGTCGCGAGGGAGGCATCGCCGCCATACTTGATACAGGGCGTATCGGACCCGTTCTGCTGCGGCCGGGTGGGTCCTGCGGTACATCCTGCCGAACCACAGGTCTCCTCGGCCCCGACGTGCTGCCCTGCGCTTGCGGGCGGAAGGGACCCGAATCTACTTGTCGAGATGCCGTCGTCGATGTCGATGTCGCGGAACGTGACGGAGCTTCAGCTGGAGTGGACTGGAACAACCTGTCATCGCTAGAGTCCTTGGTGATCCCTTGAACGCGGCCCTTGCCCATATCGCCTGCCGCGCCGATGTTCGCACCACTTCTGCTGGGGACAATGGATGGGGGAGGCATATCCGTCCTGCCAGCTGCAGAACGACCCGATGGTGCAGCGACATGTCTTCTGTCTCCCGAGATCTGCCTCTGCCGGGCTATCGCAGTAGATTGTGCGGTTGACCCAGCAAGATCTGACGAAGACGCGGATCGCATGTGCACCCGACTCGTTGGAACCGCCTGCGTAGACGAACCCCCGGCCGTAGACTTCAAGGCCGATGTCGAAGACGAAAATTGTAACGGTGGCAGTTTGCCGTCGTTGGAGCGGGTAGACTGTGCAGACGGGGGACGGCTTTGTGGATTAGACGGTATCGCTATAGGTTTGGGCTTGATGTCTAGATATTTCTTCATAGTCGGTGTGAGAGGTTGTGTGAATCTAGCGTCGTGATTGTCAACAAAGTTAGTTCCGAAGATGGGAGAGCGCACTCACTTGTCTACCCTCGACGGCAGCACAAGCTTGTACGCCTCGAAAACCTTCCGCCCTACTTTCCTCACGTCCGCACTGGCGTCCGTCGCAGTTGCCCTGATGATGATCTCAATCTCCCGCGCCCGCGGCTCCTTCTCTAAATCCGGAGTGTTCAAGCTGTTCAGGCAGGCCAGCGCGCATTCCGCGACGCTCAGGCGCAGCGAGACAGACTTGTCCTTCACCGACTCGACGAAGTACGACAAGACCGACGGAGACTGGGAATACTCGATAACAGTGAGCAAGCACTGGCGCGCGCGGACTGGAAGACTTTGTTGGGGCGGGTGCACAGCCGAGGAGCGTCGGGAGGAAGAGGGCATCAGGCCTTCGAAGGCAGGGCCTATGTTCGTGACGAGGACGGTGAAGAAATCGATGGCTGCGCCGGACAACCGAGAGCGTTCGGAGTTCACAGCGGTGGTGAGGGAGCGCGACATCGGACGCACGGATACGACGGTTTCCTGAGGCCACATGGTGGCGTTGCCCCTCAGAAGGGAGCTAAATGTAAGCAGTGCATAAGAATGCCATCCCAGGTCTCCTCTGACTCAGTTACAGACAGCGGATCGCGCAAGGCGTCCAGTTGTTGCGCATACGCGGCAGGAGTCTGGCACTGATCAGTCGAATGCGTCAGTATTTCACTGAGAACTGGGCAATGTGTGCGGTAATACCTTGATGGCGTTTGGGGGTGGTTTGGGAGCCATGGGCAAGTTGACCGTCGTGGAGGATGAGGTTAGTGTTCAAGTCGTCGCGTAACGTCCACATGGCGAACCCAACCGTGGCCTCATGTTCCACGTGATCGTGTTGTGGCTTACCGCGTCTGATCGGCGCTCGACGCTCTCCTCGTCTCTCCTCCCCTTCGGCACTCTGCTCAACTCGAGGATCAGACGATTTGACGCAACAAAAGAGGGTCCCTGCAGTGACTTATGCTACATATCTCATTGATTTGAAAATAGCTACCGTTAGGGGGCCTTGCGCCCGCTCAATCTCACTTCCGCTAGGCCAAATGCACTGTCTGAGTAGATTCTGAAGTCGAGGCGAGGGCGCAAGTTCCTCGTATTCGTTATGAGTTCAACGGATCCGGGGCGCTCATTCTCTCACTTCTTTGCATGCATACGTCAACAGCTGCTCTGGTTATAAGCAATCGTATTTCAGTACCTGTACCTGTCCAAGGCCCAAGCTTGGCTATACAAGCGATCAGTCAGATACGTTCCACCGATGTAAGTCGACGTCCTGTATGTAGGTCTCGCAGCTACAGTGGCCTTAGATGCAGGATTCGAGCCAGGCAGAGCTGGGGATGATGTCTTCTTCTCATGACCATTTGCTCCGCGTTGAGACTCGTATAAGTGCACTATTCCGCAACGGCCCCTTCCCCCAGGACTCAAATACTCGCGCATGTGCTTTGCATAAGTACTCAAAGCAAAGATTGTGATACGTCTGACTATGCAACGAATGGTAACGCATGAAGCACTGAGCACCTCCCAATCGGTGCCTGTTTTAAGTTCATGAGATGTGAATAGCATGCTTGATAAGTAGCCCGGCGTAGAAATCGACTCTGTACCCACGGCTATCGACATGGACGTTCACAAGAGGATCTCCGCAGCAAAGGACACGGACATAGTAATCCACACAGTGGACATGCATACGTCTGGCGAAGTTAGTGCTACATTATCATATCATAGCTCGCCGCTCGGGTACGCTGACGATGTGATACACGTTCGCAGCCGACCCGCATCGTGGTGTCAGGATATCCTGAGCTCCGTGGTCATACCCTACTGCAAAAGAGGGCCTATGCGAAGGAGCAACTGGATCATCTACGCACTAGGTGTGCCCTCATAGATCCCGGATGCGACTAGATGCCGACCAGATCGTCCTAGGTTGATGTGGGAGCCGAGGGGCCATACAGACATGTACGGAGCGTTGCTGGTACAGACCACGGAGATGACAGAGAGCGGGCATGCGGACATTGGAGTGCTCTTCATGCACAATGGTGCGTCGAAAATCCGCAGACGAATTGCGTGATCGTGACAGTGGTGTGTACAGAGGGATACTCGACGATGTGCGGACATGGGACGATTGCCCTCGGGCGATTCTTGATCGACACGCAAGACAGATCGGTCTTCCCTCTGCGCGAGCAGCTGAAGTACGACGCCGAGAAGCGCGAAACGGAGTTGCGACTGCACGCGCCGTGCGGTGTCGTGCATGTAACAGTGCCGACAGTGATGGATGACGGCAAGGCGCGCTCGGACGAGAGTCGGCCAGTGACGTTCATCAGCGTGCCCAGCTTCGCGTCAGCGCGGGACGTATACGTGGACATACCGGAGACCGAGCGCTGGGCAGCTCTCCGCGCGAAGGGTGGAACGCAAGTGCGCGTTGACGTCGCGTACGGAGGCGCGTTCTATGCCATCGTGGAAGCGACAGAGCTCGGGTTCGAGGGCATCGTAGGCCGCGGGATCTCGTTGCGAGAACTAGACGAGGCGACGGCGACGCTGAAGAGGCTTTTGGCGGGTCGGCGGGAGCTAGTGAGGCACCCGAGCGAGCCGGAGCTGGAGTACCTGTACGGGGCCATCGTGACCGACGAAGCAGAGGGCGCACGCCGCAGCGTCGGGCTGTGCTTCTTCGCGGAGCAGGAGGTGGACCGCTCGCCGTGCGGGTCCGGGGTGAGTGCGCGCGTCGCCGCGGCGGTCGCGGCGGGACGGATGGCGGTGGGGGAGACGGCGCTGTTCGACTCGCCGGTCAGCGTGGGCGGCGGCGGCGGCTTCACGGGGACGGCCGTGGCGGAGGTCGCCGTGGGCGGGGCGGCGGGCGTGCGGGTGGCGGTGGGCGGGCGGGGTGGTACACGGGGGCGCATGTGTTTGTGTGCGAGGGCGGCGACGCGCGGGTGGCGGGGTTCCTGTTTCGCGACGCCTTAAGTATGACGTAGTATTTTGGGTCCAACCTGGCCATGATGTCATTACCATACTCGGCCGTATATAACGCGTCGGCCTGAATGGTCGTCTGCCATCTGCTCACCGACCCCACCGTACACCACACTCGCATCCGCCAGCCATGTCGTACGCCTCAGTCGCTGCTCACAACGCCCCGCCCCCCTCTGAACAGGTACTTTCACAGCATGTCTCCTCCGTGGCAGCAGCCTAACCTCATCCACCAGCCCCACCCAGACCAGGCTCTCTTCTCCACAGAGCCGCCCTCCGCGGACAACATCGCGGACGACGCGATCAAGGTCAACGTCGTGGCCCCAGACTTCCGCTCTAATCCCGAGACCACCACCTCCATCTCGGGACCGCCTCCCGTAGCAAGTGGTGCACCCAAGTCTGGGCACCACGGTGCAAAGGGCAAGGGCAAGCGGTACCTCCACGAAGCCGAAGAGGAGGGCTCCTACCTGTATGTGCGCGCCAGGCAGTACATCTTCCAACCTGGTGTCGCGGGTGGTCTTCTCGGGCTCGGTGCGCCGTTTTTGTTCTTCTGCATCTCGCTCACCGCTGATGGCCGTCATCCTGCAGTAAACGTCGGTCTCATCTCCTTCGCGGGCTACTCCTTCTACACCAAGCCATCCCTTCGTCGCGACACGCGTGCCATCGGTTCCGCCGCTGCCGCGACTCTTCTACTCCTCACCGGCGAGGGCTATGCCGCTGGAAAGTATCGCGAGACCCCCAGAGGTCAGGAGGAAGAGGCCAAGGCAAAGAAGGAAGGTGCTGCACTGTACCGCTATGCTAGGGAGCACATTCTCCGTCCTGGCGTTCTAGGTGGCCTTGTCGGTGTTGGTAAGTCGCGTGACCGCATACGTTCATCATACGTGTACTGAACGTCCACGCAGTCAACGCGGGTGTCTTGGGTGCGATCGGATATTACGCATACACTGAGTGGGACCGCCCTCGCTGGGATAAACGTCTCGTGTCCGCCGTCTCTGTCGGCCTGTTGACGCTCTGGTCCGGTGAAGGGTGCGTACTTTCCATGCCTTTGTCCGTGTAGTGGCTCACGTCCCTCTGCAGCTACCTGGCCGAGCGGTACCGGGAGACCAAGCATTAATGACACGACCGCAAGTGCGCTGTTGCGGAAAATGACCCTTCAGAATGAGATTCAGCGAATGTGGCACACACGTCCACCCCTCCTTCACATGACCCTGTATGATATCCTCAGTATAGTACATGTACACCTTCGGAAACGTATCTTCTTGCATCTCATGCTTGCATTCCTCGCTGGGGGATTGGTGGGACACGGTGTATCGATAAGTGTGGACGAACCAATACCAGTGAGTAGATTCGCCGTAGCGGTGGGCGGTAAACAGCATACTTGCCATATCTGGCGCACTCGTTGGCCACAAGCGCCCATGACGGGAATGGCCGAAACTCAAAATTTCTGGTCATCTCGAGTACTCCGCGTAATCGACCCGCGCACTCTCGCACCCGCCCTTGCGCTCGACCCTAGCTGCCCCTCGTCGCTCACACTCAAAAGCACACAGCAGCCATGTCTCGATTCTTCCGCGCAGCCGGCGACAGCGACAGCGACTCCGAGTCGTCCTCCGAGGAGGAGCTCATGTCCAGCGACGATGAGGGCGCACCCTCCGCACCCAAGGCCCCCGGGGCCAAGCCAGCCATGTCGCGTTTCCTGCGCACCGCGGGCAGCGATTCCGACTCGTCCGACGATGACGAGAGTGAAAGCGAGGATGAGAGCGAGAACAGCCAGAATGAGGAGCAAGGGCAGCAGAGGCGGAGCCGTTTTCTGCGGACGGACCTGGATGACGACGCGAGCGACGAGGATGTTACGCGGGTGGTCAAGAGCGCGAGGGACAAGCGGTTGGAGGAGATGGAGGCGTGCGGGAAGACGATGGACAATGCGCTAAAGATCAACGACTGGGTCGCCATCTCTAACGGTGCGTCGCAGGCCATCTGCTACGCGCATACAGCCGCTCACGAGAAGCAGAGTTTGACAAGCTGGTGCGCATGGTGCAGCGCCAGCAGAACGTCTCAGAGCCCATCCCGCCTTTCTACATCAAGCAATTGGTCAATCTGGAGGGCGCGCTGAACACGGCGGTGGCGAAGGAGAAGGAATCGAAGAAGAAGATGAATGCGAGCAATGCCCGCGCGCTCAACGGAATGAGGCAGAAAGTCAAAAAGGTGACGAAGGAGTACGAAGCCGACGTCAAGCGCTTCCAGGCGGTCAGTCGTTTCAGAGGTAGCCCGTGTCTTCCGCTAATATTGGTTGCACCCTTCTGCCTGCGTATCAACGTCCTGCGTGATTTCACAGGACCCAGAGGCGTTCGAGCGAGAGTACACCGCGATCGTAGCGCCTGAGGCACCTCCCCCCGTAGCAAGAGCGAGGACAAGGAGGGCCGCCGAGAGTGAAGATGAGAACGCTGAAGATGATGCGTTTACCACTGTCGGCAAGGGCGGCAAGGCGATGGCCTTCACGCCAGAAAGCATTTTCAAGAACCTGCAGCTTGTGCAGGAGGCTCGCGGGAAGAAGGTTTGTAGATCCTCGTTGGACCTTCAAGTCAGTCGTCTTACCTTGACACCAGAACACCAACAGGCAAGACCAAATCAGTATCTTGGAGAAGCTGCTTGCCGTCGCTGTGACTTCGTACCAGCGCATTCGTGTCCTCCTCACCCTGATCTCCGCGCGTTTCGACTACAACTCTTCCGTCGCGACGCACATGCCCATCGAGCTGTGGGTCAACGCGCAGGGCGAAGTGGACCAACTGATCGGCATCATCATGCGCGAGCCGCTGTACGTGATCCAAGAGATCACGGAAGACTACGACGATCTTGCGGAGCGGACGCCGGAGACGGAGAAGGACGGCGTTGTGCGCATCCGCGGGAGCATCATCAGCTTCGTGGACCGCCTCGACGACGAGTTCACGAAGAGCCTGCAGAACATCGACCCGCATGGGACGGAGTATGTTGACAGGCTTAAGGATGAGAAGGGCTTGTACTGCACGATTTGCCGGTCACAAGCGCTGTACGAGAAGAACAACAGCGAAGACCCCCTCGGTCGTGTCATCATGCGGCGGTTAGAGCACATTTACTCAAAGGTCCGTAATTACATCAGCAATCCATTTCTAAAGTATACTCACATCTCAAACAGCCGGACGCTGTCGTTCACGCTCTCGAGTCCACCGTTGCAGCCTCAGATATCAAGCCATCGATCGTCCTGGACGCCGAGGGCGAAACTTCCACCTTGATCCACTCTCTGTGCATTCATCTCTACAAGTCAAGCAATTCCCTCCTTCGTACCCGTGCCATGCTCTGCCACATCTATCACTACGGCCTCCACAACGACTTCCACACTGCTCGTGACATGCTTCTCATGTCGCATCTCCAGGAGTCGGTGTACTCTGCCGACGTTGCCACCCAGATCCTCTACAACCGTACCGTCGTTCAGCTGGGACTCGGTGCGTTCCGATGCGGCCTGATCAAGGAGGCGCAGGCCACGCTGCAGGACATCTTCGCTACGCAGCGGGTGAAGGAGCTCCTTGCGCAAGGCGTGCACCAGCAGCGCTTCCAGGTCCTCTCACCCGAGCAAGAGAAGGCGGAGCGACAGCGGCAACTGCCCTTCCACATGCATATCAACACCGAGCTACTGGAGGCTGCGTTTCTTGTTTCGAGCATGCTCGTCGAGATCCCGCTCCTCGCGAGCATCGACTCTGAGGAGCAGAAGCGCAAGGCGATCTCGAAGCCGTTCCGGAGGTTGCTGGACTTCGCTGATAGGCAGATCTTCACGGGCCCGCCTGAGAGCACGCGGGACCATATCATGCAGGCGAGCAAGGCGCTGCAGAACGGCGAGTGGGAGAAGTGCCGCGATCTCATCCAGAGCATCAAGATCTGGAGTCTGATGCCTGAGTACACCACCGTGAAGGAGATGCTTGCAAAGTAGGTGTCTTTATTCCACGCATTATGTTTCGACTAACGATGTCACGCAGACGTATACAGGAAGAGGGTTTGCGGACATACCTCTTTACGTACGCGCCACACTACACGACGCTCTCGCTCTCGTTGCTGTCCCGCACCTTCTCTCTTCCTCTCCGCGCTGTGACGTCCATCGTGTCCAAGATGATCTGGACAGAAGAACTGTCTGCGTCTCTCGACCAAGCGGCCGGCGTTGTCGTCTTCCACCGCATCGACCTGTCGCGCACGCAACAATTGGCATTGAGCCTGGCCGACAAGGTCAACAACATGCTCGAGCAGAACGAGAAGGCGCTCGACAACAAACTCGGGCTTACTGCTTCGTGGAATGACCGCGCTGACGGCGCGAAGGGCGCAAAGGGCGGTGAGCAGGCTGCCGAGCGGAGACGCGGCGGCGGCGAGAGGCGGGGCGGGATGCGCGGTGGTGGGCGGGGCAGGGGTGCTCGCTTTGCGCAGGGGCTCGGTAACCAGATGGCGGGCGCGCAGAGGAACCGGTGATCATTGGACGTGTTTATGCGTATACGATTTTGTTATGACTGTGCTTATTGTTTTGTTGTCCACATGCAGCGCGAGACTGTACAAAGAGCATGCATGTCTGTCTGGTATTACAATGTATGAGTACTATACACGCATGCATTATGTTTATTCTGCCTCCTGAGTTCGACTAAATCGACCATTCAGTGTTCAGCACTCAGCACTCAGTCATCGCTCTCTTCAGACGATGCCTCTTCCTCGGATTGGTCTTCTTCCTCGCTGGACCCACGTCCTGCCGTCCAATCAGAGATGTCGAGTTTCTCGTTCCGCGTCGTTTCTATGCGATGTGTGAGTTGGTTCCATGGGGAGTAAAAACATAGCACCTACCACCGATACCGATTTCGTATCCGCATTGAGTGACGCATTTTGACAATTCAGCCTTTCCGCCGACTTTTGTGCCCTTGCCAAGTATGCAACCGTCGAGCTTCGCTCTGCGGTGCACCGTGCACGATGTTCAGCTATCCGTCTCAGATAAGGAAGAAAACGAAACTGACCCGTCGGCGATGACGCAGTGGTCCTGAATAACGCATCCAGCGATCTTCACCATCTTGCCAATAACACAGTGGTTGCCGATGACGGACTTCTTGATGCTCGTGCGCTCCTCGACACGGGTAGAGTGTCCGACCATCGAGTCAGAAGATATCTGCGCCTTCTGGTCGATCTTGGCCCGACTATCGGAATCAGTCGGCAGTGAATATGTCTGCTGTGACAGGAACTGCGTAGACAATCTTGCCGTGAGCTGCAGTAGCACAGGGCAGTGGGGAGAATCGCCTACATGGCGGTTCAGATCCAGGTAGGCGTGAAGGTTATTTGCGCGCGCGGCATAGCCCTCTTGGGCGCGGTGAACGACCAAACTCATCCGAAGACTCGCTGGTATTCGAGCTTCCTCCTCGTCCTCGTCTAAAACTAGGGACTTTGTGTGTTCCTGGTTCTGGTCATCGGAGGGTGGGCTGTGTAAAAATTCGTCCTTATGTTGGAGATGCACCGGGGCTTTGCTGTGTAGCGTCGAGTGCTTGAGCGCGAGCTCCTGGGTGAGCGCATTCGTGACCGGATTGAGAACTGCCAGTGGAGACGTGAATGTATCAGTCTGCAGTTAATGAGACGTGATGAGCAGTATACCTCTACCATACTTCTCCAACTTCGTGCGTTGGTATTGCGGCTTGCACAACCAAGGGATGAACTCCTCTCGTATTGAGTCAAACTCGACTTCTCCTGCAACGCGTCCAAGACCTGGCGCCGACATGCGTAGACATGGGAGTCCATGAACGTAGCTGACAACTTCACCCGAGGGTACCTAATCGAGAGCACACGGATCAGCAGGCTACCTGTGCAAGGGCCAATCAGCATACTTGGAAAGCAAGCTCATCCGGAGCTCCAGATCTTCACTATTCCTGTCTGCGTCATCAGGCGTGTCAATGTGCAGCAGTGTCTCCGACCGCTCGTCCCACACGATCGGGGTGGGTGTTGGGACGAGACCCCACTCATCCGTGCTGCTGCCCTTGTCTGGTCTGCGACCTTCGTAGAAGAATGCTGTGGCAATAGCCCCATCATAGGTGGATTCAGTTCTGAACTTGTTTAGAATCTGGGTGAGGGAAAGCGTAGGTGGCGGGACGAAGTCACAAGGGAGGAGCACGAAGTCTTGTTTGATTCGATGTGCGAAATGTCTGAGGAGCGCGCCCGTTCCTACGCTTAGATCTTGTGATTCCTCGAATGTCTGAAGGTCAATCTGGAGCGAAGGGAAGGACGCGGAGGAGTCTGATTGAATATAGTTTGAAAGTGCCGCGCGGTGCGATGTTGGGCAGATGAGGAGCACGTCTATACATTATGCCGTGAGCAGCATTGACGCGTCAAGGTCAAGTCCACATACCTTTGATTCCCGATTGTTCTAGCCACACGAGGGGATACTCGAGCATAGGTTTGTTCGCAATGGGCAGCAAAGCCTTTGGACTGGGCTCGTCTCCATAATTCCCGGTCAGAGGAAGGAGCCTGGGTAGTTGTGAGCGGCGAATGTATCAACGATATGACCTCAAATGCGCACTCGTTGCCGAATCCCGCGAGGACGACGGCGAGGAACTCTGGAGGGATGAGTTTTGCGGATGACTCGTCGAGGTCCATGGTCAAGTTGTGCTGTGGCTGCTTTCCGTTCGGCCAATCGAGATCCCGGATCGTGATGCGGGCGCTCGTGCAGTCGATCGCTCGTTCGCTGTGCTCCTCGTCCCAGGCCGTCTCTCCCCTCCGCCATCCTCCTCTCGCCCATGCACGACGACAGCCTCGACGAGGAGGACTATCTCTCAAGCCGGCGCCCACACACTCTGCCTTTGACCCTCCGATATGCCGCCATCAGTCTCTGTACACCAGCTCTACAGACGTCTCGAGACCGTCGGCAAGGGTGCTTATGGCTCGTTCACAAAGGCGTCGACATCGCCACCGGAAACGTCGTTGCACTCAAGATCATCAACCTCGACACCGAGGATGACGACGTTGGCGACATCCAGCGCGAGGTGCCCTTCTCACCCAACTACGTGACGCTCCGAACATCACCCATTACTATGGCTGCCACCTCGATGGTCCGCGCGTCTGGATCGTCATGGAGTACGCACAAGGAGGCAGCGTCCGCACGCTCATGAAGGCATGCAAGGACGGCGTCGTTGAGGAGAAGTACGTCTCTGTCATTATGCGTGAAGTCCTCGCCGCTTTGAGTTACCTGCACAAGTCCTCCATCATACACCGTGACCTCAAGGCCGCTAACATCCTCATTACTGCCACCGGAAAGGTCATGATCTGTGACTTTGGTGTATCCGCTCTCCTGGTGACCGCCTCAAGCAAGCGAAACACACTCGTCGGGACTCCTCACTGGATGGCTCCCGAAGTTGCCCAAGGTTCTGCCTATGACACCAAGGCAGACATCTGGAGCTTAGGAATTGTGATATACGAGATGGTCAAGGGCTCTGCGCCCAACTCACATATGATGGATCAGGCGAAACTTATTCAAATGCTCCCGCGAATGAAGCCTCCTCGGCTCATCGAAGGCGAGGGAAGTAAAGAGATGAGAGAGTTTGTCGCACACTGCTTGAGAGAGTCCCCAAATGATGTAAGCATTTCTTGTTCTGCCTGAGTTGAATAACACTGAAAGGAAAGCACAGCGTCTTAACGCCGATGACCTTTCAAAGACGAAATGGATAAAGACTGTAGCAAAGGTCCCGGTAACAACCTTGAAAGACCTCATCCTGCGATACGACACCTGGACACAGGGCGGCGGGACGCGTGCCAGCATTGCGGATTCCTTGCCGTGGGAGCAAGAAGAGCTGAGAGAGTATGTGGTGTTATGCTCTCGTATTGATCATCCGCTGAGAAGCGCCTCAGCTCGCTTCCGGACGACAACCTAGAGGACCACGACGACTGGCAGTTCGACACCGTTCGTGGACGACCATCACTGGACGTTGGACAGCCAGATACAGATACAAGTCTCCTCGTTGCAGACGACGACTCTTCCTCCTACCCTACAATTAGGCCACCAGTATCGAAGGTCCCACCAACATTGCGAATGCTGTTCGAAGACGACAGTGCTGGCACCGCGGCGGACCCATTCCGCATACCGGGCATGGACCAGTCTCAGACAGATTCCCTTCTCAGCTCGTTGTCTCCCGCTCGCGGTCGTAGTCCATTCAAGCCTCCAGCATCAATCGATATGAATGCCGAGTCTCCGGATACCGCCAAACAGGCTGACTTTCAGCTCCACCACGAACGTCGACCCCCCGCGGGAAGTCGAAGCTGGGGCACGCCTCTCGAAAGGATGACGGGGATGACCCGTTACCTTCGTTGGGACCTGGTATCCCTTTGGGTAGCTCGTCTGGCCCACTGAGTGCCCCAGCATTTGATAGCGGGAGGCTACCCAGATCGACCCCCAATTATCGCGAAGTGCGCTCCACCCGCGGGTTCGCGGACATCGAGATCCCCGACCTCTCTGACGATTCCTTTTTCAACATCCCCGCTGACCCTTCCGTCTCTACACCTCCCATCGTCCTCTCATCCTCATCACCAGAGCGCCCATTAGATCGCCCGACTCTGAGTCGAAAGCGATCGCATAGTAACGTGTCCAACTCGGTTCCCTCGCCTTTCAGAAGCACCCTGGAAAGGATAGCACCCCTCCACCGTCATCTGGCTTCCGTTTCCCCGCCGTTCCTGGCCCGTCGACAGAGGGGAACCGAAGCGCGCCTTCTCCACTGCCGACTTTCGACCTGCCGTCAGGTCACCGCCGCCGATCCCCCACCCACACGAGTGTGTCGACAATTGACAGCATTTCATCCGCCACGCATCAGATGACCCACTCTGTAGACACTGCACTCCTACCGAAGCGGCTTGCCTCGCCAGGCGGGTCGCTGCCCGCACTTCCAACATGACGCGGTCGCGCTCAGCTATGGCCACATCGGAGAGTCCCATGCTGAGTCTAGTGCTGAGGGAGTGGTCTTGTGCGGAAGCCGAGTTTGAATCGGCTTGCGTCTGTAGCGATAATGGAAACTGTGCCACCCACGCCTCCTCCGAAACCGTATGCTCGAAATCGGGACGGGAGGGGCGGCAGCATCACTGACGGCGCGCAGTTGAAGGATGTGCTGAAGGTTCGTTTCGACCTACCATTAATAGCCAGTGCTAACTGCAGTATTATCCTAGATTCCTACACTGACAAGCGAGCACAAGCTTGGCATGCCAGACCTGCTCCCGCCCTCACCATCCGTACTGATCCCTCCCCGACCTTCTCACTCTCCTAGCCCGTTCAGCTTTCCGCCAGTGGACATGTCAACGGAACTCCCGCTCTCCAACTCCGCCGCGTCTTCGTCAACAACCTCGCTCAGCTCTCTCTCCTCCCAGATGAACAGTCCTTCAGCGACGTCCGCCTCGGCACCGCAGACTCGTCCACCTCCTATACGCAATCAACATCCCACTCGCGCTCGCTCTCGCTCTCTCACGGTTCCTTCCCGACCCTCCCCATCCGAGCGACCTCACCGGCCCACCAGTGCAGCCGCTTGACTTCGGCGCGCTGTACAAGCCACGACGCGACGCACGCTGCCTGGCCCACACCGTCGACGACCTCGCGCAGTGGCTCTCCGTCGTGGAAGTCGGGCTCTCGCACCTGCTGGACAAGGGAAACCAGGACACGATCCAGGAGGAACAGGAGCAGGACAACACGGACGAGGACGACATCCCACCGTCCCTCCGCCAAATGGCGCAGGTCGCCAACGGGTCCTCCTAGCCAGTATATTATCGCATCTATATTCGATTCATTCTGGAGTTGCGTTCTGACGTGCACTCGTGATGGTATGTTTGCGTTTGAGTGCCTGACACTTGTAATGCGGTCTGTATGCATAATACACACAATAATCTAGCCAATAATCTGCAGTCTACACCGTCCAGGACGTTAGATGAACCCATTTTGTACGAGGTATTCGGATATGATGCGGACGGCCTCGGCGACGTCGCACTGGTCCGTCCTGATGTGGATCTCTGGGCTCTCCGGGGGCTCGTATGGCGCTGAGATACCAGTGAACTCTGCGCACGATGTCAGACTAAGCCGTAACCCGTCACCGTTCATATACTCACCTTTGATCTCTCCTGCTCGCGCTTTCTTGTACAACCCCTTGGGATCCCGCTGCTCGGCGACCTGTAGTGGCGCGTCGACGTACACTTCGACGAAGCCCAGCCCCGCCTTCTCGTGCAGTTCCCGTGCGCCCGTTCGGTCTGCGCGGTACGGCGAGATGAACGCGGTGATGGCGATGCAGCACGAGTCCGCAAACAGTTTAGAGACCTGTAGCGCATTGGCTGACCATCGGAAGGACAAGTAGCGAGCGAAGACCGACCTCGCCTATCCGGCGGATGTTCTCGTTCCGCGACTTCTCGTCGAAGCCCAGGTCCTTGTTCAGCCCGAACCGGACGTTGTCCCCGTCGAGCCGATACGCGAACTTGCGCAGGTGGAGGAGGTGCTGCTCGAGCGCGCACGCGATCGTCGACTGTCGCGCGGGTGGAGAGGGACATGGTGGAGACTCAGTACTCGGCCGGCGGTGCGCAATCGGGGGGGGATGGCGGAAGGGCGAGGGCGTACCTTGCCGCTCGCGCTCAGGCCGGTGAGCCAGATTGTGACGCCCTTCTGCTTCAGCAGCTCCGCACGCTCGGGGCCGTCGACGGAACCTGTGCAGGTCATGAAGCTCGTCCGACCGCGAGCGGTTCTGCTGCTCACCGGGGTGGAATGTGATGTTGGTAGCCATTGGGATGTTCCCGGGGGCTGCAGAGTATTTTGATGTAGAGTGGCCCTACGAGAGCGTAGAGACAAGCGGAAATTGAGCGGGCTGGGATTGCGCGATGATGAGGATGGACGAGTGGGTGAGCGATGTATGCGCCAGGCACGTGGACGCGAAAACCCCAGTGATCGAGATCTTGCGGCCAATCTCACCCACCCCAGATTCACCGACAATCCACAGCAAGACCCAATTTGAATGATGACATTTCCGCGACCAAATGAACAGCACATATCGCAGACAACCTCCAGGAGCTATCTAAGCCACACCCAGTGAGCCGCAATCCAGGACCCCAGGTCCTGAGGCCGCACGCTACATTGCCGTAGGATACCCAATGAATAACGACGAGAGCAAGTATACTAGAGACACAAGGTGAAACAACATGATATGCCCGGAGAGATTCAGACTACTGGGTCAGCTGGCTGCATATCCGCACCAGGACAATCTTAATCGCCTCCGTGACGTGCCTGGTGCTGAGCGGCTGGTTGACGGGTGGGCAGTGCATCGCGAGGACGGGCGTGCTCTTCGCGGGGCTTCCCCGGTGGTCCTTCGACTTCTCCTGCTTCGACGACACGCGCTTTGCCTCCGCGAGCGAGCAGTAGTACGCAAAGTCGCAGAGATAGTGGCCTGCGTCCATCGACGTGTATACTCTCTGCAGGGGCATTAGACGGCAGTTCAGAGAGGGAGTGACATTGAGCGAACGCACCCTCATCGCATCCTCTGGATCCTCCTCCATCTCAATCTCCTTCAGGAAATGAACCAGCTTCGCGACGTCGACCTCGGAGTGGATCTCCTCCGGGAAGTTGTCGTAGCTCTTTCCAAAGCCACGAATGGGCGGGATCTCAGGGCCATCGCTGTGGCCGTGGCCGTCCGCGGGCACTGCAGACGACATGACGCCCTGCAGGTGCATCTCCATCCGCTCGATCTCGGACGCCTCCGGGGTCGGCGTAGGGCCGTCCTTGGGGAGGCTCGGGGCGTACTCGCCCTCCGCGTCCTTCATCGCGTAGCCGTGTCTGTGGGCGAGCCGTTCCAAGCGCAGAGGGCCGCGGCCAGCGAGGGCGACGTGGAGCACGAAGTCGTAGCCGTTCTCCGGGGGAGGCGGCATGAGCAGGGTGGGATCGTTGTTGGGCGGCAGGATGGGCGGGCGGGCGTGGAGGCTCGGGACGGTGGCAAGGACGCCTGCGTAGGTCATGGGGATCTGGGCGCAGGTGATGTGGATGGGCTGGGGGTCGTCTGGACGGACTGCGCGAACTCCATGTCGTCGGTGATGATGGCGAACTCGTCGTCGTCATCGTGGACGGCCGGCTGTGCCTGGGTGTGGAGGACGGCGTTGTGGAGGGGCGGATGGCGAGCCAGGAGGGGTTCTCGTTGAAGTTGCGGAACGGCTGGGGGGAGTGAGTGCTCGCGACACGACGGGGAGAAAGGGTACGAACGCACTCCGAAGCCGGTGAGGAGGACGCGGATGGCGTGGGGGTCGACGGGCGGGGCAGGCTGGAGCATGGGGGCAGCAGCGGGCGGGTCGAGGGAAGGAAGGGCAGCTCTGAGGGTGTCCATCCGCATTTGCTCAGTGCTGCGTTCCAACAACCGCCGCCGCTGCCTCGCCCCGTCCATCACCCCTGTCACGCGTCACACCCTCGACTCTCCGCTCCCCTCTCCCCCGCACCATCTCCTCCATCCACACACCGTCCGCCCGCTGTGCCTGCGTTCTCTGTGCTGGCCGCGCTCCGTAGACGACATTCATCGTTGCTCTAGCCTGGAGACGCGCATTGTGACAAGTCACACTATCCTCAGTCTTGTCGGGTAGGCTGCTGCTTGCTAATCGTGCGGCACGTCGGCGAATGGCTCATTGAGGACGTGATACTTATCCACCAGTTGATTTGAACAGGGCACGCCCTGACCTGGGCTGACACCGTCTGCCGTGACTTCAATGAGAAGACGACCTGGCGCCTGGGCATTCGTATTCAGTGACGGCTTTGGGACGGTGATAGACTCTCCCGTGGGACCCATCCAGCCATGCGATGCACACAACAGCTAAGTAGGTCCCGTTAGAGTGTCCTGACATCCCACGCCGTCTTGTCCGCAACGCTCATTGACGTCCGTCCCCGGGATCCCCACGCATTGACCTCCAAGATGCCTGGGCCTGAAGAATCTCCGGCGGGCGACACCCTCCCGGATCCAGCTCCTTTGTACGTCCTTGTGACGGGGTACGGTGTACGTCCCTGCCTCCAATCGCGCTCGCCATCGATCCTCTGAATCATGTCCGAACGCCTAGCCCTTCTCCACCTACGAGGTGAACCCTTCCTGGCTCGCCGTCAAGCCGCTGCACGACACGTCCCTCCGCACCCTCGACGCCTCCGCCCGGCCCATCCACATCACCGCGCTCGAAGTGCCCGTCACCTACACGGACGTCCTCTCCCTCACCCCCGGCTTCCACTCACGCCCACCCGTCCTGCCGGCGCCGCCCAACGAACCTACTTCCGCCTCCTCTCGGCCGCCCGCGCACGGCTTCGACTTCGTCCTGCACGTCGGCGTGGCGGGCTCCGGGCCCATGCGCGCCGAGAAGCGCGGGCGGAAGGTTGGGTACAACTCGCCGGACGCGGAGGGTAGGCTCTGTCCTGCTATCCCGACCGATGGGGACGGGGACGAGGGCGCGCGGAACGCTACGCCGTCGCCAGGCGTGCTGCACAGATTCGCGCGCAGTCTGTATGCATACCTGAAATCGCCCACGCGAGGATTCGGGAAGGGATACGAGGACTTCCCAGAAGAACTGTTCACCAAAGTGAACACGGAAGGGTTGCTCCAATATCTGAAGGAGACTGGTTTCACGGTACGCCTATGCCATCTGTCCTCGCTGCAGGAGAATAACCCGCGGGTGTCAAGCAAATCGTGCCGTCGACGGATGCGGGGCTGTATCTCTGCGAGTTCATCAACTACTGCTCGCTCGCGGAGGCGAAGCGGGCCGCGCCAAAGAATGAGAGCGGGAAGGCTACGCCGACATTGTTCCTGCATTGTCCGCCCGTCGATCAGCCGCTGAGCACGCAGGACGTCACTGCGGTGTTGCAGAAAGTCGTGTCTTGGGTCTGTAGCCAATGACCCGCCCGCAGGGCGTGAGGCCCGGGTTTGGACTTCGTTTTCGTTGCGAAGACGTGGAGGACGTTGTACCTACGGAACCTTGTGTTGTTGTATATCAATTGTCACTTTACTGCATACCGTCGTGCTGTCGGCCATTCAACATATCAACAGCGTCCAAGAACCTAGTGCCCCATATATCAAGAACCATCTACACAAAAGAAAGCCGGAAGACATGGGGCTGCTCATAGCTGGCTGCAGACCCACGAAATGGTCTTCCGGAGAGCATCCGTGACCTCTTCCGTGGACAGTGGCTCGCCCACGGGTGGGATATGTATAAAGAGGACGGGTGTGCTCTTTTCTGCAGTAGCGGCTGTGCGCTTGGACTCCGCAAGGGAGCAATAGTTGATGAACTCGCAGAGGTAAAGCCCAGCATCAACGGAGAGCGCGACCTGCTGGGGAACAGATATTCGTGTAAGCAGCGGCCCAAGCGGGCGATCGACGACAAATGCAACGCACGTCCACACCGCCTGCCTTGAGGTGCTCTTCGAGCTTCTCGCAGTCAATCGGCGTGAACAGCTCCTGCGGGAACTCCTCGTAGCCCTCGCCGAAACCGCGCTTGGGCTTGCCCTCCGCCTCCTCCACGATCTCGCACATGTTCCCCTCCGCGTCATCCTGGTCGTAACCATACTTCCGACCGCGCTGTTCCAGCTTGATAGGATTCCCACTCCTGCCCATGACGCCGATGTGCAGGATAAAGTCGTACCCGTCCAAGGGAGGCGGCGCGATGGCCATGGCAGGGTCCTTGGGGCGGGCACGACAGGAGGGCGCGCGTGTATCGAGGGCGCGAGCGCGAGGACGGACTGGTACAGAGTCGGCACCTCCAGAGAGGTGACATGGATGGGCTTGTCGTCCGCAGTGCGGAGGGTGGTGTTATGGAGGGGCTTGACGGCGAGCCACGATGGGTTGACCTTGAACGAGCGGAAGGGCTACGCTCTGCGTCAGAAGTAAACATATAAGATAATGTTACATGGACCTACCCCGTAGCCTGTCACCAGGACGCGAAGAGCCTGGGGGTCGACGGCGTGAACGGTCTCAGCGGGGACGGGCATGGTGGATTGCGATGTGCGGGTCTGAACGGTCAGGAGCTCATTTGTGACCTTTATAACTTCAGAACACGAAGAGATACGGCAGACGAGCGGTGGACGCAAAGCCGAAGGACGGCAGGCGATAACATGATAGAGGCCGCAGGGGAAGAGGTTGTTGTGGTCCTGAGCGCCGAGATGGGCGTGTGGTCGACACCAGGAACTCGCAATAGCCTGGCCTGGTGAGACCTAGAGCATGCAGATGCATGATTGTCGACGAGTTCCTCCTTTGAGTGGCTTGTGGACAGAAAGAAGAGGTGGTGTCCAGATGAAGTCGGCCCCATGCAGCAGGACTGACGCGTGTCATGTGACAGACGCGTCCCAGTGCTGTCTCGGCGCCTTCCAGTCCCGGGTCGCGCGACGACTACTTCGCTAGTACTGCATCCCTCTGCGCACACTTCATGCCCTCCAGTCCTCTGGCACAGGTGGGTGCCTCCATATCCGATTTGAATGACTGATGAGCTCACGACATATCAGTGACATGGTACGAATTCGGCGCAGATCCGCCGCCTTGACTCTGGACCTGACAAAGCTTTGGTGTTCGCAGCCCTGTTTGCTCCCGCCAGGTACCAGGGAAGGATATCAATTATCACCTCGATAACAGCTGTCAAGACCCTGGGCCTAGCTCCCAGCGACCCCATGCCAAAGTCCAGTCGACCATCGCCTCACTGTTCACACCCACCGGCAAAGGCCAACGCACCGACGCGCCTTCCTATTCCCAGACTCCCAAGTCTACGACACGAGTCCACGATTCAAAAAAGCGCGCCCAGCCCGATGACACTTCGTTCGCGCTGGAGCCAGGTCCCTCGAAGCGAACGCGGTTGCAGGCGGCGGCACCTCTCGCAGAGAGGCTACGTCCACAGTCGCTCGACGAATTCGTCGGACAGCCCCACCTCACAGGGCCAGACTCGCTCCTGATGCACCTGATGGATACTGGATCCACGGTAGCATGATCTTTTGGGGACCTCCCGGGTAGCTGCGAATGAAGTCTCTCGCATACAGTTACGTGCATGGTACTGAGGATCTCGTGTGATGTCGCGTCACAGTTGCGGAAAGACGACGCTCGCTCGGTTGCTGGCGGGCGTACGAACGCAGTGTTCAAGGAGCTCAGCGCGACGGACTCGGGGGTTGGAGAGGTCAAAGCAGTCGCGGAAGAGGCAAAACGATTCCTCGCTCTCACCGGGAGGTATTCTATTTCGTACTATGTGACTTTCCCCAGAACTTGACACGAGCTTGACAGACGGACCATTCTCTTCTTGGACGAAGTGCATCGGTTTAACAAGGCACAACAGGTTGGTTGCTCATCCGTGTTGATGACACACAAGACTGAACTAAACAGTACATCTTTCTGCCGTATCTCGAACATGGACATCTTCAAGTGAGTTGATCTTGATCACTTGTCGGTCACTGATGCTTACAAACGACTTAATTAGCTCATAGGCGCGACGACTGAGAACCCGTCCTTCAAGCTGACCGGCGCGTTGATCAGTCGGTGCAGGTACGTCGCCTTACCAGTACCTAGACGCAGCAGGTACGAACTACTCTGCGCAGGGTATTCGTCTTGGAGCGTCTCACGGACGAAGATATCCGCAAAATTGTCACGCAGGCCGTCGAGCGAGTTTCTGTCTCTACGGCTGACGCGCCAGTTATCGATGTAGAGGACATCCCCAGCTCCCAACCGGAGGAAGATCCTCTTACAGAGCTCCCCTCCTCTCTTTCCTCAACTGTCACGGTCTCTGATGGCCCCGTGCCGCCTTTTCCTTCGTACCCTCAGCTCACTCCCAAGCTCATATCCTCCATCATCTCCCTCGCCACAGGCGACGCGCGTACTGCACTCTCCCTGCTAGAGCTGGTCGTCACAGCGCCTCCCACGTCCTCCCCGGACGCGTTGCTAGATGCGCTCCGCCGATCCGTCTCGACGTCGTACGATCGTACGGGGGAGAGCCACTACGACATGATCAGCGCACTGCACAAGAGCGTGCGGGGCAGTCAGCCCACCGCTGCGCTCTACTGGCTCGCACGCATGCTTACTGCAGGCGAGGATCCGCTGTACATCGCACGGCGGATGGTCGTGTGTGCGAGCGAGGACATCGGGCTCGCGGACAATCATGCCCTGCCACTGGTAAGGAACTCTGTCTACCTCCTTGTGATCGGTTCAATGACCTTTTTGATGATAGGCAATGGCGGCGCTGCAAGCCTGTCAAGTCATAGGCATGCCAGAATGCCGTATCAACCTCGCGCACCTCATTTCCTACTTGGCCGAAGCGCCGAAGTCGACGCGAGCGTACGAAGGCTACAAACGCGCGGAGGAGGCCGCCAAGTCAGACCCGACTGTGCCTGTACCTCTACCTGTTCGGAATGCACCTACGAGGCTCATGAAGGAGCTCGGGTACGCGCGGGGATATTGTTACAACCCAGAATATGTGTAAGCAACCCTTTGACAGTGAATGTGCACTGACTGATCTGCTTCCCCTATCAGACATCCTGTTACAAATGATTATCTGCCACCTCAATTCAAAGATCAGGTATTTCTGAAGCCTGCAGGTGATCTGTCTGGAAAAACATGGGATGAAGATGCTCTGTGTAGATGGGAATTAGAGGAAAATAATGGGGTGCCTTGGGAAGGAAGGCAAAATGCTGCCTAGCAGCAGGCTGCAGAGACTGGATTGGATCAACCTACATACTGCTGACACCCAATCTCCTGAGGGTGTCATTGACATTCTGGATTCTCCTATAATGCTGACACACTGATATTGGATGTAACATACTCATGTATCCTGTGCAATCTACTTATGCTCAATAACTGATCCGAACCCATAACAAAAGAACCAAGAGAACAAGCTTGGCATATAATTATTCCTTCCACATGCGTCCTTTGCAGTTCTTTGCACCACACCGACATTTCACATAGACTGCATCATCAAAGTTTCTTACTTCCACCTAACCTTCAAGTAAGCACTGGAACTTGTAATCAGGTCATCAAACCACTACTGCATTCTGAGCCTTGTCATCCTCATCCTCATCATCCTCATCATCATTCCCATAGTAGGAGAAGCATAACTCATCTCCTGGAGCAACATCCCGCTGGGTGAATATAGTAGGAGGGGCTTGTCAAGGTTGGCCTCATTGATGTAGCAAGGATTGATGCAACAGTTGGGGTCACAGCTGTGGTTCTAGATCATATCTGGTTCAATACAAAGACATCACCTTGTTATGCACACAAGACTCACAAGGTATCGTGTGAACTGTGCATGCTCACATATCAGAACTCCACCAGGACAAAAAGATGTAAGTGAACATACATTTCCAGCATGGTATGCATCAACACTGAATTGGGAGTTCCATTCATCCTTGCCTTGCCTGAGGTGCCAGAAGTCAACATCAAAGAGGTATGTGCGTCCAAACTTGTTATAGACACTATCCATGTTGTCAGAGCTTGCAGGACAAATGTAGGAACAACACTCACTGGCCCCTGGCTTCAGCTTCTGCCTCCAGCAAGTATTCACCTGCATAGATCCCCAAGTATGTATTCTTGGGGATCCTCTTTGGACCTGCAAATACACCTAATTCTTCCTTAGCTTTGAACATTAGTGCTAGGTGGCCACCACTCACCCCATCCCTTGTCCCGAGTCTTGCGAATCTCGATGGGGTATCTTCGTCCATGTTGCACCACCTACACAAGTTAGTCAATCCTCACACCTTTGTAGAAACAGAACCTACACGATTGACACAATCATCGGAACAACCACAGAAGTCATTGCATTCGAAGATAGGGTAGTTGTGTTGAATCAACTGTCCCTTGTTCCTTCCTCCATGATACAAGAAACCGGCCTCGTGATACGCCTTCTGGCGCGCGAGACACTCACACGTCTTCGAGTTGGGATCGCAGGGGCCTAGACATCCGCAGCCTTGCAATTTCGCCGCGTCGGGCTTTGGTACACCCTCGCCGTGCCACATAAGGTTTGAATAGTGAAATTCGAAGGGTGGCGTGAGCTCCTCGTCGTCGATCTGGTTGATGATACGGATGGGCGGAGCGTGAGGCTCGTCCTCGAATGTATTCTCGATTATGGCCTGTTCGAGGATCTTGATTTGCATGTCACCCTCCCTACGTGCTCGTGGACCGAGAGCATTGATCCGATCTTGAAGTTCGTGTGGGAGATCCTTCGCCAAGACGTAGTAGTTTGCGAACTCCTTCATCATTCGACGATGATCCTTCTTCCAGCTGAGCGACAGGAAACCGGCTTTCCTGGCCGCTTCTTCGAGTGCGTTCAGCTCTACTTCAGGCTCATCGCTCGGGCTGGCTATGCGCGGCTCAACGAACGAGGGGTCGAAGTGGTCGCTTAGTTCCGCTGGCCCATCAGAAGAACTGCTGGATCTAGTAGAACGGCGGGAACGGGATGCGTCGCGAGAATCTCCCAACGGCGCAGTGCTGCCAGACTTATTGCGAGGCCTCAATTGACGCCTTGTCGGGCCCACCTCGCTGCTTGCCTGTCCGTCGGATGCCTAATTTCCTGATTAAACCTGTGTGTGCGGAGGGGTATCTCACTGTCTTACCTCGACTTCAGCGTCATCCAGATAGATGCAATCTCTTCTTCCGAGTCGTCGGCATGCGAAGGTGAGGGAGACGCAGGTGGGCCATACTCCGATTCTTCGAACCGCGCTACTCGTTCGCGCCGCCGTCGCTTGGGCCAACGGGTAGCAAACGGTGCTTCCCCCTCACTCTCATCCTGCGCTTCGACAACCTCACCAGCATGCCGACCACGACGAGGACGGTCCGAGTCTTCATCAGTTGCAAGGCCGTCGTCTACCGAATACCGTTTCCGTTGACTTGTTGACGACGTGGCGCTCGAAGTGCCTCTCCAGATGCTTGATTCGTGGCAGACGTTGCGGCAGTCTTTTCCAGATTGGACTCTTGCTTCTGCTTTGGTCTCATACGCAAAAGGCGGACACTGTCTAGCGAGAGTTGTTGCGCGGTGAACGATGCACTGGGGAGTTCGGACTCTGGAATGATTGTTGATTCGGTAGACGGCCCAGGTGAAGGTATTTCGTCTGGAGCGGAAGGAGCGTCCACGGCTATGAGTGCGGGTGAGCCATGCGCACGAGTATATCTAGCGAACTGACTCACCAGTGGTGGTTCCCTTGACCAGTGTGCTCACAGATGGCGATTCCACCTCTTCCTTGGTGACTTCAGCATTGGACGACGCCGGTGTTACGTGCGTATCATTTGGTTCGCCATGATCGTCATCGTCATCCAAGGTCAGATCAATCACTTGCTGGGTTCGCTCTTTCCACACACGATTGATAACTTCGGTTAGAGAGGAGTACTCCCCGATCTGGTGTCTGGCGCGGAAATGTGGGGCAGGAGACGTTGACACCTAAAGGTTGCGATACAATTTTATTCAGGGTCAAGATGAGAAGCTAGCCAACGTACCTCAGATTCTGCCTCTATTTGAGAGGTAGAAGAACTGCCCTGCGCAGGGACAGCAGCTTCCTGTTGGGGGCGGTCAGCGACAGAGTTTGCCGGAGGATCGGTTTCCTGAGATGGAGACCCAGATTTGGTCGTGCGAGCCGCAGTAGTAGCAGGCAGTAGTTCAAGCGTGGTCGGCCCAGGTGAGCTATCATTTGTATAGGATCTTCGGCATGCGGTGGTTCAGCGTCACTGGCGGCAGGGATCGCAGACTCCACAGAATCCGGTTCGACTTCTGGTCCATCGGTGCTAACAGACTCGCTGGCGACATCGTTGTCGATGGCCTGCACACCATCAGGTGCTTCCTGCGCCGGCGCCGCGGAATGAGCCGAAGGCGAGGATTTTGAAGACGGATATGTAAGCTCGAGACTGCAGACCTCCCGGGATCTACTTGCCCCATGATTTGCAAGACGTCAGGGGCAGATGGGCTATCCCTGGTCGGGCTTGACACAGCGACCTGAGACGAGAATACGGCAGGAGCGGGACTGGGCGAAGCTACATCATCCTCGTTCTCCTTCAACGCGATGGAATGGGCGACATGGTAGTGGTCTCGCGGACACTTTGCGATGCAGATCGACTCTTCCTCCGACTTGCATACACATCTTTGAAGAATCCGTTGGGTCCGCCTACACGGTCTTGACGATTTGCCTATGCTCGGAGCTAACGGCGTGATCCACTTCGATGGCATGGCGGTACAGATGGGTTCAGCGAGCTTGTGTCTGGACTGACAGTCTGCCGCATCTTTCCCTGGAGTCCGTCGCTTCTCGCCTGGGGTTGAAAGCAGTCGTGAACGAGGGCGTTCGCGTCAAGCGACGGTGCTTTCTCCATGGCGCGAGCTGACAGCCCGCTGGTCCTTGGCTCGTCATCCATTGAAACTCGGGAACTTGGGTGCAGCAATGGTGTCTCGCGTCGTCGTGGTCCTGCTCGTGATGTGCAGCTGGGTATCTGTGGAAAGAGCAAGCTGCGCATCCTCTGACGGAGTCGCGCTCTGAGGCGACTCTAGTGCACACTCGTGAGGAAATGTCAAATATCGCGACCAAATCACTGACCGTGGCAGCTCAGCCTCCGCTCTTCGACCGACCCACATCTTCAATGTCATCCGGAGAATCATGCAACGGTGCATCTTCCTGATTGCCACCGAGAACCAGATCATGCATTTGGTCCTCGATGGGAATCTCGTCGTCGTCTTCTTCATGCGCAATGAAAGACTCCTCTTCAGCCTGTGAAATCGATCGCTCACGCTGCTATGGTAGATGTCTGGTTAACACACTGGAAGGACATATCTCATTATGCTCACCTCTATAACTTGAGCAGCGATCTGGGGTTGACTAGACACAGCACGCGTCAATTCACTTCTCGCAACTGTAGAGGTTGGCTTCTCTGCCTTGGGCGGCACGAGAGATGCCGAAGCCGCCACAGGTTCCTCCTCCTCCTCGTCATCGTCAATGAGAATCGACCCGTCCGCGTCATACTTGAGCGCGTCGTGCTTGCGCGCGATGGCAGGTTGAGACTGGGTGCGCTTCAGAGGCGGAGGTGCCTCCTCCTCGCTATCCGTGATGTTGATGACGTCCACGTTCTTAGCGGGTGCTGACGCGTGGGGCTGTTTCGCTGAATACCAAACCGGTCAGTATATATGAACCAGCAGTACTAGTAAGAATGCTAACCTCGTACGGCCACGGGTGCTTTCGGCGGTTCCGGCTTGTCACTATCCGAGGACAGCTCGATGACATCGACATGGCGAGGGACGACGGCCTTGCGGCGCTGCTGGGTGGCTGTATGCGGTTCAGAACGGACATCCAGCCGGTAAAGTAAGACGCAACAGTACCTGTCAAGTTATTTGCGGTGCCGATATCCGCGCGCTTGTTCGCATGCGTGAGCTTGATTTTCTTTCTCTTCCGTTTGCTCGGGAACTCTGTTGGACAAGGAGAACGTATATCATGCACTGTACACACAAATAGAAACCTCGTGATGTACCCTCTGCTGACACCGACGAATCACTGGCCCTTTTGCCCGTCTTCGCGTTACTCGCGCCCGGCTTGGGGCGGGGCACCTTAGTCAAGCCCAACGACTTTCTCTCGCTGCGCTTCTCAGGGACCGCACGCCCCTCGCCCTCGTCAGACGACGAGTACAGCGCATCGAGAAAGGGCCTCTTCTTCGACTTGGCCTGCGAGAGCGGGGCGGCCGTAGCTTTCGATGTCGTTGCAACGGGCCGCAGAGTAGACTTGGACCTGTTGTCACGCCAGTTCCAACTTTGGCGGTCGAGACCGATATACCCATGCTCTTCTTTGGGAGTCCCACAGAACCAGCGGTAGAGGAAGAGCCACAGACTTTTGCGAGGTCGCCGTGGATGTGGGCGCTTTGGGACCCTGTACAGTCGCAGATCCCGTCTGCGTAGGTCTCGCAGGCACACCAAACCTGACAGCCGCACTGTCCACCGGCGCAACTTTGTCGTTGCTTTCGTGAGCCAGCGTGCACCGCTGCCACCTGCCACACCAGATCGATCGACCTCTTTACCCTTGCACCACCTACGGGCTGGGAGGCTGGGGGTCGCTCCTCAGCCAGTCGCCCAAGGAGCTGTTCTTCTCCAGGAACGCGGCATTCGGAACGCGGAGCTGTCGCGGGGCGCAGGCTGAGTGGCAGGGGGCGGCTTCGAAGATGCGGCGGTCGGTTTTGCTGCCGGGGGTGCGAGGGCAGACGGTGTGGCCGGCTGCGAAGCGCGGACGTCCTTCTCGAACTCGAACTGGAGCTGGAAAGGCCTGCCCCTCGAGACGCGTTTCATCGCAATCTGCCTTCGACGCGGCTGGACGCTGTCCAAGGGCGAGGCCATAGGCCCCTTAGGCTGTAGCGAAGGTCCCGGCTCTGCAGAGCGCGTCGGTCAGCACCATCGCCCGTTCATCTCAGAACGTCGCACACGCACCTGGTTCGACCTGCCTTTCCCGCTCGCCGCCTCCCGCATCCTGCGGCACCTTCGCCTTCTTCAACAACTTGTTCCTCGCCGCTCGCTCGTCCTCGCTCGCGGGCACGTCCGGCTTCCTCTTCTTCGTCGGGCGTGGCTGGGCCTGCGAGGCCGGGGGCGTCGGGTCGAGCTCGTCGTGCATGTCCTGGGTGCTTGCGCGGTCGTCGTCTGAGGGCGCCGCGGAGGGCGAGGGCTCTGTGTGGGACAAGGCGAAGGACAAAGATGGCGGTCAGGCGCCGCGCGCATGACAAGAGGACTCTCGTCGATTACGCACCGGGGAGGATGGCCCATCGGGGTGCTTGGGAGCCAGAGCTGCGGCTCGGGCCTGCAGACATCGCGAAGCCGCAGGTCGTATTACGTCTCTGCTGGGACGCGTGCTGTTGAGACGTCGATGCAGCGATGTACCGTGACTAGTGGCCTCAGCAGCAGGGCGGGACGCCGGAGAGCAACACGACAAAGGTGCGCCTACAGAGAGAAAGACGACACAGGCCACCGCAGGCGAGCGTGCGCTGTGGCCACAGGTGCGTGACGGACGAGGCGTGCGTCGCGCGGTGTGCAGACCGACTGCAGCCCGCCGGCGGCAAGCGAGGAAGGCCACGGAACGCGGCCACGTGCCGCCGTCATCTCAGATCTTGCGTCGATCAGACAATGTTGCTAGACGCTCGACGTTCCGCACCCACAGAGGCTGAGGACGTTACTTAACGGTTGCGGCACACTCCCCATCCTCCCAACATATAGCCATGGACAGTGATGAGGTCTTCATACTTACTCGCCGCCCGTTATGTCCAGGTCGCGCCATTTAGAGTGATCCATCTCTCATCATACGTAAATGAGTACACGACACCAGGAGCAGTGCAACTATTCACATTGCACCCAAGCTGCGATGTCCCACAAGTTGACATAGCTATGCAAGTTGTATAGACAGATATCTCTCGAGTATAGACAATCTCTGCCTGACTATGAGCAGGTCCCGATGAGCAGGTCCGCAGCATGAGAGCCATGCGATGGCACAGACTCGTTGACCGCCCTCCCGACAGATTTGTGTGAGCGCAACGCGGCGGACTTGCGGGGCGTGGGGGCATACACAGACCCAGAGATACAGGCCGCTCAGGAGAGCACTGCCACAAGGACTGCGTGCCATCTTAAGCCTATTTGGCATAAACTATTTCGAGCGTGTCATCGACAAGTCTGGATCGTATTGCAGTATAATGAATGCCGCGCCGCAGAGAGGGATCAGCTTAGGGCAGTATCACAGCCCTATCAAAGTGACGGGGTGAGCTGCAAGTGGGACTAGTACATCGGATGAAGTACCGAGAACGGGACGTACCGGCGAAGCTTGGGCTCAAGCACTGCCAAAGATTGCATATCATCAGCAGCTCAGAGCCCGGTCTGAGAGCGATCTGCCATTGCCACCGTGACAGAACACTGAACAGATATACTCGGCACGCTGAATTGCCCGGGCTTACAGAGTTATGATGTGTGTGCAATCACTGGTCTACTGCGTCAGCAAAATCGGCCCTTGAACGTTGGGTTGGTCAGGACGCTTAGTAGAGCGGCGTGTCGGGGCTATTTGAAGACCTGCTATAGCTTGAGTATCACCAAAGGTACCAGGTAATTTCACTACGCATCGACTTGCTGCAGGCATGCCGAAGGCCTAGACCATGCCCCGCAGCGACGGGTTCGCGGGTGCATTGCAATGTGGGGTAGAGTTCGCACTCACGGGCACTCCAGAACGGTCGCGCCGAGCCGGTGCCGCAGCTACTAACACCAGAGTAACACTGTGGCAAGCTTTCGGGAGCGGTAGACACGAAGGCGCGAAGACGCCCGGGGTCGGAGACATATGTACGCACGTTTAGACGGATAGCGCCAGGCCGAGGAAGGGACGCTTGGAGATTGCTTGGAGAGGGTTGGAGTGGGTGGCATGGATGCGCGACACGAGGAGGCGTGAGATGACCTCGAGGAGAGGGTGATAAGGTGCGAAGGGGTGGAGAGGAATGGTAGCCGGTGTAAGCAGTATAGCCACTGTCGGAGCGGGGAACAACGTGGGGGACTCGTCTGCAGATATGAGACGCTCTATCAGAGCTAGGGCTACGCAGCGTATCGGTATATAAGGCCTGCGTTGTTGGGACACGGCCGAGGAGACGGGGACACGATGGGCGGTCGGGCGTGATGGGCGCCCCGTGTGGCGCGAGAAGTCTCGGATCGGGGAAGCGGCGGGTGGACATTCGTGCACTCGGGCTACGTCGTCGTCGCATCTTCGGATACACACATCGAAAATGGAGATGAACGCACACTACTCTGGCGCCGAGCCTGTGCAGAGCGAACGACGTGATGCCATCGTGGCGACCGTGCTGCGGAATAGTGTGCCACTATGGCGCCAAGTGCCGAGCGGCGAGCGATAGAGCCGGATTAAAAGGGCTGGGATGGAAGGAGGATGGGCAGAGAAGGCGTGCGCACAGCATACGAGCAGACGCGAGCCGCAGCGAGTGCAGGGATGGGCGGGTTGGGGGCGGCAGTCTGGGAACGAGTTAATTCGGGTGTGCCGGTGGGCGCCTGGGCGGTCGGAGGCCGGATGCAGATATAACAGAGGCGGATTGACGACGGCGGGAGAGACAGGCACATCTCTCTCCCCTGGTGTCCGTGGTGCTGCAGCTGCCCGTCGGTCCATGGCCAGCATATGAACCATCCCCCTCTTGCTCGTCGTCAATTTTCGAGCTCTCTCTCGTGCCCGTAACGACCCCAGCCAACTCGACGACCTTGTGTCCGACGCGCGGCAACAACAATAGACGGTTAGGTAAGCGCCCTCCTTTGTCCCCTCTCTCCTTCGCCCGTCCGCTCAATACAACAACCAATGCGCCCGTAGAACATAAAGAGTAGTCCGACCCCGTGTCGAGTTCACTGTCTTTGCCCCTCATGTTCTTCCCTGTCGCCCGGCTGCGACTCACCCTCGTGTCCGCTCTCCTCCTTTTCTCTTCCTTTCCCGCGCACACGAAAGAACCCTCTGTGAGTCCCTCTTTTCAGCGTCCTCCGCCACATCCTCACTCTTCCTCAGTCACATCTTCTGTGTCCTACTGTTCAGACCCTCAGGAGATCCTGGTAGAGCAGTTCGACATCGCGTACTTCCCCACCAACAACTCCATCTCCTTCAATGTCTCCGCTGCCAGCGTGGTGAGTCCGCTGGTTTTCTCCTCTCATACCATCCCTCATCTCGTCCCAGCTCGCCGACCTCAATGTCACGGCCCAGCTCTACCTCAACGTCTATGGCATGCACCCCATCAACACCACTCTCAACCTCTGTAGCCTTTCAACGGCATCCTCTGTCCCCTCCCCCAATACAACTTTACTGGCTGGGATAACCTCCAGCTCCCATCCTCCGTTGTCGGCTCCATAACCTCCCACCTCCCTGGCATCGCCTACGTCATGCCCGACCTCGAGGCCTTCGCCCAACTCACGCTCTTCCAGGAGAACACAAACCAGGTCGTCGCCTGCCTGCAGACCACCGTCTCCAACGGCTGGTCGGCACGGCAGTACGCAGTGGAGTGGTCCACCGCAGCCCTCACGCTGCTCGCACTCGCGTCCGCCATATGGAAGTCCATCACGTCTGACGCCCTCTCACTCGCGCCCATGCGCCTGCTCGACTTCGTCGCCCTTCTACAGACCATCGCGCGTCCGGTCTGCTCGGCCTGAACTTCCCGACCGTGTACACATCGTTCACGCTCAACTTTCATGGATCCTCGGCCTCTTTCCCCAGAGCGGGACGTCGGGCATGCAAAACTCGATCACACGCATGCGGAGGCTCACAGGCGGCGACAGCTCGGACGCCAGCAGCGGAGACAGCACGGCATATGTCAACCGACAGCTGAGCCCGTACAATATGTTCGCACAGCCATCTTCACTCCTCAAAGCGTATCCTCGATGCCGACGCTGGACCTGCGTAACGCGACAGCACGCTCACTGATCAAAGTTGGCAACGCGGCGCTCAATACAACGTCTCGACTGCTGAAGAAGGCGCAGGCGGACGTCGCTGTCGTCACCAACGATCAGAGCTCCGATGTCCTTCAGGCAGGCGTGCCCATCTACGTCAATAGCATCGGAATCGCCAGCGCGAACGCTTCATGACCGTGTTCCTCACTGCCCTGATCTACACCGCGGCCGTGTTGGCTTCATCGGGATCGCGTTCGCACTCTACGTCGGCCTGCAGCGCACAGCTTGGGGACAACGGCACATTCGGCGATGGACTGGTCTGCGCAGCGGTTTGTCCATTCGCCAAGGCATGGGGCCTCCGCTCGGTGCTCGTCGCGGTCTTCCCGCTCCTGATCTTTGTCTTCTTCCAGTGGACGCTGCACGACTCCTGGCTGTCCATCCTACTCTCCGTCATCACGCTCGTGATCCTCATGGGTCTCGTCTCCCGCCGCTATTCCTCGTCCTCCGGCCCTACCTCCCTCGTGTGCTTTCCCGCACGGAGGAAGCATCTGTCCCGGCCTCCTTGTCGCTCGCGCCGCTTGCTGCCCCATTCCGTCAAGAGCGGTGTTGTACGCCGGCTTATCGTGCTCACGCTCGTCGTAAAGGCATGGTGATCGCGTTCGGCCACAGCGACGGCCTGGGTCAGGCGATCGTCTTCCTCATCGTCGACGTGCTGTTCTTCCTCTCGCTGGTCATCATGAAGCCGTTCCGCACGCGCCACGCGACATGCTCCAGGGTTACCTCGCCATCGTGCGCATGGTCTGCTCCGGCCTGCTCCTCGCGTTCGTGCAGACCGTCAGCCTCGCCCCGATCCCGCGCGTCGTCATCGGCGTCATCACCGCGGTCATCTTCGCGGTCGCGGTGATCGTGATGTTCATCAACATGCTCGTCAACATGGCGCGTGGAGGCTGTTCAAGGACGTCGTGTGCTGCGGGCACCGCCGGCGCAAGGGCGACCGCGCGCTCGCGAGTCAGTCGAGCCAGTCTTCGCTCGACGAGAAGGCGCACCCCGAGCGCGACGCGGAGAAGCTGCGGACGGGCCGTCCGCGCAGACGCCCGGGTCGTCGCAGTACTACTTCGTCGACCGCCCGGGGAACCCGACGCCCCCTGAGACGCGCACCAACTCGCACGCGCACACACATCTCGACACGCCCGACTCGGGCTCGCCGATGAGCACCAGCGTGGGGAGCGAGCGCCCGAGCGTCCTGACGAACAGCACGGGCACGACCCTCGGCGACCTCCTCCCGAGGCGGTGGTCGTTCCAGCACTCGCGCCCGCCATCGGCGTCGGAGCCGTCGCCGGGCGCGGTGTCATTCCACACCCCGAGCACGCCGAGCACGCCCGCGTCGTCGCATCCGCCGACGTCGCAGCGGCACAGCCGGCACCCGTCCGCGAGCGTGGCGACGCACTCGCCAATACGGGAACGCTACTCCGACGAGCGGGAAGCGCACGCATTCTGAGCTCCCGTCCGCCCTGCAGGCTTGACGCCGCGGGGCGATAGAATGGATGAAAGATTCTTAGAACCCGCCGCACGGTCGCCGCATGCCGTGGACGCTCTGTACACACCGCACACATATGTACTCCCGACACCTGCATTTGGGCCGTTGTATATCCCCTTAGTTGCATTTCTTCGCTGTGCCATGTTGATCCACACTGCATACTCACATTCTCCACCCTCTGCTTCCAGTACGCTTCGCACGCACTGCACTACACAGTCTCCTGGTCTAGCAATGCACACCACTACCCGCATTTTACTACCTTACCCACGGTACCCACACGCTCGTTGGATGCATAGACTACCTTAGCTGCAGATCCGTTGTAATGAAATCGATTGCTTCACGATATGTAACGACTACTTATGTAGCGTATGTAGCCCGCTGTAATATTAGCATCTAGTATATAACAGACTGTAACAACGATTGAAGCGCGGCAAGGTGGCCGGGGCTAGCCGGAAGGGAGATGCCGAGGGAGGTCGTCTCGTCACTGTGCGGGAGACGAGCACGCCGCCGTCCTCTCCTCCGCACCATGTTGCTCTCCTCCGCCCGCACAGCGACCGCCTCCGCAGGGCTCGGTCGCCGCGCCGCCTCGTCCCTCGCGCTCAAGTACTCCAACGCCATCTTCAACGCCGCCCTCCACAAGTCGCCGCAGACGCTGAACAAGGTCCAGTCCGAGCTCACCGCGCTCTCGTCCGCGATCAAGGATGTCCCCAGATCAACGCGTTCGTCACGAACCCCACGCTCAGCGTGAAGGACCACTCCGCGGGGCTCGTCGCGCTCTACGCCGCCGCAGAGGGCCCCAAGAAGGAGCCCGTAACGGACATCACGAAAAACCTCTTCGTGGTCCTCTCCGAGAACGGCCGCCTCGCCGAGGCGCAGGGCGTCATCGAGGGCTTCCACGAGCTTGTCTCCAAGCACAGGGGCGAGCTCACCGTCACCATCACCTCCGCGGCGCCGCTCCCGAGCGACATCCAGAGGAAGCTCGAGGCCAGCCTGAAGCAGTCGCAGGCGGCGCAGCAGGCCAAGTCCGTGAAGGTTGCGAACAAGGTGCGTATGCGGGCGGTGTGGAAGGCGTCGCGCGACTGAGTTACTGCCGACAGATCAACCCGGCAGTGCTGGGTGGCATCGTTGTTGACTTTGGCGACAAGACGATCGACCTCAGCGTCCAATCCCGGGTAACACGGCTGAACGGCCTCATGCAGCGTCAGTCCACGCACTTTTCATCTGTTCCGGTCCGTGCTCATGCATCTGTGTCTCATAGTGTCGGTTTGAGCGGAGGTAGAACGGTCGAGTTAGAGAGCGGTTGTTGTACGCGCATCCAACTAATGCATTGCCCTGAACAATACGGTCATCCAACATCTGCTGCCCATTGTGATTGAGAATATGTCAGCTACCAGCAAGTCTTCGCTTGGATGTCGATCCGTGTCCCCAACTCCCGATGTGTGTCAAGTTTCAACGGCCTGCAGGGCCGTCCATCATAGGCGCCTACGTCCTTTTGCTAGCCTCAGCTAACATACCATGTTGTAAGACGAGGCTGATGGCCACCAAACGGCCCATTGATCTGAGGTTTACGAGTCCGCGCTGATGGTGCCCGAACCAAATCAGTGAAGAAAAAATACACCTGTGAACTAGGTAAACCAGTCGGATGAACAAACAAAACGTCGTTAAGTTACTCGACATGATACAGTAGGTCTTCAATCTGCATGCGCAACCAGGGGAACGCCCTTCTAGAATATTTCTACGAGTTGGCGTGTTGGCGAGATGATCGCAATGACTTTGCTCTGCATGTCCAGAATGTCGCCTCCTTCAGTGACGACCAAATCATGGAGACCGTCGGTTTCAACGTCCCCACCCAAGAGCACCTCCACATTCGTCGAGCCAAGGGCAAGCGCATCTTCCTTTGAGATTTCCCCTCCAGCATCGAGCGCAAGCTGCCATCCGAAAATAAGATGTCAGATGCTGAATACGTGAAGGACATTGATTCGTACCCAGGCGACTTCAAACGGAAGGTTGCGCGCATCGTACGGATTCAGCGTACCGACGCCTACTGTGACGTTGTGTGCCAGGAGAACAGCAATGGAGCTCTGTTCAGTGAGTGGCAGTCCAGGCAAACTGAATAATGCTGCTGTCAGTTCCAAGCGATGAGATTGTATCTTGGCACTCACATTCGTCGCATCTCCCACAATGCCGGGAATGGCTGAGAAGTAACCTGGATAATACCTACGCCAGCCTCCGCTATCTCCTTGGCGAGCAAATGTGCCTCCAGAGCACCGGTGATGGTCATCTTCACCGAGCTGCCATACGCCTCTTCCACCTCCCTCTTGAGTAGGATCAGCGTCGCTATGATATCTGCACTGTCTGTGTGGACTACTAGGGTCACACGACCCTACCCATGAAATTATCACGACCACGTTCTAGATGTCATGTTGCTCATACTCACCTCGCCGACGCCTTCGAACCACTCTCCTGCGTCGCCGTCGACAGGACGAAGCAGCATCCTCCGTAACGTGGCTATTTGTGTGCTGACGCTTGGACCACCCACCGCAAGATTGGGCCTCACTGTAACATGTACTGCCGTCACCTCCTGAACAACCGCGCCGTCTTCGAGTCTGTTCAATGCCCCCGTGAAGAAGGACGTGCCAAGACCAGCGTAGAAACCTCTGTGAGCAGGCGCCGTGATCCCCTTGGTGACCCCTGCACGATATGCGAGCCTGCCCTCCTCAGTGTTCAGCGAGTAGCTCTAGAGCAGCACACGAGCTCGACTTACAGTGCATGTCGCGTGCCAAAGGTCAAGCCATCGACAGCGCGAATGACGGCACCATCCCCGCCCAGTATCGCAGGCACCTTCTGTACCAGCGGATCGAAGACGTATCCATCCATTGTCGACGGTTCCGCGCCGATCTCGCCCAAACCGAGGTTAGAGCCGAAGCTAGTAAAGCCCGGGGATATCGAGCCCCCTTGACATTGACGATCTCCGCGTGCGCGAGTAAGTTGGGCGTTACGCAGGATGCGTACGTGCCCGAGCACGTAACGGCCCCATTCTCCACAATTACTGCGCCCAGCTCCGCGTCCTGCGCTGTGCACACCTCACGGACAGCACCACCAGCGCGCATGAAGACGCTCTTCACGTCCGTGAAGATGATTGAGCTGGGGGAAGATTTGCTAGACGCGAGGGGAGGGAGCCCTTCGTACTTCACCGCGTCCGCAGCTTCCTTGTCGAAATTCGGCACCTTTGGGGTACGCTGGAACGAGGCTGGTTTGGGTACGACGTGCGGTGACTCCAACTGGGGGATGCCGTCAATGAACACCTGCTTCGGCGTTGCTCCGAGCGCAAGAGGATGGCTGTCCCATACAACCAGATCTAGGGTGAAGGGCTTATGCCTAGCGTGATGCGCATAGGATGGAAAACTTACCAGCATCCCAGTCTTCCGTACGATGCCCGTTAGCTCAAGGTGAATGCACGAAGCTAGGTACACACCTTTCTTGACGTAACCGATCCTGTGGTCCATACCCATCACTGCCGCTGGGGTACTGGTGACGGAAGCGAGGGCCAAGTTCTCAGGGAGTCCATACACGTAGGCTAGTTGCGCCTGATACAGGAGATACCTCGAGTCCGTTACGGGGTGATCGCTCTGCAGACAGCGGTGAGGATGTGACCCCGCACATTGAGGCGGGACTGACCTTCATCACGACCGGTATCCCATGTTCAGCCAGGATGCGAGGAGCAAACTCTGAACCACGGTACGACTCGCGCTTGTAGCTGTATGTGCAGGCATCAGTCGGCAATCAACATAAGCTACCAGACACACGAACCGTGAGTGTGTAGCAAACATGGCAATGGCAGGAGGATGGTCTCACAACAGAGTTGAGTGTGGGCCATTGACAGATATCGATCAATATCAACGTACCGTAAGCCTTCTTGAGTGTGTCGGGCACCAGGTACGCTTCGTGAGCATGATGGAAAGCAGCAATTGGGAACTGGAATTCGTTGGAGATCTAATGACTGCATGAGGGTGCGGAGTCCCAAGGGGCATATGGACAGCACTTACCCTGACAAGATCATCTATGTCGACTGTCTCATAGCAATGAACTTGCACCTGATGTGTGGTTCAGCATGATGCGAATATCAGCGGAATGCGACTTACTTTGACTCTGCCGCGCAGGACATCAACGAGCGCCTCCCATTGAAGGTCTTCCGGGTAAGACTTGTCTTTCAAGGCGTCCCAGTTGCCGGCAAATGCGTCCACACAGTAGGCGTCCTGTGACTCCTTGATCTTTCGGGCTGTGTTGTAACTAGACGTACCAGCATGCGTTCAGAGGTATAGCTGATGTCATATGCTACTCACGCGTCTCGGAATGCCCAGATAATATCCATACGAGTGGCACCATAGACCCTGCCTGTCAGGCACTGTGGTCAGTCACTCATCGCATGACTATGCATTAGACGAACTCGGGTTCTCTCCTGTACGCAGGAGGCGCCGGCGTTAATATGGCATTGATAACAAAACGTTGTCAAAGCATACCACATGCATGTCTAATCATGGTTGGTGTCAGCGCTGTCCAGGACGTACAGCCGGTAACTCACTTCATTTGACGCCATCTCAGTGGCTCGTTGTAATCCGCAAACGAGGAATTGATCTGGTATGGTGGTTCAAGGAGCATGGAGGTCGGAGTCCGTTCTGCAGTCTTTCTCAGCTTGATAGTGAAACCCTGACCACCTGCAGGATACATCAACATGCGAGCATAGTAGGCATATCATTCCTCTGAGTTACCAATGGCGTTCGCCGATCCTGGTAGGACAAGCGCGGTAGTCACTCCTCCTGCAACGGACAACTCGTAACCAGCGTCGTGCGTATTCAGCCCGTCAAGAGCACGAAGCCAGGGCAGCACAGGACCATGCCGTGAATTTCCGTCCGAAGCACCTCGAAGGTGCGGCGCGGACGAGACACCCAGATGTGAATGAAGGTCGACAATTCTGTTTCGCCCATGTAGCTGGTTACACATCCTCGAGAGGAACAAGCACGTACCCCGGAGTGACCCAGGCACCTTTCAAATCAACAGTCACAATATCCGTATACCCCGTCAGCTGCGAATGTCCGACGTGCCCAATGTTCTTGATGATGCCCTTGTCCAGTAAGATGTCCGCTCGGATGACTTGGGTGCCGTTCTCCGCTCCGGTCCATATTTTTGCGTTCTTCACAGGTATGGTTTCGTCCCAGGCACAAACCTGTCCGATTCCTTGCGTCTGTGGAAGTCCGCAGATGGCCCCGGTGTAAGACTGAGAGAGCGGCAGCGCGAGAGGGCAGTGGTAGCATGAGGCGGCAGAGGACGGAGCGCGGTGTACAGAGTCGGCACCCGTGTGGAGACCAACAGCAATGCAAGCAATATAAGCAGTCCTCGTACAACCCTTCTTGAGGTGTAATTATGTGTTCCGGACCTATCGCCAGACCGCTGAGAGAGGCTCGGCACTGGCAAGGCCTTCTCCATTGTGCAGTCCTAGTCGGCTGTCTAGAGTGAGGTGTAGCGTTCAGTACAGAGCCGCAGTCTCACCAGTAGGTCGTACGTACTCTGCACGGTTGCCAGCACGTTCCCGAGTGGTGAGCGTCGGAAGCAAGTGGGAACGCGGTCACGGCACTCCTCAGACCGCACGCCAGTTGTGCGCCGGTTCGGACTTCCCCATTCGTCTTACAGTGTCTCTCATAACTGAGACCTCCGTGCATGCAACTCCTGTCAATAGCATGCCAGACAGTCGCCCTCTATGTAGCTTACAACTGTAACAGACTGCTGAAGCTGACTCGCCAGTCATATATTACACGCTACACACACGCATGTCCGGTGCTTGTTCACGCGCCGAAGGTCTGGATTAGCATAGACAGCAAATATTCGCATGGCATACGCATACAACCATGATCCATCGAGCGCGGCCACGCTACGTTAGCGTCGTGCGATGCCTACAACACATCGCCCAGAGTTTATGCAGGAGGCGACATGAGCGCGTCCCGCGTTGGTCGCGCGACGCGTCGGAAGCGCGCCACACGATGTGACGGTACCAATCTTAGATTGGCTCTCGATCACTTGTATGGTCACGCAGGAGGCGTGACACACTAAACTAGGTAGGTAAACTCCATCGAGCGATCCTTTCTTATATTCCTGTTGGGATACTGACGCCAGGCTCCCCACCGCCAGGCCGACTCGACACACCTCAAGCCTGCGCAATGGAGGACGTGAATACTGACATACGAATGGATGTAGACGAACCACGGCCGTCTCCATTCGAGGCCTCAAATTCCTCCCGCCAGGCTCCAGTGCCACGCGCATCCTCTCTACCGCCTGTCTTAAACCCGTCAAATATAGAGGTCGGATATGTATATTCCACTCTAATGATGACACACACCAATACCCGTGGGCATCACGAAGAGCAACCTGACCGTATCTCACGGATCTTCAACTTACTCAAAGACTCGAATTGTCTCGCCAGGATGAGAAGGCTCCCAATCAGACCTATCACTCGTGAAGAGGCACTGCTCGTCCACAGCGAAGCTCTCTGGGAGAAGATCCTGGCGATACAATGTAAGTTTCGTCCAAATAAAAGCGAGCTGTCTAGGTGACCTGTTTCGTCTAGCCATGACAGAGGAGGACATAGCCGATTCCGCCGCGTACTACGACGAACTCTCTCTTTATGTACATCCGACAACTCCGTATTGCGCGAAACTCAGTGCCGGAGGTGTCACTGAAGCCGCACTAGCGGTCGCGCGCGGTGAAGTCAGAAAATCCTTTGCTATTGTGCGGCCGCCTGGCCACCACGCAGAGCCGGACGAACATATGGGATTCTGCTTCCTAAATAACGTGTCCATAGCCGCGAAGGTAGTGCAACTACGGTCGTCTGTCAAGAGAATCATGATCTCGACTGGTCAGTAATCCTATTGTAGTGCTTGGTGGGCGGCTTATGCTGATCGGGTCACACCAATTTATCCTCCAGGGATGTCCATCACGGTCAGTATAACCTGATATGTGTCGCTGAGTATACTCATGACCGAGACACCGCAAGGCAACGGAACGCAACGGGCGTTCTATGATGATCCCTCCGTTCTGTACATTTCTTTGCACAGATATGAGGGTGGCCATTTCTACCCTAATGGTCCGTTCGGCAGCATGGTGTCCTGCGGTCAAGGCTCGGGATTAGGCTTGTAAGTCTTCTGGGCTTCCTGGCGAGCAGTCTCTTAAACCATCAACAGCTCCGTCAACATTCCTTGGCCGGAAAGGGGCATGGGCGATGCAGACTACCTTCTAGCTTTCCAAAAAATAGTCATGCCGATTGCATTGGAATTTTCCCCAGAATTGGTTATCAGTAAGGGAATTCCATTCTAGCCGTAAGGAAGCACCACTTAACGACGCCTTCTTGAAATTTGTAGTCTCAGCTGGGTTCGACGCAGCGGAGGGCGACACACTCGGCGAATGTCACGTCTCTCCGACAGGCTATGCCCATATGACGCACATGTTATCTTCGCTGGCGAATGGAAGGCTTGTCGTTGCTCTCGAGGTAAATCCGGATGCCCTCACTCTTTCATGTTCGGTCTTATCACGCATCCTAGGGCGGTTACAATCTCGACGCGATATCTGTCTCTGCACTAGCGGTCGCTCGAGTAGTCTTGGGCGAGGTTCCTCCCCAACTTGAGCCCATGGTGGCTTCTGAGGTTGCGACCGAAACCATATGGCATGTCGCTATGGAGCAAACCAAATACTGGAAAAACATCGACCCTAGTGCTTGCGAGCCATTGGAAGGTTTGGATCACCAAATCATTAGCTATACCTGCACTCACCTGCATCTGGTGTTTTTTCAGAGATCGAGCCCATCACGTTCTCGATACCCGGTACCTTCTTATATCCCTCGTCCCTGCATTCAGCACCGCTAACCACGACCGACAGAGCTACTCAAGGCACATCGGCAGGACTACCTCTTCCGGACTCACAAGATGCTCGAGGTCCCACTTATGACCCAAGGACTCATCGACCGTTTCAGCACTCAAGTAGCTTGCACGTGAGGCCTTCTGTCTTCATCCACGGCTACCTTTCCTGATGGCATACAGGCCCGACATCATGGAAAACCAGACGCTGGTCGTCTTCGTTCACGAATTGTTCGTGAACCTCTCCTGTGTCTCGCTGCATCCTGACAACACTTTTCAGTGGAAACCTAAGAGTAGAACTAGACTCTGCGATGTATTGTGATGTACATCTGGAACACTCATACCTGGTAAGGAACAGAGTCTATTTGAGGGTCACCTACAGTGTTCACGTTCCCAACAGGTAGACTGCTCGAAACAGCTGATTACCTGGGCAAGATCTACGGGGTACGCCCTGCTGGATGTCAACGTGTATGCGAAACCATTCGTGAAGTCAAAGGTAGACCGTCTGCATGATTCGCCGGGAATGATATCTCAATCTCGGTCAGGTAAAGACGCCAGATAATCCGGGGCAGATGTTATGACGTACCTATGGGACAACTACGTCCAGTAAGTCACAAAGGTTGAGACCGTCCCACATTGCTCTGACGACACATTTGTAGGCTCACGGCGGCCCGTCGTGTCGTATTGATTGGACATGGTCCGGGGTGTGAAGCCCTCATGGGGCTCATGCGGCAACGGTGTAAGCTCTCCGAATATTCTGATGTCTGGCAAAGCGTTATCGTTCATATAGCGGTGGGCGTGATGCGAACTGTACAGGGTATTGTGCAAGTTGTTGGGAACCACAATGTTCCGTTACTCCCGGAGACCTGCCAACTTACGCAATGGTATTTCAAGGTCGGTTCCCACATTGCTCTTCTACATTAGCTATAACCTCACTACTAGAACTCACTCGTGTTCGTGCCGCAAAATCATGTGGCGTTCCGAGACAAGAAACTTATGCGAAGCACGGTCAAGTCATGTTCAGCAGTGAGTTGACAGCTACTCGGTTCTTCCAGACACGCCTGACTGCTTCGCAGAGGAAACGCAGGCTGTGAAGCTGATCATTCAGGCTTTCCCTGTCATCCAAGAGTTCGTTACGGAACGGCTTGGGCCGGCAGCAGGTGCCAAGGTTGTGAATGGCACCTCCTAGCATGACTGTGATCCAAGATGTCATATTTATTCGTCGATGCTATCGTGCTGCTGCGTTTTGGATACAATCTACAGTAGATCTACAACGCCCCTGCGGGGAGAGATGATACCCACTACCTTGCTACTGAGCTGGAGCGGGTCTCCGCCGTGCGTGGCGATGAGATCACTTTCAATGTCGTCGACTTCGACGCCGAGCACCTTCTCAACGTGGACGGAGGCAAGCGCAAGCGCTTCTGCCTTCGAAATTTCTCCGCCACTCTCAAGCGCGGCCTAAGCAAATGATGTCAGCCTTCGTAAGAATGCTCGACGTTCACAAATGTCAACACACCCATGACGCATCCCACCGCGTGTTGCGCGCTTGCCATGCTTCCTCAATACCAATACCGACGGTGACGTTGTTGCCGGTGAGCGCGGTAATGGCGTTCGTCTCAGACAGAGGGAGACCGGGCATGCTGCAGCAATTCAGCATAACGATACACACGCAACGGGGCAGTGCTTACATTCTCCTCTGTTCCCAAGTTCCAGGGAACGGGCGAGGGCGAGTGATGAGCACGCCAATACCAGCCTCACCAATCTCCTTCGCAAGCAGGTGCGCCTCGCTCGCACCGGCGAAGGTCATCTTGATGTGTTCCCTCCCTGTCTTCGATGTCTTTCTTCAGCTCAATGAGCGAAGCCATGATGTCCGCGCTCTCGACGTCCACGACGAGGGTCATCTCGCCCTTCTTGACTTTCTCGACCAAGTTGCCCAGCGGTCGCTTAACCTCGGTACGTAGGAGTGCTCGGAGCGCAGCGATCTGCGTGCTCACGCTCGGGCCCGCACCGTAGTGGATACCGATGTGCAGAGCAGTAGCTGGCTGGACAACTGCACCCTTCTCCAGCTTGTGCTTCGCGCCAGGCGAGAAGCTGCACTCAGGCCCGACAGGAACCCGTATGACTGTGGTGCAGCAATGGCGGTCGTGACGCCCGCGCGGTAAGCCAGTCTAGTAGAGTGGTGAGGTCGTCAGCGACAAGCCATCACACATGGTCGGCAGGGACTTACAGAGCATCCCGAGTACCGAACTGAAGGCCGTCAACCGCAGCGACTACTGCACTGTTGCCGCCAATGATCTTCGGAATCACATCGGTCAGCGGGTCGAGTGCATATCCATCAATAGTCGAGCGTTCCGCCGTAATCTCTTCCAGACCGAGCGGAGAGCCATACGTAACCAGACCAGGCGCCACAGACCCGCCCTCGAGGTTGAGGATCTCAGCACGACGATCGTAGAGGCTCGACGGGCACTCCACCATCGAACCAGCGCAGATGACTTTGCCTTCCGCCGTAACCACAACGCCCTCGTCGCCGACGACAGATGCACGGAAGACCTCCTTGACGCTCTGGTCCTGGCGCCTGTACACGCTGCTCACATTGCGGAAGATGATGAAGTTCGCTGTCGCGTGCTCCGGCTCAAGCGGAGGGAGACCCTCGTATTTGAGGGCGGCCTCAGCCTCTTTGTCAAAGTTGGGCTTCTCAGGTACGTGCTGTGAGGCGGAGGGTTTTGTCACAGTGTATGGATGCTCAAGCTGGGCGACGCCGTCAATCCATACTTGCTTCGGCGTCGCGCCGAGGGCTAGCGGGTGGCTGTCCCAAAGGACTATGTCCGCGTCGTAACCTGTGGCGGAAGATCAGTGGTGTTGCGGTCTTAGACGCACCAGACATGCTTACCGGTCTTGATGAACCCAATGCGGTGGTCCATACCCATCACGGTGGCAGGTGTGCTCGTCACAGAAGCAAGTGCAAGATTCGCCGGCAGGCCGTAGTGGTGTGCCTGCTGCGCTCATAGAGCAGGAAGCGAGAGTCCAAGACAGGATGGTCCGACTGAAGCCCCGTCAAATCACAGCTCGTCAGAGGCAAACAATTGTCAACGAACCTTCATGACGACTGATAAGCCGTTTTCCGCGAGAATACGAGGGGCAAACTCTGAGCCACGGTAGGCCTCACGCTTGTACCGCGCATTGCTCGCGAAAAGCGCGACAGCCGGCGGGTGACCTACAGTAGAATTGGAAGTCAGTATATGGATAAATATACGAAGTGGCGAAAGTAGGGCACACCGTAAGCTTTCTTCAGCGTGTCCGGAACGAGGTACGTCTCGTGCGCATGGTGGAATGCAGCAATAGAGAACTTGAACTCGTTCGTGAGGCGAACCATGTCGTCCAGATCAACCGTCTCGTAGCAGTGATTATGTACCTTCACACGACCTCTCAGGACGTCGACCAGAGCCTCCCATTGGAGATCCTCCGGGAACGCGCCCAAGCCGGTCCACTCGCCAGCGGTAGCTTTGGCACAATACTCGTCCTGAGATACTTTGATTTGACGGGCCTTCTCATAGGCTTGACGGAACGACCAAGTCGTGTCCATACGCGTGAAACCATATACTCGGCCTGAAGCATATGTGAGTACTGTAGATCGCACGAAACCAATGCGTACTTACTCGGGTTCTCTCCTGAGAGCAATAACGTGGGTCACTGTCAGCGGTCACTGTATAACGATACTCGGTGATCTCGCGTACCACAAGCATGTCTACACGAGGCGTCAGTCAAAAAGCCAGTCCAAAATAGGACTATCCGAACTCACTTCATCTGTCTCCAGCGCAAGCTGACGGACGGGTCGTACACCGTACCATTGATTTCCCAAGGACTCTCTAGCATCAGCCCTGTGGGCGTCCTGGCATCTGTCGGGCGTAGCTTGATGACGACACCCTGACCACCTGCCGCATATCAGCAAGGCCAGCAAGTAGTATGAGACAATCACTGCTCACCGATCGCATTGGCTGAGCCAGGCAGCACGAGCACAGTAGTGACACCGCCAGCAATGCTAAGCTTGTAAGCGTCACTGTGCGTATTGAGGCCATCCAGAGCACGCAACCACTGCAGGGCATATTAGCCCGAGAGCGTAACATTGGCGAATTGACGTCACATACTGGTTGCGCTACGCCCTTGAGCGAGTTTGTGTCATCTGAGCCCCGAAGCTCAGGGCTTGAGTCAACTCCTCTGTAGTATTGTGAGGGAGCGGAAGGTGTAACGAAAGAACTGGTAGGCTCACTGATGACTGTGGAGGTCAACGATGCTGAGAACAATGTCGGTTAACTCTCAATTGTGTGAGGTCAGCAGAACCGACGCACCCAGGCGAAACCCAAGCACCGGCGGCATCAACTGTAGTCAGGTCGTCGTATACATCCAGCATATCCTGTTCGATGTGACCGACGCGTTTGATGAGCCCTCCATCAAGCAGAACGTCCCCATGAAGGACCTCAAGCCCGTCGACCCGTCCAGTCCAGATAGACGCGTTCTGTTACGCGTCATCAACTCAGAACCCTGAACAGGCGGCTCGCGTTATACCTTGATGAGAGTGGGCGGTGTACCAGCAACGAAGCGGTCCGACTGCTTGCGTAGGTTGAAGTCTGGGGGTGGGCCTGGCTGAGTATTGAGCAATGCGCACTTGTCGAGAACCTCATGAGCGTTGAGCGGGACTTCTGACGTGTGCGTCGACCACTGAGTACTGAAGACGTTGGTGGTTGACTGGAGCAGGGCGAGGGAGATGACGGCAAGGAGCAGTCTCCACACACGCCGCGAGCGGTGTCGAGGGCGCGCGGGGGCGGCCTGTGCGGTGGTAGGGAGCCCCTTGTCCATGGTCGTGCGAGTGCAAGCTGCCCGACCCACAGCGCGAGCGAGATAAGTGCGGGACGCCCGCGCGGACGCCGCGGTGTGATCTCGATCCTCGATCACAATGACCACAGACATCAAGTTCAAACGTGCATCCGTGAACAGGAATTCATTCACTTGTACATGCACACATATCTGACTGGTCCGATTGCGAGCGAGTACAAAGGTGAGGAACAGTCCGTGACAACACGATAGTACTATTCGGTCAACTGGCATCACAGCTGGGTCACCATCTCATCATCGTGGGCTGCATCAATGAGACCATAGTCGACGACGTTGGGTGGCCAACGGATCCCCTTCGACAGGTTGAGTGGATAATGCACCTTGCCTGCCTCGCCTGCCCAGTCGAAATCTATGATTTTGGTGCGCAATCCCCAGCCATCATCTCCGTCGCCCTCGATGAGAATGTTTGGTGGCCGGATATCGCCATGGACCATGTCGTGCTCGTGAAGCAGTGCTATTGCCTGGCGGACTACTTCACGCGCTCCGTCAGGGATGTAGGGCTTCGACCTCCCTTGGACATACTCCATCACTACCATCCTGCGAGGATGGCAGTCAGGATCCGGCAGGCCATCCGCACCAGGCCAGACAGGTCCATAGTAGAGCAGCTTCGGAGCCCAGCCACGGCTCGCGAGAAGCTCGTGTGCGGCCGCGCCATAGCGCTCGACAAACATGACAACTACCTGGGCGCCGTGACCTTCGCGTTGAGCGAGGAAAGTAACGCACGATGAGTCCGTTCTCCCGAGTGGCTTGAGATACCGGAATGTAACCGTCCGTCCGTTGTCAACGTATGAGGTTGCCAAAGGGAAGTATCGACGCCTCTTGTTCTCGTTCTCGAACAGTTCGAGATTGATGTAGAAAGACTTCAAAGACTCGATGGCGCAAGCAAGAGCATCGAATACACGAGCAATGCGCACGACGCGGTCGTCATCAATTGTGCGACTACGACCGAGCCAGATATAGTCGGTCAGCCTCTGCACGATGATGTCCGAGGTGAAGATAGCGCCGCAGATGACGATCCAGGGCCCGGCAATCGAAATAATGAATGTTGGGCAGCAGCTCATCTTGCGTAGCTTCTGGAATGCAAAGAAAACTTGGATAAGAAACACAGAACCGGATAATTACGAGGAGATGGTACGTACTTCTTGGCTTTGATCGACCCAGTGCTCAATGTACGAGAATGAACCTTGTACGGAGCCTTCACCGCTTGACCCGAATTCGCCTTTCTCTTCGATGATTGCCATTACTGCCAGACCCAGAAATCCAATAGGAACACCTATGCAGTGGCCTGCAGTGGTCCGCTTCTGACCAGGCGTTTGAAGAACGGTACGGTCGAGGATGTCCAGAAGGCAATCTCGGACGCCGTATCCATCAACTCTGCAGTCTTGCGGATGATGTCACCGGAAGGCTGTCGATCCTCGTCTCGGGCATGGCACATGAATGAGGCAAATGCGCGATGGTAGATCTCGACAGGCGGTGCAAGAGGAGGCGATCCGGTGCCGCAGCGACCGTCGACAATAGGTATGTGGCTGTCCTGGTGTTTTCGATAGTTCTCAGGCTTGAGGGACGGTGTCGTACGATCCGTTCGTGTCACTATATGATTGAATCCTAGATGGGCGTTGAGCAGGGCTCTTAATACAAAAAGGGCCCACCTACTATCCACAAGCTCTTCTATCCCGTCTGCCTCTTCGTCATTATCTTCTCCGTTGGAAACGTACGGCCGTGCCTCCGTCGCCCTTGGAATGGAAAGCAGTTCGACAGATGCTAAGAGAGCCACGTTCTGCGCGTTTGACTGGGGTAGACGTGAACTGGATATATTCAGCCATTGGCACGTCGGGCATTTCTGGAATGAGGCAGTCACACCATTCCTCCAGTTTGTCACCATGTTTCTGTAAGAAGGACTGAATATCAGCTCCGGCTTTATCCCCATATTCTAACTGGCTGTGCGGCTGGTTGTGACTAGGTCAGCGAGCCGTACCACACATACAACCGTCAATGAGATGACAAACGTTCCACATAGCGATTTCGAGAGGCGAGGGTGACCATTTTCCAAGGTTTTGTGTTCTGCGATTTGCTTGCAGAGGTAGTCCAGGGTGGCGTCCAGCGGGATGGAGAGGTAGAGAGGTCGGGTAAGCAGATGTGGCTCCCCCTCCACCCAAATGATGATCCAGATAACCACAGATAGTCTGGCATTTGACAGACTAAATGGCGGTGTTGAGGAGGCAGTCACTGTAATAGACGGATCGTTTTAGGAGCCTAGGCTGTGGCCTCCTATCGACATGTATGAGTGCGATCAAACAAGTGCGATCAAACTCGGGCCGAGCCGCCGAATCTGGAACTGGTGTGCGACGGTAAATCATCCGACCTAAGTACCCACAACGCGGTCACGCGGTGGGCGCCTCCGCATCCATGTCCTCCACCGCCAATCGCCCCGCCGCCGCCGCCGCCGCTCCCAAGCCGCCCGTCGTCGTCCCCGGCACAGGCAACAACATCATCGTCAACCCTTGCCAGGTGCGTCTCGAGCGTCGAAGCGAGAGATGAGACTCAGACAGAACAGCGCGGTAATCCTATCCTCGAAGCCGTGCGCAATGTAGGTAAAGAATTCGGTGATATCGTCGCAGATTACCAAGTCGGGCGAACAACTGGTGTTCTCTTCCTGAGGTATGCCGTTCCGAGCTGTAGGCCTGCTTCTGTCTCTCATTATTCTTCAGTCTCCGCTACCACCGCTTGCATCCCGAGTACATCCACCAGCGGATTGAGCGGCTTGGACATGCATACACCCTGCGGGTGCTCCTCCTCATGTGCGATGTTGTAAGTACAATAGTAAATGCATAACAATGACAAAGACTACAAACAATAGAGCGAACATCAGGAGCCGATACGAGAATTGACCAAGGTCAGTCAGCACACGCCCGCCAGCCATGAACTGAACGCGTAAGCCTCCGGAGTAGATGTGCCTTATCAACACCATAACGGTCATGGTCGCGTGGAACGCCGAGGAGGCAGGGTACTATCTTTCGACGTACAAACAATTCGAGAACAAACCACCCGACCTCATCAAGGAACGAGTAGACAAGACGTACGACGCAATGCTCCGCACGGCTTTGACCTCCATCAGTAAGGTGAACAAGACGGACGTCGAGACACTTCGTACAACTTTTGGAGTCAGTACCCTGTCATGTTCTTGACTACAACTTGATCTCACGCCGATTCCTAGAGCTTCGCAGATATTGCACGAGCGAGCTCTGACCAGCTCCAGAAGCTTCCCGGCGTCGGTCAAGTCAAAGCCAAGCGCATCCAAGATGCTTTCCGCAAGCCCTTCCGGAACAACGCAACGAGCACCCTCTCATCTCAATTGTTGGCAACTCATCTTTCACAAGCGACCGTAGACAAGGGTAAGGAAAAGGAGTCGAGCGCGTCCAACCCGTCCGCTGCTGTATCCGGTAAACCTCTGAATTGGCATCACGTCCCCCGCGCGACCCAAGCCCGTTATGGGACATCGAGCTAGACCTCAATTCGCCTTCGCCGCCAGCAGCAGCACCCATGCAAACAATCAAGGACTCCAGCGGCCCATCAGCAGACACTGCAGCATCGTCGAGTACAGCGTCACTCGGGCGAAAACGACCACCGAGTCCGGTGTGGGACATCGAGCTTGACTTGAATGAGTCCGATGTGGAGGTAGACGGTCCTGGGCCTAGTAAAAAGACGAGGACCGAGACAAACTTCGGGGATCCGCTCTTCTTACAGGAGACACCGTAGCAGATATATCATTCACTTGTTATACACGTAGTGATCCATGTACTATAGTATCGGACACCAGCACTACGCATGCGCTCTTGCCAAGAGCGTGCGCTTGCTATGTGGGATGGAGCGGTCAATTTACGATGATGTACGATAAACATTACATGCACAAGAGGGTAAACAAGCACGAGGCGACTTCAATTAACCGATGACCGGAGCGACTACTGATGTAGCAAGGACAGCAATAACGATCAGGATGTACAGTACACGAATACTTACTCTAGCAAAGCACGTTATAGACGTAGAGGGAATACGAACTGATAGACTGAACTATATGACGCCTTAGGCTGTGCGAAGTAATTGCGCAAGTTCCTCGGCCTGCCCGTCCCCGGACCCGAGCGGAGGCTCGCCATGCGCTGATAATGCACCCTCAGCGACAGTCGCTGGAGCGCTGCCTTCGCACGCGAGCGGTCGAGGAACGCTGCGCGGGTATCGATGATCCTCCCATGGAGGCTGTCCAGCAGCGTCTTGATCTGCTCCAAGTGCGCCGGCTCCCTCTCAACCGCGCCCTTCTTTGGGGACTCCTCGCCCTGGCCGGACGGCGGCATGGACCCGCCGTAGCCTCCTTCTCGAGCGCAGTGTAGCCAGGGATGTCCGTCAACGCCTTGCTGAGGACATCAACGTAACAACAGAGGTCTTCGTAGTAGTCGGGCTTGTCGGTGTTGCCTTGGATATCGAAGATGCCTCCAGACCCGACCGGCGGGCACAGCAAGTTGACGACGGGTATGAGAGAAGGAAGAGAGGTATACGTCTCTTCCTTAAGCAGGAGCGCACGAGCGACATTGCATGCAATACGACTCGTTTGCGCACAAGCTCCGGATACGAAGGAGAGCAAATGAGCTTGGTTCATCGGGACCTGCTGCTTCGCAAACTCTACCAAGCGTGAATGGATGGCAGCCTCCTACGTGCAATATTAGCAGGGAGAACCCTTCCGATGGACCGGCTACTCACGATTTGCATGCCCTCGTCATTAGCGGGGATAGCTTGGCCAATCACTTCAATTGCTACCATTATATCCCTGCCCAACTCAGGGGAGGTTGCCCTGTCTACTGCGACGAGAACCAATAAGAGTACGATGATTGGCATATCAACATGAAGCAAAGCGCCCTCCCTGCAAGCGATTATCAGGTCAAGGGTAAAACAATGAGAGCTCGCAGTAATTACCTGGCAAGGACCGTTACGAACGATATAACACGGTAGAGTATCTGATCTCTCCGTTCAGTATCAACCGGAGATGTCTGACCCGAGGACGGCCTTTGACTGAGCTCATCACAGGCACTTGACTTTGCGCCTAGACGGACAAGTGTGTCGGCCAAGAGAACAGCAGAAAAGCCTGGTTGAGAGCGAGCTTGCGATATGGACCCGGCAAGGTGCAAGAGGCCATGGTACGCAAGCTCGGTGTACGGCCGGTCGACAAGGTCTGTTGCTGTAAGCATACAACTGATTAGTGGGATGCTTAGTGGCGACAAAGCCGTAACGCACCCATAGCATACAGCCAGGGAACGAGCGCCGCAGCATGCGAAGGCTGCAACGTGGAGAGTACACCTGAATGCAAGAGCATACTCAACCGAGAAACATCTGGGTGTCATCGTGAGCATCAACAATGCATACAATATTTGCCTGCATGAACAGACCTTCCGCCCTCACGGCATCTTGCAACATTCCGAGTATAGGACACGCTTGAAGGTCGGCTTCGTCAAAAGAAAGCACAGGCGAGTTGTCAACGTCCATGCCGTCGTCGGTGCTGGCTGGCGAATTGTCCCAGAGAGGCACGCCCAAGATGTCATCTCTTAACTTGACCTTGCTCATCGCCTCTCGGAGCAGACGATTGCCAGCCAGGATATGTCCAACCTTCTGCCCGCCCTCTTTACCAAGCCCTGCTAAGGCCTGTTGACGCACTGCCTCCAGTTCCCCGTCGCTCTCATCATCGCTATCCTCGTCCCAGTCGAAGCCTAGCAGCGGACTTGACGACCTCGACTTGAATCGCCGCGCGCCCTTCTTCACTACGTCCATCGCAGCGCTTTCGTTGGTCCAAGCGGGGTCTACGTCTGAGGAGTCCTCCTCGTCCATCTCGTGCTTCAGACTTGCCTTGGCCTTGGCCTTAGCATCCTGTTTCTCTTTTGACGAGGAAATAATAGCTGCCTCGGCGGCACGCAGCGCGTCAACACCACCGCCACGCTTGTCGGCGCGCTGCTTCTCCTTGAGAAGGGCCTCGAGAGGATCGGCCTTGCGCGATTGCTTTCCTCCCGTCCTACTGGTGCTGACAAGGGTGGGCATCCGTTTGTTTCCTGTGACGCCTTTCGTGCCAGAAGCCTTTCGACGAAGACCGTACCGCGGTCTTTCAGTGCTGGACTCGGGTGGATCTCTAGATTGCAAGGCAGGCGAAGTGAATCGAGTGACCTTCTTGCCGATGGGAGAGGGTGACGGTCGGCTGCAAGTGAAAAATACAATCAATATATAAAACAAGTCTTCCGGACAGAAGACAAAGCGCACCCCTTGCCCTTGCCCTTGCCTAGTTTGTTGAATGTCTCCATGAAGTCCTCCTCGGACTCATCACTGCTAGAGTCGCCGTACCCGAGCTCCTTCAACTCGACTGGAATGTCGCCGGGACTGGATGAAAGTGTAGCATACGCCCTCGCTTTGATCTCGGCGATGATCTGGGCTGTCTTCGACTCTTCGTTCAGAGCCACGGGAGTCGCCGGACCAGATGCGGTACGACCATCTGACGGTGGCGTGAAGGGACGTCCTCCCATCGACAAGATGGACGCAGGAGTGGCCCGTACAGGGGACGACGGCGAAGACGTGGCCATCTGGGCAGATGGTGCCAACTCCGTGTGACAGGAGCTCGGCGAAGACAAGGTGTAGGGAAGAGGTGACGAAGCCGGAAGGTCGGGCTCCGACGTTGGAGTCTGAAGACCAGTCGGGATGCTAGAGAGTGGGCTGAGAGGGTCTTCTCCAGGTTCGTCGATGTCCATGGGAACGTTGACCTGTGTAGCGGAACAAGCGTCGGGCTCCTCAGGGGCGTTCCCCAACAATGGTGTCGATGGGTCAGCGCAGGAGACGTCCGTACGGGCACCTCGCCTCCACTGGTCGACCGCTTCGTTCACAGCTACTGGGTCCTTCCTCGTGGTGTTCGGTAGGGTTAGCTCTTGCTCGTCCGACTGGCTGGAAGGCACGACCTCATAGGGGTCAGTAACCTGCGAAAGGTTTTCCGGCTGTAGCCCGCAATGCTCCTCGGGGGGCGTCAGACGCGGACGCTTCCTGCTAGAGCCGCTGTCGGAGGGCGACGGTAATACGTTATCTTTCGACGTCAAAGGTTTGGAGACAGCAGAGCGTGCAGTCCTTCGAGGCGAAGTCCGGGTCTGGGGTGTTGGAGCTTGCGTTGGCACGCAATATAGGACTGGCGTAGCGTCCGCTTGGTCGCTCTCTGGAGGAAGAGCTCTTTTGCGAGGCACTTTGCTTTTTGTCAGGGAGTCAACATGAGGCGTTGTTTGACCCGAGCTGATGGGCTTTGACGCTTGGGAAACGGTCTTCGCTTTGCGCGACGCGGTTGTGGCTGAAGCTAAATGCTCCCTACCTGCAGAAGCACCTTCGGTGGATGACTCGTTCTGGTGTTTGCTACTGGAACGCGTTCGCGTGGCGGGAGTCTGTTCGTGACCAGGTGTGCGGGACAGGTCGCCTGAACTGCGCGCATTCTCCGAGGGAGGAGCCGCTAGGGAAGAGCGAGACACAGAAGCACGCGTCCTAGAAGCCGGCGGTGCTGCCTCAGCCAGCTTCTTCGCGCGCGGAGCTGACAAGCTCAGCCGGCCCTCGGACTGGGACGGGCCAGGCGGCGAGGAGGAAGGGGCTTGCGACGACAGGCGGGCGAACATGGCGTCGATTGTGAGTCGCCTGTTGTCGCGCCGCGACTCTGCAGTGGTTTTGCGGGGTTGTGTGCCCGCGCTGGGGGTCGTTCGAGGCATGTCGCGGGCGTGGACGCGGTGGGTGGTTGGAGGTCGTTGCAAGGCGCGGGCGCGGCCAAGCACGCAGGTGGATGCGCCTGTCACGCGTTACGCGGACGCGACGCGTCCAGGACTCCGCACACCGCGCGTGCGGGGTCCGACACACGGAGACGCCGGCAGGTCGATCGGGTGGCTGCTGGACCAGGACAGCCTGGGACACCGCGACGCAGTGAGCAGACGCGGGCGCACATCCTCTTCGCCAGCAACTTGCTCCTAAATGACATGCATAGGTATGACGGCCAACGGAAGCACATCATACACTCTGTGAGCCCCTTCTTCACCCGAATTCGTGATGTTCCGGAGCTGACACTCCCCAGTTGTCGACCCTGTTGTACCAGTTGCATACCCTCTCCTTCCTCCTCTCGCCTTCAGTCTGGATCTTCCTGGGTCGACTCGTATCCCATTTCCACTTCTCCGGACCGCGCGACCTGGATCCGACGAGGTCCCTGCGCTTCTGGTACATCATCATCGTCGTCGTCAACTCGGGTGCGCTATGGAACCACGCGAAGGAAGGGGCGGCGCAAGGCCGGTCGGTCGTACTGGACTTCGTCGGAATGTGTGCGTTTTGTCCGGTCATTGCACGCTTTCTGCTTTGCTCATACCGCGCGTTGTCCTCATTCACGATTTGCTACAGCATACGAGCCGTCAAGAGCCCACCTGCTTGCGCTCGACTTGTCCATCGTCTTCCTCAGCATGGTCCTCACAACAATTGCATACGAAACGTCGTATGCAGCAGAAATGCCACCTAATACCCCGGACCCACTGCTACCACCATCCACCACACCAGCGTCTCCGCTTCCAACCGGCGTACACGAAGACATCAAGTCACCCTTTGTCATTGACCTCCGACTCTCTACCATGATGGAACGTCTTCGACATCCACCGCCTCCGCCACCGCCGAGGGACACGTCCGTCGATGACTTGCTGCCAATGCCCAACACTACGAGCTGGCGATTGTCAAGTGGGCTGCAGATGTTGCTGCGAGCACGGCAACAACAAAGACAGCGCGCGCGGGGCACAGCGACTGCGGCGCGACGACCGAGCGGAGATGAAGGTGGGAGAGAGGACGACGACGAAGACGACGATTCCAGACAGGATGTTCCGGGCGGGTTACATACGGATCGTACTTGATATTTTAATGGATATTGTCTATTGCGCGATCGACGATGACACAGAGGTTCTGGTATAGCTGCGAGTTTCCCCGTCGAACATCGTGGACGAACGCGTGGGTCACCACTTCCGCTTCATCTACAGGAAGGACATGAACAATGTACTGGAAACAAACACTTGCATACGTACCGTCTCCCGAAGGCATGCACCGAACTTTGCAAATTCCTCCTTGCATGCATCCTTCCGCACGTCCGTATACGTTGCCAGGATGCATTTCCCGTACGCGGAAGCTTGTGCAGAGCATGTAGTGGTTGCATGTCCAGCAAACCGGCGCAGAGGCGTCAACGTTGCTGCCGCCTGACTTGGATTCGGGTGCATCGTGTGTGGGGTGCTGTCTATCTTCCCATGCAAAGGGTACGAATTGTGTGAGACGTATAGACAGAAGAGTCAATATGCGAAATTCAAACAGGTCCTCCTTGGGTCCTCCACTCTTCCTAAGTTGAGATTGGATCGGCACACGCGTCACCCTCACGTGCCTATGCCAGCCTGAGGGCGTCTAGACTCTCAACTCAAGGGCGTCTCCGAGTGCTCCTGGAGCCCTTCGCGTCGTGCTCTACTACTTAGCTGAGAAGCTACTGGTCTATCCCTACTGGTTGTCGGGGCGTTGGTGCGGTACTGAGCCTTTCTAAACTCTGTGCAAGTCTTATCACTCTCTCTACACCTCTGAAAGCTTCTGGAACCTGAGACCACTACTAGTACTCGACGTTACAAGCCGCATTCAGCTCGCTCACCGCACCACTCATTTCGGCACACATACAGGCGGGAAGGAATGCCATGCTCAACATAGTGCTTCTCATTGCCTGCGTCTGTACTGTCATCTTGCTGCTCTTGTATCTATTCTACTGGAACCGTGTGGTAGCCTTGATCATCAGTGTCATTCTCCGCGTAGCTTTCTGGAATCAAGCAGAGTCGAGCATATGGCTGGACATTGGTATGTCTCTAAGAACTCTTGAACTGTACGAGCTTAATTCTTGCAGGCTCTATCCAGTTCTCTGTGATAGCTGGGAGGATAGCGTTCAAGAACCTGCGTTACTATTCGAGCAACCAGACCATTCGAGTTGTCAAGGGTCAAATTAGCTGGAGATACTGGCTTCGGAGGCCGGCCGAAGAGGATGACCTGAGCCATGCACATGTACTTGGAGAGGACCCCAAGCGTACGTGCCTTGCAAACTTACTCGTCAAGGTTCTTCTCATCCATCCCGACAGAAACCGTGCACTTGCCGCTCTCCTGCCGAGTCCATGTATCGCTTCAGGGATTTGAATGTTTCGTCTATAACCGCACAGCTGCATATGAGAACATTCTGTCCCAAATGGCGGACGACCTACCTCCAACCCCTGCGCCTACGCCGGCTGCACCGAGCGTCAGCATGGATGCACGCGGTGCCCTGCGCAAGATGTTCAGCAGGACCTCAACTGCAGCTGAACGTGCGTATCTTGCACATACCGGGACGACACGCTAACTCCGCACTTCCAGGTGGCGCCGGACCTTCACTTTCTCTGGCTTCCTCGCTATACTTGAAGGCACCGAGTCATATCAAACGTCTGGTGTCCTGGATCAGGCTCCAACTTCCCAACTTCGACCCGAAGAACTTGTTGCCCATGGGTGTCGAGGTGTCGAAGGGCGCCATCATCTGCGGCAACGCATCCACCCCAAACCTGCTCATCGCCGAATTCAGCCAGACCGAAGGGACATACGGTATCGTCCAGGTGAGGCGCGCCGATGCCCAATTGACTCGTGCACGCTCACAATCTACAAGGCCAGGTCCAAGTGCGACCTATACAAGCAGTTGTTGAACCTCAAGTTCCAGAACGCCTCTGTGCACTACTTCGAGAACGCCGATTTCGATGCTCACATGGGCGACGTCGGTCGAAGACTTCGCGAACACATCGAGTCTTCCGGGGACGTTTACATCAAGCACACTGGCTTTCTCACTTATCCGTATTATCACAAGCTCTGGACACGCTTGAAGCTCTGGTCTGTAGAGTCAAGGCCCCATGCTCGCGCTCGCTCGTTCGTGCGCCGCTTGTTCGGCCGGTCAGTCCCGGTCCCTCACCCTCCCACATCGTGGGCGTGGTGGAGAGCGCAAAAGACGCCTGACGACGAGACGCCCATTGGGATCGACTTCTCCAAACTGGAATACGCCATTGAGCGCAAGATTCTGGAGGCGCCCGTCCTAGAGCTCCTGTACTATGCCGACGTCGTAGGTATTGTCCCTGCCGAGCCTCCCCAGCAGCCGGCGGACCCTGACAGTTTGGACCCGTTCGACATCGGCAACGGCGACCTTCCGCCTGAATGGGGTATTGACTTCGTGGTGAAGGGTGGGTTTCTGCGGTATGGTCCTTGGGCGGACCGTCAAAGGTGAGGACTGGGTTTGAACTGTTAGGAGCCCCGTACTGATACCTGTCCTTGCTTATTAGGTCCATACTTCAAAGTTGTTTCTTTCCTTCGACGTATCACGATGCAGAGCCCGCCATTCGTTTGAGGCCCGGAGATACGCGGACATGGACTGGCTTGAAGATATTCATAGAATTGCGGGACGGGGTCACATTGCATATACCATTGCGCGAGGCTTCCAAGGCAAACCCAATTGTTCATGTACAAGTCGTGTCGCTGACAAGATCTTCCATAGGACTGGCAATGGGATGGCAAGGTGGACGTACCGGATCGGCCACGGAAGAGAGAGGCCGCTTTCATTCATGTTAAGGCCGGAGACAGCTCCACTATAAGCTATATCATGCCGATGGTGGCCAGTGCGACGGGCTACCACCCACTTTTGGAAGTGCATCTTGACACCTTGACCGTCACGTCCAGCCTGAATGATATGCGGCTCCTAATGGCGCAGTCTTGTCGAGTGCGTTCTGTCATGTCTTGGATATCTGCATATCATTGATAATTTTTCGCGACGCAGGTTCGCTGCCAACTACCCACACCGCTGAAGTGGAATGGAGAGCGGACGTGGACATTTTCAGTATTACTACGGCGTGCACAACTCTACCTTCTGAGGGACCACATCAATATGCTTACTGACCTTGGCCGGGATTGGAGCTCGGGACCCCCCAGTGACTACCACCGTTTCATTCCTATGCACTACGTAGTGGAACTGGACTTGCATGACTACGAGGTAAACACCTACGTGAACGATCATAACATCATCGACAAGCCGCTCATCAAGGAGGACAATGGTGCGTTTGTCATGACCTCTGTTGATGCCTCTTGCTGAGCCTTCATCACAGCGATCCTCGCCTTGCATGGAATGCGCCTGAGCTCGGTCGTCCAGATACCTCTAGTTTGGTACCGCCCGGAAACTACGACAGTGTCGTTTCGGTTAGAAATACCAGACGCTTCAGTGCGGTTGACGCTTCCCCGCTGGAACACCTACTCCTTGTATCCCTCACCTGATCGTACCAACGTCGGACGAATCGGGTTCCTCACCCTCGATGGATCTTACCGATATCACGCGGATGTGCGCGAGTACAATGTGGACCAACTCAAGTTAGACTTTGCGGTATGTCTATGTCACGCGCATGTCCTACCACCGATAATGACGATTTTTAGGCTCGTAACATAGTCTACAAGGCGTTTGGATGGAATATCCGACACTTCCTGATTTTGCGCGAGAACTACTTCGGCTCTTTCACACATTTCTGTACACTCTCAGAATATCTCGAGAAGAGGAGGAAGGACCAACCCATCACTGACCCGATCGAACTTCAATACCGACCGGGAAAGGTATATAAACAATCATACCGGCGAGAACAAAGTACTGACAAACGTTATGACAGTCGAACTCTATGGAGGTCGAGGTCGGCCTCTATGTTGACAGCGGTTTGCTAGTCCTTCCCGCAGGCCTTCCGGGGTTCGAACAGTACAGTCAAGCCGAGATGCTTCACGCAAAGGCAGAAGACTTGGGTTCATGTCTCTTCCTCAACTGTCCTATTCTGCAGCTACAGTTACGAACGAATGACTACTTCATGGGTGCGGACCCAAGCCGATCTTCTTTTCCCCAGACCCTTACCGTCCGTCCAGAAATGTCCTTGAACGTGGATACCATATCAGGCCATCTTGAAGACCATTGCTCAGATCAGACTCTGTTCAGTCGTGTTGGTGAACGTGACGCATCCAATGGATTGATCATTCTGGATGGTAAGCTAATCATGGTCGTGGTCCCACCCTCTGACGCCCCGACAGAACTCGACATTACTGCCAATCGGCTGTTTGGACCCCAGCCGAGGACCGCGACTTACGTTTGCATATGGGAGATACACGCAGGTTCGTTGAAGGCGTCCCTTCGGCACACCAAGCGCGACTGCTGGGGGCCGTCGGAAGTTCTCTTGGAATGAACTTCTCCGACATCCTCAATGCTCCAGCGAAGGAATTTGGGCTGCCCGTCGACCCAGATGGTGAGCCTTCACATATACGAACTGTCAATAGTACCGCACGTTGACAACCGTGTTAGTCACTTTCCTCAAGGCTAGCCTAGGATCAGCTTTCTTGGTATGGCTTGCCGGCGACGGCGCCATAGAGATAGCATTTCCCGATGGCTTGCGGTTCGACAGCAATGACTTGGCTGGTGGATCGTACATGAAAGTCATGAGCATCCGCGTTCCAACGGGGTCGTTGAAGGCTTTGAACATGACGAGAGAACACTCCAGAGATTGGCACGATACCGCAGTCTTACCTTCGATGTCAATCTGGATGTGTACTCCGCGCCACCCGGATGGCAGAAGAAAGCGCAGGATCAGACCTCATTCGTGAACACTCAAGATGGCCTCACCGGCCGAGCGAATTGTCTTTATTCTCACGCGGCTTCACACTCTTCGAGAGATATATTGCCCTCTGGTGAGTGTCGTTGAATAACAGTAGCGTACCTCACTAAGACAGCCTCTTTAGGCCGTGGACTCCTCGATAGTGACATCTACTTACCTCAGCTGAGGGTTCCCCACTACCGTGTCCGAGAAAGGGTCCCCGAGTCAAAGAAACAACCGCTGATGACGAACTCTGGTCCCCGGAGGATACCGCCTGGGGCTCAGTCGACAAGCCAATTTTCCGAATCGGAAGGTGACGAAGGGCTCTCTGAAGCGATGCGAGATGCACGCTTAGCGTAAGTCACTGAATCGTATCAAAATCTCGAAATGACGGCGATTGACACGTCGGAGGCAGTAACTCGCGTCTGCCGGGCTCACTGAGGAACAATGGACAGAGTACGGAGGAAGACAGCATGCAGAGCGGTGATGAATCTGACAACGAAGACCTGACGGAATCAATTGACTGGGACAGTGAAGAGTCGGCTGGGTCGAATCGTGAGTTACAGTTCTGTTTCAGTACACCTTTATCTCAGACACATCCCTCGTAGTCGGCACCGAAAAGCCAATGGTCTCTCAATACCGAGAGTTGGTCAGCCATTATAAAGCATCACTGCTTCGTCAACCTGCAACGTGGGACTCGACACCGTACAATCTCTACCAGGTAAAAGTGCAGACTACCCATGTATCCTCCCACTCAATAGTTTGTGTAGAAGCCGCGGATGTCTTGGAAGCAGCATGCAGACAATAGCTCCCGCAAGTCATACAAATTCATTCGCGGGGAGATGCCATACATCGCGCCGTCGGAAAATCAAGTCGACACGACTGTCCTACGATTGTCTTCTTCGCGGGGCATTGACATTTGGATCACTCCTCTCGTTGTTCAAGTCTTCGACAGCCTACTCAATGATCTAAGTCTCAATGTGAGTATCTATTTGCTTTGCACGATAATGCGCTAAGGGCGCCAACCTAGCAATTAACTCCTGAGCTCCGCTTTGACGCCATTATGAGCGACTATGTACGCTCCTCCATACCAGTCCCTCGATCAATCCGCAGAAGAGTCGTTCTCGACGCACAAATCCGTAGCCTCACCATGGCATGTGGGGTGTTGATTACGAAGGACACGGAAAACTTTAGTGCTGCTCGGGGAGAGTGTACCGCCGAAGAAGGTTACAACCGGTCGGACAACTGCACTGCGTTGCATCTGTCATTGGAGAATGGCACCTTGGGCTGGACGGGAATCGAACACTCGGATGTCGATTCTGACAGTGCATTCACTACTTCATTCAAACAACTGTCTGTGGCCTTTGGTGGCGCGGGAGGGCAGGACAAGAGACTTGGCCGTCGAGGTTCTAGTCTGTCCCCAGTCGCAATCGGTGCGACGATCGCATCAAGCACGGCCTCGGTCATCCAGAAAGAGGCTTCGCTCTACCTTGGAGCTCTCGACGTCACCACGGAGGATCATGCACTCGGCCTTGTTAAGTCCTTCGTCACGTCCTCCCTCGAGTGGATTGAAAAGGCCTTGGATTCCCGACGGAGATATCAGGTCTATAATGCGACCGCCGTGGACCGACAGGTCATATATCAGGTCGTCAAGTACTCTCGCCAACGAACAGTCGTTGATCCCCTGTCGACAATTCAACCATCCTACCTTGTTCAGAAAGGCCAGCCTGATCAATTACGTCGCAGCAGCTGCTTCAAGTTTCTCGTCTACCTGCGAAACTGTCTCAGGTCCTTAGAAGCCAAGGAACGGCATGGGGTCCTGGAGATGCCAACCAACACGAATACGGATATCGCCTTACGAGACCTTTACTTATTGCTCGAAAACCAAGACTTCAGCCAGCCTGTGGACGAAGACACGTCTGGTTTACCCAAACACGCTTTCATGCAGAAGCTATTCCATAATCCCGATGCGCAGACCCGTCAAGATCCGAGGAACTCATTTGCGATCCCTATGTCAGGCTCGTTGCGCTTGGAGTCGATCTCTGTGACTGTCAGTCACGGCGCAGACCGTGGCGGCAGTACGTTTATTTCCGGACCTCTCAGCGTGTGTACCCAGGTCAAATCGAACAACTTCCTACCTGCCCCGCATGTAACTTCTGGCAAGAGTTACGGCAATCTGGCTCTCACGGATAAGCAGGGCAGGCAGCTTCTCCACATCACCCTGTCGATCAACCTGCATAAAGTGGACATCAGGATCTTGCCACAGATGGTCGTCCTTGTTGAACAACTCGCGCGTCTGCCAAATATGGCCTCGAAGTCCAGTCCTTCCGTAGATGCCGCACACCCTTCTTGTACGCCCAGTTCACCGATGGCAAGGTTGTTGTCTGGCGCGTACATCGACGTGGCATTCTCCGTTCATTCGGCAAGTTCCACAGCAACTGCCGAACGCCTCTCCATCGACTTCGGCATTTCTCGTCTCGGATATACCGCCACTGCTCTCAGTAAACCCCTCGCCGAGCCATCCGCTGTTGTCGAGTATCAGTATTCCATGAACCATTCACTACTGGTCGGGGAGACGACGCTGCGGCTTCGCTCTCATGACCAGGCAGTTTCTTCCAATGGCGGCGTGGCTCTGGCGTCCTTCGAGGTGCACCGAAGCAAGTTCAATGTCTCCTTGCTGAAAGAATCACAACAATGCCTTGTCTTGCGATTGGTCGCTGGTGTAGATAGCGTGGGCCTCACGATTCCCCGGAGCGCCCTAAACCTTTACCGCTCTGTCGATGACTGGAAGGCTACATACCTTTCTGACGTCCCAGTCGCGCGGCACCCGTCGACTCCACCTCCAAATCCGACGCGATACACAACTGGAGAAACAGAGAAAAGTGGGGCACTACGCTTCTCCATGCACGTAGCTTGTGCAAACGCGGGAGTGACATTACAAATCGCGCGTGGCACTTGGTTCTCTTGGGAGGTGAAGGAAACAGTCTTGAATCTGGCTACATCGGAAAGCACGGCCCAGACGCTTCCCCTGTCATTTGGTTTGCAAGCAGGGCCCCATGTCATCGGAATTTCTACTCAAGCACGAGCGAAGGCCACTGGTACTCCTACCTCCCACGTCCGTGTCGAATTGCCGATGGCGACAATGAAAGGACATTACTCCGGCTCACTCTTCACGGTGTTTCATTAGTGGAATCTTTCCATCTTACCGTCAGGCCCGCAGATTGGGACACATTGCTCTCCGTCTACCAGAAATCCGAGCAAGGTTTCAATGACTTGATCCATCTCATACAGGAGACAAGGCCAGCGAACAAGCCCCCCGCTTCGGATACATCTGCGCGGAAAATATCAAGCTCAGCGGTTCCTTCCGGATGAAGGGGTTCCGTATTGGTGTCGAGGGCCATTCTTCCACTGTGTTCCTGGAATGCGATGATATCAGTGGCAGCATGGAGAATCAGGACGACTTGGGCTGGCAAATTCGACTGTCAGACTTATCTTTATCGCTGGCTTCGAGATCGAGCTCCCGGTCAGCATTGGATCGTGGTCACCGCTCAGCCTTCGTCACAATTGATTTCGAAGTCAACATGACGGGTGTTGCACTCTCCAGTAAACATACCCTAGAAATGACCGCGACCAAATTCCACGCCGTGATGCAGCCGACTTCCGTCGGGGAACTGAGTGACTTCGTCGATCACTTGCAGGTGTGCTCCTCTGGTCATACGCCATTCCGTTCAAAAGCTAACAATCCGAACAGGCTGAAGTCCTGGTGCGACAAGCGGATCGTGCGAACGAGTTGGCTCAATTCAAGGAGAAAACAAAGAATATCATGAAATCATTCGACGTGAAGTCGGGAGACGCGAACAATCTGCAGACATCTTGGCTAGAACAGTACAACTTATACCTGACTATGCGGCATATTGGAGTCGCATTTCCTCTGGCAGTGTTTCCTGATCTTCAGATGTCCCGCACTGGTAGTCGAGATGATGCAACCGCTGTTCGTGCATTTCTGTTCTCCGTCAAGTCCTTGGCCTTTGGTGCGGAGCGTGGGGAAAGTGGGCAGGCGACTGTGAAGGGGTTCTCATTCCAGTTCATCTCGAGGTGCGTCTGCTGGGATGGCAAACGAATTCAGCTCATCAGTCTCCCCATTCAGGTTCCGGCAGTCTGTTGCTGCAGACTTCGGAGGCGACAGCCATTACACGCAGAACAGAATGCTCTATCCGGAAATGACCGCCCAGGTGCGGTCCGAGCGAACCGCTGGGGCGCGTCGCGTACGCATCGCTGCGAACGTCGATGGCTTCATACTCGACCTCGATCCTTCGATCCCCCATTACGTCTTCTCCTTAGTGGACGTCTATCGTCAAGGGCGAGAGCGAATGGACCAACTCGCTAGTAACATTACTTGGTCCGGTGATAAGGCAAACGCGGACAAGCAGGCCACTCCAACGACCGAAGGCACTCGTAATGACTCTCTTCCTAGCTCCAACATGCTTTCGTCGATCAAGTTTGCCAGTGGAAAAGTCCGCATGCACAGCACCTCGTTGAACGAGACCTCTGTCAGAGGTCGTACAGTCTCTGGCCTCGCTGATCGATTGGATGAGTACGGCCCGGAGATAGGCGTGGAAACTTTTGACTTACCCGTCGTCACGGTCTGGGGGGAGTATCGAGCAGGTACCGCGCCGAGGAGAATGTGCTCTAACAAGCAGAGGGTTGTTCCATCCATCCTCATGTTTAAGGCCACTATCCATTCGAGCCAAAACACGCTACGTCCCACACTGCTTCCCTTCGTGACCAAGATTGTATCCCACGTCGAAACACGCCTACGACAATCCAGTCGGCCCCTTTCTCAATTCCCTCCCACCGCCGTCCAGCACGTGGTTCTCGAATCGCCTGTCGGCGCAGAGAAGATCCTTGACCCCTGGATCCGGTCCCCGGACTCAAGATCAGTCTCTGCTTGCGCATTGACCAGTCTAGACTGGAGCTCAGCTGTCAACCTGACGTCAACGTCCTCGCGGGGCTTCACTGGGACAGTGGCGGCTTCATTGTGAACATCTCTCCTGGTTTCCGCCGCGTCAGTTTCACGGGAAGTGTCGCCGGGCTCACAGTTGGGCTGAAACACGGCTTCCTCAGCGAGGACTGTGTCAGGTTGGATGCCCGGAACCTGGCCTTCAATGTAACTTTCGCCAAGACGGTTGTAGACTGTGACAAAGTCATCAGTTCCATATCCGTGGTAGTTGACACCGAATTCTCTGGTGCGGTGCGGTTCTCCAGACTACAAGACGTGCTTTGCTTCAAGGCCGTATGGCTAGACCGTATTCCCGTCCTCAGTGGACCTGTTGCAACTCCAGCAACTCCTCAACCACATACAGCACATACCGCATCACGTTCCCCAGCAGCCAGTCAAGAACTTACCACAGCCATACTGCTTCGCTTCCGCAGTGTCAATTTGGATGCAGACCTCGGACAATCCATCAGCTATGTCAAACTCCGCATCGATAATATGCTCATTCGCAGCAAACTTAGCGACGACGTATCGGAGCTGACACTAGCGATAGCTCAGTTCGCAGTGTTGGCTTCTGGAAACGTTTCTGGACAAGCTACGGTGCCGAACTTCGAGTTCCACACCATTCGTCACGGAGAGGGCAAGAACGGAGGACTCTGGGTGGTCGGATGCTTGACCTCACGATGCGAAGTGGCGTATTCAATGTGGATTTGGAAAGCGAATATCAGAAACTGATACAGTACAGGTGTGCAGAGAATCCGCTCCATGGTCTGTGCCTCCACTGACGATTTCACAGAGCTGAACCCGTGGAGGTCAAGATCTTCGACGACTGGTCGATGATTACTGATCAAGTACCTTCGGGGCAGAGACATGTCGATGTGGCATTCACAGTGTCTGGAACAGAAGTGATCATCGTTATGAACGTCGGGACGATCCCGAAGCTGGTGTCGTACGCAGACAAGTTCAAGCTCACTCTCGATAACCAGCGAGAAGGCGCAAGCAAGGAGTCCAAGGCGTTCAGGATTGCCAGTTCGCCGAGGCCCGACAACCCGCTATCGGCTGTTGCTAATGCCATGTTGAAGTCCACGCGAAGCCGCCTGAGGGAGGAGACAGGTGTCAACTACAAGATCAGACAACGGATGAGCCTCAGGCTGGATGTCCTGCGTTTGGTCGTCTTTCCGCGTTCCATGCGCGATTCCGAGTTGGCTCAATTCATAGGCCGCGACGTCCATGCGCGGCTCGATCGTATGGTCGAGATCACTGCCTTACCTGCAAACGGAATCTAGAATTGTCTTTCTCTTCCATTTCGACATCTCGAGTCAGCCAGCTGAACCACGCCTTGCTTGCTAAGGAGACCGTGGACGATAGCAAGAAATGGCTCTCGGCACTCATGAAGGACGCTCCGGAGGCTACGATATTCGGGCTGCCCTCTATGGACATGCGCATGAGCAGCGAAGAGGATATCATAGACGACAGGCGGACCCTCGTTTACGACTTCAGCAGCAGATTCACGGTGAAGGAAGGAGCAAGAAATCGCGAAGACATCTACATCACCCTCAACATGTCGCTGTACACATGGCTGACATCGCTTCGCAAAGCGTTCACAAGGGAGATGCAGCAGGTGCAAGCCTCTGGGGACGCTCGCGGAGGCCCAGTCGCGATCGTACAACAAGCTGCATCTTCTCGCAAACGGGCCGCTGAGTCTGCTGTAGCCGCCATGCGCGCAGACAAGGAAGTCGACGAACAAATAGCTGGGCAAGAACGACCGCACTTGGGCCGTGCTGCCACTTTGGCTATAAGCCCTAGCAGAGCGGCTACTTCGCCTGTTTCACCGAACTTTTCGATTCCTAGCCCCGCTTCTCTGCGCCTCACTTCGCCGACCAGCCACGGGTTTGACCCTGCGTCCCTAGCAATGCCTCCGACTCCGGGCAAACTCGGTCTCAAATACGAACCCCGAGAGCGTCACATCGAACGTCTCACGATGAGACAGCTTGGAGAGGCCACCCCAGACGTCATGCATCCCTTCTTCATGAAGAAAGCCGGGTTCAGTCTCGAGGACTCCTTGCCGCAATACGTTCACGAGTATGCCACAATGCCGACGGAGGAAATCATGAAGCATTGCTGAAGCTGTACAGCAAGCAGCTGACCTCCAATCAGAAGGACGAACCTGTCGTATCTGTTTGATCATCATGGACGGACGTACCATATCGCGCAGTTTAATGTTTAACATTATTTCATTATCTTCCGCAGACATTCTTCCTAATATCAAGATGTTGGCTTCATTGTAGACGGGCATGCCTATTTATCTCGATGAACCGGCCCCACCCACTTTGAATACACTAAGCAAAGCGAAACAACCATACAAGAGTCCTACAGGGTATGCTACGAGGAAACGCTGGTCTGACATGCGCAGCACGGCGACGAATATTCCGACGCAGCGTAGGTGCACCATAGAATTGACAACACGGAGAGCACATAACCTAGCGATCCGCTGCGGACAACCTTTGTGAGACATTCGGCACACGGACTTTGCGGGGACTTACTCAAGTGTCAGGATCACGCTTAACGCGGACACACCGACCATGGGTAATAAGCAGTATCCTAGGACGGACACAACTCGATATGCGTCTATGCCACTCTCAGACATCAGGTTGAGAAGCGTGTAGATGGACGCAGAACCCATGAGGCCGACACCGTAGATATAGCCGAACTGCGGCTTGCCGGACTGAACGAGAGAAATGAGACGTGGGCAATCTTCCGGTGATGCGATGACACTCACGAAAAGCAGGAATGTGCCAAAGCAGAAAAGAAGAGTAGAGGTCCCGCGAGGTCAGCATCGTCCATGATGCGTTCATCCACGCGACTGAGCGGATTCAGGACGGTCAAAGTTTTGGCGCGGATGTGAGCAAAGTTAAACCCAAGCTCTGAAGAGTATTCTCTGGTCAAATTTATGAATGCTAAGGGGACGACCCTCTCACCTTCCAGCAGCGGTGGCTCTCCCTCGAAGCCACCCGTTCCAAACGCCGTCCACCAACCACCAACAGGTTGAATGTTGCCGCCGTACCCTGGCGGCACTCCTTGCGAGTTGATAGATCCTTGCGCGCCGACATTGCCGTCGAGACTTGGGCGTGAGCCACTGTAGAAAGTACTGCTCACAGGACTCGGCGCGTAGAATTGGAGTGGGACTCCCTGTACGGGAGGTGCGCCTGCGTAGTACTGGTTTTGGACGAAGATGCACCATACGCGTTATTGCTGTCCTGCCACATGCAGCTTGGAGAAGGTGTGTAGGAGGCGTACAGAGCAGTGGTGGAACAAGACGGTTGCGCGAGGGACGTGTCCGGAGTACGTGTCTGAGTGCAGCTATGGGCGTCTAATGAACAGAGCATGATGCCCGATCCGGCAGCTCGCATTTTAACTTCTCACCACTTCGACCATGGTGCGTCCCTATCTTCCAGTCTCGGTTCTGCACGCTAACGTCGCCCAATTTCTGCGCTATCTAGCCTCAGGTGCGTTTCTGGGCTCAAACATGGATTCCGGAGTATGCTCAGTTGTTTTCATAGAACGAGTACATCGAGGAGCACATCAAACGGCATGGCAGGCGGTTGACTACTACGAACGAAAGTGCGCACGAACATTTTCATATGAGGGAGGACTCACTCATCTTGATTTCTCCACAGGCGCAAACGTGAGGCTCGCGCTGTCCACCGGGCTTCTGCAACAGCACAAAAGGCCTTTGGTTTGAAGGCAAGTGCTGCACGCAAAACGGCATGCCGAGAAGGTCCAGCTCAAGAAGACGCTCAAGGCTCACGACGAACGCAATGTAAAACAGAAGGACTCCTCCTCTGCACCGGACGGTGCACTTCCTACGTACCTGCTCGACCGTGAAGGCCAGAAGGACGCAAAGCGTTGTCAACCGCTATCAAGGAGAAGCGGAAAGACAAGGCAGCAAAATATGCTGTCCCTCTGCCGAAAGTGCGTGGGATTGCGGAGGATGAGATGTTCAAGGTTATGCGGACTGGAAAGAGCAAGAAGAAGGCATGGAAACGGATGGTGACGAAGGCGACATTTGTCGGGAGGGGTTCACGCGGAAGCCGGTCAAGATGGAAGGTTCATCCGACCAATGGCTCTGCGGTACAAGAAAGCAAATGTTACACATCGTGTGTCATGGATTCGCTTCCTGCTGAACTGGCTTCGTTGACACTGTTTGCAGCTGACCTCAAGGCGACGTTCCAACTACAGATACTGGCGTCAAGAAGAACCCGCAGTCTCCGATGTATACTCAGTTGGGCGTACTCACGAAGGGTACAGTTGTCGAAGTCAATGTCTCAGAGTGGGCATGGTCACCGCCGGTGGCAAGGTGTCTTTGGAAAGTATGCTCAGATCACAAATAACCCCGAGAACGATGGATGTATCAATGCTGTACTCCGTACGTCTTACAATCACGCTTTCTGCACTGCCCACTTATACTTCATCACAGTTGTATGATGTCCTCACTCCTCACTCGACTCGTCGCTGTATCTTACCCCACATCACATATTTTCTGCATCACCTGTTCTCGCACTCCTGCATGTTCACTTTATGTAGCTACCATGTCGTCATGCTATGTTATATGTTTGCTTGACCATTCAAACGACCAGTGCTCCGGGCTTCACAGACTAAACATATTAGACTGACTCTCATCAAGATCTCAGCACATCCGTCCGGATTTGACGGAAGTTGTATCTTCACGAGTACGTTGCACGTTTCTTGCGATCTGCTTAGCATTTAATGGGGAACACAGCACACCCGCCGGACACCTGCATGTCCTCTACGCGTGGTCACTACTAAACATCAGATTCTCCCCGGCGGCAAGTTCATGACCAACATGGTAATACGAACACACGACAGCACACGCCGCTATACTACGCTGATCTTACGTGCGCTGCTAGCAAGCAAACTCATTCCCATGTTGAATAACCGCGAGAGCAGAGAACATTCAAATAGGCCCGTTTCCCTGTGAAGTGCAGCTTGCCAAGAGATTTAATGCTTGTTCGTTCCGTGCCTACATCCCCTTATGGACAGTGCGAACTGAGGTGTTGACTTTCTACCCGTGTGTCCTATGCTGATACCGTTCTCAGCCTTGTTGTATGTCACTTCCTGGTGCACTGTTATATGCAATCATACGCGACGGGCCAGCAAGCGATACGTATAGCCCGAAAGGCTTTCCTGGCCCGCACAGCTGGTCATTCAATATCTACTATCTCTCTACTGCCGTTTACAGACCGTGTATGCTCACGGGAAGTCATCCAATGTCCGCTGTCGTGACTGTCAACCACATCAGAAGCGTAGCGGACTGTCAATGGAGTCATGTGGCCGAAATTAACTGCTGCCAATTGAAGCATGTGCAAGCTGTCCGTAGGGATACACTGGCAAGTACAGGGGATGAGCGAGCCCTTCGTCGTCACTTCATCCCCTGGACCAGCTTGTGCAACCGCCACATCAAGCTGAACAGGATGTCGCGTCAGAAGTGCGGTTTGTTCCTGACCCGACTGGCGTAGAAAGCCGTCTGCCTCTCCAGTCTGTGTCGGCTCGCGTTCACATAGTAGACGGTAGGACTTCAATGTTCCTTCCTCCACTTACTGACCGTGATGTCCAACATAGTGCTGGCCATGGTGACTTTGACACAGTCCTTCATATACCCGGACCATATTGCTACTATCCTACAGGCGCGAAGTACGTCTTCCCGATACCGGTCGGTGGCGCAGTGTGTGCTTTCGAGCTGCGCATTTCAGATGGTCGGGTAGTCTCGGGCAGAGTGAAGGAGGCTCGTCAAGCGCGCATGATTTCGATGTAGCCGTTGCTGAAAACAAGTTGGCTGGACGACTTGACAAAGAGGCCTCAGATGGTAGAACACTTCCTCTCATCCGAGTTGCTTTCCGATGGCTCACCCGTTCGTACAGTCTTCGTCATGCACGTTGGTTCAATCAAGCCAGGGCAATCTGTCAAAGTCATCATCTCGGTACGTGAAAACTGGTCGTGTTCACATTATCACTGATCACGTTCTGTTCAGTATGCCATGGAACTAGCTGATGATGAATTGCTGAATCAAGTTCGATTCTCCTTGCCGACGTATATTGGTGAACGCTACGGGACGCCACCTGGACGCCTTTCGGGATCATCGACCACTGCCTGGGCGACCTTCTCAGTATCCGTTGACATCCGCATGACATCTGTGATAGAGAACGTTGTCTCTCCATCTCATGGCATCGGCGTGGCATACGACGAAGAGCGGACGCGCTGTAGCGTGGTGTTAAACGAGTCGTCGCCCTGTTTTCTTGGCAGGGAATTCATTCTGTCTATACAGGCAGGTAAAATCGATGTACCCCGCTGCGTCGCAGAAGTCCTACCGGAGAAGCGTTCTGTCGCCCTGTCGTTGACGCTCGTCCCTCGCTTTGGCGTCAGACCCATAGAAAAGCAAGAATACATCTTCGTCATCGATAGGAGCGGGAGTATGGTGGACGGACGCAGAATGGACTACGCCAGAATGCATTGTTGCTTATGATCAAATCTCTCCCCTCGGACGGAACGTTCTTCAACGTTGTAAGCTTTGGCAGCACTCATTCGTCTCTTTGGAGGGGAAGCCAGACATATACGTCTCGTAGTGTTCATGAAGCTGTAAGTTTTTGCTGCCTCGCCTAGCATATCTCATGTGGACTGTCTACAACTGTCAGGTTACGCATGTCGACGCTATGACTGCCGACATGGGAGGCACTAACCTCCTACCAACCATTGAATACGTGCTTCGCAAGCGTCAGGTGGCATATTCCGATGTTCAATAAACACGCCCGAAATCCGTGTTCGTCATAACAGATGGAGAGGTAACTAGTTCAATCTTGCTGTAGGCTGCATCTGACAGCTTCATAAGATCTGGCAACACGATGATCTGTTCCGGACCATCCGGAGAGCGGTGGCTGCTGCTGGCTCTCCATCCGGAGGCAAATATCTGCGTTTCTTCGCATTGGGGATAGGGCATGGGGCGTCGACCGCGCTCTGCACAGGTATCGCAAGGGCGGGAAACGGTCTCTGTCTCATGACGACTCAAAGCGAAGACCTCGCAGGAAAGTGTGCGCGGCTCCTCCGAGCCAGCCAGGTGCCGCCTTCCGGGAATTTGCGCAACGTCCGAGTAGATTGGGGCTACAGCTGTGCAGACCCAGAACCTCGCAGCGGTGACAAGCCCGAGCACACGGGAAAGCAGAAGGCGAAGAAAGAGCCCACAGCCTGTACCAGCATCTACGACGAGACTGTGGACTTGCGACTGGGCGTAGACGTTGACTTCAGTCCCCCTCGACGCCGAACGTCCAGCAAGCGCCGCATGCCGTCCCTGACTTTTATCCTGGCAATCGCTTCATCGTCTCAGCCATCCTCTCGCACACGACGCATATCCCTGATCGAGTCCTACTACGGGGGGAAACACCTAACGGCGAAGCCATGACACTCGAGGTTGATGTACAGCGAGCGGATATCCAACCATCCCTGCCGCCTCTCGTTCATGCTCTCGCGGTACATCGACTCGTCCAAGAGCTCGAAGATGGGTCCCTCGAGTCGCAAGGCGCCCACGGGTTGCTCGACACAAGGGTCCGTGACGCAGCCACCAGAGCTGCCGTGATTGGTACAGTGAAGAGTTCCAAATAGCAAGCAAGTTCGCGTCCTTCGTAGCTGTGGAACGAGAAGAGCCTGTCGACGCCGACGACGTCACCGTTGTCGGTGATTTCGATGCAGAGCTGGAGTGGGGCAAGGATTTGTTCGACGATCTGACCACGCCGATGAACGGAGCCTATGATAAAACAGGTGAGAATACAGCATGTCATATGCATCAAAAAAAGGGCACGGACTCATCCAGCATCGGGAGCAGTCTCCGACGTTGGGTGGAGACCCAGACGTCTCGCGCCAACCAACGAACCTAGTCGAACACGAGACATGGGCGTATCGCATGGAGAATATTCCATGTCAGCAGACCTTTCCAGGCAACGGACACGGCGTTTTTCTCAACCAGTATCGTTCAGCCCGAGCTATCATGTTCCCTCGTCACTACCGAGAGGTCCTGCACCTGCTATAAGCGGACTTGAATCGTATCAAGAGGAAGACCCTGACGACACTCCAGGTCAGGAAGAGTACGCTGCCAGAGGCCCCTCGATGGCCAGAACCGCAGCCCGAAGAGGTGCATGACGAATTAGACGATGTCGACTTTCTCAGAGAAATCATGAGACACCGGGACGCCTCGAAGGGGCCAGGTCCGTTCGATTCGGGGATAAACAAGATCTTGCAACACGCACGACGGTCGTCGATGCCAGCGCCTTCACTATCTGCTGAACATCGTCCACCGAATGTTATGCCCAACAACGACCCCATCACGGATATTGCGAGGCTCCAAAGGTTTGACGGCTCGTTCGAGCTCGACAACGCCTTATGCAGCATCATTTCCCCGGACAAGCTATCCCTGGACGGCTTGAGGGCGACCATTCCCATCTACATTCAGGCTCATCCCAGAGGTCCGCAGATGTGGGCGACAGTCCTAGCGATGGCGTACCTGCGAGCGAAGGTCGGGAACAAAGCAAATATCTGGGGAGGGCTCTGGCAGAAGGGGAAGAATTACGTGGATAAGTGCCTGCATGGAGGGACCGTCAACTTTGAACAACTTGTGACGGACGCTGGTCAAATAACATCGTAGCTATGTGCCATTATTAGCAGGAATATTACATACAATGACTGCACCATGATGCCTCAGTACGAACCTTGTAATTGGTAAGTTATCAGGCAAGTAATATGTTCACGCTACCACGTCCTGAGACCTAGGGACCAAGCCACGGTGGGAGCCGGCGGGTTTATTGTTGTCGTAGGAGAGGGAAAAGCCTGAAGTACATATCAGCGCCAACTTATGTAACGTTTAACCTTCAAGCGATCACGATGCACACCGCGACGTCCCCCGTACTACACGAAGTATTGAATTAACTGACAGAGATCGACTCACATGAGCAGGTAAGCTTCACGATTTCAGCCGAGGCGTACAGAGGCAGCAAGATCCAGTGTACGCAGACGAACGGGCACCACGAGTCTGGTCCGCGACGAACCTCAGCCTCCTAATCAAGCTTCATATGGCGCCTGTCGCGACTCGCCACAGGCGCGTTCAAGTCACGGGCGTCTCATAGGCATTCATCTGCCTTCCACAATGTCGGCTTCACCCCCTCCAACAACACAGACCACCGGCACCAGCACCAGCCGCCATGCGCTCAACGCCGTTGACAAGCAGCGTGCCCAGCTCGAAAGGCTCCTCAAAGACCCCAGCAAGCCAGCTTATGTACCGCCTCCGCCAAAGGAGAAGTCCATCCGGCCAGCGCGGGAGATGATGAAGAACGTGCAAGGGTCAAGTGCGGGAGCGGGCAGCGGAGAGTTCCACGTCTATAAGGCTAGCAGACGGCGAGAGTACGAGAGGTTGAAGATGATGGACGAGACGGCGGAGAAGGTGCGCCTGCCTTCGCCACACCATCCACTTGATATGCTTAACGATGTGTTTGCCAGGAAGCCGAGACGTTGGAATTTGAGCGCAAACAGAGAGAGCGAGAAGAGCAGGCGGAGGCGAAGACGGCTAAGAACCGGACAAAGAGGCAGAAGAAAAAGGAGCGCGCAAAGGGCAAGGGCGCGGAGAAGGACTCAGGAGTCGGTGCAGGGGGTTCCGCAGACGTTACAGACGTACCCTTGAAAAGCGACGGCTCATCAGCGGGAAGGAGCTTATCTTCCGACGACCGGGCGAAGAGAGCGATGAGGATGAGGACGTCGGGCCCGTGCCTGCGCAGTCGATTGCGGACGCCGAGGACGATCTCACCGCAGATGCAACTCGTGCACCGGTGATAGACGCACCACGGATCACCATACACGAAGAGGATTCTCTATGATGTTTGCGAGCGTTGTTTTTGAGTACCCACTGGGCTGGTGAGCACGTTTGTCCCATTTGTATCCCTTGATCATAAACTGACGTTCAATCCTTCAGAGACCTTGATGTATGGTCCCTGTATTAGTGGTCCGTTCTTTCCTGACCGGTCTCTCCGCTTGCACTCTTCCAACCAGGCTTAGGCCGTCCCAATGTTCGGTGACATTGACTCCGGCACCGTTCATCTATTGGGCGGAGCGTTTGCGCTTTTTATTCAGCGCTCCAGATATGATGGCCTGACTCGTCCGAGGATGGGGGCCATGGAGGCATGGGTGTCCCACGGCAAAAGTTGAGAGCAGCGCCGGCTCGCCCGGCCTGTCTGAGCAGCGCCAGGAGGAAAGCCGAAGTGTCTCGTGCGTAATTCACTACTACGAGTCCCCGGTTCCCTGTAAAACCACGGCATGCTTCAGTCGTCAGAGAGGCGTTCCATCCAGCTCCGGAAATAAACGCTGTTCTCGCGATCGCACTTCCGTCAAAACGCCAACTGGGTTCATCACGGTCAACCGAGACATTGTAAGTATCTGCCTGTGTTTGACGTTGGTCCGAATCCGTAAACAAGCTTGAGCTGGGGTTGCCTCTGTGATTCTCAACGTACATATAGATACAGTTCCATGCGCGATACTGCAGCCTGTCACTTGTGGCTGTAGCGGCAACTTCGTTGCGCCGACGCCTCACTTCCACCTATTCGCCTGGTTCCCCTTCTCCAAGTATTTCCACCTCAAATGCTCCTTCACACCCTCCGCCTTCCACGCATTCGCCTCCTCCGGCAGCCACCTCACCCGCCCCTCACCCACACCCTTCACATCCGCATCCAAGCTCCCATCATGGGCCAGGATCACCCACACGTCCGGCCTCGCATCGAGCGCACGGACGACCTCGAGGGTATCGCGCGCCCTATCCCAGTCATGGTGAACAGCAACAGCGCGGTCCGCGGGCGCGAGGAAAGGCGTGTCGCGAGCGCAGGCACGCAAGGCCGCGGGGACGAGTGGCTCGAGCGCTGCGGGAAGAGGGACGTGGAGCGAGGGCCGGAGCATCGCGGGGTGGTGTGCGGCGTCGCCCGCCATGAGGATCCAGCTCGCAGACGGCGAGGGCGTCGTGCGGGCCAGGCCGAGCATATGACCGACGCAGTGCTGTGGGGTGATGTATTAGCTTTTCACGGCACTCGAGTGGATTATGCGCGAGACTCGGAGACGCACCCCGGGCGCCTCGAGGAGGTAGAAGCTCCCGTCGCCGAAGTAGTCGTAACCCTTCAGGCCGGCAACAATGGGTGCGTCGTCGGCGAAGGGGATCTCAATGACGTCACGTCCGAGGAAGTCGGATTCTGGGAGCATAGCCTCTGGGTTGAGAGGATAGCCAGGGCGGTTGGCGGCCTAGCGGAATGATTGGTATTAGTGAGGCGGGCGCGTAGGTGTTTGATGGGTGGAGCTATGATGAGAGTATAGATGAATCACCTGGGTGCCAGCACCTACGACGAGCGCAGTTGTTGGAGGGAAGGTAGACGGATTGCCGACGTGGTCAATGTGAGAGTGACTGGAAGCGATGTAATTAGTCTACCCCATGAATGAAGGCCGGAGAAAGAGCGTAGCGGTGGTACAGCAGGGTGGCAGATACTTGCCTCCAGATGACAGCATTGATATGCTCTAGGTCGATCCCATGCTTGACGAGGGTCTCTGCGACATCCGAGTCAGGACCGTATTCGGCCTGCATCTTGCCACTCGCGAGGGTGTCCTGCCACGTCTTGGAGGCGGTAGAGACATCCTTACGGACGCCAAGGTCAAACACAAGTTTCTTGCCTGCGTGAAAACGATATGAAGTACAGATGTGCACGCTACACAGGGACATACGTACCGCTAGGATGTTCGATGAGGAATGATTTTGCCGGACCGGTGAGCCTAGTGGACGATTCGTCTGCGAGGGAGCCTGTACGAGTAAATGGGCTCATGTGAATACATGCAAGAGATAAGTAGCCTTTGTTGAGAGTACGCACCGGGCGCAGCAGAGAAGAAGATCGCTGAGGGGGCCGAGAGAGAGTTGATAGCGTTGAAGACCTTGACAGAGACCGTAGCGGTCGAGGTCGGGAAGGTGAGCGAAGACGGCGTGACGGAAACAGACATCTTAGGCTCTGTGGACATCAGTGAATGGTGTTACTGCAGTGACTCGACGCAGCGAGGATGTAACCTATATAGCCCTTCGCTGCCCTCCCCGACTCACTCCGAAGGTTTGCCGGACGTGGGCCGCAGAAGATGACTGATTGCTGCTCATTGCTGCCTAAGCTGCAAAACAAAGTTTGATATGTCTGACAGTAGCACTGCGGCGTGAGCGCGCTCTGCGAAGATGTATGTACTCATGGGTACTAGTGGGAGACCTGTTCCGAGTCTTCGCGAGTCGCGAGTCGCGACCCGCGCGTCTGGCACACTACTGACGCGTCGTGATCACGTGGGGACGCGTTCCTTGATAGAGTGATCCCGATCGTCAATCGCTCCCGTCACGGCGGACGGCCAATCTGTTCAACGTTCAACGATCCACAATAATGCCAATATTCACGAATACCGTGCGCGACGGCCTGCCACCAAGTCAACGATCCGCAGTGCCATTGCAATCCCCACTCACAGACGATACCGCTCACTCTAGCGCCCTCGCTTCCTCGCTGACCTTGCCAATGGGGCGACCCAGCGGCTTTCGACGGTCGGGCAAAGAAAGCGGATGACTCACAGCGGTGCACCGTCCTCGACCATGTGCCGAACGAGTGCGAGGGGCTGCTGCTCGAGGATGGCTTCGACGAGGGCCTGGCCGAACGCGACGAGCGCGTCGACCTCGTCGTTGCCCGAACCGTAGTCAGACATCCCGGGAAAGGCGAGAGGGCCGCCGTGGAAAGTTTGGACTGTGCGAGGAAGTAAACAGTTGCTGGCGGACGGCGTCGATCGTCAATCGGGATCATCCCCGTCAAGGGATGCGTCCCACGTGACCGCCTAATGCGTCTTCGACAGAAAGTCCGATCCACGGGGACGGGCGTTTCCGAAACGCGCAACGCGCAACGCGAAACGTCACGAAGTGTTACCAACTGTGACCCGTTACGCACCTTTTGTGGCCCGAGTACCAAGAATAGCAAGCTGAGTAAGCCGCTTCATTCCATTCATTCGGCTTATATGCTGCTTCAAAGCCTCAGTAAGTATTTTGGCTTTGCTACTAGCAGTAGTTGAGTCTGTATTAGTGGGTGGTTGATTTCTCACAGTGTTTCCGAGCGCGCGGGCGCCCTGCAACGGTGCAACCCGATTTGGAAAGCTCTTCCAAATCAGGCAATAAGCGCCTCACTTCGCGCGCCCCTCGCTACATCTGAATGAGTTGATACTTAAATCCAAATCTTCCTCAACTACTTGCTTGCTGCTTGGGAAAATCACTGTAATGAAAGATTTAAAAGGGTTACTCGCAATATACTTGTATTTTCTAGGAGCAACCCTTGGCTGACCGAGCGACACAAGTGGCCCGATGCCCCTGTAGGTGCTTTGTCAGTTACCGTATTCAGTAAGTAACACTGTGACGGACGTTTCGCAGAGGCGTTTCGCAGGGGCGTTTCGCAAACGCGTTGCGCAACGCCTCTCCCAGTCGATCGGACGTTCTCGTCTTCGACCAGGCGTCGACTGCCAGTGCTAGTGAGGGCTCTATGACTCAGTCCTCCTCGGCTCTGCTACGCGCGCGTCGCGACTATCCAAGGGACAGGCCCCGTGAATAACGAGAAGAAAGGAATAGCCCAATCCCAGTCAAGACAGATCTCGGCCCCACTGCGGACGGTATCGCTGGTATGCCTGGTTTTGTTCTTTCGGGGTTCGTCCGAACATTTGGTACTCAGGTTCGGAGGCGAAAACAGTCCGCTCATCAGTGATCAGTGCCCTCACGTGCACCGGTTTCGCTCCTTGTGCAAGAAATTGCTCTACGTGGTTACGCATCTACCACATTCACCACATCGTAAGCACCGTTGCCGTATAGCTTCACAATCTGACGGGTAATTTTTTCGACCACTGATAGGCATCGGACACCACTTTTCAAGCGAGGGTTTTCGATTGCTTGAAATCGATTGGACGCCTATGTCGCTCTCTAGCACGAAGAGAAGGAGGAGCTTCAATACAGACTCAGATGACTCGGACTCAGACGAAGACGTGCTATCTGGTGAGCATCACCTCCACTACTCACCCCCCATCCATCACGATGGCAGACCCGACGATTTTGGACGCCAACAAACTCACACCTCACTATGCGTCGGTTGGTGGTGCTAATACGCTTGCAGCCAACAGCTCGGCTCAGCATGAGCTCCTTAAACCGGAGCTTCTGGGACACGTCAAGTACGACGACCCTTCTGTCTTCAGGCGTCTTCGAATTTATGATGAAGCCGACGCCGACATCGATCACTGCCACGAGAAGTACCAAGAGGTACAGGGGCAGCACCTCCGTAGGCTCCGCCAAATCGCGGGGGAGCTACGCAAGGCTGTAGACAAGGAGGGCAACATACATTACCAGTCAGTCGAGAAAACGCCGAAGAAGATAGAGCACGAGCACGAGAAGATGATGTACGATCCATTGGTGGGTGACAACTCCGAAACCCCAGTGATTGCTGTTAACCACCGCTATCGTTCCATTTCCAGACCGCCATCTTCACATTCTTGCAGAAATTTGGAAACGACAATGTCGGCGCGCTGCGCGAATTCAAGTTCGCTGCCGATACCGCCGTGCTCTTACCCCCGAGCCGTTCCGCCGAGGCCTATACTCCAAGTGTCGCTAAATTCCGCCCCGATTTCAACCTGCTCGATAAGACTGCAGATGGTCCTTTCTGGGATACCTGTGCTGGATTCGCCGAGATCAAGGTCAAAGAGGAGGAGAACAGTCTTCCCCACACTGAATCGTCGATAAAGCCAGCGATCCTCCAGTGTGCGGATTACGCGCGATACCATATGGCCTTTCGGCCGTTCTGGATCTTCAGTGTCACACTTCTCATCACGGGCACAGTCTTCCGGGTCATGATCGTGGACCGCGATGGCGTCGTTCTCTCCCCCCTTCACAGCATCTACGACGACAACAAGAGCCGCGATCCCGAGCGTCAGCCCGACGCAAAGACCTTCGTCCGTGTTGTCCGCGCACTCACGCGGCGCCTGACGGACTATCAACTGGGGCAAGATCCGTCTGTGACGCCAGTGACTCGCGACGAGCTTAGTGGATACTTGCAGGAGTCCTCTATCCCTGCTTCCGTCGAATCCGTTATTCACCTTGAGGGCGGAGACTACTACCCGTCCTACCGCATCAGCCGCTTCGGTAACGATTGTGGAACGTGGTGTACGGTCGGGCCACCGATCTGGGTCTCCCTGTCGCTCCTCGGACGGGGCACGGAGGTGTGGCGTGTGGTCGAGCTCTACCAGTCGGGGGGAAAGTGGGTTCTGACGGGCGACATTCACATATTGAAGTCCGCCTGGCGCAACCCTCTGAAGTTGGCCGAGACGGATGTGTATAATGTGATAGCGGGGCTCAAGCGCGAGGCTGATGACGCGGATGAGAGGACGAAGTCCGCGTCCGGAGCCGCTGAGCAGGACAAGAAGCCCACGTTCCCTGCGGGTATCGCGACGCATCGGTGTGGCAGCGATGTGTTCTACTACGAGGATCCTCGGACGTGGTCGAAGATCACCACTGCGCACCTCCGAGGTGACGTCGACGATCCGAACCGTCCTTCCAAGGCTCTCCATCGCATCATACTCTCGATGGTCGGACAACCTCTGTGGAAGTACACTGATGAGCTCCAGCTGCTCAACGCGTTTTACGCAATCGTCGAAGGTGTGTGCTCACGTCACATGTACAGACCGTCTCCGTCAGCTCACGATGCTTCAGCGCACCAGTATCTATGCGAGAAGGGAATTCTTCACCGCGACATCAGCGCTGGCAATATGCTACTCTGGCCGGGTGGCGCTGCTGCGGGCTTTCTCTACGACTTCGACATGGCCGACGTCGTACGTTCGTTGGCTGATCACCTCATCACCCAGGAAGCTGTTGATCCTGTCCGGAGAAGTGGCAATTCCAGGAGTGGCAATCTCGTGATGACCCAGGGGAGCGTTCGATCAAGGGTTGATTATACGACATCGAGACAACAAGGAGTGCCTGTGACGGTGAGTGATTAAGTGATTCGTCTCTTCCTGTTGTACTGACGGCAGGTGCTTCTAGGGGACACTTCAGTTCATGGCTTTGGAACTGCTTCAAGCTGTTCATGCTGGAATTCCAATGCCGCATCACTCTGCACACGATCTTGAGTCGATTGCGTATGTCCTGGGCTACACAGTCTTGCGGCGTCTTGTCACTACTCCGGGTTGTCCAGAAAGCCTCGACAAGGTCTTCGACACTCATTTTGGTGGCATGACAGTTGAAGCCATAATCTATGAACGAGCTAATGGACCACAGCCACTCTCCTGGGCTTATCGTCACAAAGATGATCAGATCAAACAATTTGCCCTAGAGCATATGTCATATGCTCTTAACACACTGTTCAGGTCACTGCGAAGAAAGCTGGCAAGATTCTATACAGCTCAGGAAGACAGTCAAGAAGATCAGTACGTTTCCATGTCCTTGTCTGAGTATAATGCAAGTTGCTTGTCACTTACATTCATTACTTGCCATATTGCTAACCGTTTGTTAGGTCCATGAGGATGATCAACATGATGAGGAGCGCATAACTCATGCATTCTTCTTGAAGTTGTTGAAAGAAGCTATCGACACATTGCATCAATATCCATCGATGGTGAAGAAGTTCGATCCTGAGCTGGAAACCTTGAGGCCTCTGTCTACAGCTCAGTCAGGCTCTGACAAGCCTTCCAAGAAGAAAGCCAGGGCAAACAAGAAGTAGGATAGTTGGAGATCACCAGTTAGCATTTACATGGAATAGGAGATGGATAAATTGAGATATGAAAAAATGGGAATGTGTACCAATGGAATGGGCTGTACAACTAGCCTTGCTCCATCTGTGAATCATATATTGCATGATTGATACTGCTCGACAACAGCCATAGCATTGACACTCGAGTATGCACGCGACATTAGGAAATCCTTACTATGCCTTACTCACATCCCGGACACTCCAAAAGCGTCTCATCGCGATGCGTCACATCGTGAGGCATCAAAAAAGAAGCATGTCAAGTAGCGAAGGCGTTATCACAAAAACAATGCGTACTAAGTTGTTGTGGCCGGACGCCTTCATCTGGCTTGTCGTGCCGAGTGACGATGTTGTTCATGGAAATCTTATCGGGATCGACGTCAATTCGACCTTATCCGTTTATGTAGTTTGCGAGAGAAGGTAGAAATCTTACCGAGGAAGTTGTTTAAACAGATGACGCCCTGACTGAAGATCTTGTGCTTGTACTTAGAAACTTGGATGACCCGAACGGCCGTATCTGCGCCCACTCAGTGCGGACGTGGAGAACGATCACACAGTGAATGCAACTTCTGCACTTACGGTGGTCGGCGAATCACGGAATATTGTGCGCGAGGAGGATCCTCGACAGTCTATACGAGCGTTGTATGGACTCTTGAGCTGGGCCGTCGTGGCCAGTACACGTTAACGTTCTCTTTATGAGGGAATCTTGTTCAGCCTTCAAGAGCAAGAGTGTCGTCGTCGCAGTCGCACTGTTGTAGCTCTCAATGCAAAGTATCCGTTGATTAACGACGGAGCCCCGGACACGAAGCTCACCGTATAATACAAGGATGCGTGCAGACTGCTATTGCTCCTGACCTGATAATCCCCTCGCCACGCAGATACCTCACTCCCGCCTATTCGCCTTGTTCTCTTTCTCCAGATACTTCCACCTCGAAACCTCCTTCACGCCCTCCGTCTTCCACCCATTCGCCTCCTACGGCAGCCACCTCATCTTCGCATCCGCGTCCATGCTCCCATCATGGCTCAGGACCATCCACACGTCCGGACTCGCGTCGAGCGCGATGACGACCTCGAGCGTGTCGCGCGTCTTTTCCCAGTCATCGTGGACAGCGACGGCACGGTCCGCGGGCGCAAGGAACGGCGCGTCGCGGGCGCACTCACGGAGGGATGCGGGGACGAGCGGCTCGAGCTCGACAGGGAGGGGGACGTGGGGCGAGGGCCGGAGCATCGCGGGGTGGTGCGCGGCGTCGCCACCGATGAGGATTCAGGTTGCGGCGGGTGAGGGCGTCGTGCGGGCTAGGCCGAGCATGTGGCCGACGCAGTGCAGGATAGCGGGGGTGAGCTTCTCGTGGATCGGACTGGACGGGATATGTGGGGAGACGTACCCCGGGTGCTTCGAGGAGGTAGAAGCTCCCGTCGCCGAAGTAGTCGTAACTTTTTAGGCCGCCGACAAGCGGCGCGTCATTACCGAAGGGGATCTCGATGACGTCGCGTCCGAGGAAGTCGGATTCGGGGAACATAGCCTCGGGTTGAGAGGATAGCCAGGGCGGAATGCAGCCTGATGGAATGATTATTGGCATTAGTTAGGCGGGCGTGTAGACGGATGTACGGTGTAATGGGCGGAATTACTGTATAGATAGGCTCACCTGGGTACCGGCACCTACGACGAGCGCAGTTGTCGGAGGGAAAGTCGACGGGTTGCCGACGTGGTCAATGCCAGAGGGTGACTAGTAGCGATGCCAATCCGGCTCTGGGCCAGGGGGAAGGAGACAAGGAGAAGTGCTCAGCGCAACAAGAACGTGGCAAATACATGCCTCCAAATCACCGCATTGATATTCTTGAGGTCTATCCCATACTCAACGAGAGTTTCCGCGACGTCAGGACCGTACTCCATGATGTGTTGCCCGCTCGCGAGATTAGCCTGTCATAGCTTGGAGGCAGTAGAGACGTCCTTCCGGAGACCGAGGTCAAAAAAGATCCTCTTGCCTGTGTGCAGAGTGGTTGGCGGCTGACGTGCAACGAGAGCAGGGGGCGTACACACCGTTGGGATGCAGTCCAGCCTGACCGATGATTCGTCTGCTCTAGAGCCTGTATCAAAAGACATTAAATGAGCGCGTGTTGAACCATGCTTGCCGTACAACCCTGGTGCAGCGGAGAAGAAGGGTGCTGAGCCTACGAACTTGAAAGAATTGAAGATCTTGACAGAGACTGTCACGATCCGAGGCATGCGTGATGCTCGCGGAGACTGGGATGTGGGCCCAGTCGCAGCTCCTCCTCCTCCTCCCTCTTCCCCCACTGCGCAATCATGCGCGACTGGTCAATCGGTCACTCGTGCGGACTCGGACTATTGACGCGGTCACGTGGAGCGTTCTCCTGATGAGGGAGAACGTCCGATCGACTGGGAGATACGTTCCCGGAACGCGTTCCGGGAACGCTTCTGCGGAACGCCCCTAGGAACGCTGGTCACATAGTGACAGAGGGCAAAGCGTATGTAGTGGCCTATGTCATAAGCACGAATTTCCAAACCCGGAAGTCAATAGTACGTACTTAGATACTTACTAGAATGCTTACTAATACACCGAGTCCCGACTCTGTCACACATAAAGCTGTAAAAACCCAATCGTACTAGCATCAGCAGAGTATAGACTACTGAGTACCAGTAGGTGTATTTTCACTGCCATAGATGAATCACAAGCTATTAATAACTCGACGTTCATACAGGTTCATACTCACTGGCGGGGACAGCACTCAGCACGTGATCCAATGTGGCCCAGCGAGCATTGCCTGATTGGGCATATTCTCCATATCAGGAAATACCCTTAATTGGCTAACCACACCCACTGCGTAGTGCGTTGTGACCTAACAACCAAACAATGGCCCACAAGATATTGTGATTACTACGAACCACTATGTATAAAGATCCGAACGGTCAATTACTATAGATTACTATAATGCAACCGCAGGAGAGTGGCAGCACTATAAACGAAGGTGTCACACGTCGTCACGGTGCGTGATGTTCCGCGTTCCCCGTTCCCCGTTCCGGGAACGTTTCTCCCCGTGGATCCGACTTTCTGTGATGAGGGCAATCCTGATCGGCGGCTCTGCTGACACACCGCCCTCTGTTCAAGTTCTCCGCGATTCGGACTACAGCTCGGAGGCCCCGGACAACGGGAATCCGACCAGCTCGACGCGCTTTGGTGGTACCAAGACCACGAAGGCTGCACGCACTCGTCTAGACGGACAACAAAGAGCTTATTCGGCGGCGTTCTTGAGTGCTATGTAGCGAACCTCAGTGATTTCATTCTGCGGCGGCGGGGCTCAGTGCGGCGCAGTGTTCAACTTGCACAACACTGCAGTGGATGTCGTGCTTCCTATGACTAACGCGTGGCATGCGCGAAACGGGTATCTATGTGCCAAGCACCTCAGGTACGGCCGAGTCACGCCGTTTTAATATCTCTGATCCTGCCTGTTTCATACCCGCAGGACTGCAGAGCTCCGCCTTGCTTCATGGTTACCGACCGCGACAGGCTCCCTGTCTATGGTGCTGCAAGTGGCGGATGTGAGTCGTCCCCCCCTCCAAACTTCAATTAGTGGAAATCGCGTCACGGCGCTTGGCCAGGCGCTCTAACGGTCTCATTCAAAGTCAGCGATGGTGATGGTGCATTATGATAAATTCGGGCACATTGGGTCCTACTGAATGCCTTGTCGGCGGAGGATGTGCAAGCTGAGTGCGCGATGAGGCGGACTGGAGGTCCCGAACATCAGCTTCGGCGATGGGACCGTAAGTCCCGTCGGTGTCCCGCAAAGAGCATACTTCACTGAACATGTCAAAACCGACGTCCTTCTCCAAGCATCTCGACACCTCGATATCTGGATGCCGTCAAAACAGCTCCTGCAACCTGCCTCTCCCGAAGGCTCGCCGGACGTTGACGGTCAACGGTGAACATATTAAGATGTCCGAGGAGTGCGCCGTCTTCCGCGTCGCGACCCGCAACTTCAACTACTACTAGATCCAGGAGCCCCGCATGCGACGGGTAGAGCCATTGGAGGTTCCATCGCGCTCGTTGCTCGATACGACAGGCTCGAGGAGAACTCCGGGAGGGCGTACTACACGGACAAGCACTTGAAGGCCGCGTCGCATAACTCGCCCGTGATGCCCGTTCTCCTCGCGCTTGTCAGGCCGTGGTACAGCGACTTCTTGGTGACACAGTTCATTCTCCCGTGTGACCAGTGCTTGCACAAGCCGGCGGACGACACTTTCAGTATGACGACACGGGGCCCAACGGCCACGTCGAGAGTCATCAAAGGCGGTCAGTGCCTCAACTTTTCAGAGCAGGGTACGTGTCCCATCATTCGCTGGCGTGTATTGCGGTTGACCGGCGTCCGCGCTATGCAGCATCATCTAGGGCACGGCCGGGCGGGCACGAATGGCCAGAACGCGCTTTACATATCAGCTCGCGGTACACAACCCGTCCTAGCTGACTTCATCGCTTCCGCAACAATGCGTATCTCGCGTCGTCGACCGTCGTGACGCTAACATCTGCGTGCAGGGGTAGGTCCGAACGCTTTGAATCGGAGGCGCTTACTAAATTGAAACTTTGAGGGTACATAGTCAACTTCTCTAAGCCCATGCCCGTGACCCTCGGCGTGCTACAAATGGATAAAATAGAGCGAATGGACGTCGAACTGGGCAGGGTTCTCGCGAGAAGGTTTGCACGACCTGACAAGCCGGAGGATGTCTGGCCATGACGGCTCGGTATACGTGCGCCTCTGCGGTGGTAATTTGAGCTGATCGGCATTCTTCTGTATACGACTCAGACACTATCATTAGAAGCACGGGAAGGGATAGCTTCTCTCGGGCTTGCGTGACGAATGGAAAACGTGGTTATGTACAGAAAGACTGCGCGAGCAAGGCGTGATGTAATCCTTCCGACGTGACGCAGTTCGAGTTAGTATCCGGGACGTCGTCAAATTGTATCAGTCTCCTTGTGTCACGGGCTCACTTTATTGGTCAACGTCGTGGACAGAGGCCTCAGAGTATTTACATCTGGGTCGAACCTCCTGACCATTGCTGGATTCCGCTGCAGTATGTCGATAGCTTGTTTCACTGAGTTCAGGAAGAACATATGAGTGACGGGCTCCTCGTCAAGCTGAGCAGTGTCCTCATCCTAACAAATGGTCAGCAACATGACAGGCAGTCAGTCAGTAATTGAAAGCAACGAAGAACTCACATCATACTGGGCATAGTGATCTGCCTTTTCGTTGCTATCCTTGGCTTCATGGGCCTTCTTCAACTTCTCTTGCAAAGCTGTGATCACCATGGAAAGAGGCTTCGACAGGTGCTTCCTCACGAACACCTTCCTCTCTTCATCTCCATGATACATCCAGGCAAGTGGCTGTGGTCCAGCAATTCGTTGTTGTATAATGTCTGTGATTGTCACACCGCCAAAATGATCCACGAAGGCCTTGTCGAGGCTTTCTGGACAACCCGGAATACTGACAAGGCGTCGCAAGACCGTGTAACCCAAGACATACGCGATCGACTCAAGATCGTATGAAGACCGACGCGGCACTCGAGTTCCAGCCTGAACAGCTCGGAGCAACTCCAAAGCCATGAACTGAAGTGTCCCCTAGAAGCACCTGTCGTCAGTACAACAGGAAGAGACGAATCACTTAATGACTCACCGTCACAGGCACTCCTTGTTGTCTCGATGTCGTATAATCAACCCTTGATCGGACACTACCCTCTGTCATCACCGCCTTCCCACTGGAATCGACGCCTCTCTTGACCGGATCAACAGCTTCGTGAATGGTGAGGTGATCAATCAACAGACGGTCGACGTGGGCCATGTCAAAGTCGTAGAGAAACCCCGCAGCGGCGCCACCCGGCCAGAGGAGCATATTGCCGGCGCTGATGTCGCGGTGAAGAATTCCCTTCTCGCACAGATACTGGTGCGCTGAAGCATCGTGAGCTGACGGAGACGGTCTGTGCATGCGACGTGAGCACACACACCTTCGACGATCGCGTAAAATGCGTTGAGCAGCTGGAGCTCATCAGTGTACTTCCAAAGAGGCTGTCCGACCATCGGGAGTATGATGCGATGGAGAGCCTTGGAAGGACAGTTCGGATCGTCGGCGTCACCTCGGAGGTTCGCAGTGGTGATCTTCGACCACGTCTGAGGATCTTTGTAGTAGAACACATCGCTGCCATACCGATGCGTCGCGATACCCGCAGGGAACGTGGGCTTCTCGTCCTGCTCAGCGGCTCCGGACGCAGACTGCGTCCTCCTGTCCGCGTCATCGGCCTCGCGCTTGAACCCCGTTATCAGATTATACACATCCGTCTCGGCCAATTTCAGAGGGTTGCGCCAGGCGGACTTCAATACGTGAATGTCGCCCTTCAGAGCCCACTTTCCCTTCGACTGGTAGAGCTCGACCACACGCCACACCTCCGTACCCCGTCCAAGGAGCGACAGGGAGACCCAGATCGGTGGCCCGACCGTACACCACGTCCCACTGTCTTTACCGAAGCGGCTGATGCGGTAGGACGCGTAGTAGTCTCCGCCCTCAAGGTGGATTTCGGATCGGACGGAAGGAGGGATAGAGGGCTCCTGCATGTACCCGCTAAGCTCGTCGCGAGTCACTGGCGTCACAGACGGATCTTGCCCCAGTTGACTGTCCGTCAGGCGCCGCGTGAGTGCGCGGACAACACGGACGAAGGTCTTTGCGTCGCGCGGACGCCCGGGCTCGCGGCTCTTGTTGTCGTCGTAGATGCTGTGGAGGGGAGAGAGAACAACGCCATCGCGGTCCACGATCATGACCCGGAAGACCGTGCCTGTGATGAGCAGTGTGACGCTGAAGATCCAGAACGGCCGCAAGGCCATATGATATCGTGCGTGATTCGCACACTGGAGGACTGCTAGCCTCACCGAGGATTCGTCATGGGGAGGATCGTTTTCCTCCTCTCTGACCTCGATCTTGGCAAATCCAACGCAGCTATCCCAGGATAGACAGTCTGTGGTTCTATCAACCAGTGCGAAATCCGGGCGGGATCCAGAGATGCTCGGAGAATAGGCCTCGGCAGCACGCTCTGAAGGCAGAAACATGGCCATATCAGCAGCGCACTTAAATCTGCGCAACGCGGCGTTGTCATTGTTGCTTTGTAGGAATGCGAAGATATTTGCCTAGAATTGGAATGAACACGGTGGTTGTTAGCACATACTGCTGATCCGGAACGCATGTGCCTACCAGCGGTTCACACATATCCTCTTCGTGATCCTTCTCCACCATTCTGTGCCATCTCTCCTTGAACGGGCCGTAGTCAGGTATGTCGTCCTCCTCTTGCAGCGCCTTGCTCAGATTTGTCGAGACTTGGCGAAGTCTATGAAGCTGATGTTCCTGCTCCGCTTGATATTTCTCGTGGCAGCGATCAATGTCGGCGTCGTCTTCCTCGTCAATCCGAAGACGCCTGAAGACAGAAGGGTCATCATACTTGACGCGTCCCACAAATTCCTTCAGAAGGATCTCGTGCTGAGTTGAGCTATGGACTGAAAATATGTGAGTGCCACCAGCGCACGGATGATCATGAGAATTAAACTCGAGATGTCTTGATATCGATCTCGCCTCTGGCAGAGCCGCCAGCGATGGATGTATTAGTAATCAATGCGCTCACCAATTAGTCCGTCTTCGTTAGATGTGGGGTCGTCACAATTGACCTTTCTCTTCATGCTTCGGAGCAGTATAGGGGGCACTAGGGCGTGACTGGAGTCGTCGTCACGATTCCCGTCGATTGATCGCGAGGAGTCCTCAACGCCTGTCATTTGCCGAAAAGTCAATCCTTAGACTGCTCTTGAAGGAGCATAACAAACCGTTGGTGACAACCTTTTGAGTCCGACTCCGAGTCCAGAGTGACTCTCAGAGTCTTCAACGTTCGCGACCGTGTTCCAAGAATCCAACCGCGATGCACATTGACGCGTCGCGATCACGTGCAGTTCATTCCTTCCCAACTGAACTTGATGATGATCCCGATCCGTCAAACGCTCTCCTGAGGCCTGACCGGGACCTCCGAGTCTTGCAACCCGTCTGCGGTCCCAAAATTATTGAACGTCTCTCTCTCTGCTGACACACCCCCTCTCCGCCGGGACATCGGACTCTACAGTACGACATGGACAACCGCGACGAGGTTGACGCGCTTATTCCAAAGAATGGTCGCGGGCGGCGCAGTGGTATCAAGACTATGCCAGGGAAGCACCTCCGTTACTGCGTGCGGCCACCTATACCGTCTACAAAGAGCTCAGTCGTTACTCGTTGAAGCAGGGTACGGTTCCGAGCGCTGGTGGAGTTGTGATTTCGTTCTGGGTTGACAGGGTGCGGCGCGCAGTGGTCAAAGTGCACAGTACCGCAGGGAATGTCATGCCGAGTGGATGACTAACAAGGTACTTGTTAGAACGCTATATGTGTGCACCACTTCCATCCCTTCTTTCCTGTTTAGTTTCACATGTAGTAATGCACACGCGCTCTTATACTTCTCTCTTTACTCGCGGCAAGCGCGGGATATCATCGCCATTATTAAGCCGCTTCCCTTTCCTCAAGCTCAGATTCGTGATGAACACCTTTAACCAGGAGACCTGTCTCCTTAGCTTGAAGGTCAGCGGCGAAGTGAGTATCAGGTTTCAGGATCAACAAGGAACGTCCTACTGCATGCATTGTCGGCAGAAAACCCGCGACCTAAGTGCGCCAGTACCAGTACCAAATGCAGGTATCCGTTCTCGGATGTCATGATGTGCTCAATGCTGGCCGTTCATATCAGGCGAGGCTTCAAGACGAGACAGGCTGCAGGGGTGCAGAACCTGCCCATGTGGCTCATTCTCCTCGCGCTCGTCGGGCAGTGGTACAACGGATTCTATGGCGTGCAGACATCGTCGAGTATGGCCGGTACCTACACAAGCTGACGGGCCTACGTTTTCAGTATAGCGACCCGGGGCTCAACGTGTTTGCTACCAATGATCATTGATGCCAGTGCGTCAACCACCGAACCGGAGCACGTGTTCCTTCATTCGCTCGCTGACGACGTGCATCATGGTTGTCGGACGTTCGCGCCATGCAGCTCGTCTAGATTGGCCAGCACTCGTTTGATGAGCTCGTCTATCGCTGTGCACGATCCATCCGGCTGACTTCATCGCCTCCGCAACAACGCAGGGCTTCTGTCGTCGGCCGTCGACTGTCGAAATGCTAGCAGGCTTGCACGAGGTCCGCGCGAACGCTTCGGAGACACCGACCAAGTCGAAGGTCTTCAAGGGCAATCGCTCGAGCAACAGCATCGTCGCTCTCAACTTGAAGCGTGGCGCTCGACGTCCCCTACAAGCCCAAGACCTTCAGTCAGGGCATCATCTGGTTTATCAACTTCCTCGGTAAGGTCTCTACCCTCTCTCGTGAACTACATAAATGGATTCGGTCGAATCGACGTCGATCCCGGTAAGATCTCCACGAACAACATCGTCGCTCGGCACGACAAGCCACGTGAAGGCGTCCGGCCACAACAGCTCAGTACGCATTTCGTTTGTGATAGCGCCTTCGCTAATTGACATGCCTGCTGTAGGCAACACAACTCATGCACTGCCATCTGCAGGCCTAGGAAGGAGATATTGTAAGTCTTAGTTGTCTCGGGGCTTGCGCGAGAAAGGATGGATGTACGCGAACAATCACTCTATGTAGGTCACATCACGGCATAAGGAAGCTCACACAATAATCTTCCTTCATGCCCGACGATGTGAGGCGTCGCGATGAGACACATTTCGAGTGTCCGGGATGTAAAGCAGTAAGGCCTAATAAAGATTTCCTTATGTCGCATGCATACTAGAGCCTCAATGCTATGACAGTTGTCGACCAAACTCAATCACGCAACTTGAACTGGGATACATGACAGTGTCCATCAACTGCTGTACGTAGCGGACTCCTGTACCATGTTATAGCCATTTGTCTCATTGGCTCTCTGTACTCGGGTATGACTGTTCAGGAACCAATATATGATTCACATGTAGAGCAAGGCTAATTGTACAGCTCCATTCAATTGATACACATCACTACATCTCAATCCATCCATCTCCTGTTCCATGAAAATGCCAACTGGTGAGCTCCGACTATCCTGTCTTGTTTACCCTAGCTCTCTTCTTGGAAGGCTTGTCAGAGCCTGACTGAGGTGTAGACAGAGGCCTCAAGGTATCCACCTCAGGATTGAACTTCTTCACCATCCATGGATTTTGCTGCAATGTGTTGATAGCTTGTTTCAATAAATTCAAGAAGAATGCATGAGTTATGGGCTCCTCATCATGTTGATCATCCTCATGGACCTAACAAACAGTTAGCAATATGGCAAGTGATGAATCTAAGTGACAAGCAACTTGCATTATACTTGGAAAGGGACTTGAAAATGAACTGGTCTTCTTGACTGTCTTCCCGAGCTGTATAGAATCTTGCCAGCTTTCTTCGCAGTGACCTGAACAGTGTGAGAAGAGCCCATGACATATGCTCTAGCGCAAATTCTTCGATCTGATTATCTTCGTGACGATAGGCCCAGGAGAGTGGCTGTGGTCCATCAGCTCGTTCATTGATTATGGCTTCAACTGTCATGCCACCAAAATGGGTGTCGAAGACCTTGTTGAGGCTTTCTGGACAACCCGGAGTACTGACAAGGCGCCGCAAGACTGTGTAGCCCAGGACATACGCAATGGACTCAAGATCGTGTGCAGACACATGCGGCACTTGAGTTCCGGCGTGAACAGCTCGGAGCAATCCCAAAGCCATGAACTGAAGTGTCCCCTAGAAGCACCTGTCGTCAGTACAACAGGAAGAGACGAATCACTTAATGACTCACCGTCACAGGCACTCCTTGTTGTCTCGATGTCGTATAATCAACCCTTGATCGGACACTACCCTCTGTCATCACCGCCTTCCCGAACCTGGAATCGACAACTCTCTTGACAGGACCAACAGCTTCTTGGGTGGTGAGGTGATCAATCAACGAACGTACGACATCGGCCATGTCAAAATCGTAGAGAAAGCCCGCAGCGGCGCCACCCGGCCAGAGGAGCATATTGCCGGCGCTGATGTCGCGGTGAAGAATTCCCTTCTCGCACAGGTATTGGTGCGCTGAAGCATCATGAGTCGACTAAGACGGTCTGTACATGCGACGTGAGCACGCACCTTCGACGATCGCGTAAAATGCGTTGAGCAGCTGGAGCTCATCAGTGTACTTCCAAAGAGGCTGTCCGACCATCGGGAGTATGATGCGATGGAGAGCCTTGGAAGGACAGTTCGGATCGTCGGCGTCACCTCGGAGGTTCGCAGTGGTGATCTTTGACCACGTCTGAGGATCTTTGTAGTAGAACACATCGCTGCCATACCGATGCGTCGCGATACCCGCAGGGAACGTGGGCTTCTTGTCCTGATCAGCGGCTCCGGACGCGGACTTCGTCCTCTCATCCGCGTCATCGGCCTCGCGCTTGAGCCCCGCTATCACATTATACACATCCGTCTCGGCCAACTTCAGAGGGTTGCGCCAGGCGGACTTCAATATGTGAATGTCGCCCGTCAGAACCCACTTTCCCCCCGACTGGCAGAGCTCGACCACACGCCACACCTCCGTACCCCGTCCAAGGAGCGACAGGGAGACCCAGATCGGTGGCCCGACCGTACACCACGTCCCACTGTCTTTACCGAAGCGGCTGATGCGGTAGGACGGGTAGTAGTCTCCGCCCTCAAGGTGAATCACGGATTCGACGGAAGCAGGGATAGAGGATCCCTCCTGCAAGTATCCACTAAGCTCGTCGCGAGTCACTGGCGTCACAGACGGATCTTGCCCCAGTTGATAGTCCGTCAGGCGCCGCGTGAGTGCGCGGACAACACGGACGAAGGTCTTTGCGTCGGGCTGACGCCCGGGATCGCGGCTCTTGTTGTCGTCGTAGATGCTGTGGAGGGGGGAGAGAACAACGCCATCGCGGTCCACGATCATGACCCGGAAGACTGTGCCCGTGATGAGAAGTGTGACACTGAAGATCCAGAACGGCCGAAAGGCCATATGGTATCGCGCGTAATCCGCACACTGGAGGATCGCTGCCTTTATCGACGATTCGGTGCGGGGAAGACTGTTCTCCTCCTCTTTGACCTTGATCTCGGCGAATCCAGCACAGCTATCCCAGAAAGGACCATCTGCAGTCTTATCGAGCAGGTTGAAATCCGGGCGGAATTCAGCGACACCTGGAGTATAGGCCTCGGCGCAACGGCTCGGGGGTAAGAGCACGGCGGTATTGACAGCGAACTTGAATTCGCGCAGCGCGCCGACATTGTCGTTTCCAAAGTTCTGCAAGAATGTGAAGATGTCTGTCTGGAAATGGAACGAAAGCGGTGAGTAACAGCAATCACTTGGGTTTCGGAGTAGTCACCCCACCAACGGATTGTACATCATCTTCTCGTGCTCGCGCTCTACCTTCTTCTTTGAGTCGTCCTGTATGTCGCCCTCCTTGTTTACAGCCTTGCTTATATCCCCTGAGATTTGGCGGAGCCTATGGAGGTGCTGCCCCTGTTGCTTTTGATACTCCTCGTGGCAGTGATCGATGTCGGCGTCGGCTTCATCATAAATTTGAAGACGCCTGAAGACAGAGGGGTCGTCGTATTTGACGTGTCCCAGAAGCTCCGGCTTGAGGAGTTCATGCTGAGCCGAGCTGTTGGCTGCAAGCGTATTAGCACCACCAACCGACGCATAGTGAGGTGTGAGTTTGTTGGCGTCCAAAATCGTCGGGTCTGCCATTGTGGATGGGGTGTGAGTAGTGGAGGTGATGCTCACCAGATAGCACGTCTTCGTCTGAGTCCGAGTCATCTGAGTCTGTATTGAAGCTCCTCCTTCTCTTCGTGCTAGAGAGCGACATAGGCGTCCAATCGATTTCAAGCAATCGAAAACCTCGCTTGAAAAGTGGTGTCCGATGCCTGTCAGTGGTCGAAAAAATCAACCGTCAGATTGTGAAGCTATACGGCAACGGTGCTTACGATGTGGTGAATGTGGTAGATGCGTAACCACGTAGAGCAATCTCTTCCACAAGGAGCGAAACCGGTGCACGTGAGGGCACTGATCACTGATGAGCGGACTGTTTTCGCCTCCGAACCTGAGTACCAAATGTTCGGACGAACCCCGAAAGAACAAAACCAGGCATACCAGCGATACCGTCCGCAGTGGGGCCGAAATCTGTCTTGACTTGGATTGGGCTGTTCCTTTCCTCCCGCTACTTACGGGACCTGTCCCTTGGATTGTCGCGACGCGCGCATAGCAGAGCGAAGGGGGATCAAGACTCGGAGTCCTCAATGTCAACGCCTGGTCGAAGCACCGCAGACGCATCAGGCGATCACGTGGAACGCATTCTTGCCTGAGTCGTGATGGGGATGATCCCGATCGACGATCGACGCCGTCCGCCAGCTTGAACTTTTTACTTCCTCGCACAGTCCAAACTTTGCACGGCGCCCCTCACACTCTGCGAACAACACATCTTCCCCGGGATGTCTGACTACGGTTCGGACAACGACGAAGTCGACGCGCTCGTCGCGTTCGGCCAGGCCCTCGTCGAAGCCATCCTCGAGCACCAGCCCCTCGCGCTCGTTCGGAAAATGGTCGAGGACGGCGCGCCGCTGTGGTTCCAGGACCACGAAGGCACCTCCGCGCTGCATGCCGCAGCCTATACGGAGAACGAGGAGCTCATTCAGTATCTGATTGAACAGGGCGCGGTCTGGAACGCTGGTGAGTGTTGGTAGTGTTTGGTCTGCGTACGAGGAGCTCAAAGTGGCGCAGTGGACAATTTGCATAACACCGCGGGGGACATCGTGCTCTCGATGAACAACGAGACGTGCTATAACATCATACGCGACGCTGGTATCCGCTCAGGTGTGCCACTTCCACCCCTGTAATCTAGTCTCTGTCTCACCCGGGAAATGTAGAGCTGCTCCTTACGCTGCTCGCATCACGCACACCACCCGCGACGAGCCCGCTCTCCATGGTTCTGCAAGCGACAGACACAACGGCGGCCGGCTCTCAAAACGCCTTTCTGTCCTCCAAGCTCAAATTCGTAAAGGACGACAACGGTCAGGAGATCTGTCTGCTCAAATCAGCGACAGCGAGGAAGTGGGCGTCATGATGGGCTGGGAACGCGGCATCAGTGAGTCACTGCGTACCTATCGAGAAGGGCGTGCGACCTAAGTGCGCCAGTGCGAAGTGCAGGAAACCGTGAAGCGTCTGTGCGATGACACGAAACTCCGAGGGCGGACTGAAGGTCCTGAATGTCGGCTTTGGACTTGGATCGTAAGTCGCCTTGGTGATAGGGGTGACAGACCGCTCACACATTGCGTTAAGGTTGACGGTTTCTTCCAAGCACTCCCGCGCCCCCATCTCTGCATGTCATCATTGAGCCACACCGGACGTGCTCGCGCACATGCGCGACCTCGGGTGGTACGACAAGCCGAACGTCAGGATCCTCGAGGGCAAGTGGCAAGATTTCGTGGAGAGCGAGGAGCTGCTCGGCGTCGGTGGATTCGACGTTGTCTATACTGACACATTCTCGGAGGACTACAAAGGTTAATTTCATACCTCCGTTGACATGTCGGCTTCGCTCGTTAACAGACGGCACACAGACCTGCACAGTTTCTTCCAGCACGTCCCAGACCTCTCGCAGGGCCCGAATCGCGCTTCGGTTTCTTCAACGGCCTCGGTGCCACCAGTAAGCACGCGTTTTCGGCCCCAGCCAGACAGGCACTGATACCCCTCCTTCCTGACAGATGCGCTCTTCTACGACGTGTACACACGAGTGTCAGAGCTACATCTGGCAGATGTAGGCATCGACATCGAGTGGACGGACGTGGACGTATTTGAGGGCGGCCAGGACCGCTGGGGCGAGACACGGGAGTACTTTGCGCAGAGGTTCTACAGGCTACCGGTGGGCAGGATGCGGGCCATATCATAGCAGAAGCCAACAGTGAGGCAGTTGGCAGTGGCCGCAAGATGGCAATAGACAGTGCCCCTCGTATCTTCAGTTGACAATCATGAGCCGTTCGTCATGTCATTGCATTTGAATGATGTATCAAATATGTAGAGGGCGAGCACCCTCGATCCCACGAATGGCTGCCGGCCCACCTCGCTTGGCCGTGCTCCGCCTCGCATAGAGGTCGTGGAGGGTGTTGCGAGGCCGTCGGGCGATAATTGGCGGAAGGATCGCGGGGAGACCGGGGGCGATCTCAATTGGGCGGTCGAAATAGCCGGCGCCTGTCCTCGATCAGGCGCAGCGAGTGCCAAGGCGACGGACCAGTGCCTGCAGCCACCGCGCGCCTCCCGCCTCCCCTCGACCACCCAACCATATAAGCCGGCCGCGCCCTTTCATCCCTGCAGGCAGGACCGTTGTCATTCTTCCGCACGCTAGCTCTCAGGTTCTAGCAACGCCGTCGACCGGTTCGACCTTCCACCTTCCCCTTCATCCCCAGCAAAACACTGCCAACTTGAAGTGCTCGCCACCCGCGCTCTCCTGCCCAACTCAGTGACCGCCCCGCTCCCCGGCTCGCGAGACGAGACCCTACATTCTAGTCTTCATCCCTACTAGCAGAGCAGACAGACGACATGCCGGACTCCATCGTTCTTGTGAGTTCACACATTCTCTTACCAGGGACCGCGCAGCTTAAGCATGGCTGCGCACACAGGACCTTCCGATTGGCCGGCCTCCCCCGGAGCAGGTCCCCTACCAGCTCTCCAACTACGTGCGTGTCGCTCGGCATATCTCATTCCGCACTCCCTGACGCGCCCCACAGATCTCCGCCGATGCCTGGCAAGCCCGCATCCGCGCCGTCACTCGCAAGGGTTCGCGCTACATCAACCCGCGCTTCGACATCGCCTGGAGCGTCCTCACCTTCATGTGCGTCTCCTTCTTCTCACACCCTCCTCGTACGTTCGTTGACGTAATGTTGCTGTGATCGCTTCCAGCGCTACGTTCGCTGTACCCATCGCCATGTTCTACGTCATGTTGGGCATTCTCCCGCTCAAGGGGGACATAGATACGAGGTTCGACCTTGTCCGCGCCGAGGCGAACCGCGCCTGGGAGGCCCGTGGTGTCAGCTTCGCCGTCCTCTTCGGGATCATACTCTTCATGTGGCTCCCGATGTGGCTCTTCAAGGTTTCCGTACGTCCTACCCACTTTTCACCTGCCACGCTCCTCTGATTGACGACGCGGGCGTGTGCAGGGCAAGAAACAAGTGAACAGGATGCTCGAACGGTTCGAGCAAGAGGACCGCGCCGTCCGCCCGAACGTCGAGCTCCCCACGTACCGAATTTCGCGCCCGCAGTTCATGGGCACTTCGATCGTGCGTGACTATACCTGCTCGTGTCCGCATCCGCTGAACCGTCGCACTTCTCGTAGCACCTCAACATCACAGTACCCGGAGCCGCACCGCCTAGCTACTTCGCCTTCGGGGCGCCGCTCCCAACGGTACGCACCCCCGCTTTCCCCTGGTGACCACTTCGCTCATGCTGACACGCCCACCCACAGTACTTGGTCAACGCGCCACGGGATCCCTCCGCGGCCGCGTACAGCTACGGCCAGCCGCCGGCCAACCTGCCCGGCACCGGCGTGCCGCTGTACAACCAATTCGACGAGAAGATTCCCGTGTACTCGGGGCCCGCGCCGGGGCTCTACATACCTGAGGATGAGAAGAGCGAGCGCGAGAACCGCGTATGAGCCTTTCTCCGCCCGTCTACGAAAATCCGGACTGTTCCCTGTTCCCTGTTCCTGTTTGACGTTGACGTCCCTCTCCCGTTATTGAGGACCGTTACCGTACGCGGACGATGTAGTCCGGCACCCCGTGTCAAGTCCGTCTGTTTGTCTGTAGTGTCTCGCCCTCCCTTCACTCGCTTCATCCCCCTCGCGCTTGCTACACCGTTCATAGTTCGCGCTCCTGTGAGCGGACCGGTGGCCTGTGGTCACGGTCGCAAGTGGGTCAGGATAGAGCCCCGCCGTACTTCTCGTTGTGTAGCATCCTTTACCGTGCATGTGTCTGTACCACCACATTTGTGAAATTACATCTTCTTGCGTTTGGCCGGCGCATGTGTGGGGTGTTGCTGTGAGTGTGTAAGAGCCACTGGGTTAAGGGCGGTGTGAACGATGTAAGATACTTGGTAGAAGTTCGTAGGTTCGGAGGCGGATCAACTTCCCTCGATCATCATTCGCCTAACTTGGCACTTGTACTGAACGTCCACCCCCACGGCGCGTCAACCGGATAAAGTAGTCGCGAGTCAGTGCTAGTATGCCGATCCTATGCTCGTAGTACGCGATGAATGCTCATACTTTGACACAGGTTTGCGCGATCATCCCGGCGTGAACAAATCTTGACTACACAGTATCTTCAAGTTGACTGCGCTATCAGCTGCACGATGACGATCTACAGCCTCTACATCTACGATAGGTGCGCACACACGTCCCCACACAGAAATGCAAACTCACCACTCCCGGCCACGCATGGAACATGCACCGTGCACGCGCATCGCAGGCATTGCAACTGCGTGTACTACCAAGACTGGCACCGCACCACGAAGCCCCGCACCGCACTCGAGGGTGGGCTCCTCCCCGCCGTGTCCGCCGCGGTCTACCCCAAGCAAGAGGACCCCGCGCCCGACGCAGCCGGCTCACGCTGGGGCACACCGCGCAACACGCTCAACTCCGCGACGGGCGTCGTCGTCGCGGTCAACGAGGACGCACCGCGATCGCCGCTCCCCCCGCCGCGCGCGAACACGCCCCCGCCCGCGCAGCAACAGGCGCAGTCGCAGCAGAGCGCGGCGCTCACGTTTGACGAGGAGGCGAAGCTCGTGTACGGCGTCGTGCTCTCGCTGAGAAACTTGACCAGGAAGCTCTCCGGCAGGTCCGTCACGTCCCGCCGTATGTCTCGAATCTTGCGTGTTGACGAATCATCTTCGCCGGGGCACACAGGGACGACCAGTTCGTAAGCTATACGACGTCGACGTACAAGCTGCATCTCTACGAGACGCTCTCGGGCTACAAGTTCGTCATACTCAGCGACCCCAAAGCCGACTCGCTGCGTTTCGTCCTCCGTCAGATATACGCGGGCCCGTTCCTGGAGTATGTCGTCCGGAACCCGCTCGCACCCATGGACTCGAAGGAACAGGGAATCGACAACGAGTTCTTCCGATTAAGCACGGACAGGATGGTACGAGGATTGACTGTATTCGATTGACAGTGGCATCCACTACTCCTGGAATGCTTACCGACGCCATGTTGACACGTCACATGCCGTATGGGCATCCAGACACACATCTGGTCGGTGGTCCATCCGTCAATGCGATATTGCTGTAAGATAGTACGTATAGATACAAGTTGTGCGATGTCAGCAAATTAGATGTGGTCCGAAAGCAAATAATGACGAGCATGTAATCCAACTACTATTCCACTATGCGTCATCGTCATCGTCTATCGCGCTCAGCGGACTTCCCAGATCATCTACCTCCGTGGCCTCTTCCTGCTCAACCACCTTGCCCTGCTGCTCCTCCGCGCGACCCGGCTCTGACTCAGGCTCAGGTTCAGGCTCAGGCACTGGCTCCTGTTCAGGCTCTTCGGCTTGCGTCTCTAGTTTCCTCCGGACAACGTTCATGAGCGACGTCTTCACCTCTCGCTCGACCTTCTCTTCGCCCTCCTCTCCAGCGACGGCCTCATCAAGGGCAAGCTTCGTCTGCCCAAGCGCGAGCATATCCTCTTCGATCGAGCCCTTCGTGATGAGCTTGACGACGTCCACGTCGCGCTTCTGTCCTATCCGGTAAGCGCGATCCTGCGCCTGTCTATCGTTGTGCGGGTTGAAGTCCTGGTCGAACCTAGAGGATGCGTCGGGAGGATCAACAACTGCCCAATGATGTTCATAAGCATACACACATGATGACAACGCTAGCGCGGTCAAGTTGATGCCCATACCGCCAGCTTTGGTAGAGAGCAGGAAGACGGTGATAGACTCGTTCTCTGTGAACTCGTCGACTAGGGTCTGTCGCACGTCCACCGGAGTGGAGCCGGTCAAGACCAGGTATTTGATGTCTTGGGTCTCTAGGACTTTCTCTAAGATATTGAGGATTTGCGTAAACTGCGTAATGTCAGCAGCTGGACGTGGTCAAGGAAAAAGTTAAAGTGGGTACCTGAGAGAAGATCAGAATGCGTCTCTGTTCGGCTCGATACTGGTTGAGAAGGCTCAGGAGGACCTTGACTTTCCCCGCTTGCAGGTAACAATCAGCCGGCTGGAGGTATCTCTGGGTCGACTGCGAGGAGATCAGGGACGGCTCGGGGCAATACAAAGAGGTCAATCTACCTTATGCGTCGCCATGAACAATTGCAGCTCAGCGTCTGTCATGACCTCCATATCTTCCTTCACAATCTGGAAGACGGCGCCTCGTTTCTTGAAATCCGGTTCCTTCAGGAGTAGTCTGGCGATGGATGAGAGCATCGCGTCCGTAAAACGCCGGCGGAAGAGCATAGGATGCGATGCGGCCTTTCGTAGGTCCATAAGCACGTTCGAACTGTTCTCGAGGTACATCTTGTCCTTCGTGCGGGCGTTCGCGCGAGTCTTCTTCGCCTTGCCACGGCCAGCAGGTTCTGGTTCTGGCTCAACAACGTCTTGCAGATCATAGACGGTCTTTCTTGATCGTCGAAGTGCTTCATTGTAGAGGGTTCGTTGCATAGGCGTCATTTCGCACCACTCGATCCTCTCACTCTTCTTCGGCAATTCCTGGAGGACTTGGTCCTTTCGTCGACGAAGACGAACGGAGTCAACATTTTCTTCGCCCTTGAGACACGCTCCTGAGCAAGAAGTGTGACCTTCGAGTCACCCTTGGTCTTGAAGACCGCGCGGAGGGAATCGAGATCATCAGCGAATTGCTGAGGCAGGATGAATTCATGAGAGACTGTAAGACGTTGAGCATCGCGGCGGGCGAAACAGCGGTGCAATGAGACTTACTACTAGTTCCTGAAGATTGTTCTGAAGTGGGGTGCCCGTCAACAGTAATCTCCATCTCGACTCATACCGAAGAAGTGTCTTATAGCGCTGAGATTGGAAGTTCTTCAGAACTGACCCTCGTCGAAGACGCATGCCTGCGGCGACACAATCAGAATGGCCGACAGCGCACGTAGGTTACCTACATCCCATGCGATGCGACGGAAAACTTCTTGTCTTTTTCGTCCCCTTGTGCGAGGTTATACGTTGTGATCAAGACTTCCCACCCATCGTCCACCTTACTGGCCATGGTATCGAGGAGCTCCTGACGCAATGCTGGACGTTCATCCTTGGCACCGTAGTACGTATTGAATCTGATATCAGGAGCGAAACGCTGAAATTCGCGACACCAATTTTCCAACGTCGACGAACTGTATATCACTGCGTATCAGCATAACACGACGAAATGAAGTGAAACACGTACGGCACGACGATCAGGTGAGGGCCCTTGCGTCCTTGCTCCTTCAAGTGAGTCAGGAAACTGATGACCTGTATCGTTTTGCCAAGACCTGAGTCGAAGTCAGCATCCTCATACGGTCGAAGTAGTAGAGCGCTCACCCATCTCATCTGCAAGGATGCAACTCAACTTCTTGCGGTATAGAAGGTTCAACCAGTTGACGCCGATAAGTTGGTACTCCTTCAGTTGGACATCCTTGGAGATCGAGGACGGCTGCGAATTCAGGTAGTATGACGGTTTGCGATCTGCGAGAGTCTGCGATGTTAAGGCAAGACCACCATCGCCGTCGGCGGCACTGATAGAAGAACCTCGAGACGAGGATGCGCCGGCGCGCCCTGCTTTCGCGGAATTGCCACCAGTCCAACGCGAAATCTCTGCCTTGAGCTCGGCACCAATCTGTTCACAGTCCTGAAGAATGTTGTCCACTCTACCATAGCCTTCGAAGATAGCCTGACAGTCCTCGATCATTCGAGGGCTGATGCCCGCCGGGCCTGCCTTCTTCTTTCCCTGACCTAACTTCGTTCTCAGGTCATCGACCGAAGAGAAGGGACGGGACTCTATGATCTTGTTGGCCTGTTCGACACTGCAGCCTGACGGAGAAACCAGTCAGTATCATGGGCAAGTGAATGTACGCACTAACGATGTACTGACCTGTCAGTTCCTGCAGGCCCTCTACGGAGGTTGCATTGAAGTACTTCAATACACGAAGCTCAGCACTAGACTCGTCCTTCGCACGTTTCGCACGAGTAGGTGGCTCGCTATCGGACTCGGCCTCCGACTCTGAATCTACGACCTTTCTCTTCAGTCGTTTTGCGCGAGGTTGGACGACTAGAGGACTGTTCGGTGTCCGGGGAGAGTTTTGATGTGCGGCAGAGGTCGACGCTGGCGGCGTCGCTACGGCAGGCTTGCTCTCTACGTGGGGTCGCTGATAGATCACGGATTTCTTGCCTTTCTCGCGAACAGCAGCTCGTTGGGCCTTGTTGGCATCGTCGATTTCCTTCACGCGTCCGCCAGCGGCGGTAGTCTTCACGGCACGCCCCGGTGCCGCGGTCGCCGAAGGTGGCTTGAAGGCTGGGTCGTTTAGTAGACTTGTTGCCTTGGCTTCATCACCAGAAGCCTGCTGCCATGCAGCAAGTATGACGTCTGGAGGATGAGACATATTCACGATCTTGAAGGTGATGAACCTTGAGTCCTTGTCGGGCGGAGGCGGTTCCGACGGCGGTGGCGGAGGGGGCGTCGGCATGCGTCGAATGATGCGTGCTCTCGACGGAGCCGCGACGATGTCCTGAACATCAGGAAGCGACTCGTCGGAAGATACTGACGACATGGATACGGAATCGTCGAAGCGTTTCGGTTGTGCAGGACGGCGTACGTCCGGAGAGTCCGGCTTGCCGATGCAGTCCAGGGGATCCTCAGACTCGCCTCGGTTCAGCCTCTTGCGTGGACGCTCCTCATCCCCTCATCCTCCGCCTCTGACCTTCGTCGCCCATTCTGACCCCACGGACGCGTGAACGACGCGTGAGACGCGTTGCTTCCTGTCACAAATCCACTGGGGGCCGAGAGGGGATCGACGCGAGGTGCGAATGACCGAAAATGAGGCCCTGCTTGCGGCAAGCCCGGGATCTCGTCACCGGTGCTGTCGGCTTGCCATGACGTTGAAGGGGGGCGGTGAGCAGAATCGTAATGTGTGGGCGATGAGTTTGGCACCAAGACGTTGCCTGCCGGTACGGAGGCGGTCGAGAAGTACCGCGATGATGTCGTCGCGTCGCGCGACTGAGACGGCGGCCCGTCGACCGTGGCCTGGTTGCTCGCCACGAAGAGCCTTCTGAATGGTTGGATTGGCCTGGGAAGCATTCTGCTTCTTCTGTACTTTCTTGAACTTGAGTTGCTCCAAGGCTGCTTTCTGGGATAGCGGAAGTGATGCGATGCACCACAGTGAGGACACGTATGACTATGACCAAAACGATAGGGCACTGACTCTATTAGCAGCTGTGACGGGCCCTGAAGACATCCGGTATGTATGTGGGAGGTGCAATGAAGTGACGATCTCGCCTCCAGGGAGGGCGGCCGGGGGGATGCGATGCGAGCGACAAGAGCAAAACTCTAATTAGGTGGCCCGCGGTCGGAGAGTCAAACAATTGTGGCTATAGGCTCACAGCAGGCTGCGTTGCGAAGCAAACCAGCATATCAATGACCTGTAGTTAGTGTATAGTACAGAGAGACGAGCAGGTCAGTCAGCACTGGAACGAGGCGTACGTCGGGGACACTCTCTCAGCAGATATGGTCGGCATGGGGCACACGGGAGGCAGCATGGAGGGAAACATCTCTCTGTATATTCAAACGACAACATAGTGTATGTACAGATATAATCACGACGGACGGTCAAAGTGATATGGGTAAGGATGCAGTGCTTGGGGAAATACACGCGAAGCTCCATGCATCGCACCTCTACGCGGGAGGACGTAACCAACTCCCGAGACCGACGGTCACAATGACATGAAGCAGAGCAAACAACGGCCAAGCTGACATGAGAGTGAGCGATAGAAATTCATGGTATACTGGCGTACTTACCAGGCAACAAACCGTACTGCATACGACACATGTAGAGGTAGGTTCGACGTAACAGCACAGTGCGCATTGGAAAGGATGACGAAAAGGATTAGGACGCGGACTTGCTCCCGCGACACTATCCAACCATGGCATTGCACGGTAGCAACGGGGGCAAAATGACCAAGAGATGAATTGAATCTCGGAATCTCACGAGAGGAGGCCATCGTCGCAGGCGAACAGTGACTGTCACTCACAACTCATAAAACACACTGCATATTGGTTCGGTTGGTGGGAGACCCAAAAGCAGGACCACGGAGCAGGACAATGCGCAGAGACAGAACGCCAGGCTGACTGAAGAAAAGCCCCAAGGTTAAGAATGAGAAGCGACAGACTTCGCATACCACTCACCACACTGACTGTTGCCATAGCAGGTATAGTTAAGCATATACGGCTCTTGGCAGACGTTCGCACACACTGAAAGGGGCTCAGTTCCTGGGACATGAGGATGGCCCCCACATCGCGCCATTATGTGGGCTTTCACAGCATCACAGGAGATCTGCCAGACATGCAAAAAATCTCGGGTGCGGTCGCGACAAAATGGAGCGCACCGGAAGAGACGACGACATATCTGACACAATCAGCTTGCTGAAAAATCGCCCAGTGTTGGGGGAACGCCACCGAACCGAGTCCTGCAGGGATACACGAGTGAGATTCCACCCTCGTCGTTTGACACCCTTGATTGCTTCAGAATAGACGATATATACATATATATTTCCGGAAACTGGCAGGTGAGGGTCAGCGTGTTGCGACAGTGAGAAACATCAGGTCGCACTAACATGAACATCCGACGACTTCTATCTTCGTATGAGTAGATCGATGCACATCTTATGGGCAAGAGGCATCAAGAACGCTTGAAATGGAGGACATGAAGACCGTAAAGGAGGTCGATGGTGAGGGTTGATAAGGGCAAGATGGTGGTCGGGAGGAAGAAGGAAGGCGCCCGCCACGTCTGCGGTTGCGGCGCAGTGACTTCGGATCACGTGGACTGCCTCATAGTTCCGCAGCCTTGCCGGCTGTACTCAGCTGTGGCGGGCACTCCGGCGAGACCCTCACCTCTTCCAACACCCACCACCTCCCCCCATTTCGCAGCCATGGGCTTCGTCGACTTCGCCGTTCTGACAGGCATCATCACTGCCTCGCTTGGGATATCACTGCTCATTACAGTACCTCTGACTGGTGCATTGGTTCGCTTGCGAGGTAACTACGCAGTGTCGTTGTTTCTGTGTGGGCTGAACCGCAAGTCACAGCGAATTACAGTCCACGCGGACTGCAACTCGATGCAGAGGGCAACATAGAGCCTCACACTGGCCCTGTCGTCACATCCTTCTTCGGCATGCTGAGGCGTGTCAAGCGTCTTGAGGTGAATAATGGAAACATCAGCTTAATTGTGTACGACCCCTCTAAACTGACTCGTTAACGCTCTAGGGCTGGGCTGGATTGTACAAGGGTCTCAGTGCGTGCGGTGCTCACTCACCTCTGAACAACTGTTCTGATAGAATTCATCGTATTAGTGCCCAGCTTGCTGTTCAGTCTGGTGTTGACCGTTTTCGCTGTGACCGTTCTGAACGCAAATTCCGCAAGCCGAACAGGCAGAGTTGATCCTCCGGCGGGCGGCATTCTTGGGACGCTGATGTACAGCCTACTGTCCATGCTGGTGTCTTTGCCAGCGGCCATCATAACGTATCGGTACGGCTGCCTCATCTGCGCGTCAGCTGTATACACTCATTGAATTTTCCAGGTCGGTCACCACTCCCTACAAGCTGCCATACTTCCGTCCCCTCTATTCCCTCCGAATTCTACTCACTCCGACGGAACGCAAGCGACCCTGGGTGCTCTACCTTACGCCCGGTCTGCTTACGGCAGAAGTGCTCCACGTCGCCTATACGGCACTCCTCCTGTCTAGCCTTCGTTCGCTGCTATTGCCGCACCCAAGTTCGGACTTCAGCACCTTCAAATTCGGAATCTATCTCGCCGTCGAGGTCCTGAGCACGTTCATCCTTTGCCCTATTGAGGTGATCACCACGAAGCTCGCTATCCAGCGTAACCATGCTGCGCCCGAATTCAATTCGGTGGAGCAGGAAGTCGAAGGCGATGGTCTTGAAGGCGAAGAATACACAGAGTATGCGGGCGCTGAAGAAGATGTCATTGGGTCAGTCATCGCTATTTTTACTCTGATGAACATACGACTAAGTGCATATAATCATCTGCAGCCTGCGTCACGAGAAAGATCCTTACCTCGGCTTCGCGGATTGCGCCAAGCGGATCATAGAAGAGGAAGGTTGGACTGCGCTCTACCGAGCGTGGTGGATCACATTACTAGGCGGAGCTGGGAACGCGCTCGCAACTGCGGCGCCGGCAATGGCCTGAGTAAAGCGAATCTGTGAGGTCTTCTGGTTCTAGTCTCGTTATGTACAGTGTTCATATCTCTCGTATGTATTGCATGTACGACAAGCTCAAACTGTCTGAGAGCATGGAATTAGGTCCAGATGAGCGAGACATTGGAACCGTGCTTGCGCCTGGCCAGTTGCGAGCTCAGTCAGGGAGACGTGCTGTGGCAAGACTTGCGTTGTCTTGATGCTGGCTACATGTCGCAGGTAGTTGGGGAATCTCGTTCCCCCAGCACAGTATCATCACTATTACACAGTGGGGTAGTACCCGTGGTGCAGCGCTGGGGCCATGGGCAGAGGCCTCGTCCCGAAGCTTGCTTACGCCGATTCTACAGTACTCAGGCTGATTCCAAGGTTCACGCACAAGACCATGGCCCGAGTACCCTAGGTCTACGTTAGTGGCGCGTATCGGCCACTAGTCTGCAGCGCTATGTCAATGTTAAACGTAAGTAGCTCGGAGGTTCGTTTGGAATGTTGAACCTGAGACACGGCGCATTTCATATAGTCGACCGGGTGCTGTCGATGAGTGACTGTGAGCGCCATACATAGAGCCGAAGATCTGTACGGCAGCCTTGCTACTCGAAGAGCTATACGGCAGACTCTGACAGCTACTGCCTCGGCCGTGTTGGGACACGTTCAGGGTGAGTGGATCTCCGCGTCTCAACTCGTGCAGGTGCATTGCAAACTGATATCTTCCCTGGTTGCAGGTAGGGGTCCGAGCTCACATTTTTGGATGACGCGGATGCCACAAATTGATGTCGTCTCCCGAGATGAAGTTGGTCGTTTCCTTCCATAACTATCAAGGGAGGGTTTACCGTACGACTACCAGTCGGCAGGATCATATTACGGAGCCTCCAGACTCGTCCGTCTATCGCCTTCTTCAGCCAAATATGGGATGTGCTGATATCGTCAGTGGTAGCCATTATTACCATTATTGTCGTCCTGCGTCGCGACCTCTGAGCGCCGCCAAGCCCCTTCATATCGCAGGTGGCGACACATAGCGCGAACTCTCGCCCGACGTCCACGCTGTCACATCCCGTTAGTGCCCACACCTTTCGTTGCATCTCATCTAAACCCCAGGAGACCAGCGGGAAGTTCACGGGTCATAATCATAACAGGTCAGGGCTCTCCGAGGTGTTCTCTCAAAAGTTCACTAGACCCTCATGCCCAATTTTACGATGATAGGACACAGATAACATAGTCTAACCCACTGTGTCACCAGCCTAGCTGGAGACTCGTTGAACTCAAAGCCAGAACATGATGCATCAACCCTAGGTGTTCGTCATTGATTGCCCTCTGGCGCAAGGGCCTTGATGGCATTGCTCCTGTGGCTCCGGTGAGCGGTGCGTACAGAAATGGCGCGGATGCCATTGGCCTATGTCCGCTCAATGTTGTTCTCTGGTCAAGGAAGTTCGCGTGCGACGCTCCTGCCAATTGCGAGTAGAAATGCCTGCAACGTCACGCACGAAGAGTTGTGGTCGATCCCAACTATGCTTCTAAACCTATCTTTTGTCCTATGCTCTCCGACAGCTTCCTCGCCTTGTGGTCCTGGCAACATACCACAAATCGACCATGTATCACTGGCAAGGCTCCGTTCCAGGGTCGTGGTTGAAAACGTCATAACTCAGCAGATCCGGCATTCTAGACCAGTGGGTGTTCGTATCTTGTTCCGCCTTCTATCTTGCCCTAATAATAACTCACCATTCGTGTGCATCAGACCACCGAGCACCGTGTCTACCCGCAGAATTTGAGCAAAGTGCCAATATCCTGAAGAGCGCTCACTGTCGCTCCTGAACCACACATCACTCCCGACTCGGAGGTTCAGCCCGCGAGAGCAACTGTGTTGTTCTTCTCTGTGCTCCCTGGGCCACCCTACATACAGCGATGTTTGGAGCGGTGGTACCGTCATGGAGACCTTTACGGCAAGTGATCGCCTTATCACTCTGATGGGACGCGGTACTAGACGGCGTACTTGCACTGTGCATTCGGAGCTCGGGCGCTCGGGAGGCGACAACCCCGAGCGCAGCGCTTCAGGCGTCTTTACACCTGCGCGAGTTGATGGCGAAGAAGGTATGTCACTGACCTTGCCCCGAAGTTGCACATTGGAGTTAGGCACAAAACGACACCATGGGTCGACTACGCGCCTATGCCAACCCTCGTGTACTCCAACTCTAGTAGATCGCCTGCATGTAGGTTCGTAGGAAGAGCTCTGCGCAATCTCACAGGCGTAGATCCGTCATCCATACTGTATACAGTAGGTGTTGCTGCGCACACGAGCGCCGATTCTCACTGCATATCAATGACTGACGGAGCAAGTCTATCCGACTTCCCCGGACCGTGGCGACGAGGACCGCCAACCTGGCTACATCACCCTGGAGCTATATTTTTAGCACAAAGACTCCAAGGTAGGCTTCTCCCGCCCTGCACCGATCGACTGTGATTGGTACATATACTAACGGCCAACACGATATCTGGTCCAGGTCTATCTAGGTCACACTCCACCGGTACCGCGTACTACACTTACCGTGCCCACGAAGCTCTGTAGATCATAATTTCAAAGGTGCCGCTGGTTCATCCTCAACTCGCTGAGTCGTGCGGGACACGGCCACGGCGGAGATGTAATCGTCGGGTCGACCCGACGACAACCACTTTGAATATGTTGTGAGTGCCGTAAGACCTGCTGGCATACGCTCTTCTATCTTCTCAGGTCGGCTGGTTGTGTACGACGGTACGATGAGGTATATGTGCTGACCGAGGCGATTTTAGCGTCGCAATGCCAGTGCTACTATCATGGAGATCATTGGAATTAGCGCCATACCTCGCGGTCAACCATTGAATTCCGAATGCATGATGGTCCGCCGGTGCTTGTGGTAATGTAGCCACGTCGTTACGTTGGAGGGCGCCAAGCACCTGATGAGTATTTTTGCAGCACCTCAGGCCCTACATTGAAACGTGTATAGCAAACATTCAGTCTAACCGACACCGACTCGAACATACTCAACGTCACCTACACACTCAGGAAAGCGTTGTCTCCCTGTCATCTAGGTAAGTACTCTCAGTCCCCAAGTCTCGACGAAATTTAGGACTGGAATTGGCATTAGTTGACGTCGTAGGCACAAGAGTCATACCCCACTTTCTGTGTTGCTTCTATCAGAGGAGCTGTAGACTCTGTCCGGCCTTGATGTCCCCATTTGCCTCGATGGATCAAGGCATGTTCACCACCGGCGACCTTGCGCCTCCGCGGAAATGGCCGGGCACGCCCTGCTTCTTTCCGGGCCGTCGGTATCATGGGCGCAGAATGCCATCCAGTGTCAAATGACATCCCGTCGAGGCGTGTTGCACGAGCTCCGGAGGGACAGGCTGTCCAGCGTTCGCGGACATCGAAGGTGGTCAGCCGCCCAATGAATGTCTCTCGTGGATTGTCGCTAGGCAGTCAACCGGACCCCGGTACCTTCATTGAGTGACATTGACAGCCATCATGACATTTCATTGGTAAATAGGCAACAGCCTTTGAGAGTCGGTTCAAAGCCGGGGTGCGATCAGCGCTCGCTGGGCACCACAAGGTTCCGCATGGGCAGGGGGCTAACATACGGCATTCTTCATTCCTTGGACGAGGAAGGCAGCGTAGCAGAAGAGAACGGTGGCTCGGACGATCCACAATCCCATCATTGCTCCATCAACGCCCGCCTTCGTTGAATATGTGATGATAAACGCACTCCGCGGCATCATATGCAGATGACGACGGTCGCGTACCGTACCCCCCATGAGTGCCACAATGACTGGACCCTTTGTGAGATCAGTGTCTCCCTCGAAGGCAGAGAAGTGATGTGTGCGTTTGGCCCGTTTGGAATGACTGACCTGAGTAGGCTGGGTATGTCCTGCGTGGTGCCTCGTAATAATATGGAGTGGCTGACATCGGTAGGGCTGCGAGACAGCCGGGTTGATCCTGTAGTGTCCGCCACGGTCTTGCGCTTAACGAGTGAGCGCGCCTGCGGTCCACGCACATGTGGGCGTCAGACCAAAAGCGGTGAGGCCTGCGCAGACTCAGTTACCACGGATTATCGAGCCAAACCACATTTGACGGTCTTCTTCCGCAAGTAGCCGTCCCCGGACGTCATTGGTGGAGGCAGAGGTCGGGCGTAGGCATAACGGGTGCGTGACTCGTCGTAAAGTGACGCGTAGGGGAACGCGCGCGTTTGCATGGTGGCGGTTAGTCTCCGTTGCAGACCATAAGAGCCGACAAGCGTCGGTGGCGATCTTCTCGCAATGCGAGGTACGCAAACCATATGGGCGGGGCATCCGACGCGCGCAACGCCGTTAACCGAGGCCCCGTGCATGCTAGAGGACAAGAGATCCGCCCCGCGAACTACGGCACTGGCGCCCAGTGTCTGGGGAGTGGACCGGCAAGCTGCGGGGGAGGCTCGCATTGCCCAAGAATAGCTAATCTTCCTACCGGCTCGGGTGCGCTTTGTAAGTTAGCCTTCTTCGGTGCCTAGTCGACAAAGAGAGCGTTGTGGCGAAACGCCCTTGCCAAGAGCCAAGAGACGAAGAGGTGCGATGATAGAGTTCGGGCATCAGCCTGCGGCTTTGTGTCGCTCCTCGATCGAGCGATTGGGCTGTCGCAGGACCCCTATCAATTGGGGGAGAGGCCTGATCTTAATCCGGACAAAATCCGGCCAATTGAGGGGGGTATGCCTGATGTTATCCGGACAAAATCGTCCCTTATGCGGACGGAGGCCTGAGGAAGTATCCGGACATGGTGGTCCATGTCGCGCGAGGCCTGATCCTAGTCCGGACAAGGGCCCGGACAACTCAGAGCACCGGTGGGCCATGAGCGACACACATTACACGAGGCTTATTGAGGCTCATATGTCCGCATCGTAGTTGGGTTGCATAAACAACATAACTGTTCTCACAATGATAGTAAAACTCAGTAGTGTATGCACGCAGGTTTGCCGGGGCAAGAATGTGCGTTCACACAGTACTACTGTAGTACTCCCATTGCATCTGTGCATATTGAAGGTGCGAAGGCGGTGAGTTGCATGGCTCAGGAGGCCTGATCCTGCAATCCGGACACCGAACCGCCTGCCCCGAGGCCTGATGCAGAGTCCGGACAGCACCGACCAGAACCTCGTAAGGCCTGATTTAATCCGGACAAAATCGAAAGGCTACGTCCGGACAAAAAAAGCAAAATCTCGGGTTGCCGGATCAGGCCTCCCCACCAATAAATAGGGGTCCTGCTGTCGCATGGCCGAGGCTGCGCGGCGCGAAAGGCAGACGGATCGCCTCTGCTGTGCGCGAGGGCCTGCCAAGGGCCGCTGGACCTGCACACGATGGCGCTCGGTGTCGGCGGCATCGCGCTCAGGACAGGCCATGCGGCGTTCGGGGGTGTGACGGTGCGTGACGGGTGGGGTGTCGCGGGTCCAGGCAGGGCAGAACCGCTGGGTTGAGGAGGGGTGGGAGGCGCGAAGGATGCGGGAGCAGCCACAGGCCAGGCTGGGGCAGCGGCTGAGGGAGCCTGAGAGAGCAGGAGAGGCCACCCGAGCCGGGGATTCTCTGAATTGTCATGCTCGGCAGGCTTGGCGCCAACTTGGCGCCATGCCAGCTGTACCGCTCCGCCGGGCCTGTTATGCACAGAGTCCGTGCGCGTCCCAGGCGCGTCCATCCTTCGTGCTCTCCAGATGCGATCATGGAGCTCGCAGCACGCCCTGCTGATGGTCTGTCCCAGCTGGCGTCTCACGACCGCTGCATGGCTCTTCCCTTCTCAATAGATTGGCCCCCCTGCCCTGCCATTGGTTCCCCGAGCCTTGCACGTCCAAGTCCGTATCTGCTTTCCGTAACTCGTTCTTCGTATGACAATGCCATGCACGCATGCCAAGATAAATAGAACCCGCCCTCGTCCTACTTCCCCCATAAACACGCCGCACCTCGCCGCCCATCCCGCTCTTGGCTGATCCTCCTACTCCACTCGTGTTGCCCCAGATCGCACTAAGCCATGTCCGTTGAGCCTCAAGGCCGGAAGAAGAGGACAGCCACAGACTCCGTCAAGCAACGCACGACGCCCGAGGATGATCACCGACGTACGCCTCCTCGACAACGTGTCCTGCGCTTCCGACACTAACGCGGGGTGTCTGTCCCACAGGCAAGCGTCGTAACCGTACTACGCAATCATGCCTCAACTGCCACACATCCAAGCGCATGGTGCGTCTAGTGTGGGTTTGCTAATCAGTGTCCTCACGCCGTTCGTTTCCGGTAGTGTGACCGCAAACGTCCGTGCGGTCGGTGCACGCAACTGGGGCTGGTAAGTCATTACGAGCGATGCCGTTGAAGCTAGCATCCTCACATTTATCTCCCATAGACTGGCCTCTGCGTCTACGAGGTAGACGATCCGAGCCGGAAGTGGGTATAGCATCTCGTGCTTGTGTACTCTAAGTAATCCCTATCCTAAAAGGCATCCCAGCGGTGACTCTCAGGATGAGAAATGCCGCCTTCAGAAGCGTGTAGCGGAACTCGAGAGCGTCATCCGGGAGGTGAGGGCATCGCACCTGCCGTCCAGAACGATTCTGACCGCTAGTTTTTCAGCTGAAGAATAAACCGCACCCGCGATGGGTTGCAGGGCAAGATACCAACGACAGAGCCCGCCAGGCTGCGACCTCGTCTATGCCGCCTTTGACAATCAATACCGGTGGTCATTCTTCTAGAGGCTCGACGCCGGATGGACCGAGTCGTACTTCCCCGGTCCCGGAGTCGGGCAGCATGGTTCCTCATGCCCCCAACTTCCCGTCACATAATTCTCCCCTCATGAGCGTCGGGCCGTTGAGAGTGCCCTCCAGCCCTTCTGCTGCCGACAGCTCACCCGTCGGGACTCCTTCTCCCATGTCCATCTCGCCTCTTGATCCACATTTTTCTTGCGGGCTCGGTTTCAACGGTGATTATGACCTCTCTTCGTTATTCGCCTGCTCCGCGGACAAGACGGGCTTGGAGGACAGCTTTTTCGGCGAGATCTGGGACCGACTGGTCCCTCCTAGCGGCGCCTGCGACTCGGCTCGACCAGGCGAGCACTGCGGCTGTCTCAACGACCCCGCAACATACAACGCCATCCTCGAGCTGTCTTTGCGCCTCCGCAAGGCCGCCGACATCCTCGGCCGCTCCACGAGTCACACGTCGGGCTCATCCAACTGCTTGATTAACCAGAACATTGCCGATCTCGACAGATTCACATCGTACGTCCTCGTCCAATCATCTCGCTCAGATCTCCATTATGCTGGGTGCACATGCTGATTCGCGACTGCTCCTGATCACAGGACGGCCCTGGGGAACATCAATGTCCCTCCGGATCCTTTCGGAGCTGCCACCAATCCGAACCGTGCCACGATATCGGCGTCAACAAACGCGTCCGCCACATACAGCACGTTCGGGACGCGGCCAACTCCGAGCGGGTCTTCCCAGGGCGTGACTGTATCTCCTCCCTTGCTGCAGTCGCAGGCGGTCAGGACATGGGACTACAAACCGACTCCGTCATATCCCAGTCCGCCCTGGGAGGACCCATTCATGTCGTGGGCGCCCCAGCGTCGATGAGACCGCGGCGGTTGATGGAATGCACGGTGGCCGCGCCGAGGGACTTCGGGGCGCGGATGCGCGGGGTTGGGATTTGCGTATATAGAGAGGATCTTCGATGGACCGTAGCCGCTTACGGCGAGCATCGAGAAGTACTGTTGTATGTTGGCTACATGTGCATGCGCTCGCTAGAACCATGGCTGTCTCGCATTGGACGCACGTATCGGCCACACAGTGATACATGCATTACTCAGTGTCCCTGCTAGCAGCCGGCCTGAGGAAGCCGGCGTCGGACGGCGTGTACGCTGCAAGAGCTGTATAAGGCTGCAGACTCCAATGGCGTCAGCGGCGTCTGATAGAGGGCCAGAGACCCATCTAGATTGCGTCTTTGATTCCGCGTAGCTTCCCGCAATCTAGATATCCCCTCTGGGCCCAATCAGGCTTTGTTGCCCACCAAGTTCGACGCCAAATATGTTTTACCGTGCCAGTACGGCATGCGCCTCCTCCATTTCACCTCACAAAGGGACAGACACTGAGATAGTGGCCAGCGGAACAGCAACAGGCTGCGATTGCAAGACTCCGCGCGTAGCAGTTGCGGGTGCACTGTAATGAACGCCAAGATAAGCCTTCAGCTACCGGAGCAGTACCTGCCCGACACCTTAGTCACCGCTGGTTATGCTTGCACTGTCCCCGAGGGAAATCAGATAAGTATCCACCTCCACAGGCAAACCATGCAGATCAGCAAATCATTTGGATAGAACGGCATTACCTAGTGGCGCGCCGAGAAGCATCGGAGCCTCGATGTATCCCCGCCCACGCACGGTCTCCCGCGCCCCATGGAGGAGGAAGGGAGAACCGACTGTCCAGCGGTCACGGAACATACGCTGGACCCTGTCGAATACAACACTGCCAAGCGGGAAAACCAGGCACTGCCGTCAGCGAACGGATCGACACAATGAGGAATGTCGGGCGACTGTCAGGCCTGGACTGGCGCGAACATGAAACTTGAACTTAGACCTGGAGAGCTGAGCGAGTACTGTAGTCCGCGGCCATCATGCCCAGACCTGTGGGCTCGTCGTTGGTCCTAGTGCGCTGCACGGCTGGAGATCAGATGAAGGCCAGGTTAATTCATATCATGGCAATTTCGGGGCTGAGGCCCGTGTACAAGATGAACCTTACCATTAAGACAATGAACAGTAGGCATACCACGCTGACCGGCGGATAAACCTGTATAGCATCGAGGTCGAGCTTGGCAGGCAGAACGAAGGACACAATCGAGACATGGAATGCCGTGACATGGCCTGCGGCCCGCCGGTACGCATCAGAGGTCTGCGAGAGCGATGAGGGACGCATGTGCTCGCCGGTGTCGAAGCTGGAGGAAAGTACGTTAGATATTCTAGCAAAAAGGATATTATCCTGCGCGCTTACGTTGCCGCCCATGCTTCCCTTCACGAACAACGCACCGCCGGCCGAGTTTGGAATTTCTCGGCATATGCGCGGCAAGGCCAAGGGGAAGGTGATCCCAGCAGATCCAAAGCATTCCCATATCGGCGTGCCAAGCAGCCAAGCCTTCGCGCACGCGCTTGGCGGCCATTGAAGCTTGCTGCTTATTCTGGGAGCTGGGGCTGCGTTGGTCGGGTCCGAATAGGCGGCCGCCGTTCATAACCAGACATCCTTCTCAACCTCGCTGAGCGATCGTGAGAGGTCCACTCTTCTCCTGCTATCTAATCTATGGTCCCGTCCCACAGTGCACAGCCTACTGCATTTCGGAACGGAAGAACACTCGCCTGGCTTCTCCTCATTATGGCCGCGACCATCTAGTCGGGACTCGGAGCGGTAAGGGCCCATCCCGATCAAAATTATAGCACAGCGACTGGGCCACCACCGCAGCGATCATCGACACAAGAGGTCGAGTGTACCACATGAGGGGAATCAGTAGCAGCAATGTTGCTCTTACAAGCTGGATCCTTCTGTCTGGGCATTCAGAACTTACCATCAGCACGGAGACTGACGAAGTGAGGCTGTGAATTTGCGATGGGCACCCCCGTTCTCATCAGAGAGGAAGAGGGACCCTGACAATCGCTGCGAGAACGTCTGAAAGGCCGAGCCCGAGTACAAGGCGACTGTGGAGGATACTGAGCGGAAGGAAGGACATCCGCCAGAAAACCACCGATGAGTGCGGAGGCCGTCAGAGACAAGACTCACTTGGGTAACCAGTCAGGCGGGTGCCTAAGGCTTCGTCGCATTCACAGATGACCGACGCAACTTTCCCAAAAGACGGGAGACGCCATGTCACGAAGCTCTGTCGGTGTCAGCCAAGCCTGCTGAGCGAGCAAAGACACCGTGGAGTGACTACATACAGCGGAGGCCGCAAAGGCTTGGTCATTGAACCAGGAATCGGCGGTGACAATTGCCTGATGACCTGTATGCACCTCGACGTCTTTGGCGGCCGAGCTGCTGCACTGATAGGAACGCGGGACGCAGGCCTTCCATTGTGCTGTCCGATTCATGACGACGGGCATATGATCAACGGTGATTCAGCGCATCGTAGGTGAGATCGTTAGAAAGAACACGAGCCTTGTGAGATATCGTCTCGGGCACGGTGTCAGGAGGGTATGCGGCTGACATAGTGAATATTCAAGAATTTAGCGGCTGCCAGACGATGGAATCAGACATATGGTATGCATATGGAGAACTCACATCTACTGCCCTTCCCAAAACGAACGACGCGTATACGCACGTAGGGCAAGATGCAGGAGCCCGGGACATGCCATAGCACTCAGTGAACACCTCATCTATGCCGTGGTCGTCACGGAGGAACCAGCAGCTTCACAAACAAGGTCTGCTCTGCATCCTTTGGCGTTGTGCTGCCATAAGTGTTAGTAATGCAAGCATGCCCAAGGAACGCTGCGTACTCTCTCATCTATTATGTTTCACGTTGACGAGGTAAAAGACCATGTCGATTGCAACTGACTTGTCCCATGACGATCCTGGTGCGCACAAATACCATTCCTAGTGCCAAATAGATCAATTCCTGCATAATGGGCAGCCTTCCTCGCCGATGTTCGTCAGAAGCGTTTTTTGCAGGAATTCGGATCGTCGCACCGTCCAAACTATCGTGATACGCTTCCACGGAACTCTCCGATCATTGCCAGTGCGTTGCGAAGGAGCCTTATAGATGTAGACAACCCTATAGAGTTACAGCCATGCGATATGTCGACTGTCGAGGCTCGTACTTACGTTGAGGATGAGTACATTGGCACTCCGAGAAAGATGGAGACGTTGCTCGAACACATTTCCAAATTCGGCGGAGTGTTGTTCCATGTTATTAGTCAGCTTTTCTCAGCCACCTATATAAGCGCCGCTGGTATGCCTCAGTGTTCAACATCGTTTGTAACAGCGAGCGAGCATGGCTTCACATCTGGTGCGTGCTCTGCTTTCTTCGCATTTGTGCATTTCGCTGATTCTGCGCAGGCAAACATCTTTGGTACGGAGCAGGATCGCGTCAACTGCTCCTTCTACTACAAAGTGAGTGGCTCGCTACTCCTTCCGAAGTTCTCCAGACTAACTGGGTCTGCAAAGATCGGTGCATGCCGACACGGCGACCGCTGCTCACGAAAGCACATCAAGCCAGCGTTCTCGCAGACGATCCTCTTGCCCAATGTCTACCATAACCCGGCCCACGACCCCATCTGCAAGTTGACCGACAAGGAGCTGCAGGAGGGGTTCGACGCGGTTTACGAGGATTTGTACTGCGAGTTGGCGAAGTTCGGGCATCTCCTAGAACTCCACGTAAGTCTTGCGTTCGTGTTCGCGCGTTCTGTGTAGCTAACAGTACGGGTTAGGTCTGCGACAACGTCGGCGATCACCTTATTGGCAATGTGTATGCTCGGTATGAGTGGGAGACGGAGGCACAGGCGGCCGTGGACAATTTGAACGACCGTTGGTACGCAGGTGAGTACAGCCTACCTCAGACGTTGTTCCGAGTCCATTGCTAACAAAGGGCCTCTAGGTCGTCCACTATACGCCGAACTGTCGCCCGTCACCGACTTCCGTGAGGCATGCTGCCGTCAAAATGAGAATGGAGAGTGCAACCGTGGGGGCTTCTGCAACTTCATGCATCTTCGCTTGGCATCAAAAGACCTAGTGAAGTCTCTCCAGGCCGGTCAGAGACTGGAACGGAGACTGCATCCTCAACAAGCCGGTGGTGGCGGAGGATGGGAACCCACAAAGAGGGAAGGACGCGGACGTAGCGCGTCTCCGTCTAGGAAGGGCCGTAATGACGGTGAAGACAGATGGACTCGGAAGTAGGACCGAGTTGATGCCCTGCGCCGTATTCCATTGCTCTGCTCAGTGCTGTGATCCTGTCTGGTCGTACCGAGATTTTGCCCGCGTGTGGAAGCGCAAACATGTACGATGCTCCCTTCTTGTCCCCTCATTTATGCATTCCTTTTCGGTGCGCATTTCAGGTTCAGATGTGAGGTTATTGTGCGTCAACGACCGACTCATTACAGCGTAAGCCACGTAAATTTAAGGCACGGCCAGCGCGATGCAAATAAGCAATGTGTCCAAGCGGCCATTTGTATGCTGGCACGTACACCTTCGACTTCGAGGATTGATGTTCGATATCGCGCCATTGACAGCGACGTGGAAAATGTTCGGATATCCTAGCACTGCCTCCCGGTCCACTCGGGAATGAGTGGGCATTAGGTGGCACGCCGATACGCAATCGCGGTTATCGCGAGGGCATAGAAGGTTGATATCCGCGGTCTGAACGCATTCTCTGCCGAGGATAGAGAAGGATGGTTCAGACGAGCCACCCGAGGTGGTCGCCTCTTCGATTATCTCTCAGCAATCCGGGCCACTGGACAATGAACCTGGAAACAGCTCAGTACACACGCATGTTACGAAATCCCGACAAATACCTGTCAACGAAGGGTCTCAATAGCTTCCCAGAAAGAGACAGCGAGTGCACTCGTGCGAAAGACTCGACGTAGACTAGCCGCGGTGACTCGAGACCGAGGATCTGTACGCACGAACCAGTGCCGAATTAGCCAATGTCTCGGGCCAGAATATTTGCTGTCAAGACGCACTCGGTTCAGAAATACTGCCAAGCACAGGACGAAGCATGTGCCGGGGCCATTCAGGATGAGAACATCCGCGAAGTAGGTGCGCGTTACGAAAGGTATCACAGTGACATGATAAATGCACGCCAGCAGAGAGCGTGCGGCGGTGACGGGGGTCGTATAGAGCGGCTGATGCACTCGCCGAGCCCGCGGGATGGTCAAGATGGTGTAACGTTCACGTACTCTGTCCTTCAAAGGGATGCGGCACGAGCCTTGTTCAGCCACGCATGTAAGTCTGACATCGGAGGAGATATACAGACGACGTGATTTCCAAGATCCGCAGCTCTGCTAAGTTCCAAGGCGGCGGCTTTCCTGGCGCTGAGGGCGTCACCTTCACTAGTGATGTAAGTTCGAGGCGAGTAGCGGTTGAAGTCAAGGGCCGACAGCAGCATCAAAGCTTCGCTGGTATGGCCGCCTGGCAGACATATTGTAGAATGTCCTGTACATCGGATGACGCCAACCACTCACCAGATCCAAGGAACACTGCAAGACGGCAATGCTCTGAACGACGCCTCGTAGGCCGAGACGTTGGCTTCCGCGTCAACAGCACACATGATACACGCCACAGAAGACCCAGGAGACAAGCCCAGAGACACGAGTCAAGAAGGCCAACGGCCATTTGTCCTCGGGAGATCGAATACTGGACTATCGGGAACCTCGAGGACCTGTATTCTTCTCTCCGGAGTACCACCCTCGAATGGCGACTCGAGAGCCCGTCAGCTCCTCGACCCCAGATGAGTTTCAGTGACGAGAGTGCCCTTGCACCGCGGACAGTGGTGGAAGGACTCCTTGCGGTGGCGAGCAGGTACCCGTACCGACACCGAGGCCCATGCGGCGGAGTTCGATGCGCGTCTTGGACTCTGGACGCGTCGGTCCTCCGGCGCCTACGCGCATCGCGGCTTTGTGCCACTCCTCTCTTCATCTGCCGCGCTCACGGTCATCCTCCCGCTTGCTCCAGTTCTGCGTGTCCACCCCAGGCTCCCTTCTGCGGTGCGGTACCTTGCGTGCTTCAACCACCCGCCATGGCTTCAGCTGTAATCGTCGACGCCGACATGGTGGCCGCTCTCCGCGACGCGGTACGCGAGTGTGGCGATAGAGGACTGATCAACGCGTTCAAGTGGTGAGCTACAAACCACTTTGAATGTTGAGCTATCGTCACACACGCCCGCGCAGGGCGTCTGAACTGCTCCTAGGAATCCCGGACCAAAAACGACGTGCCCCACCTCCGCCAAACGAGGCGGTCGCGGCACCAATCACACAACCTAGACATGCCAACGCCCCGCGGCTCCAGTCTCTTCCTGAGAATGTTCGCAGGCAAGAGAAGGAGTGGGAAGAGGAAGACAGGGACTACATCACGACTGCTCGGGCACTCTTCGATGGCAAGGACTTTGTGAGGGCTGTCCACTGGCTGAGGACTTGCAAGAGTGCAAAGGCTCAATTCTTGAGTGTATATAGCCAGTATATGGTGAGTCCGTATATATGCTTGCAGTTGGCCGCAAAACATAAATGTGCAGGCTAGTGAGAAACAGGCTTTGAGAGATTGGTATAAATTGGACAGTGCGTATGCCCCGTTGTAAGAATTCCAACGCGGTAAGAGAGTATGTCTCACAGAAACGCGCCACCAACCTATACTACCTGTCAACACATCTCTCATTGACCTGCTGGAGATGGTAAGGAACGCAACAGATCCGTTCCTGCTTTTCCTGTGCGTTCATATTCGTTATATTCCGTTGACCAGCAGTCACGTACGTTCAAAGCACACTAGGAAGGCCCTGTTTCTATGTCGGCTAAACCGCCGAGAAGAAGCCATAGAGAGCGCCCTCCTATCTATTGCCTCGTACCCTTGGAATTGGTCGACATGGATGGTATTGGGTGAATGCCTAGGAGATAGCGAAGAGGTGGGCGATACGACCCTTACGGAATGCTCGCCTAAATACGTCAACAGCTATCATCCATGCTGCCTTTACTGCCGTTGCCACCGACACATCCACTCGTGCAGATGTTCCAAATCAAGACATTGAACACTTTCCATAGCCCTACGGATAATGAGTTGGGCTTATGTGATCGACTGCTTGGAGAGGAGCTCTTCCCTCGCAGTCTTTGGATCATGTCACTCCGCGCCGGAGTGCTGTATCATATGCATGGTTCGTCAAGCCTTGTCCGGAGGTATTCGTCGCTCTATTCACATCCGGCCCGCTGCAGACTTCAATCAGGCTGCAACACAGTTCCAAAAGATCTTCGCTGTTGATCCCTATCGCATAGACGATATTGACATATATTCCAATATTCTCTACGTGACAGAGGATCAGTCTGCGTTGTCTACAGTGGCACATGAATTCACTATCATCGATAAAGACCGCCCAGAGATCTGTTGTCTCATCGGTAAGTGACAGTTATGTGAGAAGCGCGCGGTCTGCTCTTACGACCCTGACAATGTCGTATTACCTCAGGGAATTATTTCTCTCTTCGAAATGACCACGAGAAGGCCATCAAATACTTCAAGCGTGCAACTCAACTGGACAGAACATATCTGTCCGCGTGGACGCTGATGGGCCACGAGTACGTGGAGACGAAGAATTCCCATGCAGCCATCGAGGCGTACCGCAAAGCAGTAGGTGCGGCAGGCACAGTTCCTCCATCTGCCAGACACATGAACGCTAACTGCTTATGTCTATTGCACCCTCGCTCGGAGGTAGATGTTAATCGGAAGGATTACCGCGCATGGTACGGTCTAGGGCAAGCTTACGAGCTGCTCAGCATGCATCAGTATGCGCTCCATTACTACCAGCGAGCCACAGCGCTACGGTAAGCCCAGTTTATGCTTCCTATCACCTATCTATCCGCCCACTTTTTCCGATATTAGCACCGCTCGTAGACTGACTAAATTCTGATCGCACAACAGGCCGTACGATGTCCGCATCTGGCAAGCACAGGGCATCTGCTATGAAGAAATGGGACGGTGAGGAACTCGATGCTGTCGTACGCGTTGCCGTAACACTGAAAGGGGATGTCCTTCCGTTCTATGTTCTGGCAGACCGCGCGAAGCCATGGAGTGTTTCAAGCGCGCGCTGATCGGGGCGGACCCGTACGAGACGAACATTCATCTCAAATTGGCCAAGCTGCACAATGACCTGGACGAGTTCGCAGAAGCTGCGAGTTACCACAGACGGGTGATGGATGTGTGCCAAGCCGCAAGTGCGTACTCTCAGTTGCGCGTCTTTACGCCTTTCCATCCCCCCAATCCGGCTTCTCGCCATCCGCCCTTCTGTCCGTGCGCATGCTGACTGCATTCTATTTCTCACTGTGGATGTGTTAGATAAACCAGTGGCAGAGTACGCCAAGTCGTCCGTTTACGTTGCGCGCTACACATCATCCACGGCGGAGGGGATTTGGTCTTGGCGAAAGAACTCCTGGAGCCCATCGCTTCCAGCAATGCAGAAGAAGTCGGACAGGCGACTGAGCTCCTGAAGAGAGCAAGGATCGCGTTGGCCAAGATGCAGGCGGACGCCGCCCAAGCACAGAGTCAAACTCAAGCTCCTCATGGTGCCGGGGGTACCAGTCAAGCTGGCGGCGTCTGATTTGGTCTGAGCTTGCGTCTGTGTGGATAGCATTGTATTGTAATTAGGTCACAAAGTTCCGGGACTGTTGTACTCTGCGCCCGTGCGGCCGATTGTATTGGGAGCGTAAGTAGCAAGAACGTATTCGAGATGTGTTACCGAGATCCCTCTCAGGTTGGCGCCCACAGGGCGCCCATGGCGGCCGTGGCAATCGACCGGAACTTGCCGCGATCGGCCACCTGCCCTGAAGCACGCGAGCGCCACGAATCCCACAGTCACGCGGTCACGAGCTTCAGTGGAAGACAGCAAACGTAACAAAACAAAACAAATCGCCCAAGGGCTGAGATGTCGAAAATCCAGGCTAATTCGCAGTCTCTCTCTCCTACTCCCTCCTCTGTCCAGCTCTCGACCACGCTCAATGTCGAAACCGGCGGATACGCGCGGTCCAGCGGTCGCGACTCTGCGTACGCTACTCCTGCACCAGAGTTGCAGACGCCAGTCCTTGCCTCCAGCTCGACTCTGGACATAGACCCCATCACCGTCGACGATGGACCTACGAGATCGATCAACAGCCTGAAAAAGAGGGCCGGATACAGGCCATTCCCAGATGTGGAGGCTGTGGCTGCAAGAACAAAGAGGAGGGCTGTGGCCAAGGACCGACTGGCAGACGAGGAAGATGCCATGACACAAACGGCTACACGGTGCGTAGGCTTGTGCACCGCACGTTTTCATCACGTTGTAACAGCTATCTGTAGGCTCGCCTCTCGCCTAGCAGAGGACCACGACTCTGTCTTGTATCCCGATGTGGATACACCATTCACGGATGTCCAGGATGTCGTGCGCCGTCTCCTCCATACCATGTCTTTCAACACCCCAAGCAAGATCTGGATGCCACTATTCATCGCCCCTTGTTCTCATCGTTGAAGGGGAAAAGCAAGGCGACGGAAGCAGACTACATACGAGAAGAAATGGCAGGTACGGCACACTACACTCATCACAGCTTGGATATAAGGCGACCTCATTTGTGCAGAAACACGTTTTGCTATCAAATGTTGGCAGAGGCGGACGTCATTAGAAGAGCGATTCCGACGGGCACGAATAGAGGAAGGGAAGGTGCGTCCTGACTCTGTTTTTGTGTTGGTGGATGTGCTAAATTTGACCGGTCGACAGCGCGCTTCTCCTGGCGATCAGGCCTACGTACTTGCACAAGCCGTGCTCGAAGGGGAACGCGCCGAGACTGTAGCTACCAATGCTGAGCTTCGGGCTGCGCGCTCTGAGCTTGACAAACTCGAGCGCGAGCGACGAGCCGCAGCGCCTCCCCCTCCCCCTCCTACTACCCCGCGGCAAACATCTTACTATCCGACCCCCTCGGCGCCCACCGCGTATACATCGCAATATCGTGGCTACGCATATCCCTATGCGACACCATACGGAGCTGCACAATACACGCTCAGCCCTGCGTTTCAAACAGCCGCTTCATACTCTACGGCACTAAATAGCGCTCAGAGGGTCGGACCGGCGTACGGGTCAGCATATGCACCTGCTACCCCTACTTCGGCGACGTCCCACACGACAGCCTATTCACCCTCAACACCCGTATCTTCTACGCCGGCCGCGTCTTCCCCTCAGGCGCATTATCGGCCACATACCTCCAACATGACCAACACGACGCCGACGATCTCTGCTATTCCCGTGCAGTTGCCCGTCACCCATCTGCCTGCGCTTAAAGCGATTGGTTTGGATCCTGTGCCCATCACCTCTCTCCCGCCTGCGAGCCAACCACGCCCTGCGGCTATTCTCAGGTCACAGACGGCCACAACGATGCAAATAGACATCAATGTTGCGTCGTTGCAGCCTGCACAGATGAACGGGTTGGCTCTCATTCTCAACACGCTGACGTCAAGGGGCGTGGCTGTGGACGGCAGCACGGCGCCGAACACTAACACCGCTGTCGGGAATGGTGCGCCGACGGCGGTGCCTGCTGCAACGGATGCGACGACGACGTGAATGCCAGGGCGGTTTGAGGTTGTCTTGTAACCTTATTGGCATAACGTAACCCTTGACCTAGTAGACGATGGATGTTGTGATGTACTCGGTAGGCACGATCCGCGAAATAGCATGTTTCAACTGTATTTTGTATCTTGTACATAGGTACAGCACGCTGAGAAAGTGCACACGGAAAGTAAGTATACCCGAGATTGGGGCTGTTGCCGCCAGGCCCCGCGAATGTGCCGCACGGAGATTGTCCGAATCTGGCGGAGGTGGCAAAGATTGGGCGTGAGTGGCCCGAAAAGGCAAGGTCATGCTGGGCTTTCCAGACCGTTCTTGTCGCCGTTTGCCATGTCGAGCAGCCCTCCTCGCTCTTTCTGGCCCGACGCTAGCATCTGTCGGCCGCAGTACTCTCCTGCGCTCCACCGTCGCTCGCCCAAAGCGCGACGGCGCTGCTCTGTTCGCCTCCGGGGTGCCTCCATGACGCTACGCTACCGCGCGCCACCGAGTTGGGGTGAAGATTGCGCTCTGATATGGCGCTCGCTCCCAGCCTCGAAGACCCCCAAAACGCAATGTGAGGCTTGTTCTGTCACCTGAAGTCGACCTATATAACGGACGGTGCGGCGCGAGGTGAGCTCCGTATAGTCTCGACGAGCAACACACACTTGCCTTGCTACTCGACCTACTTGAACGTGCCTGCAACCCTGTACCGCGTATAGCGTCCCATATCATCCCGCCTTCACACTATCCAGCCACAACCCACGATGTCGTCCACCCCCGAGCTCTCTGTGTTCTCCAACCTTCCTGCGGAACTGCTGCGAGACATCTTCGAACACGCAGCTGCCGACCTAGCGACGGCGCGTACATTGTCGCTCGTCTCGTCCGCGGTACGCCGCTGGACAGAACCCCTCCTCTATCAAACGGTGGTTCTATCGTCGTCGCGCAGCCTGCGTTCATTCCTGACCGCGGTCTGCAACAAACCTGCGGACTTCGTACGCACCCACGTCAGGCACCTTGGCATATTCGCACTAGGACCGGTCCAGAGCATCGACCGCGTCTTACGCGCGTGTCGCGGCGTGGACAGCCTCGCATGCGGCTTCAACCTCCCTGGCTACAAGCAAGTCCAGGGCTGCGACGCGTTGCAAGCTCTTGGAGGCTCGCGCGAGCAGCACCTGCTCGGGCTCTCCTGCCGCGACGGGTGGGACACCACTGTCGTCGCGCCATCCGTAACTCACCTGCGCATCCACGTCACCTCCTTCAACAGCGGCGGCACGTCCTCGTTCGCGTTCGCCCCTGGGCCGGGGACCCCGCCCGAGTCTGGCTGGGAGCAGCTCGCCAATCTATCATCGCTCACGCACCTCGCCATCGTCTACCGCCACTCTCCATGCACTCCCCCGAACGAAGTGTTCCCGACGCTGCAGCGCTTGCTGGCTCTCCACGAGACCGTGCCAGAAGAGGCGAATCCTCCTCGCCTCGAGCTGATCCTTGTTCAGGTGATAGGCGGATTGGTAGCTAGTCCCGCGGCGAACGCCGCCGTTGAAGCTATCAACGCCGCTGCTACAGAGGCCGGTGGGCCCTCGCTGCGTATCGTCGCCGAGGGCGCACCTACGTCCGTGGTCCGCCAATGGGAGGCTGCAGTTCGGGGTGGCCCGGGTATATGGGAAGGCGCCGAAGAAGTTGTCAAGAAGAGATTGGCCGCTGCTGCTGCTGACAAGTAGTCGCGGTTCGCATGGTGTTCGACTGTTACCTGGTATATACCCTCTCATCCGCTGGCCGTGGATCGGATCCATGTTACCCACTGCAAACCCTGTTACCCATTGTAGTTTAGTCGTATCTCGAGACCATCATCATATCTGTATATTAGCTGTTATGTGAATGCTCCCATTTTCCGCCACCTTGACACGCAGGAACCTGATTTGATGCCTCTGTGCCGCGTGCAGCAGATGTGATCCCTTCAGAAGTAGCTGCCTGTCATAGGGAACGCATACCAGCAACGGCCCCTAGGACACTTGACATGGGAGCTTGGTCATGGCATGACATCCCTTACGAATGTGGTCGCCAGCGTCAAGTCCCGACAACCAATCTCTTGACGACTAATGACGAATAGCACCCTTCTCAGGACCCAGCTCCTCATTCGCGATAGGCAAGCAGATGTTTGGTGTGAGGAACGAAGCGACCCTAGCGTCATACTTTCAGGTGGATGCATGAGCACGCACCGTCACGTTCGAGACCGGCCGGCAGCGCTGTCTTCCGTCGAATCGCGGGCTTTCTGTGTCAACGGTGTGTCCCGGCCACCGTCAGCAATGTCGCTGACAATTTGTCCATTGTGTCCTGTAGATACGAAGGTCTCGGAGGGATATGTCGTGTCCATCAGCCTCGCGAAGGCGTCGACGGTGGCAGCGCACGCATGTCAAGCAGCACGCGCGGATCAAGGAGACTGTATCAATGAAGACACGAAGTAGACAGGAGTCACATTAACGACAGACAGGTAACAACACAGATTCAATGTACTCAGCGATTGCGGCATTGAGACCACGCCTAATGCCCGAATTCGATAGGTGCATGCACGCATTGCCAAACTTGAAGGGGTGCCTTGCTGTTCGCAATATGTATGGCCCTGAAAGATCAAGGCAAGGTACAACAGAAGGGACACCGGAAATGCTCACCCTGAGCCATACCACATGCGTAAGTTTGAAATCAGGACCTAACTGGAGATGTCCCTGGAGGAGTCACCCTCTGACGCCACAACGTGCCAAGCCTTCCGAGCAGGAAGCTTCGCCCGGACTGCTTAGTACGTAGATGGCTGGCCGCGTGCGAGGAGACTCGGTGCAATCCACAACAGGCGGCAAGTCCATTGAATGTCACGGATGTGCGACTCGGCGTGACAAACCTGCTGCAACATGAAGCGGTGACCGGGGACATCTCGTGAGGGCATCTCGCTCGATATGCAGATGGACTAACCAAGCTGGGGCCAACATCTGGGCCATGCCTTTGGGTCGTTGAACACAGATCGTTTACTGGCCAGTCCACGCACAACTTCTCACGTCCGACGATTCGGTCGCATCCGAGATGGCCGAAGTGTCCGACTTTCGATGCTGCTAGCCAGAAGGAAATACCAAGCGCGTCGGTGTTAATAAGAGGTTCGTGAAGGAACGTACCACTCTGTGCGAGTAACCAACCCTAGGCCAGGATCATCCAATGGTCAGACGTTCTACAGGTATGCATAGCTATCGTCGCACTCTATGCAAACAACTGAAAGCATGTTACACAGTGAGAGCCAAGGCTCCACCTGCTGAAACCTGGTTGTACAGAGGTTGTAGGTCAATAATGTGCCCGGATTCAAGATGGCCGACAGAGTTGAGAGAGTGAGCCAGGACGCCCGCGTCAGTCGGTGTTTCCAAATATAGTTAACTTACCGATGCGCCCACAGGCGTCCATATCGCCGCCCTTCCCGATCTGTCCAGTACCTGTCTACTAGGACTGCCAGTGGATGTGATACAAAGCCCGTATATCGCCTACAATTCATCCCTCCGTGCTGCGGAACATCGTTCTCATGATCGCCTTCAATCACGAATAGCAGCCATTGAAGTGCGGCACCGGCCTACCAACGAGAACTCGAGGAAGCGGCGGTGGACCTCGGACCCTGAGTCCGCGACTGCCTCGCGAACATCGCAAGAAGACCTTGCCCGGAAACCTTCGTCCTCAAGCTCTTCAACTTCCTGCAGATTGCCGAAGGTCATAAACTGGATAACTTCGCTCGCCCTGTCCCGGCCCGTGTCGCTTTCAAATCACCAGTGTTCAACATTCAACCCTGGTTGAGTTCGTAATCATGCTTTTGTCGGTCAAACACGCATCTTTGCTTTGTTCTTCTGGCGATGGATACAGCATTGCTCCAATACATAACACATTGCTTGCATATCGAAGTACGTCCGTTCGGAGGTAAGTCCACGCTACGCTTCTGGCCACTACTTCACGCCCTGGAGAAGCTAATATGATAGTATGATAGATCCTGTAGTATACTGCAGCGGGCCTCTCTCAGAGCGGTGAATTGACACACCTTCCTAGAAGCTTCGCGACCATCCTTCCTATGGAGTTGGCAGCCGCATGCCATCCGCTATCGGGGCTGACCACGAGCCTACCTGAGGGTTAGCTGTTCCACTTCTCGACGAACACGTCTGAGGTCGGCGCTGCTCATCTGCGAAGCTGCAGGCTCGAAGGTTGACGCATGCGCCTTGGTAAGTGCACTGGTATGAATGGTGGCTAGAGCCTGAGGGTGAGCCTGCCTCAAGTCATAACTGATAGATTCGTACTACCGCAGCCTTACAGGGTTTCCATGTCATTCTGCCTTGACAATTTGGGTGTAACTCATCTACGGCGCAGCCCCAGTATATCGAACGCTTCCCAGTGTCATTGGTCAAGCCCGGCTTCATCATGTTCCTCATATCCCCATTCTGGAACATATACAACTCGTTGGGTGAATGCGCATCATGGTCGGGCGGCATGCATTGTATCCTATCAGAAGACCTCCTTCCCACTGGACCACAATGGAAGGCATTCACGGCGGTCTTCTTGGGCTGGAGCAGTCTGTGCGAGCCTTATATGGTGTGCGCCACAAAGCATGCAGCGCTGAAGGTTCTCATGTTCCGCCGATACCGTGACATCGCACCGCTCCATTAGTCTCAGCCATCGCTTACAACGCTGTTCAGTAGAGATGAGTCGAGACACGAATTGCCGACAGCACTGTGGCCCTTGGACCCTTTACCCTACCAAAACACGAGCCTGACAATGACAGTCACTGTCCCCCCTGCCCTGCTTCTGACTACGCCTGCCGGAACCGAAACTCGAATGTCCCGGATATAAGTGAGATGGAGTCTCCGCGTTGAGCCGGTGCAGAGACGCTGTGTAGAAGTTTACACGCCAGCTATTAGCGTCACTGCCATTGAACGAAGAAAGGCACCTAATTCACCCGCTCATCTTCCACGCGCGCTCCGTGAACAAATGGAGCAAACAATACTGCCAACGGCAATGCCACCGGTAAGGACTACTTACAACGAAGTGGTCTTCAAAACGAATCGTGAGTCCTTGATCCACATCATCAAGTACAACGGCGGCCGTGAACATTATAGTACATAGTACGAACACTATCATAGTATACATTAACGGAATACGTCGAAGACACAGCAGTATCATAGTTAATACATAAAAGGGCAGCATGCTTACACTAGAATGTTCACACCTTCCGGATCAAGCCCTTCTGTAAACAATGCCCACCTTTACCTGCAACTGGACCGGCCGACGGCGACCCACGTCCGTACGCACACGAGGTCAGAGGGTCATGACTGCCATTGTGGATCCTAATCTCTTCAGATGAGTTTGGACGAACATGGAAGACATCAGCTCACGCACCCGTCGTCCCACGTCGCCACTGTGCCGGATCCTCTCCGTCAAAATGGTGTTGGTGTTGGTATCCTCCCTCCAGACTGCCAGGATATCGTCGGATCATGTGCGATGCGGGATAGTGGCCGTGTCGGACCATAGCATGTGCGAAGACACCACGTCGTCGCTACGCTCGACCTTGACGTACGGCAGCTCACCGTAGCCAGCTTCGCCGCCACCCATGATGTGAGGCAAATGGGATGATGTTTGTCCGCCAATACCGCTCATGGACGAGGCCATATGCAGACCGCGATCGGTGGGCCGGTGGTGCCTGACATCGTGCAGAGGCAGGTCATGGCTGCCGTACATTTGACGATCATGCGATAGTGGGACCTGTTGATGTGAATCCCTTCCCCAGAGGACGAATGCGTAGGGTCCGCGTGGCCAAATGCCCCCATAGCATATGCAGGCATATGCCATGCCTCTGGACGCTGTACTGACGGTGGTCTTTCAGGTTGATTGTTCGACATGTATGGATGATCCGAATGCAACTGGATAGACGGCGCAGCCTCCGCCGCTTGCGATTGGCTGGAGTAGGCGTAAGAAGAGGGGCCCGCAGATGGATAATAGAATCGATATGGTGGTTCGTCAGCACCGCTATCGCCGTTGTACACGACGGCGGGTTCCTCCGCCGCTTGGCTCTCTTCCGACGTAGGTTCGAATCGCGCCATAGCTATAGGAAGCAAAGAAGGCGGAAGTGCTTGCATGATGTCGTCACTATACACGGCATTCATTAGCTCACGCTTGTCGATAAACGAGATTAATACTCATACTAACAACGCTTGACGTGCGAGCTCCCATCTGGGCCTCATGCTACTGAGCATGCCCAACAGAGAAAAGAGGTCCCTAGCCTGCTCTTCTAGCGCTGGCGGTACGGCAGAGTCGTCAGCCATAGAACCACGACCCATCTGTTCAGCGTCCTTCGCGATCTGTGCCCACAAGTTGACGAGCAGGACACCGGCATAGACGAAGCTGAAGTGTACCGCAACAGTATATCGCGGGAGTCCTCTGAGGAGCAACACCTCCAGAATGCGTGTTCCGGCCTTTGCCGCATTGGCGCATATCGCAAGCGCCGCGAGCGATCCTTCGCTGCCCTCCTGGTGCGCGTGATCACCCGACACGTGAGCCCGTGGGATAGAGAGAAAGGCTTGTAGATGGTGATCTGGACGATGTAGTATGTGAGATAGAGCATCGCAGATTGAGACGCGAAGACGTCGTTGTCCATCTCAGGCGACCACCTCACTACTCAATATAAGTGTCAAGATACATGCTTGTCGAGGAAAGGGACTTACAGTGCGGAGGTAGACTCTCAATCCATTCAAGCAACGCCTTGTTGAGTCTCTCGATGACCTGCTCCCTCCAACGGGGCCCCACGAGGCCCAGAGGCTGCTTGAACCTACCAATGACATACTGCGACGGGCCGCGTTAACGCGCACGAAAAAGTGTTAGTTCATGGCGCACTCACCAGCGTCCTTAAGACGAAGGCCGAAATTTGGCTCAAGCGGACCCAGTAGACGAAGGCAGTCATGATCGCGGGCTTTCCGGGAGGTTGCTGGAACGCTAAATCGGGATCATCGGTTTCCCAATATTCATCATCAACTTCCATTGGCAAGTCCAGATCGAAGCTATACCGGCCAATAGATGAGCACTATCCCGGTAGACGTGAGCAGCAAGGCTCACTCTTCGTCTCTGGAGCAGCACGGTCTACCTATGAGCAGACTGCCTAGGCGATCAATGGCAATGAGATGCCATATGGTCCGTTTCCAGAGCTCCTCCTCGACAGTCGGCTTGCGGCCGTACACCTTCCGGCGATGTGCGCCCACGTCCTGTGCCTTGATGATACCAATGCTGATGAGCGTCCAGGACTCCGCATGTCCGATCGTCCCACGGAAATACATTCCCATCAGCTGTCAAAGAAACATGCTCGTCATCGATGGGGATGGTAGGAGCGATCTGAAAGCATACCACGAACGTCTGAATTTCGAACAGGTTCGGCGGGAGGAATAGGCTGCGACGTCGACGGTGCACATCTACGAGACATTATCAGATGGGCGCGATGCTATCAGAGAGTTCTACTGAGCACACCTAAGGCTACATCGACGAATGTCCATCCCGCTAGTGCCCATGCACCGTTGTCAGACCCGTCCGGCGCAGTGGGTGCGGTCCCATCCGGAAGAATTCGAGGGTCGTCGCTCCACCGGCTGGCCACCGCAAACAGGCCCATGCACACGCAAGCAAACCACACGTCGACTTTGTATAAGCCGGATCTCCACTGTTTCTGGAATGTGGGGCGGTGGAGGAGCGGGAAGAGGCTATTGTTCCGTGCGAAGTAAAGCTCGATGAGGCTCTCCGCCAGATCAAGAGGAGGAAAGTACGACATGATGAACGGCGGTGTCACCGAATAATCAGCACCTTCAAAGGAGATTTCCCACTGAATACGACCGTTACGATGAACAAGGATGCGCCAGGAGCAGCGGAACACGCACAGGAAGAGAATCCCAATAGTGCGCACGCCTGGGAGCGAAGGCCCCGGTCCGGGAGCCAGGACGGGCTTGCTCGGGGGAAGAGCGGGCAGGTGATGATGGCAGGGAAGACCCCGTTACCTCGTCCAAGTGTCGCTGCTTGAGCTCTCGTGCGGTGTTGATGAGCTTGAACGAGCTGCTCTTCCCGTGGAATCGCCATTGCCCGTCGACAGCTTGCGCTGAAGCGACATTAGCTGGGCGGAGCCCGTGTAATGTCAATTGAGTGATGCCTTGCACGAGGCTCAGTTCAACCGCGGAGTCTTCCTCTTCTGATTCAGACAGAGAGGAAGTGGAGGACGGTTCGTCGGTGACATAGGCCATCTGCGGATCAACGAGGGGGCATGACTTCCGCGACTTGAGTTTACGAGACCGCTTTGGCCCAGGCGGCGATGAGCGCTGGAAACCTGATCCTTGTGGGTTGGATTCTCCGGAGGGCGACCCAGGACGAGGAATAGCTGCTGCAAGGGGCAGTAAATTGTGACTGCTTGAGGCTACCCCAAAGCCTTCCGTGCGACCAGTTGTTTTGACTGGGCAGGAAGCGAGGATTCCATGAAATCCGATCTCCATGAACCGCGAATGACGGGAGGGCCAATTTCAGTAGTAAAATCGGCTTCCGGACGGAGCTGTAGAAGGAGTCAATCGCACTGGACTCAGCTTCTAAAACAACTAACGCAAACGTAGAGGCCGCCCAGAAGTTCAAGGACAAGGCGCGCAAGACTCACTCTTTTCAGTAAGGCTTCCATCTGCTCTATGCGGTCTTCTAGAGCCACGACATATCTAGACGACATGATGTCGGTCATAGTTAATAGGTAAAATAATCGAGCCTACTCACGCCTTCGGCGGCCCTCGAGGTTTTGAACTCTCTCTAAGCGCGACATAGATGCTAGTCAGCGCCAGGAAGATATAGAGGTGGTGCAGAAGAGAGAATTTTAGACTGACACGTAAGTACACGTCCTGCCTGTCTGGATACAATTTGTGCAGACGTTGCCGTGCATCTTGGGGCCATCGCACTTGGTTTTCCGCCTGCGACAAAAGTCGCAAGCGCGGTCAATCCTGCGCTTCTTGGACCTGTGGTCCTCGAAGGGCGTTTCGGCCGCCGCATATGGCGTCTGAGCTGTCCGACAGGAGACGGGTGTTGTATATTGAGTTGCGAACTGGGGCTCTTGGCGCAGATGAATCTCGGCGTCGTCGCTGTCGAAGGGGTCGAGTCTGAGCATAGAACGGAAGGAGGGCAGTCCACGGACGTGGTCGGCGCGCAGGACAGCGAGGACAGCGAATGAGACACGAGTCCAATTGTGCGGAGAGAGCAAACGACAGCCCACTCTGATCCTCCCTCCTCCCATTCCGCCGCATCTTTCCCGGCGCGCGCTTCCCCTGTCCCTGCCACGCGCCTTTCCCACGCTTTTCCGCGGTAGCAACGCCCACACGTGACCTTATAAACGCCAGACTGCCCCCCGACGAAGCCCCGGGCCAACCGCAGCGCAGATATTTGAGCTCCGACGGAGCTCAGAATGTATTCGCGGTGGCTGTTTTCCCCATTTCCCCATTTCTCCTGACTCCGCCCGACAGGCTTCTTCCGCATGTAGACTAACCGCCGGCAAAGTCCAGTGCATGATCGGTGGGTGTTGATTAGTCAATCGACTGATTCATCGCCAAGCCAGACCACGTGCATGCGGTGCGCCCGATCGCCCCCGCACGGATGCGGAAAGTCTGACCATCCTGTCTCTCGTCTCCTTGCCCTGGCAGCGTCACAAGCCCTTGGCGAGCACTCAGACAAACGGTAGGCATCCTACTGGTTTGGGCGATCACCGCCTGGCTGACTATGCCCGGCACGTATCCAGACGATGAACGTGCGGACTGTGCTCTCGCTCGCCGGTATGCGTCGAGCGTGCAGTCAAGTTCAGCCAAATTTGGTGTTCTCGGCACGAATGTACTCTTCGCGGGGACCCCTCGACCGCCCATCGCCACCATCCCTACCTCGTGAGCAACAGCGCGAGTTCGAAGAGCTCATGCGCGCAGCTCAAGCTCCTCTGGCTCAGCCCTCAAAGAGTGACGCTGCGATACACGTTGAAGCTGATCTCTCTCTACACCCGGACGCCCGCCGACCAATCCAACCCGAGTTTGAAGGGACGTCAACCCAGCGACCGGCGAACAGGGTGGGCCGAAGCAGGAGCCTGTACGCCAATGGGCGGACGAGGGAGACTGGAGTTTCAAGGGGCGCGTCTCGGATTTCTAGCCTGGTATTCAGTCCCCTCTAAGATTTGTATATCTATTGTCTCTGATCGAGGAACACCATGGTTGGATACATCTACCATGTATGCTTCCATGTATGGCAATTGTCGGTTGCTTGTCTAGGATCCCAGATTGTTGGGTCAAGATCGAGTCACATCGCATACCTCGTGGTAAGCATGTAACTCTGTTTCGCCAGCAACCACTGTACATCCCCCATGGGACACCTTGGGGACATCATTTAACCTCCCACAACAACGAGTATCACAGAATCAGACGCACACATGGCCGACGATATCATCCCAGTGCGCACGTTGCTCGCTAAAGTGAGTGAGTACATATGTACAGTCGATCTGATTGTAAGTGCGCCAGACGATCGAGAAGATGGCACTAGTCATGCGTCTAGAGATGTCCTCACCGTCACTCCGCGCACTGCATGGTCCATCAGGCAACTGGTATTAGCAACTGCAGACGCGTTGAGCAGTCGAAGGTCGATCAAAATGTATGAACTGCATCAACCTGCTTCTATGCCCCGTCGAGTCGTCGATAACCGGTAGGGTACGTGTCATGCTAGCGTCGTCCCTGGATGAACCCAAACAAGGTGAACGATCAGTAAGCTATTGATTACATGTTCGGAAGAAGAGGGGCATATGGCTCCAGCCTTCTAGCCTTCTGAACGGATCTAGACTTCGAGACAAGTCACTGTCGTCAGTCAGTCGTCTTATCCATGCACTGTATTCACTCACTGGCGAGAGCTCCTCCACCAGCATGCGGCAACCACTGCACCAAACATCATCGGAGCTAGTCGGCTATGTAAGGCTGACAGTTATCAGAAGAGCTGTCGCGCCTGCGCGAGCCACTTCGATGAGTGTATAGGCTTCGATGCAGCCACACGTTGTTGCGACATGTCGCCGGGGATGTTACCGGCAGACTCTAGAATACAGCTTCGTTCCGAGGCCTGTTGCATGCGCCGCTCTAAGTTCTCGGTGGCATGGAGGCCACCCGAGCCCGACTTCCAGATCGAACCTACCCCGACGACAAACCCGCATGCTGAAGTACTGGACAACTGCCGCTTCGTGTGCCTTCACTCATGCATAACGATAGCACCGACTCGGAGGACCTGGGTCACCCTGTCAAGTACTAGTGTCATAGCACGAACGTGGTGCTGGCCCAGGCTGCCTTCCCCGCGATTCGAACACGGCAAGATGCGTATCCGAACCTCTATCGTGGATATTTATAGAGCTTGATTCTACGTGCCCGGGTCTCCTCCTGCTGAAGGACATCCCATAAGGCTTCCCCGGGACTTTCCCCTACCGATGCACGCCTCATGGTGTCTGTGAGGGAATCCCGTTTTTTCGGCTCGGAGGTCGGTCTTGTCTGAAGGGCCGCGGTGCTGTCACAGCATGAGGGAAGCAGAAGCTCGTCGCACCAGGGTCTCAGTCCGGAATCCGAAGAGTTTTGTTGGCATGTTCGCTGCAAGAGAGAAAGCCCGACGGTCCGCGTCAATCCCGAGATGTCGGTCACAACGAAGTCAGGTCACGGTGCCGCACAGCACTTGCGAGATCCAGATCGACGATGATGATGCGGCGCGCTTCTTGTGCGCTTCAAAGTTTCACCCGGTCATGGAAATATTCAGCCAAATACAGCAAGTCGGCACAACTGGTCCTCTCCACGTTGGCAGAGACAGCTCTGCATCCAGCGACCTGTTTGTCATCGACGCCTGCGATATAAGGAATAGGTAAGCATGCCCCTCAATATTGTTCATAGACGTGTCAAATGCGTCAGCTGTATTACGCCTCAGGAGCATGCTTACCGGTTGACTTTCATGTGCAGCGCTCGACGCCGTGGTCTGTGCGCTCAAGAGTTGTATGCTTAGGGCCTTCCGCATCTTTCATGCACACGACGCTGCAATCCAGCGCACCGGCTATCTGTACACCGGCAATTCCGAGTCGCTGCGGTCAACATGTCACAGTCCGGAAGCCGGGGATTATCGAAAGCTATCGAAGAAGCGAAGTGGAACAGGGTACGGTGAATAGCTTTCAGAACGGTTTCATGAATCTTATCCGTCGTGCGTGCTGTCTCAGGTTGCGGATCATATGCGGTCGTTCCATGACCATTTCAAGGTCGAATGTCTGTGAGTCCTGCGGTGTGGTGTGCTGCTCAGCTGACGGTACATCATATTCTAGTCGATAAAATATACAATGTATGTGGCGACACAATCATGCTCGTAGATGCCATGCCAACCTCAGTTCAGTTAGCAGATGGCTCCTTCACCAGCAGGGGAATGTCTGTGCAGATGTATCTTCGCACATGCAATCAACTCGTCAGACGTCAGTCCGACCTGCCCTCTTGCACGGCTTACACCGTGCTCTCCGGCTCACCCTTTACGACGCTTCCACAGACTTGACAACGCACCATACCATCGAGGAACGCTATATATTCCCTATACTCGCCGAACGCATGCCGGAGTTCCGTGAAGACGACGTACACATCAAGTCTCATCAAGGGATTCACGACGGTCAGTGTCTTACCTGTGTTCATGTATGGACCGAATCATGATCATTATACGTTTTAGGCCTCGACAAGCTCAGCGCACTCATCAGCAAGTGGAACAAGGATCAGACGACGTACAACCCCACGGAGATGAGAACATGTCTCGACAGCTGGAGAGAAGTTCTCTTCGTCCATCTTGATCAAGAGGTATGATCGTGCTTCTAAGCAAACCGATCTTCAGGCTTATCTTCGTGCAATGTAGGTTCAAGATCTAGGCGGGGAGAACATGAAAAAATACTGGACACTTCAAGAGCTGGCCAACATTCCGATGTAGTAGGCGTCGTGGCAGCTTCAAAGTTGATACAGGCTAGACAGATTCTGGCATTTTCGTTTGTAACATGGTCAGATTATTGCACGTATTAAACATCATTGTGCCTCAGGTTCAGCAACTGAGCTAGCCAATTCTGTGTCCTCATGTCGGAAAATGATCTTGAGTAAATTTAACCAGTTCGTAAGCCGGGCGCCTAACAACCCAATCGCCGATCGATCGTGTCACTGCCAGTGCTTACGTTATCCAAATTTTGGATCTTGTACATATCCAGGCGCCCGTACTCAGTCTCCTCCGAGTCTGAAGCTCTCGAGCCGCTATCCTCGTCTGCCGTACTGCAAGTCCCGGAAATATTCTTTCAGACATGGTCACTTCAAAGCGCAAACGCTCTTATGACTCGGACGACGCCAGCATCTCCTCCACAAGCGGGCTTGGACATGACTCGGAGGACGAAGTAGACATTTCCTCTGCGCTTGTCGGTCGGAAGCCCGCAAAGACGCAACGACGACAAGTGGCCTCGAGGGACGAGGGCGAGGGCGATGAAGAACTACAGGAGCTCATTCGAGAGTCCATCAGCAAGCGTGATGTCAAAGGAGGGACGGACATTCTGAAAAAGACGAAGGGAAAGGCTAAGATGGCGAAGGGCGAAGTCGGCGGTGGTAGTTTTCAGAGCATGGGTGAGTGTTTGTCTTCACCACCGATATTCGGAAGTTTACGCGTGGTACATAGGCTTGCACCCTTGGTTATTACGCTCCTTGACATTGCAAGGCTTCCGTATACCTACGCCGATACAACGCCTGTCTATCCCCGCCTTGCTCGCCAATCCTCCTAGAGACCTCGTAGGAATGGCAAGGACAGGGTCCGGAAAGTCTCTGGCGTACATGATCCCGCTCATACAGCGACTCAGCGGTCGTCACTCTTCGACGTTCGGGGCTCGCGCACTCATCCTACTTCCGTCCCGAGAACTTGCGCTCCAGGTCCTCAAGGTGGGCAAAGAACTCGCTAGAGGTTGGCATGCAGGAGACGGGGTCATGCGGGAGATTCAAAGACCGACGACGATGGCAAGAAAGGACAAAGCCTCCGATGGAGTCTCATCGTGGGTGGCGAGGGTCTGGATGAGCAGTTTGAAATGATCACGCAAAACCCTGACATGTCAGTGTCCTCGTCTATCTTGAAGTTTACATCGCTCACTAGCTTCTAGTATCATTGCTACCCCGGGTCGACTGCTTCATCTCATAGTCGAGATGAACATGGACCTAAAATCTGTCCAATATGTCGTCTTCGACGAAGCCGACCGTCTATTCGAAATGGGCTTCGAGACAGCCCTTACCGAGATCCTTCACCGCCTTCCTCCGACCCGACAGACGCTTCTCTTCTCTGCCACACTCCCAAGAGCTTGGTCGAGTTCGCCAAAGCGGGCCTGCAGAACCCGAAGCTCGTCCGGCTAGATGCGGAGTCCAAGATTAGCCCCGACCTCAAAGTAGCATTCTTCTCCGTCAAGCAGGCGGAGAAGGACGCTTGTCTATTGGTCCTCCTTCGTGAGGTGATCGGCGTGCCTTTGGGCTCGACCACGTCTCACGCAGAAGATACGGATCAGCCCGCAGACAAGAAGGGGAAAGCGAAGGCGAAGCACCACGAGCAGGTCACGGCGCCTCACCAGACCTTGGTGTTCGCCGCGACGAAACATCACGTCGAGTACCTTACCACTCTGCTCACCACCGCCGGCTTCGCCGTCTCCCATATCTATGGCACGCTCGACCAAGCTGCCCGGTCGCAGCAGATGGAGCAGTTCCGTCGTGGGCATACTAGCATTCTCGTCGTGACTGAGTTGCCGCCGCGGTATCGACATCCTGTCCTCGAGAACGTGGTGAACTACGACTTTCCTCAGGGTGCCCGAGTTTTCGTCCACCGTGTTGGGCGTACGGCGCGCGCCGGACGTCAAGGATGGGCATGGTCTTTCATCACCAATGCTGACTCCCGTACCTACTCGACTTGCAGCTCTTTCTGGGACGCCCCATCAAACACGAAGTCACGACGCGGGGAGCAAGTGTTCACCGAATCCTGATTCTCGGTCCCTTCGAACGCGACGTGTTGGATCAGGAGGTCGACTATGTCAAGAAACTCGATCAGGAAATCATAACCTCACTACACTGCGCGATGTCATGCGAAAGGGACACAGTATGTACGAGCGTAGCAAGGGCAAGGCCAGCCAGGCGAGCTACAAGCGGCCAAGGAGATGACGAAGGAGGGGAAATGGGGCTTCGCCACCACCGACTCAGGCATCCATCCCGTGCTGCTCCGGAACAAGAAGGGGGAGTGTATCCTCCAGGCTAGCGGAGGAGGCGAAAAGAGCAGCACTTATCAAAGCCGTGAACTCGTTCCGTCCCGCCGAACAGTGCTCGAGATCGGGGCGAGGGGCAATACGGAGACGGCGGCCTTGATGAAGCAGAGACGGAAGGCGCTCAGTAAAGCGGCTCAGCGAGCATCCTTAGCTTCCACATCCGCTGCTGCGATGGTCCGGAGGATGACGATGAGACGAGGACGGGGGTGCGTCTGAGACAGGTGCAGAGGGCGTGGAATGGCAGACGAAGAAGAAATCGCGGTATGTCCGATTCGATATACCAAGTGCACATTTCGCTTACCTGCAGCAACAGGCCGTGTTGACTCTTACACAAGAAGGGCGATAGCAAGAATGACTTCCGCGACTCCGAGTTCTACATGTCACATTACCAGAAGGATGCTCACACGGAGAAGGGGTACGTACAGCGACTCCGTGGCGACCAAAACATTGACTGACAACCTTTCAGATACTCACTCCGTGATGGGGCTACATTCGCAGAACAAGCTCGAAACGTTACCTTCGATCTCACGGGCGATGAAGGCCTGAAAGACCGCAAGCGTCGTGAGATGCACTGGGACAAGAAGAAGAAACGATTCATCAAGGGAAGTGGAGAGGGCGCCGACAACGTCAAGCTTGTCCGCACAGAAAGCGGCATCAAGCTTCCTGCTACCTACCGCAGTGGTCGATTCGACGAGTGGAAAGCGAAGAGTCGTGTGTATCTACCGAAAGTTGGCGAGGCCGAGGCCGAGGGTCCTCGAAGGGGCAACTTCTCGGCCGGAGGCAGGAAGTTTCTTCACAAGCAAGTTTCCGCGCCCAAGCCGTTGGACAAACTCAACACAGACTACGAGCGGAAATCGAGGCAGAAGAAGAAACAAGGCCAGAACGGCGGCGGTGAGGGTGAGAGCGGACCTTCATCCAAACCACTGCCTGGTAGGAAAGGGAAGGCGCTTGGTCGACGAAATGGAGGCAAATCAGTTGGCAAAGTCAGGAATGAGCTCAAGACGGTGGATCAGATCCGCAAAAGCCGGCAGGATCTGGAGAAGAGGAAGACCAAAAACGCTCGTCCGAGCAGGAAGAAGGGCAGACGATGAGAAATCACGTGCGATGCTGTGTAGATACCCATCGAATGTACACAATCTATTACTTCATGCTGCATCAGAGTACTCCCATTTCGATCCGTCACCCGGTATAATCTTCGACTTCGGCCTATCTTCAAGCAAGTCGACGCCGACGCTCCGCAATGCGTTGACGCACCATTCCGGGTACCCAGCTTGGCCGAAGTAGTTGGCAAAGAATGTCTTGAGGTATGCGGGGAAGGTCCCGTTGATGATTGCATCCCGTGCGCCACCCATGACTCGCGCTTGGAACACAATGTTGTGTTGCGTAAGGGCTGTAAAAGCAGCTCGTATGGATATGGTGAACGATGCGAGGGCGCACGACTAAACGCACCGTGCGCGCCCGCGGTCTCCATTGTGGCGATGTGATGCAGCAAGGCTTTTGACGTCCCGCTCGCACAGGTCGGACATGGACATGTTTCGTCGATCGGTTGCAGATCGGTGGCATGCTTCTTCAGTCCTGGGGAATGCTTGAGAATAAGATCTAACGAACGTGTGAAACGCTAAACTCACTTAAGTTCAAAGGTCCGTTGAAGGTCAAAGCTACTCCGAAACGAGCTGTTCGTGTCGGGAAAACGCAGTCTGCCTGGAGACCAAAGATTATTTTATCCGTGGCAAGCCAATCAAGTCAGAGAACGCACCATGTCGACGCCAAGTGCGACGCAGACGAGAAGATCTGAGGTGTACGGCCTTTATCTCGACTCAGTCTGCGTATGGTAATATGAAGTACCTTCAGCGAAACCAATACCCATAGAGTATCGGGGGCCTAAGGCAACGGTTAGCTGCCGTGAGGAATATACGTGCTTCTGACACTAACGATCTTCGGGTAGCTTGTCCGCACATTGTTTGATTCTGTCTGTATCATCAGAGCCGTGCCACTGATGATCGATGAAGAGACGTCTACATTCTCCAAAACGTGTCTGAATCGCTGGGTCTTAGCGTTGAAACATCACAGGGGAAAGATTCGCGCATGTACCTTTTTCTTCGCCTCCGCTAAGTCCTCCTATAGCGTATCCAGCGACTCGGTCTTTCCTTTTGACCATCTCATCCAAACACTGGTCGCGTAGTGCCGGGTCGATACCCCCTTGTACTATTGCGAACAGGTTCTGAACGTTCTTCCGCCCCGACTTCTCGTGAAAGTCAATACAGCGGTCAAGCCACCGTATTGTCCTCCACATTGCTTCACCCACACGGGGCCCAACCGTAAGCGAGTGCACTGAGGAGCCAAAAGCCATCGTCATCGCTGTTCCCATGGCCCAAGTGGTTTTGTTCTTACCTACATCATCTAGTTGCATCATGATGTCAGAGCCAATGGTATGCTGGATTGATATGCTCTCTTCTGGCTACTTGGCGTCGGAATCAACGACAAAATAGAAATATTTGCCGTCGACCAAGAGACGACGCACAGTCAGCATAGTCGGCTCTCCTGTGAATGGGCTTGCAAACAATGCACCCTCCTCAGTGATCTGTGTGAACTTATTCAGGGAGACTAGTTGAAACCCGCCACTGTCCTGCAGAACAGTTCAGTCAGACACGGATGTATGTTCGGTACATATCGCACCGTAAGCAGATTATGCCTCCACCCTTGAAACCTATGCGCCCCACCAACATCTTTCAGGATCTTAGTTCCGGGGCGTAGGTTGAGATGGTACGTGTTGTTAAGAACCAAAGTGACGCCAAGTGCTTCAACCTGCTGCGTAGTTAAGCCCTTGATAGCTGCCTGGGTCGCGACAGGCATGAAAGTCGGCAGCATTGTTGTACCATCTAGGTCAACTCATAAATCGTGTGCTCTAAAATCGGGAGACGTAGTTACGTGGAAGCTTCATTCTCGATACTCTTGCTCGCGTGATAGGACATTTCGCCAATATCTCGAACTCCATGACTGCTGCCCTGCTGTCTGCACACTTTAGTGTCCAATGATACGAGCGCTGTAGCCGTTCGGCGTGGGCTATTTCTGATGAAAGCCGATCAGAGGTTCTCGCACGACACAGGAACAAGCGCAAAGCGAGGCGGATTCCGTCAGTTACTTAAAATGGATGAGACGTTGAGGCTATTGGCTTCCCGATGCGATCTGCACTCGGCAAACGTCCTTCGACGACGCCCGAGCCAAGGCCGAGCCAGCACAACTCCATCAGGCCCATTGCTCAAGGGCACCGAGTCGCTAAGTAGGCCCCTCCGCCGTGCTTTCGAGGTATGCAGCGCTGCCGCCATGGTCTACGGCACTTGCAGTCATTGAAGCGCTCTCGACTGAGCGTTGCACCGTCTCGCACGTTCCATTCCAAGGCCGATCTACTTGAGGACCTCAAGGCTAGAGAACTCGTGGCAGATGTCACAAGGTATGCACTTGTACGCCAAAAACTGCACACAAACTCAGATTTTCAGGGAGCAGCAGCTCCAAGGGGAGCTGATGCGGCAGCCTCAAGTCATCTACGCCGGAGTTGATCCAACCGCAAAGTCTCTTCACGTTGGCCACCTCTTGCCGTTGCTATGTTTATTTCATTTCCAGCTTCGTGGACACAAGATCATCTCACTGGTATCTATCTTCTTGTGTCCTGCAGTCGTGAGTTGACGTTCGCCAGATAGGTGGTGCTACTGGTCTCATTGGAGATCCTTCCGGCCGATCGACAGAACGACCGCTTGCTGAAGCCTCTGTCGTGGAGGACAATGTCCGTGCATTGAGCGAGGCCATTCAACGCTTCTTCTCCAGCGCTCTAGACTACGCACACAGCAGATTATCCCCTTCGGACACGCGAATTTCTCCGCCTGATGTCCGCAACAATCTACATTGGTTCAAGGATATGGGCCTTCTAGAGTTCCTCCGGACGGTAGGCATACATCACAGAGTGAACAACATGATGGCACGAGACAGGTGGATCACCTCTAACTTACGATCCGTTCTGTACTGATGAACTAGACAGTGTCCGGACGCGCCTCGAATCGCAGCAGGGCATCTCTTTCACGGAGTTCACGTATCAGCTCCTGCAGTCGTACGACTTTTTGAGATTGCACAAGGACGCAGGATGCAACATCCAACTTGGTGGCTCAGATCAATGGGGCAATATCGTCGCAGGAATCGACCTGATCCATCATGTCAACGCTGCCGGCAGCGCGGACGGGCAACCGGACAAGGGTTACGGTATAGTAACCCCGCTCCTGACTACGGCTTCCGGCGAGAAGTTCGGAAAGAGCGCAGGGAACGCGGTGTCCCTGGACCAGCGCGTCACGAACGTCTTCGACTTCTACCAGGTACTGCACTCCCGCCTCCTGCCGGCTGAGTTAGACAGAACTGACGACGCCCTCAGTTCTTCCTCAGAACAGCGGATGCCGACGTCGGACGCTATCTCAAAATGTTACTCTGCTACCCGTCGAAACATCGACGAGGTCGTTGCAACCCACCAAGTGCGTTTCCTGTGTACTCCGTTCAGGGTCTACGCTGACACTCTGTCAGCACGCACCCGAGCTGAGGACCGCGCAACGCCTCTTGGCCGAAGAGGTGACCGAATTGATACACGGCAGTAGGTCTGTTTAACTCAAGCGCACGCCCCTGGTATTCATTCCGTCCGCAGAAGACGGGGTCCGAAAGGCAGTCGCTGCGACAGCCGCGCTTTACGGTAGCGACTTTTCCTCGGTCAGAGCTGCCGACGTCGTAGACGCTCTCGAAGGACTGCCTGTCTTGCACCTCCTTGACGAGGCGGAGCTTTTTGGCACCTCGGTCCTGAAGTTGGCTGTTCGCTGTGCCATTGCTCCATCTAACGGTATGGCCACACTATTAATCAAATTACGACGACAAATCACTGAAACTTTGCAACTTGAAGGCGCTGCACGTCAACTTGTCTCGGCGAAGGGTCTCTACGTCAACGGTCGACCGATCACCGACACACAGCTCAAATTGACCAGTAGGGACTTGATAGATAACCGGCTGGTCATTCTGCGAGCGGGAAAACAAAAGCAAGCCGTGATAGCATTGAGACAACATTAGCTGACTTAGTAGCATTACGAGCCTCGAGACTGCTGGGTACCGATGCGGAAAAAAGTACTAGTTGACCCTTACTGATAATTACACACTTGACTCAGTCAAGCTCAGACATGCCGCACACGTTCTTCGGTGCGTCAATCTATACGGATCGCGCTATAGAGCTTCCGTACCGCCCAGTACGTCGCTAGGAAGCCGATTGTTCCTGCGCAAGCCATTTGTAAGCGCCTCTGGCACTGCCTGCACGCCAGCAGCCATGGACGCACCTGTGACGAGGAAGTCGAGAAGGGCTATTAGGAGAAGGTAGCCCATGTACAGCATCACGCTGGAGAAGGAATCCAGAGACAAACGAGATGCCCAGTAAAACACGCCATATGCCAAGAGCCAGAAGGCACTACCGCCTCCTGTCAGGAATGCACGCCAGTGCCATCTGGAAAACAGAAGGATAAATCAGGTAAACGCCGTCATGACAAGCGAGCTACGCACCTGTATTCTTCAGCGCACAGAAGGAAATACGTGAAGAGAATAGTGACAGTTGCTGTGGTCAGCGACACAACTCCGGCGGTCAGGGCGAGGAAGCCGAAAGCGTAGTAAGCCCGTGATGCGAAAAGGCTCGACATCACGAAATACAGCTCGACAAACGCCGCACCTGCAAACCAGAAAAATCAGGGCATGACTGATTGACTGATGATGTATGAGACGCACCGAAAGGAAGAATGCCCGCCAACAAGGTAGCAGCCTATACACGTCAGCCTGTCAACATAGCCACGAAGCGGAGTTAAGGAATAGTAGCTACCCAGGGTTGCAGGTACCTCGGCGCTTGAGGAATTTGACGTGGAATCTGGTTAACTCTGACAGGATGGTGCACACCCTGCGCAAACTCTGTAAGAAACAGGCAAGTCGCAACCAATTGCCACGTACGCCATGTCTTGACCCGAGGAAAGAGCCGACCAGTGATAACGGCGCAGAAATACCGAACCACAGCACGACAATAAGCAGCATGGTACCTTCAAATGTTGTTAAAAATCAATGTCGAAATTACTCAGCAATCAGTACCTACCGAATGGCACAGCGCCAGAGGAGCCGGCGGAGATGAGGAACAAATTGAGGAGGAAGACAATTGCAAATACCACCCTGCAATACAATCAGAAAATTTGACGATCGTCTGCAAAGAGGTCACTCACGCAGGAAGGACTGTGGCTGTCAAAAACGAGTTCTTGCTTTTGTTTTCTCCACCAAGTGAAGCATACACTCGGCTTGAGATGTACCCGCCGATGCTACACAAGATGTCTCTCAGTCTCTGAACCTGCGACCGAAAGCAGTTGACACTCACCCGCCAAACAGGGTCCAACATACCATCATGACAGTCGCAAGAGAGCCACGATTAGACGGTGACAAGAAGCCCAGTAGAGCAAACACTATTGCGACAGAGTGAGCACATCTGAGCGGATCATCCGACAGACAGCATACCGAGCGTAACTCCGACCATGGCGCAAAGTTGTGCACCGTTCCCGACCAATACGGACAAAACCATGAAATTGCGTGGTCTTCGGAACACCTCGCCGTGCACTAATTTCCAGCCCCAGTCTTCCTGTACATCTTCCTGGTCATCATGTTTCACGTCAGCACAAGAAACGCACGCTGGCTGGAGGCAGCTCACACTTAGATCGATTGCATTGTATCGAGAGATCTAGGTCATTTGTCAGATGGGTTGAAAATGAAGCCACGGCGCTACTGACATCGCGGGATACTGTTCTGTATAGGATCATTCCGACCATCAAGCACAGGAAGACGACTATCACAATGGAGTTGATCAAGCTGAACCAATGGATCCGCTGTGTGCCGACCTCGGGTGAGCTGCAGGCTCTTCGGAAGGGCACAAGAGCGCTTACTGGGTCGAAGATGTGGAGATAATTATCCCACCGGGTCGCCCAGGGTGTGTCGGACTCCTGTAATGCCGCATGAACAAGCTATGCAAGACAGCGGAGATACGAAGGCTTACCTTCCAGGTTACACGGTACGTGTACTGGACCGCATTTCCCCGTTTTCTCGTAAGATGAGAGGCGTGTTCTGATTCGGTGTGCAGTCGCCCAAGGCATCTTGAGGGCCGCCAATGCTGAGCGAAGGACCTTAGGGGACGATAGTTTCCTCACTGATTCTACTCACCTTGCAGGCCATACGAGGACGCCCACTATGCGGTGCACACCTGGTTTTGGAGTATGATATCTGAATTTGGCAGAGTCAATACGTAATACGCAGGTGAACTTCACGATTCGTACTTCAGGACTACCTCGTAGTGATTGTTCAATGCTGGTGTCTCTGCCCGCTCGCCTTCGTCGTCGCCAAGATTGAAGCCCATGTCATAGAAGAGGTCTCCTGTCTTCAGGTCTACTTTCGCTTCAGCAGCAGGCAGGCCATCGACGAGCCAGTTGAGCGCGTAGTCTTCTTTTATTCTGTCGTTGATGAACTTTGCGTCTTCGGCGGACGCTTGCGTCCTGCAGAGGGCCTTGCATGTACCATTGTCTTCAAGCATACGGATCTGCTACAGGTTACAGAAGTCGCAAAGCGATGTATCTATTAGACTTACGTCGTACGGCGAGTTGAATATCCTGTCACCGAACAAGATAGACCCCAATGATTCAGGCTCCTTGCGAGGACCTCCTTCTGGCTCGCAGAAGTGGAACCGCGGGTCGTAGTAATCATCTGGACAAGGACATGTTCAGAGTATAGTGTAGCGGGCTTCAGCTAGACTCACAATTGATCAACGACTTCTGCATCCCCAGAGATAGACAAGTCAGGAACATGCGCGTTTCCAGAGCAAGCCATCTCACGTACGAGTTTCGCATTGTCATGACCCGCTAGCATGGGTGTCAGTGCGTTTACATACAGGTCCACGACCTCTCCTTCAGCGTAGTCATGCGGCGCCGCTCCGGGGAGATAGAACGCATGCGCCGCGGGTAAGAGCGAGACGAGGATGCTGCCCAGCAGGCACACGCGGGAGAACGAGCGCGACATGCCGAACAGACCGCAACTTGGGAACAACGAATGTGAAAGTTGCGGGCACGGAGTTGAGCCCTGCTGTGCGGGGACGCCGGCGCCAAATGGGACGATGGGAGAGGGAGAGGAAGCGAGGGCGACGCTGGGCGACGTGTGGGACGCAGTTGGCAGCAGCGCGCTCCAGGCTGGCAGAGGCGGTAGCGCCTTACTGCCACGCGAGCGATGTACAGGAATGCTTCTGCGCCTGCCATATCCGGACCGCTTTCTGGATGCAGTCCCTCGCAGTCACCAGCCATCCACCGGGCGCGCTCTCTCCCTGCGCCTCTCGTCTGAACTGCTCCCACCGACGCTGCGCAAGCCGATCCAGCGCATGCACCAGAGGCCGCCTCCGCTCCGCGCAGATCTGACAGACAGACGCGGTCGTGCTCGAAACCGCCGGCGTCCAGTGCAGCAGGTGCGTTGGTCAGAATCTCTGAAACCTAGTGTGTCTTGAGCTTGCCAAATATGCACTACCGCCGCCGTGAACCTGTCTCAGCCATGTTCACGCTTCACTCCGTCTGCCGGCCCCTGCCCTCCTTGAGGCGCTACTCTGTTACCCCCGCACGCGCGTGCCGTATATAAGACCCGTAGATCCCCCCGTGGACCCCACATCCCGAACTCATCGGAATGGCCGCCCTGCAACACGGTCTTCCCGTCTTACCCGAGGATGTACTCTTCAACATCTTCAGCCGTCTGGACAAACGCAGCCATCTGGTCTCTACCATGCTCGTCCGTCGCGCGTGGTATGACATAGCCGAACGGCTCCAGTATTCGGACATCACCCTCAAATTCCCTCTGTTCGGAGAATTGGGGGATGGCCCAGCGGTGCGCTGCATGAACACCCTCAAAACCAGAACCACCGCTGCCCAGGCAGTCCGCCATCTCGCCCTCAGTGGCGCGTTGACTGGGGACAGCATTACCCTCCTCCTCGCAGCGCTGAGCCAAACCACACGGCTACTATCGCTGGAGCTCTGGGTCAGCAATTACGGCTACGAATCTGCATTCCGGACCTCATGGCAGGCCTCCTGCGAGTCCAGCCGTTTTCTCCCTCAGCTTTCTGCCATCAACACCGACGACGCCGTAATCGCGACCAGCGTCGCTCGGGGGCGGCCGCTGTATGCCCTTGGCCTCCCAGCCTTAATAGAGGCAGCTACGTTTGACGCGGTGGTCGATTCGCTTCGTAGCTCCACTGCGGCAGTAACGCAACTTCGCCTGTACATCGGCGTCCACGATATTTCCACCGCCGAGGGGATTGTCCGAACTATATGCCGGACTTGTCCGTCACTCACCGTCCTCTCCATTCAGCTGAAGCTGCCAAAGCCTGAGGACGTGAATTGGAATACTATCGAAGTAAGCAGCCATTTGTCATGCTTCCGATATTTCCATTCATTAACCTGAGTCAGACATTTCTGGACGGTGTAGAGCCGTACCTCAGTCGTCTTCACTCTCTCAGAGTGCTCAGTCTCGTCCTAATACCCGACCCCGTAGACGTGGCCAGCCGCTACGAAGAGAGGACCAGAGAGATGGCCCGCAGTGTAGTGGACCGGTTTCCCCAGCTACACCGCGTGGAGCTTCGCTGGCATGGGTGGATCGTCTCGGCAGATGAGTGGACGCCGGTTCGGCGTACCACTCTCCTGCGTCTGCTAGACGTCTGGTTCTACGCCGAAACTCGTCACAGGCTAGACTTTACGCGGTTCGTCATTCAAGCAAACTTTGAGGGAAGTCTAAAATGAATCTTCCCTACAGTGGCGCAATCTCCTGACACGTTCCGTTTCATCTACCCTTCTCAACCCGAGTATAACAGGTGCGCCGAATACCGTAAACTTAATTGGTTGCGAAGTTCACCCTGAGCTGATCCAGAGTTGCTGGTCGAGGGTGGTGGTCGCATGGCGTGTGACCCCTGTAGAGTCGTTTCATGCATCGTCGACGTTGTTATCATCGTGGCAGGGATGATAAGTACGGCGGCTAGGGTATCGCCTGACGAGCTTCAGAGCTAATGACTATCACTACATAGAGTACTAGTTTCCGCGGGTTCATGCGAACAAATTCAGGTAGCATGCGGGATGGTTCCCACATGTCAGCGATAGCGGGATACGAGGGCTATCTGTCCACGTGCACCATCTCGCTATGTATATATTTTGAATTTGGCTGACTTGCCTCACAAGTTTCCGTACTGGCGGGCAGTTTCGAGCGCTTTGACCTGAGGAAGTACCAGCGCGTACCAGAGGCTCAGCGCTCAGCGCTTAGATCTCATGAGTTGATCCTCAATTGTGCCACCGGCAACGGCCGAACGGGCATCAGTGCAGGGGTGACTCGGATTTGCCTACGCACCCCTTTCACTCTCGACCACAACATCCCTCCACCAGTGGCGGGCTTGCGTAGCAGTCATAGAGGAACATTCCCCTCAACCCTCGACATCGTAACGGGGCAGCGTATCGCAGACCGGAGTAAGTTCAACGGACATTAGGATCCGTGATCGTCGTAGTCACGACGGTCCATTTACTGATTACATCTACTTCTCAGACAGATCTTCGCAAGACTTACAGCATTTCTAGCACAGGAAGAACGGCAGCGTTTTCAATGGTGTTCACGCTTTCTGGCAGCCAGAAGGTGCCTGGAACGCCTGTCCGTGCGCCATCCGTGCCCACGGAGCAAAGCCCTGGGACGAACTATTTGGCCGGCTTCTCCTTCTCTCGTATCGGACAAGAACCTTCCTTGTTAAAGCGTCTCAGCAGCGCCGATCAGGACCAGGAGTTGCAATATCCTTCTTCGCGTTCCTCTCCGTCTCTTCCGGACGAACACGCAGCTAGTGCGGCCTCATCGCAAACAGCACCTCATGGTGTCCCAGGAAGCTTGCTAGGAGTTACGCTGCATAACGCTACTCCGCTACGTGAAGTTACGATGGCTCGCGCTTCCGTCGCACCCACGACTGACGACACTACCACTTCTGTCGCCGGATCTTCTTCGCTCTCAGCTCACCCCATCAGCCCAACTGCTCCCGGCGGTTCAAGCACTCATTACCCCGAATTCGTTCAGTCTCATCGCGTTGACACTACGCACTCGTCCCTCGCTCCCGCGAAAGCAGCACGTCTTTCCATCACCGCAGACGCGAGTACCGCGTCGTTACGACCTTCTCTCCCCACCTCTGCTGGGGCGAGTGCGTCCACCCCGTTCCAGGAAGCACCCCGTGGTGTCGTCGCGCAAGAAGCATCTCCTTCGGATCTCATTGCACGCATCTCCCAGGTCGCCGTGGAGAAGGCAGAGTGGAGCGAGATGAAAACCCTGCTAGAGCGGTACCGACGTGAACACGAGGAGCTACTCCAGAGGACCGAAGAATCCGCGCGCGCGTACTCGAGAGAGCGCGAGCAGGCGTCGAAGGTCTCCGCCGTTGCCGATACCGCTTTCGGCAAGCTAGAGACTTTGCTTCTCCGACAAGAGGAGCGTCTTGCCGCGGAGCAGCAGCAAGCCGAGTCGGCGCTCGCGGACACCCAACGGGTCATCGCTGATCGCCAAGCCCGCGAAAGCACGGAGGCCGAGGAAGCGTCCCGCGCGGCAGAGGCGGAGCGAGCACGCAAAGCACATGCTGAGGTTGAAGAGAGGCGCAAGGCAGCGGAGGAGGAAGCCAGGCGCATCGCCGCAGAAGAAGCGGCGAAACAACGCGCCGCTGCCGAGGAGATTCGCAAGGCAGAGGCGCAGAGGCAGCAGGCCGAACAGGAGATTCGGGAAGCCGAAGAGAAGAGGCGGGTGGAGGGAGAGCAGCGCAGGGCAGCAGCAGCAGCAGCAGAAGCGGCAGAAGCAGCGGCCGAAGAAGAGCGACGCAAGAACTACGACATCAAGCGAGCGGAAGCGGATGAGAAGAAACGGGTCCAGCTTGAGGCCGTACGAATCGAGGCACGTCAAATGCAGGAGAAGAGACCTAAGCCTGCGAAAGAAGAGCTCAAGGCAAGACTAGAGAAGGAGAAGCGTGAGGCGGCTTCTCGATCATCCTCTGTCTCATCATCTAGCACGAAGCCCCCTGCCAACGCCGAACGCAAGCAATCAGCAAACGGGAGCACACTGGTGAACGCGAACGCACCGGTAGCGGTTGCTCAGCCTCCCGCTATTTCCCCGAGTGTCGCGGGCTTATCCACTCTCCCCGTTAAACCTGTTACGACGAAGGCACAGCGGCCTGTCAAATTACAGACTGCGAGCAATAAGGGGAAGGAGAGCGGGAAATTCGCTTCAGGAGCGATCGTCAATCAACAAGCACAGCTGGGTGGCGTCCTTCCGTCCTCTGGCGTGGCGAATGGGACGCAGGCACAGCAGACGAACGATAGCCTACCATCAAACGTGCAGTCGCGATCGGAGCTGCATACACCGAAACGTGTCTCTCAGGCTAGCGTCAAAGCAGAGACCGTAACACCTCGTATACCCCACGAAACACCTGCGCAGGCAGGTGCTAGTGCCGCTACGTCCGGCCCAGCCACGACCATGCAAGACGAATCTCCTAGCACTAGTGAGCTGCCTGACCGGACCGCCAAGGCGTTGAAGGCAGTCCAACGGTCGGGTCAGCGCGGCCAGGGTAACAGCTCGTCGAAACGGGCTACTCCAGCTGGCGAAGCTAAGCAGCCCGCAGTTAAACAGGAACAGTCTCCTGATGTCGGCGAACTGCCCGCTCGATCCCTCAACGCAACGACTGTGCCCCAATCGACGGGCGTTGGGCCGCACGTCCACACGAACAAGTTGTCATCGACCGGCTCTCTGGCCAGCAACGTCATTCGTCCTCGTCCTACCGCATCGTCTTCGAATCCGATGCACGTCAGAGACACTCAACATCCAAGTCACTCGTCACCCTCGCTCCAGACCGGCACCTTACCTCCATCACAATCCCTGACAGAAAGGCTCCGTGTACCCGAAGCCTATGAGAGTCAATTCCAGGACCATTACGAGGATCCATGGGTCAATACCGTTGAGAGTGCAGAAGATCATCTCCATAGACGAGGTGAAGACGTCCGCGACGACAGACCTTCCAGTCGGCCCGCGTATGACCACTACTCTCCCCCACGCGATGTAACTCCTCCCCTTCCCCAGAGGATATCGTCACGGGAATATGATCATTATTCTCCCAATCCCGGTCGCCCGCCACGTCGCGAGGCCTACCGCAAGCGGCTCAGGTCGAACGAAAACACTTGGGCTAACGACGATGAACGCCCTCCTCGCCGGGCCAGGATTTCTCCACCCAACGACCCTCCGCAGCGACGGCGCGTCACGGCGCCTACACCTCTTGAACAGCCTGACTGGCCATCGACAAACGAAAGGGATGCACGCTGGAGCCCTCCTCCTCATCCTCAGGCCCGCGCGCAGTGGCAGAGTGACTCACTCGAGCCATATGACAATGGTTATGCAGCGCATCCCGTTAGGCGCGACGGCGTTGTCTCGCGCAGTCACTACGACGCCGGACCGACATACACCGTTGACCCGCCGAATTTCCAGGCAGGATACGACCATGCATCCGGGACGACGTCGACGAACGATTCACTTCCCCAGACGTCATCGTGGTCCGAAGACCATGGCGTACCTCTCCAAGAGCGTATTGCAGAACCAGAGTCACGATCTGGTCTACTCGCACGCATGAGTGACAGTTGGCAGGCGGTTAGTAATGGTCGAAACAATCGCAAAGCTGATCGGTCGCCTCCGCGGTCAGTGCAGCGTGGTCGCGGTGCAATTTCCACTGGCAGAGGCCGTGGCAGGGGCATTTCAACAAAAAATGGTGTGAAAGAACGCTCTCTTCAGTCGCGACTGACTGGTGGCGAAGGACTGGGCGCACGCCTGTCGTGAATGTAAGTTGTACATATTGGTGAGCTCATCGTAGAGCACATCTGCAGTGCCAATGATACGTCCTAGAGTTCTCTGCTTGTTGACCTCGTTTAGACCTCTTGCTGTCGTTTCTATACTTCGTGTCCGCTGGCCTCTTTTTCCCTGTATTCATGCCCTCTCCTGTCTTTCCAAACTGTTCTCCTGCGCAGTCTTATTCTATCCAACGCGATAATATATCCATGAAAATGGCGAAAAGGTGGTCCATACTCGTCCCAGCCGGATCTAGCCTGTGAGGAGCAGCTACGTAGAAGAACGTACAAGCCACGACGTAGTACAGAACCACAAAAACAGCGGTGCGTCAGTAGTCATACACTTCGCTCATTGCGCACCGCAGATGGTTAGCTCCCTCATTTCCTGAAGCACGCCCTCAACCTGATCGACGTGTTAGTGACAGAAGAGGACTGCGGAACAGAGAAACTCACCTGAGCATCAAGCTGACCAGCCGCGTAGTCGTCCCGGACGTTGTCTGCAAAATATCTGTGTCTGTGAGTCGAAGACCAACGATTATTCGCGGGAATAATACCTCTGAACGCCGCTCAGCTTCTCGTAGCCTTCCTCAGCGAATTTGCACTGCATCCTGATCATCGCTTCGAAGCTCGGGTCAAAGAACGGCACGCGAAGGTCGAGTAATTGGGGAAGTTCGGCGATGAGTTGGTCGTTGAGCATGTCGAACACCTCCTTCGCGTCATCGTGTTCCTGTTGAGCCTACAAGCGAGGGTGAATACGTAGGCATGCAAGACTTTCTGAAATCTCATGGACGCACTCTGGGTAGCTTGGTCGGGTCTTCGCTGGGCTTGTTGATCAGCTTGTTCATCTTGCTACGGGAGGAATCATAGTCGAGCATCTAGAACCGGCACGTTAGCAAAGGACAAGACCAGGGTCTGCAGGGCAACTGACCTTCTTGTTCCGTTTCGCAATGTGCTCGTTCACCACGGGGAAGTACGCGTTCATCTTGCCGAGAGGCTCCATGATGGTCGTCCTGTACGGTGCATCCTGGGGCATCACATCAGCAACGGCGTATTAAGCACGGAGTGATCCTCGTACCAACTCTCTCCCCACGCCGGTGTCCAGATCGTCCACCGCACGTTTGTACGCGTGCGCCGCCATAGCACCCTCCGAGCTCATGTCTGCTGCGCCGTAGAAAACATCGATCGTGTCCGCGAGCCGCCCTTGCGCTGAGGTCATGGCTGCGTCGGCAGGATCGGTCAGCCCGACTGCGAAGCTCACGAGCGGGCGGGCACGCACCGCGCATGGCGTCCAAGTAGCCCTTGCTGTCCTTCTGCAATGATTGACATTCTTTCTCAAACCTACGTGATGACGCGTTTCAGGGAGTCTGAGACAGGAGTGGGTGGTGTGGGAGAACATACGACTTGTACTTGGTCTCTTCATCGGCGAAGTCTCTGTCGACCGTGCGTTCGATCTGACCGGTCTTCTGCAGGAGCTACAATCGGAGTGCGTCAGCACCGTAGCAGAGCAGACTGAAGCGGGTCTCGGATCTGATGGGGCTCCGGGAATGAGACGTACCGTCGTTCCTGCTCGATTGACTGACTTCTTGAATCTGTGGTGCGCCTGTCTGAGAGAGGGCCCACTGTCTGAGGAGAGGAGACATACCCTGACCAGCTCATCTTTGTCCCGATGTGTCGTGATAGAGGTCGTAAACTGCGTTGAGCCAGAGGAAGAAGTACACAGCGGTGTGTGCCAAGCAGTGCGCTCTCAGCCCTGAGCCGCAGCAGACGCTCGGCGTCGAGTCTCGAGTCTGTAAACACGTGATATGATGGAATGACCGCCCCGAGAGCGTCCCGATTCGGATCTTGCGCCACACCAACTCGACCTCAAAACTTGTTCACAACGCCAAACATCGCTTCAACCGAGCAAGTCTGGCACTGTCTCATTTGCGCAGGACAGATGACTCTGATATTTGGGTTTCAAAAACATCATACTTAGTAATACACCGGCACGCCGGATGTACTGAACCGTTGTATGTAAGTACAGTACCTTGTCTTTTAGATGCCACCACGTATCTTACCGACACGACGGCTCCGTAGACGGCGCAATTGATGAGTGGTCTCCATTCCCGACCATGGCGCATGAGCATCGTGTGCGCACAAATAGACAGAGAGGGATCGCTGTTTGTGGACGACTGGTGTCGCCCCGCATCAATCGCATCTGTTTAGTTACTGTTTAGGCATGCCCGATGAACGCCCGATGACAAGCTATCGTCAGAATGCAGTTCTACAGTACGCGCACGAGTGGACAATGCCAGCTGCCATCGTGTGTTGGAACAATGTTCTTAGCTGGATGCTGCGACGTGGTTATTCTCCAGATCATTGCCATTGTCAATGTGGCGTCGTCAAATACAAACAAGCGGCAACACATTTAGCTGCCTGTCATGGCAGCAAACCGCATGAGGGCATTGTTGTTTCCCAATTGTTTCCGGGCGTTGCAACGAGACTGATACATGCGGCCAAACGGGGCGCTCTGCGCACCGGCTGCGGCTGCAGTGTTCAGGTTTCAATCAGCGTCTGATGCTGACCCAGCGCAGTGTGAGGCCGATGCAGCGGCCGCTGGGAGGGAGGGCTGAATTTGGCGGGATGGGGGGAGGGTAAAACAGAGGACGCGACGAAACGGGCTTGAAGGAGAGGCTGAGCGCCTGCTGGGCGCCAAACCCCGCTCTGTTTGCCTCTTGCCATTTCGGGCACAAGGCGGGTGCGTGTGGGCGGTCTTCCTGTCACTGAAGACCAGCTTGAGACCAGCCGTTGTCGCCGTTCCCCCATCTCCTCCTCCTTCTCCCCTCCATCGCCCCCCATGCTCCAGCTAGCCCACGACGATCCCCACTCCCGCCCCCCATCAGCTCAGAATCCCTTTTCGTCGGTCGCATATCGGCGCGGCAGTGTCCCCGAGGTGCCCTCCGAGACCTCTGCATTCCATCTCTTCCACGACTTCTTCCCTCCTCGCGCCCCGCTCACTCCTCTCCACTGCCAGCCCACTCTCAGCATCCCCGCGGACGCTGACCATCAGATGTCCGCGTCCCCACGCTCAGCCTTCCCTAGTTACGCTCACACCGACCCAGCACAGGAACGGGACCGCGCCGCAGATCACCTGCGCTACATTGGCCGTCCCATCCTGCCCACCCACAGTGTCCGTGATGGACTTGACCTCAGCTATTCATCGGCTAGAAGACGGTCGATCCCGAACCAGTACGCTCTCTGTTTTGTTCGCCGCTGATCATTCGCCAATCATTCGTAGTTGCAGCCCACACAACGGTGCTACCTCTCTCCGGCACCCTCCCGTGCACAACAGGCAATCCTCCAGGCGACCTAGTCACAGCGCCTCGTCTTCGGTGTCCTCGAATCGACGCACTTCGCTTCCCACCATCCACCTCCAGCCATCTCCTCACGCAACGACGCCACCCACCGAATCACATTCCCACCCGAATAGCGTCCTTGGTGGTCCTGACGATCTCTACTCTAACTTATCCTCCTTCACATTTGGCTCGGCACACACCAGTCGCTCTGACCACCTGGAAATGGTGAACCCGCTCGCTCCTTCGTCGGGTACCAGCAGCGCAGATCGAACGCCCCGGCCCTCTGTCTCAGGTCCAAGCTCTACCAGCACCCGTGCCAGCTCTGGCGTGCACCCGCGAACCCCTAAGGTAAGAGGGAGGGAGTTGGAAGACGAGGGCTCGAGGGCGGATGATGAGGACGAGGACGAAGCGGAGCAGCAGACACGGGCGAAGATGCGCGCAATGAATGACGGTACGCGACGGCCCTCGCTCCCGATGAACGTTCGTCCTCCCGCCACGTCGCGCTCGCCACGTCGTCCGTCTGTCTCTACTGCTGCTCAACGACCTGACGCGAATCCAGTTGACCGAGGTCAGGAGAGTACGCCTGAAACCTCGGAAGCGGAAACAGAGGCTGGGGCGCACGATGAGGATGGTGAACACGATGCCGAGGCTGATTTTGATACCGACGTCGAGATGGATTACCACCACGCAATTACCCCTGCATCGAGGGGCGCTGAAGCGTCGGACGCTGCATCGCAACATACTTTTGGTGGTGATTTCCGGGAGTACGTGTACAACTCCAGCTCGACAGGACACTTGGACGACAGGATGAGTATCTCTGGGGCATCGGAGGCTGGAGACGAGGTTCCCGAACTTCCCGTAGTCACACAAACCGAATACACCATTGATACGAATGGTAATGTGGCGGTGGTACAAGCACGGCGAGGCAGTATCCCATGGATGACGTCCGAAGCTGCCGAAGACCTTGCTTCCAGAGATCGGGAAGATAGCCTGGCGACTCTAACTGGATCCCCCATAGACCGCACGAACAAAGACAAGCCGACATTTTCCGACCCTTTAGGCGTGCAAACTTCTCCGCAGGATCAGTTACAGCTACAGATAAATGGTCGCGCTCCAAACGGCTCATCCGATCCCTTCTCTGGTTTCAACGTGAACTATATCTTGGGTGGACGCCCGGACGAGCAAGACGAACGCCGTTCCTGGCATTCAGCGGGTTCCGCCTGGATGCAAGTCGACCCCCATTACGCGCCCCCTGTCCCGATGGACGGCGCAAGACCTTCGGCAGACTTCGAGGCGTTCGACTTCCAGGGCTGGGGTGCGCCTGTAACTGGCGTCTCTGGAAGGCGTCCAAGCACGGTGACTGTCAGCAGTCTCGGTGAGGACGCGTTCATGCGTCATCTGCAGCGGTACGACCCCGTGTCGAACACGCGCGCGGTCGAGTGGACCTTCAAGCGGGAGAGCGCGGACAACACGTCGCAGGACGTGACGCCAGGGACGCGCTGGGTGCAGAGTTCTGCTAGAGCGATCGCACCGGGCACACAGGAAATATGGCGACAAGCGCACGTCGGGCGTTTCAAAGTAGATAAACTGCTGATGAGAGGTGCGTGCCCTTTCGTTTGTGACGGCCGATCGGTGCATGGTTCTGACACGTGTTGCATGGCTTGTCAATAGCTGTCGACGATCAGTCAAAACCGCCCTCGCAGCGCGTCAACGTCCGTCACATTGTCGATCCGTTCTCGCAAGGAAATGTGCTTGGCGGACCCATGGCAGTAGTGCACAAACATTCGCGCGCCATTGCGTTCTCCGTCTTCCGCAAGTACGATCTATTCAACCGTCGGCACTCGAAGTCGCGGGGCGGAAGCACGTCTATGCCCACGAGCTCGAGCATCCTGCTAGCGACGAAGCGAGTCCAGGAGCAGTACACAAGCACACGCACTACCAGCCAGCTTAACTCGCATGGGCTTTTGAAGGAGGGTGATGGCCGCTCACGCCCGCCGACCGCGAGCAGTGTGAGCACGAACGAGAGCTCACGGTCGGGCAAGCCCGGTCGCAGGTATTCAAGTGACGCCATGGATCGCCACAATTCCAGCGGCAAGAAGGGCAAGGGCAAGGGCAAGGATTTCGCGTATGATGTCCCAAGCAGCCCAGATCAGACCTCAAACACCGGCAGCAACACTGACGAAGAAGAGTCGGTGCGTTTCGCGAAAAATTATGCTTCATCGACATCTTCGAGTCCCTCTGCGCCTGCCTCACCAACGGTTGCTGAAACACACTATGCTTATTCGGTCGCGGATTCTGACTTCACGGCGGCTCGCTCGTCGGCGGGTCCTTCGTCCTCCAAGTTTGGGTCGCCTCCGCCGACAGCGTCGTCGGGGCGTATTGCCATTCGGGTGAACACATGGAGCATGGATGACGATGACGAGCACACGCCACCGCGGACGTCGCATGCTGAGGCTTTTGCAACGCTCGACCAAAACAGTATCGAGTACTTCCGCGGTCGGACTGAACAGCGCACAGCGGATGACTCGCATTCCCGGAGTATCGCGGAGCGCTTGAGACGCAGACTACTTGGCCAGCATCCGGTCAAGGTCATGTCTAGGCCTCCCTCCGGTCCACCCACTGCCGTGCTCGACGGTAACTACACACCGCCCTGGATGACCATGGCGCCGCGGTCTCGAGTGGAGGAGCGCGACCGAGTCATCCAGAACTTGAACGAGTCGTTCAAGGACGTCGGTTTGCTCCCGTCGTTCAAAACAAAGGGTAATGGGAGGAAGAAGGGCCATGGAAATGACGACAAGGTCAACATCTTCTCTCACGTCCCGCCAGAGTCTCTGCACATGCTCCTGCCCCTTTGGCCCGGCGAGACGGATCCGAGTTCCGTCACAGACGAAGACCCTTCGGCGTACAACATGCCCGTCGAGGAGCGCCAGTACCTCCTCGTCTACTACGTGCCTCAGCCTGAACGCACGGAGAAGAGCAAGAAGAAGCAGGAGAACAAGAAGCGATCGCGTTCTGGGTCTCGTGCCCAGCATCCATCCTCCGCCTCCTCCCACCCAAAGACCGTCATACTCAGCTCCTTCTCCGTCTGCGCCCGACTCATCTCGTACCACGACCTCCTTGGCACTGGGGTGAGGATACCCATCGACGGGCTGTCCATCACGGGTCCTATGGCTGAAGCCATCAGCGCCCTCCCGTCCGCCGCCATTCGTGAGTCGCGCCTGGAGACACCCTGTGCCATCATCGGCGTGTGCAGCTCGCGCTACAAGGGTGTCGAGTTCCTCCCAGAGGGTCTGGCCAAGGTGGGGCTGGCGGTGTCGCAGCCATCATCAACCTCTGCGGGGGATCGCGTCATGCGCCCCCTCGAAGCGGAGGAAGAAGAGCTGATCTGGAGCCTCACTCCCATCGGTAGGGCCGCCGTCGAGATGGCGTGGTTGGGTTGTCTCGCCATGTCGAGCTTCGGGCCCGAGCCGTCACCTGCCAAATAGCTGCTTATGATCCACATGCTGCTTGTTCAGTCCATGCCCTACGATATCTACGCTGCCTTACTCAAGATCTCTCATGACTATCCATTCTACTTACCCTTTAGCATCTATCTCTTCGATACCCTAGGTCGTATACATTGCCTGGTCTAAGTAACCACTGTGTCAGTTAGCACCCTCATGGGTAAAGTAGAAACTGTATGAATATTAGTCTCCTTCGTGTCTTCTGCGCAATGCGACGTCTGTGTTTATAATTGGTTTCGTTCCTGATAGCCCGACTCGTGGTTGCGACGACATACAGCGTATGCTGCGACGTGCTCCGAAAATAATCACTGTGTATCTTAGACTTAGCAACTACCGCAGCAAAAACGATGGCTTCGAAGCAACCTGACTGAGACTGGGTATGATACAATGATGAGAAAATTCTACGTAACTGTCTATGCACTACATAACGACAAGCCCAATGTCCTCTCGTCCAATGGATGGCAGCGTAGGCACGTAACCTGACGCTCGCCAGACGACGCCCCACATCGCCAGGAGCAGCAAGCCGAAGCAGAGCGCGAGCAACCGCGCCTCCTCGCCCGCCTGGCTCCGCTCAAGAAGCAGCTCGCCCACGCCCTTCTGGGTCACGTCCGGATGCCCACTCTGACGGAGCTCGCAGACCCACCGCCTCGTCCACCCCCTGTGCGACCTGCGCCAGCCCGTCCCGACGCCGATGCCCAACAGCATCCCCGCGCTGACCATGTTCCGCCAGATCAGCCCCCCGCCCCCGCCGCCCGAAAGCACCGCGCGCCACTCGGCGACGTACAGGTTCACGGGCAGGCCGTGCATGTCGCAGAGGAGCTCGAAGGAGCCGGTCTCGAGGAGCGGGAGCGCGGGCGCGTGCGCGGCGATGTAGTTGATCGTGAAGCGGGCGAGGCGCGGGTTGGCGAGCGCGATGCGCGCGGCGCCGAGGTGCATCGCTTCTTCGCCGTGGAACTTGACGATCGTGAGGTTGAGCGAGCGGAGGCGGACGAGCTTCTTGACGGAGCGGGAGAACGAGTCCTGCGATAGATAGGTGTAAGCCTCATTCATGGCGGTTCCAAGACAGAACCAACGTACAAGGTAGAAGGAGGGCTTGGTGGTGCAGGTGAGGTCTAGGTGGAGCAGTTGCGGGCACGACGCGACGATGGTGCGAAACACACCGTTGCTGTCGTACCCGCTATGCAGCGCGAACGTGATGGTCAGCGACGTCAACGCCGTGAGGTCCATCAGCACGCGCGAGATGGAGAGCGGCGTGAGCTCCCTCAGCTGCATCGGCTCCGGGAGGCACACCCGCTTCAGTGTCTTCGACAGCGGCGTGTCACTCAGCGGGACGTGCTGAGCCCACTGTGCGCCCCAAAGCACCTGTGCATTTAGGTTCGCGTTTGGGCCTGCGCCTGCGCCTTGTCCACGGCTGATCAGCGCGCGGAGATGGTCGAGGGACCCGGTGAACTCCATCAGATGTGGGAGGGCGTCATCCTCGAGCTGCGCGAGCTCGAGGTGGTGGATGTCCGAGGGGGGAAGGATGTGCAGACCTTCGAGCGTAGGATGGCGCTCGAGGAAGTCGACGAAAGAGGGGATGCCCAAGCGATCATGCAGGGAAAAGTCCCCCGAGGCGATGTCCCCCACGGTGAGGCTTCGCAGACACGGCCAGCGTGTTCTGTACAGTGGGACCACATCCGAAGACTCGAGTGAGGTTCCTGCGATCGCAAGGGACTCCAAGTACGGACATCGCTGCACGAGCATGTCCCACAGGCGGGAGAAGACGGGCGCGCTTTCTGTGACGTGCCGGCATCTTAGCCTGAGCCAAGTTAGCTATATGCGCGAAGGATGGCTTACCACGCGAGGCGAGGTGCAGTTGGTGCGCGTAGAAGCCATCTTTGAAGATCAGCGAAAAGCCTTCGAGGCCGCTGAACTTAAATAGCTGTAGTCGAGGAGGATCTGAGTATCATCGACGATCCAGTCCATGACCATACGCACATGACTGGTGGGGCGAGGTAAGAAACACCCGAAGGTCGTGCCGATATGTCGTAGTTCCGGACATCTTGTGCGAGACCAGTCAACAGCGAGCGGTCGCCCCAGCACTCCAAAGCGCACCTACGCTGCAGCTCGGACCACATGCGGTCGTCCGGCAGCATGTCCTCCCCGTCCCACTCGAACACATGCAGGTCGCGCAGATGCACGGCAGCGGAAGCGACTATCCGCGAGATGTCGCCCGCGACGTCCCACTCCTTCGTCTGCAGGCGGGGTCTCCACGACAGCTCTTTCTCGGGGCGGACGACGAGCTTGCGGACGTGCCGCGTGACGTACGGACACCGCTCGAGCATGCGCAGCGTGGCCTCACACTGGGCGGGGCCCTGCAGCTCGACGGCGCCATAGATCGCAGAGATGGTCTTCGCGTAGATGACGGACGACTGCAGAGTGACATATGAGCGACAGCGGGCCTAGCCGGACGGAGTAAGGGGATGACCTACAACGAGGCTGAGCTGGAGAACGCCAGACAACGTGTTGAGGTAGGACGTAATTTCGAAGAGGATGTCGGCCGGCAGCGCGTTGAGGCTCAGGCGGGTCGGCGAGGGGGTCTGTTGCCAACCCAGGAAACGGTGGACGGGATATAGTGCGGCGGAGACATCTTGCATAGTAGGCAGCGCAGGCGGTGCGGTGGGGGTGGGAGCTACGCTGGGTGTGGGCGGTGTAATGAGCTCGATGGCCCATTTGACTGATGCGGTCGTCCCGCACGGCGGAAATTCGGTCTGCAGTTGTCGCTCCCGAAAAAGCCGTCGCCTCGTACATACTCATATATCCTGTCTGGCAGCACCATTGCTTCTCTGTACAGAGTCTGTTCGTATGTAACACGTCGGATTAAGTACGCAATCAACGCATACCACTCGCCCACGTATTTCTTCCTACTCTGCTCATGGAGCGCATTCTCGCCCATTTTGGTTGCATGTTTGCAGGATGCAGCGACTCCTCTCAAACAAGCTCTATACATGTGACTGGGCCTGCATTGACATCCGCGGGAAACCTCGACGACGGGGCTGGCATGGACACCCATCATGGGTCAAGATCAAAATAACACATATGATCGCGGCAGCTCTGAGTCCCAAAAGATACAGCAGTCGTCTAATACCTGCAGGTCGTAACGCGTCCGCGGTAGTCATCAATGTGCACGCCAAATCCAGCGCAGGGCAATGCAGTAAATTAAGACCTGACAACCGGTCAGCGGTGGCCCACGGGACACGACGCAGCGCCGGGGGAAGACAGGAAAGACAGACGCACATTTTGTAGTGTACTTCGACCTCCGGCTCGTCGTTGGTCTGGTATGTGACAAGGATGTCGAGGTCGCGCGGGTTGCGCTCGTTCGGTGCGCACGACAGACGGCCTTTGACCGGCCGGCCCTGGTATAGAGTGAGCGTCTCGGGCGTGTAGAATACAGTTTGCCTGGAGAACGATCCCGGTCAACACTTTGTGCGCATGGGAGGATCAGATCAACTTGACTCACTTCCAGTGAGTGTATTTGGCATGGGGCCCTGTCGAAAACTTCACCTTCGTGTGCGTGCACTCAAAGGAGATGTCGAACCAGGCCAGGAAGGCATGCGCGTCTGCGGAGAAGCACATCAGTACGCAATCTAAGGCTAAATTGCAACGGCTCACAGTCGTCCCGCGTGGGGTTTAGTGTGAACGGTGCCGTAAAGGTAAGATCTTCCTTCTTTGCCGTCAGCAGGTCGATGTGCTACGAAGGCAGTTCAGCAATAGACCAACTGTACCCGAACGGGAACAAACTATGTACCTTCACAAGGCAGGGATCCGTGACCACTGCCTTCAGGTCGACGGTGTCTACAAGAGGCTCTCGCAATGCGATGTCCTTGATACACGAGTAGTCGAACCCGTATACGTTGTCCCAGACTGAGCCAGCGCCAGTGAGCATTATGATTCACCGCATCACTCATATACGACCTACAGTTGATCTTCTCCTCCTTGTAGTCCGCGTCTTCGATCGCAGCGAGGTACAGCGTCGCGGTGTCAGGGAAGATGAGGCCTCCGGGCTTGAGGTAACGGTCACGTGCGAGCAGCACGGTATCGAGCATGGACTCGTATAGCAGGAAGTAGCCCATCCATTCCGAGATGATGATATCGAATTCCTGCATGGGTAGCGGGACGTCCTCGAGCTTGCCCTTCACGAGCGTGATCGCTGAACAAGGCAAGCGTTCGGCGCGCGATCACGAAGCGGGGGGTATATGCGGACTCACTGTCCTTGAAGCCGTTGGCCTCGATGATTTTGGTTGCCTGATCGATGATGTTGGACATGTCGATCTATATGAGACGAAGTTTAGGATGACGCGAAAGTCGTGAAGTGCGCAATGGCACAGACCCCGACGACGTGTTTTGCGCCCGCCTTTGCGGCGAACATGCTCAAGATCCCAGTGCCACAGCCAACGTCAAGCACAGTCTTGCCTTTGAACAGATGCGCGTTGTTGACGATCGCGCTGCGATATGATCCCGTCCGGACGCTGTCCTTCAACATCTCTTCGTGGATACCTGAGGTGAAGCGCGCGAACCACAATCAACATCGCGTTCTGGAGATGCACAGCTGCAACGCGTACCAAAGTGCGCGTACGAGTCCGCATAGCTACACACGCCGTCATCAACATCCAACTCGCAAAACTCTGCGGCACAAGCATGATCGCAGAGCGGACAAAAGGCGCGAACTGACTAGTCTCGTGAAGTCATGTTGTCCACCGACACATCCTTTTCCAAACTAGCGGATGTCGACGGTCCTGCGTTGGCCATTTTCTTCTATCGGCGGGAGTGTTTTCGTATGAACTGAGGTATGATGGATGTGACGGAGGCAAAGGAAAGCCGAGCAGCAGAAGGCCAGACGAGCACGACTGTAGACAATTGCGCGCTTGCGCCACAAAAGTCCTCGAAAGAAAATGCGCACCGGAGCCACGTGCAGGCCTCGATCGGATACAGCGCGTCGGGCGCACGTGACCGAGGCGCGCGACGCTGCGCGGGCGTCTATGCTCGGTGCGGGTGTCTGAGGCCGGGTCCCACAGCGGCGCAGCTCCGGAGCCGCGTTCGAGCCGCTCACAGCTGCGCGAGGCAGTGCTCCGCAGAGGCCCACCCAGTCAAGACCCGCCCTCGCTGCAGGCGGCGCAAAGCAACCCCTGTCTTCCCTCCACGAGTCACCATGATCGTCGACCCCAACAGCACCACCATGGTCCGTCTCCCGCCCTACATAAGCCCGTGCTTGACGTGGGTGTCTAATTTCTACCCCCCGCAGGCTACATCCAAAGACGACATGCAGGCACCACCCTCCTATGATGAGACCATGAAGGACGCTGCCGGTAGGTGATACGCGTTCGTGTCTGTGATCAGCGAGCTCATCCACACGTGCACAGCCTCCGGCCCGTTTGTCGCTGAAGGCGCAGCGAAAGCCGACCAGGTGAAGGTCCCAATCCCTCCGACGCCATCACATTCGCCGGCGGGGCCTTCGTCGCGCATACCGTCCATGCCCACCACGACGGTGTACAACTATGTGAACCCTGCTACGGGCGAACACGTCGTGTCCCTCCTGCCTCCGGATCATCCGCAGATGGTCTGTCTGCAGCAGGGCGGCCACGTACCGAGCACGCGCTACGGTGTCCTCGGTGCGCTCGGACATTCTTCAGCGTGGGTAGGCTTGCTGACTGTATGTTGCAGGTATTTTGGCGGCCATCATATGGTTCCCTGTGGGCATTGCCTGCTGCCTGCTCGACCGCAGAGTGAAATGCGCACGGTGTGGACTTACCATCGACGAGGGCGTATGCGCATGAGCACTTCATGAGCGCGACAAGTACTGCTACCCGGCTCGACTGGGACTTGACTATTGCGCCCTATTCTTTTTCTGTGGTTCTCATGTTTCTCATTCGGTCTTTGCCACACTGTATTGTACGTACTCTGCCGCATCCCTTGATCGTACATCTCCCGCCTTGGTGCATATAATCCGGACTGTTGTATACATAAGTGTACTTGCCTAGAATCTGTTACTGTCAATCGATCCACCCTCGATTTCACTCGATTTCATCTGAGTGGCTGCGCTGCTGGACATACGTCGCGGCATGCGCGGGTGTTCATACGTGTTGTCTGTTGACTGGCTGTGTCCAGTCAAAGAGAACATAGATGGCGTTTTTTTGGCTGGCGTGATAGGGCGAAGATGGGCTGTGCCATGACGCGTCCAGGTGATCTTGTTCGCCGCGTGTACCGCGTACCGTGTTGTGGATCAATCAATCATCATCGGTTAGCACTGCTTCAAGTCTGCTTGATCCCGGCATCGGAGCCAGGGCGGGCGACGCTCTTCTGGGCATCTCGCCCCCTTCGCTCTTTTACAGGCAAATTCGACGACATTCAGCCTATGACATTGAGAAGCACAACGGTGGGTGCATGAAGCTTCAAGTATTGCAGGTCTGTACAGGGCGCATGAAGACCATCGTGCAAAGTGCGACACATGGGAGAACGGGCCCATCGCGCGTCGCCATTACTTCCTGAGCGGCCATTTCGTGTTTCATCACGGCAGCCGCGCACCCGTGCTACCAACCAGGTATCCTGCCGAGTCACCGCCTGTCCGGCATTGACTCCCAGAGTAGATGGAATTTGGTCTGTCTGATGCGCATGCCATCCTGTAACTTGGCCGAGCCGGCCAACTTTGCTGGGGGACGGCGTATAAAGATGCGCGCGACGCGTCGGAACACCCCAGCTCGCAGCCTTTCTTTCATTCTTTCAGAGCTCCCAGGTACAGGTGCCGGTCGGTGAGTAGTCCCCCTCGATGTCTGCGCTTCGTCGGTGTGCTGACGGCGTCCTCTTCTCCCCATGCAGCCTTACTTGTACTTCTTTTTTGCACTCTCTCGTTACGATTTTACGACTTTTCTAACTCTCCTCTTCTACTCAACCGTTCTACTTTACGCCGTTTTTTCACGATGCGTTCCTACTCCGCCATCCCTGTCGCGCTTGTCGCTGCTGCGTCCGTCGCGCCTGCCTTCGCTGCCCCGATTTTCAGGTGTGTACTCTTCCTCATTCATGTCTCATGGTCGCATCCTAATGCCGCCGTTACAGGACCACTGACATCGAGGTTCGCGATGACTCGTTCCTTCCCGCTCGGGAGGTGACTGAGTTCGACGCGCGTGCTGTTGATGATGACTTAGAGCTTGCTGCTCGTGATCTCGACGAGGAGCTCTTGCTCGTTTCTTTGACGAGGAACTTGAGGCCCGTGAGCCCCACCACCACTACGAGGAGGAGGACGACACCGAGGAGCACCACCACGGGCACCACCTTCACCACGGGCACCATGATAGTGAGGAGTACGGCCACCACCACGGCCACCATCCCCACCACCACCACCACCACCATGGTGAGTTCTTCCATGACGGTGACCACTACGACCAGCGCATCGGGCACTACCACGGTCACCACCACCACGGCCCCCACCACCACCACCATGGTCACTACCACCACGCGGAGGACTTCGATGATGAGGAGTTTGGTCACCGCCACCACCACGGCCACCACCACCACCACCCCCACAATGGCGAGCACTACCACCACGACTTCGCCCGTGCGGCTGGTGATGCGCCGGTGGCCGAGCAGCCTGCGACGGCGGCTCAGCCTGCCGCTGCCGCCCACCCTGCGTCTGGCGCTCACCCCGCGACCCACAAGGCTGGCGCTGCTCACTCTGGTGCATCCGAGCACCCTACTTCACACGAGTCGTCGCACGCCGCGCACTCTGGTGTGCACAGCCAGGAGCGCCTCGGCGCACACACCGGCGCGCACGGGGAACACGGCGGCAAGGCGGGTACGCACGCGCACGTCCAGGGCGCTCACGTTGGTGCCCATGAGCACTCCACGTCCCACTCCGGCACCGGGCACCGCTCTGGCGCTCACCGCACCTCCCACAACGCTGTTCCCGGCCAGCATGAGGCTTCGGAGCACGGGCACGGCCGGCACCAGCACGGTGAGGCGCACCGGGACGTCGGCGCGCACACTGGCACGCATACTCACGAGCGCGGCGCACACACCGGCACGCACTCTCACGAGCGCACCGGCGCGCACGCCAAGGCACACCCTGGTGCCCAGCGCGCAGGTTCCCAGAGCGAGGAGCACCCTCTCGGTGCTGCGCACCGCACCGAGCACAGTGCTGCCCACCCTGGCGCGCAGCACGGTGCCGCCAACGCTGGTACCGAGCACAGCGCTAGCTCTGTCCGCACCGGCGCGACGCCTGCGGTGTCGGGTACCGCGGACCACAAGACGCGTGCGTTCGAGGTGCTCGCTCGTGCGATCTTCGGTGACTACGACGAGCTCGACTAAACGGGGGTTTGAGAACGCTGAACGGCATGATATGTTCTGTAGTAGATGGATAGTTCATCTGTATTGTTACGACGAGAATGCGAATAGCTCTGGGCTGCGAGTCTCGCTAATACCCCTGTGTGATTGCGTGAGATCTGGCTCGCATGTGTCTCTAGCTCAATTGTCTTGGCGATTGTGGGTGTATGGTGGGTCGGTCTCATGACTGTGTTCGTCGGAAGATATTTCTCTTGATGTTAGTGAGAACTTGTTTTATTGTCGATAAACTTCGAACGCGAGATGTTACTTGTGATATCTGCCTTGTGTTCTTCGACGCGATGCTACAAGTGTTCCTAGGCGAAGCATGCGCGGAATCGTCGAGTCGATGCGACGGATTGAACTGTATCATCGCGGTATGACTCAAGGTAAGTAGCGGTGACTCGCTGTCGATGCCTCCTTCAACGGAGGATGCTCGCCTATGTATCACTGTGTGCCCAAAGGCGGTGAAACCGCCCGAGACTCATCCGTAACGGTGTCACCACCGCGACCGGTGAAAATTGATCTACATAGATACATCTTACATGTCGTTCGCCCTAAAAAACGTGAACACGTACATATACGAGGCCCAATACGTATACCCTCTGCACCAAACCCCCCCACTGTATACCGCCGAGACTATACCGTCATAGCAGTCTGTGGAGGCGTCCGCAACGCGCGCCACTTCTGCCACCTAGGCGAGTCATCCTCTGGGTTCCGGAAGAGGAACACGGCGGACATGAAGATGGACTGTCATGGCTCGGCGTCAGACTAGCACATACGCGAAGGGCAGAGACGGGAACTAACCGAAAAGGTGAGCAGTGCCAGGCAGGGTAGTATCCCAATAAAATCTGAAGACTAGTGTAAGTGATACACATCGAGGGATTCTTCTCATGGACTAACCAATGTCCGCACCTAGACCCATCACGCGTCGTCATCCACTATTCACGTCGCCAATACGATAGCACTCACCGAAACCATTAGGGGCCCCCGGCATTGTACCGCGCAACTGGGTAAACGCAAACAAAGTCGCGACCGGCAATACCAAGATGTCACCCCTAACGCCCTTCCCGAAGAAGACCGAGACGATGCATGCCATGATGAATGTGATGGTAATCATCCCTGACGCAGCCGTCGTAGTCAGTAAGGTAGATCACGACCAAAATCGATACTCACAAATGGCGATCACGATGAGCAATGCATACATCCTAATGACCTGCCCTCGGGTCACGACCAAGTTCTTGATAGAAACGTCATTCGCAGCTATTCCGGAGGTAGCGGTGTCGAGTTTCGCGTTGAAGCCACTGAACCGCCGTGTGGTACCGTCAGTTGAAGGGCGGATGTTAATGGTAATACGCAGGCTAATGTCACGTACACAGCGATTCCACTAGTAGTACCAATACCGAGAGGTACGGTACTGTTGTCACTAACGGACTGCGCGAAGAACGCCAGAGTGGACGTGTACCTGACGACACCTTACGTTAGTAGTCGTCGAGAAGACTTCTTGAAAATCGACGCGTGCTCACTTGTCGAACGGATACGATTGCGCTGACCGACCGCCATAGTAGAAGTTCGTCATGGCCACTTGCGTCCTGAACAGGGGCGAACTGTCGCGATAATCAGGGTTGCCGCTTGCGTTGTAAGCCTGATAATCGGTGGCATTGATAGTGAAAATCGGTGGAGGTTTCTCGTTGTTCGCCGTCGATGTAGAGCCCGCGCCACGCAGCAGATTCCTGGCGGCAAGTGATAAAAGTGTTAGTAATCTGGGTATTCCTCGTCCAGTAGTACGTACACTTACTGGTCAAAGTAGATATCTACATCCGGACAATCTGACGTCGACGGAGAAGAGCCATCGGGACAGAAGTAATATAGAAACCAGTCCAGCGTAATGGACTGCGAATCCGAGTCGACTGAGATCAAGTTGGCGTCCATTTTGACCTACGTATCGTTGCTCAGATTTCTTCAGGAAGACGCGTGTTACACTGCACCTACCCAAGTCGGATCTTCAATCAGAAAAGAGTCAAGCACCTGGACACCCTGGAAGGTGCCCAATCGCAAAGACCAACCCACGCCGATGCTAGTGCACACGAGGATCAGGATGAAGAAGACAGAGACAACGATCCAGTGCCTCTCGACGAAAGCGAGAGTTGTGTTGCAGACGCGGTCTGCAAACAGCCTCATCCTCGACGATCGCTTTGACGGAGACGCCGTAGTAAGTAAGTCGGCACCATCGTTGGGAGACTGCGGCAACTTTGCGATCGAGCCGGGCGTCGCCATGGGAGTGTCATATGGATCGTATTGCGGGAATGCTGGTAGAGTCTGGGATCGCTTTTCAGACAAGCCGAAATAAGTATCCCTGTCCAGACTGGGGGTCGGTACCGTTCCAGCTCGCGCCGGAGGCCTGTGCGCGAGGTCGATGCCTAGAGTCGACGTTGCCATATGTCGGACACGCTCGCTGAGCTGGAATGCTGTGAAGGGAAGACAGACGGTCTTGTAAACGAACAGATGGCGAAGGGGCAGTCAAAAAAAAAACAAGAACAGTCTCAGCGAAAGATCGAAGTGCGCCTCCTGTGATTGTGCGATCTTCTTATAAGCAATTCATGACGAGGACCGACGGCCTCAGCCCTCACCGGCACCGGCAGCTTCGTAATCTGCGGTTTCATCTTGATGGGAAATGAGTTACGAGACTTTCGTGTGGTTTGACAGCGGATGCGCCTGACGTCGGTCTCCATCCGTCAGAACACAGCAAATAGCCTCAGTTACTACTCACGCTAGCAGGCACTAACAATCAGGGCGCGAGACGGCCATCCCAATGTACTTGAGGATCGGAGTTGCAGGATAGAGTAGTATTCGACTGTGCCAACTTTGTTTGGATTGTCGAGACTCGGAAGGCCCAAGAAAACTTTGAGGTACGCGACGGTGGTTCAAGTTGGGCAATGCTGCGAATACCAGGCCATTGACTGTAGCCAACGTCACCATGCCCACTACCACTTGATGGAACACTGGCCGTGGTGACACTGCAATACAGAAGGGTATGAGCGGTTGATTGGCGCACGTTACACACTCACCGACTCACCGAGGTCTGCACAAAGCCAGGCCAACCCGGAAAGTATTAATTCACTATACACCGCCTCTTAACCGCAGATCGATCAAACAGTTACGTCGCCGATATCCCGGCGGCCGCATCGACTGACTGATCGTGTCTTGGCCTGATTCAGTTGCCTGCTGCCGCCCTGGCAGGGCCTCGTGTTTGTGGTCTGCCCACGAGAGACTAAGCAGGGCCTGGGCTATGCTCAACTTGACAGAAAATGAGCTCCCAAGTTACATACATACATAAGTTACATCACAGATATTCAAACTTGCATATCCTGAAGCTCGGGCCCTTGGCCTTTCGTCGTCACGGTGTCCCAACCCTTCACTTTCTCAGGGTGTACCAAATCCTGCCACCTAGGTGTGCTGTCCTCTGGGTTGCGGAAGAGAAAAATAGCGCAGGTGAAGATGGACTGACAACTGAGTGTAAGCTTTGCATCACGCACACCGAGGTAAGACACGAGCGAACCGAGAAGGTGAGCAGCGCCAAGCAGGGGAGAATCCCGACAAAATCTGTGATGCTTCGTGAGTCGCGGATTTAACGGCGCTTGCCTGCAGTGCTCACCGATGTCCGCGCCTGTCGAAATTGGCGAGTCAGTAACTAATACCTTGGTCAGGATTAGGAGGATACTCGCCAAAGCCTGGAGGTGCACCGGGCATCGTGCCGCGCAATTGAGTGAACGCGAACAAGGTCGTTACCGGCAACACCAAGACCTCGACTCTGATACCTTTTCCAAAGAATACAGCTACGATGCAAGCTAAGACAAACGTGATCGTGATCATCCCTGGCAGGCATGTCAATTGCGATAGACAACGGACACAACATATGGGCTCACATATGGCTATGACGATAATCAGCGCATATATTCTGATGACTTGACCTCGTGTGACTACCAGATTCTTGACGGCGACATGATACGCAGCCTCCCCGGACGTATTTGTGTCGAGCTTTGCATTGAATCCACTGAGGGCGCAGCGTCAGAAAACATTCTGACGCCTTGCGCACCGCGACTACGTACACGGCGATTCCTTTGGTAAGACCGAAGCCTATGGGCACAGTCCCGTTGTCGCTCACAGACTGCGCAAAGAACACTAAAGTAGATGTATATCTGAAGGTCTTGATTAGCACATCTCCAATAACGTGTACCTGCGCAACCAGACTCACTTGTCGAAGGGATATGACTGGGAGGACCGACCATCAGAGTAAAAGTTCGTCATAGCAACCTGCGTCCTGAACTGAGGAGAATTGCGGCGATAATCAGGCCGAGTCGAGTTGAATTTATCATAGGCTACATAGTCCGTCGCATTGATAGTGAATATGGGGGCAGGCTTTTCATTGTTGGATGCGGTTGAGTCGCCCCGCAACAGATTCCTAGCCCATTCCACGGTGAATATAGGCATTGTCACGTTCATAAATTACACTCGAGACTCACTGGTCAAAGTAGATTTCAACATCAGGACAAGCCGGGGTGGATGGAGAGGCACCGCGCGGACAGAAGTAGCCTAAGAACCAATCTAAAGTTATAGACTGGCCGTCCGAGTCGACCGAAATCAGGTTCGCGTCCATTTCGACCTGGCTTCAATTAATCAACTGTGCTCCGTACGATTACTCAAGCTGCCACACTTACCCAGAGCGACGTCTCCTGCGGAATATATTCATCCAGGACCTGAGCCGCCTCGAAGGAACCCAAACGTAGAGACCACCCTACAGCGATGCTGATGCTGACGAGCAGCACCACAAAGAAGGTGGACGCAATGATCCAGTGTTTCTGAATAAACGTCTGCGGCCACTTGCGCACAAGGCGCAGGCGCTGCTTCGATGGCGACTTCCGCTTGGATGAGAATGTTGTAGTGGCCGAACTTTCCTGCATTGTAGCGCTTGACGCGCCCGTCAGCAAGAAAGGTGCACCCTCGAGCACATTGGTTTGATCTTGATGGGGCAAAGGGAGCGATAGTGGTGCTTGGGACCGTCGATCTGACAAACTAGGAGAGGCACCCATCTCCAAAAGCGGGATGGGCAGAGAACCAGTTCTGGCCGGACGTCTAGGTGTGAAGTCGGTATCGAGAGCCGACGTCGCAGCTTGTGCCATCGCCGTCCGGTTCACTATCAAAAGGATGCGGGAGCGCAGAAGTAGTAGTCGGGAGACGAATCGAAAGGGAGTGACCTAGAGTGGTGTAATGGCGATATCCAAGAGACTGAGGTGCATCACGGACGACCCAGTCATCCTTATGAGCAAGTCGCAGATAGAGGATCAATGGCTCACACACGCGCCGGCTGTTCGCCCTGTTCATTCCAATCACCCGTGCGATTTGTGTGGTTTGACAGCACGCCCTAGGCATACATCTTCAGGCGTCTAGGCATAGCTACTTGTGTCGTTTGGGGATCCTCAGCGGCCAGCGGGTGCTTAGCATGGAACCCCAGGACAGGTCAATAGCTTGCGATCTGCTCCGCCGCAGATTCCTCCTTCGCAACATATGTGAAACGCCGTTGATCACATTGAATGCCTTGACATGGAGGTTCTTTTACTTGCGACGCCCTGGAAAAGCCAACTGGCACAAAGTTGTAACGCTCTCATTCTGAGCTGACTGGTATTCGACGTCGGTGTCAGCGGCCATCGCATGTGGTAGAACAAATGACTTACTGCACAATGATCCTGCGTGGGAGACGGGTCAAAATCTGCAGCAGTCTGAGCCGATCCTGTGCCTAAGAAGACGTATGTCACAGAGCTCCTAGTATAGAACGATGGCTATGCACTACCTGGTAAGACTTGTCATTCTCGAACCCACAAAGGAGCATAGCCTGATGGCAGAGCCAGTGAGCAACCGATTGGCGCACGTTGCGGTGCTGTAAGCATACTGACTCACCGAGGTGCGTACAGAGTCTGTTCTCGTACCCGTCCGATGGGAGATGTGTGGTGATAGGCTGTGACGTCTCCCATCGCCGACATCCCGGCCGCATCGACTGACTGACCGTGGCTTGGGCTAACTTACCTGCCGCAGGGTTGTGTTGAACGTGTCAGACTTCGGAGTTGGGGACAATGGGTCACATTGGTACGAGACAGGTAGCAACCATTGGCGAAAATGAATTCGAGAAACCGACGTGAATTTTGTGATCAGACAGCACGGGGGCCGCACTTGCTGTGAGAAGCCTGAGACAGATTGCGATCAACAGAATATAAGTAGGCAAAAGACAACGGACATTCTGCACAAATATCAGGGCATCTAAACCGGCACATCCTTATGCTTGGGCGATTCCTGGTCGTCCGTCGCGTAATAGCCGTTTGCTTGGCCGGCATGCAACAAATGGTGCCACCTAGGCGTGTTCTCCTCCGGATTACGGAAGAGAAAGACGGCGCAAATGAAGACGGACTAGCAACTGTATGTAAGGTTTGCAGCACACATTCATATAATGAAAACGAACCGAGAAGGTGAGCAGCGCCAAGCAGGCGCGAATTCCGACGAAATCTATGATACTTCGTGAACCAAGGTTTAAAACGTGGTTTGCCTTTAATGCTCACCGATGTCCGCGCCTGTCGAAGTCAACATATCAGGTCAGCATATTGGTCATGTTGAGAGGTATACTCACCAAAACCACCCGGCGCACCAGGCATCGTGCCCCGCAATTGGGTGAAAGCATACAGGGTTGTGACCGGTAACACTAAGACCTCGACTCTGACACCTTTCCCGAGAAACACGCATACGATACAGGCCAAGACAAATGTGATCGTGATCATCCCTGGCAGACATGTCAAATACGTGCAAAGGCAAGAATATGAAATACAACTCACATATGCCTATGACGATGATGAGCGCATATATTCTGATGACTTGACCTCGAGTAACCAAATTCTTGACGGTGACGTCATACGCAGCGTCCCCGGAGGTATATATGTCGAGTTTAGCATTGTACCCACTGAGGCATATCATAACGTCAGAAGGATACCCCATGTTAGAGCGAAATGCAACTACGTACAAGGCAATTCCTCTGGTATCACCGAAGTCGATGGGCACAGTTAAGTTGTCGCCTACAGATTGCGCGAAGAACACCAAGAGGGATGTATACCTGACAAAGCATTATATCAGCAACTGTCGCCAACACTGAGAGCTGTAAATTGGCTGCAAACCAAGTATACTCACTTATCGAAGGGATAGGACTGAGCCGACCGACTGCCATCGTAGAAGTTCGTCATGGCAACTTGCGTCCTGAACCGCGGAGAGTTGCGGCGACCATCAGGCCGAGTTGAGTTATAGCTGCTATAGACTACATATCTGTCGCGTTAAAGTGAACAGAGGGGCGGGCTTTTCATTGTTTGATCCTGGGTTGTCCCGCAATAGATTCCTAACCACCAGTCAGAGAAAATACAATGATGAGCATTGTTATCGCGAATCCAGTCAACCTAGCCTCAATCAATCAACTGTGCATCATACGGTGGTTTGGGCTGAACTCACCGAATGGGCGAACCCTTCAGTAAATATGCGTCCAAGTTTTGCACCGCCTCGAAGGAACCCACACGTAGAGCCCACCCTACTGCGATGCTGATGCCGACGAGCAACAACACCAAGAAGGTAGTGGCCACAATCCAGTGATTCTTCACAAACGTCTGCGACCACTTACGCACGAAGTTCGGGCGCTGCTTGGACGTCGACGTCCGTTTGAAGTAAGATGTTGTGCTGGCCGAAGCTGCCTTTATTGTAGCGCTTGACGCGCTTGACATCAGAAAGGGCGCGTCCTCAAGCTCGTTGCCCAAATCCGGACGAAGTGACGGAAGCTATGACGGCGCTTGGGAACGTCGGTCTGAAGAGCTACGAGAGGTACTTCTATCCAGAAGCGGGATAGGCAGCGGATCGCCCCTGGCCGAATAGCTAGGCGTAAGGTCAGTATAGAAATCTGGCGTCGAAGGGTGCGCCATCTCGTGTCAGTTCACTAAGAGCAGCGGAAATGCAGAGGGTAATGATCAATGTAGTGAGAGGATGAGAGAGGGATCGAAAAGTGACCGGGTGGCGACAAGAGGCTGCGGTGCACAACGTACGACCAAGTTCGCATTCCTCATAAGCAAGCCCCATAGACGACCGGCGGCATATGTACGCGCGCTGGCGGTTCACGCTGCTCTTCGCAATGACCAACTAAGGACTTCTGTAGTTTGAGCGTTGACAGCACGTACTAGGAATCCTCAGCGACTGGCTGCCGCTAGCTGCGGTCTATTGCACGCGGTCTGCTTGAAGTTCTTCCTCATAGCCCGTGCGAACGTTGCTCACGAAGAAGTTGGCACCTAGGTCGTTTGAATTGCAGTGCCATGCAAACGCCCGACTGTGACAAGGTCAGGGAGCTTCCACCGGGAACCGACTGGTATTCGGCGCCAGCATCAGCGGTCGTTGCATGCAGTAGAACCAATCACTTACCGCACAATGAACATGCGTGGGAGACGGGTCAGAATCTGGGTCGACCCTGTGCCAAAGAAGACGTATGGTGCAGAGCTCCTAGCGTTGAACTATGGCTATGCACTATCAGGTAAGACTTGTCATTCTCCAACCCACCAAGGAGCACGGACAGGACTCGTGTGTAGGCGTGTCGCGGCAACTTGACAGCCCTGCGCATCGAGTGGCTGCGATGAACAAAACGCTCATCGCACTGTCTATGTTGCACAGCTGAAACAAATGCGAGAAACGGTCATGTCAAGCATGCGGCAACCAACTTAACCTGATATACGCAAGACTGCCTCTTAAGACCAGTGTTGTACGATGTAAGAAGATAAGTGCGGCATTCCGAGATCGGTCCGAAGCAACGTTAACAACGCTCACTATTGCGATGCATCCTCTGCTTCGCGCTTCTTCTTCCGTTTCCTCGACTTCTCCTCCACCACCGCCACGCCGCCCGACTGGTCCGCAGTCTCATTTTTTTTCGTCCTGCGCTTCTGCGTCTTTGGCTCCTGATTCTGCGCGCCTCCATCCGCGGATGTCGGCGCAATCTGTGATAGTTTGTCCTTCTTGACCACAGAAGGCGAGAAGCCTTCATCGGAGTCGTGCTTGGTCCCCAGAGAATCACCTACCCCTTCCTCCCTGTGTTTCCGCTTCTTGGACTTCCGCGTGGACGGCGAATGCTCGTTGCCTAGAGGTTGTTCATTCTTCTCCGTCCCCTCCTCTTCCACCTGAGTCGCGGACTGCACGAACGACATCGCGGACATGGACACCGCTAGCTTCGACGAGCCAAGTCCGCCTCTGGGGCGGTCATCGTAGTCTTCCACTTCCACCGTCTCCACGCGCAGCCTCGAGGCCCCCAGTCCCAACCCGCCTCTCGGACGCTCGTCGTAGTCGTCGCTCGTCGGCATCTCCGCCGAAGCGGGAGTCGAAGAATCAGACGCGCGGTTAGACTTTGCCGCGAGCTTGTCGCGGAAGTAGTCCATGACGCTCTTGTTCGAAGTCGTCAGGTCTTGCATTTTAAGCGCGGCGGGACCGGACGCCGGGGTATCTAGAGCGGAGGAAGACGCGGAGGGGTCCGGCGAATCTGAAAGAGAGGGTGTGGGGACGGACGATGAGGGGACACCGAGAATCTCAGCAATGGCAGTCGCAGATTTGGACGCCATTCCCTTCATTGCAATGTGACGCGCGCGATGTGCACGAACACTGTAGAGCGATAGTCAGTGATGATCCGGGGGAACGTATGATGATGGCAGGCAGCTAGTATTGATAGATGAAAGGTCACATACGGGCGTGGTACAATGACCGGTGCCCTCGCGGCTACCGTGGTTTCCGATACCACGTTGATCGTTGCGCTCTTCGTCTCCGATGAAGGAGCACCTTCATCGTCGCTGGATTTGCACTTGCGTTTTTTCTCCTTGCTTTCCTGGCTGCGGGCTCTTCCTCCCTCGTCTTTCCCTTCTTGTCCCGCTTCTCCTTTTCTCCTTTTTCTTTCTCTGCGCCTCCTCCTCGCTGCCCACTACCTCTTCGGCGTCCTCCTTCAGATCATGCTTTCTCTTCTTGCTCTTCCGCGGCTTCTCCCCTGCTCCTTCTCCTCACCCTCCTCTTCCGCCGCCCGCACGTTCTCCTCAGCCGGCGCAGTAGGCTTTACGAAACCATCAATCTTCGGAACGTCCGCCGCACCCTCCTCCTGCCCCGCAGCCGCATTCAATCTGCGTAAGAGGTTTTCAAAGTCCTTGCCCTGCTTCCACGCCGTCCCGTCCTGGTTGTTCTTGTGGTCCGCGCCGATACCGAGCATGTCAAGCTTCTGGTAGACGGAGATGTGGTTGGTGCGCCCCTCGCCGGACGCACCGAGGCCCGAGCCTGAGGCCCAGCCAAACTTTTCGAGGTATGCGCTGCCGAACTTGCTGGCATCTGCGCGCGGAGTGAGATTTCACGCCCCAGCATCGGTGAGACTACGCACGCACCGTTTGCCCATGTGAGGTTCCTTGGATCAGCGCCAATGCGCTGCTTGTTTTCGCCTGAGAGACCCATCGCAAGTTATGCTATTGTAGCAGAGCCCGTGCTATCCGGGTACGCTATATGCGTGCGAAGTCAAAACACTGCTTACGAGCCAGAGACGAAAGATCTCACCGTTGAGCACGAGACTCAGAGTCTTCGTTGCGCAGTAAAAATGTACGAGATAACTTGGCGATGGTCGATAGCAAGGCGGACAGCCAGCTGTGTTGCTGCTGAAAGCGTTGAACGGCCGGTGTAGACTGCAAGCCAGATTCCATCTCACGGCGCGCAAACTGAGCGATCATGAGCGCTCCGAGAATCCCGGGCGTCTCGCGCTCGCCGTCACTGTTCCAGGGCAGTGGCTGGCAGTGGTCGTCTTCAGCAAACCCTGTCAGCATTGTCTACGATCACATCTTCGCGCGCTGTGCTCTATCCACACAGTAGTGCATAGGGCGCCGTGCCGTATATCGATATAAACACCCCGGAATCGTCTGGAACGTGAAGGTCATCCCCACCGGGACCGCTCGAGCCAAACCAGCCGGCGTTGCCAGTTCGTAGTCTGTACCGTTACGCTGAGCGCTCTGTAGCACTTCTGCGCCCGTACGCTCAGAGAGATCTCAAGTTGACAGCTATCAGTACAATGCCTTCTGAGCGGAGCGTTCTCGAGACTGGAGAGGTCATTGGGGAAGGCGATTCCTTCCTCGTCGACGACTTTCTTCCGTCTGAATTGTCAGAACATGCTTTCGGCCGTGTGCGAGACGAAGTGCAATGGCATCGAATGGTCCACAGAGGTGCGCATCTCTACCTGACCATCACTCCGTAGGAAGCCATCGACTCATACTCGCACAGGCGGCGAGGTCCCGCGACTTGTCGCAGTGCAAGGTTCGGTGAGCGAAGATGGCAGGTACGACAGGCCAAGCACGTTGCATTCGAACCAATTCTGAGGACATGTCAGTTGTCCGATCTACCGCCACCCAGCAGACGAGTCTCCGCCCCTCCTCCCCTTCTCACCCACAGTCGAGCTCATCCGACAGCACGTCGAACAGACCCTCCGCCACCCCGTGAACCACGTCCTGATCCAGCACTACCGCACAGGCGCAGACTATATCTCCGAGCACTCCGACAAGACGTCGACATCGTCCGCGGTCCAAGATCGTCAACGTCAGTCTCGGCGCACGCCGCGTCATGACCCTGCGCACAAAGAAGGATGCCCAGCGCGCACCCCCGCCGCTGCCCAGACACGCCCTCCGCGCGGTGCAGCGCATCCCGCTCCCCACAACTCGATGTTCGTCTTGGGCCTCGAGACGAACATGCGCTGGCTGCACGGGATCCGCACCGACAAGCGGCCGGAGAAGACCAAGTCGGCGGAGGAGCGTTTCGCGAACGGGGAGCGCATCAGCCTGACGTTCCGCCACATCGGCACCTTCCTGTCACCCGGGGAGACGCACATATACGGACAGGGCGCACGCGGAAGACGCGTGAGGACGCGCGACCGGTGGCGCACGGCGGGAGTGAGGCGCAGGCGCTAATCGACGCCTTTGGGAAAGAGAACCACTCGAGTGAGTTTGATTGGGACGCGGCTTACGGGGCGGGATCGGACGTGTTCCACTTCAGTGAACGTACAGATGCTTTGTGATGTCCGTCGCGGTGTGAATGGACAGAGTGCGTGGTGAAGGGGTGAAGAGTCTTGTCGCGGCGGTGTGTCCTCGAGTGCGCGACGTGTTCAAACCTCCAACCACGACTCACTTGTCCGCAACATCGCGTACTCTCATCTCTTCTGCATGCGCCCTCAGCTCTCTATCATGCTCGAAAGCAAGGATATCGCGGTGCAGACTTGCATCAGGCAGGTTCCAGTGACATACGAAAGGCTTCCCTACGACCCTTCCTCAGAGGAGAATGCGATCCTGAAGAATCCCGGTATGCCAACCACCGGGTCATTGGTTCTGATTCCACGCTCTAATACATCTATGGGCAGGCACCGCACGCGCAAATCTCGCGCCTTCTCTCGAGTGCCCCCACGGTACCCAGAGCAGCGGCTGGGCGGACAAACACAGCGGGCACACCGTACTGCAGCAGCACTGCGCCTACTTCGACCCTGACGGAGATAACATCGTCTGGCCGCACGACACGTACCACGGGTTCCGCAACTGGGATTCAACCTCTTCCTGACTCTGTTCTCCGTCTTCATCATACATTTCAACTTCTCCTACCCGACCTGTCCGGGCTATCTGCCGGATCCTTTCTTCCGCGTCTACCTCGCGAACATCCACAAGACCAAACATGGAAGCGACACGGGCACGTACGATAACGAGGGACGCTTCATCCCCAGAAGTGCGTGGTTCCCAGCTAGGTGGCACGAAGCAGAGCTGACGGCCTATCAGGTTCGAGGACATGTTCGCAAAGTACGGCGACAAGGACGGGCTGGGGAAATGGGATATACTTGAGCTGATGAGCGGTCAGCGCGTCTTGTTCGACCTTTTCGGTACATGCGGTGCCCTTTCGAGTGTGCGTATCGCTCTCCTTGTCTATGCTCTGTATGCTCACACAGACGTGCAGGGCTGTCGCTGTACCTGCTCCTGTGGCCGGCCGACGGAATCGTGAGGAAGGAGGACTTGAGGCGTGTCTACGACGGAAGCATCTTCTCCGAGTTGTCTCTGCGGCGCTCTGGCAAGGCGAAAGCCGTCTGAATGTACCAGCGCTACATGTCCTCGGACCGGTTCACTGTGACGGTTATGTAATCCGCCCTCGAGCCTGTACCGTTCAAAGCAACACAGGTTCCGTCGACGTGCCATGAGGCACCACGACGTCAATTTGAATATATATCCAATTCCGACTGAGCCATCCACCCGAACGCTGGTGCTGAGCCCGAAAAGGCAGGTGCTGTCGATCCGCCGTGGTTGAGTGCGTCATGACTGCGCCCGCACACGACGAGGCTCGTCATCCCGCCAAGCAGTCGGGATGTACTTATGACGGACGCACGCCTGCGCACCACCCAACTGGGCGTCCATGCTTTTCAGGCTAGCGTCGCTCGTCCTGCTCACCTCCACCCGCCCCACTCTCCCTCGCGCCAACGCGTGTCTCTCGTCTCTCGTCAGAAACCGCCACCTGGTACCGTATCCACACCATCACAGGCCATGCAGACCATCATCAACAAGGTCACCGGTAATGACGCGAATAACATCAGCGGCTTCGACCAGGAGGATGTCCCCGAGCTGAAGGGCCGGGTATGCGTCTGTCTTCGCTCAGTCCCAACATGTACTGAGCTTGCGTACAGACCGTAGTCGTAACCGGCGGGACTGTCGGCATCGGCTTCGAAGTCGCCAAAGCCCTCGCGCTCGCAGGGGCCCGTGTCCGTCTCCTGTCGCGCAGGAGCGAGAACGCAGAGGAGGCCATCGCGAAAATCAAGTCTGACGCCGACCCGCACGGGCCCATCGTCGACGTCACCTTCACGCCGTGCGACCTGGGCAGCCTCGAGAACGTCAAGCAAGTCGGAGACCGCATCCGAGAGCAAGAGGAGCGACTCGACCTCGTAAGGCCACCCGCTAGTCAGTAGTCCGCGTACTTGCACTAACAACCCCACAGCTCATCCTCGACGCAGGCGTCGGCGTGAACAAATACGACGTCTCCGCAGACGGCATCGACCGCCACTTCGCCGTGAACCACCTCGGGCACTACTACCTCACCAACCGCGTCCTCCCCCTCCTGCGCCGCACCGCCGAGCTCCCCGGCGCGCCCGCCCCGCGGATCGTCGTCGTCTCCTCCGAGCTGCACCGCGCGCTCGCGACCACGGTCAAGTTCGCGTCCCTCGACGAGATCAACACGGACCTCGGCGCGAACGGGCTGTACGCGCGCAGCAAGCTCGCGAACATCCTCTTCGTCAAGTACGGCCTCGTCGAGCGCGTCCTCCGCCCGACAGGCTCCAGGATCGTCGCCATCGCGACGCACCCCGGCGCGGTGCACACGACGCAGCAGGACCAGTTCAAGGACACGTTCGGCACCGTTGTGGGGACGATGATGAAGCATCTCACCATCCCGTTCATGCGCAACCCGGAGCAGGGCAGCCTGAGCACGCTGTGGGCAGCGACGAGCGAGGAGGTCGACGAAGACCCTGCGAAATGGAACGGGCACTACATCACTGACCCGGGTCAACTGAGCGAGGAGAGCAGGGCTGCACAGTCGTCTGAGCTGGGAAAGAATCTGTGGGGTATCAGCGAGCTCCTAGTGAGGAAGAAATTAGGGAGCGACGCTCTGCTTCCCTGGGACGAGCGCATGTAGTAAGATGAACGAACGACACGTTCAAAAGGAAAGAGGAAAGACCAAAGTGGACTCATGGACTTCACCTGTAGCATATTGTGAACCCCACTGTAATAATGAGCACCTACATGACACGGATAGAAACATTCCATGCCATGAACATATTGCTCTGGTACTGGACAGTCCGGGCAAGACAGGGCACACAATGATACAATGGGTGTTCATATGCAGAGCGCTGCATGAATTTTGATGCTACAGGAAGCAAGAGCCGACAACACATAAACAGCACAACAGCGCCCCCCATCCGCTCGATACGCCCGACCTCAGAGACGCACAACTCAGCGTGAAGGAGTAGGTTATGAGACAACGGTCCAGACACGGACGAGGTCGTCGGTGAAGCCACCGAAGAGCGTCTGGCCGTCCGCTGACCATGCGATGGAGACACACTCAGGTGCCGCGAGTTGGCGCTCTGGGCGAAGTCAGGGATGAGCTCGTCGACGATCGACCTGTGTATTCATCATCGGTGACCAGACGCAAAAAAATAGCGTGAACGCACTTGCTCTCAAGGTCGAAGATCTTGATGCAGGTCGCGGTCGCCGCGCAGAGCCAGTACGGTTGGGCGAGAAGACGAGGGCGTTGACGATGTCGCCCGCCTCGAGCGAGTAGAGGTGCTTGCCCTCGTTGAGGTCCCAGAGCATGGTGATGCCGTCCTTGCCGCCGGACGCCGCCAGCGAACCGTCGGGCGAGACAGAGATGGTGTTGATGTAGCCAGTGTGGCCGTAGTGGTTGGTCTTGAGCTTGAACTTCGAAAGCTCCCAGACCTGAAGATAAGTCAGTACGTAGTTTCGACACAGTCGAATGACGCGAGTGGCAACATGAGAAAAAGGTCAGAGATCTTGGTGATTTTGTGTGGTCTCATTGGGCGGACCCTCTGAAGTAGCAAATATGTTGTAACATCATACCGAAAAGCAGAAGCAGAAACGGCACGACACCAGAAAGCATGCTCACCTTGACCACCTTGTCCCAACCGCAGGAGACAATGACGGGGTTCAAGCGTTAGGGCTAAAGCGCACGCACGATACCCACTCGGTGTGGCCGTCCTCCTTGATATCGTACTTGCACTCGCCAAGCGTGTTCCAGAGCTTGATCGACCGGTCGCGCGAGCCGGAGACAATCTGCCGGTTGTCAGCGCTGAAGCTGACGGAGAGGACGTCGGAGGTGTGGCCGACGAAGCGGCGCGTCGTGAGGCCGGTTTGAGGTCCCAAGACGGAGTGTGTGATCCCACGAGGAGGAGAGGGCGAACTGGCCGTCGGAGGAGATGACGACGTCCGAGACGAAGTGGTTGTGGCCGTGGAGGATGCGCTTGGGGAAGCCGTACTGGTCCTCGTCACGGGTCAATGACCAGACGATGATTGTCTTGTCTATGTGCACGATCAGCCCACAGGTTCGTGGCACGCAGAGTGGCAGCACACTTACCACGGGAGGCAGTAAGAATCATGTCGGGGTTCTCCGACGAGGTGGCGATGGCGGTGACCCAGCCCTTGTGGCCGGGCATAGACCCGAGATAGCGCAGGGACTCCATGGTGGTATGTGCGAGAGGCTCGTGAGGCGTCGGCGTCGTTCTCGGGCTGCTCTTCGCTGCTGCGATATTCCTCGGTCAACGCGAGAAGCGCGTGACAGCCACCGTGACTGGTACTATACAGTCCGGCAGCGGCCGAGAGTTCCGGCGCTTCCCCTGCATGACTTCAACGTGGCGCCCACTTCGACGCGCTGGCCAAGCTGGCTGACCTGCTCTTGAGTCTCGTTCCGCTGTTCATGGCAGCCCTTGGTTCACTCACCGCAGAGGAAAGGAAGTGCTGTCCATTGGTTGACCTCGGGACATTCAACAGATCTCAGTATCACAACTGGTTCGTGTTGCGTTGTTGAAGCCTTACTTGCGCTTGCTTTCTGAATCCCTTCTTCTATGATGTATAAACCTTATATTTGCTACTTCAGAGAGCTTCGGCTCTATGAGATGATTTTATCCACCAAGATCTCTGACTTGTTCCAATATATGTGTCTTATCGTATCTCCTTCTGGAACTAACCTCTTCTCCTTGTTTAGTGAGTCTCAACTTGCACGAACCTTGCATCCCTTTCGCGTGGAATCATCATACGGTATTCCTCAGAGTGGAAGGCCGAGGTATAGATGTTGAAAGGGGTTTCATGGGCGGAATCGTACGCACCCCTTGGCCATTGTACATACTACATTGTTGTTCACATTATGAAGACATCGTCGACGCGTCGCGATCCGCATACTTGTGCGATGGTATTGTCCATGCGGTCGGGTTTGATTGCCTTCGAGGTATCGAGACACGTCCAGGGCCCGGTAGTGCGACACGGTCACTGTCCGACACGTCCTTCTGTCGCGGTCACGTGCATCGCGATATAATAGCGTTTGACTCTGCCATGCCAGCGAGCCCAAGGCGGGGCCATTCGAGCTCGCTACTGTCACTCAAGCCAGTGAATTGTCGCCTCCACTGCCTTGATTATCCCCTGGGCGGTATATACATAGCGCTTCTGCCGCGTCGAGGATCATGAAAACTCCCGTAATTAGTCAGTTCTTAGACTAGCGTTGTCGAGCGCAGGGTATTGACCTGATCCTGTTCAGTCGATGCAGATCCAGGCGTGGACGATGTCATCGCGATGTGAGTTCGGGGCACTCTAGTCTCGACGTGTACTGGATTTTGGACAGATTGCTTGCCCTCGCATCTCCGGAACTCGACGTCCGCGCGATCATTATCTCGTATGGTGAGCGTTGTCCGTCTAGCGCTCGTCTGCTTCGCTAACAACGCGCAACCATTCCAGGTAACACTACTTTAGAAGCCTCCCAGTAAGCATTTATACAGTGACGCAGCCGAGTATCTCATAGCGACGTCCTACAGTCTCAACATCATCAAGCTGTATCACACTCTATTGCAGCACCTAGAGCAATTCCCTGAACAGAAGTCTCGCTTCCCTGGTCTTTCTGGTGATCGAAAGGTAATCCTTGCCAAAGGCTGCAGCCATCCTCTTGCAGGGGCAGACCATAGCGCCGAGTACTTCCACGGCCGGTACGTAGAGGTGCTGGCTCTTCATCCCCAATTTAGCCCCATCTCTTCGTCAGCGATGGACTTGGGGACATGGACCAGCGCCATCCCGATCTCAGTGTCGAAGTATCCACCGCGGAGCATTCGCATTTACTCCTCACCGACCGGCCTGGTGTAGAGGTGGCCCTCGATCTCATCGAGAGTGAACCTTCCAGGAGTATCACTTATGTGGCGCTAGGTCCCCTCACTAACCTCGCTCAGCTGTTGCGGCTAGGAGGGGACTCGGTCAGAGATCGAATTGGACGTGTTGTGTGCATGGGCGGGGCTCTGGACGTTCCGGGTAACACCAGCCCGGTAGCAGAATGTGAGTGACTACGTCGCAATTTCCGTACATACATAGTTCCCTGGCTGACCAGAGGTATAGTCAACTTCTTTGCCGACCCGTACGCTGTCAAGGAGCTGCTCACGCCAGACGATCCTAACACCAGCATCCCTCTCGAGCGCTTCCTCTTACTCCCCTCGATATTACCACTCCGCACGAGCTACCCTTCCCTATCTACGCTGCTCGAGTCGACCCAACCTTCGAAAACGCGACGGTACGGCCTTCCCGACCGGAGGACAAGCCGCCGCTTGTACACTTCACAAGCTCCTTCCTCGAGCGGACGCGCGAGATCATGGTCGGTTTCGGCAAAGATGCCATGGAACTCCACGATATCGTCGCTGTCTGGTGTGCAATTGCCAATCCGCCTGTCGAGGTCGAGACCGTGGGCGCCCTGCCGAAGCTGCAGCCCGGGTGGAAGGCTTCACGACGCAAGTTCCAATTGAGCGGTAAGAAGGGTGAGGCTGCGTCCCTGTGACTGGTACTGACGTGTTTATGTACGTAGGGTCGGTGAGATCACCAGGGGTATGTGCGTAGTGGACCTGCGAGAAGATCCGGGGGCGTATGCCCCCGGTGCGAACCGCGCCGAGGTGCAGGCTGAGCTTGAGAAGCATCATCTGCACCACTCCGGGCCGTTCGAATCCACCGCCCTCCCCGCTCAAGTCGAAGTCGAGCGTGCCAGTGACGCTCAGCTGCCAAACCACACCGCTGTAGGCGGGGTTGCTTGTGTCTTCGAGACTCCTGGGCCGGAGGCACTCCTTACACTGCTGCTCGAGCGAGTTTGGGGTGTGACTACCTAGTTCAGCAGTTGCCGAAGCGCTGCGAATGCAGTACTTGCGAAAAGGTGTTCTACTAATACAGTACAGTTCTAGAGATTAGCCCATCCATGAGTGTACGCGTCTCTAGGTAGGTGGCTCTCGGGAAAACACAAGCAAGAACTCGTAATGCAAGCCCTCTGGTCGCGTGCCACTCAAGATACAGTGCAATGGTTGCGATCGGTATAGACATGAATAGATCGTCATCGGACCACTTCCACGAACTCTTCTTCTGCCTTCTTGTCCAGCACCGAAGGCGACTTGCGATCTGCGTCGCTGATGGACTCTGCGTCTGCGTGCTTCTGCTTGGTTGTTGCGATCTCATCAATGGTCCGCCACCTGAAGCCGCCCTTCATTGCCTGGTCGATGACCATGCCGCTGCGGGACGAAACACGAATCAGCTGAGACCCAACGGCCGATTGATGGACCACGTACACAGCGTAGACGGTCATGGCACGTAGCCGCTGAAAGGTACCATGTACGAGTGCGCGGTGTTGGTGTCCGCGATGACACCTTGCGCTGGAGGGTACCAGGCGCCGCCTCCGACACCCTGGGACAGCAACGTCAGTCAATGTCCTTTTATTGCTACAAAGAGTAGTACTAACCATGACGACCAAGCCGGAGCCACGCTTTGTGTGGCGACCGAGGTTCTTCGTCGCCAATGTGAAGATCACCTGAAGAAGGGTTCGCCTCAGTGATGTCGGCTCATAAGTAGGTAGCAGGGGTCACTCACGGGATAGCAAATGGACTCGAAGAAGAAGAGGATGAAGAGGCAGACGGCTCCTCCAATTCCAGGCACGAAGCTGTGCAGACTGCAAAGATGGAGCACATCACACCGTAGATGGCGAGCAGCAACGCAGGGTCGATGAAGTTGAGCAGCACAACGCCGACGAACCGTCCAACGGTGAATGTGATCTGGCAGTAGGAGTACAGCTGACTCGCAAGCGGCTTGCTGATGCCGATGTTCTTGTCGAAAAAATAGTTGACCGCCATAGAAGCAACCCCAACTTGGGCACCGCTATACTTGGGGTCAGCCATTGGCCAAGACACGGAGACTTCAATGGCATACGTGTATGTCGTCTGCGCCACCCAACCGAAGATGCAATGGTATTGCTTCCAGAACGGCTCTTCATCATTCGTCAATCCAGCTTCCTCCATCTCAGCTGAGAGAGCGTCTTCAGAGATTTCGGGCAAAGGACAGAAGCTATAGCTAAGGTAAGACCTTGCTTGTCCAATGGCAATAAGGATCGAGCTCACAAGAAAAGGATGTTCAGGACTAGTCCGAGGCCCGCAACAGCAAGGTAGACCCTGTCAAGTCGAATTTAGCACGTGTAGGAGCGAGTGGCAAGAGTTACTCCTACCATTGCACAGTAGCAAGCGATGTCGCATTCTTGCCTGTGAAGAAATACTTTGAGGCGATCATAGGTCCCGCGAAGGATGCTACGCCCTGCCATGCTTGGCTGAAGTTGAGGCGAGCGGCAGCATACTTTGGCGATCCAAGGACTGTGATGTAAGAGTTGGCAGCCACCTCCAGGCAAGACAGACCACATCCTGCGGGGGAGAGGGGGTTCAGACGGGCCTTGCAGTCAGGAAACTACGACCTACCGATGACGAACGTGCACCCCACGAAGCCCCCGTACTTTGCATATACTGCCGACGGCCAAAAGAATATGGCACCTGCATGACAAGTCAGTGGCGTTCACTTGGACTCCGGTGATGCACACTGACCCAGAGAGTAGAACGTTAAACCCATATGGATTCCTTTCTATCTTCAATTATCAATGAGGCGCCGTGTGGGCCCGTGATGCACCAAACCTTGTAGCCATATTTTCTCATCTAGCACGAGGTCAGTAATGAATGAGAGCAAGGTTATGGGGTACTCACGAAGGCACCAGCGATAGGCGCGTAGACGAGATATGCTCCCTGTCCCACATAGTGACTATGAGGTCCGATCCAGGCATGACCAGGGGACTACGCACGAAGTACGCCACCTGCAACATCGTACTCTGGAGCTTCGAGATCCCGAATACTGTCTGGAAGTGCGCGTTGAGGACATCAAGCAACTGTTGGCGGGTGAGCGACCTGGACAGGCTTCAAGGCAGACAGTCGCTACTCACGCCATACGCGAAGCCCCATGTGAAGAAAAGCGAGGTCACAAGGGCGAACGCGAAGCCCCACTCCCTGCGGGAGAGCTCGGTACCTACAGGCATTAGGTTCGTCGCTGTTCTCGTGTCTGACAAGGTTAACTTGGACAGCACGTACCGGTCGTCTCAGCAGGTGCCATGGCGGGGAGGCGAGGTGTTCAGAAGCACACGGCGTCCAGGATAAATACCCCGGGATGTGTAGCTCCATATTGTGCGGGGTACATCCCAGAAGGAGGTGTCACGCCGGAAAGTAGGGAGGGAGGCGAGCACCTGAGCCCGCGTGATGATCCCGCATGTCGGACACGGTTCACTACGGTCCGCGAAGGTTGCCCTGCCCGCGTCTTTTCTTGGTTTGCGTTGAGTCTCCACCCACAGCGCGCGACTCAGGTCCTGTGATGGTCTGCTGCCGCCGCGTCGCGGGGCGCAGAAACCGATCAACCAATTCATTGCAGCACACATGAGTGCGACGCTACGAGATCGCCTGCCTGATTTGGCCTGGAGTGTTTGATGGGACTCGATCCCGTGACCCGTGTATCGGTGCGCGTGTCCGCAGACTTGGCCTTGATTTTGGCACAGATCGCTTCCGCCACATCCCCCACCGATCAACCAGCATGCAGGCTTCCTCGACGCAGGCACAGTCGCCAGCACCAAGCCTGCCCTTCTTTCTTGCGGTCAGCACTTGTCGGCGCGCTGCATGAGTCGCGGTTCTTTGTGCGCTGACCGCGCCTGCTCGTGTACTCCAGAACGTATACCCCACCGTCAAGACTCGTCATCCCGGGGAGGGAAGGAGAAAATGGCGTCTCCGAGCAGTGGAGGAGTTTTGGAAGCTTCCTGCTGAACAAAAGGCATCATACGCCAAGGTGCGTGAGGATCTCCCGAGGTTCTCGCTCGCGATGTCTCGACGGCTGTCCTGATCCTTCCCTCCCAGCGGGCACTCGTGTCCCCTGCTAGCGCAGAACCCGACTTTGTAGCGGACGACGATCCGTTTGACGATATATCTGACGACGCTCCCGGCCTCGGCATCCTCGTACGCACTGACTACTCCAACGAGGAAGCCTGGCAGGCATTCTACGGCAAGCTCCAGGAGAGCGAAGCAGAGTTCGCGTCAGCGCAATCCCCCGAGGATGACCCCATGGCTGGAGACGTACCTCAGGCAGCAGAGGGAAGTTCAAGCTCCGGGCCTGATAACGGTCCCAGTGCCATGGACGAAGACGACGACGACGACGACGAAGAACCACCGCACATCTTCTTTGTCGTCAACGCTCCGCCGGAAGGCCGCGCACGGCTCACGAACATCTCCAACGTCGCAGCCCTCCGGCTGCTGAATGACGTGGACGTCCGCGCTGCGCCCTCCCCGCCCCCAGGCACCAAACGCATCAAGCCGCCAAACAGGCTTGTCGATCATGACGGGTGGCAGGAGACATACACCGGCAAGACCGTCTGGATATACGACGCGAGGTCAAACGCCGACCAGTGCGTGCGGCTTGTGAGCGGGCACGGAGGGCCGTACGGGACCGCGTCGTGCGTGTCCCATCCCTCAATGTCACTATTTGCGTGTGACTGATTCTACTGCTGCGGGCTGTGCGACAGCGGGGACAGCTGGCGCGCCCGCGTCAGCCATATCTGCGAGCTGCAGGTGAATCTCGCCTCAGGTGCAATGTCCATTGATTTCGGCGGGATGGACAGGTGGGATTACGACGAGCGGGTGCGGAATATGGAAGAAGCGGTGCGGCCTATGAATTAGGTGAGGTCCATATTAGGCTGACAAATGCGAGAAGCTGAATTGACCGGACACAGACCGGCACGCCCATCGTCGACGGTTGCTGTGCAGTGTCTGACGTAGGCGCATGTTCGTCTGTACCACCCTCAGGCCAGGCTGTAGACTTTCGAACGTCTTCGGCACGGAAGCACCGGGCTCACGACGTCGAAGGCAAAATATAGCGCCATCCCTTTGTGGCGTTTCAAATGGACGTCTTATACATAGTTGGACGGTGGGACGAATGTGGTCCGTCCTACCACAGCAGGTCGGAATTAGGCATTAGGCTACAGTACATCCGCATTACAGTCATTGTACAACAATAACATAAGGATAGCATGCATCGACAGATAAGGATAGAAATGCCAGGGCGCACGGCCACCAGAGCCACTGCGGAGCGTCGTCAGGATGGTCAACAGGGAGCTGCGATCCGAGGACTTACGTGCGCCAATGTTAGATGTCGGAGGGGAAAACGTCAATGCGGTTGTGGCAACCTGCTGCTGGATGTCCCTGCATCCTCCGGACCTGATGAAGAGCGCGTGGACCGCACATCCGACATTCGCTGTGCGGTGCTCGATGATTCGGGGCTTGTTGCGTCGTCGTCTGTAATTCGACGCTCGTCCTCATCCTCAACAAGACCAGTGCAATCCAAGTACCCACCACAGCATTCCGACTCGGAGTAGCCGCTGTTGCTCGGCCCCGCCTGCGAGGGTCCTGGCATCCGAGACTGTTGCTGGGGGTAGCTGGATGGCTCTGGGGGCCCGCGGAAGAGATCGCGGTGGAGAGCGTGCAGAGGCGGCAGCTCGATTCGTTGTCGGGGCGAGGGCGGCAGCCGGTGGTGTGGCTGTGGTAGTGGCGAGGGTGTGAACGACGGCGTGGCAAGCGACGTGGGGGTGTGGTTCTGGATGGGAGGAAGGCGGAGACTGGAGGCCGATGACGGCTCAGAGCTAGGCGGTGGGCCGAAGGCGACTTGCTGGAAGTGGTTGATCGAATGGGCGGCGGCGGAGAGGTTGTGTATGAGCTCGTTCGTCGCGGCAGCCTGACAAGGCGGCGTGTGAGATGCAAGGACAGTGGCGAGCGCAGCGGCGAGCTGCGCAGACAGATGGAACGCGCGTACCATCTCTGGGCTTGGGCTGGTTCGTTGTGCGGCGGATTGGCCCGCGGTGCGTAGTTGCGCGCCGAGGATATCGATCTGCTCCTTGAGCCGCGCGTTCTCCTCCTCGACCTGCTTGCAGCGGTCCTCGAGATCGGCGACATAGCGTGCCTTGCGGGCGCGGTAGTCGCGCTGCTGGAGGAGGGCGCGGGAGGGCGGGATGGTCATGTCCTTTCTGCGGCCGCGCGTCATGGCTGGTGGGCGGGGCGGGCTGCGGGGAGGGCGAGGGGTCGCGGGGGAGAGGCGGTGGATGATGAGAGTTCCGGAGGAGGCGGACTGGGAGAGCGGGCGTGCTGGGACGAGCATAATATGAGCGGGGGCGCCTACAGTCCGTGACCGTCGTGCAACAAGATCTGAGGCGCGTGGCGGGCGCTGGCCGGCCACAGCGCGGTGACTCCCTCCACTCCCGGATCCGACAACACAACGTGCATTGCCATCACCCCCCGTCAAATTCCATCTGCCCATCATCCCCTGACAGTTCCTTTCGCCCCTACCCGTCCCACACACGTCGCTACAAGCCCCATTCGCCTCTCGCCGCCGTCCTGTGTGCCCCAGACACGTCCTCACAGCCATCCTCCGAATCCGTGAATTCGTCCTCGCCAGGCCACCGCGAGCGTCCGCGTCAAATTCATCGCCCCGTGCGCGCTCCATCAGACATTGTGCAAATTGCTGCAAATTGGCTGATGGCGGTGATCTTGATTCCAGACACTTTGCTTCCGCGGAATCAACGCTCCGGCTGAACGGATGTCGTCTTGTTCCCAGATCACCTCGCCCTGCGCCCTGATCGTGCGCATTACAACGTCAAAATAGCATCCCCTTACGTGCTGCAGTACACGCCCGCCAGATCGCCCGCCAGCCACCTCAGCCACCGTCAGCCACCGCGGGAGCAGCTGCAGTGCTCCGGTCGTCAGCCTCCTTCGCCAGCCATAAAATTAATGCTCGGACGCCTTTTCGACCGTGCTCTCCGCTCTCCTGCCCACACCCACATTCCTTGCCCACGTTCCTTACCAACCTTCGTTATCGACATGCGCTCCTTGACCGTTATCACCTCGGTGCTCTTCCTCGCACAGCAATCCTCGGCGGCGCCTCTGAGCGTGACCCCCCAGCCCATCTCTTACGTGGCCGATACCGGCGCCGTCACCTCAGGTAAATCGGCGACTCAGCCTGTCTCCAACACTGTTCAACCGGTATGCATTTCCCTCTTCTGGCCCATCAGCTGACGGCCCATGCGCATCGCCCCAGCTTCAGGCCGCCCAGCCACCGTGCACCATCGGAGGCACGGATGTGGCCAACCCCGAGATGTTCAACGGTCTACACAGCGGCACGGTTCAACCCCCGCACGCCTTGTCCCGGACCCAGTACGCCGAGCTGCTCCAACAATGTATCTCAAACCCAAACTCCAACCGCGCCGTTGATGGGCGAGATCAGGCGAGCGCCATTGGGCGCAGAGGCGCCACTAACGCAGAAAACACACCGATGAAACGGGCTGATATAGGCTATGCTCCGTACGCTAACTATCCGGGATTTGATGCCCCAGGCGATGCAACAGGCGGCTCGACGCTCTCGGATGGCGGCTATGCGGACGGCACCAATGCCGAAAGCTCCAGTGGTTATGCCCCCATGGAGGGCTACGACGGCTACGCAGGGTCGGAGGGGTACAGCCCATACACAACGGGGGACAGCGCATCGTCTAGCGCTCCGAGTTCGTCCAGTGGTTCGGACATCCAGGGCACCACAGGCGCTCCCGGTGGTATCGGGAGCACAGAGGCTGACGGTGTGGCGCCCAACTCTGGCCGTGGAGGAGGGGGGTCTGGAAGTAACTCTGGCAACACGTCCCAGAACGTGAACAGCAAGTCGGCCGCGGCGACTGGTTCGACTACGGGTGATGGCGCCGACGGCGACGACCCATCTGCTTCGGATCCCACCGCGAACTCTGGGGCCTCAGACGCGCCGACCGCTGCGTCGGACTCGCCACTTGACGGCGGCGACGACTCTGCTGCAAACGGCGGTAACTCCGGTCCCGACGCTGCCACGAATGGGGACGACGCCGCGGGGAATGGTACTGGCTCTACTGCGGGCGACGGCGCTAACTCTGCTACGAATGGCGACAATTCTCTGGCGGCTTCGGTAACCACAGATGGTGGTAACGACAACGCGGCGGCTCTTGCGGGCACAGATGGAGACTCGAACGCTGGTGGTGACTCAGTCAACGGTGGCAACGACGACAACTCTGATGGCCTGGCTGCAACAGGCGCCGTGAATGCGCATTCTGCGGCGTCGCTCAGAGGTGGCACCTCTAGGGCATCTGGAGCCTCGAACTCCGCTGGCGATGGCTCGGAGACGGCACCGACAATGGCAATGTCAACGGCCTGACTGTCACTGCGTCTTCGTCTGACGACGGTGCCCCCGTGGCTTCTGGAGACTCGACCTCAGCTGGCGGTAGCTCGGACGATGGGGACGACTCCAACGGGCTCGCTGCCACCGTAGCTTCTACTTCCTCGTCCGACGATGGGGCTCTGGAGACTCAGACACCACTGACAACAACTCGAACGACGCCGGGGCTTCCAATGGCCTCACTGCCACTGTATCCTCGTCCGACGATGGTACCGCCGGAACTCCTGAAGGCTCAGACTCTGCTGGCAACAGCGCGAACGACGGTGACGACGCCGATGGCCTGACTGCTACAGGCACCGTAGCTGGGGACTCTGGGGACTCGGACTCGGGCGCTGCTGACGACGGTTCGGATGATGACGATTCGACCGATGCCACAGATGGTACCACTTCCGACATTGGCTCTGCTTCAGCTAGTGACGGGGGATACTCAGCGACTGCCTACACCGGCTACGCCTCGTCCACAGGATCGACTTCGGGTGTTTCTACGGATTCTCCTGCCAGCGGGGAAGGTACCTCAGACGACGGCTCGGGCAACTCCAACTCGGTCGACTCCCTGCTAGCCAGCGACACAGGGGATGAGGGCGACAACACAGCTCACTCGTCCAGCAACTCGAACGCTGTCTGCGTCGGCCTGCTCTGCACCGACATCGTCGTCGCAAACGAATTATCGGATAGCGAGGCTGTGGCGACAGTGCCTGCCCTAGGTGTTACCTCGTCGTCGTCGAAGTGCAACATGGACGGCGACGTGAACCTCTGTGTGACCATTTGATACCTGGCTCGTGATCATGTACATATCTTGCTTCTGTACTAGAATGGAGTTCTGGGGTTCTCTAGGATAAAAGACTGTCCCTGAGTAGGCCTGGACGCGGGTATGAGATCATTTCATGTCTTCGTAGCCGGTAATGAAGGCATGCATCGTATTATTGCACTGTCCGCGAGGCGTTCTATAGCGTGATAAAGAGCTCGAAATTGAGCAGCCGTATTTTCAGCCATGCTGAGCGGCAGCCGAGCGTTGGTTTGCGTCGGTGCTAGGGCGCCCCATATACAGCGCCATGAAGCTATCGCACAAAAACTACCGACTACATGATATAGGTCGCGCTTCCGAATCATGCACCCTGCATGCTGCCGCGACGAACCATCCGTCACGCGGGTTAGTCCGCCGTTCCAGGACGTCTTCTCCCAGGTCACGATAGCCTTGAAGGCGGTTCAATACATGTCCCGCAGAATCGATGTGCGGCCGGCATCCTGAAATCGTGTTTCCAGGAGGCACGCGAGCAGCTACGTAGTACATCCGAACAATCCTTTCGAGATCAACAAACAAACATCAACTTGTAGCATCCTCATCTCATGAATCAAACTCTGACGAGACACGCGAACAGCCTGCTACCCTCGTGTTGACTTACCACTGTGCAGGCTCATGCAGGGCCTTCAAGGCTTAGCCCCTGTGGGACGAAAGATTGATGTCCGGGGCGTTTAGGAAACACGCACCCTCGACCGTTATCTCCTGCGGTGATTCGATACTTACAGAATCGTATGTTCAGTCTATGTCGAGCGACTGTACTGACAGTTTTGACGCGATGAAAATGTTCAGGCGTCTTGTTCTCGGCCTCCTATATACCCATCGGGCACGGACTTTGCCCACGAGATCGACAGCCAAACTCAAGTACTTGGACGCCGAATCGAATGTACCTGGTGTTTGACGCCACGACGAGCGTGCAAATCAGAGGGGCCTGCTGCCAGTGGCTAGAGGCGATACTCTTCATCTTGCACGGTGTAATGCGGGCATACTCAAAGCGGCTATGCAGGCCGATATCTTTCGGATGTTGAGTCAGCACAGCCAAGGGTACATCTAGGTTGAAGAGGCGTACTGGGAGTTGAATGTATCATCGTTTCCTATGGGGAAAACCCAGTTCCCTTTGAAATCCCATCAGTTCGAGAAGAGAAGCTGTGCTGGCAGCCTGGCCATGCCTTGTTGGACATGAAGGCTGCATCTGCTTCTTGCGACTCCCGTCCGACATGACGGGGGCAAAAAATTGCGCGTCAATTATCAGAGCCGCGCATCTAGCGAGAGTCGTGCGATTGTATCATAGGAGTTCACTACATTGACACCTCACCTCTTCATTATTGCTATGGACAATGTCAATTGGTGTATCTAGAACTGATGAAGATCGTGGGGGACAAACATACCGTGAGGACGTGGAACAACTTGAGCTTGGCGTGCCCGGTGCCTTGGTATGATTATCAGGCCCGGGCATGTGTCTAGTATACATACGGGCTGTTGATGAGGTACTTCCGCGGCTACCCAAATCAGTTCATTCGGGATTAAGAAGTGAGCGTCCGCAGTTCGGTAGTTCTGTGAGCAATGGATGATAGTACCTACCAAATGACCATGTCAGAGCAGGTGGACCTGTATTCAGCCATGACTTAAGTGCGAGGCTGTCAATTCACGTACTTACAGGTCGCAACAATCCAACGTGAAGCAATGTTACTGGCTGAGCATACTGTCGAAAACTGACAGCCTCAGTGTGCCATGTTGTATTGGCCGCCACGAGATATAAGCGAATGCTCCAGATTATATTCTTCAGCCCGGGGGGTCATCCTTGAACGCGATTTTGACAGCCTGCTATGACCGCCATTGACTCGGAGGAGCATGGAGGGCGCGGCAACGCCAGAAGTTCAAGCTCTCCGCAGCAAGCGGATTGGTCAATTGTAAGTCGCCGGTCGGAGCGCTCGACAGATCTGAGATCACGAGCAAACATGAGGGATCGCCCAGCAGAAGCGCTTGGTCACGTGGGACACGACACGCTGGACACGAACGCTGTGTCTCGCTTGTATCTGAGCCACCGCACCGCGCACTGAGCGCAGCTCCCATGCACTGTTTCCTCTGATTTCTTGCATATTGACATTTCATTAGCTGCGCGGCTACCGCTGGCATGCACAACCACTGTCCGACATCTGGCCGTCGCTAATTACCCTCGAAAAGCTCAGCACCAACCACCAGAATGGCTGGCGACTTGCCCGCCGAACTCCTCTTCTCCGCCGTCTTCCCGCTTCCTTTCCGTGTCCTTAGCCTTGCAGGCTTAGGAATCCTCGGCTGGGCGACGAATGTACACGGCTTGCACCTGGCAGGAATCGATGCGCGCTCCGTACTGGACCTAGACTCTTACGACCCACGCCATAGCCGACGCGCTTTAGCGGCAAACGACCGCCGCGGGATGGGCTGGAAGTACTTCCAGAGCCCAATATCTGTCTATCGGCCTGTCTACAGTCTTTTCATGGTGTATGCAGCATGGATTGCTACAAACTGGCTCTTGTATAGGTACGCGACGTATGCGGATCTGGATCGCGTGGACACGTTCAAGTTTATCCCCGCTATTGCCGCTCTCGTGGTCACGATGGTCCTCGTATCTCCATTCAACGTATTTGAGAAGGTTGAACGCGATAGGTTTCTGCAGTAAGGTGTCCTCCGCCGCGGTCTTGGTCTTTGCTGACGTCACAAAATTTTGCTCGTCTCTGCCTCAAATAGCGCAATACACAGATGCCTATTTCCCTTGCCACGCCGCGTCCATTTCACCGACATCGTATACGCCGATGTTTTTACCTCATTTGCGAAAGTACTCGGCGATCTCTGGCTATCCTTCTGGATGCTTATGCCCGGTGGTAGCTTGCTTGTGCTGCCAGCACAGGAGGGTATTGCAAGTTGGATATTGCCGACACTAATGAGGTGCGCATAATCCTCGGCGTCCAACGGTGTAGCTGAACTCACCACTTGTCGTCACAGTCTGCCATACGCTGTGCGCCTCAGACAATGTCTCATAGACTACAGGGCTCCGGGCAACACTAGCTCAAGGCCGCTCTATAATGCATTAAAATATGCAACGTCATTCCCCGTCATCTATTTGTCTGCTGCGCAGCGTATCGTTGTCTCAGAACTCCGACTCGCCAAGGGTGATGCCGTCGTGCATGAAGCGTGGCACGGAGAGCATGCGTTGTTCCGACTTTGGTAGGAATTTCGCTGGATATCCAATACGTCTTCATGAGTCGACTAAAATGTTCCCTAGGCTGTTCGCAGCGATAGTGAACTCCTTATATTCATTTTGGTGGGACGTTACACATGACTGGGGTTTCGATCTCCTCGTCCCCCGTTCATTTGCTGCCGAAGGCATCCCTCATCGGCCGCATCGGACATCCTCACCACCCCGTCCGCTCGTCCTCCCTGGCCTGTACTCCCCGGTCGCAATGCTCACGCCCGAACCCGCTCCTACCTTTTCCGACGCATCCAAGGAGTCACTGTTCCCGCACGAGCGCGAACATCCCGGTTTACGCAAGCCACCATTCTCCTGGCATCCGTTTGGTCTGCGATCGAAGCTACTCTTCCCATTACCCATATACCCATTCGCCATTGTAGCCGATCTTATCCTCCGGTTGACATGGAGTGCGAAGCTGTCCAGCCATCTGCACGCGTACACCGACGGCGACTTGGTTATTTTCTGTTTCGAGCTCGCGGAGGTTGTACGAAGATGGATGTGGGTATTCATACGCGTGGAATGGGAAATCGTCAAGGAGGGAAAGGACGGGCACGTGCGCAGCCCTGCTGTGGGCCCGACGCTTGGCCTCGGTGACGAAGATTACGAAATGGTCGCTTCAAATCAGGACGGCCATGGCGATGTTGGTGGTTAGTATCACAATTGAGGTCGGCGTAGACCGGAGCTAAATATGTGTGTACGTGGGTAAGCATCGTTCGGCTGTCTCGAGGACCATGGCGTGTTACTGACACTCAAGCCTACAGACGCTTCCATAATATTATTCACTGCATAGCCATTCGGGAATGAAGCCCGGACTAGTGACGTGGCTCGGTTTCTACCGTCATTGGACGACGTTCGATGGTTCCTGCCCAAGGCACAATGTCATTGTCTTCATTGTCGGGCTCGACGGACGTGCGATCCATTCGTGATGGAAACCGCACGCATCGGAACGGCTCGTGACGCCCGGGCGACTGGCGACCGCAGTACGTCCTAAAACTATCTGTGTTACCGTGTGCAGTTCCCGGTCGGACTTAGTTTGTCCTACCCTACCCTCCTCCCGTGCAGAGCTCCTTAGGTGAACGTTCTCCACGACGGCCGCCTCGGAGAATATCGTGCACTTCGAGATGACACTCTGACAGAGCAAGCGGGCGCCTTTGCTGGATTTCTCCCAAGGTATCTAATCAGCCCCTAGCCTGACCACTGCCAGCGTGGATACGGAACACCGGAATCCACAAAGAGTGATATCTCCTGCGCCTCTCAGTAGCATGACCAGGTAACGCGGCGGCACTCGCTATCAGATGACCAACAACAAGCGTCTTACAGGAGACAAGTGAGCAGGATGCAGCACGGGCTCGCGATCCCGACCGACGCAGACCCGACGCACCCGAAGGATCCCCAGCGGGTTCTGGGAGGACTGTTGTTGCACACACGCGTTCGTGGATTGTCGGAGCGCAGGCCGGCTGAACATCGTTGCTGTCCTTGCCTCGCCTCCATCAGCAAGGGCAGGAGGAAGTCGGCGCGCGGGGCCCACGTGCTCCTGCCGGATTGGGAGTGGCTGAGGGTGAGCTCCTGGCTGTCCTCCGAGCCCAGCGAACTGTCCAAGTGCGCCCGCCGGGCAGACACGAAGCCTTTCTGAGCCATACTGACCCGTCAGCAGGCCTGGCACTGATGACCGTTCTCTTGGCTATACGCTCTCCCGCTCTCACCCTCTCCACCATATATAGGGCACCTGACTGCACCGAGACTCCTCACACCTCCCGCCCTCTCACACACCAACAACACCAACCCTCACAACTCACCTAGGACTCTAAGCCATGAAGGTCTGTACACCGTCTCAATTCCCGCCCACCGATGAACTATTCATGACCTTCCTGACAGGTTTTGGCCATCTTGTACCGCGGCGGTTCGGCAGCCCAGGAAGAGCCCCGTCTGCTGGGTACCATTGAGAACCAGGTATCTCACTCGGTGTACATAAGAAAGTATGCAACTGACACCATTGACAGCTCGGCATTCGTCCATGGCTCGAGTCCCTTGGCCACGAGCTGATTGTAACGTCTAGTCCCTGGATCCCCATTGCTTATCCTCAATGACCCTGTTGTCTAGGTATCCGATGATAAGGAAGGCCCGAGCAGCGACTTCCAGAAGCACATCGTCGACGTGAGTGTCGTCTCCCGTTCATATGATGTCGATCATTGACATGTCGATCCCCAGGCGGAGGTGCTGATCACCACGCCCTTCCACCCAGGTTACCTCACCCGTGACCTTGTTGAGAAGGTCAGCCTTCTGCTTCCGTGTCATACTGAAACCCCCTAACTGAGTGATCGTCGACAGGCCAAGAACCTGAAACTTTGCGTCACCGCTGGTGTTGGCTCCGACCACGTCGATCTCAACGCATGTGTCGAACGGGGCATCCAGGTCCTCGAGGTCACTGGCTCCAACGTCGTCTCCGTCGCAGAGCACGTCGTCATGAGCATCCTCTTGCTCGTCCGCAACTTCGTCCCTGCGCACGAGATGATCGAGCGCGGTGACTGGATGGTCTCTGAGGTCGCTCGCAACGCGTACGATCTCGAGGGCAAGGTCGTCGGCACGATTGGCTGTGGCCGCATTGGCTACCGTGTGCTCCAACGTGTCACGCCCTTCAACTGCAAGGAGCTCCTCTACTTCGACTATGCTGACCTCCCTGCCGGTATGCATCTTCTCCTCATGCCGTCACGATGACATACTCAGCACCATACAGATGCCGCCAAGGCCATCAACGCCCGCCGTGTTCTTGATCTCAAGGATATGGTTTCTCAGTGCGACGTTGTCACTGTCAACTGCCCTCTGCACGAGGGTACGCGTGGCCTCGTCAACGCTGAGCTCCTGAAGCACTTCAAGAAGGTAAGCAGTTCATTGGTGGGCCCGGTTGTTGTCTAATTGGTCACATTATCTAAGGGTGCGTGGATCGTCAACACCGCTCGTGGTGCCATCTGTGACAAGGACGCCATCGCCGCTGCGCTCAAGTCCGGCCAGATCAACGGCTATGCTGGTGATGTGTGGAATGTCCAGCCCGCGCCGAAGGACCACCCATGGAGGACGATGAAGAACCCCATCGGTGGCGGCAACGGCATGGTGCCCCATTACTCCGGCACGACGCTTGACGCCCAGGCGCGGTATGCCGCCGGCACGAAGCAGATCCTCGAGAACTACTTCAACGACAAGCCCCAAGAGCCCGCGAACATCATCGTTGGCAAGGGCAAGTTCGAGACGAAGGCGTACGGCCAGCGGTGAGCGGTGAGGGGGTTAAATATGCCTGCCTTGTTATTTGCGCCATCACCTCCTTTGTTGGGCCTTGGTAGTCGTGTTGTATGTAAGATACCTCTGTGTTTTGTAGCATTGTAAAATGAACGCATGTCCTGCCACTCTCATGTTCTTCGTCTTATCGGTTTAGCCATGGACAGACAGAGGAGAGGGTATGTGTCAGTCGGGCCATATGGTGGCCGGACTGAACATAAGCTGAAGAACTCGCTTAGCTCCGGCGACAAGCGCATGCCCAGCCTGACAGCACCAACTCGTACATGCTCCTACTGCTAGAGTTTTGTCTACATAGGGCTCGGCCCTCGCGAACAAAGGGAGTCAAAAAAAAGCTGAAGAACCTGCGGAGTGTGGGACGTGAGTGACGCGTGAACCTTTGGCGGTGCGGGAGGGCGGCGGGACGTGGACCTCGGCAGTGCGGGCTGTGGACCTTCGTGGGGCCGTAGGCCTTCGTGAAGACACGAAGTTTTCAGAGATACAGATTTTCTCACAGGTGTATCCCCTTTCGCTCGCTATCTTCTTCACATGGTACGGTCTGCGTAGCTACATACTAGGACGTTGTTCCGCGCCAAAACTATCGCTCGGTGGACGGGATACAGAGTTGATTCATAATGTATACAAGTTTGATACAAGTCCAATGAGACGCTGTCAGACCTACGCGGCCGATGTGGGTGATAGGTTCGATATGCATTGGCGGGATGTTGCCGACATCATGCTGAGAAACAAAGTCAGCTGCGGCAGACACATTGAGCATCATGGTCTGCAATTGAGGCCGATCTGCGCATTACTACTTAACCCGCGCCGATGAATGAGCATATCCCAGACCTGCGCTGAAGTCCTCTCAACCGCCCGTACTCACTATGACTGTCGCAGAACGAGCACAGAAACTGCGTTCCCTCGTCCAGATGCTTGCCGATTCGGCGGAGGCCGTTATCAAAGAGTGGGAGCTGGAGGAACAAACAGCGAAAGGGCTTGCTACTGCTGAGTATGTCCTCCCCTCGCCAGCCCTTTACGACGCCCGCCGCACCTTCGTCGGCGCATGTGGCATGGGGATGGACCTAGTCCAAGACCCTATACTGCGTATGACGGTATTGTCCGGGTCGTTCATCGACTCCCGCGCGCTCCGTATCGCAGCGGAGGCGCGTGTCGCAGATGTCCTGGACAGCGCAGACCCCAAAGAGGGTATGTTCCTAGGCGACGTTGCTAGGCAGGTCGGGATCGCGGAACAGCACTTGAGTGAGTATGGTCTGCTTCATCATGAAGCATGCTCACCGTACCGGACCTCCGCAGCACGCATTCTTCGATGCCTGTGCTCCATACACATATTCGACGAGGTCAAAGAGAATTATTACGCCAATAATTCGACGAGCCGTGTTCTGGTCAATAACGAAGGACTCAGATGCTGGCTCCTCCTTCAGTGAGCAGCTAATCCTTTGGCGTCTCCGGACAATCCTGATAAGGAGCAACGTCAGCAACAACGAGGTATATTCGGCTGCAGACAAGCTACCGACGGTTCTGTTCAATGCAAAGGACAACAGCCCGTGGCAGGAAGCCTATGGCGTGTCGACAGACTTTTGGAGTTGGCTAGACGAACAGGTCGAAGGACCGGATGGTTCCCTTGTGCCGAGGCCCGAGCGCGCCATCTGGACGACAGGCATGTGGGGGTTCGGTCTAGAGAGGATCCAAGCTGCCGGCGTGGCGTTTGGTGAGTCCCATCGGTTTACCGTCAGGACGTCGCACTAACCATGCCCACACTGAGATTACCCATGGCTGTCCCTAGGATCTAGCACAGTCGTCGATGTCGGCGCAGGCACGCGTAGGTGCATCACCACTGAATCACACTCTGTAACAGTACTGAGAGGAGCCGGACTACAGGAGGAATCAGCTTGGGATTGGCGAAGAGATTCCCTGACCTTCGCTTCGTCGTGCAAGATCGTCCTTCCGTAATTCGAATCGCAGAGGAAGTATGGGCAAGCGAGCTGCCTGACGCCCTGTCCACTGGGAGAGTCCGCTTGATGACACAAGATTTCTTCGAGGGACAGCCCATACAAGGAGCAGACGTCTACGTTATGGGCCACATCCTGTGAGTCAAATTTTGGTGTTCGCACGTCTTGGTTGCGCCTCGGAATGTTGAACCAACGGAGACTGACTCGATATTAGTCATGACTGGGCTGATGATGAATGCGTCAAGATTCTCACTCACCTACGCAAAGCGATGGGTCCCGATTCAATTCTGCTGAACATCGACAACGTCATGCAGTCTACCGCAGGATCGCGCTTCCTGAAGGCAGCTCCAGCGCCGCTCCCTCCCAACTACGGATGCGCCCACTCGCAAGCCAACCACCACGACTTGTACATGTACTGCATGTTCAATGGGTCTGAGCGTACGATCGAGCAATTTGACGCCCTGGCCGCCCGTGCGGGGCTCAAGATAGCCAAAGTATGGGAGTGCCGAAGCCTGTCATCGATCACGGAGATGAGGATTGCCGACGAATAATTCGTGGCTGTCGAGAATGGTTCGATGGCTGATCAGCATATAGAGATCCATCTAGAAGTAATGGATACCAGCATGGAGATAGACCTCCCATATATGTAGTACATGTGTTGTTTGACACCTGTGGAACCTCGCCTCGTGGAACTTGGCTGAAGAAACCTACATAATGATACACTGACGGTAGCTATGTTACATAGATCAGCAATAAGTTACCCGACCACCCACACACGCACACCATGGTAATCAGTCTTCTTTCTTGACGCGATACGCTGCAAGCTGGTCCTTGAGGAATTTCTCAAGCTTGAGGGAATTCTTGTAGTAGATCGTTCCCTCCGGATTGTATATCCGGCAGTTATCGAAGACGAGCTGCGCATCCGCCAGGAATGCATCGAGACTCGGATACTGATTAGTATCGAGCTTGTGCTCCATCGTACTGAAGTCTATCACGAGAGCGTTCCGTAAATAGGCATGCCGAATCTATATGGATAGCGTACATACCCATCGGTTGCTTGATTACTTCATAGTAATCGGGAACCTCGTCGGCATTTACGGGCAGCTGGAACGGCCAAGCAAGTGTGTGTCCGGACAAATCGCTCAGAAGCTTTTCCATGAGATTATGCTCCGCGCCTTTGCCATTCGATCGCACTGGCCTACCAGGGATGAATACGTGTCGACACCAAAGACTGGAGTATATACATACCCAGTCATCATGGATGGTGTCCAACCGCTTTCTCCTGTGAATATTACCATTACGGTCAGCGATCTTCGCCAGTGCAATAGACTCGACGTACGTAATCCTGGGACATCCTTGGGGTCGACGGTGACTTCCTCGGATGCGCCCTCCTGGAACTGGGGTAATCCATCATAGACAATATGGCTCCTACTCATTTCCCTAATCTTGCCTAGAATCGCCTCTCGTTGTTGCAACAGGATCTCCCGAGTGTTCAGATAGTCGACCCTGTCCAGCATCGTGCATTGCATGATCGTCCCACCCTCGTAGTCTTTGATGTATCCAGCCCAGACGGAGCGATCCAGGGTGATCTCCTTCGAGAAGCCTTGTTTACGGAAGTAGCCCACAGCGTAGTTATCTGCATAGGTGAGGAAGTGCCACATGTCGGAATACGTGTTCTTGATATGCGCCTTGAAGTGGTCCATCAGCATGGAACCATACCCCTTCGCTTTGCAAGTTAACACGGTCGCTGAACGGAACAATAGCCGCCACAAACGCACCTTCACTTGATCGACGGATGTTGTCGCAAAGAACGTGATCTCCGCGAAGCCTCGATGAGGGAAAGGTCGATAGCAGATTCCACCCACTACCTTATACCCGCGTTTGATGATTGCGAGGCACTTGGAGTTCGTGTCGTAGACCAGTCGAGCGATATATTCGCGAGGCATCTTGGGCAATTGTTTTTGAAACAAAGTTTTCAGTCCCGTTAGAATGACCAAGGAGCGAGGTTCCCGATCGTTTTCTATCGGCACGACCTTGATGATACCCTTGCGCAACTCAACGTGAGCCATTTTCTCAGGTTTGAATGTTGGCTAAGACCCAATACTTCAGTGCACTGCAGATGGCGACGCAAGCGCACTCACCGTCCCAGACGATGGACCAGTCGCGTCCACTGTTACGCCCGTAGCAAGGCGCATGAGCTGACCCTCGTCCATCTTATCCTCGACCTTGACCTTCGCCTCGCCATTTGCACCGTCGGCGGGACGTGTCATGTCCACTTTCTGAGATTCCGAAGGCGGAATCATCGAAACCGGCGCAGTGCGTGCTTGGGTCTTCTTCGCTTTCTTATTGGAGGGCTGCTTGCCGCTACGTTTCTGTCCAGTGACACGCGAAGTTGAACTACCCTCGGTTTTACCGGCTGTGGCCGGCGCGGCTGCGGTTTTGCGTGCGGCAAGTGGCCGGTCTTCTTCATCATCGTCACTGCTGCTCGAGCTCAGAGACGACTCGGAGAACGACACCCGGCGCTTCTTCGTTGGTGGTTCGAGAACGTCAGCGGCGTCGCTCAGAAAGGAAGATGCTGGTGAGGATGGTGCTTTATTTGGAGACGAGGGGACTGTACAGTATCAGACAAGAGCTGTGTTCGCACCGGTAGTTGACTCACCGAGATCATTCAGTGCATCTGAGATTGAGCTCGCCGGAGATGGAGTTCGGGCAGGAAGGGTCATCTGTCGTCTGAGGCCGTCGATATCGTCGTCCGCGTAGTCGAAGTCAAGTAACTTATTGACGTCCTAAAGGAGAGCCGGGCCTCAGCACTGTACCGGTTCGTTTAGGGCACAAGCGTCCTACCTGGCAAACAATGTGATATGATGTAGCAACAATGGCTTGTATATACAACAATAACTTACCTCGAGCAACTCATCCAGTCGGACCGCGGCGCGCCCTCTTCGCGCAAACTCCTCCGCGCCGATCGAAGACAGGTTTGCACCATGCTCGACAATGCCATGGCCACATGCACATCCGTCCAGATACTTTCCAGGGATGCCATCGTGTCCCTGCGACTCCGAGGGAGAGGAACCTGGTTGTGCGTCTGATGCTAGTACGACTTCAACGCCTGGTGGTGGTCGGAGTCCCGGACATGAGGAGCACGCGGAACAGCTCGAGTGCCGTGCAATCTTGACGGCCAGTAGCTCATCTGAGAGCTGGGGTATCTCGTGCGAGGCAGGGTATAACAATTTCATGGCCGTGAGCAGGCTGGAACCCAGTCCGTCAACGAGCGATGCCCGACGTCGTCTGCGACGAGAACGGAGGGCGGACACAAGGACCTCGTGCACTCCATGCGATCAAATTCGTCCCAGTTTTCCTTCGGGGCCGATGACTTCAAGCTTTCAGACAATCAGAGACAAGTCAGCGGCAACTGGCCCGGGAATGCTGTAACCTGTTGGGTTGCTGCTTGCGGCAGTAGTGCGCAGACCTTAAATGCGACTGTGCAGCTCTGCACAGGTCGCGGACGTCGACGTCGTGTCGAAGTCGCGTCGCGTATGTCGCGTATGTCGCGCGATCGCGTCGAGAGACCTCGAACACCCTACCGTCCCAGTCGTATTGAGCTCCCGCCCGTCGTTCACCCATGTCGGACTGTCCACAACCACCGCACTCTCTTCGACGCCTCCCAGACGAACACAGCAGCGAGGCCTACGTGAATTGCATACAATGCCAATGCGATCGTTCATTACCTGGTCGACTTGTATGTGCCATGGATCCTGACGGCCGGCATCAAACTTCAGGAGCGCCTCGAGCTTCGATGCAGACCGTGCGACGCTCGTCTCCTTGTCCTCGACGTCCAAGTCCTGGCGCTCTGCAGCCGTTCGCCTAGATGCTTTGGCACACATAAACACTCTAATCCCTCTGTTACTGGATACCCGCTCTAGAAACGATGATACCAGGCTCGCAAAGTATTTACTGGTCCGCTCTGGCCTGGGCACTCCTCTCTCTTCCTCTGGCACTGGCGGCAGACTGGATCGACTACCCGTCCAGCGGATATGCGACTATGACGCATTACACACTCCCCGAAAACTTTGTCGCCGCCTGCGGCTGTACCGCAGACAGTACACACTATCCCACTGCTGCGATGTCTCAAATGGCGTATGGCAGCAGCACCGCGTACGGGCCCGGATGCGGGCGCTGTTTCAACATCACACTGGCGGACGCGTTCACGAGTAATCCAAAGTTCTATCCTCCAGAGGATGAGCGGAGCAGTGTCGTGATTAAGGTGACGGACCTATGTCCGTTGGGAGGGAATGGATGGTGTTCAGCGACGGCAAACAAACCAAATGCGTGAGTACGTTCACTGTCATATAGCCAGAGTATCTAACGAGCAACTGAAGTGGGGGCGCGTATATCAACTTCGATCTAGCATGGCCCTCCAGCTCAATACCCGACAGCTTCTTCCCTTCTAACGTGACCCTATACGGTGAGTGTCCCTTGTATTATATGGCTTCAGACGATGTTCATGCGGTGAATGACGACAGGCTTTACTGTAAGTGTCAGAAGACGTTCGCAGATTTTATTAGCTACATGATGTTCCATGTCACAGGACTTCGGCGTGTGGAACGTCAGTTACCAGGAGGTAGACTGTGTACAGGACTGGGAAGGTGGCAAGTCCGCCGCTGCCCTAGGCAGCGTACCAAATGGTGGGAGCGTATGCTGTCCCGCGAACCCATCAGTATGTCCACCAGCCCCATGATCACGTACGAAAGTGTTGATTCAATGCAGGGCAATGATACTTGCCCGTCCTTCTCTGATGCTCACGGCATCCCGTGAGTCCCCTCATCTGTCTTGTCATGCCGTAGCTCACGCCGAGGTGCTTTAAAGCCCTGATACCACAACTTCATTAGCGGCACTCACCGTGCCATCGACAGCTGGTGTCCAGCTATCTCTAACATGTATGGCCATCATGATTTTTATCTCTCATCTGCTCTAGCTGGGTTTGTATCCGGGGATTCTTTGGTGATCTCGGAGGTAGAATATCTATTGTTGTACTTGCTATTTGTGCTTATAATGAACGTACGGCCGAGCCGTCCGAGCACCGATTTCATCGGTGGTTCTTCCTCCATGACCCTGAGATCTGCAATGTGCGGTAGTTAATCTTGAGTTTAGGAGGCGGCCGCAAAGGCAATTCAGTTGGAACGACTTGCTGAGTTGCCGTCAATTTGCGTTGGATAAGCTCAAGGCTGACTGGAATCGAAAATTTGGGCCCATCTGATTCGTCCAATCCTGGCTGTCCACAGATGAAACCCGGTTGAACTGTCGCGCGACCGTCGTGTGATGCAAACGAGAACCTCGGTCCCTCCGGTTGTTGGCCCTTTGAAAAAGACAAAGGCGATGTATCTTTGTAGATAATCATGCCGTGCAACGTGGGTGGTCAGGATGGGTGGTAGTTGCCAGTGCCGATAGTACTTATCTGAGTTTCGAACTGGACGTGACCTACCAGCGGAAGCGATCATCCGAGTATTGCAGCATCGATCACTCGAACAAGACTGCCCGGACTGTACTGTCGAGCCCCCAGCTCATACACGATGGCTACACCAGGGGACGCGAAACCGACCTACATCTACAAACTGATCCCCGCCTCCGCGCCCCCGCCCGAACCCCTGCCGGCTGTTCTGCCAGTCAGCGAGCTGGACCAGACATCGGGCTTCATCCACCTCTCCACCGCAAAACAAGTCCCGAACACTCTGAAGTACTTCTTCGCGGACGAGCCACGCGTGTACGTCCTCCGCCTGGCGTACGATCCGCTGGAGGAGAAGAAGCTCGTGCGGTGGGAGGACCCGACGGCGGAGGTCTGCGGCCCGCGCGGCGGCGAGGGGATGTTCCCCCACTTGTACAACGGGTTGAAGTTGGGCAAGGGCGAGGTGGACAGCGTCGCGACGTGGGAGAGACGGGACGGGGAGGGGTGGGAGGATGTGGCTGAGCAGGAGAAGGACTGGCTGATCTACTAGGACGCGCCAGGCCCAGTGCGCGACCCTGGAGGCTAGCGCGGTTGACGTGTGGGTTGTACTCCGCGAACGTTGAACGTTGAACGTTGTAGGTCCGTGTCGATCGTCTCAGCTTATGGAAGCGCGTTCGATCATGATCGCCTTTATATGTCATAGACAGTAAACGGTTTACTCTCCTTAGGTAGAGTGGATCCACGTACATTCTACTGTGGATTCCATATACGACCGCCCTCCCCCACTCAACAAGGTCGTGTTTAGGGTCTGCCTACGGGAGACTACAGTGGATCATGCTTGTACAGCACCAGACGGTGGTGCAGTTTTTTCGTGTGCGATACAGATGCACGAGTTCTCGACAACCACCACTCATAATGTGACCATCGTCGCTTGCCACTTAGCTGCCAGGAGGCATCCACTATTGAACACGCAACGAGAAAAGGATACAACGAGGTCCAGTGAATTATCGATAACTTTATGTCTACAAGAGAAGAAGGAACGACGACCGGCAAAAATTAGGATAGTTTACTTCTCCAAGTCGCGGTCGTCAGCCACCTTGCGGTAGTGTGCACGTTCACGCTGCCATTCCGTAAACCGGCGGAACATGCGCAGGCCACCGAAGTACCAGAAGAGGGCACCTGCACCAAGGACCAAAAAGAGTATGAAAATATAGGTGAAGAAACCAGGCGCGGGTCTCGCTGCGATGTGGTCCATGTCAGGCATGTCTTGGTCGGCTGGCTCTGCGGTGGGTACGGCTTCCTTGTCTCCACCGGTCTCGGGCAAAGCGGGGACCGTTGTTGTTGCGTCTGCGCCAGTAGGAACATCCGTCGCTGGGGATGGATCGAAAACCTGCAAGTGACAAAATAGCATTCGTTCATATCTGACTGTAACTGCACAAATAGACGGCTGGCCGTTAGAGCTCGCCGCGAAGAGGCACCTGGCTGCCGTCCGAGTCCACTGGCAGTTCAATCTTAGATGAAAACGATTATCAGTAGCTTGAACCAGCGTGCTAGTGGGAGACACTACCTCTCCACAGTCCGCAATTACGACGTCATCCACGGGACGGTCATTTATGCCTTTTGCGACATCCTCTGCAGAAGAATACGTGTCAAGGGGCACATACGGCAACATTGTACGGAAGCATACCGATTATCTTCACGATGTCCATGCCTTCCAGGATTTCACCAAAGACGACCTGCGCAGATCATGAATATCACGGAGCGCCCAAGACACTGACACTTACGTGCTTGCCATCCAGCCAGCTAGTCACGACAGTCGTGATGAACTATTAACCATGTCCGTAAGCCACCGTTTGTACGAGAGAAAAACGTGTACTCACAAATTGCGAACCTGTCAACACGGAGAATTAGCGGGGCACCAAAGCACTGGGAGAAACGCAATCACCATTGGTGTCCTTCCCCGCATTGGCCATGGACAGGAGGCCGGGGCGGGTGTGACGCAATTTACTGGAAGACATTGTATCGTCAGCATTCGCTACCACGACAATGGTCAAGGAACGCGTACAAGTTCTCGTCGGCGAATTTGTCGCCGTAGATAGACTAGTCGCGAACCGAGTCAGACGTCAAACAGCAGTATGAGAAAGTCAGCCGACGAACCTTGCCGCCAGTGCCGTCGCCTTTGGCTGCAGTGTGATTCATGCCCAATCAGCGGACACACTTCGTGCACATTACGGGTATAGTAGACGTACTGAAGTCGCCACCCTGGATCATGAAGTTCTTGATGACGCGGTGAAACTTGGAACCCTTGTAGCCAAAGCCCTCCGGGAGCTCAGTGCCATCCTTCTTGACGCCAGTCGCGAGTGCACGGAAGTTCTCCACGGTCTTGGGCACGGTCTGGTGAACAGCTCATCAGGTTCCCGTCCAGGGTCGACAGTGAAGAATGCTCACACCACCGTAGAGGCCGATAACGACTAGTCGAAATGGGGACTAAGACGTGAACTTAGCCATTGAGGAGAACATGCCACGTACTTTTGCCCAAATCCTTGTCGCCGTGTTTGATGTCGAAGTAAATCTTGTTCGTTATCTTTGGGCCTTTTGCCGCAGCCTCGACAGACTGGGCACAGAAAAATGCCGCTACAGTGACCAGAACAATGGCAAGAAGGGACCGACGCAGAAACATGTCGGCTGAGGATGTGAAAGGAACGGCTTGACTGAGTGGGAGTTGTAGGGAACGCAGCCACAGCACCGACGTGGCGGACAACGGACCCGGGAGCGTGATCAAGATCGAGATCGGGCTGAATTTCTTTGCCTCCGACTGCAACTGAGTGACTGCACCTTCCGCTCGTCCTCGCCACCATGGACGACGGACTCGTGCTGAACCTCGTCGTTGAAGACCATATACCACAGTCAAATCCTGTAACAAAAGCGAAGAAAGGTGGGAGATGGACCGACCGGTGAGGGATGCGACCTCTCCGAAATGCATTTCACCTGACGCTCGCAGGGCGGCAGCGAAACAGGTCGCAAAAAGAAAATCGCGGCCTGAAAGCATCTCGACGTCGCATAATGCGGATGCTGCTACAAGAGAGCGACCTGCAAAACGACCCCGCATATCTGACCCCGCAAATGGACCTCGAGCAACTCTATCTGCAAAGGAGCCGCGGCGGGGACGTCCCGCAGAAGATGAAGAGCATACAGCGACGGGCTCCGACCCTCGCACACATACCCACGTCATATCGTCGCTCTTTACATCAAATCCGATAGTAAAGCCATCAGAGACGCAGTCCTCTGCGAGACCCATTGGTCGCCCGAGCAATGCACCCCTCGCAGACTCTTCGACGTTCGCTGGGCTTGGACTTGATCCCCTCATTGGCGCACATCTCTCGTCCAAGATGAACATTGCGTATCCCACGTCAATTCAGAGAGCGGCCCTGCCCGCTCTCTTGAGTGGTCCCACGGACGACGGTACGCTGAGGGACGTCTTCATCCAATCCCAGACCGGTTCTGGCAAGACGCTCTCATTCCTCCTTCCCATCATCCAAGACCTGTTGCCTCTCAGCTCTCTCTCCTACATTGACCGCTCTATTGGGACTCTCGCTATCATAATTGTTCCGACGCGTGAACTTGCGAAGCAGATTTCAGACGTCCTGGAGGCTCTTCTCAATCTTCGCCTTCGACCCTCGGACGAGTCGCCTGACGGCGCCGACTCAGGGCCGCGCCTCACACGCTGGGTTGTCTCCGGCGTATTGACCGGCGGTGCGACGCGCACGCACGAGAAGGCACGGCTACGTAAAGGGGTGCCCATTCTCGTGTCCACACCAGGTCGCCTCCTCGACCATCTACAAAACACCTCCTCTTTCAACGTCGGCAAGTGCCGATGGCTCGTTCTCGACGAAGCCGATAGGTTGATGGAACTAGGTTTTGAGGAGAGTATCCAGGGTATATTGAGGAGCCTGGAGGGACGACGAAAACTTGCCTTCCAAGCCGTGCAGGAGGGAAAGAGCACAGAGGTCGGGGGCTGGGACTGGGAGAGGCAAAGACGGACCATTCTGTGTTCCGCGACGATTCGCGAGGACGTACGGAAGCTTGCTGGGACGACCCTGAAGAATCCCATAATCATTAAGGCCACTGAAGCCGACGCAAATGTGTTTGGCTCTGGTGACGCAAGGCAGGACATCGACTCGCTAGCTGTCGCCGGAAAGAGCCAACAGTTCACGCCGCCATCCCAGCTGTCTCAAAAGTACGTTGTGGCTCCTCTCAAATTGCGCCTCGTCGCCCTCGTCGCGTTGCTACGATCCTTGCTTTCATCTCAAAGCAAGCGGGGAACGAAGATCATCGTATTCTTGAGTTGCACTGACTCTGTCGACTTCCACTGGCATCTCTTTGGCGGCACATCCATGGGTAGGGAGGGTGATGCCGAGGCATCTTCCGTATCTGACGAAGAAGAATCTGAAGGAGAGGCCAAAGGCGGTGCAGACGGTGCTAGCCATCCGCGGAAACCTGCGGCTAATGCCGGTACACAGGAGTTAGAAGCTAGATCACCGCTCCTCCCTGGGACTTCAATCTTCCGACTGCATGGTTCTCTTCCGCTCCGAACTCGGCTTGCCTCGCTGCGCGGGTTTTCGTCTGGCTTCTCTTCGAAGCAGCCCAGACCAGATTCGCCCGTGTCCTCAATTCTGCTCTGTACATCAGTCGCCTCCCGTGGTCTTGATCTCCCCCTAGTCCGTGCCGTAGTCCAATACGATCTACCCACCGAGGGTGGTGCGACGGAGTATGTGCACCGGGTTGGACGGACGGCTCGTGTGGGCAAGGGTGGCGAGGCTTGGAGCATCGTCGCGCCCAGTGAAGTTGACTGGGTCAAATGGGTCGAAGACAGGATGCGCGGCGATACCGGGAGCGCGGTAGAGAGTATCGCCGGAGAAGGGAAAAAACCTTCGTCGCTGCAGAGTGTCCAAGTGGAGACCGTGCTACGAAATGGCTTTGGCGGTAAAGGTTCAGAATACGAAGAGCGAGCTACGGAGGTCCAGCTCTCTCTAGAGCGATGGGTACTCAAAGACAAGCATGTAAGCCATTTACTCTTCTTGACACTCTATACTGTCTGATGTCGATTTGGACGTGTTCAGAACGCCGAGCTTGCGCGAAAAGCTTTTCGCTCGCATATGCGAGCGTATGCCACACATCCGTCAAATGAGAAGCACATTTTCCACATCCGTCATCTACACCTGGGGCATCTGGCTAAGGCGTTCGCACTACGCGAAGCCCCGAATGCCGCCACAGCTGGCTCCAAGGCCAACTCTAAACGGAAAGCAGGAATACAAAGAAGCAAGCCCTCCACCACCACAAAGAAACGGACCGTCGACGCGGAGGATGATGACAATGTCGCGGAAGCAGAGCGGCGCATGGAGAAGGTTGTTCGAGAACAGGGTCGCCTTACGAGGAAGGGCGGGAAGATGGTCAGCTCTGGTGCTGCTGAGTTCCAGATCGCTGGTGGCTATGACCTGGAAAAGTTGGCGCATCGGACATGAAACACGCCTCCCCTCGTTCATCGCATGTACCTTACGCATGAGCTCACGAGACTACATACATACTACAACGGCTGCTTTCCTCGGGGATGTTCATGTTTGTGCTTGCAGTGTCCTTCGGTCCCTTTGAGTGTATACCGCCACAGGCGGCTTAGTCATATGTTTTCGAACCTGATATGGCAATATCCAGCGGTTTTTTAGATTATTGTCTTCACCCTTACGCTCACTCTCCTCGTTCATCGCGTGCGTGTAGCCTCTGCTATGGCTGGTCATAATGCGCCCAAAGACGACGGCCACCAGGAGCCACCGCCGATTACTCCAGGAGGGGCGTACAGTATCCAGGTGAGCCCATCAAACGACTACGTGGCACCGCCACAACGCTTACGCGTCTCCCAGACGGTGTCTGTAGGCTGCAAAGTCTATGCTCGTCGCAAGAATCCCGATGGCGAACAGGAAGAACGACTTGCAGAAATCCTTTCTATCCGCGACAAGCCCAGTGGCACGTATGGTGGCCACCCGAAGGCCGTCGTCAAGGAGGAGGAGTCTCAGGACTCCACGGACAGACTCGAGTTCTTCGTGCACTGGGACCAGTTCAACAAGCGGCTGGACGACTGGATCTCGGGCTCTCGGATCGTTCTGACCAGAGACCTTGAGTGGCCACGGCCCAAGGCACCGCCCAGTGCGAAGAAGTCAGCCGGGAAGAAAGCGCCGCCGCCAGGGAAGAGCCGTGCTCAGTCGCTCCTGAAAAAGGCGGCCACGTCTAACGCTCTCTCGCATTCCATATCCATAAAGACAGAGCCCGAGACACCACTCCCTGGGACGCCGAATTTTGAGGGTGCCGCCAGTCCTTCTCCCGCGCCAAACGTGCCATTGAAGCGGAAGGCCCCGCATGATGAGGAAGAGGAGGAGGACGAAGATGCGGACCTGGACGCTGACGCGGACGGCGAGATGGACGTGGATGCTGAAGGAGAAGAGGTCTTTGACCTCGATACCACTGGCACTCCGCCACCTCCTGCGCCTCTTGCTACCTTCAGCAAAGAACAGGAGATTGAGAAGCTGCGGACGTCCGGCTCCATGACGCAGTCCATTTCGGAGATCGCGCGAGTGAAGAATCTCAATCGCTTGCAGATCGGAAAGCACGAAGTCGACGCGTGGTATTTCAGTCCCTACCCGCGCGAATTTGCGCATTTGCCGGTACTGTACATTTGCGAGTTCTGTCTCTCCTACCTTCCTAGCCAGTTCATGCTCTCGCGCCATCGTAAACGATGCACCCTTCTCCATCCACCAGGGAACGAGATTTATCGACACGAGGACATTTCGTTCTTCGAGTTGGATGGCAAGAAGCAATTGGCATGGTGTCGTAATTTGAGTCTACTGTCCAAATGCTTTCTTGACCAGTACGTTTCTTTTACTTTGACCGTTGTCATTGTGCTTACTGTCCTACAGCAAAACCCTGTATTACGATGTAACTCCGTTCCTGTACTATGTCATGGTACGTTGCGCTATTCTTGTCAATCCGCGTCTGCTCACAATCATCTAGTGCCACCGAGACTCGTCGGGCTGTCATATCATTGGCTATTTCTCCAAGGAGAAGGAATCGGCGGACAACTACAATGTCGCCTGTATCTTGACGCTTCCGCAGCACCAGCGCTTCGGTTACGGCAAGCTGCTCATTGAGTTCTCCTATGAACTCAGCAAGAAGGAAGGGAAGCTGGGTAGCCCAGAGAAGCCGCTCAGTGACCTTGGGCTTCTGGGGTACCGCGCGTACTGGTCCGAAACGATCATCGAATTGCTACTCAATACGACGGACGATATCAGCATTGATGACATCGCGCAGAAAACGTCAATCACCCATGCGGATGTCATGAATACGTGCGTTCCTAGTTCGATGCATCATAACTGTACCTGGCCGCACTAACGCCGCATCTATAGATGTACGACGCTGCAATTGTTCAAACACTACAAGGGCCAGCATGTCATCTCTATTCCCGAGGCGCTCCAAGAGCGACATAAGAAGAGAATGGAGAAGCGCAGGCGGCGCATCCATCCAGAGTGTCTCCAATGGAAACCGCCGGTCTTCACTCGAGATCAGCTCAGATTCGGCTGGTAGACTTCCGTAGAACTGTTCGGGGCCGCGCGTGTTCGGGCGTTATTGAGCGTACGCTGTGTATTGTACTATATTGTACCGCTATGTAAGAACGGACGATTAGGAGCTTCTCGCACGAATTAGAGAGGAAGTCCGCAGCCGACCTGACATTGCTACGAGTCCTCCCGAGAGGGACCTGTTCCCGTTGGTGCCCTCCTCCGGAGCGTCACTGGTGTGTCTTCAGCACCCGACTCTTGGTCTAGCATCGCGAAGGACGACTCCCCGCTACTTGAAGCGCGAGAGGCGGGCCGGTCGGGATGAATCGCGTTCATGCCTTCGTCCTTTCGCTCCTCAGAGATGTTGTGCATGTGCGAACTGAGCTCGCGGCGCGAGATTGTGGGAGAGGGTGGTTGAGAGGGCACAGGAGAGAACATGCCGACTCCGGACAGTTCCAGGTTTCCTTCCTCCTCCAGTGGACCACGGAAGTACGTAGGAGGAGGGGACGTCATGGTCGTTTTGGTGGGCGGGGGACTCTCGGGTTGTATGACTATGGTTGGCGTGTCGGCCCCGGTCGGGACGCTCCCCGTCTCACTCGTGGAAGCCTTCGTATCATCGATGACACCAAGGGTCCGAGCTATCACATATGAAGTTACATCCTTAAGAACTGTTGTGAGGGCCTGGAAGTGACGCGAAGCAACGTAAGATGGTTCATACCAATAGAGTCAGGATCGCGAACGGCAGGATAGATAGGAAGGCCAGCATGCGAAACGTCCATGCTGCGCTGTCGACCCACGAGCCAGGCGTGTAGTTCCACAGATGTTCAACGTAAAGCTGCCATAGTGATGCGGGTGCAGAGACGATCGACATGGTGGTATGAGGCCAAGTCGCGAACGATCATCTCGCCCTCTGGTGGCTGCAGCCGACGGCGCGCGCGCCTCATGACGTACGATCGTGTACGACACAGGATAGTCATGTTCATTCCAGCTCTATCGATACAAGTACAGGGCAGCTGAAGGCTTCATATCCACCAGCGAATCCGACAGATGCGCAACGATATAGATCTACTGCAGGGACAGACGATAAATCATGATAGCGAGAGATGCGATAGTGAATGCGAGGTAGACCGACACGGGAGGAGCGCGACAATAGTAAGCATATGTACACAGTAAGACGACAGCAGGTATAATGTTCATGGATACATCACATTCGAGGGGAAGACGACACCGTCGTACCGCACCAGGATGACCGGTCGGCGCTTCGTGACCTGCGATTCTGGCGGCAAGCATCCGAGTACTTCGCCACACCGAACCTCCACATAAGGCGATGGCTCTGACCCGAAGAAGACGGTGACAGGATCCGTCTTGGAGAAGTTCTCCCCATAAACGGTCAGCATCTTCGACGTGTGAGGGTTCGGCTTCGCGAGAGCCCCGCGCGCACCCGTGTGGTGCTTCGGGATTTCCGCCGCTCTGTCGGGCGGGAGGTACTTCACCACTCCTGGGAAGGGGGTGACAGGCTTCGACGGTATCGGGAACGAACTGGTCTGAGGGGCATTTTGGTTGTCGAAAAGGACGGGAGGCACGTAGAAATTGTACCGTATCTGGTCTGAACGAAGCGAGGATCAGCTGAATGGAAGAGAGAAGACGACGATCCCACTCACCAGTCCCCACGATCGTCCACACGCTTGTCTCCCCGATATCGACCTGCCAGAGAGCCCCTGACGATGCAGTCGAGTCGCTCGCGGAGCCGCGACGTCCAGAGCCCGCAGAGCCCGCGGATGTGGGCCTTCGCCGGCCTTTTTGGGAGTTCGGCTTCGTGATTCCACCCGCACTCGACGATCCGCGCTTTGCCTTCTTAACGCGGCCACCATCATTCGATGGGAAGTCAGTCCCGTCCGGCGATGTCGGCGTGCTGCTCATGCTCCCAGACCCGAAGTAGTCCGCTGAGCCACTAGTAGACGTCGGCGTCGTGTCTCCCGGCGAAGTAGGTGTCGCTGTAGGTGAGTCGCCGTCGCGCGACGCACCGCCTTGCGGAGAGTTCCACTGGCGACCGTCGACCGGACGGTAGGTATTCACCTTTTCGCCCATGCACGAGAGGAACGCACCACTCTGGCCGGGGGTGCCCGGTTCCGGAGCGCCGCGGCTAGGGTCGTACACCTCAAACGCGATCTTGTGCAGCTGTGAAACGGGATCGCCGCAAACCTCGCCCACTGAGCAGTAGTGGTCGGCAATACCCTTCGCGCCCTCCTGAAGACCGCCACCAACAACGATCGTCTGATGGTCAACCTTGCGAATTATGAGCACAGGGCTGACAACACCTGAGGTCAGACACTGCAGCACGACCGTCTGGTTGTAGTAGATGGGGATCTGCGATCCGTTGTTGGTGAACGGAATCGCATTCGGCGGCGGGGAGGGGTATTCGGGGAAGAGCGGAGGCGGAGGCGGAGAGTCAACACCACCGGCGGGTTATTGACGTCGACAATGTACATGATGAAAGGGTCTATGACAGGACATCAGCAGGTACTCATCAGAATCTGTTTGTGAGCTCACATACCCCAACTGGCCGTCCGAGCGATAAAGGACGGTGTCTGTGTCCGCACACGCTGGTCCAAGCCCATGAGCGGCGCGCCGTCAGATCCTTTGAAGGAAGACCCTGACCCGAAACGCAGAGATACTTCGTCGACACCGTCTGCGAGCGCAGCCTGTGGAACAAGGAGATTGTAGAGCCATGATTGATGCAGACTACGAGGGACACACATCAAAGATGAACGTTAGCACTTTACATAATCCCGACAACGGTACGGGACGCCAACGTACGCTCTAGGTTCTTAGCGCTTTGCCTCTTCTTGCTCGGTTTGCTGATGACCTTGATTGGGCGACTGGGGAAGATGCCAATCACGCGCTCCGGCTCGTCTTCGGCAGAGGGCGCCATGATCTTGACGAGGGCTTCGACCTTTTTCTTCTTTTCGTCAACGTCCGAGATAAAGAGCTGCTTGCCCACACAGCGCCCGAGATATGTCGTACCGCTGGGCGGGTCAGACACATCGAACGATTTACCCGTTGCACCCGTCCACTCGATAGTCCCCTCCTGCGGCGCAGGTTCGCCAGAGATGGAGACGACCACCCGGGGAGGGCACAACTTCGGCTCTTCGCCGCGGCGAACAACGTCTGACCACCAGGAATTACCAATCATAATCGCGGTGGGCGGTGGACAGAGGAAGCTACGGTCGTGATGGTCAGGAACAATAGAACGGAACAAACACCTCTAGCTTACCGCTTTTCAGTGCCGTATGATTTCTGCGCAACCTTACTGGACATAACGATGACCGTGCGCTCGCCGAAAGCTAGTCGGTTGGGCGACCGGACGTATTGATCCACGTACGGGCTGAGGGTATCCGGAGCCCCGTCAATTGTGAAGCACAAGGGAGCGACACAATTGCATACCGTATGAAGGTCTGCAGATCCGTGGCGGACGCAGACGACGGCTGAAGGCGCATGCGCGATAAGTCAACACTTGGAATTCGAAGGGGGAAGTCTGTTTGGGGATTGGGCGCCAGATACTGGCCCATGTCATCATATGACGGCAGCGAACCGTCGGACCTGAAGCCATGCATGGCATGAGGGTTCACCCCACGTAGCATGTCGCTCCCGGGGCCTTGGTGCAGGTGGTTAGGAAGCGAGAGAGGGGAGACGTATCGCGAGTCGTTGGACATGCGCCCCATGCGATCCGGGAACTGCTGCAGCTGCGAAGGATTGAAGCCCATGCCCATACCGGGACCGCTGCCCATGGCGCCATAGTCGTTGCCAAAGTCAGAGTGGTAGCTGCCTGAGCTGACATTGCCGGCGCGTCGGTCGACGTCTGGGAAGACGTCGTGACTGTGAAAGTCCTTCGTCTGGCCATTGAAGAAGCCAGAAGAACGGTGGAAGTTTCCGGCTCCGTCACCTTGCGTGAGCGACGAAGGCTTTCCGTTACCGAGAGTGGAGGTAAGACCACCCATCATGTCGTACGAACCGGTGGTAGAGCTGGGGAATGACGACATGTTGTCGGAGAAGGGATTCTGAGAGTACATGGTGTCGCTACCCAGGCCATAATTGGAGGGCATAGAGGGAGAGGGCCCGGTCGTGGCACCGAAGCGCTGGCCCGACAGAGAGGTTGAGGATGGGCCGGAGAAGATGTCGTAACCCTGGTCCGGGACGTCGAGGGCATCGACGCGATCAAGAGTGTGGGGATTCATGTGCATGCCGCCTGGCGTGCTGCTGGAATGATGCGACGAGCCCAGCTCGCCGCCAGACTGGAGGGAGTTGAAGGGGTGGTCGAGGTCAGGCTGGCCGTACATGCCCTGGGGAGTGCCCGAGGGGGTGAAGTCGATGGACATTTTGCGTTCGCGGGGGTAGGGGTGGCCCGCGGAGGACTTGAGGATATCTGGGCAGCGGGGGTCAGCACGGCCGACGACGACGACGAGGAGAGGGAGGAGGCGGGGGCAGCGTCGGCGTCGGTGCGCAGTGGCGGGGACAGAGTCGCGGAGACAGCGCCGGGGCACGTTGTCGACGCGATCAGGAAACGAGAATTATTTATGCGACATACCAAAATCTGATCGGCGATCGGGAGATGCCGAGTGGAGGGGCAGCCAGGCCGTCGACGCCATCGTCCCAATCAAGAAGCGGAGCGCTGCGATGCTGGATCAGAACTTCCGCCACAGCTGTAGCAGTCCTGATCATCTCCCGTCAGTCCGCTGCGCCCACCGTCGTAAGCCGCCGCACGACTCACCTCTTCCGCGCGGGCAACCGTCCGTCACGTCGCAGGTGTGTCTCCAGGTCAGCGCCCGGCTATTCGTGCAGGCGGCGCTATATGTGACCACGCGTCCGACAAGTGTCCGCACAACGTCAAGCAGAAACACGAACACGGAGGCAGCACGCTGCGCAACGACCGAGGCGACAGTTCAGGTGTCCGGGATCAACTCTCCTCGTCCGCGCCGTGTATATATAGTGGCCCACCGATCGGTCATCGCACACGAGCCAGGCGTGACCGTGTTGCCAGCCCGACTTCAATTTCCGACGGTAATTTGTGAATCGAAGCCGTGCTTCCCGGAACCTTGTGCCAGTGACCTATCAATCAGGACTGCTGTCCGCGACGATTCCATCGCCCCCTCTTCTTCTACTCAATCTCACCCATTCCCATCAGCAGCTCAATCACCGGCCCTGCCACTCGCGGCCCCCATGCACATTTGCCCAACATCTGTCCGAATCTGCCTGTTTCTCCATCCAATAGCCACGTCTCCTCCTTCTCTGGCCTGCGCCCGACAAGCCCCGCTCCGAGCTTTTTGCTCGACCACCCGATTGGTCGACCACATCTCGCTCGGTGGTGTCGAATACACTCCCTTGACGTTATCTCAGCCGGCGGACTTTTCCTCGAGTCCTCCGTCCTCCGCATCTCGAGCGTTCCGTCTGGTCTTGTCCGCCACATAAGCGACGGGGCGAGAGACCAGGTGGTGGTTACGGGCAACGTCGAGATCGCGTTGTAGAAAATCGAGTCCATAATGGGCTCGCCGTACAACCAGACTCCAGTGATCGACTTGCACTGGATTCGCGCATTGCCCTATTGACAGGTGCCATACGGAGAAGCTCTAATCGACATACTCTCACCCCGGGCAGGTGCCACCACGCCCCGGCCGTTGCCAAATAGCTACCGCGGCACAACGTCTGCCAGGCTTCAGCGTGGTCCCGCTTCATCCGTTCATCCGTGAGCTTGTTCACTTACCCTGCCCTTCGTCTCTTTGATCGACAACTTCTCAGTCCAGCCGGTTGGGCCAACTTCTCCAAGCCGTTGGAACCCTGCCGAACCGTCTGTTGTCGTCACATGTGCTCCAAACTGCGGTGAGAGGTCATGACACTCTGCTGGCGTCCTGCATTCTTCGTAACCTCCGAAATCGAAGTACGGAAGTCGCCCTGATGTTCCCTTGGAGAACCTCCCGATGACTACACAGTGCAGGCAGGGCTGAGCGTGGCGGGCCGAAGCCCATCCGAGAGAGCGGAGACCATCGGTATCTTTCGCCATATGGCCTCTCCCTTTTCTGTCCTCCGGCGATTTTCCAATCGTGCTTCTGAATCTCCTTGCACAGTCAGATGGTTCGCGATGCAACCAGCAGCATTACGGCTCGTTGGTCTAGGGCAACACGCAAAGCTTGCGACGGCCCCCGAAGTTGCACATGCGCATCATAGATGTCGGGCGCTGATGGTCTCGCCTGTCTAGGCAAGGGGCAGCATCGAGATATACGCCGGCAATTCTGTTATTGAATTCAATGATCCCTCGAGACGTCAGCACCCTCGATGCAGCACACACACACAAATCCGGGAACCTACCTCGAGAACGCCTGCCAGGACCGACGGCGTGCGAGGCGGATCCTGCGCCACGATCCCTGGTACTAACCACATCCCGTTAGAGTCGTCGTGCTCCAGGACGGGTGCATTGACTGCTCCCGTCTTTCCGCCAGGCGAACTCAGGTAAATCATCCTTGTACGGCATCGTGCATATGGACCCAAGGGAACTTGTCTTGCTATCTCTCCCTTCAACGTTGTCACAGCGGTTCGATAGTCCTGACTGTGGCAGCGGCTGCCCCTTGGAGTGCTCTTTCTAGGATGCATCATGTGTCTACCTTGCTATCCATCCTCGAGGGAAGCACGGAGATACCGTTCGTGGTTTGAATGGTACACTCGCCGGTGGTACGCTAGACCATAGCTATCCTCCGAGCACTCGACACTCGACACGGTATGGATCTTATTTCCCGGACCCGGCAAGTTGACGTGAGACTCCGGGCATCCAGCGCGCTTCCCAATACAATTGGCGCAATGGCGAAATCTCTGAGTGTATGATGTCTTCCTGTAAACGTGGTGAGATTCTATCGATACGTATCTTGCCCTCGGGGGATTTTCGAAGAAAGGCTCTTGTCGCCCGCGCCGGGCAGACGACCAATCACGCGATACGTCTGCAAGCCGGGGCGAGAGGCCAATCTGCAGAGACCTGACTTACAGTTTGAGATTACACATCTCCATTTGCTTCCGCGAATCTTCGGCTGTGGTGCGCGGGGTTCTATCAGACACTCATTTCCAAATAAGTACCGACGCTGTGTGCAGGGATCAACATTCACGCAACGCGCCTCTGACTGGTGAGCCGTATGGTGGTTTCCAGCCCGAGTCTGGTAAGGCACGCAAAGCTTGATACAACAGATAACCAATAGCACAGATCGGGACTACATACCAGGTCAGGAAGGTACTCCAGTAACGGAACCGTGGGAGCTGGGCCTCAAGTACATTTACTGTAGACAATCAATCTGTGTGATATGTCGCCGGTCGCTCCTTGGACAGGTCAATGGTAATGAGCTTCAGCACTGGAGGTTGTTTGATGATACGGGAAGATCGAAATGAGTGGTGGCCTGTGCGATTTGTGTGCAATGACTACATTCCGGGACGTCAGCGCTTCAGCACTGCAGCGAGGGCGATTGGTGAGCATACACGTTAGCTCCATAAGGAAGGTATCCCTGATGTTGGCCACTTTCGTGCAAGCTGTCAAAGGTCACTACGAAACAACGCCGTGTGGCATGCAGGCGAGACGACGATCCCTTTAAGTCATCGCGATGCCTTCTAATATTCCCTCAGGTCCGGTGTTACAGGACGTTACAGTGCGCCACACACGTGCACGAGCTTGCAGAGTGGATGAGCTGCCTAAGCCATCATCACCGCCGACCGCAGCCTGCAGGCCGTCGACAGTAGACACCATTGATTTGTCCGCAACCAGTCCGCAACCATGTGTTGTGGCGTATGAGCGCTCCGACTTACCCGATAATAATACCAATGGGTGCGTATCTACCCGGTAGTAAGTAAGTTAGGAAGCTTTGGCCACTTCTGCCGAGCGGGTCCGTGGCGGCAACGACAGTTCAAAAAGGCTGATACCAAGGGTGGTCGTGCTGAACCATTATGGATGCGAGCCGATGCTTGTGAGGGCGGTGGTTGAGTCGTATCACAACTTGTCCTCGGGATTGCCATAGGGCCCTCACGTAGATCGGGGGAAATCTCAAGCTTGAAAATATGTATGAGGAGCAAGACCTCTCAACACAAGCCAATGCATCGGGACACATACCTGTATCCAGGACGGCAACGACAGCTGCGGATTCGTGCAGTGGGGGGAGACCAAGGCATATGGCTGTCCCGTCAAGTCTTCATGGGCAGGACTTCCGTGAGCACGACTACTGCGCGATGTCTGCCGAGAAACAGTGCAGTCAAGGATTCATTAATCGGAAGCTATGAAACAGCCAATTCTCAAGCTCACCAGCCAGACCGTGGACAAATTGGACATCCGGTGAACATGACGGCCGACGCGAAGCTTCGTGCCGTGAAGACAACGGCAGTACTCGTGAGCTGCCCAGGGGTGAGGCCGCAGTCGCTGGACATGAGGTTACCTCGGGGTGCCACCGAATGCCTCCAGGCCGTCGTGCAGATGGCGCATCCAAAGCCCGCCCCTCTTCCCTCATCTTCGTCAGGCGCGCCCTTCGTCCCGCCTTGACAGGGTACAAGGGTGCGGTGGGAGAGGACGTGGAGAACTTCGCAGATGTAATGCACGAAAATATGAATTACCTTGCAACCCCACCGGGTTCATATTTCCACGCGGTCCTTCGCATCAGGACGGGTGTCGACGGTGAGATGGTTCGATACATCCGATATAGACTCCCGTCGGTATGTTCAAAGGGGTAGACAATAACGAAGGCAAGACGTACAGATATTGGCCATCAGAGTCAAGCGTACTGCGGAAGACTACATAAGGCTTCAGCCCGGGGAACAAAATCAGCTTCATATCTGCATAAAGTGAACACGTACCTTAGACGTACTTGAGTTGTCGTCAAAGACGAGTCTCTTTCTTGTAGCCTGTTACGCCTCGTTTCCGAGAGGAACATGACGGCACTCGTTTGGGCAGCCGAGATACTCGGGGCTATGTCGCCTCTGTCGGCAGAACCACACAATGCGTTGGAAGGACGTTAGTTCGGTGCATGGAGGATGAAGTCAAAAGCGGACAAAACTCGGGCTGTGCATTACCGGTAAATAGAAGACGAGCGAGGATCGATGCAGCTAGACAGCAGTGACACAGAATAATGTCAATGACATTACGGCCAAGGAATGCCGCGGTCAAAAGTCGGGCAACGATGGACGCACGATCCTCCAAGGATTGTGCGCCAACGCCAGCTGGTCATAAGTGCGCTTGCGTGAAGGTTGAATTTCGCCGGCGGATGATGCCCAGGATGAGTCGGCGCTCGGTGATACCTCAGGATCAAGCAACCTACCTTTGTGGCGTATAATATTCGGCGAGCTCTGCTTCTCAATAGAATTACTGTGGTGGGCGTGGTAAAGACCTGAAGCACCTCGGCTTCGCGAGGAACACGCAGGGTAGCGCGAATCTCCGGCGGCGAGATGGCTATATCGGCACTGTTGAGAAGTCGAATTTGCTGCCGAGTACCACCGCTTCGATGTCATACAGCTTGCGGGGACCCCACTGCCCAGGAGATCCAGGCTTACGGAGTTCGGACACTGTGATTCCTTCATGCGATCGTCCGATGGAGAAATGTGTATGACATGGGTCAGCTGCGCCGTGACAAGGGCTGAAGAGTTGCCTACCTTCGGATCAGCAAGTCTTTGTGTGTAGGAGGTGAAGACGAGCTACCACTTGGAGGATGTTCACGTCTTGCTTTCAAGAGCGAACATCCTCCATCGCTTACCTATCCGCGGCCGTGACAATGGGTCTAGCAGAACTATGGACTACGTCAGTTTCAGGGATGCCAGGTCTTTCAGACAAGAGGCGTCGTTCTAAAATCCAAATGTCACTGGATCTACGCTACGCATAGCTAATTCCAGCCATGTTTGCCCGATATGGTCATTCTGAGGATTAGGTCAGAGCAGTCTGGCATTTGCGCTTGCGCTTACCGCTGTGAGTCCACCAAATGTATGTCGCATGTAACAGAACACCTCTGCATTGCAGAGAAGCAAGGACCGATGATCAGCGAGTCTCGCCAAGAATGTTCCCATTTGTGTGCCAACACACATGCACATCTCTTGAGTCTTGACCTGCAGCTTCCCTGCTGTGGTGAATCATTATTATATCAGGCAAGACAGCAAGAGGAAGCGAACACCAGACAGGTGATCTGTGTATAACCCTGGTAGTGTAGTCCAAGTCACATTCTGAGATCAAAAATTGTGTGGCGGATAATCGGGAGATAACCACGCGAGAGCCGGCGCCTCGTGGGTACGCCGGCACAGACGCCTCCAGGTTACTAACGTTCAGGCTGCGGGTCGACCTGAACGCTGCTACCTTCGCCCAACACGACGTGCGACATCCTCGACACAGCGGCGTGCGCGACGGCCATCGCAGCGTTCTAGTCCTTCGCGAAATCTCCACATCTGGGCAACCGATAGGTTCGGTCTGGTTCGAACCAACCTCTACTAGGCTAGAACCTCCTCCGAACTTTGTTCAGGCCTTTGCTGGCTGTTGAACAACCGAACTTTTATGTCTCTACCATCGTACAGGATGGAGGCTCCTCGTCCTCGTCCACCACCCCTGCCATTACGCACTCGCAATCTGAAGTCGCCACAGCCGGAGAACAGAGACTCCTACAATCCTCTCTTATACGATGCGTCCCCCACCGTCCCTAAGTCGCCTTCCGGGACCATTTCGCCTACACGACTGAGGTCGCCCACGTCCCCAACAATGCGTTCCCGCTCCAGGACGGGAGGTAGGACACCGCCTCACAGTCGACCTCGATCAATCACACCCTCGCAACCCGGTCGGAACGAACTTGGGGAGTTTGCAGAACATTGCCGAGCTTGGTGCGCAACAACACACAGAAGACGTTGCCTATTTCTGACCGTGGCACAGGTACTTTGAACAGGACGATGATGCAGGGCGTCTGATGACACAAACCCTCGCTACCTTGCCTCCCTCCCAACGGGCACCTTTTGCCAGACTTCAGGCTTCAATCCGCTCAGCCTATCACGCTAGCGTCAACGCGCGTAGAGACGCTGAGTTCAAAGCGCATCTGAGCGCCACGCACCCGGGATGCTCTCTCATGCCTCATTCCCGCGCTGACCCTAACGGGCAGCTGGCCAAGAAGGAGCGCTACGACCGGTTAGAGCGCTTCGTCAAAACATGGTGCACCACCGGCATGCCTGGCACGAAACCGTTCTTTGAAGGGCTTTGGGCCGTCATGAGATTACAAGTGGTTCCAGAACATTTGGGGGAGCTGGAGGATATAGAATCGAATGGGAAATTGATGATGCGGTGTTCAAGGAAGCAGCGTGAGTCTTTGATGCGCGCAATGTTGATGTATCCGACATGTCCTCACCTCGGGATCTACCGCAATGCAGCGGCAAAGATTTCATGCTGGAAGCTATCGATGTGCTCAAAGGGGTAAGCCTTTGTCTTCTGCGGTAGGTGTCGCGAATATGTCTCATCCACATTATGCCTAGGTACTTGCGTTCGAAGAAACACCCTCCGGCAGGAGATCTACATCGCAAAGCGAATCCGTTCACTACTCGGCTTTCGCTCCACTGTCCACAATACATTCTCGGTCACAATCCCAACCACTCCCCGCAGATATCTCCGTGGCACTGTCGCAGAAGGCTCCACCCATCACATCGACCACACAGACGAAACGATCCCGTCCTCGGGCTCCGAGTGATCCCTTCTTGGATACACCTACTCTGTCGACATCGTACTCTTCCGCTAATACCATAGCGCACCTCTCGACATCTGGTACAACGTTGGCGGATGAACCAAATAGTCCGTCGAGTCCTGTTGTTGAAGGAGATGACTACTTCCCGCCCATGTCCACTGGCTTAGAGTTGCCCGAGTCTGACGGATTCATGCGCACTTGGGCCGCCCCCGACCTTTCGAACCCCGAATACATCTCCTTACTCTCGGTGTTCCCCCCCTTCATCACCCACAAGGCGTTGCCACGTTTTCCCGTTCAACCTAAAGCGAGACGATCCGCCGACTTAGAGGAAGGCGACGAATCTCAAGACGAGCAGAAGCGTATCCGCGTCGGTACCGGGACCATGTGGGTGGGACCAAAGTTCCGCTCTCCCGGCTGGAACGGTGGTTGGTGGACGCGCTTCAGGCTTTGGCTACGGGGCATATTCTGCTAGTGGGCTGGCATACGGAGGCCACCCGATGCACCGGTTCGGTCAACATCGATCGTCCCATACCTGCGTCCCAGACAATTATCACTTACTGTGTCCGTAGGGCACATCCTTGTCACTCTTTCATATGAATGGACTATTGCAGACTACAGGACATAGATACTGCATATCACCCGTCCCGCGCATCTGCGATGAAACTGCCTGTTGAGTCTTCAGACTAGTACATATTGTACATTGTACTTTCGACACTAACACTGTATTCGCGATCCGCGATGTATACCATTGGGACGCAGGTTACTTAGCCGCGTCGTGATACCGCAATGCAGCGTGTACAGGCTCGCCAGCATATGCTCCCTTCTGTAATCAAGTGAGTGCCACCATGTCTGTTTGCGATGTTCGTGTCTGAACGTTAGTCCAAATTCAGAATAGCATCAGGGCCACTGTAAAGATTGTATATGAGGCCAGATGTCCATATCGGCCGCAACAGCCGCTGCCTGTTACTCAACCTCTTCCTTGCCGGCAAGCAGTTGCTCAGCGCTATTGTGACCATCGCTGTCAATGTCAGCACGACGACTAACATTGACTCTCAGGTCACAATATCCGGAACCCAACGCTACTCCAGATGCGCTGCTTCTGACTGACGGACCGAGATGATCGACTCGGAAGACTCCTTGCCTTCCTGCTTGATTTTATCTGTCGACGTTTCACGAGGCCTCGCTGAACGCATTGGTGATCCTGCAGCTCGCCACGGCCGCCATCATGCACAAGTGCATGGCGATTGCTCTACATGGGCTAGTGCAAGTGCAGTAGCCCTGAGCTTGTCGTCGACAATATTACACCGGCCCGGTCTCTACAGCCGGCTATGCGACGCACGCGGACAGTGGTGTCACGATTCTCTGAAGTTAACCTCATGGCAAGTCTCCCCGCACCAATCTCCGTGACAGCACTTGATTAGACCATAACAATGGTTCTCCAGCTGCATTCAAGGGCTTGCCATTGCCTGACGCACGGTGCCATGGAGACCTGATATTAAATGACGTGGTTAATCTTCTCAAATGCAGCGCTGCAACAAGGCCACTGACAGTGGGTCAGGAACACCGGCGTGCATACTAAATCACTTCGGCCTCCTCGTGTTACTACAGCCCAAGATCAGGACCATGATCGGTATGTCACGCCGATATTCAGTCGAGGTGAACTCAGCACCAATCAATCATGCGTAGTCGAACAATGATCCTCACGTCACTGAGGACCAAACCGTTCAAGCTCAAGGACCGGTGGGGTTGACATAATTACGCAACCCGCCGTGACAGCTTATTGAATTAGTAATCTGCCAATGAACCTCATCGCCATCTTCCATCGGTGTACGGCATACCGAGATTTTGATTTGGTCTCAGTCTGTCTCAGTTCGCAATTGCGCAAGATTGGTACAATGCTCGTGACGAGTGAGACGCACACTTACACTTGGTAAGACGGCGAGCAACCCGGGGATCAGTGCAGAAAGCCGCGGCTGAATGCGGTTGCGTTGCTTCGCCCGGTCACAATATGACCTCCAGCTTGGCAACGCGACTTATTGGAATGCTCATACGTTCCCTGGATCCGGATGAGTCCGGGCGGAAGTACGAGATCGCCAGCGTCGGAGTAGGGGGGATTGTGTTGCGTGTCTCGGCGTTGAGCGAAAGGACAGTCTCCAGCGATGTTCATCCGAGGATCTTCACCCAATTTTTGCGGGTGACAAGAGTGTATGGGTGGCCAGCATCGCGCAATCGCGCCGGCACTCAGTCCAGTAGGCCTGGATGTCCACATGTTGCATGTACGCATGTCTACAAGATCCCTGGAAGCAAATGGACGTCATTACAAGTACTAGTGGCGTTCTGGGGGCATGCATTCCCTTCACCGGCCAACAGCCTTGTGTCGCAGGGCCGAGGCTGCATCACGACGAACATGAGGCTCGCAGTGCTGCGAACGTCGTTACGGCAGAGGACCAATAATAATAGCAACATGAAATACCTCTGCAATTGACGCATTGTCAGCAGTCCTGTGACTGATGAACAACCGCACCGCATGTGCCTACAAGATAGCAGCCATTCGTTCCTTGTCATTGCGTACCACACGGAGAGGGGTCCCGGCGAGGGGCAGAATGCTTTGATGTGACCAACATGGCAGTTCTGGCGGCTCCGGTGACACAACGCCCCCACGAATAGTGGAGCTGCCGTAAGAGCAGACAGCGAACGCGGCCAGCTCATCCGTTCAAAGTCGTATACGGGAGCGAGGAACAGTGGGAGTCAAAAGATGTTCTCGAAAAGAGAAAGCTCGACAGAAGGTCCACATATACGATAAGTTACGGCATGGTGCCAGCATAGAGAACTTTGTACAGTGCGAAGTTCCGGACGGAGCACGACTAAACGGACAGGCTTTGGAGCAAATGCCGCGGATGCAACCCGCACATTGCTACCGCCTGGCCCTGAGCCCTTCCACCGTGGCCTCCAACGCGCGATTCTGAGCCAGCAACCTAAAAGGATCACGGCGTAAGATATACGTAAACCACAATCTAGATACTAGCATACGAACCGCACAGAATCCTGTTGTAGCTGTTGGATCTTCCTGTCCCTGGCTGCGATGCTATTATGGGCAGCCTTCAACTGTCTCTCCAACTTCCTAATTTGATCTGGTAGGGCATGCATACCCGCAAGGTGAGCAGCGACATAGTCGGCCAATGGAAGAGGTGCTCCTTCTCCACTGACTTGTGACTGAGATTGCTCGAGGCGGGATGACTCCAACGCATGTGCGTTGTCAGTAAACGATGCCCACACGGTCGAGGCACGATCATGAAATGGATTTTCCTCAATCTGACCGTTAGCTTTACTCGTACATCCGATGAACGGAAAACTTACCGGGTCGTCTTCGAGTCGCCACTGCTGGTGCGACTGATCCCCCAAGTCCCGGCCTTTGCCCTTCCACCTAGCAGGCGAGTCTAATGGAGCAATGCTGCTTTGACGAGATAGCTGCCTCGTGTCTGGCTGGGGCTCGGAACTTTCTGGAGGTGTCAGATAGCCCTGCGAGTGATCACCAGGCAATCGCGAGCGTCGATGACTCGAAGGACTGCCCTTCAGCGGGCTCCCTGTCCGAGAAAACGCGGGAGGAAGACGATCAAGAGGGGGGAGCATAGAGTCGTCCGGGCCCGTCGTATCCGCTGCTCCGCTGAGGGGATCACCTGGCCCAAAATCCAGTTCGACCTCAACGGCGCGTTCCGACATACCGTCAAAGGCGTCAAATACTGATTGTGCGGGCCGAGGGCTTGTCTGTATGCCCACGCTGTACAAGGAGCCCGTTTCGGAGAAATCGTACTCTTCGTCTTCCAACCGGCTGCGCTTTGAAGGCGAAGGGTGACTCGTTGCATCGTTGTCATCGTCGTCCTCAGGTGTATCCACTGGCAGACCTTGATCGTGACTGGGCACCGTCTCGACTTCAGAACGACGATGGCCAGAACGCGGTGTCTCGCTGCCGGAATGGACTACAGGCGTGGCGGACCTGGCGGCTGCGCTGGGGACGTAGGGCGACTTGCTGGTGCCTTGTACCGGTCCCGCTGCCTCCATGCCAGTTATAATAGCAGCTAGCCGAGATCGTCTCTGAGACGGGGTGTACGCGCTGGACGGTGTGGTCACACTCTGTGCTCGAGCTCCTCGAGTGGGGGTGCGTGGGAAGGCGCTCGGTAACTGATGCGCGGATGAAGTTTGCGAAGGCGGTGGTGAGTCGGGTCGGGGACGTTTGACGGATTGAGGGGAGGCGGGTGCGGGTGCAGCACTACCCCGTAGAGACAAACGACCATGTCGTTCAGGTGTGTTGGGTGTATGAGCCGGTCTTGGCGAGCCTTGCTGATGAGCAAACCTGGGCTCTCCGCTCAGTTTAGGGTCGTCTGCCCATACTGTATACGGCCCGGTATCAGTGCAGTCTTCAGGGCAAACTCAAGACACTCAACTAAAGAACCGGCACTGAGGATTCTCGTCACGCCTAGGGCAGCGGTAGAAATCCCTGACGGAGGTGAGCAACGCAGAGTTCACGTCAGACGGTGGTTGATCCCGCACCGGTTGGGGTTGTTCTCAGTATGACTGGTGAATCTAGCTGCGATGTCGCCGTGTGCAGGGCATCTAATCAGTCCGTCTGCTCCACGCGGGTCTGCATTCACTTTGTGCGTATAGGTCGTTTGCGCATGCGTAGACATTGGTCGAGCGATGGTCGTGAGCACGGTCGATGGTGGCTCGGACTTGTACATGACGCGCGTCGGGCGATGCCGAACCGCCTGAACGCGGACGCGCGACTGCAACTCGCGACTACCACGTCCCCGGTCCTGTGCTCACTCTTCCCGAGCCTCCACGCGCCAGCATGGCGGTCACAGAATCAAACATCACGGTCGAGACAAAGCTCGTGTCTCCGCCAGATCCCACTCTTCCGGCCTTGGCGATCCAAGTGACGCGGCTGCTCGATTCTTACATGTTGTGGATCGGTACGACCGATGAGACAGCTGAGGACGTGCACAGCGCGCCGCTTCAAGGACACCTAGCGAGGGACTGGGCTTGTGCGATGCCAGTGAGAAACGTGAGTCTGGATGAGATACTATGCGGGGTTTGCCTGCACGGAACGCGGAACTGACTGATCAGACAAGCTGAGTGCAAACACACCGCCGGCCGCAACTTCGCTATATCGCTCCTCGAGTTCGGACGCTGCCTTGTCGATGTCTCAACGCCTCGGTGATACATTGTCCATGCGTCTCACACTAGATATCCACTAACGCTGTACTGTCGCCATGCCACGGGAATCCACACTGCCGCCTAACCCACCTCACGGGCAGCACGGCGCTTCAAGAAGCAGATTTTCCTGTCCATTGACCTTCCACCCGTGTTCGACTCTATGGGGCAGGGTCAGAAGCTCGTTTTGGCTGTGGAAAGGGCGGTGGTTGAGACGCTGAGGGAGTTGGAATTGTCGCAGGTATGAGCGAGGCCTGGGGTTCGTGGGATGGCGGCCTGGCCCGGGCACACGCTGGCCGCTGTATAGCTCTTGTAAAACATGGTCGTAGTAACGAGCCGTACGCCAAATGAGATCTGTAGTGTGTGATGACCGATATTAGGAACATATGGCTGAGATCGATAGCGGCTCGGTCAGGCAAAGGGTGTTTGGAACCGCTTGATGTCGTGCGCGGCTCGCGCTCGGCGTTCGCCCTGTATACACGATCAGGCTCGCCGTCTGCGGCCTCTGCACAGCCGACCTCGTCTCTCCCTCTGTCTACGACGTCGTCTGCAGCCCCCCAGCGGCAGCCAAAGGCCTGCTGACTCCCTGCCAACGTGACTTTGGCCGCGACCACTTCCCACAACCCCATTTTGTCGCAGTCATTCATTGATGTCCGAGCCCGAGCTCCTTGCCTACATGACCGGCGGAAACGACGACTTCGATCTTCCTCGCTGGAGCACTCAGACCCTCCACGACGGCCTTTCTTCGTCGGCACAGGCTGCACAGTCGGCTGCACAAGCCTCCTACCTTTACGCTCAAGGCCCGCCGCAGTCGGGCGCGAATCGCCTGCCGCCTATCCAGCAATCACCATCCGGCTCTTCCAGGCAGCCTCGCATCAACCAGCTTGTGGAGGAGGAGTATTCGATAAGTGCTCTGCCCTACTCGAACACCACGGTGGGCCGAAGTCTGTCGCTCGGCCACAATTCCAGCTCGTCTTCTCGAGGCCGGCGTCACCACATGCAGGATGATCTGGAGGGAGCATTCAACATCGATACAGATAGCGGGGGAGGCACGTGTCGCAAGGGATGCAGGCTGCGAATGCTTCTGGATATCCATCCGTGGACGACAGCGCTGGCTCCGGAGGCGCTGCTCAGTACCAGACCGCCTACTACAACAGCCCCGGGGGGCACCAGGTGAAGAGGTCGCATACCCAGCACGACCCCAGCACCTCTTCTCGATCGCAGCGGTCTCCAAATCGTGGTGCGCCACCATCGACAGCGCTGCTTGACCCGTACTCGCCTACGCAGGCACAATATCCATCGAACAACACCTCTTATCCGTACTCTCCGACTGCCGAGCAACAGAGAGCCTACATCCCTGGTGCTTACCAGTCGCACTCACAGACACACTCTCGATCACAGTCTCTGGTCAAGGGTGAGGCACATACGCCGCCTATTCCTACGCCGTACTCCCCGCGCTCCGGCGGTTCAGTGTACTCCAACTCCTACCCGATGGATACCACGAGTCCTGCGCCCTCTGTGTCCCAGAGTCTGGCACCGCATCGCTCACCGCGGCCGACATCCGTTTCTCAGCCTGCAACGCCTCTGTCGTACGGACATCCTTCTCAAAGTCCGCAGTTTTTCGCGCAAGAGCATCAGCCCATGGCTGTGGATGCTTCTCCTCCGAAGCGCCGCGCATCGGGCCTCAGACGGGTCAGGGATCATCGGACCTGCGGCCGCACGTCAACCAACAGCCCGGGGGACGACGGATGGATTCCACTGGCACGTACCTGTCGGTCAGTCGTCTGTTTTCAATGTGGCTGCCGGTTGCTAAATTTAGTGGCACATGCATTGTAGCCGATCAAGCAACTAACAATGAACATTGTCGAGACGTATCGCATTTGCAACCCTCAGTACAGATACGAGTCTACGCACAACCCGCGTCGTGTCCTGACCAAACCGAGCAAGCCGCACACAATGACGGCTATGACAACGATGATTACGATTACATCTTGTACGTGAATGACTGGCTAGGGACGGATGATGGTCACAAGTGCGTATTCTGCCCTCTGCTCCCTGCTATATGCTGAACGCTGCGCGACGCCTATAGGTACCTCATCCTGGATATCCTTGGACAAGGACCTTCGGGCAGGTGGTGAAATGTCAGAACATGAAAACGCACGAAGTCGTCGCCGTGAAGGTGGTCAAAAACAAGCCAGCATACTTCAACCAGAGTATGATGGAAGTTACGATCCTGGAGCTGGTGAGCTATCATTCATTGCCGTAGATATGCACGGTACTGACCGAGAGGTGCTTCAGTTGAACAACCAGTGTGACCCTCAAGACGAGCACCATATCCTGAGGCTCCGCGACTCGTTCATCCACAAAAACCATCTGTGCCTTGTCTTCGAGCTGCTCTCCTCCAACCTGTATGAGCTCATCAAGCAGAACCAATTCCAAGGTCTGAGCACTCAGCTCGTGAAAGTCTTCACGGCACAGCTTCTGGATGCTATGACCATCTTGAAGGAGGCGCGACTGATTCATTGCGATTTGAAACCGGAGAACATTCTGCTGAAATCGTACGTTCTGGTCGTTCTGTCCTAGCTAATGCTGAACGGTCCGTCAAAGGCTGCAATCACCCCAGATCAAAGTTATAGACTTTGGTTCGGCATGTCACGAACGGCAGACGGTGTATACGTACATCCAGTCCCGCTTCTACCGTTCTCCCGAAGTCCTGCTAGGCATTCCGTACACGGCGGCAATCGACATGTGGTCTTTAGGTTGCATCGCTGTCGAGCTCTTCCTTGGTCTACCACTGTTCCCGGGAACGAGCGAATACAACCAGATCACCAGGATAGTGGAAATGCTCGGGTATGTCCGTCATGATGCTTTGCTGGCGAAATCACTGATTATGATATAGGACCCCGCCTCCATACATGCTGGATATGGGCAAGCAGACGGGCCAGTTCTTCGATTCTTACATCGATTCGTTCGGCCAGAAGCAGCAAAAACTGAAGAGCATCGAGCAGTATTCGCGTGAACATAACACGCAGGAACAGCCCGGCAAGCAGTACTTCAAGGCCAATTCGCTACCGGAGATCATCCAGCAAGCGCCGATGCCCTCATTCAAATCCGGGTCGCGTCAGGCTCACGAGGTGGAAAAGGGTGAGTTTCAGGGGCGATATGGGCGGTCACTTCGGGACGCTGACAATCGCATTACGCAGAGATGAACAACCGGGCTTCCTTCATAGACTTCTGTCAAGGACTTCTGAACATGAACCCCATAGAACGATGGACGCCGCAGCAGGCAAGGATGCATCCATTCATCACCGGAGAAAAGTGGACAAAGCCGTGGACGGTGGGTTATTCTCGGATCTAGTCATTGATGTTCCTCGAGTAAAACTTGTACCCCAGCCCGTTGGACAATCGCCACCGCAGGTGAGCCCTCCGGCCAGCGGTGGTGCAGATCCGAAGCGACCGTACGGGGGCCTTGTCCCCTCGCAGCCCAAGGGCACGAGGGCTTACCAGGATGCGGCTGCGTACAACCAGCATCTCGCGCAGCACCAGGCATACACCGCCCAAGCACAGGCTGCGTCGCAAGCTGCGCAGAACGTGTACCGAAATCCCTACGTCACCCCGCAGAGCGCAGCTCCCAGCGCGGCTTCCTACTCGAGCACGACGGATAATGGAACGCGAGCCCGGCGCTAAATATGCATCACCGCAGTACACGCCATCGTCGACATCTCAATCAGCGTCGCATCGCGGTCTAACCCACCAGACCTCGCTTGGGCATCTCAACGTCAACACCAACGTCTCTCAGTACGGAGGGCATGGTTCGGGCGCTGGGTTCGCTTCTCAATCTCAAGTCGGTCCTACTGCACCGTCAAACACTTATTATTCGACGACTAGGAACCGGTCCAACACGTTGAACCCTATGATGGACAACATCCCTCCTGCTCTCGCCCGGTTGCAGCACATGAACCAGGATGTCATTGGTGGGCGGAAGGCCTTGACACCTGTCTTGAAGAGAGACGACGCGATGCGCGAGTGGGAGCGCCGTCAGGCGGCGGGTAAGGCAGCAGCTGCGCAGCCGTATCCCCAGCTGGAGTTTCTGCAACAACAGGCCGAGCTTGCTGCGGCTCAAGGCCTCGGACTCACTCACTGGAATAACTCGGGCTCATCCAACCGCTACCAACATCAGCCCACGTCTAACCTCGCACATTCGTACCATCCGTCGACCTCAATGGTGGTCGACGAAGATCGTCGAGACGCGATACTCTCCAATGTTCGCAGTGCGGCGCGAGCGGACGGGCCCAGTAACTTGTTCGGGTCGAACTCGAATGTGATCCCTAGCCCCCGCAGGCGTATAACAGCAACACGACGACGACAGGTAACCGGTACGCGGCGACATACTCCCAACAACAGCAGGCTCTACCTCGCCGTTCGATGCGATGGAGCGGCGAACGGACATCGGTGCCATGTATGTGCCGATGCAACCTGACCAGTACGGTCCGTACAACAATCAAGCTTCGGGCTCTCAACAGCACGGTACCTCCACACGTCACGTCGCTCCTCCTGCGCAGGCAGTGCCACCGTCGTTCTATGGCGCAGGGGCTATATCTCCGCCGAACGGCCAGCAGCGGAACCCGTTCGTACCCACGGACACCTTGCCCACTGCTCAAGGGCAGGCGAGTACGAAGGAGGCTCGTAGGAAGAGCGGTATGGATCTCTGGACACAGTAAAGCAGCTGAGCTCTTTGTCCACTCGTCACGCGTTCTTGTGCTTCCCCCTCGAAAAGTTCCCTTGCCGTATCATCTAACGTTTGCTCTCCACGGTGTCATCATGCGCCCAATTGCCGACCCTCCCCACCAGAACACTCCAGAGGAGTTTGCCGACTAGGGCATCTGTAATCAGGAATGACTTATCAATGATCAAGGCGCATCTGTCCATGGACTCTACTTGCGATGTAGTTTGCTGACATGCACTATGTATATTCACCCGGTCGCCGTGTACCTAGCAACAGACAGACAAATTCATTTCTCTATAGCAGTCTTCTCTAATCTCCGTGAGTCAGCTGTGAGTGCACAGGCCTCGGTCTACTGTGTGACGTCGGCGCCCCCTCTTGCATACGTTGAAGAGTTACAGTTGGTTGAAAATCTCCTCGACTTCCCAAGCACCGGCCCAATATCGGACCTGGCATTTGAGACGGCCTTCCTCTTCGTAACCAGCGATAAGCTTTTCCAGCGCGCGGTGCCTCCTGCAGAGAACCATATCTTGGCTGCAAAGAGCTTAGATAGAGATTGTCGGGTGGCAACTCCGGCTTACCTCCTCAGCCGCAGAACCGGGCATAGGTCGTTGGACCCATCTCCCACGTAGATGACGCGGTCAAAGCTAGGCTGGTGGCGCTGCAGGAAGGCCTCTAGCTCCTCCCCTTACGGATGATATTAAAAACGGGGCATCTGGAGCGAGAGCGCAGCACGGCACCTTTACACATGTTGGGACTGCAGCCCACTTTACATTGGTGCTGGGGGCCGTTTGGGTCGACTCTTCGTCGGAGTTTGAGCAGGCCCGAAGGGTCCCACTCTGCGGGGTTTGTGACGATTTCTTCGAAGACTGTCTCCAATCTCTGAGCCTACGAAGCAGCTTAAGTGACACGAGTTCGCGTCAACTCATCAACCGAGGCCGACCTTGAGAATTGTCGTGATGAAGACGATGTTCGCGTTGGAAAGGCACAGAAATGTGGTCTTCGGGGTGGATCTTGCCTTCAAATCCGTGACCCCACGGGCCATGGCGGGGTGCTAGGGCCGCGTTAGCATATTTCGAAGTACGGTTAAACATGACTCGCGCACGAAAGGCATCTTCCGCAGAGCAGCTTCAATTTGCTCCCGGGTACCTCCTCGTTCATGTAGTTCCCGCAATGTTTGTGCGCTTTTGTCAAGATTGTGAGAAGCTTGACGTCCGCAGCCGTGAACATCTTACACCAGGTCTGTCCATTGAGTCTCCTTCTTCAAATTCTTCATTTTTCTACGCAAGTCTGGGGCGAGGACCTCGAAGACCCATCGATCAGAGTCCTGGTCCGCCATGGACCTGTGGGTGGATGTATCTTTGAGAGACGGTTTTCAGAGAGCCCGGGACGCACCAGTCAAAGTCAAAGACAACTAGCTGCCTTTCCACGGAGCTCGCCATGATGAATGGTCGCGTAGACTGGTCGCGGATATGACCCTGGATTAAACTTCACTGCCAGTACGCGGCCGTGGTGGACGGTGTATAGGATCGAGATCTCGATTCGACACGGTCCACGTGGTTTTACAGCTTACCTAACGCCACGCTGCGACGCGCTGTGGCTGGCCATGCCTTCCACTCTCTGCACCGCGAAGGCCTCCTACAAAAAGCTCCCGGCACCCTCGAGCTCACCAACTCCCACCTGCAATGGACGCAGGACGGAAAGAAGGCGCCCTCAGTCAGGGTCGTCCATGCTGAGGCTGCGTGTCAGTTTGGCTTTGTCCTCATACAGTTGGCAGTGAATTGACGGCGTTCGCGATCCTGAAGCCCTGTTTTCCAGCAAGGAAGGCGCGCCGCAAGTCCGCCTGAAGGTCGGGCTTGTCAGCGACGATGCAGGTCACAACTTCACCTTCACGTCGCCTCAACCAACCGCGCTTGCCGAACGTGAAAAGTTCAAGAGCGAACTGACAACATCATCAGTCGTAACCGCAGTGGCGCCGCAACTCTGCAAAGACACCCGGAACCCCAGCCACACCAACGCCAGCGAATGCTGCAAAAGCGAAATTGCCACAGAATGCCACAATGTCCCATTCGCGTGCGGGTTCGGTCGATTCCAGAGGCTCAGGTACTCCCGTGGGTAGTGACCCTACCCATGATTATCGGCTACGAAAGAAAGTTCTATTGGGCAATCCTGAGCTTGCGGCGTTACACCGAGAGCTCGTCATGGGCGGTCACATCTCAGAGAACGAATTCTGGGAAGGACGAGAAGTACATGACTTGATTATCTCTCTGTGTGTGACCTTCTGACGAACGTCATACAGCACCTGATACTGGCCCTCGCCGCGGCGGAGAGCCAGAAGCGGGGTAAGCCAGGGCAGCTTGTCGACCCGCGCCCGCAGACAGTAGACGGAGAGGTCAAGATAATATAACTCCGCAATTGGTGCATGACATCTTTGAGGAGTACCCTGTTGTCGCCAAGGCCTACAGTGACACCGTCCCGAACAAGGTATGCCCGTGGAGCTCTCTGCCGTATAGCACAACCAACGTGTAGGCAACAGCTTACAGAAGCGGAGTTCTGGAAACGGTACTTCCAGTCCAAGCTGTTCAACGTGCATCGCGCGTCAATTCGTTCGTCCGCCGCACAGCACGTAGTCAAAGACGACGCAATTTTTGACAAATATCTGGAGAAGGGTGACGACGGTCTGTGCCGCTAATCACGACAGCATTGCAAAGCCGACGGACTGACATCGCCTTCAGAACTTGAGCCCCGTCGCTTGCGGGAAGAGGGTGTAGATATCTTCATTGATTTGGGTGCTACTTCAGTGGACCATGACGAGGTAATGGAACGCATCGATAACTTGTAGATTTGCTGACTTACTATTGTTTACCGTAGACTGGTAATGTCAAGGACGTGACAATGCAACCGGGCAAACAAAGGGCGGTCTTGCCGTTAATTCGGAAGTTCAATGAACATTCTGGTCGCTTGCTGCATACCGCGTTGTAGGGTGTTTGAAATCATATCTTCTCACAGTGAAATTCACCGTATTTCTACTCTAGGGGAGAACCTGCCGCCAAACGACGCAGGGTGGACGAAGGCGCGGACGTAAGTATCAAGCCGCACTAGCAGCTCCCGTCTCCGCCGCCAGGTGACTTATGAATTGCCACACAGCACCATTCACAATTGGATCTAGAAGACCTGCATGACAACCAGAGTTCCGCTGGCATTATCTTAGATATGCAAGATCGACAACGATATTTCGAAAGTCGAGCATTGGATTCGGCATCACTAGATGCTTCTCTGGTATATCTTCCGTTATGTCAAAATGCTTAAGCTCATACAGGGTCGACAGCGTGTCGATCCAACGGCTGCCCTGCAGGGGGTCCAAGACAGTCTCGAGGGTTGGTCGGAGAATCTGAGACATGTGCGTGCTATCCTCAGACACATGCTACATTCGCTCGACTCATGACAAACTCCAGCTGAAACTAGAGAACAAGGCGGGGGACGCGGCGCTTATAGCAATGACCAAGAATGTATCCGCTCGCTTGGAGGTGAAGATGCGTAAACGTCCGTCGGATCTTGCTTTCTATCTCGAAACATGCTTCTCATTCGCGTTCTGTCGTCACGCGTATAGATGACATTCCAGACGGCCTTTTCCGCCAGCTGACGACGTGTCAAACCGCCGCGAACGAGTTCCTGCGCCAGTTCTGGCTATCGATATATCCGCCAGTCGCGGAAGGACAAATTGTGTCTGCCGCAACACCAGCGCAGAAGGCGGCTAAAGCGGCCAAAATGATCGGGTATCTGAGCAGGACGCACGAGAAGGTGGAGGCCCTCGTCGGTGTGGCCAGGCAGGAAGGCGTCGACCCTGGTAGAGTCCAAGTGGTCCGTTCTCTTCGTCGTTCTCCAAATGTGGTTACGCGAGACTGATAAACTTTATACAGGCCATGAAACCCATGCTTGACGCTGTCGACAAAGCTCTCGCCTTCTGGCAAGCACGGAGCGCCAAGGATAGGGCACCTCGGTGATTCCTCAGTTCATGTTCACGGACATGTATACGTATTGTAACTACCTACCGTCATGAGGGCACTATGACGATAATACGCTCTCTATTTCCGATACAGGCGCCCTCAAGATTGTGAAGCTTTTGTAAACCTGGTGCGTGATCTGCTGACTGCTCTAGATGACCTATACGTGGATCCATGGTCTTCACCCGCGATGATGGTCTCTTTCAAGCTCAAGCCTCATCGACATCGATCATCGATCATCGACATCTCCGACTGGCCCGGGGGTGGAGAGAACGGACACGAGCTTATCGGACAAGTCGAAGTTGTCCGGGGGCCAGTACAATGTGCTAAAATGCACCTCTGCTTCCGTATCCTTCTGGGGCTAGACGCATCAACGATCCTGTCTAAGTCCATTGGACACAACCCTGGGCTGGTCCCTCGAGCCTTCCCTGACGGCTGACATGCTTCAGCTTTCAGCCAGGATACCGCCGTAAGCAGGCATTGCCAAGGAGTCATGTAATTGGAGTGTTGAATGGGTTTCGCAGTCAGACTCAATTCAGCAGACCATGTTGACTTGTCAGCGCGTCCAGTTGTCAGACAATAAAGAACTGACATTATCCCAATGTACTATGCGAACGATGTGTGTGAGACAGATAGCAATGACAAGTCCATGCGTTCAAACATGCAGAACTCGGAGTATCAGCGGAGACTGGCTATGTGATGAAGGGAGGGGGTTGCTTCTGCAGCTGTGGCCCCGATGATGTGGTGCACTCGAACGTCGTGAACATCACGAGAACATGCAACGCAATAGCGTAGCAGATGAACGCTGTCCTTGTTCGACGGTTGCCGAGGATAGCCCGGGTGAGCACGAGCACCCCTCTTTCCAGAGGGTTGAGCGATTCATACGCTCGGGTGGCTTCCTGGAGCAGGGTCAGTACACGTCCGATTGACATTGTCATGGGACACATACCCTTCCACGGAATGCTTGGAACGGATTCATGGCTTCCTCACTGGAGTCCGAATCAGTCGGTGAATACGCCAAGACTCCAGAAAGGATCAGGGACTGACTATCTAGTACGATACTTGCTCATATCGTCTCCACGGCCGCCAGCACTCGCAGGGATAGGGTCGAGAGTGGACGGACGCACAGCGGCGTCTTCCCTGTAGCTTTGCATGTAACGGACCTTCTCATACAGCTTGAGATTGTCAGCTTGGAGACTTTTGACCTATAGAATTGATGTTTCTATTAGGACCGGAGAAGATCTCAGTAACGTCAACCAACCTCAGTGCGAAGCTCTGAGATGATGTTGAATTGCTTCCGCAGTTCCTGGACCACCATCAGGCATTGGTTCTTGTTCAGCACATGAGACAACGAACCTCTTCCAATTCGGCATTCCGCTGTCTGAAACGGTCGCGTTGGCTTGTGACGATTGGCAGGATCGATGTATCGGCGGACGATGCAAATGGTATAGGCGTGTTCCTCGCCGGGGAATCCTGCGTGTAACACCGTTGGTCAAGCTCGATAGTTTTACCCATTTGGGTGATGCCCATCGCCTACCGTCTTCTTCCCCAGTTCAATCCCAGCAAGTCCATCCATTGACCCAATTCGTGGACTATCGGACAAGCCTGAGTCACCATTCTGTTTCCGCTGCTCCATCTGGAGCAAGTCATTCTCGAGCTTCTCGCTAAGCATCCGCTGCTTCTCGAGTTCAGATTCCGTAACAGCGAGCTGAGCCTGCGCCGCCATCACGGACGCCTCGAGCTCGCCGTGGAGAATCTGCCGGGAAGTATCGTCAACGGATGCAGTCTTGTGTGCGAGGAGGGTGCACTTACCCTGAACTTCGTCAGCTCCTCCTGGATCCGCTTGTTCTTCGTCACGAGCAGGACTTCCAACGACTTCCCGGTCTGGGCGTTCGCTTTATCGGCGTTGGGGTTCGGCAGCCGTAGACCGAGAGCGTCACCGTTCCCGTTGATGGTATGCCCTCGCTCTCCTCATCGTCTTCGAGCCCGCCAAATTCAACGTACTGGTATACGGCATGAGAATGGACCACTGGTGCAGAATCCAGTTCACGGACCTTCATGATCTCGAGCTCGCGCTTGACTTCGTCATAGTCGCTGTACTGTTTGAGCTTGGCCCTGAGCTGATCGACCTCTGCGACTGGATAGTAGCCAGAGTTAATTAGCTGTTGGGGGTGAACGACGGGTACATGTACCTTCTTCTGCAGCTCTCGAGCAGTCTCCTCAGCCTTCTTGAGGCCACTGCCTTGGCATCCGCCGTGGCTAGCTTCTGCGCGTCCAGCGCACGAGACAGCTGGTCAGTCTCAGACTCCAGTTCAGCGACCTTCGCTTCGAACTCCTTGATCCTGTATACATTGGTGCCGTTAACCTCCACCAGAACAGAGCCAGCTTGGTCAGGTTCAGAGAGCGACTCGCCTGTCAGCATGATCGCTGCCACTCTTGATGGCCTCAATCTCCGCGCGCAGTAGTTCCTACGAAGACAAAATTGCTTGAGCGAACACCTCAAGTACACTGAACAACGTACATTTCGCCGTTCGACAGTCGCAACGCGGCTGTTGGCCTGTTCGAGGTCAGCGACAACCATGTCGAGTTCGCCGAGCTTCGCGACGACTTCTTGGTCTACGGACAGGACCTGCTTAAGATTCACAATCTAGTAGACCGGGAGTCGTACCTTGACGTTGCGTATGGTCGATCAGCTTCGCTTGGTTAGACTCGTTCGAAGTGCGGAGGTCCCGGAGCTGGCTCCTCGTCAAGGTGACCTGCCTCTGAAGGTCTTGCTCTCTAAATTATGTCAGTCAAATCGTCTTGTGACCACGTAGCACCAGCTTACCGCTCTTCGTAGTTGCGCATCTTCTCGTCGTAGGTAGCATTCAGCTCGTTTTCCTTTTGCGTGACCTTCTCCTGGATCATCTCCTCCATCTAGCATGGAAACACTTCAATGTCCAATTCACACTATGCAACGGAGGAATACCTTTTGTTCAAGCTGCTCAATGCGCGCATCCGCCTTGCGTTTCGCTGCTTCCAGCGACGCAGTTTCATTGAGTCGCTTGCGTAGCTCGACATTCTCGTCGCGCATCCGCTGCAAGTCTGCTTCGAGCTCACGCGCCTCAGCGACCTTGACGGTTTGATCCTACGCAAAGGAGAACGTATAGCAACCGTCGAAGTGACGCTCAGCGATACACTTACAACAGCCGCTTCCAACAGAGGGTAAGGGTCGGGTGCCTCGGCTAGAACCTTGTAGACATTGAGGAAGGCATTCTCAGCCGTCTTGGAGCGCTTTGTGAGGCTGTCAATCTCAGTCTGATAGGCTAGCACAGTGCCAGTATAATGAATATTACACAGCGACGTGCCGCAGGGGTTGAGCAAGCTAGAGCGTACCCTTCAGCAGCGTCTTGAAGGCGGTGAGCTTCTCCTCTTCAGGGATCTTCTTGAAGTCTGTTGAATATCCACATGGTTCGTTCACGCGTGTCAATGGGCAAAGGTACTGCCACGCACCCTTGGTACGGTCAGCGAGTGCTTTACGGCCGACCACGCTCTCCTTCTGGTTGTCCACGAGCTCGATGCCCTGGGCATCAAGAGTCTTTTGGAGTTCGGATAAGTTGATGTCTGCATATCATGCAAGATATTTCATGCCATCCTCATACCATTCAGCGTTTCATCCAGACATACCCTTCCATGTGGCAAGCGCGCCCGAGAAGTTCTGTTCGACTGCAGTCATAGCGTAGGCGTCCTGCACCACGTCGAGACAACCGGTGAAATGACACGCGTTTGGTGTATGATACAAGTCAAGAAGGCCAAGAGACAGCGGGCAGACCACGTAGACCGGAGGACGCGGGGAAGGAGACGGTGGCTGAGCAGCGCGCAGCGAGCGTACAGCGGGAGGCGCATCGCCGGGGAAGGAAGGTCGTTCCCATCTCAGATCCCGCCCGCGCTTCGTCCGGAAATTGCTGCTAGCGTCACGGTGTATCCGCTGCCACTGCACGTCGCGCTCTCCTCCTTTCGTCCCCGCTGGCCTCCTCGCGACGATGAACGTAGTGCGCAATGCAGTGCGCCCTGCACTCCGCTGCCGCGCCTACGCCACCTACGTCCCGCCAGCATCGCTGAGAGACGTTCTACCGGGGAAGTCAGGTTCCAAGAAAACGCCACCCGAGTCTCCCAACTTCTACACCGGCAGCGCTGAGTACTACGACCAGCTCAATGGCCTTGAAAACGCCGTGCACGACACGCGTACGGCTCTCAAGACCTTGCAGCTCCTCCCGCTCCCGGCCTTTGCTCGCAGTGCCATCCCGCCTGCGCAACCCGTCTGGCAGACGAAGCGGGACATCGCGGGCAGGATGACCACGCCCCTCACCATGACGCGGTATCGCCGTCTCATACAATTGCTCAACCAATTGGACCAGTACCGGCGGATAGCAGAGGTCGCAGGCGTAGACGTGCTCTCATCAAAAGTCGGAGACGTGCTGTCAGTGTTCGAGAAGGCGAATAAGGAGGCCATCCTTGCGCATGGCAGGAGGAAACCTGTGGAGTTCGACGAGTATGGACGGACCTACACGCTTGGTCGAAGGAAAACTAGCACTGCTCGTGTCTGGACCATCGCCGTGCAAAGACCGCCAGAGGTCTCCGAGGAGGTGGATGCCAACGAGGAGCCCTTGCCGCAAATCGAGTCAACCGTGACGTCCGCCATCGACAATACCCCGCCGAAGCCCGTCCAGGTCACCACGACCAATGTCATCATCAACAACCGACCGCTTGTGGACTACTTGTGAGTTGTTCATGGATGGTCTACATTCAGCGTCTCATGCACTTCGTATTGCAGCCCCCAGTTGCCAGACCGCGAGCGGGTGATCCTCCCCTTCAAAATCGCAGGCCTCGTCGGTGCCTACAACGTGTTCGCCATCGTGCGTGGTGGCGGATCTACTGGGCAGAGCGGCGCTGTAAGCCTGGGTATTGCCAAAGCCCTGGCAGCCCACCCCCCGACGTCGAGCCGCTCCTACGCAGAGGTGCGTGACTTCCGCTCTTGGCTGCAATCATGACGCTGTTTTGACCTGCGTCTCCCAGCGAAACTGTTGCGCCGTGATCCTCGTATGGTCGAGAGGAAGAAGACGAACCGGCGCGGTGCTCGCGCAGCTGTAAGGCTTCATCCCCGCTCTCTCTGTGCACAACGATGTTCATGCTCTTCTACAGTACAACTGGATCAAACGGTGACCCCTTCTTCGGGGTGCGGTTGGTATTCCATCTCACTACGGTCATCACGACGGTTTGCTAGTCTACGTAGAACGCAATATAGTAGACTCTTACACAACACTGCGCGTTGGTCTGACCATTCCGAGGGGTGCTCATGGAATACACCGGAAGCATAATGCGTATAAAGAGTACGCGACCTCAATATATCATCACACAATCAAAAAACAAGGCACAATGCATTTGACTAGTAGCTACTTGACATACACAAGTAACGGGGTACACAACATAGCAAGCCGCCAAACAACCTGGAGAAGAGTGATAATCAGCCTAATGTTCCTTTGCAACGAGTAGATGCGCAAAAAGAATAATCAGCATTGCAGAAGTACAGAAGTAAGTCGTCAACTGGTCGAAACCATCAGACTGTTGAGCTTGATAATGTGTTTGTTGTTCATCATTCAGTGAAAGGGAAAGCCCCGCCCACATTGAGAGAGATGAGAACGGGAGGGAACACTCACCGACACACCAGATGCTCAATACATCCTTCGTACCACCCACAAGATTGCCACGCCAGGTATCCCTAGGATCCGTACGTACCTAAGATAACTTACCGTGCATCGCAACGAGCGTTGACCAGAAATGATTTCGTAGAAGGCGGCTTGAAGGTATGCGTCTGCCACTGGGAGAGAGCAAGAAGGGTACGTCAATTTTTAAAGCATTTTCGGGGCGCTAAACACTATCCCACGCTCTTGGATAGCGGCATAAGCCGATTCGACACATACATCCAACCAAATCTTCCTCTTTCGAAGCAATAAAGTCAGCGTTTTCGCACCGAATAGTCATGAGCAGAGGTGTATTGCGGGGTGATAGACTATAGATTACTCTGGCAACACATGTAAAGCGGATCATGAGCGAAAGGACCAGTGAGCGGCGACAGTCATAAGCCAAAGCGCGAGGAAGTGAAGGTAATAACATAGGTGAAAGGTCTACAAGAAGCGTCTGTCCATCATTGGAAATACAACTGCTGGACTTCTCCTTGAGAGAATGCGAGATTGCATGCAGGACACTTGCGTTGTCGCGTCGCTATACGGGCATCCACGCAAGACTTGCAGAATGCTACACCACGAGATGTTACTTTGCGCACGTTGATCAGATGCAGGTAAACTCACAGTGCATGCACTTCGTGATTACCGTGCTGCGCATATTCTGCCTGCAGGTGGAACATTTGAGGATGCTCTACGGCATGTCATGCATCAGTTGCGATACGACGCAGTTCCAAAGGCCAAACTCACCATGCATTGATCAACTTCCGTCTGCAGCTGGGCTTCACGTGTACTCGAACTTGCACTCTGATTCTGAGATGCAAGCTTGAGCTTCGCGGCCTGGCGTTCTGCCTCTTTCTTGGCCTTTATCGTCGCTTCTTCTGCTGACTGCAACTGAGCGCGTTCCCGCATAAGAGCCTCAAAATGCTCCTTCAGGCTCGATACCGCCTGCACAAAACATTGGCGAACCAGACCGCATCCAAGACAAACAGGAGCGAACCTTGTCGTATGATGACTTCTGGGCCTGAAGACGAGATTGCAGTGTTTCAACCTCAGCTCTCCGTTTCCGATCGATATTCTCCAGGTGCACATTAGCGGTCTTGATCTTGTGCAATTCCTTTTCCGCCGCACTCTGGTAGATATACACAAGTTAGCGAGTTGAGAGCCAGATAACACGACCGAGGCTTACTATCTGCACGGCGAACTTCTGCTGGGTCTCCATCCACACATCCATGGCCTTCGTATGCTTTTCGCACCTGCGCAACAGTTGCTTCCGTTCCGACTCGCTGGCCTCCTTGTCACGCATGAGTGCGTAAAACTTGTTCTCGGACTTTGCTTTCTGGAAGCGCGGCCATTGTTAGATGCTCCATCAACGATACATCATACGACTCACGTCGGTAGCACTCTTGGTGAGCCTTTCTTCCATGGCAGACAGATCGAAGACCTTGTTTTGAAGCTGTTTGTTCAACGAGTCCCACGCAGCCGATAATCTATCCAGCTCAGCATATAGGGATGATTCCGCCTACACATAACTCTGGATAAGTAATCGGGCATGCCATATGTATTGCATGCACTAGCCTCTTGCTGTTGTCTCAGCTGCAAAGACAGGCGTTCAAGCTCATTCTCCTTGTGCTGCATTCGTTCCAGCAGTGATGTAGCGTCCGAAGGCAGCGTAGACGTGTCACCATACAACGATCGGTATTTCTCCAATTCTTTCTCCGTCACCTGAAGGCGTTCTTGCGCCTCAGCTTCACGTCTGAGATCACCTCCGGCGTCTGACTGGGAGAGAGTGACCTCCAACGCGGTCACCTTGGCCTCGGCCACCCTGTAAAAATGAAAATATAATTACTGTCAGTCAAGCTGCCCAAAAAGATAACATACCGAAGTCTCTCCTTGATGTCATCTACGTACCCCTTTGACTCCTCAGAATAACCACGCAGAACGAACTGCAATATATCCTCATCGCCTGTCTGAGCGGCAAGACGACTCCTAAGCCTTGTAACTTCCAACTTCAGCAACTCAATGCGCTCCTTCGTTTCGACGCTATGTCAGATGTGCAAACAAATGTCGCAGTGCAATGAATGGGACTGACAGAACGTGATTCTGACAGCTGTCTGTACTCGTAAGTGCCTGCCACTTGACCTGGTCCTTTTGCCTGCGTTCAAGCAGTTCGGCAACCTGTTGGTCCCGCTGTTCTCGAAGGCGCACATTGTCGAGGTCTCTCTTCGTGAGCATAGTTTTCAACTCCGTGACATGTTCAGAAACTGCCTGGCCAACACATGAGCCCGAGTCTAGGCTATCAGACTCGTCACTGACCGTATCGCTATGTGCGGTTTCGACGCGGCTCTCCTCCGCTCTATGGATGTGCTCTTCAAGCTTGCTGATAGCTTCTCGGTCCTCTTGATGTGCAGTCTCAAGACGCTCATTTTGCTCTTGCAACATGCGATAGAAAGGTGAGGCCGTTACCACCTCTTCTGTGACGCCCCGGAACTGAGTCAGGTGTTAGCCTGGGACAGTGAACGAGTAGTGCCACACACCTCGGCTACCGCTTGGCTGGCAGTGATTCGCAGGCTCACATTCTCCGTCCGAACCTTCGCAAGCTCTGCAGAGCGAAACTTTGCAATGGCCTCCCACTCCTGTGCTGTTGCTTCACTGTCTATGGCTGGCGGAGGCTAGGAAAACATCAGGAAGTACTCCACGATCAGAAATGTACTGGACTCCCACCAATGGACCAAAGGACTCACTGCTGGCGATGCTGAGGCCTCGGATGATGGTTCGGCCTTGACTTTGCCGTTAATTGGCTGGGTATGGGAGACGGTGACGACCTTGCTTTGCAGTCGGTCTAAGCGTTTCTCCGCAGTGACTAACTGTGCGCGATATTGATCACGTTCCGCCACCATATCACGCAGTCTGGTACGCGCGAGAGACAGTTCAGCACGCAAAGACGACTCCTGCGCCAATCATGAAATACCAGTCAACACAGCGTGCGTGACAGCCCACTTACCTCTGTATGTGCCTTCTGCCGTGTCCAATAATCCCCATCTTGCAACACCCTCGCTTGCGCTTGGTCGCCCAGGCGACAAACGCACTCACAAGCTCCGTTGTTGCCTGCATTTTACCTCGCAAAGACTCAAGATATTGCGGATCTGCGTCGTCGGTTACGTGGACCGTCAAGTCATAGATCTCTGCGTGCAACGTGAGATCATGCAGGGCTCTATGACCCCAGAAGACATACCCTCTGACTTCACATCAACAGGAGGAAGGTCGTCAGGCCTGACCAGCATGCGATTGTACCGATGATCTGTGTGGCGGTCAGAACACATCGCTATGTCGTACTGAGAACAAAATACCTGAGTCCAGCACGCCTCAAGAGCAGCCAAACCAGCCTCACAATTGCTCCTCCGTCGTTCGAGGTCTGCGACACGAGTCTCGCTCCTCTCATATTCTCGCGAGTAGTACTTCATTCGCCTGTAAATTGCATCTTTACGGAATATCTGCATAGCAATGAGGTACAGTTAGAGTCCCCTAAGAGCGTTCTCAGTATAATTGATACCTCTAAGTGGTCACCATCCTTGGGTTCGTCTGGATGTGATGCGACACCGTTGACAAGGCTCGCGGACGGCTTCTCCTCGCTCACCGCCCGCTTCTTAGGAAGTGACTGCTCTGCGTCGTCAGCATGCGGCCGCTTCTTCGTCTCCGCCATTGCGCAGGAGGAACAGTAGCGAGCGGTGAAATCAGGATACGTGGTCGTGAAGGTCGAACGAGCCCAACAGAGAGCGAGCTCAGTGGCAAAGGGACTTGAATTCTTCAATCTCCGACACCCAAAACGGGGTGCGCGGGGAGGCCACGTGCTATGGGGGCGTCGCGGTCCCCGACGCGTCTTGCTCGCGAACTCGATTGCGATCGCGCCCCGGCCATGGACTCGCCCAGCATCTCCGAGCTCAACGTGGAGCAGAGCGGTTCGCGTCTTCTCTCCGAAACATCTCTTCTACCCAGCAGCAGCTCAAGTTCGTCACGCACCGGCCCAGGAGGCGACGACCTCTCCCTTTCAGAACTATCACTCTCAGAGCGCCCTCAGCCTGCACCTTCACGTCGACCGAAGTTCAGCCTGCTAGCCCAGCCTTTGCCTCAGAAAGCGCCCTCAATGGATAACGATAGCGCGATTCTAGAAGAGGATGCAGAGACGGAAGGGGAGGCCGGGTTGGATCAGACTATGACACAAGAAGACGTGGAGAAGGCAAAGAAGTTAGCCTCACGGACCAGAGAAGACAAACTACAGCATGACTTGTTTATTTTGAAGAAACTCAATTTCGCATTTGAAGTGTATAAGGAGGCGTTGAAGGAAGCGAAGTCCAGCACAGAGGTGAGCTGCCGGATCCGTGCGCCGAGATGCATCTGCCACAGCTATTCGCAGCGGGTTGCCGAACAACTGAAGCACACTGAAGCGCTGTTGGACAAATATGTGAATATACTATCAAAGACGGAAGATGCCGCACGTCTGCTCACAGACGAACGATGGCAAGGTGCCGAAGCGGTCTGTACCTTCGTCGCCGCGCAGGCTTTGACTCACTTCTATGCAGGATGAAGATGTGCTCGAACAGGAATACCGGCAAAACTTGGAGCGTGCTCGGCGTGAGGAGGAGGAGCGGCTACTTTCCGCGCAGCGAGAAAAGGAACGCCTTGAACGAGAAGACCAGGAACGAAAAGAAGCCGAGGAGAGACAAAGGCTTGAGAGGGAGCGAGCTGAAGCAACAAAAGCTGTCGGAAGGGGCAGTGGCGTAAGGGGTGTCAGAGGTACAAGAGCATCGATGAGAGGAATGAGGGGAGCTGCTCGTGCCGGTAAGTGTGTAACGGTGCGATCTCGGGAGACATCATTTATGGTATTGTCAAGCACCCGCTGCAACTGCAAGCACAAGAGGTACACGAGGTACTACAAGTACAACGGGTCTCAGGCGACCCACCGCGACGTCCGGCCGCACAGTCGGTTCTACTGGTCGTGGGGTTCCAGCGTCCAAACGAAGCTGAAGCTATGCCTTGTAAGTTGGCTGCAGTATTGTTGAAACCAGCAGTGAAATCGAGACCGTTAGATTGTTTTGCCCCTCAGTGATGGGCCGGGCATGGTTTCTGCATCTCACGTCGTGGTACGCATGTAGACTCATTCACTTGCCACAGCATTGTTACTCACCGGCTGTTACTTACAAGGCGCAATATGCCTTAGACTTAGGTCGTCACCCGATCTACAGACTGAGATCCTACAGCAAATACGCCGATACACATCCCTCCAAGCCCAACACGCTTTTGGGATTCGACATGCGACTAGTAGCAGCACTCACGACTGTGGCTCGCTCTACTCCCCATCGTGACTCTTACTCGACTTGGCGATTTCGGGATCTCGTTCAACGCCATAGCAAGCCGCATCGCTGTTGCGCCATTTGTTATGAGAACGCATATCAAACGTTGTATGGTTTACGCAGCAGTGGACTGCCTGGGCCTCCGTTGGAACTTGGAAGGTGTATGTATGTTGCTACCGGTTATGGTATGCAGTGACTCTACTTTCCCTCTCCGCTCACTTATCTTGGACGCTACCAAACTCCAACCGGTCGAGAAGGGTGTTGTGTTATATTTTAGGGAGTAAGCGCTGTCACCGTTCACTCATGCCCGGGTCGAACTGTTGCTACACTGGCAATGGCAAGCGGAACCATGCACACTTTGCCACCCTACGTTATATACGGGCTCAACTCACTGACACTACTGTTATGCAATACAGAAACAAGCTTCAGCTCTCCACCGAGGCATAGAACTGGCTGTTCTTCACCGACCAGCCCGCGGGCGCGCTGTCTGGGTCTCTGAGTCCGAGGCTGACACTGGGTGTCCGGGCGCGACCACGTGCTCTTGACGTGACCGCGCCCCCTGCTCACCGTCCAATCCTATACAGACTATCACCGCGCGACTAGAGTCTCCACATACCGCTACGGTCTCATCGGTCTTCGCTGCATATTTCCCTGTCGAACACTGCAATTACCGTAAAGATGCGACGTCTCTCACTCGCCCTCACCGCCCTCTACTTCGCCCCGCAATGTGTTCAAGCCGGCACCGTGTCGAAGGGAGGCGATTGCTCGGTTGCTAGCCAACGACTCAGCCTAGGGACCTACCAATTCTACGCCGAATGCGACATTGTTACCTTTTGCAACGCGACGACGAGCAAGTGTGAGCCGAAAGGCTGCAGGAAGGACCAGTACCCCTTCGGGTACGCCGACAACGCAGACTTTCCACCGATGTGCCCCTCGGGAAAGTTCTGTCCGGATGAAGAGGATCAGTGCTTAGACGTTCTACAAGTCGGTAGTCTTTGTCAATTCAATCGCGACGGTGAAAGATTTCTGTGTTTTTTCTCAAGTTGTCGCTGACTTTATGTGTATGCAGACCAGTGTCAGCCTCCTCCTGGTCATGAACAGCTCAAAGACGTTCAAGGTTTTGGCCGCAATATTAACGGTGCAGTATGTCTCCATAACACTTGCATGTACGTGCGTGGATTTGGGATCTCGCAACGCTCTCTAAACTCACTTCAGGTGGGCAAATGCGACGTCTGGCGAAGCATGCACGGTAGAGAACACCGTATATGCTCTGTTCGGTAGTGATGGCCATGAATATGCCGACATAATTTCACGGTGGGTACCATTGACGGGCGACTACTGAACGTTAAACGAGTGACGAACTCCGTGGACAGGGATAATTGCCAGACTGGTTCCTACTGTGACTCCAGCGCCCTTGTGTGCAAGGACTCAAAGAATGTTGGTGGATCGTGTACCGGAAACAAAGAGTAGGTGTCGCTAGCTGTTCGTTTAGCCGCACTGAATGAAACGTTGCTATAGATGCTCGTCGTTCAACTGCCTGCCTTCCGGTACATGTGGCTTGAGCACTGACACGCCCGCACATGTATCAGAGTGGGTTTACGCTGTTGTGGCAGTCTGCGCTCTCGGAGGTAAAGTCAAGTATATATCACTGCTGAAGTAGAGAAGTCATATTGCTTCTAGGGATTGTCGGGATCTTGTGTCTCTTGTTCATGCTCCACAAGAAAGAACGCGAAGAAGCGCGGATGCAACGAACGCAATACTGGGAAGAGCAGGTATATGATCTCGTCGCAATTCATCGCGAGGAATTGATACTCATCTGCCGTCCTATAGAACGCATTGCGGCAGGGCTTCCTCAGCATGCAGCACGCCGCCCATATGTCGCTTCGCTCTTCTGACGACAACATGCGGACTCCTGTGAGCCGCTCGTTCAGCAAGGACTCTTACTACGACGACCCGCAAACGCCGCCGACACAAGGCCCCAGTAAATCATTCAGCGGGCTGCGTTACTCGATTGTCAGCGACGGTAGAACCGACAGTCAGCCCCAGACGCCATATCTTTCAGGGAAGGCGCCTTCGTCTTGTTATGCGTCTCGTTGATTGAACCGAATAACCTACCTTCGTGCGAGTAACGTAACCTCCGCCGATTGCGCACCCCACCTATGTATGGCATGTATGTAGCCCTCTATACCTTGACGACCGCCGCTCTGATGACGGTTTGTGCGCATCAATGTTCTCTGGTCACATACTTCCCGCGCAGTAAGTAACAGGTCGCGTCCATTGTGTGATCAAATTCGAATTCAGACCTCGCCACAACGCTCAAGCTGGGAGAAGGCGCTACACGTGGGCGCCTAATTGGCCCCAAGCTTGTTCGCACCACCTCAGCCTCCTGTCGGCAGGCCAAAGCACCTGGGCCGGGAACGCGGTTACACGCCCGCGAACGCAATCCTGAGCCTCGACCGCCATCTCTCAGTTCGCTTGTTCCCTCCCCTGCCGAGCGTCGTGTATCACTTTCCGGCAACGGGCTGCGAGCCATGAGCTTAGACTCAGCCCATCGTGCACCTTCGAGTTCATTCCCGGACGAGGAAGACATCAGCCATGTGGGAGGATGGATCGAAGACAGTCCGTCCGAGGGGAGTAGCTCGGGCAGTAAGAGGGACAAGGGAAAAGGGAAGGAGAGTGATGAGGAGACTCTGCGGGTAGACACAACAGAGGAAGGGGGCGTGGATGACAGTGAAGAAATCTACGTCGGCGCGGATGAGTACCCGCCCACGAAAGAGGAGGAAGAGAGTCTCGCCGAGTCGAAGAGGTGCGTGTTACTGTGTTCCCCAGGCTGTCTGTCCAACCTCAGCGCTCCGTACGACAGAACCTACGAAAATGGGAGATCGCAGAGCGCGAACGGCGGAAGGCGGCTCGCGAATCTACCGCCTCTGCGGGCAGGTCGTCCATAGTCACCGACATCACCCGCCGCGCGAGCCTACTGTGGCCCAACAGCCAAGCCAAGCAGGCCTCGCTGGGCGGGGTCGGTGCACACCGCAAGCTCCGCACGACGGACTCAGATTCTGTCCCGTTGGAGGACATGGACGCTAGTCCTGGCCCCTCACGGGTAGTAACCCCAGAGCCCATAGACAATCCCTTCTCCACCCCCGGCCAGTCCACCCTCTCCCTCGCCCTCGATCCCCAGCATTCCGCCATTATGTCAGCGTCAGACTCCCATAATCCGTTCGAAGACGGCGAGCAGTCGCCCACAACGCCCAAGGCTGCGAAGACCCCAGCTCTCCTCCCGTCCACTTCGCTCTTGAGTGCTGGTCCGCCACCTCCACAACCTCTCGATTTGCCGAAACCGCGGACGCCTCCACCGCGAGCGGAGACACCGCATGCGAGTCGCCCTCCAGAGCCCGTGGCCCCGCCTGTAGTTGCTCCCACGCAGCAGGCGGAGGAGCCCCAGGAAGTTCGATGGTGGACGGAGTGGTTATGCGGGTGTAGCGAAGGTCCAGAACGCGGAGGCGACCGTCAGGCAAGCTTTCTATTTTCGTCCCCTCAAGCTCTCACTGACGATGTGTATCTGTAGGCGGGCGCACAAATCCATTTGAGTAGACAGCTGTTTCGCCACCGCTCATTGAACGTTAAGAATGCAGTACCCATCCTTCATTAACTCGGACTGGACTTGACTAGTGTAGCCTCCTGCTTTCACGGACACATCCTGCGCTTTGGTGCGACGGCATCGTGTTGTGCAAATATTTATACTTACTTGCCCTACCCCTTGACACGCCCCCGATCAGTGTCGTAATCCTCTCATGCCTGGATACCCGCCATATGTATTGTATGGAAACGGTTATCGTCTTCTTTCACGCTGTCCCTCCGCATGGTGGGCAACGAAGACATCTAGACTATCAGCGCTGATTGCGCAGGACATTCCCGTGGCACGTTCCATACCGCAGCTACTCAGCAGGTACTTAGTCAAATGAGCACGTTCCTGGATGGTGCCACACAGCTCTACGCTTGACATTACTTCCCGCATCCAGGGCAACAATGTACGACATCGTGCACGAAGACGTCGCATTCCGCGCAAAAGTCGTTTCGACAATCTGGACACCGATATCGCCCGAGCGGGCTCATACCTTCGCCTGGTGCACCAGCCGTCTGCTGTGGCGCATCCTTGAACGGGCGAGCACAGGCGTGGCAGGTCGAGCCTGAATCCGGTGTGTCGTCCAGGTTCATACTGGAGGGAGTAGCGTCAGCACGACAAGTCGACCAATGCGTCTCTCTCATGCCAGAGACGAGACTTACACAGCCTGGTACGTCTTGACTGGGAATAGGTGATGATAGCTCCGCGCCAAATGGGGTGAGCTCACGATCATGAGCCCGCATATGTCACAGTCCGTCGGCACGTCGCACACCTTCGCGCCGCACCGCGGGCACAGGAAGCCTTCGCTCTTCAGCTGCGAGTGACACGCGCACAGGCTGGGCGGCGAGGTGTCGGGCAGGCGCGTGGGGAAACCCATCAGCATCAAGTCTGCGGGGGCGGCCGCGCCGCCGCGAGCGTTCAGGGCGCGCTGTGCGGGCGGCGGAATGAGCTCGAAGAGGAGGTCTTTGAAGTGGCCTTCGTTAAGCGCGACACCGAACTGGCCTATACGGATGAACGCCGCATGCGATGCCAGAAGCGGGTAACGGGACGAGCGCTGGGTTAGCGGGGGCTACGACGTGAGCACACATGCGCGCACCCACCGCCGGTCTTGTCACAGAGCTCGCGGCAGATCTTCATCTCCGCCGCAAGAGCGACTACGGAGATGCGGATGCGGTCCTTCACGCATTCCGCGAGTGTGTCGTGGATGTTTCCCGGGTCGCATGTCGTCAGTGAGCCGAAGATGACGATTATTTCTCGAGATGAATGCGTCGGTAGATGGCTGGGAGATCCAAGACATAAGCGACGTGCTGAGTTATTGTGCGCGGCGTACCTCATACTCGAGCGTGCCATTTCGACGGCGTTTTGTAGACTGGGCTCGCCAGTGGGCTCAAGCTTATGTCTCTCGGAGATGGCTTTGAGGACTTCTTGTGGATTGCCTGTAGATTCATCGCTTCAGCTGTGTGGTTTGCACAACACGGACCGGTCGCACCAGACATCTCGCCTAATCGCTCTCCTATCCCGGCTCGCATGCCTACCACACCGATCTGGCCCAGCGGGTTCTGGTCGAACCACTCTGTGACAAACTCCCTCACGTATTGCAGCATCAAGTCGAACCGTGTCGGACGCATGTCGCGGTCCATCATCGCAGAAGAGAGTCGAGGAGTAGGATGAGATGTCGAATAATGGCGCGGCGAATAGCGGCAGCGGGCGCGAGTAGTCTGGCGTGCAGAATCCATCTATCCAGTGGACAGCCTGCTATTTCGGAGAAATACGCACCGCCTGCGTCTCCCCCTCGCTATGAGATCTTCTACGGCACTTTGCAAACTGCCCGCTTCGTCCTCCTGGACGGTATCCCATGATCGCGTATATGAGGCCTCCCAGGCGTATGGTTGCTATCCACAGTAGACCATATGACAATGAGCCTAAGCCTCCTGCTACCGCGGGGGTGGTGGCGCACCTCCTTGGCCTTCCCCTTCCCCTTGTCCTTCTTGCCCGGTCGATAGCCTTGCCCTTGCCCTTGGCTTTGCTTCTCGCGCTTGAATCAAAGTCATCAAAGAGGTCAACGTCTGAGTCGGAGTCTCCATCGTTGAAGCCGGGTTCTATGCGTCTTGGGGGCATGATACTATGCGCGTAAACGGTGATACCGTGAGCTGGACTGGTTGCCAACTCTCGCGTCTGGAAATGAGGCCTAGAGGTGTTGTGCCGTGGCGCGGAGTTGCACACCGAAATTGAGGAGCGCGTCGGCCACGTGCAGAGATATGCGCGCCGATCGATCGTGTCACGGCGCGCACGGCGACGCGACGAGACGCGAACACACTCATCTCTCACAGGGAGGGCCACTGTGCCTTTCTTCTCTGCTGTACTCTACCTTCGTGTGGCTCAATATGACTCATCCGACGTTGGTGGCAGGCGTGACTAGCCTGTGTGGCAATACTACGATTTACGCCCGAAATTGAACGTTTGAAGTTGCATCACCTTGCATCCCGCCCGGTCCTCCTACATGCGCAAGCTCCCCCTACTCGTAACAAACGTCTGATTCTTGGTTGTGGAGAAGATATGCGCAGTGCACGACGGTATGCGTAATACCACCTGCAAGGGTGAGATCTTGAGAAGCTAAGCAGCCTCTAGACTCCATTGATGCGTCCTTGAGTTTGTTATTGTGTCCCCAAGAGACATGCCACCGAAGAACCTGTATCCGCGTCTGTGCTGGAGCACGTCACGACCGGCTCTCCCCGGACGTCGCTGTCTGTCCATGGATGGCAGGCGGTTTGCCATCCTGGCGTGACCGCCACCTCTCATGCACTTGGTGTCGCACTCTCGATCCCCTGCACTGCCGACGTCATTTTGATGGTTGCCCCCGAGCTGTCTGCAAGGGTCAAATGGGCTGCGCATATACCCCGACCTCGCTCAGCTCCTCGCACAACCCCACCACTAGAACGCCATGTCTTCGCAGTCCCAGTCCAACGCCAACGGCCGCGAGCTCGAATTCAAGGGCTACGCGATGTGCGGTGAGCCGAGTTCACTCTCGCCGAGTGCTTACAGGCTCATCGTTCACCGTTCCGCAGACCCCTCCAAGTGGACGGAGCTCAAGCTGCACCCATCCGCCCGAAGACCTTCCAGCCCGAGGACGTCGAGATCGCCATCACCCACTGCGGCGTCTGTGGCTCCGACGTCCACACCCTCACCCAGGGCTGGGGCGAGTCCAATCTGCCCTCGTCGCCGGACACGAGATCGTCGGGAACGTCACTCGCGTCGGAGACAAGGTCACCGAGTTCAAGGTCGGCCAACGCGTCGGCCTCGGCGCGCAGATCGGAAGCTGCATGCAGTGCAGGGCGTGCAAAGAGGACTATGAGAACTACTGCCCGGGCAGTATTGACACATACGTATGCACATAATGCTGGTCGCCTCCTGTATAGCTGCGCCTTTCTGACGATTTCTTATTTCAGAACGCCAATACAGCGACGGCGTGGTGACTCAAGGCGGGTTCTCCACCGCCATCCGTGCGCACGAACGATATGTCTTCCCGATTCCTGACGAGATCGAGTCCGCGCACGCCGCATCGATGTTCTGCGCGGGCTTAACCGTCTACTCTCCCCTGAAGACCTACGGTTGTGGCCCAGGAAAGAAGGTCGGGATAGTCGGCATCGGCGGTCTAGGGCACTACGCCGTGCTCTGGGCCAAGGCGATGGGCGCAGAGGTGTACGCGTTCGCACTCGAGCCGGAGAAGTTCGACGACATCAAGCAGATGGGCGCAGACCACGTCATTGACGTGAGGCAGAAGGTAATCATGTTCCTTATACACGAGTAACGACCGACATCTCATGCGCAGTATCCGTAGGACTTCGCCAGCCCCTCGCGCAGACGCTCGACCTGATCGTCTCTACTGCGGACATAGTCAACGGGTCGCTGCCGATCAACGACTATCTCTCCACCCTCTGGGTGCACGGCGTGTTCATCACCGTCGGTCTGCCCGACTCGAACAGCCCGCTGCCGTCCCTGCACCCGATGCAGGCGTTCGCGGGCAACGGGTGCATGCTCGGTGGAAGCCACGTCGGGAGCAAGAAGGAGTGCCTGGAGATGCTGGAGCTCGCGAGGACGAAGAACGTGCGGCCGTGGATCGAGACGCTGCCCATGAAAGAGGCGGGGAAGGCGCTCGAGAATGTGAAGACGAACAAGGCGAGGTACCGGTACATCCTCACCCAGGATATCAACTAGAAAGGGAGACTGTGTCAGTATAGCTTGGAATGGATGGTCGCGTTGATAACCGTGCGTGCTCGTTGCTGAGCCTGAGGCTGGGTGGTGAGGATGAAAGGGGTGCGAGACGTGCGTGCATGACTCTCCAGCACGATTGAAATAGGGAGCTCTCCGCTTCCTGATTCAATCGTCAAGGGAAGGCATGCAGACACGTCTCTGTGAGTCCACGGAGGATGAGGTTGAGTGATTCACAGCGGTCTGCAGCTGAGCTTATATACCCGAGAGGCCAGCATTCCGCCGGCCGCTTTGACATTCTGCAGAGGGGCTCCGGAGTGGCCGGCATTGTGTTTGAACAAAGCGCACGCGGTGTGTGGCCCGGCGGTGGCGCCTGTCCGAACACAATTACTGAAACGCTTTGACCGGCCAAAGCGGCTTAGTGGACGCGGGGACATGGCAACGGGTGTGACTCGGGTGCCTGCGACGCTACAACGCTGACACGCTACCCCCGGTGGGGTCGTGGCCCCAATATTTGGTGCACTTGTTTGTCGGACCACGGATCGCTCGTCGTCCTGAATCGGACCCTCACAGGGGGGCGGAGTGCTAATTGTTTGGACGAGAGTGTGGTTTACTCGCCGGTGTTGACGCGTTGACGTCGAACACTCAAGAATTCTCAAAAGCTGTTAGGTTGAAGCAAGACGGACCCTTTGCAGAATCCAGATGCATAAAGTGTGGTTGCTAAGAGGGTGTTCACCGCACAGCGACTGGCCCGAACGACACCATCACCATATTTGGGAAAGCTACTGCCTCTCTGGGCGATCGAGTGGCGGAGCGGCCGGGGCAAGCTCAACGACTGTCATGTTCTCCAACGTCACGGAAACAAATCAACGTGCGCAGGACGAACGTGGTGCCTATCGTTCGTGAAATGTGACGAGGTAAAGTGCGTACATAAGGGAGGGGGTTGGTTCGTTTCTCAACACCTCCGCCTGGATCCCTACCTCCACCTCCCGCGAACCCTACCTATATTACCTTCCCGTTAACCCCTCGCGCCATCCATCTCATCATGTCCGAGCACGTCGAGTTCAAGGGCTACGCCCTCACCGGTCAGTGCCGCCATTCCCCACAAGCGAAACCGACTGACCTGCGGCGCGCACAGACCCGAAGCACTGGAGCGACCTCAAGGTGACCTCCTTCCAGCCGAAGACGTTCGCCGCCGACGACGTCGAGATCGCCATCACGCACTGCGGCGTGTGCGGCTCGGACGTGCACACGCTCACGCAGGGCTGGGGCGAGTCCCACCTCCCGCTCGTCGTCGGGCACGAGATCGTCGGGAAGGCCGTCCGCGTCGGCGACAAGGTCGCGGGGATCAAGGTGATGCGATGCGGTTTGTGCTCGGAGACGTTGGGAGCTGACGCGTTTGAAGGTCGGCGACCGTGTCGGCGTCGGCGCCAAGATTGGCAGCTGCATGGAGTGCAGAGCTTGCAAAGAAGGATACGAAACTACTGCCCGAACGGGATCTCGACTTACGTGAGTGTCCCTACGCCGTAAGACGTGTATGTCATTCTGACCGAATTCGCAGAACTCGGAGTACCCGGACGGCGTCGTCTCGCAGGGCGGGTACGCGACGGCGATCAGGGCGCACCAGCAGTTCGTCTTCCCCATCCCGGACGAGATCGAGTCGCGCCACGCGGCGTCCATGCTGTGTGCGGGTTTGACGGTGTTCTCGCCTCTGAAGACGCACGGAGCAGGCCCGGGCAAGAGGGTCGGCGTCGTCGGCATCGGCGGGCTGGGCCACTACGCGCTGCTCTGGGCGAAGGCTATGGGCGCGGAAGTGTACGCGTTCACGCACGATGAGAGCAAGATCGCCGACATTGAGAAGATGGGTGCGGATGTCATCGTCAACACGGGCGAGAAGGTAGGCTGCATAGTGAGGATTCGGACAATGAAGTCTAGACTATTTTGTGAGGACTACCACAAGCCGTTCGCGCACAAACTGGACCTCATCATCTCGACCCGCGACTCATACGGCTCTGACGCGCAAGGGGTACTCGACGAGTACCTGTCGATGCTCTATGTGCACGGGAAGTTTATCACCGTTGGACTGCCAGACAGCGACAGTCCTCTCCCGCGGATACACGCAATGTCGCTCGCAAAGCTGGGGTGTCTGATGGGAGGCAGTTCGATTGGGAACAAGAAAGAGGCTCTCGAGATGCTGGAGCTGGCGAGGAGCAAGGGGATCAAACCGTGGATCGAGGAGATGCCGATGAAGGACTGCAAGAAGGCGGTGGAGGGGGTGAAGGCGAACCGAGTGCGGTACCGGTATGTGTTGACGCAGGACATCGACAACTGAGGCGGGTGGAGTACGCGTCGCACGGTCGCCAGGTCGGCTTACGTCGTTACATGTATAGCCAGTGAGTTTCGTATGCATGTGGATTTGTTCTACTGGGCACGACGTCGTGCGTCACGGTGTGCTCGGACACTCAGATGGCGGTGGCAACTTGAAACAGCGCGGCGACCACAGATTGGCTCGCCGATCGATCGTGATGTCATCTGGAATGCCGCGTTGGTGGCGCGGCGCCGCTCCGCAACGCCACCAGCAACCATGGCCGCCACGTGAGCCTCGAGGGTACGCACCGTCATCGGGTCCGGTCCGGTGCTGAGTACATACGTCTACCAGCGGAGATATAGCTGCTGCAGATAGTACGCCAGAGCAGCGCGTGGTGGTCCTAACACGTCATCGGCGCGCCAACTTCGCAGCCCAGCGCGTTGACCCACGCGATGACGTCTCCAGTTGCCTGTTGGGTGCAGCGTCCGCGCGGCACCCGACGCACAGGCACAGCTGCACAGCGTCTCCCGACCTCCAAGACTCGCGCAGCCTGATTAACCGTCCCGGTGCGTATCTGCAACCTTTCACACACGTTCATACCCCCGCACATCACTACTCCTAACACACGCAACGCACCATGACATTTCTATCCGGTCGCCGCACAGGCGCACCCCTCGACGCCGCGCTCAACGCAAACCCATGGCCCAGAACGCGCTCGCGGGAGCCAGCGCGGGATACTCGGGAGCAGGCATGGCCGGCGGCAGCATGAACCCTATGGACTACGCCGCGGGCGGCGCAAATCCCGCTAACTATGCAGGCGGCGCGAATATGGCGAACCCGTACGCCGCAGGAGGCAACTACGGAGGTGGAGGGTATGGAGGTGGAGGTGGAGGGTACGGGGGTATGGTGGGAGACGGCGAAGAGCGTACTCGACGAGCTATGCAAGCGCGCCTGGAGCCATTGGTCCAGGATGGGGATGGGGATGGGCGCGGGAATGCAGGGTGCGGAATGCAGGGTGCTGGATGCAGGGCGTTGGGATGCAAGGCGCAGGGATGCAGGGCGTAGGGATGCAGGGCGCGGGAATGCAGGGTCCTGGAATGCAGGGTACTGGGATGCAGGGCGCTGGAATGGGCGGAGGAATGCCTACTCCCATCGTTATCCAACCTCCGCCTGCAACAGGCTTCGGCGGTGCCTACCAGGGCGCAGGAGGGGCAGCCTACCCCGGCGCCATGGGAGGCGCGTACGGAGGCGCGTACGGTGGGACGCCCGCTGTCGGTGCGGGTGCGCTTCCAGGAGCTGGGATGGCGGGCTATCCCATGGATGCGATGGGCTACGGCGCTGGCGGAGGCGGCGCGTACGGCGGAGGCGCATATGGCGGAGGCGGAGGTGCGGGCGGCGCGTACGGCGCGTACCCGGGGTACGCAGGGCAGTACGGCGGCGGCGTCAACCAGACGAGCATCCCGCCCGGGAGCACGGTGCTCATTCGCGAGCGGGCGTCGCCGAGGAGGAGACCGAGACATCGGCGGGCGAGGAGCTACGACTCGTATTGAGGAGCCCGAGAAGGATGGGAAGGCGCGATCGCCGGTTGCTTGCTGGACTGAGCAAGGAGGAGAGGTACTTCTGCTGAAGAGACTTTGGATTTGAGGACCATCTAATGTATGCGTATTTGGAAGACCTATACCCTACGTCAGCACACCTATAACCATGAACTCAGCTATACCATACCATGCATACCACTACACACTGCACGGCTCGTGAAATTCTTGTGAACAAGTCGCGACGGTGGCACCCGTTCTGCCATCAGGAAGTCTCATACTCATCTTGTGACTACCAGTTCCAGCTGTCAACTGCCTGTCTCAGTTCTTCGTGTGATGTCCAACCTCAGGACAGGACAACAACTGCCTTCAGTGTACAAAGTTTCCCAGCCCAATACCATATACAACATATACAGCACTACACACAACGTATAACGGATAGCCGCTGACGATGCAAAAACGCATTCCCAACGCCGGTCTATGCCAGTGCGCCCTGTAGGCAGCGACCCATAGTCAGCAGCCAAGTCAACCATGTGGACACACATAACATACCATCGGGTCCCAGAGAGGCAGAAGCGTCCTCTCGCCGCTCTCATACACCTTCACGAGCTCCTTCGGCGCGAGCGCCTTCGGGACCACGACCTGGTACACGAACCTACCGAGCCCCTCACGTCAGCTCCCGCCCCGCCGCGCAAATGGAACGAAAGGGCAAGACGTACTGCTCGAACCACTCGTCGGTCATGAGGTAGTACCCCTTGTCGCCGCTGGCGTCGCCCCACGAGTTCTCGATCTTGTACCGGAGCGGCTTGCCCGCGGCGTCGAGGTGCACGCCGGAGATGACCATCGCGTGCGTCATCGCGGACTCGCCCGTGCGCAGCCGGTCCGCCTTGCTCATCCCGAGCTTGATGTCGAACGCGTTCTACGGCGCCCGCACGTGAGAGGGGCAGATGAAATGGAGGGCAAGAGCTAAGCGCACCTCGTACTCGAAGAGGTTGAGGTCCATGATGCCGTCCTGGCGCTCGAGGAACTTGCCCACGTCGCAGCCGAAGAAGACGGGCTGCCCGGCCTTGACATCTTGACGACGGCGTTCTTGAGGTCGTTGATCTCGGTGTTCACGTCTGACGTGAAGGGTCAGCTTGCGGCCGGGAGGGATGGTGAACGCTGCTACGCACAGAGCACCTCACGCCCGCCCCAGACGTTGCCCAGCTTGTCGACGGAGTAGAGCTTGCCGAATTCGTTACGCGGGTCGTTGATCAGCGAGAACGAGTCCGACGGCTATGTGCACGCGACCAGTCAGATCTCGCTCGTCTCCCTCTAGTGGGTCACACGTACCGCATACTTGTCGTACGCGAACGTCTTATAGAACTCGCTCGGCGTGCCCTCCCAGTGCCCCGCCTTGCCGTCCTTGTCGTAGTAGTCCCACACGAACTTGTCGTTCGCGCGCGGCGGGACGCCCAGCGTCGCGGTCATGATCGTGTACACCTCCTTCATGAGCTCCTCCTTCTTTGCGCGGAGTGTGGTCATGATCGCGGCGTCGGAGAGCGAGGAGTCCGCGCGCAGCGACGCGTGGAGTGTGCGCAGGATGAGGGAGTGCTCGCGGAGCTTCGTCTTCAGCAGGGTGTTGAGCGGGCTTGAGGCGGAGGAGTGCTGGGACTCGGGGAAGACGGCTTGTGGTACGACACCGTAGTTCTGGGCAAACGATGAGTGGCAGGATGGCGCGGGAGCCGAAGAAAGTACCTCGAGAACGTTGACGACCATGTCCCACTGACCACCGTCGCTGATGAGATCCTGCGATGTGTGGAAGACGATTCGATCGTCGACTGGAAGGTCCGCATGCTGGATCGACAGCTCCAGGAAGTAGTTGCACTTGTTCAGCTTGTCATAGAAGAACAGGTAGGACTGCAGGACCCATGCGTCAATGTCGCACGACACGAAACACTAGGCCAAGTCCACTTGCCTGCGACAGCTGGAAGTCGTCCAGGTTCAGCTTCTTCATGACGTTGTAGCGCAGGACATTCGTGGTCGCGAACAGCCAGCACCGGCCCGACGACTTCTGGTTAGTGACGGGGCCGGTCTTGAAGTCGAGCTGGGTGTTGAAGATGTGGGCATCAGCGACCTTCGCCGACCGGCTGAGCAGAGCACTCTGGATCTCCGAGTTGTGCAGGACGGTGCGGGTCAGCTGGAGCTTGGGCTGGGAAGCGACCTGTTGTTCCCAGGAGTCGAGGTTCGCAAGCGACAGGGAGCCGTCCTGGGAGGTCGCGGCACGGAGATGGAGGGAGGAGAGCGAGGCGGCGACGTGGTCCACCGTCGCACGCTTCTCGTCGTGCGCTTCGGCGGCGGCGGGGGGGGGGCGGCGGGCTTGGACGGCTGGGCACCCATGCTGGCGATATCGAGGGACAGGAGGGAGCGACATGGTCCCGAGCGACCGCTTATATATCGCACTCAGCCCGAAATGGCGTTGAGATAGCGGCACTGCGGCAATATGAAAGCGGTCAGTCTCGCAGTCACGATCCGGAGAGTCGCTACTCACGGAGGCTGCCAGATAGAGCCGGTTCTCCCATTGGCTTGGACGCCGACAAGTACATGCGCTCGATATGTACCCCTGGCGGCATGCTGGGCTTTGTCAGGCTGCGTATATTGGGCTGAATTCGGTGCCTCAGTATGCTCTGAGTGGCAGCTTGGTGGCAGCGCTGAACGTATTTAGTGACTCGAGCCAAACTCGACCCATTACACTGATGCGGTACGCAGCGGCGCGCGATCAAATGCCTGGCACCATCTTGGAAGGCGATGGCGTTGGGCGACACTTGCTTCCGTTGCATCTGCGCAGACGCCGCGTACAAAGATAATGCATTGTCCGTACGGGGAGATGTGTGTAGCAGCGAGTTTGCGGTGCAGATGAAGTCGTGAAGCTGTGTAATCCTCGACGCCGGCGCGGCGAGATCTTTGTCGGAGCGCTGATGTCGAGTAGTACTTCTTCTGAATCAATGTAACCCCCATCGCACGCACCCTCGACCATATTCTTCTGCAAGACTTCAGCCCGACGAGAAACAACCATTCACGACCTCTGCGGCACATCTGATCCTGTCGTCGTTGTCGAGCGGTCTCGCAATGTCCGAGGGACCCCACGCCGGGCAGGAAGACCCGGAGGAAGAGGTCAAGACACCCACACCGTCGACGGCCGTCACGGCACATTCTCCGACTTTAGATGAGCTACTTTCGCCGATAGAGCCCACAGGCCGCTTCCCCACCCGCGAGTCTGTCGCAGGCTCCGACGTGACGGATGACGAGAACCGCTTCTCCACCGTCGCCCTCAGCAGTGCCCGCCAGAGCTTCGAGTCGGCACAGATATCATCCATTCCAACGAGGAGAACGAGGACAAGGAGGAGAAGGAACACGACAACCGACGGGATACCATCGCGTTCAATGGACTACCCGATAGCAAGCAGCCAAGTCGCCATCCGCGACCACCGTGCTCTCGGCACACAATGTACCCTATATGTCACAGGTGGACCAGGAAAGGGAGGAGGACGGAGACGACGAGACCCCCTCGAAGAGAAGCAGTCTTCAGAAGGTGCAGGAGGAATTCGCGCGCAAGCAGCAGGATCTGCAGGACCGCTACGATGAAGAGAACTCGGTGGACTGGGGTGAGCTTGCTGCATGCTTGAGGTTGTTGCCTGTCTGAGCATACCTTTTGGCAGACTTCTGGGGCAACGTTGTGTCGGGTGAGTGGTTCGTTGTCTGGTAGAGCGTTCATCAACTGACCGGGGACAAGCTGCTAGACTATCAAAAATTCGCTTCTGAACATCCAGAAGAGCTTGCTTCAGCCATAGGGCGTGGTATTCCGAAGACCATCCGGGGAATGATATGGCAGCTAATGTAGTGCGCCTTCGTCGGCGGTCTGTTACCTCTGTGCTCACCGCTCATACGCACATAGGACTGCATCCAAAGACACTGACCTCGAGAATACGTATGTGCGCCTTCTAAAAGAGACGAGTCCGCATGAAAAGGCCATTACTCGAGATCTTGGAAGGTGCTGTGGTTTAGGACCGTTTTGCTATGTCAGTCTGACCCGATGGCGCAGGACATTTCCGCATCACGCATTCTTCACCGACGGTCGCGGCATCGGCCAGGAGAACTTTTCAATGTCTGAAGGCATATTCACTGTGCGTTCGATCCTCCAGTCTGTAAGACGCCGCTCATGTTTCGAAGGTATGATACACAAGTCGGCTACTGCCAAGGACTGCCTTTCGTTGCAGCAGTACTCCTTCTCCACGTGAGCGCACCCAGTACCCCAGTGACTGACCTGCACTCACCTACGCGCAGATGCCGGATGAGGAGGCATTCTGCCTGCTCGTCAGACTATGTATTCATATGATATGAGGGCATTTCTTACCTGAGATGCCAAGCTACAACTCCGTCGTGAGTCTGTCTCCCCGGAATCCTATTTTCGCTGATGATTTTCCTTCAGTTCAGGTACTCATCACTCTTTCGGTTGACACCACACGTCTGATCAGTCTGATACTAGTTTGAGAAACTTATCGAAGAGATGGCTCCGGTGCTCATTTCCATTTCCTGAGGCAAACATCAAGTCGAGCATGTACGCATCACAATGGTTTCTGACGATGTTCAGCTATCGGTGAGAAACGTGTCCCATCACCGAATCAATACTGAATTCCGCTCAGCTTCCCCATGAACGTCGTCTTCCGAATATTCGACAACGTGTTCGCAAGCGGCATCGAGGCGCTCTTCTCGTTCAGTTTCGTCCTACTCCTGAAGAACGAAGAGGCACTCCTTAACCACACCTTCGACAAGCTCGTATCGTTCCTGAACACGAAGGTCTTCGACGTGTATAGGGTACGTCGCCCCATCTGATCCAATCGCCGCCGCGATCCATGGCCTCCCCAGGTAGATCCTCCAACGCCGGATGACGAGTCGGAGAGGAGAAGAGGAACGGGAAATATGACGTCGACCGCTATGTGGAAGATGCGTTCGCGCTGAAGATCAGCTCGTTCATGCTGGACTCCTATGCGCAGGAGTACGAGGAGCTCATCCGGACGCGAAATCAACACGCTATCGAGATGGATGCGCTTCGCGCAAGCAATAGGAACTTGTCCGCCAAGTGTGAGTGCTCGTATTATGTGTAGCCTCATGAGGTTGTCATGTCCTCCATAGCAAGCAACTTGAGTCCAGTATGGGGCAGATAAACACCGAGCACTGTGAATTACTGGTGAGTACGACTTCCCTTAGGCTTGACATGGTCATCTCATTCATCATTCGCCAGAACGAGCTCGTGAAAGCGCGGTTGAAGCACGAAGAGCTCGAGTCCGAGCTTGTCCGGTATAAACTGCTGTAAGCCAACGACGCTTCGGACATTATTTGGGGTCTCATCGGATGCCAGATACGCCGAGGCCATGCACCAAAGCGAAGATGCCATGTCGTCCCATCGAATATCACTCGCCATGAAGAGAAGCAGCTCAAACGGCGGTTGACCCCTTCCCCTCCCCTTCCCGATCGTCAGGTAATGTTCGCAATGTTTTGTACTCGCAATCATCGTTCCCGTATTTTGCTGTAACACTGGACGTCTGTATTCTCCGCATATGTTAACTAAGGTATATCACATCTGCAGATCATGTTCCCTCGCCGGTGTAAGTCGTCTTGTGTGAGGCGGTTGAACGTTGTCTGTAGGTCTACGGGCGTAGCATGCACTGATCAAGAAGTTAGAATGGTCGTGACAGTAAACAGATGTTCTTCAAACTCTGAAACCTACTACCGATTTCTTTTTGACTGGTGACTGAGTTGGAATAGCTGGTGTCATGATCGCTCGAAGGACGCATACGAGTGAGTGTTGATGACTTCGATACTGAACAGAGTGGCATCCATACCATTCTCCGCATTCAACATGTGGAGGAGCTTGACGCATGTACAGGCAGGGATTTCCACAGCTTCCGGGAGTGGAGCTGACCGACATATGGATGACCGAGCGGGTCCATAACAGCGAGGATAGGACCAATACAGCGTTTCTCTGTCGACTCCTTTACTACTACATACACCACGGGTAGAGGTATGTCCACTCCATGCATTGCACAAGACGGATACCGATAATAAATTAGGTATCGGCCTGCTCGCGAACACTGCTCACTTGTGATTGGTTAGCAGCAAGACGACGTCAAAATGAACATCATACTTCACCGGTCTAGATGAATCCTGCCTGTACAGAAGGCTGCCATTCATCCAATATTACCCGGATGTCTTCATCGTGCACTTCGATGTTGTTGGGATGCGAGTGCGCGACTAACGCCGGGACGCCTCGCAGGGCCATTAGTGCGGGGCCTGCCGAGGCCTTTACGGCGGGATCACGAAAGAGCATCCCAGTAACACAGGTGAAGACGTCGCTTTCACATTCAGCGTATCTCCTCAATGCCTCCGGCCGGACGTGACCCGCAAGCCAGTGCTGCAAGTACTTCAGGGTGGTAGACAGGAGGACATTCTCCGTGAGCCACATCCGGGAGAAGCAGGTGTATCCACCGAGCGTACGACTGTGTACAATCTCGAACAAGGACGCGATGTCATCCAGAGACGGCCCGTTCTCCACAGGTTGGTCTAAGTGTGCTATGCGGCCGAGCCCTTTGGAGTACCCGCGCAACCCGTCGTAGTCATTGAAAGGGCCACGAGCTGGCGTCCGTTGGGGAAGGGCTGGTCATCAAAGTCGATGCGCAAGTATGTCCAGTTTTGCCACTCCGGATGATCCATGCGTACGTCACGCTGACCATGAGGAATTGGTGCGTAATCTGCCCAGATGCGTTTGCGAAGAGCTGAGTGGTCGGTCAAGGACGTGGAAGCTTTCCATGGCGACAACGGGGCACGCCTGATCGAGTCGGAGGAGTTGTGAACGGCGCGCGCAAAGTCGATGAGCAGACATGGTCATCCACACCAATTTGAAGCGCTCTGGCAAGGATGGATGGCATGCTGCCGAGCTCGTCGAAGGGTTGAACGTAGAAGTGGCGGCTGAGTATAGCGGAACCGTGGGTCTTTTTAGCTGGTCCCTTATGCTGTGCATTGAATGGCCGTGCGCACAACATGCTGCATCGAACTCTATGGGCCTACGTGAACTGATAGGTAACAGCGTCTGTCCACCAGCCACGCTCGAATCCTCGCAGATCATGCGATAAGGCAGTCCACCGCACACTAGGCCTCCTGTACCATGGCGCAGAAATAGGTCACATTTGGGGTTCGCATGTGGGGTTCTGATCCATTTGAATGTGTGCGCTTCTGAGTGGGTACCCACTGCTTCTGTAGCAGGTGCACTATTGTCGGCCGTACTTCGAGAACACCTCTGACTGAGAAGATGAACACGAGTTCGAGCACGTTCAGTGGAGGCTTACTTCGCGGAGGCTCCCCGTTCTTCTTCCCGCATCTGCACTTGCACACGTCGTTTCCCGCTTCTCGAGAAGTAGTGAGTCTCCGCTGTGACCGTATATGTACGCGCATCAACGGTCTGCGACTCGGGGCGTCCATATGAGTCACAGGCATAGCACATATGAACCGGTCAACTTGGGTAATATCAACCAATACACACAACTGTCGACAGTACGAAGAGCGAAACGGGGTGATCACCGATCGCGCCGGACCAGTGTATGTAGGTGCTGGTACTATGAGTCTCATTAGGTCTCATTGAAGGCGGGCATGTCTGTCCGTGCACGCCTCAGATACAACAAAACTGAGCAGCCAGTGGGCAAGCATGAACCGATACGTGGGGATCCGGGGTCTCTCGACTATCGCCAAGTACATCTCGGCCCAGAGGTGTCTTCACAACTCACATGCGGGCGACATGACAGAGACAGTCACGGTCGCTCCTAAGAATGATCGGTACTGTGCAGGTACTATGTATTGTTGTCAGTAGGAAGACGAGGTAAATCACTAGAATCGTACTTCACCCCGAGTGAGGATACTAGATGAATCCTGCCTTTACACAAGGGTTCCACTGCAGGAGGATTATCTGCACGTCTTCGTCGTGCGAAATGATGCGATTGCGATTCGACTGCGTGAAGAAGACAGCGGCACTTCGCAGAGCCCATATCCCGGCGCCCATGAGTGTCTGGCTGACAGGCTCGGGATAGAGCATCGCGGCGATGCAGCCAGCGGCATCGCTGTTGTATTGGGCATATCTCTTCAATGCCTCTGGCCAACTGCGACCCGCAACCCAGTGCTGCGGGTACTTCCGGGCGGTCGGCAGGAGGATATTCTCCGCGAGCCAAAGGGAGTTGCGACCGAAGGTGTTGTATCCTCCGAGAGTGCGTCGATGTACGACCTCTAGCAAAGACGCGATATCGTCCAAGGAAGGCCCATTCTCAACGGGCTGGTCTGAGCCTTCAAGGCGGCCAAGCCCGCGAGAGTCCTCACGTAGGGCCTCGTGATCGTCAGACAGCTCTGCGAGCTGGCGTCCGTGCGGAAAGGGCTGGTCACTGAAGTCGATGCGCACATATGTCCACAACGGCTGTCCAGGCTGGTTCGTGCGTAGATGCACGGTGATCATGATGAACTGATTCCCAGACGGTGTTAGGAGGCTGCGCTGAAAGCTCTCCATGGCGAAGACGGGGCTCGCACGGATCGAGTCGGAGGAGTCGTGCACTGCGCGTGCAAAGTCGGGACGAGACATTCATGAGGATTGATTTGGAGTTTCTCGGCGAGGGTGGAAAACATGCTGCCAAGCTCAGGCTCGTTGCTGGGCGGACGATGCAGGGACAGTGGTCGTTTATATACTGAGAGGTTTCGCTAGCCTTTCAAGGTCGTTCGTGTCCACGTGAAAGGACGAAGCCAGGACCCTCTCTCAGGGTCATTGGTATGTGAAACGTGCCGCAGTTGAGTGGCCAGGAAGGAGTCGGGAAGTGTGACGAACTCACAGTCCAAACCTAAGAAGCCGTCGACAACATCGTGGCCGTGTGATCAACTGCTCAGCAGTGCTCAGCCGAGTTCGCAAGACATCCAGCGCTGTGGCCATTGACATGGGCTCTCATGAGTCAACGACAGTGCTCACTGTTCTGCCCAATATTTGCTGAATCATGTCTATGCGTAAGTTGGTCGCTCAAAACGCCTGTGTATGTGCGTACCCGGTTCGCCTTCCAATTCTGCGGCTCCCTCGATAAGGTGATTTCCGCACAGCTGCGGCGCGGATAATACATCCTATCCTGGAAAGCAGGCTCGAGACGCGTCCTGAGTGAGTTAAGGTTCTATAGGAAGCACTCCTATCGCCTTCGACGCAGTCGTATACATCTGCCGCTTTTCATTCTCACCTACTTATCGAGAACACTTTCCGAGACTACGGTCAAACTCATGCAGATCGAAGACGAGGCACGCCTTACAAACGCGCCCGCCGTTCAGATCACAACCCTCTTGCATCTGCTGCACCCTCGTTGTTCGTCATCTGCCAGGTTCACCCGGGCCGCCTCTAGGTCAGGACCAAGTCAGGACTGCCGAACCTGGGCGGCAAACTCGAACATGAGCTGCAAGGACGGTCGGGTGTACATACTACAAAGTACGTTTTGCGGGCGAGCGGGCGGTAATCCAGGCGGACTGGGAATGCCGAGACGAGATGTGAGGTTGTGTCGGGCAAAGGATAGACGTCTACAAGCTTCGTTAGCACAACGTCAAAATCCGAGGGAAATAAGTACTACACCTCCTGGGCCGCGTGTGCCGCCGCCTGCATCCCTGATTGGAACAACTGCTGCTCTGGTGGCCTTCGAAGCATCATATTCAGGAGGCGCTTGGAGTTGCATGGCCAAGAGGGTCATTAGCTTGAAAATCAGCGGGTTGTGCCAGCGGCGGACGAAGTTACGACTTGACTAGGTTCACCAGGTGGAGAGTTCGAAGAAACGAGGCGTGTTGCGGTCGGAGCATACCGTAGTTGGCAGTTGCAAATCGGTGAATGGGGGTGCGCTGCACAAGTGGCCTTTCCTGCGTGATACCTGCGCTCGTACTCATGCAGAGGCACTGTATGTAAGTTGGCTGACAACATGAATGATGACATCCGTTCGTCGGACGATGTCTGTCGAGCACTGAGAACGGGATGAGCATATGCATATTGGCCGGTGAACAGAGTCTGCTTACTGCCTACTGCGATCTGCCTCCTCTGGAATGCAGGTGTCGATTGTCAAGGAACGAGTCGATGTACGGAAGGTCGAGGTACTCTAAATTGGCGCTGGCGGGGACCGGCGCCTGTTCGCAGAGATACGTCACGGCCAGTCTTGAGACCGCCGCGAGTCGACCGACCAAGCGATCTCCAGCAGCCAGCGGGCCCTGTATGCACCCGTCAATCCCTCATTTCCATGCTCATGTGGACCCCCGCGCATAGATGGCTTGCCCATAACGCATGTCGAGCTCTCCGGAACGAGACAGCCTACGTTGTCCCTCGAAGACCGCACGCGACACACGGACATCGGCTGCAGTCCACTTCTGCAACACCTTCTCACCAACAAACGTCGCGTCGACGGAGGCTCAACGGCTGGATCATCTACCCAACAACACTCGCAACACTTCTTGGTGTTGGCTTCATAGCATATCACTATAACCAGCCATTCCGACACACATCTCTTGCGGTGGTGCGATGTTCGAGGGTGGCAGGTGAGTTACAGTCTTGTGTCCGAGCAGGCCCAACAGTTTAGTAACCAAAAATCTGGCAGAGGCTGCAATATTGGGCGCCATAGACTACAAGATAACGTTCGCCAAAAGTTACGAGTCTGATGACGCACAGCGCGAAGCCACCTCCCAATGCACAAACGCAGTGCGGAGCGTGTCTTGAAGGCCCTTCTTGCGAACGGAGGCATCTTATCAAACTGGGCCAGCACATAGCATCCCTGTGAGCTTCCGCCTCCTCGCAAGGTCCGTGTGGATTCTGACAACGCATAGCGTAGTGCTCCCGTGGAATGGACAGGTACTATGCGTCCACTGCAGGACAAGTGTGAACCGACACCCTACGAGGACATCGAGAAGCTCTTCCTGACGGATATGCACCGACCCCTCCACCAATACTTTGACGACTTCGATCCGGAGCCAATAGGTGTAGCGAGCCTGGCCCAGGTGCACATCGCGCGGTGGAAAGATACGGGAGAGGCGGTTGCTGTCAAGGTATGTGCCGCACACGTTCAGAAGGGCTACATCGCTTACGTGATGTGCTAGCTGCAACATCCGCACCTTCAGGAGTTTGCTGAGATTGACATGGAGATGGTCGAAGTCTCTCTCGGTAGGCCTAGTTCCATGCGCCCCGTCGCAGTTTCGCTGAGTTTACATAGGATGGATTCACCACTTGTTCCCCGAGTTTGAGTTCACTTGGCTCGGCGAGGAGATGCGAGAAAACCTCCCCAAGGAGATGGACTTCGCACACGAAGCGCGAAATGCCATCCGTACCATCAACGAGTTCAGCGACATTCGGACGTCACTGTACATCCGTGAGCATACTAAGTCCACCGTTTCCACATGTACTCATCGGCTGTACAGCGAAGATTTTCACCGCGGACAAGCGCGTTCTCGTCATGGAATTCATCGAGGGAGGCCGGGTAGACGACCTCAAATACCTTGCAGACCATAACATCGACAGGAACAAGGTTGCCCTGGAGTTGGCGAGGATATTCGGGCAAATGGTACATCTAACGGATGGTTCCATGCGGTAAGCGGGTCCTCCTCGGTGTCTGTAAGCGTATCTAACGCACCTCTTAGGACCCTCATCCAGGTATACTCGCCCACTTAGCTTTAGTCTAGAGCACGAAACCTGATCGCTCTTAGGAAACCTGCTCATCCGCCCAGCGCACATTCTTTCCAAGTCGCCATACAATTTCGAGATCGTCCTCCTGGACCACGGATGTATTTCGACCTGGACACGGAGCTTCGCATCAATATAGCAAGTTCTGGCTTTCCCTCATCGCGCCTGCGTCGGCACAACAGCGGCGGACCGCCGGAAGTACGCGAAGCTGGTTGGCAACATCGATGACGATCTTGTGCGTCCTTACCTCCCGTGTTTTCCGATGCTAACTCACGGCACAGTACCCCGTGTTCGAGGCGCCCTGACCGGCCGAGCCGCTCTCGACGATGCGTGGGCTGACGTCGAGGACCCTCTGGCAACACGAAGGTCCGGCGTGCGACAAGCATGATTGACCTCACCGCCCAAACTGAGGAAGAGATGGAGGCGATCCGAAATGCGGTGGTGGAAAAGGAGGGCCTCTTGCTCTCCGTCTTCGACGTCCTGAGGAGGGTCCCGCGGAGGGTCCTGATGGTGCTGAAGCTCAACGACCTGACGCGTAGCCTGGATCGGGCTCTCGCGACGACACATTCCAATGTGCGTTCTTTGCATCTGATTAGAGTAAACAACGCATACTGAATCGTCGCGGCGTAGGTTCGCGTCTTCCTGTCACTGCAAGTATTGTACTCGGGCTGTCTGGGACGACACCCGGCGACAGCTCATCTCCCAGATGCGTGAGAGAGGCCTGATGTCGCTCGGATTGCTCCACGACTACTTCCAAGGGTGGTGGTACGTCCTGAGCTGAACCTGACCACCATCGTGCTTATCTGACGGACGACTTTGTGTAGGGGCTACCAACGCATGTACAGCACCTTGGTGATCGCGGAGACATACATGGACCTGCAGGCATACCTGGTCAAGACGAAGGCGTGGCTCTGGGGACTTTACGCGGTTGGCGGGTTGCAAGGAGCTCACAGGGCGGCTTCTGGGTTGGCATAGGTGATGATACATAGAAGCGCGTAGGCGCAGAACTGACCGGACACTCTTGGTTACATTACATTACGTAGCTTAGTTGGACACCAATACATTGAAAGCGATCGAAGCGTGTTTCCTAGACGCGCGAGCGGTGATAGTCTTGCTCACTTTCGGACTTTCTTGAAGAGCGCGTCGATAGCGGACGCGTTCTGCTTCAGTTTCTCCCACTGGATGTCGTTAGCGGGCGCACTGAGAGAGGAGAGGGAGGACGATGCGCACCTCGTCTTGATTGAGCGCATACCTTTCTTTCCGGGAGCCTCGTCGCCCTCTTGTCCGTAGTACTCCCTGATATCCAAGAGCGGTTTACCTGATGGAGACGCAGATGTGACAATGCCGGTCACAACTGAGGAGACCACAAAAGCGCGACCCATACCTTTGAACGCGCGTACCGTAGCGCGTCGTTTCCTGCCCAGATCCACGTACTTGTCCCCTCGTTGTTCGCCTTCACGGTGACTTCGGATTCTTCCGCGCTTTCCTCTGGAGTAGCCTCTTTGAACGACGGTTTCTGAGAGTCGTAGCATTCAGCTATAGGTATGTTCTCCGAATACTGGCGACGCACCTTGGCAGTTTGGTTGGGACTTCTTCTACTCGGCCGCACTTCCTCGTCATCTGAAGCTGCCTTGGACTTTCGCTTTTGAGCGGGCTGCACGAGGTCAATAACGAGACGCGCTTGCCACTTGTGGACTCCTGCAACGCACCTTGCTTGTTTTCTTCAACTGCTTGAGAGGTCGTTCCGAAGCATCTGATCCGTCGGAGAACGCTGCTTCTGGATCTTCGTCGCTCGTGTCTGCGGCCTTGCGCTTGCCCATGTTGGGTGGTTGAGAGTTCGAGAGTAGCGCGACGCGTCGAGGCGGGCGAGACGCGTGGCGTCACCAGTCGCGTTACCGTGGGACAGTTTCCCGGAAGGGGGCAAGCCCTGTGCCCCTCCGCGTAAGCACAAGACAAGTCCTGCAGCATCTCCGCCACTGGACTATTACGTTCGGTGCGCTCTCGCCTCCGTCTCCGCCGTTCTCATCCAGATCTATCAAACCTGAGAGTGCAGACTGCTAGCTCTGTCCCCCGACTTAATTGTCGCGGACGATGAGGATCCTACACAAATCGAAGAGGGCTCTGACACCCGTGAGTCTTCCATCCATTCATGCTTGGCGGCGGGTCGAGGTAACATCGCTCGAGCAGCTCCCGCAGGTCGCGGAACTCATCAATAAGCTTCTTGACACCCCCGAGGACGACCTCCACGAGGTCCTTAGCCAGATCGATACCTGGCGTTGGCCGCGCTCCGATCTCAATGCGTGGATCAAGGTCCTCAACAAATTCGATGCTGTCCTCGAGGACGTCACCCGAGACTATGATATCGACAAACTTCAGACCAACGTGTTCACGCCGCTCACGAAAAAGACGGTCTGCGAGATACTCCGGTTCGAGCGGCTGCTGCTCGAAAACTCAACGAACCGGAAGACGTTCAATTCGTACGACGTGAGTGATGTAATGGACGCGTTTCTGCCGCGACTCACACTCGGACAACTCTAGCGACTGAACAGCCTCATGTTCACGTCCGACTTGGACGTCCTCATCCTGGCCCTCAACCTGCTCTTGCGCCCGGCGCAACAGTACACCGCACAACCCGCCGTGCTACATGCACTCAGCATCTCGACCCCTCGCCTCACCTCTCTTGCAAAACGATGGCCGAACCTGCGCGAATACGACATCAACCTTGTCGATCTCGTAACTGAGAAGGGGCGGCCTCAGTTGGAGGCGCTCCCGAATGAAGCGCGCGAAGTGAACTTTACTTTCTACAGACAAGAGACTCCCTCTACCTCCAATGCCACTGGGAAGGAAAAGAGTCCCAACCCGCGGAGCCCGTTCAGCATACACCGACTCACAAGCCTGCGGGCTCTGCCACCGTCAACCCCGCGGCACCCGCTTCCGGAGCCGTCAACATTCACATTGACTCGAACACAATACAGTCCAAGGAGCCGATGGATGTCCTCGCAGACATCATTGAGGCGTATTCGGTGCCTGACACTGAGAAGTTTGAACTGCTCACCCGTATTCGCGCGGCTCGGGCGGCGAACATCTCACATGCAGCTGAACGCGAGAAACTCGTCACCGTCCGCCTCCTGGCTACCGCCATCTTCGGACACACGCATACCGAGTCCCAGGCTCAGTCAAGTCTCCTCCTGTACGAGCCCGATCTCGTCGCGCACGTTGCGGAGCTCCTCCAGCTCGACCGTGGCGTGGACGTGCAAATTCAGACTGCGGCCATCGCTGCGCTCGACGCATTTGGCCGATACAGGAGTAAGATCCAAGACGTGCTCTCCGCCGTCAACGCCGGCGTCAACCATGGTATCTTGATGGCGCTCCTGCGAAAGACTGTGGCAGACGTTGCGCAGCCGACGTCGACGTTGCCGCAATCTTTCGTGGAAGCACTATTCTCCTTCGTGACATTCATCGCGACGCACGCGTCCGGCGGTAACATGGTGGTCGGCGCAGGATTGATTCCCCTCCTCGTCCAAGTCATCGAGAACAGGCTACCTAACAGACTCTACGTCGTCTCGAAGGCTATGCAACTGGTAGACAATGTTTTGTACGGGTTCAACAATGCCTTCCAGCTGTTCTGCAACAGTCGGGGCGTGGACGTGCTCGTCGACAGGATAGAGGTACGTCAATGAACAGTTCGTGGACGTATCCTGATTTTGATGCGGTCATTGTAGTACGAAGTAGAACTGGATCTCGCGCAATGCGCCACTCAGGAGCCGTCGCGCGAAGTCGTCATCTCATATGGTACGGTGGAAGTCCCTTCGATGTCGCGCAATGGCTCACAATTGCATAATAGGGAAGCTCTCGGTAGCACGCGCAGCTGTGCTCAAACATACATTACGCTCTATGCATCGCATGATGCAATCGTCGGGGACGTCTGAGGGCCTCCGCGGTCTTCTCGATTCCTCTTTGATGAAGTCAGTGAAGAAGCTCATGGAGAACCGGAGTGTCTTCGGGCCCACTGTCCTGCCGATTGGTATGTCGTTCATGATTGTCAAGTGTCCTGAATCTCATCTGTGCTGATGTCAGCGATCAACATCATGTCGACATTCGTCCACAATGAGCCGACGTGTTTGCCCGTCATCCAGGAGGCTGGTTTACCTGAAGCGTTTATAGCGTTGTAGAGTCGGGGCTTGAACCAGTCATTGAGGTTGGTTCCCAGCTTCGTGTGTATCTCGTCTCTTCATTTATGAATTTGCAGGTCATCCAAGCAGTTCCGAACGCCATCGGAGCTCTTTGTCTTAACCAGGCCGGCCAAACTCAGCTTGCGGAACGCCCGAACATCATTCCGGGTCTTTTCAGCATCTTCACCTCCGAGCGTCATCAAAGGGTCCTGCAGGACAAAGAGAACGCAGCCATCATTGGTACCGCCGTCGAGGAGCTGATTCGTCACCACCCATCACTCAAGCAAGCCGTCTTTACGTCGATCAAAGCTACGATGGAGAAGATCCATCAGTTAGGTAGAGACTACACCCCTGCAGACGACATCAAGCAGTGGTACATGCTGTCGCCCACAATCCCTCCGGTTCTGCCGAGCGAGAATGTTGTCGTGGCGCCTATGGATGTCGACGTCGACATGCAGTCGAACGAAGTCAGCACGTCTCAAGCAGGTCCTTCGAACCCTCCTGCTCCTGCACCTGAGCCAGCGTCGCCTAGTCAGGATGATATCACCGTTCCGAAGTCTCATGACAACATGATTGTCTCCTTCATGGATGTCCTGTGCAAGGTACACCTCATTGACGATACAGTCGTGTGAAGTACTTATCGCTTCACAGTTCTTGGAGGGATTCTTCCAGCATCCTCCCCATTGCCGCGAATTCGTTGCAGACCAAGAAGCTCTGGACCGCTTCGGCAAGCTGACGGCGCTCCCCTGTTTGCCTTACGACTTCGCCAATGGGTTGCCGTCGGATTCGTTCGTGCAAGTCATTCGAACCATGGCAGAGAGTGCGACCAGCGAGACTGTGATGTTCCTCGTCAACATTGTCCGCGAAGCGCTTGAGGCGACGAAGGATTTCTGGGAGACATCACAAGAGGGATCTCAGTTCTGCCACTGGTCAACATATCTGCGACTGGTATGTTACTGCCGGCCATCGTAATGTCTGCCATACTCACTAACGTCACTAGGTGACGATCTTGGTCGTGCCAATGAGCGTCTTCGTCGTTTCATTACGCTACACATCCGCACGTCGCTGTTATCCGATATATATGCAACCGCGGGTTACGCACATGGTCGTGCGGCGGCTGCACTCCTCCAGTCTCTGACCGGGCCTTCGTCGAAGAACATATTAGAAGACCTTGGGGCTTTGCATAGGGCATGCATCTGGGAGAACATTGTCCTAAAGTCTGCCCTCACATCTCAGGGCGTCGAGGCACAGCCACCGTCGGATTTATTATCTCTGTCTTCGCTCCTCAACATTCAGACTCCTTCCGCTGGAACACCCACCCTCGGTTCCGATGAGGCGCGGCCCGCGGCAGGTAACCAGATCGCTGGTATGGCCAACGGCGTGCAAGGAGAGTCATCATCAACTCCGACGCCTAAGCCAGATACGCCGAAGGATGGCGACCCCAAGAAGCAGAACGCGCAGATTCTCAGGCATCTGGCCAGTCAGATCCCCAGCTCCCTCGCGCCGTTCTTCCAAGGTTTGTTCCTTGGCTCGTTGACATAGGGTGTTTCTGACTGATCATCCATTAGCTATCGTGCGGCTGTTCCAGACGCGTCGTACTACCGATGCAGCACACAAGCAGAAGATCCGTGAGACTGCGGGGATCGTGGCCGAAGTGATGACGCGTCATCTCGACGAGAAGCCTTTCTGTGAGTCGTGCCACTGGAAAACATCAGGCGTAAAGCTCACGCGTATCATAGCGGACAAACTCTCTGTGTTGGCCTTCCATACGGTGATGCTGGGGCTGGCGACAATTCTTCTCGTCGATGGTACGGGAAACGTCACGTCACTCAGATTGAGTAACTAATATTTCTCTTCAGAGCAAACGAACAACAAGACTCTCTATACGGCACTCCTGGTTGCCTTCCACAGTGCGGGAGGAGTTGATGCTATCCTCAACCTCACTGGCCACTTCGTGAGCGACATCGAGGCGCTGACACAAGTCAGTCTAGAGGAGCGTTCGGAGCCAGCTAAGCAAGAGCTAGTGCATGTATTCGGAGGGTTGAAGGTTGCCCTGCATCTGATGCACCCCATTATAACCGCGAAGCCCCTGCTGGAAGCGTCCCAGACCGCAATGTTACTCTCGTCCGAGAAGAAGGAGACGGATCCAGACTACTTCGAGCCGCACAACTTCTTGGTCCGACTGAGAGTGGCAGTCATGCCGCTTCTCGTCAGGCTCTGGACAGCACCATGGCTGGTATCCGCGCCCCTGGGTGTGACCAGATCCGCGGTGCAGATCGTTATGGAGATGTTGAACTCTGAGGGAGAAGCTGCAAAGGAAGGCCCTCAGCCAGCCGCTGCGTCCGCTGCGCCGGGCGGATTCTTGTTTACACACGGACCGGACGCGAATCGAGTTCGTCAGCTGGTGGACATGGGCTTCCCTCGTTCTGCTGCAGAGCGAGCGCTCACTCGTACGAGGAACAACGTGGCTGCTGCTACCGAGCTTTTGTTGGCGCATCCCTTCCCATTCCCTCCGGACCCGGAGCCAGCGCAACCTGCGGCGGAAGGACCACCTGCTGAGGGCGATGCGATGAACGTGGAGGCTGGCGATGGAGAATCGTCTCAGCCCACAGGCGAGGCGTCCGAAGTAGTCGCAGAGGGTGAACCTGACAGCGCAGAGTCATCTGCGCCACCGCGTAAAACCTCCGAGGAGTGGTTGCAAGAGCTGAACGAGAGTCGCGAGCCGCTCAAGAACGTTATGGGAGAGCGAGTAGTCAAGCTAGTCGATGAGCATCCTAGTCTCGTCTTCGACGTCCAGAGGGTGTTTGTCGGTCCTAGCGACGGTTACCGAGATCAAGCCGTGCGCCTCCTTATGGACGACATCAAGTCGTTCTCCACGGCTGCCTATGACGTGCAGGAGCAGCCAATGGCAGTGCGGTGCCGCTTGCTTGCGCTTGTCTTGCACGACCCATCGTCGACATTGGCGCAGTTGCCGGAAGGCGACGCGAAGGCCCTCGTGGAAACATTGCTCGCACTACTTCTCTCGAACCCCGTAAACATGGACGGCGGCCATCCCACTCTTCCGAAATGGCTGGCAGCACACCTGCTCGTGACGGAAGCTATTCTCCTCACGAGCGACGAGCCACGGAGTGTCACCTTACCGAAGGAGGAAGAACCGATTCCGGACGAGTCGCTTACGACAGACTCTACGTATCCTGAAGCTAGGACAATCCTCTTCGACTTCTGCATGCGCTTGCTTGCCATTCCCGCGCTTCCAAAGGACGAATTTGTCTCAGCGCTGAGGTTGTTCGTCCTCTTAACCCGGGAGCGCCGATTCGCGGATGATTTTGTCCGGCGCGAAGGACTCAATCTCCTCTTCCAATACCTCAAGATTTCCGCTGGGACGCCCAGTGCGGCTGGCATGCAGTCTCACATCGCGATGATCCTACGCCATGTTGTGGAAGATGCCCCTACCCTCCATCACATCATGCGTCAAGAGATCCGACGATTCTTTGCTCATCCTCGTAATCGTCTCGTGGACTTGAACAGCTATGTCATGGGCTGCAATGCGTTGGCCCTCCGTGATCCACCCGTCTTTGTCCAAGTGACGAAGGAGCTCTGTCAACTATGGCAACCCTACGGAGCGGTGAAGAGTATTGCACTGAAGGGGGAAAACAAGTCCGCGGGCGAACGCAATGACAGTAGCCACAACTCGGACATGCAGGTTGACGAGCCTTCTACAGGACAACAACGCCTTCCACATACATCGGTAGAGGCCCTCGTGCATTTCTTGATCGCTGAGCTCGTCAATCCGTCAAAACGGAACAGCCATCTGATCCGCCTGCGACTGACCCGTGCAGCCTCCTGTACTTGAGACTCCTGGTCAATCCACGGAGCACCCACCAGAGCATCCTTCCTCGTCTACTGGCATACCGTCTATCTCTCCTGCAACGTCGAATGACCGCGACGATCATGTTTACTCGTGCTTCTTGATGCAATGCCTAACGGAGCTCCTCTTCTCATACGAGTCGTGCAAGGTGGCTTTCCTATCATACTCGCCGAAGAAACGACAACAGGCTGGTGCAAAGGAGATACCGGTCAAATATCGGACAGCTGCTATCCAGTTCCTCTTGTCTGACATGATGTCCTTTGGTACCATTAACCCTCAGCCTCCTACGGAAGCCCGGAAACGCATTTGCTCTGCAACTGGGCTATGTCTGTGATTGTAGCACTCTGCGTCGACACGTCGTTTACTCAAGACCTCAAAGAAGTCCCGGCAGAGCTCGTGTCTGTTCGCAAATTCGTTCTGGAAGCCATCAGCCGCGCGTTGAAGGACCTTCCTGCCTCAGAGAACGCAGAAACACGATACAGCCGCTTGCTGGCTCTTGCTGACCTGTGCTATCGGCTGCTCACGGTGAGGTTCAATACCAGCTCGCGCAAGGCTCACGATGAAGTTCCGACTCATGTTGCCAAAGTCATGCTGGAGAAGAACTTTGTCGCGACGTTGACTAGCGCCTTGGCTGAAGTGGACCTCAATTATCCAAATATACGTGGAGTCGTCACTGGAATCTTGCGTCCACTGGAGTTCTGTATGTCTCTACTTACACCCTCGAGCTACCATTGTTGATGTGACCCCAACAGTTCGAAGATCGCCATCAAGATGAGTCGAGTATCGGAGAGACCGAAGGAATCCGTAGATGAAGCGGCTGACGACGTGGAGTCCATCATCTCGGAGGAGAACGAAGATAGCGGTGAACAAGAAGGCGATGAAGCGCCTGACCTATACCGCAACTCATCGTTAGGACTGTCAGTCTTTTTTTCTTCTTCGCGTCTCCACAAATCTGATCATGCTCATGTCGACAGCTTTGGTGGTGTGAGTGTTACATGACATGCACAAGCTGCCCACGCTGATGTGTCTTTGTTAGGAGATGGAAGATGTCAACTACCAAGACGAAGACATGGATGAAGATGGTGCAGAAGACGAGACGACGTTGAGATGGACTTGGTGATGAGACTGGCAGCGATGATACTTCTGCTACGGACGACGACGTCGGAGATGACCTTGAGGAAGACCTAGAGAACGAGACGGGAGAATCGGAGGGTGACTGGCAAGATGAAGATGAGGATGATGAAGAGGAAGGACTCGTCGAGAACGATGAAGACGATGCTGAAGAAGCTGGAGACGATGACGATGACGAGGAGGAAGGCGAAGAGGTGATGTGGCAGGTATGCACAACCGGTCCTCGTACATTCAACTTACTGACAGAACATAGGACATTGCAGTGGGTGACGCTATTGTAGATGGCGACGAGCAGGATGACGACGAAGAAGGCGGAGGTAAGATCTCCAGTCATACGGATGGTCAAGAGCTCATGGTTTAGTAGATGCCGTGCCCATAATGCATATGGACATGAACGAGGAAGCCGATGTAGCTTCTGAAGAAGAAGAGTAAGTGCGAGTTCTTCTGTTGAGTACCTTTCTCATCGTTGTCCTTGTCAGTTTCGCCGATGACTTAGATGGCATCGACCAAGGCCCGGTAGATGGAGACCTCTTGGAGCTCGCTAACGGCTTTGCCAACGCTCTGGGCGGAGGAGTAGTCGGCCATATGGGGCGAGCCGTTCAACCTATGATATGGGCCGGTGCTCCAATGCGCGCGGGTAGTGGTCGTCGTCGCAATACTGGTACGCTGCTTCCTCAATTACGTCGCTTTCGTAATAATGTTTGGTCTCTTGGTAGATGATGAAATGGACATCTTCGGCCGGCCTCGCAATGCAGCGCTACCCGCCCCGGAAGCTGCTGTTCATCCTTTACTTGTCGATCCATCGTCAAGCATCCCCCGTGCGTCTCAGGGTCAGCCAGGCAACTTCGTCGGTTGACGGGGCCGGCGGAGGTCCTGGAGGCCATACACCTGACATTATGCAGACCATTGAGGATGCTATTGGAGAAGGCGCAGTCCATTATTCCAGCACATCTTCTCACACGGCCGCGGCGGTGGTGGGGAAACAATCCGCATAGACGTGCCATCAGGTGCCTTAGGCCCATTGCAGAGACATGGTCGTGGGACTATATCTGCGTCGATCCGACTCGAGAGGGCACCACGTTCTGGAGAGGGCCGTTCTGAAGGCCGTAACCTCGACCCACTACTTACGGTTCAACGATGGTGGAAGAGGTCAAGATGCTCCACGGCAAATTCGAGCAAGGTCGACTTTCCAAGCTTGTAAACCACGTCGTGCTCGCCCTCCTTCCTGCTGCTGTAGAGGCTATCAAGCAAGCTAAAGTGGCTGAGGAACGAGAAGCAGCGCGTCAACGCGAAGAGCAAGAGAAGGCTGAAGCCGAGGCGAAGGCGAAGGAAGCTGAAGATGTCAAGGCACAGGAGGAAGATCAGGCGCATCAAGAGGCGGGAGCGGCCTCCCAACCGCAACAAGAGACACCGACAGCCTCCGTAGACGTGGATGCTGAAATGACCGATGTCTCAGTCACGGCAGCCCCTGCCATTTCTGATGCAGCCCTCCCCGCAGATACTCCCATTGACGCGAATGACGAAGGCGATGGGCAAGGGGCAGCAGAGGACGGCGGGTCATCCAGTGCTGCCCAGCGCGTGATCGTCACGATCCATGGAAATCCCGTCGACATCACTGACACGGTATCGATCCGACATTCTTAGAAGCTTACCAGACGACATGCGGGAGGAGGTACTGAACCAGCATGTCCGAGACCAGCGTGCTGCTAGGGTCGAGCGCCCAGCGGATTCGCAGATCAGCGCGGAATTCCTCGATGCCTTACCCCCGAACTCCGTGCCGAGATCCTGCAGCAAGAGAGTGTCGAGCGCGCACGACAGCGAGTGGACAGTGCTGGCCAACGAGAAGGCGCTGCCGACATTGACCCTGCTACGTTCATTGCCAGCCTCGATCCTCAACTACGCCAGGTGTCCTAATGGACTCCGATGATGTGCTGATTCAAAGCTTGCCACCTCAAATGCTCGCCGAGGCAGGAATCAATCGCACTCGTTTGGAGACCATCCGTTCCACGCAAGCCGCAGCGACCAATCGACACCAGGCGGCATCGACAACCCCTCAGCAAGCCCAGAAGCCACCTACATCACGCGACGCGATCCAACTTCTCGAGAAGCCTGCGATCGCAGTTCTCATCCGCTTGCTCTTTTTCCCACATACGCTGAAGAAAAATCTGCTTTACAAAGTTCTCGTCAACTTGTGCGAGAACTCGAAGACGCGGACTGACCTCTTCAACTTGCTCCTCAACATCCTTCAAGATGGGTCTGGTGATCTGGCTGCTATTGACCGGAGCTTCGCACAAATGTCTTTCCGCAGTTCAAAACAAGCAGCGCAGCAAACTCCAAAAGCGGTCGGCAAGCAGCGTGTCCCCTCTGACTATTTTGGAGCCCTGGCCTCACCGCAGTGGCAACATGAGATAGTTCCCGAGCTCATCGTGCAGCGATGCTTGGAAGCATTGACGTACATCGTCAGCTTAACGAGCTATCGTCCCTCTTCTTCCTAACGGAGCACGAACTACCCGCAGGGCTGCGACGCAATGCTTCAAAAAAGGGGAAAGGAAGGAAAAGCAGGCACCGCAGACCCATTATCCAGTGGTCCTGTTGCTGAGCTTGCTTGATCGGCCTTCGTGCTGAAGACGCCTTCCATCGTCGAGTCAGTTGTGACTCTGCTAGCGACTGTGACCCGTCCCCTCGCTAGTCTCAAGGACCTAGGCAAAGAGAAGAACGAGACCTCGGACGCGACTGTCTCTGCTACGTCTCCCCCGTCAGAGCCTCCGGCTGTTGAATCCGAGACGGCACAACCGCAAGCCACAGATGGTAGGTAACAATGCGCACCTCAGATTGTCGGATTACTAAATTGGATTGCAGCGCCTGCCACTGGAGAGGCGTCACAAAGTCAAGGGAGCAAGCCTGATGCTACTCGACCGACGGAGGAAAAAACGCTACTTGCACATCCGCCTGTCGTTCCGCACACTGTGATGCGTTCAATTGTCAACATCCTCACCGCTGGCGAGTGCTCAGGGCGGACGTTCTCGCAGAGCCTTTCCCTTATTCAGCACTTGTCTTACGTGCCTGATGCTCGGGACGTCATCGCGAACGAACTCCGCTCGAGAGCGCAAGACTTCGGGCATGGCCTCTACACAGCTCTGGACGAGCTGGCCGGTGCTTTGCAGGAGTCTAAAGGCGATGTCCTTGCCAGCGCCATTGCTTCTAAGTTTTCACCTGCGTCCTCGGACAGGCAAAACTTTTGCGCGTACTGAAGACCATCGACTACATGTACTCGCCGAAGTCAATAGCTGCGCCTGGGACGGCTGTCAGCGACGTTGACGTCGAGAAAGTGCAGAGCATCTACGAGTCGTTCAGATTCACCCCTCTCTGGCGGCGTCTGGGCGACTGTCTCGCCATCATCGAGGAGAAGCCGGAGATGGAACATATCGCTACCGTGCTCCTACCGCTCATCGAAGCCTTGATGGTCGTCTGCAAGTACGTCGGAGCCAAAACATCAGCTGGAGCAGCAGCTCGTGCGCTGCGTGCATCGACTTCTCCTCGATCGCCTACAACCACCCGCGAATCTATGGAGGAGCTTTTCGTCACATTCACGATGCTCACCGCAAAGTGCTCAATCTTATGGTGCGAAACAACCCGTCCCTGATGAGCGGCTCCTTCTCCCTTCTGGTTCACAACCCTCGTGTCCTGGACTTCGACAACAAAAGGAACTATTTCAACCAGCAGCTTCATCGGCGTCCGCATAGCCGAGAGCACCATGGCACTCTGCAACTGAACGTCCGGCGCCAGCGAGTCTTCGAGGACAGTTCCAGTATCTGCAACGGAAGACGGAGAGCAGATCAAGTATGGCAAGCTCAGCGTGCGCTTCTACGACGAGGAAGGTGTCGACGCCGGCGGTGTTACGCGAGAATGGTTCCAAATTCTCGCACGGCAGATGTTCGATCCCAACTACGCGTTGTTCCAACCCTGTGCCGCGGACAGGTTGACGTACCAGCCTAACAAGAACTCATGGGTCAATCCCGAGCACTTGTCGTTCTTCAAGTTCGTTGGTCGAATCATCGGGAAGGCCATCTACGACGGCCGTCTGCTCGACGCGTACTTTGCGAGAAGTTTGTACAGGCAGATCCTAGCCAAGCCAGTCGACTACAAGGATGTGGAGTGGGTCGATCCCGAGTACTACAACTCACTCTGCTGGATCCTCGACAATGACCCGAGCGCACTAGAACTGACCTTCAGCGTCGAAGCGGATGAGGTGAGCACATAAATACGCCCGAAGGCACTTTAATGCTGACTTCATCATGCAGTTCGGAGTTATGAAGATCGTCGATCTCAAGGAGAATGGCCGGTCTATACCCGTCACGCAAGAGAACAAGCGGGAATTCGTCCAGCTGTCTGCTCAATACCGTCTGTATTCGTCCATCAAAGATCAGATCGAGGCATTGCTTGCAGGATTCTATGAGATCATCCCGAAGGATCTCATCTCGATCGTAGGCTTCCTTCAGCTTGTGAAGTAATGCCGGTTGTCTCATCTGTTTTCCTCGCAGTTCAACGAGCAGGAGCTCGAGCTTCTCATCTCTGGTACTCCTGACATCGACGTCGACGAATGGCGTGCCGCCACTGAATACAACGGGTACACGAGTTCCGACCCTGTCATTGTCTGGTGGTGGCGCGCGTTGAAGTCATTCAACCGAGAAGAGCGAGCCAAGGTCCTGAGCTTCGCTACGGGCACGTCTCGCGTCCCTCTCGGCGGCTTCACGGAGTTGCAAGGAGTGCAGGGCGTGCAGCGGTTCTCCATCCATCGAGCCTATGGTGACGCGGACCGCCTGCCGCAGGCGCACACATGTACGTCTTCACTAATGCTACTGTAATGGGCACAAGCTGACGGCCGTGTCATGGTGACGTAGGCTTCAACCAGATTGATCTTCCACAGTATTCCTCGTACGAGATGCTTCGACAACAGTTGTTGCTGGCGATCAATGAGGGAGGCGAGGGCTTCGGATTCGCATAGTATATCGCTAGTATGTAGTACCACTAAGGACATCGCATCGTAGAAGCAGACCATCATCATGTATCATTACCTACAATCACGTACTCATCAAGTTTATTCGTTGTCAATAGCATTCATGTCATGAAATGGGTGTGTGCAGAGTTGCTGAGGATGCTACGGATGCTACTTCACGTTTTCGAAGGGATATTGGGTACACTCAACCGCCCTTCCCTCCCTCAAGAGGATGTGCTCGTGTATTGTACCACACACCCGTAAATGTGCTAGTAGTGCCGCTCACCGGCAGGTGAAGAACTTATTACAGTGCAGCCCGGCCATACTAACAGAAGACGCCCGGAGGCGGCGAGTAGTGCACCGTTGCACGATCATGGGATTGACCATCACCGGATTTCACGCGACCTCGAGCGCATCATGTCCAAGGGGAGCAATGCCATTGCTGGCTTCACAGCGGCAGCGCGAGCGTTTCTTCGTCCCTTCCCTTTCCCCAATCAATAGCAGATAGCCATGCGCGCATTCGTGGTCAAGGAATACGCCCACCCCTCCAAGGTTCCCCTGAGCCAAGATGCACCAGAGCCCAAGCCAAAGGACGACGAGGTTGTCGTGGAGGTCTTCAGCGCTGGGTTGAACTACTACGACGTGAGCACGCCCTCCTCCGGGTTCCCTTCATTCGCCTCATACACCATCGTAGATCCTTCAAGCGCAGGGCAAGTACCAGAATCAGCCGCCGTTCCCGTTCACGCTGGGCTCCGAGTTCGCCGGGCGGATCGCGGCGGCCTCGCCCATTCCGAAGGGGTGCCCCTTCAAGCCGGGCGACAAGGTATTCGGCGCGGTGCAGGGCGCGTATGCAGACAAGCTCGCGACGAAGTGGAGCACCTGCTCCCACTGCCCGCCACCATGACATACGACCAGGGCGCAGGTGCGTCTGCGCAGCAGCATTGGTATTGGTGGGGTACGATGTGACAGATGGTTAGGCCTGTTCATCACTTGGCCTACGTCGTATGAGGACTCGTCGGACGTGCCGAGTTGAAACCAGGTTGGTGGCTCGGACGTTCGCCCCTTGAGCTAGAAGCCCATTGCTCATACAGGTGAATGGGTGCTTGTCACAGCAGCTGCGGGTGGTGTAGGCATCGCCGCTGTCCAACTGGCAAAAGGTGGAGTCCTTACGACGCCAACCGCACATCATTATGCTTACCCAGACCGCAGCATTGGGCGCAAAGGTGATCGCCGCGGCAGGGTCGCAGGAGAAGATTGACGTCGCGGTGCGGTACGGAGGTGCTGACCACGGCGTGAACTATGGCCAGCCGAACTGGCAGAAGGAAGTGCTCAAGCTCACGGGTGGCAAGGGCGTGAACATCGTTTACGATCCTGTCGGCATGATCAGAGGTTTGGATGATCTTTTCCGGAGCAATTGAGTGTGAGTTTAACACGCTTCCGAAGATTCCCTGAAATGCATTGCGTGGAAGGGTCGCGCTGTGGTCGTAGGCTTCGCAGCAGGCCAGATCGAGAAGGTCTGCAAGCCACCATGTCTGCCAAGGATGTACCATCGATGCTGACGAGCCTGCTAGCTACCACTTAACCTCGTCCTGCTCAAGAACATATCGATCGTCGGCATACACTGGGGCGCATACTCAAGTACGTGGCACGAAATTTACATACGCGCACGCATTCTTAGACGACGCAGTTCATGAGCCACAGCACATCCCAGAAGTCCACAAGGCCATCAACGAGTACGTCTCCTCCTTTGTTCCATTCAAGCTGAATAACGCATTCCGGGACAGTTTGCTCTCCTCGGGTCGAGTGAAGCCCGTAGTGTACACCGAAGTCTTCCCTCTCGAGAGGTTAGCGGATGGTCTCCATCTCCTTGAGCAACGGAAGACGTGGGGCAAGGTCGTCGTGCGCATCCGGGACGAGAAGTCGGGCGAGCGAGCCAAGTTGTGATGTGGCTTCTCTCCGTGGTCATGTTCAAGCCCCAGTCTCTGTCATAGTGTGAGACGCGCGACAGCTAGTATATAACAGGATGTAGTGGTCAGTACTGCGCCTGTGTATTGTTTATCTATCGGAAGACTCGTGACTGCACGCAATGGTGCCCGTTAAGATGGAAGCGAAGATCGCTGGACAGACAGTTTCAAGGACAGATACCAACAAGCCGACTTCTGTTCCATACCGAAAGCCGGAGCAAACTCAGCTGACTCCTCAACTGGTCGATTAGTAAATGAGAATCCACGCTATGGTAAGACAACGAAGCAAAGCATATACACACGCGTACGTTAGACGACTAGAACCTCGGATGTCCCTCGCGCGTGATGCCTACGCATACGTTGACCCACCCGTCCGCGCCTGCCATGCAGGCACCGAGCCACGCCATCTCAGCATCTGGAGGGGCATGCACACCCTGCAGGAGTGCATATGCCAGCGGGGGCTTCCCAGGCGGAAAGAGGAGGGGAAGGTGTGTGGCGAGGAACTTCGCCAGCGTATGCACTGTGCCTATAAGTATCGAGATGAATACGAGCAACCTAACGGACCGATCGTTGTCACGTACCGTCTTCGAGCGTGGGAGGCACGAGGTCCTGCAGGACGGGCCCGTCTGGGAGGTATATTCGGACAGGCACGCTGCGAACGTTATATGCACCGTCGCGGTCTGGCGCGACGGTGGAGCCCGGATCAGCGGAGGGTGGCCGTGTGTGCATCGAGGCGGAGGAGGGGGGCGGTGGAGGTGACGTGGATCGCGTGGGTGTTGTGGTTGGTGTCACCTTTGCGGCGACGCGCCAGTACTCCTCGAAGTTGTCTACATGAACGGCGATCATGATTTCAGTTGGTGAGCTGGGGTGGATATTGACGGAGGTGACGACTCACGTTCTTTGATGCCCTCCCATAGGCCGTCCTGCTCAGCCTTCCGGAGGCCTGTCATGCGCTTCGTGTTTCCCCATCGAATGAAGTCGGCTTCCTTGAGCTGGCCCATGAACGCCTGCTTGCATGCCTCCGCGCTTGGTGAGAGCAAGAGCTTGTCTGTGGGCGGTGACGCCAGGTGGAGGACGAGGCGGAGGGGTGTGATCTGGGAGGAGGATGAATTGTTGCGCAACGAGGCTGTGATGGTGTGGTTGTCGTAGATGAGCCCAATGGACCAATGCCTGTGCGGGCGGGGTCAGAGCGGCGTCCGGCACGTCCAGACCACGATCGCATACGATGCTCCAGGTGCGGTAGCACTCACCACTTGAGCAGGCTGCCCTCCTCGCTCTCGAACCACCAGTCCTCCTCCTTGATCACGCGCGCGGCTGCCTCATCGAAGACGACGTCCATGAGGAAGCGCTTGATCTCGGGCACGAGCAGCGGGAGGTAGCTGACCCGTGGTGCTTGCATGTAGTAGCACTCGAGGCCGCGGTCGCTGTTGGCGGGGAGCTCCTTGGAGTCGACGCGGACCTCGAGGGGGACGGTGCCCTCCCATGTCAGGCGGCGGAAGAGGGTGGTCGAGGCGGGGGTGGAGAAGGCGGAGGGCGCATGGCGGGGCGCGTAGGTGGACATCGTCGCGCACGACGAGCAGCCGGCGGGCGAGATGGGGCGCGCACGTGGACACCGCGTGTCCGAGGCCCGTCTGGTGACCGCGGAACTGGGACAGCCTGTCACGATCCCGTCACGCTGCGCCACTGCCGTGCTTCTTGACGTCACGCACGCATACGGCTGCGCGGTCGCGTCAGTGGCTCCCTCGCACGTCGTTTATAAGTCTCCGCGCCCGCCAGGTACGCAGTCAACTCGCAGCGGCCTCTCTCGTCCTCCCACCAGAGCTGAAATGCCCTCCAACAACTCTTTCACCGATGGTCTCTTCCTCAAGGTGAGCATGCTTGAAGCTGTCGCAGCGCAGACTGTATACTGACGTTCGCAGATCATCAACGTTATAGTCTACTTCGCATTCCTGGGGTCTAACATCTACACTGTTGCTGGGCCGAACGACATTTATTACTCTGGCAAGGAAACCTACATAACACCGGCACCATGGGCGTTCCTCATCTGGTAGGTGGTCTCGGTGGCTCCCGCGTCCCAACAATATTCAACGATGTGTTCGTAGGTCCCTCATCCACGTCCTGCTCCTCGGAACCATCATCTATCAGTTCTTCGACGGAGGCAAGCAGGTCATCATTGACGGCATTGGATGGCGTCTTCCGCTGCTCGCTGTTTTGAACGTAGTGTACGTCCACCTCTGGGCCGCGCACCAGTACATCATCGCCTTCGTCTTCGCGCTCTTCGTCAGCTCTGCCGTGACGGTATGTGTCAAAACTTGACGGGAAGACATCCTGCTGACCGCCGTGAACAGCACATCTACTATGTAGTCAAGAAGTATCACGAGTCCGCTAGCATTCCGGACGAGATCTTCGTCCACCTTCCTTTCTCACTCTACCACGGATGGACGACGCTTCTCGTCGTTCTCACCGCTTTCGAGGCATTCGGTGTTGACGCTACCACCACTCGTGCTGGAGTCTGGACCAAAGTCTTTGCCTTCCTCGCGCTGTAAGTTTGTTTTCTCCTACATGTTCCACGCTTGTTCATAGCGATGTTGCACATAGGTTTTTCCTCGAGGCCACTGCTACGGCATACGCTTTCTCCTCCCCGGAGGGCGACTTGCCCGCGAGCATCGCAATCGCCTGGTCGTTGTGGGCCATCTTTGCCCACCAGCGCTACCCTGCGTTCATCCACTGGAGCGCGCTTGCCTTCTCGATTCTTGCCCTCGTCTGGGTGTTCAAGGCTGTTGTTGGCCTGTTCGCCAAGCTCCGCAGGGGTGGCCGTGGTATTTCCCTCGACGAGGAGCGTGCACCGCTCATTGGCGGCCACTGAGCGCGTCGCTTGCAGTTGTTGTCGAGAGAACAATCATGCTCATGAAGTTACGTCCGCATAGTGAACGCCTTGAACCTGTACGTAGCCATGTATAGTCATTTCTCCAATATGTACTATACAGAGCATCGTCTGCATTTGTACTTGTGATCAGTTCAATGTTGTCATGTCATTCCGTGGAACATGGAACTCTATTCATTCATACAGTCTCCCCGCCGGCCCTCTTTTCAGTGTTGATGATGTTCACTCACATCCGGATGTTCGGGCTCCTGTTCCGGGGTAGATAGTTCGGCCATTCCGGAAATTGGGTCTAACTGGATTCGTCACATCGCGCAGGCTTGTGGCGAGCGTTGCACTACTCAGGCTACATATATACAGTATAGAGGCTACGGTACACTACACTTCAGGAAGATGCGCCAAGCCATGAAGTTCGCTAGTGGCAGGTGTCTGTATGCATGTGAGTACCAGTCTCCTCTCGCCAACTGACTCGATTATCGCACAACAGACTCATCCGAGTCGACAACAACGTTGCTGCTCATATGATCATCAGTGTGTGCATTCTCGGTGCATTCTGCACGAACTGATCATCTCGCTAGGATATTCAGTTTCTTATTGGAATCCTGCGCCGGCTCTTCTTTTGTAACTGAATTCGAAGCAATGGAACGACTGCCCCTTCGTCATGGAAGCTTAGTTGCGCGCGGGTGAACTTCCCACACACCACCGCCGCCGTCTACGTCCCAGTTACAATTTCTCGCTGACCTCGTTGCGAAACGATCGTCTCTTCAAGCGGTGTAGTCTCCCGTACCAGGTATGACAGAAGAGTTCACGCGGTCGACGGTGGTCGACGGCTGTTGACGGTGCCAGTGACCTTCGCTGCTACCCGCTATCCCGGACCGCGATTGGATTGCCAGCCTGAGACTAGTGGATGTACCCCCTACTCGTGGAAACAACGACGGCAACGAATTAGCGAACCATATCTACATAAGTGAGTGCGAGGTCCAAGATTGCACAAGTCTTGTGTTCGTCCATAGCGGGAGGTCCAGATGGGTATAGGAGGTGAGTACTGACACATATCCCCTTAAAGATCGGCTTGCTCGACCTGGAGCGAGCTGTAACGTTTCTGGCACGTACGTCGTTAGGTGAGACCGCGGAGTTTGCGCGCATGAACTTCTATAACATGGATGTACGGTGCCTTCAATTAAAGATATTGCGTGTCCCTGAACCCCTAACTGATGTGATAGCCCTTCATCTCAATAGACACCGCAGCGGAGGCCGATTCTTCCGCGCGAGCTCTTCCACAGTCGCTAGTTGTATGTATTGTCCAAGTTCCGGTTGGATGGTTACAAAGTCAGGTCGCCATGTCAGATACGAACTCACGATCACCGTCACGATCGTGAATCGGCAAATCAAAGGCGCCTCCGCACCTGAACCATGATTCGCCGTAGTCGGGCTTCAGTACGAGAACAAGTTGCCAACAGCAGCTTAGCACGTCTCTCCCCAGGCCATCCGATCTAGAAACTAGGTGATGCCTGGTGATCCCCTCTCCCGCCGCTGCAATGCTCCTGTCACCATAGCGAATCGCCCGCGAAGGCCACCGAGGAGCGGATCCTCCGGACCTGGTGCCCTCAAGCGAGGGCCATAATATCGCTGGAGAGCCCGCGGGAATACCCCCGTCCCTCCTCGATCTTCCACGGTGGCTCCTCCCCTCACTGCGTTGTGCGTCGCGGTCGCGCGAGACCTGACGGGGCACTACAGTCTGCTCCGTCTGTGATGGATATTTCAGTGTTTCGGGACGTGTATGCGACGAGGTATCTCCAAGGTGAGCGGCGTTCTCTCGTGTTCCACTAGTGGATGGACATGGCTGACTGGAGTGGGGATCGCAGTCATTGGGCTCACTGCACTCTTCTATGACCATGCATTGACGTTCGCGGACGAAGTGCGCCTGGTGTGGCTCGCCCCTCGCTCGCTTGCGAAATATGCTTTCCTTTTCAATCGTTATCTCGTACTGGCGACGCTTATTGCAGTGGCATGTGGTGAGTCCCGCCATGCTGCTATCCGTGCTCATTAGTTGAATAGAAAGTGCTGTGCAGAGATGTGTGGTTTTGTTGGGGATGTGTTCGTGGATCTGGTAAGTGCCACCTAGGGCAATGCGCGCTGTTTCGCACTTGATGTACTCACCGTCTGGGGGTCTGTAGGGGTAAGTGCACTCATGACACTCGTCGATCCAGTCGTGTAACGAGGCGCAGGTGCAAGCATTTCATCTTCGTCGTCTCTATGATTGCGGTCATCTCTATCGGCATCGCAAACATGCTCGTGCTACTGCGCGTCGTGATTCTCTGGGATGAACGGCCGGTATGTCGTATCTCCTGGTCGTCGGAGCCCTGTCTCACCTGCCTCTTAGTCGGTATTGAAGTTCATGGTGGTCGCATATTGTGCAAGCCTCATCGCTCAAGTCACCACTATCATTCTCACACTCCTGCAAATCTGCGTGAGTCGTTCTCGCGCACAGTTGAGACGTCTGGTGCAAGGTTGGCTCACGAAGCATCTATGCGCAGCGGGTGTGACCTGGTCTCCAATTGCGGGAATGTGTGTCTCGTCTCAGAGCTCGCACGTCATAGTCGCTGTGTGGGCGTCGCCGGTAAGAACTGCGCAGTCCTGGGCGACGAAGATACACCGGCTCATGTTATCGCAGATGCTGTTTGAGTTGTTCGTCTTGGTCTCCACTGCCCTGAACGCCGTTGACCGACCGACCTCGGCACGGACACCGATTGCAAGGGCGCTTTGCAGTGATGCATTCTCTATTGGTCGTGAGTCTGAACACTGTTGCAGGCACGAGTGCTGAACGACTCGAATAGGGCGTGACCACTCTTCGTGCCTTGAATGTTGCCCTCGCAGGCGCAAGCTTGTCACGACCGTCGTTTACGTTGCTCGGTGTATTGTACGTGCCCACCGTCATGCTTCGCCGCAGTGGACTGAGAAGTTCTGATGCCTAGTTTCGTATGGGCGATGACAACCACGATAACCAACCGTTCGCTGCTCCAGTTCCGGTCAAGCGGGAACCTACGGACGTGGACCTTGCGCTGGTGGAGCGGTGTATACCGCCCAGGGATGGCAACAGGAGCAACAACAGCAGCTTTGACATCAGCAAGAGCATCGAGTGACCGAGGATGAGGTTGCGGAGATCGACGCAATGTGGGCGTCGCGGTTGGAGAGATCGTGGCACTACGGATGAGTCTGGACACTGGCGCTGCATTCTGCTAGACACTGCGTGCGCTCGTCTTCCTTCGATGTGTCTGTAGTAGTATACGACTTGTACTGAACACGGACTGATACTCTCACCGAGACTTCCAGGCGATGCTACGCGACAAAGGCCAGGACGAGACTCGACGAGAGCTAGAGTCCGTTATGTCTACTAGCACATAGGTCAGCGAGAATAAAGGGAGCTAACAAACAAAATAACAAACAAGCCGCGACTTGCGGAGATCTATAAGTATTTTCTATTCGACGCGATGACGCATTCGCTGGAAGTCGATGCCGTCTTAGTAATGTCGATCCTCGATCGCGCGGTGTGTGTCGGCGCTCGGAGGCCCGAGTCGGTGTGGCGGTCGATTGTGGTGCTGCCACCGCCAAATAAGGAAATTTGCGCATTGCCACCGCCACGGCGCAGGACGAGCGTCTCGACGATGATGAAACTGCCAGTCGCTCGGATCAGACACATCATGCCGCCCCATATATAAGCATGCAACCGCAACACCGCCTGATCTTTCCCTCCCGACGCCTGCGCCCCGCAGTGTCCCTCTTCTTTCCTGCTCCCTCCCTTCTTTCTTGGAGGCTGGCCCTTCCTGCCGCTTTTCAGGACCTGGTGTACCTGAAGATACGGCTTTTGGTCTCTTTTCTTAAGCTCGTATATCTTGTACACCCCAGATTCCTTTGAACGGTCATCAGGATGGCTTCGCTTCAAAGTATTCCTGGTGGGAGCAGCTTTCTTCTGACGAAGGTTAAATACAATGCGTCCGAGGCGCGCGGACTGGCCGTCGAAGTCACCTTTGCATGGCTCTCAGCTACTGCGTGTGTGAGTCTTCTGGCGGCTCTCGCGGTGCGTACGATCCTTACAGAGCGAAGACGGTCGCTCAACTTACTTGCACCAGATCTCTGCGTGGAACACCCGCAAGTCCGTAAACCCACATCTGTTCGTACGCAGTCACGTTGCTGCGTATTTTGTGTCGCTGCTATGGTGCGACTTGATGCAGGGTATGGCGTACTATTGCTTGTGCCGATACGTGGTCTGACAAGGCTTCGCAGCATTCTCGGCCATGCTTAGTGTGAGGTGGCTCAATGAAGGTGCCGTGACGATGGGGTCGTATTGCACGTATCAGGGATTTCTCAAGCAGTCTGCGGATGTGTCAATGGCAGTATGGTGTGTAAAGCGATCATTTGAGGCGCATACATCCACTCATTTGCGAGATCGTAGGACGATGATGATTGCTTTGCACACATTCCTTGTCGTATTCCTTCGCTGGAGCATGCCGCGGCGTTCTATGTTCATTATGCTTGGCTTGGGATGGGGATTTGTTCTAATGATTGTCATCATTGGCCCGGCTGGCTACAAGAGCAATCTAGGACCATTCTGTAAGTAGTAAACCTACCTCGCTCGCTTCGTGTCTAATAACATGTTGGCCAGACGGCATCAACGGCTATTACTGCTGGATCTCTAGCAACTATGGAAACCAGCGTATCGTGTTGGATCTCCTCTGGGTGCGTGAATGTCCTTCCATCCGTGACTGTGTAACGATTGAGAATGATCCGTAGCTTTTCCTAGGTGCTATCCTGAGTTTCTTGTTGTACGGGTTGGTCTTCCTTAATCTGCGGGGCAACGTCACCACGTCGGGAATCTATCTGCGCCGCGACTCGAGGATGGTCAGGTTGGTCGATGAAGGCAGTGTGGCTATTGCCGGACAGATGCTCATCTATCCGGTGAGTCGCGTTCCGCTCATGCAAGGAATGCCTTTGCTCATGACCTCCTTTGCTCATGACCTGACTTACCGAAGATTGCCTTCACCATCCTGATTTTTCCCATGGCAGTCGTCCGCTTCGCGACGTGGTCCGGAACCGCTGTGACGGATGCCGTGAGCGCCTTTGGCGACACCGTGTTCCTGATGTGCGGTGAGCTGCATTGCGAGACTGTCCGAGACGTCAGTGTGTCTGATGATATTGGTGTTGTTTCTAGGGCTCGTTGATGTCCTCTTGTTCGTCCTGACCCGCCGAGTTTTACCGGAACACAGTGTCATTCCGAAGGGCTATTCACTCCGTTTCTGGCGCAAGAAAGACAGTGACAGCAGTCCACAACGCGCTGTTCCTGCTCGACCTATCATTGATCTCGATGCCGATCTCGAGAAGGCTGCCGAGAGCGATAAGTCTGATGAAGCTAGTCTTGATGAAAACGTCTTCAAGCGTGCGGAAAGCCCCGATGGTTCGGAGGATGACCACAACGAAGTCACGATCCGTGTGCAGAGCCAGGTCATTGACCGGATCCACCTACAACCCGGATACGACGGCCCTGCTACACCTCCTGGCCTGTCGCCTCAGCAAACTGGTGGCCGTACGCAGGAGCTCTCACTGAACAGTTCTCGCGGCATCGGCGTTCCTGATAACCAGAGGGAAAGTGAGTTCTCCGCCAGCGAGCTGCCGCCCCTTCCTCCGTCCGCGCATACCGCCTATGGCAGCCCTGTCCACACCAGCGGCCGTCACATCGAGACACCAGCTCGGACCGGTACGCCTGTGCATAGTGCGCGTTACGGCGAAGAGGCACCTGTCACTGCTGCATCCGCGCGCAGTCAACGTTATCACCAGGATGGGCACGCAATCCCGGAGCCCCCGAGGTATGCCACGGAAGAGTCGCAGTCTGTGCCCATCGCGGCCCACAGCCCCAGGTACCAGCAGGAGTTTGCGATTCCCGAGCCGGATCGTAGCCCCAGGTTCGCTGAGGAAGTCGTGCGCCACTTTGACGAACTCCCTGCTGCCACGCCCCTCCGAAGCGCGTTCTTCCCCGAGGAAGACCGTCGAGCGCCCAGTCCTCTGCACAGTACCCGCGACGAGACCCATGTCCCTACGCCCTTGCACAGCGCCCGTACCGTCCGTCATGACACCGATCCTGGGCGCATCCCGACCCCCGTCCAGAGTGCCCACAACGCCCACACCGAAGCCACGCCACCCATGACCAGTGCAGCCGCTCCCGACTCCGAGAGTCCGTACCGCGTCGAGCTCTCGGCGCCGTCTCCTCGCGCCGCGACCCCCGAGGTTCGCACCGCCGATGCCGGCTTGTCGCAGTACCGCTGCCGCAGCCCGCTGTTGAGCTCTCACCAAGGAGAATCCAGCCCGACGGACAGTAGCCTGTACACTGCGTCGGACGACGACGACCCGTTCCCCCCTAGCGTGCGCTCGCCCGCGCCTTACCACCAGTACCTGGGTACGCCCCGCAGCGCGACCTTCCCCAGCCGGGGCGCGCCCTCCAGTGCGCGCGAAGTCAACTTCTCCATGAGCGCGCGGCTGCCCGCTCCCAGCAGCAAGTGGCCGAGGTACTGAACGCAGTCTAGTATTTATCCTTTCTATGTCTTACGAGCTTAAGTTGCGATGACCACTTACGATATATTTATTGATGTGCCGTGGAATGTGCAGTGGACGCTACACGTCCTCCCTTTATCTGTGGATGCCATGATGGCCGTAATGTAACTTAGCATTGCATAATGGCACTCGTCGTAGGGAGTCAATGTAGGTTTCGGGCGAGCTGGAATGGAATGCATGTAGCATATCGTATCATGTCTGGGGCCGTGACAGGGTTTGTGCGTCCTCCGATGCTGCCGGTGTCATTCCAGCGAGTTCCATAACGCAAGGCCCCACCTCTCGGACACGTACAGGGCGGAGTTGAGCGGATCCCCGAAATAACCCCCTTATCCCTTAGTAATACGTCTGCTAAGTCTAAGTCGGGTTCAGCGCTCCAGCCTCTAGCTTCCGAAACTGCAACTGGTCTGTCACCGACGGCGCTGCCGCATCGAAGAGGTCGCGCGTCCACGCTCTGAGCGCGACAACTGCGAAATGAGGGGCAATATGAGTATGTAGGACGATGTGGAGGACGGATGGGGCGAGGGCTAAAAGCCAAAGGTATGTCTTTCTTGGTCGTGTCTAGTGCTCACCACGCATCTTCCTTGCCAGTACTAGTGCTATGCTCACGCAAGAAACCTCATTCCCTCACTCTGTATACAGCACTCCCAATAGAACACTCGACGTCTGACCACTTGCCTACGCCGGTTTCTACTTGCCCGCCGTCTGGCTCACCCACCGGCCGCTTGTATGTCCTCTTGGCCTCCACTTGCCTCTGCCCGTTCGGTCCGAGTCTTCGATTTCGCGCGTCCACGAGCTCACCTGCTAATACTTACACGCGCCTTCTTTATTGTTCACCCAAGTGCCTACCTATTCGCGCGAGGCCGCAGACAGCTCGCTCGTCTGGGCCGCGGTCACACGTCCACGTAGTCTCTGTGGCACACCAAAAACGCCAGCAACGCGTCCGCGTCCACGCACGATCGCTGCCGCTGCACGTCGTGAGATGCACCATGGTAATTGATTCCTCACTATCGTGACCTTCGTTACAATGCTTTTCGTACAAAGACTAGACGCCATGTACAGGCAACTGCCCTCCCCTTGGCCTCCCCCATTCAAAGATGTCGTGTTTAGAGTATGCCTACAGATAGAGTACCATTAGCAGTACACGTTAATTAGTATTTGGAGAATATATTCCAATTTTGCGCTGGTTTTGATTTTTTTTCTTTAGTTCCTGCAGGTAAGTCTTGGGATTCGCAGCCCGCCTGTGCGATTTTTGACCCTGGGGCCTTGTGTTATGGAACTCGCTGTCACACCAAGTGTTGGAAACCGCGTAAAAGGACAACGACTCCGATCCTAGGTGGCGCGCCTCACACCGAGGCTGTATAATGTCGTTCAGTCCCCAATGATATACGGGAACTGGCAATGGGTTGCACAAACCGGGGGATTTCATGAATGCGTATCGGAGGTGCCTCGGGGATGGCTCGGCGTTCGCCCTAATTTGGAGGGTGACCCATTGGGGGTGGTAGCCGCACGTCTTCCAGCCGTTTCCAGCCTATGTAATATCGCTCTACGAGTGGTCAGAGACCTCAGGAAGAAGAAAAAAACACTCAAACAAGCCAGCAAAAGCGACGCCAGCAGGACTCGAACCTGCGCCTTCAAAGAAGAACAGATCGATTCCACTCAACAAGCTGAGCTGGTTCTAATCTGTCGCCGTAACCACTTGGCTATAGCGCCTTGTTATCTGAGCAATTAATTAATTAATAGAGGGCTTTTTGACCTCTGCTGACAGTCATTCAAACCGATTCGCTTCATGCAGAATGCACTGAATCATACATACGCTGCTCGACATTTTTCTTGTACTCTGCATACAAAAGTGTTATTCTGGGCGGCGCCAGGCACGAGCATCCAGTAGAAGTCAGTCTACGCACGCAGGAGGAGATTAGGCGCGCATCGCTCACCTCCTTCCCTCAGCTCAGGCTCTTGAAAGTCATCTTACAGATTCTTACTAACTGTAGAGTTTCCGAATAGCACTCGGAGACTCACGATTGACAAGTCCGAATCCACCAGACCATTCCTCATGTCTACCTACAGTGATCATACATGTGGGCCGGATATCGCATAAGTACTATTAGATTCACGCTGGAGCCCGTATTGCAGGGCCCACTAACATGTTACCTCCCGCTCACCCTCACTCCTACTGTGGCCCGTAGGTCCTGATCAAAGTATGCCTATGGAAGACTAATGTCGCCTCCGAGAAGAGTTTGGCGAACAGGCAACGTCTTTGTTGATAATCGCAATTCGACGTCGATGTCAGACTGGATTATCTGCATAGGTGTAAGGCATATGTCACACAATAGGGCGTATCATGTTTGCTCACATATGTTCTACGGGACCAGATGTCGATCACCGCCGACCGGGTTCTACGTTACTTGTAAGCTGACGGAGATCCCTCGGGCATGCGGTATATCGCGTGGTCAAAAGTTATGGAGCACAGTCATTGACATACCTCGACTCTGCTTTGAGTGCGATCGTCACAGCCATTTTGTGAAGCGAAGGTGAGTCGGCACGTCATCTATGGCTATGCCTATGTACAGTCGTCGCAGAGGTCATCGTAGTGCGTGCCAAGGAAGAGGACCGCCGTAGACAGCTGTTTGTCCGCCTTCCGATGGTCCAGGACACCAGCTGAACAAAGGCGCGAGCTCCGGCGATGAAGAATGGTATGAATGAAAGCGAATGAAGGGATTCCGCGAACGTCGTTTCGAAAGAAGCATGTCGTGGCACCCATAAGTGTCGACGGTGTACGGCAGGTATCCATTGAGTCTCTGCGAGTGTTTGCTAAGTGGGCGATAGCATGAACGGTGGGTGACAAAACATTACCTCGCCTTCTTGGGCCTTGATTATCTCCTCTCCTTCCGCGTCTATGCCTATGTAATGGAAACGTTCACGAGGCCAGCGAATGGCTGCGCGATGGAGCTCTGTGAAACGCCGCCTTTTGAATTCATAACCTACGATGGTTATTTGAGACGGGTAGCGGCCGGTGTATTCGTGGAAGCGCGCTATAGAGTACAACAAGTTTTGGTATGAATCCAGCGCGTGATCTTCAGTCGTAGCTCGAGGCACGGAACGCGCCCGCAAGCCCGACGCCGATAAACTCGGAATGAGATCAGCAGCAAGCGCGAGCCGCATATACGACTCGGCTTCCGTGCTAGTTGACGTTGGTCGTGTCTGACCACTTTTGTAGGCGTCAGTAATATCACTCTAAATGCAGGCACAGGCAAGAGCCCACCCGCTGAAAACGATCAATGCACGCTCGTCCTGCCGCGCGAGCTCAGCACTACTCAGAGACGGGTAAGCCAGACGCGCGGCTGCAAGCTTCGCGGACGCACTCACCCAGCTGCTATATGCTGGTAGAATGCAGCGACACGCCCTCCTCCTCTCTGATATGGCTCCAAGATCCACTCCTCGTCGTCTAATCTTCGCCTCACGTCGGTGCCTTTCCATATCGCGTGCCCCGGGACCATGATGAGGTGGTCTATTGCTGAGAGAGCGTCATGTCGCTGTATGGTCGACAATATATCAGACGGTGGCGGATGATGTAGGAGCTGCTGATGAAGAAGGCCTCGCGGTGAAGAAAAGTAGTAGCTTAGGTTGAAGAGTAAGGACAGGACGGTGGCACCCGACAAAAGTAAAAGACCAAGGTTGGTGACCCGAGCACGCATCAGCAGCACATCCTTCGTGCTTTTCGAATGTCGGAGGCCATTTCTTGATAGCTGACGTTTTCGAAACGACACAGGGAGAGGAAGCATGAAGTGCGCCGACGGAGATCGTGGACGGGGTCGGAAGGCATGCTGCGCGACTAGCCGAACCCTAGTCCATCCAGAGCTGAACCGAATCGACCCTCTATCCTTATCTATGTAGATCCAAGTATAGTATTTAAGAATACCGTAATCTCAGCGGCGGGTTCTACGGTCAAGCAGCGTCCTCACACCGGCGTCCGTCACTACAACATTTGTGAAGGGCTGTTCATTCCCTAAGGCGAACAAGCAACGTCCACTGCTTGCCGCTACATAGCCATTGGTCCTCAAGTTCATTCAGATCTCCGTCTGAGTAGCGGGATCTTCTCGCTGAAGCTGTGTAGAATGTGACCACGCTCTCTCCTCACGTAGCCCAGATAGGTTGTGGCACCAATGACGACGCTCACGAAAGAGGTCAGAGCAGCTGTCCGGAACTGAGACGGCCGTGAAAGTATCATCGTGAGGACATACTGTACATAAGTATCAGCATTCACCATCAAGTCATTACGGCTGTGACGGATGATGCTCACCTTCAGCATGTCGGCAATGTTCTGTAGCGAGTATTGCAGCGCAGATCTGTGGCAATTTTTCAGCCCGTCAGAACAGAACAGGGAGCAATAGGTCGCCCACATCGCGTTCCGCCTCGGGTGCGAAGCTAATGCTAGCTGCAGTTCTTTCAACTGGCATAGGTCGAAGGCCCAGAGACCTATCCTTGAAAGCATCATTCCTGGACTTTCTTAGCGTGATACTATCAAAGAACAACCAAATTCGCGTACCTCCGAACAGAAGTGCCGACTTCCAGGCTGGTCCGTGAGCATTTGGCTGACCACCACCGACGAAGAATGACAAGGTCACCGGAAGCAGACAGACGACTTCCGACCTAAAGGATAGAATGGATTAATGGTGCGTTTTGGTTGAGCGTATATCTTTACCATATACTCCAGTTTCCGGCGCGTACAAGGCCGAGCCTTCTCTCCAAGAACGGCATAGCCACTGTTCCGAGGAGACCTGCGACAACGTTGAGACCGCGCATCCCAGCGATAAAAGGGTCCGTGTAGGACTCCGACTTGAGATAGCTGATCATCGTGCCGTCAAAGCTGAGGACAGTGAAGTATAGACACGAGATGGATATCGAGGACAGGAAGATCGGATGCTGGATGAATTCGTGCCAGTCTGACAAAGTGGCGCGTAGATATGACTGTATTGTGGTGACGAGGTTGACGATTAGGCCAGAGGTTTGCTCATCCCTGCGAAGCGGTGCCTGCCGCTGCTGTTCGGCTTGCCTTGCAGCTTGTGCTATCAGCAAGGAGGGGAATCGCTGATAGACGATGTCGACCCCTAGGGCAGGGTAATCAGAGAATATACAACATTTGAAACGGTACGGATACATACATAGTAACTCGAACACAATGCATACCGCTTCGACGCCGCAGAGGCAATATGCAGTGATGATGTTCGAAGTTACGCTGGTGAGCAGGGAGACGAAAAGCGGCGCGAGCAGCTTGCACAATAGGTCAATGCGTCGCATGTACGTGTTGATCAAAGTGAGGTGCTCCGATGATCCCTCGGCAATGACTGTCACCCAGTCCCTCTCAATTGCGACGGACAGCGCAACCCCGGAAAGATTCTGGATACAGCCACATATGACGATGAGGGCAAACATTGCTGCGTCCAAAGGAGTTGACCATTTCTGCGTCAATTGCTCCTCCATTCCGAGGCGGTAGAACAGGACGAGAGAGCCCGCGTATGCTCCGCATGCCGATGCCTTCACTACCATGATGCAGACCCGTACCAGACGGAGGTTATTCCGGATGTCAACCTGGTGCCCGGCCCATCCTGAGAGAACGATGGCAGTCCCCGTCGTCAGGAAACCGAATATAGAAGCCGGCAGCAGGGAGTCGGGGAACAGCGTGACGAGGAAGAGGTAAATCGCAAATTCAGCAGTACGCGAGCCCCAAGAGCTACATGAATTATGTCTGAACCATGGCTTCATCTGACGAATGCATGTGTACTGACATACCTCGAAAAGTGCTGCACAAGAAGCAGGATGAGCGCCTTTCGATCGAGAGATGCATTTGCCGTATCCAGATTGGCCGTTTCTGCGACACTGGGAGCCTGAGGCGGCAAATCTACATCAATCATGGGATCCGGGACCTTGAAATGCTGCTGTTTTGAGACGCTTGGAGATGTCATCTCCAACGTGGGATCGAAGTCCGCAGGGGACGCAAGGCTGCCGCCTGCGCTGCGCTCCTCCAACGCGAGTTCCGAGTCGACGACATGCATGATAGATGGATCCCTAGTAGGGTTTTCGTGTGGATCCGAGGGGGATCCGTCTACATGCATAGACTGTAGGGGGCATAATCGAATCCTCGGAGTGTGTGTGAATCCAAGCAACGCCGGTACAGTACAAGCAAATGTGGCGCCACAACGAACCTACAAGTGCAGGCGCCCGTGTTTAACGCTCAGCGCTCTGAGTCCGCCTCAGTGAGTAACACTAACAGACCGTAGCATGGCAGCAACCTGGATCTATTGCACTGGTCTCTCGGTACGCATCCAACTCACTTCAAATTGACCTCTGAAAACCTTATTTCCAAATGATGACCTGCCATGGGCCGCAACCATCCGAGCCGTACTGAGATGTGGGCGGGTCACGTACAAGTGTGAACAGTTGGTGAAGCTTTGGAGGACGGACCAATTTGCCGAATGTGCATTTCTTGACGATTTGAGGTTGTGCAATAGTTACGCATCTAATCCATCTAATCACCCGCGCAAATAGATAGTAGGGGCGGAAGAGCGTAAGTAGCGATGGCATTCAGCGTACGTTCTGTCAGTGACCTTTCGCGAGCTCCCGCTCAATGGCCCACTTGACAGCCTCCTCGACGTCGCTCGCTTGGTGAGTCGGAGTGTGCGAGGGGGGACCCTGCTGAGGGTCATACACTCCGGTATGCACTAGCACAGACGACCAGCCTGCAGCGTTCGCTCCAGCTATATCTGCGACAGATATTGGCTCCCGTCCCATTGAACCTCTCACAACGAAGCTTACCTGATTCAGGGTTGTCTGAGCACGGGCGCAGACACATCAGCATGGGCAAATCATATACTCATGAGGCCAGTACAAACCTCCCACCATATACCTAGGACGCCAGGTTAAGCATGGTCGGTAACACGTATGGCATTCATACTCACACGCGCGGTGGTCTGTCAGCCAGTTGGCCATACAGTTCGTTGAACCGGTCATGCAAGACTTGTTTGGTAAACTGATAGGTGGCCTCCGTCGGTTTCCCAAATTGCACGTACGGGTACTCTGCACCAGACACGGCCTATCACGGGTCAGTGACCAGCACTCAGCGGTGTGTGTCATGTACCTTGTAGACGGCCTGGAACGCAATCCTGAAGCCGCCCTGCCCGAGTCGAGGTCGCTCGAAGTTTGCTTTCCACAGCAGGTCTGGATTGCAGAATATGAGCTCCGGGCGCCGATGCTGACTGGCCTGTGTCGTGCTGTCACGTCCCACCGTGCCGCCGGGGCCACCATGTGGCCCTCCAATGATACCGCCCGACTGGAAGACATCACACAGAATTTGGATGTCCAATGCCCAATTGCGGGGGTCATGGAAGACGAAGGCGGCGGCGATGGGCGTTTGTGTGAAGTCGACTTCCTGTATGGCACCGAGCTTTGCGGTAAGAATAGCCAGCTATTTGCGCCGTGGGAGGGAACAGACCTTTGTTGACTGCCGTTCCAACTCGGTTAGATCGTGGAAGGGCCAGACCCTACCAGCCTTTTAATACATATGCGGCCAGATGCGTGCGGTTCAACCTACGCAGGATTCCATGCGAGCACGTCTAGAGTGGTGTAGGCTTTGCTGAATCCATAACTAACGCAGGATATATTCAGCGTCCGAGTGCGATGCCGAATAAGTCTAGATTGCACCCTTCAGCCACTTTGCGCACTTCATCATTTCTCCCTCCAAGGACTAGTACGGGAAGGTTGGCATACTTCTCCACTATTTGCTTTAAGACGGTATGTGACTGGATAATGTGTGTCTTGTCGATCTGTATGAGGTCTCTCAGTGTATGGTCCGCAGACGACTCAGACACGAGGCCGACCTCGAATCCGAGAATCGAGGTGAGCTTTTTGCAGCGGGCCTCCTCGGATGTGCCGCCTCCGTTGGTCAGCTACGCAACATCGTGTTTTTTCTGTCAGAAAACTAGGGCACCACCCGGCAATGCACTGCGCGCACCAAAATATAGGGTATCTTGCTTGCATCAACTCCATCAGCACGCTGCCGGACACGCTGCAGATTGAATGGACACACCTTCCGGTAGGATTGGCTCCTTCGAGTATAGCGAGCGCACGCTTAGCAGCTGGTATCGCCTGAGAGCCGCGCAAAAGGACGCCATCCTTGTGGAATAAGCGTTCAATGTGGTATGGTCTAGAGTCATGCCGTAGAGTGGCAGCCTATCGACGTACGATATCGAACGCAAAGGCTAGCGGAGGGAAGGTATCCTTGAGAGGCGTGTTGGCTGCGATATTGTCCACATTATATCAGAGACAACGCCGATGTATCGTCGGCTTACATTGGTATGAGCGATGTGCGTAATGCCATTGCGAGATACTAGCAGGTTGTCTAGGTAGCTTCCAAAGCGAAGGTACATTAGACAAGGCACGAGCACGTATCATAGAGGCTTGGCTCCGGAGCAGCAACCAGGCGAGAACGTCTATGAGTAACGGTCGGAAGTAAGTGCGTTCTGAGTCGGTGGCGGATCGAAGGACGTAGCCTTTCCCGATTTCTGAGCCTGCATTGTCACGTGTCCATGCTACACACAATGATCTCTTCGAGACTTCGACCGTGACTCCATTGGGTATTTACAAGCCCTTCCAGTAGGCAGAACTTGTGGCACGATATTACATCAACACGCCGGCATGTTATACCACAAGGAGGTAAATAGGAATGTACACACAGAAGGATCAATATATGATATCGTTGTACTACAAGCTCCAAATGGCAGCGATTGTCCCTACCAGTGACCGGTTGACCACTGGTATCACAGTGCCTGTAAATGAGCCATCTACTACAGGTACGAAGCTCGCACGCGCGGTTAGTACTGTAACTTCACACAGCTTCACACGCGATGTGTCGCGAGTGGGGGACCCGTCAACAAGAACACGAATCACGGCAAAAGACAGGTGTTGCCACTGGCCGCGCCGGTGAGATCAGCCAGCCATTCGGACCGATATGTAAGTGCGCTGGTATGCACGCACAAGCTGCGATGGAGGCGGTGGCCGTTGGCATACAACAGTGGGCGACACTTCTCCGAAAGAGTCGGCCCATCTGACAGCCGCAACTCCGCGGCTCTGAAGCCGCAAAGGTATACGTACCGCCTCATAGCCAGTTATCTGTTGCCTCCCGAGCGCCGCTCTGCGCGCCACAGACAACGTGAACCACAGGCATGTTCGGCCAAGAGGACGCCTCACGCGTGTATGTAAGTACAAGTCGTCTTGGCGAGAATCCGTCATGTCGAGTCAGCGCCCATGCCAGCATAGGTCGCTCGTTGCTGGGCGACCTGTGGTGTATGTGATGCCACGGAGTAACTTACCTGCGCAAATTCGATTGGGTTGGGCAACGGTCCCTTTCGGTCCCTGGGCCTGAGGCATCCCAAATCCCAAGGCACCAAGACGGATGCATTCCGAGCGTTCGGAAGCAGACCGAATGCTGAACGGACATGAGGAGCCGCCGCACGCGGGGAACAGACCGATTGAGAATGACTTGTCCTGGGAGGTGGCGGTACAGGAACAGCCCACATGACAGATAGGATGGTGCGCATCGTGGTGGGGTTGTCCAGCATCTGCACAAGGAACGTGGCCAACCGCGACTGCCACCGTCGCCGCTCGGGGCGAGTGAGATTGCGAAACCCTGGCGTTGTCGTGAGCAGAGTCCTGAGCTGGTCGCGGGGGCCACAGCCAAGATCATGATGGTGGTGTCCAGTAGCTTGGAGGCAGAAAGATAGTGGGAAGAAGAATAGCAATGTGGACGGAGGCAGCGAGAAGCACAGGGTCCGAGTGCAGGGTTCAGAACGGATGCTTATGTCACCCGAGAGCCGCCCATCCATCTCTCTTTGACCGCGTCCCTCCTCCGTCTCTCTCTCCTGTCCGCCTGGCCACCCCCGCCTGCCGTCGTCCTCCACGACCTCCGTCCGCGGCTCACCCGCCCTCGTGCGACTCCTCCGGATAGTCAGCTGATTCGCAGTTGCTTCCGCTGCCTACTTGCCGCGCCTCGCTCTGGTGGATCTCTAGAGCAACCCAGTGGGGCCGACGCCGCTATCAGCCTGCATTGCCTCTGGACAGTCTTCTTCTTGATTTATGTCGCCCAGAGCGCTGGCAACTGTCTTCATCTTCTCTGTACTTGCCTAAGTCACCATGCCGGTGGTATCGAGACCCCAGCGTCCCGAAGCAATTCAGGCGAAGTACAACGTTACCGTCGATTGTAAGTCAAAAGCGTTCAGGTGGTGTGCTGTGTTATGCACACACACTGGTACCGGACGAACTGTGCGACCTGACGCACAACTTGTAGTTCCACACTTGGGTCTTCATACCGCTGCAGCTACGGGCAATCTGGGGCTAGTCAAGTACGCGCTTGACCATGGCCAACCAATCAACTCGGTATTGGACGGGGTACTACCTTTGCATGCGGCGTGTTCAGGAGGCAATGACCACGTCGTTCGGTTGTTGATCGAGAAGGGTGCGGATGTGAATGCGCCTCGGTGAGTAACACATATATATCGACCTCTCGCAGGCATTGAGTGTAGCGTTCGTCCACGCCTTGCAGGTTACCGCGGCGATACACCAGCGACAAAAATCGAGATACGTCGGCGCCGATCGTGGGTACGTCTGGATCGACGCCCCTTCATTTCGCCTGTGCGAACGGGCACACCCCCGTTGTGCTCACGTTGCTCATGCATGGCGCACACCCCGATCGCGCCGACAAACACGGGACCACGCCGGAGATGCTTGCACGGCAGAATGGCTGGACGGCCTGTGCGGAGGTCTTGCACAACTGGAGCCTTAACAAAGATCGGGACCTTCGGGAGAAAGAGGAGTTGACTCCATCGCAAACTGGCGACGCAAGCGCCATCATCGATACCAAGCATGTCTGTGGAGGTCATGAGTGCCGGTTTTGCACTAGCAAGAGGTTGCGGGTAAAGCGGTCCATTGACCACGCTCTGAACATGCTGAAACCATCACTTTCGCAACTGCACTCGTCAACTCTCGGGGAGAGTGCGGGTACGACTTTGGAGACCATCATCGCTTCACCGTTGCTTCCCACAGACTCTTTCGGTGAATCCTTACTGCGATCCAGCTCGGAATTGGCTGCTGCATCTGACTCTCCGGAACGTCGACCGTCGCTTCCCGACGTCTTCGACCCTTCGCAGACGATGCCGATGTCGCGACGTTCACATGGCGGTACGGGGACGAGCTCGCGGAGACCTCGATCGGCAGGGAACAACGCGGAGCAGCAAACAGTTGGTCGACGGGTGAAGGGGAAAGTGTCGCTTCTAAGTATGTTCAAGAAAGGCGACACGTCCATTGCACCTGAAGGCTCGCCCGGCCATGCGTCTAGCTCGTACACACCATCGATAGCCTCAGCATCTGCGTCTCCACCTCCTGGCACTCCCAGACGTTCAGATGTCCATGCTTCAAGCTCAACGAGCGATGCTTTCGTTCCTTCATCCAGACTTTCCGACCATGCTTCTTATTCGGACATGACGATCCAAGGACGGCCACGAGGTCGTGTATTTAGCGAAGGCGAAGCCACCCGGGTGCCCCCATTACCCACGGCCGTCGACTTGCACCGCGTGCTGTCTGACGAGCGGTCAAGGACCCTGTCTAGTCCGAACGTCCCGGATGGTCAGCTGCCCGAATCCTCGTCTGGCTCGCTGTCGGGAAACCGGAGCCCATCTGTGCGGCCTGGCATTCTCCGCCCGCATAACCGTTCTATCTCCCAGCAGTCCCAACCCGACAGTCCGCGGTCAGGCTCCGTCGGCCCTCCCTCATCCCGTTCTTTGCGTTTTGACTCTCCGACCACCGCGACTCCCGCACGATCGAGCGATGACCGCCGACAGTCTAGTCATAGTCCAGCCAGGAGTCTCAAGATGGCACGCAGCGTCAGTTCGATGCGGAGTATCGGTGCAGTGGAAGCCACCCGGTCACCCTTGAGGACCGCTATCGACATTGCTGAGCCTTCGTATGACGTGGGGGCCACTGACGAACCTCACAATGTCTTTGATGAGGACGAGGAAGAGTACGGGGAGCCCATCGTCACGGAAGACCATATTACAGAACTCGACTCGCGTCTCAACGCACTCCAGGTCATCGAGGGCCCGAAGCGAAACTCGCTGCTCTCGCAAGGATCGTTGTCGCCTCTACCATCGCCTTCCAGGCTGACCGCAGCCAACGGCTTCGATTGCCCGTTCAGCATCAACGAGCCGCCGCCGGACGACGTCGATTCTCCTACGCGCCAGACCTTCCTCGGCGTGAACGGTAACGAGAATCGGATGCGTGGCGATTCCATGAGTAGCATGAGCACGAATGGGACTAGTGGGTACCTCCCTACGCCAGGGGTGCAGCAGTCGCAGTTGCCGTCCCCGTGGATCACCTCGAGCACATCGACGCCGCCAGAGTATCCCTCGATGGACCATGGAGGCCGGAGAAGGATCCAGCGCACGCCGTCTTCCACATACTCCAACGATACGGAGCCGGTTCACAAACCCAAGGGACCCCCTAGTGCCCTCGACATTGACATCGGGTCCATCTCGTCGTACGCACAGGCAGAGGCCTTGGTGCAGCGTGCGCAGCAGAGCATCTTGGAGTTGCAGGACATACAGGTAGCATATGCGCCGCCGAGCGCGGGTATCAGTGCTGGTCACACACCGTTGAGCGCGAAACTGGCGGCGTACGGGGAGAGTCTTGCTATTGAGCGGAAGTTTAGACAGGAGGAGGAGAAGCGGAGCAGCTCTTCGACAGTGCGAAGCCGCCGTCCCTCGGAGTTGAGTACGCGTTCACGGCAAGACACGATTGAGAGCAGCCCTGGGGCGAAGTCGTTGGACAGGAAGTTCAGTCTGGAGGAGAGGCCGCATAACCGCACCATCAGGCAGTCGAAAGTGCGAAGGCCGCACACTGCTGGCAGCACCGGTGAGTGTTTTTATCTGGTCTCATGTGCTCGCCTGTGGCAGGGCTGATACCAACATCATCGTCCAGCATCATCAGACATACTTGCGACGCCACCCAGGCCTGGGAGATCAATACCGTCCCCGCGCCACTTTCCCGCGTCCGGGTCGCAACACGCTACACGGTCGAGTTCAGATCAACGCGTCGGTGATATTGCGACTTCGTACCCTCCGCCGATGTCCTCGTTCCTCACGACGGAGACAGACATGTATGCCGCCGGGTCGAGACCTAGGGTGCCTCGCTCGCGCACACCTGATCCTAGTCTTGATGACCCCCTGGACCGCGGAGCCACGACTGGCGTCCCGCTTTCTCGCATATCGACGGCCCCCGTTCAGGACGCCTACCTCAAGCCCAAGCGCGGGCTCACCGACCAGGAGCGGCAGGTCGCGCGGGCGACGAAGCTTGTGAAGATGGGCTTTTCCACTGCCGACTCATTCACAGCGACTAGCGTCAACCGTAACCAGACCGCGAACAGACACCGTTTCGGAGGCTTCAAAGGTTTCGTGCAGAGCCTCACCGGAAAGTGAACTCTTTTGGGTTTCACTTCTACGTTCCGCTCATGGGGCGCACCTGTTCATCGTCTATCCATGCGCCTGTTTCACCTTCCACTCTGCCCATATGTTATCGCTCATTATCGCTGCATCCCTCTCGCTCTCTGACCTGCTGTTGTTCCCTATCACTATTTGCGGATGTACGAGAAGTCGTGTAGCCATTGTATAAGTACCCCCCTCATTTGTTCCGGATTCGTTCTCGAGTTATAGCGCTAAGTTACATCGTCCGCACACCCATGTATACGTTTACTCGCGCATTTGTACCAGTTATTTTGTCCACACATCTTCGAGCCTCGCTGGCCAGCTTCAACCTGTGACAAGGACAACCATTGTAAGGGGCGCTTGTTTGCTGCCGTCGGCGGAGAGGCCGCGACAGCGCTGGGCGCTTGCGGGCGAGATCAATGGGCGTCCAGCGCAAGATAGTCGCCGATAGCATATATGCTGCCCGAGCCTCACCGGAGCGACCAAGACCGTACCGTTCACCACCGTCTACGTCGACTGCCTACAGGTACTCCCATACAATGTCCACCAATGTAGCAGACACGACTCTTTCCTCAGGCAGCACCGCAGTCGACAACGGCTCGCCAGACACACAGGTGGACTTCAAGAAAGATGGATCCGCTTCGCGCATGCGCCTGCACAAGGGGAACATCCCTACCATGCCACAGACGAAGTCCTGCCCGATGTGCCCTGCGAAGTTCACTCGGACGACGCATCTAAGTCGTCACCTGCGTACCCGTGCGTGCTTGAAGTTGTGAGCGCATACATGATCGTCTTGCGCTCATACATGGTTCCTTGCAGACACCCGGGACAAGCTGCATGAATGCGATGTGAGCGGTTCAACAATTCTCTCGTATCTCTGTTACTCATGGTGTGCAACGTGCAGAAATGTCATTCTGAGTTCACGCGGAGTGACCTCCTGACAAGGCACAAACGAAGCTGCGGGGATCCGTGAGTGTCCAATTCTCTGTCTAGGTTTCCCTATTCGTCCGCTGGCTCTACTCTTGCTCTACTCGTCCGGCTTTCGGAGGGGCGGTTCCCAGTCGCATGCTTGGCCGTGCGATCTGGCCCAGAGTTGCGTGCTCAGCAGGACAATGTATCACGTATCACGAACCGTGCACTATGCTCCGGTCTTCCTTCACGATAGGCACCGACGCGTAGTAGCGAGACACGTACTGATGCATGATGGATCGTCCAACAGAACTGCCAACCGCTCCCGCCGCAAATCATGCAAAGCATGTGCCGATTCCAAGGTGAAATGCGACCTGCAGCAGCCCTGCTCCAAATGCCGCACACGGGGAAGGGAGTGTATATACGTCTCTGGCCACTCAGTCTCTTCTGGTTCACGGATTGCCAAAGAGGAGTCGAAGGTTCTCGATGCATTCGACGAAGAACTGGCTAACATGCTTGCTAATCCGTCCCTTGCTTCGTCATCAACCGCCCGCACCCTGACGCCTGATGGCTATCTGAATCAACACACGGTGCCGAGCGTTGACGCCAGCGCTATCCCTCCCCCCGCAGGCGGGCAGCTTACTACGCCACTCCCCTCTGCTACATATACGTCCGCCACTGTCGACTTCGCGATCGCCAGTAGTTCCATGTTTGCCCAAATCGACAACCCGGACACCGCCCACACCAGCATGCACGGCGGGCCGAACGGCGTGTTTGATGCTGGCGAGATGTTCGACGATCTCTTCGGCGGCATGTTCGGGCCCAGTCAACAGATGATGCCACCACCCGACTTCAGCTTTTCCGGCAAGGGTACGGACGCGGCGGGTGCTTCGCCCGACGTCGGGGGCAGCCAGAGCAGCGATGTGTCGTTGGCTAGCACTCCTTTCCCCGCCGCATTGTTCGATCTGTCGACAATGCCACTATCGACCAGCAATCAGTACTCGTTCGATGCCTCGCCTTCAGCAAGTTCAAGTATGGCCTCATCAAGCAGTCCCGGCTCGTCTGGCAGTGCTAGTTCATCCAGTGTCAAGGACATGCAAGGTATCACAATACCTGACGGTCTCTCACCTGCTTGTCTCTTGACCTACTGTGCGTCGGACATTATTTCATACGTCGGGCATTCGTTGATGCTTGTACCCCAGTGTCGTTCTTCTTCTCAGCGTATCTCACAAACATGCCAATTGTACATGCCGCGACTTTCGTTCGCGAGGGCAGGCACCCTTTGTTAATAACTGCTATGGAGACATGCGGCGCGCTATACGTGAAGACACGCAAAGCCATCGACTTTATCGACCAAAATCTCGCAAGAGCCCGAGACGAGTTAGTCGTGGAGTTTGTAAGCGTCATTCGCTTTTTGCACTGCAACGATGACTGAGATATCTCGTCCAGGCAAAGGGGGCCTCATCACGCGACTGGGAGCGTCAGATTGACCTGGTACTTGCGGCGGACTTATTCCAGACCGTCGGTTTGTTCCACCAGAGCTCAGAGCAGCGCTCGTTCTCGAACGTATACCATGGTATATTTGCTATGGTACGTTCTGTCTCACGGCGAATGCAGCGCGCTCTGACTGCTCGCCGTAGATGATCCGTCTAAACGGTTTCGCTGATAAATGCCTGGAATGGAATGCTCCTGAGGATATCAATGCCTCCAATGTTGAGCAAGTTTGGCGGGAGTGGGCCAAGCACGAGACCGCCCGCAGGTCCGTTACTTCTCAGAAAGGGTTGCGAGTTTCGTTGGCTGACTTGAGATCGGCAGAGGGCTCGCTGTCTCGTACATGCATGATTGCTGCCACTGCCTCTACTTCAACTTACGCCCGACGTACGAGTCGGCTACATTTGACATGTATTTGCCATGTGAGGATGCGCTGTGGACCGCATCGTCGGCTGAGGATTGGTTATCCATTCTCCGCAAGCCCTCGCGATATGGCAACATGCAGCAGCGCCTCGATGGTCCGCGGCTGCAAAAGGCTTACCGGAAGCTCGCCGAACCGAGCGAGGCTCTATCACCACCACCCGTCTTTAACCCGTGGCAGCACTTCATACTCGTCCACGTCCTCCTTCGGCAGCTCTTCGAGGAATATATCGAGGCTCGGTCACCAGAGTCGGAGGGCGGGCAGGCCCCTGCCACTTCGGGACCGCAGACCGAGTACATCAGCCAGGACCGCATCTTCAGCTTCCAGGCGACGCTGCACCGGTGGCTGCAGAGCTGGCTCCAGTCACCGCACTCGCCGCAGTACTCGGAGCTGGAGCCGCGCTTCGTCGAGCAGGCGCTGCCGTACTACTGGATCGCGCAGGTCGCCATCATGGCGTACCAGGAGCGGCTGCCGCCGTTCTGCACGGGCACGATGTACCTCGTGTCGGGCGAGGCGAAGTTCCGCCTGATGAAGAAGTGGGAGAAGCAATCCGGAATTTCCTGCGGAGGGGAGGGAAGGAGCCGACGCTGTCGTTTGCTGAGCTGGTGAACGTGCGGCTACGGAAGTGGGACGCGAATGCGGGCCATGAAGATGACCCTGTCAATCTCTTGGGTTCTTCCCGCAGATGTAGATATGTGCGATTGTGCGATGTGCGAGTGCGTTACGAGTGTGTTACGATGTCACGGGTCGGTCTGTTCACGTATTGGATACTAACTTATGTCGAGGTCCATTGACAGGACCTGTGAATAATATATCGAGTCCCGCTGTCTCTTGGGCGCGCATTGATTTTTACGATGTGCATGTTGGCATAATGTATGCTCTTCAGCAGCGGCGAGTGCATGGTGTGGTATGGGCCTTTCTTAGCATGCCTAGCATCACATCCACGCCCTCCGTGGCCGCTTTCAACAAGTCAGATTCCCCTAGGACGTACACCAGAGTTCATCCCAAGTTCATCCTGACTGATCACGGTTATCGGACACGGCGCTGTGTAGACACGATTGACAGATGGGCCAAGACTAAACTTGTTCGGACTCCTTTCCGTTGATATAGGGCGTGAGCACAGTTGACACGCGGCCATTTCTGAATTGTTTTGGTACAACCGTCAGGCAGCTCGCAGACGCGATCATGTCTAACGTGGGAGGCCGCTAACGACGCGGCTGTGTCGGTGTGCTTCCGGAGTCGTTCGCGAGCTGGCGGCGCATTCGACGAAGCAGAGATGCATCAGGATTTCATTTTGCCGGAGTGTTACGCCCCGCGCCACCGTCGGTCGCCTTGGTGAGGTCGTCGCGTATGGTACGGTGCCGCCACTGCGCCGGGTGGTAAGCGGCGACGGGACGCCCAAAAAGGAAGGGAAGGCGCGCATACCCTCCCGTCGATATGATGCGCAAGCCACGCGAACCTGGCCAATAGGCTGGCGGCGCTAAGCTATCGTCCGCCACCGTTCGGGAGGCTAGGAGTAGACCGAGGTCTCGTCCGTGTCTAAGGCGGTTTAGGAGGCTGGCTAGGGACTCTATAGGGATATGGGAAGACCTATGACCTGAGTGGGACCGCGATACGCAATATCGCGGCAAGGGCTGCCCGTCCGTCCTGCAATCTGCCAACTCGTGTCCATCGAGCACGGTCAGCGAAATCTACAGTGCCGTGACACTGGGTGGCGTTGGTGCCCTGTTCTACGCGGCGACGTAATCGCAAGGGGGAAGGGTTGATCTCCGCCTCGAGATTGCGTACTCCGCTGCCATCTGGGGCGAGATCTGAGATTGGATTGCGATCACTCGCGGAGAAATGAGACGCTGCTAGCCCGATGCGGAAGGTGCGCGCGAAAGCGAAGGTGTGCTGCACCGTCCTGCGCGCGCGTTATATACGTCCAGCAACCGCGGCTGCTCTCCCTCATTCATGCCGTCCCCTCTCCCCTCATAACCCCCCCTCCTCTCCGGTCCAGGCTCGACTTCATGGCTATGGGTGGTCTGCCTCGCACACGCTCCCTCAGGGACGTTGTCCTTATCCTCCTCGGTGCCACCTCAATGCACATCGCCTCAGTCTTCATGGGGTTCAACGAACCCACAGGATCTATCATCGTGAAGACCGAGGTCAGCTCCACTTTCTAGAGGACTTCAACAACACACTTGCGACACCCCCCACTGATGACCGAGAGCCGTCGAGAGAACGCGATGTACAGAAGGTACTCGACCCCGGGAGGGTCACGTTCGACGTCGCCTATGAGCTTCCAGAGACGACAGTTCTATCGCACGCGCCCGGATGGACCGTCTTCCGAAACCTCTACATGTCGAACGGAACCATGTACATCGTCTCGTCCGAGCCCGCCTCGTCCTTCCCTCCCGTCCGCATGATGACCTCCACCGGCCTTGCCGCAGAGAACACCCCGAAAACATCGCAGCGCGCGAGCCGACCGCACAAGACATGGACTTCCTCACTCCGGCTGAGGCACGACGACGCTGGGGCGGCAACGCCGATCAAGCGGAACGGAATCGCGTCTGGTCCGTTGGTGGGAACACGGTTCTCGTTAATGAGCCCCCGCAATTCCTCGATCATTACTATCACTTCTGCGCCGAGCTCATGCTGGGCGTCTGGCCCTTCTGGCTCGGTACGTTCAACGTGCCTGTGGCCGCCTCCTCCCCCAGTGTAGAGGCGGCCCCGCATCTCGACCGCATGATCTTCTTACACGCCGAGGCTATGGGATGGCGGGACAGACCAGGCTTCAACTCATACTTCCTCCGCTCCGCCTTCCCCTCCATCACAGTCGAGGTCGAGACCGACTGGAAGGACCGCATCGCCGCGACAGCGACCAACGGTGTCCCGGAGCGAGCGTGGCACTTCGACACGCTCATGCTGACCGATCGGTCTGCCGCGTTCCGCGGGGAGTCGTGTGGCAGCCGGAATCAGCGCATCGCGAGCGAGGCGTCGAGCACATGGAGAAGCTGGGTACGCTCTCAAAGTGGTGGTGGGAGCCCTTGCGGCAGGCAGTCCTGCGCTTCGCGGGAGTCGACCAGGAGACGCTGGAGATCGGCGTGAAGGCGGACGCGGTCGCGGCGCGGAAGGACGGTGCCGAGGTCGGTTGGGCGGGCTCGACGTCCCTGAGCAAGCCGCAGCCGATCGTGATCACCTACATCAGCAGGCAGGGCGCCCGGAGGCACCTCATTGACGAGGACCACCAGGCGTTGGTGCACGCGTTGACGGCGATGTGCGCCGCACACGATTGGGAACTCAACATCGTCCAGGCGGAGCATCTCACCCATGATGAGCAGATGAAATTGATTGCGCGCACCACGGTATGCTCGGACGTTCTTCTGCGTAATCATAGTCTCATGGTGTTCTTAGATTCTCCTCGGTGTGCATGGCAATGGGCTGACGGTGAGTACAAACCTCTTCGGCTGCTCCTCGGTGCTGAATATGGATCTACGTACCAGCATTTGATCATGATGCCGGTTACTCCCATTTCAACTGTCATCGAGATCTTCTACCCCACAGGATACGCGAACGACTACAAATGGACAACACACGCTTTGGGCATGAAGCACTTCGCCATTTGGAACGACACGTGAGTTCCGCGTTGTGACTCAGTGCTTCAGATACTCAAGGTCGGGATAATGGCTACAGCTATCACACATACCCGGAACAACTGAGTCCGAACTATCCTGAGGGCTTCCAGGGCACCCAGATCCCAGTCTACGCACCGATCATCACGCAGATCATCCAGAACCGCATCGCGGGAAGGCTGCCATGAACTCGCAGAGGGACTTCCTCGCGGGCTGCACCAGAGACACTTCGCCCGCACGCCTTACATTTTTACCGATTTTTGTACGTAGGATACTCGGTCCGCATCGTAGCAACCACGTTCGTTTGTCGTCCCCTTCAAGCCTGTATCGAGATCGGACTGTGCGACTGCTTTCACTTTTGTTGTTGGAACTCTGGCCTCGGGCTTAGTATGTCATTCTACTGATAAATTATATTACGAAGGGAGTTCGGGTTTTGGCCTCCGCCGTTGTAATCGTGGGCTGCGTGTGTACCGTGTAGGATATGATGAAATTTCTTGTCACATGCCCCGTTCGTGTAGCGTGAGCTCGACAGCAGATCTAGAGCCAGCTGGCCCTACAGTGACTTGAGATCTCCATGCCTTCTATATATACATAGCAGCTCCAGCTCCGCTATCTTCAGACCCTACAATGTCCTGCAATGTGTTCGTTGGTATTGTACAGGTACCATCGCGCGTCATCATGTGTGGTTGGATATAGATGTAAGTAGTGGAGCACCTGTGGTGCTGTACGATGCCACGATCGAACGCCCGCGTGGTCTGTAGCCTCGTGTTCTCCAATCCTCCACTTCGTTGGACTCAACTACGGCCGGTCTGATATAAATATTCTACCTGGGTGTAGGTGACATCAACCATGAAGTCAGCGCGACGCCCCCGTCGGTGCAGAAAACTGCACTGTCCAGCGCATGGAGCGCTGCCAGAGGATATAAGACAGCGTCCCTGCGGTTGATTGCCCAATCACGCACACTGGGTCGAATTTCGAAACGAGCACACACAGGCCTTCAACTGTCACGAACATTACGACTCACGACTCACAAAATCAAGTGATACAACATGGTATGTGCACTGATGCTTGGAATATGACTTACGGACGGCTGATGCGTAACAGGGCGTCCTCATTTCCATCTTGGTGGGCACCATTAATGCCATCGTCGCCGCTGTCGTCGGCATCGTCGAGCTCATCTTCGGCGGCATTGCCTGGGTAAGTCATGCCAACTTACCATGAAGCGACGTCATTTTAACGTGAACCGCCCGTGCAGTTGATCACAGGCATCCTCTGCTGCGGCTGCTGCAGCCCTGCGGCAGGTACTGGTGTAGGGACGACAGGAACTACAGGCGCGGGATATGGAACAGGGACGGGGATGAGTAGGCGGCGAGGCCTATTTGGCGGCGTTGGACGCAGGAGGGGAGCAGGCATGGGCGCTGGGACAGGCGGCATGACTGGAGGCGCGGGCACTGGGATGGGCACTGGGGGGATGGGAACAGGGATGGGCACGGGCGGCATGGGCACAGGGATGGGCACTGGTGCTGGTGTCGGCACGACTGGCGGCCTCGGCACGACGGCCTACTAAAGACATTGAATGCTCCAGCTATACCCAGGACTGTGGAAGATGAAACGTACTGGTGCTGTATTGAACTAGTGTAATAATCCCCGTACTTGGCACGTTCTGCGTGTCGGTATGTATTCCCCTGGAAGTCGGCTGTGCTTTGTTTGAACTCGTTCATACTGTACTATACCAAAGGGCCGCCTGCGTTGTTTGATGATCGGGCATGGGCCGTCCTCGGCGACAATTAAGTACTTACGCATAGAGCGATGCACTGAGCGGTCGCATGCTCTCGCGCGCGGAGTATCGCAAGTCGTCCATGTCGGTCGTGACGCGTGATAGCGAGGCAAGGCGGGCCCGCGTCACACCTTGCGCATTTCAGGTGCGTAGGTAGACCGAGCATATAGTATTTCGCGCAGAAGCCTGCGACTGGACTATGGGTGTCAGTCTTGTCGATGCACTCCACTATGTGTGCTCCGAGGATGTGTAGATGTCATGCATCGTCAATACCATCTACAGAATCACTTTGTGGCATGCAACCGGAAGCACCATTGAGGGACTGTGTTCCCGTCCTGCCAGTGGGCATCGGTTCATCATGCTGGCTTCGTCAAATGCAGCGGAGCCCCGGGCGCACAGGATTGCCCGTTGGGCTTGTGGCAGGCCTAGACCATGTCGTGCATGGTCTGGGGTGGAACGACAATAGTGCTGATCGAAGCAGCCATTCCTTCACTGTCAGTCCCAATTAGGTGGGACGAATACCGTTTTCTGGCCGACACACCTGCAGTAAGTTGCCGTATGCCATCGAAGCGGTATGGAAGCGCTTGCCTTATCGTGTTATATAAACCCAATCCCTTGCTCGTCCACACCCACCCCACGCTTCAGTCGCTCATCCACCACACCATGAAGATACCTGCCGCACTCATCGCAGCTACCGCTCTCGCGCTGGCGACGCCTGCCTTCGCAGGCCCCATTGCCTACGGAATTTGCCAGACAGGTGAGGATCCACACAGCTCGCACCTATGCCATCGCCAACCTCGCTTTCCAGGCTGTAACACGGTCGTTGTGGCATGCTACGCTGCCGCCGGTGTGACATTCGGAACCGTTATCGCGGCTCCGGCTACGCCCGCCGTCATTTTGGGTTGCAACGCTGCACTCGGCACCTGTTCCGCCGCTTGTGCAACCATCGCGCTGTTCGCGCCTACCCCGTGACGCGTAGACGGTAAGGGTTTGATCCAGCACGGTATCTGTGAGGAAGGCTAATGGCATGCGGTCAGACTGGCAGTATCGCATCCGACTACAATGACCTGTGTCACGTTCAGCCCAATCGATGTTTCTTGCTATGTTCTGTATTTGTAACACTGTCTTGTACTGCTTTCTAAACCGTGATACATGTGAGCGCATTGAACACGGAAAACAAATCACTCGACGCACTGCATGTAAGTCGGGACAGGTTGTTCACGGCACCGTCGTCGTAAACGACGCAGACTTACGCAACGCGGCGCGACGCGATAAGAGATCCGATAACCCAAAACGTATATACGATTGCATATTAGAGAGCTACGAAGGCAGCGCGACACTAGCGTATGACGCGTGACGTCCAACTCTATGCGGCATGTGTGGTGGGACCCGTCTTCTGTGTCGTGAACTCAGCTGCGGGCGCCGCGCCGAATTTTGCTAAAACAGGATCCTTGCCCGTCTTTTCATAGCTGTCGGGCACGTGCAGAACAGTGAGAACAGAGCTGGAGCCTCCAGTGGGTTTGTACGTACTACCAGATGCGTGCCAGCTGGCCGAGACCTGACGCGCCCACGAAGGCGTTGACCTGCACAAGGCACATGAATGGCTGCGTTGACGCTACGAGCTCTCGAAATATGCTTACCGCTGCCAAACTGTAGTTAACGGGCGTGATGACGAAAGAGTAGCGCACCCAGATGAGCCCGGTCGCCGTCAAGGCTTTCGTCGCGTGAAGATCGGTGAGGCAAAAGGTACGAAATGAATATCACCGAACGGGGTGAGACACGTCAACGAGCCAAGTAGCAATATGAGCTCTCCCTGCCAACACTCGGAGGGGAGCCACTACGCACCGACGTTCTGCGACACACTCAGCTTCTCAGCGGGTCGGGAGAGGTCCTTAACACCCGCGGCGACAAGACACCACTTCATGACTGGTCCCCAGAAGAACACAGTCTTCGGGCCTGATTTAATGCATGCGACGCATCATGCATGGTAGTTCGGGGCACAGGTAGACGGTCTAGGTTAGCGCGGATCCCGCCAAGATCGCTGAGGGGACGCACCTGCGGGGTGGTTCAAGAACGCAGAGAATTTCGACGCGCCGGAGGATGCTGCTGCTCCCGACATGGTGACGATGTACACGAGAAGGTGGGGAGGATGGGAGGAAGGAAGGATGAGCTCGAGGAGTGGGTCGATGTTAGTCAGGCCGTCCGATGCGTGGGTCCGTCTGAGAAACATCACTTGCCTCTTCGGGACACAACACTATCGTACACGTGATGACGTGTTACACGTACGCGATCGGGACGGGCGCTCCTCACATCGTGTACCAGTCACCGCTTGTGGCTGCTCCTGAGTTCCACCATCGCCCTCGCACACCTTCCTCTTGCACCACATTCTGGTATATTCGCACCCCCGAGGCAGTCATGGATGCCCCGGACAACATTCCTGGGTTCCTAGACCCGTTGTTGGACCATCTCTCTTCGGCTCTTCCACCCAGTGTATATGATGCCGTCGTCTCTTTCCTATCTTACTCGATATCCTTCTGCACCTCACTCTTCCGCCTGCTCATGGCATTGGCGTCATCTAATCCAGCGTCATGGGATGCACAGACCATCCTCCCCCCTCATCACCGTCCTCGGGGCGTACCTCGCACTCGTGAGCTTCTACCGCACAACAGGATGGATGATCCGCACACGTTCGCGTTCATCAATGGGGGTCTATCCTCTCCGTGCTCGCCGCTGGGCAGGCTACATGATGGGCAACGCGAACGCGGCGGGGAGAACGGCGTCGGCGGGCAGTTCCGCGGCGGGATTGTGCCCGCGATCGGCGGTATGATTCTCGACATGTTCAACGGTCAAGGCGCAACGCTGCCGGGGGCGCGCGCACCACTCGTACGTCTACTAGGTCGCGCACGCAGAAGCAGAAGGCTGCGCGGCCGAAGGCTTGGGAGTCTGGGATCGGCATCAGGAGTGGCAGTATAACGAGGATGCGCAGAATGGAGGCGGGGAGTCAGGCATGCAGCAAGCGATGGGCCAGATCTTTGGCGTCGTGGGCCGCACAATTCGCGAAGGCGGCTGGTGGGAGGCTGCGAAAAGTGCGGTCGATAACGTGTTGCAGGAAGGGGAAACCGACGCGGAGGACGAGACGAATGCTGGGACGGCGAGACAGAGAAAGCAGCCTCCGCGGAAGGCGAAGTCAAAGCCTAGCTCGGCGAGGTAGCTTTCGGCGTACCGTGGTAAGCATCGAGTGCTCGATATGTTGAATGCTACTCATAGCTTTAACTGTAGATATTTATATTGGTGACATGTATTCAAATCTTTGTATTAGGACCTCTCGATTTCGCGGAATGCGTAGTATGGCTATAATAAGCACGTTCAATCGCTACTGTAAAAGCCTCCGCATTGCGAGCCGAATCAGTACGAACGGTAATTGGCTGGTCTCCCGTGTGCAGACCGTGAACACGACCTCTAACGAGGGATAGGACGGTCGCAAGTATACAGACCGTCACTGCCTGCATGCGTGACTCGGATAGCGCCGTCGACCGCCCGGATAGGCCACAACCAGCAGGTCTCGATAGGACGCGCATTGCAATCATTTCCGCGGCGTTGTCTGCCATATATATCGAAGCGAGACCATCGTGCCGGAAAGAGTGTTACCGTCCTCTTGATGTCTTCACGAAGTTTGCCGGGCAATGCTTGTCTCCGAACACCATGGCCAGCCTGGTATGTGATTTAACTGTCTGAACCCGCGTATACTCTGATTTTGATGACGTGCAGTATCAACGATCCCCAGGTATACCTTTACAAAGGCTCCTACTTCGGCTGCTTAGGCCGGCTTCCCCGGGGAGCTACGCGAGCAATAGGCCCATTTAACGAATTGCGGCAGCAGTCTTCGAGATGCAGCGCACTGCGCTGCATCTCGAAGACTGCAGAAAGCCACCAACTTCTTCTCGACGGTCCAGCCAACTCTGTTTGGTGTGACCGGAATCCGTTATGCCGTGTCACAGCCGCCGGGCAGTGACAAAACATCCGATCGTGCGAACTCCGCGACCAACAGATCTGGGGTGTCAACGGCCATCCAGCCAATCAGAGGGCCTGGCTTCGCCCGCCGAAACCCCCGATCAATTGCGGGACTGGTTTTGGCAAGACGGGTTTCCGTTTAACATGCACCAAATAGCACCAAATACCGAGTGTATATGATCCCTGGCTTGACCGGTGGTACTGCTCTCACACCTCTCTCCTGACGCTCATCCGTCTCGAGTGCCAGTCCCTCCCTGCGTCGCCGCCCTACCCCCATCCATTCTACCGTCGTCCGCAATGGCTCTCAAGAGGAAGATGGACTTCGACGACGAGACCGTCCAGGCTCCTATGGTCAGTGCTATACCGTGCTTCCATACGATGGCGCGTCATTGACGCGTCTGTTGCCACGCATGCAGCGGACCAAGCAGCAGAAGCTCGTTCCCTTCCCCAACACCGAGCCCGACAATGATGTGGCCATGACCGACGCGTCCGTATATCACCTTGAGCCTCTGCTTATCCCCATGCCATCCTTCCACACCCGCCTCCCCTCTGACGCCAGTTACTCATCTTCGACTGCTGGTGACTCGCCTCGCATATCCCGTGAGTATCGGTTTGTCTTATGGATATGCCATCCGCAAACCTTCGTACGCTGAGCAGCTGCTTACCCATATTTCGACCTCTACCCAGCCGACGACAACGGCTTCAATGCTTTCGACTCTCCCGTTTCCGAGACATCGAAGTCCGTGGGTCTCCTTCAGCCGAAGAACCCTTCTTTCACGCATCACGGGTACGTTAATTTCATCCCTGACTCTACTTGTAGTCTAATGGTATTCGCGCTGTAGTCAAAACTGCTCGCAAATCCCGAAGCTTCGCGTTGCCTGTTCCCCTGGACTAAACGGCCAAAGGACTATGTGGGCGCACTGCGAACAATGCGGTGCGATTGAAATGGTCCACACCGACTGATCCACCGCGCCTAGTCTCGTTGTCTGACGTCCCCTCGAGACCCATCTCTTCCCTCCGACTCTCCTCGTCATCAGCATTACGTCATTAACTCGTTGGGCGTTCCCTCACCCTCACCTGACCGACCTCGTGAACGCCCGTCTCGACCTCAACATCGTCATCTCGTCAGCCCACTTCTAGTTGCCTTCCACCACTGCTTCGGCGTCATAGGCAACAATCTCCATTATCCCCTTATGCTGTGTTTATGTATCAGAGGTAAGCGACTGTAGTGCCGGCTGTCCGGTGCATCCCTCGACCTCAAGCTCTCTTCGCCCCCAAAACTGTCGCAAAAGGCCTTCCCCGCACTTCCCATCGACTCTCACCCTCCGCCATCCCGTATTTATCCTTTCGGTGTTCTGTTTTGTTGTCGTTCTATCGGAAGCCTCCATCGACCGTCTTGCCGTTCAAAAGGACCGTACTTCGTACTTTACAAGCCAGTTTGCTGTTGCCGCCTCCGAATGTCTGTTGCTAGAGATATGCTCCGTGCCGGGTCCGTGTTCGCTTTGTGTGTACAATGTCATCAACCATGCAACGTTTGCTACATTTGTGTGATATTGTCTGTCGGAAATCACAATCAACGTAGACCAAGGTAGGCAGGACTGGTGGGTTCCGACTGCTGCATCGTAGTGACTTGTCTGTAGAGCTTGCGTTAGAGCGCGCCGTCGTGCAGCGCTTGCTTTCGCCAGCACGCTTGGCGTCGACGGCGTCTCCGTAGTGGTTGTCAGTGGTCACTTGCTCGCGCGACGCAAATTTGTTTGGTCCCCTTTGACCAGCCCCAAGGCGCCACCGGCCCCGGGACTGATCAGTCCCGTTAGCTGTGTAGCGTGTAGGCGATCCCAATGCTTTATTTTGACTCATTCAAGACCTCGTATTCAGGACACTCCGTCTGCTCTCACAGCACGAAGTATGGACAGAATACGGCTCAATATGCAGTATCCTGAGCACGTCGGACAAGGTTGCTGTAGTCCTGGCGGTGTAGGCCGTGGTGGCGCGGGAAGCCCGGGGGACGCCCGTGCTTGTCGCGCACGAAAATGACAACCACTACTTGTGCAAAACTCTGTAATCCATTTTGATCCACCTCGTTTTTCATCAATCATTACCGCTCCGGGACTGAGCTACACTGGAACTTGACTGGAACAATGAAGTTGCGCATATATGGCGCTCCTATGCTAGGGAAGACATCCCCATTCATGCAACGATGGTCTGCTCATGTTCGTCCTTCGGTACGCCGCAGGCCCAGGCATGAAGCTATTAGGCAGCTTAGCTAGTGTACATGGATTGTTCGCGCTGTCTCTGAGGAAGCGACTCAGGGGGAAGCCCACTGCAGCAGTTGTCCGACTGCCAGTGGTGACTCATGCTCTTCACCCGAGTCCACTGGAAGTTCAGCATACCAAGCCTCCACAACCGAAGGAGCGGCGATGTCGAAGACGATTCCTGGAGAAGGTGCGTCCTATTTCAAGAATCTGTGCGATGTCATAGCATCCCGGAGAGGTCGCCCCCGACATTCGACATCATGGCGACGACCTGTGCGAATGCACCGACCATGGCAGGTGAGTTGACGAAGCCGATGACCGATGCTCGCATTGATTAGGGAGCCTCAAGTTGAAACATTGCATGCATCGACTCGGATATCTTGGCTGCCAGGTATCACGCTGAAGCTGCGCATGTGCACATGCACACACCGAGTCCGTTATGCCATTAGCATACTGAAGATTAACCTTCATCGCGGGCTGTCAGCTACGCAGAGTCATGGTCCGACGATCTGCGTTGACTCCTCGCAGACTCGCGTAGTAGGGCATTTTGCTGGTAGCTACCGTCGCGTCGGTGCTCTCAGCCTTCGCTGAATATTGCCATCAGTCGATGTGCCCTAACGCATCTAATTCAAGGCTGTACTGTGCCTAAAATCTCGTCTCGTGCACACTCCAAGACTCGTCGGGAAACATACCGGTGCCTGGCTGGAAACCGAAACGACGAGAGCCAACAGGCGGTGCTTGCGGAAATACGACCCGCGCGGATCGGCCACAACGTACATATCGGTGTCATATACCCCGCTTTCTCGATCGACTCAACCGCGATCGTGGCGGGGCATGTTTCTGATGGATCTCCTGCCGTTCGGGGTCCAATTCCTTGGCTGCAATCCCGGTAAGTAAGTCAATGGTCGTTTTCGGTGTTTCCCATGATCTGTGGTCTGGATTCCCGCAGAACAGGAGAGCGCGGGAGGGGCCTAGAATGATCGACTCGCCGGGGAGAGGAGCTGTCGTTTTCCTGAGCGGCGGCCGCTGGGAATCCCGGGTCGTGTCTCGCCCTTTCTCCTGAAGCAGGCCGCTCACTGCTCAGTATAGGGGTATGCAAGCCGCGGAGGCGAATGCACTTTCCATGCATGCACGCGCGGGGGGTCATGCACATGTGCATGAGGGCGATGCTTTTTTTTTGGCAGCACAGGTCGCCGGGAGACGGAAGTCGATGGCAGCGATCGAGCGCCGGCTCCAAACATTCTGAGGAGGTCTGCGCGGTTCTGCCGCCTGCGTCACGGTCGTCCCGGACGATGGGCTGGAAGACGTGGGGTCCTACGAGATTTCCCCTGGATCGAGTGCACGGCTTGCGATTCACGAATCCCCTCGACTAAGTAGGTGAAGCGGTAGGTACCAGTGGCGGCCCAGGCTTCCCCCGGTTTAGAGTTCGTGGGAGGACTGCATTTCACACGGCCGTCCGGAGATGACAGGCCAGCAGGGTTGTAGGGTTTATCATACGGCATGTGGTCCTCTTGCACCGCCGGGTTGCGGTCTTGTTCAACGGAACCACAGTCCCGAGTCCGTGATGCTCTACTATCGCACCAGTTAGTGTCGGTGGGTCTCCACTCCTCAATTTCACGCGGACAAATTCGTTTTCGTGGTTTGGCTTTTGTCGATGACAGAACTAAATCCCTTAGGGTACAGAGAATCCGACTGCGGTGCCCGTTATCGGTGTACCACTGGTTCGTCGCTGCCCTGGAACTTCCCGTCCCTGCCCACTCCAGGCCAACATGAAATCTTTCGTTGTGCGGCACTCGCTCTCACGGTTTGTCGGACATGAACCATGCATAGCATCAGACAATATCCGCACGAGGCGGGAGAAGCAAAACCTTGGGCGCAGACGTCCGATACCAAGACTCACGTAGGCTCGCTATCTACGCTACTTATCTGCGCTAGAGTCCGCTACCCTGCAGGTCCATATCCAGATGAGTGGATCATCAGAAGGCCCTTGTCAGACTCGTCACTTACACCGGTATGAAGTTCCTGCACTCGCTGGTCATGGAAATGAACGTTTGAACACCTTGGCCGGCTTGTCAAACACACCATGTGCCGATGAGATTTGGGACCATCTCCGTAGATCTCCTTCCATGGTCCCATGGGGAACTGGGGGCGCGATCAAAACATCAAAACCTTAATCCCCCATGACTGATCGTCCCAAATTGCTCAGAGTTGCGCTTGCCGGGAAGAGCGCGAGCTCTGGGACGTCGAGTCCGTCGACGAGCCAAGGGGAGAAGGCACGTGGAACGTCGCACAGCCAAGACGGGGCGAGCAGACCTGACGGAATGTTTACGCGAAGCACTTAGATCGGCGAGGCGCTCATCCCATACACGAGAAAAGCGGAGAAAGGTAGGTTAAATGAAGCACCCGTCGTGCTCCGTAGCGTCCGTAGCAGCGTCGGGCCGGCAGCTACATACCATACGCCCCGAATCCCGACGCGCACTCTCCCACGAGGCACGGCGCAAGCATGGCAGAGCTTTCGGTGCTCTTCGGCCTCAGACGAGGCACACAGCGCAACATTACGGCCGAGCGCGCGGTCCAAGTCGTTGTAGACTCAGGACGACACCGCTGCTCTCCTGCAGGGCGCAGCTAGGGAGTACCCGAGCCGCTGCCGCTGATCGCGATCAACATTCCAGAACAAAAACATCAAATGGTCTCGTGAAAATTGCACATCCGCGAGATGCGGAATGCGAGGTGTCGGGCACGAAGGGCGTCGGGCAGCGTCGCAGCTCGGGGTCATGGGGCGCACAGACCCCGTCCTCCGGCTGATGACGAAATGCGAAGGACGACGGCATCGCTAGCATCTTCTGGAGCGGAGGTAGGCGGGCGTCAAAGGGCTTGCCCCGTTGTTGTACTCACCGCTGATGGCGATCGATAAATCAGCAACATGACGCCGCATTGGGACAACCCCTCATTCTGTCATGCTCCGCGCGCTCGGCACCGCCGGTCCACGTATCGGAACTAAGGAGCGGAGAGCGAGCGCTGGTGTCCGCGCATGTCGGGCGGTGGAATGGAGGCCACCCCCGCACGTCGGACACGGATGCAGCGCCAGCGGCTGGCTGCGAGGCTCGCAGCGAGAGGTCGAGGAGGGCAGCGATGCTGGCAGGAGTGCGGGGGCGGGGCGTAGCCGAGCCGGAAGCCAAGCCAGGAACGGGGCTGGCGGGGCGGGTGGGGTGCGGCGGGGTAGCGACAGACCAGCCGCCGCGCGTGTGGGGTCTCCACAGCGTCTAGCGGCAGGACCCTTACGCGAACCCCTGTGATTCGAACCCTCAATCAGACCACGCCCAAATCCAGCATCCCCCATCAACGCCGCGGGGGCGCCACTCAGCTCGAAACACCCTTTGGGAAAGGTATATAAGGGCGCCCGCCCCACCATCGCACCCCGTGTTCTCCTTTCTCGCGACGCGTTCATTCGCTTGAACGACCTTCGAGAGCCCGGTCACCTCCTGCTGTTGTTGTACTCCCTCCTGTCTTCATTTGTGTACGCCTACGACCTCTCACCATGTCACTGTCAGAGAAACCCCCAGCAGGAAGGCCGACTCCGTCATCTCCGATACGCTTTCCAAGGAGGAGGTCAAGCACTTTGATCGCGCCGCCGTCGCGAGCAACCCCAACGCCAGGCTCGCAAACCCTCTTGAGGGCATCCCGCAGGATCAACTCCTTGCAGACGCCGCCGCGTTCGCGAGGAGCCATGATCTCGGCCACTTGACCGAGGAGTTTAAGAAGGGTGCGCTTGTCGCCCAGGACCCCAGCGCGTTCGAGACTTTGCCGTTCCTTACCGAGGAGGACAAGCTCGTCCTTCGCCGGGAAGCGACGCACCGATGGGCACACCCAATGCAGTTGTACTACCTCGTCATTCTTTGCTCGATGGCTGCTGCTGTTCAGGGCGTGAGTAGATAGACTTCCACTGGCCTGCTCAATATTCTAACAGTTTCGCGCGTTCAGATGGACGAAGCTGTCATTAACGGCGCCAACCTATTCTTTGCCGACCAGTTCGGCATTGGCCAAACTACAGGGGACACCGGCCGTAACCAGTGGCTCCTCGGTCTGGTCAACTCGGCTCCTTACGTACGTCGTTTGATGATTTTATCTGTGGGATGTCGGTGTTGATTTTTCTCATAGTTGTGCTGCGCTTTCATCGGCTGCTGGGTGTCTGCTCCGCTGAATCAGCGGTTCGGTCGTCGCGGCACCATCTTCTTCAGCGCCTTCGTCTCGTTCGCCACCTGCATCTGGCAAGGCGTCACCAACACCTGGTGGCACCTCTTCATCGCGCGGTTCTTCCTCGGTTTCGGTATTGGCCCCAAGTCTGCAACCGTTCCCGTGTACGCCGCAGAATGCGCACCGCCAGCTATTCGTGGTGCCCTTGTCATGATGTGGCAGATGTGGACGGCCTTTGGTATCATGTTCGGCTACGTCATGGACGTCTCGTTCTACCACGTTCCTAACAAGCCGGGCATCACTGGTCTCAACTGGCGGCTGATGCTTGCTTCTGTATGTGAATTCACGTCTATCTAGGCTTGCACGATTCTGATGTGTCCCATAGGCCGGTGTTCCCGCCCTCTTCATTATGTTGCAGGTGTACCTGTGCCCGGAGTCGCCGCGTTGGTTGCTTTCGAAGGGTCGCTACGACAAGGCTTACGACTCGCTCCTGCGCCTCCGTAACAGCCCTCTGCAGGCTGCTCGCGATCTTTACTGTGAGTAACTCCTGCTGGCCATTATTCAGCGCGAGACTGACACAATCACCAGACATTCACGTGCAACTCGAGGCTGAGGCCGAGAGCTTCGCAGGCCGCAACCGCTTCCTCGAGTTGTTCACAGTTCCGCGCAATCGTCGCGCCACCCTCGCTGCCTTCATCGTCATGTTCATGCAGCAGTTCTGCGGTGTCAACGTCATCGCGTACTACTCGTCGAGTATCTTCAGCCAGAGTGGCTTCAATGATCTCCAGTCTTTGATTGCCTCGTGGGGCTTTGGTATGCTCAACTGGGTCTTCGCGTTCCCGGCCGTATGGACCATCGATACCTTCGGTCGCCGCAACCTGCTGTTGACGACCTTCCCGCTCATGGCCATCTTCCTGCTTATGACCGGCTTCTCGTTCTACATCCCCGAGGGCAATGCCCGCCTGGCCGTTGTGGCGTTGGGTATCTACCTCTTCACGATGGCGTACTCGCCGGGAGAGGGTCCTGTGCCGTTCACCTACTCCGCCGAGGCGTTCCCCCTTTACGTCCGTGACGTCGGCATGGGCTTCGCCACCGCCGTGCTCTGGTTCTTGTGAGTTGCTCGGGCCTCTTGACGTATTCGTGGACACGCGCTGATAGATGGGATCTCACAGCAACTTTGTCATCGCCATCACCTTCCCGCGTCTGCTCGGAGCGTTCACGCCGCAGGGTGCCTTTGGCTGGTACGCCGCGTGGAACGTCTTCGGCTTCTTCGTGATCCTGCTCTTCGTGCCCGAGACGAAGGCGCTGTCGCTCGAAGAGCTGGACCAGGTGTTCTCGGTCTCGACGCGTCGGCACGCCTCGTACCAGGTCAAGGCGCTCCCGCACAACATCAAGAAGTACATCTTCCGCATGAAGGTGGAGGAGATGGCGCCGCTCTACGAGCACGAAGGTGCGGTCGGTCCCAGACACTACGTTGGGGCTGCATAGGCCTGTGGTGGTTGTGTAGTATTCTTTTTTTCCAAACGGGTTCGCCGGCTGTTAGGTGACTCGACCCCTGCAGCCTTAATAGGTTGGTATTTGTTGTGACATGCCTGGCTGCCGCTTGTGCTCGTCCGTGTGCACGTACTTATACCAGCCGTCGGCGTAATGAATCTTTATGATTTTCTGCGATGCTTCATGTACTCTGTATACTGTATTACTACCACGACGTTTGCGAATCTATCTCGTCTAAACCTCATGCTTGTGTGTGTGGGAATTCGCCTGTGTAGTGAACGACGGGACTCCGAAGCTGGGTGCCGTCTTCGAAGGCAACGAAGGCGGTGGCTGTTGGAGTGGGTGGTGGGGTACTTTGGATCTCGATCATCCAGGTATCATAAGTATAGCATGGTCACGTGCCTGATGAAGAGCGCCCGTACCGCCTGCCAGCCTGAGAGCAAGCGGACGAGTGACTACAGCCCATGCCGCGGCATACAACCTCGACTCTGTAATCCATGCCCTGTCTGTCCTGACCATTTGGCCGAAACCCTACTTTGACGACAAACCAAGCCGCTACGACTTGCTAGGGTGTGCGTGGCTTACAGTGGTTATCTAACTCAGCAATCCGATCAGAACGTGAAGCCCCGATCGAACCGAACGCGAGGGCAGGCGAGGGCACTGAGTTCTTCTAATGACCCAAACGACTTTGCTCCAGTATGAGGCGCCGTGTAAGTCCTCGACAGCCCCCGTTATGCTGCGTCTGACCTGCTGCTGGTGTAGGGCCCGTGTATGCGCTGGACTGGTGCAAGACCGCCGCCCCAGGCCAGCAACACCGGCCGCGCTCGTCCTTCCGCCTGGGCATCGGCTCGCTCAGAGACGACTACCAGAATCGCATCGCCATCGTAGGGCTGCAGGACGAGCGCGTGCTCGTGGAGGACGACTACACGGACTACCCCGACTTCGTGACCTCGTGGACGCGCTGCACGGGTACCCCGCGACGGCCCTGCAATGGCAGCCGAGTGCGGCGGCGAGCTACGCGTGGAGCCAGAAGGCCGCGACGACGGAGCTGCTCGCGACGACAGGAGATGCGTTGAAGGTGTGGGAATACTCGTCGGACGGGCCGCAGCAGGTGTCGAGTTATGTGGGGCGGCCGCCGACGTCAAGTGGGCATCGGTTGACGCAGAAGATTGCGCTGTCGGGAGTACGTCTGGCCGTGCATTCTGGTGTTGATTTCAGAACTGATTCGTGAGGTGGACTCCGTAGCAGAGCAAAGTGCAGAACAACCAGACGGGCGCCCCGTTGACCAACTTCTCGTGGAACGAGAAAGCGCCGAGTCTAGTCGTCACGTCGTCCATCGACACGACGTGCACCGTGTGGAACATCGACACTTCCACAGCGATCACGCAGCTCATCGCGCACGACCGCGAGGTTTACGACGTCGCCTGGCTGCCAGGATCGACAGACATCTTCGTGTCCGTCGGCGCGGATGGCAGTCTGCGTGCGTTCGACTTGCGTAGTCTCGAGCACTCGACGATTCTCTACGAAACACCGGCACCGAAGAACATGCCACCGCCAACGGCCTCGCCGTCGTCCTCAGCGCGACCACCAACGTCTCCGTTACTCCGGATAGCGTTCAACCCCGCGGATTCGAATTACATGTCAACCTTCCATATGGACGGCACGGACATACAGATCCTCGACATGCGGAGTCCTGGTCAGCCTGTCATGGAGATGAGAGCGCATCGCGGGCAAATCAACGCGCTAGGCTGGGGCTCGACAACCAATCCATTGCTCGCATCCGCAGGTAAATCTCTCGCGGGCTTCCTGTGGCGTCGTACATTTGCTCACTACATACAGGCGATGATTGCCAGCTGCTATTGTGGGATCTCAGTCCGTACACAAGCGTCGCGTCGACATCACCCCGGACCACGAGCTCGGGGCTCAGTTCCCCGCGTCCGGACGTCAAAAGCGGATCGTGGTGGATCCCGTCATGGCGTACACGGGCCCAAGCGAGATCAACAACCTGGCTTGGTCGCCGCAGATTGCGGGCATGACCATGCACTCTGGGCACTCGACCGACCCTGGCGAGTGGATCGCCCTTGCGATGGGCAAAACGATCAAGGCGTTGAAGGTGTAGCGGCTCGGAGATAGGCAGGATGGACTTGGTTGCTTGTAGCTATACGCATTTGGTTTGTTTCTGCTGCGGTGCGAATTGCACCCTTCAAAGCAGGTACACTTGGCGGTGCCCGCCTTGGTCGCTCTTGGGACAGTTGTCGTGTACCTGATTGATACGCATACATTTGGCAAGGACTGTGCTGAAGCCCGCGTCTCGCCTGCGTTTCGCTTCTGCTTATCTTTGAGAGTGGTCGTGTGCTGCGTTAGGAGCCGCCGGACGGCGTTTCATGTCATATGAACCTGTGATGCAGCGTGCGATATGCACAGTGGACGCAATGCGTATTGCGCCCACCGCTCGAAGCAGCCGACTCGCATTTCGTGCATGTCGAGAGTCTTCAAATTGGCAGGTGGGAATTTGACTGCAGAGGCAGGAGCGTCGCCAGATCTGTTCTGGCCGCGATAAGGGAGTCGCGGACGCTGGGGTGGCGCCAATATGTCTGTGGAAATTTACTCTCTGCGCGCAAGGTTTTTTCATCCTGATGCCCGCATGGTGCCTTGTCAAACGACGGAGCCAGATGTGGCCCGGGCGCGCTCGTATATCAGCCCCAGCCCGCCCTTGATAGCCTCTTGCACCCCGCCATAGCGTCCGGCCGCCTCCCTCTGCCTCCGCAAGTCCCGCGCGTTTGCGTCGACTGAAGCACCATGTCTGCGGATCAGGCCAGCACAGACCCGGCGAGGCACGGCGCTCCTGATGTGGTGGAGCGAAAATCTTCCCGCGCGAGCAGTTATTCCGACGACAAGGAGAAGCAGCACGATCCCGAGGTGCAGACCGCGCGGGAGGGCAACCACGACGAGAGGAGCAAGTCACATGGGACGTCGTCTCTCCGGCTCTGCGCCCTGTCATCCTTCTCGGCTTGGCCGCTGCCATCCTGGGCTGGTGGATCTGCTCTACCATCTTGAAGGATACGCGGCATAGATGGGTTGTGCAGACGTTCTGGGCGTGGTTCTTCCTTCTGTGAGTGTACATGCTCGGCGGAGGCGTATGCGCGAGGTTGATCAACGCCTGGAAGTGTCATCGCGTTCCGCTGGATCCCAAATCGCGTCGTGACCCACCCTGTGAGCGCAGTATGGATGCCATGTGTCCAGGAGCCGTGGTACAAGCTGCCATACCGCCTGCGGTTAACTGTCGGTTGGCTGTGCTTGTTGGGCATCGTCTTCGGCTCTGCCTTTGGTTTCCCCCTCACCGAGGGCACGAACTAGGTGACCGTGCAATCTCCGTGCTTGGCCTCTTTGTATTCCAGTTCTGCTTCTGGCTCTCGTCGACCCATCGGTCTGCAGTACCATGGTCAGTCGCATTTGCATTATTGGCTCGTCGGCGTTCTGACGTTCGCTGGAGGCCCACTGTCATTGTTGGCCTCTTCATTCAGCAGGTCATTGCGATGTTCGTGCTGAAGTCGGGCGCTGGCTTCAAACTCTTCCACTGGATTGCTACCGCAGCGGCAGATTTCCTGTCTCAGTCCCAGGCCGGTGCAGCGTTCTTCTTCAACACGGCATTTGTTGCCAATGGGTTCTTCTTCGTGAACACGGTACGCATATATCATGATACATGATGATAACTTGTGTTCAAGGACGCTGCGCTGCCGCCGATAATAGCTTTCCGCTGTCATCTTCTTCATCGCGTTCGTGCAGATGATGTACTATTTGGGTGTCATGCAGTGGCTGATCAAGGGCTTGTGAGTACTCTGGCGGACGCATATATGCGTATAGCATTGACGGTGTCCCAGCGCATGGTTCTTCTTCAAGCTCCTCAACGTCTCAGGAGCCGAGGCCGTCATCGCCTCCGCGTCACCGTTCGTCGGACAGGGCGAGTCAGCCTGTCTCGTAAAGCCTTATGTCGACCTCATGACGCCGTCCGAGCTGCACCTCACCATGACTTCGGGCTTCTCCACCATCTCCGGCTCCGTGTTGACGGCGTATATCAACCTCGGTGTGCCGCCGCAGAACCTGATCACAGCGTCGGTCATGTCAATCCCCGCATCGATCGCCATCAGCAAGATGCGCGTCCCCGAGGTAGACGAGCCGGTCACGCGCGGCCGCGTCGTCGTCGACCAGGGCGTCGAGAAGAACCCGCCGGCGAACGCGCTGCACGCCTTCAGCCGCGGCGCGTGGTTCGGACTGATGGTCGCGGGACAGATCCTGTGAGTGCCTCCGTGCGTCCTGTGCGTGTGGGTGCTGACCTGCGCGGAACACGCAAGCGCGAACGTGCTGACCGTGGTGTCCCTGGTCTCGCTCGTGAACGGCCTGCTCACATGGATCGGCAAGGGCTTCGGCATCCACGCGCTCACGCTGCAGCTCATCCTCCGCTACGTCTTCTACCCCGTCACGTTCTTCGTCGGCGTGCCCCGCAACGAGATCCTCCGCGTCGCGGAGCTGCTCGCGACGAAGCTCATCGAGAACGAGTTCGTCGGGTACACCGGTGCGTCCACCCTACCCCTCACATGGTTCGCCGTCCGGAGACCGATACGTGATCCCCGTGCAGACCTCAAGGCGATCATGGCGAGCGACAACCCGCTCTCGCAGCGCTCGTTCACGATCGCGTCGTACTGCCTGTGCGGCCTCGCGAACCTCTCCTCGCTCGGCATCCAGATCGGCGTGCTTAGCGCGCTCGCGCCGTCCCAGGCGAAGGTCATCGCGAGGATCGCGCCGTCTGCGATGCTCTGCGGGTTCATCTCGTGCGTATCGGCTGTTTCCACGTATGCCAACAACTGATTCTATGGTGCGCTAGGACATTGCAAGCCGCGGGTATTGCGGGGATGCTCGTCTGAGATGGGGTGCTTGTTGCTGTCGCGGGAGCAGCCTCCGTGCGTGCGGCATGGGTAAGTCCATTGTAACTTGGATAGGAATTGTGAGCGGCCTACTGGTCGGGGTTATTAGATACAGCTACTATCCCTGTACTCATTACGCTGTTGTTCCAATAATGCTATTTTACACGAGGAAATACAATTCCATCGGTGCTAGGGGGGCACCATACGGCCTCAATATGCCTGCATCGCAAATGAAGCATGTCTTGTCGTGTAGGAAGCATTTGTGGCGGACGTCTGTGCTGAATTTGGTCCAAGGCTTGTCGAGGTAGCTTGAAAACGGGGTTGTGCACATCCGAGTCGTCCCGCACGCAGTACTCCAGATGTTTGTCAGTTAGCTGAAGGTCCGTGCCGCGAGACTGATTGATACAGTGCATACCATTCTGAGGTGATGTGTTGTGTGCGACTGTGTGCGATCGGAGGTTACCGCTCTGCCAACAAGTCGGAATCATCGGGCGTAGACTTCTGTGGTCTTCTCACGACCGGTTGTCGTGGTCTCCCGAAGCGCTGTGACCAGTCGGGAGCCTGCGCGGCCTCAGCCATGGCCTGCTGTCTTGCGGAGAACGTCTGCCAAACGAAAGCAGCGATACTCTACACGTTCGCTGGTCGGGAAGGATATCATTAAGATAGACGTGATACGCACCAGGGTGATCGTACCGAACATAAGGGCATCCTTCCACTGGTCGTCCATCCCCACGTCCAACTCGGCTCTTCGCCGCTGCTTCGCCTTCCACATGGCCGTGCTCAAGCTATGGTAGTCCGGTCGCAGCTCACTCGGCGAGCCGCTCTCCGCGTCAGCCATCCTGTTCGCCTTGCCCGAGAGCACGGAGTAGGCCGCGCTGATCGCTTGGAAGCGTGCGTGGGCGGTCTCCGGTGGGACGGCACGGCTGATTGCAGAGTCGGGGTGGTAGATGCGCACGAGGTCGTAGTCTGGCACACCCCCGTATGAGAGCGAAGTCAATATGAGGATGATTGTACGCACACCGAGTCTTCACCTCGTCTCGGGTCGCACTGGGCGGGAGGTGGAAGATCTGGTAAGGCGTAGGGTGTGCGATCGTTGGAAAAGGGAAAGGGTTGGCACTGCTGGAAACATGCCTGGGTCCGAGGGAACGACACGAGCGGAAAACAGTGGGTCGCACCAACCGCAATGATGTGGAAGGTAACATAATTGCAGCTTTTGAAAGTGCGGACGCCAGGAGATCGGCTCGACACTCGCTCAAGCGCCCGGATCTCAGATCGGAACCTCACCCTTTTTTTTTTTTTTTTTTTTTTTTTTGTATTCTCCGTGTTTTAGGCCCGTACTGTAGGTACATGTGGGCACCATAGTAAGGGACGTCAGACGTTAACGGACCGTGCTGCGGCATGGGCCCCCAGATCCCGATGAACCCCACCTCCCTGCGACCTCACCACCCTCCCAGCCCCTGCCCCTCCTGCATCCAAGGCGTGTCGGGGTGTGGGCAGCCGTAGGTATTGTCCTGGTCTTCGTCATCCCCCAGTGGCCCGTAAGGTGGGCCACTTAACCATCATAATCTCCCCGCGAGGGCGCGTTGAGTGCGCCCGTAGTTACGATAGGCGCTTATCTGATCCAGTTCACGAAAGCCCTTCCAAAGGCCTCGCCTCCCTCCCCCAGCGCGTCCAGTCATACCACATACCGTCAGAGGCCCATACCCTGTGACTCCACTCTCTACACCTTATACTCCTAAGCTGTCGCTTTCATTCCGCAGGTTTATCCCGCAGTCGCAACTGCCGCTCGTGCGGTCGTGACCCGTTGCGGGTAACATGTAGGGTCGGCCGTAGCCTCCCCGCAATTGGGGTACGCTGTTGGAGGTGCGCGCGATTGGGTTGTAAGGCCATCGGCGGCAAGGGCGGTGGCAACCGGCCATAGTCGATCCGGGAGAGGGATTTACGGCGGGATAGAAGGTCCCGTCCGCGTAGACATAACGGAGCCGGTTAACGGGGGGTGAGAGGACCGGGTGTGCAACCCGCGAGCGGTGTTATGAGGTCGTCCGCGGTCCCGATTCGATATCGAGTTGGTCGATGTAGTGTCGTAAAGACTGTGGGGGTCGAGTTGGTCGATTCCTGACACTGGGGGAGGATGGGACGGGCGAGAAAGAGGGCAGATGGGGGGCCGATAGCGCGGGCGCTAAAGGTAGATGGTGGTGGTACGGGATCAAGAAGGTGGTGATCGGAACCTCACCCATGTGCGGAACTTCCGAGTCGGACGCGTCGACCTTTGCCAGTTAATGTAGTACTCAAAGTCTATATTCAGAAACTTGAAGCGGTACGTGTCAGTCAGTTCGTTCGCTAATAGTACGCTACACGACGTAAGAGTCAACTGCGGCTATGCTGCCCGGCAGAGCTCTCAAACTGGAAGACGACCCCCCGTATGTGTTCCCGATCTCTCTGTCTCCTCCTTCTCATACTGCTCTAGTTTCTCCTTATGCCATTGTTCTTCATCTGGCCTGAGCCCTCCCGGAAGAAACACATCCACCAGGGCCAGTCCTACGCGGTTCTCGATGTCTTCGGCAGCCATGCGCGTCGCAGAGACTTTATTCTTGGTGAGGATGTTCCCCGTTTTCTCGTCAATCTTCCAAATTTCGAGGTGGAAGCCCAGCGCGCCTGGATTCCTGCGCGCTCCAGCGGAGACAACGTTCTGCAGCATCCCGATGCCGCCAACGGCGAGGAGATACCCCGTCTTCAATACTCTGAACCACCATGAGGTGCAAGATCCAGAGCACAGTCAAGACGCATATAGCCACTGCTGTTAGGCGTGATGGCACGATGCGTCCCGCGACGAGATCCTCTAGCTTGCATCCGCACCCCTCATTCTTGATGACATTGACATGCGAGCTGCCGTAGGCAGACCACCTCAATTTTCTTGGATTCCACGTTGCGAGCACATCACATCTCCGCCCTACATAGGGGAAGAGCAGCGTTGAGCTGCGCTCCATGGTGTTAATGTCGATCATCCAGCTGTCCTGCACATCTCCGGGGATGCATGAAATCCCGATTTGTAGGACAATCATGAAAATGCTGGCCAGACCCGGCGTGGTTGCCTCCTGAAGCGACTAGGATCCTGTGTCCGGATCAGAAGGGTGGGTTCACTATGCTACTTATGTGACCTCATACTTAGGACCACACATATTGAATTCTAGTTCTGACACATCAAAGCTGCACGGCTTCATCTTCCAAGGCACCATGACTTACATTCCCGAAGGGTGATAACACGCGATACGAACTTGCACCAAGACTGGCGATGTGGAAGCAGTTTGAGCACTACACAGCGCTGATGCCGCAACATGAATAGGTGTTTAGCGCGGAACGATGACATCGGCGCACACCATATCTGTGGTACACAGTCGCACCAGACCAACGTGGTTCATGGCATACGTCCACACATCGCTGGCCTGTACAAGGTTCTAGGAAGTGATCGGACATAGGCTGTCAAGACTTACTTTGTCCAGCCCCAAACCGCATGACACGTTCATTCGAAGTTCGAAGCGATATTAACGCCGGCCTTCTTTTGCAGACCCTTCAAAGGTGCGTTCGTCGCCGCAGCTTGTGTACCGGTACGTCTGTGACACCCCAGCCACGAATGAGACTGTTCCTTATGCCTTGGTGAATCTAGCCTGCGTTCTGAGATGCTAGGCACCTGGTAGGCGCATCGCGCTCGTGTATGCAATATATACGGCAATACCACCTCCTATAATCACTACTGATGAACTATGATATATGATCTCTCAACCAGAGTACCTTAGCTCCGTCTGTGGAGTCTTTATACTAAGTCTCAACAATGTTACTTCCCCATTGTAAGCCTTCCTAATGAGTCCCGACCTTTGGCGCGAGATCCCTGTGTCCGAGTACCCTTACGACGAGCACAGTGCGCATTCTTCAGCTTGCGGCAGGCAAGAAAGCGTACTATATATTTCCGAGGAAGGCGGGATGCCTTGTTGCATGTCGTTAAAATCATCTCGTTGTTATGTTCATTATGCTAGGCATGCCTGGCACGCATTGTACTGTCACACATCGACTTGATTGCTGTGGTGTTTTGTTGAAGTGCTCCGTTCCACATCTGTCAGGCCGTGAGGGTATCATATTGTTGTGCCCACAGGTCTTGATACAGTGTTTTCACGACATCGGCGTGGCATCTGAACGTGAATATCACTGCAAAGAGTCGACGACCAGCGGTGAGTCGGAGTCGGCAACAGGTCGGCATTTCATTAAGCTGAGTACCAAAGATCATCAATCCCGATCTGTCCTAGTGAGACGATCTGGGAGTGGCAGATCTGCTGCCTCTAAGATACTTACCGGCAGCCACCGTGACGCCGCCACTGAACTCAAGCAGTCGACTCTATTCCCAGGTCTGTATCAGGGTTTATGCCCTGTTCTGTATTCACTTCACTTCCCAATGGTAATCATGCCATGACTGTCTCCTCCGGACTTCTGGTGCGGTTGCATTCACACCCAATAGAGCACTACTGGCATTCAGGGCCACCGCCGGGACTCGTGCTAACAGTACCAGTCACAAGCTTCAAGCTTTACAGTCGTTTGCATAATGGTTGTCGCATGTGCGCGACGAGCGTCGAGCATCTTGTTTGGCCTTCTTTGGCAATGGCTGGCCCCGACGCACCCACCGGTCAGTCCCGTTACCTTTGCAGAGTGCGCAGAGCGGGCCCGTGTCAATTTTCTCTCAACATTGGCCACGGTATCAAGAGCACCTAGCCTGAGCCCTCGTCACGAAAGATGGAGAGTATCTAGCGCAATTCCAGGTATTCCGGACGAGGGTTGCGGGTCGTCCTGCCGTGGCGGATGTGGGGGGAGCCACAGCCGCTGGGAAATGCGAAACGACAACCATTTTGCCGATGATTGTATGCCCAAATATACAGTGACCTTTAGTTGTGAATTCATGCGTGTCCGGTGACTTTTCTCACTCGTTTACAGAGCCTTCCTTTCGATACCATGGGCGAAGAATTGCTGCAAGTTCGTCTTCCGTCTGAAGGGCTGAACAATTCACAAACTCGTCCTTCAGGTCACCGACCCGAGCCTCTCGTACATTATACTGGGAGGCTTCGTAGTCATTGTACGTATCTCAGTTCCGCCCTGTGCCCCGTAGCAGCCTCCTCCAAAGCGGTGTTTACCGCCGTCTGAGCAGTAATCGCTGTTGACTTACGGCATTCATAGTTTAGCATGGTGTCGCTGCTTGTCAAAGAGAAGGTACGCCACTTGACCATATTCCAAGAGACTCAACGGCTGAAGCCCCTCGCTATCGCTAGTTATACATCAACGAGGTCGTGCTCGGGACCGCATTCGGCATCATCATTGGGCCCTACTGTGCAAACGCATTTGACCCGAGATCATGGGGCGATCACACCAACGCCATTACTCTGGAAGTAATGCGGGTCGTACTCGCTATCGGCCTGTTCGCCATTGGCGTAGAGCTGCCGCAGTCGTACATGGCGGATCATGCGAAGTCGCTCCTCGTCATGGTTGTTCCTACGATGGCGTTTGGCTGGATAGTCGTTGCGAGTAAGTCTGTCCATCGATGTGGTAGAACACTGTTTTATTGCTGACTTTGGTCGCCCAAAAGCGGTCATATATTTGCTGTTCCCGTCCTACAACTACATCTCGGCACTGGTCATAGCGGCCTGCTTGACACCCACCGACCCTATCATCAGTGCGGCCATAGTTGGTACGAAGTGTCCAAGTCCCGTGTGTATAGACCTAATCTCTTACAGGTGGCAAGTTTGCCCTGACACATGTACCACCCAACTTGCGCCGGATTTTGTCTGCAGAGTCTGCCGCCAATGACGGACTCGCGTATCCCTTCTTGAGCATCTCCATCTACCTGACTCTCGAGAGCTCGCGGGGAACGGCGATCGGAAAATGGTTCCTCATAGGCTGGCTATGTAAGCCCGATAATCGCACCCTTCCCAAACTCGCTAACCTACTGTACAGATGAGGTCATCCTAGGCACTGTGCTCGGAGCTGTGCTAGGTATGCCAGTCTGTGGATGACGCTCGCCGCCTACTCACGCCTACACGGACAGGCATACTGTTTTGCAGGCTTATGAAGATATCCTATCGCAAGGGTTTCATAGATCGCGAGTCATACGTCGCACAGTACCTCTCACTTGCGTTGTTCACGATCGGAATCGTGAGTACCCTAGGAAGCGATGACCTCCTCGCCGCTTTTGCCGCGGGTGCGTGAGCCATCTACTGTCCTCATCTCGCTGCTAATCATTGTGTACCATGTTTTAGGCACTGCCATTAGTTGGGACGGGCATTTCAATGACCTGACGGAGAACGAGGTGTTTTCGTCAGTCATTGACTTGCTCCTCAACTGCGCATGCTTCGTGTACATCGGCGCTTGGCTGCCCTTCGACCAGTACAACCGGCCTGACCTGGGCATCACGCCGTGGAGGCTGGTGGTCTTGTTCATCGTTATTCTCTTAATCCGGCGCATCCCGCCTCTGCTCTTGCTCTTCAAGTGGGTGCCTGAGATTGTCAACTGGCGTGAGGCACTGTTCTCTGGACACTTCGGTACGTAGCTGATATCAGTGGCGCGTGTCTCAATGCTGACCTCATGCATCGCAGGACCAGTTAGTACCTCACTGTTCCACACTGCATTTCTGGCCCTCATCCCCGCAGATGGGCGTCGGAGCTGTCTTCGTCTCCACTCTAGCAGCCACCAGACTCCCGACGCCACACAACCCTCCTGAGAATCAGGCTGAGCTGCTGGCCGCATCCATACAGACCGTTGTCTCATTTGTCGTGCTTGGTTCCATCATCGTCCGTAAGAACATGCAGTGTTTCGAGCAGCACGCCTCTCTGACTCTCTGTAGATGGCCTGTCCATACCTTTCTTCTCCTTCGGCAAGAACATGCGGACACGCACACTCTCCGTTACGCACACATGGACGCCTCGTCACAGTGCCATCCCCGACTGGCTTCTGGGAGCTCGCCGTGCACTCGTAGAGAACCCGCGTTCCGTCTTCACCAGCAAGGATCCGGAGCAAGGCCATGAAATGAGGGTGCGCGAGGCGGAGACTCTGCCTGACGGACACACGGTATCGCACGTTGCCAGTGTTCAGTCTGAAAGGGTCGAGCCCACCCCGGATGGCCACGGTATTTCTTCCGCGTTCGCCCGTCCGGACATGGCTCGACAAGGCTCCGGAGTCACGGCGCGGACGAGCCAGGTAGACACCCACGTCTATCAATGTCGCCAACGGCATACATGCTGACCATTTCTCTGCGGCTCAGATTCGCCTCGACCATGACCCTGCGGCGCTTCGCGAACCTGGCCCTGACTACAAGCCTGAGTCAAACTCGGAGTCTGCCAGCCTGCGTACCCCGAGATCGATTCGCCTCGACCAGAGCTTTGCTTCCGTCTTGCATGCACCTGAAGCCATGGATGGAAGCCGGTCTGGTGCGGTGACTCCGAACAAGGTTCAATCCGTAGAAGTGCGCGAGGTAGTTACGGCGGATGCAGAGCCTGCGTATGATATGGAGTCATCACAGCAATGATCAGTTCGTTCTCCTGATAGACCATTCACTTCGCATACCACTTGTGTCACAGAAGTACGCAACCTCGAGCTTATCTGCGCTGGACATATTCGCCAGCTTTGCAGTGCAACAATACATTACAACACTAAGAGACATTGAGCGAAGGAGATCTAATGATACAGCCATTTCAAAAGCCCTGCGTATGAATACACGTAGCGAACAAGCAGAGTTGCGCGGAATCCACCACGTCCACTTTGAATGCGTCCCGATACCATTCACATAATCGTACACCCGTTGTCTTTGTCTTCGAGGCGCCGAGCAATATCGTCGAGACCGAGCACGGGTCCAGTGCCGGTGGGCCGGCCGTCTAGGTTGACGATGAGGACGCCAGAGTTGTCCGGATCCAGTTCAGCCACGAGGCCTTGCCTACGAGGGATGGGGTGAGTTACGGTGGAAAAGACGTGAGTGGCACGTACTTCTGCATCAGCTCCCCGATTGCGGGCTTGAGCTTAGCGACGCCGTCTGACGAATGCAAGCCTTTACCTGTGTGGTAGTATGGGCACGATCGTGAATGAATGGATGCGGCGCAGAGCAGGAAGCGACATACCGACGATGAGGTGAAGCTTTGCATCCCCTCGGCGACGCGCGGTTTGAATGGCACGCTCTGAATAGGTGATGGCCTCCTTCACGTACAGTCCGTGCAGGTCAATTTCTCCAGGAGTGCTGTCCTATCAAGTCCATGTTTGCCAACTATATGCGCGTCAAAAAACAGCATACACTGACCTCATTGTTCTCTACGCGCACGAAAAGGTCAAACGGCATCAGATCACCAAAACCAGAGAGCGCCACACCCGCGCTGAATCGAAGACATACTGGTAAAGATCCACTCGCTCGCCTGCGCGTTCAAGCGCTCCATCTCCGCCTTGTGCGCCTTGCCCTCGTTGGACATCTCCTTGGCACGCGCGCCGTTCCCGCTCGAGTACGCCGTGTGGCTCTCCTCGAAGCATTGCGCCATCTTCGAGCCCTGTTCCTTCGCCCGGGCGCGCAGCTCCTGGTAATGAGAGTCTTGTTGATTCTCATAATTCAGGTTCTGTGGCTCGTTCAAATAGCAGAAAGGGAAGCAAGTTATCGGACAGACGTACCTTGTGCGGCCCGGGTGATTGACGGCGCGCAGGCTGCGGCTTTGGTTGAGGAGGGGAGGAGGAGGGTATTGGGGTTGAGGAGGAGAATATTGGGGCTGAGCAGGCGGGTATTGAGGCTGAGGTCGAGCTTGCGGTGCTTCGTACGGTTGCTGCGGCCTGGGCCGCGTCACAGGCCGTCCTGGCGGATACTGTTGGGTAGGGCGTTGCTGAGGGCGTTCTCGCTCGTTCTGATCGCCGCCACAGATACGATCCCAGAGAGAGCGCAGGAGTGTCGTGAATGCGCCCATCTTGCAATCTTATCCGAGTGCGGGAACACGGAGAGACGTGAAGCGATCCTTATATGCGCAGACAATGAAAGCCACGAGAGCTGGGGGACCAGGAACAGCCTCGTGCAAGCGAGTTAGGGCGTCAGGAAGTCGTGCCTAGGGAGCGAGGCAAGCACTGCAAACCGCAGTATATCCGTACACCAGCGTCGACCTGGCTGTGACCGCGAAGAACCTCCAGTAGAGCAGACCGAAGACCGTGCAGGCCGCGTTCGATGCACGCGGCAGCGATGCCTGCTGTCGGGAGGGACTGTCTGTGGAAGAGGAGCGCAAGCAGGATGGCCGAGCTAGGAAAGTAACCGCCCGATCCGCACTGTACACACGCACGTCAAGGTCAGCCGAGGCAGGCTTAAGGTTCGTACTACTTACTCCACTTTCTTGCCGGCTTCGAGGAGGCGATGTCGAGAGGACGACACTACCCCGAATACATGGTATGAGCGAGGTTTCTACTTTTCCTATGACAACCGTATAACAACACATTGTGGCTCTACTCAAGACCCCTGTACAGAGTACATCTACATTACAGGGACAGCGCAAGGTGACCGACAAAACATGGGCATTTAACCTGGTATAGTGGGTGGTGACCACACCTGATTCTAGTCGGGATGATAGGAGCGGGTAACCACTGCGAAGCCTGTGCAAGCCGTGTCTCCATCAAAGTTCAGGTAAGAATCTATCTTGCCGCCTTGCAGCGTCATATGGACCCTGAGGAGACGCATGGATGAATTTGCGGCCTCATGTCTCCAGCGGCCATCCTCGGATAACATGGCAGGGGAAGGTCGACAGGGTGCAGAGCGGGAAAATGGAGCCTGCATCGCAGTGTTCTTCGCCTGGGCCATCTCCCTCTCTGAGACCCTCCGGACTCATCCATCCTGGCGCGGAGTTCATCGTCTGGTCATGGCGGCGAGCTCTGCGACACGACTGCAATCCGGTCAGTATCCCATGAAAGTCAGAGATACCGGTAAGTCATACCTCATTGCCGGATGTCCCGGGTGGTAAGCCGGAGGCATAGCAAGCGGGACAGGGCGCGGCGTGTACGGCGGCAACCCGCTCAACCGATGGTCTCTCGCGGAGGGAATGCTGACCGGGAGCGGCTGCGACTGCGTCACCTGGCGAGGCAGCGACCCATGCAGGAGGATCGGCGGCTCGTAGACATCCTCCTCCAGCGGATTGAACCGCTCTCCGTTCCGTCGGCAGCGCTTGGACTCGTGCGGACTCTGCGGCGTGCAGAGACAGCAGAAGCCGAGCGCGCGGGCAAAGTCATAAAGTACCATCGAGCGGCGGTCGTGCGCAGGGCATGAGAGAGGGCGACGAGGGCAGGCAGACGACCAGGAGGCCGGGGGTTCATATTGTGTTGCGTGCCCCGATTTTTAGGCTTTCCCAGAGCTCTCGATCGCAGTGCTTGCACCTTCTAGCGTTCGGCGCAGAGCGCCGAAACGTCTCGGGATGTGCAAGCTTCCCTTGCGAATGGAAGCGGGACTTGCGGGACGCTGCTCATGCATAAGTCACATCATTGGGCGCGGCCGACACATCAGCCGCACGGTCGGAGCGCATGGGTCTCACCAAGGTCTCACGACAGCATCGTCGTCACACGGAGCGCGGGTGCGACCGGCGCCCGCTCCTCGTCGAAGTAGCTACAGGGTACCCTCAGTACTAGGCAAGTCGCAATGCAGGTGCTTGGAACTCGACGGTGTTGTATGTACATGGGGTCACGACGGTACAATTACAGCATTACGCGGTAACGTAAAGGTGGACCCGCTAGAGCTCCTTGAACATTCTACGAATCATCGCATGATCAGCAGCGCTTGGTCAATCCACATGTCTTCTGCAGGCTGCCCGGCCAACTCGGCTCCATTCTACTCCCACCTGCTATTACTATCTTTCTCGAGCCTATCCAAAGGAAGGTGTGAATAAGAACGCTGCCCAGGTCCCTGAATAGTGCCGGTAGGGATACTAGCCAGACGCACCTCCGAGTTGAGTGGAGAAGGATCCTGCACAGCAGCATCGACAGGTCGACCAGCCCCATGCAGATTCAGGCCAGCACTCCTCCCTGAGAGCGACGAAGCGGAACGCCCCGGCCCAGCGATCGTCGACTCCAGTGTCCACTGCGACATCGGCTGGGAGTTCACCACAGGGCGGGGGTTCGGCCTGCGCGGCATAACGGGCGGAACGTAGATGTCGTCTCGCGATAGATGGGGATCATCCGGTCCGGGGAGGTCTCGCTCGCATTGGCAGCACCAGTTGAAAGCCTGGCGTAGGGCGCGGGACATTGGATGCGGGGATGGCACGACGAAGGAGGTCGCGTCTTGGGCGGTGATCCCTACATACGCCCCGGACTGGATGCTATGTAGACATCTATGTATCGAAGCCAAGCGTGATCGAGGCGGGCTGATAAGTCGTTGCACGGCGCGCGCAATCGCCAGGGATATAATAACCGGCATGGGTACGCCAGTACCGTTCCTGCGTGGGTGGATGTGGTGCATCAGTGATTTGACGCAACACTGGTGTCAGTCATAGTCGAGTGACCCGTCCAACTGACCTGAACGTCTGATGTTATACATGGCCGTTTCGAGTGAAACTGAAGTGTCTGCCTTACTCACAAATTGTCTTAATCGAGCTGTTGGCATTATGGGGTCGTCAAGTTTCGAGTCTCTCATTCACGTCGCGCATGCAGTTAGCCACTCTGCCCCGACTGTAACAAGTGAAGAAATCGGATTCATAGGAGGATGTACGGGACAATACTGTATGGATCAGGCACACCTACGATCTTCCATGTATCATTGAGCAAAGCTACGACGAGCACGGCCACCCAGGCTCATATTTCCAACCCGATCAGCACGTACGAGGAGTCGACTTCGAAGGGCGGCGCGGTAACGACGCTACCGCCAACATACATCAGGGAGTGGAGGAGATCGCCGAGGAAGGGCGAGCTCTTCTCCAGCGCGATGACCAGCGCAGAGCACTGCAGGCTCTCATCAGCAAGATCCAGGAGAGCAACAATACTACCGAGATGGTCAGCGATGGAACGATGCCACACGAATGCGGGACACACCTCTCCCTAAGATTGACGGTCGCTGCGCTTTTCCCGTCTACGTAGAGCGTCTTGGGCCTGTTTGGCAACTCGAGGACGACACCGTCGAAATCGGCACCAAGGTTGGGAGCGGAGATGGAGACACTGTTGGCGTGGGGCATAGCAGCCAGAGCGTTGCGCGGGAAGAGAGTAGAGAGGAACTCGAGAGCAGCATCGCGCTGCTTCGCACTAATGGCCGCGACGCTGCCTTCTCCGTCCTCGGCATCGTCAGGCGTCAACGGCGGCGTGGCAATGTCGGGGACAGGGGCACGAGCGATCTTGCTGGCGATGTCCCTCGGGGCGCTCTTGGTCGGGTGGCTGGCTCGATCTTCCGGAGGCGGGGTAGGAGGAAGGTAGATGGAACTGGCAGGGCTGTCGGTGCCGAAGGCTGAAAGCGTGGATGAAGTGTCGGAAGGAGGCGAAGAGGAGAAAATTGGCGTCAGACTGTCTGTCACCCAGTCTAACGACCCTCGATCAGGAGGGCATTTCGCTTTAGGGGTGTCAAAACCGCCACTGCAAATCCGGTAAGTCAGAAATGGTGGAAGAGCGGGCGAAAAAAGGACATACCCCGGGCCCGCCAGAGAACGTAGTAGAGTAGTAGTACATGTTGTTGCCGGGCGTGCGGCACACTGCAAGCACGCTAGGAGTCATGTCGGTGTAGAGAGCCCCATCTCCAACGGTTTGACGACCGTTGCTGCAAAAAACAATGTCAGTCCCAGTCCGATGAGATCTGAATGCTACGCACGCGGGGCAAATACTAGATTGCTGTTTTGAAAGATTTGACATATTTGAATTCGACATGAGGTGCCAATTTGTTCGAGCGACTGATGGCGGCGTTGAGAGATGTGTTCGGGTTGAGCGACGGGATGAGCACTTACTGTGAGGATGATGCAGTGGCGAGGTCGATGCTATATCGTAGTCAGTCAGCAAACGGGCGAGAACCTGCCTCTTCTTATGCCCGTGTCCGTGGCAGTACCCCGATCACCGCCCCACGTGGCTGTGGCCCGTTGCCATCTTTGGCAATGCGTCTCGGACCCTCCGCCGTCGGATTACCCTGTCAAAGACGGCTCCATTCCTCTGCGCATGCATCGTCAACGCGGACCAGCCCAGGTCTTATTCGCCTGCTCGAGTCCGTACTTCTGCGCTCGAAGGATCGCGAACCCCTTCGTGACGCTGGTATCCAGAGGCCGTGGCAAATTGTCGCGCCAGCATGGAAGACAAATGACACCATATGACTGGCGAATGACCAGCCCTCTCCAATCCCAGGCAATCCAACAATCTCCACAGCACCCACTATCTGCAATGTCTGGCGCGAGAAGTCTCAGTCAGAACGCGACGTTGGCTTTGGACAGGCCGCACCGTGAACACGAGTACAGATAACAGCGACGTCGATTGTTGTTTTCCTCGTATGTCATCGCGAGAAGCCAATGGCCATGGTACGTTACGGCACTGGGCCCAGGGCTTTGCAGACAAAAACGACTGGTTGGCGACTAGTATGTACTGGCTCCAACCATACACTCGACGTTGGATTCTCCGAATCCCCGTTCAGCGCTGTAGGTGACAGCTTGACTTCGTGTTAACGCCATCTGCAGCATCTTCGAGCCACCCCGGCCTCGGGTAGATCGAGTCTCGACACAGTCCTCATCAACTAAGTACAGTAACTTAGCTGCAGGAGAGACAGTCATCATGAGAACCTAGGAACGCAGATACGTTCAGCATATCATCGCTTTGAAGTCGTCTGCTCACTAGCACGCACTATATGCCGATTGTAGGTTAGGACCCTTGCCTTGGGACAAGCGCACACTGATGAAGTAGTGAACAATAGCAGATTTACTGCTGCGAAGCCCCAAATGCGATTCAAACGGCGATGACAAGTACAAGTCTGTCAATACAAGCACAAGGGGTCATACAATCTAAGCCTACTAATACGGTTCACTCCCGAATCATTCCACTCAGTTCTATTCCTGCAGCTCAACGTGTCAGACGAAGCATCTCGGTGAAGACATCGCCTTGACCGGTAGAGCTGCCCAACGGACGGCCATTCCCGACGAGAACAAGAGGTCTCCGAGGTCTATCTCGGGCCAAGCGATGGAAGCCAAGAGCGGGCGCGTGAAGAGACGCGGACGGTTGGAGCAAGGTGACAATGTCGTCAAACAGGTTCACACCTGACCCCGTCGGGTCTCTATTTTGTGATTCTAGGGCCCTGGCGTCGGGGTACGTGGGTCGATGGCAGACGGTGTGGTTACGATCGACGATGGCAGAAACTGTTGACTGCAAGCTAGATTATTATCTGGTTAGAACAGCTGTACACGTCGACGCCTACCTGTCTCCTGGCGTTGGTAGCAACAGGGCTAGCGATGCCTGCTGACGAATTGCGCACAGACGTGGCTGTACTGGGGACCATCCCAGAGCGCGGCGCGGTTGTGGAACGGGCCGACCAGCTAGTCGGGGGAGTTGTAGGTCCACGGGAACTGCACTGAGACCGATTGGGTGTGGTCGGGAGGAAGATGAAGATGTGGTCACGGGGGAGGGCGTAAGTCGATCGGGTCCGCTACTTCGAGTGGAATTGGAAGACATGCTTCCGGCTCTAGACGGTTCGGGATAATCGCAGTGTACGGAGGGGCGGCCATCGTCCCGGACATGGCATCCAGAGTCTGGCTCACTAGGGCTGTTGGACGGTAGAGGTACCTGGCTGGTAGCGATGGACTGCAGTTCTGTTTCGGTAGAACACGGTGTGGTCATGACGGTGGAGGATGAGAGGAACGGGGTTTCCGCCTGTGCGCTGGTTCCAACGCAAGACATTGCTGACGATGAGCCAGATTTCGAGGTGCTTGAAGGAGCGGCGTGTCCTGACCGGCCGGACACAGATCGGATGTCTGTTTCTGTCGCGTCTCTCCCCGGGGCTCGGGCGTTGGACGACATGTTAAGGGTGCCAGCGTCAAGACTGGTCACGCGTGAACGCTGTCCGCTCCCTAATACGGGAGCGACGTCCAAGTCGTTCTCAACGCCTGCGAGCCAAGAACAGATCTGAAGGTTGCAACATCGGAATCGGCGCGGCGGAGGTCAAAGATATTTTCGGCAGTGTTAGATCTAGTGTAAGTAAGTGCGTAGGGTAATCGCTCACCTTCGCGTCGTCGTGATTCCGCTGCCGTCCAAAAACTCTTAGAAGTGGACTAACAACCGGAGCTGTCGACGATGAGGTCGGATGAGAGGAAGACGGCGTGCAGTCTGCAAGGGCTGCGTTCAAAAACGCTGTCAATCATGCACGAGACTATAGATCGCATCTGATATAGATATCTGCGCGGAGCTGTGTAAAACTCAGGGCGACTGCAGCATGGGTGCGGCCCAGCGAAGTAGTGTAATAGCAATGCCAGTTCGAACGTACCGGGCGGCATAATGATGTTACTCAAATGAAAGAGTCCGTCATATTTAGGGTCTTATGGCAAGACTCTTGTCAATCTTGTCTAGACGATGTCTGCTTGCGGTGAGTGACAGCACCGGCGGAGGAGGTTCTGAACTTACAGTGAGTACCGTGACCGCGCTTCTTCAGTCGCCTTTTGAAACCGCGGTACGCGTGTCGGTCGGTCAAAGTGTCTTCACAGCGTGTAACGAGCTCGTGGCGGATCGGAGGGGGGGGGGTGGTCGTTGCGCAAGAACGTTTGACTGCGCGTCGCCGAATATATATATGCAGAAGTACACTATTAGTCTGACAACTTTTATCCTTCGAGACGTTCGAGTGGGGCCGGCCCAGACTCCAGAGCGTGCAGTCAGCCAGGCCACCGGGTGCACGGGGTCCTGGGCGCTCCGGTGCAAGTCTCAGCCACCACACGTCGACCGTGCAAAGCCATCCGCGCACCCACCGGCGAGCTCGACATCGACTTTCCTCAAGACGTGAGTACTATTCTGTTGCCGTCGTGCTGGGGATGTGGAGAGGAGACTGTCTATGACACTCTGGACAAGTATGGTGGTCCTACGTTGTCTGGTTGCGATGGATGGAGCGATGTAGCGTTGGATGATCTTCGACCAGTCTGCGTAGACGGGCTCCTCTCTCGGGCTCGTAGCTTTCTCATGCTGACCGGTCTGTTTGGTGTCCAGTAAACTTCTCAGCAAAACACAATGGCTGACGCTGGACGCGGACGCGGTGGATTTGGGCGTGGACGTGGTGACCGTGGACGTGGTGACCGTGGACGGGGCCGTCGGGGCCCCCGTCGCGGAGGCCGCAAGGACGAGGAGAAGGAGTGGTGAGTCTCACAGATTCCTCCGCATGTGAACGAACCGTTCGAACATTGTCAATCGAAAGGGTTCCCGTCACGAAGCTCGGTCGTCTCGTTAAGGACGGCAAGATCAAGTCCATGGAGGAGATCTACCTCTTCTCGCTCCCCGTCAAGGAGTACCAGATCGTCGACTACTTCCTGCCGAAGCTCAAGGACGAGGTCATGAAGATCATGCCCGTGCAGAAGCAGACCCGTGCCGGTCAGCGCACGCGTTTCAAGGCGTTCGTCGCGATTGGTGACTTCGAGGGCCACGTCGGTCTTGGTGTGAAGTGCGCGAAGGAAGTCGCGACTGCTATCCGGGGAGCCATCATCCTTGCGAAGCTCTCTGTAATTCCCGTTCGTCGGGGTTACTGGGGTGCTGCGCTCGGTGAGCCACACACCGTGCCCTCGAAGGTCAGCGGGAAGGTCGGTTCCGTCATGTGCCGTCTCATCCCCGCACCAAGAGGTACTGGCCTCGTTGCTGCGCCTGCGTCGAAGCGTTTGCTGCAGCTTGCTGGTGTCGAGGATTGCTACACGCAGTCGAAGGGTTCGACTGCAACTATGGGCAACTTCTTGAAGGCGACCTTTGCTGCCGTGCGTAGTGTTTATCTGCTTGCTTTCGGTAAAGCTGACGGACAGCACAGATCACAAAAACATACTCCTTCCTCACCCCCGATCTTTGGCGCGAGATCCCTGTGTCCAAGTACCCTTACGACGAGCACAGTGCGCATCTTCAGCTTGCGGCAGGCAAGAAGGCGTACTAGATTTTTCCGAGGAAAGCCTTATTGCATGTCGTTAAAATCATCTCGTTGCTATGTCCATTATGCTAGGCATGTCCAAGCATTGTACTCTCACACATCGACTTATTTGCTGTGGTGTTGTTGACGAAGTGCTCCGCTCCACATTTGCCAGGTTGTGAGAACATCATATTGTTGCGCATCCATGTGTCGATTCAGTGTTTGCACCACATTGGCGTGCCAATGTGAACGTGAATACTGACGACAAAGCGTCGACGACCAGCAGGAGCGGAAATTCCAAGTACTGCCTGATGAGTAGGCGCAGGTCGGCACTTGTTTCGCCGAGTAAGTACCCTAGATCATGATCTGTCCTAGGAAGATCTGGCAGATCTGCACTCTAGCCGCTGTGGCGCCACAACTCCAGTAGAACCGTAACAGGGTGATATCAGGTCTGTGTTAGGGTTTAAGTCCCGTTCTGTGTTCAATTCACTTCCCATTGGCGATCATACCAGCTCCATTTCCGGACTCTGGCACGACTCAACCACACCCTATTAGACACCTCAGATTGGGAGTACGTAGTACTATTAGTACTGGCACTGCTCAGAACCGTCACCGGCCCCGGGACTCGTGCTAACAGTACAAGCTTCGAACTTTACACCCAAATCTATTTAATGAACTTCAAAAGTGCGGTCCACACGTGGCTGGCGGCCTTGCTCACTCGTTCACTGAACCTTCGATTCCATGGGCGAAGAATTGTTGCAAGTGCGTCTTTCGTCTAAAACGCTGAACAATTCACAAACTTGTCCTTCAGGTCACCGACCCAAGCCTCTCGTACATTGTACTGGGAGGCTTTGTAGTCATTGTACGTATTACTCTGTGCTGTATGAGATTCGCCGTCAGCTCCGCCCTGTGCCTCGTGGCTGCCTCCTCAGAGGTGGTGTTCGTCGCCGCCTGAGCAAATATGTTTTAACCAGTAACAGAGATGCTGACTTAGAGCACTCCTAGTTCACCATGATGTCGCTGCTCATAAAAGACAAGGTGCGCCATTTTTCAATATTTCAGTGGAGATTATGGCTGAATTTCCTCGCCGTCATCAGCTATACATCAACGAAGTCGTGATCGGAACCGCATTCGGCATCGTCATTGGGCCCTACTGTGCAAACGCATTCGACCCGAGATCATGGGGCGATCACACCAACGCCATTACTCTGGAAGTGATGCGGGTCGTCCTCGCTATCGGCCTCTTCGCCATTGGCGTGGAGCTGCCACAGTCGTATATGGCGGATCATGCGAAGTCGCTTCTCGTCGTGGTTGTTCCCACTATGGCTTTCGGTTGGATCGTCGTTGCAGGTAAGTCTCAGGTTCATCGACGTAGTAGACCACTTTTTTACTGATGACTTTGATCACCCGAAAGCGGTCATATATTTGTTGTTCCCGTCCTACAACTACATCTCGGCATTGGTCATAGCGGCCTGCTTGACACCTACCGACCCTATCATCAGTGCGGCCATAGTCGGTGCGAATATTATATCCGCACCCCGCAGATATAAGCCTGATCCCTTACACCCCTACAGGAGGGAAGTATGCCCTGAATAACGTACCAGTCAACTTGCGTCAAATTCTGTCCGCAGAGTCTGCCGCAAATGATGGACTCGCGTATCCCTTCTTGAGCATCTCCATCTACCTGACCCTCGAGAGCTCGCGGGCAACGGCAATCGAGAAATGGTTCCTCATAGGCTGGCTATGTAAGTCCGATAATCGCATATCCTCTATCCATCCTCGCTAACATACTGTACAGACGAGGTCATCCTAGGCACTGTGCTCGGAGCTGTGCTAGGTATGCCAGTCTGTGGATGACGCTCGCCGCCTACTCACGCCTAGTACACGGACAGGCACACTGTTTTGCAGGCTCATGAAGATATCCTATCGCATGGGATTCATAAACCGCGAATCATATGTCGCGCAGTACCTAGCACTCACGCTGTTCACGATCGGGATCGTCAGTACTCTGGGAAGCGATGACCTACTGGCAGCATTTGCGGCGGGTGCGTGGGCTGTATGTCTCCTGTCTCCGTCTCGTCACTCATCATGGTGTACCATACCTTAGGCACTGCCATCAATTGGGACGGGAATTTCCACGCCGTGACGGCGAACGAGGCCTTTTCGCCGGTCATTGACTTGCTCCTCAACTGCGTATGCTTCGTGTACATTGGCGCTTGGCTGCCTTTCGACCAGTATAACCGGATCGACCTGGGCATCACGCCGTGGAGGCTGGTGATTTTGTTCATCCTTATTCTCATAGTCCGGCGCATCCCGCCTCTGCTCTTGTTCTTCAAGTGGGTGCCTGAGATTGCCAACTGGCGTGAAGCAATGTTCTCTGGACACTTCGGTATGTAGCTGATTTCGAAAGCGTGTGTCTCAATGCTGACCTCATTCATCGCAGGACCGGTCAGTACTTTACTGTTCTACACTAAATTTCTAGCCCTCATATCCCCCGCAGATGGGCGTCGGAGCTGTCTTCGTGTCCACTCTGGCAGCCACCAGACTCCCGACGCCACACAACCCTCCTGAGAATCAGGCTGAGCTGCTGGCCGCAACCGTACAAACAGTTGTCTCCTTTGTCGTGCTTGGTTCTATCATCATTCGTAAGGACATTCAGTGTTTTCGAGTCGCACGCCTTTCTGACTCTCTGTAGATGGCCTGTCTATACCTTTCTTCTCTTTCGGCAAGAAAATGCGGGCACGCACACTCTCCATTAAGCGCACATGGACGCCTCGTCACGGCGGCATCCCCGACTGGCTTCTGGCAGCTCGCCATTCATTCCTAGAGAGCCCGCCTTCCACCTTCACCAGCATGGATCCGGAGCAGGGCCAAGAAATGAATGTGCGCGAGGCGGAGACTCTGCCTGACGGACACATGGTATCGCACATTGCCAGTGTTCAGTCTGAGAGAGTCGAGCTCACTCCGGATGGCCACGGTATCTCTTCTGCATTCGCCCGTCCGGGCCTGGCTCGACAAGGCTCTGGAATCACGGCGCGGACGAACCAGGTAAACACCCACGTCTATCGGTGTCACCAAAGGTATCCATGCTGACCATTTCTCTGCGGCTCAGATTCGCCTCGATAATGACCCTGCGGCGCTTCGCGAACCTGGCCCCGACTACAAGCCTGAGTCAAACTCGGAGTCTGCCAGCCTACGTACCCCGAGATCGATTCGCCTCGAACAGAGCGGTGACCCGTTCGCCCAGAGTTTCGCTTCCACCTTGCATGCACCTGAAGGCATGGATGGAAAGCAGCTGGTGCTGTGACTCCGAACAAGTCTCAATTCGTAGAAGTGCGCGAGGAAGTGGTCACGGCGGATGAAGAGCCTGCCTATAACATGGGCATAGCCCAGGGCGAACACGAACACTCGACTGTGCAACAGACTGTCAAGACTCTGCACTTTCCCGACGCCAAATGACATATGCTTGTGGTTCATCTCGGATTGCGATTGGTATTATTGGGTACGAACTCGTGCGGGGGGAAGTGAATCGTCGGAGCGACTCGGATGGTGGTGGCAACATGGCATATAGAGTTTTGAAATTTGTACACAGTTATGTTTCTTGGAAGTCACCTTCAAATAATTGCATTCTATACGTGTGGGCAACTCTCTATTCTCATACCTGCTCGAGTCTGAAGCTCTGAAGTCGCGGTAGCATTGTCAATCTTAATGTGAGGCTGAGTTGAAGCAATGCCGCGGCAACGCGAGGCACGTGATATCGTACTGGCCTCCAGGTCGTTTGAGGTCGCTTCGAACTGCAGACACTTCAAGCCATGGCTACCCGCAAGGTCGCGGACTCGACGCTCTATCATCTCAGTCCCAAGGGCTTCTGGAAGAAGTTCAGTACGTGAATCCGCTGAACTGGATCGCGATTCCGTGAGCTGACGGGTCCTGTAGGGGATGCTGTCGTGGTGAATCCCGAGATCTCTAGCGGTCTCCCTCTGCCCAGCGTGGTTAGATATCCACCTCCTGGTTCGCGACCGGAGAAGTACGCTACCCCTGCTACGAAAGGTGCGCCTCATGTCATCTCAACGCGTTCCGCAAGTTCAACTGGTCGATCGTCTGGTTAGCGTCGGACCCGGCACAGAACCCGTACTGGAAACGAGATGTCCGCCGAGCCTACCCCCAGCTGTCAGTCGTGACACAGTCTGAGCTCTCCTCTTTGCTCATTCAACATTCTCAACCGCAAGCGTACGCTTCTTCTATTGCTTACACGAGTTACGCAGGACGTACTAATGCGTTGCAGTGTTGCCGCTCCCGCAGAAGGGCAGGAGGGTGAGAAGGCTTCCGTCCCTGCTCAGGCTCCGGAGCCTACAGAGCTATCTGCAGCCATTGCTACCATCACCGCCTCCAACAAGGTCTACACGGAGGCCAAGCTACCTCCGAGTCTCCCGACCGCGGACAAGCGCTGGAGGCCTGAGCGGACGGAGGACGCGCCACACGATTCGAGTGCATACTTCCCGATGCTGCTCTTCAAGTAGACTATCTGCGTAGTAGAATGGAATGCTATGTTTCTGTAGTGAATGGTCAACTTATATCGAAAGCCATCCCGATCGTAGTTAAGCTCCATACGAACGTTCAACGTTCATGGCTGTTCATGCACATGGCCACAATTGGTGTGAGGCCGATGTACGCGCGAAGCCACAGCTTGACTGTGCTCGCTACGCTTCACCCGCCACTGTCCCAGCCAGCCAACACCATATTTCTGTTTCTGCCAGCTTTACTCGGTCCTGATACAATTCAGGCGAATCTGAGACGTCCTGGCTGCTGTGACATGTCTACCACCGACGCACCGTCTACGGCGCCACCTACTGCAGCCGCAGGGTCCTCTGCAGCGGCACAAGCAGCAGCATTCGCAGAAGACCCTCGAGTCCATTTTGACCGTGCATCGGGCACATGGCGCCTTGAGCAAGATGACGGCGCCGAGCTCGAGTATGATGCGGCGAAGGGTGCATGGGTCCTTTTGGTGCGTGCGCGACTGCGGCTCTCACCACTCTCGAGTGCTGCGGGCGCTGACTATTGACATGAACAGCTGGACGAGGACCTAGTGAAAGCCCAGCAGGCGGCGTATTCAGTGGCAGGAGTGGACGAGGAGGTGCGTGTTATCCCGGCTGATAGCACTTCGTCGAGCTCAGTGTCTGCATGCTCATGGAACGCGCAAGCCTAGACACCCGCCGCCCCCGTGCTGAAGCGCACTAAGAAGCGCAAGGAACCCGAGGACTACACTTCCAGTACCGTCGGCTCCAGCTCAGGCCCTGCCACCAAACGCGGCAAGAAAGGAGACATGAACGGCCAGACAGAGCGCAAGTCGAAGAACACTGCGGTCTATGTTACGGGCCTCCCTCCCGACACAGAAATGGACGAAGTCCATGCACGTTTCTCGAAGTTTGGCCTCATTGAGGAGGACGACGAAGGGGTGCCGAAGCTCAAGCTCTATGCCCGCGACGACGGGACGTTCAGCGGAGACGCGCTTGTGGTGTACTTCAAGGAGGAGTCGGTCGACCTCGCGGTCAGCCTGCTGGACGATGACGAGCTAAGGATCGGGGACTCGAACACACGAATGAGGGTCCAGCGTGCCGAATTCTCCCACAAGCATGAAGGAGAGGCGAAGAATGGCGAAGCGAAGCCACGGAAGACGATGTCAGATAAGAAGAAGGCGACGAGGCGCATTGGAAAGATGCAAAAGTGAGTGTCCTTAGCATCGGTCATGCGGCGCATTGGGAACTCAATCCATGACAAGGAAATTGGGCGAATGGGACGACGAAGATGGCTTCGGGCCATCAATGACGGAGGAAGACAAAGCACCACTTGTCAACAAAAGCAGGGTGGTTGTGCTCAAGCATATGTTCACGCTCAAGGAGCTCGAGGAGGATGCATCGTTGCTACTCGACCTCAAGGATGATGTCCGAGAAGAGTGTTCAGGTCTCGGAGAAGTCACTAATGTTGTCCTCTATGATGTGCGTGCATTCACTCGATGATGATATTGCCGAACTAATTTGGATCCGCGAGCGCAGAAAGAGCCAGAGGGTATCATGTCGGTCAAGTTCCGCGACCCACTCAGCGCACAAGCCTGCATAATCGTAAGTTTCTCTTACGTGCAGTTCGACGTCATACTCACAACCATGCAGAAAATGAATGGCCGGTTCTTTGCAGGAAGACGAATCGAAGCGTCGTTGTACGCCGGTAAACAGCGCTTCAAACGAACAGTGGATGACACATTGGAGGACGGCGGAGACGAGGGCGAGAAGAAGCGATTGGACGACTTCGCCCAGTGGCTCATGACCGAGGGAGATTGACGACCCAGCACACGACGATTCCTTTCTGTAGTCCCCAATCTATGACGCATTGTATGGTATAGTCCAGATGTTCTAATATACAAACAAACATGAAGATTCCGTGCATGTGAAAGCGAGCAACGTGTAGGGTCAAAGGTCAAAGCGATGCGAGCATGAGCAATACCATATAGCCTCTGCAAGGACTACCAACAATCGAAGAACGGTTTTGTGTTGACCGTCTCCAGTCGCTGGGTTTTCGTCAGTTGAGATTCTTCGAGACAGGAAGGTTGAACTTACCTCAGAAATGACTGTACGTGGTTTCGGACTCTCAGCAGAATCTATCCAGTCCAAGCTTGGTCGCTCTGGTGCCGGTCCACCCATGCTAGGCCACCGGCTATGTCGAGCGCCTGGTGAGATGTCGAGCTGCGGCAACGATTTTGACATTGCGACCAAGTCCTCCTCTGTCATGGATGCGCTGAGTGCGTCCTCCGGGACAGCTGGAAGTCGCTCTGATGGTGCTGAAGGTGACAACGCATCGGCTCCTGCCTCCTCCGCCTCCGTATTTGACGGCCGCGTCGGCACGGAGCTTGCCATCTCTCCAACATCAACTTCCACGTCCTCGTCTAGCGCCTCATCCTCGACACCGATCCGCTTCAACCCAGCCTCAACCTCGTCTAGCCGCTCCATATGCTCCAGCACCGTCACACCCGTCGTCGCGGATGCACGCGTGTAAACTTCTTCGCGAACGGTACGGGGCGCGAGACACCAGAGTTCTCGGACGAGACACGGCGCATCGGCGGCGGGAAGTCAGAGGAGCTATGGCTGCGTGCGTGCTTCTGGACAGGCATCGTGATGACGGACGCGTGAGGCGACTGCGGCGGTAGATGTGGTGACGGTAAGGCCACGTTGGCGAGATCAGGGAGCATCTCGTCCGTCACCTCGAGTTCGTCGTCCCAGACCAGGACTTTCTGCCGACGTGTCAGTTCGAGCGGTCCTACATAAGTGTCAGCTAATGTCGGTTTACTAAGGTATGCATGTCAATCACCTTCGTCCTGTCAAGTCGCATCAGTACCGACACAGGAGGGCAAGCCGGGAGGCAAACTGACCGCATGTCTCAGAGCCTGAACGATGTTCCAAGCCTGCCCCTTCACCACAGCAAGTTGCCGCTGCGCAGGTGTTCAGTATACAGATGGATACAGAACTACAAGGAGACACGGACGTTGAACATTTTGGGGTGGAAGTCAGGATCCACAGCGAACAGCTTCCGCAGCTGATAGGTCGTTTCTGCCCACCACGCCTTCGATGTCAACAATGGCAAGAAGTGGTCCCTTGTCTCTTGACTGAACGGCCGGCCAATGATACTGACAGGGAGGTACAACCACCCATACGTGTACGAGCGCCAGCCTCTCGGATGTTCATGCGGGAACGATAGCGAGTTGTCAATGGCAGCGATGTGTATATGCGGCTGCCGCACGTACGGTTGCCCATTCGTCGATGTTGCTCGCGAGTATGCAGGCGGGGCGCCGGACACATCTGCGGTGTGCTTCGCCCGGACTCTGTCCGCCGGAGCTCCGCCATTTGGGGCATTCTAGGTTTCGGGAGGGCGCGACATCGACCAGGGACTTTCCCTGTTCGCCATCGCAATACTTGATCATGTAGTTGTCCGCGCCGCGGTCGGTGTTGAGCATAAGATAATCTGCAGATTCGCTCAGTCTAGGTGTCAACTGACAAGTGACACGCTTGCGGGCTTACCCAAAATGACGAGCCTGGATGATGCATGACACGTCAGCAGTCGCGACTTTCTGTAAGCAACAGCTACTCACTTCTCAAGTTCTTCTCGGAAGCTGTCTTGCAATGCTGGCGTCCAATGGAAAGGCTCATTTGTCCGGCTCTCAGACACATCGAAGAGATACCGCTCGTCTTCACGGTCGTCTTCGTCAAATATATGCTCCTCGTCTCCTGTTCTACCGCAGACAATCTTCACTGTTAACATAAGCTTCTTTGACCAGCTCCCTTTCCGATGGTTTGAGTCGTCGAATGTGTCAGAGATGGCCCGGCCCGGCCAAGGGTGTCTCCGAAGGAACTCGGATGCATCTGAGAGGCATGTTATATGAGGAGCCACATATGTATGCGATGATTTACCTGTGAACCCGTTAAGGAAATATTGCATGCTACCGATCTTCTCTGGTAATGGTTTGCCCTTCTTCGCTGCTTGCCGATCTAGCCAGTCATAGAAGAAAGCCTGAACAGAGAATGAGCGAGATCCCGGCTACGACAAGCCTGTGGCACATACTGGGCTTGACAAAGAGACGAGCTGTGTTCTGGGTACAATGTTCAAGTTCAACCTCTCGTCTAGAAGTGATGCAGCGGCCTCGGAGATGTAGCTGCGAGATAGATTAGGCCACACCTTCTCGTTTACATAAGATAAAGCGAGGTACCTCAGATTGGGAATGAGACATGCACGACCAAATGGTATGATCCACTTGAACTGTCTATGAAGCCATTTGGTGGTCTATTCGATCATGTCAGTCAACTGACGGGCCCGGGAGAACCACTCCCACCTTCGGGTTAAGACGTCCATATGGTTCCTCGTCTTTCGGTTTGAAAACGCTACATCCTCGTGAGCTCGCGTATCCAATATAGCACTCTGGATAAGCTCACGCAACCGTCTGAACCTTGCCATCTACCTTCGCTCGCGCAAAATATGAACCCGAGGAGCCCTTCGTGATCATCTTGGGGTGAATGCCATCTGCAATGGCGTCCTTCACTGTTTGGACGAGTCTTGTATCGTCAGTCAACCGTCAAAGTGGTCGAGGCTCGAACCATCTCACCTGTCGAAGTCTCCCTTCGTCATGGGTGGGTTATGATCCAGCGTCTTCACCTGGGAGTAGCAAGACCGTCAGCAGCCTCGTACAGCTACCCGAGACAAAGAGCGCACTCACAGGTCCAGTATTGACGTTGTATGCAACGACAGCGGGCTCGAATGCGCTGTGGAAGATCTCTTTCCGCGAATTGTCCTCGACCTTCTTCCTGCGCTTGACTTTCTGTGCAATCGACTCCGTCCATCTAATAGGCATTTCAGCGTGTGTTCATCCATAAGGTAATATGGTAGTATGAACCTCTTGAACGCAGTGTCGAGCTTGCTGAGGTCTATGTGTCCTGGCCGACGCTGCCGTGGCGAGGGCCGCGGGGCGGGGGAGAGGCCCTCTACGACATCTGCCTCTTCCTCGTCCTCAGCACCTTGGGAGAGTGGTTGATACTCCGAGCGGTTGGGCATGGCCGACTAATGGACAATGTAAGTATTGAGCTAATGCGTGCAGGGGACAGAGTACACAGCAACCTTGCGCAGTGGCGCTTGCTCATGGGCGTCGGGATACACGTTGTCTGGATATGGCAAGTTACGTACCGGGCGCTTGGTACGCGTCGATTCTTCCAAGTGTTTGCAAGCCACACACTTCAAGCAAGCCCCGACACGTAGTACCACTAACTAGATGTGGGGATGTTGACTCGACTGATATAAACCCTTTAGTCCAATTGTTCCGTAATACTGGAAGGGGAACGCAATACAGCGTTTAACGTTTTATGTAGTATCTTTGGACTGGTACTACACATCATCATGCCTGCGGTACGGAATGAACAGCGCCAAGACCTCGACCTGGCCTCCTCGGGATCCCGGTCTGCGACGCGTCGAGAGTCTGAAGCCCCGAGCACGAAATCCTGTCCGATCAATTGATCAAATATGGTTGTCTGTGGGAGGAGCAAGCGCACAACCTTCGCGTCAAAGAGAAGACCGAAGAGGGGCTCACCTCGGCCTACACGCGTGCCATAGAACGTTGGATCAATGATCCTGAGTTTTCGCGGTGGCGGGAACCTGCGAACTACCTCGAGGGAAAAGAGGGTTTCATTGAATGGATAGAGGAGGTTATCGAGAGGTACACCAAAGCAGAGATGTCGATCGAAGAGTGAGTTCGTCATAGACACGACTCAGTGTATTGAATTGATCACTAAAGAATGTTTGCTGTAGTCACTGGATCGTCTCAATTGCCGCTCACAGCGGTTACAATCTCATCTACTGCAACGAACCGTGTCTACAGGACCTTAAGGTAATTGGTAAACTGAAACCCAATATCAGCAAGAACTGTGCGTGTTTCCTGTGAGTCCGAGTCTTCGCCGCATTACTGACTGACCTGTCCAGCGCCGATTGTGCTCAGAACTATCAAGACTCCGAGGCGGATTTCTTCAATCACCCTGCTTATCGTAGACAGAGACGCGCCGCTGCCACACAACTGTTGTTGCTCGCGAATATTGGCGAAGGTACTACTCTGGTCGGAGCCTCCTTCGAATAGCGGATCCCCAGAATGCGTCGGGCACGTACCTGCCTCATCCATGGCGTCATGACTACGATTGACGGTGTCGAGTACTTGTCAAGTATTCGACTGCCGAGGATCCGGGTTGTGAATGGGCCAAGAAGGTGACGCTGTCTGAAGATGATTTCCGGGAAATTTGGACGCTCGGGTGGAGTGACAGACGGTGTTATTTTGCTTCCGGTTCGGAGCTGTCTGCGTGTACTATTCCTCGATTATGCCATAGAACTAGCTGGCTCCGTCCCTTGTACTCAATTTAAACTGTGACAGCTTGTGTGCCATGCTGTATTCCCAGCTTCACGCGCATTCCTTACGAAGCTTGAAGCTGAAGCCCGGACTAGTACCCAGTCAACGATCATCGGATTTCTTACACTGAGCCATTGATCCACGTCGCCTGCTGCCCACACATCTCGAGTCCTCTGGAGAAGTTCTCGACACATAGATGGATAATACAGCTCGTAGCTCATGACTTGGACAACATACAAAGCATTTCGAAAACAGATATGTAGCAGTACATAGAAACGGAAAGCGTGGTAGAGCGATAAAACTGGTATCAGTCCCTGGTACACCAGCGACACGGGGCCTGTGCATGTTGTGTTGAGGAACGTTAACGCCAGGACAGACCCACTTGCGTGCAGCTGTCAACGGCGCAGTTAGTATTATCGACTATGCTGCGTCGTTCGATCACTCACTAGGCTATCCTACCAACTCCAATTGGATCCAGGGATGCGGCACGGAGGGGATGTTATTTGGTATGAGATTCGTCGGAGTGGTCCCAACAGATGAGGAGCAAATTGACCCCCAAGCCGCAGTAGATCAGTCGCGATCATCGTCTGATCTTGGATGCGGAACATCTCGATGGCTGTGACAGCTGTGAGAAGATACCAAGGGCTCAATTGAGCGCAAATCACACATGTCCAGGAAGCCCGAGACCGGTGATGTGAGGGTGATTGTACACGGAGTATTGGACATGAATGTACCGCCCGTGTCAGCTGCTTTTAATCTCGCATAATGGTCCCTGCCACAACGAAATGTTATACATCCGGTGATGAAAATGACACGTTGGGCTACCGCGGTGGACCCCCCATCCGTCCGGGGGCGGTTCTTGCATGATCCTAGTCCGCAATCAAAAGTAATGCCCCAATGATCCACAGGGGCGAGTACAAGGAAAGCCGCAGGTGGCAATGCTAAGGAGTGAACATAACTTCAGAGGGTTGCATCTACAATGTTAGCACATAGTACTCACCCATGGGCACAGGTTGGACGTTTGGGCCAGGTCCGCCGGGAGGTGGAGGCATTTTGTCAGATCAATTTGGTCGCGGGTGCAAAAGACGGCGGGAGCAAGAGGCCCTTCGTTTCCCTTCCCATATTATATGACTTCCAGCAACAGGCACTATCCACCTAATGCCTGCCGGCTACGACGACAAAGCCTGACTTCTTCGGTCGACTTCTAGTGGTATTTGGTTCCATACCTGTGTAACACCTTCTAGCCTGTCAGCACGCGAGCCGCCTTGTGAGCCAGTGTGCTGTGCGGGTCCTGGGGGCGATGCCGGTGTAGCAACACCTGACAATGCAAGCTGTAAATCGCCATGCGGTGTACTCACTAACAATCAGAATCCGTTATCGGCATACATCCCGTCGTAGCGATCACGGACCTCCTTCGACTGAGCCGCTATCCCCTTTCCTCGGGCGTGTCTCAAAATATGCATGTAACAGCGAAGCCTATGACCGCTTGGCTTACTGAAAGAAATGATTATTAGGCCGTGTGGCCAGGACTAGGACCAAACCTTTCCGCAGAACGAGGCAGAGAATACTACTTATCGAATAGAAGTGTGCGCAGTATCGGTGATTCGTGACACTGAAACCTGGTGGTTCAGTCAAGTGCATCCCGCATGGCGCATGTAGACTTCTGGCCGAGATCATAGAACAAGAACAATAAAGGCTTGGCAAGGCTGTTGCTCGTGAGTTTGCGCGCCCAATTTAGGTCTCCTAGTCTTTCGAACGTTCCCTTGTGCCGATGCAAGCCCTCGCCAATGCATGAGCACGAGATGGAAGATCAGATCAGGCAGGCTCACCAAGGCTGGTAGGTATTGCGATGCATGGTGGGATCGTCTTGAACAAGCTTGAACGTTCAAACGTTCAAGTTCAATACTACAACGCGTCTGCCTACCATGGCGCTGAGCCAATCTCGTGTACGTGAGTGCCATGGGTGACAATGACAGGTTCCTATGTCGAACGCCATTGGCATCCTCGCTGGTGTTGTGAACGTATCGGTAACAATAATGGTACCTACATGCGTATGTTGTGCGTCTGTACCCTGCTCACGGCGTTACCGTTACGCGCTTTCGGTACCGTGAAGGCATCAGCGCTTATGGGCGCGCCGGCCCGAGATAACCAAGAAGTAACTTAGGTGTCATGTGACATGGATATCTACGCGTTATCTACGCCATATATAAAGGTTGCGCTCGTCGCTCGATCAGCACTGCAGTTCCCCTCCACACTCAGTACTCAGCGCTAACCACCAATTCACGCGTCGCTTCCCGCGTTCACAACGTATCCAATACCTTTTCATTGTCTTCACCATTGCTCACATCATGCCTGCGTCGCGTCAAGCATCTCATCGAGTGTCTAAACCCCCAACGCGCCCTGCGCCTCTCACCGCGCGATCCTCCGTATCTCGCGCCATGGCGCGTCAAGCATCGCAGGCTGAGCAGGAGAAACGACTGTCTGACCAACTCGTCAAATATGGGTGCCTCTGGGAAGAGCACGCCCATTATGTCCGTCTCAGAGAGAAGACGCCGGAGGGGTTCGCTTCGTCTTACACACGGGCTCTGGATCGTTGGGTCACGGACCCAGAGTTCTCGCGGTGGCGTCGTATGAAGAACTATGCTGAAGAAAAGAACGGCTGCATCGATTGGATAGAGGGGGTGATCAGATCACACTGCAAACCGGACTCGGAGATGACGACTGAAGAGTGAGTTGTATTTGATGCACTCAGTCAGTCTTCGTCATTCAATGCTCATATCACTCGCTACAGTCATTGGATCGTCACGTTTGCCGCCTTCGGCGCGTCAGACCTGTTGAACTGCAATGAGCCGTGCATGAGGGACCCGGACGTGAGGGGCAGGCTGAAGCCCGTCATCAACCAGAAGCTGTACGTATCCCAAGTCGGCCCTCCTGCGCGCATTGCTCACAAGCGTGTACAGCGTTGATTGTGCCCAGGCTTACCAGGACTCCGAGTCCGATTTCCTCAACCATCCAGCTCGTCCCAGGTCAAGGGACACCGCTTCAAAGCCAAAGCTGCTCCCGAACATCGCTGACGGTTCCTTGCTCGGAACCACATTCGAGTACAAGACGCCCACAATGCCCCGCGCCCGCACCTGCATGGTCACCAGCGTGTTGACCTCGCTAGACGACGGTGTTGAGTATATTATCAAGCATCTAACCGCGAAGGATCCGGATGGTGAACGGGCGAGGAAGGTGACACTATCTGAGGACAAGTTCCGGGAGATCTACGCTGCTCGGGTCGAGTGATGGACAATTAGATCTTGGTCTGCGCTTACTGTCTGTAATGTTTCTACGTTTTGCTGTCGTGCTATCCTGCTATGATCCCTTGTACTCAACGTCCACCACTGACACGTTGTATTATTTCCTCCATAATTCCGATGATCATCGTCTGGGCTGTAGATCGCGACGCCCCCATATCTCAGAGAATACTGGCATTGCCTTGCCAATATCTTGTATACATGAGAATTAGCTGCGTATTACAGCCACGTAATCCGCGCGCAATCCTCAGCATTCGTCATCCAGCCACGCGCGATCTGGCCGTGTGTCTGGCCGGTAAGTCTTCATTGACCCTATCCGGAATCCGGACTCTACAGAAGTCCGGTATTTGGTCCCAGGGATATCTACAGCACCGGCGGCACCGTACGTCACGGCACGCATTCATGCTGCGTAAGACGGGTGTATTGCGCTTTACACTATGCACAACCCACCAACCATTTCGACACTTTACAAGTCGGCCGAGTGTGGCGCACACGCATTAATACATACTCGATCGGAAGACGTGAATGCGACGTGTGGGTTGGGTTGAATGGCAAGAACCGCTACCAAGGTGCTTTACCCTACATAACACGGTATTCATTCCTCTAGGCGTGCGTCCCAAATCTGCTCGAAGTCGTCGTCGCTCATCGTCTGATTCTTGTCATTCGCGCCTGACATTGCGGTATCATCGTCATACTGGACGGTGTACTCGACGCCAGGCAGCGTCGAAGAGTAGCCGGTAACGGTACACGTCCGCGGGTGCTGAGTCTTCGGGTCCTTGTAGGTGTAGGTGGTCCCGACCAGGGCGGCACTTGCACCGATGATCGACTTTAGCTCCACATCCGGCCCACTGCGTGTTGGCTGAAGAGGGCGGGCAGGATGGGAGTGAAAGTCATGCTCGGAATTCTGGTGTTTGAGGGCGTGATCACTCATGTACGTTCATGAGGAATAGCGCAGACGGTGATGAGGGGGATGCACGTACATTGTCTTATTGACTATAGAGGAACATGTAACATTGTCAATGCCACCCTCGACTGTCGGTTTATACTCGTTGCAGGATACGTAGATAGATGCCCCCCACGCAGCGAAACCAGCCAGACAATGTCTAACGGTGCAATCAGACCGTTAAATTTGTGATGCCTGCAACACAAAACCGCAATGTACGCACTCTTCGATAGTCATTACGTCGATTGGCTTGCCTGCGGTATTAATCACACCGTCGATCCAATGCAGCCATTCTTCCCTGCCTGCCGGGTATGTCCTGGGGCCCAGCCACTGTGAATACTGCGGGTCGGAGATCCAGCGAGCGAGGGCTCTGTCGTAGATCCCTTTGAAGCCTGCGGGGGTCTTCAAGCCCTTGACACGGATGTGATGCGCATGATCCTCCCACAGGCAGCCGTACTTGATCAATACGTCCGCGATGTACTTCTCTTGCGCAGATGGGGAAGCTTGACGAGTCGTAGGGTCTGACTTTGCGATTGAAAATTTTGGAACGTCGAAGGGTGGGGGAGAGGCAGGTGGAGGCGTCCTGTACGAGCTCGCTTGGATTGCGGGCATACTGGCGGGGAGTGGAAGGGAATGAAGCGGGATGGCAGTAGAGAGGTCCTTAAGTGGTTCACCGGCGGGACACAGGGGAGTGGAGCGGAAGTGGCGGGGGTTCACCGGCACCTCCGAGCCTTCTGACTCGCCCTTCAGTTGACGCGACCCCGTGATACTGCTGTTTATAGGAGACGTCCATTAGCCATCGCACATGTACAGTACTTCCCGTCAGTCATCATGCCTGCGGCACACTCTGTACGTCCCACCCTGCGACGCGACACCAAGTATGAGCAGGACCTGATCTGCACGACATCTCAGATTTGGCGCTGCAACTCACAGATGATCGGGGATTCACGTGTATACTGAACGCTTCTCCTCCCGACTCCGAGTAGAATTTGACTACTAGAGCATTGGGACCTTGTTCCATGCAGCGGGTGAGCTGAAGCTCTGCACGGTGCAGCCTCGTTCATGGCATGCGCACCGTCGCCATAAGCCAATCAATAGTAAATGTGATCTCACCAGCGTCGGCTGCGGGCCGTATCCGAGGACGGTCGCGGCCTGTTGCCTGAGTATCTGCGTCCACAAATGAGAGCACCGCCGTTACGGGCCATGCCAGTCCTCGGATTCGCCTACACCAGCCGTCTGTGGAGCTGTTTCAGAAGACATGACCAACGTACCTCGTTTTATTGGACGACAACCGGCCAGTAAACGCTCTCTGAATACTGAATACCAAGACAGCAGGTATTCCAGTCACAAATATGTGCGCATAGTACGAACCCTATAAAAGGAGTGCGCTCGTACCGTCAACCCCAGTCAACAACCACACAACCTAGTACTCATCACTAGACTCCTCGCATATCAACTACAATGTCTGTGAGTACTTGCATCGATCTCACCGGGCTTCTCGACTGACCGATGCGTCAGGACAAGGCAACCTGCGCTAACGTCCAAGCCAACGGCGGCTCCTGCACATACCCCGCGTGCGGCTGCGCGGAGCCCCCCAAGAGCAAGTGAACGCTCCCCGGGCACTCCCGTCGCAGAGATCGCAGGTGAGCTGTCCTGCGAAGATGAGAACCAGCTGGTTAACGGCTTGAGCAGCTATAGATGCTTGCCTTCGTTGATAGGGATTAGCTGGGTGAAAGGGTGGTGTATAGCATACACTTTGACCTAACCACAATTCGCGGGCGAAAATGACGAATCTACGTTGTTGATATTCTTGGTGTCTTGGAGGGTGTAGAATCCCGTGAATCAGGACGAAATCTGCTTCAGTAATTTGTCGGCAAGCTGAACCAGGCTAGCAACAGTCCCCAGGTTTCGGAGGTCTAGAAACAGTTACCATGCGGAGCGGACGAAGCAAACGCAGCTCTGCAACGCCAGCGGTTAGTACGTCTCGCCAATTACGAATCTAGAGTTATGGTGGGAGGCGTTTGCCGAGGACCTGAAGCTGAGTACTGAGTGCTGAGCGCTGAGTACCCACCTGGGCACGTTGATCAGCATGTATCGGCCTCCCCAAACGTGGGATGTTGAATGTAGATCCATGGATACATCGGGAGTTACCTGAAAAGGCAACTTGGGCGGGATTGAGCGTACGGTACTGCCCACCCGGGATCGTTCTAGGATGTGACCGGGAAAAGAGCGATCGTGACGGGTTGTTTCACATTTGAATACGGGGGTGTACCTGCATACGGGATATGGGATATGGTTGCTCTCTGTAACGGGCGACTGGATTGCGAGAAAGGAGGCGCTGGAGGGAGAACGATTTGTAGCCACGTGTGGGCGGCAGGAAGGGGATGTGCGTCGCTGGCGGAGGCGGGCTTGACACACGCGACTCTGCGACGCGGCCTGCCAATCTGGCGTCCCTCTTCAGACAGCCGTCGCCGCGGTCGCCTGCACCGCCCTCCGCATTCCCCTCTGGTCTCCACGCCATCGGGCCCAGCGACATCCATGCCTCCCGACGCACCTCCCGCTCCGATTTAGACTTTGAACAGGCTCTGCGCGCAGGCGGCACCGTCGTCCTCAAGGAGAGCCTCGACGTAGACAGCTTAGGTGCTGATCTCTCCAACGCTTCCATCTCCTTCTCCTCTTCTTCCCCTCCCCTCGCAGGCCCCGTATACCCGCCACCCCCACCATCGTGCCCCCACCCCCTCTCCCGTCGCGAGTCCCCACCCGCCGCCGTCCGCGTCCTCGTCCACCCGCTCCAACCTGGCGCCGTCGTCGTCCTCGTCGACGGCGGACTTTCTGCCCGAGGAGCCGGACGGCGAGTACCACACCAAGCGGCGCTCCATGTATCGCTCGCCCGGCACCGCGAGTAGCCCGGACCTCGCGACCCTGCTACGTAAAGCGAAGGCCCGCGGCTCTGCTCCCAGCGACGGCAGGACCCTCGACTCACCGACGACACCCAGCAGGCCCGATGCATATCAAGGCCAGCGGTTCTCGACGTCGTCACCGGCGCCCTCGCCGCAGGTGACGCCTGCGCCGAAGGGCAGACTCAAGCCGAATCCGTTCATGGACCTCGCTCATGACGGCAACACGAGTGCAGAGTGGGTCATGACCAGCCCGGCCAAGGTGCGTCTCCCGAGATGTTGCATTGTCTCTGCCACTCATGTTCTCTGCCACTCATGTTCTCTGCCACTCATGTTCTCTGCCACTCATGTCTCTCAGAATGCAAAGTCTTCCGTCCGCCAAAAGACGTCTGCTTTCCTGGGCAAGATGCTCGGCCAGTCTAGCACCCGCGAACGCTCAGTGAGTCGTTCCCCTGTGCGGCCCACATCCGGTGCACTGACACGCCGCAGCGAACCATCACATCATCGCCGTCAACGACATCTGTCGCATCGTATCCGTCCACGCCGCTCATGGACGCGTTTACACCGCCCGTGCCTCCCATCCCGCCAAAGCACCGGCAGAATTTTGTCTCCCCTCGCACGGATCCGTCGGACGTGTTCAGCGACACGTCGAGCGTCAACAAAAGTCTGCCGTCGGCGCCCTCGGACGCGGACGACGTCTCGCTCGTGATGGTGGAGCGGTCGCGCTCGCCTTCGCCGACAACGACGCTCCGGCAGCGGCCGACCTCGGCCTCAAATCACACTCGGACAGCGAGCCGCGGGCACAAGCGGCGGAGCATGAGCGTAAGTGACGCAGACGTTCAGAAGGCGATAGCGGCTGCACAGGGCGCAGGACCGTCAACGCCCGCCCGCGCATCGGGCGAAGGTCGCCGGCCGGAGGTATGGGGGCGTACTCTGAGTGGCATTATCTCTGACTTCCGCGGTGAGCTCTCGCAGCTCGATACCGCGACATCACTCGACCTGCGCGATCCGACGACGCCGGCGCGCCGACCTGCACTCGCCGCTCTGCGTGCACAGAGCGACGGCGCGACGAGCAAAGAGGACAGCCCCACGCGGCCGACGTTAAAGCCGATAGTGTCCTCGCCTGCGAAGATGCTGACGCCTACGTTCAACCTACAACCTGCCGAGGCGAGCATGTCAGGCGACATGACCGCCTCACCACCGTCACTCCGTCCGGTCTCTCTGCAGCACTCGCCTATCCGTGCACGTTCAGGTTCGGTGAATGCAGGCCCGCCCCGCGTGTCGTCGCTCAAGTACGGCCCACGCTCGCCCCAGATGCGCAGCGGGAGCGGATCGCTCGCGTCCGTCAGCATGGGCATGGGTGGCGCAGGGACGGAGCGTCTCCGGGCGCAGCACCGCTCGACGGCGTCAACGTCGGAACCGTCGCTCGTACCTGCGTCGGACATTGGCGGGGAGCACATTACGCGGTTTGCGCTGAGCAGCGCCGGCGCACGAAGCTCGCCGGTCAAGGGCTCGGGCGAGGATAGCACGGACCTGGATGCACGGGGACGGGAGCTGGCGGAGCGATGCTGGACGGAGGACGAGGACTTCATGGCGAAGGACAAGATCGCGGAGTGGCTCGGTGGGCAGAGCGTGATCAACAAGACTGCGCTCCGGCATTACATAGACCACTTTGACTTCTCGGCGCTGCGGCTAGACCACGCGTTCAGGTGAGTGGGCTCATGCATTGTAGTTGTGAGGGTGAATGACAGGGGTTTGCAGGCGGTTGTGCGCGAAGCTCTTCCTCAAGGCTGAGACACAGCAAGTCGACCGGATTCTGGACGAGTTTGCGCGGCGATACTTTGATTGCAACCCCAGTAGCATCTTCGGCAGTGCCAGTGCGTGCCTCAATATCGCACGCAACACTGCAGTGTAGGCTCACAATGTCATCTTAGGTGTCGTCCACGCCGTCACGTACTCTCTCCTTCTCCTCAACACCGATCTGCACGTCGCCGACCTCGCGACGCGGATGTCCCGCGGCCAATTCGTGCGCAACACCTTGGGCACCATTCAGATGCAGCTGCAGCCGAACCAGGGCTCAAACAGCGACCTCTCATATGACGATTGGACGAGCTTCCGCGCGGGCTCGGATAGCGACGTCGCCGGGGCAAATGCCACGCGGCGCGCGAAACGCAGCGACAGCATCGCGAGCTGGAACAGCATCGGCACGCGCGAGGGCATGTCCAACCCGGTGACGTCCGCAGGGACGTCGAGCGGCCAGTTGAGTTCGGCTTCGGACGGCACAGGGCAGCGGCCGGTGAATGGGAGCGAGGTGTCGGTGGCGTCGGGCCAGGAAGCGAGGGTGGCTGAGCGGGAGTCGAAGGCACCGGAACGGGAGCCTGCGCCTACGGCTATTGTGCATGACCGGAATTGGGAGTCGGAGGTAGAAAGCCTGTTGAAGGTGAGTGTTTGTTCGCTATGAGCGGTGGGCGGTGCTCAGTGTATCCTTGACAGGAAATGTACAATGCCGTCAAGAGCCAGCAGATATTGCAGCCTATTGGCAGCGCACTGACAGCCCGGTCCTCCACCTCTTCCCTCAGCCCGCACCACGGTGCGTTACTACGCCAACGGAGCCTGCGCGGCCAGCAGGGAGACCGTTTGGCCAACCTCAAGCGGGGAAGTATACGCGGTCTGCAGTCGATATTGCACGCACAGTCGGGCGCCAGTCCCTACAGCAGCAACAGCAGCGTCGACGGTCGGGCGAGTCCTGCACCAAGTTTCGCCAACTCGATTGAAGTGGGTCGCACTCAGATGAGCAGAATTGCGGTCCTGACTCTCCTCTAGGGCTTCCACGCCTCAACAACATCATTCCTCACCCCCGCGATGGGCTTCGCATCCAATCTCTCACATACCATAATCCGAGAGACTCAGGAGGATGATTCTCACAGCATGGAGAGCTCGGATTCTGGTACTGACGCCAGTATCACGGACGAAGAGCTTGCTCTTCTCGGGCCTCCATGGGCAAAGGAAGGTATGCTCTGCCGTAAGCAGTACTGGGAGTGCACTGGGAAGAGGGCGAAGTCGAAGTCGTGGATGGACGTCTTCGTCGTCATACAGAAGGGCGAACTCAGTATGTTCGTCTTCGGAGAACATGCGCATGGCGCATCGCATGTCGTCGGCGGCGGTAATTGGCTTGTGAGTAGTACGTCAGGGTATGCCGTATCTCTGTTCTTGACTTCTTTTCGCAGGAAAACGCACACCCGGTGGGTAAGCTGGTGCTTGCCCATTCGCTCGCACACGCTCTCCCGTCTCCGGGGTACAACCGTCAGCGGCCACATTGCATGGTTCTGACCTTGTCCAACGGAGGTGTCTACTTCTTCCAAGCGGGTACCGAAGAGCTTGTGAACGAGTGGGTCTCGACATGCAACTACTGGGCTGCGCGGCAGAGCAAGGAACCCTTGATCGGCGGCGTCTCGAACATGGAGTATGGCTGGAATCGCGTGTTGGATCCCGTCACACGGGTGCGGTCCGCGTCCGAGGACAACTTTTCACAGCGCGAGGACAACGACGACGGTTTCAGCATCAGGAGCGGCCGGAGTGGGCGGAGCCGGATGAAGGACCTTGCATCGACTGTTCGGGCGGACAAGTCGCCCTGGGCGGATAGGACGTTCATCAACGAATGGAAGCCGCCTATGCCATCCACGGTACCGAGTAATCACGATGAGGAGACTCAGCTCGAGGCGCTGCAGAAACACGTCGCGTATCTCAAAACGGAGCTCAAGCAACATAATGAGCTGAGGTCGCCCATGACCAACCTAGTACGTTCCTTCCTCCACCAGGGGGCGTATCTCTGACGCTTGTTTGATAGTACCGGCCTCGCTCCGCAAATGCTGATAAATCCCTGAGTAACTGGGAGAAGAAATCCCAGTACCTCCTGACCGAGATTGTCAAATACGAGTCATACATAGACTCGCTGCAGGCGGCGATGTCGCTTCGAATGAAGAAGAGAGGGGAGAAGGCGCTTGAGCGTGCGCTCGTTGTCGCCAGTCCGACGGACGACGAGCCTACGGACACTGTGAAAGCGAAGTGGAAAGGGCAGCCTGAAGGGAGACGATAGAGGAAAGGGAAGAACCGCCTCCAAGTGCTGGCTTGTCTCCATCTCCATCTCCAGGCATGCACCGGAGAGAACAAGCCGAGGTAGGCGACGGCGACGTCAATAACGACTGATCTTATGCATCAGGTTTCGTGCATGTTTTCGTACACATCTTGCATATTGTTGCCATACTTACCATTCTGTCATGCTAGTAATTGTATGTTATTTGAGCTTGTGAAGTGCCCAATCCGCGCATGCATATGTATATGTTTTCATGGTCCAGCCAGTAGACGTGTTGTTACTTTGCCAAGACTACTCGATGTGGCATTCGTTCGTGCGCGTGATTCGTCGTGTTAGGGATCATCATTGAAAGGCAGACTGTTATACAGCGAAGCTCAACTCAAAGCATATATGTACACAGCAAGAGAGCGATGTTAGGCAATACACGTTTCATCGATTGCACAAAGACAGGATCCGAGTGGTCGGGCTCTGGTGAAACAATAATCTATGGACTCTACTGGCGATCGTACACACATTGACATACCCTCGTGACAACAGGAAGCATGGTAAGGACGACGGATAATCAAAGGCAATCAGAGCTCGGAGCGGACTGCTACAAGATCTAAGCGGAAGATACAAGCATAGGCATCACACCACGTCAGAGATGAAAGAGGGACGGCAGAGAAGGACTCCCAACACACATTATAATACAGTACTACGCACCAATGCCCTCATCGCCTGGCTTGCGACCAGACGACGCTTGCATTGCTACGCTCGTGGAAGTCCGTCTCTGCCGCTTCATGGACATGTTCGCGGCGCCGGCACCAATCCGAGCGGTGGGCGACAGGCGAGAGCCATGGAGGCCCATCGGCATCGAGCTCGTGGTCGCAGCACGCGGTCGACTGGCTGAGGAGGTAATCTTCGGCAGCCCAGCAGAGCCCTTGCGCGACGCGCCGTGTGGTGTCCCCGAAGCGCGGTTCCTACACAGCTCATGAGTCTCCTTGCGTGGCCAACAGTATCGTCTCACTCACCGCTTCTTAATCACGTCTGTCTTAAGCGATAACGGTCGAACCACACCATGCAGTTTCTGATAAAGAGCGGCGATAAGCTCGACGCATATATATGGGCGGTTGGACGATACTCACAAAGAATAGACCGCATGCGTTGCATAACGGCTGTCCCTCAGGATCTCTTCTCCACAAAGGCGTGTTCGTCGTCTGGCAATTGGTGCACACAGTCGGATTCGCATCCTCCTCGCCATTCCCATTGCGCCCGACCTCAGGACTACTAACAAACCGTCAGTGAAGCATCGCGACTATCATGCAACTAAAACACCCACTTCTTCCGATTACCATTACGTGCGGAGTCTTGTACTCGCTTCGACGAGGCGATCTTCCGAGGCTGGTTGCGCTGACCCTGATGATCTGCGGAGGGCGGCGTCGAGGCATTCGAGTGGTTGTAGGGCTCTGGAGACGCATTCGAGCTCGAGTTCACACCGTTGCCCCAGCCATCACTCGACGGACTAGGATGGAAGCTCTGGAAGCCACCGTCTGTGTCAAGAGGGAGAATCTGGTGAGGATCGACGTGGGTGTAGGGCCCGACGGCGAGGCCACTATCTAGTCCAGGGTACATCATGCCTGCGAGGTGGTTGTAATCGAGAGACGAATCCTCGATAGCCCCGAAGCTGCCGTGGTTTAATTGGGCGAAGCCTTCTGCCACAGCGTGGGAGGCAGCAAGAGCGGGCGCGGAAAGACCTTCGCCGCCCGGACCAACGGCAGGTGAGAAACCACTAGGGATGGGCGCACGCAGGGGATCGTGGAAGGACAGGTCGGGGGAGCGGATACCCTTGAGTGGTGGCAAAGATGCAGGGATATTTGGGGGCGGTAGGGTATGGGTTGCGCCAAACATATCATAGGAGGTATCATATGAGGAGGGGAAGTTGAAACTGAACGAAGACGAAGGGAACGGAGGGCTGTTGCGCCGGAACAGTTCAGGCTCATGTGCGTCGATGCGGTCTGGATGTGGGAGCACGTTGACCTGGTCGCCGCGAAGCATGCTCTCTGCATGGGGCCCTTCTGCGCGGCGCTTCAAGCCAAGAAGAGACTCAGGGGACAGTGGCTTCCCGTTGACCTGATGACGACCACTTACCCCGTTGAAGATGCCTTCTCGCGCGACGGTATGGTCGAAGCTCGTCTTGCGCACGTGCTTCGGGAACGCACGGTGCTCCTGCGATGCAGCACCTGAGGCAGATATTCGCGACAGCAGTCCGCTCGCTGGGAGCGAGGACGGATGCGCGGGCGGACTGTCGGTAGCTGAGAACGAGGGTGTTGGGTCAGGTTCGCTGGCTTCCAGCACTGCGGAGATCCCGAGGCGCGATGATGAAGCGCCAGGTATTGGTATTGTAGACGATGAAGAGCCCTTGTGAGGGGATCCTGTCGGGAACTTGATGGCGTTCTGATCAGCCGATTGGATGCCCATCATGGGAGGCCTTGACCTCGACCGGCTGGCAGGCCGCCAGTCCATGGGCACTCGAGAGCGCGACCTGCTCATCGCCCGCCAGTCCATAGGCACAACATCGCTGCAGAAGCACGTTTGAACACACTCGTGCCGCAAAAATGACGCAATACACTTACTCATTATCGTCAATGCCGTCCTGGTTGGCGCCATCAAAGCCGACGACCTTGACCCGCGTCGTGCCCTTGTCGACAGGCCTCCCTCGTTCTTCTGCCTCCTCTTGAACCTTGTCTATGTCCACGTTGCTTCCGTCAATGTTCGGTCCCTCGTTGAGCGGCTGCTCTCCCCGCGCTATTCTCTCCTCGTCCTCCTTCTTCTTCTTCAACGCTAGCGCCATCATTCGCCAAGTGATGTTCTCCATGCGTTGTGCGTGTGGCAGCGTCGCCTTCGTCCGCGCATACATCTTCCAAACTTGGGTCGCAAGCGGATCGTCCCTCTGCAGTATCTCGGGATCCGTCTCGCCGGCGGCGAGCTCTGCCGCCTTCAAGTCTGGGGAGCCAGACAGGCGAGGAGACGGGAAATTCTGTGGGCGTGCGGTTTCGAGCGGGGATGCATGCGGGAAGAAGTCGTCGGTGAACAGATCTGACAACATCTTCGCCTTGGGACTGCTCGCAGACGTCGGTGCTGATGACTTTGCAGAGTCGCCGTAGAACGAGAGGCTCGTCGGGCTCTGCGTAGAACCGCCAAGGGAGTCGGAGATTGATCCGTGCCGTGGGACGGTAATCTGGGTGAGCGGCGGGTAGGAGGGACCCGTGAGGTGCAGAGAAGATGAGGGGACGGATGAGGACACCGATGCGGGGGACATCCAGAGGGAGGGCGGCAGCGAGGCATTAGAGCGCTCGTTCGAGTGGTGTACGCTCCCGCCGAAATCGAGTGACGACGGTGCGGATGGGAAGGAGGCGGAGAACGTGTCGAGGTTCCCGTCGTTCATGGGACCGAGCGGGACGTCGTAGTGTCCAGTCGGGCCAGGGAGGCCGGGGCCGTTGAGCTGATGGCTGAGCGAGCTACGCCGGCTGTGAGGCCCGCCATCACGGCCATCCTGAATCCTGTGATTCTCGTAGGGGTGCGAGTTTGCCATCGAGGAGCCCGACGGAGGCATGGCGATGGGTCCATACTGAGGCAGTCCGTTTACGGGGGATCTGCGCTTACCATAGGGCTGGCTGCCCGACCCTGGCCTGAAATGTAGTGGCGAAGCTCTCTGAGACGTTGAGGGCGTGGAAGAGTACGGAGATGGCGCATTCGACCAGTGCCCTGGCAAACCTTGACCGGCGCCAGGCCGGCCAATGTCCTTCGTATTGAGAGGGGGGATGCGAACATTAGCCGAGAATTCATTCGGCGAACGTACAGAGCGCGCGGGAAGGCTGGACGGCACACCTCCGTTGGCTGGCGGCAGGACGCCTGATGCCGCTAGGGCATGGAATGTAGAGGGATCGAGAGGCGATGAAAACATGTTCCCCCAGTCGTGATTGGGCATGTTCGACACCGAGCCGTGCTGCACCGAGGTATCGCCAGGATGGGGCGGCGGAGGGACAGAATGCTGCAACATCGACGGTACAGAGGACGGCTGATTGGAGGCGGAAAGAGAGATGTGCTGAAGCCAAGGAGAGGCGTGTGCAGAGTGTGAGACCGAGGACGGGTGTGGGCTGGTCTCGACAGATGGGGCGGATGAGGCGGGGTGGGGAAGGCCCGCGGTGTTCACGGTCGGCCGGCCTTGAGGCGACCACGGACGACTAGTATGTTCGTTGTACGCTCGCACCTGCGATGTCGGGAGTTCCATAGGACTCCTAAGGGGCGGGAGACGAGGTGAGCTCTGGCGAACCTGGGGGCGGGGTGGAGGGCGAACGCACCTCAGATGACAGTGATGGGATGGGTCAAGACCCGGTACGGACGCGCCGCGCTCGCCGATGGGCGGTTCTGGAGGATGGGCGAGGGTGGGGGAGATGGCCTCGGACGCTGTGCGGGAGGGCGTCGTCAACGGCGAAGAGGAAGACGGCGCGCAGGCTGGAGGAAGCAAGCCGGTGGCTGCTGGGGGACGGACCGCACCCGAGCGTTAGAGGAGTCCAAATAGACGGCCCACAAACCGCTCATACGCTTTTGCCGTCCGTTTTCGCTCGTTTTCCCGCGATCAACATGTTCCGCCCTCTGCGGCCTCGTATGACCCCTGTTCGACCTTCGCGCGCCCTGCGCCCCGCCCGCGTACGCTCGCTGTGTGCGCTGTGGACGGCCGCGGGAGGCTCGGGCTCGACGCGAGCCGTGGCTGTGGTGCGTGAGAGCACCTGCCCGATTAGGAGGCGCACACACTCATCCACGCTGCGCAAACAAGTGCGTGCGTGAGCCTCAGTCTCTCTCTCTCGTAGTATTCGGTCGGCCAGATTCACATGGCGGCGTCCCTCCCGTTCCGCTTCCGGGCTCGTTCTGTGTTCTTAGCATTCTCGCGGACAAAATTCAGCAAGGCACAGGCGACATCGATGGCTAAGGCGCATGCTATTCCACTCTTGCGCCGCCGGTTCGCCGGACTCACAGGCATTTCGCGTGCCACCCGCGCTGGACCCACTTGCTTCGCCCCTATGTTTTTCATCTGGGATCCAGACACGCAGCCCCGATCTTGCCAGATGGATTACACGGCGCATCAGGGTGCCGCCACCGCGCCCGGGATGCAGGTTCATCGCCGCAGTCACCTCCTGTCACCTCGTCTCGCTAGTGCGGCAATCCCTCACCCACGAACAATGACATGCTGTATCTCGATTGGCCAGACTTCGCCTCTGCCTCTCATCGCCCACGCGCTAGCTGATGTGTTCCGGTTCCACCATCCTCGGTGCACAGG